TGAACTATTATTCTAAGCTATACTGTTAACTGCTCATGTGTGGTAAGAAATTATACTAATTTATTTCCAAACAAAATTCTTATATCTAAATAAGTCTTCATCTTAAACAAAGAAAAAATTACGTTATACGTCGAAATTACTAACATATAACATACTGACAATGGTTTTGCAAGATGCATTTACTCTCGAAAAATATTAAAAATTTGTATTAAGGAGTTATACAGGATTAAAACCATATGTTTAGCTTACTTTTTCTACATATAAGACATATAAAAGAATGTAATACGAAGTTCCCATAAAACTGAAAGGGTCACAAGAGTTGGATAGTTTCTCTTTAAGAAAGCTCCGTATCGGGACGTTTTTACACGATTACAAATAATATTGAACATTGATTCTGTTGTACAAGATTATCTCCCAAGATGTGTATAACTTATTGTTTTCATACTAATTATATTTGTCTAAGGTCTTTGTATGATCTTCCCAATAGATTTTTTTCTATCCATACACATCTGAATTATCTCATTATCTTACTATACTTTAATCCATTTCAATATAGTCATGATATGCTTTAACTACTATTGTGTTGCTACTGTTGGAAAGCACTACTAATATAGTTTCATTCCTGAATAATACTATCAATCTATATCTTTAGGATTATTTGACATCACATATAATAACTATTTGCTAACGTTATGCCAATTTTCTTTACAACTTAACCTCCACCTAACCTACCCTTTCTCAGTAACAATGTCATTATAATAATTTTGAGTTTTCACATATTAATCTTAATTTTGTTTTATTTTGCCAATTCATCAATAATTACCTCGCAAACTTTGTCACCAATTACACTATATTAAGCTCATAGATTGAAGTATGCTATTGTAATCATTAGTTACTACATTGTGTAATAATTAACATATATTTTATTAGATACATTCTACTAGTAGAGGCAAATCAGTAGTTCTAATGGCAATGTTTTTACTCTCAAGTAGTCTTTTAGAACAATACCAACGTTTAAGGTAAGCACTATTATATTAAAAAGTCTTTTCCTATTGAGATATGATTGATTTCTACCACAAATAATACATCAAATATCTGCCTTATAACATATATATAAAATAAACAAAACCAATAATGCATACAAATGCTAATCCTTGAGGTGATAGTATAAGAACATTGTTGATTAAAGAAGATAATATTGAACAACAAAACCAAAATAAAAAATAGAAAAAGGAAAAAATTAATGTGGTTATTTACAGAAAAATGTGGGTGTTATATATATAAAACTTGTACATATGCTATTTGTTTTGGCAATAAAAATAAAGGCCAAAACAAAAATTAATTCTGAATGTGAAGTATTTTACTTAGACTATTTACTGAATTTTATTAACTTATCCTCACTTATTACTTCATAGTCAATCTTACTTAAAACTCATCCATGATATCTTCAGATCTTTTGTTTTTCATATTAATTGTTTCCAAAGATTTCTGTTCATCCAAGATCTCTAATACGCCAGGGTACTTGTACTAACTTATCATCATTTTTGATTCTAGTGACATTCATATCAAAGTTTGGGTTGTAAAATTTTAATGTAGGTAAATATTCACGCCAAAATTTACGTGCACTCTATGTCCATTGTGATTCTGTACTTGGAAGGTTAATTTTAAAGATTGGTACTTAGTGGGATTATTATTATTTGTGGTTTCTTTTGTAGTAAAAGTTAATTTGTCTAATATTGATAGTTGCTTAACGACTCTTTGACTTTCTCGGCCATATTTTATAAGTGTCTTTTTCTATTGTTTATTTTTTTCTCTTGATGGAATTACCTCAATTACCTAGACAAAATTTTGACTAGATTTAATGAAAACTAAGAATAATAGCTAGCAAAAATGTGAAATCAAAGCTGTGTTTGTTATCATTCTCCCTTGATATATACGTTTTACATTTGTACATTTCCAGTTGAATTTTCCTTGTTTAATCGGGAATTGAATCAACCTTTGATAAAAAGTTCACAAAATTAAAAAAAAAAGAAAAAAGAACAAAAAATATATATTTTCAGATTCTAATGGAATAAAAGAGGAAGAAAAGAATGGTTTAGCAAGACAAGTTGCATTATATTATTTAATTCGTTAATATAGTCTATGAATATGCTGTATAAATTATGTTAAGTTATATAAATTAGAAACAAAATAGATTTATCTTAGGAGAAAAGTCAAAATTGACAAAAAAAATTTAAATAGTTGATGTAAATCTAGTATTAAAATAATAATACTAGTAAAGTGAGAGAAATATCGCACGTGCAGATGAAGGAAAGGATAAATAATAGATATAGAGATACTTCTTTTAGAAGTAAAAACAAAGAAAATAGGCTATGTATGGCCAAATGCATTTTAACAAAAATAAAATAAAATAAAATAAAAAGTAGATCAAAAATATTCAATGCAAACCTCAACAAAACTAAAACGCTTTAAATAAATCATGATACGGATCTTCACCTTGAAAACCATAGTGAAGTTCCTCTTCAGGGTATCTATCAAACTGAGATGAATCACCTTGTCCATGTCTTATTGGTGGTTCGTATGGTGTTTCAATACATCTTGCTAATATTTTATCCCAAACAACCTCTTCAAACCATGGATGGTTTTTAACATCTTCAGTACCACCTTGCAAATTGCCTAATCTTTGACTTAAATTTCTGTTGATTAACCCTCTCAATAAATCCTGCACTAAGGAATCAAAGTATTCTGGAAATTTCAATGGGGCATTCAATATTTTCTCATATATTTTAATAGTGTTAGAATCATAAAAAGGGGTATAACCAGCTAACATTTCATATATTATTATACCAAATGACCACCAATCTACAGATTTATTATAAGGCTTCGTACTGACAACTTCTGGAGCAATGTAATCTGGTGTTCCACATAAGGTATATGTCACATCAGGAACGTATTTTGCAAAACCAAAATCTGTTATTTTAATATGGCCATTCCTATCAAGTAAAATATTTTCTGGCTTTAAATCTCTATAAATAATTTCCAAATCATGTAAGTATTCTAAAGCAAGACATATTTCTGCAGCATAAAATTTGGCAACTGGGTTTGGAAATCTTTTTGATTTTCTTAATAGAGAAAATAATTCTCCACCTTCAATAAAATCCATTACCATGTAAATTTGCTGCGAATCTTGGAATGTCCCCCACATTCGTATTAAAAGGGGTGTGATATTATTGATAAAATTTTTCTTTCATCATTTGTGTGTTCAACCTGTTTAAATTTTACAATTGTTTTCTTTTTTAAAACTTTTAATGCATAAAATCTACCATTATGATTTGATCGAATTAAATGGACCCTACCAAAAGATCCAGTACCTAAAGTCCTTAATATTTGAAAATCTTGGAAAGTATATTTCCCAGAGGTCTTTTTACCATGTAATAACATATCATGTTCTATTCCCTTAACTGTTAAAGGTTCCTGTACAGAATTGAATAAAGATTTATCATCACCAGCAGTATTCTGTGTTATATTATTATTATTATGATGATGATGATTATGATTATGGTTATGATTATTATTATTATTAGAAACTACTGCTGCAGCGGTAGTAGTAACAGCAGTGCTTCTGGTTTCCAATTCCTTTATGATGGATAAATTTTGGCTATCCACTTGTAAACTCTTTTCATGTTGCCTTTCTACTACTACCTCTTCTTCTTCTTTTTCTTTCGCTTGACGCTCCTTTAAAATCTGTATTTCATCTTTAGGAATTGAGTATACTGGAGAAGTAGAGTTGGCAATATCCAATTGTGGAGATTGTTCTCTATTAGACATTATAGCATTTTCATTCGCAGGTCTTGGTCTATGATAAGATAATTCTTCCTTGGGTGTAATATTTAAAGTCAACCGCCGTACCTGGTTATTCCTCTGTGGGTCCACATACATTTTACACAAAAGTAGTTGAAAATAAGGGGGAGGGAAAAAAAATTTTTTTGGGAAAGTTCACTAACTTATTTAGCAATCTTAAGTTTATCTTATCTTATCGATAATGTTTTAACGGTCCTTACTAATATATAATGTATGGTGACTATGATTCGTCTAGTCCATAAGCGTTTATTGCAACAGTATGAGATACTAGCCTTAAAAGCCTTGGACTTTTCTTACTTCTGAATTTTTTAATATAAAGAAAAAGAAACGAAAGCAAATTGAAGGAAAAAAAATTAAAAAAAAGAAATGAAAAGAAAAGGCAACAAATTTATAAAAAGTTTAATTTCTTTTTTTTATTTGATTATTATTATTCTGTGATGTGAATTTTCTTGTCTATTTTCATTTTATCAACATCATCTATTACTTGTTTATGCTAATTGGAAGTACAGAAAATAGAAGAAGGCTAGGTTTGTTTTTTTGTTTTATCTTTTTTTTCCTTTTTTCTTTTCAACTTGCCTGATAACGTCGATTCTATTGGGGATAATGTTGAATTACTGTATTGGATGCATTAAATAAATAAATAAATAAAAAGTAAAAAAATAAAGGAGAAGAGGAACACATGGACAAAAGATAGAAACAAAAGCGATGCTAATAGTGAATGAATTAATGAGTGAATGAATTAATTAATTAACCTTCCGTTCCATAAAGTGGAGTTGAGGATCTCATAAGATTTGAGCTCTCAATTGGAGCATTGACACTTAAAAAATAGCAATTTATAAGTGCAATTAGGCAACAGGTTAAAGGGAAATACAAAAACAATTCTGGTCCTATACTAATAGTAAATCCGTATATTCTTAGTAGTATTGGTGGCACAATTAACATGGATAAAGAATTCAGCAATGCAATGGCACCAAACACTTGACCTGTACTCTTTCCTGTTTTCTTATAATGTTTCATAATTGCTGCTTCAGCAATTGGACTGCATATCTTTGATAGACTTCTTAAAATGACAAAGATTATGATGATTTTTTGAATAGTTGGAGAATCTTATCATAAAAAAGTTGCTAACAGTTAAAAATATCAAAGACATGCCAATAGAAACTTTATCTAGTTTATCCACATTATTTGGATTTGTTTTAATTACATTTTTCATTAAGTTCATACCATAATGTGACGATAAAAATAATGTTATGCCATTTGCTATGCCACAGAAGGATATGAAGTAGCCTAATTCCACACTTTTCCAATGATATTTGTATGTACAAAATAATAAAAAACTAGGCATTATTCCCATCATAACTGATCCAAAAAGAATATCAATAGTAACTAACAATAAAACATTCCATTTCACTGAGGAAGGTTTATCCTTTAACCAAAATTGTTTGAAGGGTTCCAAGAAATCTACTAATTTTATTAGATGATATTTACCATATCTTTGAGCTTTGAACCATAAAGTAGAAGAAGAGTTGGTAATGTCATTGTTAAATTCTTGATATAACTCCATTTGTTTGATAGTAAATTGTTCTTTGGTGTATTCTAACCATAGATTATGACGTGGTTCTATTATTATAGTAAAACATAAAACTGTGAATAGAATACCGGCTGCAATAGCAACATAGATGGGTACCGAATCATTTCCATTATACCATTTAACTAAAAGAGATCCTGTTAATGGTCCAATCCCTGTAGTTATCTGCATAAGACTGGTGACAAAACTGATTGAAAATATTCTATCCTCAGGTTCCACAATATCATTTATATAACTATTTGCATTACCAAAAAATGCAAACATACCCCCGCTAATTGAATTTACAGTGGCAGAAAGAATAATTAACCATTTATTGAATGGTACATATGAAGATAAAGCCAGCAAATGTAATAGATTACCTATTACTCTTATTAACCCCATATAGCCGAATATTTTAACTCTACCATAGTGATCGGACCACCGACCCCATTTTCCACTCATTAAGGTACTGATTATACCTGAATATATTAAAGTAGTTGATCCAATTTGAGACATGTACATTTGAACTTCTTTTGAATCACATAAATTTGCATGAATACCACGGCAAATCTTGTTTATTGTTAATGTGATAAACGGTGTTAAATATAACATTTCACTAAATCCAAATAAAAATACTAATATGGATAATATAAATAAGCTCGGTCTTCTAAAAATACATTTATCTTTATGATGATGCTTTATTTCTTCAGTTAATCGCTGTAATGTAACGACTTCTTCGTCTTCTTCTTCTAGTGTTTCTTCTACTCTAATATTTTCAATATTTTTTTGAAACGAGTTATTAATTAAGTTTTGACTTAGTGAAGTATTATCCTTCGTTATATAGGTCATGTCAAAAATATATATCTGTAAATTTACTTACTTAAATGATTATACAAGATATTTGATTTTTTTTATATTGAAACTTAACTAACAGAATATAAAGATAGATGGATAGATAGATAAATTAGGATAATATCAAATTACTATGATGTTTTTTGTATCTATATCTGAAATTGCCTGCACTACAATTATAGAAAATCTAAATTGTTGGATACAACACTATTATAAACCTTTTTTTATTTATTTGTTATTTTGAAACCTTTTATTTCTATATAATATCGTATAAATGTCGTAAGAAAATGAATATATATATGCATGAATGTATGTGTGTTCATATTTGAATACATAGTTTTAAGATGGTTTATGCTAACCCCAATCTAGTCTAAATCTTACATCATCCTTCTAGATGTCCCTATTTCCTTGTTTTGTTTGTTTTATTATTTCTTATTTTTCCCCTGTCTAAAAGCAGGCTGCCTTTATAACAAGAAAGCCTCTTTCTCAATCTATAACGGCTATAATAAAGAGACGATTGACAGAACTGGAGGGAAAGGAAAAAATTAAAAAAAAAAAAAAAAAAAAAAAAAAAAAAAAAAAACAGAGACAACCCAAAATATCGTATTGAATGATAAAAGCAGTTAATTGAGTTTCTTTTTTTTGTTTTCGGTTGTTTTCCCTTCAATTTCCATTGTGTTTGTCTGCAAGATTCTTTGTTTTATTGTTATTTATAAGGAACATTTGCAGAATAAATGTGTCAACATTGGTTCAAATTGAAAGACAAACCTGTTGAGAATGAGCGCCTTTATTCATTGGATATATAGTAAACATTCTCAATATTATATTAAACAGATTTAGTATACAAAATTATAATAAAGTTCTTCACTTTCTCTCTCTATATACAACATAGAAATAGTAATATACAAAGATTGCAAATAAGATAAAAATAATGTATGATGAAATCTTTGGCTTTATATATGTTAACATTAAGCCATTTTCCTCTACGAACAGTAAGATATTTAATAAAAAAACTCAACAACTTTTGGTGACCTCTCAACAATTATTACTCAACAATTTATCGTTTAGTGTCTGCTAAAATCTTATTGTTCTATCTATTTTATTATAGAACATTCTATTTCAACAAAACCATATAATTACAAAGAGAGGAGAAGAATCAATCAGCAACCTTCAGTGACATATGTGCTTCTGGGAGTTCTAAGAAATTTGAATTGTAAAAGTGGAAGATTTTAAGTCTTTAGCACTTTTTTTTATAATCAACATATGAATATAAAATGGAATTTATCTTAGCAAATAGCTTTCCTATTGCGTATATGCACAAAAATATTTTGAGCCATAAAGCTATTCAGCTACACCACCATAATTATATACCAAAACTGAAATAATATCACCATTTTTGTCATCTATTATGACTAATATTTATGACATCCACGAAATATTAGTTGACAAAGATAAAGAAACTATATTAAGTTTTTTTATTTTTTTTATTTTTTTTTTCAAATATTATAAATACTTGCAAAATTTTATAAAACAGATCTAAAAAAATAATCGCCAGATAAATATTTTTCTATTTGTTTCAGCAGTTATGTACACTGAACAATATTTCTTAGGAAAAAAAAGGATTAAATATAATAAATTACTGCAATTTTCTGGAACCTAAAAGAAAGTCTCTTTTTTTATGTGATCTTGGTTTTTCTAGGATTTAACATATTGTTTATATATATGTATACATATTATTTTTTGATTCTTACTTATGTTTTTTTTTTTATAAAAAAATAAAGACTCACCAAACTTTAATTCTCGCTCTACAAACTTGACTCACATCTAATAAATGTTTACATATTCTGATCAAATAGAATCTTACCATTAGGTAAGATATATAATAATTTAGTTATAATTGTGATTAGTTTATGATTTAATAAAAATATATATACTATCTATTATATTTATTTTTATCGTTATTTTTCCTTCTTTTCGATATCCTCCAGTGGAGTCGCTTCTATTGTCACATTTCTTAGTAAAATATGACTAACCATTTCTAATACTAACATGAACAAAGATGACAATATAGCTAAACAATAGTTAGATATGGTGATACCAATGTCTAACCATGATCCCTCCGTCTTCAATAAATAGAAGAAATTTAATGACAATATATCACTTGTTGATATAATTAATGTAGATATTGTGTAATCCTTTATAGTTAATTTCATATTAAGTATACCTAATCCACATGATAATATAATATATGGAATAATTAATTTTAACATTAATAATGCACCCATGGGGAATGGGTCAAATATTGGTAATAACCTGTAAACTGAATCTAAGGAAAAAGATGATATTGATGCAACATTACCACAACCAAAGAATGCTACTTGTAATAAGAAAAATCCAATTACTGAAACTCTTAGCAATTGCAACCAGTTGTCTTTTACACTTTGTTGTTTTAAGCTTGATTCAATTTCAATCCATTGAACAACAAAGGCTGTGAAAAACACATAAAACAATAATTCAAATGATATTGTCAATATAATAAATGTAGGTGCAAATGTTAGATAAATGATTAATAATCTGACTCTATAGTTATTACTAGGTGTTAAATAATGGAAAAATGGTGTTATAAATAAAGAAATTATTAATAAAGACCAACCTGAGATTTGGGCACTGTATGGTAAACCTTCTCTTTTTGTAAAGATACAACTGATTTATTAGTCACAATTAACATTAAGATTGCTAATAGCATTTGAACTAAAAGTATTGTTCTTGTATTAGATGAAATGCTTTTGTTAACTTTTTTCAATCCATAAAATGAACTAATAATAATTAAATAGCCAGCATAATTAATTTGGGTCAGATCTTCTATTTTAACTGCATCATATAATGTGAAAGTAGACATAAAAATACATGTAAAACACCAGGCTAAGGTTTTTAGCAAATTAGTTTGCAATCCACATACTGTTGGATATATTGCAAATAAAATAAATATTATACTAAAAATCCATCGATGGAAAAATCCATATACAATCCCTTCATAGATCATTACTATTAAGAAAGCAATTGTAATTCTTTCTAATACAGAAATTCCACGGAATAATTCTTTGATACCTATTTGTAACACATATCGATTAGCAACAATTTGACACCATAGATATAGTGGGAATAGTAAGTACATGTAGAAATTGAATGGAGAACGTTGGTAGTATAAGACCCAGTTTAAGCATAAACTAACCAAAGTGAAAAAGGTTAAATTTAATAGTGTGATTCTTCCTTTAATGTTTTGATGACTAGGAATAATAAATAACTTTAAGAATATACTGAATGAGAAAACAATCCATCCAATAAATCCTAATGTGACAATTGTTCTAATTAATCTCCAGTTGTATGTGGTTAAGTAATGTAGTGCCTCCAGTGTGGTTGTCATAAGATTTTCAATCATAGAAATAGCTTGTTCTTCTAAATCAATTTCTCCTTTAGCAATTCGATCGATAATAGAATGAATTTCATCTAAATGATCTTCAAAAGGTTTTTCAACAAATTTATGATAATCTTTAAATACAAACTGAGAATTCTTAACTTCTTCTCTTTTCACAACGTATTGTTCTAGAATAGCTTTAGTATTGTTGTATAATGCTTTTAATTTGTTATCTTCATCTCCATCAATGTAAGATAGTGGCAGTTCCCCAACAGAGTTGGCAGGATAGTTCACACCAATTAGATAAGCCATCAATGATGCAATATCAGCTTGTTTAACATCATTTCTTACAATATGACCTAACTCCCATGATTTAGTATAATTATCGAAAACCGGAACATTATTCCTCTTGGGTTTATTTAAACCAGCACCCCATGCTACAAGTGGAGTTCTAGTATTATTAGGATGGCCATCGCCATGAGAACCAAAGGCACTCATACCATGATCAGCCGTAAAAATATACGCAGTATCTTCATCACCAAAAAAATCTTTAACTTTTTCAACTAATTTTGAAATTTCAGTGTCAATATACTTCACGTTGTCATAATATTCCGCAGAATATGGTCTATAAGAATGGCCAGCAGTATCGCAACCTAATAGGTGTAAGAAAAAGACATTCCCTTGTTGTCTTATTTCAGTATTAAGTGTACTATTTATAGTAGCATTATTGAATAAAGAATACAAATGTTTAAAAACATAGGCATCTAATTCTATTGAAGATTGAGTAAAATCTTCAAATTCATGACCATACATCCAGGTATCTATACGATTTGGATCAGAAGCTCCATCTTTAAACATTGGTAAAATATCAGGGGATCCAAAAGAGTATGTATGGGTAGACTGATTAAAAAAACTATCAAAATCGACAGGGTTTTCCTTCCAACCTTTCGTAACCGCACTAACATCTTCATAAAACCCTGCAATCATAGCAACGTGGCCTGGACGTGACTCTGTGGGCATTCTTGTATGTGATATTCCATAAGTTCCATTATTTTCGACAATAGATCTAATAAAAGGTGCCAGAAAGTTCGTTTCACCTGATACTGGATGTGTGATTTTATCAAAAGTGGTGTCTGCCCTCAATCCATCACCTACAATTAAAAACAATCTTTTAGCAGGTGGATTGTTTGTACTACGGTATTGGGACATTCCGTGAACCAAGGGTGATACAAAGTATATATCAAATATTGACCATAGATAAAAGAGATGAAAAAGGACCCCAATTATTAAAAGGGAAGTTCTATTTCTGTTCCATACCATACTGATTTGGTTAATTCTATCGTATTTGCACTTTTTTGGTGATTTCTAGGAAAGGAATGTATCATGTTTACCAATAACAAGTTTTCTTATTACACATATAAATTATATATTTATGTTTTTATAACCTTGACAGTTCAAAATTTTTCTGGAGTAATTTTTTCGTCATATAAAACGCAAAATTCTAATGTAAGAAAAATGAACATGTAAGCTAAAGGTGTAAACACTAATGATCTAGAGATGCAAGTAGCTTCCACTCTCCAGTTGAAATAATAGGTCAGGTTTCCAGACTGAAATATATTTTATGATTTTAGAACATTATTTATTGGATGTATCATGACTAAGTGTACAAATAATATATAAGAATTAAATAAAAAACATAAAACATGAAAGCATCTGAATTTAAAACATTCAAAACTTTAAGAACTAAAAACAATGTTTGCAACATTGGGAAATTTCGAAGAAAAAATAATAAAATAGCAACATGAACGAACTAGTAATATATAATGCAAAATGAAAATTATAATAAGTTTAGATTAATGCTTATTTTCTTTTTGGAAAGAATGCAATTAACAGGATACCAAGTCAATAGCTTGTAAGTAAACTGGATGACATTGAGCACCAATTGATTCGTCGTATAAGTTGTAGAAGTCTCCAGATAGACATTGGTAGAAGACATCATTGTTACCTAAAGCTAAGTTACCTTCTGGTGTGATAGACCAACCAGCAGCGTAGATGGCACCAGCTTGTGGTGGTGGACCATCGAATTGGAATTGTCTGTTGGCAACAATAGAACCGATTCTACCTCTGCTATCGGTTAGTATACCATCCTTTAAGGTCATAGATAATGTACCATCGACCTTACAGGAAACGGCTGTGACAGGATCAGTAGATTTGCCACTAGTGACTTGACCGTCACCGATTTGAGCAGCAGCAGACTTAGTAGCAGCTTGAACTTGACCGTCACCAATTTGGGAAGCAGCAGCCTTGGTGGTTTTGGCAGCTTGGATTTGACCATCACCAATTTGGGAAACAGCAGCCTTAGTAGTCTTAGCAGCTTGAATTTGACCGTCACCTATTTGAGAGACAGCAGCCTTGGTGGTTTTGGCAGCTTGGATTTGACCATCACCAATTTGGGAAACAGCAGCCTTAGTAGTCTTAGCAGCTTGAATTTGACCGTCACCTATTTGAGAGACAGCAGCCTTAGTAGTCTTAGCAGCTTGAATTTGACCGTCACCTATTTGAGAGACAGCAGCCTTGGTGGCAGTAGCAGCTTGGATTTGACCGTCACCAATTTGGGAAACTACGTCTCTCTTAGCAACTGAAGATGTGGCCTTAGCTGCAGGAGTGGAGATTCCAACGACGGCAATACCGAAGGTGGAAGCGTAGTCAGTCAAACCGCCACTGTAAGTGCCAGATGGGGTTAAAGTGGACCATGGTTCAGTTGGGACGTAAGCAGCCATGGCAGAAGTAGCCAAGGCAGCGGTAGCTAAAGTTTTTTTGTATTGCATTTTTGTTTCTGTATGCTTGTGTTGATATAGTTTAAAAGAAAATCTCTGTTTAGTTTTCTCTGGTTTTTGTCGGAAGAGTTGTAGTATAGGGAAGAAAAAGCAAAAAGATTGCTGTGTCTTCTGCTGGAACATACTATCTTTATATATGTTTGTGAATGACATATACCATTGAATCATCACACACAATAGAGGATACATGAGATAATTGTAGTCTAATTCATTACTAAAAAAAATAGATGACAACATTTTTAATTTTCTTCTTTTAGATAGTAAATGTATTAAAATGGAAAACCATAATAGAGTAGTTGCTGGTGGTGTGGTCAATTACATTGTAATATCAAATATATGCACCTTTCATTATACATGTTTTTTATTAAATTGAAGGAGATACAATATTAAACAAAAGAAAAAAGTTTTCACTTTGATCTTGCACTTTTCTTTTTTTCTTTTTTTCTTTTTTTCTTTTTTTTGTTTTTTCCTGTTTAGGTAAAGATATTAGGCAATTCAGCCTACCTTAGATTTTAACCTGATTTGGCAAAATCTCATCGTTGGTTTTCTGCAAATATTACCGCATTTGGAAAAATATGGAGAGTTTTTTTGTTTTCTTTCTCGGAAATAATAAGGGAGTAAGAGAGCGAATGTTGCGAGGCAATTTTCCACCAAAGCAACACTAATTACATCAAATCATAGACATTAGTAACACATAAAGTGTTGTTCTTGGATTAAAATTTTTACAGAATCGTATTTTTGTTGCTATTTTAGAGCTACATATATCCTTTTAGAAGTGTCACCTGTAATATGGAAGACAAGCCAGGTGTCAAGATAACAGGAAAGAGGAATGTCAGGGCCCAATCACTAAGAAGTTCTTACTTTTAATATCAGTTTTTTTTTTTTGAGGAATATATTCCACTGCTAACTATTACAGACACAGTGTCGATTATAAGGAAGTGTTACAAAAGAAAAATCTCTATGTAGTGTAAATAGCAAAGCCAAATGTCATGGTTACTTGCCTATAATATTTAGACAGCTTTTCTTGACTTTAACTGTTCATTGTTGTAGGATTGCGGTATAATGGAGTTTGAGAACCAAAGACATATAACTTCTCTTAATTTGATCGTTTTGGCTGTCTTTTATTTTAGATCAGTCTGATCTTTTTTTAACACTTTTTATTTTTTTACCTTTTGCCTTTTATGGTAAAGTGATCATGCTTGGTTTATTCCCCTTATAATTGTTAATAGAAATAAATATTTTCTCCTTTTCCTTCTTTTCAATGTTTTTTTTTTCATTTTTTTTTTCGTTTTTTTTTTGTGTCTTGCTTATGAAAAAAAAAAACGACTTCTAAATTTAGCTCTTGAAATATTTTTTTCCCCTTTTCGGGATCTTTAAGACAGCCAAAAATTACCGAATAAGGAAATAATATGGGCCTGTGGGTTGGACAAATATTTCCAGATGAGGAGATATATCACTTTGTGCTATTGTGTTTTTCTTCCCCCTCGAGGGGAGAATACAGATGTCGTCATACCGCTGAACAGAGTCTTTCCAGGAGTTCGTTTTGCCTAGGCTGGAAATGTTCTACAGATTGCACTTTCATACCTGTTATAGACGTTAATTATGAGAGATGTTACCTTAAATAGTAAACTGTTATAATTAGAAGTAGATGATTCGTAAGTTCATATTACATATAGTATGTATGTATAAGCAAAAAGCTTTCTTTTTCCTTTCTTCAACTTTTTTTGTTAATATATAAACTGGCAAAATTGGTTAGAAAGTGTTCTTTCGTCTAGTTTGTCGTTCCGTTAACCTTTTACTTGTCGTATTGGATGCAATTTACCCAGTAAAAAGTAATATAGGAAAAATCGATACTATTCGAAAAAAAAAAAAGAAAATCAATTATTCAAATTCATACCTTTTTTTAAGGAAACAACACTGTTTAGATTAATACATATTAATTTCATTTAAAATATTAATAATGCAATACAAAAAAACTTTAGCTACTGCTGCCTTGGCTACTTCTGCCATGGCTGCTTACGTCCCAACTGAACCATGGTCCACTTTAACCCCATCTGGCACTTACAGTGGCGGTTTGACTGACTACACCTCTACCTTCGGTATTGCCGTCGTTAGGATCTCCACTTCTGCAGCCAAGGCCACATCTTCAGTTGCTAAGAGAGATGTAGTTTCCCAAATTGGTGATGGCCAAATCCAAGCTGCTAAGACTACTAAGGCTGCTGTCTCCCAAATTGGTGACGGTCAAATCCAAGCTGCTAAGACTACTAAGGCTGTTGTTTCTCAAATAGGCGATGGTCAAATCCAAGCTGCTAAGACTACTATGGCTGCCGTTTCTCAAATAGGCGATGGTCAAATCCAAGCTGCTAAGACTACTATGGCTGCTGTTTCTCAAATAGGCGATGGTCAAATCCAAGCTGCTAAGACTACTATGGCTGCTGTTTCTCAAATAGGCGATGGTCAAATCCAAGCTGCTAAGACTACTATGGCTGCCGTTTCTCAAATAGGTGACGGTCAAATTCAAGCTGCTAAGACTACTAAGGCTGCTGTTTCCCAAATTGGTGATGGTCAAATCCAAGCTGCCAAAACCACCAAGGCTGCTGCTTCCCAAATTGGTGACGGTCAAGTTCAAGCTGCTACTAAGTCTGCTGCTGCTCAAATCGGTGACGGTCAAGTCACTAGTGGCAAATCTACTGATCCTGTCACAGCCGTTTCCTGTAAGGTCGATGGTACATTATCTATGACCTTAAAGGATGGTATACTAACCGATAGCAGAGGTAGAATCGGTTCTATTGTTGCCAACAGACAATTCCAATTCGATGGTCCACCACCACAAGCTGGTGCCATCTACGCTGCTGGTTGGTCTATCACACCAGAAGGTAACTTAGCTTTAGGTAACAATGATGTCTTCTACCAATGTCTATCTGGAGACTTCTACAACTTATACGACGAACATATTGCCGAACAATGTTCTCCAGTTTACTTACAAGCTGTTGATTTAGTATCCTGTTAAGGAAGCATCTTTGGGTGACTTTAACTTTTTTTCATAATTGATTAGATATTCCAAAACCACTCTCTATGATATATTCTGCATGGGTCTTTTTTTGTTTCGCTTTTAGCCCCTTTATTGCATCCGTTCCTTTTGCATTATGTTGTTTATAGTTCCAGTTTTTTCTTACATGGAAGAGTGATTATTTCGCGATAAAAGTGATCGTGATAATCATTTTAATTTCAGTTCTTGCATGCTATTTTTGTTCGAAAAATTGAAAATGGCTTTTCTTTTATTTATTCTTTTTTTATTTATTCCAATTATTTTTTTAAAGACTTTGTATAGTGATGTATGTTATGTTTATATATACATACATATATATATATCAATCACTATAAATAAGATAGAAGTTTGTTTTGAAGGGTATCACTAAGTTACATACATGTATACGTGTATATATGCGATGAGGGAAGAGTCTATCTATTTACGAACGCATACAAGGGAATAGTACAAACTAACAACAGTAAAGAGGTAGTGTTTATCTGGTTTTGCATAATTAAAAGAAAAGAATAGTTAGTTAGGTTATTAAATAAGAAAAATGAAATTAAAAATAAAGAAAATAATATCTTTTAACAGAAAATATTCTTAATTTTGCGATTGACTTTAACAGTCAACTAATTCAACAACTTCTAAGTGGATTGGGGAGCATTGTTCGGCAATATGTTCATCGTATAAGTTGTAGAAATCACCGGATAAACATTGGTAGAAAACATCTTTGTCACCTAAAGCTAAGTTACCTTCTGGTGTGATAGACCAACCAGCAGCGTAGATGGCACCAGCTTGTGGTGGTGGACCATCGAATTGGAATTGTCTATTGGCAACAATAGAACCGATTCTGCCCTTGCTGTCAGTCAATATACCATCCTTCAAAGTTAATTGTAGAGTACCTTTATTCTTGCAGGCAGTTTGCTTTGGAGCAATGGTGGCAGAGGCATTACAGACTGAAGATGTCTTAGAGGAAGAAGTGGAAGAGGATTTAGAAGAAGATGGTTTTAATGTAGTGGTAATGGCCTTAGTGATGGTAGTGGTAACGTCAGAAGAAGAAGAAGAAGCAGCGGTTGTAGATAAAACAGGAGCTTGAATTTGACCATCACCAATTTGGGAGACAATATCTCTCTTGTTGGTAGAGGCTATAGTTTGAACAGCAATACCGAAAGTGGTAGTAGCGTGAACGATACCACATTCATAAGTACCTGATGGAGTCAAAGTGGACCAGACGTTACCTGGGGTGTAACCTTCAGCAGAAACAGCAGTAGCGATGGCAAGGGTAGCTAAAGAAAGATTTTTGAATTGCATTTTTCACTAATATATATGTGTATATACGAGTTTGTTTGGATCTATAGGAGAAAGAATAATTTAGCGAAAGTATGTAGTTGGAATATTTGGGAACTCTGTACAGTTGGGTTGTTAGTGATCACGTAGCAAAGAAAGGATTAAACATTGATTTGAAGTAACAAAGGAAAAAAAGAGTGAAGAAGAAGGTGAGGGAAAAAACTTGTTTAAGATTTGACTCCTATATATATGTTCTAGTAAACCAAATTTCAAAGATTGATTCTCAGTATTATATAAACAGTTCTGTAAATGAAAAAAACTGAATGACAAACAAAGTTTCAATAAGTTGCGTAAATATTTTCAAAAAAAAAAAAGTATAGAGGAAGAGGGGGTACGTATTATTATGATATAAACAAACATTCGAAAACGTAATGTGGATATCAATAATAAACTTATTAATAGTTTTGTTAGTATTTGTGGATCCTGGACACCATTAACCATATAATATTATTATTTTTCTCGAGGTAACGTCAATAAAGCTTACTTATTTGTTTACATCAAAAATGTATCTGAATTGTTTTTTTTCGTATCCGATGTTTGTTTATTTTTCCAAATTAGATACGCGTCATTTCCCTTCTCTCGTTTCCGTTTTATTTTTGCTTTTGTAGTTTTCCTTTTTTTTTTTGTTTATTTTTGTATCAAAATATTACGTTCTTGAAAAAAGAAGAGCTATATTAAAATACTACGATGGTTTTTGGATCATGTGTATTGAAGACTATGTTAGCAAAAAAAGTAAAAAAGATACAATGCATTCTGTATGTAAATACACTGATGACCTACTGTTCTCATTCTATTCAGATGTAAAATACACTTTTGAACACACTATGCCAAGAAAATGTTTCAAAGCCACACAAAAAATAGTTGTCTTTCATCGTTCGGTCTATTTTTAAATCGGAAAGCAGAAGAAAGTTCGATTTCGTGTCGTGTCATTTCTTTTTTTCGTGTCGTGTCATTTCTTTTTTTCGTGTCATGGTCAAATTCATTTTTATTCTGTAAACAAAGAAAAGGAAAGGAGAAAAAAGATAGAAACAAAAAACAAAAAATAAAAAATAAAAAGAAAGAAGGCTCCTGTCTCATAACATAAATTCTAGAACAGAATATTTATTGATAGCGTTGTCAAGAACTGTTTGTCAAAAAAATCTACTTACTTAACCAAGTTCAAATGATATTAACTAGTTATTGAATTCTAGGAGTACGGTGTGATAAACAGAATATACTCTCTATTTAAGCAAATTTTTAATTTTTGTTATTGTAGTCACTTCTATTCTTTCTGCGTGCTTTAGTTGCATTGTTTTTTGTCTTTTCCTACTTTATATTCCTTGGTTTTTTTGTTCTCCATAACTAGTAAATAAGATATAGTAAGATACAGTGGTACTTATTTTATTTCGGAGTTCTTTTTTACATAAGCTTTTATAATTTTCCAACCATTTAGTGCGAAGAATTTAGATTATCAATGGTGTCTCCAATCGCATTCCAACATAATTGAAGAATAATTTTAACCTAAATAGATACTTTTTCTTACTTAATCAAAATGCCCAGACTATGGTCGTCGTAACTACATAATCCCTGCATTGTGGAATCAATAATCTGACATTATATTTTTGTGGTGTAGTCATGTTAGTCAAAATTATTACTGATTTAAAGTAAATATATGGGTGTTTAACTTACGAGAAAACTCTGACTTGTTGAGTTTTTTTTTCAGTTTTTTTGGTATATAAAAAGAATAAAGAAGAAAATGGATGATTTTGGATGAAAATTACGATGACATCTTTTATCTTCAGCCATGTCTTAGAATTAATTTTTTCAACTTTATATCAATTATTTTTATTTTCTTATAAGTAAATGATGGAGTTAGTAGTTGAGAAACGTAAAGAAATAAGGAAATGAGGTTGGTTTTAAAAAAAACTTTACTATGAGTTTTTATGGAGTCTGCAGATAGAAAACATTTTTTACTCATCGCTTGACAAAAGTAAAGGTAAACATATTTTTAGTTGATTAAAAATATATGTAGATTGATCCTTTGTACTTTTGGTTTTCTTCTACAGCAATTTTTATCATTTGTTGACTCTCAAACTTTATATTCTTATATTATAATCCTTTTTTTTTAGGCAGATCATTATTTAAGAGCAATAAAGATTGTTATGTAACAACAGATCAAACTTTAGTACCCATACAATAAACCTGGTCGTTGTTTTCTAAAAAAAAAATTACCACCAAATTAATATATATATAAAAATATATATTATACGAGTGGAAAATGGGGTATAAGTAAATATTATGATATACGAGACTGATATATATGTATTTACCTATATATATTGTTTTATTTGAAAAAATTATCAAAATATGAATGGAAGCACAGAGAAAAGTGCCAAAGCAAAACTTGACCATTTAACCACGATATTAGGAGCAGAAGCTTCGTATTGCAATAATGTTACTGTGCTCGATCTGCCACTCGACTCTGTGGTTTGGGAAGATGCGTGTAGTGGCTCTTGTGCAACAGTAATTTGTTGACTATTCATAATAATTGAAGTAGATGAACCTGGAGTTTCATAATGTGATAATGTTATTGTACTGGATCTATCGCTTGGTTTTGCAGTCTGGGAATATACCTGTAATGGCTCTTGAGTTACAGTAATCTTTGGAGTATTTATGATTGCCTCAGTTGAAGAACTTGTTTGACCTTCAAAACCGTTTCTTTTGGACGATGATTCACTCTTCATAGTACCCCAACTGTTAACATCAGAAGTTTCTATATTTCTTGTAGTTGCAGTGTTCTCGTTAAAAGACCTTGACCTGTCAGAAAGTGCAGAAGAGAAAGATGATTCAATTTTCATAGTGTTCCAAATATTAGCATTAGATGCTTCTACATTTCTTGTCCTTGCAATGTTCTCCTTCGAAAATTTTGAAATCCCAGTATATGCTCCAGAGAATTTCGTAGAAACTACTGATAAATTCCAATAGTAATATCCTAGGCTTGTACGTGCGATTGTTGGAGTAGCTACAACAACAATGTCAACTGGACTGCTGCTACCATTGGAGTCAGTGGTGTATGATGTGGAGGTGGATTGAGCAGAAGCAGAAGCTACTAGACCTGGAATAAATGAAGTAATAGCACTTGGTTTTGGAGTTTCAACAACAACAACCCCAACTGCACTACTGCTGCCATTGGAGTCGGTAATATATGAGATGTATGAAGAAAGAGCAGAGGCTGATCCAACCATTCCAGCACTGTATGCTGTGATAGTGCTGTGTACTGGAGTAGCTACAACAACAATGTCAACTGGACTGCTGCTACCATTGGAGTCAGTGGTGTATGATGTGGAGGTGGATTGAGCAGAAGCAGAAGCTACTAGACCTGGAATGAATGAAGTAATAGCACTTGGTTTTGGAGTTTCAACAACAACAACCCCAACTGCACTACTGCTGCCATTGGAGTCGGTAGTATAGGAAATATATGTGGAAAGAGCAGAGGCTGATCCAACCATTCCAGCACTGTATGCTGTGATAGTGCTGTGTACTGGAGTAGCTACAACAACAATGTCAACTGGACTGCTGCTACCATCTGAATTAGTAGTGTATGATGTGGAGGTGGATTGAGCAGAAGCAGAAGCTACTAGACCTGGAATGAATGAAGTAATAGTCGTTGGAGCTGGAATATCCTCATGGTAAATGACTACCACTTCTTCATTATAAGAATTGAGCATTGTTGTTGTTGTTTCGGTAGTGGTGGCAGCCACCTTCCAAAAACCATGATTCTCTATAACTCCAAGTATCATGTATAGGGTATTGAAAATATCTAACGGTAGCTCCAACAGTACCATTGTTTGGAACTGAGCATGCTGCTGGTGCATAGGCCGCAGTAGCAAGTTGTAAATATGTGTGTAACCCTAATAGTAAGGTAATAAGGTTCTTATAATACAATAACATAATGTATTATTAAGAATGAAAATATATGATTATGCTTAGTAAAATGTGTGAAGACGTTGTGACCGTTAAACAAAAAAAATCTTAATGTTGGAACTAATATATAGCTATGTTATAATTTATCTAGTGAATTATTTTTTTTTCATCTAATATTTGTTCTTTATATTTTGGAGAAAAGTTAGTTCTACTGAAAATCTTAGGGCGGAAGATAGGATTATACCCAAAAATCAACAGATTGGATCCAACATCTTTTTATATTTGAGAAACCACACATGAAGTTTAGTCCATAATATGATATAGGCTGTTGGAATTTTTTTCTCCCTTTGAGAAATCACACATAAAGTTGTAGTTTCATAATAGGATATAGGCTGTTAAATTTTTCTCCAATTTGAGGACATTTCACTTAGTAATAGAAATGTTAAAGATTTTAACAACCTAGCCAAGTAAAAGTTTTAATGCAAAAAAACAATGTAGAATATAATAGATTCGTCTGTATTACTAGGGAGTATGCAAGATTGATGGTGTCATACGTTATAAAAATAATGATAGAATGTATGTTTTCCTCTTGAAAAAATAGGAATTTCTTTTTGTCCAAAAAAAAAACATTACTTGCAAAATTTTAGGATTTCTAAAAGTCTAAAATTTTTTTCTTTTTCTTTTTTTTTTTTTTCTTATTCCATTAAACGAATTCGATTCAGATTGCATTAATTTTTCGATTTTCAAATACCGGAGCGGAATTATTCTATTCTAGGGTTGTCCGATATTCCAATTCTACGGAAAGAAGTTTCGAAAAGTGACGGCTATCTGAAAAAAACCTAGGGGTAAGAATTTTACAGATTGAAAAGGGTCACACATATGGCACCGATACAAAAGAGATCGGGTTTAGGGCAATATTCTGTATGTTCCCTATGGTCATAGTTACTTGGAGTTGGAGTTTTTATAAGACACTTTGGAATTGGTCAATTTACATGGATTTCAGAAATAACTCAGACAGAATAAATATAATAAGATAACTCAAATAACAACTCTACTTTAAATTCTAATTTTTTTTTTTATGAGTTTATGAGAAATTCATTTTGGAAAATTATCTTATCACTTTTAAATTTAGGTTTTTTTCTTAAAGTCTAGTTGAAAGTGGGCATTTGGCGAGTGAATGAAAAGAGAGAAGCATTCAGACAATACGTAAGTGTGATCGGTATATATATATATATATATATATATTCATCTTTAATAAACCAATAATAAAGATTTATGTATACTTGTTGAAGTCCAGTTAACAGTTGTTTTATGATTGTCTGTCTTTGTATATTTAGTGTTGTTTATGTGGATATTTCTAGACTACACTGTTTTATTCAAAACTGGTATTAGTAGGGTTCAGTTTAAAAAAAGTTACTTATGTGCTACTTTACAGTAGGGGTTGCAGTAAATTTTTAAAAACTTTTCCTTATGGACACATTTTTGTAACGACACATCAAATAGCGTTGGGGTTTTTATTTTAAAAGCCTTACTCTAAAAGGAAAAACATAAAGTTTTGCCCTTGCCTAGTTTGTGAAAAACTTTATAATGAAATCTAAAAATATGATTTATATTTACTTTTTCAAATATTCTTTGTCTTATTTCAAAAATGTTAAGAAGGTCACTATAATTTAGGATACAATGTGGTTAAAATGTGAAAAAGTGTCGGTTGTTACATAGTGCAAGTAAATATTTTATTTTCGTTTTTTTTTGTTTTTTTGAGATTCCACTAGATCTTTTTTCAGATATTAATATTTCTTGTTAAGTTGTTTTATTTTTCAAATAAACTTATTATGGGCGTTTCTATATTATACATTTAAAGTTATATACAGAAGAGTTTGAAGAATTTTAGTTTTTTTTAATAATATTATTATTCGATTATCACTGATAACCTTAGTAACGTCTCAGCCTTATCTTTTTATGAATTTTTGGCAGGGACGTATCTATCTTTTGGTTGAAATACCAAAGAAATCTTTAAAAATATCAATTATAAATTAGAGTTATAAGAGAAAGAATATGAAAGAAGAAAATATACTAATATAGACTACTACTTTACTTAAGAGGGTATATTCAATGATTTATATGTTAACAAGTTATACTGTATTCGATTAAAGAAAGAAAGGAAGGAAAGGAAAAAACTTATATTAAGGGATATTTGGTTGAATACCTTTGTATTCTAATGATTTCCCCCCCCCATAATCAAACTCAATAAGGTAAACAAATCAAGATGTACCTATCTCATATATTTTATTATGTAGAAAAAAAAAAATCAAATATTGTATATGTGTATTTATATATGTTCATTTACTCTAATTAGTTTGGTTCTGTTATAAAACTAGATAATATTCTGTTTTAGGTCTACTTATCTTTAGTTGGCTATAGTTAATTGTTTTTTTAGATTATTAAAGTCTTAAGCAACTAACATGAACAATTCAATTGTCAGAACCTTTAGTTTGATCACTCTGTGTTGTTCATCTTAATCTGTTATTTTTTAAGTGTTAAAGTTGTTTTGTGGCAGATATGAAGAAAACTGCGTGGAAAGTTTTAAAAAGGATAATTCAACATAGATCTTATTTTCCGACCAGGATACATGCATTAGCTAAAGACCCAAACGCTTATGTCTAATTAGAACTAGTTGATAGTCAATACATAACGGCCGCTGTCTATTTTTCTTCAAGAAAATAGAGTTAAAAAAGTCGCTCAAAGGACAAGAACTTTAGATTTAATAATTTATTAACGCCGATAAAATAACTAATTAAATGTCTTAAAAGAAAAAAGGATGTAAGGCGGAATTGGTGAAATCCATTATCCTAATGGTTTATTTGTGTTATTTAACTCAAGTGAATAATGATAGAATTTTTGGAAAATAATTAATTTGGTTTTTTTTTTGCTTTAATACATAGACCTATTGTTATGAGAGTGACATTATTTCTCTCATAGTTTTACAATATACAAAAGTGGAAATTATAAAATATGAGGATGTTATATTTGTCCACATGTGCTAATTTTGTAAATATTTAAAAAATATTTTGAAAAGGTTTATTATTTAACTTTTTATAGCTATTTATTTGAAATGTCCATTTTCAAAACAATCGGATTTAATATCCCTCATAAATTTATTCCAGGGGTAATCTCCGTTTTTTCTATGGAGCGGAGAAATCTTGAAAACAAAATACTAAAATACAAAAGACTTACTTTATTTGTTAATCTGGAAACTTGCGCATAAATAAGTTTTCTTATTTGATGTACCGAATATATTGTGAACTCCATGTTTATTGTTTTTAAGAAACAATACCCAAACATCTGCAGTTAACAATTGCCAAGATTGGATAAAATACGTTTTCCCTCTTACAACTTATTTATGTAATAGAAGAGAGGTTGTTACTATGTACCGCGGAAATTGCAATTTTTCTAAAAAATAATTGTGTTTAGTCTTTTAAATTTTGAGAATTTGTTAAGGACATTTTATCCTAAGAACAACTAATTCTTGGCTTTCTCTCATAAAATTGATACGAGCTTCTATTATCCTGAAGGAAACTTCAATAGAAAACAATAACTAGATAGTTTGGTAGATTTTGTAGCTCTATATCCAAATTCAATGACTGAACTACTAAAAGCCTCCAACCAGAGTTTTCCTCTGGTTATATTGTGAAAACATTACCATGGGCAGATTGTGTACTTCCCCTCTCTTTCCCAAGGGGAGTTTAATCTGTTTGTTTTTTATTCCGCGCCCAGGTTTTACAGGCAACTACTTGTATAGATGCTAGACTTCATGATGTATGTGCAAAGACAGGGGTAGACCTGATCATTAGTGCCAGCATTCTTAGAAAACGCCACGTTTTTTTGCCCCAAGAAAAATTCAGGGTTAAAAATAAAAAAAAAAAAAGACGCTACGAAGTATATCCTAAAAAGGAAACTAAAATATATTCTTATTTTTTTAGAAAAGATTTTGATTTTTAATTTGTGGTTTGTGATGATTTTGATTTAGGAAATCTAAACAGCATATTTTAGCCTTCAATATTGATTAAGCTATGCTGTAATTAATTGCTCTTAAAGAAGATTGCTTTGTTTATCTGTTATGAAGAATTGTGCTTGGTTTACATAACCACATTACCCCAATAAAAAAAGATATATATATATATATTTATATTTAATAATTGAGTTTATAGAATATTCGTATGCTTAAGGCAGAATAATTTTTGTTTTTTAGACGATCTGTATCAAAAAGATTTAGATAGCTGTTAGGTTAGTTGTTGCTTAAGAAGCATTTTTACAAAACATTGGTAAGTTTTTGTGTATTGTTTCTTGTAAAAATTCGGTAAGTCTTTACTAACAGAGGTCGATTAAACTTTATATACAGGTTCACCCTTTTTATATTACGGAGAAATATTTTAGTATAAAAACAGGGTACTCTTTTTTTTAATATGGTTTGTTTGCCTGGAAATGTGCCACTTCTTCCTGATGGAATAAAGTAAGGTGAAAGAGGTGTTTGTAGTATTGTATTATGTAATTTCTAATATTTGATGGTATAGATCCTGATTACTCATTCGTTTAACTGTGGATGCATGGATCTCAGTTATCTAAAAAAATTTCCAGATAAATAACTAGTATATTGCACAATATATTGACAAAAGTAAAAAAATTTAAAACTGACAGAAACAAATGCCTATATTGTTATGGAAAACACATATTTTTAATATATTATTGTTAGAAGTGTATATTTTAATGAAATATAAAAACTTTTTTTTATTATGGTGTTCTTCAGGTACTGAAGTATAAAATATATATCTAATAAAGTAATAAAATATCATAAAAGATAAAATAAGTAAAATATTTAATGTTGCTAAATTATTATTTTTTCTATACCAAGTTTCTGTTGATAAACTTATTTAGTATATTTTTGTTCAAATAGTAAGTTGTATTAGATGGGGAGCACAGAATTAATTTATTACAAATTTTATAATGGGTTGTTTGTTATCCCACAAAATACCTTTTATTATGTATCTCTAATTTATAGGTATTAGGTAGTTTGTTGAGCTTTATTCTGTATGCTTAGCATATAGTATTTCTAAATACCAATTAACTATAACAAAATATGATCATTGATTTTTATATAAATTGTTATTTTTATTTTGCCATTATATATATTTTCTTTGTTATACCTTACAAGTATTAGAAAGTAATTTGGAAATTTTGAATAAGTTTGACTTTGTTTATGTTTTTAGTTAAATTTGTTCTCTGTTACACAATTTTTTATTATTATTGGAAAAAATATTTTTATATTTAGTTTCTTTCTGTGCCATTGAAAGCTGGGAGAAGTTGAAAAATAAACAAATATAAAAAAGAACAACTTTGGATTATTAATAGTTAGTATTTTTAATTATTTATATATCAATTATTAACAAAAATATAGGTTTTGTTAACGCAAGGCCTCAGTATCAAGAACTCTATTAACATTTATTTTAGATTATTATAATATGATAATATAAATTACAATAGGATATTGATGGTATTATAAGTTTTCAACTATTTATAGTAGTATATCAATAGTACTATAAATTGTATTGTATTGCTTGTCTTCTTTTGTTCTACATACTTAGTATACAAATATAACTATTATATACTGCACTACATATTATTTTAACCCCTCTTTCATAAACTGTTATAAAATTTTTCATTCATTTGATATGAAAAATTTAGATTATCACATACATATATTTCTAATCTTATTTAAACAAATTTCGAAGATGTTACAATAAAATAAACAAAAAAGTAGCTCCCTAATCAATCTCGAAGAGATGAATTTGTATACTATATTTTTTAAACTCAAAATAATAGAAACAAAGCCAGACTCTATCTAATTATTTCTATCCAAAAAAAAAAGTTCTATACATTTTTCATGAAAAAGAATAATTCTTCAAAGAAAATATTATCATTTTTCAATTAACAATAACGTAAAACAACACTTACTCAAATTGAAAAGTAAAAAACCATATGCTTTTTCGTTATTTCAGGTAACTACAAAAAATTCAGTTACATACTAATCAAAATCCATTCAAAAAAGTTTCAATATTAAAAAATGATTAAATATAATTATCATTAGATGTAGATATATATATATATCTTATTCATGCAACTTCAATGAATTGTTTTATTAGAAGACTCATTAAATTCATTTAATTATGATTATTTTTTTCTCTGATATAACTTATTATATATTTTGTATATCAGAAACTTCCTCTAAAATATTAGCATATTTAGATGATAAAGTAGATGGCATATCTGTTATATCACTTGATCCCTTTTCCTTATACGTACTTACAGCCGGTATATCAGTCTTAAATCTCGTTACTTTCACACCGTCTATTGTAGGTGTTAATTTTATCAATGTGTGCAAAGGAATAGTCATCCACGGTGATTCGCCTTGTGGAACATTCATAAAGTAAGCATAAATACACCTTAACACTGCTTGATGTGTGATAATCAAGACATTATCTTGACGTTCCAATTCCATAATAACAGGCTCTATTCTATTAACTACATCAGCATATGATTCCCCACCACGATACCTGTATTGATATTTATCCTCATCTCTAGCTTTAAAATCCTCAGGGTATACTTGCTCAATTTCTTTATATGTCATGCCGTCACATACACCAGCATCTAATTCATCAAGAGCCTTCCAAGCCAATTTCTTATAAGGTAAAAATCTTGCAGTTTCTTGTGTTCTTCTTAAGGTGGAAGTCCATACTACTAGTGGTAAGTCACCAACCTGACACTTGATCAAATTAGGTAATAACTGTGCATATTTATGACCTCTGGGTGATAGAGACGAATCACCACCAATTTTCTCTTCTAAATTGTACATTGATTCTCCATGTCTTGACAACCAGATTGATTTATTTTCCATATTAATATTAAGAATATAAAAAATTACTCTTGTTTGTAAATAATTATCAACTTTATTAATTAGGGTATCCTTTGACTCTTTTCTTAAAATAACATAACTTAATTGACCATTTAAAATTTTACTGTTACTAATAATGTCATCAGAAGTATCACCAACTCTTTTTATATATGTATTATTTATAGCATTACAATTAATAGAATTCAAATCATCTCCAATATATTCAATAAACAAAGTATCAATATGATGTTTTTTAAATGTTTGATCATACTGTGATCCATTGCACAGGTTGATATCATATATATTTAAAATAGCTATAATACTATGTTCTTCTCTAAACCATTCACAAATATTTGTTATAACATCATTAATATCTATGGAACAGCCTGTATTGTCTTTGTCTTTAAAAACTTTACATTTTATTGCTAGCCAACCCATATATCTAATTAATTTTTGAGTCAAAAAACGTCTATCTCTTTCATTTTTCGTCACCATAATAAGACATAATTTTTTATTTTCGATCCCATCAATAGTCCGCAAAGTCATGATTCGTTAATTTCAAAATTTTTAGTTATTCTGCTTACCCTTTAATTTGCTTTGCCTCTTACTTTATTGTCTTTCGTATTTGTGATATTGCACTTACTGAATATATAATAACTTTGTATATAATTTCTTAAGATTACCTTGTCAATATAATTATATCATGTGTTTAGGTCAGTGATGGATCTTTTGGATGGAAAATACCAAATATGCTTTTTGTTCTCTTGTTATTTCTCTTTTTCCTCCGTCTCCTTGTTCTTTAGATATTCCTAAAAACTAAAGTAACCTATTAATAGTATTAATGATAATATTCTTATAATTATTAATTCGATATGATTCTTACAAAAAATTAAAATTGTTTAAATACCCCTAAATAATGGAACAGATTTAGATGGAGTTTTAATGTATATAGAAATCCTGTATTTTAATGTCTCAACTTTCTTATTTTTACTAGTTCACTTATATCATATAATTCAGATACTATTGCAAGTAAATTATGCATCGTCTTTCCTTCTACTTACAATTAGGTCTTTTGCCTTTTCTCCATCTTTTCCTTTCCCCTTTTAGAAGATATTTTTATTAAGAATGAATGAATCAAATTAAAGATATTCCTTTTTAGGCAGAAGAAGAGGAAAGAAAAAAATTTTTTTTTCATTTTGGCTTCTCCTTTTAAATTTAGATCAAAGTAGAAAAGAGGGGATTCTATAATCATAAAGACGAATCACAGATTATAGATCCTGGATTCATATACAAAGTATACCATTGCCATCATAATATACTGTGTATTTCACTTCCAAAAACAATTTTGATTCCATACTTGTATTTTTGTAACGTTATATATATTTATATCTATATTCTATATCAATTGATTCAAACATATAATTACTCTGTTCTCCTGTTACACTCTTCATCATACAATTATAGTGTTAAACCTTGAGTCAACTGACCTTTGTTTAACTATATAATTACATGTTCTCTTGAAATGCTCAGTTGGGATCCTAATCATATCATGGATTGATAATTTCCCCTTTACTAATTGTGCTTGACATATAACGGCTGGTGATACATTATTTGATGGTGATTTCCAGTATTGTCCATCTAGCCCAGCTACATGCTCAAAATTTTCAATTATACCGCTTCTGTCGTCGTTATATTTATTATTGGATTCATCTAAGCTTAAATTATTAGTAGTTTCTTCCAAATTTAGCGATTTCAAATTAGACTTAATTAGCTCAATCAAACCGTTTACATAGCTACTAGTGATCATAGTTTCAAATTCTTCTCCTCTTGCAAAATAATAAAGGCATCTGTTCAAAATCTCTACCATCAATTCACAACATTGAACGTTATCCATAATAGAATCTGCTGTCCTCAACGATCTTTGAAGACATTCCAATAATCTCTTGCCATTATGATAGAATAATTGACTTGATTTACTCTCATCTATTGCCTCTTCTTCACCTATAGAATTTATTTCAGTGGCCCACCATAAATGAGAGCATAGGTACACTGACCTACACTGATCCTGTTTTTTCAATAACTTAGAACCATGCAATGTACAACGTACAATTAAGGAATTGTAATAATTATCACCTTGAATTTCTTCCTTATTTTCATCATATAATGATCTAGTCCTTTGTAAACTTTGTGTCATGTAATTTAATGCTTGGAATTGAGTCTTTGAATCACTTATTGATTCTTCAAAGATAGTGAATGCTTGTGAAAAAAAATCATACGCAAGCTCAGTGTAACCTAACTGATCGGCCAAATTGGCATTAGTAACATTCAATTTAAAAATATAATCAACAACTCTCATGTTTGTCTCAATATTATTTATTTTATCATTGACATCTTCATTGAAGGTAACAATGTCGTAGAGATCATTATTACAGCGAGATATGTATTTAAAAATTTGTTTGATTAGATTGTCATAATAATCCCTCTTTTCTATAATTTTACTTTTATAAAAATTGGACATTCTAATTAATTTCCAGAATATAGCTATAATTGAGGGATATGTAATTAAAATATTTGAATTATTTTTTTGATTTGTAGTACCATGATAACTATTATCACCACTACTACTAGAATTCAGATAGTTTTTTATAATAATAACCGCTTCTAATTGGTCTTCAATTGTCTTAAAGGAAGTCACTTTTTTATTTTTGATAATATTATTGAAAATGGTATGGCATAACTTAGATATCAATTCTTGCCTATTGCTACTGCTATTCTCACTATCATCATCATCGCGATGATAATACTCAATTAAAGGTTGTAAAAAAGTTAACAAAATTTCTATTTCATTCCTTGTATGTATAACCCAAGAACCACTATTATCTTGGGTATTAGATGTTTTTACTGATTGTGTTGATGATAAGTCATCTTTTAAGAACTGGTCAATAATAGTTGAAATAATGCTAATTTGAAGTTTTTTATTTGTATTTAAATATAATAGCAATTTAGTGTAAGATGGACAATTAATGATAATTTCGTAATAAAATGAAGAATTAGAAACAATCGGTATAATCATATTATTTACATCATCATTATCATTATTTTCTAAATCTTTAGTGAACGTTAATAATTGGAAAATTAAAGGATCAATGAATTCAATAGCATCATTTGACAAAGTTTGTTTTTCGAAAACACCGAATAAAAATTGAAATAAATTTTCAATATGAACAAGATTGTCTTTATACCAAGTTAACGATAAATGGATGATATTCTGTATCAATAGAACCAACTGATTTAAGGAGAAATCATTATTTTTCGATTGAATATCATTGATATATTGCCAAAAGATTTGAAAAATGTCGTCGTTTGATGGATCCATATTTACAATTTCTCTATTGACATAATCTTTCAATCTATTGATCAATAGAATTATTAACCTATTAATATCAACATCAGAATTCAAATATATTGTGGTATTTAACAATTGTTTCAAGGTCTTGAAGTGATAATGATCAGGGAATACTCGACATATGATGTCAAACAAGTATTCTTGTCCAATCGTGTCCTTGCACTGGTTAACTTGTTCTAGTAAGACAGGTAAGATACACTTTGAATAAGTTTCAAACGATTTATCATTATCATCTTCAATAATCTGTGACAACCTAACCAGTTGAGATCCGACCAAAATTTGTAATTCTTTTCGTTCTTTAGTTCTCTGGTCTCTATCTCTCAAAGGTCCCTGATACTGTAATCGCACCCATAACTTATTCATTTCAATAAAATTGTTCAATATAAACTGACAATTAAATTTTGTAACTTCTAAAGTATCATTAACCTTTTCCAGAAGATATTGTTTTGTTCTCTGGGATATAAAGTATCTAAGAAACAAACCCCTAATTGGATTCTGTACACCTCTTGCCATCTCTATCAAATCTTTTAGGATTTCCTGCTTTGTTAGAGTATCTTCAAAATTCAAATAGCAGGTACCGACTGTGACCATAAGATATAATCTAGGTAGGACATTACCTGAGTATTGGACCAGTTCGTATAAGTCAGCCAAATGGTGTTTTTTCGGATGGTTATCGATCAGATAATCGGATAAGATAGACAATGAGTCGAAGACGAGAATGTATAGTTCATAATATTGTTTTGGAGACCAGTTGGGGTTCCTCAATTCTTGTAACATCAAAGATGCGAACCTCAAGGATTCCATCAACTGATATTTATTTAGCTGTCTTTTCATTAAGATTGAATTTTGCTTAATATTAGATTTAGCATGATCGAAGTTATCTGTATACATTATTCTAGATAAGTTAAAACAAAACCAAATGAAGTCAAAAAGGAAAGGAAAATAGGTAAAAAAAAGGGAAAGAGAAGAGAAAAGAAAAAAACAAAAAGAAAAAAATAAATTCAAATGCAAACCTTGGATTCTTTATTTAAACTAGTCAATCTGTTATTAGATGAGGCGATAGTTTTAAAGTCTTTTAACATGAATGACTTATATGAATCTTAGCGAGTATATACTTTAAATAAACACTTGTTTCTTCAATAAAATATTGTCTTTTAACGTTAAAATCCTTTTTTTTATTTTTTTTTTACTTTTTTTTCCTTTAAAAGAAAAGACAAGAAAGAGGAAAAACAGAGAGCAGAAAAGAATTAAATAAGGCTAATGAAATGTTTCAGTATTATTTGGATTCCACATTGGTTCTGATAACTATAGAAGGAGGAGAAGAAGAAAAAACAAAAAAAACATCAAAAAAACAAAAAAAAAAGTAAAACGAACTAAATGAATATTTACATGTCCATTACTGTGTCACTACTGAGACTTCTTTGTATGATGTAAAGAATGTAAAATCTTTTACACTTTCTATTATATCTTTTGTAATAACGTCAACCGATTGTTTATACTTTTTTTTACCGGGTTGCTTTTGTCTAAACAAGTATTTTTTTCTTCCCTTCCTTTTTTAATATGTACCTATACATAAATGCGTTTACGGCTTTGTTCAGTTCCTCACTCCCAACTTCCTCACTCTCTCTTTCTCTATATCTATCCATCCATCTATCTATCTAATATATACAGGGTATACTTTGCTAAATAACAGATAAATGAGGGATGAAAGAGTGATAGAAAAACAAAATCAAGAACAAAACGAGAACGAGAACGAGAACAAAAACAAAAACGAATCGAGCGTTTCGTATTTACAGTTTAATAACAGGACTGATCTTTGAGTTCGCAGATATTACGTAATATGTCATGTTTACCCAATGAAATTAATAAATAAAGTTTGGAGAAGTTAAATTTCATCTATCTACTAAAAAAATTTGGAGAGAGGGGAAAAGCAATTACACCCCTTTAGGGATGCTACATCTTGTTGTTCTTATTTTTACATGGACTTTTCTGTATAAAAAATAAGAAAACTCAAAAAGAAACATCACCAATGGCAATGAAGTTTCCTCGAAACATACGTACACACACACACACACACTCTCTCTCTAAGTACTCTCTCTATATATTTATATATATAAATTTGCTTACTCACCCATGAGCATTCGTTCTAGAACTTAGTTTTCCTCTTCTCTATCTCCCTCTCCCTCTCTTTCTCCCTCCTCCCGTATTTACTACGGAGCGCCGAGGATTCTTGTTAAATATTATTAAGTAATTGGAATATCGGGGGAGGACTTAGGACTTTTTTCTTTGTTTCTTTTTCGCTCTTCGCTCTTCGCTCTTCATTTTTCATCCTGTCTTCCCTGTTCTCCCCATGGGGATCTGAGGAAATGAGGAAAATGTCAAAATTCAGAGCTTCAAAGGGTTCTGGTTCTCAAAACAAAAGTCTGACCTTTCTTTTCTCCGAAATATTTTGTCGCCTTAGCTAAACGTTTCTTTTTTCTCTTTCCCACTCTCTCTCTTTTTTTGTTTCTTTTTTTTTTTTTTTTTGCTCATTGTCCACATACACCCATGCCATGTATTATCAAAACCGTATACCCCTATCCACATCCACACACCCCATGCAGGCCTAGACGCACAGACAGAAATGGGAAGAAATACAAAGAATGTTTATGTAGATATACAAATAAATATAAATATAAATATATAAATAAAGGTATAAATATACAAAAGAAAGGGAAATGGAAAAACAGTAATTTAGGGGAAAGATCATACTTCTCATTTTCTTTTTTTTCTTTTTTTTTCCAAAACATTTCCTTCAGATCTCGAAACTTTTTGTTTTCTGCTGTTGCATTTTTACTCTCGAGGTTTTTATCCTACAACGTTATCAAACAGGTTCCTCTTGGTCAATAAATAGAAATAAAAGATAAAAAAAAAAATAATAAAAAAAAGAAAGAGGTAAGTAAACACAGAATGTCAACATTACGCTACTCTTTACCTTTATTACGCAAATCTGCTGTTAAGCAAGGTTCTCGTCTAAACTCTAAAGCCTTCATCTGGGCCACTGCCGCTACTGCTGTTGGTATTGGTGCCAGTGTTTTAACTAAGGATAAATTTGGTGACAACAATAACAGTAACAACAACAGTAACAACCAGAATGGTAACAGCAATGATCGTTTCTACAAATGGTTTTTTGGTGCTGCTCCAGTGGTTCATGTCGCTCAATATGATGGCAAACACACCAAGGAAGATTACCAAAAAGTTTATAACGCTATTGCTTTGAAACTTCGTGAAGAAGATGAGTATGACAACTATATTGGTTATGGTCCAATTCTAGTACGTCTCGCATGGCATTCTTCTGGTACATGGGATAAAAACGATAACACCGGTGGTTCCTACGGTGGTACTTACCGTTTCGCTAAGGAAACTAATGACCCATCAAACAACGGATTGCAAAACGCTAAGGCTTTCTTAGATCCTATCCATAAACAGTTCCCATGGATCTCCCATGGTGATTTGTTCACACTTGGTGGTGTCACCGCCATCCAGGAACTACAAGGTCCATACATCCCATGGAGACCAGGTAGAGTAGACTTGCCTGAAAACATGACCCCAGACAACGGTAGACTACCTGACGCTGCCCAAGACGCTAACTATGTCAGACACTATTTCGAAAGATTGAACATGAATGATCGTGAAGTCGTTGCTTTAATGGGCGCTCATGCCTTGGGTAAGACCCATTTAAAGAATTCTGGGTACGAAGGTCCATGGGGCGCGGCCTCTAACACTTTCTCAAACGAATTTTTCGTCAATCTATTGAATGAAGACTGGAAATTAGAATCTAATGACGCAAATAACAAGCAGTACAACTCTCCAAAGGGTTACATGATGCTACCAACTGATATGGCCTTAGTTCAAGATCCAAAATACAAGGTCATCGTTGAAGAATACGCAAGAGATCAAGACGCTTTCTTTAAAGACTTCTCTACTGTCTTTGTTAAATTGTTAGAAAATGGTATTGACTACAATAAAAATATTCCAACTTTTACCTTTAAAACTCTAGACGATCAAGATATCTGAAACAAAAAACAAATGATATAATATATATATATATATGCTATTTATATTTACTTATCTACTTATTTATTTACTTATTCATTTATTTATTTTATATAAAAAAAGTGTTTTTTTCCTTGTTAGTGTTTTTTTTGTTATGCATATGTGGGGTTTCCAAATTTTTTCTTTTCCATTTTTCCCTTTTCAATAATTTTTGTATCAAACTATTATCATCATCATTATTTTTCCTTATAACAAAAAACGTTTGAACAAATCCCTTGGTACAAATATAATACATACAAAGACGCAATAGTGCAATACTATACATATCATATCGTTACCGTCTTTATTGGAAATAATACATTCAACTAAGTAATCAAAAAAAATAACTTAACATGTTGTTTGTTTCTACCAGGCCAACTTTATTTAATCCTTTCTTTAGGTCGATTTTAAATCATACTTCTCTTGCGTCTCGCAATTTTTCGACTTCTGTTATACGATCCAATAATGACAAGAAATCCAACGACGAAGCGAGTCTAAGCAATTTGACATGGGATGGTTTTTTCAAATTAAGAAGATTACAAAGAAAGATTAATGTCGGTTCATCGGTCTTCACTGCTTTCCTTGGTTGTAACATTTCTTGGGTTTATCTATCAAACATGCAAATTGATCCAACTCAAATGATCATGGGCTTTGATCCTTTAGTCGTTGTTTCCGCTGGGTTAGTCGCATCTGGTGCGCTAGGCTATTTATTTGGTCCTTTATTTGGTTCTCAAATATTCAAATTGTGGAAATCTAAATCTTTGAACCAATTCAACCTGAAAAATAGAGAATTCTTAGAACATATTAAAACTAATAGAGTAGATGCATCTTCACAAAGTTTCAGTAACCCTGTTCCAGATTATTATGGTGAAAAGATTGGTTCCATAAAGCAATACAGACAATGGTTAAGAGATTGTCACTCATATGCCAGAAAGGCCAAGGAATTCTTATAATGTGTAATCATCTTCATTTTCTGCCCTACCCCCTCCTATTCCTAGTTTTATCTTTTTATTTTCATTTACCTCAATCTCTATACTCTTAGTATAGAAAACATGTATATATTACACATATGTATAGTCCGTATCTGTATATACATACATATCCATATACAGTTTTCTTTTTTCTTTTCTTTCTAAAAATGATATAGTTATATATAGACATTTAAACACAATGCTTTCCATTCCATATCCTTCTATTTAAAAAATGAAATAAAATCTGTAGGTTCGAATAAATCATTTAAGAATTCTAAACTGGAGATTGTTTCAATAGGCTGGGTTAATCTATCCAAATCAAAATCAAACGTGCCGTTATTACTACTTACTGTTCTAGTTACACTAGCCTCCGTTCCTAAAGATTGATCTATATCGACAGAAACTATAGGCATAACTGGAAATTCTGTAAAGTTATTACTTGCTACATTTCCTGGATAGGCAGTTTTATTAACATTACTATCTTGCTTCTGGGATACCAATGTTTCACCATAAGTACGTACAACTAATTCAGTACTAGAATTATCATAGAATGACGCAAATATATTTAATTGATGTTCATATCTGTCCTCTTTTATAATAAAATCTAATTTTTCCTCATGCAAATTTAATTTGAATAAATTATCGCATGCACTTACTGGTATTACTTTATTATTCCAAATCCTTTCTAAATAATCAACATTTGTATAATCGTAACCTTTAGATTTAACCTCTTGATAATACTCATTGAAATAGGGGATTAGCTCCCTTAATGAACTACATGTGATATTAGGTATATCTTCAACAGAATTCAGTATCTCATCTTGTTCACTGATCTTATAAATTAAAAACTGTAAAATATTTTTCCAAATATCTTTACCATGTGGCCTATTTAACATTTTATAAGTTATCTTAGCTGTGAACATTTTCTTGAAACATTTAAAATGTTCAAACGCATACTCATTGAAATAAACTGAGGAAATTTGGTAAAGAAATTTACACATCAAATCTCTATCATCATTAGTCATCTGTGGGAATCTATTTAGTCTAAGTATAAATGTTGGTATAAGGACACACAATTTGTTGGTAGCAATTTCAACAATTCTATTACAGTAAAACCTCATAAATCCATTGATTCTATCCTGACCAACTTCTGGAAAAAAATAACAATGACACTTTTTTGCTAGCAAGATAAGATAATCCCATAATTCTTGAATTGATGTGTGATATTTAACGTAATCCGTAGTTCTCTCATAATAAACCATTCTTCCATGGTATATTGATAATTCGAGTAAATTCAAACACCAATCAAACTCAGTGTCCAGTACTTTTATAGCTGACTCATTTATTGTATCATAATAATCCTGTGTATTGTATCCCTTTGCATATTTATTACCGTTAGAACCTGTTGTTGTTTCTGTTAGTGTTATAGAATATAATCTTAATCGTTTGAGTTCATTCTTAATCTGTGAAATCAAGTCTTCAAGTAGAGCAACATTGACTCTTGTTGGTGCATTATGAATCATATTATTAATCTTCAATAAATAATGATCAATGGACAGCATTCTAGCATGCCATATTTTATGTTGAAAGTTAATATTATGGCTGATATCTTGACTCTTGTCAGTGATGTCATTACTATTACTATTACTATTATTATTATTCTCAATAATATTTGACAAGCTTTCTTTCAAAAAACCTATATATGATTTACCTATTAAACATTCTTGACCAAATGCCAATGACATTTTTCTATCCCAACTTACAATGACAGACCAAATTCTTCGATAATGTTCGAGATAGTCTTTAGAACCCATATCCATTAAACTTGGTCTTGCACCATTAGCAATGCTAAAACAATACCTTTCATTATTTATACAATGCCAATTTATTCCTAATTCCTTGGCACTAGATATTATCATTCCTAAAAATATTTGATTGTGCTGTCCGTCTGAACCATCACCGTCATCGGGACTACACCATTGGTAGAATTTTAAAAGGATTAAACATTGCAATTGTAATAAGGTACATTTACGCAGAATTTTCATTTGAAATAAATAATGATGAATTATTGCAAGATACTTAGAAGTATCAATCTTTAAAATTGATTCATATATCGATTCCACATGTGGATACTTCGAATTAGATATTGATAACTTTGTCAATAAAATTATTAAAAAAATTATCGACATAACAATATGGTCAGATGATTTTGTTGATATGTTGTCATTTGTTGACATATAATCAAAGAATGCTATTATTTCCTTTGTTAAAATATTCATATCAAAGATTGGTATCAACGGTAGTATTTTTTCAGTAAAAAATTGTAATATCTGTGACAAGAAAAGTTCTTTATCAATTAAATAGTCCTTTATTTTAATTGATTCATCTGATAAAAACTTCAGTTGCTCATTTTTTCTCATTTTGGCAAATTTATCAAACAGGATTTTATGTTGTTCATAATTAATGATTCCTTTCTGTGATACCATTCTATTACCTGTCTGTTCATGAAAATCAAATACTGATAACGGTTTAAATGATTTAGGCAAATATGGATTAAATTTATGTTTCTCACTCTTAGCTTCATTCTCATATTTCTCAGACATATTTTTTATTACTATACTTCTAAATCTAGTCATCAATTTTAAATACACATCTCTATGTTCTATAGAAAGATCAACAAATTGAGCAAACATATTAATAGCAGATCTTTTTACGTCCACATAAAACCCATTTGGTATAATATTAATAAATTCAGAATTATCTATATGAGCTAAATTACCGTCTTTATCTGCTACAGTCTGATTACCCTTATGTTTCTTATAATCATTGCCCAGTTTTAATGTGTTCTTACGCTTTGTGTCCTCCTTAATTATACTAATATATTTGCATTCATCAGCTCTATTTGCTTTAATGCAAGCATCACACGGATGCTTTTTATCACATCTAATTTTCCTTCTTTTACAATTAGTACAAACTATAGTCAATCTATTCCTCCTTTTCACATTATCTGGCTTATCTACTTTTCTCATTATTTTTTGTTACAATATTTTAGCGCAGATATCTATACAGAACCCTTTTAATTTTAAATAAAACCGTCATGATAAAAATAAAGGGCCAAAAAATTATCAACACAATTACTTGAGGGAAGCTTCAACTCTTATTCAACCAAATACTTAAATGAATGGTTCCATTGGGTGACCGTTCATTACCATCAATCTCACCAATTTCTCCTTCTATATATTTTTTTTTTATTCATATAAGATTTTGGTTATTTTCCTTTCTCGAGAACTTCAAAAGAAAAGAGCGAGAAAAGGTACCGAAACAAAAAAAAAAATAAATGAATCAATTATTAAAGAAAAGTTTCGTACAAAAAAAGCAAAACAGTTTTTTGATGACCCGCTCTTCAAATTCAGCATATACATATACATATGTACATGTATATTTATGAATGTATATATGGAACTAGTGAGTAAACCTTGATTTATCGAATAATAAAAAGTTTATCAACCAAAAAAAGAAAGACTTATACAAAAGAATCAATAAAGAATAGCAACAGTAAATAATGACACATGCTAGAATTGTGCCTTGGAAATACACCGAAGAATGGGAACAATTAAAAAATTGGTTTTATAGCAAATCCACTGAGGATCAAAGAAGAGCAATTTTGAAAGTTAACAGTTACCAATGTAAAGGATCACAATACTTACCACATGTAGTTGATTCGACTTGTCAACTAACCAATGCTGTATTAATGGACGAAGCTGAAGTTGTTGATAAATTGAACGTGCGACTAAATTATACTATGAGTTTGATTAGATTTGTTAATGGTATATTAGACCCAAATCAGAAGGCACAGTTTGCTATCCCATTGCATACAATAGCTAAAAACGTCGGCTTGAGTAGTTGGTTTGTAGAATTAAGACATTGGGGGACCCATGAAAGGGATTTACCCAGTTTGGATATGTTAAGAATAGCAGTAAAAGATGCATTAAATTGGTTATGGTTGCATTATTGGGACGATAGTGAATTATTAGAAGAGTCAGAGGAAGATAGCGACGAGGATGAAGAATATAGCGAAGAAGAATATAAGAATATCGATAGTATAAAAATCAAAGCAATAGTTAATTTAATAAAAGATTGGAACCATGAATATTTGATACTTTTCAAAGAAAATAAGAAAAACTGGATGTCGACTGGAGATGATATAGAGAGTATTAAAAAAGTTATTAGTAGTGAGAATTTTGTAATTGAACCTCAAGATAATACACATTCAAATAAAAATGACAAGAAATTAGAAAAGAAAAGAATAGAAATAGCAGAAAAGATTAACGAATATGTTAGTCTATGGCAAGTTCAATGGCAGCAGAGTAAGAATAAATCCAAATTTATTGAGATTGTATTGAACTGTTATAATCCATTATTAATTACTATGTTGATATCACAGTTAGATATAACATTCTCCGAAGAATATTTTAAATGGATATTAGCTAAGTATCAAAAATTAATCATGGATGAACAAGTCAAAATTCCAACTTTGTTTAAGAACTTTAAGACATTTGAAGATTTATTTAAATATACAATAAAGAAGAATTTAAAATTGTTAAGGACAAATGATATTATATCTACTTACGAGGAATGGTTATTATTATTTGACAAGGAAACAGTCACAGTCTTAAGCTATAGATTTATCCAATCAATTCAAGAAAAAATACGAAATTTTGGATCATTAAAAAATGATGATTGGAGGAATAAAAAGAACCAAAGGTATAGGAAAAAGCTTAATGAGAATAAAGAAAGACAAGAGAAATTCAAGATTAAATTGGATGATATATTAGCCACCAACAATAGAGATCCAAAAAACTTTGAAAGTTTGATAGAAGAAGAGACAAATAAATACCATGAATTAATAGTAAAACGAAATAAATCTCTTGTCGATACTAATAACAGATCAACCAGAGAGATACAAAATGAAAAAACAAATCCTTTTAAATCACCTACAGATACGCTAGATATCTTAAATGATCTTGCACTATTGAAAGAGCGTTTAAATCGAAATAAATTAGTAAATCAACAAACTATTACTATAACCAGTATCGGGCACAGTTCTAAACCTAATAAAATCGTGAAGAGATGGTCGAAAGTTCAAAACTGGACACCCAAACCCTTTGGACAACTATAGACATTATAGGCAGAGAAAGAGAGAGAAAAAAAAGAAGGAGAATTCACAGTTATAACTACAAACACACGCACATACATATTTACAGATAAATCTCTTTTTTTTTTTTTTTTTGCATAAATAAGTATGATCACAATCACCAATACTGCATTTACACAACAGGCAAAAGACAATGTATATAAAGATACCACCTAACAAATTTAAATCAAAGATAATACTAAGACATAATGAGACGACAAAACCATGATACACCAAGAATAACATATATACGTACACACTCACACAAATATATATATATACATATATACACTCAGACATCCTAGGAAGGTCTCGATATGAGCGGTCACCGGCAGTACTAAACGATGGGTTCGCAAGCGTACTGCTACCGTGGAAACTGCGAATGTAAGGAACCATTTTTCATCATCGTGTATATATATATATATGCATGCATATTGTAGGAAATAATAGTAAATGGAGAAAAATAAAAAAAGACACAAAGAAAAAAAAAGCATCAGAATCCTGATAATATAGTGTACACAAAGATACACTGGCAAGTAAAGTCTTCCTTACATAAGAGGAAAACAAGGTAGAATCCCATATCGTCATGGTCGAATCGGACTGGGAAAGAAGAAAAACCATTATCATCATTGCAAAAAAAATAAAAGACAGAAAACAAAAAAACAAAAATCACCAGTTAACATCATAATAGCACATAAAGTGTAGCATATACGACAATGCTTTGTTAAGGAGTTGACAGTATCTATTTTTCTTTCCTTGGAAATAACCACACAGTACACCCAACATGAATCACACACTAGTACCCTGACTGTCACTCTCCAAAAGACAACAACTTATTGCGTATCTAACTTCATATACTGTTCAAAAGCGATATCCATCCTTGATGTTTCTCTTTTTGTTTTATGCCGTCTTCCCGAGTATGACAGTGATCGTCCAGGAGAAGGGATGCGCAGAAAAGAACTTCTGGCAGACATTAGGATCCTTTTCTGTGTTTTTAGTCCTTTATATATAAAATTTTTTTTCTGTTTCTACTTCCTTCATTTTTTTCTTCCAAACCCGCATCCTTTCTCAAAACGCAAAAACAACCGAAAGAGGAAACAGGAAAAAAGAAAAAAAAAACTTTTTTTTTCTTTTGTCTTCGAAATTTTTCAGGATAATTTGTTTAGGGTTTTGACCTCGAGGTTCTTTTCGCCCGACTGACTAGCCTTCAGGAAAAGAAAAAAAAATTTTTTTTTTTCTGTTTTCTTTAACTTTTGGTTCCCCCAACATTACTATCATCGATTAACCATCGATCAACATCAATTACCACCATATCAACAGGTAACAACGACAACGGGTCGAGCGACCAGCAATATCCAAATACTGCTAGCTTGCTACTGATCATCAACATCTTCCTCTAACTTTTCTTTTATGCACAAATTTTCCGTAAGTAGAAAAAAAAAAAAGAAATTTAATGAGATGAAATGAAGATGTGTATAGGTTAACAAAAGTAGTTTCAATAGCGTAAACGCTTATCTGTAAGTAAGTTTCTGTATATGTTCACCCGTCCATTCATTCGTACATTCATACACCAAACTATATAGTCATAAGCTACTCAGCAGTTTAATTGATTCAATCTAATTAAGTAGACTTAACATCATTATCATCATCTTTTTTCTCCCCACTCCCATTTCCCTTCTTTTTTACTACTCGCTCAGAATAATTAAAGGTATGGCCAAACAAATACTATCGAATGAGTTTGTCTCTGATTCCGATTCAGAGGAAACATCCCATAACGAATTCCGTGTACCACATTATGAAGTCCCAAAGGACTATAAAAAATTGAAACATCTAAAAAGCGTTCCTTTATTAAATAACAGTGCCGATAAGGACCATGAGCTATGGTTATTTAAAGTACCTAAAAATTTAGATATTTCTAAGATCAAATCTTTGCCATTAGATGGGCATTCACAATTTCAAGTCCATGACAAGATATTCAAGGTTGAATTAAATAATTCAGAAGCACAGAATGATTCAAATATGACAATCTTAGCATCTGATAACAACGACAAAAATAAAGATATTCTAAAGGTTTTAAATAAGAAAAATAAAGTTCTCAATTTTAATAAGATTTTTACAATAAATTATACAACAAATATTCCTGACATTCAATATGACAAAATCAAAGTGCCAAGGGAAAATGTGCCTATAATTGAAGGTTTAAAAGTAAGACATTTTGCTACTGGCTATGACGAAGAGGAAGAGGAAGAAGGACAAAAAACAAAAGTTGTAAAACAAAAAGAAGAAACAAAGCCAAAGAAACGTAAACATGATGATGTTGATGATGTCAAATTGAAAGATGACAAGAAGAAATCAAAGAAAGACAAAAAGGGTAAAAAAGATAAAAAGAAGAAGAAAGACAAGAAACATTAAATAACTTGAAATAAAAAACAAAAAATCAAAAAAAAAAAGAATAAGATATCTTATAAAAACACTTCCATGTATACATATACATACCTACATACATACATATATGTATATCTACATATATATGTATATTTATAACACCTTTCTTCCTTCTCATACACGGTTAGAATAATCTTTTAAGATACCAGCCATATGCGTGTTAGTAATCTTCCCTCTTCTTTGCTTCTTCTTTTTGACTTCAACGTTAGCTGTTTGTCTTTTCACACTTGCTGGATCGACACTAGCTGGTTTCAAACCTAAATCTTGTAATTTTCTTGGTAATTCTGAGAATTGTGGTAATTGGACGTTTTCCCACATCTTAATAAATTCGTCATCAATACGATGCAAATCACCTCCATAATTATACCAAACGTATCTTGGTGTTCTATCCTTTTTGGTTCTTAACACTAAAATCTTTGATTCGTCTTCTAGCTGGTTGATTGTCTCATCACATTGTGGCCAACCATCTTTTAATTCTTTACATGATATCCCTTTAAATGTCACTTGTGATTTTAATAACTTCAATAATTCACTTGCAGAATGAACATCATATGTGGATATGTATTTAAATGAATTCTTCGTACTATCATACTGTATCTTTTCCAATTTCTTTAAAAGATCAATAACTTTATCGTTTGGACCCAATGACAAATAATCCATTAGCTCGTTCATAGGAACAGGCTTACCCTTCTTTTGAATATATTCTGTGGCCCATAACAACTTGGAAGAATCATGACTTTTCGATATACTAGTCTGTGAAGATTGTAATGCAACTGCAGCAAGAGAACCTGGACGTACCGCTTTGGATGGAGAATCGTCATCAAATATATCCTCTGCGTCAGATATTACTTCTATATCTGGGGTCTTCGTGCCTTCCTTTATTATCTGTATGTCATCATCGTCATTATCCAAATTATCTACATTTGATTTGATGATACCTTCCTTATCTTCTTTTTTAATATCAAATGAGACCTCTCTTTTAATCTTCTGTTTCTTTATAGGAGACCCACCATTGCTCAGAATACCTGAACGCCTTAAAGGACCAGAGTTAACTTTATTTTTGAATGCATTCAGATTTGTTAATAATGAATCATTAGTCTTGTTGGTTGTATTATGAACATTATCACTGCTTGATTTATTTACCCCACTCATTGCAGTATGTTATATATATTAATTATTATTTCAATAGTAAATAAAGAAAGAAAAAAAAAAGGTATCAAAATGAAAATGAATAGCCAAAATAATAAATTGCTAGATTGATTCAGCTTCTTAGCTTCTTTTTCCAACTATAACTACCACCTCAACAGAATGTCTACACTCTACCTGATTCCTTATAACTTTCTTCTATGATTTTGTAAACTCTCACATCATTATATATTAAACTTTCTAAATTTTATAATGCTTTCTTTCTTGACCAAATTATAATTTTTTTTCCCTTACCATGGCAAGACCAAAAAAAAATAAAAAAAATATGAGAATAAAATAAAAACATTGAATTTCAATACTCTATCTACCTATCTGCAATATATACATATATATATCTACTACAGATTCAAACCGAATAAAGCAAACAATAAAGTATACTATGTGTATATAGAAAATATCTCTTTCTGTCTTCCCCATTTTGTTTTTTAATCACAACAATCCTTTCATGAATTTCTTTATTAGTCCCTGTATCACTATCATTTCTGTAAACAGCTTGATGAACCTAATGGAATATTCTAAAAGTTTGGGGGTAAACATATACACCTCTAATCTATCATCATATTTTATACAGTTGGACATAATAAATATATCAGAGGATGATAATATCATTTCCAATCGAAATGGGTAATTTCATCTTATCATCAAAAAATAGTATTGATTAATTTATTGTTCCTTATCATATAATTGCTGACCATATAATCATCAAAGTTGTGTGAAAAATCAATAATGACCCCATTATTAGTATTGACATGCTCCTCTACTGATTTTTAACAGGGTACATGTCATAGTTTCATACTCATATGAACTTATCACAAATCCATATATCTTATTCTCCCTTCTCACCAATTTAAACTGATCTTATGAGAATGCACAAGACTATTTTATATCAGGTTTTGCATAGAAATAAAAATCATAACCTAATAAAAATTTTTTGTTTGGAAAAATAATTTGAAATAAAATGATATATGTTTCTATACAATCTGCATTGATTATGCAATATTCCAGAGCTTGACATTTCATTGACTTTTCTCTTAAGCAACTCACAACCAATCTTAATAGTAAAATTCTAATCTTCTGAGTATATTAAAATATGGTATGCATTGCCACTAACCGTAAAAATTGCAGCTTCAAAAAATTGTTCTGTAGAAAAGTACAGTATTCATGAATACCCAGCTGTAGAGATACTTTTTATTAAGCCTATTTTTTAAAGATTTCATACAGATCTTAATGTACCTTTTACTTCCCAATTTCTGGCCAACATCATCAGAATAGCATTCTTCTCAAATAAATATCCATAATAAGAAAGTCGCCTCCTGCAAAATTCGCTTTTTCATAGGAACAACTCTAATTTCCAAAAAAAAATTACATAATTTTACATAGTTAATCATCCTTACAGATGATTAATTATCTGTCGGTTAAAATTGCTATCCTCATTCTAATATTTACAAAGTAAGAACAATCACATAATCTCTGTTTCATTCAGATCTTGAATAGTTTATTATTATTCACTTTTTCTCAAAGGAGGAAATTTATTCTTTTCTCTTACTATAAAAATATGAAATTCCACTTTATCCTCATTTAATACTAGCCATTTTCCAATAATACCAGACTGAATAGCATGATTTGCAATAATAAAACATAATATATATTGTAAAATTAAGTATATTATTCAGTAAAAAATGACCAATTAATGCCAAATTTTCTAAAAAAAAAATGTAGAAATAATGTTTAAATAAATAATATATTTAAAGATTTTGCTACAAAATTAAATGATCAACAAAGATACAAAATCATTCAAAATTTCTTTTACTGCATCCCCGTGACAATAAAGATCCTTTTTTAGAAATTGATCAAAATAAATATATCATTTTTACCCTCAATTCACTGAACAATGGTATATGTCCGATTGTTTTGTCTAGACGTGAATCAGAGCTTAAAATTCTTTAATTCTTCCTCATAATTTGGCTTATAACTCTTATTACCATTTTCACCTTTGTACAGAGGTAAACTAATACTATTAGCAGTTTTTACAAAAATACTTGCAATATTACCTTTAATTATACCCCCTTGTGGTTTCTTGGTAGAATCAGTTAAAAATTGAACAATATCTATAACATTGTTCAATATTTCATCGATACTGTGCTTATTTATATCACCAATTCGAATGGTTAAACAGTTATCCTCATTAGGCAAATAATACGCATTCTTGGCAATACTTTTCAGTTGTGCTCTGATATATTTAATATCACATTCTTCATCCAGCTTCTCCCCTCTAACTTTGATATGCCTGGACATTTTAATAACAAACGGTATCTTCTTAGTAGTAGAAAAAAATGTACTCCCCAAAATCTTTGGTAAAAGATGATGCACTCTATAATCTGCTACCACCAAATCAAATTCTCTATATAACATATTTAGTTTGCTACCTCTATATCTACGTTTTAAATTTTTTACTGAAATAATTTCTTTAATTAAATCTTTAATTGAATCATCATTATCAATGGCTTCACGGTATCTACTAGAAGGATCTTTTGTAATCAAAAGAATTCTAAGATCCTTAGGATGGTTTAATTTACATTGTGTTAGTGGGATAATACGTGGGACATAATCTTTTGTAACTGCCATTTTTTTCCCTGTATTTATAATCATTTGGATTTCTGTGTCATTTTGTAATTTTTCATTTTTAGAACATTCTTGTATTAATGCTTGTAACGCTTTTCTTGAAAGATCCTTGACACTCAATTTTAAACTAGACATTTGTTTATATTATTGAAAATCACTCGACAGTCTAGAAAAAAACAACCTTCAATAATATGATCATATACAAGAATGATAAGTTTATGCCACACAGTGATCTACTTCTACGTAATTTTTGTTTAAATCATTCAACAATATTTTCATTTATTTTTTTTTCTAGCTCATCGCTGAACTTTTTTTTCCTTCCCTCTTTCTCCATTTTTTTTACTACATCTTTCACTTTTAAAAGTACTAAAATATTAATAGAATTTCGGTAGCAAGTTAATAGAAGAGTAATATCCAAACATGAATCGTACAAACAGACGTCAAATTCATAATCTCTCAAAGAAATTAAAAAACCATAAAAATATTAAAATGTCTTAAAATATTTATCTTTATTTGAAGTTTTTATTATTTGGATTCTAATATACGATAATATATATTACCTAAAAAAATTATAAAACAGTTAACAATTAAGAAAGAAAACAAAATAAAGTATCATATACATAAAAATACAGTCTCTCTTCCTCTCTTTATAAATAAACAAATTTATCTTTCTGATATTTAATGTTTAAGTGGCTTATTCGAATAAAGTACCAATGTCAGATGGTAATTCTTCAATTTGAGTAGAGTAGAATCTTTCTAATTCCCTCATAACACCAACATCTTCATTAACAACGAAGTTGATAGCAACACCCTTTCTACCGAAACGACCACCTCTACCAATTCTGTGAATGTAGTTTTCTTTGTTAGTTGGTAAATCGTAGTTGATAACTAAGGAAACTTGTTGGACATCGATACCTCTAGCTAATAAATCAGTAGAGATTAAGATTCTAGAAGAACCACTTCTGAATTCCTTCATAATGGTGTCTCTTTCTTGTTGTGGTAAGTCAGAGTAGATAGCAGAAACGGTAAAGTTGTCAGCAGTTAATCTAGCACTTAATTCTTCGACCTTTCTTCTGGTGTTACAGAAGATAACAGCTTGGGTGACAGCAATAGATTCGTATAAGTCAGTCAAACATTCGTATTTATATTGTTCTTCTTCAACGTTAACGTAGAATTGCTTAATACCTTCCAAGGTTAATTCATCTTTCTTAACCAAGATTCTAACTGGGTCTCTCATGAATTTAGTAGTAACTTCTAAGACATCTCTTGGCATAGTAGCAGATAATAAGACAACTTGAGTAGTTGGTGGTAATAAAGTGAAAATTTGGTAAATTTGTTCCTTGAAACCGGAAGACAACATTTCATCAGCTTCATCTAAGATGAACATCTTAATCTTGTCAGTTCTGAATTTACGTCTTTGAATATTGTCAAAAACTCTACCTGGGGTACCAACAACAATTTGAGCATCCTTTAAACCTTCAGCATCTTCAGCAAAAGAAGTACCACCAATACAAGCGTGAACTTTGATGTTCATATGGAATGATAAAGCCATAACAACCTTTTGAATTTGTAAAGCTAATTCTCTGGTTGGAGCCAACATCAAAGCTTGTGGAGACTTGACAGAAGCATCAATTCTTTGTAAGGCAGCGATGGAGAAAGTACCAGTCTTACCAGTACCAGATTGAGCTTGAGCTAAGACATCGTGACCTTCAATAATTGGCATGATGGCACGTTGTTGAATGGCAGATGGTTCTTCAAAACCGTAACCGTAGATACCTCTCAATAAGGCTGGATCTAGGTTCATATGATCGAAATCATAGACAACCTTATCGTAGTTGGTGTCAATTTGGTTTTCTTCAATTTCAGTAATACCCTCGGCAGACATCTTCCTAATCTTCTAAGCTCTAGAGTCTCTAAGGATTTTTTGTGGGACAAGTAGTAACAAAAAAGACAGGTACAAATTAATATAACATACAAAACCAAGAAGAAGATCTTAGATAAAGAAAGAGAAATACCGTTAAAGATGCTGTCAAGAAGGAAAAGGAGGAAAAGAGGGCTTCTGACAACAGATGTAACCACAAAACCAGGAAAGTCTATAGGTTAAAATGGTTAAGTTGAGTTAAAACAACAAGAGTGATTTCTGGAGTTGCAAGGACTGCTCAAAATTTTCTTGCAAATTATAAAAAAAAATTTAAAAACGCGACAGTGAAAAAATTTTTCAATGACAAGAAACAAAACAAAAGAATAAGAAAGGAATTTCGTCTTAAGTGACCTACACAATTTCCAATATGATCGAATTAGCAATATCTAAAGATCCCTCTCCATATTGGGAAATAATCACCCAAATTAGAAGGTATATGTTTCCCAAACCAATAAATAAAGCCTTAACTAAACTAGTAAATTAATATCTAATTATTTCTATTCATTATTTATCATATAAAATAAGTGGCAATGTGCTGTCCGGCAACAGCATCACCGTCATTCTCACGCAATATATATATATATATACATAGTCTTAGTTACATGATTATTTTTCCTTCAAGGACTTAATAGCATACCTCAATCTGGTGAGTTTTTTAATGGATGGCACCTGGACTAAAAACAACTCTTTTTTTGGACTCTTTAGATTGTTCTTTTTCATCGTCACTTACAGTACCAATATCAATATAATCCTGCAATCCAAAATCGATACTTGCTGTAAGTTCCTCCAATTTTTCGCGTACAGACTTTGCTATTTCTTTTTCATTATTCGCTTTTTGTGCTTCAAATGCAGATTCTTCTAAATCCTCCTCTTCCTCTTCATACTCATAATCATCGAAGTCCTCTTCGACATGGTCTGCTTCATTATTTAACACAACAGAATGCTCTACAGTTGACTTACCTTCTGTGCCGTCTATATCAGAAGTGATTTTCTGATCACTATCGAGCTTACAAGAATTTACCTCCTTTGTTTCGTAAGCAAAAACATCATCTGGAAACACTCTTTCGACCTTTTGTAGGTAATTTGTGTTTTCCCAATCAAATTTATAGTTTGGAACTGTCTTTATAATCTCTTCTTGATGTTCAGGGAGTCTCTCCTTTTGCAGAGAAGACTCCTCATCTTGGTGTTTTGTATCTTCCTTATTTATGTAATCAAAATTGTCTTTTATATCTACAATATTCCCTTGTTGGAAATCTATATTTTCATGATCCTCTTCAATCAAGGACAACTCTTTATTGTGCAGTTCTTTATTAATCGGTTTTTCGTCATGATATGGTTCAGAATCCAATGTTAACTTTTCGATGCCAATTTCTTGTTCTAATGGTGGTTCCTGAATATTTTCTTTTTCAATAAAAGTGGTAAGCCATTCTTTGAAATCCAATGGTAATTGTACAGGGGTTGGAGGCTTTTCTTCCAATTCACTTAGATGTTGTTCTTGTTCATATTTTTTTTCCTCCATTTTCTCGATAGCTTCAGGACGTACATATAGTTCCAAATTTTGATATTCATCATTGCATGTTTCTTCATCATAATTTTGAGAAACATCTGAATAATTAGATGATTCTTCTTCATTATCATATTTTTCTTCATGTTGTTGGTGCCATTCTCCATTATTATTTTCTTCTTGATGAAATTGGCTACTCTCTGGTTCAATTGATGTATATCTGTAAGTAATATCATTTGATTCAGCAAATTCATCGTAGATTACATGCCATAAATTAGAGAATTCATTTGAAACAAAATCCTTCATAGTCCAAGCTTTCCAAGGCTTTGCCTTTCCAATAAAATGAATCAATTTGATTTGGTACTTGAAGTATTCCATAGCAGGAGTACATTGATACCCATCATTCGGAGTGGTTACATTATATAGGAAAGGCAGTCTAAGCCAAAAATTATTTTGTGTCATGCCACAGTTAGGATTGAAGAATTGGTTCAAAATACCTTGATCAGCCCCGTCGATTGATGTTTCTTGCAAAATGAAGTCTTGTAAATTATCCGCTATCTCCTGATCTGGAACGATCGTCATCACACCACTATTGAACAGGTCGGGCCAGCCAATATCTGGAGCAGCACCAACTTGATGCCTAGTTTGGTCACTAGTCAATTCAAATATATCAAATAAAGTGTCGTTCAAAGGCAATGTGTCTGCATCCAAATACAAGATCTGAGCAAATTCTGTATGCTCCCATAATCTTGCCTTAATTAATGCAAAGGATAATTCCGGTCTTTGTAACAATTGTAAATTGTATCTATTATTCTCTTCAGCAGAATTTTGACTTCTCAATGGTTTAATTTGAATAATTTGAGTAAACAAATGCTGTAAAATACTTCTTGATAAATCAGTAAGAGCATCATTGTATATTTCTGGCGTCACAAAGAGAACTGTTTCTATTTTTGCAAGCGTGTTCTTTCCTGATAACAATTTATTTAGTTGTGTGATTAAAGTAAACACACCAGGTAAATAGTCTGGAGAATACAATAGTGTAGCAATGGCTATAGATCCCTGTTTCATAATAATTACTTAATTAAAGATACAACTGTAAGTGGCTCTGCAATTCTGGTGTCCTTTAGAACCCCGAGGTTTTCCACCTATCAAGCACAATATTTATAATGAATTACTAAGAAACTGCCTTTAATTGATTGAGAGCTCGCGTAGTAAAACAAGAAATGGTCATAAATACTTCAGGTAAACAGATTCTAGTCTTATATTAAAGTCAATTATAGGCTGCATAATCCTTAAAAATAACATGTTTTTTTTTTGATAATTTGTTTATAGTTTTTCCCCTATGAGTTGGTTGTCAAATAAAAACAAAATTTCCCGATTATTGTCTGTAGTAAATTGTTTGTTGACATTTCTAAAAACAAGAAAAAAACAATAAAATAAAACAGAGCAAAACAGTAAAACAATGTCAAAAAATATATATATTGTATTTCTTCGAGAAAGAGGGGGGAAAAACGTAAAAGTGCACAGAACAGAAAACAATATAATAAACAAAAGGAATATGATATTATAAACGGGGAAAAGAGTACAATATTTTATGAAATTGTATGCTATGAGTACATGAAGATATCCTTATTGATTGGAAACATTGAACTTGTATTTTTTAATATACATATATTTATGATTTCAAACGATATACAGTTTGACAGTGAACAACATGAATAATAACTTTGTTTCATTTCCATTACAAAAATAAAACAAAACAAATAAGTCATTCATTAGGAACCTTGAATGATTTTATTGAAAAAAAACATGAAAATAATATTATTTTTACTATTAATACAACATTTTTTGCAATGCTAGATATGCGTTAGTTAATATTAAGACTGCGAGATCAGGACAATATGGATAATTACTCTTATCACTTTTTCTTTTGTTTTTCTTTTGAGAAACACAACAAAACCAAGTTGAAAAAAATACAAAAAATGACAAAAACGGCCCCACCTCGGTGCTCCACCCCTTGCCCCACAGTGAATTTCTTTTTTTGGTAACTTTTTTAGGGACATCTTCATTGATATTTACTTACTTACTTACCTATTTATTTATTTATTTATTTTTTGTTTTGTAAATCTTAGCAAGTAAAATAATTATGCAGTCATATATATACAAATATTCTTTTATTCTTTAGCTGACTTATTTTAAAAATATACTTCTAACAACAGTAGGTGTCTTTACTTGTACGTGCTTTTCATTTATCCTACTTTGAGATTCTTTACAGTACAATACACGAATGGATTTATAAAAAATCAACTAAAATAAAAAAAATAAAATTAGAGCTCTCAGCTATATTGACAGAAACTGTTTTCTACTAATAAATCTAATATCTAATAACTATAATTCTTGGGACCTATAGAAATGTAGAACTATCTAAACAGCCGTATTCCTTATCAAATAACTTTAACAATTGTATTTTGTCTTTAGCTGTAAAGAATGGGTATATGAGTACTTTTTTTCCGCTTATCTCGGTTCTATGTGGTGTAGGGAGTTCTAGAAACAGTCCTTCAGGAAATATCATCTAAAAAGAAATTGAGACACGTTTTTTCTTACTATTTATCAATCTGATAATAATAAAGAATTATAGGTCCTGACAGATTTTTTTAGAAGATAACGTATACCTTACTCTTTTTCACCACAGTTTCCCACTTGATCTCACATTACACTAATATACAAAAAAAAAAAATAAATACTGGCCTTTACTATACTCTAGATAAAACGGCAACACTTTCAACATGATGTGTTTGCGGAAAAAAATCAAAGCCTCTCAAACTTTCGAACTTATAATCCTTCCCATTCTTCGTATCATTTAAAAAATATTCTAAATCTCTAGCTTGGGAATGAACATTACATGAAATATACACAATCCTTGCTGGATAATAATCTGATAGCTGTTTCAAAAACACTTCATCACAACCTTTCCTTGGCGGGTCCAAAATGACAGATGTTCTCTCATTTGGAGTATCTATGGATTCGAATAACTTTTCTGCTTTACCAACAATAAATTTACAATTTTTAATACCGTTGGATTTGGCATTCTTCTCTGCAAAAGAAACGGAATCAGCAGATATTTCTACACCAATTACTTTGCTCACACCTTTGGAACTACATATACTGAACAAACCTGAACCACAATATGCATCGACCAAATAATTAGGATCTTCTGGCTTGGAATTTGGAATTTGTAAATTTTCTCTTACGTATTTTGTAACAATAGGTAGAATTGAATTATTATTCTGAAAAAATTCACCAGCACTAAATTGAAATATATATCCATCAATATATTCAGTCACAATTTGTCTTGTATTTGTAACACAAGTTTTGGCTAATTTAACATTGTGTTCTGTATCGTTAATTTCAATATAACTAACCCTCCCCTCTGCATTGGTGGATCCCTCACCTAGCTGTTCCTCAGTTGGTTTACTTGGGTCTAAAATAATAGTATTCTCCCTCAATAAAATTGTTGCACCCTTCTTATACTTAGTAAATTCATGTTCAAAACGTCTTCTCTCATTAGTCAAACCAATATTCAGAATATCGGTTGCCAATTTGCATTCTTCAATGTCTAAGATTGGACCATTTCCACCAACCTCCAAAGTATCTTTTCTCCACTTAGGTCTACCTTTTTGTCCAAAACCTAATGGAGGCCTCACTTGTAATTGACTTACTTTCTTAGGCATATCAAAATGTGGTGTAATTTTGGTTCGGTAATGGTATTGCAAAGGGGAAGCTACTGTAGTGCCTACTTTTGGAACCATATTGTTAGCTATCAATCTTGGTGCAAAATATTTATATGCATTGGCTACAGTCACACGTTTTATAGACAATTGATCCTCATAGGTTAAAAATTCATACTGATCCCCACTAGATTTTCCAAAATATTTATCCCTGATTAGATCATCTCTTCTCATTGGTGACTTCGAAATAACATCCAAAAGATCGCTCTCAACATAGTGTGGGTGTGTCTTATACACTTTGATCTTAACTACGTCATCTGGTAGCCCAAACGGAATAATAGCAACTTGTTTCTTTTTATCTTCAAATGGATGCTCAATAAGGGCAAGACCATCACCACTTGAAGTTAATTTAAGAATTCTAACATCGGAAACTTCACGATGATACTTATTTTTGATTTCATCTGTTTTGTCATTTAGGATGGCTTTCATATCGTTTTCAACTTCCTCACGAGTTAATGCATTTGATCTCAATAGATCATCAATTTCAAATTGTAACACACCTAAAGGTGAAGTCGCATCTACTTTTTTAGCCTTATACTTTTTCAGCTTTTGTTTCTTCACTCTTTGTGCATTCAACCCCATTTGTGAAGGCAATGGCCTCTTGGTAGAAGGAGCAATTTCATGGACTTTCGCTTCTTCTGACATCTTGTAAAAATACCTATTAGAAATCAACAAGAATCTTCTTCCGAATAAACTAAGTAAAAGCGGTTTATTAATTGTTGTTTGTGGTATTACATAGGCCAAACGCATATCAATACTTTTGAATACCTCTCCATCACTTCAAAGAATTTTGGAAGCTTTTACTAGTTTTATTTCAAAATCTTCCCGTATTATTAAAATTTTTCAGACATATTTTCTTTTTTTCTTTTTCTTTTATTTTTATTTTCTAAGAATAAGTTGAGAATATTTAACCTATATTTTTTTTCCTATCTATAATAAACAGAAAATGGTATCGAGAGACAGTAAAGCTAATCGTTAGAGATAATGTGCTGATACACTTAATCATATATCGATATGTATGTGTTCCAAGTGAACTTATGAAAATAGTTTCAGGTAAAGTTTTATCAATCATCAATGGATCTATAAGAAAAAGATATGAATAATTGGAATCTTGATTAAGTAAATTTATAAGTATATTACGAACATAATAGTTTAATAGAACATATCACTAGATTTTTAGTAAAAGTGTTCGAGAGATCGTTTATATATTTTTCAGTATGATCGTAATAGCCTCTTTATAATCATTAATCTATAGTTTTAGTTTTTTTAAGGTAAATTTGATAACAAACATGAGACTAACAAATTACAGTCTTTCATTAATTTACTTCAATCAATTTTGAACATTATATAAGTTACTTTGATAAAAATTTATTTCTTCTTATAAAGAAATTCGTTCTGTTTTATAGAGGTATTTTATTATATCATGAGTTTTAAAAAAACCATTACTATTAATGCACCACAATATATTTTAGTAGTTATAATCTGTTTAGTTATTGGAACCAAATGTATTAATCCAAAAAATATTTCTTTTAAATAATGAAAACTTTGTTGTAAACTTGAGTGGCAATACTGGAGTTCTTTACAAATAACTCTACCTAATCCATGATAGTATATTCTGCTGATATAATCTATATTTCAAATATTATATAAATATTTTTATAGAATTTTAGTTAATGTTTGGACATGACATTTTTATCCACGAACTCTGTGTATATTAATCAATGGTGAATATACAAGATATTTTACAATAAAGTCACACTTCTATAAGTTCTGCCTAATAAAGAGTAAATTATCGAAACAAACCTTGCAACTTACTTGGCCTAAAACGATCATTAAACTCTTAACAACAACTATATTTATATAAAAACAACACATTGCATTATCTTATTGTGAACTAATTAAAATATGGTTATAACTTTTTAAGATTTTATTTTTAAGTACTCTAAAAATAATCAATTGCTAGGCAAAACGAGATGGAAAAACACTTTTACTGGCAAAAATCAAGAAAATATGAAACACACAGAGTGTACAGTTCTACCCAGATTATATAGTTTTAATTATAACAACGTTATCAATCTAATTTATATCTAATAAAACGCACAGCAAACGATATAATTTTTTTAAAACCTATTACTTATTCAACCATGCAAAAAAATTAAATTATATTCTTACTAGGTTTCTATTTCTATTCTGAAAGTTTGATTTCTTAAATTTCTCTAGCGAAAAGTGAACACTGATTTTCTTTAAATTATTTTAAAAAGTGTTTGATTACCTTTTAAACACGTGGGACACTTTTCAAATGTTTTTAAGATGCTTTTATTGCACTTCTAGTTTCCTTTCTGACAATTTTCATTAGTGGTTAACAAAGATATTTCAGGATTTGTCTTGTTTTTATTCCGTATTTATAATATATTCTGAAAAAATAAAATGTGAGAACATCCTTTACTAATCTCCAAGTAAATAAAAAAAAAAAGCTTAAAACGATAACAGTATAGCTATCTCCACAACAAGATACTTCTTGTATATCATATTAATATCCGGTAATGAAAAAATAATAAGAATAAAAAGTACTATATTTGTTAACACAATTTCTATCCCATTTAACATCATTACAATAATGGATAGCGATGAGAGTATAAAAGGCTTTGAGAATCAATTGGTTCAGCATTGTGTCAATATTATACGACTCATAAGTGATGATATAATATTAAAAGATACATCTTATGATAGTTTCTTTCAAGAAAACAAAGATCTTTTTAAAAAGTTTTTATCTGATAAGTGTGCTGATTCAATTCTTTGTGTAAGTTTAGACAGTGACACTGAAAAAATAATAATAGATGATCATATTTCAGAAAAGTTCTTCACTAATAAGACTTCTGACTCTTTTAATCTATTGAATCCAATTATTTTACTTTTAAAAACTCAAACTACACTGAATTTAGAACAAAGTCTAAAATCCCAGTTAGAAATACTAATAGTTCCAACAGAAGTTAATATAGATACGATAAGCAATCTTTTCTCAAAAGGGGTTGGTTCCCTTTTGGATTATTTTACTAATAAATCTCAACTAAACAACTTATCTCAAGTATATGTAGAAAATACAAAACAAAAATTACTTGAAATATCTAAACGTTTTCATAATATTAATGCAAATATAGGATCACTCCGAATTTCAGAATCATTAGATGATTCAATCAAAAATGTAATTACTAAAGGTGCAACATTAGAAACATATCGAAATTACATTAATGAGGATTTATTGATTGATTCATCATTTCTGAATAATTTATTAAATTCATTAAACCAATGGATACGACATTGCCAATTTTTGAAAACTTATGAACCACCATTACCAAGTAATCTGACTGATGAAATTGAAGAATGGATAAAATATAAAAATATATTAACTATAACTTGTAATGAATTGGATTCCACCAGTTATAAAGTTATAATAGATATTTTAGTTAAAGGAAAACGTCTAAAATTAAATGATCCAATTTTAGCTAACTGGGACATACAGTCTAGGTTACACACTGTATCGAAAATTCTAGATTTTTTAACAAACTTAGAAGTAGAAAACCTTAAATCAGTCAAGAACACAGAACAACTGACAACTTACCTAATAAAGTTATCATCATCTTTACGAAGATTTCGTTTCTCAGATTATCCAGTTACCCGTTTTATAGCTTTTATGGAAATGCTGACTAACTTTATATTTGAAAATGTATTCATAATTAGTCCCAATATTTTTAAAATTTCACTACAACAATTTATAGAAATCCGAGAATATCTTTTAGATATATGTTCACAATGGGATACAATGTCTAGGGAAATGATCCAACAGATTAGAGAGAAGATAAGAAAATCAAACTTAGAATTATCCATTCCCATTGAATTTAATCATATAACCAAAGCATTAAGACTAAGATTAGACACAATAAAAGATATTAAAGCTGAAGAATGTTCTCTTTCTGAAGCTTTTGCAAATGTTTACGAAGAGAATTTGGAACTCGTTAACTGGATATATACACCCATAAAATCCCTAAATAATAATGATATTTTCATAGAGGCTATAATAGCATCATCAATAAAAGAATTTAATGAAAGATTATTTCAAGTAGAAACCAAGTTGATTGAAAGATATAATAATGTGATAGCAAATTCAGCCTCTGATGAGCTTTTCGATGAAGTTATTAGGTACAAACCATTACTTACGTATTTTCCATCCTTAAAACTAAGATTGCAAGATACAGAGCATTTAATTTTAAGTTCAGTGAAATCAAATATCACTTCCTTAAAAAGCCAGCTCATGTATAATGAGGCAATGATCCAATCTCTTCAAAATTTGGGACTGGCTGAACTATCCTCAGTACTTGTTCAATATATTTCCTTCAATAATAAGGTAAATTCTATCACGTCTAATATGGAGACATTATTGGGTCCAAATTGGAAATACCTGCCTGAAAGCACTACCGTTGCTAGAGATTGTGAGTATATACAACATGAAACTGAGATCAAGAAACTTCTCGATACATGGCTTACTAATTTACCTGGATATCATAATGATTTAAAAAGTACTGTTATTTTAAAAATTTATGAAGAAAGCAAGAAAGATGCATCACAATTACAATTGAAGGTCAATTTTAACTTTGAATTAATAAACTATCATAAAGGTCTTAAGAGTTTTTTATACTATAATTTTCAAATTCCAACAGAAACTGTCCACAAATTTCTTGAAGTGAACTCGGCTTCATCTCTTGCAATTCATTTGAAGGAAACACTTCAAAACTTTTTTTATATTCTTAAGCAATTATCCAAGTTTAAGTTTTTGCTATCTTTGCTTCAAAAAGATATTGATTCAGTATGGTTTATTCTCAAAAAAGGTCTTTCAATTTCTTGGCGTGACCTAACCGTGGCAACGCATAATAACAATTATGATATGAACTTTATTTCAATTCTTGACGGAGCTGTATTGCAGCTTATTGATAGATATCATAGATTGGTCCAGACTGATCAAAATATAATTCAATATTTTGAAATTTACAAAAATGGTGAGAATATTATTGAAGACTTTGCTTCTTTAACTAATCAATTGCGAGATATCTCAAGTGAATTACTCGAAGAGGACTGGAATAATGTTAAAGGTTTTGTAGATTTATTAAATGTGCATATATTTAAACTTTTAACAAAAAGAATGGCTGACTACTTTGCATTGAATTTCTTTGAGATCCAAACTATTATGGTCTCTCTAGATAATGGGGAAATCTCTTTCAAACCATTAATAAATGATATCAAGAGCTTATGGTTTCATAAAATAGAAAAGTTTATATCCATTTGCACAACAATTCCAATAATATCTAATGGCAAAAATAGTAAAAAAATATACTTTAAGAAAAAACAGATTATAGAGGCACTTATTACTGACTTATCCACTATTTATAGTACCATTGACCAATATTGCATAGCTGGTGAAAAACATTTCACGAAGTGGAAGAGTTACGAGTTTCTATGGGATATAAATGAATATTACCTTCAAGAATACTTGTCTAGCAGTTTTACAGAATCTATCAAAGTTTTGAAAATGTTCCACAACAAATTAAAAGATTTTGAAAATACAATACAGGAAAGTGAAATTGTAGGCATTTTTAAAATCGATTCTGATAGGGCATATCAGAATGTTTTAAACAAATTAAGATATTGGATATATTTTACTATTGAAAAGATACTTCCAATTTATGACGAAAATGTTAAAAATTTAAGAGATTGCATTCTTAAGCAGATAGATGAACTTTCAACAATATCTATTGATCAATCTTCTATTCATACAATATTGAAATTTGTTGAGATTACTGATAAAAGTGGGCATTTGCAAGATATATGGAAAGCAAAAATTCAAGAACTCCTTTCGATAGAACAAATCTTCAAAATATATAAAGTGAAATTTCCTAAAAAGCACATATTTCTTAACCAAGTAGAGTTTGATATTAGTACAACGGATCAGCTTGTGAAAAAACACCAAAAATATTTGAAAGATAACCGTGGTGCTATCTCTGAACTTTTGAATATTTACTTTAATAATGTGTCTAAAAATTTAATAGAATTAGAGAGGAGTTGGGAAGATTTTAAGTTAAATATGGTTTCAGAAGAGTTGAATTTGATAATTAATGTTCTTAATTCTATTGAAATCAAGCTAAGTGAAGTAATTGAAAATCGCAATCTTATTCTTAAAACTGCAAAAGCACTCTCTTACCCCATATCATATGTCGACAACACAGAATGTACTACATCTGAAATTAACAATTATATAGAAATTTGGAAGAAAGTCTCTGCAATAAATGGACTACTTAATGAATACCTACAAACATCCTGGAAAAAGTGTTCTATCTCTGATTTATCAGTATTTTGTACCAAAAGTATAAAAGAACTAAACCATTTTTCATCTATTATTAAGAACACTAGGGTTTATAATAATATTCAACAGATACTCTCTGATATTCTCAAGATAAAAGAAGAGCTTACACTGCTAAAAGATTCAGCCATAAAGCAACGACACTGGTGTGACATATTTAGGCAACTTTCTTTGAGTGACTTTAATATATCTTTTGTGGAGGATAATCAATTTAGTTTAAATGATGTACTAGCTCTGAAGATAGAGTCACATAAAGCTACAATCAACAATATTATCGAACATGCCCAAAAAGAATATGTCATTGAAAAAGCACTTAATAATATTGATAATCATTGGCTGCATATCAACTTACAGTATAATGAGCATAACACTGGAATGATACTTGTAAATGATTGGGATTTAGCAGCAAGACAATGCCATGAAGATTTGAGTGAATTATTGTCGATGAAAAATTCTACTTATTTCAAATTATATAGTAACCGTTGTACAGCCCTGACAGAGAAATTAAGTTTACTTTCTATTATTTTATCAACATGGTGTGATGTCCAGTTTAAGTGGCTATCAATGTTTGACATTTTTGGAAAAAATAATAAAATAAAAGAGTTGCTACCTCAAGAAGAGTCTCGATTCCATTATGTTTCTACAGATATGAAAAATTTACTCAAAAGAGCACTCTCTCTAAAGCATCTAATTGATATTTCCTCTATTCCTAATTTTCATCTATCACTCTCAAAAATACTTGATGTATTAGTTTCTATACGTAACTCGCTAAATGATTTTCTAGAAACTTACAGGGAACAATATCCAAGGTTTTATTTTTTGGGAAATGATGAATTATTAAAAATACTTGGGTCTACTAATTCAATAGAAACAGTATCTAAATACATGCAAAAGATGTTTGGGTCTATTTCCAATATTGAGAGTAAGGATGAAATTATCTATGGTGTTAAATCTGTTGAAGGTGAGTCTTTCAGTATAGAAAATACAATAAACATATCTACATATGAAGCTCCTTCTCAGTGGTTGACCCAATTAGAACAACAAATAAGTAAAAGCTTATTAAGCAATATTAAAAGTTGTTCGAATAAATTATTTAAAGGTACTCAAATTTGTGATCTAATTGATATATATCCATTTCAGATTTTATTAGTATCTTTTCAGATATATATGACAAAAGTAATTGATTTAGCATCCGAGAAGTCTGATATAACAAATATTCTAAAGAACTTAAAATGTTTGAAAGAAAAGTTACAAGTAGAAATTAATAACTCAGATTCTGTAGACATGATTATCAAAAGAAAAAGAGAGAATATACTTGTTGAGGTGCTGTATTATATTTTTACTACAACTACATTATTAGAAAATGAAAAAAAGTTCATGTCGTCTATTAAGTGGAAGTATATCCATAGAATGTACTTTGTGAATGATGATACTTCTAACAAAACTTATCTGATGTTTTCTCATGGCTCATATACAGTAAATTATGGGATGGAATACATCGGTATTCCTGAAAGACTTATCTATACTAAAAATTTAATCCAATGTTCTATTTTCTTAATGGAATCAAGAGGTCAAGGTTATGGAGCGTGTTTATTTGGTCCCGCTGGTACAGGAAAAACAGAAAGTATAAAAATGTTGGGGCAAAATGTAGGTAAAGTTGTTGCTGTATTTAATTGTGATGAAACATATACCTTTTCTGTGATTTCAAGATTAATATTTGGGATTGCTCAAGTTGGTGCATGGAGTTGCTTCGATGAGTTTAATAGACTTAACGAAAATGTTTTAAGTTCTGTGACAAGTAATATACGTTTAATCCAAGATTCTTTATATTTCAAAAGGAATTATGTTGCTTTAAAAACAAAATCTATATGTATTCAGAGATCTACAGGTATTTTTATTACGTTAAATCCAGATTATGAAGGTCGATCCAAGTTACCAGAGATTTTAAAAAATATGTTCAAGGAGTTTTCATATTATGCTCCTCATGAACTTGAAATTATCAATGGTATATTAGATACTCAAGGTTTTATTCCAGACAATAATTTGTCTAACAGTTTCCTCAATTTTATTATGCTACTAAAAAATAATTGTAGCAAGCAATTACATTATGATTTTGGGCTTCGTACCATAAAAAGAATTTTGATGACCTGTAAGAAATATAAATACAATTATACCTTGAAGAATGCCCTTGTAAAATCAACAAGAAGAATTATTCTTCCAGTTTTGAATGATACTGATAGTCAACTTTTTTACAAATATGAAACAATTAGTTTCAGTGATGTTCTTTCTGATAATGTAATGGAACACCAAGAAATATTTGAAAAAGTCCTTTTTGAAGAATACAAGAAACCTTCTGCGGATTTCTTAATCAAATGCCAACAATTATATGATTTACAAAAAACGCAACAGGCAATAATTTTATTGGGAAAAGCCGGATGTGGTAAAAGTACAATATGGCGCACAACCTTAAAAGTTATAAAAAGAATAAATGATACTTATAATAAAGTATATATAATTGATACCAAGGTTTTATCAAAAGACGAATTATATGGCTCGTTGAACATGGCAACTCTAGAATGGCAAGATGGTGTATTCACACAAATAGTGAGAAATTGTTATGCATGTTTGCAAAATGGTGCAAAAAAAGAAGACGTCTGGATTGTGTTTGATGGTAGAATTGATTCAGAGTATGCAGAAACTATTAATAGTGTTCTTGATGATAACAAGCTTTTAACATTACCCAATGGTGAGAGAATTCCAATAGCTCCAAATATCCACTTACTTTTTGAAACAGACACATTACATTTTGCTACACTAGCAACTATATCCAGATGTAGTCTAATATGGGTTGGTGATACCATAATTTCTAAATATGATATATTTATTAATAAACTCTTTTCGAAAATGCAGCAATTGGTTGAGGATAATGTTTTGTCAAGTACTTTTTTTAATGACATAACACAGGTGATTAGGGACATACTACCTTATACTCTGTGGGAACAATTAAACAAAACAACTCAAAATTGGACCAGCGTATTCAAGGATAATATTTGTAGTACAGATAATGCTTTAGTGGCTGGTATTGTATCATTTCTAATATCTTTTGGTTCTCTACTTGAACAAAAGGATTCTGAGTTCATAAAAAATATTCTTAGTAAACGAATATATCAACTTTTGATAACTATTTTTACCGATGAATATGAAAAGAAAGATTTGAATGAGTATAAAGAAATTTTATCTAAACATTTTTTATTGGACACAGATGTTGATAATATGGTCTTTAAGAAGCTAAATGATGAATTGACTTTAGTACCTTATGATATTCCTTCTACAAAGTTAAATGTAAAGAGTTTTGATAGATCTGATCTTGTAATTACTACAAGAGATACAATTTACCACTCTGAACTCATTTTGGATTTTTTAGTTTCTAAAATACCACTTATATTTTGTGGTCCAGCTGGGGTTGGTAAAACTATGATAATTAATAAGGTATTACATGCACATGATAAATATGATTTAGTGTCGATGAATTTTTCAAAAGAAACATCAATAACTGATTTAGTTTCTCTTTTTAATCGTCATTTAATATACATACCTGACGGTGATGGGTACATATTATACCCAAGGAATAATGAAAAGGAAATAGTATTTTTCTTTGATGAGATTAATCTTCCTAAAGTGGATAAATATGATTCTCAACCTGTTATATTATTTTTAAGGCAACTTATTGAAAAAGGAGGCTTTTGGAGAGGTTTGGATAATAAGTGGATATTTTTAAAGAATGTACATTTTATTGGCGCGTGTAATCCTCCTTATTACTCTGGTAGAAGCATGTTAACTTCACAATTTTCTCGGCATGCGGGTATTGTCTTTTGCAACTATCCAGCAAAGTCATCTTTAAAACATATCTATAACGTATATTTTAATGCTTTATTTGAAATGGTTCCAAGTCTAAAAATGTACTCAAAAGATTTTACAGATGCATCTATTGACTTATATTATATGTATATTAAAAGTTTTTCTGAAGAAAAATACATTCATTACATTGTAACACCTCGAGAACTAACTAGATGGATCAAAGGATTACTATTCGGTATGCTTAATGGTCCCAGACAAAATTTTCTTTCAATTGTAAAACTTTGGGCTCACGAAGCAATAAGAATATTTTCTGACAGGCTTGTTTCTATTGAACACAAAACTATATTTTTTTCTAATCTTCAGGATGTTATAACGAGAACTTTTGTTACTGTTGACTTCTCAGAAAATATATTTGATGATTTCTTCTATTCTAAATGGTTTAGTGCAGAATACATTCAAATATCTAAGAAAGAGTTGATACACCTAGTAACTCAAAAATTTGATATTTTTTGTGAGGAAGAGAGAATAGGTAATATTGTTATTTATGATGCTATGATAGATCATATGTTACGAATTGATAGGATCTTAAGGCAGAACCAAGGTCATGGAATGCTAGTAGGTCCTAATAAAATAGGTAAAACGACGATGATTAAATTTGTTGCCTGGATGAATGGTATTCATATCATGCAACCTTATATTACAAAGGATTTTACATTAACTTCATTTGACGCTTTTTTAAGGGATGTTTTACTAAAAGTGTCAATAGATGAACAGGAACTTTGCTTACTAATTGATGAGTCAAATATGCTGGATGCAGCATTTTTAGAAAGAATAAATTATTTACTGACAAATTCTGATATTCCAGATCTATTTTATGGGGAGGAGCTTTCAAAGTTAGAAATATCTTTAGAACAGAAAATGAATTCGTTCGGAAGATTAAACAGTAGTAAGGATGAAGCTTACAAATGGTTTGTAAATCAAATTTCCAAAAATTTGCACATATTTTTTACAGTTTCAGATCCATATAAGGACAACAAAATGAATTCACCTGCGCTATTTAACCGTTGTGTTATAGACTGGATTGGTCCATGGGATATTCCTGTTCAATATAGTATTGCACGAAAAATTTTGACTCAAGTTCCAGTTAACATATTTGATTTTAAAAATGTTGAAAAAAGCAAGTATTGGATTTTACCACAAAATCCATCCTCTATGTATGAAATATTAATTAACATTATGATACATTTTGATATAGACTTTTTCAAAATGGTCAAGCAATATGAACTATCACCCTGTTATTACCTGGATTGTATAGATATATTTAAAAATATATTTATGAGGGAATATCAGACTTTGGATGATAACCAAAGATTTATTACTAACGGTTTAAATAAATTGAATGAATCCGTTCTTAAAATGAAAGAAATGCAAGAACTTTTATCCAAAAAGCAAAAGATTTTAGAAACTAAAGAAAGAGAGGCTCGAAAAACTTTAGATACATTATTATATCAACAAAATGAATCCGAAAGGAAACAAGAAGCAACAGAAGAGATAAGGCAAATCCTTGTTGTACATGAAGAACAGACAATAAGGAGGCACGAAGAAATTCAAAAAGATCTTAGAGAAATTCAGCCTATAGTTGAATCGGCAAGACTAGGTGTTAGTAATATTAAAAAACAACACCTTACAGAATTAAAATCCATGAATAAGCCACCTAATATTATAAAAGTTGTATTAGAAGCTGTTTGTTTTTTATTAGGTTATAAATTTGATTCATGGAAAGATATTCAAGTCTTTTTGAGAAAAGATGACTTCGTATATGAAATTGTTCATTATGATGCAACGAAAATGATGAATAATAACACAAGAAATATACTAGAAAATAAATATTTATCTAATGAAAGCTTTAATTTTTCTTCAGTAAATCGTGCCAGCAAAGCGTGTGGACCACTGTACCAATGGTTATATGCACAAGCCAAATATGCAAATGTTTTAAAGAATGTCATTCCTTTACAAGAAGAAGCAAAACATACAAAACAAGAAATGCTGACAGCTAAAGCACGTCTTCTAGCTGCGGAGGAAATGGTAGAGGATTTAAAAGCTGATGTTGAATTATCCAAGCAAAAATATAGCAGTTTGATAAGGGATGTAGAGGTCATTAAAACAGAAATGGAACGTGTTAAAGGCAATCTAGAACGCTCCAGACTTTTGATAAGCAGTCTTAGTTTGGAAAAGGATCGGTGGTTATATTCAGTTAATTCATTTTCAAAAGATAAACGTGCTTTAATTGGAAATTGCTTAATCACTGCAATATATTTCTCATATTTTGGGCTATTAGATGAAAAACAAAGAAATATAATGCTTCATTCATTGTTTAATTTGATGAGTAAATGTTCTTTGGAATATTCTATTAGTTATAATTTTATAGACAGCAATGTGAAAATTGATGAAAAAACATTATGGATAGAAAATGGATTACCAAACAACGATTTTTATTTAGAAAATTTTTGTTTATTGATTAATAATCATGGATTAATACCATATTTTATTGATCCAGTTGGAGTAATTATGGATGTTCTAAAAAAACATTTTGGTACCAAGCTAGTTGTTATTAGCTTTTTAGAACCCAATTATTTAAAAAGATTGGAAAATTCTATCAAGTTTGGAAGTGTTACTATTATTGAAGATGGTGAATTTTATGATCCAGCATTAAATAGTATATTGTCTAAAGAATATCAAGTTGTCTCAGGTAGAACTATCGTAAATATTGCAAGTAAGGATATTGACGTGTCGCCAGAGTTTCAATTGTTTATTTGTTCCCGTGATCCTCATGCGAAGATTTCAAATTTTGTTAGAACAAGAGTTCGGAAAATTAACTTTGCTATTACTGAAGGAAGTGTTGAAATACAATCTCTTCGTCTTACACTAATGAAGGAAAGTCCAGAATTACTACATAAGAAGGAAGAATTGAATAGCATTAATAGTAAATATAAAGTTCGATTAAGAAATTTGGAAAAAGACTTACTAGAAACCTTAAATGATTCCGAAGGGAATATATTAGATAGTAATGATTTAATTAATACTCTAGAGAATATCAAACATGAGTCACAAAATATTGAAAATAAAGTCAAAGAAACTGATAAATTGATTGCCACATATAATAAAACTACCGAGAAATATGCTCCACTTGCAGGACATTGTACCAGAATTTTTGCAATTATAAAGCAGTTTAGTTCTTTGAGTTGGTTCTTTAACATACCGATAGAACAATTTATGCAAATATTTGAATCAATCTTTGCTCATCCAGAATGTAAGGAATCGGCAGATATAAATAAAAATATGGATAATTTAATAAAGCTTTTGTATAGAAATATCTATTCAATGCTTTCAGTAAACTTTGACAAGATATCACAAAAAATTTTAGCAAGTTTGTTATATTTGACTTACATTGACAATACTTCTGACGCAAATAACACCCTAATTGTATTAAAAATTTTAAAATGCTTTGCCAGTCAGGAAGAAGACACTTTTAATCTGTCAGATAAAATTACTTATGATAATTATTATCATAATAGGGAAATATCTAATTTAATCAAACTTTTTAGGGACAGGAAGTTCATGGAAATATTTTATGAATTCCAATCATTATTTGGTCCGGAAGATAATCTTACTGATTTATTGTTTCATTCTAGCGATTGTCCAATAATTATGGCCAATGGACTTAATGAGGACGGATCAATTGAGTTTGAACGTTTGGCACACATGAATAATAAAAAATTAATAACTATTCCATTGGGTTCCATTGAAAATACACAAATCATAGAAATGGAGATTAATCAAAATGCATATTCTGATATGTGGATTTTATTACAGAATATTCATTTATCAGCATCGTGGGTGGAAGATTATTTAGTAAAAACTGTAGAAGAAATTGACAATATTAAAGATAAGAGAAAACTGAAAGTTTTTATGACTTGTAGTTTAACTAGTAATCCTTTGCCTTTCAAATTACTAGAAAAATCTTATAAATACGTTTACGAAGGTAATGTTAAGATATTAAAAATAGTGAAAACCCTCTGGCTGAATGATGAATATAAAAATTTTGTAAAGGAAAGAACCTTCAAAAGTGATGAGATTGCAAGCTACTGTAATAATATAAGATATCTATTAACGTGGCTACATTCCATCTTTGTCGTGAGAAGTCGTTTGTCACCATATGGATTTACTAAAAGATATGATTTCAATATCTTTGACTATAAGTCTGTGCTATTTTATCTCCAAGCGTTATTAAATAATTTTGAAAATGAAGAAACCATTACATATTTAATAAAATACTATGTTAAAGAAATCATTTATGGTGCAAAAGTAGATGTTGCTGAAGATAAGAAAATAATAAACTCAATTTGTGAAGAGGTATTAACTCCAGAAAATATTCCAGAAAAAGATAAGGTTCTTAAATTGCCATTATTACAATCTACTGAATATACCTTGGAAAAAATAAAAACAACATTGGAGACATTAGAGGAGCCGCTTGATTTTATAACCTCATGGTTGGGGATTTCTTCAGAATCTATCGAAAATCATGATAAAGAACAAGTAAGGATTATTGCAAAAAGCATTTTAAATATTTATGAAAGATGTAATGATTAGTTGTTTTTGATAGATTATGTGTAAATTAAATCATTATTTTCTTCTTGTAAAACTCTAATGAGGAAACCAAGTCTTGCAAAAAATGCATTTAAAATCTTTCATCTTTATTATTTTTTTATTTACTTTTTTTGAAAAAAAAAAGATCAAGGTTATTCTGATCAAACCTAGCCAAAAATAGTCAAGCTGCTACATGGAATATTATATAGGCATACTAAATAGTATTTTAAAATTGCATTTCAAGAATATCTTGAAAAAGAAGCATATTCAAAAAATTACTAGCCATCATTTACGGTTAAGTTTTATTGTTTTTTGATCGAATTTCTTCATTTAAAATTTTATGTTGTTCAACGTAAAGCCAAACTGCTGAAGTAAAATATAACGTTTAAAACCAGTTTCCTTACAGTTACCTGGTAAAATAAACAAATATCTACCAAAACATATTCGACCAAATCTGTTGAAATGAGTTTATAGATGTATGTAATAATCTAGATTTTTTGTACCCAATAACTGAAAATTTTATAACAGTATATAAAAGAAGAGTTAAAATAAAATGTGTTTTAATGTATATTAGTTATATATGTATATTAAGTATATAAAATAGAATAAAGCAAGTAATACAAGAACAACTTATAGTGCCACCCATATCATATTATAAGTTTATATTATTTTATTACATTAATCTAAAATGAATGTTAATAAAATATTTGGTATTGAATCCTTACGTCGAAACAATAAATACACAATTTGAAATATCAATCATTGATTGTTTATGCTATTTTGCTACTGTTTTTATTTAAAAAACATGCCCAATAAACTGTTTTCAGTGATGGTACACACCATATAGATTTACCTAAAACCCATTCTACGAAACAAGACTTACCTTAAAAAGCAGTTTCGTTGCAGAAAATTTAACCGTCAACTTTTTTTGATAGAAAAAATTGGATATTATAATTCAAGTAATACAATTTCTATCATTATAAAAGAATTTATTGGGCAAAACATAAGCTTTTTTTTTTGGATAGTTTCTTTAGGATATTACTACGATAGTATTATATGGAATTCTCCAAGTTTTTAGTTTTTTGCACTAGTATTTCTTTAATATTTAAGCAATATTTACTTAATAGACACATTACACAAAAAAAATAATTCATTGTTTTTCTCTTACGTTACAAAAAAACTTAGGTTTTTTTTGTCACTTCTAATTTTTAGTTTTTTTCATATATTCTTCAAATAGGGTTTGATATAAATTAGTTTGTCATTAATTGTGTTTCTTTTTTTTTTTTTTTCTTTTTGTCTCATCGGTGATTTTTCCTCGTTTATTTCTATACAGTTTGTTTTATTCTCTTTTGCTTTTGCAGCTACCTACAATGAAAAAACACCCAGTATTATACGAAATCCATAATACAAAAAACGCCGACCACGATAACGTAGTTGAGAAGTGGAGATTTATATCAACGCATACATATTATTTTATTGTGAAATGATGCAAAAAAAAATAGTGACATAAAACAGATCATCAAATAGTAAAGTATATATGTGTATTAAAATATTAATGTAAAATATAAGCAACACATTAAATAAATACACAACAGAGTTCTTGTATATTCATTCATAACCTCATCATTGTACTACACGCTCTTCCTTCTTTATAATATCATAATTTGAACATTAAGAAGCTTTATACAAAAAGTATATATACATATATATATATTTGTATTTCTTCATAAAGTAATATCAAGAGCAATAATATGAGTGGAACAATTGAAGTGGTTTCCACTCCAAAACAACTACAACAACTACAACAACAAAAACAAAAACAACAACAACAGCAGCAGCAGGAGCCTTATGATATTTCTAAGGAAGGAAATATTTTGTTAGATCCTGGAAACCATGATCCAAGTCACTTTAAAAGTAAGATGTCTAAAATAAGGTTTCAATTTAGACAGTATATGACAAAATTTACAGATCATCAATCAGAATATTTAGCTGAATGGCAAAGGAAACATTCTTCTCCGTTCAGAGATTATTTTTTCCCATATACTGCATTAATGGGATCACATACATTTTATGTTATTTTTTTACCGATGCCTGTATGGTTTGGTTATTTTGAACAAACAAGAGATTTAGTGTATATTCTTGGTTATTCCATATATCTGAGTGGATTTTTAAAAGATTATTGGTGTCTTCCAAGACCCAAATCTCCACCAGTGAAAAGAAGTACACTAAGTAAATATACAGCGAAGGAATATGGTGCGCCAAGTTCACATTCAGCTAATGCCATGGGCGCCACCATGTATTTTATATATTATATTTGGGATTGTTCAAGTTTCAACATATTTCTTAAGATGTGCTACACTGGATTTGCTATATTATATTACATGACATTAGTCATTGGAAGAATTTATTGTGGTATGCATGGTTTCTTAGACATAATATCAGGGTCCATATGTGGGGCTGTATGTTTTGGTACGAGAATGTGGTTACGTTACATTTTCAGGGACTTCCGTAGTGGAGAGTATGTTTCGTTCCCAGTTATCAGTGTAACTATCGGATTACTACTGCTATATAAACATGTTAAACCCATTGATGAATGCCCATGCTTTGTTGACAGTGTAGCGTTTATTGGTGTTATATCAGGATATGAAGTCGGAGATTGGGTTCTACAGAGATACAATATGGATTTATATTGTAGCAAATTTAATCAGATTGGGATGTCTATCATTTTAAGACCGTTAATTGCAGTCCCGTTTATTATTATATGGAAAGAATTACTGAGCAAGAAAATTATTTACACGTTTTTAACAAAGGTGTTAAGATTAACAGACGATAGAGCTTCAGTTATTAAAAAGCGTAAAGAAATGACAAACAGCCATGAATGTACACCCTATATAGGAGAGCCAAAAATTGAAATTCTGGGAAGATTTCTTATATATTCCGGTATTCCAATGATTACAATTATATTAGCTCCACTAGTATTTAGAATGATTGGTATTAAATAAGTAGATACAAGAGTAGATGACTAATTAACTAAGTTTTCTTTTTGTTATTATTTTTTATTTTTTCTTTCCCTTAACGCTTTCTTCTTTTCTTTTGGTTTAATTATTTTATTTTTGCCTGTAATTAAGCAAAAAGAACCAAACATAAATAAAATATCCATGAACCAACAGTCATAACACAATATTTTACATGATAAAGTATTTCCTTCTAACTAATCTACTCCACTCTTTTCTAGATTTTTTGTTAAGAATATAAAACTTCTTTATACTCATAACATAACCTTACTTATGTTTTACTTACTTATACATAGTATGGAAATAAAGAAAAAGATTACTATTGATTATTAAGATGAGGAATCTTGCTTACTAATTGTAAAAAGGCTTACACATTTACACCCTACGAATGCATTTATTATTCACTCAACCTGATCGATTAGTAACATAGTTTACTAAACTGTAGTAATGATTATAAGAAAAAAAAAAGGAAATTAATAGTATGATTTTTTTTTAAAAAAAAAAATAAATAAAAATAAAAAAAGAGAAAACAAATCTATTCTGATGGATTAAGCATGATTGACATAGAAGATGTTGGTATTACAAACATACGAAGATAAATCAAACTCTCTAATAACGCGAATACTATTTATTTACAGGGATTATCTTTTGCCATCGCCATCATAGTTAATTGTTTATCCTTTTTTTTTTATTTTCATTTTTTCTATCTAAATCTTACTGTTGTTGTTATTTATTGGTTTCATCTTAGTTTTATATATCTTAGCCCTATAAAAAAGAAAAGGCATACACACATAATTTATTCTCGAGTACATCTTTTTATATTACAATCGTGTTTCTGAACAAAAAAAATCCCTATTTTTCCATGTCAATTTGAAAATCACTGAAAATAATAACAAAATGCTGTTTCAGACCTTCATTCAGAAAAAAATAATCACAATTTTTAACTGGAATTAGTCTCCTTACCCTAACTCCCTCCATCACAAAAGAAAAAAAATGAAATAGCCAAGTTTTCCTTTTTTCCTTTTTTCCTTATTTCTTTGAGAAATTCTGAGAAATTCCGACACCCCTGTTTTTATTATTATTAGTAGTATTAGTATTTTTTTTTCTTTTTTCTTTTTTTCATTGCTCGAGTTCTCCAAAAAAGAAAATTTTTTTTCTTTTATTTTTTTGCCAGTTTTTCCAAGTTCTCTCTCATTTGGTATTGTTTTGTTTTATTTTGTATGATTATTTCTATCCCCATTCCCCACGACGATGACACGCCTGTTATTATCGCCTATATTACTAATCACCAATTACTAAAACAGACAAACAGACAAAAGGAAAATGAACAAAATGAACAAATTGAACAAAAACGAAAAAATTTGACTTGAGTCCCGCCAGGAGGACAATATTTGATACATTACTAGGTTTTGTATAAGAAAAGCCTTTGTGAACTCGAAGGAGATACACATATACGCACACACACACACGCACATATATATATGTATATGTTCATGTGTAGTATATGATATGCAGTATACGATATATATTTAAATTATTATTCTTGCTCCTGACTAGTACATTCCAACAACATCCCTTGTATATATATATTTTTTTGTTTTTCACAGATTCTCAAAAGAAGCCTTGGCGAAAGATCCATTAACTGAAATAAACTACATAAATTATTGTTACTGCCGTGAAACATTTTTTTATTTTTTTAGATAAATAATTTAACCCAAATTCTGTAAATATACATTAATTGCCTGTTTGTCTATTAAATATATTTTATTCAATTATCTCCTTCTTTTGATTTTATTTTATTTTATATTTTTTTAGAATATTTATCATTGCACGTAACAAAAACCATATACTCTATTCCCTATGACTTTGAGTGTTTCTGATACTAAATCCAAAGCTGACAACATGTCTTCTGCTTCTGCTTCATCCTCCTCTTCCTCCCCCTCTTCTTCTTCCCACCTTCCTCCACCACATACATCTCCTTCATCTTCCAAGGAAGAAGAAATAGACTATGAAGCATTACCTTCGTCTGCTCCCTTACATTACCAGTTATTGGCAGGTGCATTTGCGGGAATCATGGAACATTCTGTCTTATTTCCAATTGACGCAATAAAGACTCGTATTCAATCATCTGTAACTTCCAAAATATATTCCGGTAGTAACCTGCTATCTCAGATATCTCGTATCTCCACCGTGGAGGGCTCTCTGGCACTGTGGAAGGGAGTGCAATCCGTCATCCTAGGCGCAGGGCCAGCACATGCCGTATATTTTGCTACTTATGAATGGACAAAGAAGACACTTATAAGTCCTGAGGATATCCAAACTATTCAACCCTTGAAAACAGCAGTAAGTGGCGCTACTGCCACAATCGCTGCTGATGCTCTAATGAATCCATTCGATACAATAAAACAAAGAATTCAATTGCAAACAAACTCCTCTGTTTGGCAAATAACAAAATCAATCCTGAAAAATGAAGGTGTTTCCGGATTTTATGTCTCATATCCAACCACTTTATCCATGAATATACCCTTTGCTGCATTCAATTTTATGCTTTATGATACAACTACTAAGTTATTGAACCCTTCCAATACATATAACCCATTTATCCATTGCATTAGTGGTGGGATTAGTGGTGCCCTTGGGGCTGCCTTGACTACACCTTTGGATTGCATAAAGACTGTATTACAAGTTAGGGGTAGTAAGTCTGTATCAATGGATATCATGAAAAGAGCAGACACCTTTACAAAGGCTGCCAGAGCTATATACCAAGTCCATGGTTGGAGAGGATTTTGGAGAGGTTTAACCCCAAGAACTATATCCTTTATTCCAGCTACTGCCATCTCTTGGACCTCCTACGAAATGGCCAAACATTTTTTGATTAGAGAATAACCGTATTTTAATGCGGTCTCAAGAGTAGCATATCCTTTTTTTTTTCATCATAGATGTTATTGGTGAGTTTGTTTAATTGTTTACTTCATTTCTTACTCTTTCCTTCATTTTGTTTTCATGGATTTAATTTAAGTTATTACCCTTTTTTTTTTTATTTTGTTAGTACCATATCTCCATCATTGCATTATTATTACTAATACTTGATATACAATTTTACAGCAAAAAAAAATGAAGAAGAGAACATAGACAAGTAGACATCTTTGAAGCAATGCATATATTCATTATCACTAATAATTATGAAATAGCTAAGTTTGTATTACTTTTTTTTTTTGGTTTTTCTTTATTTCTTGAAGTGAATGCTTCTATATGTACATATTTGATCATGAAACATTCATATATTATTAATAAACTAAAATTAGTATATGTACATAAATATATATATATATACTCACAACATGAGCTTTAATATGCATAATGATAGATACTTGGATATTTCAATATATACTCCAATCAATATTAATATTACAATCAAGAGTAGCAGAAATTATTGTTACACTATAGTATGGTTGTTACTATTACTATGTGTCCTAACTTCAATCTCATTTCGTAAAGACATTATTTGTTCTGTATACTTATGTGATTGTGGGTTCCATTCAACAGGGTAATTTTTATCTTCAGGTAAATACCTGTTGTTTGTATCAAATAAATTATCGATCCATTGCTCTTCTTTGACGTTAGTATTATCTGTTTGCTTATTGTTTTGCTCTAAGAACTCTTGCCTATCTGTTATGCTTCCATAATTAACCCAATATGTGTCTTGTCCATTATTTGCAAAACGTAATCCCTTATTTAATCGATCCATATTAGTCATCAAATTGTTTATGTGTGTCATTGAGGTACTCTCACTAGGCAAGAAATTTCTAAAATTATAATATGAATCACCAATGAATAAAGTCTGTTTAAAATCCCAAATTAAATCCCCTCCACCAAAACAATCTCTAATAGAATACCAAAGTTTCATTCTAGCACTATTTGGCATTGCTTGCAAACAGTAATCTGTCCATGGAAATGCTAAAAAATGTAGTATTGCAAACCCAATCATTTCAATACAAAGTAGCCCATTTTGATATATATAAGGTACATTTTCACCATTTATCTCACTATCTATATGTAACTTACCTGTAAAACTTAGGAATTTAAGTATCATTCCTTGCCAATATGAAGCAAAAATTATTAATTTCACACACATAAATTTCATCCATGGTTTATACTGTTTTAAATCATCATATAAACATTTCCAAAATAGAGCCAGATTGTATAAAGACCATGTTACAGACATATTATACAAAATCAGTAACCAAACTTCAACACTGTCCCACTGATAAATCTCACATATTAGAAGAAAGAAACAATAAAATGGTTTAAACCATACATATTGTAAAACTCCCCTTTTAACACTTAGGAATGAATAAGGGTTAGATAAATCAATATTACCATATAGAAATGGCAATATATGTCGTACAGGTCTTTTGCCAATTGATAACTCTGTAATAATTTTTCTTTCTCCACCTAATATAAATGTTAAATAAGAAAAGAATGTATAAATAACAAATGCTTCATAAAATTCTCTAATAAAATCCAAATATATTTTAGTAAATGATGGATTTAGAGTTGCCATAAGACAAGTAACACTAAATATAGGTACTAATAACAGAATTCGTATAACTAGTCTTTGTTCATGTGGTTTTCTATAATTTAGAAAATGTTGAAAAATGCTGTATAAAGATATTAACAATGATAGAGAACAAATTATATTACATGGCCATTGCCACCATATGGGTAGATGAATATTATGTCCATCTTCACTCAGCTTCATGGATATTGCTTTATTATATTCTTGATTGACCCATTTATGCTTGTCATTTGTCTCTTATTAACCCTGACAATAATTATTTAACGTTATTTATATTTGACCTTAAAGATCATTAAAAAAATTAAAAATAAAAAAAAAAAATAAAACTAAGACATAACTACTTTATTAAAAAGATATTTAATACTTTCTGGATTGATAAACATGGCTGAGAAATCAAGAGTTTTAGAAACAAAAACAGTGTATGTTGTTAACTGACTTACTATCAGCAGTGGCTTAGAGGATTATGACGTCATTCCTTAAAAATAAAGTTAAAATGTCTACTGTTGATGTTAATCTGTTTGTGCCATGGAAGCAGCCCTTTTAACTTTTTGAAAATTTCTTTTCGTTTGGTAATATTTCTTCCTGATATAACTATTCATGGCATCTCCATGAGTCTGAGTAGAACTATGGAGTGTATGTTTGTAATGCTTACTCTTTTTATCTTCGATTTTTTCAATCTGCCTTAGTTTTTCTGTTGGTAGGATAATTGCACGATCCAACGAATATGGAAGGCCTCTATTTCTTCCGCGAATTAGCATGGCAATTATAACCAATTTGGAAATAGTATTAAATTGAGCAGATAACGATGTAGTGGTACCGGGGTAACCTAATGATAATCCTACTGTACCATATGCACTGACAATTTCAAAAAGAATAGAAAATACATTCAATGCAGGCATATCAGGATTTTGTATCTTCCCACTTTCACAAACACACACAATAAATAAACCAAGAAATAAATACCACAAATCAAAGGAGAGTTGTCTTCTTAGATGTGCACCAATGAATGACCTTGTTGTCAATGGTTTTTGCCTTCGCTTTTCTATTTTACTTTTGTGTACTTTTTTGCTTTCGTTATTAATATTGGTTTCAACCGAATTGTTACTTGTATTTATTGTGTTAGAAACCTCGCTATCACTTGTTCCGTTACTGGTTTCATCAAGGTCTTCCAAATCTGTGATACTACTATATATCCCCAATGATTGTTCTTCGTATACATTTGTCCTTCGAATGGAGATAGCCAATGGCAGTACTGAAACGTACATCATTAACATATAAGAAACCTGAATTGACGGATGCAGTGCTGCAATGTCGACAACATTAAAACCAGCTGTTCTAGTACAAACAGCTTGAAACAACCCAGCCAAGACTGCTATACCTTTAGGTATCTCATTTATTGGCGGGGAATTTAGATCTAGTACAATAAATAATATCCAGTCAGTGAAATTCAATGCTACTAAAGTCAAAAGTAACCACCATGTTGCTGCACTCGGAAATAATAATGTAAAACATCTTCTTGGATGATCTAATAAAAATCCTAAGCTCTCTCTTGATGAGGAAAAGTCAGGAGATATTTTATAAAGTACCCAAATTATGAATCTTAATAAAATTGGAAAACCTGTGTTTCCTATGATTATAAACCACATTAATATGATTAGAACATATATTGCATTTTGGAATGATATCATAGAATTATTTGTTAATGCTAATCCAAGGTCACAGAAGGAACTCATTGAAGTGAAAATGGCCCACCATATTGGGTTTATATGTTCTAAATCTAATAAGTTCTTATAATACTTCTTTAGACTAATCCAAGGTATTAGCATAACAACACCACAAATATGACAACCAATATAATAAATTAAAAGAATAATACAAAGTAATTTAATAGCTCTGTATTCTACACCACCTAATTCGTTTCTTTGTTCCTTAGTTAGCCCAATAAAAACAGAATTTCTACCATAGCTTGGTTCCCAAGAAACATAATTTGCACTCATCAAAGTATTCGATCTTGGAAAATTTATCTCTTCATCTATTCTTTGATTATCGTCATTTTCTATTTCGTCTACACTTGTTTTATCTATATTTTGACCAAATATATTACTATGTCCAAAAAAATTATTCTCATGTTTTCTATTTGAGAATTGATTAATTTTGTATCTCTGTCGAAGAGTTGTTTGATCAGATGAATCTATATTGCTAATTGAAGCTTTTAATCTTTTGTTTTTTATATAGTCCATTCTTAAGCTAGGAGACATTGATAGAATATTAGTTAATCTCTTCAATCTTGTATTTCTCTTGTTTTGTTTTTTCCTTTCGTTAGATAAGGATTGCTTTTTTTCTTTTGAAGATTGAACTAGTTCAAACCGGAGCTCACTAGGTTTATTTTGTGTATAATTTGTTGTATTTTTTTTATACTCTTGGCTTGATGAACCTACTTCGTAAGGCTCAATATTTGAATCATAAGTGCTGCTTAGAAATGTTGAATTGTTCGAAGCAATAGGCTTACTTGATATATCTGAATATGAAGTTGAATCCTGATAGAGGTCTTGGATTACTGTATTGGAGAATGGCTTATTCATAACATAATTTGAAACTTCGGGCTTTAATATCGAAAATTTCTTATTATTAAGTTTATTATTACTAGAATGATTGTTTATAATCATTGAATTGGAGGGTGAATGCTGTTCATTTGGTGGCAAAACTACATAAATTTGCGAACCACTTTTTTCTTTATTTCCGTTTATTGATGAATCAAGAATAGCGATGCTATCATTTATTTCCAAAGTATCTTTATTTACTATTTTATTATTATTGATATCTCTTTGTCTCTGTAGTATGCCAATTGATTTAAGCATTAATTCAAGAGGTATATCCTTTTCAGATCTATGCCTAAAAATTTCAATATCCTTTTTCGTACATTTCTCGAACCGAGAATCAATTAATATATTATCACTAATAGAAATATTACTATTACTCTTGTTATTAGAATTCTTTGATATTTCATCTAATGGAGACAATTCTTCTTGATAATTACTGTTCACCCTTGATAGGGTTTTGTGGATAATTGTTTGAGGTTTAGTTTTTAAACTTTGCAAAGTCATTGTTCTTCTTCTTAAAAAATCTTGCTTCGACGTATATTTTATGTTATCGAAATATCGTTCAAACCAATATAACCTAATGAAAGCCAACGATCCATGGATGAAGATTGGTGTTGCTAGACAGCACATAATGTAAATAATAATTTGTTGATATAGAGTAAGATTATTTGTTGGGATAGTGTTTAATCCACCTTGTGTTACTGCTCCTGCACTGGTAAATAAAATATCAATATAGGATTGATTATGAATTGGATATAAAAGAAAAGACGTAATAAGTGTCATTGTAATAATATAAGTGTAGTGGACGACGATAAAATTAGGAAACAAAATATTACATATGGGTTTTAATCTGCTATGTATAATTCCAATAAAATCTCTTATTTTATGGCTCAAACCTTTCTTATATTCAATTCCTGCCTGTGGCCAGAACGATATTCTTCTACTAAAACTCCGGATCATTATTTTTCTTAATCTTTTTTTTTTTGGAATAATTGGCTTTGAGCCTATTGAACATAAAATCAATTCAACGAATGATTTTCTATATAATACTGATTTATTTGTGTTACAAATAAATGATTAATAGGAGATAATATTATCCGAAAGTTCAAGACTCAGCATATTATTGTATAATGATTTGCCATAAAATTTAATAGCGCCATTTCACTTTTTGACAATCTTTTTTTCCCTTTTTCTTCCTACAAACTGTTTTTTTTTTTGGAGAAAAAAGAAATTGATAAAAATAAAAATTAGAACGATATATAAAACAGAAGGAATGCTGTTTTCATTAATATATATAAAAAAAACACAGGATCTCCGCAACCCCAACTAAGGGGTTGGTTTAGATAATTATTGAATTAAGCATACTAATCTTCTTTACACAGAGCTGGTAAAACGAATATAAAAATCATGTCGATGTTTAGAACTTTGCAGAAACAAACACGGATAGTAACACTATTTGCCCATGACTTAGAAGTTAATAAAGTTGGTTCTAAGATACTAGAGTATTTAAAGAGTGATACCTCGAATAAATTCACAGTAGAAATATCGACACGTTTCCCAACTCAAGACCAATTAAAATATATGAATCAATTTGACACAGATGGCATTTTGGGACAACAAATTAAGTCCTTGGATACAGTAATGAATTTACCATCATTTGACTCTATATATGGATTGTCATTAAAAGACAGCATAAAGAGAGGTATTTGGAACCCAAAAAATTCATTATGGGTTGACTGGGAAAGACAACGATTGGGAAATAGCATCATATCTGTTAAAGAATATTTAAAAAATTTAGAGGCTGCTAAGGATGTAGAATCTAGGCTTTAAACCACACTTTCCCAAAAGGAAACAAGTATTTAAAAGTAATTGAAGGCTAAAAACAAAAAGATCCAATCTTCAAAAGTATTGTCCTTTACGTAATCTAATAATATATTTGGCTCTCCATGTATTCATAATATATATACATGTATATATCCATGTTCATTTCTTTTTTATATTCTTTTAATACATACCTCTATCGATATACCTTATTTGCAAAAGTGATAATATAATCCCATTGAAGTATGAGTGTGTAACTGGATCAAATGGGTCTGATGTCTTCGAAGAGAGTGGTATATAACAATAATCCTCTAACCGCTGAGATGCACTGCTGCATTATAAAAAATACCAAAAAGATTCTCCACAGCTCTCTTTGAAGTCACTAAAAGAAAAAGAAAAAAATTAAAATGAAAGAAACTCTATATAAGTAGTATATAATTTACCCTCTTTTTATCCGGATTAGGAAAAAGAAAATTTTTTTTTTTCTATCTTTCTTGGGAAAGTTTTAATGAAAGAAAGTATAAAATTCTAATAATGATACATTGTTCGTTCAGTTTGAATTGGCTTGAAACCATCTTCCTAATTGTTTTTAAAATACAATATTGTATACTAGTGGAGAGTTACTGAAAATACATATATAATCAACGTGATATAAGCACATCATACAAATACGTGTTTTAAAAAAGTCATGACATCACCAATTAAGACCAATACCAAACCAAAATCATCTATGAAAATAGATAATGCACCAACCCCACACAATACCCCTGCTAGTGTTTTAAATAACAGTTATTTGAGAAATGGAAATCCAGTTAAAAGCAATAATGATATTCCAACCACAATTAGTGAAGAAGATTTGCAAAGCGCGTTAGAAAATGTTAGTTTGGAAGAGAAGAGACATGCAATTAAAGAGGGAAATCCATTAAATGATCCAAATGTTTCTAGTCTTTTATTTCAATCTATTCAAGACAAGCTAGGTGATTTGATTGGCACAGACAGTGGATATTTGGACAATTTGTCGAATTCTGTTAAGGAAAGGATCCTAGGTTTAAAAAGTTTGCAAGTTGATTTATATGATTTAGAGAAACAGTTTCAGATTGAAATGTTTGAACTGGAGAATAAATATTTAAACCTTTATAAACCTTTGTACGAAAAGAGGTTTGAAATTGTTAATGGTTTGAAAGAACCAACAAAGGAGCAAATCATGATTGGACAGGAAAATGAAGACAGAATAGAAATATCTTCGGATAACTATAAGGATAATAAGAGTGATAATGAATCTAAGGATACTGTTAAAGGTATTCCTGCATTTTGGTTAACAGCATTAGAAAACTTGCCTATTGTTAATGAGACAATTACAGATCGTGATGCAGAAGTATTAAATTATTTGGAAGATATTAGAATTGAATATCTAACTGAGGGAAAACCAGGATTTAAATTAATCTTTAAATTCAATACTAAGGAAAATCCATTTTTCACAAATGAATATTTAGTCAAGACTTATTATTACCAAAGTGAGTTGGGCTATTCTGGTGATTTCATATATGACCATGCGGAAGGTGATGTCATTAATTGGACCAATAATGCATCTAATGTTACTGTTGAGGTAGAAATGAGAAAGCAAAGAAATAAGACAACAAAACAAGTTCGTACTATTGAGAAATTAACACCAATTGAATCCTTTTTCAACTTCTTTGATCCACCAAAGATGAATATTAATGCCAACGGTACCAATGATGAGGATGAGGATGAAGATAGCGATTTAGAAGCAAGATTGGCATTGGATTATTCTATTGGTGAACAATTGAAGGATAAATTGATCCCAAGGGCTGTAGATTGGTTTACTGGTACTGCTTTAGAATTCGAATATGATGAAGGCGTAGAAGATGAAGAAGATTATGACGAATATGATGAAGATGAACAAGAAGGAGATGACAACGATGATGATGATGAGTCGGATGATTTTGCACAAACATCTACTGGAAAAGCAGGTCAAGAAGCTCCAGAATGTAAACAATCATAGAGGATTACAATTTATTTTAAAAATGGGCAGAATATATTATTTTTTTAAGAAGGTGGCACAATAGGAAATTACAAAGCAATAAATAGATACGCTATATATATTATTAATACTAATTATTATTATTTAGAAAGTGATTTTCCTAATTGATACTACTTTCTTATTAATTGGTAAAAAAACTTTTTTTTTTGTACTTTTCTGGTTTTAATGGTTTTTTATTGCCTTTCCATATCATGGAAAATATAGTATATTAACATTATTTCAATTTATTATTTTTAAAAAGATTGCTTATTACTAAGGATTCTCAGGACATTTAGCATATTCGGGACATTCTTTAATTAACCCCGAGTGTATAGCATAGTTCTATTGTAACACTAGACCATCCAAAAGGGGTAATAATTAGGGCAGTGGAAGATTCTGCTAAAAATAATAAACAATAAAGAAAAACGAAAGCTGTTGCAAAAATATAAAACAAAATAAAAAAAAAAAAAAAACGGAGGGAGAAAAATAATTGATCATTTACTTTACAAAACAAAAGATGTAATATAAAATAATATAATAGATTATTTACAATAATCTTTCATTGTGTGGCATTTATGGTTGCCTATTTTATTTGTTCATATTACAATAAAAAAGCTGATAGAGATAGTGAAACACAAAATAATAATAATAATAATAATAATAATAATAATAATAATAATAATAATGTCCCTAATGATTTGTGTGATAAAGAATAAAAGAGATGTTTATTTGTTCTGTTCTTGTCATCTCTTCCCTCGAATGCAGAATATTTTTAGACAAAATCTGAACAACAACTGGCTATCATTATCAACATATAGATAATTAAAATAAATAAGTAGAATAAATAAGCAAATATTGGTATATGAATGGTATTTAATAGTATAACTAGCAATTGTTTACTTTGACCAAAAATAAAAAGTAATTAAAAACATTACAACCAGGCGTTCCAAGATGAAAAGAGGGGGCGGGGCGGGGGAGGGGGGATCAAATTATTTTAAAAAATCTTGTTGTCAATTCCATATTTCATATATCTCATTGTTTCCAATCATCTAATAAATATTATAAATAAAAGCATCTTTTTTAATTTAATTCTTTTTTTTCTTTTATCTTGTCGTTTTATTTTAATTTTTTTTTCCTTGCTTTTTTTAATCATTGCACCTTTAACTTCTTTCTTCTAACAGAGTGACGTAGCAGGACATTCTTTTACTATTATTACCTAGTTTGTTCTTTATTTGACATTATATTTATATTTATATCTAATATTTAGTTATGTCGAAGAAAACCCACAGCCATAACAGCAATACTATTAAAAACAAAATTAATACGAATACTGAACCTCCTACTAATGGTTCTGTCGGTACTGTTCCTATTATCAATCCCGAATTTCAATATTCCATGACTTCATCAAATACTTATAACGCTGTCCAGAATACTGATAAGAAACATCATTCTGCTACTTTAAATGAAATTAGTAAATATCCAATAGTTAAAGACACTCTAAATAGATTGAATAATTTACCCTTATTTAAAAAATTGTATAATCAAACTTTAGTTATTTCTGAAAATATTTGGAAATCAAACAATTTTTTACAATCAAATAATTTTATACAAAATATATTCCAAAAAATATTGACTTTTTTAACTAAATTAGATAATTTGTTAGCTATTTTGATCTTTAATAAAGGTATCGATAATTTTATTGACACGTTAAATAATAAAAAGAATGGAACTTTTGGTATTTGGATTTTATGGTTTTTTATTGATTATTTGGCTAATTGTTCAAACCATATCCTTAAAGAATTAGTTATGAAGCCATTGAACCTATCTTATAATACTAAGCCACCAGCTACATCCTTTTCATCCGATAATACAATTAATAGTAACAACACTTTACCACACCTAACTGAATTAACTTCTACTACCCTAAATTTGTCTAAAGATATTCAAAACAAAGTGCACAACGATATATTAGAACCAACGAAAGATAATATTAAGAAACACTTTGATTTATACATAAAACCGACTGTAGACCAAGCAAAGGAAACTTATAAAACTGTATCTGATAAATACGAGGCAAAACTGAAAGAAAATGATAAATCTATACCCAAGACTATTTATTCTACTGGTTTGGACATCGGCAATGAGACTATTGAAAAATTAAATAAATTTACCCATAAAAACAAAGTCGAAATCTCTACAACAAAAGATTGAGATAAATTTATATCCTTTTAATAGGATATCATTGTTTTGTATTATTGTTTCAATTTTTTAACTTCTTTTTTACACACATACACATACACACTCTCTATATATATACTTGTACAGATTCAAGTACATAAGAAAATCTATATACCTACCTATTTGTCTAATGAAAAATTTACATTTGTTGGATATTTGTTTATTTGTTTATTTTTCTTCAATATAACGTTTCACTTCTATTTTTATAAATTTCTTAGAAATATAAATCAAAAAAAAGTAAAATAAAATAATACAAAATAAAATAACATATATATATATATAGAGCTTTACACATTATACAATTATATTCGATAATAATAATACTTTTGATTAAAGATAAGTGGTTGAAATTTTTTGAATAAATTAAAAATATTTAAAAACAAAGACTTTTTCATTTAAATTGTTCCCTGTAGAAAATAAAATATAGATTAATAACCATAGGGGTATAATGAGTCCTAGAAATAAACTTATAAATAATAACATTATAAATAATATTAGTCATAATAGTAATAATGAGGATAATGTAAAACAAATGAATACGAAAACTAATAGTAGTGGGAAGAAAAACAAATTATCCTTCTGGATGAGAAAGATTATCTTATCAACTAACACTAATAACACCTCCTCCTCTTCTTCTCCTGTAATGAATAATAGTGGTTATGGTTCCAAAAATGAACTTCGAAATGGTACAACTCTTCAAAAATCTAAAAATAATTCTCGATTTAGCAAAGGTATTGAAAACAACCCTTTGGATGTTCGACTCGATAAGAATAGTCGAGATGTAGAAAAAAATAACAGAAATTATGATAATAATATAGATAGTGATTTAGGGAGTTCAGACGTATACACTACAACTACAAATTTATCGATTAAACCAATTTTTCATAAGGATGATTTAAACATTAATACTGTTGAATCAATATCAAATGATACTTTGACTACAATGACCAATTCAATAAAGAAATTACAATGGGATAATGAACCAGAAAGATGTAAAACTGAGAATATAACAACAATTAACAATAACACTACTAATGCTAATACTAATAATACTAGTAATAATGATATTTCCTCGATGATTCCCATGATTTCATTTTATTCAGCATCTGTGAGATCGCCTTCAATGTTTTCAGATATTAATTCAATTCAATCAACTAGACCCACTATTATGTCAATAAAAACTATGGAAACAAATTCCAGTGTTATGGCAATCCCCCCTGCAAGTATAATTGATAGAGCAAGACCGACAAGTAATCCAGAGTCTTCAATACCTCATAGTTCATAGTGTGGAAATATACGAATATGCATAATTAATTATTTACATATAAATCTATATATATGTGTGTATATGAGTGCATATAAATGCGTGTATGTGAACATGCACTTCATATCTACTCTAAATACATTAATCATATTTAAAGAACAAGTTATGTTTTGTTGCCCTTCAAGATATTATATTGGTAACAAAGAACCTTTTAACGATTTTTTGAATTTCTTAGATTGTATTTTCTTCCAGTGTTTTTTACTAACTCTGACATAGATTGAAAACAAATATAATGTTATCATAATGAAAACAATAGCCATCCATTTAAATATTGATTGAAGGAATTTCCATAATGAAGAATCATATTTTGAATCCTTTTGACAATATAGTTTAGTATGAGATAACGGTTTGAGATTCATCAATTTACTTGTTTCTTGTAAGTGATTCTCATATATTGGCTGCGAGTTAATCATTTTCCAGCGAGTAAAAGAATCTTTTTCATTTGTTATTTGTTCATGGAATTCTTTTAATAAAAAATTTTCCCATTCTTTATAGTGATTGAAATCGTATAAATCCTCTTGATTTATATCATTATCCCAATGAAATTCATTTGTTTTAATACGAAATAGTTCCACAGTTTCAGTCAAGTCACCATTCAATGCACCCATTCCAATAAATCTTTGTCCTGTTTTTTCATTTTTAGGTAAAAATATTAGTTGTGTTTCTGTGTCTGGCAAATTATTATTTGAAAATAATTCAATCCAATAATTACCCACATTTTCATATCGAATATCGATTTTCAGAAAAGATATTGACTCAATGTAAATAATCCTTAAACAAATCATATCTCCTTGAAGCACATTTTTTCTCAATTTAATATGATCTTTATTCAATCTTCGAACGGTACTTTTTGAACCATCTGAATCAATGTCATAAAAATCTTCTTGTGGATTAGAATTAAGAAAAATATCTAAGAAAGGAACATATTCCTTATTTTTTGAATCGTTAGCAAATGTATCTAACACAAGTGATAATCCAGGTAAATTTTTAGGAAATCCCATCATTGAAATATCGTTAGGTAAAACACCACCTGAATTAATTATATATTGTCTACGAGCAAAGGAAGAAGTTAAATCTTTTAACAAAAATCCATTTTGTGATGTGAGAATAAAACTGATGCCATCACCTACTTTTCCCAAACTATTTTCTGCATATGATAATTTAAAAACAAATTCAATCTCAAAATCATTTATTGCATTATCTCCTATTCCATTTGATATTATAGAACCATGAGTATGTGGGATATTTTTAGAAGTCAATTTTATACTCCGATCATTTTTTATCTGAGTAGATCCACCTATGTACCAATATTTATTGATTTTATCTAAATAAGGTGGAGATAAAGATGCATCATTATTCGGTATTTTAATAATTTTAGATTTATGCTGATACATGATATAACTATTAATGTGAAATGGATCAATTATTTGGTTACCATTATAATTAGTTTTATAATCATTATTATAACTCAAAGGTATGGTATTAGATTGATGGCAAATCAAAAAAAGTAAAATCACAATCAATGCTAATAAGAATTTCTTTACCTGTTCATTATTTTGCATATTTAGAGGAAATACTGACACTAGAAAAAAATAGCGATCACCAGTGATAAAACTGTATATATATATGTATGTGAAACTTTGATTAAAAAAAGATAAGTGGAGTAAAGTTCAAGACGGTTAAAGTTAGTCTAAGTTTGTTGATTAACCTGACACAAAAATTAGTAATGCTAATAATAGTAATAGTTTATATAATGTATTATATCTTTTCAAATGCCTTGTTTTAGAAGTATCCAATATTGCCTGTTTTATTTTCTTCCTGTATCACCACTACTTGTCTTTTATTTTCTGAATAGTCTAAACCACATCTAATCTATAATTTCTTGATATGGTCATGTTTTAGCATCTTAGGCATTTTCCAAATAAGTAGGAAAAGATTGATTAATTAATGCTTTACCCATTTATTACGATTGCACTTGTTACCTCCGAGCTTATCTCCATTTCTTGATGAAAGTTTGAAATTTTTTTTGGTCATTTTTTTTACTTTTTTTGCGAATTTTCAATGACTATTTTCCTCGAGAAATCTGACTTTAGTGAGACTCTGAAAAATATAAATAAACAGACAAACAAATAAATATAAAAATGACTATTTATTTTAGTTTATTAACAAATGATTTTCTGTTTTGTTTTTGGTCGTTCGGGCTAAACTGAGTTGGTTTTTTCACCAAATTGAATTTGTTCTATTCCACCAAAAATATAAACTAGATTGGAAAATCCTTAGAGCAGGTAGACATAAAGCCATACAACAAAATGAAGGCTCCAACTCCAAGATGTATTATCATTAGACATGGTCAAACTGAATGGTCCAAATCTGGCCAGTACACAGGATTAACTGACTTGCCATTAACTCCATATGGTGTTGGACAAATGAAGAGAACTGGTGAATCCATTTTCCAAAACAACAAATTCATTGATCCATCTCATATTACTTATGTGTTCACTTCTCCAAGAACACGTGCCCGTGAGACAGTTGACCTTGTTTTAAGTTCATTGAGCGAAGAACAAAAAAAACACATCCGTATTGTTGTTGATGATGACTTGCGAGAATGGGAATATGGTGACTATGAAGGATTATTAACTCATGAAATTGTCAAATTAAGGAAATCCCGTGGTCTAGATCAAGATAAACCTTGGAACATTTGGAGAGATGGTTGTGAAAATGGTGAATCCACTCAAGAGATCGGTCTTAGATTATCTCGTGTCATTGCTAGAATCCAAAACTTACACAGATTACACCAATCAGAGAATAGACCATCGGATATTTTAGTCTTTGCACATGGTCATGCGCTACGTTATTTTGCTGCACTTTGGTTTAAACTTGGTGAGGAGAAATTAGTGGAAACTGAAAAGGAAAAAAGCAATCCAAAATCTTATGAAGATAGTACTATTCCTTATGTGGCTCTAGAAAAATACAGATATTTGATTGATAATCCAAAGTTCTTGTTAGATGCTGGTGGTATTGGTGTTTTATCTTATGCTCACCATAACATTGACGAGCCATCGTTGGCTTTGGCTGGTGCCTTTATATGTCCACCAGAAGAGGAATCTCAGCATGGAGATGTAATAGCTTAAGTAAGGTAGCAAAGAGAAGTAGAAAGTTTTATTTACAACTTTCTTTTATTTTTGAGTTATCATATTTAAAATTTTGTTTTACCTATTAGCGAATGTTTTACGGTTTCTTAATGGTACAATATACGATTAGAATCTTGTTTATTTGAAAAATAATTTTATAATACATATAGAGATATAGATATTTAATAAATAAAGTAACACTAAATGTTGTGATAATATTATGAAGATTAAAAAAATGATAATACATAATCATACAATATATATATATATATTGAAAACGAACGAAGGGGACATATTATGGCCCCATAATGGGTATAACAATTAAAATTTTAAAAATGACAAAAAAGTGATAAAAATGACAATAATGACAGATGAAAAAAAAAAAATAATGCAGAGGTAAGACACATATATGTGTATATATATATACTGTCCTCATTCATTTTTTTTCCATGATATGCTGTTTCTTAATAGAAAATAAAGCTTGCAGTACCAGAGGTAACAGTGACAGTACAACCATCAGAACCATTTTCATTGTAATTACCATTTTCATAGTAACATTCTCCAGCAATTGCACCACCTTCATTAGCCACAATCTTGACGTTGAAATTTGGTGGAGTTTTGTTATTTGGGTTTGGAATGATAGATAAATAAGTAAGACCGTTAGTGTAACCTGCACCAAGAACCACTGGAGCCCAGTTACCCACACCGAAACCTTCTTCACCCCAAATACATCCATCTTCTACAGAGACACCAGCGTTGTTGACATAATATTGAGTGGATGTCTTTTGGCCATTCCATTTGTAATAAGAATCTTCATCAACCACAGAGATGACATTGGAAGAACCAGCACCAACTAAAGTTGGAACATTCATGTTTTCAGAACCTGGATAGTCTGTTCTACACATAGCGATATCTTTGTCGACTTTGTTGACAACGATAGTAGAGTTATGGCCCCATTCACACAAATAAGGGGTATCAGTGTTGGAACGGTATAAGTAACCATCCTTACAGTATAAACCACCGACTGATCTTCCATCAGATGGTTGCTCAGATGGCCATTGGGTCTTAGACATACCCGGTTGACAAGCATAGGAACAGTAGAACCCATCTTTACATTCAGTGGAAGTAGAACCGTCTAAAGCCATCACAGAGGTCCAACCACCAAAACCGATCCAGTCAACAGGGATCACACCTTGACCAGATGGGAATTCAGAACACTTAATGGTACCATCTTTAAATTCTTCTGTTGGATTCTCATAATCTTTCAAATCGCCACTGATAACAGAAACACCGGAAGAGGTAGCGGTGCTAGTACCTACCAGAGTTGTAGTAGTTGCAGTAGCAGGAGAAACTGGTGTAGTAGTTTCGATAGGAGTCGTAGGAGCAACAATTTGACCAGCCTCGTCGACTAATTCAGTGACAGTAACTACAGCTCGTTTTTCCTGACGATTGTGACGATCAGTATGGTGTAAAGCAGGAGCTGCAGATGCAAAAGTTAAAGTAGATAATGACAATAAGTTTGATAACTTCATTATGATAATAATAGTAAATAATTTTATGAAAAGATAGACTAAATTAAATGAATGGAAAGTGATAAGTTAAAACCAAAAATCAATAATGATAAATTAAGGAACGACTATAGTTAAATAGAAGAAATAAAACAGTTTAAATAAATGAGTGTAGAGAGTACAGACTGGTACCTTTGTTGGGAATGAAATGAAAAAAAAAGATTAAATAGTGTTAACTTTTTATTTATTAAAAGAGTGACTTAGTATTTTTTTTTTGGATTTTTGCTTGTTATGCAGTAGTTTTTTCTTGATTGATATAGTATTTCGATAATGAAGAATAGAAAAAAGAGTATTTATATTATGTTTCTTTAGAAAAAAGAAGAAAAAAGAGAATACAAGTTGCAAGGAAAGTATTAAAACTTTTAATTTTGATTTAAATATAAACAAAAAGAATGAGGAGAGGAGAAAAAAAGTAAGAATAGATCTAAATTTTGCTAAAAAAGGAAATTATTTTAGATAAAAATAAATCTAGGCGACATTATAAAACGGATGTCAAATTTGAGAAGTATACAATGACAATACCGAAAACGAGGGTTGTTACAAACAAGTTTCAGTGGAAGAGAGAAAAAAAGCGAAGGAAAGAGCATGCTACAAGACTAAGAAAACGCAGTAAAGCAATACAAAATTAAATGACGCCTGTGGGGAAACATACTGGACTAAAAAGGTTGCACGAAAAGAGCAGGCCACTAGTTGCTCCTCGAAACAGAAAATTCATGAACCACAACATTGATCTCTTTCTAACCTCGATTATGTTGCATATATTTATACCTTTCCTACGCCTTGCTGTCTTGATCCATTTTTTTTTTGTATTTTTTTTTTTCCTTCTCAATGTTTGAAATGAAATACAATATAAGAAAGAAAAAAAAAACTCTTTTGTTTGTTGACAGATTACCCAATCGACAATAATTCCCGATTGGGTAAAGAAAGTCTCGAGCCAATTTGTTTTCCTAAAAAGGTAATAATATAATACGACAGAATACTATACCGGACATCCAGACACCCAACACTGCATAATCCCATATTCATTTTTCAACAACTATAGTTGTTGAAATTATTATTGCCGTTTTAGGAAAAGTTATTGCTTTGAAGTTGAGAATTTCAATCTTATTTCACCTTATTCCATTTTAAGGTTTCCATCTAGTGTCATGAGAAGTAAATAACAATAGTTCTTTTCAAAAAAGCTTTCCTCATTTGTATTTTGTTTCTTTTTTTCTTTCTCTTTATTCATTTTTCTTTGAGCAGGATGTAACAGAAATCGATGAGCCCCACCAATGTGGTTTTAACAAGAAGGTATAATATACATAAGGACAAAGATGTCAGTAATTCCGGTTTTTTCTTTTCTTTCTTTCTTTTTTCATTTTGATTATTGATCCACTTTATATGCAATTTTATTTTATTTTTTTTTTGCTCTTGATTAGTTAAAACTAGACAAAAAGTAGTGTTATAATTAAGGATCATAATTGTTGTAATTTACCATATTCCTCTAGCTGAAACAAACTTGTGTTTTTTCTTTTCTTTTCTTTTTTCCTTTTTGTTTTTCATTATTATTACTGTTGTTCTGTTCATTTCTTATACAAGAAGATTTTAGGTTCTTGACAACATATTTATGCTATTTCTCTGTATCTTTTCTTTTGCGAAAGTTTTAACATGAAGCTTTAAGTGACGAAATTAGTTAAAAAATAAAAAGAAAAGAAAAGAAAAAAGTAAATTGATAGGAGTTTTTACCATCTTAAAATTCTATACTGTTCATAGACATAATTAAAAAAATAGGACACATCTTAATTAAACTACAGATGAATTAGTGCAACCAAATAGCAGTTCCAAAGGATTTTGATAAACTGATATATATGTTAAAAATAAACTAGCCAATTTGTATGGCATCTTCAAAAGTACTAATTTACCGGTGGTTTTTGGTAATGGTCTGACTTTTGCTCTTGTGATATCACTAATTATAACAGTTTTAGTCATTTTCTTTTTTATCTAACTGTTAAGGAGAAGGACTATCTATGTCAATATCTTAAAAGAAATTTTTTTTTTCTTATTAATTTTTTTTTTGGTTTTTTTTTTATAACTATTGTAAAAAAAAATAAAGAGAAATTCAAATAAACAATTCTCTAGACAAAGAAATAAACTAGAGAAAAACACAAAAGAGGAATAGCTATGAGTATCTCAAAACACTTTAGATAATATTGTTATTGTTGTACCTTCCTCTCTCTAATCAGAATTTTTAAGTAGACAACAGTATATTGTTAATAACAATAATAACAAAAAGAATAAGATTAAGATTAAGAATAATATATAGATTATGGTCAATTTAAACTCTATTCCAACAAAAAACAATCGTGGTTATTATATAGCTATTGGATTAGAAGGCTCTGCAAATAAACTTGGTGTAGGTATAATCAAACAACCAGTCCTTCCGACTCTTTTAGAAGGTGACAATTCGCACAAATGTCAGTCGGAGATTTTAGCTAATATAAGAGACACGTATGTAACACCTCCAGGTGAGGGTTTCTTACCAAGAGACACTGCAAGACATCATCGTAATTGGTGTGTACGACTAATCAAACAGGCTTTGAAACAAGCTAGATTGACTGATCCAAGAAATGATGTTGATGTGATTTGTTTCACCAAGGGACCAGGAATGGGCGCCCCATTACATTCTGTAGCTGTGGTAGCTAGAACTTGTTCTTTACTATGGGATGTGCCTTTAGTCGGGGTCAATCATTGTATTGGGCATATCGAGATGGGTAGAGAAATAACCGGTGCATCCAATCCTGTGGTATTATATGTAAGTGGAGGTAATACCCAAGTGATTGCATATTCAGAAAATAGATATCGAATCTTTGGGGAAACTTTAGATGTTGCAGTTGGGAATTGTCTTGACCGTTTTGCAAGAACTTTGAAGATATCAAATTCACCATCTCCTGGCTACAATATCGAGCAACTAGCTAAGAAATGTAAGAATAAAAATGAGTTGGTTGAATTACCTTACACAGTGAAGGGGATGGATTTGTCGATGAGTGGTATTTTGGCTTATATTGACTCATTAGCAAAAGATCTTTTCAAAGGCAACAAAAAAAATAAACTTTTATTTGATCCAAAGACTGGTGAACAAAAAGTAACAGTAGAGGATTTGTGTTATTCTTTGCAAGAAAATTTATTTGCTATGTTAATAGAAATTACAGAACGTGCCATGGCCCATGTTAATTCTTCACATGTACTAATTGTAGGCGGTGTTGGTTGTAATTTAAGATTACAAGAAATGATGGCACAAATGTGTCATGATAGAGCCAATGGAGAGGTGTATGCCACAGATGAAAGATTTTGTATCGATAACGGTGCTATGATTGCTCAAGCTGGTCTTCTACAGTTTCGAATGGGTGACATAATAAAGGATCTTTCTGAAACTGTAGTGCTTCAAAAATTTAGAACTGATGAAGTTTATGTTTCTTGGCGTAAAACATAGATCTAACTTTTTTCAACTCTCTTTATTTTCTACTTTGTTCAATATATATGTATATATATAAGAGTATGTTTGTAGATATATCGCTATATATATGTATACTTAAGAATGTATTAATGACAAAGATTAAGATCACTCTATGTTTATTTGATAAAATGAAGGCATAAATTTCGTAGTAAACAAAAAATTCTATATCTTGTTTGTTTTTCTTGGGAGATAAGAAAAAAAAATGATAAGTAGAAAAAAAAAAAGATTAGTGCAACTGTGAGATAGTTATGGTAAACAAAGAAAAGAAAAAGAAGGTGAAGCAACACCAAGCCTTCATAGGAATAAAAGTAATTTGGTGTATATAATATCAATCTTTTCTTCACAACAAGAACAAAGGTATTTGAAGAGTACATTAAAAGAGAATTTTTGTTTTCTTTTTGTTTAACTTTATTCTGTTTGTTAATAATGGATCAATCACTACATGCATTATTAGACGATATTAACAAAGCTGCAGATGGTTTATCAGCACAATATTTTAAACCGCCAGGTATCTTTCATAATGCAATTGTTAAACATTTGACTACTGATAGTGTTATTGATTTTACAAAGATATTAAGAGATACTAAGGATCGTGAATCTTCCATGTTTAGAATTGATAAAGGTGTGGTGAAAAGAAAGGATAGCAAAGAGGGTATATTTGATTATTTATCTGAAAGGGAATCAAGACAAAGGAAAAACAGGAACTTGCGTATCCTAGAGCCTATACCGGTTATACAAATCCCAAAAAATTTTTACCTAGAACAACAACGGTTAGAATTATCTAATTCTGTAGAGATTGACAATTTAAGAAAGTTGTATAATCCTAATACAAATAATACTACAAGAAGCCAATATTCTCAATTATTGTCCAGATTTTCAAATGACGAAAATGCCAAAAGGTTATTAATCTCTTTGTTCCAAGGAAGTGTAATCATTGAAGATAACATTCCAATGGAAACGGTTATAAATATATTAAACGAGATTAACAACTTGTGGCCTGGTTCTAAATCTAATCTAACACAACAAGAAATGTCTAAGCAGTATTTGAAACTTCAAGAGATGAAAGTTACGCTAGAGAAACAAATACAAGAGCAAGAAACAAAAATGATGGAGAATTCAGCTAACGATATTCAACAACTAATTCAAGAGAAACATAAAGAATTGCAAGAATTGGAGAAACTGATTATACAGAAAAAAATGAAAAATGTAAATGAAACCACGTCTTAAAAAGAGGATTTGCTGATAAAACCAGTAATGAGAAGAATAATAAGGTGAAAGAAATGAGCATGAATAGACGGATATGTCTTACCTAATAATACTATCACTGTTATTTATCATAATGATAGCTTCAAACACTAATACTAGCAACACTATGATAGTTGTAAATATATATCTATACTATTTCCTATTTGGGAAATGTAGATCAAAAGATCAGATAGTAAGTTTTTTTCTTTCTATAAAATAGAAAGTAATAATCATAAAGTTGATTGTTCACTTACTTTATATATACATACACTTATGTGTATGTATATAACGTATATACATGCATAGAGATACGGAATAGCCGGAATTTAAAATGTAGATTAGTGAGTTTTAGATTATATATAATTACTTTATACCAGTGTGTTTGTATACATATCCAACAATAAGTTCATTATAGTACAATACTTTACTATTGCTATTTATTAATTTCTTTTTTTTGTTCTATATTTTTTATTTCTGGTATATATTATCAATTGTTGAAAAGTGTAGAGGTCAAATATTGGTTTATCAAAAAATGGTAAGTCCTAGATCATACTTACAAAATATAGTTGGTATTACATTGCAAGAGTCCAAAAACAAAAATAAAATACCTAATAATAATAATGCAGAACCATTGGATAATTGTCAGGAGTTTTTTGACTCTTCATATCTGAATTCGAAAACTATTTTTAACTATCTAACGCATATTGGCGATAGTTTATTACAAAATATCCCAAATAAAAATCATCTTAATGAATTTCCCTCGGATTCTACAATTTCCTTTTTAAATGATGAAGTTACACCATCATTGTACCAAATGTTTCAATTACTTCTACCTGTCATGAATCAAATACAATCTAATAAAAAAAATGTGATAAATGGAAATGATGCAAACGATATTTTGCAATATTATAATATTAACTTACCTGAGAATATAAAACTGGGAAATATAAACAGATCCTATTCTATAAATGTATTAAATGAATATTCTAAAGAGGTACTTATGTTTCTAGATGATATCAAACTACGAATAAACTCAACAAAAAGTGATATCCAGACCATTGATTCAAAAATTGAAAAATTACAAAAACTGAAGCAAGGTCTGAATCATAGAATATCTTTACTTAATCAAAATAAAATAACACTGGACGACATTGTGTTGGCTATAAAGACTAGAAAAGATTTTGTTAAAGAGTATAATCTTTTTAATAAAGAAGAGAATAACTGCGATGAAGATTTACTTAACAGATATCTTTCAGAAGCTAAGAGTTCTATAGATTTATATGGTTCCAATATTTATGAGAAGTCTGATAGTTTACCGTCGAAATCAGATATAGGTTCACCTTTATTATCTCAGAATTTTATTCCTGATACATCTAGTGACGTTATGTCTAATAATGGCTCACTGTCTCAGTTTTATGATGGACCACATAGAAAACAAAGATATATATCTGTATCCTTACACGAAATATACCAACCTGGTTCTACAGTTGCTATGTTCAAAAAGGCTCATAATGATGGTATAACATGTCTAGATTTTGATTTCCCCTTTGGAACAATGATAACAGCCGGTTATATGGACCACACTATGAAGATATGGGATTTGTCTGATAGGAAGCAGATTGGGATCTTAGAAGGCCATAACGCTAGTGTTACATGTATTCAAATGGATTCTAGTTTCAATTTAGTTATCAGTGGTGCTAAAGATGCAACTGTGAGGCTTTGGAACCTAGATTTGGCTACTGAAGAAGGTAAGAACAATGGAATCAAGTTGAATAAGCCTACTTGTCTTCACTCGTTTGATTTGCATAGAGGAGAAATAAATGCACTATCATTAGATCGTGAAACTTTAGTGAGTGCATCCAGAGATAAAACGATTAAGCAATGGGATTTGAAATCGGGAAAGTGTGTTCAAAATTTAGACATTACATTTTCTTCTATAAAGACTTCCAAAGTAGATTACCAATCATTTTCTTTATTAGATCCTCCCATTGTTGGTGCGTTGCAATGTTTTGAAACTGCATTAGCTACAGGCACAAGGGATGGAATGATAAGGCTATGGGATTTACGTGTAGGTAAGGTAATCAGAGCTATTCCAGCACACAATGGGGCAGTCACAGCCTTGAATTTTGATTCTACCCATTTAATAACCGGTTCTACCGATCAAACTGTAAAATTATGGGATTTACGTTCCAAGAATGAATTAGACAATATTTCATTTGAATTGCCTGTCTCTAATGTTCATTTGGACAGTCAACGTATAATAGTTTCTACATCAGCTGAAACATCTATCTATGATAGGATTAGTTGTCAACAAGTCGACTGTATACAATCTTCCAATTATACATCCACGGTTTCTGCAACTCAATATAAGGACAAGTACTTAATTGAGGGACATAGTAATGGAGATATTACTGTTTTGTCTGTATGAAGAACATAATTAGGTGTGTTATAGCAAAAAATTTAAAATTAGATATAAAATATGTATAAATATGTGTGTATCTGCGTATGTAGATTGGATAAATCTATAAATCGAGCTGTATATAGATATAAACTCTTTTTCTTCAGCTGTTTGTATAGATAAGGCTTTCTTATCCTGTTTTAGTGGCACTCTGTATTTTCGTATGCTATTCTTTGGAAATTTCTTCACTCTCTTTCTCTTGCAATGTTTTAGTATTGATGGTGAATTTTCCTTTACTTAATTCGAAAAAAAAAATGAAAAAAAAAAAAAATAAAATCAAAATTAGATAACGAAAAGGTTAGTAGAAAGACACACTATATGTATATACTAGAAACTTTCACTCGCAGTTACACGCAAGTAGTTACATGTTTGAATTAACCTCTATATTAAGAGTTGTAGTAGAGTTCTATAGTTGAAAGAGTAATATTTTAAACATTATTTGTTGTACGTTGGATTTCAAAAATTAAACCAAGAGTATCTAAACTTTGTAATTAATTGAAGATGAATTTTGGTAATAGAGTTCCAACAATTGTGGTTTTAAAAGAAGGTACTGACGCTTCTCAAGGTAGAGGTCAGATAATCTCTAATATTAATGCATGTATAGCTATTCAAGAGACATTAAAACCTACGTTGGGTCCGTTAGGGTCGGATATTTTAATTGTAAGTTCTAATCAAAAGACAACTATTTCTAATGATGGTGCCACTATTTTAAAACTGTTAGATGTCATTCACCCTGCTGCAAAAACATTGGTTGATATTTCTAGGGCACAGGATGCAGAAGTTGGGGATGGTACTACTAGTGTCACTATTTTAGCTGGGGAGTTGATGAAGGAGGCAAAACCTTTCCTTGAAGAAGGCATTTCTTCTCATTTGATTATGAAAGGGTATAGAAGAGCAGTCAAATTGGCTACCGAAAAAATCAATGAGTTAGCTGTTGATGTTTCTAAAGAGAACTCAAACACTAGGGAATTATTGGAACGTTGCGCAAGAACTGCAATGAGTTCTAAGTTGATTTACAAAAACGCTGATTTTTTTGTCAAAATGTGTGTAGACGCAGTTTTAGCTTTAGATAGAGACGATTTAGATGACAAACTGATTGGTATTAAGAAGATTGCGGGTGGTTCCATGGAAGAGTCTATATTTGTGGATGGTGTCGCCTTTAAAAAGACATTTTCCTACGCTGGGTTTGAACAACAACCAAAAAAATTCATCAATCCTAAAATTTTAAGTTTGAACGTAGAATTGGAATTAAAAGCTGAGAAGGATAATGCCGAAGTCCGTGTTGAGCATGTTGAAGATTATCAGGCTATAGTGGATGCAGAATGGCAGATCATTTTAGATAAGTTGAAGCAAATTGAGGAGACGGGAGCCAATATTGTTTTATCTAAGCTGCCAATTGGTGATTTAGCTACTCAATATTTTGCCGATAGAAATATTTTCTGTGCAGGTAGAGTCTCTGGTGATGATATGGATCGTGTTATTAAAGCAGTTGGTGGTTCTATTCAATCTACCACAACTGATATTAAGCCAGAATACTTAGGTACATGTGATCTTTTTGAAGAAATGCAAATAGGTTCAGAACGTTATAATTTATTTAAAGGTTGTCCAAAGGCTAAGACATGTACATTACTTTTAAGAGGTGGTGCTGAACAAGTTATTGCTGAAGTTGAAAGATCTTTACATGATGCAATTATGATTGTTAAAAGAGCTTTGCAAAATAAAGTTGTAGTTGCAGGTGGTGGTGCTATTGAAATGGAGATTTCTAAATATCTAAGAGATTATTCCAAATCAGTTGCTGGTAAGCAACAATTAATAATCAATGCATTTGCTAGAGCTTTGGAAGTTATTCCAAGACAACTGTGTGAAAATGCAGGCTTTGATGGTATTGAAATTTTAAACAAGTTAAGATTAGCTCATAGTAAAGGTGAAAAATGGTATGGTGTTGATTTTGAAACTGAGAGTATTGGTGATAACTTTTCTAAATTTGTATGGGAACCTGCCTTAGTTAAAATTAATGCTTTGAATAGTGCCACAGAAGCAACTAATTTAATCTTGTCAGTTGATGAAACAATTACAAATAAGGAAAGTTCTAGTGCAAATGCTAATATGATGCCACCACAAGGAGGTAGAGGTAGAGGTATGCCAATGCCAATGCCAATGCGTTAATTCATATAGAAACAGGAACATAAAATTGTTACATAAAATACTGTACATTAATTATTCCAAAAAATTGAATATCGTGCGTATATGTAAAGATTATATAAACGGTATACTCGCATAACGTATTTTCTTTTTCTGTAGACATATTGATGTAAAGCTTTTTATTCATTCACGAACCTTATAATAATATGGAGCTTGAAACAGCCCAACATATAGTTATCCACGTAAAGCTTTTAATTTTTGAGCTAACTTATCTTCTCTTTCAGTGTCAACTGTCTCCATTGTTTGAATATCGGGTAGTTGATCTGTTTTAGCTGATTGTCTCAATTCAATACCATTTTCATCCGCTACTTTGTTCATTAATTCATCTACTTTGTCATTATCAACCATCATAGCATCTGAACTAATGCCCATATTTTCATAGACGTTCACGCTTGTATCTAAATCTTCAAACTGAGATTCAAATTTATCCATAACCATAGTAATTTGTTGTAAATTCATCCCTGCTAATGCCTTATCCATACCTTTGCATACAGAAGCCATAGATTGAGAAACGTTTCTCATAGTCACGGCAGTTTGAACTCTGGAAGCCACAGAATCCACACGAGATGCAAGTTTCAATAATTGAACACGTTCATTTTTCTTCCGTATAGCATTTGATGCATACAGTCTTGCAATTTCTTCATTTTCATTTAGTATCTTTTTCAATTTATTAGTTTCCGCAATCTCTTCTTTATGTGCTTTTTGTGCTTGTTTCTTTAGTTGTTTAGAAGTAAATTTTAATTGAAATAAAGTGTTTTCTAATCCATGAGAACCTCTTGGTAACATTTGTATTCTTATTATCTTGTAGTATGGTTTCTATTACAATTATGTATTTGATGGTGTGAGTAAATAGGACCTCTGCAAAGCTATTCATTTATGAAGCAAAGTGTTGTACTGTTCAGTTCAGTGTGTTCCCCTGCAACAGCGGTTTTTTATTGATTTGTATTTTCAGGTTTTTTTCGGTTTTTTTGTATTAAAGGAATTTCACCGTAAATTATTTCTTACTTGTGTTTAGAGATGCAGTAATAGGATATAACGAAAAGAGAGCAAGAAAAGGTGTTGGTAGGCAAGTAGATAGGATATTCAAGTGTACAGACTGCATTCAATGCGATTATATAGTATTACAGTCGTACAAAATAAAAAAAAGGAGATAATAAAAAGGGATGTTGAATATAAAAAATAACAAAAGGATTAAGAGAATTAGATACGTATAATATTACTAATTCAATAAGCTATAATAGTAATAACAACCACAACAATTATATGAAAATATGAGAATATGAGTATATGCTAGTTATGAACTAATTATATTGCAATGTGATTTAATTTCAATTATATGTTGATCGTAATAGAGCTTCTAAATTCTGGCATTTCTCTTCCATTCTAAATATATAATTTCTATACAAATCAGTAACTAACTCAAGTTCTTGTATACGTATCTGCAATTTTATCATATTTTCTTCATTACTTAAATGTTCTGAAAGACTGAAATTTGAATTGTGAGTTGATATCAAATGCTTCTGAAATTCCATATCACTCTCTAGGAAACCGCAATTTTCAGGTTTATGGTTTGTGTTATTCTTGATGTGATGATCGGATGTTGTCAGATTCTTATTAGCTAAAACGGATTTACTGTTTTCAAAATTATATTCTAGTAAAGAAGGAATAGATAATGAGTTACTTTTACTCGATTTTTTTCAAATTTTGATGGGTATAAAAGCCTTCTTGAGTTGAAATAATTTTCTATTTCAGATTGTATTGGTTTAGGTCTTAATAGAGGTTTAATACTCTTTGTAGTTTTTATTAGTGATGCTGGCCCAAGTTTGTTAAAATTTTGATCTCTAGTTAAAGAAGTTTTAAATCTTTTTACTGAATCAAAATCTCTTGAAGATAAAATTTCCAAATCTCTCATATATTGTTTGGATAGTGATTTACAGAAATTATCATTGTTATTATTCCAAAAAGGATGATTTGATTGGAAATTTAATTTAAGTATTTTATTAACAACACAGTTTTTATTATGACTATTGGACTTTCTATTTCTTGATTTTATTACATTTGTTTTTAAATTTATGGGTCTTGAAGTTCCATGCAATTTTAAAAATAACCCACACGCGTTACATAAGGTGTTGCCATTTTTATTCCGTCCCCATAAAGGCGTTGTGTCTGTTTTACAATTATGACATATTGAACTGGAATGGACGTTATCCTTTTTGATGGAAATCGATTCTGTCTTTGGAGGAATATCTTTTTGTAACGGCTGCTGTATATCATTAACATCTAAATTATGATCTAGAGAGAAGCTTACATCAGACATTGTCTTTTTATTAGTGTCATTTTCAGTAATATCCTTTTTAATGTCGTTAAAATTATCTTTCTGTAGAATTGAATGGATTTTTACTGTAAATATTGTGGGTGAATTATCTATCAATCTTTTATCATTGGAAGGATAAGTCACATTATAGGTCTCAACTTGGTTCAACTTTTTTTCTTGTTTTTGCATCTGTTTTTTGGAATATGAATCTTCATTTCTATGTTTATCATCATTCTTATTTGAATTTAAATCATTTTGTGCTATAGAATTGTGATTAGTGAAAGCACGATTGCAATTCATTGGTCTAGTTGTATTTTGTTTTTTATCTGATCTAGTTTGGTTTTTTAAATTCACTCAATTGTTAGTTAGCAATAAGTTAATAATAAGAATTTAGTCTTTTTTTCTAGTAAAGAATAAAGATAATTAACAGCAATTTGAAAATTAATTGTACAGTCATTATCCTGTAAGATTGTGTCATTGTATGTGGTATTTCAGAGAGCTAAGGATTGAATTAATTTTCTTGGCTTAAATATTACGTAAAAATAAAAGATACATTTAGTGTCACTTTCAAATCTTTTTTTTAACTATTTTACTTTCATTTTCCAGAACAATTTATTTAAGATGAGATATTGTTGATAAGCAATTGATAAGGGGAAAAATGTAAAAAACAAAAAGAGAATGAAACTACGTAGAAGGATTATGAAAACAAAATATAGTAGTTTTTGGTGCCTCTTGGAACTTGAATCCTCCTTTTTTTGCCACTTTGTAGTTATGTAATATATGCTTTTCGATACGAGTAATACGAGTGTGTTGTGAAGAGCACAAGTTCAATTTCTATTTTTGTAAATGTAGATATAAGAAGACAAGATCTTGTAATTTTACCGGAAAATACATTGCTGATTGTTAATATAAGAAAATAAAAAAATTTTAAGTAATTGTATAAATTAAGTATTAATTTGATAATGTATTGTGAGCATATGATAGATGAAAAATCTTCATAAATATGCGTTAAAGAATACAAATAAATTGGAAATAATTTTACAGTTTCATAATTTTTGCTACGCTTTATAGATGTATATATGTAAGGTATATAACCTTTATAGGGACAGTTTTATATGACTTTAAATATTTTTTTGTAGACAGTCGGTTATTAAACATTATTGATTCCACTTTCCTCTTACAATACTGGTGATTTTTTTAGAAGAAAACTCCGAATTTCTCGATCAAAAAAACAAAAAAAATGAAAAATGAAAAGTTCTCCTTTAAATGAATACTTTGTCGCATGTTGTTATCTCTATGTATTATTTATATACTTTCATAATTGTTTATTTCATGCAACGAAGAGAATGGAAGGAATTTTTCTTATCTCTATTTACATTAATTATAATATGGTTCATAGTAGATGAACTCAGATATAAGAGAAATACATACTAGTATTCTTTTCCCAGAAAACTATATATGACATGTCATGCATACTAATATGAAAGGCGTATTCTGGATAAATCAATATACAGATAGGCATAATATGAATACTGATAAATATGAAAAAAAAAAGTAGCAAATTTATCAACAATCAAGAATTTAGAAGATTGTCTATGATGACACCTAGTAGGAAATATCAAGCCCTGACATTATTATGGACAATAAGGAGGAATTATCTATTTACTTTAGTATTTTAGAAGAGTATGTCTCTCGTAATAGGTTTTCATCTATTACACTTACTATAATTAAAACAAAATTACACTACTTATGTACCTCGTATAACATGATATTAAAATATTAATTTTCAAAAAATGATTTCGCCCAGGATCGAACTGGGGACGTTCTGCGTGTTAAGCAGATGCCATAACCAACTAGACCACGAAACCAGGTATTTGTTGTCTTTGTTGTGGAATAGAATAGTTATAACCATCAAGATTACATAAGATCCTGAATGAATCTAGAACCAATTAGTGTATTAGTAAGCCATACATGTGCTACAACATTAGATGCTGCATAATAAAAAGATTGGATTACATAAGATCTTGGCAAATCTAGAATTTACCTATTGTTTTATTAAGTCCCACGTGTATTACTAATCACCATGATTAGAGAATTGGGATGCAGTTCTAATCCAGTAGTGCACCTAAATTAATATAATAAATTTTAGGGTTTGAATCAGTCAAGTCATTAATGTAGTAATCTGAATAATCGATCGAGCTCCAGAAAACATATAAAAGGACAACGTTTTCAGGAGATAAAAGATCATCTTCCATAATCGTTTCTTGTAAATAATTTATATATTATGTATAAACAAAATAGAACAAGCAAGTAACAAGTCAAGTAACTTCGAATAAGTACATTAGCTCGATATAAGCCGCTTAATATATAAGACCGTTTTAGTAATTATACTATCGACTATAGTTGATTACTGTCTCGATTATTTGAATTACTATTAATATTATTTGCGCTTCCCTGGAATACACAAAGAACTTCACCACACCATACTACAACAACTGGTAGCGTTTATTTCATCATGTCCTCGAATAATTTAAATATGAACGAATTTTTAGACGCTATTGATGCATCTACGGCTACAGAACATCATACCACCGCACCAACCACTACTCCTGCTCCAACTACTAACCTAACCGCTGACCCTACTTCTGCTCCTGCTCCAGTCCCATCCGATTCCAAATACTACAGTACTGCTCCAATGCGCTTCTCTGGTCGCTATGATTTATTTAAACTACCAGATTTCCTTGTTACTGTCGAAGCACAACTTTATGCTCGAAACCTCCAAACAGATGTGGATCGTATAGCTTTTTTTGGCCGAAACTTAACTGGACCCGCTGCTCAATGGTATGTCCAATGGATCCGTAATCATGACCAACATTCCTATGAACAATTCCTTGTGGATTTTAAAAATAAGTTTATTGGTATGATCGACCCTCATGCCATCCTCAATGCGTTCCAACGCTTGAAGGAAGCTACCGTTGGCATTGACGCTTATAATCAAAAGTTTTCACAACTATTAGCTTTGATGCCTCCAAACATTTGGACTCCCAAGGGAGAATTACTTTTTTATTATCGCGGTCTTACTCCTGATACTGCCCGTATGGTAGCTCTAGCTCGCCCTACCACTGTTGATGCTGCTATGGAAGCTGCCAGTGAAACAGTTTCCATCACCAACCGTTCATTTCCTACCTTCACCACCTATGATATGGATGGAGACATCCATATGACCGCTGCTCTTAACCCAGTCCCTATGGACTCTACTACTGATCATCATCCTCAAGTTGCTGCTGTTTATCGTTCACACGGAAGAGGGGGCAGAAAGGGAAATCACAAATCTTCCCAAGCAAACAAACAACCAATTAAGCGTCCCTCTCGTCAATATTGTATTGATCATGGTTTATGTTTCTATTGTTACAAGCCATTACACCGCTACAGTGACTGCCCTAACCGTAAGGCGAGCAGTCCCAAATGAAAAACAATTCCACAACAACACCGTCACACTAGCTCCCATCGTGTCCGCTCCCCATCCACTCGTAGGCAACAGTTGCCAAATTAAAATGTTTATTAAAGAAAAACCTGTCAATGTTTTAGTGGATACTGGTTCCCCCACATCATTTATTAGAGCCGATATTGCTGACAACCTCAAGTTAACACGTTCTACCGCTCCGCCATTCCGTTTTAGAGGTGTTGTATCATCCGAATCGTCATACACTAACGAATCCACCGAAATTTTACTTGAACTCGATGACATAAAAATTAAAACACCCGTATACATAACTGATGCTATTACTTTTGAAATCATAATAGGACACCCGATTATATCATCTCACCCGCTGCTCCACAAGATATTAAATAACAAGAAACCGGTCCCTGAATACATTGTATCCGTACTTACCGAGAATGATACCGAAGAATTAGATGTTGAAAATGCTGCTGCTGTGTTTGCTATAAAGATTTCTGAAACAGATACAGATGATCGATTTGATAAACTACCTCGCTGGTTAAAAGAGAAATATTCTGCTACGGTCCGCGATGATTTACCACCTAAGAAATTCGCTGAACCTCCAAAGGTTGAACACGAGATCGAAATTAAGCCGGGTGCACGCCTGCCTAGAAGACAGCCATATCAGACGACACCAAAAATAGAACAAGAGATAAACCTGATCGTTGCCGACCTTCTCGAAAAGAAATTCATTGTACCCTCCAAGTCACCCTGTAGTTCACCAGTGGTTCTAGTTAAAAAGAAAGATGGTACATATCGTTTATGTGTGGACTACAGAGCTCTAAATACTGTGACAATCAAAGACCCGTTTCCATTACCTAGAATCGACAACCTATTGGCCAAGATTGGCTCTTCAACCATTTTTTCAACTTTGGACCTCCACTCAGGGTATCACCAAATACCTATGAAAATGGACGATCGTTTCAAAACCGCTTTTGTTACTCCTAATGGAAAGTATGAATATACCGTCATGCCGTTTGGTCTCGTTAATGCTCCAAGCACGTTTGCTCGTTATATGGCTGATTTATTTAGGGACTTACCATATGTCTGTGTTTACCTCGACGATATTTTAATTCACTCCCGTTCCGTTGATGAACATTGGAAACATATAGACATCGTATTGCAAAGGTTAACTCAAGAAGGATTAATTGTAAAAAAGAAAAAATGTAACTTTGCCGCTAAATCTGTTGAATTTTTGGGATACACTATCTCTGCTAATAAAATCCAACCGTTGATCTCGAAATGTGCAGCTATAGAACAATTTCCCACTCCCAGAACAATTAAAGAAGCTCAAAGATTTTTGGGTATGATAAACTATTATAGACGCTTTATACCCCGCTGCTCTCACATCCAACAACCGATTCAGGATTACATACATGGTAAAAGTAAGTGGTCGACGGATCAAGATGAGAGCTTTAACACATTAAAGTCACACCTAATCTCAAACCCAATATTAGTCTCCTTTAAACACGATGGTCATTACAGATTAACAACCGACGCTTCAAAGAATGGATTAGGTGCTGTACTCGAAGAAGTGAATGAGCAAGGAAAAATTCTCGGGGTCGTGGGTTATTTTTCAAAAACTTTACAAGGCGCTCAAAAAAATTACTCTGCTGGAGATCTTGAACTCCTAGCCATTGTCGAAGCCTTATCACATTTTAAATATATGCTTCATGGCATGCATTTTATATTGAGAACAGACCATATTAGTTTACTAACGGCACAAAAGAACAAAGAACCCTCTCGTAGAGTAATTAAATGGTTAAATGAATTAGCCGAATATGATTTTAAACTAGAATACTTAGCAGGTCCAAAGAATGTAGTAGCTGATGCTATTTCCAGAGCAGATTACAATATTGCTGCTATTGAAGATGCTGCCGTCACATTAGATCCGAAAAATTGGTACGAAGAATACCTAGCTGACCCATTATGTGCTGCCTGTTTTGTTTATATTACCAAACTTGATACAAAAGACTTACCCATTTGCAACTCATCATTGTTCAAGAAATATATGAAGAAATTGAACTTATCAAGAACCTTTCGCCATTGTTTTACAATTAATGACAATATTATTTACTTTAAAGAACGCTATGTTGTTCCCGACGCTAAACGAAATGAAGTCCTTCGAATATATCACGACCATGGCCTTTATGGTGGTCATTTCGGTTCAACCGTTACATACAATAAAATTGCAAGTCGTTATTATTGGCCAAAATTACACCACTCTGTTAATGAATATGTCTCTTCCTGTATACAATGCCAGTTGATTAAATCTCATCGCCCTAATAGACAGGGCTTATTGATGCCTTCTGAAGTTCCCGAAGGTCGATGGTTAAATATTAGCATAGATTTTGTATCTGGTTTACCTAAATCAGAACAAGGTAACGACATGATTATGGTTGTAGTCGACATGTTTTCAAAAAGAACTCACTTAATTGCTGGTAGTTACCCATTTGATACTACTTCCGTTATTAATGCTTTATTCCGTTATATTTTCGCTTACCATGGATTTCCATATTCCATTACTTCAGATAGAGACCCTCGTTTTACCTCTACAGAATACCAAGAAATGGCAAAAAGGTTGAATATAAAATTGAAAATGTCCACAGCAAATCACCCACAAACAGATGGTCAAACTGAACGTACAATACAGATCCTTAATAGGTTATTAAAGACTTATACTGGTAACAATCATAGACAATGGGATCGTTTACTTCCTCACATCGAATTCGTCTATAACTCTACTCCCAATCGCGTAACCAAGACAGCTCCTTTTGAAGTAGATATTGGATACATCCCTAATGAACCAATCATAGTTACAGGAGATGCTGTTTCTTCCCGTCATGATTCAACACAAGAACTAGCCACAAAGTTGAAAGCACTTACTTTACGCACAAAAGATTTCTTAACTGAGAATCAGATCAACATGGAAGTTACACATAACAAAGGGAGGAAGGAAGTTACCTTTGAAATTGGTGATTTTGTACTGCTACATCGTGATGCTTATTTTAAGAGAGGTCAATATCTAAAGCTACAACCCATATACGTTGGCCCATTTAAGGTAGTTAAGAAAATAAATGACAATGCTTACGAATTAGATTTACCTTCGACGAAAAAGACTCACAGAGTTATTAATGTTGAGAAATTAAAACCGTTAAAACGTAGAAAAGACCGCTATCCAAAAGATCCGCCTAATACTGCTGCCGAAAGGAAATTAAGAGTACATGAAATTATTAATGTAGTCGGTTACGATAAAGATAACAAAGTGTTTTATTGTCATATGGAAGATGTTGATCCGACTATTACAGTAGAATATCCAGTAGAAGAATTTAACTTACTCCCAACAAATATTGGTCAATCTTTAATTGACAATTTCGTACAATTATGGAAACAAGGTTCCCAAGAGAGAGAGGAAGATGTTGTGGAATAGAATAGTTATAACCATCAAGATTACATAAGATCCTGAATGAATCTAGAACCAATTAGTGTATTAATAAGCCATACATGTGCTACAACATTAGATGCTGCATAATAAAAAGATTGGATTACATAAGATCTTGGCAAATCTAGAATTTACCTATTGTTTTATTAAGTCCCACGTGTATTACTAATCACCATGATTAGAGAATTGGGATGCAGTTCTAATCCAGTAGTGCACCTAAATTAATATAATAAATTTTAGGGTTTGAATCAGTCAAGTCATTAATGTAGTAATCTGAATAATCGATCGAGCTCCAGAAAACATATAAAAGGACAACGTTTTCAGGAGATAAAAGATCATCTTCCATAATCGTTTCTTGTAAATAATTTATATATTATGTATAAACAAAATAGAACAAGCAAGTAACAAGTCAAGTAACTTCGAATAAGTACATTAGCTCGATATAAGCCGCTTAATATATAAGACCGTTTTAGTAATTATACTATCGACTATAGTTGATTACTGTCTCGATTATTTGAATTACTATTAATATTATTTGCGCTTCCCTGGAATACACAAAGAACTTCACCACACCATACTACAACAGTCTTCATTGTGGAATAGAATAGTTATAACCATCAATATTACATAAGATCCTGAATGAATCTAGAACTATTTATTGTCTTAATAAGCCATACACGTGCTACAACATTAGATGCTGCATAATAAAGAGATTGGATTACATAAAATTTTGGCAAATCTAGAATTTACCTATTGTTTTAATAAGTCCCACGTGTATTACTAATTCCCTAATGTACCTGAATTAGTTTAATAAATTTTAGGGTTTGAATCAGTAAGGTCATTAATGTACAAGTCTGAATAATTGATCGTGTTGGAAAATGAGAGTTTATTACTATCATTTCCATAAGAATTATTTTTAATTAGTTTTTCTGTATATTATGTGGTGTACGGATATACCATAATATCAGGAAGACATTTTATTTTCCACCAACAGTATTTTTCAGAGATTCGAAAAGAAATGAAAATCTTAAAAGAAGAGTCAAAGTAAAAAAAAGAATTTATACCGTATATACTATATAATAAATATATACATGTATTTAGTATAAAATACAACAAGCATCTATAATTTAATGATGTCTACCATTAACATGGACGCTAAGAGCTCCAAATTCCAACAGATCGAGCTCAAGAAAACATATAAAAGGACAACGTTTTCTGGAGATAAAAGATCATCTTCCACAACCTTTTCTTGTAAATAACCTATATATCATGTATAAACAAAATAGAACAACAAGCAAGTAACAAGAAGTAACTTCGAATATATATATTAGCTCGATATAAAGCCACTCAATATATAGGACCGTTTTAGTAATGATATTATCGCCTATAGTTGATTACTGTCTCAATTATTTGAATAACTGTTAATCTTATTTGCGCTTTCCCGAAATATATAAAGGATCCGATCACTTCATATTACAACAACTGGTAGCGTTTATCCTGCTATGTCCTTAAATAATTTAAATATGAACGAATTTTTAGACGCCATTGATGCATCTACAGTCACGGAACATTATACCACCGCACCAACCACTACTCCTACTTCAACCACTAACCCGACCTCTGATCCTACTTCTGCTCCCGCTCCAGTCCCATCCGATTCCAAATACTACAGTACTGTTCCAATGCGTTTCTCTGGCCGCTATGATTTATTTAAACTACCAGATTTCTTCGTTACCGTCGAAGCACAACTTTATGCTCGAAACCTCCAAACAGATGTGGATCGTATTGCTTTCTTTGGCCGTAACTTAACTGGACCCGCTGTACAATGGTATGTTCAATAGATCCGTAACCATGACCAACATTACTATGAACAATTTCTTGTGGATTTTAAAAATAAGTTTATTGGTATAATCGACCCTCATGCCATCCTCAATGCGTTCCAACGCTTGAAAGAAGCTACCGTTGGCATTGATGCTTATAATCAAAAGTTTTCACAACTATTAGCCTTGATGCCTCAAACATTTGGACCCCCAAGAGAGAATTGCTTTTTTATTATCGCGGGCTTGCTCCTGATACCGCACGTATGGTAGTTCTAGCTCGTTCTACCACTGTTGATGCTGCTGTGGAAGCTGCCAGTGAAACAGCTTCTATCACTAACCGTTCTTTCCATACTTTCAACACTTATGATATGGATGGAGACATCCATATGACTGCTGCTCTTAGTCCAGTCCCCATGGACTCTACTACTGATCATCACCCTCAAGTCGCTATTGTTCATCGTTCACAAGGAAGAGGGGGCAGAAAGGGAAATCAAAAATCATCCCAAGCAAAAAAGCAATCAAATAAGCGTCTCTCTCGTCAGTATTGTGTCAACCATGGCTCGTGTTTTCACTGCTACAAACCATCACACCGCTACAGTGACTGCCCTAACCACAAGGCGAGTAATAACCACTGATAACTAGGAACAATCCCATAATGACACCGTTACACTAGTCTGCTTCTCATCCACTCGTAGGCAACAGTTGCCAAGTTAAAATGTTTATTAAAGAGAAACCTGTTAATGTTTTAGTGGATACAGGTTCCTCCACATTTTCCATTAGAGTCGGTATTGCTAACAATCTTAAGCTAACTTGTTCTAGCGCTCCGCCATTCCGTTTTAGAGGTGTCATATCATTCAAATCTTCCTATACTAATGAATTTGCTGAAATTTCACTCGAACTTGATGATATAAAGATTTAAACACCCGTATACATAACAGATGCTATCGCTTTTGAAATTATAATTGGGCATCCGATAATATCATCTCACCTGCTGCCCCATAAGATATTGAACAACAAGAAACCCGTTCCTGAATATACCGTATCTGTAATAACAAAAAATGGTACTGAAGAATTAGATGCAGATAATACTGGCGTTATGGTTGCTATAAAGGTTTCCAAAATTGGTACTGATGATCGTTCTGATAAATTACCCTGCTGGTTAAAAAACATTTTCCGCCACGGTCCGTAATGATTTACCACCAAAGAAGTTTGCTGGATTTTTAAAGGTCAAACATGAAATTGAAATTAAACTTAGTGCATGTCTACCCAGAAGACAACTATACCAAACTATACCAAAGTTAGAACAAGAAATAGACCTAGTTGTCGCTAATCTTTTCAAAAAAAGTTTATAGCCCCATCAAAACCACCATATGCATGTGAACTATAGAGCTTTAAATACCGCAACCGTTAAAGACTCGTTCCCATTATTCAGAATTTACAATATACTAACTAAGATTGACTCATCAAAAAATTTTTCAACGCTAGATCTCCACTCAGGTTATCATCAAATACCCATGAAAATGAATGACTGTTTTAAGATTGTTTTTGTCACCCCCAATGAAAAGTATGAGAATACCGTCACGCCGTTCAGTCTTGTTAATGATTCAAGCACATTTGCTCGTCGAATAGACGATTTATTTAAGGACTTACCATATGTCTGTGTTTACCTCGACGACATTTTAGTTCATTCCCGTACTTTAAATGAACATTGGAAACATCTAGACATCGTATTGCAAAGGTTACAACTAGAAGGTCTAATTGTAAAAAAGAAAAAATGTAACTTTGCCGTTAAGTCAGTTGAATTTTTAGGATACACTATCCCTCCTAATAAAATTTAACCGTTGATTTCGAAATGTGCAGCTATAAAACAATTCCCCAAGCCCAGAACAGTCAAAGAAGCTCAAAGATTTTTGGGTATGATAAATTATTACAGACGCTTTATATCCCGCTGTTCTCGCATACAACAACCGATTCAGGATTACATACATGGTAAAAGTAAGTGGTCGACGGATCAAGATGAGAGCTTTAACACATTAAAGTCACACCTAATCTCAAACCCAATATTAGTCTCCTTTAAACACGATGGTCATTACAGATTAACAACTGACGCTTCAAAAAATGGACTAGGTGCTGTACTTGAAGAAGTAAATGAGCAAGGAAAAATTATAGGTGTCGTAGGTTATTTTTCAAAGATATTACAAGGCGCTCAAAAAAACTACTCTGTCAGTAATTATGAACATTTAGCCATCGTCGAAGCATTATCACATTTTAAATATATGCTTTATGGCATGCACTTTACGTTAAAAACAGATCACATTAGTTTATTAACCGCACAAAAGAATAACGAATCTTCTTGTAAAGTAATTAAATGGTTAAATGAGTTATTCGAATGTGACTATAAATTAGAATACTTAGCAGGTTCAAACTTGAGCAGGTATTAAGACTAAAAAATTGTGCAGACTTACTTCCCTTTATTGTAAGCATCCATAATAATGGTAGTTTTTTTTAAGCGTCAGAAGGCGTCGAACGAAGATATCATGCGAATCAACCATTCCAAATAAACATGTTTTTGAAATCGACAAACGAACCGACTATACTAGCGTTATTTATGGAAACGGATCTATTGAACAAATCATTGAGCAGCAGGTTCAAATAAACTATAGCTAAAGAAAGCAATACGATCAACACCAGTTTGGATATCATTATAACCAAAGAAACGGATAGGAGTGGTATTTTGAAATTTCAATTTAGGTGGGGACACGGGGTGGAACGTTGGAATCAGAAACGTTAGATACATCAATATAACTGAACAATTTATTCATATTCGTATTAATGTTCGAGGACCCATCCAATTAGCCATCATTAATTGTGGTAAAGTGGGGTGGTATATGGGCTGTTTAACCCGATCAAGGAAGCATGGTTGCATCCTACGAATGCTATAATTGATTCAAAGATAAAACAGAGGTGGTGTTTGCTTTATTAGAGAGCCTTCCAATAAAAAAACTATTCTATTTTGATGGAATTTGGAGTTTTTAACGTTTATTTCAATGGGGTCAAAAACATCATTAAGTTTCAGAGGCGTTGTTTTTTCTTTGTTGGAAAATGAAAGATTTTTTGTTTTTTTGGTGCGCCCCTGTGAATTTCGAACAAATTTTCAATTTGTTCAATTTTGTTTTTTTCATGAAAAAAAAAAAATAAATAATTTCCATTTGGGGAAAAAAGAGAAAAAACAAAACAGTCCTGGACTTTTCCACACACTAAAAGAAAAAAGTACGCGACGTATATCGAAATCATCTCTATTTGATCGTTTTATTACTGTTTATTGCCGTTTGGAGTATACATAGAAAAATATTATCAACACATTTTAAAGCCGGCCCGGACTTCTTAAAGACAATCCGTCAAATGGGCATGGCTCTCAAGTAGTAGAGAATTTAAATACATATACATATATATGTTATACTTGGGTTATACTTGGGTCAAAAGCTTTAACATTTAAACCAGTTTAAGTTTTTCTTAAAAGTTGATTATCGTAGATACCTACAAACTTCTTAAAAAAAAATTAAAAGAAAAGGACAAAGAAAAGAGAAAAACGATAAAGGTCGATTCAAATTTTGAAAGAATAAATAAATGGAGTCATCAGATATAGATGGCAATACCAAACTGATAAATATAGATTATAATGATAATAAATGATAATGATAATGATAGGGATAATGTAATTGCACAAACAGTAAGTAACTCCGCACCCATTTTAAAAGAAACAACTAATCTCATCCAACAAACAGATAACCAAGTAAACACTGCTGAGGAAGTAAATGAAACAAACGACGAAGAAGCTATTTTGAAAAATTTGGCTCCACAAACTTTACCTAACTCGATATGGAAACGAAGAAGTGCAGGGTTTAATATCGGTAACATTCAATTTCCTACGTCTCCAGTACGCCAAAATTCATTTCAGAAACTAAAAACTTTTACTAGCCCTATCTTTAGTAACAATGTAAATAATAGTCAACAGCAACACCACATTGGAAACGTTAGAAACGCTGGTACAAATGATATACACGAAAGTAATACCTGTAAAAAATACGGTAATTTTGATAGAAGGATACCCTCATTTGTCAACAATATTCAAGAACTTGGAAACACCTTGCGAATAACTCCAAGAATTAGAAATAGTGGAGCTTTTTCCTTCAAAGAGAGAAAAACACCCCATCCAATATATGCACCAGATGATCAAGAATTGAGAACAAAAAGACTTGCTTCTGATTTAATAGCATCTCTTTTGGCCGGTGGACCTGCTTCACTGTTTGCAGGGACAAACTTTCTTAAGGATTCACATGGTCGTAAAAGAGTTCCTATTTTGCTTGCAATGTTAGATGTTAAAATACGGCCTTTAAAAGACATAAACCAATATGTAAATTATGAAGAAGAAAACGATGACACTGAATTATCCAGAAGAAATACTAGTAGGCGGCAGAGTGACACTGGAAGTATCATATCGGCTAGGTTTTTTAGAAATAGGATAAATGATATAAAGGATTTGAATACGTACAGCAAGAAAAGATTATTTGAAATCAGTCTTGAATATGGTATTGATGATTACAGATCAAAATGGAAAATAATTAAAACCTATGGTTCTATGATGGAATTGCATAACCGATTGAAAGCCTTGAGTATTCAATATGCAGTTCAAGATATATTGAGTACCGATAGAAAGGCTAGACTCTTATTACCAAAATTTCCTCATAAAAAGAAAAAAAGTTCGCACGATAGCAAATATAATGAAAAGGATCCAGGTGTTGGAATATCCTCAAGAAATTCTATAGCATCTTCGGAATTGTCGGTGTCTAGTACCTCCTTGAATTCTCAATTGTTATTTGATATCAACAATGTACATCTAAAGCATTTAGAAGACTTGATAAATGAACCAGATGATTACGAGCAACCTATGGAAAAATTGTTGGAAAGATATTTTCGTTTGCTAAACCTTGCATTATGCCTAAGACCTGAAGCAAATTTATTGATTCAGTATTATGAATTTTCAACAATTAGTAATTTGCTTTCATATGAGGAAGGCTATAAAGGGAAACAGGGTATTTTAATGAACAGTACTTCTGCCACTGCACAAGGTTGGAAGGTTCCATACTTGACTAAAAGTTCAGTAAAGGAAATAGTTCAAAGACACACAACTAAGTGGTGTCTAATTAGAGATTCTTATATTATGTATGTCTCTGATATATTTTCTACTACTCCCCTTGAAGTGTTTTTGTTGGACTCAAAGTTTAATTATACATTCAGTGGTGATGATTCAAAAGATAAACGAAATATTAGCATGAACAATGTAGATGATGATATGGAATGGGACTTGGAAAAAATAAAGAAAATTTCAACTAATCTATTTATAAAATTAACTAATGCTGAGAGAAAGTTGACATTTCTTTGTAAGTCTGAGTTATCCATGAGACTTTGGGTATCATCAATTGCTAAGATGACAAGAAATTGTATTTGGGTTGGTCCTAAAAGATTTGATAGTTTTGCACCTGTTAGAAAAAATGCATTTGCTAAATTTCTAGTTGATGGAAGAGATTATTTTTGGTCGTTAAGTTTGGCACTATTGGAGGCAGAAGATGTAATATATATCCACGATTGGTGGTTATCTCCAGAACTTTATTTAAGACGTCCTGTTTCTGGAAATCAAGAATACAGAATTGATCGAATTCTAAAGAAGAAAGCCGAACAAGGTGTTAAAATATTCATTATTGTCTATCGTAATGTTGGTAAGACAGTAGGAACTGATAGTCTTTGGACAAAGCATTCTTTTTTGACATTACACAAAAATGTCTACATCATAAGATCACCCAACCAATGGAGGCAAAATATATTTTTCTGGGCTCATCATGAAAAATTCACTGTGATAGATAATACAATAGCTTTTATGGGTGGTATTGATCTTTGTTTTGGAAGGTATGATACACCAGAGCATGCTTTGAGAGATGATAGTCCAGATATTAAACAACAAATTTTCCCTGGGAAAGATTATTCAAATGCGAGGGTAAGCGATTTCATTGACTTGGATAAACCTTTTGAATCAATGTATGATAGAAATACGGTATGTCGAATGCCTTGGCATGATGTACATACCATGATTATTGGTGAACCTGCAAGAGATATGAGTCGTCATTTTGTTCAACGGTGGAATTATGTAATAAGACGTAAAAGGCCGAGTAGACCTACTCCTTTATTACTGCCACCAATAGATTTTTCAAAAGAGGAATTACTTAATTCCCCTCTTTTTCAATCTTTGAAGGCCGAATCGACATGTGAAATCCAAATACTAAGAAGTGCTGGTAATTGGTCTTTGGGATTGAAGGAAACCGAGCATTCGATTCAAAATGCATATCTTAAGTTAATTGAACAAAGTGAGCATTATATTTATATTGAAAATCAATTCTTTGTTACTACTTCTTCATGGGATGGTGTAATCATTGAAAACCGTATTGGTGATGCTATAGTCGATAGAATTATAAAGGCTCATGTAGAAAAGAAAACTTGGAAAGCATTTATTATTATCCCGTTAATGCCAGGTTTTGATTCCCCAGTTGACCAACCGGGGGCTTCAAGTTTAAGAGTTATTGTTCAATGTCAGTATTGCAGCATTTCAAGAGGGCCAACCTCCATATTTGGTAAGTTACAAAAGCTTGGAATTAATCCACATGAATATATACATTTCTTTTCACTTAGAAAATGGTCGACGTTTGGTCCAGATAATCTTCTAAAAACAGAACAGTTATATGTTCATGCAAAATTGTTGATTGTTGACGATAGAAGTTGTATAATAGGAAGTGCAAACATCAATGAACGGTCACAGTTAGGTAATAGAGATAGCGAGGTTGCTGCTATTATAAGAGATACAGCTACTATAAAATCTAAAATGAACAATAAGTCTTACGTAGCAGGCAAGTTTCCTTTTGAATTAAGGCAAAAATTAATGAGAGAACATATGGGATGTGATATAGATTTGGTCGATATTGTTGAGAGAAAATTTAACAAGTTAAGTAAATTAGCAACTCTTAATTATAAAACGTTAAATACATTAACTGATACAGGCGTTAGGGAAAAAGACCTTCGTGATTCTGCTTTAATAGAACTTGCATATAGAGAAGTATTTGGGTGCTGTTACAGTCCAGCATGGAAAGAAAAATATGGTATAAATTCCAATAAAACAGATACAGAATGTTATGGAGTTTACAAAAGAGTTAAAAATGATACTAGTACAGGTATATATGAAAGAGAACTAAATTTAAAGGACTTCGGTTGTCCATCGGCTATACCTAGTATTAAAAAATACAGAAAGAAAAAGGTACATTCTTTCAATTATCGGGCGGGGATTGATAACACCGGGGTAAAAAGTAACAAAGAGGTTAGTAAGGATCCAAGATTGACCAACAATCATGAGCATGAGGACGATGTTAATGGTGATGGTCCTGATGAATGGAATAAAGTAACAGACGAATTTAAAAGTTCAGTCACAAAACAATTACAAAAATGGGCAAAAGCTTTAATGACATTTAAAAAAACAATTACTGAAAATGTAGAAGGTGAAGAAATTGGTAATTTGTTCTTACCATTTAAAGAAGATTTGGTGGCTTATATTAATGATGAATCGGTCTGTAAGGAAGATAAATGGGACATGTTAAAAAGAATTCATTACTTGCAATACCTTAATCATAAAGAAAGTTCGGGAAGGAATCTTAATGAGTTATCCGGTATTAAGATTGAATCAGATTCAATTACTGAAAAATCCAATATTCAGGAGTTTTGTACTGATAATGAAGATAATAGAGATGAGGAGTTAGAAAATCTTTTAAGAAAACAGTTGCCTTCAAATATTTATTACAGAGAAGAAAGGGCTATAGACAGCATATTAAATCTTAATTTTGTAGATCCATATTCATTTAGTGACCCAATATGTCCTGAGTTTTTTGAAGATATTTGGTTTTGTACAGCCGTTAAAAATACAACAATTTTTAGAATGGTATTTCATTGCCAACCTGACGATTCTGTTACGACATGGAGAGCCTATAAAAGCTTCAATGCAATGTACAATGCGTTTGAAAGAAAACAAACTACGAAGAAGAATATTGATCCATCAGTAAATTCTGAAAAAAACAAATCAATAAAGAGTGGAACTACTATGGAGAAGAATCATGACGCCAAAAGTACTTTGAGTTCTTCAAATGATGAAGGAAAGCAGGAGAATACAAGTTCTATAGTCCTTAAAGAAAGAGCTAATTTTCCATCATACCACTTAAACGAGCTTTTTACTGGATATAATGACCCAATATTTGACAAGCAGGATGCACTCAAATTATTAAGAAAGATTAAGGGTCATTTGGTACTTTTTGCAACTGAATGGTTATCTGAGGAAGTTGACTCAAACAATTGGTTTTATAATGCAGATAGATTGGTTCCAATAGAAGTTTACAATTGAAATTTATTTGCTCGACCCATAGATAGATAATTTTTTTGCATACATATATGTTTATAAAGTACGCTCTACTATTATTTTAAGTATTTTGCATTTTTTGTTCCAGCACTTTGATCTGACTCAAATGAAAATACAAAAACAGTAGAAAAAGAAAAAGGAAAAATATTGGAGATATAATTAAACGGTTGTGTAATATCAAAAAGTTCAATTAATAAAAAGTTGATATATGTTTTTAAATAGAACCAATTGTTTCTGTTTAGTATTTATTACGTATTAGCTAATCGTTCAAGGTTCTGTCACATATATGTATGTATTAGCCATTATTTATTTGAAAATAATAACGTATAAATAGACTGAGAAGAATATCAACTATAAACAAAACATTGAACTAATTAAATATTTAAATCAAGATACATCAACTTTATAGGTATTTGTAAATTAGTTGTTAAAAGAAAAATGGAAATATAAGTAGAAACAAAATATAAAGTCAAAAATATGAATAACTAATATTACATTTAATGAAAAGCCACGAGCTAAAAAAATTCTTCAAATGGAATAATTTCATAAGTGGTCTCAGCTAACATAATAATGTCACATGCAATATCATATTACTAACACACAGGAAGCATCTTAAACCAATTTTGGTTTAAATAAACAAAAACCAATTATTAAATCTAGACATCGTAATTAATCAATATCAGGCAAAAGTAATACAACAATGGGAGAAACAGAGCAGAAGGAGGAATGGTCAGTTCCAGACTCATACATTGTAGATCCTGATGCTGGAATAATAACATGTGTCTGTGGTTATGATGAAGATGACGGATTTACAATACAATGTGATCATTGTTTTAGATGGCAGCATGCAATATGTTACAGCATTAAAGACATAGATTCAGTACCAGATAATTACCTTTGTAATGTATGTAATCCAAGGAATATCGATATAAAACTAGCAAAACAAATACAGAGAAAACGATTTTTTTCATTTTCTTTAGAAAGTGATGCGAAAGATAATGATGCAAAAACTAATAATAAAAAAAGAAAGAAGATAGAAAGCAGTGAACCATCTAATATTGGAAGTAAGAATGGGAGTATATCTCAAAGAGATGGTGTAAAAGAGACCAAAGTTGAATCAACTCCCCCATACGACCTTATACGAAAGAAAGAACATTTAATTAATGCAAAAGATGCATTTCCAGCCACATTTATTGCTATAGATAATTGTTCTTTGAAGGATTCATTAGTCAAAAAATTTCTAGCTTTTCATAAAAATGATTCATTTATTTTGCCGTTCAAAGAAACTAAAATAGATAATAATAGTACAGAAGTGAGGTCATATTCATCCATTGTCTATTCACGAACATTTCCAGGTTTTAATAAATTGGGTATTTTTGCTACAAAATTTTGTTCAATGGGGTCTCTTATATGTGAGGCAACAGGTGAATTATATTTTAAGAAGCAGTACCTAGAAGATTCTAAAAATCAGTACCGGATATGGGGGATGCCAAAAAGAAAAGTGATATTCCATGATGAGTGGCCAATAGTTATTGATCAACGGTTTTGTGGGAATGAAAGTAGATATCTACGAAAGAGTTGTAAACCCAATGTAGAATTGGTGACGGTGAAGTCTTCAGATGGATCTCTATCGTTTTGGTATCGTGCTACAAAGGATATTGAAGAAAATGAAGAGCTACAAGCAGGATGGCAATGGAATAAGAAACACCCAATATTAAAATTGATTAAAGATGATACCAATATTTCAGATTTATCTAATGATGAGAAAAGTATTTTATTAGAATCAATTGATGCCATTTTAAGTACTTGTGAGTGTGCATGTGGTAATAATAACAAACAATGTCATATTTTTAGAGTTAAGAAAATAATTAATACGTACTGTAAATCCATTCGTTCTAAAATGAATGTAAGATATAAATTCAATGAGGTAATTAGCAAATTAACATCGCACCAGAAAAAGAGGGAACCTCCAATACTTCAACGTTTGGTTGTTGACAATAAGTTGCAACAAGAAGAATTTGACAAGTTTTTAAGTAAATTCTTTTCTGATCAAAACGAAACTGATCTATCAGCTATTGGAAAGTTGAATAAAAGTCATATTGATACTGTTTTAGCATTCAAAAGAAGACGGTTTTTAACAGGAAATATACAACAGACTAGACATCATCAAAAAAATGGTTTTTCAAAATTGTTACATTACAATGAAGATAAAGTAGATAATATTAATGAACTATCTACACCTATTGAATTACTGGTGGATATTTCTGATCTGGATAATGATAATAATAAGAAAAATGAAATTCAGAATATCAAATTTGCTAATTCTACTTCTTTCAAGAAATTGAGTTCAACGGGTATTTCTCCTGCTGTAAAAGATACATTAAAAGAGCATGAGATTGTTGGGACTTTACAACAAACTAGTGACATTATTTCTAGATCATCAACCCCTTCAATTATGACAGATAGTACAGAATCAACGATTGAGCCAACACAAGATGTTCTGAACTCTCAGCAACATGTACAGACAATAAGATCCAAAAAGAAATTATCATTTGCTGATTATAAGAAAAAATTAAGCAAATAAGAGAAAAAGTTTGCTGTGCACAAATTTACAATAGTATGATTGAAATTGTTTCCTAAAAATATTTACTAGTATAGTCTTTATCTTTTTATGAGAATCATTATTGTGATGACTACCTAGTTTCAAAAATCATAGACTTTCACTTTTTTTTCTACAAATTCAGTTTTTGCAATGAATTGGATGTGTTATGATTGTTCTATACAAAGAGATTTATTCAATAAAAAGCAGAAGTGCCCGGATATGTATATATATGTATATATATGTATATATAGGTACTATATCCTTTACATATTGAAAATGTAAGTAGTGTATATTGTAGAAGAGATTATTCGTAGAAAAATCTCTTTAATATGGACGACAGTTTAATGTTGAAAAAGAACATTTAGGTTTTACAAACCAAATAATTTGAAAAGAAAATCCTGATTTAGAAATTTTATGTTGGATGTAGACACACTATGACTTAAAATTTGATATATTGATAATTTTAACGCATTCTTCAACAATAGTAACAGTGTACAAAGCTTTAACAATGTCCTTTCTCTCTTTAAGTTGTTTCAACTCTAAAATTTTATTATTTTTGTTTATTGTTTTACAAGCCTGTGTAAAATTTTAAATTGCAAAAATAGTTTTTTTCCCCGGAAATTTACATAATCTAAAACAAAATATATATACAACTGATTAAACATTCATTCAAATAATTAGAAATCTTACTTTAAAATAACGAAAAATTATTACAAATGGAGCCTCGATTACACCTGGCAACAAAGTTTATTAATTGATGGAATGTCTAACCCCCCCACATTTTAGTCAATGTAATAGGTTTATCCTTTTTAGTATGGCACAATTTTCTTCTAATTAACTAGACCTCCTCTGTTGCTTTTCCTTTTGGAGAAGAAATAATTTACAGAAGAGTAGATTAAAATATTTAAAGCCACGCCAAGAAATCACTCTTATATAAGCTTATATTTGTATATATTCTGTTTATTCTCAATGGATAATAATTTTACAAAGTATCAAAAATAAATGACAATCCAATATCCAACTGACTTATAATAATAATAACAGCATATTATGAAAAGACATCTACCCAAGAAAATTTACAAAAATAATTTAAAAGTATCTTTTATATAAGTAGTGTTTATTAGCTTCAATGTTTTATTTTCTCGTAAGTACCTTTTTAAATATATCATAGACAAAGTTTGGCGAATTCAATTAAGATTTAGCACATTGACTAGAACGTTAATATTTTTAGAAACCCTATCAACGATAGATAACACTTCCCTTTGTGTAATATAACTGTAACATGATATTGTTGTGTTATTGTAGAGCTATTGAAAGCTCTATCTATTATAGCAGGTGTAGAAAGACGTTTATCGATTCTACAATAATCAAAATAAAAGACAACACATTGATGTAACTCACCTTATATATCCAGAGTATTATTCTGTGGCATATCAACTATAAAGAGTTTCCTAAGATAATATAACTCATTATTATTATTAATTATTTTTTGAAAGCTCATTAAAGCGTTCATGTCTTTCTATAACTTGTGTTCAAATTCTTCGTTCCATCATTTCTTGATAATTTTTTTTCTTTACTTTTAAAGAACTTGGATTGACACATACAATAAATTTGGGGTTAGATCTTACAATGTCAGGTGAATCATGGCCAGAAGATTTGAAAACTCCAACTTAGTGATTGTGATTAAATATCATAACTGCAACATTATCAAACACAAGATGTCTTACTGTTGGAAGGTATTAAATATATCTATCAACAAGTTATACACCTTAAAAAAACCCACATTTCGTTTTCCTTTTTTTATACTACACAGAAGAAAAAAGAATTTATAATGAAGTTATGGTAAGATTCAAAAAGCCACAAAAATAAGGTGACTTCCTCATATATGGGATTCTATGATATGCCAACAATGTTTAATTGTTACCAACGACATCGAACATTGAGCTTGTCTTAATTTCAGTAACTTCATAGTAATATCTAATTTATTGTTACGTTATGATATCCTAGAGTTATATTTCTATGGCATACCATATCAAGCCTCCATACTACTAGATTCTACTGAGTTGCTCACTCTTCAGCCCGCTCTCAACTAACAATCTTCATTATATTTTGGAACCCAAAGAATTGACACATTCTTTACAACAATAGGGGGAGGAGGGAGAAAAAACAATAGAGAAGGAAAATATACATCCTCAATCATCAAACACGAAATCTCAAATTAAAAAATGAAAGCAATGAACTCCAGATTTATTTTAAATTCTCGATCTATATAGAACACATGATCAAAGAATACCGTAGGATTAATATAAGTTTCTACAAGTCACAAGGTACCAGTTACTACCTTCTATTATCTGTCTATTTAATAAGTATAATAGGATACTCCCCAATATTTTACTTGCTGGGAGCACTAAAGAAAAAGAGGAAAATTACAAAAACAAAAATGTCACGTAGAAATGAAGCAATTGATTTTGCCATCAAAAAGATACCAGAGATATTACCATTGGAAAAGCAAGAAATTCAAGATCTATGCAATCAAATTCTAGACAATAATCATAATCCAGATTCTATTGCATATGCCTTTTTCAATATTTTGGGACAGGAAGATTTATCTTTTCAATTTGTCTTGGAATTTAATGATATTTTGAATAACATAAAGAAAGATTCAATTATTGAAAAACTAGAAGAGCAAAAACATAAGAATCAAAAAGATGATAATGAACTTATTGATATTCAGAAAAGCAATGATAATAGAGTGGTTGGGAATCGGGAAACTATTGAACAAGCACCACTTATTCAAATAAGTCAAAAAAATACGATAGTTCAAAAGCCAATGGTTGCGAAAAATTTTGATAAGAAACAATCAACTAATAGAAAAAGAGAAACTCAAACATCATCTAAAAAAAATAAATTAAAATCATTGGAAGAAATCGAAGACGCCGTCAGATATTTAAGTGCAACTCATGAGGAAAAGGATAGTGGTAAGTATAAATGTTCATGTTTAGGGAAATTACATCCAATTTTCTCAATTGCTCCAAATTGTCTTTCTTGTGGAAAAATTATATGTGTTAGAGAAGGATTACATTTAAATAATTGTACATTTTGTGGTGCTGAACTAATCCCCTTTAATGAACGTATGCAATTAATAGAAGCTTTAAAAGAAGAAGAGAATTCTATAAACAATAGTTCAAATACTAAACCAGGAAAAGAACAAGGAATATGGGAGAATAAAAAAAAGTCTTCTAAAACATATAAAATCTCGACAGGTATGGGTAAGAATCTTTTTGATCAACAAGATAAATTGTTTGATTTGATTGAAAGACAAAAGGAACGTGAAAGAAAGAGAGAGCAAGTTTTAAAAGAAAGAGATGAACAAGAAAAATTAAAGGATACAATTAAGGCAAATGCTGATAATAAACAAGACGAAATAATAGATGAAGATTTAAGAAAAGCTCAGGAACGTCTTGAAAACTTACTTCATTTCCAAGATACCTCTGCAGAAAGGACAAAAATCATTGATAATGCAAGCGATTTCAGCATATCGAATGATGTTGGTCTTTGGGGTAGTGCAAGAGAAAAAGCATTATTGCTAAAAAAACAACAACGTAATTTAAGGAAATGGGAAAAATTAGAACGTGAAAGAAATGGTAGAAAAGATAAATATGTTGTTAGTTTAGATATTAAAGCAGATGGAAAAGTGATTATGAAGGAAACTGTAAAAGACAACAATGAAATTTACGCTCAATCTGATGATGACATTAATGATATAAGTGATGAGGAAGATATCAAGGATTTACAAGCTATTCATGATTATAAAAACCAGTTATCAACAGAAAGAGAGATACAGAATTCCACTTTACAATCGAAAATTTGGGAGTATGAGAGAGATAAAGAACAATTTGAACGTCCAATATATATTGGTAGTGATGGTGAAGTATTTAATACTGAAAATAAACAAAAGGATAAATCAACTTGGAAGTCTAGAGTTCAAGTAAATAATAGCGGTGATATGTCTGTAGAACAGAATATTTTAGCAGTATTATAGAGTTTTAACATTCGTATCATTATCAGCATTACAACATATCTTATGTTTGCATAGATTGTATATTTATATTTTATCTTAGACTATGTAGTACAGAAAACTTTTTCGTTGTTTGCGTAAGATATATATATAAATATATAAATGAATTCACGAAATAGTGTGATTGGCTGTGCTCAATAATTAAATTCACTGACAGTGTTATTGACTATCATTCTTGCAGCCTTAAACATTGCATCTTTTACATTTTCCTTTTTATTTTTTTGTTTAACAGAATCCTCATTTATTAACTGTTTTTTATTTTGAGCTCCCATAGCTTTTGGTCTTTCTCTAAGACCAAAACTTTTAGCTAAATGACCAAGATGTAAACATTTCACATTGAAATAAACTTTTTCAGAGGATATATGTGTAGTGTACGCTCTAATATGACTACTATACCCCTTCATAGCGATATTCTTAAACTCATCATCTTCCAATATTCTTCTTTCCATATTCAAATGCCATGTAGTAGCATTTGTATCCCACTCAACAGCTTCCTTCTTTTGATCTTTATATTGTTTTTTATCATTTCTTTCAACGTGCATAGAAGTAAATGCAGGTTTCAAAATATCTTGATCAAATTTTAGAAGCTTCCAACCCATTGGGTGGTATGGCTTAATATGGCCAAGATAACCTTCTTCTTCACCAGGTAACAAGAATAATATACTCTCACCGCTTCTTCCAGCACGGGCAGTACGACCTATCCTATGCAAATGGTCTTCTACAGAGAATGGTGGGTCAAATTCGATAACAGTACCAACATGAGGCAAATCTAAGCCTCTACTGGCAACATCTGTACAGAACATGATTAAATGTTTACCTTTAGTAGCTTCATTATTAGTTGCAAAATGCTTCAAAGTTGATGTTCTTATTTGTTGTGATAGAGAACCATGTAATTTATAGAATATAACATTTGGATCTGATTCGTCATCAAGACAAGGTAGGACATTAGACCCCTTGGTTAATTGTCTCACAGAATCTGGTATAACATTCTTACAAAAAGAATCCATATTAGTAAAGGCTTCAAAATGAAATTCGACACTATCGGAACAAGACAAAAATACCATAGTTCTCACAGTTTCATCTTTTTTCTTAGATTCTTTAATTTTCCTTGTTAAGTCACTAAGAATAGCACCCAAAGTGACCAATCTCAGTTTAGGTGGAACAATAGTCACAATTTGTTTTAACTGATCAGGGGCCACCGATATTTCACTTCTATCTTCTTTATCCGTATTATTTGAAATCAACTTATAATTCTTTAAAGCAACATTTCCAAGTTTCTTCACATTACCAGCGGTTGTAGCACTACATAAAATATGAACAATACGTGACGGAAGCTTCGGAAAATGTTTTAAATCTAATTTAATATCATGGATAATATTAAGAATCTCTGTTAAAGTTTCTTCAAAACCTAATTCCATCAATTTATCACCTTCATCTAAAATTACGTATCTAAAAGAGGAGGCTAATTGATTTCTAATAACTTTAGTATTTTGCAAATGATCTAAGATACGACCTGGGGTACCTATAATAAAGTTACAACCTTTGCGCAGTCTTGCCTTTTCTGATTTTTTTCTTTCACCACCTATTAATAAACACGGAACCAAATAATGACAACATTGAGTAAGCGATAGGCAGACTTGATAAATTTGGGATGCCAGTTCACGAGTTGGGGCAATTATCAACGCAAATGTACCTGATGTCCGATCTATATGTTCATTCATCGTTAAAAGATTCGATAATACGGGTAAAAGAAACGCCAAAGTCTTACCTGAACCAGTTTGCGCATGAATGAACAAATCATTTTCCTTATTCTTACTTGAAATTAAGTATGGAATGACTAATTTTTGAATACTAGTTGGTTTTGTAATTCTCATTTTTTCTTTTAAATGTTTTATTAAGGTTTCACTAGTACCAAAGGATCCAAAATTATCACCAGCTAGAGGAGCGTTAGAAGGATTGATTTCTATAGTTTCGTCTTGTGCATTTGGATTGATCGAAGTTTCAATTTGTCTATTTGAAGTAAACAAAGAGGAAACAATTTGATCATTAGCTAATTGGGTTTTTTGATTGTTATTCTTTGCTAATTTCTTATCTAAATCCTTAGTCATTTTATTACTAATTAACTTATTGCTAGAATCCGTTGGTTGGATCTTGTATTTCTTATTACTGGTTTGTGGTTTAGTGAGAGAATTTTCATTATCATCACCATAATTATTTTCAATATCAACCTTCTCTTTTTCAACAGAGCTATTATAATCCTCAAATGATCTCTTATTATTGGTAGTATTCTTATTAATTGTCGATTTTTCTTGCTTATTCAACTGTCTTCTTAATTTTCTTCTGTCTTTCCATCTTCCACCAGTAATCCTATTATTACTTTGATTAGTTTTCTGAGATGTGTCATGATCGTGTGTAACAAAATTTAAAATCATACCATCGTCATCCATTTCTAATTAAATTATTTCAATTTTAGTCTAATTATGATCTACAAATAGAATCTAATATTGTAATGTAATATATAATGGACAAATCCTGCTAATTTAAATCCTGAAATAACGCTAAAAAATCTTCAATAGTTTACTATTTGTGTTTTGAAGTAATCTACCATCACCTTATCTCATCTCATCTCGTCCTTTTTAAATTTTAAAATTTCCAGAATTATAAAAAACAAAAGGAAATCGTTGAAAATTTTCCATTTTTCAAATTACTTACAGACAACTTTTCAAAATAATTGAAATTGTCATGATTTTGAATTATAATCATACTAGAAGTACATTTCAATATCAAATCGGATCTTTGACAACTCTTACTATAAGATACCTTCATTGGTGCTGAGTTGTTCTAGTTAATCTTAAACTAGCGTGATCCGGTTGAAGAAAATTTTATAGCTAATTCAGATTTGTTTGTCAAAACACTATAAGTGCAGACATATATACACATACTTACACATTCACAAACATACCTATTTATATCATAATTTATAATAAAAAATTTATTAAATTAATAATATAGTATGAGTGGTAATAGTTTATTTGTCAAGGAGGAAGAGGAAGAAGAAGATTTTGAAGTTAAACAACCAGTAGATATGGAGGGTGATATTGACATGATACAGGAAGAAGATGGTGTTGAACCCCAATCTATTAATCTAGTTAAAGAGTCACAGGATGAAGCAAATAATAATAAAAACACTGTTAAAAAGGAGGCAGAGCAAAAAAGTATAGATAGCAAAAAAGAAGAGGAAGAAAAGGCAGAAGAAGATTTATCGCAAGAGGGAGACGATCCGGACGATCCTGTTATAGAGGCTTATCCAGTGTTTATGGCAGGTAAGGATGAAAATCTGCATATATTACAATATGTTAATAAAGCCAAGTTAGTAGGTAAAAGATTGGCAGAACATCCACTTATTTCTTCTGCAAGATACAAAAAAGCATCAAAACTTTGGGAATTGGATCTTCCATTAGATGAAGAAGCCTTTTTCAGTAAATATAAAGCTGAAGAAAAATGGGATGGTGTTGAAGTACAGACTTTGAAGGGGGTTGGTGTACCTAATGAGGGTCAATATATTGCATTTATTAAAAAGAAAAAAATATACCTTGCACCTGTCAAAGATGTTTCACAGTTAAGACCATATTTCAAATATATCGATGCAAGTGTCCAAAAAAGTAAAAAAGAGGAATTAAAACAGAATCAAAATGCAGCAGCTTCTCAAAAGGCTCAAATGGTTACAATGTCAGTAAAAAGTGTCAATGATCCAACCCAAAACAGATTAACTGGATCTCTTTTGGCTCATAAGATAGCAGATGAAGAAGAACCTAAGGAATTACAATGGATCGAAGGTACTGTTGATCAATTTCAAGAAACTTTAATAAAAGAATCTCATGAACACGAATTGAAACCAATTGATAATAAAGAGAGCTATATCTCTAAATTATTCCCTTGATAAAGAACGAAAACATCGACATATTCATATATATAAAGCAGCAAAAAGAAGATATAGATATATTTATTTTGTTTTAACACGTTTATCTCAGATTTTATAAGTATATATTGATAATATATACACATGCATTTATTAAACTTTCTGAAACGGTATTCTCGAAAATGTACCTACATATATAAATAAACATATATATATGTATATATATGTTCTCACTTACTCCTCATTTTTAATCGTACCACATTTTAATTAGTTCTTCTGAGACAGCACTTGGTGTTAAGACACCCAGATCTGTAATTAAAGCAGTGATGTATTCTTGGGAAGTATAATCTATTGTTGGTCCACTTATCTTACATTCAGAACCAGTCGTGTTACGTGAGAAATCCAAAAATTTATTCTCCATAGGTAAATCGTCAGAAGATAATGGAAACATACGAACAAACTTATGACTCTCTGTAACAACATAGAATGGCTTTCTTGCATTATTAGCTAATACACCAAGAGGATATGTACCAATGACATTAATTATACCACCACTCTCCGCAACACCTTCCGCACCAACAAACACTTTATCAACTTTTGTGATAATAGAGCCAGCTGCACCGTCTACTACTAACGTAACTGGAATACCTCTTTCAGCTAATAGAGAATAAAGTTGTTCACCTTGATTCGAAGGTCTTGTCTCAGTGACTACACATCTAAATCTGATTAGATTATCAGCAGCATGACTTAATAAAGAGAAAACCGCTCTGGAGAATCCATGTACTAAAATAATATCATCGTCACTTATAAAATCAATACCGATTTCTGCAATTTTCTTACGAGACATTTTAGCTCTTGAAACAAACAACTGACCATTTTCAATTAAATGTTGTTTACAATTTTCCCAGTCACCATATAAATGCAAATTTCTTAAAACAAATCTCATAAAAATATCACAACCTGCTCTAAGAGACACTGAATTGGGTATTGTTTGAACCAACTCATCTACAGCGGACTTGATAGAATTTATAACTTCTGCTGCTGTTCCCGGATTCTTAACTCTTAATAAAGTGACTAGTGCTTCAATAGCAGCAATTGGCATAGTCATTTCTGAATCTTCTTCCAAAAACTTCAAATAAGTTTGAGTAATACTAAAATCTCCTGACATGGTTAAATCAAATGGATCTAAAATGATTTATAATAAATGATTAAAGCAAAAAATAATAATAAAAAATACGGAAAAAAAAGAAATATAAATTGATTGTGCGTATCTGTTTATCGAAATTAAGGTAATACAATAAATTTCACAATGGCCTTTTTGACAAGTAGTTGCCTTTTTGTATTATACAGATTATTAACACTTAAATGTAATTTTATACACACACATGCATATGCACATAAAATAATCAAACACGTATATTTTTATTATGGTTTATTTGACTAAGCTGGTAAGCCTATCTGTTTACACCCTATGTTTAAAGCTACAGAACACGACTCTTATATCTTCGATCTTCATCTTCTAAATTCTATCATTTTTGCTTGTAAGATTTTTTATTTTTTTTCTGGTTTCTTCACAAAATTTGGTGTACACTTCCAGTGAAAAGTGAGAGCATCGGCCATTTTTGAACTTTTTTTGAATTCTTGAAAATGTTTCAAATATTTTTAAATTTTATTGCAAATAAGAGGATTCGAAAATATCTGAGTGAAAAATGGATAAGGTCTTGTATGAATGTCTGACAAAGAGAATGGTCTAACTCCTGATAACTATGCATAGTCCTATTTTAGTAATATGTTTGATTTAAGTTAGAGTTTCATAGTAAACGTACTTGTTTATACTAGTTACAAGTTTTTAAATTTATTAATTTATATAAAATACTTGATCTATGATATATAGTTCGAGCAAACCACTATTTCTTATTTACAAACTGTCTGTTGATAGGTCAACACTGTTGTATAAATAACGGAATGTAAAACAACATGCTTTTTAAAAACACGCTTTCCATAGAACATTTTAGAACATTTGATACAAGTGATCTTTTTTTTTTTTTTTTTTTACGGAAACTGAATTTGAAATATCACTAGCAAACTTTATGGTATGGATAATTCTGAACATATACCAGAACCTTATCTTATCATCCAATTATTTCATGATATTTTTTAATATCTATTAAAATTCAATTATTAGATCATATGTTGTAAAATCATTAAATTGCCATAAGTATAAAGAACCATCTACATTTTAAAAAATTTAGAACATATAAGTAAAAGACATCTTTATATATTTTGGAGTTTTTTGATATTTAAATCTTTACAAAACTTTTTCAAAATATATATAGGTAGGGAGAGAACAAGCAAAATAGCAGATTATTCGATGTAATAATGCTTTTAAATAGTTAGATACTGTTTTGTATTAACTACTGTGTTTAATCTCCATATTATTTTTATGTCTTCCAAATCTACGATTTCTAATATTGCATCTTCAGCTTACAATACATACAGTTGCCTCTCTTTTCTAAGGAAGAATATTTATCAAATAAGAATTATTGAATATATATATTGCTTTAATATGACGTTAACTAACTCATTATATATTCAACATCATTACTTTTATTGAGCATTTACATCTATATTATGACAAATTTGTTGTCAAATATACTTAGCACATTAAGGCCTTGTACTTGCTGAATTAGATAATGACGATACATAACGTAGCTCTATACTAACGGGATGATAATAATCATATATATTGGAATATATATATCAACATGCTTTAGATAAATAACTGTATTTTACTATTTTATTTCTTTTCCTTTTATATATATTTTTGATAGCAAACAGTTTAACCGATGAAATATATTTTTATTAATGGCAAGTATTTTTAATATGATTTTTAGAATATAAAGGATGAGAATATGCTATTATTCATCACTTGGCAGCGTTTTTTTAGGTAAACAGATCCTTAGTTTGCTAAAATCTATACAGCTATTGTGAATTCATATGCTATGTCTCTGAAAAAGTACAAATTGATCTTTTCTATATTTGATACTTCATAATATAATATCATACTTACTGTAAAACAAGCCTTTCTTTACTGTCTTTTTCTACAGGAATTATTTTTAGTTCTTTTTTTCTGTATTTAATAATGATGTATGAATATAACAAAAGATGTGAAAAGGATTTTTGTTAGAAAAAAAAATTTTCCAAAAAATCGAACAAGGTTTAAAAGAAATAAAAGAACTTATACTCAGTGTAATATATGGTGGTAATATATGTATTAAATACAAAAAAAAAAGAAAACAATTCAGTGTGACTTAATGATGTTAATAATTGCCATAGAAGCTGAATACCTCAAAAATTACTGTCTTTAAATTTTCATATAACATCCGTGAGAGATCTTATCTATACATTATGTTATAGTATTTAAAACAATCATTATGTTGGAAAATGAGAGTTTATTACTGTCATTTTCATAAGAATTATTTTTAATTAGTTTTTCTATATATTATGTGGTGTACGAATGTACATAATATCAGGAAAACATTTTAATTGTCACCAAATATGTCTTTCGAAGATTTGAAAAGAAATGAAAAACTTTAAAAGAAAACTTAAAGTAAATAAAAGAATGTATACTGAATACACTATATAATAAATATGTACAGGTATTTAATACAAAAACAAAAACAAGTATCTATAACTTAATGATGTCTATCATTACCATGGACGCAGAAGGCTCCAAATTCCAACACATTATTATATTATTATAACATTAAGCACCTGTTGTGGAATAGAATAGTCATAACCATCAAGATTATATAAGATCCTGAATGAATCTAGAACTATTTATTGTCTTAATAAGCCATACACGTGCTACAACATTAGATGCTGCATAATAAAGAGATTGGATTACATAAAATTTTGGCAAATCTAGAATTTACCTATTGTTTTAATAAGTCCCACGTGTATTACTAATCACCATGATTAGAGAATTGGGGTGTAGTTCTAATCCACTAGTGCACCTAAATTAATGTAATCAATTTTAGGGTGAATCAGTCAAGTCATTAATGTACTAATCTGAATAATCGATCGAGCTCCAGAAAACATATAAAAGGATAACATTTTCTGGAGATAAAAGACCATCTTCCATAACCGTTTCTTGTAAATAATTTATATATTATATATGAACAAAAGGAGAATAACAAGCAAGTAACAAGTTAAGTAACTTTGAATAAATATATTAGCTCGTTAAAGCCGCTCAATATATAAGACCGTTTTAGTAATTATATTATCGCCTATAATTGATTACTGTCTCGATTACTTAAATGACTATTAATATTATTTGCGCTTCCCTGGAATACACAAAGAATTTCATCATACCACACTACAACAGCACCACAACAACTTGTTCCTCGTGGCCCAATGGTCACGGCGTCTGGCTACGAACCAGAAGACTCCAGGTTCGAGTCCTGGCGGGGAAGTTGTTTTTGTGTTTTTGATGCCCGTAATATTGTGATTGTAATATCCCTGATATTACTGTTTAGGGTTTTGTTAAGAAAAATGAGGGTTGATGGTATTTTTCTAAACTTTCTGTAATAGATTGTAATAGATGAAAATCCGATTACGAGAGATATACTCTTCTAGACGCTAAAAATAGATAGATATAGCTTAAATTGCTGTCTCTATATGACATATAAACTATACTCTACATAAAGAGTAAACTAATATATACAGATAAACATAATTATATAAACAAGGTAAACAAGGTAAATAAAGTAAATAGGGTAAACAAGGAAAACAAGAACGTCGTCGTCGACCAAGGAGTTCACAAGACCGTTTATAGTGACATCCGGATTTCATATGTCACACTTTCCTTTTTGCAAAAATTTCCAAAAACAACAACGAACTGGAAAAGAATGAGAAACCAAGGATTACATAAGATTAGATATATAGTAACATTGCATCTAGAGATATAGCGTGACTCTATATCTCATGTTTATTCAAGCGAATTATTATTATTATTAAAATATGATACACTGTCATCAGAAACACATAATCATAAGGTTATCACACCATTCCGTATTCCAATAGAATCTACTATGGTATTTCTAAATATGATGGACTTGTTTTTATATTTTGCAAGTTTAGTTGGTCTTTTTTTTTTGTAGTAATGTTGTTGTCCAAGGAAAGTCCTTTCTCTAAACATGTAAATTTGTAAGATAGAAGAGTATCTTCAGGGCCTTATACAAGGAGAACTAGATATTGTTATAGATAGAACATATGAGGAAAACAAAATATATATATATATATTATAAAAATACACGTATATGCTGTTGGTGAAAGTTGTAGCTACCATAAAAATAATAAAGTTATTAATATATTTATTATAATTAGAATTTTTAGGCTTCTTGTATAAATGATACGGATATAAATATATATGAGTGTAACGTATAGTTATGTAGAATGTTTGGACACAAATCGTAAAATTAGTATTTTTTACATCTCTTACTAGGTCCTAATGTATAATCTTAACTTTGGGGAAAATAAGTTATTCCCACACATTTTTTACCTATGATTTCTTTTATCAGTTTTGACAATGTTATGTATAATAAAGTGTGTCTATTGATTTATTTCCAATTTTCATCTAACATATTCTTATATATCTGTATAGTAATTATCAACATATACCTTTTATATATTAATAATTAATTCTGATTATCACATATGTCCATTTTAATCATATATAATAGATCTATTCCACTTTAGAATCTTCTAATTATTTTAGTATGTTATAATCAGAAACCATATGATTATTTTATATAGATAACTCTCACAAATATAATATTCAAAAAAGAAAGCTCTTTGAACACCCCCAAAATAACTTTACAAATTTGAAAGGTATGAAATTTACACCCACATTAAATTTTTAAATATAAAATTTGTTATTAGCTTCTTTAAATAATTTTGCAAATATCCTATACTGGATCAATCTTGATTATGCTGTCCATAATTGGTTGCTTATTCTTTATAAATATACTTATATCATAATAATAATTTTTCTTCTTACAGAAAATCTCTCCTATTTTTCACGACATTATTGAATATTAAAAAACCCTACCACACTCTATGAATAAACTGGATAAAAGATTATAGATATCTACAATTATGTATATATTTAATTCAAAAATAATACTTGTTCATAATGAAATTGAGAATAATACATAATAAATATTCCACAAAACAGCAATATTTTATTTTCACATGTCTCTCTCCTATTTCTTTTTCCTCTCTTTGTGTTCTTGACTACATTTTTTTCCTTTTTGTCACCCATTTTTTTGTTTGATGATATCTTCTTTTTTAGTATTGTTTAATAGCATAGGTTATAATTTTGTGATTAACTCTAGGACTTATAACTCTGTTCTAAAAGTTTTAATGAATCCCATAGTTTGAGAAAATAAAAAAAATAAAGTTTAATTACTTTTATTTATCACTATATTTTATAAAAAAAATTTGTGAAAATATATGTCGTTTTTGTTCTCATTCTTTTTCTTACACCATATCTAATATACCATATACCATTTTACTACTTAAAATCTGGTTTACAATTTCCTAAATATCAATTTGCTCAAGTCTTATTATCTGTGTTTATGAAGATTTTAAAATGAATTATGAACTTATGACTATTTGATTGAGGACTATTGATCTTGGTTTTCAGGTGGGTTTTTAGTTTTTTTATTTTTTATAATATATCTTCTTAGTTATCATTTTTTCTTATTAAGCATTTATTATTAGTATATTCTGCATGTAAATATAACAAAATCATCATTTTTTTATGAACATAAACATAAGATATAACTGAATCTAAATAGATATTAAAACGGCCTAAATCTACTGATATCGAAGATACTAAAACAAATAGATAAACAAATTAAATTTTAGCAAGTATAGTTCTATACCAAAATTCGGAATATGTAATGTTTGTTTATCTGTAAATAAAAACCAAACAAAATAATGAAACTTGCTATCCGTAGAAGAGAAATGTCAAAAATGAGCATATATAAAGCTAATATTTTTATTACATCATATTTCTATCCTTTGTAGACTTTTTACATTTTTTGTACGCTATAAATATATAACAATAATAATTGAGAATGTATACTATATACTAAATGAATATAGGCTCCAATTTTCACCAAAATTTATGGTTAAAAACATATTTAAACACTTTTACTCTAATCCTATATAAAATGAAATAATAACTCAGATGTTTTATTATTTACGTACTCTCAATTAATGAAATAACTAATCATGTATGATATTAATAAATAACTTAAAATATTTTCCTTTAGCATATTTCTCAACAATCAAAGACTTTTTAATGGTTATTTGTCTAATTTATTATTCTATGAAATCCTTCAATTATAATCAGTACTTTACACCAACTATTGCATACATGATTGAATAAATACTTCATCCAGATACCCAGATGTTACCTGCGGAATTGCATATTTATTTAATTCCAGTTAGGTCTCTTAAAAAAAATATAGAAAAAACAAAATAAAATAAAAAATGTTTTTTTTTTTACAAATGAAGGCGCGAATTTTAGAGGTAAATACTCTATTAGTTTGTAATAATCCCTATTTATTAATCATACACCGATACATTATTTAATACTATTGACATTCATGTATTTGAGTGTTTAATAATACCCACTAATTCTTCTTTAATTTCTATTGTATATATACATCTATGTTTATCTAATAATTACTCCAAATATAGGCTTATACTATCTACAGGATAAAAAATTAAACAGTTTTTAATAAACTTGGAAATACAAAACTGCGTAAGTATGAAATTATTTTAAAACAGTTGTAATTCATCTATTAGTACATCTCCAATCCTTCGAAAGATTTATTTGTAACTTATTTATAATTATTATATGTACTCTTTCCCAATTCTTTTAGCCAAAAAGAAGCAATAATAGACGTTTTACAATAGTAATTAAAAATAATAAATATTTTAACATAAGTAAAGAATTTTAAAATCTTTTAAACTGTTTAATTCTTTCATTTTTGTTATTTGCCATAAAAGCTTAGTTCAAGTCCCCTTAGTACTATATGATTTATCATCTATACTTAAAAAGATGCTTATTTCTTAGTACTACATTTTATTACTTTTTTGTTTTCTTTTTTGAGGGCAATCATTGTTGTATATTTTATGACACTACTATAAAGATTACAAATGATGATGCTTATTAATCAAAAACTGTAAGCCATACCTTATAAGAATGGTAAAATAAAATAATATGCACTAAAAATGAGTAATAAAAGGAGAAAAATAAAAAAGAGAATTAAAAGAAATAAATAATTGATGAAAGTTCAGTCTATATAGGGTTTTCTAATAAAAATGTTGTGATTTCCTCACCAAAAAATTTAGTTAAATCACCTTGAGAATCATCCAAATCAGTAATTCTTTCAGAAAGAAGAATCAAATCATAATTTATCAACTTGGTGACCCTTGAATCTTGTTTGTAGTCCTGATGCGAAATTATGAAATCACGGAAAAAGTGTGCAGTCGTACGTAATTTACCACTTGCTCTATCTGATATAAGTTTTAAATAATAGTAGAATCTGTCATGTGTTTTTGATTGTTTCAATTCCTGCCAAGAATGTTGAATCCATTTTTTTTCTTTCAATACTGGATTGATAAATACTTCAAAGATACCATTAATTTTATTGTGGAAGATTTCATCAATAGTAAATAGATTAGTTTTACCGTCATCTGTGTCAAATCTCATCTTCCAATGAAATTTGTCATTAAACACAGAATCTCTTCTATAAGCAATGTCCATATTTTCCCAAACTTTCGACATACTTAAATATGGATTCAATTTATCATACGACATCAAGATGGATTCCACAATAAGATACATGAATATAGAATGTGCAGCATTTTCGAATTCTGTTAATTGGACTTCCAATGGTCTAAATTCTACTCTCCAACCAAGTGCATTTTTATTATTTGGAGTAGATTTTTGTGTTGGTGGTTTAAACCTTAGAGTTTGCCAGTTTGTTGATTGAATATTTTCAAAATGATTAGTAGAAGTTTCACGATCTTGAATAATGCTTTCTTCAAAGATCGATATCGAGTCTCTTATGGATAAGTGAGCAAAATGTTTAGCCAAATCGTAATCTAAAGGAGCAATATTATTTTCCAGTAACCTTTTTAAAACCTTATCATTGATGGGAACGTAAGTATCATTATAGAGTCTATTGAAGAATTTATTATGACCACCAAGATACAGATCAACCACACTGTACCTGGATTTCGGTATACTTTGCAAAGAATGTTTAGCTTGATCTGTGACACCACCCTTGCCATCAGGGTTATATTTAGGTAATACCGGATCCATACCACGTTCGAAAGGAGTACGACAATCGACAGAACCAGCTATAACATTCCATCTAACATCCTGATCTGCTAACCAACCTTTAAAGGCTGGCGCTGCAGCAGACAAACTCAACATAATAGGAGCAAAATTGACTAAAGAATCGTAAAGAAACCTTGCTCTTTCAATGTTAGGTGCCTGGTAAGTCATTTGTAAACAAGAACAACCCATCCCGAACCCCATAGCATCTAGATAAATATGTCCAGGTCTAGACGCATGGATAGATTCTAAGTCTTCTGGTATGAACCAATTTCTTTTGTATACTGTAGTATCATGGTCGGGAGTATTTACATCTTTATACATTGGAATATTAATGGAAACTTTTTCACCACGTCTTTCCCTAATATTAGCAGTTAGAGTTGGAAACCTTGCATGCCTATTGATAACTTCATCAGGTAAAAACAGAGACCTTGATGCCCAATTTTTGTGATTCCATGGATTCGATATATTAATGAATTGATCTGAACCTAACCTTGGAAAGGAGGTTAAAGATAAAGTGATAAATCTCTTCTTCTTTCTCCTCCTCCTCTGTATCCTCCTTCTATCATTATCATTAAGCTGTGTATTTCCACCATTATCTGAATCATTACTGTTATTACTGTTATTATTATTATTATTATTATTATTATTATTATTATTATTATTATTATTATTATTATTATCATCATCATCATCATCATTATCGATATTAGCGTTATATTTAGATAATAAATCATTAGCAATTAATCTTCTTAATTTCATATTATTTTCTACAAAACCTTGATCAAACTTTAAACCAATATAAGGTGATCTAGGGGTGGCTTCCAACATATACCTCCCATATTCAGGATGAAATTCCACATCATATTTTTCACATAGGTAACTATCTGTGGTATTCAATTGAGTGATAATATTATCATGCTTGACATCAACCATGGCATTTTGATTCAATGGGTCCAATTCGATCATCATATATTCTAGCTCATCACCCCATAGCAACGGATCATTATCTCTCTTTGAGGTGAATTTGAATACTTGCAACAGTTGTTCAATCCCTTCATTTCTAATATGATCTGAATAATTTCTTGCTTCGTACCATGGCAATGGAGTACCAGCAACCAATAGTCCCATACTTCCTCTTTTAATTTTTCCTTTTTCTTTTTAAAAGCAATTTTAATTTAATACCTCACTATGTAGGAGATAAATACAAACAAGTCGAAAATGAAACAAACAAATAAAGAAAAAAAAAGAAGAAGAAGAGAGTTTTTCTTGTAGACTGAAATAAGATGAGCTGAAAAGCCTATATAAAATGAAGCGCAACGACACTGTTTGTTATGTTCTAGAGAACAAGAAACAATGTTAAGAGAGAGAGGAAGCAAAAAAGAAAAAAAAATAGAAAGAAGACGACCAATATATCTAAAGGAAGCAAAGAAGAAGAAACGAATAGAAATGAATCAGTCGAGATACAATCACATGTACGCTATATATAAAACTCGATGGAACTTTGATATATATATATTATATATATATATGTACATAATAATATATATACACATATAGAAAAGGGGTTCTTCTAGTTAATGATCACAATCTAATCCCTCTTTTTTTTTTTTTTTTGTTTTGTTTTTTTTTTTATTTTTTTGTTCCTTCATTCTTTCTTTATAACGATAATAAAATATCATAAATGTAATGTGGACACTATCTGACTAAGAAAGTTGTATTAGTAATGAAAAGAAATCAACGAGCAAAATGAAACAAAAAAAAAAAAAGAAAAGAAAAGAAAAGAAAAGAAAGGAACAAAGAAATAGAACAAGAACAAAGCGATGCTTGTGATACAGTCCGGTATTATTCATCCATCCATTTGTTTGTTTATTTGCTTTGTGAGTGAGAAAAGAAAAAGAACAAGTAAAGTAAAATAAAATAAAATCTGCCACACCCATACCATAAACCCCAAATGTTTGTCTTATCACTCACTAACTATACTTCCCGCCTTTTTTTTTTTGATTTTGAAGGGTAAGGTTGGGATTTCTTGCATTTTATTATGTTATTGCATTATACTTTTTCCTCCTCTACTCGCACAAAAAACATAGGAGGAATCTTATAGAGGTCATTATCGATTTTGCCGTGTTACATAAAACTTTTCCCTCCACAGTTTGTTTATTTATTCTTAATCATTAATTGTGGTTGGATGCATGGGTGCACAAGCCCCTCCAATGGAAGCGTTTCTTCCCCTCTTCTATTTTTTTACTTGGAACACTAGCTGTATTAGGGTTGTATGTTTTACAGATTTTTTAGAAAAAATTCCTGAGATATCTAAAGCAAAAAATAATTAGGGCATTGTGTATTTTTCCCAACCCTGGCACTGCAATATTTGCTTTTCATTTCCCAAGTTTTTTTATGCATTCATTTTTTTTTTTCTCTTTCTTTCTTTTTCTTAAAGAAATAAAGAAAAATTATTCAAGTCTGATGATTTTCAATCAATTGAACGTACCTTCTTTAAACAATGGTATACCCCATACACACGATTATGCACATCACACATACATGTATACCTGTATATCGATTTGACTGTCTAGTTGAATATATATCTGTCTCTATTGAGTGGTTAAGCCTTTAACTTGCACTATAGCATTCCCACTATTGACATATACGCACACACATACACTATATACATATACATATACATACATACATACATACATTAACGTATTGATAAATCAATAGATTAATAGATTAATCTATATCCATCTATCCATCCACCAATATATTTACATTATTATCCCTATAGACTGTACAATATTTTTTTTTTTAGCATTTCTTTATTTTGCATAGTTTCTTTTTCCTTTTTACTTTCTTACATGTGTTTATTTTTTTTAACATACTATGTCTAATTCATTTTGGAAATTTAATCAGGATTATTCAATCGATTCTAATATTAATAACTTATTAAATCATGCATTTATAAAAAAAGTGGACAATAACAACAACAACAACAATATAAGTAATCCAACTGATACAAATAATAGTAAAAATAATGTAAATATTAGTCAACTCGATGATCCAAATCCAAATCCCAATCAAGATTTAATAAATGAAGAAAATCTAAATAACTATGACCCAAATCTAAATATTCTAAATGACCTAATAGACGATGAGGAGTTGTATACGGAATTAATGTGTTCAAATTCCAAATTGCTGATGTATTTGAAATATCCATCAGTCTTGGATAAACTGATTGATTTTATAATCAATGAAAAATTCTTGTATGATTCATATCAAAATGAAATAAATCAAATGAACCAAAATGATAATACTGAGACTGACCAGAAAGATGATTTAAACCAAGAAGTAATCTTATTATCAAAGGAGGAACAGTTAAATAGAGTAAATAAACTAGAACATCTACAAAAGATAAATAATAAATCAGATTCAAAATTAAATTCAAACTCCAACCTCAATTCTAACTCCGACTCTAATTCAGATTTCGATTCTGACTTTGATTCTAATTCTATTGTTTCCCAAGAGACAAGTGTCACATTACCACCTGAGACTGAAGAACAAATTGAATTCCGTAGAGCCAAAATGGCTTCAGAAGTTCTGTCCGCTGATATATGGCAAATATCTACCACAATCATCGAAAACAAATCTTTGTTGAATAAAATTTGGTCAATTTTAGACGATTTACAAAATAGTTATCCACTCTCCGTTACCGTCTCCACATATTTCATGAAAATCAACGAAAGATTATTAGATATCAACATGTCTAAAATGATTGAATATCTCCTAACCAAGGATAATTTGGTCGATAAATTTTTGAAAAATATAAATAATCCGTCATTAATGGATTTTTTACTAAAAGTTATTTCCACTGATAAACCTGATTCTCCAACCGGTATAATAGATTTGTTATATAGACAAAACTTTATCCCCAAACTTATTGACCTTATAGATGCTTCGAACTCACCTAAATCAATATCTTCTGCTTCATCTGCTGCAGACTTCATTAAGGCTTTTGTCACTTTAAGTGCCAATTCAAATAATGATATTTCAATTGGTATTGGACCAAACGAACTGACAAGACATTTGGTATCTAGTGAAATGGTCGAGAGATTGATTAAAATCATGCTAAAGGGCGGTGCTTCACTGAGCAATGGTGTAGGAATAATTATTGAAATTATAAGGAAAAATAATTCTGATTATGATTTTATTCAAGTCATGTATACAACATTGGAGACACATCCACCAAATGATAGAGATTCCATACATTTGATTCATTTGATTAAATTGTGTGCCAAAAATATGCCAGAATTTATGAAGTTGTTGACTAAGATTGAAACAAGACGTTTATCGACCCCGTTTGGTTCCATTGAACCCTTAGGTTTCGAGAGATTTAAGATTTGTGAATTAATCGCAGAATTATTACATTGTTCAAATATGGTACTTTTGAATGAACCTAATGGTGAGATGATTACAAGGGAAAGGGATTTAGTCAGATTTCAAAAATTGCATGGAGATTGTATCTCGAAGGAAGAACTTATACAATTAAATGAAGATTTGAAAATTTTACAATTAGAGAATAACTTAAATAATTCTGATAAGGAAACTGCAGACAAAGATAATAATGATAATGATAATGATGATGAAATAAAACATAATGAGTATGAAAATTCACTAGAAATATATCCAAATGATGAAATCTCTATTTCTTCTGATACTGAAACCCAGATACGCAATAAACATATTCCAGGAGATAATTTGAAAATATCTTTGAAAGATACAGGTATCTTAGATTATATTATCGACATGTTTTTCAAATTTGAATGGAACAATTTCTTACATAATGTAGTATTTGATATTATTCAACAAGTGTTCAATGGCCCATTGAAATGTGGTTATAATAAATTCCTTATTAAGGACCTTTTAAGTAAAACATATATAACCGACAAAATCATTCAAGGAGATACCAAATGTACAGAATACGAGCAAGAAAAAGGTATCAGACTAGGTTACATGGGCCACTTGATTTTAATTGCAGAAGAGATGGCTAAATTTGTAGAATATATTGATGAAATGAAGATTACATTTGATGATGATGGAATATCCAATATTTTAAATAATGATGATTGGAAAACATTTATGAACACCACATTAGCAGATACACGTGACAAATACAACACTGTTCTTGGTGATTTCATCCTAGACGGAGAAGAAGTCGATGAAATTGAACAAGGACAACATTTATCCAATGAGGAGTCAGGATATCTTGATAATGAACATTATTACACAGAAGAAGAGCTTGCTGAGAATGATGCTCATTATGAAAAAGAGGACTTAATTGAAAAGGAATATGAAGCCGTAAATCCAGATGAAACGCATTATGATTATTATGACGAAAACGTAGATTATCATGATGAAAAGGACGATGAAGAAGATGAAGATAGGTATCATGACATAGATAGCTCTGAGGAAGAGACTGAACTTTATGGTGTTAGTCTTAAGAGACAGCCAAACCATGATGTATATCAGGATGAAGACGAAAGTTCTTATGAGTATGAAGATACTTTTGGTAATTCAGTAGTGATCAATTTGCACGAAGACGACAATGAAAATAATGATGCAAATACAAGTAAAAATTTAAGTGATCAAGAACAAATTAAAAATAAAGAAAATACATAGGATCGAAGTATGATAAATCTTCGTTGGCTTCAAATGATGCTAGAACGATGGCAGTACAAGGACATTAATAAGGAAAAGAGTACAAACAATTATACTGTGAGTCATGAAAAGTTCATCAACAGTAGAATTATCTCATATCACCATGATAACACGCTATGTTAAACCACAATCAAAGTTTATAATATATTTTAATTAATCAATCATTATTCATATATCTTCCTCTCCAAACACTTTTCCGTTGTAACCATCTATAAACAATCCAACTTTCTCAGACATTACTACTTTATTGTATTTTTAATGTTATGACCCCAAATACTTCTATTTCTCCTCAAATTAAATAATCATTATACATACGCATACTTATGTACGTACACATAAAAGAAAACATGCACATATATAAATTATTATGTCAACTATTATCATCTATTTGACATCTATTGAAATAAGTATATAATAAGATCTTTAAACATATATTAAAAAATAAAAAATCAAAAAAATAAACAAAAAAAAATAAATGAAAACGAAAATTCACAACTCCACAAATTTACATACAAGTACAATTAGTAGACAAGGAGATATCTAGTTTTTACAAAATCAAGACAAAATGCACTTAATACTATTTGTGGCTTGATTTAAAATCGCTTAAAAATTGTATTATGGCCATCAGAAAGAGAAATAAAATCAAAATATCAAAATTTTCAAATAAAGACGAAGAGAATGTTTCCAAATCAAATAAGGTAACATTATCCTTAGGGTTTTCTGAAGAAGAAGAGGATGCTGAGACATACATCAATTTAAAACCTATTAAACCAAATGCACCATTGAAATCTACATCTAACGGTATAACTAATAATGTAACAAAAGTCAATTTTCATAAACCAATAACAACAACAGAAGAAGATGAAGTGGAAGATATATTATACCAAGATGAATTAAATAAACTGAAGAATAAAACTCATGATCAACCGAAACAAGTTATAATGAATCTTGAAGACATGATTTCAGTAGGTGAGATTTCAGATGATGAGGAAAATGCTAATATACCTAATACTAACAAGCTATTTAAGGGTAACGATAAACAGAGTAATGCCAAAAGGCTCTCTGATAAAGATATACGATCACAAGAAAAAGAATACATCAAATTGATGGATGAAAATGATAAATTCACCTTAATGGACACACTAACTAAGAACGGAAGAGTTAAACTATCTCAATTAAATAAAAATGAAGGCGACTATAAATACAATGATGAGCTTGAAGGAGGAGAATTTGCTGATGAAAGGTTACCCTTAAGTAATAAAGAGCAAATTCATCAAACAAGTCTTCGAAGAAAACAAATTGAGGAAGCTATATCCAATATCCCTTTAAAAGAATTTAAGGAGAATGTGGAAACAATATCAACTTTAAAAGCACGACTCCCTACTTTATGTGATGATGAAGAGTTTAATTCAGGCGATTATAATAATCTTGACGATATTCTTAATCAAAATAAGTTAAATATTAAAAAAATTGAGATTGAAATAAAAATAGTAACTAAAAAACAAGAAGCTTTAATAAATAGTCGAAATAATTTAATTGAACAATTAAATAAAATCTCATTATAAATCATAAACTTCATCTTTTTTTATAGCAATGTGATACAAATTCTAAATATATTAATATATTATGTTTTCAATTTGCAGATTAATTAATCAAGGATTTTGGTATCCAAGAATCATTGATATGAGAAGTGGACAGATCTTGTTCTATCACTTCAAACTTATTATTTTGGATATATATATCATTTTTCTCATTGTTTGTATCAGATTTTTTATAATTAAATTCAAATTTATTCAAATCTTTGAGAATGTTAGAACCTATATTTCCAATAACTGTAGTCGTTATATTTGTATTAGATACACCACTACTACCATCATTTTTATTATTAAAAAGCTCTTCATAGGAAGGTGGTGAAATTACTGAGTCTTTGATAAAGTTATCTCTATTTTGAGATTCCACAGAAGTAGACGTATAATTCACATTCACTTTTGGCATAGCTTGAGCAGTAGTCAAATCATATGATAGATTTATCGGTTGGTAAATATTATTTATTAATTTAGAGGAGTTAATCAAAGGTAAAGAGCATCTTTTAGCATTATTGACATTATTTTTGATTTTTTTGTTTGTTTTGCCAGCTAATACCATGCTAGGAATAATAATATCATTTGCACTTAATTTATCTGTGATTGTATTTGATGTGATTACTTCAAATGGAAAAAATCTATTGGTTTTTGGTGAAAAAAAAGCCAATGATGGTGTTGATTGAAGATATTGATTTGACACAACATCGTTATATCTAGGTAATAACAAATTTGAATTTGAACATAATTTATTTAAAACAGTGATAGGTGTATCAATAACAATTTCATATATTTTTCCTTGAAATATGACAGTCAATTCAAACTTGAGCCAATGAAGAACTTCGACATACGAATTAATTATTTGATCTGGATGAACTTTTTTATATGAGTTGAGACAGTACGGCACAAACATTTCATATTGAAAATATTTATTTTCGATATCCCCATATAAAGAGGATAAAAGGTTTCCACTTTTGGCTTCAGAATGTTGCAACAAAAGATATTTTTTTATGTTACCTCTTCTATGAATGTTTGAATCGATCAAAGAATTAAATTGTAATCTTTCTTCAAGAAAGACATTGATTCTATTCAATACAATCATTTTATTTATTGGAATAAAGTGGATAGATAAAGGTAAATATGCATCCAATAAAATATTTCTATTACCTATGTTTATTTCATAAAATAACGAATCCTTCCATGTATTAAATATATGAATCGAATCTAAATCATCTGTAATAATATTTGTTGGAATATGAACTAAAGTCAATGGAAGATTTCCAATAGCAGCTTTTTGGGAATGTGAAGATAAAAGAAAAGATAAAAACCCACTTCTTTTGCTTTTTTTTGTTCTTTTGTTATCACTAATAAGAATTCCCTTATCATAATCGGTATTTTTATCATTACTTTCATTTGAACATATCATAGTTAAAGTCAGCTGGTATTTACAAATACCGTAGTCTGTTCTTATTGAATCTGGAAGACAATGGTTTCTTTCTTTATTATTCGGTATGATATATTGAAAACTAAACACATACTGTCTACCCTTTTCAAAAACCATTCCATTGCAAAAAGAAGATTTTAACTTATTATTATTAGTATTATTGATTATGGCAGAATCTGAATATCTTCTACTAACATTTACACTTGTTAACAAATTTAAAGGAACGAACAAGTCAGGTAACGAATTATTATTATTACCGAATAAAAAATAATCGATATTAATTAAATCATGTTCCTCATGATAAATTTTTTTACCAGTTCGAGAATTAATCAACCCCTCAGGCCAATATAATTCAAAACTACCATTAAAATTCAACGTAATATTAGAAATATGACAATTTCTATAGAATTTTAGTATTACTGTACCTGAGATAACAATATTTAAATTATCTGTTGGAACATATATGACTTTATCTAACAATTGAATATATGCTGAATAATTATTATTTTTTATGACTGGTTTAGAGTCAGGTGAAATATCAAATAAATTGGTACCTTTGGGAAATATATTGTCACTTGACATAATCGATAACTTTTGTAAAAATATGGAAAGAAAAAAAATGAATATTTTAAATTAATGTATGTCTTATTTTAACTTAATTTGTGACATTGGAATCTTTCCTAGAGAAATAAAAAAAAAAAGAAATAAAGATACAACAATAATATACTCTCTTTAGAAATCAAGAAAGGGTGAATAATAAAAATAAAGTTTGCCGAAAAGTATAACACAACAATATAAAGGTATTATAAAAGTAATTTCTTGTTTTGTCTTCTATCTTTTGTTCTTCAGAGAATAAAGAAGATCAACTAATGTATAGTTTCAAAGAACTTTAAGATTTTATGCCATTTCCGAATTTTTGACGCCGTATATATATATATATGTGTAGTACATCTTTCCTTTATTTCTTATTACATGCAATTACGTATCAAAAGTAAAAACGACAGAACAAAAAATATATTATAAGATAATATAAGATTAAGATAAGGAAAGATAAGAAATGTTTTATAAGAAATTACATGTGATTTGAACAGGCAATTGGCGATTATAAGAAAGATATCAATGCGTCATTTGATAATAATAGAATCAATTTCTCCAATCATTTTCCGGTGTGAAAAAAACGGTTCTACTATTTTACTGCTCCACCGTTTATTCTTATCTAATAATATGTATCATATATAACATATTTATCTATTCGATACGTAGTTCATCTATTCCCTTTTTTTTTTTTTTTTTTTTTGCTTAATTTTTTGTCTTTGTATATAAGAGAGCTCGAATGATGTCATTGGTAAAAGATAACAATCGAAATATTTCAACTACTACTATTATTATATTTTTTTGTAGAGTAGTTTACCACAGCGCTAGATAAGAAATCAAACATCTTTTATCTCTTTGGTAATTCACATTTATTTCATATTACAAACTGTGATCTTCCCTCTTTGGCTCCTTCCCCCCAGAAAAAAAGAAAAGAAAAGAAAAAAAGACAAATAAAACATAACAATATTGTATTTCGATTGCCTTTTTAGGATATACGCATTAAAAGCCTTTTTCATTCTTAATTTTTAGGTTTTTGCAACAAACGGAGACCTAACTTATGATTGAGACTGAGTAGAAAAGGTAGAGTGCTGCTATCTTCCAAACATAAAATAGCCCTACTTAATCTACTATTCTTGCAAACCTTAAACAGTTTTCCAGAAAACCGATACTACAAAAGTAATTTCATAATAACATTTCCTCATGCTTGAACATACATAATGCTATACAAAGAATCCATTTAAGAAAGTTATCTTAAAAAAAAAATAAACGAAAAAAAGTAAAAGATGAATTAACCCTAGAGATTAATGATTAGGACAAACACCACAATCACATGTACCCTAATTAAAAAAAACTTTCCTTCAACAACAAAAAAAAAAGATTTCTGTAGTTAACGACCTTATAAACAATTTTCAGAAGAGATTGCAATCTCTATTTTGTGTAGAAATATTGAAACTATTATTTTGTGATTCAAGGATATTGTTTGAGAATTAATAGAAAAAAAAAGAAAAGATCAATAATATTGTATTTGGTTAGTCATCTACCTCTATTGTCATCTTATCCTTGTTTTTTTCTGTTTTTTTTTTCTTTTTTTTGTTGTTCTTTTATCTTACATAGTTCTAATATAAATCCCTAAATCTTGATAAAATGAATAAATAGACGAGCTCTTAAGTTCTTATCTTCATCTCTGTTTCTATTTCCTTATTCAATTAGAAATCCATTTGATCAATAAGTAAAATACTATTATTATTAGAATTATACACTATATTTCAATGTATAGTATGTAACTATTGTTATGATTATACACACACACACATATATATATATATGCATGCATGCATGTATGTATGGACACATGCAAGTTACTTTTAATTTTTTTTTAACTTTCTATCACCATTTGATTTTATTGCTACCAAAACTGTTATAACACCACAAGATTTCACTAATCTTGTTTTTTTTTTTTTGCTTTTTTTTACTTTTTATCAATTCAATATGTGATCAATCATTGTATTTAAAGCACTAATGATGTTTAGAAGAAAAAAAAACATTAAGAATATTCACTACAAGTAGCCAACGATAAACCATATGCACTAATATTAGTTTCTTTTTGTTTTTTGTGCAAGTGTATGTGGCATTTAAGTATTAATATTTTGTTTTAATTCGTCCCACATGAGATTAATATCGCTATTTGGATCAAGAATATTTTCTAAAGAATCATTAACTCTTATTAAATCGTAGTAATTATCGTATATTGTTGATTTTATCATATTATTAGTTTCTTGTTCCTTACCTAATAACCTATTATGGATTTGTATCAATTCTTTAAAAGTATAACTGGAAGATTCTTTTTCTTTTTCCTGCTCCTCTACTATCACCTCCTCTTGTTTGTCCAAACTGGGACCATCATTGGATGCACTGTTTTTAACGTTATTATCATCCCCATCAGATACATTTTCATTCACATCTTTTATCGTTACACCATTTTCTTCATTATTTTCTTGTTGATACTTGTTTAATAGCAACTGCCTATCTGTATTCAATCTACTTACTCTGAGTGATTTTTTATGTGATATTTGCTCTGTCATAATTAATATACACTTTCCCTTCTTTCTTTTTATTAAAGTGGGATTGTGTCACATATTCATTCTTCTTCTAAGTTCTTTTGAAAAAATTCTGATACTTTAATTATTCTTCTTTTTTTTTGATTTATTTAGTTTATGTTCTTTGTCTTTAAATTTTTTTTTGTTTTACTTTTTTCTTGGATACAAGCCGACAAGTTTTCCTTTTTTATTTCTATTTTTTTATTAATTCGTCATATTTGATTATAATTATTATTATTATTATTCCTCTCTAATTACTCTGTCATATTTCCGTCAATTTCCGCACATTTCCGTTGTTGCTTATACAAAGACAAAGAAAGCAGATTCTTCTCTTTCCGTGGAATCAATGGACAGAAAGAAAAAAAGTAAAAAAAACTGAAAAATACTATTAATAGTTTTCCTTTGATTATTTTTCCTGTCCTATTACTCCCTCCCCCTTTTTTTTTCTAATCGTTTATTTCTGCCTTTCCCCCTTTTTCCTCCCTCCCCCTTCCAAATTTCTTTTCTTTTCTTTTTTTTTTTTTTTTTTTTAATTTTATTTTTTCAATTATGACATTTTGTGTTTCCACCCGTTTCCATCCACACACCCACCCACCCCACATTAATTTTTCTTTCATAACTCGCCCCCTTTTAGGTAATAATCATACCCTTAGATAAGCCACTATTATCAATAATATTTATTTCTTTTTTTTTTACCCGAGATGGTAAATAAAATGAAAAGGAAAGTGCCTTGAACATTTCTTGATTAGGAAAACATAGACATATAAAATAATCTTGATCTTATAAAAAGAAAAAAAGAAAACAAATAAACAGAAAACAAAAGACGTTTTGTTAAGAAAAGAGAAAAAATCACTCAAGAAATTAATTGTTATTATTTTGTTATTGTTATTTTTATTTTTATTTTTAACTTTTAATTTTTTTTTTTTTTTTTTGCTTAAAAAGAAAAATGGAATAATAAATACAATTTGGTCAATCAATTAAGCGGTCAATTTAGTAAAGAGATAGACATATGGACAGATAAATAAATAAATAAATAAATAAATACATCCTTGTCAAATAGCTGTGGAATTTATAGTAACAGCATTCCTTGGTCTTGTTCATCTTTCCCAGCAATTAAATTTTCCATTTGCGTATAGATTTACCTTCGTTTCCCCTTCCTTCTGTTACCTTTAAGTACTTTCCTTAAAACAAGCAAATAAATAAATTATAAAAAGTCTTGCATGACTTTTTGCTTATTTGTGTACCTCTTAGTGGACATATATACATATACATATACATATATATATATCTTTTTTTTAAAGTATAACTAAAATAATCTATTGCAAGATTTCACTCGAAGTTGTTTTTACTGAATCAATTTGATTTTCCATTTCCCTGACTTATTTTTCTTTTTTCATCCATTTTTCCTTCAACGCAACTCACAGTTCAATAGAAACAAGGACAGAAAACATTTGAATTTTAAATAAATCCTTATCAATCATTGTATTCTGCACTTTTATTCTAAATTATATACCTCTAGTTCTTATTTCTTATCTTTATCTTTAACACTTCCCTGTTTACTGACTTATCTTCTTTTTTTTTTTTGTTGTTGGCTTTTCTAACTACATTATTATTGCATTTTAAAGAGTAAATTTTGTTATCTAAAAGAAAATACAAAAAGAAAAAAATGTTTAGAAATATTTTTAAGAGAAGGGAATCCCTAGATGTCAATGATAAGATCAATACCACTGAAAAAACTAAGCTTATTCTTAAACAAGCAGAGAACTTTGAAGTCGCCTTGATGGCAATGGATTATGTCCTTGATGATAGAGCACAAGAAGGTTTGAAATTATTGACAGACAATAGCGAACAAGGCGATAAAAATGATGAAACCATTAATGTTCTAGCAAAAGGTGTTATTGAATTCCTAGCTGCTACTTTAAGTTTTGAGGCAAAAGAAATGAAAATCGCATCCGAGACTTTAGCTAAAGCTGAACAGTTATCTTTAAGGAGTAAAGCAAGAGCAGAAAAGGAAAATATTAAATCAAGTAGTTATTATCCACCTGGAACTGTATATGCTGTCACTTATACCGAATCAACCCTTTTACATGCTTTATTAATGCTTTTCAATGAATCTATGATAGACGCTGCAAAAGCTGTTTTAAAATTACGGAAAGCTTACTATACATTACAAGAAATTCTAGAATCTGTTAAAAAAGTAGACCAAGCTATAGCAAATAGCAACGACAATTCACAAACATTCTACAAAAATAAAGACGCGCAACATAACATAAATAAAAACAATAACAACAACAATAGTAATTCTTCTGCAAGTTTTATATCATTATCTGGGAAACAATTTGTATCTGTTGATATCCCATACAAATTATCCCCCGAGGAACAAAAAAATTCTGAATTATTGGCTAACGCCGAATTAATCCATAATATGAGAGTTAGGAGATTGTCTGGTACCCATATTGACAATATTCCTGCAATTAACAGACTAAGAACTGAACTAGGTATTCAATCGATATCAGAACAATCTGTATCGACCGCCTCTTCTACTTCTACAACTAATAATAGTAGTGATGTCTCTAGTTCTGTAAAAATCACCAATTCTGATGAACCTGTTCTATTGCTATCTGAAGATTTAGATGTGTATCAAGCTACTATAGACGAATTTATTCATTCTGGTGTCAATTTATGTTTTGGTATATTACAAGTCGTCTTATCTTTGTTACCTCCTGCCATTGGTGCCGTTTTATCCGTTATTGGTTTCAAAGGATCTCGTGAGGATGGTCTTCGTCTAGTCTGGAAATCTACAAAGCAGAGAAACGTTCATGGTTGTATTGGTCTTCTAGCTTTAATGTTTTATTATGATGGTCCATTCCAATTTACTGATGCTGATTTTGATATTCCTGCCACTCCAACACCATCACCCAATTCTTCTACTACTACTTCTTCCTTTTCCACAGCTTCTTCTTCACATAGCTCAAATAATTTATCTGTTTCACCTAGATCAAAGTCAAGATCAAATTCTAGGTCTTCCTCTTTATCTGAATCAATGTCAACATTAAAATTAAATAGGAAAGAAGAGATGGATGCCCCAACTCTATTGCATCCAGGAAAAATTCTGGAGAGTGCTTTATTACAAGCAAGAGCTTTATTCCCAAATAGTGCATTATGGTTATTAAATGAAGCAAGAATGCTTTCTGGAAAAGGCCGTCTAAAAGAAGCTGTAGCATTGATGGATTCTATTGATGTAAATAAAATTCAAATGAGACAAGTTAAAGTGTTAATGATTTTTGATAGAGCTATCACTTTAGTCCATTTACATGAATTTGATAGAGCTGCGGAAGATTTGATTTCGTTGGTAGACATATCTGATTGGTCACATGCCCTATACACCTATTTTGCAGGTTGTTGTTATTTGGAAAATTGGAGAATGTGTCAAATGGGCTTATTGGATGAGACTAATTCAAAAGGTATGAAATGGTATGAAGAAAAGGCCAGGGAATTAATTTTCTCTGCACCAAGTTATCTAGGTAGGAAAACTTTTAAATCAAAGAATTTGCCATTAGACAGATTTATGTTAAGAAAAGTTGAACAATTCAAAAGTTTACAAAAGCAATTAGGTGCTGATAATCCACTGGATGCAATTGCTACGTCTCCAGTCCATGAATTAGCATACTTTTATAACGGTTACAACAGGATGACCAAGGACGGGTTAGAACTAACCATGAAAATGTTAACTGAGTACGAAAACCCTGCTATTAAATTATGTGATCCAGATCAAGAATTAATTAAAGATTTGTTGACTTCCTTGACAATGAGAAGACTAGGTAAAATTAAGGAAGGTTGCGAAATATTGGATGAACGAGTACTACCAAAGATTTTAACCATTGATCCAAATAATGGTAAAGTTAAATACTTTAAAAAGACCGAAGACCCATGGGCGTACCCAACTGCATTATATGAACGTGCTTTATTCTGTTGGAAATTGAATGAAATGAGTGGGTTACAAGAATGTAAAGAATGGTTAACAAGAGCACAAAATTATGCTGATGATTATGAATTAAGTACCCGTGTTGGTATGAAAATCAAGGCCGCATTAGATAGAGTGGAAAATTCTTTACAATAGAAAGCTATCTATCTATATATGTATAGGTGTGTGTGTACTTTTTTTTTATCTTTCTGTTCTAATATTAATGAGAACTTTTGTTATAATGAATGTTAATGATAATGATTATTTCATTGGCCGGTTGGTTAAATAAGATGTACACCTATTATACTAGCACTTATGAATATATTTATACATATATAAATACTTTAAAGCCTCTGTACATAAATACCCTATAAATAAAAATCTATCTAAGTTATCAACTAATTTTCGCATCATAAGTTTTATCTGTATAATTTATTAAGTATTATGTATTTTCTTTTCAACTTTGAAGCCTTGGAATTACTAAAGCGTTAAAATATTCATTCCTTTAAGGAAAGATTCAATTTATATAATTTTTTAGAATATTTAAAAGTATACATAGAAAAGACATCAAAGAGGGCTTTTCTTTTTGAATATATTACAGTTTAAAAGTTAACCTATCCAACCCCCTGCTCATGAATGGTAAGTGGTACTCATTCATATATAGAAGACCTTTTTTTTATTTTACCTGATAGGAGAGTGAAGAAAAGTAGAAAGATAATTGCACATTAAAATAAAAAATGGAGGGATATGCATATGAATATAGCCATGATAGTTCAATGGATTCTATTACATTTTCGGATACAGAATATCCAAGAAACTCCTATGAAAACAAAAATCCCAAGGAAAGAGGAATAAGCAAGGATAAGCTAATTAAAAATACTATTGTTGATCATGTTTTAACTCAAGAATCAGAATTTGATATTGATGACAATTTATTATACAGTGATGATGAGTATGACGAAGACTATGATGACCCATATATGAATAGTTCATTTATAGAACCTATTTCGACCATCAAGGAAAGAAAGGGCTTAAGCAAAGGTAGTGTACCCAATTTGAAATATGAATGTTTGACCACTCAAAACATATTTGAGAATATGCTGGCAAAGGTGCACCATTTACAACCTATTTTTAATATCCCACCAGAAGATATTTTAATTCTTTTACAACATTATGATTGGAATGAAGAACGATTATTGGAAGTTTGGACTGACAGAATGGACGATTTATTAATAGAGATTGGCATTAATCCAAGTAGCGGTAATATTAGTAGTTCCATCAATGGTAACGGTCAAATGCGGTCAATATCAGACATTATAGAGAATAAAAATTCATATTGTAATAATCAAACTGAAACAAATAAAGACGAAAATGAAGAATATCAGATACCCAACACCAGAACTAGAGACATTTCCTTTAAAAATAATTTCTTTTGTACGATCTGTTGCGAGGAAAAATCCACTGAGACATTTTCATTAGAATGTAACCATGAGTATTGCATAAGTTGTTATCGTCATTATATCGAGGACAAATTATATACTGGAAATATTATAAATTGTATGGGATGTACTTTAGCCTTAAAAAACGATGATATTGATAAGATTATGGGACATCCTTCAAGTACAAAACTAATGTTATCATCAATTAAAAGTTTTGTTTCCAAACATAATCGTAATTATAAATGGTGCCCATTTGCTGATTGTAATTGTATTATTCATTTAAAAGATACTTCATCGCTACCTGAATATTCAAGATTGCACTATTCTCCATTTGTCAAATGTATTAATTTACATAAATTTTGTTTTACATGTGGTTTCGAAATACATGCCCCTGCAGATTGTATTATTACTAATGAATGGGTTAAAAAGGCCAGAGTAGAATCAGAGAATTTAAATTGGGTCCTTTCTCATACTAAAGAATGTCCGAAATGTTCTGTTAATATTGAAAAAGATGGTGGTTGCAATCATATGGTTTGCTCCAGTTGTAAATACGAATTTTGTTGGATCTGTGAGGGCGATTGGGCACCACATGGTAATAGTTTTTATCAATGCACACTATATAAGAATGACGATAATAATAATAATAACAATAATAGCACTAATACTAATTCAATTACAGATGTTAATAAGTCATTAAAGAAGTATACATTTTATTATAAAATGTTTAACGAACACGAGGTATCTGCCAAATTAGATTGGAAATTGGGGCAAAATGTGGGGAATAAAGTTAAAGAGTTACAAGAGAAACTAGGTATTTCATGGATTGAAGGTCAATTTTTGACAGATAGTATAAGGATGTTAAACGAAGGCAGAACTGCATTGAAATGGTCATTTGCAGTGGCATTTTATTCAGATGCATCACATAATTTAACAAAAATTTTTATAGATAACCAAAGTCTTTTATCAAAGGCTGTAGAAGATTTATCTGAGTTGTTACAAATTAAAGATCCTGAGATAATAATGAAAAGAAAAACAGATTTTTATAATAAAACGGGATATGTAGAAAATAGAACTTTTGCATTGATGGAGTGTGGTAGAGACTTATTATGCAAAGGTATATGCAAAGCGAACTGACAACACGAAATAACCTAAAAAAAGGAACTAAATACATAGTTTAAATTTAAATGATGGAATTTGATAGTTATATAGGAATATCAATATATAATATATACTCATTATTTATTTTTTTCTTCTTTTGAGTATCAATTTAGTTATATATACAATAAAATACATCTAATTACTAGTAGTGTATTTGCAAAAAAGAAATTTCTGTTTATTCCATAAGTCTAAACAAAAAGGAAAGAAATTATAAAGTTTTAATTTCACTATTCAAAACTTGCAAAAGAGTTTCAAATTCTAGTTTTCTTCTCGCATCTTCTATCCAATCTTCGCACAATGCTCTTGTCCAACCATCCAATTGCACAGCATCCATAACAGCATCTTCTAGATTGGATAGTTTGATATTATTTTGGATTCTAGAATAAACAATACTTAAGTTTTCATTTTTTGAAGTATCATTATCATTTAACTTAGTTGGACTAATTTTAGATAAAGGCTCGGGTTGAGAACCATTCTTTGTGAAAAGTAATAAAGAGAAGAGCTTAGCCATTAAGTGTCTGAAAAATCCAGAATCTGATGATAATAAAGATGTAGTTTTGAAATCTTGTGCTAATAAAGACCATCTATTATATAATTGTTCGTTTGACAAAATTGGTTGGTCCTTGGTGATATTTTCCAATTCATTCAATGTAGTTTCTAATAATGTTGGTTTATTTTTCATCGAACATTTACAAGATGTATGTTCATTAACCTTAGATTCAATATTAGTTTGTTCATTTTGTGTCTTATTTTTTTTATTACAGCAAAGCTCCGTAGAAGTGGCTTTCTCACCATTAGAACAACACCTACAATTATCTTTTTCAATTGAATTATTGATGGTAATGGTTTTTTTAGATGGTAAAATACTTGCAATCAATTTCAATTGATTAATTTGTTTATGAATAGTGATTCGGTCAATTGAACCACTAAAGGAGTATAGTTCCTCCTGTATAGACTTTAAGATTGTAGTCAATTTGTTCTTGATTGTGTTCCTTATTACTAAATTATCGATTGAATCGATTGTATTGTTAAATTTATTGAGTCTTTGATCCAATTCCAACAATTTTTTCAATTTGCCGTTTCTTTCGGATTCAATCTTATCGGTGACGATCTTATTAAACTCATCAACTTGTGTGATAGATAACAAAGCAATTTCATTATCCTTTTTCGCCCTTAGTTTTGCTTCATTGGCACTTAAGCCAACAGCCAAGGTTTGAGCTGCTTTCTCTTCAAGAGCTTCTTTAAATTTCATAAATTCTAAATTGTACTTATCCTCGATCTCAGTTTCTTTTTTAGCTATTGATTCATTGAAACTTGTGTCTAGTTCGATTAACTTGGTTTTGATACCTTCAAAAATTTTTTCATCGGTATGATTCAAATATGTATTGTTTAGTAGTTGAACGCTATTTAATACAGATTGAAAAGCATTTTCGAAAGTTTTTTTGTCGATATCATTAGTGATACCTTGTTTACCCCTTTCATTGATTAATTGAATGATATTATTCAAATTATCCACAATCCTATTCAAATTTTCATCTGAATTATCAGTCTCCAAAGAAACAGGATTCAATTCTATAATTGGTTTTGCTTCTGATTTGTCATCATTCTTGTTGTCATCTGTAGTAGTAGTAGTACTGAATATTGATGTCTTTGAGACTGGAATATGTATTGGAATGCCAACAGTTTTACCCATGATGTAACTTTTAATGTTATCCCAAGTTAAATCATTATTTTCAATAAAATTGCTGCAAATCTCATAATTTTTGATGATTATATCACTTGAAGGTAGGGTCTTAACGACAAAATCTTTATATTTAGGATCTCTTTCACTTAAATAGACACCAGCAGAATAAACAGTGATGACAGCACTTGAAAGTGCCAAAATGGTGTTTCTTATTCTATGTGTTTTAACTGGGGGCTGTATTACCGAACCAGTCGAATATACTCTAGGACGGACATTCAAAGCCCTTCTCATTGTGGTTTTTTGGAACGTCATGTCACTCAGTCGATTGACCTACTAATTGATTGATTATTCTTTATAAGAAAGTTTAAAAGTACAGAGGGAGAGAGAGGGGGGGGGGGAGGAAGATGGATATATGAAGTGCCCTAATTCGTACAACGATTCTTGATAGTTCAATACTGTTTGTATTGTGGAGTAGTTCAGTACCTCGAACTGTCTTAATTTCTTTCTGTTTCTTTCTCTAGTTACTTTAGCCTTAACCTCTTACTTCTCTTCGTACACGTCCATAGCATCAGATAACGTCATATTGCTGTAACCCTAGATTCTTCCCCTTTACACAACAAGCATGCACTGTAGAAAATAAATAAATTCGATCTTTCCAAGAAAATCCGAAAGCTGACGGGGAAGAGAAAGAAAAAGATAAAAAGAAAAACAGCTTTTTGATTCGATGATGAAATAAAATAAACAAAATAAACAAAATAAACAAAATTGTTGACGCAAGGCTTCGGAATCAAAAATTCTAGTCGAGTTCATTTTAAACTAATATAATAAGATAATGTAACTTACAATAGGATATTGGTGGTATTATAAGTTCTATTATTATTTATAGTAGGAAGTTAGTGGTACTATAAATTGTTATTGTATTGCTTGGTCTTTTTTTTTCTACATAAGTAATATACAAAATACAATATTATACAGTATACTCATTTTATCTTCGAGTCTTCTTCAGTATAAATTTTCATAACTTTTAATCACTTAGTACGGTGAATTTAGATTATCAAACATGACTTTAATCACATTTCAACATCAACAAAAATAAATGAAATAAAATAGAAAAAAAAAGTAGAGACCTGATGTATCACCTAGGGTTGGAAATGTCTTGCCATAATCTTACCATTAAAAACATTAGGGCTTAATGGAAAAAACACAGAATAAATAATTTCAATTTTCTTTATCTTGTTTTTTTGTTTTTGTTTTTCTTTTGAAAGTTGGGACAAGATATATACGAAAATGGGTGGAGAGGAGAAGTAGGAAAAGTAAGAGAAAGAGGAGACAAGTGAAACAAAGTTACTATGGAAAGAAACGAATACATGTCTGTTTTATACATAGTTTGCACTTGTACGTTTATGGAGTGGTAAAATTGTTGTAATTTGTAAGTGTATACATACTTAAAGAAACACTTGCAAAAAAGATAAAAATCAAAATAAAAATATAAAGTTAACAAGACAAGTTTTTACATTTATATATATAGATATATATATATATATATATAGATAGATAGATAGATAGATAGATTTTATTCAATAGATAGTTCTATCCAAACACTGGGATAAAAAGAGAAAAACATAACAAAATAAGAACATAAAAGAATCAAACGAAAAAAAAAAAAAAAAAGAATGTTGCAATTTAAACTGGTTTTACTAGGCGATTCATCAGTGGGTAAATCGTCTATCGTAAATAGATTCGTCAAGGATACATTTGATGAATTCCGTGAATCTACTATCGGCGCAGCATTTTTATCACAAAGTATCAAGATTAAGGATCCAAAGACAAATCAGGATGTTATAATAAAATTTGAGATCTGGGATACTGCAGGTCAAGAAAGGTATAAATCTTTGGCTCCAATGTATTATAGAAATGCCAATGCAGCTTTAGTGGTTTATGATATCACAATAGCAGATTCTTTATTGAAAGCTAAATCATGGGTAAATGAATTAAAAGAAAAAGTAGGAAATAGTACCGATGATAATGATAATGATAATGATAATAATAATAATAATAATAATCTTGTTATTCATTTAGTAGGCAATAAATTAGACTTAGTAGAAGATGATCCAGAGATGCGATCAGTGGCAACTGAAGACGCAGTAAAATATTCTACAGATGAAAATTTGTTATTCAAGGAGGTTAGTGCAAAGACTGATTTCAACATTAAAGAAGTATTTCAAACAATAGGTGAAAAACTTTATGAAATTAGGCAAAAAGAATTAGATAATAATAATAATAAACAAAATAAAGGTGAAATTAATATTAGTTTGCCAAGACCATCTACGAATGATTCAACATCTTGTTGTAGCTAATATATATATATATGTGTGTATGTATATATATTAGATCATCAGTACTTTTCTCAATTTTCTCCCCTTATCCTTTTCTTCGGATCGGATTTATAAAAGAGCAGAGGTTTTGAAAAAATAAACATATATCATAATTTATCATTATATAATACCTAAAATATATATATATATATATACATATATATAGAATAATTTTGAATATGAAATAGAAAATTTTTATTATATTTTATTTTATCTTCATTTTTATTTTTATTTTCTTTAATATATAATGTATTGACGGGTAGGAATAGGTAATTTAAGCTAATGGCATGACGTTTTCTGGGAATTCGCCGATAACATTACCGGCAGGATTATAAGAACAAACAACATAATCACCCCATATACCTCCACAGGATTTAACACCACAACCAACCTCAGTAGAAGATTTCCAGACTAGTTGAGTGAAATGCCCTGTGTCTTCAGAGAATCCAGGATTATTATAATTATAATATTTAATTTCACTGTACCATGCATCAACGGCACCTTCAATACCGTAACCAAGTGCTAAGTTTTCTCCGTATGGACCACCAGAATGAACTAATGTCCCAGAACAATCGTACTGGTCAGCATAATTCTGAGCATATGTTTCCAATTCCGTGGACCATGTTAAAGATGGGGTATCTTTATGTAAGGCTCTTTTATTATTATGAGCAGATAAAAGTTTGGAAGCATTATCAGATAAAGAATCGGTACTGGATACAGTAGAGTCAGATGTTGTAGTAATAGATGTGGGCGTAGTAGTAGTAATAGTAGCACTGGCAGCAGCAGCGGTGGTAACAATAGCAGTATTGGCAGCATTATCACCTTCTTGTTCAATAAAGACATCAGTAACAATATCATCAGTAGTAGTTGTAGATGGAGTAGCAATAACAGATTTATATGTAGATGTTGTGGAAATTGGCTGAAGAACAGTGGTACCTTCAGCTACTGCAGCATTAACTGTAGTAGTTTGTGATGCCGCAGTTGTTTCTGATGGTATTTGTGTTGGTGTTGTTGGAGTGTTATCAGCTTCAGTATAGTATGTTGTTAGTGTTTGATCGTTGGTGACATAGAGAGCACCTCTAACTACTACTGTAGTTTCCTTATGAACGTGTTGTGTGATAGTGACAACTGCAGGAACCGCAAAGGCGGAAGAAATAAGGAATGGTAATAAAGATAATTTATTGATCTGCATCTTTTATTCTCAATATAATATTAATGAATGAATGAATGATATATATGTTTTTTTTCTTCTTCTTTTGACAGTGATGCAGAGATAGGGATATATTTGAATGTATAAACTAACTAAAGGTTAAACAAATAATTGCTAGAATAATAAAAAGAATGGACGGATTCTCGATTGAGTCTTGACTAAAAGCCTTTTCTTTATTCGATTACTTTATTTTATTGTATCTTATTTCTGCAGATCAGACTGACTGGTTAGTTATTTTTTTTTCTCTATCTTCACATTTACACTAACTATTGTCAATTGATCGAGAATCAAGCCGAAAGAAACAAACGGTGAGATATAATGAAAAAAGATTTCCTTTATATATAAATTATTTAGATCTTATTGATCTATAACAAAACAAATCAAGACAAATTGAGATAAATCGAGATAAAAATGAGTTAAGACAGTACAATATGAAACATTTCGAATCATGATCCTCTTATTTTCCTTTTTCGTTGTTATTATTGTTGCTGTTTTTAATACGTGATTGTGTTTTCGAGCTACATACGAAACATTCTTTTATTCAATACATTATAAAAAAGAAAAAACAGTAAAAGTAAAAGTAACATAATATGAAATGGGGAAGGAGAGAAGGGAGAGGAAACTTACACGAACTGCAGTAATTTTTTTTTTTCCTATTTTCTCTAGTTTCTTGACAATTTCTGACCCCCGTTTATATTGTGCCAATATACAAATTACTCAAAGGCAAACGGAACGAAAAGGCACACAATGTTATGGAAATAATGTACGTTTTTGTTTGGTTTCTGTAGAATACAAATGTTTGGAGTTCTGGACTCCCTTATTCCGTTCTATTTGGCATCATTACGAGAAATCGCGTAAAGGTTGTGGAAGAAAAAAAATGTCACATATTTCAAAAATGGAAAACAGAGAAAAAAATAATAAAAAAAAAAAAGAAAGAGAAAATAAAACACGAAAACCACGAAAATTGAAAAATTTTCTATAAAAAAAAGAGTCTAGATTCTTCCGTAAAAGTCGTCGGGTTCTAACGGATAAATAAAATACATAAATAAAAAAAAACAATATTTATAGTAGAATATATATTACGGCGACTACTATGCATAAGTATGTCGGAGTTCATGAATGAAAAAAAGAAAAAGAAAATAAAGAATTGCAAGTATGTATGTCACAGACTATATTTCATGGAGTATGTAGGGTATGTTCTCTCGACCCTACTTTGGGTATTTCGATAATTATCTCTTACAACATTCTTTCAGGGAAATACATTACTGTACTCAATATACAATGTTATGACAGAATATGACAATCCAGGAAATATTTGATCTCAAAAAAAAAAAAAAAAAAAGAAAAGAAAAGAAAAATAGATAAATAAATTAACAAATACAAGAACATGTTTAATTAACAGGGATAAAGGATACCTATTATGAGGGAGAGAGAGAGAGATGAGAGGGGACGATATCAAAAAGCAGGAGAAAGGACGAGATTAGTAATGCTAAAATGGATTATACGAAAACAAACACATAGAAAGGAAGGGAGGATAGAGGAGAAAGAAAACATGACAGAACAAAACACAGCACAACACGACAAACAAACAAACAGATAAAGAGAAAAACCAAAAAATAAGAGAAGATATCAAGAATAAAGAAGAAACACCACAAATAAACCAACAGCTAAACACACTAAAGTAACCTGATAACACAAATACCTACATATCTTTAATTTGTTTATACTGCTGCAAAAATAAAGAATCAAAAGGAAATAAATATAAATTCATAACTATTATTATTGCTGTTAATAACTGAAAAAAAAATTTTTTTAAACTAAATTATTTGGTTCTATATCTTTTATTTATAAACTACTTAGGGTTAGTACTTAAGAGGTAGTTACCTAGCAAAAACAATTTTCAAAATTAACATACCCATATTCTTACTTGCAAGGGACTAAGTCCACATTTCCTGGCAATTAACTGTCGTTCCTCCTTGGTCAACCACTGTTTCTGGGCAAACACTTTCTCCAAGAATAACCGCGTATCCTTGGTTAGGTGTGTTCGACCATAACTATTATCATACATGTGTCGTAAAAGGGTCTTTCTCTCACATAAACAAAGGTCCGATTCAAGAATTAACTAACAACAAAACAGAAGAAAAGAAAGAAAGAAACTATATATATATTTGTAGTTGTGTATGTTTCAAGTTAGTAACTATCTATAAATATATACACACTCATTCCTTCAAACATTCATTTATATCAACCTAGATATCTTGATTAAAGTAAGAACATACTTTAGAACTAATATTAAATAATAATTGTAGTGACATGTTGTTTATCCTCCTAGTTCAACTTCTTCACACACATACATATATGCGTGTGTGTGTGTGAATATGTATAGATTGGATGGCCTCTCTTTCTCTATCAGTCTTCTTCCTTCCTCCCACTCCTCTTGTTCTCAATGTTATTCATCTTGCAATACAACATAAGAATTCAAGAAATACATCCTTTTTTTTCAATCCCTACTCATATATGGAACATACATCTTTATTATATTGACTTATTCACTTTAAATAACAGAGAGAATTGAACCTACATCACTACTACTAACATCATTATTAGTCATTGCCATTAATAGGAGAATGAATATTATATAATCTATAAAAACGTAAGCGAATATATATATATATGTATTTATTTATTGATGTAGAAATATGCATATTTTGAAAGTTGTACATTTGGGCGGCTAATTTTACACAAGTTTTTAACTTTTTGTTTTTTTTTGTTTATCCTGTTTATATTTTTTTTTGTTGAAGTATGTTGAAATAAGATTAAAAATGGTATGTGATGATCTAAATTTTTCATACCAAATAACTGAAAAATCTTATAACAGCATATAAAAAAAATATTAAAATAAAATGTGTTATAACATATATTTAATCATATATGTATATTAAATATGTAAAACAGAATAAAAGAAGTTATACAGGAACAACTTATAATACCACCAATATCCTATTATAAGTTTTTATCATCTTATTATATTGATCTAAAATGAATGCTAGTAGAATTTTTTATACTGAAGTCTTGTACCAACAAAAGGGGTTACAATGAAATAGACAAATTCATGGCTAATTCTGTTAATTTTTTATGTCTTTTGTGTTTTAATTATTCTTTATATTCAAAGTATTTATTAGTTTTATGTTGCTACCTGATAATTCTTACAATTGAAATTTTTCAATTTTGACCGGATCTGGTTTCTTTTTCCAACAAAACCTGAGCTAGTTACTCCTTTTTCAATATTGCTAATCACATCATAAACTTCTCTCGATTTAATCTCGTAACTTTTACCAAATGTATTCATAAATCTTTGGTAAGATGCCGTATAAATTCATTAAAAATAATGAAACAGTCCTTTCACGAGCTTTAATTTTGATTACTTTTAGACTTTTTTGTTGTTTTGAAGTTAATGAAGCTAAAAATGTTTCTTTATTAGATGAGATTTCAAAGATGACCTCTACTAAATGGTTAACTAGGTCATGTTGGTCATCTAATGCTTAATTCTTAGCTTTAGCTAATTGAAAAAAAGGTTCGGCAACTACATCAATAGATTCTCCACCAAAACACTCAGTTAAGTGATTAAGAAGACTTTTTCCAGTCAAAATGTCATAATCATCAGCAACATATCTATCTGCCTCCTTTTTAGCGGACCCTTGAACATTATTAACAATTAATAATTTTAATGCCGTTTCAAATATTTTCTTAATATAAGCAATCATATCATTGGATGGATTCCATTGTTCAACAATGACATTTAGCCTTCCATTTTACGCCTATTGACACCAATATAGGTTGAGATTGAACATGTGCATAGCTAAAATATTAATTTATTTTTTAAAGTTCTTTTTTCTGTTCAATTTAAAAGGAACATAACTTACAGCCGTTACGACAGGGCTCGTAACCTATTGATGCAAGGCTTCAGTATAAAAAATTCTACTAGCATTCATTTTAGATCAATATAATAAGATGATAAAAACTTATAATAGGATATTGGTGGTATTATAAGTTGTTCCTGTATAACTTCTTTTATTCTGTTTTACATATTTAATATACATATATGATTAAATATATGTTATAACACATTTTATTTTAATATTTTTTTTATATGCTGTTATAAGATTTTTCAGTTATTTGGTATGAAAAATTTAGATCATCACATACCATTTTTAATCTTATTTCAACAAATTCATTAATTGGAATAAAAAAATAATAACAGCTTACTGAAATTGGATGTTCTGGAGTGAATAAATGGACTAAGTAGCTTTTAGTGAATATAAATCTCCATTAAAATGCAAAGTATGTAATATTTACTTATCAATAGATATAAAAAAAGACAAATTGATAAATTTTTGTCGCCCTAGAGGAAATATATCAAAAGTCAGTATATGTAAAGCGAATGTTGTATTCATATCATGTTCTTATCCTTTGTAGACTTTTTATATATCCTCATCTCTATATTGTACATGCAGCAGAAGATTGAAGAATTTAAGCATGATGTTGTATAATATAAATATATAATAATAATAATAATAATTAAGAATGAATACTTATATATCAAATAAATACAGACACTAATTATCAACATAACTCATATATAAGTGTGATATAGAAAAACTAATTTATATAGCATATCCGCTATAAGAAATATAGTTTTGATTTGTTAACATAAATAGATATTAAGTAAGAATGTGGTTCAAGCGTAGATGTATGGTTGATGCTCGCAATTTGTCAACATGCGTTGTTTACTATAATAAAATGCTGTAGTGCAGTTTAGATGAATGATCTTGTTGAAATATATTTGATGTTACAATATTCACTATAAAATAGTAGTGCGTGAACTTATCTCTAAGTCTGATAAATATCTCATTAAACAGTATAGGATTTTCCTAGAAAGTAGATAGTGGTCTTACTGTGTTTCTTTGTCAACTACTGTTTTGTTAAGAAATATATTTAACAGATAATTAAAATTTTGTTGAGAAGCATATTATATTACAGTAGTTATCTCTAGAGATTTGTAGTATAAAATAGTTGAAAATTATTCAAGCAAAATATTATGGATCATGAAAGACCAATGAATACATATAACAGTAAGCCTTCCAAGAAGAAAAGTGGCATACGTGGTCTTTAGTCAATATATTTTGGTAGATTTTAAAGAATGTAAATATGTAATATATATGTTTATGCTCAAAAGATATTACTGTTGGCAATAGTTATTATAGTAACGGTAATGATAACGATTGTCAAATAGAATATGAATATATCAGGAAATGCAAGGTTTAAAAAGGTTAATCAAATAACAAGATAAGTGATTGTTTGGAATCAATATATCATTATATTAAAAAGAAAAGCTCTTATGTTCTTGGCATTGCTGAAGCGTTAGTTATCTTCTCTTCTGTTGGTAAGTAAAAAAAACTAAAGAAGCAAATGGATTATTTAAATGAAAAATAGGGTATAAATAAATATTATTATATATAAGATATATATGTATATCGTTTAAAAATCAACTAAAATATGAATGGAAGCAAAGAGAAGAGTGCCAATGCAAAACTTGACCATTTAGCTGCAGTGGTAGGAGCAGAAGCTTCATACTGTGACAATGTTACCGCACTTGATCTGCCACTTGGCTTTGCGGTTTGGGAAGATACGTGTAATGGTTCGTGAGTTACAGCAACCTGTAGAGGATTTACTGTAGTTCCAGCCAACGAACCTGCTTCAGTTTCAACCCCGTTTGTTCTGGACGATGATCCAATCTTCATAGTGCTCCAATTATTGCCACCTGTAGTCTCTGTGTTTCTTGTAGCTGCAGTGTTTTCTTTTGAAGACTCTGCCATTCCAGAAGGTGATAATGACAATGATGGCTCAGCCCTATTAGTATTCCAATTATTGCTTCCTGCAGTCTCTGTGTTTCTTGTAGCTGCAGTGTTTTCTTTTGAAGATTCTGCCATTCCAGAATATGAGAATGCTGTAGATGTTGATGAAGAATTCCAGTAATGATATCCTAGACTTGAAGGAGCTATACTTGGAGTAGCCACAATAACAATGTCGATTGGACTACTACTTCCATCAGAGTTAGTGGTGTAGGAAGTAGATGTAGAAAGAGGAGATGCAGAAGCAACCAAACCTGGGATGTATGAGGTGATTTGGCTGACAGCTGGAGTCTCGACAACAATAACACCAACTGCACTACTGCTACCATTCGAGTCAGTGACGTAGGAGATGTATGAAGAAAGGGCAGAAGCAGATCCTACTAGACCTTCAGTGTATGCAGTAACAGTGCTTCCAACTGGGGTAGCAACAACAACAATGTCAATAGCACTGCTGCTACCGTTGGAATCAGTGGTGTAGGATGTGATTGTGGATTGGGCTGAAGCAGAACCTATGATACCTGGAATGTATGAGGTGATTTGTTTTGGTTTTGGAGTCTCGACAACAATAACACCAATGGCTTTGGTGCTACCATTGGAATCAGTGATGTAGGAGATGTATGAAGAAAGGGCAGAAGCAGAGCCTACTAGACCTTCAGTGTATGCAGTAACAGTGCTTCCAACTGGGGTAGCAACAACAACAATGTCAACTTCACTGCTGCTACCGTTGGAATCAGTGGTGTAGGATGTGATTGTGGATTGGGCTGAAGCAGAACCTATGATACCTGGAATGTATGAGGTGATTTGTTTTGGTTTTGGAGTCTCAACAACAATAACACCAACTGCACTACTGCTACCATTCGAGTCAGTTACATAAGAAATGTAGGAAGAAAGGGCAGAAGCAGAGCCCACTAGACCTTCAGTGTATGCAGTAACAGTGCTTCCAACTGGGGTAGCAACAACAACAATGTCAACTTCACTGCTGCTACCGTTGGAATCAGTGGTGTAGGATGTGATTGTGGATTGGGCTGAAGCAGAACCTATGATACCTGGAATGTATGAGGTAATTTGTTTTGGTTTTGGAGTCTCAACAACAATAACACCAACTGCACTACTGCTACCATTCGAGTCAGTTACATAAGAAATGTAGGAAGAAAGGGCAGAAGCAGAGCCCACTAGACCTTCAGTGTATGCAGTAACAGTGCTTCCAACTGGGGTAGCAACAACAACAATGTCAACTTCACTGCTGCTACCGTTGGAATCAGTGGTGTAGGATGTGATTGTGGATTGGGCTGAAGCAGAACCTATGATACCTGGAATGTATGAGGTAATTTGTTTTGGTTTTGGAGTCTCAACAACAATAACACCAACTGCACTACTGCTACCATTCGAGTCGGTTACATAAGAAATGTAGGAGGAAAGGGCAGAAGCAGAGCCCACTAGACCTTCAGTGTATGCAGTAACAGTGCTTCCAACTGGGGTAGCAACAACAACAATGTCAACTTCACTGCTGCTACCGTTGGAATCAGTGGTGTAGGATGTGATTGTGGATTGGGCTGAAGCAGAACCTATGATACCTGGAATGTATGAGGTGATTTGTTTTGGTTTTGGAGTCTCAACAACAATAACACCAACTGCACTACTGCTACCATTCGAGTCGGTTACATAAGAAATGTAGGAGGAAAGGGCAGAAGCAGAGCCCACTAGACCTTCAGTGTATGCAGTAACAGTGCTTCCAACTGGGGTAGCAACAACAACAATGTCAACTTCACTGCTGCTACCGTTGGAATCAGTGGTGTAGGATGTGATTGTGGATTGGGCTGAAGCAGAACCTATGATACCTGGAATGTATGAGGTGATTTGTTTTGGTTTTGGAGTCTCAACAACAATAACACCAACTGCACTACTGCTACCATTCGAGTCAGTGATGTAGGAGATGTATGAAGAAAGGGCAGAAGCAGAGCCTACTAGACCTTCAGTGTATGCAGTAACAGTGCTTCCAACTGGGGTAGCAACAACAACAATGTCAACTTCACTGCTGCTACCGTTGGAATCAGTGGTGTAGGATGTGATTGTGGATTGGGCTGAAGCAGAACCTATGATACCTGGAATGTATGAGGTGATTTGTTTTGGTTTTGGAGTCTCGACAACAATAACACCAATGGCTTTGGTGCTACCATTGGAATCAGTGATGTAGGAGATGTATGAAGAAAGGGCAGAAGCAGATCCTACTAGACCTTCAGTGTATGCAGTAACAGTGCTTCCAACTGGGGTAGCAACAACAACAATGTCAACTTCACTGCTGCTACCGTTGGAATCAGTGGTGTAGGATGTGATTGTGGATTGGGCTGAAGCAGAACCTATGATACCTGGAATGTATGAGGTGATTTGTTTTGGTTTTGGAGTCTCGACAACAATAACACCAATGGCTTTGGTGCTACCATTGGAATCAGTGATGTAGGAGATGTATGAAGAAAGGGCAGAAGCAGATCCTACTAGACCTTCAGTGTATGCAGTAACAGTGCTTCCAACTGGGGTAGCAACAACAACAATGTCAATAGCACTGCTGCCACCATTGGAATCAGTGGTGTAGGATGTGATTGTAGATTGGGCTGAAGCAGAGGCTATGATACCTGGAATGTATGACGTAATTTGTTTTGGTATTGGAGTCTCAACAACAATAACACCAATTGCTTTACTACTACCATTAGAGTCGGTAGCATAGGAAATATATGAGGAAACAGCAAAAGTCGAACCCACAGAACCCGAAGTGTATGCAGTAACAGTGCTTTGAACTGGAGTAGCAACAACAACAATGTCAATAGCACTGCTGCCACCATTGGAATCAGTGGTGTAAGATGTGATTGTAGATTGGGCTGAAGCAGAGGCTATGATACCTGGAATGTATGACGTAATTTGTTTTGGTATTGGAGTCTCAACAACAATAACACCAATTGCTTTACTACTACCATTAGAGTCGGTAGCATAGGAAATATATGAGGAAACAGCAAAAGTTGAACCCACAGAACCCGAAGTGTATGCAGTCATAGTGCTTTGAACTGGAGTAGCAACAACAACAATGTCAATAGCACTGCTGCTACCATCAGAGTCAGTGGTGTAAGATGTTATTGTGGATTGGGCTGAAGCAGAGGCTATGATACCTGGAATGTATGACGTAATTTTTTTTGGTATTGGAGTCTCAACAATAACAACATCGACCAGACTGCTGCTACCGTTTGAGTCGGTGATATACGATGTAAAGGTAGAGATGGTAGTGACTAAACTTATGGAGCCTGCAATGTAGGAAGTAGTTGTACTTGGAGCTGGAACCGCCTCATAGTAGGCAATTATAACTTCTTCATTGTAAGAATTAAGCATCGTTGTAATGGTGGTTGTCTCAGTAGTTGTAGTAGCGGTTAAACCAGGAACTGTACTTGTGATTGTAGAGGTTGTTGTGGTGTATGCTGTAGATCCACTGTATGTGAAAGATATATCTGAAGTGTTAGTGAAACTTCCATCGGGAATACTGTATAGATAACTACCTATACCATTGTCTACAGTACCATCTGGCAAATTCATTGAAATATCTAATAACCCTTGTTGATTCTGGTTGACGTATAGAAGTTTAAAAGGATAATAGTTACCTTCTTCCATATATATTGTCTGTATACCTGTATTCAAACCATATGTTACACTACCAGTAAGTGTAAAAAGATATTTGGGGGAGATAAAATCTACATGTTGTTTACCACACTCAAATGCCTCACCAGAACCTATGAAAACTGTAACAGAATCATCCACTTCAGCGGTTAGAGTGTAAATACCTGTTAGTGGAGCTTTATAATAACCAGTAATTTCCATCATGAAATTATTTATAATGACATTTTTGTAACCGTATGGAGGAATGGTCCAGTCATTGCCTGAATACCATGTTAAATTTGTAACACCAGTAATTGAACCAACATACTTATTTTTTAAATAACCACCTAGCAAAAAGTTTTTTTGTTGATAACTCCAAGTATCGTGTATGGGGTATTGAAAAAATCTAACAGTGGCTCCTACGGTACCATCACTTGGAACTGCACATGCAGCTGGAGCATATGCTGCTGTAGCAAATTGTAAATTAATATGAAACCATAATAGTATGGTAACAAGGTTCTTATAACACAATAACATATTGTATTATTAAGATTGAAAATAATGGAGATATTGTAAGCTTTAAATAAGAGGATACTTTAATGTTAGAAATAATATATGGATGTAGTATAGTTTATTTGGTGAATTGTTTTTGTTTCACTTGATACTTGCTGTTCAAACTTATGAGAAAAGTTGGTTTTAATGAAATTTAGCAAGAGGAAGATAAGAACATGTTTGAAAATCAAATGTTTGAATATGATACCCTTTTATATTTGAAGGATAACATAGAAAGTTGTGGTTCATAATATGATATACGTTATTAGAAATGGTTTCTTTTTTTGTTTGAGGACTTTTCACTTAATAATAGAAATTTTAAAGATTATTATAATCTGACCAATCAAAAGTTTCAATGTAACATAACAATTGAGACCATAATAGAAATACTTTTATTATTTTGTAATATGCAGGGTTTGTTGTGTCATAGTTTATGAAAATCTTGAAAGGGGTTGTTAGAATGTTTGGTTTTTTGTATTGAATAACTAGGAGTTCCTGTTTATTCTAAAAAAATCACCTGCAAAATTTTTATATTGTTGAAAGACTGAACTCTTTTCTCTTCTTGTTATTGAAAGATTCATATTACATTATATTTTTGAGTTCGAATGTTAAGAAGAGATTATCCTATCTCGGGATTTCCTTCTTTACTGTTATTCTCTCCCTAGAAATTTTTAAGATGAGATAATAATTGAGATCATGATAGAAACATTTTTATTATTTTGTAATATGCAAGATTTGTTGAGTCATAGTTTACGAAAATCACGAAATTGATTGTTAGAATGTTTGATTTTTTGTATTGAATAACTAGGAGTTTCTTTTCGTCCGAAAAAAGATTACCTGAAAATTTTTATTATTTCTCGAGGGTTATATTACAGTTTTTTTCCTTTTTTTTCCATTAGAAGGTTCATATCGTACTATATTGTTTTTCGATTTTTGATTATCAAGGGCAGAAAATCATCTTACATCAGAAAATTCTGATGTCCCAATCTTACAGAAATGACTACTATCTGAAAAAATTTTAGGGATAAGAATTTTAAAGATTAAAAAGGGACGCATGTATAACACCGATACAAAATAGACAAGGAATAAGGCAATCTTCTGTATTTTCTCAATGGACCATAGTAATTGGATGTTAGGGTTTGCAGAAGATATCATGAAAATCATTAAATTTACATTGGTTTCAGAAATGACTTATGCTGAATAAATTATGCTAAGATAGATATTTCTGTACTCACACAGGCATAGTTGGTGGTTACTTTATAGTTGTCTTATTCTTGTATATATTGCATTCTATGTATGTGACTATTTCTTGACTACACTGTTTTATTTAAACTAATATTACTAGGGTTCAGTTCAAAAGAAGTTAACCATGGGTTAATTTAAAGTAAGGACTTTAGTAAATTTTTAAAAATTTCTCTTTAAGGATATATTTTTGTAACGATCTATTAGATAGCGTTGCAATCTATACTAATAAAAGTCTTACTTTGAAAGGAAAAACATAAAGTTTTGGATCTCCCTAGCTTGCAAAAAAAATTTTACAACTAATTTTAAATACATAATTTGTGTGTACTTTTTCAGATTGTTTTCTTCTTTTCTTTTTTTTTTTTTAAGATTATATTAGATCTATTATAGATATTAATACCATTTTTTCAGGCTATTTTAATTTTCAAGAAAATAATTATCAGGGGTATTACTATATTATACAATTAGAATTATATACAGAAGAAATTGAGGTATTTTAATTATAATAAACATCTTGATAAAATTATTATTCAACTATGACCAAAAACTTCAGCAACATTCCGGACATACCTTTTTTTGAGTTTTTGGCAAGAATATATCTGTATTTTGATTGAAATGTTGAAAGAGTCCTTAAAAGTACTAGTCAAGAAATTGGAGTTACAAGAGAAAGAACAATAAATCAAACAAATCAAAATGTATGTACCTCTTATATTTTATTGCGTTAGAAGTTAGATTAAATATTGTATATGTGTGTTTGTATATTCATTGACTCTAATTAATTTAGTTCTGTTACAAAACTAGATAATATTATGTTGTAGATCTGCTTAGTTCTAGCTGTCTATTATATTTATATATTTATTAAAATTTCAAGCAGCTAATATAAATAATTCAATTGCCGAAATCCGTAGTATGAGCACTTTGTGTCTTTTATCTTAATTAGTATTTTTTTAAGTATAAGAGTTGTTTTGCGAAAAACATGAAAGAAATTTTGTAGAAAGTTTTAAAAAGGAACATCTAACTTTGATCTTGTTTTCCAGCCAGAATAGGTACATTAAGTAAAGACCCAAATGTATATGTCTAATTAGAACTAATTAATTAATCAATATATAAAGGCCACTACCTATATTTTTTTAAAAAATAGGGCTAAAAAAGTTACTCAAAAGGCAAGAACTTTAGATTTGACAATTTATTAACACCGATAAAATAACTAGCTGAATATTTTAGGATTGAAAAAAAAAACAACAAACATGTGGGATGTATGGAACTGGTAAATTTCATTGTCGTATTGATTTATTTAAGTTATTTATATCAAGAGAATAGCAATAGAACCTTTTGGGAAATAATTAATTTAGATTTTTTTGTTTTGATGCATAAACCTATTGCTATGAGAATTGCCCTATTTCTCTTAAAAATTTACAATAAACAAAAGCGGAAATTATAGAACATGAGGATATTGTGTTTGTTTACATGTATTGATTTTGTAAATATGAAAAAAATTTTTTTGAAAAAACTCATCATCTAATTTTTTTTTTGCCATTTTTCTGAAATGTACATAATCAATACGGTCGGCTCCGATGATCTTCATGAATTTATCCAGGAAGTATTCTTTATTATTTTCTATGGAACAGAGAAAACTTGAAAACAAAAACCTAAAATATTAAAAAAAAAAACACTCAACTTGACAATTAACCTGGAATTTACACTCAAAAAGATTTTCCTATTTTATGTACTGAATATATTGTGAATCTTACATCTATCGTTTTTTTTAAAAAATACATTTTCGCTCTTAAAAATTATTGATGTAATATGTTGACGCAAGACTTTAGTATCAAAAACGCTATTAGAATTCCTTACAAATGAATATAATAAAATAATATAAACTTATAATAGGATACTAGTGGTACTATAAATTGTTATTGTATTGTTTTATTTCTTTTGTTCTACATACTTAATGTACATATATAACTAAATATATATTACAACACATTTTATTTTAATAATTTTTTTTTATATGCTGTTATAAAATTTTTCAGTTATTTGATATGAAGAAGTTAAATTATCACATATACCTCTAACCTCATTTCAACATAATAGAAGAGAGGGTATTATTGACGTAATGCAGATATTGTGTTCTCTCCAAAAAATATTATATTAGTATTTTAAATTTTGAGGATAGGTTAAGTATATTTCCTACTCAATTCTATCCGAAAACATTAAGGTCAGTCGATTGTGCCGCCTCCCACTTCCAAGGGAGTCCCAACTTAAGCTCACTTTAATTCCGTGTACGGGTTTTTTGTACACATATTCCTGCATAAATGTTATACTCCCTGAATCCATATTTTAAGACAGTGTACCATATAATTATTACGTCATTTATTCTTAACAAAAGCAGCCTTTCTTAGGTTAGAAATGAAAAAGGGGCTTTAGGAAGTATATTGCAAAAAAGAAATTGAAATACCTTTTTAATTTTTTTTAGAGAAGATTGCGATCTTTATTTTATGATAGTATTGATTAAGGAAATTGAAACGATACATTTTAGCTCCCAATATTGATTAAGATGTGTCGTATGGATTGCTTTTAAACAAATATTTTGCTGTTTGTTGTAAAGGATTTTGTTTGATTTGCATAACTACACCATTTCAATAATGAAAAAGAATGTTTATATATTGAGTTCATGAAATATTTGTATATCTAAGGTAGTTTTTTTTCTTTGCTTTTTAGATAGGTCGTATCAAAAAACTAGAGTAATTATTAGAGTAGTTGTTGCTTCAGAAAGCACCTTTATGAAACATTGCTAAGTTCTCACATATTATTTCTTGTAAAACTTTGGTAAATTTCTACTAAAAGAGGTTAAACAATATTATATACAAGGTCTATCTTTCTGATATCACAAGAATAATTTTTATTATAAAAATTAGATACTTCTTTTTTTAAATTGGTTTGTTTATTTAGAAATGTGTCACTTCTTTTAAATAAGATAACAGAAAGTTAGATAAATGTTTATAATGTCGTATTAAGGAGTTTCTTATATTTAATAGTATAAACCTTGATTACTCATTATTTTAATGGCTTATTCATAAATGCTTGTCATTCAAAAAAAAATTTTTTTTAGATAGATGAATAATATATCATATAAAATACTTACAAAAGTAAAAAATGTACAATTGATAAATATGAATCTCTACATTGTTATTGAAAACACAAATTCTTAACATAATATGATTAAACATATGTATTTTAATAATGTATATTTTTTTTTAGTAAGATATTCCTCAGTTACTATATTAAGATTGATTTCGTTGAAATAGAATGTTCTATAATGAAATAGAAAGAACAATAAGATTTTAGCAGACACTAAACGATAAATTATTGAGTAATAATCGTTGAGAGGTCACCAAAAGCTGTTGAGTTTGTTTATTAAATGTCTTACTGTTCGTAGAGGAAAATGGCTTAACGTTAACATATATAAAACCAAGGATTTCATCATACATTATTTTTATCTTATTTACAATCTTTGTATATTATTATTTCTATGTTTTATATAGAGAAAGAAATTGAAGAACTTTATTATAATTTTGTATACTAAATCTGTTTAATATAATATTGAGAATGTTTACTATATATCCAATGACTACAGGCGCTTATTCTCAACAGATTTATACCTAATAAAATAATAAGATATTATAGAAAATAATATAAGTAAAAAATTCAACATTACTAAATTCATACACCTTATATATTAGATTTTAGATAATATTTTTTGTTTAGCATATTTGTGTTCAAGAGATAAGTTGTATTAGAGGAAAAATATAGAGTTGAAATGTTACAATTTTCATAACGAATTGGTTGCTAGTCTAAAAAGTATCTTTCATTGGGTATCCCTAATTTATATGTAGTAGTTTGTTAACTGATATTTCATATTTATTACGTTTATTATATATTATTTCTAAGCAGCAATAAACAATTATAGATTATGATCATTGAGATTTGTATAAACTGATTTTTTTTTTAATTGAATATTCTAGTTCAAATGTTTTTTAATTTAGAATTACATATATTTATTTTGTTTTACACTTTAGTTATTAGACAATATTTTGGAAGTTTTGAAGTTTAACTTTATTTATGTTTTTAGTTACACTTTTTCGATAGTTTGTAATTTTAATTATTAAAAAAAAACTTTTTTTACATTTAGTATGTGTAAGAGAAAAAGCCTTATGAGATACCTAAAAATAAACAAATATAAAAAAGGTGTAAAAGTTGTTGTATATAGATGGATGAATTATATCAACTAGTACAAGTATAAACACTCTTACGTAAGCTCTATATATCACTAACTAATAACCCTAGTGTTGTATTATTACCTCTTCTTGTATGATATTAAGAGCTACCTCTTAATATCATTACTAAGATGTATTTAAATAAGATGACTACCCCTGGCATATCTCTCAATAATCAAAGGCCTCTTGACAAGATTTGATATAATTCTCACTCCCTGGAAATCCTCCAATCAGATTCAATACCTTATACGAGCCACTGCGCACATGGCTGTACCAATCCTCCACCCAGACACTCAAGTGTTACCCTCGGAATTGCGTATCTATTGGATTTCCAGTTAGGTTCCTTACAAAAGGATAGCCTCAAATGATTAATAGCTGGTATTGTTAATCACTGACACATCCATTATTACTAAAAAAATAAATTTAGAAGTTGTTGTAGTGCAATTAAACACACCATTCTTAATTTAAATTTATTGTACGAGATGATTAGAAAATTATAGAGACACTTATAAAAGAGAACTCGAAAATAAAACGAGCTTCACTTTGTACTATTATATCTTATATATTAGTTATGTATCACATAAAGAAACAAACAATAGAAAATAAGCTTATATTGTTTCATCATATTGATTTTATTGAAAATTAGCGCCAATAGTCATTAGGTAAATAGTGAACATTTTCAATATTACAACTATACAGTTATAGTGTATAAAAGCATATTAAAGTTCAATCTTCTTCTGTACGTATAACACAGAGATGATAATACATAAAAAAAACACAAGGAAAAAAACATGATATAAAAACACTATTGAATTCATTTGCATATCTAGCATATCTCTTCTACAACCAGCAATAATATATCAATTCTTTTTATTTAAATTTACTAACAAGAAAACAATACATTCTCCACATTATGATATCAATTTATATTTGCTAAAATTTAATTAGTCTATCTATTTATTCTAGAACGTTCGATTTCAACAAATTCTTAACAAATTTCAATAGAGTTTTTGATACTGAAACCTTGCATCAATACATTATGAACCCTTTTATTATAGTTGCACATTGTGTTCCTTTTAAATTGAATGAAAGAAAAAACTTAAAGAAATGGATCGATATCTTAGCGATGCATATGTCTAATATCAATTTAAACTAGTATCAATATGCACAAAATAGAAAGCTAAATGTCATTATTGAACAATACAATCCATCCAATGATATGATTGCTTATATTAAGAAAATATTTGAAACGGCATTAAAATTATTAATTGTTAATAATGTCGAAGGATCCGCTAAAAAGAAGGCAGGTAGATATGTTGCTGGTGATTATGGTATTCTGACCGGAAAAAGTCTTCTTAATCACTTAACTGAGTGTTTTGGTGGAGAATCTATTAATGTAGTTGCCGAACCTTTTTTTTCAATTAGCTAAAGCTAAGAATTAAGCATTAGATGACCAACATGACCTAGTTAACCATTTAGTAGAGGTCATCTTTGAAATCTCATCTAATAAAGAAACATTTTTAGCTTCATTAACTTCAAAACAACAAAAAAGTCTAAAAGTAATCAAAATTAAAGCTCGTGAAAGGACTGTTTCATTATTTTTAATGAATTTATACGGCATCTTACCAAAGATTTATGAATACATTTGGTAAAAGTTACGAAATTAAGTTGAGAAAAGTGTATGATGTGATTAGCAATATTGAAAGAGAAGTAACTAACTCCAGTCTTATTGGAAAAAGAAACCAATTCAAACCAAAAGTTAAAAATTTTAACTTCAAGAATTGCCGGGGACAATATAAAACTAATGAGTGTCCGGAATTTCAAGAATGATTGAAGGCCAAAAGAAATAAAAAATATGAAAAAGATCACAATATTAATAATCCTCATACAGCTTGGGTTGCGTTGGTTAGTGAACAAAAGACAGCATCTAGAAATGATTGGTATTTTGATACTGGTTGCACTCAGCACATATCTCACGACTTTTCGATGTTTAGTGAGTTAGTCGAAGGTAATGAGAATGAGTTTGGGGTTATCGAAGGCATTGGGGGTAAAACTGCTATTAAAGGTATTGGTACAGTACAACTAGGACATGTCACATTATACAATGTAGCATATGTCCCAAATGGCCACGTAAACTTGATCTCTGTCAAAATGGCTTCTGCTAAGTCAAACATGAAATTTATATTTGACAAAACAAAGGTATTTTACAATTAAAAATAATAAAATTACTCAAATTGGTGAAATGAGAAATCAACTTTATGTTTTCAAGTCCGATAATAATGAAACAAAAATTATGAAAAAACCACTTGATTATACTTTTATTTCGTATGACCATTCCGTTTTACCATCTCCAAAGGCAAAAGTTCCAGAAGTTATTAAATGGCATGCTAGAGTAGGACATCCACGTTTAGCTAATTATAATCGATTGGCAAATCGAATTGACCTGTCCATTATGGAAGCTGATAAACACTCGTTGTGCCTCACTTGTTCCCTTTCAAAAGGGGTGATGAAAAAAGGAAAAATTTCTGACACACAATACACGAGTCCTTTACAGTTATTACAAGTTGACATTTGTGACCAATTTAGGTATACTAATTTTTCTGATAATAAATATTTTTTGACTATCCAGGATGCCTACTCAAGATATTATTCTGTGATTCATTTAACATCAAAATCAGCTGCATGCAATAAGTTGATTAAGTAAATTTTAGAAACAGAAAATAACTTCAAATCAAAGGGGGATTTAAGGTGGGTGCCATTCGTACAGATAATGGACGTAAATTTATATCAACTAAATTTCATAATTTCTGTAAAAGCAATGGAATTTCCCATCAGTTAACTGTTCCGTACAATAATTTTCAAAATGGGGCAGTAGAAAGATCCCGTCGCCCGATTGAAAAAAAGACAAAATGCCTTTTAATTGGAGGGAAGGTACCTCCTCCCATGTAGACAGAGGCTGTAAGTACTGCTGTATATCTCTTAAATAGGTTACCAGTATCTAATAAAAAATATTCTATCCCTTACTGTCTTTGGAACAATATTCCAACAAAAAATCTAAATTTATCACATCTACGTATATTTGGATGTGCTTTATATGCTACATTACCTCATCAATTACATGACGGAAAATTTGCTCCTATTAGTGTAAAGTGTGTGTTTGTCGGATATGACTCTAAACACAAAGCTTACCGTCTCTACCATCCTCCCTCTAAGAAAATTTTTGTATCAAATCAAGTTCGCTTTGATGAACTTGATTTCCCACTTGCAGGTACCAAAGAGGTCGAAGCGGCTCATACATTTGCCACTGGTACTTTGGGTGGTATCCCAATTTATCCTTCATCTACTGATGCTTTCACAACTCAGTCTTCTGAAATACAAACTTCAAACTATTATCCTGACACTACTGATTATCCTATATATGAGGGCAATTTAGAAAATGAATTAACCACCATACATGGTGATGAACTTCTAGATCAAGGTACTAGTCGATACTCCACTCCGTATCTATCATCTGCTGATTCTGATTCTTCTATGTCCAGAGTTGATTCATCTGGCAATGATAAGCACGAATATGACTCTTCTTCCTCTGATGAATATGAACTACCATCTACTTCCTTCTCTTCTTCTCCTGTTTCTACGACTTCTGACTGTGAAAATTTTACTTTCAACAACCTTGATTCATCTTCTATAGACAATGAGTCAACTGCCTCATTCTCCTCACATAATTCTACTCAAATAAACAAGAAGGAAGCAGACGAACCATCATCAATTGCTTCATCCTCTGATACTGACTCTTCAACTACTCCAACAGCTGATTCACTAACTACTCAACAATTAACATCTACCATCGATGATATCCACTCTGACACATCTTCTCCTAATTCACAATCCAGATCTTTGTCAAGTGATATTTCGCCAGTTTATAACTTAGAAGACTTAGATCCCCATAAACCATTAAAAAATAGTAAAATTGAATTAGCTGACAACATTTTTGCCCCTATCACCACACATGTCAGCAAGTTGAATGGCCAAACATCCTCAATTGTTAATCATAACAAGTTAGGTCCTATTCCTGCTTCTGAATTCTACTTAAATCATCAAATTGAGAAACACCATCCAAAGTGGGATTCTAATCCAATTAGTCCTGGTACAATTGGTACTCCTGCTGTTGAGGCTGTTAATATTGACTCCGGCAGTTTTGTTCCTATTAACTCCATGGATGGTCTCACCCAACTCATTAGAACACCGGTATACTCTTCTTCTTCATCATCTGGCTCTGATGATAATCCTTCACATCACATAGCCTTGACTGCGTTGGTTCATGGCATGTCCTTTACTTCTACCACTACTTCTGTCCCAAATACATTCAACCAGGCAATGAGTTCTTCAGATAAAGACAAATGGTATCAAGCCTGTCTGAAAGAACTTCAAGCTTTTAAAGATCATGATACATATAGGTTGACTCCTCTCCCTCCTGGTCGTCGTGCCTTGGGGTCTCGTTGGGTGTTTAACATTAAGGACGGGAATCGGTTTAAAGCTCGTTTAGTGGCTCAAGGACACACTCAAAAAGCTGGCATCGACTATCAAGAAACCTTTGCTCCTGTAGTGCGGTATGATTCTGTTCGGATCTTTCTTGCTATCTCTGTTCTCCTTAATCTCCGTGTTCACCAAATGGATGTAGACACTGTCTTCTTAAATTCCAAAAGGGAAGAACCAATCTACGTTCATCAACCTCCAGGCTTTGTTGATTCTGTACATCCCGATTGCGTGTGGCAGCTTTACGGGGGTATGTACGGGTTAAAGCAAGCCCCACTACTATGAAACACACATATTCATAAAACATTAACCAACAAAGAATTCACACACCATGATGGGGAATTTAACATATATTTTAAAAATATTAAAGGTGCTAAAGTATTAATTGCATTGTATGTTGACAATCTCCTAATTGCTGCTCTGAACAAAAATATTATGAGCTCTGTTACAGCAGGGTTAAAAGCAGTATACTCCATAAAAGATTTAGGTCTAGTTTCCAAATTTTTAAGAATAAATATTCATCAAGGTGACCTGAACAATATAACCTTATCAATGGAGGAGTATACTACTAAGGCAACCGAAAGTTATCAAATTGACTTGAATAGAAATGTAGAATTTCCATTATCCAATACTATTAATTATTTCGACACTGAATTTCCAACAATTGACAATATAAATGAGTGACAGGGTATTATTTACCAACTGCTGTTTGTAAGCAATGCTGGTGGATGTACAGAATGTAGCCTGTTCAACATCTATCACGATTCCTTAAAGATCCTGGAGAGGTACATTTAAAAAGCGTACGCAAAGTAATGCAGCACATATATAACACTAAAAAGCTAAAGATTAACCTACAACACAAAACTTGAAAGAGATATTGAATGTTTTTCAGACACATCTCATGGAAATAAAATGTGCACCTGGTGGATTTATTATAAGGCTTGCTGGTGACATATTTACATGGTTATAAAAGAAGATAATGAGCGCAGTTAGTCTTTCTTTAACAGATACCAAATATATCTCCACTAGTAATATTAGCAAGGAGCTTATTTTGTTAAAAAACATGCTCAACCTCATGCTAATAAATACAAAAGATATTAAGCCACGGATAGATAATGAACCAGCCGTTTATGTAGGTAAAAATCCCATGTTACATTCTAAAATGAGACACTTTAGTCTACATCATCGTTTTATGAGATATTAGGTGGAATTTGGAAGTTTTGAGGCGCGACTAAAGTTTTACCAATACCTGTATTTAAAAGTTCGAAACTTTATTGTGAAAAAAAAATAAAAACAAAAAACAAAAAAGAAAGCATAAAAATTTCCTTTATTAAAAATATTGTTGATAATTTGAATTCACTACGGTCCTCCCGAATTTCAGTAATTCCAGTCTCGTTTCTGTCAAATGTGTAATTTTTGGTTATAAAATTGAATATCGTGAAGTACATTGCGGTTTATCTAAATCTAAATCTTTACCCTTTATTAACCAAAACACCTTGCAGCTTACATCTTTATAGGGGTCATCTAAACCGTACATAATTACTAATTACGAAAAGTAAACTAAAGTTATTTTGAATCAAATGTAAACAATCTAGCAACAAATATAATATACATCTATAGCTGTCATAAAAAAAGTTGCTTCTATAATAACATGTAGTATATATAGAAAGGATGCTCGAGAAGTACAAGTTATTCTCGTAAAAATAGCACAGATTAGTACACCAATATTAATTTAATAGGTTCATGTTACCTCACTGTCACAATGTAAAACCAAACAACCAATATATGCGTAGATCCCCCAGCCTTATCCCAATATATCCTGACTGTAATAATGGCAATAGAGATAAACAGGTCGAATTATTTTTTAATTTCTTTTATCTTTCTACTTAGATGTAAATATCATCGAATACGAATCTTAGTCGTGTTTTTGTTAATTCTTATAGATCAATACAAAAAGAAAAGAAACGCAAAAAAAAAAAGTCATAAAAATAAAAGCAGAAAAAAAAAAACTTGATGAGGTTATATCTCGGTATATATTCTTATATTTTATGCCAGAAAACCATGAGAATATACCAAATCTAATAAATCCTCTTTTAATTCATATTTCTATATCTATTTCACTCTATCTGTTTGCTGGTTTACTCAACCAGGTCATAAGCGATTCTAATATCTCCATACATACATTAACTAAGAAGAATTAATATTTGTCCGTTTTATCTTTTTTATTTACTTCTTCGACAATAGCCAGTTTATAAGCAACAATTTATTCGATTAGCTGACTAATTGATAGTTAGTTCAATTTAATAACTGTTATTTTCTTAGCTTTCTTTTCTTTTTATCCTTCTGATTCGATCATGTATAAAATTCAAGTTGTTTTAGTCCCGCCAAGTGTTAGGGACAATTTTGTCCCTATCGGATTCACTTCCACCTTAGAAGATTCCTCTCATTTATTAAATACAACAGGAAACCAAAATAATGTACCGAACACACTAGAAAATTCAATTCAAAATTGGAATAATACAAATAATTCACTGATTTTGTCTAATTACTTCACACAGCCAAGATTAAAGAGATTTTTGCTTTTTACTAATCCTTCAAACACTTTGCTGGATCTTGCTGATGAGATTCTAATTAAATGCGAAAAAATATATCCTAATTTGGCTAATGATATAGAGATCTTAACTCTACAAGATAGTAATTCTTGCGATCTAGATCCAGATTTTATAGTGAAGGATGTTTTTAATATTGATAATACCGTACGAGTAATATTGAAGAATGAAATTAATTTAGATTCTAACACTACTCAGCATGTATCTTTGTATGGCAATGCTAAGAGAAGAAAACTAAATAATTTTGAATCACAATCTGTGCAACAACAACAGCAGCAGCAACAGCAGCAAATCTACAGTGTATCTTCGGGTACTTTAAAAGTGGCTAAAAAACGTTCAAATGGTAATTCCAAAACAATCACAAATCCAAATCTTAGAATATCAACACCTTTGGCAAATCAAATATTTCCATCTCAAACTTCAAATAATTCAGATGACGAAGATAATTTTGCTGATAGGTCATTTTTACCACCACCTACACAACCACAATCACCTCCAATTAGAATTTCTTCTGGTATAGAAAATTCAAAACGAATGAAGTATTCAGCTATGGAGGATACCGTATCTAGATCAGAAACAGTGGACCCTGACAAGTCAAAACAACAACGTCTATTATCTGGTACTCCATTCAGAACGGATCTCACTCCTAACAGAGTCACTTTAACTGGTCAAAGAGTAGTCTCTGAAAGTTATGATGGCACCCCAAGAAGTAATGGTTTAATTTTTACTAGCACAACACAACCATTAAGTGGTACAAGAAGAGGATCCATGAACAATTCTAGAATAACATCAGGAATGTTGACAATCCCAGAACCAAGAATTGCTGAAGTGGAAAAGGAATTGAAGGAAGGTCCATCTAGTCCTGCATCTGTACTGCCATTAAAAGCTGATAGAATACCAATGAAAAAACCTTACATGGAACAACATCCTGTGATATCTGGTGAAGATTCTTCCTCTTCCTCTTCTGAGACTTACGAGGCAGAATTGAACAAAGGTGAACAATCTCCATCATTAAGGAAATCAGATATTAGTAATCACAATGAATCACAAGAATTGCCATATCCTGTTAAAAATAGTCCATTTAATCCAACTGGATCATCTCAAAATAATTATACTAATAACATTAGAAATGACAACGAAAACATAAACAATTTACAAAACTCTTTCAGCAAAACATCAAAGGATTCTCAAAGATTAAGTTCTTTAGAAGCCAAATTGGAGAATAAATCTCATTCTCAAAGAAGCATTAGAAGGATAGATCAATTTTCAGATGATGAAAATGAAAATGAAAATGAAAGGATTCAAATTGCTAAATTACCAACAAAATCTAAAGTAGTGACTACCAAAGACAATATGATAAAGAGAAATATTAATGCAAATAACAATACTAATGGTGATGATTCACGCAATTCTATAGACACAGACCATGAAGCAAACAACACGGTTAGATTTACTGACATTCAATCTGAATTACATAACAAGTCTCATGAAGCTGTTCAAAAGAAAGATTTATTGAATATTGTAGATAAGAGTCAAGAAGTCAAGACAACTGGAAAATTAGCTGATATTCTTGAGAAACCTATTAAACAAAAAGAAAACTCTACATCTAGCCTAGTCGAACATGAGATTACTCCTGTTACACAAATGAACACAAAGAAAAGAACTGCCTCTGAAACTGTCAAAGAACTATTAAAAAGTCCAGAACACTCAACAAACAAAAAGAGTAAAATAGAAACTACAACACAACAAGTGAAAAAGGATACAATAGAGAATAGGAAATCTAATGAGAATAAACCTGTTACAAACAAGTTATTGAAAGTATCTGACTCGGCCTCTAAAATAAATAAACAACAGATACCTACTAAAGGACCTGTAGAGAAAACTACGGCTCCAGTAGCATCAAAGAAAGAGGTTTCTAGCCCAAGCAAAACCGACAAAATAGATAATTTAAAAAAAACAGAAAGTCAAGATGGTGTGGACACATATGAACAATTTGTTTTAAAATCTAATGCCAAACCAGTCCCTATTAAAATCAATCCATATAAAAATGTCGAAGTTCAGAGATCAACTGTTGACGAATCTGAGTATTACACGACTTCTGATGATTCATATAATAATGATGATAAACAAATAGATAAGAAAACATCCACTGATAGGAAATTAGAAATAAATGATATAACCTCGTTACAGAACAAAATTCTAAATAAAGATGCAAAAGTAAAAGCATCCAATGTGGTTGATGAAACAAAAGCTATTTCGAAAACTACTAATAAAGAAATTTCCGATACAAGTTCATCGAATTCGAATTCTAGTGATGATAGTTCAGAAGATGAGAGAAAAGCTACAGTTTGGAAACCACGTAGAGTGAAAAAGGACGTATCACCTGAACTAGTCCAAAAAGCAAAGTGTACAGAAGTTTTAATTAAATCAAAACCGGCTCCAGTTATAACTAAAAAACCAAGATCAAAACAAAAGATATACCAAACACCTGAATTTGTCAGTTCAAGTGAAGAGGAAACTACAGGAGAAGAAAACAATCCTTCATCAGGGACAATAAAAGTAAATAAAGCAAATGATACTAAAGCTTTGTTACGAAGTGCAACCCAAAAACAATCACCAGATGTTACTACAGCTACATCTGACAGCAAAGCTAAACAAGAAATTAAATCCACTAATATCCCTAAAACTAATCAATCTGCTGAATCTAAAATGACAAACATCACTACAAAAAAAGATCCCAAAAGTATTCCAGAAAACAAACAGTCTTTATCGACTAAAAAGCAAGATGATAAAGTTTCTCCATTGAAAAAGCAAGAAATTTCACATGTCAAGAGCAACAAGAAGGAAAATGAAAGCTTCATCGTAAAGATAGATTCTGAAAAAGCAAAAGTTTCCACTTCTAAATCACATATAAAAGATACTAATACAAATAAGTTAGAAGCAGTTGCCATTAAAACTAATACAGAAGATATGGTAAAAGAAACGCTTTCCAAATCAAATAATTCTAATAAAAAAATAACTGCTATTTCATCAGTTAGTAAGGAAATTGATTTAAAAGATTCACAAAAGAAGACCAAGGAACTGATGTCACACAAACCATCTACAAAGAAATCCAAGGTTACAATGCCCTCTAACGTTAAAGGTAATACAATTAATAAATTTGAAGATAAAAGTATAAATTCTAAATCCGAGGATGCTTTAGATAAATCTATCGGACAACAGGATGAAGTCAAGGCTGGCTACAAATCTTCTCAAATAGTAGCAACTTTGTTTAATACAACAAGTAAATCAAGCACATCTTCTAAATCTGAGAGTGACAGTTCTTCAACTTCTGAAACTGATTCAAATAGTAGTGATTCATCATCAGATAGTGAATCGTCCTCTGAAGATAGTTCAAGTGAAGATGAATCACCTTCTACTAGAACCTCAAGAAGAATAATTGTTGCTCCGCCAAAAGGTTCAATATCTGACAGTAAACCACACGATTTAAGTAATAACACAAATATCAAGTCAAAAGGTGTAACAGGTATTGAAAGTGTCCCACAATCTACTCAACAGTCACAAAGATCAGTTTTTAAAACTACCAAACAACCATCTATAACCAAACCACCTTTGACTGCAACTTCAAAGATCTCCACTATTCCACATCCTTCTCAAGTATCAGAAACTACAATTTCAAATATATCATCTCAACCACCAAAACCAGGTGTTAATTCTTCATCAACGGCATCAGCAACTACAGTTACAACTACTGATTCCTCGACTAACAACAATATTAATGTAAGTCCATTATCTAAATTACCAAGAAAATATCGACCCTCATTAAGCTCTTTATCTGATTTAGTATCCAGAGGTATACCGGATGTCAAAGAAAAAACAAGTAAAAACAATATGCCATCATTAGTTAAAAAAGGTAAGAATATTAGGAAAGATAATTCTTCTTCGTCTTCCGAATCATTATCTTCAGAAAGTGAGGATAGTTCAAGTGATGGTGATTCCAGTTCCAGTTCCTCTTCTGATTCAACTTCCTCTGATTCTTCCTCTGATTCTTCTGATGAAGAAACCTACATTAGTGCAAAATCTGCTAATGCTGCATTAAAAAACAAGAAGAAAAAGAAAGCTGGAGATGGAGGTTTTGCTTCATTGATTAAAGATTCAAAAAAGTACAAATAAGAAAAAGAAAGCAAAAAGGAAAACTCTTCCATGTCTAGATATATATGTATATACTAGTATAGAATTAACTTATCATAATAATAAATATTTTTACGTATGAATATAAAATAAATAATATTAACTAACCAAAGAAAGAGAGGCATTAAAGCATAGGGGGTTGCTCTTGCATGAATATTTTAATGCACTTACAATGATCAATATTTTAAAAACATAAGAAACGTAGAAATTTACGGCTATGCCTATATTATGATATATACTGTAGAGTTTTTATTTGTACTTGTTATCAAAAAAAACGTTCAACTTGAAATATTATTAATATTAGCCCATTGTAGAACATAAATGGCAGCTGAAACAACAATAATACTTACCGGTAAACTTAATACCACATATCCCCAAAATAAGATTTCTATCATTTCTGCTTCGAAGAATTCATTTAATTGGGTGATTTGAGTTAATTGAATAGCTGGTGGTGAGACAGTTAACAAAAACCCCACAATTACAAAGATTGGATCATCTAAGATACTTACATTAATATATTTCACAGCTATAGCAATAATTGGTAACAATATACACGAAGGTAAAATCATTCTCCCAATAATTGAACCAATGACCAATTTCTTATAGTTCGAAGTCTTTTCAAAATTATCTGAGGTTGGATAAAGGTTAGCGCCTAAAACAATCAAGATTAATGGAATAGACACTGAACCAATCTGTACTATAGCTTCTGAAAATGTATTAAATAAGAAACTATCTTCACGATAAAGTTCCTTTTGAACTGGTGGGAAGCATGCAACTAATATACCTAGAAGCATTGAATACAGTGGTGGATTCAAATTACTCTTAACTAAGTTTATTATTCTGTTTATTTTATTCCATATAGTATGTTTGAATGGTGTTATTTCATTTGGATCATCAGTGTTAACAGTAGTGCTTGTAAATACACCAGTATGTTGATTTGAAATTAAATATGGTGTTGGTTCTTCACCTTCATTTCTGCTATTATGATTATAATCATTTGCCAACAAAGGATCTGTGCTGCTATCGTAATTATTATCATTATCATTATTGTTATTATTGTTATTTGTGGTGGTGGTAGCAGCAGTAGTATTTGTATGCGACATTTGATCATTTGCTGACAAATGGGCTGGGACCAATCTATTAGAGTCTGACTCAAAAAGATCCGGCCTAGAAGCATGCCTACTAATACTCCCACCAGCACCCACATTAGCATTTTCCAGTAATAGTTGAACTTGACTTGGAGGCATGTGCATAGTATTTTCACCAGACCATTTCAAAAGTTTATTATATCCCCATGACCACCTTAACATTTGCCCGATCTGTTGAAAAATCAAAAGATAAAGTAATCCTCTTGAAGCTACATTATCTCTTGTATCATTTGGAATTTGATCCCAAGCCAAATTCGGCAAAGTATAAGCCAAAGATAAGGTTAAAGAGACAGGTAAAGAATTACTGTTACCGAAGATGGAGTTGCCAATAACAAAATTGGTTTCATCAGTATCCAAACCCAACACAGCAGACACCAATTTACCCGAAAAATAGGAAATACCTGTACTCACAGCAAAGAATACTGGTATAATACCAATTTCTAAAATTTTGGCTAAAGATAAAGCCTTAGCCATTTTACTGTAAATTAAACATGGCGTGAAAAGATCGACATTTAACAAAGAAATAATCTTTTGACTTGATTTAGGAAGAAGACCGGCATGAGCACTCCAGAATCCAGCCAAGGAAATGACAACCACTTGTAAAACGGACTGAAAAACTAAATATGCTATTTGACCAAAGGAAAACGTTTCTCCACTACTAAAAAAATTCATCCAGTTATGCTGTGAATGTATGGATATATGTGTGTATAAACTGTATTTATATCGATATTTATGTTAGATAAAAGCAGGTATCTCTGCTGTAAATTCAATTAGCGAAAATTTTTTAAAATAACTTTCAACAGATGTGAATATAACTTGCTTTCCTCATTCTTCACATTAACTCCTAATCTGGGATATCCATATACTAAACGGTCTATACATCTATTTATACTTCTTCCTCTCCCTGAATCCTCCTCTCTCTATACTGCGCCCTTTCCCCATTTTGCTATATTTCTACACCTTTTTTTTTCCTTACTATTTTTTCCCCTCTTCTCTTCTTTTCTTATTGAAATATTCGCAGTGATCTTCGAAGGTATGCGTCTTATTTAAAGAGTAGAAACGGAGGTAATCAGACAGAAGATATTATGAACACCACAGAATGTTCTATCATATGGTATTAAAAACGGAAGCAAGACCATAAATCAAAGTCAGTCAAATAGTATGTTATCTACTGCTGTTAATAATAAGAAAATTCATATATTATATTATATATTATAATTTCTTGTTAATACATTCTTTTAAACAATCAGCTTGTCAGCTCTATATTTAAATAATGGTTCAGCCATACCATATCTATTTCCCTTTGTAGTAATAGTAGTTGTCGCCGTTGTGATGCCCATAGAAGTACCATTGACATTCTGTCTCTCAGGGAAACCGTCAAAAGATCTAGCAAATGTGGCAACAGAATGTGCAATTAATTTGGTATTCACCATAAAAGCATCCCATGATAGATTATTCATATCATCACATAACAAATGATAACATTTATCTAACACACCACCATTGAACAGATTATTCTTTTCTGCACCTGCAGCGATACCACCAGCAGGTATACCGTTTTCAATAAAACCAACGTAATCTGATCTACCATCAAATGGCACTAATGTATAATTCAAATCTTTTGATTTGTAATAATCGATATATAGATTTTTTAGTTCTTCAGAACCCTTCGGATGGTCAATATTGTTTGCGTCATAAATTTCATATTCATAATTGGGTGATGCCATCATATCGTAATCCATAAAGACTCTAATCTTGGAGTTTTCTTCTTGTGTCAAATTATAGGCATAGAAATTAGAACCCAATAAACCTTCTTCTTCAGCAGACCACCATGCAAAACGAACTTTATTCTTGATTTTATAATGGGTCAATTGCTTAGCTACAGTTAATAATGAAATGGTGCCTGAACCATCGTCATTAATACCAGGACCTTCTTCAACAGAATCAGTATGAGCACCCAGCGCCACAATATTATTTGGATCACCATGCTTTGTATCAGCAATAATATTCTTAGTCTTAATTTTTTTAACAAAGGAATCCATAGCGAAATATAGTAAATAATCTGGATCTAACATAATACTGTCAATCAAACTTTGGCCAACTTCATATGAAACACCAATGGTAGAGACAGTATGTTCTGTTGGTTCACCTAGTGTACCATGTAACCCATCAAAATTTTCTGGTTCATTATCATAAATAACAACCCCTTTAAAACCATGTTTGCCTGCTAATTCACTTTTAAGGCCAAATGGACAGACACCTCTTTCAATCAAAGCAATTTTATCACCATGATAGCTGGCAAATGCATCGAAGGATTTAACTGCCTCAAAATCAGCATCGGAACAACCCAAATTAGGGATTTCTATAAGCTTCCCGATAAAAGGTTTCACTGGTGGAGATAAAGAAAAAGCGGTGATATTTTCAATTGGTTTGTTTGTTTTGAAATCAGTTAGATTAAATGCAGTGATCTTCCCACTCAATGCATCGAAGGTTTGTAAAGAGACTTCGTAATAGTCCTTCATTTCACTAAATTGGTCGAGAATATATTTGATTGTCTTCCAATGGCCCTTTGATCCGATGATACGGGTTGGATGACCATATTTCTTTTCAGATTCTTTGGCAATATTATATAGATCATAAACAGTAGAGTTTAAGTCATCAAATTTGATTGAATTCTGCAATTTTTCTGAGTCAACCATTGGCTTTAAAAAATAAGGTAGATGTGGTTTAAATGAAAATTCCGAAACATAGTCTGTGAAGGATGCTAACAATTCTTCATCAGTGCAATAATCTTCCAAGATACCACTTTCATCATTCAATGTAGAAAATGTTTGTTCAAAGAGTGTTGGAAGGACGAATGCATCAGAGACGAATAAAAACAAACTGGTTAAACCAGTTAAGGTTGTCACTGAAAGTTTCATCCTTTTTAAGACTGATATTTTAGTGTCTTTGTATATGTTATTATATTATTATAGTGTATTTTTGCAAGATTCAGCTAATAAGTATGGTTATAAATATATATATATATATATATATATATATAAGTATATATAAACGTAGTTATATTATAAACTTCTAGTGTAAGAATTGCAACGAGCTTTACAGAGGAGGAGGGGGGAAAAGGGAAATAAAAAGCAAAAAAAAAAGAAGAGAAAAGAACGGAGAAACGGAAGAAATACAAAAAAAAGTGTCACAAAATAGAATTCATTTGATAAACAATTACAAGTGTAAAATATTAACATATATGGAAAGATTGTAGAATGAATAAAAGTTTATTTAAAAAAGCTAAAAGCAACTGTGAGCTATCACTTAGATGATCCATATTACATTATATAGAAACTTATATTTTTAGCCAGAATAAATAAATAAATAAATAAAAAGGAAGAAAGAAAGAAAGAAAGTGATTTACGTGTTTTAATCTCTAGTCTTAGACCACATATTATCATGAATATGACGCTTTTGTCTTCTTGTAATTCCATTTCTTTTCTTCCTCTTATTATTGTTATTCTTGTTTTTTTCAAGAACATTTTTTGCTTCATGTACTGTGTCTTTCTTAACACAATCTATATCAGATGAGTTTTTAGACCATTTTTCTTTATCAGACTCTGTTTTATAATTTGTCTTTAATTGAGAGTAATTATTACCACCTTCTCTATTAATACTACAACCTTTATTATTATTATTATTATTATTATTATTATTATTATTATTATTATTATTATGAAATCCAGTCATTATTTTCACCATTCTGGAAGTATTTATATCAGCTTCACTATTTCCATCGCTATAATCACTATATTGAGTTGAAATATCAGAATAGTTTGGATTTTTCAGACATTGATCGTTATTTTTTTGTAAGGTTTTATTTGGTTTAGTATTATTTAAATGGAGAGTATTAAAAAATTGAGAAAAGAAAGACATTAAATAGATGTATATAGAGATGTGGATTAAGGGCTGAGTGTTTATGTTGCTTAGAATGTCTTACGAATTTCGATCTTATACAGTTCTTACTTAGTTTTATTTCTTCTTTACTCTTGCTAATATTGAAATTTCTGAGTTTTTATATTATGTTACAAAATATTTTATACAGTTTTTCTTTTTACGAATTTTTAGTGTATGCTTATTTTTTTTTTATGTGTGTTATTTTTATAAGATATAAATAAAATGATAATAATATTAATATAACAAAAAATCTCAGAACTAAGACGAAAGAAATAACATAGTTAAAACAAATGATAGCTATCTATGATAATTGTAGATGAATACACACACACACACACACATACACGTTATATATATACATTATATAAATGCTTAGAATGAGCATTAAAAATTATTATGGTCATATATCCATTATTTCTTATACTAAAAGACAATCAAAACCCACTTGATAACTCACTATCTTCAACATTATAATAACTGTTTTAATGAATCATCAGACACAAATCATCAGATACAGTGCTCGTGTTACATGATATAGGATTCCCCTCTTTCTTTCTTCCTTCCTTTCCTTCTCAGATTTATTGACAATTTCTAACAGAAGAAAAAAACAAAACAAAACAAAACGACAAAAAACGAAAAAAAAAAAAATATTGAAAAAATGAAAAAGATTGAAAAAAAAAAAAATTAAGTGGAAAAGATTGAAGTCTTCCCTCTTAACTTATTCATTTATTAATATATCCCATCTGAATCTTTGTGTTTCTCAAATAATGAGCTTAAGTATCTGATCTTCGTCTACTATACACACTTTTCTTACTTACTAGACGATAAATCAGTGACCAACAAGTATATAAGTCCCTGTATTATTATCTAATATATAAGAAACCATGGCTGGCTGTATGTGTTTTCCCTCATCTCATATCTTTATTTTTCTTTTCCCTTCTTTTTTCTTCTTCTTCTTCTTAATATTTATATGTAATATTTTTAATTATTATTGAATATCTTTCATTTTACTAACAAATTTTTTTCTTTTTTAATTGATTTTTGTGGATATTCATATATCTGTGGAGTATTTCACATTAATTTTTATTTCCATTTCTTTATTTTTGTTTTTGTTGTTTTTGTTGTTTTAGTTCGTCTAATTGATGCTATGTCTCCTTTCTTATCACTTTTACCTGAAGTTGAATTGCCATATGAAAAGATTCAATTTGATGATAAAGTCCTATATACCGTTTTCATCTGTTTAATCTATATTTTTGCTCAATTACCATTAGCTGGGGTCGAAAAGGATATCGCCACTTCTATTAATGACCCAATCTATTTCCTACGTGGCGCTTTCGCTGCTGAACCAAAGACTTTATTGGAATTCGGTGTATTCCCGATTGTTTCCAGTGGTTTAATCATGCAATTGTTAGCTGGGTTGAAATTAATTAAAGTTAATTTTAAATTACAAAAGGATAGAGAATTGTTCCAATCCTTCACTAAGATGATGATTTTCCTACAATATTTCATTCTAACCAACATTTTCATCTTTGCTGGTTATTTTGGTACCGATTTAACCATTTTCCAAATTTTGGTACTAAACTTCCAATTAGTTGGTACCGGTATGTTTGTCACTTTACTAGCAGAAGTTATTGACAAAGGTTTTGGTTTCACTTCTGGTCCAATGATGATCACCACCATCAATATTGCCACCAATATTGTTTCCGATATCATTGGTGTCTCACATGTTAAGATCGATGATGAAGGTAACACTGAACCACAGGGCGCTTTAGTTAATTTTGTACAAAGTTTTAGACCCAAGGATAAAACCCTTTTCGCTAGTGTTCTTTCCGCTTTTAACAGAGATTACTTACCAAATATGACCACTATCATCATTGTTACAATTATTGGTGCCCTTGTCTGCTACTTCCAAAACTTCCGTGTTGAATTACCAATCAGATCCACAAGAGCACGTGGTATGAACAATGTCTATCCAGTCCGTTTATTCCATGTTGCATCTTTATCCTTGTCATTCTCCTACTGTTTATTATTCTACATTCATATCGTTCCATTTGCTTTTATCACTTTAATTGGTAAGAACGATCCAAATAATATCGTTTGTAAAATTTTAGGTCATTATGAAAATGTGAATAATCTTCTTGCCGTACCAACTTTCCCATTATCTGTCTTTGCACCACCAAGATCCTTCTTTTACGGTTTGATTCAATCTCCATTGTCTTTTGTAATTTTCCCAACATTTATCATAGTCACTGGTGTATGGTTTGCTTACAAATGGCAAGCCATATCTGGTCAATCCGCACGTGATATTGCAAAGGAGTTTAAAGAACAAGGTCTAACTTTAGCCGGTCGCAGAGAACAAAACATTGCTAAAGAATTGAGCAAGTCCATCCCATTGGCTTCTGCCACTGGTGCCGCTATCATTGCGCTCATTGCTATTATCGGTGAACTATTAGGTTTGAAGGGTAAAGCTGCTAGTATGGTTATTGGTGTCTGCGGTGGATTTTCCTTATTAGAGTTAGTAACTTTAGAATACCAACAGGCTGGTGGTGGGTCTGCGTTCTCCCAAGTTTTAGGTGCACCAACTAATATCTGATATATAATTAAATGTTAATAATAAGAGCAATAATCCTCTCAAGAAGAAAAGCAAAAAAAAAAGATATTCAAGTAAGATAAAATAAAGAGAAATAAAATGAGAAAAAAAAAAAGAAGAGTTATTTTATTTTTAAACTTTATTTTAGATAAAAAAAAATCCTGACAACTTACTCTTATTACCTTCTAATTTTTCTTCTTTTCTATCTCGTTGTTGCCTGAGCTTTATTAATTTTTAATTTTTGTATCGTTGGCTTATGTCAAAATAATGAGTTTCTTTTATATTTCATTATATTTTTCTTTTTTTTTATTATTTATTTTTTATATTATTTTACTTATAAATTTATTTATATTACCATTTACGAATAATAGTATCATTTATTATCCATCTCTCTGTCTTCTTCTTCTTCTTCTTCTTCTTCTTCTTCTTCTTTTTCTTCTGCATAATGCTTCACAGTGTTATCTTTTCTGTATTACAAAACATCGTAATATATAATGATGATCATAAATAAATTTTAATATTTACAAAATAGTTGTATAATAATCGAATATATATATATATATATATATAATATGTGTTAGAAATATTTACGTATGTATGAGAATCAACCTCTTTCAACATAACAATTAATATCCACAGCTTTACTTTGAATATTGCCACATTCAATAAACTGTCTTAATTTATCAAAATATAGCTTGGTATCCAATGGACCTTTAGAATACCCAGTGAATTCATGTTTCAGCTCAGGTAAATTCGTACTGACCAAAGGTTTTAAATCCAAGTTGACAAATTGAGGAACTACAAAAGTGTTTACTTTATTCCATTGAATAACATATTGACCGTGCTTAGTATGTCTACCTATCCCTGAAGATCTTGTACCTTTATACATAGTCTTATTACCTTGTTTTGTTGTTAAAGCGGTCCTTCTATTACCTGCTTTTGACAAACCATAAAACAAAGTCCCATCTCTATATTTTTTCCAGGGTCTTGTAAGTTGTAGGATTGAACTTGATTTCATTATAAAATGATATTGTTGATAATGACGATCTTTTTCAAAATTTAGTTTGTCCTCTTGATTGTTAGAAGTAAAAATATTTACACTTCTTGAACTATTGTTATTTTTTTTTAAATATATATGTGTGCTTAACAACCTAATGCATTCAACTTAACTCTACTTGTCCCTCGAAAAGGGTGCTACTAAAAGTCATCCCTCGTGGGCTATGTGGTAGGATGTGGCATGGTATGGTATGACATTGCCTTTCTCTTTCTGTTTTTGTATCTTTAAAGCTTTGTATCTCTCATATTTCTTCCTTTATCAGAAAAATAAAAAAAAAAAAATAAAACAATTAGGAAGAGAGGGCACGTGACATGAAAATAAAAATTTCAAATTTTTTTTTCCATTTTTTATTTTTTTGCAAAGAAAAAAAAAACTGTGTGAAAAATTGGTCCTGCTATAAAGAATTTCTCACTGTAACTGTGTAGGAAAGGGGAAACTATGTAGTAGGATCAACATCTAATAATATGCACTAATAATGGACGGATGTAATCTATGATATAAGAACAAGTATATTCTTACTCACCTGTTCCCAATACGTAAGTTTTTTTTTCTTAAGTTATACTTAGTCAGTAACAACATAATTGTATTACATACCCTACATCTTGGTCTTTTCCTCCCCCTATTTAAAATAGAACTGATTCGTTATTGTAATATAGATTAAGCCTTTTAAAATAAAACACAACAAAATCATACATATATACATACATACATACGTATATATATATATATATATATAATTTGTTATTTGTTATTTGTTATTTGACTCACCTAAAATCTGAAAGGGATTCTTTGCAATAGGCTTTAGTCAATTTAAGAAATAACAACGATCGTCGCAGTAACAATCATGTTAGAAATCCCAGAACTTGTTCATAAATGGAACCATACCCATTCTATCCTTTCTATTTGTGTATTTCCAAATAAAAACTTATTATTTGCTGGTACTCAAGATTCAAAGATTTTAGTAGTTGATAAAAAAAGTTATGATATTATAAAAACAATTCAATTAGGTAACACTACATCCTCAACTATTGATCCCCTATCTTCTATTTCATACATAAATACGAGATCAAGTGTCTTGTGTTTGGATAAATCATTGGACGAAAAGTATTTATTCTCCGCAGGTGCTGATTCTTTAGTTAGAGTTTGGTCTATAGATTATTGTAAGAAAGACCATTCTTTACAGATTAAAGAAATCGCTACTGTATATTCAATTACTGATATTGGGGACATTTTTTCTATCAAATACTTGGATTCTGTACAGACCCTTGTTTTTGGTTGTCAAGATGCGTCTCTTTTATATCTAGATAATATTATTGACAGAATCCATGATTGTACTGCATCATTTAATACTAACGTCAACCTCAACAATGATATTAATAACTCTCACACTTCAAATGATCACCCTAATATTTTACAAAATGCTGAAAGCACATCTAATATAATTACGCCCTCACAGAATAATATTGATAGATTACCCCATAGAAGATACGATAAATTTTTTAATTCAAAGGGTCCAACTAGCCCCACTTCATACACACCTTTATCTGTTTCTCCAGATTACCTCTCTAGAGAAGTCTCAACATTGAATATATGTGATACTAAACATTACCCACATGCTATTCTTGAGATTCCTGCTGAAAATATTATTAGATATGCACACAATGGTTTTATTTACAGTATTGTAGGTGCCACCTCAATTCATACTGGACTGAATCAAAATAATGATTCAATCTTAGAATTAATTATCACTAGTAGTGGTGATGGGATAAGTTCTGTCTGGAAAGTTTCTAAGAATAAGAAAAGTGGGAAAGTAGTTATTGAATCTGAACAAGAAAATATGAATAATGAAGAAACAGTATTTTCACAAGCTATAGAATATCCATTTCTTTATTGTGGGTTAAGTGAGGGCAAAATAAATATTTGGGATCTAAATACAGGACAGTTGGTGTCTGAATTGAAAACACCAGACATGTCCGATATAATTTCTATTTCTGTACATGATGATTGTGTTTTTGCTATTAATGAAGAAAGTATAAATATTTTTTATCATGATCAGTTAGTACATTGGAATCCAAATCAAGGGAAATTATTGGGTTCAGAGATATTTATATGCGATATGGCTAATGATAAAAATAATAGCATATTAAATAGTTATTCTTATTTGTCCGTTGGTGGGAACGACGGATCATTAACACTTTGGAATATATCATCTTTATTCCAAAATCTACAACCATCATTGGCATCCAGATTTGTTAATAAAAGGATGAAATATGAGACCAATGACAGTTCCACAGAAACAAATATTGACACAGAAGAGATGATTTTATCGTTAAGAAAACTAATTTCTTTTAAGACAATCTCACAGGAGACTGCCACTGAATGCAGGATATCTTTGGCCCGTTGTGCTATTTTCCTAGTAGAATTACTTAAAAAATTAGGCGCTGATGATGTACAGCTGTTACCAGTTGATGGACACCATGGTCCTGTAGTTTTGGCTCATTTTCATAATCAACGTGGTCGTGAAGAACAAAACTCGGTTAAAAGAATTCTATGGTATGGTCATTATGATGTGATATCAGCAGGTGATTCTGAAAAATGGGATACTGACCCATTTACTTTGACTTGTGAAAATGGATATATGAAAGGCCGTGGTGTCTCTGATAATAAAGGTCCACTTATTAGTGCCATTTACAGTGTAGCATCCTTATATCAACAGAACAAATTAAAGAATGATATTATATTTTTGATTGAGGGTAGTGAAGAAATTGGATCACCTGGATTTGAACGGATATGTTCTGCAAGGATATTTAATCCAAAGATAGACTGGATCTTTTTAAGTAATTCATCATGGGTTGATGAAGAACATCCATGCATCAACTATGGTTTAAGAGGTGTTATTAATGCAGAAATAACAATAACTTCAGATAAGTCAAATGGCCATTCAGGTATCAATGGTGGTTTATATCAAGAGGTGACTTTTGATTTGATGCATATAATATCTAAATTACAGGATGATGAAGGTCGAATCTCAATTCCAGATTTTGAGAAGACAATGAAGACACCTGATAAGAAGGAATTAGAGAGATTTGCTAAAGTTATTAATGTAGCTAATTTTTCAAAGACTGGATGTTGTAAAAAGGGTGATTACTGTGTTAATTTCCTTATTAAGAATTGGGCGAAACCATCTATATCAGTCACATCATTGAAAGTTAATGGTCCCGGAAATATAACTGTTATTCCGAATAGTGCATCTGCAGGGGTTTCAATAAGACTGGTACCGGGCCAAGATGTAAGATCTGTTAAGGAAAATTTGAAAGAATTTTTAATAAGAGAATTTGCTCAATTAAACTCTCCTAATCATTTGCAAATTGATGTGGTCAACGAGGCAGAGCCCTGGTTAGGTGATCCATCTAATCATGCATATCAAATTCTTGAAAGGGAAGTTACTAAAGCTTGGGGTATGGAACCGTTATTTGTAAGAGAAGGTGGATCAATCCCATCTATTAGAATGTTAGAAAGAAGTTTTAATGCACCAGCTATTCAAATTCCATGTGGTCAAAGCACAGACAATGCACACCTAGATAACGAAAATTTAAGAATAAAGAACTGGACCAAGATGACCCAGATTTTGTCAAACGTATTTAATAATTTATAAATCAGGTATATTTGTATATGTTTATGTGCTATAGAACTAACATATCATCTGCTTTATATCCCTTGGAACGTTTGAACGGTGGCCATCTCGTAGGTTGTTGCACTTAGTCATCATATCTATAGATCTGACATATGACGTTATTTCTATTCACCGAAATCAACTTAAACGCTCTTTTCCGTTTTAGGAACATAGCTAAATTTATGGGATAATAAACTTTCAAACAACTGAACCGCCATCTGCAACACAAGCGATTAAGTGTTGCAAAAGATAACGGGCTTACAAAACAAACGGTTTAAAATTTTTTAAATAATAATATTACTTACTATTCACAAAATAAAACAGTTATATTCAAACTATTTTTCTGTGTAATAATCCCAATTCTACCATTCTCTTTGTTAAGTAAAAAAACTTTTATAAAAAAAGGGGTAAGATAAGAAACAAACAGACTATAATTTTAACACAACTATCTGTACATCATATCTATTCTGTATTCTATACTTTATTAGCATATCAGATACCAATATAGATAAAGAAATATATACACAGAGTAATAATACTATCTAACCATCTAAGCCATTTAATATGTCCCCTTTCTCGGATATGAATGAAACTAAAAATTTTTTGTCTCCTGATATATTAGAAGTTATGTTACCCTATTTGTCTCCAGATGATATAAAAAATTTATCACTTACAAATAAATATTATAGTAAATTATTAGATTACAAAGACTCTGATACTTTATGGCATGCACTATTTCATAAATCTTATGGATCATTATTGACTAACGATGAACCCTTTAAAAATAAAGATAATGAGACTTATTTAACTTGTGAAGAACGAATTATAGTGAATCAACATCAAAATAAACCTTGGCACAGTTTATATGATAAAAGATCAAAATGTACTTCATTATATACATGGGGTTGTCTGAAACATGCAAGGTTAGGTTATACAGCTACCTCCAATGAGGAAAACTTATCGGAAGAACTTTTAAATGGTAGTATTTCCAGGTTTAAATACGGAGTAAATAGACCTACCAGAGTACCATGGTTTACTTTAGATAATTCAAATATTGATGATAAAGATATTTTACATATATGTGGTGGTGGATTTTCGTTTCAGATATTAACACGTTCTGGAAAGATATTTTCCACGGGTGCTACTTTTACAGGTGGGCATAAAGGGCCAGGTCCAAAAGATGATCAATTAGATTATAATCCTTTTAGAGAAGCTATTCGCACATTACAAAATTCATACCCAAGAGTGTCCATAGGGGACACGACTATCTTTTCTAACCCTATTAGTACAACCGGTGTTCATCATGGCCCAACCCCTATACCGTATCCACATTCCATAGAAAGACATGATATTGCTACTACACATACTACTACTAACCCTACAACGATACATTCTACCAACACTATACCAAGACCACATGGAAATATATATAGAGAAATAGAAGAGTTAGAGGAAAAAGCTACTCAACAAATTCCTGGGAATAACCATATATCACGTATGTTCACAAGAAATTCTTTTGCAATTTATTCAGGAGTAGACAACGATTTTCATATAGATGAAGAGAAATATGGTAAATTAAAATTTATTGCATTAACTTCAGGTAGAAGTCATTTTCTAGGATTAACCTCAACAAATGAAATCTATTCATGGGATAATAATGAATCTAATCATGGTATTAAAATTGAATTTGATGGGCTCCCATTAAACAAGGATCACCCAGTTCTTAAGATTGCATCGGGCTGGGATTTTAATTGTGCCTATATTTACAAAATCGGCCTTGTATGTTGGAAATATCGTTCTGCATTACAAAAAGGTGATCTGTCAGCAAATGCACATTATAAAATAGTTCCTGGGACAGACTCCATTCAGGGTGATAGAAAACTTGTAGATTTTACTTGTGTGGAGGATAATATAATATATTACGTTGATAATGAGGGATTAACGTTATGGAAGTATGATAATGGACTGATCACTTCTATCGAAGTACCTAATATCAAAGATAAATTGCTGAAATGTAAATCATGCTTTTCTAAATTGATCCTTTTCACAAAGGATAAATGTTACTCCATTGATATGAATCATGGTATGCTAGATTTGACTACTTTGAAACAACTGATACTAGATGATGCAGAGGATCATATAATATCTTTAGCTGCTGGTGACTATCATGTATTAGCTTTAACAGAGAAGGGGAATATATATTCATGGGGCCTTGAGAGCCAATTCAGTGGCTGTCTTGGTTTAGGGAAACCAGAAGATATTGTCAATAATCAACAGATTGGTAGTTGGGATAGTCCGAGAAATGTTCGCGTAGTTAAACCTGTTAAAGTTCCACTTCCAGAAGGAAAATACTGTGTATCTATTGCAGCTGGGGGATGGCAAAGTGCGGCATTATTAGTGTCAAAGTAATGATCTAGGGGAAAAATAGTCGCACCAAATTACATGTAAAGTAAAAGACAATTGTACACAGATATTTTTGTAATGTTTTATTCTTAAGAACATAAATATGAGACTATGAGCCAGTTATGCCCATGTATTTACTGCAAATATATTTATACAAAAAGTCAAATAAGAATATATGTTGATAATTGATATGTGACATCATCCCTTCTTTTTTATAACTCTATTTATATTAGGTAATTATATTCATTAAAGATACATAGTTTTTTATTTAAGGAAAGGTATAACATACATATAAATCAATCCTTTTGTAAATATATCTATTTATGTTTACATAATAATCATTTTTTTACTCTGAATTAAAAATTTAAAAAGCGTTAACCAGAACATATTTTATTTCCTTTTTCGTCTTCATGATCTTAATTTAATTGTTTTCGTTATTATGTTCTTCACTATTGTTGTCACTCTTTATGTCCTCTGTCTTTATTTCATCATGGTTATCATGATCTTCTTCCGCCTCTTCCTCTTCTTCCTCTTCTTCTTCTTCTTCAACTGGAACAAAATTGATTGGATCAAATTTCATTCTTAATCTATCCCTAATATTAGCCTCCTTTGTACTTGGATTTCTTAATTTAATATTTAATTGATCAACATTATGCTCTTTAACCAAATTTTTGAAAATATCATTAACACGTCTTCGTCTCAACTCTATCCTTGAACGCAGTGGTTTGTAATATGCAATTTTTTTATCATTATTAAAAATAATTGAAATTTCGCCAAATGGATTTGGATTAGTATCTGTATTTGTATTTATCGGCATACTTACCACCTGTTTCATATCAAAATCCCTTAATCTTCTAAACTTGAACACTTTATTATCAATATTTGCATTGCTATTATTATTACTTTTATCAATAAGTTTTTCATAATTTTCTTCCAGAATCTTTGAATCGTTTTCATTATTTATCGTATACATTGAAATCCATTCATCTTCCTCTAATTCAACAGGTCTAAATATAGTAGTATTCAAGGAAAGCTTTTCTCTTTCTCTTGAATCTAAAGTTGCACTACCAACTAACCTTAGAGTGAAATAGTTTTGATCCATGGATGCGGTATCAGGTAAGAAATCCCAAACTTTAACAGCTTTCAAATTACGCTTAATTGGATGTTTAAAGGTTGTCAAGTCATGAGACATTGTATCAAAGGTGGTTTCAACTTTATTGACAATATCAGATGAATTTAACATTTTGCCATCATCATAATCACCATCATAATTTGATCTTGGCCGTTTCTTGGTTAGGGTGGATACAGCAGAATTATCATTACCACTATTATTATTTGATGCCATTGTAGATGATAAATATTCGGTTCTTCTTAAAAATGTGACTTTTGAAGTATCAGTCTTAATAATTTTGTCAATTCTTGGATCTCTCAAAAGAACACGATCCTTATCATTTAACTTAACGTTATCGAACCCATATAAAAGGGTGGTATCATTTTTATTTAAAAGACCTGGTAATTGCATTAAATCCATCGGCATAGCTAGATCGTTATCTATATTAATCAACGGTGTGACATTAGTCTTTGTATACAAAGAAGTGACCAAATGAGGTGAATCCACTTCTTCATTCTTATTTATGGGATATTTTAGTAGTTTTGGTGGAATGATTGGAGGTGGTAACTCATTAGAATATTTGATTCTAGCAATATACTCCTGTTTCCTAGTCCCACTACTACCACTGATATTACTGCTGCTGCTATTCATACGACCGTTAGTGACACTTGACATCTGTAAATAAATGAATGCAATCAATTGGCTAACAGGGATAATATTACGTCTTTTTTCTCTTTAAAGTTCTATTGTCTTTATTCCAGGGAAAGCAACTACAATAAATAGGAAATAGGCGTTACAACCCAACAGATATAGTTGTACATACGTACTTTTACCTATCTAACTATTTACCAAAATACATTAATATTTGTAGACTTGTCCAGAGGATCTTTTTTTTTTCTTTGTTACAAGAAGAAATTTCAACTAAAACTTCGAAAAAAAAAAAATTCGCCGATTGATGTTTATTCAAGCTTGATAGCGCCTTGTATAATACCAACATAAATCAATATTCGAGGCATTCGACTAAAACGAGATGACATCATGAACTAAATAAACTGATTGATAACGTGTACTCAATCAATTGACTAGATTCTTTGGTGGTATAAATATGTCTTATTCTTATGTTTCCCTCTCTTTGAATAATTTTCTTTGTAATACATTATTAATGTTTCTCCTGCATTTCTAAATGATATCAAACCACCTAAAGAAGAAGAAGATGATGAATAACAACACGAAAAAAAAAACTTAACACGTTCAGTCCAATATTTCTTCTGTAGTCTCTTCTCTGCCCACCAATCTCTCTCTAGATCTTACCTTCTCATTAGTATCATCATCATGATCTCCATTGTCCTCCTCCTCTTCACCTATTTGATCATCTATATCTTCCACTGTATTCATTTTTTCAATCTCTCTTTGTAATTCAACCTCACTGTCAACATCGTGCAGTATCATTTCCCCAGTTCCTTCTTCTTCTTCCTCTTCCTCTTCCACACCATCAATAACATCTTCTTCGTTTCCTTCTTTTTGATCATCATCTCCACTTTCATTGCTGTCTACATTTTTTAAAGTTGAAATTGCTGTTTCCATTTTACCAAATGGTAATACTGATTGGTTTCCACCCAATGGCTTATTACCTTTTTCATGTTTTGTCTCTGTGCTTCTTATTATCCCTGGATTGTCTTTTTTACTGCCTTTAGAATCGTTATTGAAATTTCTCCTATTGATGACATCTTCTAGAAAATAGAATTGTTCATTTCTTTGAACAGATTCAATTAAATCATCTAAAGTCAATCTGACTTGTTTCATCATTGCAACACTGCTACCATTATCTACAATATTTGTCATCCTCTTACTATTTCTTTTCATTGATCTTTTGTCTTGTTGTAGATATGACATAGACAACCCATCTTCTGCTAGCGATTGAATAAACAATTCAGTAGCAAAAGATATCGCCACGATGGCTGCATTTGAAGTGACAATATATTCTTTGTCACACTTTGCTATTTTCTTGATTTTGGATATTGGGAACCGTGGTAAGATCTGTTTCTCATTCGATTCGGTTACCTGTCTATCTTTGTTGTTCATGGCGTCCAATAGACTATCTAGTATACAATTATCAAACTTCTTTCATGTAAAGTTTATCTTAGATTATTCAGGGTGGATGACAAACAGACATAGAGGTACTTCTATCTATGTATCACTACTTTTTTTTACAACCACCCTGTCTCTATCTTTGTCTCTCAGTAAGAAAATTTTCCACAGGAATTCATTCCTTCCTTCATCTTCTGTAAAGAATGACCATATATTGGTAGATCTAAGATATATACATAAATGAATAGATCAAATAAGAAGATATAAAATTTGTAGACGTGGTTGGGAGATATATTCAGTGGTGTACTCACAGTTTTATACAACAACCATTTGTCTAAAATATATTATATACTCAACTATATTGAATATTTGAATATTAAAACAGCATTAACGCATAATATAATATCATATCCCCATTCAACTGGATCACATTATCCTTATATATACATACACATATACAAGGATACATACCTTTAAAGAACAATGGAACAATGTCATAAGAGGCGGTATACCAGTATGAATGAATCATCAACAACCAATAATAATAATAATGATAACATATTATCTAACACAGATGACAAGGACGAAAAATCCGATAATTATTTAGGCACCACTCCACAAGAGACCTTGCAATGGTTAAATATCCATCAATCTACTAAATTACCTAACCATAAAGTCATGTTTCCTTGGTTACATGGTTATTCTATGAGTTCTCCTCCAAATTATCCCGATGCTATTTCAATAATAAGATCGATCCCAATCCAATCTACTCACCATGATAATATCCAATCGCAATATTTGACTGATACTGGTATACTAAAGAACTCTTTGGACCCAATAGATTTCTTCATTACTTGGAATGATCAAATTAGGTATGATGCATTAAAGAATAATACTATTGATAATAATCTTGACAAAGACACGATAAGTACTCAACAAACTATATTGGAAGAGATATTTGATTCTGAAATTAACAAATTCTCAATTAAACTATATGCTGTATCGAATTCAGAATATAAAAAAAGATTAATTGAATTATGTAGATTCCACAAAATCCTACCATTTTTAAAGACCGATCCATATGCATGGAATAAATATTGTATGCAAACTAATGTCAGAATATCTACTAATAATTATTCTCACACATACACACACACACATAATTACCAACATCAAAACGTAAGAGTAACTGGTTACCATAGTCCGACTACTACCAAAAATTTTCAGTCTCAAAATTTTAGAAGATTTGATTTACAACCATCTAAAATGATTGAATTATCTTCAAAATTAGTAATTTATTGTCTAAATAAGACTAATACATCGGCTTCCCTGTTACACGATGTTTCATGTTCATTTTGTCAAGATTTATTAAATTTATTGAAATTAGCTTTAACTTTTATTGAATTTAGCTATCAAATATTAGATAGAAATATTGATACCATCAAAAATAGTAACACTAATAATGATAATAATAACAAACTAAATGAAGTTGGTAACAATCCCTTTATTAATGTTAATAACAGACACAAATTTTTTATATTAGAAACTCAAAATCTTCAAAATGATTCTCTTACTGAGCTAATTGGCACACCACCTCTATTATCAGACTCAGAATGTATCAGTAATAAAGATTCCACAATGATAAAACCATTGGCTACTAAATATGATGTTATAACCTTTAATAATTGGTATACAAACTTCCATTACCATGAACGGATAGAAATGCATAAAATGTCTTCAGCTACTGTAATAGATGATCAAAATAAAGTATGGTGTGGTAACATATCTGATTATCAAATTTTATTGAACAAATTTAAACAAATTGATCTATATTCAAATATAAATCCAAGCACAGTTAAACACGGGCCTTATTATTCCCCATTAAACTCTACAGTTATTAATATTCCTTATTTGCAATTTGATCCTCAGAATCCTTCATTTAATGATAAATTTTTATTCAATATAATGTATATGGCTCCATCTTTAAATACAAGATTAATAATTAATTGTTCGGATCAGTATGACCTACCAAACATTGATAGATTGTGGATTGAATATGAAACTATTTTGACAGATAGTAATAAAGTTCATGCAAATCATAACATACTGCAGAAATCATCACACAATTATTTAACTATTCATTTTCCATCATCTGGATCTATCGGTTTGGGTAATTTAAATATAAATTCAGTCGAAACTATTTTAAATATTTGTTTTCTTATGTGGCAAGTGTCTAATTTAACACCAGACGAAGTATTGTTATACTGTAATGATGGTTACACGGAAACAACGTTTCTAACAGTAGCATATCTAATATTTTGCTGGGATCTATCTTTGCAAGATGTCATATATAGATTACATTCGATTAAAGATAGACCATTTTTCTTATTTCAAGTAGATATGCAAGTGCTTGGCCATTTGCAGAGTTTACTAAGAAGCTTTAGTCCTCAAAGAACAGCGAATCAAAAATATTTTCACAATGGATTAAGCTTGCCCCTGCCCAAATTAAAAATTGATCCTGAAATGTTTAGTTCAATTTTTCTGGTTAGATTACCAGAATTGAATAAATTTGTTAAATTAAATGGTCCTTTACCATCAAGGATTTTACCACATATGTATCTCGGTTCTTTGGTACATGCCCAGAATCCCGAATTATTGAATAGACTAGGGATTACACATATAGTATCTGTAGGTGAAAATTTATCATGGGTATCTGCTAGTGTACTTAATAGCCCAGATAGCAATATATTAAAAAACGTGTCTTCGTTCTCCACTTTTCCATCCTCCTCATCCTTAACAATACCATCTTTGTCACATACAAGTTCAACGTCACATTCGAAGATATCATATGAGTCTGATAATGTTAATTGTAATGATGACCGAAAAAATTCAAGCAATACTACAAATAATGATTCTGATAATAATAGTAATAAGAAGATTTCATCCAATATGACAGATCCCTTACTATTTCAAATTATTGAACAAGATGGATTTAAAATTTGCAAGATCAATAATCTACAAGATAACGGCAGAGACCCATTAACTGGACGTGGACAATTAAACAAGGTATTGGATTTTATAGATGAGTGTGAACGTTCAGGTGGAAAAGTGCTGGTGCATTGTATGGTTGGTGTGTCAAGATCTGCAACTGTATGTATTGCAGAATGTATGAAACGATTAAAAATAGATTTATTAAGAGCATACTTATACGTTAGAGTCAGAAGACTAAATATTATCATTCAACCAAATTTAATGTTTATGTATGAATTATTAAAGTGGCAAGAGACCTTAATTGGTGTACCTCGTACCATTGATTGGCATATAATATGTAAAGCTATTGCAGAATTAAACAAGAAGTATATGTGAAAACATCGAAAAGAAAAAAGAATGAATGGATTAATATAGGTATTATTGTTTTATACTAAATACGAATACATAAACTAAATATATACATGAATTTGTTGTTTGATAATCAATAATGCTATTACTATTATTCTAAATTAGAACTGTTGTTCTTTTCCTTCTGGTCTCGCACTCATTATTTGATAACCATCCTTACGTTTTCTATTAATATTATTATATTTAGATATCATTTGCACATCAGTAGTACCATTCTTTGGTGAGGAAAGCATATCGGACAACTGAGATAGAATAGAATCTACATGCTTGGAGTCCTTTATTTGGTCTAAGTCAAATGATCTATTTTTAGGATCATTTTTTAAATCAGATCTATTCATTTGCTCCATCAACAATTTTCTAACACAAATCATTTCTTCTTTAAAAAGCTTTAATTTATGTAGATCATCATGTTTACTTTTATATATTTTTAATAGATTTTTCATTGTTAAGGGGGAATAACTTTCATTATTAATTTCATTATAAAGTAATGTTTTCATCAGTAACCAGAATTTTATATTACCTCTTTGCATTGTGATATTTTCGCTATTATTAATAATAATAGGAGTGTCAACAAGCTCAATAGTAGCTTGTTTAGATTTATCGCCGATTCTAGGTTCTAATTTAAGTATTCTTGTAAACCCACCATTTCTATCTTTAAACCTGTCAGCTAATTCATTAACAACTTTAGCTAGGAGATGCTTGTTATCACCAGAAAGAAAGAGGTTAGATTGAATATTTTGAATATAACGATTTGAACCATTACCATGATTATATTTCTTGGCAGCTGTAATTATTCTTTCAGCTAACCTGGAAGTCTCTTTACATTTTTCATAGGTAGTAATAATTGATTCATGTTGAAATAATTGTGAAACTAAATTTCTTAATAATGCATCTCTGTGTGATTTGGTTCTAGATAATTTTCTCGCTAAACCGACAGTCATGATTAGGTTAAAACAGATCTAATCCTTATAGATAAGTGTGTATATGTATACGTTTATTACGTCTACACTATAATAATATGATATTCAAGTTCTACTTCTATTTAACTTATTGCGTACGAATTAATTAACAGTAGTTTAACAAATAGGTGCTATATGTATAGACTGCATACTCAAAAACCAACTAGCATTAGCTCATTTATTCCCTTGAAGAAACATCTAATTTCTTTCTGTTATTTTTTTTTTCTTCTTCGTTTTGTCTTTTTATGTTATTTATTTTTTTGAATGTGCAACACCCATACCTTTTAAAAATTTGAATTTTTTAGTCAGAAATAAAGAAGTCATCTATAAAAAAAATCTGCAAATATGCTACAGAAGATAATGTGTTTCTGCATCATTATTCTCCATAGAGGCAACAATTTAAATGGTTATCCACTGTATTCAAAAGAGCATTAAATTATTGGACATGTTATTGTTGCGTAATTATTCTCTTTTTGTTTTTTTTTTCCCTTCTTTTATTGATAAAGCTAAGTTACGGAATAATACATGATGGTAACTAAATAGAATCATTCATATGGAGTATATAGAATATATTAACATATACGTATGCATGTTCTGTGTGTGCTTACACCTACAAATGCAATTGTAAATAGATATACAGCTTATTAAATCTACAATTCTAGCCTTTTAACTTGATTTCTTGTCAAGGGTCGTCTTTGAATATCAGTATTTTTTTTCTTATGATTACCATCACCAATTCCATAAACTACTTGTGTAGTACCAATTTGACTTTCCTCTTTATCTGAGACAGAAAAAGATGTATCTGAGTTTTCTTCCTTGGATGGATTATGCTGACTACTAGAGAGCATGGCACCCCAACTTGAAGACCTTTCTATTTTGTTAACCACACCGTTATCTATGCGTGATCTTTTTATACTAAAATCAGTGACTTTAGCATTACTATCTAAGTTGGATGATGATCTTGAAAGATCTGGAACATTATCTAATTGTAGTACATGAGATTCATTCGATAATGATGATTTTGAATTACCATACGACAATTTTCTAGGTTCTCTAAACTTAGACATTGCCTCTTTAGTGCTTTCCTTAAAATTGTTTTTAATGGAATTTGATGGTGAGTGCAAATCTGATAACTTACTTGGACTATTCATATCATTGAAGATTGTTTTGCATATCTTATAACTACGAGATTCGGACAAATTAGGCCGTTTCCTCTTTACTTCTCTGATGGGATTAGATATATCCTTTTCTGGTGATGTAATTATGCCTTTTTTGATACTAATCTCATAGCTATTTGAATCATTCTTGGGACAGAAAATACACCAATTGGTATCATTTATTCTAATAAAATTGTTTGAATAATCTGGATTATACATAAAATGACTAGTCTTTCTAAATATTTCCATAATAAACGCTGGAGTTGCTACTGGAATCGTTCCAACATGTTTAACAAATCCAAGTTTACGTTTTAATGAATTTCTAAACACTGCAGCCTGACTATCCGTATCATTCTTAAGATATTTTTTGTTTAATTGAAATAAATCTTTATAATTATTCGTCCATAAGACGTAATCTTCATTTATCGAAGTTAATGCAGAAAGGTTGAGCAATAATAAATCAATATTTTTATTAACATACTCTGTATATTTAACACCTTTATTTTCTAATATTGCTAATATTTTTGTTAAATGTAATAATTCTACCCCTTGAAATCCTGTTATTGCAACTGTCAAAGATAAGTGATCTTCTTCACTTTTATGCAATATTTTAGGGTTAGGAATTAAATGGAAACTATCGGTAAAATAAAATGGTTTGCTCCAAGTGTCTGGTGGATTAATTAATAATTTGTAATGCAGACATCGTTCAATGAAAAATTCAGTGACTATGTATATATTTGACGTTGAATTTTGATGAAGATCTAATGTCTCTAATGGAATGTTACTAGGAACAATTAAGTAATCTGGGTCTGTATGTATGGAAGTAATAATAGTTCCCCCATTTTTTTTAATGACATTAAGCAAAATTCTTTGATGTCTTGAAGGGAAACTATCATGTATAGAAAATGAACAATTATCAAAAAACAAACTAGTGTGTGATTCTTCTTGCATAGCTTTACTTTTATTTTCGCTCTCAAGTTTATTATCATATATGCTCCTACTACTATTAACATTACTATTATTACGTTTTGTAGAAAGATGATGCTCGATATTTTCATTCTTTGCAGAAACTAGTAGTTGTCCTTGTTCTTTGTTCCGATAGTCGTCTGTCACAGAATTAGACATGACTTTATTCCATAATTTACCTCCTCGAGGCTTATATTTACTTAGTAGTAAATCTGTTTGAGTTGATTGAGATTGTATTTCTTTATCAGGAATAGTAATTTGATTAGTTTTCTCTAATGTATCCCAACAATCACAGGAGTCTATCCCAATATCATCATATAATTTATCTTGTACATTTTCTATAAGATAATATGGATCATATTCTAATATTGCATTTCTTTTTTGACAGTCTAACAGCCATTTATAATGTATAATGGGTATATTAAATCGGGTAGCAGCCCTCTGTCTGGTACTGTTCGATTCACCAGAAATAAATATAATATTGTATTGATCTCTTTTTGTTAATATAGTAGTGTCAAGTGTCTTTGAATCTATATGTTTACAACCAAGTTTATTACAAATATTTTCCAAATTTTCAATTGTATGCTTTTTAGACGGTATTCTGCCAATAAAAATATAAAACTTAGAAAAGGGTAAATCAGAGTAATCTTTCTTTAAAAGATACAACATTCGAGATTGAGGATCACTTTCCCTGTTTTTAAAACGGTAATTATGCGTTATATCTTCACCTCTCTTCCACAACTCATACAATTCCAAAATTATTTTCCAGTCAATGAAAATAATGTCTGGTCTATGTCTAACGCAATAACGATACTTATTTGTTCGTATAAGATCATCGCCTATAATCAATACTTGTGTCACTTTCAATAGTTCATCAGTGATGGTACCACCCAATTTTACAACATACTTACAAATATCCTTACGTTTTTGATCATAAATACCAGAAATAGAAAATAATATTCCTTTGAATGGTGCTTTAGATGATGACATCCATACGTTTTACTTCTAAAAATTTATGAATATCTATGTAAAACAATGCGATGTATATAACTAAATAGTTACAGTAGTTAAAATGACTGCAGTATAATAAAAAGTATGTATAATCTTTTTTTTTGTTTTATTTTGTTTTTCCTTCTATATTGCTTTGTTTTTGGATTCCTTTATAGTTCTATATCAAATATCATTATCAGCTTTCTTTTTTGAGAGCATCCATTTAAGCGTATTGGATCTGTTGGAAAGATGAGCTGTTATAAAGTTGAATTTATTTAGTTCTGTTTTTCTTTTTTCTTACATAAGCAAACAATTCGAATTCTCTAGGAAAAAAGAAGAAACCCTAAATAAAATTTAAAAATTAATTAGGTTTGTATAATTAATTTTAGTTATTTGGCACCACATTTTGTATATACAGCATAGGGTTTCAAAAATTTACAGAAAAACTAGTTTTGCTAGTTTTTTATTGTATTTTATTTTTTTTTTTCCTTCTTTAATTGGTAGGAAACAAGGTATTCCATTAGACCGAAAAAATATTACACTATACCCTTTGAGCGGCTAATTTGAACTTTTTATCCCCGGTGATTCGATGCAGACAACTTTTTTGTCATCTTTTCATTTTTCCTTAATGATAAAGACATCTCATAGTAGATTAATCTGATTGACGAGTGATTATGAAAACATTGAAGATATCATGATCAACTTGAAGACAACCCCATGAATGAAAAACATCTACCACAAAACATTTCAATGTTTCCAGCCTTTTTTGTTACCTTCTGCTAGAACGAGTTTATGAGTTACATTAATATTAGAAATGTTACTTTGACTACGTTTGATCCTTGCTGTTCCCTTCAAAAGAAATAAACGTATATATATATAAGGAAGACTTACTATCTAGAATAACTTTCATAGTATAAAACCTATACATTTTATCCTTGTTTTAAGACGTTGTTTAATACTTTGCAAAAAGAAATACTACCAAAATATAATTCCTTTATTTTATCTATCTTAATTACATTTATTTTTCATTTTTTTTCTCCCTTATTGGAATAATAAATCTAAATATATCCATATTTTAACTTGTAATCCACCTAATTCATATGAATACTCAACGGTGCAATATATCAGTGAGTGAGAGCTTTACTAAAAAATCTTCAAAAGGTAGGGAAGATATTAAGTCTAACAAGCAGGCAAATACCAACATGCCTGGGTATCAGAAAAATATCCCAAATATGACAGGTTCTTCACTAGATGATAATTTGATTGAATTGAAGGGGAAACGATTTAGAAAAACGCAGGCATGTGATAGATGTAGATTGAAAAAAATAAAATGTGATGGAGGGAAACCAACATGTGGTAATTGTCTAAAAGCAAAATTTCATTGTGTAACTTCCGATAAATTATCAAGAAGAGGTTTTCCAAAAGGTTATACGGAAGCATTGGAACAAGAATTAATCAAATTGAAGAAAATATTGAAAGATAACAATATTGAAATTACAAAAGAGACAGCTTCTAACGGTATAAATAAAACAAAGCCCAAATCAACGACTGTATTTAATATTTCCACTGAAAACACACAGCCTTTGCAAAGTTCAGTTAATGAAGGATCAGTTAATTTTAACTTTACATCAACATCGTCCATCAAACAATCTAATACTACTCAATCACCAGTAGCTAATCATTTACAAGATCCACAAATCAAAAATATATCACAAGAAGATCCCATTTTAGTTAATGATACTTTTCATAAACAAAAAAATGTTATATATTCTGAGAAGAACTGTATTTATATGGGAAATAATTTTTGGAATAGATTAATGTCATACAATACAAATAGGAATGGTAAGGTTGTAGAAAATAATTTTTATAACATCTTAGAAAAGGAGGAAAAAATTATTCATGAGCAACATATATCTTTAATGGTAAATCTTTTGAATTTAAATCCTAGGTATTATTATCTACCCCAATTTTTAGTCCAAAAATATAAATATGACGAAAACTTATTGAAAAATTTGTTAGCAAATTCAATACAAAAATTTTTTAAAGTTCAGAATTCATTGATACCACTTTTGTATCCAACCAATTACTGGAAAAACTCTTTAATAGATCTTCTTTCTAAGTTTCAATATAAAGTGTATTCAGAAAGAGTAAACCCTGATATCAAACCTCATCTATTATTATGTCTGTTAATTATAATTCAGATTGATTGGTCATGCATGGATAATTTAAGATTGCTACAGGTTATTAGATTGATAAGCGTAAACTCTTTTTTTAGAAATGTTAAACAAGTTCAGGTTTTGAATTTATCTACATTTCTGTTTATGGGGCATGGTCAAAAGTCTACAAATGAAAATTTATGGACATCAGCAGTAGTAGTTGAAATCCTAAATTTAAATCTATCATTAATAAAAGATATAGGTCTTTACATAAATCCAAAAAACTTGAAACCATTGATTTTTTTTGAATGCAAAAATACAGAATCCGCTCAGAATAATGAAGTTGAGGATAGAAGTATTCCAGTCGTAACTTACTGGTGTTTTGAATTTTTAAATTCTTGGTGGTGTCTATTACAAGGTCTTCCAAGAATAAATTTTATTACATCAGAATTTCAACCTAAAATATTAGCAATTTCTAAGAAAAATGGATTAATTCCATTTTCTATTTTAATAAATTATATTACTGAGAAGATAGATGGATACAATCTATTTCATTGTTTAAAAAATGGATTGAGTTCTAAAGTTATAGTAGCAAATGAATTCTATAGGGATATTTTAAAATCAAAAAATCTTTATTTTTACTCAATTGAAAAAGATATCTCGTTTGAAAAAATATCAGAAGCAGTGAAAAATAAGGGTTCTGCAGGAGTTTTAAAAAAGAATGCCTCAAATGATAAGGAATCAATTATTTTAGAAAAGTCAGAGATCATTGAGATTCAGTTAACTTTATATTATTTATTAATGACATTAATTCTTCATCAAAAGTATCAGTTCTCTAGAGATAACCTAAAAAGAATAGGATACAACACTGACTCTGATAGCGTTGCATATGAAATTCTTTGTTTGTATTATTTGTTGATGAAGAGTGAGGCGAATGATAATGGTAAATTGAATCAGGAACAGGTATCTCCTCCATTGCAATTTACTGTAACACATATTTTGCCATGTTCAAACGAGGATATTATAAAATTAACTCTGGATATCCTTATTGAATGGGGTTCAAATCAGAAGAAGAAACTAAATTCTAGGACATCTATGAAACATGTTAAAAATGAAGAAGTCTGGAGATTTAAGAAATATAAGAATTTTTTATATGAGTGGTGCCAATTATGGTTTGAGTCTACTGATCAAGAAGATCTACAATATTTAAAGATCAAATCTACATTTGATATTAATTTAGAGGTTGATAGAATGAGAGTGATGAAATACAATTATTTTAGATCTTTAGAAGAATTTAATAATTTAGGATATTCAAATAATATTTTATTAAAGACAGATTCAAAAGCAATTATGGATCAATTCAATATATTTGGATCGAGCATTAATAATATATCTTCTTTACTTCAACCTTCCTTAAATTCTTTAGGTATGAATGCGTCTAAAAATGGTTTGAATATATTGTCACAAAATGTTGACGTTAAATTAAGTGATAATAGTAATACTGATAATAATATCTTGCAAGATGATAAATCCAAGGATGCTCCAAGTAATATATTTCCATTTACTAATTCGGTACACCTTGTTTCTTCCGTTTTGGGAAAACAAGAAGAAACGGATGATGGGTATGCAGAAGATGATGATGAGGATGAGGATGATAGCAAGCCATTAGAAATTCCATTTATTCATAAAAGGAGGGGTTCACTATTTCATCAAAAACGTATCCAACCACCTCAGAGACACACAAATGCATTTTTAGACCATAGCAATCAAGCAAGAATGCCGCAGAATAGAATAAAACGTTCTTTCAAAGAAATGATTTCTTCAAGTACTTCTACTATTAAGGCTGCAGAGTTAGCAAAGAAACCTAATGTTTTAGAAAATAATCAATCATCTGCTAACATTGTGACAAATATGGAAAATTTAAAAGGTGATATGGTTGTACTTACAGCAAATTTACCAAAGCAAAAACAGAGCTCCGATTCTATATCATCTAGACAACATTTACTAATACCAAATATGCCAATGGAGACAGATATATTAAGCAAGACTTTAATTAAGTCACCTTTCGCTTCGACGTTATTCTTTCAAGAGGATAAGTCGAATACATTGTTAGGAAATTTTAAGTCAAATGATTCACTGTTAAATTCTTTTCAACAACAACAATTTAAAATTCAATCAGGTTTGTTCCAAAAAGAAGTTACACCCCGATCTCTTATTGATATTATGTTGACAAGTGGGAATAAGGGACAAAGTGGAGAATCAAATAATACTGCTACTACAATTGTCAACGAACAAAATGCAGGTAACAAAGAAAATGAATCTAGCGAACACACTATAATTTAAAGTTGAGAAGTAAGCGATTTAGGGCTTGAAAAAAGATTCATGGATAATCTTATAATAATTGAGCAAGAGAGAATTTTTCTGGGTATTTCCAATGAGTTATAATATCTATTAATTGGGATAAGAAATGTATTTCATATGTTGTAATAATATTCAAACTAAATAAAATATAGTAAGACAATTCGATAACATAATCCGTTTTCTTTTATTTATGTACTTATTTTTTCTGTAAATTTATAGTTCCATTAGAACATTTTATTTTTTAGAATACCAGCTTATACAACTAGTGGTAATTTTATCATTGTCAAGCTTTGTATATTCAATAGTGTCTATGTGATGCACATTTACAAAGTACAAAGTGTAAACTAATATAATCCAGCAAGATATTGCTATCGTGATGGTCAACATTTTTAACGAATTTGAAAATGAGGTGTTTACTCTATGCTCTGTTTTAAGCTCAAAAGGGTTCGATTTATAATCATCAGAACCAAAAAAAAAAAAAAAAAAAAAAGAAACGGAGCAGATTGAAAGAAAATATGATACCAAAGAAATATATTATGAATTTATGTATCACATTAATACACACGTTTGCTTTTCTTAAGCATCATCAATATTTTCTTATTATTGCTTCCAGTTAATGTTAATCCTGATGTTATTTTAGTTTGTTATTTTACCATATGTATTATTTATCCAATCGTCATCCTCTTCCTCTTGTTTGCTTTCTCATTTGCTTTTTACGTCTTCTTCTCTTTGTCATATGCATTCATCATCAGTAATAGAAACAAAACTGTATAGTATCCGTTTGAGGCAATAAAAAACGAGAACAGAAACTAACAATAGCCGTTTTAATTTCCCGCTTTTATCTCAACATTTATGACTCATTTTGGGGAAAAAAAAACAAAAAAAGAAAGACAGATATATAAATCTACGATTTGTTTTTTTTTTTTTTTTTTTTCTTATTGTTGGTGCACTTCTATTGTTCGTCCTTTTCTTTTTCCTCCCAATTTGACCAAGTATTGCAAAAAACATTTTCTTTTTACTGGGCGGTGGCCACTCGCTTGTTTTATCACTTAACGATCACATATAAAAAGGAGAGAGTTTCCGTTAATTGCCACTTTTGCAAATATGTCCTTTAAGTACAGTTAACAACGACTTGCTTGGAAAGGAGGTTCTTAATATCAGTACCCACTAAATAATAAAGTAAATAGCCTTTACTGCTTTGTGCCTGTGATCAGATAAGAAAGAAGATAATAAGAAGTATACAATATTTTCAATTATGTCCATGCGCCATCTGATCTCTATTGAAGACTTGACTGATGAAGAGTTTGTTGCTTTGGTCGAAAGAGCAGAGTATTACAAAAAAGTATTCAAAAACAATGATTCTGCAGAATTTCAAAAGCATCATTTGAAGCTATTAGGTAAAACTATCGCTTTAATCTTTACTAAAAGATCCACAAGAACTAGAATCTCTACTGAAGGTGCTGCCACTTTTTTCGGTGCTCAACCTATGTTTTTAGGTAAAGATGATATTCAACTAGGTGTTAATGAATCCTTCTATGATACCACAAAAGTAGTGTCTTCAATGGTTTCATGCATATTTGCACGTGTTAACAAACATGAAGATATCCAAAACCTATGTAAACATTCTTCTGTGCCAATTATCAATTCTCTTTGTGACACATACCATCCTTTACAAGCCATCTGTGATATGTTGACAATCAAGGAAAAACTAGACTATGTAAATAATAAACTAAAGATTGCTTGGGTTGGTGATGCTAATAACGTTATTAATGATATGGCCATTGCTGCTTTGAAATTGGGTATAGACGTCTCCATTGCCACTCCAGAAGGCATCGAAATGGACAAAAACATTGTGGATGCCGCCTCTAAGATTACTCAAAGAAACGGTTCTACTATTGAGTACACTCACGATCCAAAGCATGCAGCTAAAGGTGCCCATGTCCTTGTCACTGATACCTTTGTCTCTATGGGTGAGGAATACGCTAAAGAAGCTAAATTAAAACAATTTGCAGGATTCCAGATTGATAGTGAATTAGCTAAATTGGCTGATCCAAACTTTAAATTCATGCATTGTTTGCCCAGACATCATGAGGAAGTCACTGATGATGTCTTTTACGGCAATCATTCTATTGTGTTTGATGAAGCTGAAAATAGATTATATGCTGCTATGGCCGCTATCGACATATTTGTTATTAACAAGGGTAATTTCAATTTACCACCTAACTAGATAAATAATCTCTAAGCTCCAAAAAAAAATAAAAAATAAAAAAATAGTACATTTGTTTTTTTTTTTTGCCTTTTTGGAGTTTCTCTTTCTTGCTCATCTGAACTATTTAATGCATTTGTAACGTTATCATCATAATTAATACATATTTATTTTTACTATGTTCATTGTTTCTATCTAGTCTTAGATTATTAAACTTTTACGTTCATTCAACAAAAAACAGCTAGATAATGTGCACTTATATACAGATATAGATACAGATACAAGTATAGATATTATCATTTGCCAAAGTTGTCTGGATTGTGTAACATACACTCTATAAATTTATATATACTTCACCAGAATATTCTTTACTGTCCTGGAATTCTAACTCATAGAAATCGGTACCCAACACACCATTTGTAGATGCAAGTTCACATAAAGTGTTAGAGTATACTGGTTTTGTGTCCTCGGTCAATATACCTACTGTTATGTGTGGTATTGAATTAGCACATTTGAAACCTTCTATAATTCCATTTGGAGTTTCAATGAAGAAACATTTATTTTTATCTAATAAAAATTCAGCAACTACTGTCACAATGTTATTATCCCACAGCAATTTCACTAACTTAATCTTGATATTATCACCTGTCTTTAAGACCTTCCCAATATCCTTCTCCTTATCATTCTCGAAAAGTTTTAAAGTGGGATCATAATGTGTCATATATTTTCCCCAGATTTCTTCTTGACTTTTATCCCCATATTTTTTTTGACTAATATGGCATAATGTCACGTGAAACTCTTTTTGAAACTTGTTTTGAAAAAAAAGTTTGTTTAAACTTACCATTGGTTCATTTGGAATTTTACCCAGGTTTTGCATCACTAACTTATCAATTGCAGCTCTAATAGGACCAAGTTCAACATTTAATGAAAAATATACAGGTCTAAGGTTTCTAGCTTTCTTAGCAGGTTTTTTATTATTGTTATTACTTTTGTTTTTCATTTTTTTATCCTTTTGTTTATTTGAAGTATCATTAAATGTAACTGTTTTTGAAGGCTTATATTCTAAACTCTTCTCAAAAGCTTTTGATATACTAGTCTCATTTGGGATCTCTGGTATTAATACTGGATATTTATTATGGATCTCGGCCAAGATAACCTTCACATTTGTTAGTGTTGATTTATCATTATTACTTTCGAAATCAAGGTTGATGACTAAATCGAATTTATCATCGGGAGATCTATCTGGGTTAACAGGTTGATATCTCTTCCAAAATCCGCTCATAATTCCAAGAACTTTTTTTTCTCCATACTTTTCTAACTTAATTGTTTGATGGTTATCACCTCTCGCAAGAACTCTTTTTGTAGTGACATCTTTAATGATATCCATTTTATCATATGGAGCAAATGATATACCAATGATTTTAATATTTTGATCGTATGGAAGGTAGGATTCCTTTAATTCATCAACCCATTCAAATAATTGTTGTCTTTCCCTAAATTGATGATTATTTCTATCAACAAAAACACATTTTATATTTTCATTGGCTAACAATTCAAGAGATTTCTTCATTAACATCGATTTATCCTTCCCATGGATATCATCGTTTTGAATATGCCCCCAAGCGTTTGGAAACAAATTTGTCAGGGTTACTGCAGTGGTGGTTTTACCACAGCCTATAACAGAAATTGGGAATATTAAAAATTTCGTCCTTTCATCTACTTTATTATAATCAATAGCATTTTGTGTTTCCCAACCTTCGACCAATTCACGATTCAATATTTCAAGACCAGTGAGTCCTAAATTTTCCAAAAACATATTTCTTAATTTAATGACACCGAATCCAAGCAAGTAATCCTCATATAATTTATTATCACTTTCTAAAATAGGGATAACAAAATCTAAATATTTATTTGTAATGAAACCATGTTTCTTGAATTTAAAAACACGACGTCTCTTAGTAAGATAATCTTTAGTAACTTCCCTCCATTGTCTATACATTAAATATGGTTCCTCAAATTTATATTTAAAGAAAAATGGCTTGGACGGATTATTTGCCATTTTGCCACGAATCACAAATCCTTCAATTTCCTGTCCTTCAAAAGACCCTTTTTCAGAACAATCATTCAAAAATACTTTTAAATCATCAACGGTCTCTTTAATCATATAATTGATCTTTTTAAATCCATATTTTTCAGCAAAAGTAGCCACTTTATCGAATGGCCAAGTATGAAAATCTGGTGTATTTTGATTGATACCGTGCAAATATAAACCTCTCTTATTTCCTGTGTATTCTAAAATATGCTCCTCAAATGTGTCATCACAGTATTCTGCCACCGCAGTTACATTATTTTCATAAAGTTCTTTCCCTAATTGTTTAGAATCTATGCCTAAGTTTTGTAATTGATCCATTAGAAATCGTTCACCTGCTTCGGCATGGTTTCTATTGACATCTTCTCTTGGACCAGTAGAATGTTTGGAACAAACAACTAAAGATCCATCATCCAACCCAGATATAAAAATAATACACCCGTTGGCTTTAATAGACACTTCATAAGGGCCCATTGTGTTCTTTTTGATAAAGTCCCATTTTGTAGTAGGAACTTCATTAATATTGAAAAATTTATCATAACCTCTAGTAATGATCTTTGGATCATCTTTATCTTGTGAAATGAATAAACCTCTAGCATTGCAGGGTAATGTGATATTATTCTTGCCATAATCCCATTCATTGAATTTCCAACTGTTTATCTTCATATCACTATGAGCCAATTGGCATTCAATTTTTTGAGCTCTACCTCTAGAAGGCAAAAGGGAAGCTTCTTCTAATTGTGCACATAATTCTTTTACTGATAATGATGAAGACATCTCAGATAGTAAGTAGGATTCAAACAAAGACAAAAGTAAATGAATGTATTTTCTTTATTTTTTTTCCTGTCAAGATTTATTTATATATTCAAATAAATAAATAAATATGGGAACTTCTACAATCACCTTGTTCGACCAATTTATTAATGTTAGTTCGTCTCTATAATAGTAGTAATTTCCTTTTTATTTCTCATCCCTTTACTATGTATCTCTCTTTTCTTTATGTTAAGTATTTCATGATATTTTTTTCTAGAATTTTGTTTGTTAACAATTTGTTTCAATCGGCTTTTTTGATCATGGGAGACAAATAAAAGTAATGAATTGAAATATAATTAAGTATAAGTAATAAGTAATAAATAAAGCTAGAGAAAGTTCTTGATTAACTTGTCATAATTGTTTAATATAGTGTTAACATTGACGTTTGCTATATCTTCATAGATTATAATATTTTTTTCAGACACAGGTTATGTAAAAGTTATTACAGTCTATTTTGTAGAACGTCGTTATTTTGATTGTGATATATACGAGGGTCAAACTATTTCTCTCCTATTTTCTCTGAACTTTAAGAAATAGTGATATAAATGATGATTGTCGACATTGATGAGGCAGATATTGTGGTTTTATCACAGAATTTAGAAAAATGTAATCGGTTGGCATCCAGTATTGACCAATCTTTGAGGAATATATCTCAAACTTCTGGCCAATCAAGCAAACTGTTTGCACCAATTCTTTCTAGAAATAGTATGTTAATCACTTTACAAAGAAATATTGAAAGTACATTAAATACGGTAGCATCAGTCAAAGACTTAGCCAATGAGGCTTCAAAATATGAAATAATTCTAAAAAAGGTATTAAAGAAATTGGTTTGAAACAATATACACAAATGATCCATAGGGTGGATGATATGTTAGAAGATATATCGACAAATAATGAACAAAATGCAGAATTCCGTGGTATATTGACTCACTTAAAGTCGTTAATAGTGCAAAGTGAAAATGAACTTAGATCGTATTTTATTTTGATATTAAATAGCATCCCTGATTTTGATCCACAAATTAATATTGAAAAAAAGATCCCATTTCCATATTATGAGGATGAACAATTAACAGAAATGTCTTGGATCTTAGATTATTTTTATAATAATAATAATGAAGGAAAAGAACCCTTAATTGAAAATACATTGATTAAGCATAGAAGTGCAAAGATAATCAAATCAATGGCTTTCTTGGAACCATTTGTTAAGAAAATTACTGATAATAAAAATGCACCATACGAACAAGGAAGTAATGGCATTTTAAACTACACAGAAGCGCTAGTGGGATTTATTGTAAGTGAACAAGGCTTGATAGATGATTTGTATTCTCAATCTATAGATTTGAAACAAAGCATCTTAAGTAGAATTTTAACCCCTGTTATAAATTCATATTCCAAGTTGGTCCTAGCCAATATAGATGCTGTAGAGTCAAATAAAGAAAATATTGGTTTGTATAGCTTTGAATTAGTGGAATCTGTACAGAGAATTATAAGGACACTTCGTTTTGATCAAAAACTACAAAGAAATGATAATCTTTCAGTTTGTTTGAAACAAATACATCAGTTGGCAAAGTCTTTATTTAAAGACACGATTCAACAAATCCAGAATAAAGTCAATAGTCTTAATAAGATACCCAATGACAATGGTGTTGCAGATTCTACGGTGGCTGCAGTGTCTGTTTTAAGGAGATTCGGTAAATATAAACAAGGTTGTTTAAAAGCAGTGGCAGGTATGACCAGAGATGAATGGTTAGTTGTTCATTTACAAGACAAAGAGGCTACATATGTTAAAGGATCGCTAGATATCAATTTCAGTAATGTGGCATTACTCTCTTGTTTCTTTAGTGACTGTATTGATATTTTAGTAGTTTTGTTAGAGAAAAGGGCTCAACACATTTTAGTTGATACAGAAGGAGGTTCTTCTAATAAGTATAAACAGCGTATAGGTTTTTTCATTCTTAGTAACATGACTATGATTGAGGAGATTTTGGAGAGATCTGAGTTGCAATCTATTCTAGGAGCCGAAGGTAAAATTAGACTAGATAAATTGAAAAAGAGATATATTGGTTATATGATTGAAGATTGGAGAAGTTTAACCATTAATTTAATGGATTCTATTCATATTGATAGCACTGGTAAAAAGTTAAAAGATAAGGAACAAATTAAAGAGAAGTTCAGAAAGTTCAATGAAGGTTTTGAAACTTTAGTGTCTACGACTTCGCAATTTAGACTGAATAGTCAGGATCTTAAACGTACACTGCAGAATGAGATATTGTCACTTATTTTACCAATGTACCAGAGATTTTACGGGAGGTATAAAGACAGTTTCAAGAATCCTAGAAAGCATATTAAATATACTCCTGATGAATTGGCAGATGCTATTAATCACATGATTAAATAATTTTTGTTTTCTTTTCTTAATTGTTCCATTTCTTGGATTTTTTACATGATTTATTTATTACTTCTTTTTGTACTTTGTTATCTATACTATAATAACATTTGATTTAAAATTATTCTTGGTAGTATTGATGTATACTCATATTATTCGTACAAAATATATGTAAGATAATACTGAATGATATTTACTACTAAATACTTAACTTGAACAAATTAAAATAATAATACAAAGGATTAAAAAAAGACATAGTTATTGATTTTATGATATTAATCTAATGTTTCGTCAATTGTCTTTGGGAAGTTTTCTTTATCATTATTAAATTCCATGATATGTTTAGGTTCATTATTTTCATTTGTCCGATTGACACAATTGGAAGAAGTTTCATTACTTGTTACAGGAGTTTGTGTCAAGTATAATGAATCTCTAGTTTCAATTCCTTTTGCCAATTTTAAATGATAATTTGAAATTTCTGGATGATTATTATTTGCTATTTGTAACGGTAACCACCCTATAGAGTTTCTATCAAACAATGTGGTTAGATCTACAGACGAATCTATAATAGGCTCTTCAATATAATCGCTTACTGAATCAAAAGATTGTCGAAAAGAATCATCAATACTCTTATTAGTTGTATGATTAGATTTTAATGGTTGCAATAATGGTTCCATAGTGGATGCGTTGGCGCGTAGAGAAAACCCTGAAGTCTCAAACGATGACCTTGCAGATATATTACCTTGAGAAGAATCTGCAGAAACTGAAGGTTTCAATGTATTGTTTGGATCCACTTCCAATGCAGTGGAAATATCTTGTACATTGTTTATAATTGAATGAGGTGGTTGAATATCTGTGTTCATTATCTGAGGAGTTGTTGAAGATTTAGGGGATTGAGCCTGTCCTTCCTCCTCTGACATGTTTCCTAATACTTCATTTAAGTCTGTAAATAATGTATTATCAGTTCTTATAGTAGATGGAAGATTATCTTTAATACTACTTCGTCTATGAAATCTTGATGTGTCTAAATTCTTAGTTTTTGGGGATATTGAGGGAAATTTATAGTGTAATGATCCTTGGAAACTAAACCCAGATGCAATATCGCTGATATCTGTATCATCATTATGGATGGAACAACTGTCTAATTCATTATCAATATTTGTTTCTATTTCGGACTTATCTAGTAAGGATTCCTGAGATCTGTTTAAAACTATTTTAGGAATTCTCTGAATGTTTCTAACATTGTTTTGTTTTTTTATACTTACTATAGTGTGATAATCAGTGATACTATTTGTTTTCAACTTTAGCGCTTCTTCATAACTTGGAGGGTTAGATGGCATTTTATCTACCTCCTTTCCTGAATTTTTGCAAATAGAATCAAAAGATGGAGGTGGTGTTTCATTACTGGCATTATGCAAACTTATTAAGTCATCAACAATTGACGCTTTAGATAGTCGTCTTGATGATGTAATAGGTGATAATGGAATAGCTTGAGGAGATGCTAACTCTCTTTGTAAGCTTTTTGGTTGGTAAATATTAGATCTTAATTTTGGAGATTTGAAAACTTCAGCATCCGTAGAGATTATATCTTTATCATCTTGATAGTGTTTGAATTTTGATTTACTATTTGATATAACAATTCCATTATTATTGACAGTTATTGTCTTGGTAGATCTAGGTATAGGAGAAATAGGTGGACAATTTAAATTAATATCCAACGGTTTCACATCTGGTGATACAAGAGGTGATATTACAATTTCTTTAGGAAAGAATATATTGGAGTTGTGGTAAGAAATTTCAGTAAAATTGGATTCATCCTTAGTTGTATTAGTAACATTAACAGTATTGGCCAATAAATGGGAATCGTAACTTGGTAATAAAATATTAGCATGTGAACATAATCTATTTAGTACATGAATTGGAGAGTCAATAGAAATCTCATAATGTTTCCTTTTATTATCGATAACCTGTGATAAACGTAAGCAAATTTTGATCCAATGATTTGATTTGATGTATTCAAATCCGGTATCTGGATGTAAATATTGGTTATTACCAAATCTACTTGGAATAAAGACTTGTAATTCAAAATCTTTGTTAACCAAATACCCATCTTCTTCCAAAAGGTTTCCCATGTATTTAGCTTTTAAAGGTTTACTATCATCAGGTGCATTTGACAATTTAGGACCATTTAATTCGGCTAACAAGAATTTTTTTGTAGGTTCCATTCTATGTACTTTTTTATTCTTACAATAATATTCCATAGTTTCCGTTACATAAACACGGATTCTATGTAAAGTGACTTTATCAGATGGTAAAAATGAGAAATGTATAGGTAAAAATGCATCAAGAATAATATCTTTTGAAGCAATTAATATATCATAAAATAAACGGCCTTCCCAGTCTTTAGATATCACAATTGGTTCGCTTTCTTCAACTGAATTATCTGATGGAGTTCTAACAATAGTCACCGGTAATCTTGCATGTAAATCTGTTTTAAATGCACCACATCTCTCGACAGTCGCTAGCAGGAAATACTCAACAAAACCATAATCGGCCCTTATCGATTCAGGATAAGTTGGAGATATTACTTGTTCAAAAGTGTATATATAATCACCCGGTTCAAATGTAAAAGAGTCGTGGGGCTCTGTACTTTTAGTAAATTGAATTTCTTTTACAGTAGCACTTTGTGATGCATTTCCTAAACTTATAATATCAGAAGTTTGCTCAGTATTAGTATTATTGTTATTACTTGAAAGTGTTAATGTATCTATGCTATGCTTTGAAGAACTATTAGGACACAACTGATTGGTAGTGTTTGATGTAGATGCGTTGCTTATTCTACGATTATTAGTATGGGTAGATATATTGACATTGTTAATTTGAGATGTTGAATTGCCTGGAGTAGAGATTCCAAACAGATCGGTGAATATTGAGTTTATTTGTGTGGGAGGAATTAGTTTATTATCACTATGTGATGTTTTTATTCCAGCTGAATTATTAGAGTTTTGTGACATATAAGGATTCAATTTATTTGTCATTTGTTTATTAGAGGCATCTATATGGGTTGATGCTCTTCTGAATAAACTTAACGGTGATAATGATCTAATGGATCCATTTTTTGGAGACGAATCTATTTTTCTTGAGTGTCGTACATCTTTCTTAGTATTAGCAGTATTAGAATTAGTAGTGGAGTTACTTGTTGAAGTTAATGAACTTCCATGTGAAGATGATGGGACATTAATAATGGAGGACACAGGGGATAAAGTAAACTCATGTAATGCGTTTATTGTAGCCAATGTGCCATCTGTTGTACTATTAGAATGTGACTGTAAAACATTTTTAGGCAAAGGCTGATACATTGCAGCACTACTGTTTTTCAAAAGATACTCAACATGAATATTACTATTATTATCGATATTATTATTTGTATTTGTTGATATTGGAATATATTTAAAATGATCGTGCTGATAAAATGGCCATGTATGATTGATAACATCATTTATTTCAACGAATTCATGCTTTTTGGGTGGGATTCCCTCTGGCCATTCAGTTCTACAGTAACCTTTTAAATTTAATTTAATAGATTTCAACTTAGTTGGTTTTAACACTCGTATAATCAAAGAACCTCTTAAAATAGATGAAGATGAGTTGGTTTGAGATGATAATGACGACTGTTTTGTGCCAGAAGATTCAAATCCCTGCAAAAAAATAGCTGGTTCTACTAATTTAATAAAAACTTGTAAGGATCCACTATGTGTCAGTGGTGTATAATCCATGGGAACATCATAATCCTTTTCTGGTGGGAAAATAGGAGATGTTGGAACGTATAAAGGGTGTGTACCTGTCATCTTGTCATGTGAAGGTTGATACAGATTTTCTTACGGATGAAATGTTCTTCAAAACTACATTCACTTTATAACTATCAATTTATGCTTAAAAAAAGAAGTAGGTTAGTAATAGGTATATCAAAAGTGATGGATATATGTATGTATGCCTGTGTGTGTATAAAGTTATTACTCGAATCAAAAGCTCTGTTTCTTTTCTTTTTTCTTTGTCTTTTTTATCTTTCTTCAATATCTTCATTCCTGATCATTATTCTTTATATAAAAGAAAATAATTTTTTAGAAAATGAATAACAGAACAAACAGGGAGGGGAAAAAAAGTGGAGCAAAAAAAAACAGAAAAAAGAAAATAAAGTTCGGAATAGTAATGAATAATGTTAAAATAGTTAATACAGTCATTAACATAAGGGAAAGAAAATGAAATGTTCATAGCAGCATAAATACTCTTAGAAATGCTTGTAAAGTAATACTATACGTTTGTGTTTGTGTGTAGTAGATATATGAATATAGTTGGATAGGGAATTCTTTTTTGTTATAAAGTTTTGTTTGATATCATACCCCCCATATTATTAAAATTACCTACAGTACAGTTTATAATAAATACATATCCGCAAAAATTGTGTTATTACATACGTGTTTTTTTTTGTATATCAGTTTAAGGTATTTGTAAAAAAAATGGGGCACTTTGTCTAAAAAGAAAAGATTTATTTCTATTTTCTTTCTTTGCATTTCTTCCTTTCCTCTCTTTACTCTCTTTATATATAAATTATATACGTATACTTATTATTTTACCTTAATATTAGCCGCCAACTGAAATAAGGAACATTTTTTTTTCGTTTTTCTTTTTTCTCTTTATTATTTTTCTTTTTATACCGTACTTTCTTAAAATGCTTTTTTTAAAGCACAATTTTTCTTAGACTCTTCGAAGTTGGATCAGTTTTTAAAGTATAGTAATAAAAAGTCTGTTTGTGTGAGTACATTAAATAAACCAGGACCAAACAAGAAAGGTATAGATGGACATATTATAGTTATTAACTTTTTTTCTCGGTTTTGTTTTGTTGAGAGTGTGTTCGTCTGGCTTTATGTGATGTCAGATTTATTACTTAAAGAAATAATTAGACAGAATGAGGATTTATATTCTGTACTAGGGTTAAATGTTAATCGAAATGCTAATATTAACATAAATGACATTAGAAAACAGTATAAAATTCTAGCTTTGAAATATCATCCTGATAAGAATATCATTAATAAAGAGAATAAAGAGGTGGTTGATAATAAGAATAATGATTTGTTTCATAAAATATCAATTGCTTATGAGATCTTGTCTAATGAACAGTTAAAAGTTAAATATGATCAATGGTATCAAAATATTCGAACGAGCAGATTAAATATGAGTAGTACAAGAACTAAAATGATTCATAAATTAAATGAAAACGAAAAAAATGATAGTTTAAAGGTTCATAAAAAAGACTATGATCTTCATGATTTACAAAAAGTTGGACAGAGGCTACGCAAATTGAAACAACTGAAACTACCATATTATAATTGGGATGGTAGAATTATTTCATCAAACATTAATAATAGTAAAAATAATAAAAGTGATGATTATAATATAGATAAATGGTCTGATTCATCAACAATTAAGTTTGAATTAAAAAATTTACATTATAATAATAATAATAATAATAATAATAAATCTAATTTTTTTCTACAATTAATGAAAAAGATTTATTATCGGATCTATATTCTTTATTAAACCTAAATGAAAATGATATTATTGACTATTATTTTTACAGTAATGATGATGGTAGTAGAGACAAATATGATAATATGACATGTCTATATTTAGTTTTATCTTCACCCAAAACTAGTTCACAGATCTGGAATAAATGGAGAAATGAACAAATACCTAATAGAGTTAATGCACAGATTTTTATTAATGGTATATCGCCAAGATTGAATGAGGATTTTTATAAGAAAAATTCTAAATTTTTAGATAATAATATTGAATTAAATTCGGATATTGAGAATCTACTATGTGAACCAGAGATTTTGACTGAAACTATAATAATTAATTGATTAAATTGGTTGAGACTTCATAAGCATGTATTTGTATTTTTTTTACCTTTTTTCTTGTCTTTTTCTTTTCTTTTCTTTACATTCAACTTCATTTTAATTATGTTTTAATAGGGTTTGATTGTTAGGGTTTGGTTGGAGTTGTTTTTAGCTGTTTTTCTTCCTTTTGGTTTTAATTTTTTTTTCTATTTTTTACTTTTTTTTGAAGATAACTATACGATCACAATTCCTATGTTACAATTTTCATCAAATCGAAACAAGAAAAAAACAAATATTGAAATTAAAAGTCAAAAGTAAAAAAAAACTGAAAATAGAAGGGCCTTATAATAAATGAAATGTTGATTCGGATAGACACATCTAATAGTTGATATATTGCATCTTATCAAATCAAAGACTATTTTCTGTTGTTTTTCTTTAACCTATCAATTTAAAGATATATGGAATTTGATTTGTTTATACTACCATTCCAAAACTTAGCACAGAAATAATAATAATAATAATAATAATAATAATAATAATAGAATAAGTAGAATAGCATTAATGTATAGGTAAATTGTGATAGATAGATATAAACGTATAGATAAGGGGAAAAGAACCAAAATAATAGACTATGTTTTCAAAACATAAAAGGAGAAATAATATCTCTTCTATAAACAATTATAATAAATATAATAATACAGTTAAGTTGGATGAAAGAGGCCTTCAAGATTCGTTAAAGGCAGCACAGATAATCTTTCAAAGACATACTACTAATACTAACAACAAAGGCAGTAGTAGTAAAGATAATAATAATGTATATGGTAATAACGTCTCTTCGGCTTCCACACCATGTACTATTTCTCAAAGCAAAGAAAGCAATAAGAATAATAATAATATAAAGAGGCTTCCGAGAAATCAAACAAATACCAAATCCATACCTATAATAAAACATAACGATACCTCTTTAAATAACACTAATAATCAAATTAAAAGAAGACAACAAAATAGCACTCAAGAAGATATGGTTAATCCGCCATCTAGAAGAAAGAATGAACATCATTCAAATCATCATGATGATATAGTAAAACTCCGTCCGCCTAATCAATTGCCTATCTCGTTACAATCTAGCCGTTCTCCCTCGCCAAGTAATGACAGTGTTAATAGTAGTAGTGGTAACACATCTGTATGTGAATCCTTAGTTGATAATGCAGATTATGATGATCTTTCAGCTCAATCCCCAGTTGACCGTTACATTGATACGCCAAAACAATATTTAAATCCTTCTTCTGATTTTACAAAATCTATATGTTTAGGAAATAATAATTTAAAGGGGAATAATATACAAGTCTCTAAAAATAATAACTTAAACAACATATATGGATGTGATGCTAGTCTGTTACAAAAAGATATACAGTCTAAAGGGAAATTATTAAAAGATAAGCAAACTGAATTAAATATACCAAGGCAACAGATTTTGGGAACTAAGATAAATGAAAATAATGCTTCACAGTTAGGCAATCCAAATAACCAAGAGCTCAGCAATTCCCATTATTTCCCATCTGCTAGTAAACATTATCGTATACCTCCACCAATATTGGTTAATTCTAAGGCGGTCGATTCGATGAACTCTCTTAATCTAGTCTCTTCACTTACAAACAATGAAAGCAACGCAAGTACTATAAATGATTTGTTTATGTCTTCATTAGAATCTATATCTGCAAATAATAGTTATAGATCCTTTCAAGAGGAAGATTATACTAACTATAAAAATGAACAAAATGAATGGATTAATAAAAATATGAGAAAAAATGGGTCTCAAGAGTTATTCTTACAAAAATCTTTCAATAGTGATAGTGATTTCAACAACGCCACTAGTGATCATATTAAAAACTATAATAGTTCAGAAGATGAAGCTAGCTCTGAAAGTGAGATTGATGAAAGAGATTATGATGATGTTGATATTTTTACATTGGGGTCGGTAGATCCAGACAACATATCAGCAGGTTCTTTTTCGGATGATGATATCTTAATTAATAATGGTGTTAGAAGTCCTCAAAAATCTAAAAAGAGTAAAGGGGAAAAGGTTAAGAAGATTGGTAAAATTTTGAAAGTTACTGGTAAAAAAGTGCATGTACCAGATTTGAAGACAAAGGAGGATAAATCTCCAACTAATTTTCCGATTCGTTTAAAAGAAACAATGAGACAGGACACCAGTAAATCTTTCAACGAGGATAAGCCATGGAAAAAGCACAAAGATGCGAAATATATTGAGGAAAATGATAGGAAAAGATACGAAGGTGTATGGGTTCGTAATAGGTTTGCTTATTTGAACCTATTGCCATGGTGGCCACAAGATACCTCTGATAGAAATGACAGTAATTTGAATGATAGTAACAAGATAGTTGGTGATGATAAAGAGGCTAGTGAAGACTCTACTCTTCATAAATCCACTTCAAGTGATTCTGAAGATATTGAACCCTTTGTGGATTTGCCAGAAGATGGGTTAATATTGAATCTTGTTGTGAAAGCTATTTGGCAAAGATCTAACTTACCTAATGAGACATTATTTCAAATATATAATTTAGTAGATACTAGACAAGATGGAACTTTGGATCGTAGGTCATTCATTGTTGGAATGTGGTTAGTGGATCAATGTTTATATGGAAGGAAGTTACCGGAGGAAGTTCCACCAATAGTTTGGAATAGTGTAGACAGTTACACAATGAATTTAATTCAAGTACGGATGGCACATGAATCCAAACAAAAACAAAAGAAGAGTAAAAGAAAATTAATGAAGAGAGAGCTTAGGCACATTAAACAAGGAATTAAGCATGTTCATTTGTGAAAAGTTATTTAAACAACTTGTAGTTTTATTTTTGTAACAAGGTCTGTTTTTCCACAGTGAGTGAATTTATCTTTTTTGTTGTATTTTATACAATATGGATATTATAAATATATATATATATAATATATCTTAATTTAAATATACGTTCATATATTCATCATACTATATGCATTACCTAAATCTATCATGCAATAATCTTTCAGCACCAACTTCAGTGTATTCTTCTTTTCCAACCCATAGTTGATGAAAAGTTCCAAGACTTGTAAGGATGCTTCCACCTAGCCATGAATGGTACTGTCTCTCCCTTTGATGGCCAATAGATAATATTCTAAATTTCAAAGCAGGTAGTCTTCTAGTTAACTCTGACATTATTCTATCACTTAGCCCTGGAATTAATGAGGATCCTCCTGTAAGAACAACATTATGAGCTAGCGAAGCATGTATATCAACATCACTTTCCATCATAGAAGCATAAATCAAATCTATAACACCTAAAATATTATCTGAATGTTCTTTGTCTGTAACTCCATTTTCCTGTATAATCCTTTTACCATTGTTGTTTACATTGTCAGATGGCTCAGCTGGTACGCTCGGCTCAACAGATTGTGTAGGAGTATTAGCGTCTTGTTTATTAGCACCACTAGGTTTTGTTCTCTTTAGTGGAACATAATCATTACGGAATGTTGCAACAACACCGTCTTTAGTTGCAGGCCAATCTTCAGGAATATCTACTTTCTTAGGGATGAATAATTGTTCACCAAATCCATATCTACTGACATTGTCAAATTCGATTACTTCTGTCCATGGTGATTCAATTGACCTTTTACTCATATTTTCTAGTTCATTTTTTATTTCTGCTAAAGGTTTTTGCGAACTGATATGGAATAAAGTTTCTTTACATTCTTGATAAAATCCACGAGAATTAGCAAATTTATATAGGGATGGATTTATTATATAGTCAAATATTTTCTTCTTAAATTGAGGTTTTCTTTTTTCAATTGCAAATAATGGAATAATCTCCCTGGGTTTTAAATAGTCTTCTAATAAATGATTGAGATATCTGCCAGCAAAAAAGTTTCTTCTTGTGCTTTTGGATAAAGTCATACCATCTAAAACGGGACTTACAGAGCACGTGTCGTGCCCAATATCGACTACTAAACAGTTAGATCTGCCTGTTGCAAACGAAACACAAGTTGAAGTTGGTGCAAGATAGCAGGCTTCAAACTCCATAGACTCTAACAATATTTCAAGTGATTTTTTTCTATCGGTACTTGAATTCCAAACTGGTTCTGTTAAGAAGGCTGGTATCCCACTATTTGATTTCAGATGTAATTCATGTTCTAAGGCCCATGACCATTGCTCTTGTGCTGCATCCCAATCAATAACAATTCCGTTTTCTACAATTTGTTTGATTTCATAATTTTTTCTTGGTAAGCCAATTGATTGATCAGCAAACACACGTTTCCCTTTTGTTTTGGTAGTTGTAGTACTTACATCCTCTTTAGATCCAGAGTCTTCTGAATTGCTGTAAAAACCATAAGATGATGGTAGAATAGATTGAGGGCAATCTGTTCCAGAATAACCGATATTTGTTCTGTAGGAACCGGGATCTATTACCACAGCTGAAATTTCATCACCGCCGTAGACTTGTAAAGTTGAGTTAGACATAATTGGTGCGTATTGTGTTGACCTTATTGCCTTTTAACCTAGTATAATATTATTCGGGAACTATGATAGATCGGTAAGTTTTTAAGTTTATATACACTTAAGGTTTACTAGCTATTCTTTTTTAATAATAATGGATTTTCTTTTTTTTTTTCGACATCTACAAATTTTGATATTTGAAACCTTTTAAAATATAAAGGTTAAAGAAAGTTTCCGTCTGAAAACTTTGCAATATATAGAAAATAATAGGACAATTTAATTGAGATCGAAATAGTAATGTTTATTTATATTATATTAAGTATATATTATACAACAATGGCTTTATATGTATAAGTGTAAAAGATTTGTAAAGTTTTTATAGTAACTATGCAGCATCATATTCAGTTCTTCAATGATTTGACAACCAATTCAGTAGCTTTTTCAACACCTTCTTTGGTACCTCTGATATAGATGATATCATTTACAGAATCATTTTTTCTTGGAACATTGATTAAGACACCTGTAGAGGATCTAATATTTTTCACGTTAGAACCACCTGGACCGACAACTTTGTTGAATTTTCTTGTATCAGCAACCCAAACAAAACCAGCATAAGTAGCTTTAGATGCTAATTGGATTCTTTCTTGAATTAATTCAGAAGCTTTATCTAATGCAGCCTGTTTTTTATCGTCATCATCAGTGTTTTTTTCTGGTTTTTGTTCTTCATTTTCATCAGTTAAAATACTAGATAAATCGATTGGTTCATATGTTAACTTCCATGGAATCACACCTTCTTCAGAGACAGTGGCAGGGCCAACTTCAAGAATTGTTACCTTAGTTTTGATATTTTCCCCTTCTGTAGGACGAACTTTGTCAGTTGGGATATTCAAAGCGTGACGGTTTAAATTATTTGCTCTTCTAGTAGCAGAACCATGTTTAACACTGACAAACTCATCCATTCTTAATTTATGAATAAAAGCACCGCGTTCAGAAACAAATTCGTGAATAGAGGCAGGAACTTCTATTTCCAAATCAAAATCTTCTTTTAAAATTTCAGAAAATATCTTCCTTTCAGCCTTTTCAATATTTTCTGGTAACCCAGTTAAAGTCACTGGACCAGTCTCACCTTTGTTTGGAACATGCAAGGTAATATGGAAATCATTTTCTAATTGACGACGGATCATACCACCTGGACCGATTAAAGCACCTTGTCTTTCCTTTGGCACATCGATTTCTTTGGTTTCACTATTTTTAGCATCTTCGACAATTTTATTAATTTGTTTGATGACTTTAGAAACGAATGATTTTGGACCTTGGATTGTAATGATATTACTTTCTTGATCAGAATTTGGAATATCAATATTCTTATTTTTGATATTATCGCCACCAGCTTTGGAAATAATATCTCTTAAAACGTGACCACCAGTACCAACGATGTTTCTGTGGTAGGCATGATCAATTTCAATAGTTTCTTTGGTATAATCAGAGGCATCCTTTATTATCTGTTCAACTTTGTTAGCAGCTTCTTTGATAGCAGTTCTAGTACCAGTTATTTCTAAGTCAACTTCACCAGATTCCTTAACTTCGTCATCGGTAGCCTTCTGTAAGAAGTCCATTTCGACACCGAATTCAGCTCTGATATCATTGATTACATCACCATTCTTACCAATAACTCTTGGAACATGTTCACTTGGAACTTTAATAACGATTTTATTACTGTTTTCTCTTTCGAAATCAAGTAAGGAGCTTAATTCTTCGTAAGTCTTTTTCACACCACGTGAAGGACCTCTGATAGTGACGACTTCATTGTCTCTTGGGAAGTGGATGAAAACGTTGTATTTATCTTGTAATCTAGTACGGTAAGAACCATTTGGACCAATCAAGTTACGGTGAAGTTTCAAAGGAACAATTAGTTCTTTGGTAATGATGTCAGCCCATTTTTTAGTTTCAGCCAGAATAAATTCCTTAGCACAAGTCAAGTTAAACTCTAAACCAGTTAATGTGACTTCGACCGGAGCTTTATCATCGGTTTGTTCACCCACATCAATTTGGCAATCAAATTTTGCTTTGGTAGCTTGAAGGTTAGATCCCTTATTACCAATTAGTCTGGAAACAGAATTAGATGGAATTTCAAATGAAAGTTTGCTTTTTGTAGATGGATTATCCACAATATTTTTTACTATTTTAGCAACTGTTTTGATAGCAAATTCATCACCTCTAATAGTTAATTCGTTTTCAGATGGTGTATTTAATTTGAATTGGACGTGGCCCTGATCTTTACCAATATGGTTTAAGATCAATGCAAGAGTGACTGTATCTTTGGAGAAGAAAGTATTTTGTGTAGAAGAATCAATTTCAAAGACTTTTGTAGTCATATTTTCAAATGTAGCACGTAATGGATCCAAAGAAGCAGAAATGTTTTCTAAGTTGGATTTGATTTCTTCGGAAGATGGTTTGAAGTCATCATATGAAGAGGTTGCAATAATAACAATAGTATCATTTCCTGGGTAATAATCACCAATTTGGATGAATGGATAATCATTTTCAGTACTCAATAAAGTATGCTTAATGGATTTATGGAACAGTTCATAATCTAGGTCGTTGATGACTAAGGTGTCTTCAGGAGTAATCGAGTTGACTAAAGAAATTAATTCTTTACGAACGACCTTAATAGCGTCAGAATTATCTGATTTAGCACTGATCTTGATGTTAACAATAGCATCATCAGCAATCAACTCCTTTGGGGTAGGTAATGTGATGGTGACTGTTGGATTGTCCTTTTTAATCTTTTCTAAGACAGGGTATTTAGTAAAGTATAATACTAAAATTCTTGCATGTTCAATGTTTTTAGAATGAGCCTTGGAAATATCTAAGGTATCTACAATGAAGGTTTTGGAAGAATTTCTGGCATAATCTATAGCATCTTTGACTTTATTTTCCTCACCAGAAAAGGAGACAAACTCGTCTTTAATATCAGTTGGGAAAGTAACCATGACATTGTATTTTTCTTTGATTTCATCAGCGTTAATCAAGAATTGGAATTTGTTTGGAATCTTGACTTTTTGTTCAGTTAATTCCAAAGATAATCTATCAATATAATTTTGAATAGCAATTTTAGAATCTTGAGCTTGTTCACGTAAACCTGAAACAACAATTTCACCAGATGATGGAAAGAATTGAACTTTTAATGATTCAGGGATGCCATTGATATCAGCAACCTTGATAAAAGGAACCAATAATGGGTCAGAAACATTGATTCTAATGGTAGCATTCTTGGTCTCTTCCTTAACAATTTCAGAAATTCTTTCCTTTGCTTGGTTGACAGATTCAAAATCACCGAAAAGAGTAACATTGGATGTGTAGTCGTCTAAGTCTTCATCAAAGGAACCTTCATTATAATCCTTGGCCACTTTGATCTTGACATCAAATTCCTTAGAGATTTCCATAATAGTCTTACCACCTGAACCAATGATGGCAGCCTTACATTTGGATGGAACTTCCATAATGGTTTGAATTGGTCTAGTAAGCTTCTTAACTAGCTCTCTTTTGGCAGCACGTACATTAGTTGGATTACCGGAGATAAGGAAAGTTCTTGAATTCTTAGATAAAGTGGATTCGATAGAGACATCTAAGTTTTGTTTTAAAGCTAAAACCATTTTAGATAATTCGGGTTTACTGATAGAGATTTGGGATTCTAAATCTAAAGTGAAAGATTCTTGAATAGTCTTAGACTTCATGCGCTTGATACTAGAAATAGAGGTGGAAGAAGAATTAGCACTAGAAGATATAGAAGAAAATGGAACAGGTTTCATGTTTGGACCCCAATTAACTTTGGATCTTGGGAATGCATCCTTAGATACTAAGGATGGCAGATCTTTTAAGGATGGAAGTGGTTTGGGAGTAACAGAAGATTCTTGTTCACTAACTTCAGTTGGGTTAGTTTCATCTGCAGTAGTAACAGCACTATCATTTGTGGAAGCAACAGAAGATGAAATTTCTTGAACTTCTTGAGTTTCTAGGACTTGAGGTTGTTCAACTTGTTCAGATTCTAAAGACATTGTGATACTACCTGTCGAATAGCAGACTAAAACAACGGAAATTCAAAATATTAAAAAAAAAAAAAAAGTAAGACTAGCGAGAGAAAAAACCAAAGGGAAATCAACCAATACTTGAAAAATATTCAACTAGAACGTAGTATCTCAATTGTATCAAATTTTATTTATAATCAATCAGAGCAATTGAGAAGAGTTTTACTGAATAAATTTCAATCAAAAAGAGGGGGATGAAGATAAAAGAATATGACAACTAACCAAAAGAGTGTAGAAATAAAAATAGATAGGAACCGAGGATATACAAGGTTGCTAGAAAAAAGGATAGTTTTGATTAATTAGCCAGTAAAAGGATATATATTGTGTTAGGTTTATTCTAAACAGGTATTACACAATTGCTCCTGCGAAAGTAGTAAAGACACTTTTTACCGTTTGGATTTATTTGTTCTCAAGTGTGAATTCAAGTGTGAATATCTTTGTTTTTTTTTCATTTAGTTTTTTTTTTCGGCTGATCTGTTTTACCATTAAAACAGCGCATAAAAAACGAAAAAATTAAGAAATAAGGAGATTGAAAGTAAAAAAAAAAAACCGTGTTTAATGATATTTTTATTGTATATCATACGAATTGCTATATTATTGGCAATAACAAGAATATTATATGCAGGAGTAATAGATGGTAAAGGTGCATCTATATGGGTGTTATTTAAGAAAATCTGGTAGTCAACTGATAAGAAACTAATTATTAGAGGAGGGGGAAGAATAATTAATTGAAATATCCAAGTAGAAATCCTAGTTCAATACTTTGTTTTATCTTTTTGTATTGAACTCAACACATACGTGGTACATGCTTTATCTAGTGCCAATGTTTTTTTTTTGTTTTTTTAACTTTTGTTTTAAAATTTTTTATTTTCTTCAAGTCTCTGGAAAACACTTTTATTAAAAATGAAAATACAATATTTTTGCATCCGTACACCACAGAATATAGAGAAAAGGCATATTAAAAACTGTTTATGGGTATGACAGTAACACCACTTCTATTTTCCAACAAAATAAATGCCAAGCAATGTTTTTTGTTAATCTTCTATATACAATATGATTATAAGTATTTATTAATATGAGAATATAATTACTTAGGATATTTGTTAATGTTTAAAACAAGAGCTTGCTGTTGTATTATGAGGTGGTGAAATTCTTTGCGTATTCCAGGGAAGCGCAAATAAGATTAATAGTCATTCAAGTAATCGAGACAGTAATCAATTATAGGTGATAATATAATTACTAAAACGGTCTTATATATTGAGCGGCTTATATCGAGCTAATATATTTATTCAAAGTTACTTAACTTGTTACTTGCTTGTTGTTCTCTTTTTGTTCATATATAATATATAAATTATTTACAAGAAACGGTTATGGAAGATGATCTTTTATCTTCAGAAAACGTTGTCCTTTTATATGTTTTCTGGAGCTCAATCAATTATCCAGATTAGTACATTAATAATCTGATTGATTCAAACCCTAAAATTTATTACATTAATCTAGGTGCACTAGTGGATTAGAACCGCACCTCCATTCTCTAATTATGGTTATTATTATTCTATTCAACGACAGGTCGGTGTTGTAGATCAACCTTGATATTATGATTGTAAAAAACGATTAGGGTTGAAAAAAATTGTTAGGGTTTTGTGATGATTGTCAAGAAAAGTTCTAGTTTGGATTTATAGGACTTAGGGTTTGTTGATAAATCCCACATGATTGTTGAATACTATGTAACAAAATGAAACATTCATGAAACATTAAATAGCTAATTAAGGAGAAATGTATCTACGGTGACAGTCGTTACAGAACCTCAAATAAGAAACTATCAACCCATAGTTCATATATAAAGGACCAGTACCTTGGTATCTAAATTTATATGTTTGGTTGATTTATAAAAATATGTAGCACATTGTATAATACAAAAAAGAACAAGCAATAATCGTTTAATTCTCCTAGATATATATAACGTTCTTATATATTTGTTATTGCCCTTACTATTCGTTCAATAGTACTGTTAAAAAAATTGGTCCTAAGTCCAAACTATAACATTTGCGGATCTGTGGAATAGAATAGTTATAACCATCAAGATTACATAAGATCCTGAATGAATCTAGAACCAATTAGTGTATTAATAAGCCATACATGTGCTACAACATTAGATGCTGCATAATAAAAAGATTGGATTACATAAGATCTTGGCAAATCTAGAATTTACCTATTGTTTTATTAAGTCCCACGTGTATTACTAATCACCATGATTAGAGAATTGGGATGCAGTTCTAATCCAGTAGTGCACCTAAATTAATATAATAAATTTTAGGGTTTGAATCAATCAGATTATTAATGTACTAATCTGGATAATTGATTGAGCTCCAGAAAACATATAAAAGGACAACGTTTTCTGAAGATAAAAGATCATCTTCCATAACCGTTTCTTGTAAATAATTTATATATTATATATGAACAAAAAGAGAACAACAAGCAAGTAACAAGTTAAGTAACTTTGAATAAATATATTAGCTCGATATAAGCCGCTTAATATATAAGACCGTTTTAGTAATTATACTATCGACTATAGTTGATTACTGTCTCGATTATTTGAATTACTATTAATATTATTTGCGCTTCCCTGGAATACACAAAGAACTTCACCATACCATACTACAACAGGATCTGAAGGGCGGATTTAGCTCAGTTGGGAGAGCGCCAGACTGAAGATTAGAAACTTTAGTCACTGTTATCTGGAGGTCCTGTGTTCGATCCACAGAATTCGCATTTTTTATTTTTTCATAAAATTGTATAATAACCCTGAGGTTATGTGTTTCCGATAACAGTAGTTCTTATTGAAATCTCAATAATATTTCCACTTGGATAGATATAAGATATAGACTCTTTCTATATCTCTAGATGTAATATTCCTATATATCTATATATCTATATCCCTAATCTAAGATAACCTAATAGTATACACTTATATACTATATATCTAAACCTATGTAATCCTTCGTTCCTTCTTCTTTTCTTCTTATTCGTTGCTTGGTTGTTGTTCTTCTTGGTGGCTCTCTTGTACTTATGTTGGTTACTCCTGTTTTTTTCTATGTTTGTAAAATTTTGCAAAAAGGAAAGTTTAGAAAAGTATCGTTAACCCTCAGTTTTCTAAGCAAAACCCTAAACAGTAATATTAGGGATATTACAAAAATTCCGATTGTGATGAAGCCTATAAATATAAATGTAATAGATGAAACCTTATTACAAGAGGTATATTCTTATAGAACATTAAAATAGATAAATGATTCTTGGTTGGTTGTCGTCAACTAAAGAGTTTGCAAGATCGTTTATAGTGCCATAAGGATTTCATATGTCATGTATGATAAAAACTTATTTTGTTTCTATAGATGTAATGTTAATAAAAATCGATACAATTAGGACCAGGTAATACACAGGGTATACTCAATTATCTATTCTTTTTTATTCTTGGTTTACTTTTTGTTCTGCTTAGCTGACTTCTTCTGTGCTATTGTTGTTTACTTGTATTTTACCTGTCTATACCATTTTCTTTATAGTTTTTTAGTAAAGTTTGTTTACAAAATTCTTTACAAAGAAGACTTTAGGTGAAACATTATTAATTCTTATTTTTCTAAATTTATTCTAAAAACCTTAAACACAAATATCAGAAGTATTATAGGTAAAGTGTATTTAGAAAAATAAGAAGCTTGCAAACCTGAGATATAAGAAAGTAGTTGATTCAAACTGTTATAGTTTTATTTCCATTGATATTTTACTTTCTTATCTCATTAAATATTGAATTATACTCAAAGTACGTGATATTTGAATATGACTAAATAAAAGTAGTCTAAATGTACTAAACTAATTACAAGTGGTATGTTCTATGTTTAACTCTCTTTGTTGATTCTGCTTTCTTCCTCTTTCTTTTTTTAAAAAAATAAGAGTATTTTATACGTAAGTATTTTAACCTGTTTAATTTCTTATATTCCTTTAGCGTAGTCGTGCCTATAGAGACTTCTCAAAGGGGGTTAAAGATAATTTTAGTTGTCTTTACTTTCATAAATATTTCAATTCGTAACACTACATTTTAAAGAATAATTAAGAAAAAGCTACAATATCTATTAATGTATTTTATTCACAGTATGATATGTTACAATTATAGTTAAGGTTTCCATATTGATTACATGGTATTTATCAACTATTTATGTTTTTTTGTTGGAATATCAGCCTAAACTCAGACTTTAACTATTTTATAAAAAGCATTAAATATATATTTATCCTAAACTTTACTTTTGATTTTTTTTCTTCTTGTTTTTATTAAAAACTATTTAAAAAAAAAATTGTAATGATAATTCTTTTTTTATCAAAGAATTTACATTGGTAATACATTGTTGTATTATTAATCACTAGCGGTTATATTTGCATTAAAATAATTCTTTCTTATTGCATTTACCTTTTTTTAAAAAAGGTTATTTTTAGCAATGTTGCCCTAAGTATCTGTAAGGGTTGTAATAAATAACTTAATGGATTAAGAAAATTAGTCTAAATATAAATAATTTTAGTTAGATTCTATAGAAGACCGCACCATAATCATGATGTTTTTTTCATTAACACGCTGTGGTTATTAGTTATTGTTCTTGTACTACATTAAGAATTACTTCTTGGTATCAGTACTAAGATGTATTTAAGGAATATGATTATCCTTGATATACTTCTCAATTAACGAGGGCCTCTTGAACAAAACTCGATGTAATCACCTTGCTCTGGAAATTCTCCTATCAGTTCCAATACCCTATATAAATCATTGTGCACGTGGTTGTACCAATTGTCTATCCAAATATTCAAGTGTTACCCATAAATTGATATATTTACTGGAGTCCAGTAAGGTTTCTCACAGTGGTATTATATTTCATATTGAGTGTTTCCTTTCAAAAATGTATTCGTTTTTGTTTTTATTGGTGATCAAAAATAAAAGTTTAGTTTGTAAAAAGTTGTTTTTAAAAATTTTAAAAATAGAAACTTCTATATAAAGTTAAGCTTTACCTTAGTCTGAAAATTCAAAAAGGATAATTAAAGATTAAACAAAATAAATCTGAATTCTTAAAAACACGTAGCTTTCTTTTTCAACATCTGAAAACGTTGTTTTATTCAAACATTCTTTTAATATAATATGAGATTAATCCATTCATATATACTGTATAATGTTAAAATAACTTGAAAATCTTTATAAATTAAAATAAAATATCTAAGTGTTTGAATGAGTTTATGCTGTTTTAAAAAACTAATTCTTCATCTGATTAAAAATGTATATAATAAGTAAACTACAATTAGCAAATTATCTTATTGAATTACAAAGTTAAGAATGATAAAACAATAAATAATGGAAAAATTTACAACGAAAAAAAAAAGTACAAAAGAATAGATCTGTTCATTTTATTCCAATAAGGAAGAACAAATTATGATATAATATTTATATACATTTCTTATTGATTCTTATAATTTGTCTATTTTAAGGGAATGAAGACAAAAAAAAATTTATTTTTCTTTTTAATTATTACATATATAACTCAACTACAATATTTTCTATAAAACCTCTAATATATGCTGTAAATATACGATTCAAGACCATAAAACAGTAATAAATTTCTAAATAACAAAATCAAATAAATGTTCTTCTGTTATTACATTATTTTTTTCACAGAAAAAATATATTTAGAGTATTCAACAAGCATGCATTTATATATTTAATTGAGTATCATAAATTAAATACCAAAAACCAAAAAGAAAAAACTATATATCTAATTAATTTCTTCTAAATAATATATCAGTTGCAAAAAAAAAAATAAAAGAATTAATTTATTAAAACCTTAGTTCTTTTTTCAAAATTGGCATCAATTATAGAACATGAAGAATCATACTGGACATTGTTATCATATTTTCTTTTCTTATGGGTACAAACATCATCCTTAATATCTAATGTACTTTGAGACATCTTTAAAATCCAGTGTTGTAGTATTTCTTTCTTAACATATAACGCATAATTCAATTTGTTTAAACACCAACGTTCCATGTCATTAAGCGCCTTGACACTTAGTCCAGTAATTTGGGACCATGTTTTCATTGCATATGTATTATCAGTGAGAAACTTGTGGCTAATAATCAAACAAATCAAAAATATTCTTTTTGAACATTTAGCAAACTCTGGTAACTTTGCTAAGTCTGTTTGACCCTGATACAATTTATTGACGTAGTATGATGCTAATAATGTGGTAATTTTATTACATTTTGAACGTTTCAAAATTTCAATAATAAATGGCCTTATAGATTGAATAGAGTTATCGATTGTTCCAACTTGCAAATTTTTGGTAAATTTAAATAATAAAATGGAAATATTATGAATAATTGATGCAGTGCATTTTTTGGAAGGATCCGCATGTGATGAGGATTGATAAAATGACGGAATATTATTACAATTGGTTGAAGTGGAATCTAGCCCTAAATGACTAGAATCCGGTGTAACTTGATGCATATTTTAAAACAAAACAAAACAAACAAAATACAACTTTTTCTTTCCCTTTTTTTTTTTATAATTTATTTTCACCAAATTTAGAACGGTTTATGAATTAAAACACTAAATTAATATAATAATATATTATTCAATGTTCTTTTTTTTTCCTAAGATGAAGAAACATATGCTTCTTCAGTGAATAGAATAAATCATTTTGGAAAGAATTTATATGCTTGGGTTATTAATATCCTATACCTTTGAGAAAAAAAATTAGTATTCTAACTAAAATATATGTTATGAATAGTTAAATAAAATAAAGCCTTGGTGAATGCTACTTAACGAAAAAAAGGGGGAGGGGGGAGTATGTCAAAGCAAAAGTAATCTAAAAAGTAATGTAGTAATGAATAAAAACAGTAAAATAAAAAAAAGAATAATGATACAGAAAAAAAATGATGAAAAAGAAGACGTTATATCTATCTAAATTAAAAATAGTCAGAGACTAGATATAATAAAATAGATATACCACCCACAAATCTTTATGGATCGGTGATTTCTCTTTTTCTTTTCTTAGTAGAATCTTACACACAGTGAAAATAAAAAGAAACACACATATGCAAGTATGTTAGTACGCACATCAAATTCTTTCAAGCCTTTTTTCTTGTTAGATAGGTATGTGTATATATATATTAACCTTTGTTAAATTAAAACATGATAAAACTACAAAAAAAAAAGAATTAAAAGCGGAGTAAGGCAACAAAAATAATTTTCAAGAAAACAAAAGAAGGGAAGCAGCAAAAAAAAAAAGAAATTAGTCAATCCCGAGAAACAAATTCTTATTACGAAGAAAAATTTAGTTAGTGGCACCCAAAGGAGAAAAAAAAGAAAAGTAAAGTAAAGCATACCTGCGATCGAGATATCGGAGTGCTTACTATTATTGTACACAGATTAAAGGTTTGGTACACTGAAAGCAATGAGATCAGTCATATCAGGTTTCCTTTAAGTGTGAATCCAATCCCCCCCTTTCCCTGTTGCGATAGAAAATTTCCCACTGTAAAATATTGAATTATGACAATATCTTGGGCATTCCCTATTCTTTGATCTTTCTTATTTCACAGATGAAAATTTCCGTTTAATGAGTCACTTTCCAATTTTCTTGGATAAAAAAACATCATCATCATCTCTCAAATGGCTTTGAAAACAAATAAATAAAAAAAAAAGATTTTGGAAAAATTACAAAATGCTACATACCCTAAAGAAAACTTTGAAAAAAGGAAACAAATATCAACAAAACCCTCAAAGGATGAAATAAACTGAAATTTTATCCTTTCCTTTGCTAGCTAATACTCAATTAAAAAGCCAAAGATAAAAAAAAAAGAAAAGTTTTCAATAGTCCTACTTTTTCTGTCAAGGCAAAAAAGGAAAAACTCATATCAAAACTTGTTCCTTGACCTTACACCTTGACATCTATGATACTTTTTTGCTGTTGGACTTCACCCAACCTTATCTTATCATACCTTTCTCTCTTTCCTTATTTTTTGATAGTGAATATTTTATGGAAAAAAAATATATCCACACTTATTTACTAAATATTTCTGTGATTTCTCAAATTATTACTATCCATTAAAAAGGACGCTATTTACAATCAAAAAAGTTGTTTTCTCATTATTATGGTACCAATTCCATCAATAACGTCATAAGTGCTGTTAATTAGCATAATAGTTAGTTTTTAAGCAAAACCAAAAAAAAGATATGCAAAGTTCCATAATCTCAATACACTAGGAGCTTCCTCCAATCTTATACGTCGTTATGCGATTGATCATAAAATGACTTCTTATCTTCACTTGTAATTTCCTATCTTTACTTACCTTCTAGAACTTCCTACCCTTAATCTCACATATTCTTGTCAACCAAAAAAAAAAAGAAAAGAAAATTTCCATAAAGCCAGTCATTCCTCATCCAACTTTGTCAATAATCAATACTATACATTACATTATTTTTGTTACTACCATTATTATAATAATAAACACACTATTCACATTTATTTAACCTATATTTGTTTGAATTATCTATGAATTGTTTTGATGTATAAAGGCCAATGTTCTAGGTAATTTATAACTAACGCAAAACATGGGTTTTGTAGGTGATACTTTACGGACAAGATGGAATGATAATTCATTAAATGGTAAGATATCTGGTGTTGTATTCATGGATTTTAGTATTCTCTGATACACTCTTTCATGTAACTCTTCCATTGTCAAATTTTCATCGTTTCCATATTTCTCAAAGCAATGAACATGGATCCATGGCATTTTACTGATGCAGTTTGACTCTGAAATAGAGGCATACAATCCAACAAAATTACCAAGGAAATCAATAGCGCTATCTGGTAAGTTCATAACAAAATGACTAATTTCGTGTGGTATCTTAATAGTTTTTGTCTTTGGTTCTAACAATACCTTTTCTACCACTTCTATATTATTATTATTATTATTATTATTATTATTATTATTATTATTATTATTATTATTATTATTATTATTATTATTCTTGTTGTTATTATAGCTACTGCCATTGTAATCATGCTTGCCATTATCAATAGATTGGATCATTTTTTGTTTCTTTCTATGATGATAACTGACTTTAATAGGCATAATTATTTCTCCATTTTCATGTTCTTTAATAAATTGGTCCAACAAATCTGTTGACTGTCTTATAAATTGAGCCCCATCTAAATTAAATGGTTTAACCATTAGTCCAACCTTATTAACCTTAATATTCTCTTTTAAATATTTGAAGCTTTCTGGATTTAAGTCGTTAGCCAATACAATTACTTCTTTTTTACCAGCAGGAATCGCAAAGGGTCCTACACCTGCAAACACATCACAAACAACTTCACCTGGTTGGAAATAGTTGCTGACTAATCTGTCATGTTCTGTATGCAACCTAGAATTCCAATAAACCTTACTAAAATCAAATTTAAAAATACAATTAGATTCTCTTTGTTCTACAACTAAGGAATCACTCTTACCTGCAATAACTTTCATCGGGAAAGTTCTAAATTTAGTGGCAATAGAACTGACTTTATCCACAACACATTCAATCTTGTTGTTCTTGTCTAAAATAACCTGACCAATCAAGGAATCGTATGATTTAAATTCCTTTCTTAAATTCAAATGTGCAATATGACCAGTGATAGTAAAACCTGTAGGAACCTCATCTAGATATTCCTCTGGAAGAACACTTCTTAAGATATCCTCAGCTTTCCAATAATTATAATCCAACACATATTCATAAGGTAAAATTTCTGCTTGAGTATCCTTCAAATACTCTAAAACCTCACTAGGAAGCTTTTCAGAAATTTCATCAGGTGATGCTATAGTATCTGTTAATAAGACACCCTTAGTAACAATATTATTGTCACATGCTAGCGTTTTATTCCTACTATCATGCTGAATAGAATCCAATTTTATAACATGAGGAATTCTTGGAACACGAAGAATATACGCCTTATATTTTTTTGCAAATTCACTGATATGTTTTGGATTTGGAAATTTGACAACACATAATGGTATTTTTTTTATAAAAAATGACCTATCCAAAACTTTCATATTACGATTAATTGGAGGAGCATATTTACTAGAATGCAAAGTCGACATTTTAATAACACTTGTTGTTCTCTTCAACAACCAAATTAATCTATTTGAGACTGATATATTTTTGAACATCTAACAACATATACAAAGATATTGAAGAAACATATAAGTACATTAGTGACTGAATTAGAAACACAAAGAATTTATGACCTAGTCTATCCTGGTTTTTCCAAGGATTATCTCATTTTTAACCAATATATACGCGTAAGAACTTTCTCTAATTTGTTTATTTTTTTTATTATATTTTCTCGATCAATATTTTTCCGATGCCCAAAAAATATGGCTCTAAAAGAATTTTATTTACAGATATATATATATATTTACAACATATATGTACTCTAATACCCTCTATATGTACTAATGTAGCAGCACTTTTCATACACACAACCAACCGCTAACATAAAATAGTCTTCTTCAATCACCTATAGACTGATTTACTCTTTTGAATCCTTGTACCTATTCGTAAGTGAAGGTCCTATATATTTCTCAAAGAATCCAACTTCATCTTTTCTCTTAGCATCACCTTTCTTTTTAGCAACAATACACCAGATAGTACCTAAATGACATCTTTTTTCCTCCACAATTTCCAATCCAGAATCATCTAGTATTTCACCTATATCAAGGTTCCAACGACAACCCCATGTTTCCAATCTTTTAGCAGCTCTTTTATCTAAAATCTTGTTAATCATATTATATTGACCACGACCATGTTCTAAAAGAACTATTCTACCGTGTGGTTTCAATAAGGAGGCGAAATTTTTAAGGGCATTTACTGGATCCTCATGAGAACATAAACCAAATGCCTCTACAATAGTATCATATTTTACTCTTTCCTTATCACCAGCAATATTTGCCAAATTTTCGGCTCTACCTTGAACAAATGCTGCCTTATCAAATGTTGGGAATTTCTGTCTAAATTTCTTATTTGTAATATCAATCATTGCCCTTGATGAGTCTAGAAATGTTATTGAATTAATATTATCAAGTTTTATGTAAGGGATATTTCTACCTGTACCACAGGAAACTTCAAGAACATCACCAGTACAATGTTTCATTAACCACCTACGTCTTTTCCCCATCCTGACTACTTTTTCTTCAAAGTTGATATCTTTATCATACTGTTCAGCTTTAACATCATAAAAGGGAGTTGTATCTCTTGCAGGTAAAATATCCTTATTAAGCTTATTTTGATCATTATTTGGTAAAACTATCCCATCAAAATCTTCAATCCCCTCTTCAGTTTTCATCTTCTCATACTGTTCTAACTTCAATTGATCTCTCGTCCTTAGTTTTCCCTTCAATTCTTTAATCCTTAATTTCTCATATTCATTAATATTACCAGATTCCAATTTACTTTCAAGTGTCTCCAATTCTTTCTCCTTTACGTACAACTTTTTCATAAATGACACACCATAAATCAAAAATACGACATAAGCAGCAATTAAACATTTGGTCATACCTTTTGTAAATTTTTCAGATCTAGCAATTGCCCCCCATCTAATAAACCAATTTGGTGAATTCAACATTTCTTCGAATTTTTCCTTATCGATCTCTTCTTTAGTCTTAATTCTACGAATTTTCCTATCCCTTTGTACACCATTATGGAAATTACTCTTTGGATCTATTGTTGAGTGAAGTCCTCTATTTGTTATTAAATTAACACGACTACTATGATTTAAAAAAATATATCTTGCAGATAATTCGGCTTTCCATACATTAGTTACAACACCAATCCTTTTTGAAAATATTCCTCTATAGTTACCTACCATTCTTGCAAGTGTTTATTTCTCAATGAGGGTAACGACAAACTGTTTCCTTATGAAAAATCCTTAATATTTGATAAATTCCATAATACAGAGCCCCCTTTGTCTTCCTCATTACCGTTCTTTTTGATTTATCATAACTATGATTTATTTTTGTAATAGTATTTATTAATTTTTTTTGGTCCCTCGAACGTTCGGAGAAAAATCATTTACAATTTATTTAGGGAGAATAATCTTCCTTTTTGTCAAAGGTGTTTCGAAATATATTTGCTTTCATATACCTTCTATTACACAGCATTTTATTTTACCAATTCATTTTCATAGTTTGTTAAAGTACTAAACAACAAAAAATACATTATTACTAACAAAATGCATTATTGTAATCCCCTCATTGAAAAGCAGTAAAAATAAAATAAAATGGAATAAATACTTCTTAGATTCCATGAAATCCCAATAATATTGGACATATTGGCTATTAATACAAAAAAAGCATAGATCTTATAATTACTTGATTTTATATTTATATAAAATGAAAATATCAAATTCAAAGAAAAAAAAGATAGGTATACACAATTATTAATATATAAATATATTAAAAACAAAAAGTGCATATGTTAAAAGTAACAACATTATTAAAGTTCAAATAAAATTCGTAAGTAAAATCATATAAATCATCTGTCTTAGTTAATGATAATAACACCCAGTAAGGATGATACAGGGACATAAAAAACCAAGGAAAAATACAAAAAAAATATTAATGAATCTGCAAACATCCACATGCATATTTTTTAAATTATTCATCCTTTTCAAATTTTTTTTCCAAAGGTTTACCATTAGCAAATGTTGCTGCCACAATCAATGGGAAAACAGTAGTGACTTCGGAATAAAGTTTAACAGATTCCGCTTCTGCTTTAATCTTACCCCAAGAAACTGCTTCATCTGGTCTAGCACCTGCATCAGAACCATCATATTCTTGGGCAGTGTTAATATAAACAGCCCAATCAGCACCATTCCTCATCAAACAAGCATTTGCAATATGATGTTTAATGATTCCACCACCAAGAATGATCATACCGGCCCTAGCAGCTTCCATAGAGATAGAGTTGATCTTACGAATATCAGAAACAATATCTAATCTTAATTGATTTGGAGAAGCTTTGAAAGTGTGAAAAAATAACATATCACCAATGGAACCATCTGTGATGGCAGGACAGAAGACAGGAATATTATTTTTGTAAGCCCAGTATAAAACAGAACTTTCATCATTAATTTCTTTACCCATTCTATGACACAACTTAGATGGAGTCCAAATTGGAGATTCCACATCGCTGCTAGCTTCTAAACATGAATCACCATGTTTCTTAATATATTCATCTTGCTCTTCTAACATCTTATCTAAGATTGGAACCATCCATTCCTCAAATTTACAATAGTTATCGTTTGGAACCAATAAATTACCAATTCTGTTCATACCTTCTTCACGAAGGGTCTTACCATTCAACGTAAAATCACCCATATAGGTTGGTGCCAAACATTTAATGATATCTTCTTCAACACCACCAGCAGTTGTAACCAAGACATCAACCATCTTATGTTGAACCAAATATCTTAAAGTTTCTCTTAACCCAGAACTGATTAGATTGGAGGTGTAACCCATGAAAATTGTAGCTTTTTGATATCCATCGTCATCAAACAATCCCTTTCTTTCATGCTCTGGCAAATCATCATGATGCTTACCTCTCCATTGTCTCATATGATCAACAATCTCACAGGCTCTACCGATAGAAGAAGCTTGGAAACCCATGTTTTTCATAGCAGCAACCAAATCAGATGCACGCATATCTATGGCTTTATCATCAGAGTAATCGATACCTTTGACAACAACTGATCCCTCTGGGACTGGGACTGATTTCATCAAGACTGCTTCTTGAAGGATATCTGGCAATTTTTCATTTAAGTCTCCTGACATGTTTCAATTGCTTTATAATGTTTCACACACACTGAGTTTGTATGGCAGCTCCTCTAATATACAATATAATTAATAGTAGTATTATTAATCAAACAATACCTTAAACAAAAAACACCCCTTATAAACTACCTAAGAAAGCAGTCTACTAAAATGTACGCAGTCTGCATATTGTAGCATGTATTGAGAAAGTGTGCTATGTTATCTAGAGAACTATTGTTTATGGTAACTCTCTATTTTCTGTCATCTAAAACTGCGAGGGAAAAGGAAAAAAAACAGAGAAAAATTTTTTTTTTTTTTTTTACTTTTTCTTGATCTTTGTTTCTTTAGGTGACTGTGCCTTCCAGAAAAAACAAAGAAACAAAAACAACTCACCTCGAGTCTTTGAACTGCCTGACAAATAGCATCTGACAATACCAAAAGTGATATTTTTACATATTGTTGCTGTGAATATTTGGCTTGGCACCATCCAGCATTCTTTACATTCCTTACTTTAAGGTATGAGTACCAAACAGAGTTAGTATTAACAGTTATAAGAAATCCAAAAACAAAAAACTAAAAAAGAGAGAAAAAGGAAAAAGAGAATATGCACTAACATATTGCCATGAATAAAATTCACTTAGTCAGCAAAGGGAATGCTAATATTGTAATTTCTATTGAGAATGATGACATTTTATATCGACTAGGTATTAAATTTAAGAGTTTGGAGACCAATAATGAATACACTCTCAAAAATTGGTCTTTTATACAAAAAGAAATAATTCCAATCTTCGGTAGTTATTTATGTCCTATGGAACTTTGTGATTTAAACTTATCATTAAATTTAACAAAGCTTTATTCGCAATATGTTTTATTGGATTCTATAAAATCTAATTCAATTTTCTGTTTTAAACTACCAAACTTGAATCCACATTTATCCACTGCAAAGTGTTTACATAACGATCATCAAACACGTTTATTTTATAATAATATTCAAAACACTCTTATCATGGAAATTAAACCTAAATGGCTACACAATCCGTTAGAATATTGCAGAAATTGCACTCATAATAAATATAAAGGTAGAAATATTAATTATTGCTACAGAAAACTACTGTTCCAAAGAGGTGAATATATTAAAGAAATCTTTAAAAATATTAATATTCTAGAAGAGCAATTAGGCATTATGAACGATTATTTTTCAACCGAGGATAATATTCTGCAAATTATTTATAATGAACAATCTAAAATACATCACCTTATAATTGAAAGTGGTAATGAGGAAAAACTACCTTTACTAATGACATTAAGAGATGTGACTTGTTTCATTAAATGGCAATTCTTTCGGAAGAATTTCAATAATAACAGGACTACCAAGTCCACATTAAATGCAAATGTAGAAGCATTAATAGTTGATGTTGATTTGAAAACGCCAGAAAAGAAAATATATTGGGGAAATATGGAAAAACAATTAAATTCATACACAAATAAGGTGTATCATCAATAACGACATTGAAAGATCTTCAAAATTCCATCTTATTGATTTCTATTATTGTTTTATCTTTGCCCTTGTCTTTTTTTTTGTAGCGATACTTACGTAAGTTAGATTTACTCTAGTACTTATCCAAATACACTGTTCAATGTATTTGTTCTTGCTCTTTATAATTGTTTTGTATTTTCTATTATTAGAATTGAAAATTAAAAAAAAGATCCTTTTAGTATAAACATACAGTCATTCCAACAGTTAAATATAAATAAACTCTTAGCTAATATATTGTGTAACAATGAAACGTAAACAGTCTATCGTTGAGGACATTTTAGATAATGATTCAGAATATGATTTGCTCTTTCCTTCTTCAGATTTCGATTCCGATACAAACGTTAGCTTAGGAGCAGAGCAAGTGCCAGACAACGAGGAAGAATTACTATCTGACATTGAATGGGAAGAAGTCCCACTAGGAATAACCAAAAAGAATATACAGTTACCTATTGTTGACTTACAACTCATAATTGATAAAAAAAATGAACAGAAAACAAACAAAAAAAAATCATCCATTCTTTTTGAAAAGAGGAAGTTGTTTATTGACTATAAAAAATTAACTTTTAGTATAAACATTATTTTAATTCCATTTCTACTTCACACACTACTGCAAAGAGCTAACTGGACGAAAGATGCTAGATTGAATAGAAGATTGAAAAAATCAGTACCTAAGTTAATTCAACAAAAATTCTTTAACTTCAAATATAAAAAGATTAAGACCAAGAAGGAAGAAAACTTGTTATCTACCCTTTTACTAGGTCTAGTACACTGGTTTCGAACACATTATAAAATTAATAGCAATGGATTCCGTCAACATCCAAATCGATTACGATACCTATATAGCAAGAAGTCAGGATCCGACTATGATTATGTTCTAAATAACTCAACACACTTTTACGGTACTCGACCCACTATTTCTTTATGCAATCCGTTAGAAGATATTAGGCAAATGGCTAGAAACAAAATGTCTAATAGAGATATTTTATTGTTATTCTTTGTTGTTATTTTACAAAATCTAATTAATACTGATAATTATGAAATATCAATATGTTTTGCCATCCCCTTAATAAATTATGAATCAATACGGACAAATTCAAAACAAAAGATGTTATTTGAAGTCCCAAATCGTTTTGATTCTGACTTACTTTATCCTTATTTTTGGATAGAATTAAATAATTATGGTAAATTAATTGTAGTAGATCCGCTTGTCTTTTTGAAAGATCAAGAAATAGTTAATATAACAAACCCCGATATTCCGTTGAACTATTTTGGAAACAATTTTACCACTAGTCAAATGTTTCTGTTTGTTTCTAGGATAAATTTGAAGACATTCCAGATTACAGATATTTCACCAAGATACATCAAAAATTTGACATATCGATATTTCAAACACGTCCCATATCGTAATAAATTTCCAAACTCTTCTGACTATAAATTATATCAATGGTATTTGAAATGTTTACAAAGATTAAACCAATCAAATACTTCATCCAAGATGACTATTAATAATCAAAAATTTTGTTCGTTATTAGCTTATAGAAACTTTGAATATCCCAAGACATTCAAAGAACTGAAAAAGTCTGATAATTTTGCCATACCTTACAATTTAAAAACTAATGAGATAATTAATCCATGTGCAAAATCCATTGGTATTTGTAAAATATCAAAATCTGAGGTCCCATTATATTGGAAGAGTGATCTATTGGAATTGAAAAGTCGACAACATTGGAGTATTCTTGGAAGAACAATAAAACCTGACAGTGTTGCATTAAAAACTAAGAAATATATACCAATGAGAAATAAACGACATAGGAGATATAAAAATGAATATGAAATTAGAGAATTATATTCTATAGATCAAACAGTACAAACACTGAAACTTTCTGAGTATAAGGTTAATAAATATGGAACATTGGAAAGAATTACAAGTGTTTTGGACTATAAAAATAAATTTGGTAATGTTGATATCTATTTAGACTATATGAAACCTAAAGGATTTTCTATTTTACGTTTAAACGATTATAAGATCAAAGTTAAAACTCTCCTAAAAAAATATAATAAACACCAAAATCATCAACAAAAAATAGAATATGTGGATATAGTTAGTGGATTTAATTTTAGGGAACAGCCTGGTTATGCTATTCCAGTGATAAATTCTATTTTATTGAATAACTACGACTATTCAAAAACTATAAAATTAATTAATAATGAAATAGAAATCGAATCATTGAAGAGTTGGGATCTTTTATTAAAAAAATTACAAATAAAAAACAGATTAATAAATACCTATGATAAAACAGAAGAAGTATAATAAAAAGAAAGTTAACAAATCATCTATCTCTTTAAAATAAATTTATTGACAATCAGTGTTCTAAATTTAACAGTTTTCTTTTAAAGAGAAAAAGTAAAAAAATAAATTATTACTGGTTCTGTTATACAAATATAATTTATATACATACATATATATATATATATACATATGTTACATGGCGTCTTCAACTTCACTAAATAGGTCACTGTCAATATCATCTGGTACATCACTAAAATGATCTTCTGAATCAATTTCACTATCACTCTCTTCAGAGGTATTTTGATCTTCATTTAACTTATCTTGATCTTCAAGCTCCTTTCTTGCATTTCTCCTTTCCAGTTTTCTTTGTTTTTTGGCTTCCTTTGCAGCTTTTTTCTTAGCAATATTTGCTTCTTGTTCCTTTTTTCTTTGTTCTTTTAATCTTAGTTTAGCTTGGTGTCTCCTTTCTAGTAATCTTATTTCTTCATCAGTCTTATGAACAAATTCATGATGCAATACTTTTCCTGAACAAATACCTTCTTCAATTTTAACCAATCTTAAATTTAATCTCGGACCCACTTCAGTTAAACGGATAGCTTTCTTTCTTGGAGCCATATATGGTATATTATTAGTATTAGTACTAACTTCTCTTTTCCCCTCTCCTTCATCATCCTCATTTTCTAAACCTGTCTCTACATCCAATTTTGGTTTTTTCGATTGTTTTATAACACCAATTTTATTATTTTGATTGTTCTCAGATATTTTAACAATTGCATCTTCATCATCTTCCATTTCAGATTCTGATGTATATGCGTTAATGTCATGATCAAGGATTAAAGACGATATGTCTTTCTTTCTATGAAGATTTGGTAAAGACTTGTTTAAATGTGTCTTTGCATTATACAATTTTTTCAAATTTCTTGATAACTCCACGTCTTTAACATCGATAAAATAGTGACGCAAAGAGATTTCTTTTGTCACCGAATCCTTATGTAACATCAGAACTCTTCTAATCGAATTCAATTGTGTCTTATTTGGATTTAAGGGGGGAAAACGTTTTGAAACATTGAAATTATAATTTTTTCCACGTTATTATCTTCACTTTCCTTGTCATTATTATTCTTTGTATTGAACCCATTTAAGACCAATAGGGGTGGATTCAAAACATCTTCTTTGTTCAAGGATTTGGGTCTCTTTAAGAATTTCTTAATATCTTTACTTAAAGAGTAATTCAGCACATTAAAAGTGATAGTTGGACCCTTTGGTGTTCTTGCTACTTTTAGAGAGACGTTACCAGTCTTTTCAGATTGTGTGAAAATAAAAAGATGAGAGACATCTAATGGACCACACATGACGACAAAATCCTTCAACTTATTCGATTTTCTCTCCTTCAATTTGATTGCAGTATACGGTTGCATAATTTGACGGAAATCTTTAACTAATTGATTCAAAGAATGGTTAGATAGAGAGGTTTGACCTACTCTGATGACCATAGATTTAGGAATGCCTTTCAATGCTTCCTGATCTATGGGAACATGTGTTCTCTTTTTGGTTCTTCTTTTAGCCATATTTCTTATTTATACCAGTTGTTACAATTTATATATATATATATATATATCTGTAAGTACAGAATTTCGTATTATTGGCTATAATACAGTTTTCTAGTTCCAAAAAAAAAACAGAATAATAGAGTATAGACAGAATAATAACGTTGTAATAGTTATGATGGGTAAAAAGAGTTAATAAGTTTTTAACTATAGTACCATTTAAACTTCTGTACACTTACATGTATACATAAATACATATAAACATATACACCACTATCTACAGTAGAAAAACAGATTATTAGTTATATTTTTTTTTTCATCTCATCGCAAAGAGGAACAAGAAGAAACAACAGGAAAAAAAAGAAAAATTTTCTTTATTTTTTTTGGAACTTTAGTGGTAAATGACAGTGAAGTTCTATACCTTTTTGCTTCTAAGATAGCACATTAAAATACATTGCTTTAATAAACAGTGTGATATAGGAGAAATGATAGAAAAGTCGTAATGTTAATATAATATAATATAGTATATGGAACTTTACTATTATCCATTCACTAGTCGATTCTTTCTTTCTTCCTTGTCATTTATGTGTTTAACAACATAACAAGAATACTGTATAGATGGAAAAAACAAGTTGTCTTGACAGCTGATCTTTCAAGATATCATCAAGTGAAAATAAAAAAAAGAAAGAAAACAATTAAATAACATTAAATGTAAAATGACCCATTTCTATTACATGAATACTTGCCATCTTATTTTTTATATTTAAATAGTGCTTACAATCACTGTCGCATATACACACATATATATATATGTATACAATTTATTTTTAGAACAAAAAAAATGAAGAAAAGATATCACAAGTCAGCAGAGAATAACATATTATTATTACTATTATTACTATTATTATTATCACTCTTATTTAATTTTTGTTTAAATGTATTTTATTTTCTAACAGGCCAATATTTATAAGATAAGATTTCATTACATATATTTGTCCATTTTTCTTGTCTGCAATATTCTGTCACCCTACGTGTCTCTCTGTCTCTGCGTCTTGCTTTAAACAAATTTTCAATTTCATTCGCAATCACAAAAGACAACAGCAAAACAAAAAGAAAAAACACCGCAGTAACCAAAAAAAAAAAATCAATAAATAAATAAATGAAAAATAAAAAAAAAACCAAAGAAGAAATTAAGAAACAATTTTCAAAGGAAAAAGGAAAAACGACAAAAAAATTATATTACAAGTTATTTTATTTTATTTTATTTTTGACACTTTAATTTAATTAAAAAAAAAAATAATTTTGGTCTGTAAACCTGATAAAATAATAGTCTGATAACCTAAAGGACGTTAGAAATAAACAAGTAAATAAATAAATAAATATATCAATTAATAAATCAAGTGACCAATTAAATAAACAGGAATATATATGCGCATATATATATGTTTCTTATTGTATTAATAACAACAATTAATATTTATTGAAATCGTTATATCCTAATTTAAATTAATTTTTATCAATATTAACCATATATAGATAAAATCAAAAAAAAAAATCAATTAAATTAACTAATTAATTATTTATTTATGATGACTGACATAGCAGAAAAAATACCTAATACCAATACAAATAATAATTCTTCTATGGAGGTGTCAAAAGAAATATCTGACAGTAGTGCCAATAATAATAATAATAATTTCAACATTAATTTACTATCAATTCAAAAAGATACAATAAATGTGAGAAAACAATGTGACGAGTTAGAATCCTTAATTGTCTCGCAGTTGAAAAATAATAATCATTCATTGAATCAATTTATGAAAACTTTGAAAACTATATCACATAACCAAAATGTATTAGAAAATAAATTGGAGGATTTAATGAAAAATCAAATGAATACAGATATCCTAGTTAATAATATAAATCAAAGATTAAATCTTATATCGACTTTAATTAATCCCAAAAATTTATCAAATAAAAAAACTTTATCAGCTAAAGATATTAATATTCTACTATCAAATAACTTTAACAACAATACCACCATCACCACCAACAATAATAATAAAAATAATAATATCAATATTGTCAATGGGTTAACCACTTCTACGAAAAGAGGTCCAGGCAGACCAAGAAAGAATCAAACCAGATATATTAATAATACTGGTAACGCCAATAATAATAATAACAGTAGTAACAACATGAAAAGTTTAGAAAACAATCAAATTAATAATTTATCTCCAATAAATGTCTCTTTACCAACAGGCACCGTTCAGATTTCTAAATCAAAAAGGTATTTTATTGATCCTTTGGATTCAAACAGTTCTTCAATGTCTCCTTTGTTGCCCTTACGTACATCCTCTTCAAATAATAAATCTAAAATCATTACGTCAGTATCACCAAGAAAAATAAAAACAAGAGGTAAAATAAAAAATTACGCTGAAGAAGGAGAAGAAGAGGAAGAAGAAGAAGAAGAAAATAATGAAGATAATATCGAAGAAAAAAATAAGCATAGGAATAACAACACCACGAAACAAAAACTTGCATCACTAAAGGATAGAAAATTAAAAACTGAGGATAAACGTCTTTTAATTGCGCAGGATAACACAGCAGTGGCTACTACTCCACCAAAAAGAAGAAGAGGCAGACCACCGAAGTTGAGAACTGTAGAGACTGTTCTATTAAATACATCAAATCAAATCAATAAAGAAAACACAACCAATGATAAACTATCTCATTCTTCTCAACAGTCAAATTTCAATAATGACGATACTACTAACAATATTGAAAATACTACTTTGGTAGACCAAACAATATTAACCATCGATACAAGTAATAGTAATATATCCTCCGCTAATAATTCAAATATGCATAATCCTGTAGATGAAAATAAAAACAATGATATAAATTCAAATTCAAATTCAAAAATAGTATCAGTTAATCAAGATACCTTAACTACCATCAACAACAACAGCCACAACAATAATAATATTACACCACTTTCTATCCCAATAACAAAAATAATCCCTTTTAAACCAGAAAATGAAAATGAAAGGGATATTATAAATAAAGAAAAACCCAAAGATGAACTTTCGAACGATAAATTACCACAAGAAAATAAAGAACAACAAAGGAAGTTAGATAGATTAAGAGATTCAAGAGAAAAAATGTTAACTAGCTTAAAATATAACGACAGAGCAAGAGCCAAGTCCTTTATGGAATCAAACAAAGAATTATTAATGGCTTTGAAATTGGAGGAAAGAAGGAAAAGATTATCTTCAAATTATGAACATACACTTCCCATAACATCAAAACAACTAAAGAATGAACAAGAGGATCACAGTACTACAAAACCATTAGATCAATCTGACTTAGATAATTCAGATATACTTACTATGAAAAAAGACATAACCACTAAGACAACTATAGATACACACAAATTAAATGATGCAACTGTAGAAACTTGGGAGAAAAAATTTCCTGGTCATTTTCCAGAAGTAAGTCTATCTAATATTGTGAATCAAAAATTAGTTGATGATAGTACTGTTACTACCCCCTTTGATGATAAAAAGACAGATCTATTAAATTTGCTTAATTCAGATCCATATTTTCAAAGGAATAATAATGATATGAAGAAACTTTCAAACACAAACGCAAACTTCCAAACAGAACCAGTAGAAACCAAGATTCAAATATCAGGCAAAATACCAACCATAAATGATACAAGCTTGCAGTTAAACATGAATAATGTCAAAGTAAATTGTCCTTATAATTTAAGGACAAAAAGAAAATTAACAGACCCAAACAGCACAGTCTTCCCTAAAATATCCCAAGAATCAGATACAAATCCAACAACTAAAAAAGCCAAAATATCAACAATCGAAAATTCGAAACAAACTGAAAATAAAATAGACTTAAAAGAAAATAATTTGATAAACAAATCAACGGATAATATGAAGAACATTGAAATAGAAGTGGCTTTAGATAACGGATCCATAAGTGATGATTCAATAAGTGAGGATCTACCCTTTAATGAACCAATAGAATTAGTTTGCAAAGATGGATTCTTTTATAATAAGGGGTCTGATGAACCAATAACTAGCGGTGATTATTTATCATATAAGTTTAAGGGTAAAGAAAAAGATTTGTTGGCTAAAAAATCGAGTAAAGACGAGGATGGGAAACATGGAAATTATACTAGTGTTACAATGGGCTCAGTAAATAAATATGATAGAACAAATGTTCATGTTTTGCAAAGTGCAATTGAACAAGAAACAGAATTTGCATATAGAGTTCTTTCTAAAACTACATTGACAGAAAGCTACGTAAATTCTTTAGAATATTTCATCATGGAGTTCCGTTGGGAAAATAAGTTGGTAAGTCTTGGTTTAAAATTACGCGAATCGAAGAGAACATGGCAAAGGAGAAAAGCGTTATTCACTTTATTTGATTTTTGGAGGGATCAATCTATTGAAAAACGTAATTTCCCTAACTTCACTATGCTACACGCTATTAAAGAGATGGAAAATTATCGTATATTTATTAATAGATCAGTCTCATGGTTTTATAACCATATTACACTTTTAAAGATGATCCTATACGATTTGTGTGATAATGTTGATACACAATGGAGAGATTGGATGTTTCCTAAGGATAAACCTTTACCTGTTATTGGAGGTTACGATGAGGCATCAAAGTCTATCATAACAACAGAAAATATTAATGCAATACTTGATAAAGCTCTAGTTTTTGATCTATTAGATGACGGTACTGAAAATAATGAAATTAAACAATCTCAAGTAGTAGCACCTAATGTTAAATCTTCACAAGAAACCTAGTTCAATATATAAACATTACGTATTGTGCTGAATATAAATTCTGCAGGAGACATAAATTAGTATATAAAACATCTCAAATAACTAAATTATATTCATATGTATAATTGTAAATATACAATCAAGTTTCAATTAATATTTTTTCTTCTCATTCTTTTTCTATCTATTTTAACAATTTAGATGAACCCAATATAAAAATATATAAGATATTGCTGATTAAAATGGTGGTTCATTTGACTAATTTACAAAATTAATTCTCTTTCAATTTTCGCGTCACAATTAATAAGATCATAGATCTAGACTTTTAATTAAAAAAAAGAACATTACATTGGTATCCAATTAGAGTATCGTTTCAAGTTATGCAATATTTGAAATATGATCTAAGATACAACTTTTTCTCATAATTAGCATTATTTCAACAAGAATAATAAAAAAGAAATAAAAAGAAATAAAAGTTTTTTATTTTATTTCTTTTTTAAATTCCAGACCTCTTCTTCGTTATTTAAAGTTTTTTTCCTGATCGAGTAAAAAACAGAAAAAGAAAAAAAAAATTAAATAAAATCATTGTTTGAACAAAAAAAAATAAAATGCATTTGACAAAAAAAATGTGACAGACACGACAGTCACAAGAATGTCAGAATTTTTTATTTTAATCAAAAAAAAACTTTTTATTACATGCAATCCATGTTCATGGCTAGTATTGAGTACAATTACTTCATTAGATCAGTTCATCCATCGTGAAAGAAGGCTGTACATGAGAATTTACATACAATTAGAAGCATTATTCTATTATCTTCTTCATACTGACACTTAATGACATCTAATTCATAATATCCACTGATTCATCATCTAAAAAAACTGCTATGAAATATGGATATGTATATATATATTAGCATCTCTTGACATGCATTTATTAGCTGTAGTATAGTATATATATATATATATTGTTTGTTTATTTGCTGCATATGTAGAGAAAAATTTAGTAAGGAAAAGTATATATGCTTCCTGAAACACTAATACAGAAGTGATATTGACAAATTCCTGTTCTATTGCTATAATATATAAGCACACATACAGATCTGTTTACTACTGTCTTTTACTTTTTTTTAAAGAACTTTGGATATGGATTATAATACATACCCACTACCAATTCAGTCGATTTGGATAGAAGAAGATCAATTTCTAGAAAAAGTATACGGATTTCATATTAATCAAATGTTAGAATTTGAAGGTCATAATAATAGTAACGACGAAATATGTAAAAATAAGGATAAAAGACCAAGAATAGCATTTATAAATAGTAATAAACCACATCTAGGTAACAAAAATAACATCAGTTTAAATCATATAACTACCTTTCCAATTATAGACATCAAAAGGAATGATCAAGATGATAATACAATAAATAAAAGGAATCATTTATTTCCTCAAAAATTATTAAACATATTAAGGAAGAACCAACTGTTAAATAAATTTAAAAAATCACAAATTGACAATGGAAAAAGTTTATATTGTAAAATAAATTCAGCTTTACCAAGTAATGCCAATGCCATAAATAATAATACCATATCTGCACCATTTCAATTTCAACACATATCCCATGGAGAAGATTTACTATCGGATTATAATAATAGTAGTTTGTATGAGGAAATATATAGTTACATTTCAAGAACGGAAAATACAAATGACAAAGAGACATATTATAATAATAATGATACTTGCACATATAATGAAGAATGTAACAAAACTACAGAAAGTACCCTGTTTAGTTCCACAAATTCCAAAAACTCTATGGGATTTAGTGCATTTTGCACACCTAAGTTGAACACTGCCGAATCCACAAGCTCTAGTAGAATATTTGATTTAGAAAAAAATACTGATTACAAAGCATACTCGTTTCCCTGCACAGTGACCCCACCTTCTTCATTTAAACAATACGAGACCTCTTGATTACTGTTGATAAAGTTTATATTATCAATCTTGATATGTATAGTATTAGAGACGAATACTTCATCTACTGCATCAAAATTGGACAAGTTTCATCTTTACTCTTCGAGGAAAAAAATTTTTTTGTTGCCTTTTTGTTTTTTATTTCTCTCTGAATAAAAAGAAAAAAAGAAGAACCAATGATATAAAGATGATTCATAAATCTATGACTAAAACACAAAGATGTTTATCTTTATTTTTACGATGAAGGAGAGTATTAATAACAATTTATTATTTATCATTTAACATGTTCTTCTTTTGTTTGTTTTGGTTCTTAAGTATTTCAATATATAATCTTTCTATGGACAGTTCTGTTGTAATAAATATTCTATAATAACAATAGTAAGCTTGATATTAGTAGATTACTTATAAATTAGATAAATTTACAAAATTATACAAAGTTCAACTTTGATCATTAAAATAAAAAAAAAAAAAACAGAAATGAGTGATACTATAAAAGAGGTAAATGATGATCTAATTATTAGATATGTCAATAAAGATGACAAAGAAGATTGGGTTAGATTATGGGAAGGTTTCCAAACACATTATGAGAACAAAGCACCAAAAGGTATCGAAGAAATAACCTTCCCCAAATTTCTAGATCCCAATATCAAAATGTGGTCTGCTTTAGCCATTAATGTAAAGAAAAATAAAGCTGTTGGTATGGTTAATTTTTTAAGTCATCACTCTACTTGGGATGTGACGGAAGTCATATATTTAAATGATCTATATGTAGATGAAAATGAAAGAGTAAAGGGGATTGGTAGAAGGTTGATTGAGTTTGTTTATAAAGAAGCAGACAGAATGGGGACTCCATCAGTTTATTGGACTACTGATCATTTCAACCACCGTGCCCAATTATTATATACTAAAGTTAGTAAATTAAGTTCTAAACGTATTTACAAAAGATCTCTATCTCAATGAGACTGATGCAACAATAGTTTTGTTGATTATGTAGCTTTACATATATGTCCATACACTAGTAGTACTATTCTATATGTATCATACTTTTATGACAGTCTGAAGATAGAGAATTTTTAGTTTCCCTACAAACATATTTTAGTTTATTTTTCTTTTCTTTTTCTCGATAAGAAAAAAAAGACACGAACCATTTAAAAAGATCAATGAATTTATTGCAATTAGTGTTGTAAGATGAAAGTATTAACAAGATCTAGAAATATAGAAAAGGAACAGAGAGGAAGAACAAAAAAAATATGAATGTGAAAATATTTAATAGATATAACGTTATAAGGATCATAACGATATTGTTATTGCTATCACTTTGGATATATTTTTCAGACATTAGCATATCATACTCTAATTCATTCAATTTAATACGAGACAAAAATATAATAATAAATAATGAGCCTCCATTTAATGAATATTACAATGACAAAGCAATTTATGAGAATACAATGATGAAAGAAATAGGCAATTACGCTTGGTTACAATTTCATGAAATAATTAATAATATAGATATATCTATGGATTATAAGGTAACACAGAATAAAAAGGAATGTGATAAGTTAGATAAATTTCTACAATTATTTAGTGATTTATATCCAAACTGTAATAGTCTTCATGGTTCTGACATGTTTAACGAAATATTGGAAACCAATCCTATTCCAACATGTTCGAATAAATTCATATTAAAGTGGTGGGGTTGTCATATTCATAATAAAATGAATCTTAAACTAGGTAAAAATGAATTTGATTGCTATAATTTATTTACTAAGGAAGAGTTATCATCAAATGATATTAAGTTCAATAAAGTAACACTTGAAATTGAAGAAAAACAGCTGGGTTGAAATAATAAAAACGGCAAAAAAATAAGTAATAATCGCATTATAATGTCGATATTTCGTAAAACTACTGAATGTAATTGTTGAATACCTCTCTTTTATCTTTATATTTCTCTATTTGAATATAAAACATATATATTATTATTATTCAAAACATTGATATATATATATGTATATATGCATAATTATCAACAACTGCACACTTTTTTATAGACACACTAGCGTACCAAATAACTATTTTAATTAACAAAAAACAAATGCTTGTTCGATTTCTTTACCTTTATTTTTATGTATTATAACTTATACAGATAGAAGTATATACACACATTCATGAATACACAAAAGCAATGGTACACAATGAAAAAGAATAATACAATAAGTGCGTGAAAAATTCCTAGTTATAATACACTGCTATCAAAAACTGTTCAACCACCCAACAGAATACAACTAAAAAGACATGTAAAATGACGAATATTACAAAAAATAAAAAAGAAATTAAACTAAAACCATGCATATATTGAATATTAAAAAAACTCTCCCCTTCTTTTTCTAGTTAATTAGGAGAATGATGCAACTATCATATTCTGTTGGAACACACATGCACAACTGCAAATATGCATATAATAGAACAGCCAAAAAAAAGATAAAACATCCTTCAATAAGATATCTCACTTTTTATTAAATCTGATAATTTAAAGTAATGTCAATGAATTTCTTCTTTCTTTTTGAGTGTCTTGTTCCCCAATTTTATTACTATTTATGGCATTTATCAAAAATGACTTTTCTAATGGGTCTAAATCAGTAACACTTGCATCTGAGTTTTTTCTTGATGATGGACGGGAAACAGGCGATAGATTTGGAATGACAAATGGTTGATTATTACTAGATTCTGGTAATAAAGCTAAGAAATGCATGCTTATTTGTTGCTTTGTTTGTTTATACGGCAAAATTTGTAACTCGAAAAATGTAATTGAAAAATATGATACTATCAATAACTAATATAAGCTCTTTTATTGTGCTTAGAATTAATTATCTATTTGATTGGTCTTTTTTTCTTTTAAGATATTTAGTACAAATGTAAAAGAACAAAGTTGTGAAGACAAAAAGTAAGATTGTCACAATATTAATAAATCTCTTCCTTTTATATATTTCTATTAAATAGAAATAAACCTTTTAGTAATTACACACATATTATTTTATGAATGACATAGATATAGAAATTAAGGGTGAGAAAATAAAAAAAAAAGAAAAAGAGAAGAATTACACATGTTAACAACTGCCTACAGGTGAGGTCGGAAAAACGGCGGTCTTCTGGAAAAAGAAAACAAAAAGTAGGGGCAAAAAATTAAAAGGTAGAAAATGCACGCATGTATAATACCGGCCCCAAAAAAGATCGGGCGAAACATAATTATTTTACATTTTTCCAATATACACTGTTGCTTGGAGTTAGGGTTAGCAAAAGACGTTCACGCGTCTTTTGCATATATATTTTTTTCTTGAAGTTTATTTTTATTGAATATTTAGCAAGTGTGTGAGAATAAGGAAACTTTGCAACAGTAGCAAGGTGTAAACCTCACATTGATACTAACGACTTGTGTGTACTTAAAAAATAGAGTTAGTAGTAACTTTGGTGCCATCTTATCTTTGTAAATTTCATAGTGTTTATATGATTACTTACCAACTATATTGTTTTGTTGGAACGAACCTGATTAGGGTTTAAGCAAAAAAAATAGATGGAGGTTAAATTACAGTAGGGCTCGAATAAAATTTTAAAAGATGTTTCTCTAAAGGTACATTTTTTACAAGCTTTTTTTTGTGTGAAAAACTTTAAGGGAACACCACTAACGACAAGATAACATTTAAAATTTACCCACGGGTCATCGCAAAATGACAAAAAAAAACAATAGAACTGGTCATTCAAAATAATTTTCGAGAACGGCTGTACACAATAGAAAACGGAGGAAAGACAAAGAAAAAAATAGAAGAGCATTTTGATGACATAATATTATTTATGACCCTCTGCGCCCCCTCCCCTGTAACAAAGATATGTAATGTATTGAACAATTTAGAAAGCTATGTCATGAAATGTACAATGTGTTGATTTCATGATGCTAAGACGTCATGAAGTTTTACAAAAAACCAAAACTCAAATCAGAACAGTTTGATTACTAAACGAACCAAAGTTTTTACTTTAGCAGATGATTCAATACACCTTAATTTAAACAAATTGACAATAAGATTATACTAAAAACTGAAATAAATTGGATGAGGAAGATAGTAACTATTAGAGATTTCTATCATCCCTAAAAATGAAATTTGTGGGACATTCAATTTGCTTGGTTATTTTTTTTATTTTAAGAGTTGTTGTAGAGCTTAAATTTCAATGGTTTATTTTACGAAAATAATACGTTCAGTATTCCAAATATAGCCCTATTTTAGTAAAAGGTCAAAAATAAGGCAGAGAAATAATACAGTTTTTTTACAATTGAGCTCAGCGTAATTTTTTACAAGTATTGTGTTACTATGTACACATGTACACTACTGTGATACACGTTATCATGTTTTTATTGAAATTGTCTCTTTGTTGAACCTTCCAATTAGCGTTAATTTGTTCTTATTGTTACTTTAGCTTGGAGGTCTGGAAAATTTCTTAGTTAAATAGTCTGGGACAAAATACAAAAGACAGAACATAATCATCTTCTATGGCCTACCTCCCCAACGTGTTAAATATGGAGTAATGGAAGATAAAAATTAGGATATTTTTCGAAACAGAAATAGTAGTGACCATTATTCTTTTAACATGACGTATATAACTTTAACTTGACAATGCCAAAATGTGGCTTTTTTTCTTTTCTTTTCTTCAGAATATCGATACTTATCGTTCTGGAACTGATGTATTTGAAAACAATCTTATCATTAATGTGCTTAGAGTTGGCTATGTCTTTATTTTCCTATTTGAACAAGTGTGATGAACTATTGAAATTACGTTAAGCAAATAACCATGAACTATATTTTTTATACGACAACCAACGAAAAAAAAAAAGATGCTAAATTTAACATCACACTGCATATCAATTGATTTTAAACAGCTATAAAATTACTTATACCAGTATAAGGTTTTCGACTCATACCGAAAAAATAATTTCCGGCTGAAGAAAATTGGAACAACTTACGGCTGTTATTCTAATAAAGCTAAAAAGAAAAGTTCTCGAGATACTTCTGTTAAAAATATGTTTAATAATATGGAGCATTTGAAAAAAGAGCTTTAAAATTTAGTAAAGAAAAATGTATGGGTGTAGACTTTTCTTTTCTTTAATTCAATAGGAGTAATATATATCTCCTTTACACTAAACAATATTCATTATATATATATATATGTAATTTTTACTCATAATTGTTAGTAGTTACTCTTATTCTGTACCATTGTTGTCTTTTCTCTTTATATACAATTACCATGAGTGAAAAGTTCTGTTTATTTTGTCTTTAGAATATTTATCTATTTGAATGTATATCCAATAACAGATTGGGTAGCCTTTAAGGCTTCAAACTTTATTCTAGAATCACTATGATTTAATAATTCCATGATAACAACCTTTCCGTTTAATTTATTTAATATGTTTACACTTTCTTCCGGTAATAATTCAATTACATGGGTGATATCATTCAACAACACCTGAATTACAATCTTATCATTAGGTTCATTTGAATCTTTAAATTCAATTAATAATTCAATCAATTTCTTAAATAATTTCCAATTGTCCTGCTTAAATCTGTCAATATTATCACACCAAAAGGAGTTGTCGACATGTGGTGGAGACCAACAGATAAGTTTAGAGTTGATTTCTGCCAAATATTCGTCAAAAGATGTTAATTCCTTGTATTCCTCTTCTAAAAGTGTCTTTAAAGTGGTGATGTCAGATCTTAATTCTTCATCAGAGTACTTTCTTTCACTCAAACTATTTAAAGTAGGGATGCCGTTTCCTAATAAAATTAAATCTTTGATAAATGTTTTATGACCTTTTATCTCTTTGGAACAGCACTGTAATATTATGGCTATACACAGTCTTGAAATCTTTTCCTTTATAGTGATTCTAATCAATTGGAATAAATTCAAAAAATTGTTCAAATATTGTTTTTCCATATCAGAAGCAATCCTTGTATCAAAAGTCAATAACCAAATTAATAATAATGAATAGTATTGTAATTGAATACCCAAATTATTAGTATTAGTATTGACAAAAATTGGTCTTTCTTGCTGACTACTAGAATATGCATTATTATTAGTACTGTTGTAATTTTTTTGAGAATTTAAATTCTTGGAAATAATCTTAAACACTGTAGGTATAAATCGTTTATTATTTTCCCATAGTATACTTCTATATTCTTTGACAGTGCATAATTCTTGTACAAGTCTAATGCAAACATAACAAGCATCCATTTGACTTGTATTTTGTAAAATTGAAATGAAACGATCGTTGTTAATCAGCTTTTCTACTAAAGATACGTTAACCAATTGAACTTGATTCAATAATGACACAATATTAAATGAAGAAATTAAAATAGTTTGTAAATCGTCGTTTTCTTTAAATGAGATATCATAAAGCTTGACTAATTGGTCAGGATTCATTTGGAAATATTTGATTGTATCTTGTGCAATTGTATATTTATCAGATGTTAATAATTCTGATATCAAATTTTGAACAGACTTAATAGAATCACTGTTCTCTGAAGTTGATAACAAATGAATCAAAGGTTCAATCCATGTGCCATCGATACGTAGATTCCTCAACTCTTTATCATGTCCATTTATATTTTTAATCAGCAAAGTTTCCAATTTTTTAGCTATTGAAGCATCTAATTCACTTAATTCAGACGATCTAGTCAATGCATCCCATGCAACAGAACGAGAACGTAATGCATTACGAATCTCCATAAAATGCGTACTATCTAACAAAATCTGAACAGGTTCACTCATTTTATGAATAGAGGCTGGTTATTTGTACAGTTATAAACAGATAAATGAAGGAAGTTCGAGAATATGTTTCAAAGTTACTTTGATGCCATCATAATTAATAAAAAATTGACGATAATGCCTCTTCCTATTAATCTATCTAGCAAATAAGTGATAACATTATTTTACAGGTAATTTTCATTTTTCTAAGATAGTAAAAAAATAGAGGAACGGGAAAAAGACCACCTTAAAATATTTTTATTTAAGCCCGTTTATAATGATATATATATTTTTCACTATCTATAAGTTTCTGTGAAAAATGGTTGTTTTTTTTTTCTGAGAAGATGTGTATCCCCTTCCCCATGTCACCACTTTTCTATAGCTATATACTACTACAGTAAATTATCTATATGACTCGTTAAAAACGAACAACAAAGAAAGACTCTTCTTTTACTCTTTTACATTAAATAATACAATACTATTGATATTGTATTTGGAAGTCATGTTCAGTTCCATCAGCCATTCATATCGATGAGTCTTCACAATAAGAGTACAAAGCAAAAATTGTAGCATAGCTAACAAAAAAATATATTCGTTATTATATTTTGAAAAGACTATTATACTACACATAAATTACACATTATTAAATAAATAAAATAAATAAATAAATATGATAGAATCGCAATACTCTCGCAGTTATGCTAAGGCACAGTCATTAAAGAAGAAATTTAGGAATTAAGTTTATCATCATTACAAAATAGAATTAAAGATATAAAAATAACAACAAAAAAAACAAATCTCAGTTTTCTCGATGTTAAGATCTATAGTGTTTATCATTGGATTGTCATTCTGTATTCGTTATTTTTTCTTGGTTTTCACATCAAAAAAATAGGAAAAAAGGAATGTTTATAACTTCAGGAGAATTCTCTTTCAAATTCCTTGCACATGTCAGCATTTTCAATAGCGCCACAAATAGTTTCACACATGATACCAGTAACCAAATATGGATCGATGTTAGAAGCTGGTCTACGATCTTCGAAGTAACCGTAACCTTCCTTGGCAACAGATCTTGGAATTCTTATAGAGGCACCTCTGTTAGCAACACCGGCTGAAAAAGTAGACATAGAAGCGGTCTCGTGTCTACCAGTTAATCTTTGATCGTTATCAGCACCATATAACTTGATATGTTCGTCATGTCTCTTTGATAGTTTTTCGATAGCTTCTTCAATATACTTCATACCACCTGGCAATCTCATGTTCTTAGTAGAGACATTGGTATGGCAACCAGCACCATTCCAGTCACCCTTTAATGGTTTTGGATGGAAAGAAATCTTAACACCAAATTCTTCAGCAGTCCTGTGTAAGAAGTATCTTGCCATCCATAATTGATCACCCATGTCAATACCGGTACATGGACCAACTTGAAACTCCCATTGAGATGGCATAACTTCCGCATTAATACCAGAGATGTTAATACCAGCATATAGACAGGCTCTGTAGTGAGCTTCAATAACATCACGAGCGTAAACCTTACCAGCACCAACACCACAGTAGTAAGGACCTTGTGGAGCTGGGAAACCACCCTTTGGCCAACCATAGACGTTGTCATAGGAGTCGAAAAGAGTGTATTCTTGTTCTAAACCAAACCAGATTTCTTCGTCCTTGTGAGCCTTGAATAACTTAGCAGCTTCATGCCTGTGGTTGAACTTGTTTGGAGTACCGTCGTTGTTGAAACATTCGGCAAGGACGACGATATTGTCACCTCTTCTAAATGGGTCTGGGTAGAAAGCAACAGGTTTTAAGTAAACATCAGAGTCATGACCCGGGGCTTGGTTAGTGGAGGAACCATCAAAGTTCCATTCTGGTAATTGATCAACAGAAGTGATCTTCTTTCTCAAAGTTCTACCTTTAGAACGTAAGTTACCAGTACCATCGATCCAAACATATTCGGCGATGATAGCACCTCGTTGGTCTAAATCTAAATATTTTTGTAAAATAATAGTCTTTTCAATATGAGTGTTTTCTTCAGACATTGCTACTGTGTATGTGTTAGAAAAAAGAAAAAAAGATTGATTAAAAAACAAAAAGGAGGAAAGAGAGAGTAAATGCTAATAATCTATAAAAGCAAAAGTTTAATGAGGAATAAACTTAACGTTTTCTTCTTGGGGGACTTCCGTTTGGGGTAGAAAAGGATAGCAGGAAAAAGAAAGAAATGCCTCTAAGCTAACATCAAAGTCACAGACTCAACTACCTTTATATATATGACTTTAGAAATGATTCTTTAAATTCTAAGAATTAGAAAGTGCAATAACAGCATAGACAATATCAATTCCCAATTTATTTTCTTTCTTTTTTCCTTTTTTCTTTTCTTTTTACTAAAAATAAAAATAAGAAAAACAAAAAAAATAAAAAAGAGTCTCGATAACACTATTATTATTGTTATTGTTATTATTGTTATTATTATTATTAGAAAACTGTAGTGAAAGGAAAATTTCCAGATGAATCATCCATCCATTCATCCATCATCATTATCACGAAGTTGGAAAAACGGCGGTCTTCTGGAAAAAGAAAACAAAAAGTAGGGACAAAAAATTAAAAGGTAGAAAATGCACGCATGTATAATACCGGCCCCAAAAAAGATCGGGCGAAACATAATTATTTTACATTTTTCCAATATACACTGTTGCTTGGAGTTAGGGTTAGCAAAAGACGTTCACGTGTCTTTTGCATATATATTTTTTTCTTGAAGTTTATTTTTATTGAATATTTAGCAAGTGTGTGAGAATAAGGAAACTTTGCAACAGTAGCAAGGTGTAAACCTCACATTGATACCAACGACTTGTGTGTACTTAAAAAATAGAGTTAGTAGTAACTTCGGTGCAATCTTATCTTTGTAAATTTCATAGTGTTTATATGATTACTTACCAACTTTATTGTTTTGTTGGAACGAACCTGATTAGGGTTTAAGCAAAAAAAATAGATGGAGGTTAAATTACAGTAGGGCTCGAATAAAATTTTAAAAGATGTTTCTCTAAAGGTACATTTTTTACAAGCCTTTTTTGTGTGAAAAACTTTAAGGGAAGACTGCCAATGATGATCAAATTTTTCGACTCTACATTATTTTATTATTATGTATTGATAAGGAAACAAGTGGCTTTTCCGATTATCCCACAAATAAATTAATATTATTTTTAACTCTCCCTCATCCTTTTTTTCTTTTACATTTACCTTCAACACAATGCTATTTTCATCGCTCTGTCGTTTTTTTTTCTTTTTCCTTTTTTTCCTTAGACAAACAAAATTTGCAAAAGGGAAATTTTGGCCTTATCTAATAGATAAGAAAATTCTTGCCATTATTCACATCGTTATCAAAAATGTAAACATAAACAAACGGACAATTATGGTGACTCTGTTATTGATATTGTTATTATGTTTGTTTTACTGTTTTTTTTTTTTTTTTTTTTCCAGTGGTACGGGCTAATTACACCCATACACCGTTTAATTGCAGATGTAGTTACTTTTTAGTTTTTTTTTGTTTTTGTTTTTTTTTTTTGCTTTGCTTTTTTCCTGTCTTTTAAAAGAAAAAGGACAAGCAATGCTTGAACAATCGTACCTTCATCATAATCGGTCTTTAATTCACGGTGTGGTTTCCTTTTCGAGTAAAACAACAAACAGCAAGGCCCTCTACATCATTTCTGAGGCATAACTATTGTATTTCCTCTGCTTTTGGTGTTGTTTTCTTGTTTCCTCATGTCACACTATTATTTTTACTCTCATTATTATTGAAATCGTCATTATTTTACCATCAAGTCCTTTTCCATGATATTTAGAAGGAAGATTATTGAGTTGGAAAAAAGAAAAAATCACTCAAATCAAAAATTTAATACAAAAAAATATTCAATTAGCAAAAAGTGGGAAAGCAGAAAGAGACAGATTTTAATAACATTGTAAAATAAAATGTTATCACTTTATCAACATATTTGAGGGTGTGGAGACTTGTGCATCGTTGTTATTATGATCACTACTATTATTATTCTAATATTACTGGAATATGTGTTAAGGTAATATAATTTTACAAGTTTGATGGTACCACCTCTTCATTTTGCTTGTTTCCCCCCTTTTGATAAGAATTTGTTCGTGTTTATACATTACGACTCGTGGAGTACAAAATTGATCCTTTCTCCCACTTATTTTACTGTATTTCGCTTGCTTTTCAATATGTATCAAAACAGTTAAGATTTCACAAAAGAACTATCAAATAGCTCAACGGGGTAACATTCCCCATGAGGTATGGCAAAACTTATGAATTTGTAGTAAATGGTTTAAAGACAAATATAAAAGGAAGTAAAAAAACGTCTTGCCAATAAATAATGGAATACGGCTTCTGCATTAAATTATTTACATATTTGAAGGTACTGTATAAAAAGGAAAAACAACCCGACAACCGTGTAACTTCTTTGTATTTTGCACATTACGAGAAAAATATTTTAGATTGAAATCTGAAAAAAGAAAAAAAAAATCAAAATAAAGAAGATTGTATTTTTATATACATAACTGTACATAAACATACATTAATGGATGTTTTGTTGGTCAGACGTTGTTGCCACCGCCTGTAATTCTCTAAATATGAGATTCTATTAGTTTAGTTGTATCTAACTTTCGTAAATGTTTCAATCTATTCTTTTAAAATGCCGAGGTAATCACTGACATACTATATATTAACATGTGAATTCTATTTAGCTTATCTTTTTCCCCTCCCTATTTGACATCTTTGTATGTTGTAGTACTGTTTTTTTATTGATATTATAATTTTCTGCAGATAGGAGGAAATAGTCCTTAATAAACACATATTGGGATTGTCCCATATAGTATGGTATTATTGTTAATACTTTTACTTCTCTTTCTATATATTGTTGTTTTTTCTTATAACTATAATACCAGAATAGTACTATCAAAATAATAGAAAAAAAATTATGTTTGAACAGATTCTTCATTAGTGTTTAAAGAGTTTTGGGCGGATATCCATTCTTCTTGTGAATACCATCTACCTAATTCCCAGGTTGGTAAATTTGCCATGGTACAACAACTAATCCACCCTTGTAACTGTCTGTCCATCGTATATTGATTAGCAAAAGTAATTAATTTATATTGTGGGAATCTAATTGATAATTCCTGAATTATACGTTGTTCCATACCATTAATTAATGAGGTTGACCCTGTTATGATAACATTGGTTAATAGAGATGAATAAATATGTTCTGGAGTGGTAGTTACAGAATTTCCGTTATTGCCCATTTGGATTGAAGATGGGAATCCATCAAGGAAATTGATATTGTTGTCAAACCTATTTAATCCACTATTTCTGTTACTGTTAGTGCCATCAGATGTTGGCTTAGGAGGTATGATTAATGATGACCCAATAGTCCTTATCATAGTGTTGTTAGGATTTGCACTAGTATTTTTGTGACTATTACTACTAATCTCACCACTTTTATCAGTATTGGTATTATCACCATCAATATTATTATTTGTACTATTACATATGGTTGCAGCAGTCTTCTTGACACACTTACTAACAATTTCACTCAATCCATCATCTTGTGGAAATGTCTCAGAAAATAAATTAGGCTTAAAAAGGTACTCACTAATACTTAATATATCTTTTTGAGTCAATTTCAAAGTCTTATTAAGTGGTTTATACAAGTAATTTTTATTTTGTGTTAATGGATTATTTGTCATATTGATTATATTACTATTGAATGCTGGCACAGTACCTGTAACAATTCCTGTCCCACCAAGTTGTTTCATTTGTTCTTGTTGCTTTAAATACATTTGTTCTTGTTCTCTATAATATCTCTCTAAGTCCTGTAAATCTTTATCACATACTTGTAACATTGTCATTTTAAAATCTTGGATACAAGTATTTGATTCCCACCAAATCTCGATTGGAGTCTTCTCTTTGGGTTCTAAATTTGTGTTTATATTTTCATTAGAATTCTTAACTTTTTGATCTAGGAATTTACTAATAACATAATCCAAAAATGCTCCACCATATTTATTTTTAGTGACACCATTCTTAACTACAATCCCATCAATAACAGGTGTTATTTTACATCCATTAAAACCGATATCAATAACTAATGCATTTTTCTTGCCCATGGATAATGTGGTAGCTAAGGGTTCTAACAAAAACTGTATTATTGGAACATCAAATTTTTCAAATGCTAATTCCATATACTTTTCCATTAAAATTCTTAATTGGGTAGTTTTTGATATCATAGGAATAGAAATTACCATTGGATATTCTTTTGGATCACATTGCAATTTTTGTTTAAATATATAATCCCATTGTTTTTCTAAAGCAGTCCAATTATATGGTATCTCATTTTCATTTACCAAGGTAAACACCTCATAATCATCTTTAGATGCAGTACTGTTTCTAGATGAGGAAAGTTGTAACATTTCATACTTATCAAAAATGTACTCATTTAAATTGTTTTTATTTTGCATATAGGTTGATGGTAAAATACAGGTTGGAAGTTCCCTATCGCTGAAACCTACAATTGTAGAATGAGAACCAATAGATATTACTATACATTTCTTTTCAGAGGGCATCTTTTTTTTTGTTTTTATTCTTATTTATTATTATCACTATGATATAATATATCACCCTATTGAAGGTTCTTAATAATTTTGTTTTTTAATTCTTAACGTAAATATCTTTTGATATGCCTAAAACCTTTGATAAAATAAACCAAGTGAGTAATAGTATCTTTTTTTGTGTGGAAAGTCCTGTTCTTTTTTAATCTAATTGTACTTTTTACAATATCTGTTCTTTTTGTTTCTTGGTTTGTTTTTTTAAATTTCTTCGAAAATTTTCAATTTTATTTTTTTGAGGAACCCGAAGATTGTAGCTACTTCTTTCTTTCAACAAACCTCTATATAAAAAAATATACTTATACAAATCAATATCATGCTTATAGTAACCTAAATATAGTAAATATAATATTAGTTATTAATTCAGAAACACAGTGAATAATGATTACAAAATAATGTATATAATTGTTGAAATAGATAAAAAGATGCTTGCATTTTAGTTATTTTTTAGACGTATTTTATAAAATTTGGTAAATTTTATAGTGCTTGAAAAAAAAAAATTAATATAGTTTCTCTGTCTTTATCAAACAATATTCTGTTTGTTCAGGAATGAAAACAATTTGACGTTTCGTAGGCGTTTTTCCGAATAATTAAAACGTTCTGTAACTTTCTGAGATTATAGTTGAGGACGTAATTAAAAATAGTGTTGAATAGAACCTCAACAAATGGTCTGTTCAAAATAATATGTTCAAAAAAAGCAAGAATAATGTCGGTTAAAGTAGATTGTAGAGATAGTAATATCATTTCAGTTTCGGTATATAATTATAGCAATATGGTTGAACAATCTTGTGGTTCAGATTATTGTGTGTAGATAGGGAATAGAAAAGCTATTTGCTAAAATATAATTCCTTTTTATATTTGTATATTGCATATATATATACTTAATATTTATGATTACTTAAAAGCAAGATTTCCTTTGGACTTATATAAGAATATACCAAAGATTTAAAATCTATCACTTGTTCATTAGCAGCACTGGATTAGGTATTTAAATCTAATATAGTTTCTTTCTCTTGTAACTTTCTTAAAATTCCTAAATAAAACGTATATCACAATACATTGTTGATTGTTTCCTCCCTCTCATTGCAATTATATGGTTTATCTTTCAGTTTGATCTAAAATTGACACATTTATTCTGAAAGTTTTCCTTAAAAGTAACAATAAAACAAAGAATCTTGTATAAAAATACAATATCAAAAATATGCATTCGAGCCTAAAGAAAAAGTAAAACTCAATTAGTTTTCTATTATCCAATACGAATCTTTAAAAAAAAAAATCATTACCGACTTTTTGAGTTGTTTTTTTTTTTGCTTGTTTTGTTCATTATTTTAGAAAAGCAATTTTCTGTATAAAAAGGTTTCTATCAGATGTAGTAACATTAATATTTTTGGTTTTCAGTATATATGTTGGTATATGTTCGTATATAATTCATTGTTTATGCTCAATAACTAGGATGATAAAACTCTGTAGAAATGGAAAAAATATATATATCCTTAAATAAAACAGGACTAGTGTAACAAGCAACACTAGGGTGTTTTTTTTTATTAACTTTCTTTCATTCTCTATGATTGAGGTCTGTATTATTCATATTCATATTTCTTAGATATATTAATTTAAATGTAAATAATGATTTTTTTTTTGTTTAAAGTAATAGAGTATTACACTATAAAGAACGCAAGTACAAGTAAAAATAAAATGCAAGTCGATTAGTCCCTGGAATAATAAAAAAATGTTGGACTATTATAATTAATAAATATATAAAAATAAGATCATTAGAAGAAAAATAAAGCACTAAAACCTATTGAAATACTGTCTTTTAAGAACAAGCTAAAATTTATAAAAGCTTTTTTTTAAAAAACCCAGAAACATTGTTATATACAGTTATCTTCTGATCTAATATTATTCTTTTTTCTGATTAATATTCTAGCTCCTTATTTTTGTTTTTAGTTGCTTAGAATATTAATCAATTTTTTTTTTTAGTATCTTCACTGACAAATGTCAACAAGAACTTTTAACATCTTTAACAAAATATAAAAAAAAACAATAAAAGTAGTTTGGTTGAAAATTCTGATAAACTTTATTTTTATTTACTAATTACATATAGAAATGTTATCAAACCAATTTATACATTCCTTATATTTATCTTCTTCTAGCTCTCATAGTGAAAGTTGTTCATTCTACATTAGGAATTAGTTAAGGCTAATATTTCAGTACTAATTGTATAATTTTAGCAAAAGTATTAAAAAGGGAGTACATATATATATATATATATCCGATATCATCCTCGTTATCAGTTCACTAACGTATACATTTTAAATAAGATGTGTTGAAATAAAATGTTCTGTAATGAAATAGATAGAACAATAAGATTTTAGCAGACACTAAACGATAAATTGTTGAGTAATAATTGTTGAGAGGTCACCAAAGGTTGTTGAGTTTGTTTATTAAATATCTTACTGTTCGTAGAGGAAAATGGCTAAATGTTAACATATATAAAGTCAAGGATTTCATCATGCATTATTTTTATCTTATTTGCAATCTTTGTATATTACTATTTCTATGTTGTATATAGAGAAAAACAAAAGTGAGGAACTTTATTATAATTTTGTATACTAAATCTGCTTAATATAATATTGAGAATGTTTACTATATATCCAATGAATAAAGGTGCTCATTCTCAACAAGATGACTTATTAAAGTTATCAAGCTCTCTATTTCTGTATACCTGTTTTGATTGTTTCGTTTGTTGTGATCTTTATATGATTTTACGCTTTTCTTATTTTTTTTTTATTTTTTTTTATTTTTAGTCATCTCAATTGTTTTTTTCTTGTGTTTCTTTTTTCTTTTCCTGCTGGCGGAATTGATGAAAAATTCCTCGAGACAACATTTTTTTCATCTTATATTTTTGTTTTTTATCTTGAAATATGGATGAGGCCATCTACCAAAAAATATGTCAGTTTCGAAAATAATATCAGTTGATAGCAGAATATTAAAAATCTTTGAAAACATTTCATTTTTGTTAATATTGCTATTCATTTTTTTACATAGTGCTTGTTATTAATTCTACCTTCACGATTCTAATCCCTTCTTATACACATTTTTTCAATTAAAGTCTCTCTCTATACCTGTATATTAATATTCTATTTTACTCTTTTTTTCTTTTACTCTTTTATAGATGCTCTCTAGAGCATTACTGTCACCTATCCCAACAAGATTTCTCCGAAGAACTATCAAATATTTCACAATGTCTTCAGAACAATCCCAAAAGATTACTAATCCTGAAATCTTGTCTACCTCTGTTAAAGATTCCAAGAAGAATGGTGACAAAAAACAAGATAAGAAATCTAAATTACAAGTCTCTCTAAAGACCCCAAAGGGCACTAAAGATTGGGCTGACTCCGATATGGTTATTAGAGAGGCCATCTTCTCTACACTTTCTAGTTTATTCAAACGCCATGGTGCCGTCACAATCGACACCCCAGTTTTTGAATTGCGTGAAATTTTAGCTGGAAAATATGGTGAAGATTCTAAATTAATTTACAATTTAGAAGATCAAGGTGGTGAATTATCCTCTTTACGTTACGATTTGACCGTTCCATTTGCAAGATATGTTGCAATGAATAATATTCAAAATATTAAAAGATACCATATTGCCAAAGTCTACAGAAGAGATCAACCTGCTATGACTAAAGGTAGAATGAGGGAATTTTATCAGTGTGATATTGATTTTGCCGGTTCTTATGAATCCATGGTCCCAGACGCTGAAATCCTATCTATCCTTGTTGAAGGTTTAACTTCTTTAGGTATAAAAGATTTCAAAGTCAAACTAAATCACAGAAAGATTCTTGACGGTATCTTCCAAATCTCTGGTGTCGCTAAAGAAGATGTCAGAAAGATTTCTTCCGCCGTTGATAAGTTAGATAAATTACCATGGGATGCAGTTAAAAAGGAAATCACCGTCGAAAAGGGGCAATCTGAAGAAACTGCAAATAAAATTGGTGAATATGTTAAATTGAATGGGACTCTACAAGAAGTTTATGATTTGTTGTCTAAGGATGAAGCTATTATAAATAATGAAATGGCAAAACAAGGATTGGATGACATCAAAACTTTAATGAACTATGTTGAGTCTTTTGATATCAATAAGTATATCTCCTTCGACTTATCCCTAGCTAGAGGTTTAGATTACTACACCGGTTTGATTTATGAAGCTATTACTGAAGCCTCTGCCCCACCTGAAAATGCTCAAGAATTGAAAAAGAAGGCTAAATCCTCTGATGATGCTTCTGAATACGTTGGTGTCGGTTCTATTGCCGCTGGTGGTCGTTACGACAATTTAGTTAACATGTTTGCTCAAGCCTCTGGTAAAAAGGCTGCTCAAATCCCATGTGTGGGTGTCTCCTTCGGTGTTGAAAGATTATTCTCCTTGATTAAACAAAGAACTCACCTAACTGAAAAAATCAAACCTATTGCAACACAAGTCATTGTCATGGCCTTCGGTGGTGGTAAGGATTGGACTGGTTTCTTACCTGAAAGAATGAAAGTTGCCAAACAATTATGGAACGCAGGTATTGAAGCTGAATATGTCTATAAATCAAAAGTTAACCCAAGAAAACAATTTGAGGCTGCTGAAAAATGTGGTGCTTCATTAGCCGTTATCTTAGGTAAAGAAGAGTATGCTGAAGGTAAATTACGTATCAAGAGATTGGGTCCTGAATTTGCTGATGATGATGGTGAATTGGTAGACAGTGAAAACATTGTTGACGCTGTTAAGGTTAAATTAACTGAAGTCCATAAGGATGGTATTGATGACGTTGCCCGTTTATTAAAAGATTTATAAATTTTAAATGAAACCCAATCATATTTTATAATAGAGTTTTAATCATATATTTGTGTTATTATATAATAAATCTAGTAAAAAAGTATGACCAATTTTATTGATTATCGACACTAAATGAAAAAAAAATACATAGTGCCATATTTTTAACTAAACTTATTCTACTGTGAAAAAAAAAACAAAAAAATAATATAATATTTACAATAAATGCAGTTAAAATTTATTTCTCTATAATTACATGTTATATATTTATATTCAAAGCTAAAATGCTGTCTTAAAGACATTTCTACGGGTATTTTTTATGCCAGTATTGAATTTGTCTTCTACTGGTGTTAAAACACCATCAAGTTTTTCTTCAAATTTATGCCCCACTTTCTTTGAGGCAGTTCTAAATAAACTTTTACTTCTTGGAATTTGCACTGGCATTGTAGTTGTTTTAACATCCTGAACCATATGATTACCCAGCTTATAATTTGCTTCCTCAAACTTCTTAAGCAATCTTGGATTATAGTAATCATGATATAGATCAGTGGAAAAAACCTTATTAAGCTCATTCAATGTCACATGATGAGTACCTCTCATCCATTGTAAAGAATTTACCTGAGGACGACTAAAATGCTCATGGTTGGGATTGTATAACACCATATTATCCATACCAATTTTTGAAGAATCCCCTCCATTACTAAAAAAAGAAAGTAGTACTGAATGATAAGTATCATCTTTAACCAAAATATTACCCTTTTCGGTGATACATCCACTCAAAACCTGGGAAATATATCCAGGTAAAGCCAGCTTAGATACTTGTGAAAAATCGGGTAAACTAAATATCCTGATTTCCTTATTCAAGCTAAGGGTTATGAAGAAAGAATTATTCTTTTTTAATGGTATTGGCATATTGGAACAGAGTTGACCCGAAATTATTGAATTGTTAAAGTACTTAGTAAAAAGTCGTTTTCGTTCTTTACCAGGACAAACTATACATACCTCTCGACAACTGATCAATATAATTTTCCCCTTGGTATTACATTTACGCAATTCTATTGTTGATTCGTCCTTGTGTGAATTGAAACTTTCATTAACGAAGATTTGGATATCTTCTATTTTATTATGCACCAACATACTAGTAGTTTTCATAAATGTCACTTTGAGTTCATCTACATCATCTGGTACAATTTTAAAGATCATCATTTGCCCTAAGTCTGTACCACAAATCAACAGAGTGCTCAAATAATCTTCGTCAGCATATGTCATAATAGATATATTGATTGAGGACACATAATTACTTTGTGATAAAAATATATCATTGATGTTTTTATTATAAATAATTGTTTCAGTAATTAGATTTATAACTACCAGGTATCCATCATGATAAGCAGCTACCAGAATATTTAATGAACTTAGATACAATGAGGTGACCGGTCCATGCCTGGTATGGATAGCAAACTGCGGCATAAACCCATATTTTTTTCGTGGCGAAGCTCTCTCTCTCACGTCAACCAGAAATGAATCAACAGCACTTAAGGAAAACCTTCTGAATTTTGTAATCATGTCTTGATCCATCGTTAATTTTTGTCCACTATAATATTGATTTGCCTCAAATCTGTAAAAAACTATATCACCATTTTCTGTAGCTGATGCCATCTCTAAATTTTTAGGCGAAAATGAGATATGTTTAATTGCAGTTTTAATACCAATATTCAATATCCTAGAAGTATTCATTTCGAATAATGTCTTACAATCATATTGGGAAGAATTTGTGTTCCATATTCGAACAATTCCATTTGAATGACCGGTAATTAGTAATGTGTAATCGTTAGTTTGACACTTACTTGAATCAGAACTAGATACTAAGCGACCACCTTCTAGAATTCCCAACGATTGCGTAGTGACACTGCTCAAATTTTGCCAAGTATTTTCATCTATATCCACAGCCTTCACGATGGTGGTCTGCGGCCAAATCCAACTAATACCATAAGGAAATAAAGGACCTTCATTAACAAAGTGAGTCTTAGGATAGGATAATGCCTCAATTTCACCATTTTGCAAAAGTACTAAAATCATCTCAGGGTTATGGTTACCGGCATAGAAGGGGGTTTCTGTAGCAATTGATACGAGTTCCTTTATTGGAAATTGACTTTGTATGGGTAATAGTGTTTGTTGAGTGGTTCTTGAGAAATAGTGACTTATGCTTTCATAAGAAGTCAAGGAATAAAAAGGGGTTCTACCAAAATTGATCATGATAATGCTTTGAATATTTATATCAGGATACGACGAACTATCAGAGATGAACAAAGTTGTGTATTCAGGTTTACTTTGACAGACCCACAAGGCTTTGAGGTTTGGCGACGCATGCTCCTGTGTCGTTGATTGTTGTTGTGGTGATCTTGGGACATTAATATCTTCATCAAATAGAGTTCTTGCTTGAATCAATTTCCCTGTATTAACATCCCAAAACACAAGAGAGTTATCATCATGTATTGTGAGTACAAAGAGTGAGTTTGGATGAAACAGTGATTGGATAACAGAGGGTCCTCTTCTTACTCTTTTTGGGTTAGATGAATTATTACTGCCTGGCACATTTTGTGGGACTTGATAGACAAAAGTCTGTTTTACTGATTGTTCAGTTAGTGAATATAACACGGTAAGTTTCTTATATGATATGAGTACAGTACCTAAATCTTTAGGATTCCATTTAATACAAACAACTTCTGAATTTTCATTAGAATCCTCAAAATTTGCCAATTTTTGCAAATTATTTATCATGTAATTGGAGATCCTATCTTCCACGACATCATAAACCAGTATAGTACCATCTGCCAATCCCAGAAGAACCCATGAAACTACCGGATCAGTTTCAATACAGGTGATTGAGAAGGGTTGTACTCTCATTTTATACAATTCTTTTGATTCCAAAGAAAGAGTGATCAATCTATTTAAACTATCGACCAAAAAAATGAATTTATTCATTACAAAAGCCATATACTTTATTATAGTATTTTTCGTTAGGGTGAAGACAAAATCAATCTGTCTTTGTCCATAAACATGCAATTTACTGTTATCTGTGGCTATTGCCATCAGGCCTTGAACTCCATCATATGCAATTTTGATTGGTTTCCCTGTTAATCCAAAAGTGTCTTTCCCCTTTAAATTAAAAATTTCATCCCAATTGATATTCTTTTTAAAAGATCTTTTATTTGTATGTTCTTCATGATTAACCAATTTTTTTGTTCTATCAGGCAAATTAACAGTAGTGAAAACTTTTGTTATAGGAGAAAACGAGCTTTTGTGAAACATGGTTTCATTTGATTAATACATATCAATAAACGATTAGGTTTCTGAACTCAAGTAAACAAACATATTATTCAGTTTAAAGAGAAGAAGAAAAGAAGAAAAAAAAACAGGGTTGAAGAAAGGCGAAAGAGATAAAACAAAGACAAAAACAAAAACAAAAAAAAAGAAGCTTAGCTTATCCGAATACCAATTTCACATTCCTAGTGAATTTTCTTTTAAAACTATTCCGTGATTTCAAGTTTATCTATCTTTAAGTTATCGAGAACAGATATATCTGCATATTGTTTTATCTATATATATGTGTAGTAAAAATATAGGTGAGTCAGATCTCATGGATTAAGAAAAGGAAATTGTTTAGCTTAGCAAATACTTTTACGTAATTATACTATGTATACACAGCAGTAAAAAAAAAGAGGAAAAAAAAGAGAGAGAGAGAAAAATAAAACTATCCCACGTTAGGGATCTCCCCTCCCTGAAAATGAAATACTTCTACTTTTCTCTCTCTCTCTTTTTCTTTTTTTTTTTTTTTTTTTTTTTTTTTTTTTTTGGCAAATTAAAAAAGAAAACAAAACGGTCAAAGAAAAAAAAACACCCTTGTTTTTTTTATGTCTTCTGTATTGTGCATTTTCTTCTTTTCAATTTGTTGATTTTCTTTGTTTTGTTTACACCCTCCCCTTTTTTAACTCCTTATTTTATTTTATTTTATTTTATTTTTTTTTTATTTTTTCATTCTGGTTTCTGATATTGTCATTGCGTCATTTTCAACATCTTTCTTGATTTTTCAAAAAGACTCCGAAGAGGAGAATAAACACAGAAAAAACAAACATATAAACAAACAAACAAACACTACGATTAAGATTAAGATTAAGATCCATGCAAAGCTAACACTATCATTCCCGTTTTTTCTTTTTTTTTTTTTCTTTTTTTTTTTTTTTGGCTTATTATTCACTAGGAGGAAACCTATCATTATTTGGTAAAAATACACAAAGATCCTTCTAAATATACCAATATAAATAAGTCAAGTGAAATGTAAATGATATATATAATAAAACACGTATGTACAAACCAAAATACACTCATATACATCTATACATACCCTCAAGTCATCCTCTTCCCACGTCTAGGTTTAGGTTTTAGTTCCAGTTTCTTTCTTCTGGTATCAGGTGCAATAGATGATATACTCGTGCTTTTTGGTTTTCTACCAGGCCACTTTTTAATACTGTCTGTTTTTTTACGCAACCCCTCTGAACTACTAACTACATGTCTCACTCTACCTCGTTGTGATTCAATGGATCCTTCTATTTGTTTTACATCTATCTTGCCTTTCGGCTTAAGTCCCGGTTTACGTCTTGATTTACGACCAGGCCCGTCTCGTATTTTCTTTCTTGATGACTGTATCATCTTTTTGGATCGATTATTATCGAATAATAATGACGATGACGATGATGATGACGACGATGTTAATAATAACAATCCATCAAAACACAAAGAGTTAAATTTTTCTAATTCTGTATCCTTTAAATCTTCAACATCACTTAATTCCTGTTGTTCCATCAATACTTTCCCATTCCATGGTCTCTCAACGGTTGATGTATATATGCCATCACCCATAACAAAATCTTGATTTAATAACCCATGAATATCACTATCTCGAATGGTAGATATCACTTCGTAATAGTTAGCTTTTAACTTATCGATTGACGACGATATGATTCTGGATACAACATTTAAATTCTTTAAATACTGGAATAATTTCATCATCCCATCCTCAAGTTCATATGTCGTTTTAAATTGAAATTTTTTACATTTTTCCATAAAAGTTTCATCCAACCGATTTTCCTTTAAATATCTTGACACAACTTTAAATGGATCACTTCCAACAAGTTTTTTAATGAACCTTTCCTTGATAATAAAAAGATTTGTATTCTCAATCAAATTTTGTAACTTTTGTCTACTTTCAAATAATTCAATTTCCTTTTCGTTTCTTTTGCCTACCAATCTAGTGAGTTTTTCGATTCTATTTAAATCTTTCAGTATAATATCAATAAACGAAATTTTATCAATGATTTCATTGTCACTTAGCAAATTATACGAATACTGAATAACATTATCGTTAATTTGTACCAAAGGGGCACCCTTGTTAAATTCTCTTTTCAATGACCAGTATTTACATATAATAAAGCTTAATTCACGAGCTTTGCTTTCATCATGCAATACTTTTAAAGATATTATTGCTTGAAATATATAATCTGCAAATATATGTGGAGGAACAATAATCTCATCTTGAAATTTTGCCCTATATCCCTCCATATCTTCAAATATCTGTTCTCGTGCCTTACATATCTCAGACCCATTAAAATTTCCTTGACTAACATGTCCTGATGTCGAAGAATGCTTATCACAAAAACTTATTAGTTGATTGTTGTTACCTAACGCCATTTCAGCTAAAGAACCTGTCTTTAATGGGGTCATATATAATCCTACTCTTTTAGCACAACTTACATGATACGCAGTAAAACAATTTTTAGTTGAACATTGGATACATGCACCCATCTTTTGTTTGCATATAAAACAACTCAACTTCCATCTTAAACTCGGTATCCTTTCCACACCTTCAATAGGTTCTAAATAATGCCAATTACCAAAATTTAATTCATTGATCCAAACTGCACAGATAACATGTATCCAATTACCTGATGTAGTTTGTTTCATAGGCCCGTCTATTCCAGGACAAACAATACATCTAGGTCGTTGAGAACTCATATTATTTTGCAAACATACTCTACAAAGCCAAGGCCCTGGAGGAATAAAAATTATACCATAACAATCTTGATGTACTGCTATATTACAGTAATCACAGAATACAATTGTATTATTTGCTGTTTCTATCCCATCACATATAGAACATAACTGATCACCAAGAGGAGAAGGAGGTGGTGGTTTTGTTATGTGCGACTGTAATAATGCATACTCCAGTTCAAGGATAGTGAAAAACAATTCAAATTGTAAATTGTCTATTTGTAAATTAAAATTTAAATATTGCTTCTTTAAATATCTTAAAAATAATTCATCTTGTTCATCCATATCATAATATGTGTTTACATATTGTAAGTTCGGTACAATCTTATAAAGTTGTTTTTTCATTTTGTTAAAATAGATGCTTACTGAATTATTGACAACTGATAAATTTTCTCGATCACGCAAAGCTGGTTCTTTATCAAATTTAGTTATATACGCGGCGTGTTGGAAGGGATCGTTTAGATCTTTATCATTCTCTGAATAATACTTATCTGAGTTACGATTTGATATATTATTATCAAAATTCTCGTCTAAATCCATAATACCAATATTACAATAATGACAATCTGATCCTTCAGAATCAACAAGTATCGGTTCTACCGTGATCTTCCCATTAGAAATCAGCTGTTTTAAAGGAGTGCCTTGGTTGAACTGCAAGTTCTGTATATCCTGATTGATATAAATATCGTCAACACATATATTGTTATCACGTATCAGTAAAGGTATATCATTCTCTTTCTTTAACGTAGGATAAAAATCTTGATAATCGGCTTCTTCTCTCAATTTAGGACCCTCATCGGTATTAGATTCTTTCTCCTCCATAAGATAAAAATAAACTTAGACAAATAAACAAACTAAATAAATAAATCAATATTAAAAAAAAAGAAAAAAACTATCTTAAATTGTTCACTGTTTCTTTGATAAGACGGAGTATATCTTGATAGTGGCGTAGGGTTCATTATCCAATGTTACATCTTTCTTAATCTATTGTCAATGTATTATTTAAAATAAAATGGAACTTCCATGCATTGTTTACGTTTTTTCCATTTTTTCTCAATAACTTTCAAGATGTATATTTTTTATTTTTACCATATCCGGTAATTCACATAAAGTGAGGCTTTCTATAAAGGTGAACACCCTCGTATTTAAAAATTATCACGATATAGCAGACATAAATTTATTGATACATATACATATATATATGTGCAGATTAATGTTTATACTATGAGAGTAAACCATATATATTCGATTTAATATTTAAGGAAAAATAATTACTAGAAACAAATATATAGTAATGCTTTAAAAACTAATTGAATAATTCTTTTTAGAAAGATTGATGATTCTTATATATAAATTAAAACACATAAATATTGTGCTATATATATAATACGATTTTATCACTCCTTCTATTTTTCTACGATATTTTTTAATGAAATAACCAAATGCCACTGAAATACTAATGTAAAAAATTTTTTTACGGTTTTGCAGGAAACACATCCATATACGCAGGTGGTGGGCTTGGTATCCTTTCTAATGGTGGAGTTAAATTACTTGATCCAACACTAGTGCGTCTATAATGTGAAGATCTTGTATAACTATTTAATAAACCATCTAGATTTCCAAAATCTGTATTCAAATAGAAGGGTGTCTTTGGGATGGAACTATTATTAGCAATATGACTGTTATTTGAATCATCATTATTGTGATGAGTAATATTATTCTCACAAGTATTATGACTATTATTATGAAGAACATTTAAATTGCTCTTAAATACTAATGGATTTAATAATGATTCTTCAAAAGTAGGTGGCGGTGAAGGTGGATATAATGAGGTAGACACAGATGAGGATAAAGTATCAACTATATCCCTATTTGGTTGATAATATGTATTACCATCAACGTCATAAACAGGTAATACTAAATTCTCATTAGTACATTTTCCAGACATTAGATATATTGGTGTATTCACTATTACCTCATATTGTCTTAATTGTTTATTTTCATCACATTTTTCCAACTTCATTATAATTTCTAACTTATGTTTACATCTCAATGTACTAAAATGGGTGCTATCGATATAAAGTCCTCTTTTAGGACTATACATCTTGGTATTAATCATAGCAATGTTCTTTTTACTAAATATGTCGATTTGAGTCTTGTGTCTTTTATGAGTAAGTATATTTTTACTTTCATTTGACAAAGAATTTGCATTTCTGCCCTTATTGTTTGTTGTATGATTGTTATTGTTATTATTAAGGGTATTGTTATTGCCACTGATCCCACCAAAGAAGAAGTTTACTATTGAGTTTTTTCCGTGATTTTTATCTTTTACATTACCAACATCAGGTAAAGTGCCATTAGGTGTAGTTGGATAAAAGGATTCTAGGTTATCAAATTTATCGTACAAATCATAGCCTTCAATGCCATATGGCAGATCCACAGTCTCTTGAAAATCTGACAAATTTTGATTATTATCTGATAATACATATGCCTTTTCACCTGGAAACTTCAACCTAGTTTTCAATTCAATTGGCTCAACTATTGCATCTCCATTACCATATGAATTATTATTACTATTCTTTGTTCTATAATATGACAATAAATTATGATCAATACAGTTTGTCACAATTTCTTCTCTTAATGCTCTTGGTCCTGTTTGTTCAGATCTTAATTCGTATAGTAGCAACAATCTTTGTTTTTTCTTTTTTGAATTAAAAACATGATAGTAAGGATTTGAAGAGTTCTCTAAAACATGATCCGTTTCTTTAAAAGACATGCTTTTATCTTTATTATTAACGTAATCAATCCTTTCAGAGATACCAATACCAATTTTAATCAACGAAAGATTTTTAATCAAAGGGGATAATTTTACAGTTACTGGAATATTAGCATCTAATGGAATATATTTATTAGGCAACGATATCTCATAATTTAATGAATTATCCCAAACTTTGTTAATATAAACAGGCTTATTCGCGGTAGATACAGAAATTAAGGGTGGTGTTCTAATAACGTTCAATTTATTTTGTAAATAAATTTCATTAATAAAATATGAGATATCTGTTTTAGGGATTAACGATTTTTGACTATTCAAATCTGTTATATCTACACTTGGCCCCGTATTATTAGAATATTTCAAACTTGAAAAAGAATCGAAATCTGATACTGACGATGTGGTGGTATATGTCCTGGTGATAAAACTATTATCATTATCATTATTAGCATCAGTAATGAGGATATGAGGAGCGGAAGGAGTACTGTTACTACGGAAATGATTTCTCATTTTTTTGAAAATTGACAAATTATTAGTTGATAAATTTTGAGATATATTTTTATTTGCTACAGATGGTTGTAACTTTGAGCTCATACCGACCTGCTGATCTTTAGGAACAGTATTTTTATTTATATTATTTGACTTCATAGTATCATCAGTTGTTTTAATAACCTTCTTGAATGAAGCTAATCTGATAAAATAGTCCAACTTACCCGATGGATATGCGATGGTCTCAGGAATATGATTATTGAATATTACAGGGATCAAAAACACATAGTCCCCTGGCAATAAAAGATTATCTTCTGAAATTGAATTTATTGATGTATTTAAATTTTCAAGTTTTTGAAACAAAGAGTCCTTCCAAAAATCTGACTGAGGGCTATTATTTTCATTAGTCCATGCTAAGCGTTTTTTATAGTTAATATTTTTAAATAATTTCCATTGAATAATATTATCAAAGTTTTCAATAACGTCATCCTCAACTGATTTTAAGGTGGGAGGTAAATAAAGATTAAAATTATACCTATTTAGATTCCAATTCAGTTCACCTACTTTGGTATATTGATTCTTTCCATTCAAGTATTTTATATTTACACGAGATGATAGTTCTAATTGAATAGATTCCAACTGAGTTGTTTCCTTAATTGATACTATAATAGCGAGCTTAAAATAGCATAAATTATTATCATTCATTGCAATTTCATGAAAATTATTGTTCATGCCATTAATTATTGAAAATGTGTTTTGATGACTAAAAGTTGAGGATAACGATAGTGGAATATCTTGTCTTGATAAAGAGAAAGATGATCTTCTAGTGGATCCCGCTCTTGATCTACTACCTGTCATAATTGAAGAATTCGAAGAAAAATCATCATTTTCTGTATCTGATATTGTCATAGTAGATAAATCATTACTAATTAATTCTTGCGTACCATCTATATCAAAATAGTCAATATTACTGTTATTATTGTTATCATTATGGTTATTGTGTGAATTTAGCCTAGATAAATATTCCTCTTCATTACTTGATATAGTTGGGATCAAAACATCATTTGACGTAGTTGCCATCCGAATAATACAATCATTTGAACCATTAGTATCTTTATATATAATTTTTGCTGGCAGAAATCCTGCATTATGTAAATAATGGTCAATTATGTCAATATTTTTTAAAGTTGAAAAGGAATCACTTGGCAAATCAATTGAATTGAGTAAAGTTAGTTTTGGTAATCCATTTGAATCAAATAAAGAATGATTTGAATATGATATTGAAGAAATTGTATGCCTTCTTGATTTATATATGTCACTGTTAGATATACTAGTATTATTGATATTATCATTATCATTATAATTATCATTATTAGTGTTTATGTTAATAGGATTGCTTGTTATTATATGGTGATTATTAAATGAAAGCATAGAACCATCACTACTACTATTGACACTATTCATAGTGTTATTTGTTAGAGTAGGAGATAAATAGGTTCTTGGATAGGATCTTCGCCTTGAGTATGGATAAGAAAGCATGGTATTGTTATTAAGTGTATTGTTTTCAATTGTATTCTTATTATTTTTAGTGTTATTGTTACTATAAACTGTTGTAATAGGACTGCTGTCAAACGGATTAATGAAAGATGAAGACCTAGATCTGTTAACTACCTTACTATAAGTATAGTTATTTCCAAAAGGATTATTATTAGCATTATTATTATATCTCAGAAATGGGTTATTATTATTAGTGTATTTAATCTCTGTCTTTTCAGTTATTTCAGAATCATTAATTTTTAATTCCGGTATTTGATGTTTTAAATATTTTATTGCCATGTTATTATTTGACAAATCTTTAGATACTATAATATTTGTCATAATTTGCTTTCTTCGTTTTCTTCCTTACAAGTTAGGTAACTATGACTTTGAAATTTTAGGATGTATAGACACTTTTGATATATGTATATGTATATGTAGATATCAACGTATGAATATATTATTACAAACAGTAGAACTGGTGGTAATTAACTTATTAGCAACTTATTCAAGAGCCAAGGGTTAATAGTAGGTAAACAAGTGAAAGGAAAAAGCCATTTATATATGTTTGTTCATATAAATATAACAAAGAAAGGTATGAAGACGAATGACAACAATAAAATAGACACTTGCCGCAAGATCAACATATATATGTATATATATATGAAACAGTAGAGATTTCATCAATAGTACGCACACACACACACACACATATATATATATATATATATATATATAAACCCAGTATCTTAAAAATCAAGGAGATGAAGGTGAAGAGGAAGGAACTAAAAAAAAAAAGAAGAAGGAGAAGGAGGAAGAGAATGGTATTACCTATTGCAATGATGATATAATTACATACCTGCTTATTGCACACATCTGACAATTACAGAAACATGAATAAAACCACAAAATTGATCTTAAGCAATGAATAAAATGAAATGAAAATATATACAATGTATACATCCACTGCAATAATGTAACGGTTGTCGGCATATTCCACAAATCGTTAAGAGACGATTGCCGGAAACACAAAACAAAAGAAAGAAAAGAAAATAGATGGCTTTGATTGAAGATTTGAATTATAATTATGATCAAAGAAGCGTTAAAAAGAAAAACAAAATAAAACACAAAAAAAAAAAAAAAAGAATAACAAAAACAGGGGGAGATGGGGGTGGGGGAAGCGGGAAGAAAGAAAGGGGAGAGCAAGAAACATAAAAGACAAAGAGATGAATGAAACAAAGAATTTACTAACGTTTCATATTACAAGAGTAACAATAGTTCTGAAAAGAACAAAAGAGACAAAATCACATTATATTGTGATTTATCTTAATTCTGTTGTATTGTTCTACACTCCTTGTCTTAGTTTTTTTTTTTGTTATATTATTTTTTTGTTTTTCTTTCCCGCAAACTTACAGGAGCGACATTAATAATTGGGAGTCGTTTTGCTTAGTCATTGAATCTCTCTCCTGGGTCTTTTTATGATTGCGTGCAATCCGTGATTGCTAACAAGAAAAGACAAAAAAGCAAAAAGAAAGATAGCATCTTAGTAATATTGCCAATAGAAAACATTAAAACACGTAGTAGCAGATAATAATTTTATACGAAAATAATGCCTTCTTATATCATATTACACGAAACGTAATTAGTGATAGATTTCTATCTTTTTTCAATCTTTGACGTAACGAATGATAATTTATATCTGTCATTTAAAAATCTTATTAACTATGTGTTTTGTTTTCTATCAAACACTATTATTATTACTACCAATCAAGTTTCACTACTACCAGAAACATATATTATACCCAACACCATTTGTACATAAGTGTATTTGAGTTCATACTAAATTTATATATATATATATAGTTATAGATTCTTTCTAAGAGAACTGAACAGTGCAATATATACATACATAGATAAATACATATATGTTTAAAAATAGACATGGGTTCTTCTCTAAAATCATTCATTAAAGATGTTAGGAATGCTAAAACATTCTCTGATGAAAGAACCATTATCACAAAACAATCTGCCAAAATTAGAACTAAATTAAGAGATGATCATTTATCATCAAGCAAGAAACGTGAAAATATACAGAAATTGTTGTATTTATATATTCTAGGTGAACCAACCCATTTTGCACAAGTTGAATGTATTAATTTAATTGCATCTGACCAATTTGTTGATAAACGATTGGGCTATTTATCGACTTCTCTTCTATTAGATGAAAGCCAAGATCTTTTAACTCTTTTAACCAATCTTTTAAATAATGATCTAAATCACCCAAATAATAAATATATCGTATCTTTGGCCTTATCTACCCTAGGTTCTCTAAGTTCTTATGATTTGGCCAAAGATCTGTATCCTGATGTTCTACATCTAATTGAAACTTCAAATGACCCTTTCATTCTATCAAAAAGTTTGCAATGCTTATCTAAACTTATTAGTAAAGATTTCGAGTTAACTATATTATCTATTCTACCAATTGATATCTTTGTCAAAAAATTTTTTTCTAATAATAAAAATGATCTACTTTTAACTAATAATGTGTGGTTAGGTATTTGTAAATTTTTACAATCAATAGTCATTTTACTATTATCGTCTTTTTCATCCTCATCGAACTCTGATTTATTATCAGATCAATTCTTAACCGACCTCAATCATTGCTTCTCCTCCATCATACCAAAATTATTTTATCAACTGTCTTCTTTAAATATTAAAAATTATGAGTCAAGTTACGATGTCCAAGGCGTAAGAGACCCATTCTTACAATGTGAAATTATCCTAACCTTGAAATATCTATTTAAACTCTCCAAACTTTCAACAAATCATTTTATATCACTAATAAATGATCATTATAATAAATTTATGGATCTTTTAACTCAATTAATTAACAACTCCTCATTGAATTTAAACAAGAATCCAAATAACGCTATATTATACGAAATTACAATGACAATCTTTGAATTGGAGATGGATCAATCGTTAAGGCTATTAGGTGTCAATATTTTGGCAAATTTCCTAAAACCATACAACAATAACAACAATAATAACAATAGTACTGTTATGCAGGGTAAAAGGAGTAAAAACAATCACATAAACAACAGTAATAGCAATAACATTAAATATGTGGCCTTAAATACATTAATTAAAGTCATTAAATATGAACCATGTGCAATTGCTAAACATAGAAAATTTATCTCTCAATGCTTGTATGACACGGATATTTCTATTAAATTTAAAGCTTTGGAATTAACTTTTACTATTTTAAACAAAGATAATTTAGTTGAATTAACTGAAGAATTGATCAAATTCTTAAAAGATATTTTTTCAAATAATAACGGTACCCATGATTATGTGTATTTCGATATCGATGAATCAAATGATTTAATTAATTATACAGTGGACAATTTTTTAAAAAAATGCGATTTATTTGATTCTAACCAAGACGCAATTAAATTAAGAAGCTTATTTGAAATTTTGAAAATTGTTGGTAATATGATATCCATTGATCAATTAAATGAATTCTTAATCATCATTAATAACATTGAAAATTGGCAAGTCAAGATTAATTCTTTAATTGAGAATATTTCTAATAATATGATTAATAACAGAATTGTGACCAACAATATATCTTGGAATTTAATTATGGTATGGTCTATCGGTGAATATGGTGATTCAATTATAACGAAAGCTAATGGTAATATCACCTCGAATCATTTAATCAACTATTTGAATCAATTAAATATATTATATTCACAAAACTTCAAAAATCCACTAATTTCAAATCTATCTATCAATAAACATAGTTACAGTGACTATATTACCATGATCCAGTATATATTGACTAGTGCATTGAAATTATCTTCCAAAATCAATCAGAGTGATGCACACAATATTGAATCACTAAGGCAAATCATATTAAGCCACCAAAAAGACTCGAATTTAATGTTACAAATAAAAAGTAATCAATACGAATCAATCTTTAACCAAGGTATTAATATCAAAAGGATTATTTTAGATTCTATGCCTAAATTTATTAAACAAGCTGATAACAATAACAATACCTCGGATCATAACAAAATTCAACCAAATCAAAATAGAAATAACAATCAAAATGAACTTTTGTTAGATTTATTAAGTGACATTAATGATAATCTGAACCAAGAAAAGAGTACTTCATCAGGTCCCATCACAGTTTCGAATAATAATCATAATAGTAAACCTATTAGTAAAACTACCACTTTAACATTACCAAAAGACAATATAGATTTAATCTTCAAAACTGATTTATTAGAAGTGTATTCTCATATTATTGATGTCCAACCAGGCAATGCTCATCTTGAATTATTTTTTAAGCCCATTAAAACATTTGTGAAATCAATGCATTCTTTATGTGCTGTATCAAAACAACAAAAATTAACACTTGGACATCTTTATCCACACAATACTGATATTGAAATGAATCAAATAGTGAAACAATCATTAAAAATTGTTGGTTCTGGTAAATTAAAATTAAGAGTAAAACTAACCTTAGTAACTGTTTCCTCGAATTCCATTAGCGACAAAACTCAAGAGATTCAATTTGATTATAAATTTAATGAAACCATCTAATTATAATAGTAATAGTCTGTCATCACAAATGTATTAATATATACTGATATTTATATAGATAAATATACTCACTTAAATATGTAATTAAATAAGTATAGAAATGAACCATATGAAAAACAAGAAAAATGAATAAACAAATAAATAAAGAATATCACTTATGTGAAAATTTCTGCATACTTATTTAATTATTGTGTGGGTGTCTAGAGGCACCTGAACCCCTAGCAGCATTATTAATAACTTGTCTAATATTGTCACGTTCTACACCACCATGTGATATATTGGAATTCATCGAAGTATTTTTGTTAGCAACGTCGGTCAATTTTTTCAATAATTGATCATAAGATGGCTCAATTATTCTTGAATAAACCCATTGACAACCACCAGTGGATGGAACACTAATGAGTAATAAAAACAAGACCTTTAAAACCCAATAGAAAGGGACCAAATATAAAATAGTGCTTGACCAGAATTCAACAACATTCAAAAATCCAAAAATGATCCAGTAGCTTAACCAAAATTGGTCATCTGATTGATCATTACGAGTCTTCAATGCTTTAATAGAATTAATTGTTGGAATAATAAATCCAACAAAATTAGATAATATTTGCCCCATGCCACCAACATTTAAAAATGTTAACAACAAATAAATTAAAACAGAAGATTTCGTCCAGTAAGACTTTGGAACATTGGTTTTAGATTCCAAATTTTGAAATAATTTAAATTGTCCTAAATTCTATAATAATAAGTAAATAAATACACATGTATGTGAAAAAAAGTTATACCACGTAAGGTTAGTAAATCAAACTGACAGGAAAAAGGAAAAAGAAAGAGTAAAAAGAAATTAAAAACCCTTTGAATATGGTAATTAGGACTCTTTACCAACTACCATAGAAAAATATCAATTTCTTTTAATTATGTGAACGATATACGTACTTGGTCTAATTGTTGAATATGGGATTGGGCAATATTAGCAAAACTTGACATTTTCACGATGTAACTCTACAATTTTATCAACTCTTGAATGTTTTAATTATTTCACCACTCTAACATTAAACCAATAGGAATAACAGTTGTAGAGTATAAACTTTTAATGGTTTCTCCAACTAAGATGATCAATTTGTCCTGAGGCAAGTTTTATCGATATTAAATAATTTTTCTTTTCCCTTTTCCATATTCAGGCTAGTTCAATTTAGCCAACTCCCAAGGAAAAATTTCTTTTGTCGTTTATATGCTATTTTTACTATTCATATAAGAAAAATAATAATAACCCTAAATATATAATTCTGAATTTTCAAAAAACAGTCTCAACTTCATTTTGTAACCTAATATTGCAAAAAAATAGGCAAGAACTGCGCCGTTTTTTTCTGTATATTTTAGGCAAGTGTTTGCCTATATTTATTATATGAAATCTTAAAATTTAAATACTGTAATATATAAAAGAACACGAGAACATATTAGACATGGCATAAAATCTCTATTCAATTAATTCAACTGTTAATCATTTTGTTTTTTTCTTTGTCATATATGTTTCATAATACTTGTTTCTTAACTCCCTTTATTTTAATAATATAGCCAACCAAGAACTAGAACAATAATAGTAATAAATAGCATAGTTGATGGAGAAATCTTAGCAGTGACATTTTGTTGAGGCTCTCTTGCTGGAGATGACGACTTAGTTTCATTGCCCATAGTATTTATCTTGATTTTCTTAATGTTTTCTTTTATTGTGTTATCTTTTTCTAGTGTTACTTGCTTGTCAATCGCCTTCTGTTCTAATTGATTTACATTGTTTACAGAAGCCATATTTTGATTTTTTGTTTCATGACTATCTTGTCCATTTGTTGATAAAAATAGTGTTTGTGAATTTGAATTATTATAAACAACTTTTATCTTCTTTTGAATAGCTTGAGACTTAAATTCGTTTTCCAAATCATTCCAAATCTCGGAAACTGCATGACTAGAATCACTCTTATATGGGGCCGGCAATACAATAACTAAAAATTTGTCCTTACACTTATAATCATCCAGTGGTTCTTGTGGAAGTCCCAAAAATATTACAGATATCTTGACATTCTCACCGGGTTGAATAATAGCTGCATTAGGTCTTACACAGTATAATTTTGGTGCTGTTGTCTTTATCTTAAATGCCTTGATTTCATCCGTTTGATTATGAATTGTAATGAAAGCTGTTGATGTCTCAGCTAAAGGTTCTATGTTATTATTAAAATGCAAACATTACATTGATAACAATAATAATATAATAATATATATATATCATTGTAACAAAAGGTTAGTAAATAAAACTATCAAAAAAAAAAAAAATAAAACTCAAAAATTACTAGCTCCTATAAGTAGTTATTTTATATTATTTATATTATACATACTGTAATATTCTAAGAAATCTGGTTCAATGATCACAGACATGGTCTAAATGTATTAATTTCTAAAGTTTTGTGCTATGTAGTTACCTCTAGATCAAATAAAAAAAAAAATAAAATAAAAAAAAATATGAGTATATCCCAAATATTTTGTCGACTAGTTTGAATCCAGTCTATTAAAAATTGTTTACCAACTCTTATAATTTTCAATCGCTCATTCCTTTCTTTTTACTGTGACAGCTTCCTTCGTCTTGTTGCTCAGTCTCTTTTGGTTCGTTTATAACTTTTTGAGATTTTGAATTTTTTGATTTTTCTTTTTCTGATTTCTCCCTTTAGGACTGATTCTACAAAGCTTTCCTCTTTTAGTAACATTTCCTTTTCAATCCAATATTTCCTCATTCATTGTTATCAACAAACTTGAAGCTAAATTTTACCAAAAGTAAACTTATTGAAGATGTAAAACAGAGTTACTACAATAAACTATATTACAATCTGGATACAAAATAGAAAGAAGATTCTAAATAGCAGTCAACTGATATATTACCACTATATATCTATTTACACTTTTTTCATTACTTAAGATAATCTCTATAATAGTATTAACCAATTGACTCCCAGTTTTTTTATAGTAGATTAACTACCTACACTCATCCGTTGAAGCACGGTTTAGAAGCACATACTCTCGTTGTGATATATACATACATATATTTTGTTAAGTTAGAATCCTTATGGTTGCTACGATCAAATCTGGTATAATCACTTTGCTCCATACAGCCTGTGGTGCAGGTATATTGGCTATGCCATTTGCTTTTAAACCATTTGGTCTACTTTTTGGTATCTTGATCATTACATTTTGTGGTTGCTGTGCTTTACTAGGACTTCTATTGCAAACAAGAGTTGTCAAATATATCCCCCAAAATTCGAATGCATCTTTTTTTGTTCTTGCAAATCAAATCAACCCTAATCTAAGTGTAATATTTGATATAGCCATTGCTGTTAAATGCTTTGGTGTAGGCGTCTCTTATTTAATTGTTATTGGTGATTTAATGCCACAAATACTAAATGTTTTTACTGAAAATTCTTGGCTACTGAATAGAAACTTCCACATTACCATGATGATGTTGTTTATTGTGACGCCACTATGCTTTATGAAAAGATTAAATTCTCTAAGACATGCATCCATGATCGCTATTTCTTCAGTGGTTTATCTCTGTCTTTTAGTCATCATACATTTTATTTTACCATCAAATGATATTGAAGGTTTGAAAGGTAAAGTATCCTGGTGGTTTCCTAAGAATGAACCTTCACCATTGACTACGTTACCAATTTTTGTTTTTGCTTATACATGCCACCATAACATGTTTTCGGTCATTAATGAACAACCAAAGAAAAATTTCTCTAATACAAGATGCATAGCTATCTACTCCATTTTACTGGCGTTTTTATTGTATATTGTAATTGGTGGCTCAGGATATTTAACATTTGGTGACAATATCACTGGAAATATCATCATGTTATACCCACAGAGTATATCAAGTACCATTGGAAGAATGGCTATTGTCTTATTAGTTATGCTAGCCTTTCCTTTACAATGCCATCCTGCCAGAGCTTCTATTCATCACACTATACATTTTTTTGAAACAAGATATAGAAACAAAGGTAACAAAACTAATAATTCCAATGAAATGGATATCTCCGGTAATTTCGCTGTTACAACTAGCACCATTAGTATCGTTGACAATACTTTTAATAACAGCACTACCGCACTCATCCCCCAAATATCTGTAACAGAAGATGCTACACTAATAGTTGCAGAAGAATTAATTGAAGAAAACTCTCCAAAACAACCAGAAATAGTTCCTTTAAAAGGTAAAAGATTCATCATAATTACTACTTGCATTCTTGTATGTTCATATCTGCTAGCTATATCAGTTCATTCCTTAGCTTTTATGTTATCTCTTGTAGGTGCAACTGGTTCTACTTCAATCTCATTTATTTTACCCGGTATCTTTGGTTATAAGTTAATCGGATCCGAATATACTGCTGCTTCGAATTCAACTATGACCATGCCAAAAAAAACCAAACTTTTTAAGTTTTTCGGATTATGCTTGACACTTTGGGGTGTAATAATAATGATCACTTCACTATTTGCAACGTTAACTGTAGGACCATCTCATTAATTATTTTATATTGACAATTATTTTTATACCCATCGCACATTTGTGTTAATAAGTTATATATTCCTTTTGTATAAATACATAATACAGTATTTAATAAGATACCTATCTTAAGGTTAGACACATTCCAATTAGTTTTCATAAACTATATTTTTTAACTATGCTATAATCGGTATATTTGTTTATCTTCAGTAAAATGGTGACCAACCAAAAAATATTACTGCCAAATTTAACTCATTGGTTGCCTCTTGTATGAGATCTTGTACTGTAGCTTCAACACTTAGCCCATGAGCATTTAATTTTTCTTCCACAGTACTTAATGCCCTCTGTGCCTCTTTATTTTGATTATCTGAGCTTTCTTTTATCTGTTTATGTTTATTACCATTTAAAGTACGAATTGTTTCATATTTTGACACTGGTTGAAGATATGAATCTAGTAATGGATCGCCAACCAACGAGCTATCAATTTCATCCATTGCCAATATATTCTGATGCCTTTTTACTGGAGACATCACCCATGAATACAATGGATCCCACTTCAAAATGTTCAAAACACACATAACCTTATCACTATTTGCCCTTAAAACTGAATAAACTTTTTCACAATTAGATCTAAATAATCCATTGACTCCAGTTATACCAAAACCAGAAACAATATCTCTAGTAAGTCTAAAGGGAACTAGCTCTGGAATAGTCAATAAACGTCCCTGATCAAACGCTATACCCAAATCTATATGAATGACCTCACCTGTGGAAGAATCAATTAATATATTATTTAAATGTCTATCACCTAAACCTAAAATATAGCCAACAATTGATGCAGTGGCCACGGATTTAATATATTGTTTCTTTGCTTTATACCAATTATCTGGATCCAAGAATGATTTGAAGAAAAAATTGTGCAATTGTGGCTTTACCTCCTTAGTTATATTCCTATAAGCTTTCAGTCTTTCTTCATTTGATTTATTTTGAGTAGATTTCATAATTCGCCTAGCTTGGGAGAAAGAGATAGAATCTTTACCATGAAGATCTGTTAAAATTTGATGAAGAGACATAGAATTAGCGACAAATTCAATGATTCCACCTCTAGGACCTAAAGGAACAACTTGATATGTCCTAATATTCAGAGTGTTATTTATTAATGATCTTTCCCTCTCCAAAATGTTATTAACTTGTCTAAACACTTGCTCCATAATTGCATCTTGTCTTAAGTCATCGTTACTTGATTTAAACAAAACTTTATGCCTGGTTCCATCCGAAATAATAAAAGTAACTATTTTAGGTAATGAAAGACCACTTGAAGATATTGCAACTTTATTTACAACCTTAGTTATATAAGGTCTCTCTAACTCTGGATTTCTAAATCCATATATGTTAACAGATAAAGTAGGGAGAGGTAATCTTTGAGTTGGCAATTCATTTAACCAATATTGTCCAATTTTTAGAGTTTCAAGATCTAAAGTTTTTGTTTTGATATCATATTTTTCCATTGCTAACTCAATAGCCTGAGTAGAAAACAATAAAGTAAATTCAACATGTCTCTGATAAAACTCTGAATTTGATGATTGTTTTACTTTGGAGAAAATTTGTTTGACAGCAACTACTTTTTGATTTAATTTTTTATCATCATGAGTTGAACCATCTTCGTACATTAAAATGTTTACTAATGCATATATAGACTCAAAAGGAACCTCACCAACTAACCTAGTTAGAATTTCAGTAAGAAGTCTTTGAAAACTGCTATCATTGTAACATAGTTTAGACACCATTTGATTAATCCAAGGTAGAAATTTCCAACTTGGAACTAGGCTCATATTGCTGGATATTCTGTTATTCAAGTCTTCGTTTGAATCATTTTCGAACCACAATTCACAAAGCTCATCAATAACATCATCATCATAATTATTTGTTAATGTCAAAAGTTTGATAAAGTTATCCAATGAATAGAATAGATACATATTTTTTTTCTCCAATAAGTTGTTTAAGTTTTCAGAATCATGATTTATTTGTAAGTTTACTCTTGCTAACTGTCTATGAGCCTCTATTCTATCATTTTTTGAAAGCTTTGTATTTTCATATATGCTTTGAAGTGCTGATGCTTCCCGCATATCCATTCGTTTTCTTTTCAACAAATTTTCTATTTCACCAGTTTTTAGAATTCTATGTACTTGTTGTTTCAGAAATTTGGCAACTACATTCAGATATGTTGTATTTGTGCTAATATTTTGCTGTTCCTTAATATATGTATCAAAAATAAAAGAACTAGGTTCTAGTCTTAACTCTGACAACCATAATATTAACTTTGCTCTAATTTCATCACTAGAAGAAAATATCGATATATCATCGTTGTCTAACGTAGACCTGTTTGTAATATCTGTTCTATTTTTTTCAAAAAATGTTTGTAACATATTAACTGCCGCCTTCTTTTCACCACAATCCCATAACGTTGTAGATGTAACATAATAGTATGTAGACTCAATGTTACGTATAATAGGATCAGGTGCACTTACTTTTAACTGGTCCATGACATTCTCCAAAGTAAAGCAATTCCGAAGTGCATAATGTGTACTTCTATTCAATAAAGCTAATTTTATATGTTCTATAAGTGTAATTGCCATGTAAATATTCGCATCATTAATAGTCAACTTATCTTTTATGTCTTGATGATTACAAAGTACTTTCAAAAAGGCATACTTAGCATCTAAGTTAACGAGTTGTGAACCAAAATCTAAAGAATATTGAGCTAAATAGTTTTTTCTATACTCAGAAAGAGAGGGCAATCTTTCATTACCTTTACATTGAATGTTAAATGCAATTTTTTTATACAAAACTAACTCCCTAAGTAAAGATGCCCATTCATTTTTTGTTTTAAAGTAAGTAAAATTATCGAATGTTTTTTCTATACAATCAGATAAAACCATTTGAATGTTAGATTGTTTTCCTGATATTCTCTTAATAACACTATATAAACCTGATGATTTATCTAAAATTTTTTCTGGAATTGGTAATTTCCACTCAGTTAATTGCATTTCCCAGCGATATAAATCAGAGTTTACTTTTAATTTATTAGAAAGTAATTTGCTAATTATACCATAGTTATTTATTTTTGCAGATTGAAGCATAATACTCATATTTTTAGAATTGTATTCTGCATCTAATTTAGCATTGTTAAACATGAAGGCTTTAGCACTACATTGTTCCCAACTATTGATTCGCAGTAAATTTGCTGATAATGTTGTTGCCAAAGGCAATCCACGCATAAAATCATTGTCATCTAATTTTTCATATATTTTTTGAAGTAAACCAAAATAATTGCTTTCACTGTTGCCCATATGAGTTTCTTCAAACAATAGCAAAGAAATGGTATATTCCCCAATATCAACCAAACTATTGCAAATACTAGATAAGTCTAATTTTTGATACAATCGAGAAAAATGTCTATTCCCATTATAGTGACCATATCTTAACAATAGTATCAATTTGGTCAACAACCTTGTCTTTTTTGTTCCCTCACTGGACTGAACCAATCTTCCAAGGTCATTCAACATGAATGATATCCATTTTGTGCTATCTTTTGGATTTGATGATATCACTAAACCCACAAGTTCAATAAAAATATTTTCTGAAAATAATGTTGATTTGTTGGCTATAATATTAAAAGCCTTAAAATAAGGATAATCAATTTGTAATTCATTAATAAATGAACTAATTAAACCACAAATCCAATCACTATACGATAAATCAGATTTAAAATACATTTCATTTAACACCACGTGCAAGATCTTTAGCTCTATTCCCTGTTCCATGATAAATTCAAACTCATTTTTATTGATATGAAAAGCTGTTAAGGAATATTGATTTATCTGATCTTGAGTTAACAAATCAATGTTAGGATTTTCTTGAGAAAGAGTAATAAAATAATTTATCATTGTCAAATAAAAAAAACTATCTATGCTATAGGTTGGGACAACTTTTGTTTCATAGTATTCAAAAAATGTGTGAATTAGATTATTCACGTAGTTAGGAAAGGCAGAAACTTCCAACAATTTTGTATGAACGTTAACTTTTGTATCATGCTTCATTATATCTAAGTGATGATAACGTTTTATTATGTATGACAACCAAAGTTTATACTGCGGAGTAATATAATTCTCTGGTATTTGTGTATCAAGAAGTTTTCTAATTGTGCTTAAAGATAATGAAGATGTTTCTGATATTTTCTGTAGATTTATGAATCCCAATAAAACAGAAATAAGACATACTACTTCCTTAGAGTATTTTTCATCTAGTAAAGGCTTTATAAATTTGAGAATATTCACAGTAAGTTCACGATTATTTAACAACTCAATACAACCTTTCCATATTTCAGCACAAGGATATTTCTGCATATCAATGTTTGATAAATCCTTAAGTAGTCGTTCGTTAACCTTCCCATATTTACATTTACGAATGAGCAAAAGAAGCATAATATTAACAAAAGCATCAAGGGGGAAAGATTTATAATTATCCAAAAATTTAAAAAATAGTGAGAAAATAGAACAAAATTCGTGCAATACAGTATCATTGCTTAAAAACTGTGTAAATAATACAATAACATATTGCAGCACATTTAGTGGACTATCGTAATTTATTGCAAATAAAATTAAAAATTTTATTTCCCTAGCAGCTTTAATAATTTCTATGTCTGTTCTAGCCTTTTGTATATCCTGAAAAATCCACAATATAATTAACCTATATTGAGACCAGTTGTCAATTTTGTAATTATTAAATAAAGCAAATCCTTTTTTAGGTGAAATACATAAAGGAAAATTGTAACTTCGATAGCTTTGAAGATCATCAAAGACATTTTCAATATATTTTACATTTGGAAATATACAGATAAATGTTTCTTTTATTATCCTTATATCGCCAAAATCAATTAATCTTAATAAAAACTTAATAATCACAATATTATATTCCCGATTCAATAGAGGATATTTATGGCGTAACAATTTATCGTTGATAAAATTTTCATTTTTTTCATTATCCACCAATGTTAACGGAATTATTAATGGATAAGAACATTTAAATAATGCCTTTTCATTTTTTATATCTTGATCGTATGGAAGAGATCCCAATATATCTATTTTCACTCCCATTGAATATAATATTGCATAAATTTCTTTTCTAAACTTCCAAATAAATTTAGATTTATCATGGAAATCAAAGAGTGAAACCTCCAATTGTTCGATTGAAACATTATGATATGCTAATTGTTCACACAAATAATATAAAATGTCCCACTTGAAGTAGTAAAACATTTCCTTTCGATTTCCTAACTTTAATTCAACAGCTAAAGAATCTAGAGCATTCAAGGAATAAAGTTTTATTATATGTGTAGCACAATTTTGTAATATTTTTATCAAAAAATAAACAGAAAGAGGGTATGATCCAGATGTGACAGTTTTAAGCATTTGAATATAAAATACTGATATTTCAAATGATGAATTTGAATAGAGCCTCTCAAGCTCTGAAAGTAATATTACTTGATTTTTAGAACTAATAGTGGTCATATAACTCGATATTTTTTGAATTATAAAATATCTTACTGAAACTGATAATCTTTCCAATATAATCATTAAAGAAGCAAAGATTCTTTTCTTTCCACCTTCTATTACATTAATGATAGTGTAATTGTGTTTTAAAATATTTAAAAATAGGAATGCTGTTTGTAGTAATGCTTCTTCGCCACTAAAAGAACTATCTTCTACCCTTGATAAAATCCATTCTAGTATATCACAACAATCACTATCTATTATTTTCATTCCATTATATTTCCAATACTTTTGTAGAATATTTAGATACTGTGACAAAATCTTAAATGTTTTTGAACATGTATTATATTTAACATTTAATAATCTTTCCCCTAAAAATTCTGTAAACTGAACTACAAATCTCTTATAAGGTAATGCTCTTTTCTCACAAAAACAATCCAACCACTGTAAAACATTATCAAGACATGTGTACATATCTGTGTATGACAGTGTAGCGACATACTCTAATAAAGAACAGAACTGATCTTCATCAACTCCCCAATCAAAAATATTAAGCGCCACATTAATAATAATATCAGGTCGAACCAAGACTATCTCACCTTCTACTACACCTGAAAAAGAAGTTTCAAACATTAAATCATCTTTGTATGCATCTTCTAAATTATTCTCTTCGATAGTTTCATGAGATTTTAAAGCAAACTTGTATATACGAAAATCAAATATTTTGGCCAAAAACCAGCAATGTTATGAAACTGATACAACGCAAAGTTTGAGAAGAGAACATTTAAACCCTTCTGAGTCATTAGAAGTTTTGATTTGAAAATATAATCTAATGTTTCTTGACATTTAGTACGAAAGCTTGAATTTAAAGATATATTATAAAGTTTATCAAATATAAGCAGAAGAGTAATGCCGGAGTCTATCAATTTTTCATCAAATTTGGAACACTGGGATTTTACATAATTCAACATATTATCCAAAAACTGTTGCATAATTGGCTGTTTTCTCTCAATAGAACCAATAGTTGTTGTGCATTTTGATTTTCTTGAACAAAAACTTCTTAACTTTGATAGAGTTAAGAAGTTAGTTGTATTTTTTTGATCATTCCAACGTTTTAAGGAATAATAGAGATAACCTTGTTGAAGTTTTGAATTTGTTCTAACTTTGTAACTTAAAAAATATTGATCGATAGACTGCCCTGACAACCAAGCAATAAAAATACTTAACATTTCATTACTACATGGTGTACCAGAATAATCTGGCCATTTAGAGTCTAACCATTTTACAAGTCTGGTAATTATGTCCAATTCTGTTGACATTGCAATATTTGAACCATAAGTATGCAAGCATATCCAGAATTCAAAACTTTCAGTAGAAAGAAAATTTGGCCCATTTATTTCAGAATATTCATACATATCAATAATATCGTTTACGAGTTTTTGCTCAGAAATAATATGAGGTAAATATTGAATTAAATGCACAATTAAAAGGCAGGCTACTTTACCAAAGTCATCTGATTTAACTAGAGATAAAGATATTTTAAAAATTTTAGTTATATCATCCTCAAGGAATTCAGTATTCTTATTGGAAATTAATGGAATCAATGCATACAGTACCCAAATATTATATTGATCACTTTCTAATATGTGTATAAGCTTGTCTTTGAATTTGTTCCCATTTAGAAAGTCTATCTCATAATATATAGCGAAACAGAATAAAAGTTGACACCCAAGTGTAAAAATAGCAGGAGAGGAGTTGAAGTCTATGCAATTTAAGATAAATTGTGATAAATCAGTACAAGTACGTAAAATGGGACTGACATCATCCACAATTCGTGTCCTTTTGTTGTTAAAAAGATAACTTCGATCTTCATTTATGTTAGAAAAATATGTCAACAAGAGTTTCACCAATGATTGTAGCCTAATCCATTCGAAGAAGTGATTTTCATCACACACATAAATATACTTACCATCGATGTCATTATTCTTAACATTCCCTAATGTATTGAATTGAACAACGTTTGTGGAAAATAATTGGGGTTTAAATCTGCTTAATCTTAACATCATATATTCTTTTAATAAAAGAATAATAGACTCTTGTGATGGAATATTGGCCACTTGCATTATTGAATCCATCTGAAAAATACTTGTACTGATAAGCTCACTTGCACAATAATCAAACAATGTCAGTTCATTTTGTATGCTTTTGTTTTTGGATTCATTAAATACTATTAAATAACGTAATAATTCCTGAATTAACTGAAGTGTTTTCACTAGATCTATAGAATGTCTTGTAATTATTAATGTATTAGCAATTCTTAGTATTGCTTTAGTGTTTGTGTCGTGATTGATTGACAACCTTAATAATTTTATAATAACATCAGATAAATTTGAAATATGTTGAATTCCAGATGTATCCAGTGCTAATAATGAACATACTGTTTCTAAAATATTTGTTGTGATCCTATCATTCAAATGTTCTAAATCAATTTGTTTTTGTAAGAAATGTGTAAGTTTATCCATTATTTCGATCCATTTTGATTCGATAAATTTAAAAATAAAAGGTTCACTGCGCACCAAATCATTAATGGAAATAGTTAAATGTGTTGCTATTTCAGCTAATAACTCACCTGTATCATTATTTATAATAAGTTCTGGTAATGCAACCAATAAAAAATTCAATGTCTTTTGTTTAAAACGATTACATGTCTTTTCAATAAATAATCGAATTACGTAGGCTTCAAAAGAAATTCGATCTTCACACAGTCTTAATTTGTTCGAAATTTCATGATTGCCTTCTTTAAATGATTTCAATAAATTACAATATTTTCTTTGCTCTAAATCTAATAATTCAATAAGACTTTCTGCCACTGATTGTAAAATCTTATTCTCTATTAAGCCCGGATCTTGCTTTAGTAAACTAGTTAATTCATCTAAAGCGTCTTTCTTTTCTCTTAGTTTTGTGGAATTTAATGTACCTAATATATTGTAAATGCTATTTGTATTCATGAAATATAGTGTGATTTATCAAATAGCATATATTTGGATTACGATTATATTTTTCTGTCTAGACCAGAAACCAAGTTAAATTCCAATCAGCCTTTTATTCTTTATTGTTTAATTTCACTTTAATCATTTCTGTTTTTCTTTTATTTTTCTTCTTTTTAAACCTTGCATTTTTCTAGGTGTCTTTGCTTTTATTACTATCTTTAATAAAAATGTTATATATAAGATAGTTTATTGCATATTTACGTAATGTAGAAGCATAAATTCACAAGAAACTTATAGAGAATCCATAGGTTTTTAATATATATATATGTATGTATGTAGAAAGATTCATTAGTTATTATTTTTATTATTATGATTATACTTATTTTTATTTTTCATGGATGAATATAATAATTAAAAGAGTATATTATTAGTATAATGATTAATGTAATGCATTTCGTTTATCATAAATATGTTTATCTTACAGACCATGATTTAGTATTACGTATTACCTGATCCAATGGTCCATTTTTACCACTGTATGTTATTGAATATTCGTTAGAGTTCGGATAATAACTATTATTGGCAATACCACCATCCGTAGGTGAATTTTGATTAAAGAGATGTTGATGTTTTCTTTCAAGATATTCTCTATTATCCATATTATTCCAATATTTCTCATCTATCTTATTTGCTAGAAAATGGAAATTTTTTCTTTGTTGCTGATCAGTAGGATTGCGGTTGTCATTATAATTATTATTATTATTATTACTATTAGAATGGTAATATTCGGATTCGATGTTTTTTAATCTTAAAGCTTGTAGATCAATTAATGCGACCCCATTTTCATTCTTTGCCCAACCATTGCCGCCGTTTAGGATATCTTCAATACATTCACGAGGAGAGTATTCATTGGGTCTTTCATCCCATGGCAACTTGAATGTTTTTTCATATAATGAATCAATCAACGGGGTCATTGGACCTGATATTGTAGATAATCCATTGGCCTTGAATGAATATGAATATGTATTTGATTTGGTTAAAGGTTGAGTAGGGGGTGATATGAGGAAATTCGATTTAGCACTACTGTTACTGTTATTACTATTATTATTATTGTTGTTGTTGTAGTTATGTGTTGAAAAAGTGGATGATGTGGGTGTAGAACTTATATCCGACATACTATTATCCAATAGATTTGGCAATCCATTTTGGAAAGGACTGGATAATTGACCGGTTGTGAAGATATGTGAAATATTGAAATCCTCATAAGAGCCTCGTATTAACTTTAATTGAAATGTCACATTTAAGATTGAATTAATTTTAGAATCTTTCAACAAAAACCGATTAGTGATCGGCTCCTCAGTTTGTCTTACATACTCGGCCACGTTAACTTCAATTTTCCCTAAAAATGTCTTGCCTGTTTTCTTCTGAGGATAAATATTGGCACCTAATGATGGCAGGTTATTATTATTGTTATTGTTGGTGTTATTAATGCTATTTGTTCCGTCGATCTTCAAATTGTATTTTCTAAGATCAAAACTTGCTGATGATTTAAAAGATGGTGTCCTTAAAAAAGAACTTTTATTGGACAACACTGGTGCTATTGGTGAATTACTGTTATTAGAATGTGTTTCACCAGAAGAAGTTTGGCTATGAAAAAGTTGAGTGGTGGTCTCCAGATACACTTCAAAAGTGATCATTTTTGGAACAATATTTTTATTTTTATCCACTTGTAATTTAATTTGAATAGGTCTGCTCAAGGAATAGTTCCATTGAACTCTGTGATGTTTGATTGGAATGTGATTAGTAAAGCCTTTATTTTGTGAAGATATTTGAATATTTGAATCATTAGCGATATTGGTACCTGAGGTGCCAGTACCTTCTTTAAAATTCCATTTAACAAAACAATAACCAGAAGATTGTGGTATATTAACCAGTTCATTGATTTGTAGATTGAATAGAAATTTAGGTCTTTTAACTTTATTCCTATTACCGAATGGTGACATTTCTTTAATAAATTAATCGATATACATATAAATATGCATGTGTATGTGTGTGTATGTATATTGATATGTGTTATTTAAATAACTGTTCTAACGGATATGATGTGTATTACTCATATCTGTAGGACTCTAAAACTTATTTGCGTGTACTTACTTCCTCATCACTTCTTCCCTTTTATTTCCTTGTTTTTTTTTTGTTTACTTTTTATTTTTGTTTTTATTTTCGAGTGGTTTCCTTGCATGATTTGTGTTTTTGTGTTTGTTAATCTCTATTTAATAAATATTTTATGCATCTAAACGTTCTGAAATTATCGGGGGAAAAAAGAAGAAGAAAAATGAAAAAAAAAATAAAACAAAATGAAAAACAAGAAATGCCCTAATAGGTAATACTTTCGTTATTAATGAAAACAATTCAAGCCCTACTTTTATTTTTTCAAATGGTAGAAAGGGAGTAGAAAAAAGATTGCCGAAATAGGAAAACATCCCAAAAGATCTGTATTTTATTTTGTTTTGTTTTGGATTGCCTTCTTTCCTTAATTTTCAAATACGAAAATTTGGAAAACAAAAAAAAATATCTAAACAAAGTAAACAAAAAAAAATATCTAAACAAAGTAAACAAAAAAATATCTAAACAAAGTAAACAAAAAAAAAAAAAAACAAATATACAAATATACAAATAAAAAAGCTTGTGATTTGAAAAGTTGAACATCTAATCACAGTATAGTAAAAGTGGTGATACCTGAAAGTAATAAACTAACGAATACAAGCTATTTTAATTTGTAAAGATAATATCCCATTATAATAATTATATTCATATCATTTATATCATTCGCTAATTCAAATATTCCATAGATCAAATATTGTCATTATTCTCCATTCTCCTTTCTTTCCTTTAGTTTCTGTTGTATCTCTGTTAATAACTACACATTTTCTACATTTTATTTAGTTTTTTTTTCTTTTTTCTCTTCTCCTACCTAAAAGAAAAATACATAACGAATGTCCACCACAAACTATGAAACATTCGATCAAAATATCTCTAATATAAGTAAATTACCTAAAAAAAATTTCCCCATGAGGGTTGTTGTGAATACATATAGCAGACAGATGGATGATGAACTAGATCTAGTGCCAGGTGACAAAATTCATGTTATTACTGATGATGAAGAATATAACGACGGCTGGTATTTTGGTAAAAATTTAAATACAGGCAAAATGGGCCTATTCCCTAAAAATTTCACACAAGTGGTAGATAATAAAGATTCAATAATGAATAAAAAATCTCATAGAAGAAACAGTAGTTTAATTAACTCAACAACAACAACAACAGCAATAAATCAAAATAATTTAAAAACGCATAATAATGACTCTTTTATTTTCGAAGAAAATACTAAGAACAACAACAATAAATCTATAAATAATAATTATAACCAAAACTTGAAATCAGAAATGGTAGTCAATACTACAATGAATGACATTGATCAAGCGTTACGTGCGTTGAAAAATGATTCTATGGATATTCTTGGTGATCTATCTTCGATAAATACTTCACATTCAGGAACGATCGGATCATTAACCAATACGTCGTTTCCAAATGAAAATACCTTCAAATTTCCCTTCAATCTTAAGCAAACAAAAGGTCTAAGTTCCCTTCCTATTTCCAGTTTGGCTGATCCTTATAATCATATTACTGATTCCACTTTTTCTCAAAAAGATTATACATTTGATATCCGTAATTTAAAACAGTGGTCCCCCAATGAAATAGCAAATTATTTTATAAAAAAAGGTATAGATATTAAAACTGCTTCATTGTTTGAAAAACATAAAATTAATGGATCAATTCTTTTAGAATTGGAATTATTACATTTAAAGGAGCTTGATATTAATTCTTTTGGTACCAGATTTACGATTTTTAAAATAATTGAAGATTTGAAGGAACAACTTAAAAAAGATTTTAATCATAATATTCTCAATACAAATAGTTTTAAATCACAGTTGTCAACTTCTACCATAAACAATAACGATACTAATATTCATGATAATGATAGCTTACTTCCAGCAGCATCAATACCATCTGTTGATAATAATAACAACAATAATAATAATCATAATAATATGAATCCAAGGGAGAAGTTACCAAATAATCATCGAGTTAACTCAGTTGCATCCCATAGCAGAAAACCCAGTGGTATATCGGTAAATAATCAAACTTTAAAACTTACTTCTGAAAAATTAGCAGGTTTGGCCATATCATCAAATGAACATCTTTTTGATTCTCCTGGTGCGGCTCCTAAACCACCTTCATATCCAAGTCCGGTACAACCACGGTTATCTCCCACAGTAAACAAAAATGTTAACATGAGTCCATCTATCAATAAGTATTCATCGCCAAGAGAAAAATATGAAAATAAAAACAGACCACCAACAAAATTAGAGAATAACTATATAAGAACTAATCCGGAGTACAAATTTGGGTCTCTACAACGACCCTCAGATTTAAATAATATTTCAGAAAACGAATCGTTAACAACATCTTTAAATGCTCATAAAATAAAGTCTTCAACTAAAAATGTCGTTAGATCGACTTTTAATATTCCAACAACTAATTTTCCTGTTTCCTCTTCGACAACACCGTTGCCTACAAGTACAACAGAAACAAATATTACTTCTAGATATTCCAAAGTTTATATTCATAGTAATCAGACTACATCCATGGAGCACCGCATCCCATCATATCATAAAAAGTCAATTAGTGGTGGTTCTTTTATTGATTTATTTAGTAGAATATCATCAATGTCTCCTAGCAGAACAGATTTATTAGAGGATAATGAAAGCACTATGGTACCAGATAGACCAAATTCAGTGATATATGGTCACTCAAGATCATCTTCTGGAGTACCATATCATATGAGAAAATCCTCTCAAGGGTTATTAGACATCAAAAAGCATAGAAGAGCTTCTTCTGTATTAAGTTTTTTTTCTCCAACTAAAGTTGATACAGATCAAGAAGTCAATTTTCATGGTCATGGAACTATTTCTCATTCTAGAAAGCCTTCAGTGATAAATAGTCCTTTGAAACAAGAAATAAAAGAAAACGTGGAATCTAGTTTAAATAAAACACCTAAGACGAAATCATATAGACACTCTATGTTTGTTGGTAATTCAGCAACAATATCGACTTTGGCAACAATAACTCCAAAAAAACAAGAATTAACTAGTCCGAAGAATATTTCTAGCAGCGCAGGGAAGAGACCGAAAAGCGAACTATCAACATCTCATAAGGCTAAGCAAATATTACGGTTTAGTAGTAGTGATAAAAAGAAAACATCTGCTTTTGTGGAGGGCATTCGCAATGTCACTGTGGAAGAAGCCATCAAAGATGCATCATGTTATGGATGGATGTATAAGAAAAGCAGTGGAACTATGGGTACTTGGAAGAAAAGGTTTTTCACCTTACATGGAACTAGGTTATCTTATTTTGGATCTTTGAATGATACAAAGGAACGTGGGCTAATTGATATCACAGGCCATCGTGTTGTACCTATAAAGGATGATGATAGATTAATTGCATTTTATGCTACAAGTACAAGAAGTGGGAAATATATTTTTAAACTATTACCCCCACAACCTGGTTCCAAAAAAGGATTAACTTTTACTCAACTAAGAGTTCATTACTTTTCGGTGGAATCAAAAGAAGATATTAGAAGTTGGCTTTCTGCGTTAATTAAGGCCAGTATTGACATTGACGACACAGTTCCCGTTATTAGTACATATGCAATGCCTACTGTATCATTGAATGAAGCAAAACAAATGTTGAAGGAGGCCAAGGAAGAAATGACCTTGAGAATTCAAGAGAACGCTGCCAATGAATATGATGAAGGAAAGCATATTTGGGAAGAAAAACGTGAATCTTTGGGACGTCTTTCTTCAAATGTATTATAATATAAATGCTATATGTATAAAATAATATATTACTATTTAATTCTTAATATTACATGATCACTTCACTTCTAGTAATAACTATACTAAAGTCTGTTAATGCCTATATTTATTTTTAGCTGACATTTATAGTTTGAAGCAGTGATTCTTTGATACTCTATTGTTCTTCTTTTGTTTAAAGAAAAAAAGAAAATAAAGATGTGATTAAACATAGTTTCAAAACGATAGTATCAAACTTAGTTTCCAGTGTGATTTTTGTATTTATTCTTGATAATGACATTTTTCTAATGCATCTGCTATCACATGATTTCCCATTGGATCTAAATTTAAGGCTATGGTATATTGCTTTATTGCATCGTTCTTCCTTCCCATAGTCTGATAAATTTGTCCCAACATGAAATGAACAGTTGCTTCATTTGGAGTCATTTTTTCTAATATTTCAAATTGTTCTAATGCTAAATTAAATCTTCCCATGTTAAATAAAAGTTGTGCTCTTCTATATTTGGGTAATGTTGAATCTGATTGTAACTTGCATGCTAATTCATAATAATCCAATGCCTTTTCTGCATAGCCCAGTTTTTCTAAAGCATGACCACAACAACATATAAGAATCACATTAATTGGATTTATTAATCTTGCTTTTTCAAAATGTAGTAATGCTTCCTCATATTTGCCAAGTCTAAATGCGCAATCACCAAGTCCATAGTAGGCATTATAATGTTGAGAATCAATCGCCACTGCCTTTCTATAAAACTCTCTTGCCGTGTCATATGATTCATTTGCTGTGTACTCATGACCTTGTAGTGTATAAGCATACGAAAATTTTGGGTTTAGTTCTATTGCTTTAGAAAAGGCTTTAATTGATTCATCATGATTCTTTATTAATGAATAATAGTTTCCGGCAACACACCAAGTTTCAGGTCTAGTGGGAAAAGATTCTAATAACTCATTACATAATGTATAAAGCTCATGATTTTCGCGAAGATGCCATAATAGAGTAGAATATATTTCCAAATCTTTAACCCTTGTAGTCTGAAGTGACCTCAGTCTTTGAAAATACTTTAAAGACATGTTATAATTAGAGATCTCATAATGAAGTTTTCCTAGTTGTGCTAAACACCATGGCATATAATTGACAATATATGATGGTACTTCATCATAAATGATTCTTATAACGTTGTGACAGTTAAAAGAAGAACTTAATTCCAATATTTTAACAAATAAATAAAAGAGTCTATGAAAAGAAAGTGTAGAAGACAATAATAAAGAATCCTTATTTTGCTTTTTTATTTTGTCAGAATTATAATATATTAATTCTTCATCACCACCAAATTCAGTGGTATTATTACCGTTGTTACCGTTATTGTCATTAATAAAAGTTACTGAATTTTTGATATTTCTTTTTCTTTTTGTGGAATTTCCCATTCCATTATCTCTTGGACTTAAATTACTGGGGGTAGCAAATTTCATTCGCTGTTCTAAGGTAATCTGTTTTGAAGGAGTGGTCTTCAGTCCTTTTACTTTATTATTTATCTTAGCTAAAGAACTCACTGTTGGTTTACTTATGGTAGGTGAAGTTGATTGAAGTTTGTGATCTGAGTTTGTAATAATGTTATTATAAGTTTCCATTTCTTTATGAATATTCATTGCTGTACCCGTCCTGTGAGTTGTATAATGATTTAAATGGAACTGTATCGGCATGCTATGATCATTACTACCTAAGTCAGCATATATATCTTTGTTATTATCATTATCATTATCATTATTGTTATTGTTATTGCTATTACTATTACTATTACTATTACTATTACTATTACTTTTATTAATATTATTCATAAAAGGTTCTTCATTATATCGATCTTTGAAAAACAATAATTCTAAATCCAAAGATATTCTCTTATTAAACAAGGATGGATAGATCTCCCAGAAATATGGGTCTAATTTCAAAGATTCAATTTGGTGTTGTATACTAGTCTTACTTTCTGATATTCTATCAAATAACGCACCAATCAAACCGTGAATTGTAGCCTTATCCCCCATGAATATAAAATTATCTCCTAAATCATTAGGCTGTTCTGACAAATGCCGATTCAGCCACGAACCAGCGTCTCTTTCATGCTTATTCAATTTCAGAGCACACCTTGCATAAATGTATGCAATAGATATATGGTACTCTTTAAACTGTCGAGCTATATTGAATGCTGTTAAGTATTCGTTATTTAAGTATAAAGATAAGGAATATAAATAAATTGCATCTAGTCTATTCATGTGGGTAATTTCTAAACCGTTAGCAATAGTGAAGTATAATTCAGATAGAAATAATGCAGTCTCGAAGTTTAATTTTTGTAAAGCATTTTCAATATTTTTTTTTAATTCAGTCATAAGTACTAAAGAAGGAGAATTTCCATTATAATACTCTTTCCCCTTGAAATTAATTTTAGACAAGTCTTTATATCGGGAATCATTAATATTTATTCTCATATCTTGAATATAGTTTGGATCAGCAGGATATACGTTAGAACCGAACATCATTTACTCTGATAAGCAAAGAAAGGGGAGTGAGAAACAGAAGGGACTATTTTAAAGAAGAAGAATTTTAAAATACTAAAATATATATCCAATGTCTTTGCACACTAGAGATCTTAATATTTTTTAAATGTATGTATTGTTATTTTGGATGTCTTTGTTGTTATCGGTATTATGGATAGTGTTAGTGCTAGCTGTTGCTCTGCCAAAGTTATGTATTCGTATGTTTGATATTAATGATTTTGTGATTCAAATTCTTTTTGTTTACTATATGATCATATTTTTATTGCTTTTATTCTTTCACTTTTTTGGTTTTTCACAAAATGCAATTTAAAGATAGAGAAATTGATGATTTTGCCTAAATAGGCAATTCATGGAAACACAGAATTATATCAAAGCACATATTAAGAGAGGAACCAAGAAGAATTATATACTAAATATACAAAAAATGAAAGATTACAGAAAAACATGCCATTAGACTTGATCTTATTGATTTTGAAGCCAATTCAAGTCATAAATAGGGAAGTCATAAAAAAAAAAAAAGAAAAATATTGACGAATTGCTCTTCGTGAATTTTGAACATTTCACCGCCACCAACGTTCGAACCCTCATTTAAATTGAGACGCGTAAAGTAGATTTTCCCCAAAAAAAAAAAACGTAAAACGATAAAAGAAAAAGGGAAACGCGTAAAAAATAAGAAAAAAAATTAAAAAAAAAAAGATCCGGATATAATCGAAAGTAACAATTGCAATGGTAATTTAAAGAAAATTTCAATCGAAAGCTTTAGTGTGTGACAATGCAAGAAAAAAAAATTTGTCAATTACTTAACTTAATTAGGAAAATGCTGGACCTTATCGATCTCTCACACACCTGGAGTTTCATTCTGACTTATAACTACTGAGCTGAATGTAGACAACAAAATAACCATAAACTTTGAAATTAAAAAAAAAAAAACAATAAAATAGAATAGAATAAAATAACATAACATAAATATTTTCAATTTGTTTATACTGCGAAGTTGGTCTTACACTCTGTATTCATTCAATTATATATAACCTTTTAAATATATATATTTATATTTATATTTATATTTATATATATTAATAATATGAAATGGAAAGACGGCAATAATCTGCCAAATCACAAAAAGGATAACAGTATGCCAATTCCTGGTCAAACAGAAAATGCTAGTGTTGCTGAAAATGATATTGGCCATTTTAGCTCTAATGTTGTCAATGACACCATAAACCAGGCAGAAACAATGTATATGATGGATGAAAATAAACTGCATGTTACTATTGAGCCTCTAATGACAACAACCACAACCAATAAGCAGAATAACACCAATAATCCTAGTGGCAGTGGCAATGGCAATGGTAACGATAATGATCATACTATACCTACTACTATTCCTGATACTTCAAAAGAGGATAAAGATAAAAAACCCACACAAAATCTAGCTATGGCAGTAGATCTTCCTAAAATTACGACTACTGCCTATCGAAATAATATGGTTAATGAAAATTCTGTTGGTAACACTTATATCGCACCTCTTCAGCCTGTAAAACTAAGAAATAATGATACTAGTAAGCAAAATAACGCCCCTATAATAGAAATAGCCACATACTCAGATGTCGATGTTTATGAGTGTTATTTACGAGGTTCTGAGTCACAACTGGTGATGAGAAGAGTTAAAGATGATTGGGTTAATATTACACAAATCCTTAAAATGGCAAATTTTTCAAAAGCTAAAAGAAGTAGAATTTTAGAGAGAGAGGTTGTTTTAATGAAACATGAAAAGGTGCAAGGTGGGTACGGTCGTTTTCAGGGAACTTGGATTAGCTTAGATGATTCTAAGTCATTAGTACAGAAATATGGAATTCAAAATAATGTGGTTCTTGCAATAATAAATTTTAAATTGAATAAGGATAACCCACCGAAAAAGAGATTGAAGAATAGTATCTTAAGAAGAAGCTCGCCTGGGGGAAGAATCACCTCCCCTTCGAGTTATAAAAGAACACCAAAAAAGAATAAGCAGAATGGTTATTCAAAGATAGTACATCACACAAATTCATTCAATGGTCAGCAAAACTTAAAGACAGGTAATTCTTCAACACAAATTAATCCCAGTCCGTTACATAATCTGGCATTTCAAACACCTCGTCATTTACAATTAAATAGCCAACACTCTAATGACACTTTTGAAGTTGAAACAGGCACGAAACCTGTTTTGGGATCTCATGAGCCAAGCAGTAACTCCACAATATCGGGGTTAAGTTCTGATGGTACTCCAATACCTCAAAGTTATGCAAGTTCCTCTCAAAAACCATTACAGTTTTATCCAATACCTACCAATATTAACCGGAATGCTACTACCAGTAACAATAGTATGATAAATGTCAATAATTTTGGTAATTCCAGTAGATATACAAAGGAAGACTACATCGGTAGGAATCAATATATATCGATGGCTGATCCAGCAAATACGTTACCAATGCATAGTACATTAAATAATATGAATGTTAATCCGAAACATAGTAAAAAACATCAAGATAAAAATGGAAACATTAACTTACTAATGGATCAACAAACGGGTGACCAAATTATAAATAATCTTAAAGTGGAACAACCTTATCCAGCAGACCACCAGTCTGAACATAATATTAGTATTAATGATCAAAATAGTTTGATGAATATTCAGGAACAACAAGTATATCCATCTCAATATTATTTACAAAATACAACCAATAGTAATGATATAAATGCAACACCAGTACAAAATCCTCTATCTGATAGCACAAATCATATAAGAAAGATGAAATATCGTGATTTAATTTTACATAGTTTAACCATTGAAGTTAAAGATGATGGAATATGTGAATTACCTCAAGAGATTTATTACCCACCTCCAAACTTTAATGCTAATTTTGAACTTGATGCTCAAAGACACACAGCAGTGCACTGGGCTGCAGCAATGGCTAACATTCAACTTTTGAAAGTGTTATTAGCATTGAATGCCAATCCTTTGTGTTGTAATGATAAAGGTTTCAATGCTATATCAAAATCAGTTTTTTATAATAATAACTTCAAATGTGGAACATTTAGACAATTGATATCAATATTAAATATGTGTTTAGTGACACCAGATAATAATGGGAGAACACCATTACATTATTTGGTAGAATTGAGTATTAATACCACCAAGGATCCAAATATTATTACTGCATACATTGATCAAATATTAGAAGAATTAGGGAAAAGGTGTCCTAAGGAAGTTCAAAGAATACTGAATCACCAAGATAACATGGGAAACACAATTTTACATTTGTGTGCTCTAAATTCAAATTTATCTCTTTTTAACAAGTTTTATTCTTGTGGCTGTTCTGCAGATCTTCTTAATGGTGAAGGGAGAACACCACTTGAAATAATGGCAACTATTAATTCTGCAGGTACACTATTACAAACTGAGTCTGATAAAGAAATAAAGCATATTTCATCTACATATGACTCATTGGAACCAGAAGTATTAATAAATAAGTCAGCAGGTAGTATTTTGTCTAACAACAACTATGAAGGTGATCTTCAATCTTCCTTTGTTCCATCTACCATATTAAAAAACGCCGATAAACCGAACTCTCAAAAATTGATGAGTAAAAGACAATATTTGTCATTCCAAAACAATGATGACTCTTACACTAAAGCTAATAACACGACATTAACCCTAACTAAAGAGGATGTGTCAATGTTAGATGATATGATCACATCTTCTGTAGTTAAAGGCAATAAACATTCCCTTGCACAATCAATTTTACAATCTCCTATCGTCCAATCAAGACTACAAAGTAATGATGAAAATATCAAATTTTTGTCTAAATTTCTACGTTCGCCATCTCCCGATAAGAAAGTAGGAACAAACAGAAGATTATCTATTAATAAGAAAATAGTATCAAATGTTGGTAGCAGAATTAGTAATCTTTCAAAGAAGCTTGTTAACACTATTGATAATGAAATTAGTAATCTTCATAATCAAATTTCAAATACATCAAGCCAGATTAAAGTAATATATAAAAATATCAAAAATTACCAAAAGCATTATAGATATTACTGTTCCTTACTAGGCGTAAAAGATGTAAAAAATATGAGAGACCAAATAAAACTTTACAGAGGTGCAATTACACAAAACAAAAGGAGATATATACGATCTTTAGAGAAGTGCCAGGCGTTAAATTTAGCCAATTTTGTTCAGAAAGAAGAAACAGCATCTCGCGATAAAATTATCGAGTCTAATCAAGATAATAATTTGAGAGATGCTGTCACTTTAACTGTATTACAATTTAAAAAGCATTTGTGGTTAAAAAAATTAAGCGAGGATATTATCAGTACAAAATCATTAATAAAGATAAACAAATATAAACAACTTATTGGTATGAACTTTGATAATATAGATTCCAAACTAGATGAGATTGAAGCTGATCTGAAAGCTTCTAACTAAAAATTCTAATAAAAAAGGATAATGAATTGAAAAGATAAACTTAACAAATATTTATATGTATAGAAATTAATTGTATTAATATAAAGATAATGTGATGTAATTATTTTGTAATGACAATTTAATCCTGTTTTCTCGACTATCTACATATTTGAATTATTTTGTTTTTTTTTTTTTAATTCTTATGAGTTCATTTCTTGGTTGTAGCAAGAAAAAATTTGTTTTAAATGAAAATTGTACTGAAAATTATATGAAAAAGTAACAAAAGACATTGTCTAATGGAGAGATGCATAGCTTTGGAACGTTGTCTTCTATTATTATTATATAGATAGTCCAATATTATAGTGGTGAACTCAACTAATTAATATTTCCGTGATGGTATCTGCTAGTGGAAAGATAACTAGTCCAGAAAGTGTTGTCAAAGAAGAAAAGATAAAAAATCCAAATGGAAAGCTAGAATTTGTTAGACCAAAACTAGATTTGATTCAGGATATTAAAGATGGGATAAATTATATTTTATTTAACCCTAATGCAACATTACTCGTTGCACCATTATTATTGTTTTTTGAATCAGCAGCATTAAAGATAATTGTCAACAATGTACCTTATACTGAAATTGACTATCAGACTTATATGCAACAAATTGATATGATTCAATATCAGCATAATTTTAATTACAGTGAAATAAGAGGGGATACTGGTCCATTAGTATATCCAGCTGGACATGTAGCTATATATAAATTAATGTACAAGATCACTAATGGTACATCCCTCATTAACAATGGACAAGTTTGCTTTAGATTTTTATATTTAATGACAATGGTAGTTCAGTTTATTTGTTATGATATATTACAGTTACCACCATGGTGTATTATATTTGCATGTTTATCTAAAAGATTACATTCAATATATGTTTTGAGATTATTTAATGATTGTTTTACCACTTTTTTTATGGTATTAACTGTAACTCTTCTATTGTCTGTAAATAAATTAAATAGTGTAAGGAAGAAAAGTAGGCATACTATTATAATGTTGGCTAGTCTAGCTTATTCAATTGCTGTTAGTATTAAAATGAATGCATTATTATATTTGCCTGGTGTAATAGTTAGTATTTTTATTTTAACTGGTAATAGTATTCTCTTTACTCTACTAAATGGTGTTATTATGGTTGTCTGGCAAATACTTGTCGCATTTCCTTTCCTAAAGACATATCCTTGGGAATATTTCTATGGGGCCTTTGATTTCAGAAGACAATTTATGTATAAATGGAGTGTTAATTGGCAATTTATGGATGAAGAAACATTTAATAATGTTATTTTTCAAAAAAGTTTATTAGTGAGCCAGTTCATGTTAGTATTAACGGTTATTTTGATGGAATATCCATCTTTTTTTCAGGATGTTTTTAAGTCAATATTTTTAAAAAAGAGAGAGAAAATAATGAGAAGAGATAATATTTCTGGTGTTGCATTTTTATTAATAATGTCAAATTTTGTTGGTATTTTATTCTCCAGATCCTTACATTATCAATTTTTAAGTTGGTATCATTGGACTATTCCTATATTAATTTTCTGGTCAAGGTTATCAATTTATATTGCTCCTATTTGGTATTTATTACATGAGTATTGTTGGAATTCATATCCACCAAATGCTAGAGCTAGTTTGATTTTGTTTATTTGTAATTGCGCCATGATTGGTTTCATATTTTTAAAGAAAAAACCACAGAATATGCAAGCTAAATCGGTACAAGAAAAGAAAGAAAAATAAAGTAATAATCTATTCACATTTCTTTTTTTTTAGTTATTGCAAAATATGACCGATTGTAAGACAGACAACAAACGACTAAGCTTCAATTAGTTTATTCCTTATAAAATAGTTCATTATTAATTTATTATAAAATTATCAATTGTAAATTTTGAATTATTATTATACTTTCTTATATATGAGTATATTTTTCACTTCTTGTCTTTATACGTATGTGGTGACATTGTAAGGAACCTAACTGGAAATCCAGTAGATACGCAAGTTCGAGGGTAACCCCCGAGTGTTTGGGTGGAGGATTGATACAGCCATGTGCGCAGTGGCTCGTATAAAGTATTGAATCTGATTGAGGGATTTCCAGGGAGTGATAGTTATATCAGATCTTATCAAGAGGCCTTTGATTATTGAGAGATATGCCAGGGGTAATCGTCTTATTTAAATACATCTTAGTAATGATATTGAGAGGCAACTCTTGATATCATACAACAAGAACAACAAGAGGAAGAAGAAGTAATACAACATCAGGGTTATTAATTAGTAATATAGAGAGTTTACATAAGAGTGTTTATACTTTTACTAATTGATATGATTCATTCATTTACATACAATAACTCTTACAGACATATTTTTTTAATTAAATAATAAATATTTTACTATTAAAGTAACGAAAAATAAATATAATCTCACCAAAACAATAAATGTTTTTAGATAATGAACAAGAGTTTCAATTGCAATCTAAAACCCTCTGTTGGGAATGAGCGCCTTTATTCATTGGATATATAGTAAACATTCTCAATATTATATTAAACAGATTTAGTATACAAAATTATAATAAAGTTCTTCACTTTCTTTCTCTATATACAACATAGAAATAATAATATAGAAAGATTGTAAATAAGATAAAAATAATGTATGATGAAATCCTTGGCTTTATATATGTTAACATTCAGCCATTTTCCTCTACGAACAGTAAGATATTTAATAAATAAACTCAACAACTTTTGGTGACCTCTCAACAATTATTACTCAACAATTTATCGTTTAGTGTCTGCTAAAATCTTATTGTTCTATCTATTTTATCATAGAACATTCTATTTCAACACCCTCTCTACGGATTTAGATTATATTTATTAAAATTGCTAAAATCGAACGTTCTAGAATAAAGAAATAGACTAATTAGATTTTAGTAAATATTAATTGATAACAAAATGTGGAGAATGTATTGTTTGCTTATCAGTAGATGCAAACAAACCTTATCAACAATTTAAAGTCATACGTGTAAACGAAATGTATCAAATATAAAAATATATAAAGCTGACACTTTTTTTTCATATCATGCTTCTTCCCTTGTTCACCTTTTATTAATCATCCTTATATATTATGTATGAATAAAAAAACCGAAGAACTTAATCATAAATTTATACACTATATATATTAATATAACATTGAGAATATATATTATTTATCCAATAACTAAAGGCGCCAATTTTCATCAATTTCTCCATTATTTGTGTATAATGATCATTAAGAATAAGTTAATAAATTAATCATCCGTATGATATATTAGGAGTTATATCCAAAAGTTACAATTCATGAACTAGAACATGTAATTTGTAGTTTATTAATCTGTCTTTTTATGCTTTTTTTTATCCACATAATGTTCTAGGAGTTTGAAATAAAATATGATGAGATGAAGTGAGATTAACGTCTCGAGGTTTTAATTTTAAACTTTTTTTTTTGCGTAGAGTTTTTTTTCTTTTTTTTTTGTTATTTTTTGATCTCAAAATTTCAGTTGGGAAGGATTTGAATCAAGTAAGAAAAAAATATAAAAGAAATAGACAGTTTAACTATTGCATTCTTTTATATTTAAATTTAGTTGGCGGATTCCTTCAAAATTTAATTAATTTGTTTTCGAAAATGCCAATACATATTGTGGCTAACTTATTATAAAGAAAGTGAATAAAATCATTGTGAAGAGAGGCCATAGTCGGCACACTACTACAAAAAAAACTTTGAGAATGGATACGTATATCACTAGTAATGTTCCATTTGCTGCACAGATAGAAGATATTCGAAAGTATATATTGGATTTCGAAAAATTAAAAAAAAATAATAAGCACATTATCAATGGTTGTGGCTATTCACCTAGTCATAATTTAAAGTCGATGCATAATTCCCCTAGCTGTAATAACCAGAAACAATCACATTTAAACCAATATAAAAATTGTTATCAAAATTTTAACTATTCTAGTAGGAATCCAAGGTATAAAGGAAATAATTTTTTGAATTCTAATAAAGGTAGTTATTCAAGCACAAATGATAATGTTTATTATCCTTTAAATTCAAAGTCACGAAAAAATCTTCCTTATTATAATTTAGGAAGTAGTAAGAATATAGATAATAACACTACTAATAACAGGCACTTAAAAAGTGAAATGGTTCCAAACAATATACGACATCAGAATTTAAATATTCCAAATCAGCATAATAATATATATTCTACATATTGTAGTGGTATTTCCGATATGAAGATGAGTCAATCTATAAATCATCTTGATAATTTCCAACAAATATCTAACTGGAATAAAGACCAAATCTCCTTTGATTCTAAAAAAGCATTACTGGTTAAATCTTTATATGATACATATTCTCATAATGGTATTACCAATAAATTTGATCCTTATCAGGCAATGAATTCAGGTCATGATATGCAGATTGACTATAATAATAAAATCCAACTTTCTCTTTCAGCAAACAGTTCATTATATTTAAATGGTCCCCAACAATTATCTCCTATCTTTCCAACTGAGAATTTTAATGATAAAGTCGATATTTTGATGACAAATTCAAACTTACCAAATACAAATACTTTCCAATATGATATTGATTCTTCGAAGAAAGATATATTTAATTCGTCGCTAAATAAAAATTTGATTGAAAAGGCATATTTGAGCCACAACTTTACAAGTTCCCCATCACCAATATCAAGTAATGAGACAAAATTTAATAATAATATTTCGCCAGTTTCTTCGAATTATATAATACCAACTGACAACAATAGGACATATATGGATAATTCGTCGCAATCTATTGGCTATATTATGCCGTATTCTTCGAATTTATTCACAAATTCATCTATTAGTCAATATTATAATAGTGCCAATAATATTATAGATCAAAAAATATCTTTATTACAGCATGATACACATAGGTATAAAAATGGGGAGAATGATATTGTATCTGGCACATCTTTTGGTTGGAGTTTCACGGATATTAAAAAACAAACTGGTATTGAGGGAAGCAATACGGTTCCTTTTGTAAATGGGACTAATAAAAATATATCTTTACCTAACTTAAATAAATCATTTAAAATTTGGAACGATGATATGAAAGTGTGGAGTTGAAATTGATTTCTGCATATTTTTATGTTTATTTTGTGGCAGTTCTTGATAAAATTAGGGCAATTCATCGTCTTTTAGCATAAATGTACTGGGTATTATTAATTATTTATTTTTTTATTCAAATAGTATTAATTTTTTTAACACTATATGTTTCTGTTAAATTTAAAATAGAGATGGTCATCAATAACTCTTTGAGGAGTTTTACTAGATTACTTGTTAGTGTGTTTTATGTTTCGTGCTTTTTTGAGATTGCTTCAGATATATTATAAATTATATGTAATACCATAGTATATTAAGGTTAAACGAATTTGTATTTTTGAGCTTTGTAAAGAGTATGGGAGTATGGGAGTATGGTGTATTACTGTAGCTAAACAATTAATTTCAAATATGCTTTGCTATTCGTATTATCAGCTTTAATATCACTTTATATTAGATGTACACAAAGCTTAATAATTATATGATGTTGATATTTCTATCAAATGATATTGAATCATCCAAAAGGAATTGTATCTAAAAATTTGTTAAAAATAGAAAAACAGATAAACCTTTCCTCAAAAAGAGATGTGCATATAGAAACATTATCTCACCATCAAAGATTACTTTAGGTAAAATGTAACTTTGACATATTATTATATTTGCATATATGCATGTATAATTATAAGTATTTACATGTCTAATTATTTGATCATTAATATGTTTTTAAATATACGTTGATATTCTGTTGGTTTCACTCTTCCTCTAGTCTGTCTCATGGCTATACCGACTAAATAATTTAATGAATTTTTTTTCTTTCCAGATTTGATATTCTCTATTAGTTTAGGGTTATTGATATTATCAATAATACTTTGACATTGTTTTAATAATTCTTCTCCATCTACGGATGATTTTATTTCGATATTGAGTTTTTGAATCAGATATTGAAGATCAATATTTCCTTTAAACTGTTTCGTTTGAATATTTTCTAATATATAAAATAATAATCTCTTACCACCTGTATTAGAAACTTTCCCGTTTTGTAACAATTTGATGAATTCAATAAACTTAGTTGGTGGAAATAATTCTTGAATATTTTTCAAAGGTAACTCTAATTTATTCAAATCACCTAATAATTCATTAATAACCCAATTAGCTATAATTTTACAATCCCTTTCAAACGACGGAGGTATTACTTCTCTAAATAAATTAAAACTATCTAAATAATATTTCTTGACTTCTTCATTTGTATAATATTCATTTTTCCCATTCTGAATACATAACAACTTAGCATTCTTGAGACTTAAATTATATGGTTCATTTAGAAAAATTCTAATTTCGTCATCTGTACTGATTGGTAAAGATTTCTTTATATCTTTAATAATAGAATAATCTAATCTAATACATCCTAATTCTGGATCTGGCATATATCTATAATCAATCGTTGTTTCTTTACTCCTTAATTTGATAGTTTCATAACCGTTCCATCCCCTAGTTTCTTCATAACGCAATAACTCAGCTGCTTTTCCTTGTTTTATAATATTAATCTGTCTATCATATTCGTATTTAATTGCATTTGAAATAGATGATGTGTTTGATAAATTTTTCAGTTCTACTCTTGGATAATCACCAACTGATACATTCACATCAACTCTGATTGCACCAGTCTCCAAATTTCCTGTTGATACATTAATTCTTCTCACTAAATTTTGATATTTTTTCAAAAAGGCTATAACTTGTGGCACACTATCAAAATTTGGTTCTGTAACAAGTTCAATAAGTGGGACATTAGATCTATTCAAATCTATCATTGTCTTCTTCTCATAGTTGTCGTAGTGAGACATACCTGTATCCTGTTCTAACTGTAATTGAATAATATTAATTTTTTTTGTTGGAGTATCGAGGTTGTCAATATCTGAGTGAAGGTTGAGATAACCATTAGATGCAATGGGTGAATAATGCTGTGTCAATTGATAACCTTGCGGTTGGTCTCCATAGAAATAATGTTTTCTATCAAAGTGAGAGTTTAAATTTACATCGCAATTCAAAGAAATTGCCAATTTCAATGCTTTCAAAACACATTCATAGTTTAGGATAGGTCGTGTCCCAGGTAATGCAGCATCAAAGTAACTAACGTGATGGTTTGGACTAGATATTGATCCGAATGGATCATTTTTTGCTAGAGAAAATAATTTTTTTTCTGTATTTAACTGAGTATGGATTTCCAATCCACATTTTAATTGATATTCATTAGCAATTGAAGTCATAAATCTTCTTCGTAGTTGACAGTAGTTTTTTAACCTAAACATATTTATTTCTATTGATATTATTCAACTACTAGATTATTATAATAGCAGATTAATAGAAAAAAAATAGTATGTTCCTTTTAATTTGAAAATAGCTAAAGCAATATATATCAGTAACTACATATACAATACACAGTTCCATTGGCTTATCTTGTATTATTTTATAGAGAGACTTTAAGGTCTTCTCCCCTTGTTTAAACCTATCTTTAATTATAATTTGAATAAACGTTTAGATCAGATCTTCGTTCTAAGTGATCTATGCTTAATTTTAAAATAAACAGAAAAAAAATTAAAAAAATTTAAAATGTAAAAGAAGATTGGGAAAGTTCTAAAAGCACATTCCTATAAATGCCATCTATAAGCTTTTTGAAGTGCATATTGCCCTAGATTAGTTCTTTTTAAGAAATCCCTTTGCATGTTTTTTCTTCTATATAGGTACTTTTTCATTACAAGTACTACAATATTTTCAAAATTGTATTGGAATCGGTCAAATAGAGTTTTGAGGTGTTCAAAGTGATAAGTTAGTTTTATTATTGTTATTGTGTTTATTCAACGTTAAGCTAATCTTACCATGTTCTTCACACCATCAAAAACTAATAGTGGCAATGTCAATCCTACTTCTTCATTGTTAAATAATAATAATAACACAACGCAAACTTTTGGAAACACTCCCCTATCATCCAACAACATTAATGCTAACAACAATAAAGATAATAATGATAACTATAACAATAACGTCAATTTCACCGGTGGTTACAACAGGTTTAACAATGATGCCAAAAACACTTTGAATATAGATAATTTTTACGGACCAATATCAACATTTAGTAATTTTCATAACACTAACGGGTTAACCACTTCAGATTCACTAGCTTCTAGTTTATCTAATACAAATGAACATTTAAAAGTGACTGGATTAGGCACCACAGACCCTTTGAATTTATCTGTTCAATATATAGATCATTTATATCGTCGCGATGAAAACACTCCAATATTAGATGATAGGTCATATTATAATAACGGTGTCAAGTACAATTTTACTAAAGTAGTTGGTGGATTAGGTGCATTTACACCCTTTGAAAGACAAAAAATCATAAATATCCCCGAAGAATTGTTACAGGAAGCGTCCAATGCTTCTATAAAAAGCAATATTGGTATTTTCCCTGAAATAGATAGGTGTTGGATTACAATTGATAATAAATTGGTGTTTTGGAACATTAATGATCCATTTGATTTTAAATCTATAGAAGATATAAAGCATACAATTTTGAATGTAGCTTTAGTTACACCAAAACCTAACACTTTTGTAGACGATATTCAGCAACTGTTATTGATCTCCACCCCGTTTGATATTTATATATTAGCTGTTTCATATAACCGTAACCTTAATGAATTGAATATTTTCAATACTGGAATGAATATCTCTATAAATGGATTAGGGTCTGTTGATATTGTTGGTCATGAATCATCAGGAAGAATATTTTTTGTTAGTACATCAAGTGGGTTAAATATCTGGGAACTACAGTATACTGGGTCTGATGATTGGTTTAATAGTAAATGTAATAAAGTGTGTCTAACTCAGTCTGCGTGGACAAGTTTATTACCTTCGAATGTCATGTCATTGATTCCTGGAGGTAATATGATACAATCTTTGTTTGAAGAAAATTCTCAAGAGACTCTTATTCAAATTACGATTGATCAGTCTAGAGGAATCATTTATACACTTTCATCTAAATCAGTGATTAGAGCTTATCTGATTGTAAACAAGGGGTTGGAGGGTCCTTCCACAGTTGAGCCTTCATATATTAGTAGAATTATGGGGACTACTATGGCTAGAGGTGCAGCTATCTTAGGGAAGAAATATCTGAGAATATCTAAGATTATACCAATATCATTAAATGAAAATAATAATATTTTTTATGTGGCTATCACTATAGGTGGGGTTCGTTTATATTTTAATGGTTCTGTGACTCGTTCAAATATTGAAGCAATTAGATTGGAATCCATTAAATTTCCACCAAGTTCTGTGACGCCAGATATTCTACAACATGAATTACAACAACAGAAGCTAGAACAACAAAAGAGAAATATTCCATTCTATTCAAGCTTATCTCTCTCTGAATCTATCATGTTAAAGACACAAAAAAAATCAGCCGTCCTTTTAGAAACCACTAGGGCAAGTACTATTATTTCTCCAGGTATTTTCTTTTCCACAGTTACTAAATCACATCAATCTAAGCCTTCTTCTATACAACTCGCATCTACAGCAGATAATGTTGATAACACTCTTAATAATAAGGAAGGATTAAAACATCAACAGTCTCACACGAATCCTTCACCAGAGATTTTTGAACATCGCTTGTTTGTTAGTGTCCCAGACTATGGTATTTTGAAACATCATGGGGAATATGTAGAAAATGCTACTTTCTTAGAGACGACTTCAGTTGTCAGGGCAATTGTACCATTAACATCAACCTTTCATGCTACAAATAAACCATCAGGATATGCAAACGAATTTGCTACTCAATACACCACAGAAAATTTACGTGTTGCTGTTTTAACTAATAGTACCATTGAAATTTATAAATACAGGACACCAGATGAGGTCTTCGAAACACTAATTGATAATCCATTACCATTTGCATTGAATTATGGTTTATCAGAAGCGTGTTCCAGTGCTTTATTCGTTACCTGCAAATTCAATAAACCGGATTTAATAAGGTCAGGTGCTCTGACATTTTTAACCCTGGGTATTCCAGGTGTGATTGATATCAAACCTAGATATGATCGGTATGCTACTTCAGCCATGTCCACATTACTTGGTAAATCGTCATTTGCTACTACTACTTCCTCCTTTGCATCAACCCAAAATAAAGACATGTTATTATATGGTGGTAAAGCTAATTTTAATTTAGATGATGTTATTCTTTCTCCAAGATTTTACGGTATTGCTCTTTTGATTACAAGATTATTAAGAGAGATATGGGAAAAGTCGATCTTTACAGTAGCTGATGGAGTTAAAATAGATATAGCTCACACGATATTAAAGTCAGCCTTTCATTCTAAAGAAAATAATGTAATAACTGGTATATCAGTATCCAGAGGTGATATTGAATACTATTTATCTTCTATTATTATTCTTACTGAATTTTTTGAGAAATATGGTGATTCTTTAACAAGAATTTCCACACCATTAATGACTGATAATTCCAACACTAATAAAGCTGAAGAAGTTTCTAATCAAGCGGAAAATATTGCTATTAATGCCTTAATTAGACTAACATCATCAATAAAAGAAGCCTTATCTTTCTTGAATGTCCTTTATGAAGAAAGTGAAATTGATGGTTTTGATCAACAATATTTAGCATTTAAAAATATTTTCGGTTTTTTGAAAAGTGACGTTCAAAATACTCTTTCCAAGTTAAAATTTAAGGATTTATTTGCTCCTAATGATATCACCAAATTTTCAGTAAGAGAAATTTTGTTGTCTATTATTAACAGAAATATCAATAGGGGTGCATCTATTGAATATACTGCTACAACATTACAAGAACGTTGTGGTTCTTTCTGTTCGACTAATGATATTTTGAGTTTTAGAGCACTAGAACATTTAAGAAAGGCTAAAGAAGTTGGGACTAGGGACTTTGATGCATTGAGTCACCATTTAGATAGTGCTATGAAATTATTTGAGGTAATTGCTAATGATTTGTCTGTTAATAAATTAAAGGAAGCTGTTAACATTATGTTAGAATTAAATTATTACCCTAAAACTATTGAATTTTTGTTAAGTATTTCTGGTGTTGTAGACAAAGGTAATTTAGCATATCAATATGTCTCTAATGGTTCTTTACCAAATGATGAAAGAAAGAAATTTTATGATAAACGTGTGATAATATATGACTTGGTGTTTGAAACTTTAATCAAAGTAGACAATTTAGCAGCTAGTAACAATCAACTCAACAAAAATCCATCCTTGGTTTCGGTTGATATAAATAGTATTAAGGATGAAAGCTATATGATTGCATTATCGTTTGATGATGAATTATTCCATTATCATATGTACGATTGGCTAGTATCCGAAAATAATGAGGAGAAATTATTAGCGTTAGATACCAAATATATTTTACCATATTTAAATGAAAAGGCAAAAGATTCTTTGAAAATATCTACATTATTATGGATTTATCATTCCAGAAAACACCAATTCTATAAAGCTGCAGAAATCTTATATGCATTATCCATATCAGATTTTGAGATTAAATTGCATGAAAGAATTGAATTCTTAGCTCGTGCTAATGGATTCTGTAATAGTGATTGTCCACCTAGTGAAAAGCAAGATATGGTTCGTTTATCTGGCATAATTAAGGAATTATTTGATGTTACTAGTGTTCAAGATGATACTTTAGCCTTAGTACTAACTGACACTAGAATTGATGAAGACACAAAAAAAGATTTGGTTAAACAACTGGATGGAAATATTTTATCAGTAAGTGATTTGTTTAATGATTATGCTGTTCCGTTGGGTTATCATGAAGTAGCTTTGAATATATTTAAAATATCCGATTTTAGAGATCAAGAAGAAATCATGGCTAAATGGGAAGAATTATTTGAGTCACTAAAAAGAGAAGTCAAATTTGATGGCAAGATGGAAGACTCTATTAATTTTATCAATCTTTTATCCAATGTTGTCATTAAGGTTGGCAGGAAAATTCATATTTCAGAATTTGCATTTCCTGTATCAGAATTATTTCCTAGAATATGTGATTTGTTTGATCAAAACTTACCAAAGGAGCATATTAAAGCTGGATCAATAATATCAATATTTATTTCATCACAAGTATCTTACAATAAATTATACTATATACTTAAAGATTTAATTGAAACAAGAAATTCTTCAAACGAGTTATTTAAACAAGAGATGGTATATTTGATTAAAGAATGGTATCAAAATGATAGAAAATTAAGAGATTCCGTGTCTTCTGATGCAATCTCAAATTTAACTGAATACAGTATTGAGAATGATCCAATTGAAAGATACTACAGAAAAATATCATCAAACTAATATGATAATAATTATTTTTAATTCAAAAACAAATATGAATGGGGTAGAAGTAACAATAAGATGGAAGGCGTATTATGTTATTACATCTAAAAATAAATTGTGTTCTTGATATGTAGAGAATAGAATGGATGTATTGTAGTAAATAAATATACACTATAGATTCTGTTTGTTTTATTTTATTTTATTTAAAAGCAATATATATATGAATGCATTTGTGATCTTCTACTCGAATAATTAAATATCTTGTATGTTTAAATAGATAAAGGAATAATTATACATTGTTTTAATAAAAAAAAACTTGATATATATTGATTGAATATGTAGATATATGTGTTGTATATATGTAGAAAGAAAAATATGTAGAGAGAAGAAAGCTAGTTAAATAAAAGGATAAGGAGAGATAGATTAATAGTATCACCATTATAAGCTAGAAAGAAAACAGAGGTATATTTCGTAATCAATTAGGTCTATTTTTGACTTTGTTAGACTATGATGAGTTACTACTGCTCTTTATTAATAAATCTCAACATCATACGACTTCCTAAAGAATTAGAAAAAAAGAGTATCACTATATTTAATTATCAAGAGTATTGTGACTTTTGATGAGCTTTATTGTCCATTGTGATTAGTATCATTATTGTTTCCTTGTATTTTTGTATTATTTTATTGAAAAACATGATTGTATAGATCAAAAAACTAAAAAAAATTAGAATCCAATAAAAGGATGAAACAACTTGTACTAGGTGTAGTAATAGGCTTTACTGTGTATATGTGATACTAGCATTGTAAAAAATCATAATATGCATGATATATTATAACGCAATGAAGGAAGAAGATAAGAGAGGGAAAGGGAAAAGAAAATTAAAAAGAAGAGTAAGTATAATGATGTTGTAGTAAAGGAATTAATATTTCAATATGTTTTGTAAATTTTTTATTTATACCCAAAAGTATTTTCTCCTGAATAAGTTACATATAGAAACCCATCAGAATCCTTATACTCTTGATAGATGGCAGACATTAAAGCTGCGGTAGGTGGCAAAGTGTCATTAACAAAAATAAATATAGCTTTTTCTGGTGGTAGCATAATTCTTTTTCTTATGACATAAACAAATTGCCCAACAGTTAAGTCTGCTGGTACTAAATATTTCCTTTTGTCAATTTCAGGTATATCAGATTTCTCTGCACGTTCACAGATAACTGGGATTCTATTCTTAAACTTATCTGATATTCTCTCTGATTCAGCTTTTCTTTTTTCAAAGGGAAATTCTGATTTGAAGGATGATTTCATTGTTAGGTTAAAATTAATAGTTGGACTTTCTTATACGGGCTACCAATGAATATAATATTTTTTATTATTATGATGAGACACGTATATATATATATATATATATATATATATATATATATATATGTGTGTGTGTGTGTGTGTGTAAGTGTATATGCGATATAAATTAATCTATTTTAATTTTATTAACAAACCCTTATTTCTATCTTAAGATTTAATTCACCGTATAAGTGGTTGCACCTTCCTTTTATAAACTAGTGTACTGTATATACATACGTACGGCTGTAAGAAATAAGACGTACATTATACACAGTCCTATTAACTGAATTTCTTTTGGTTCACCTCGCTCTACAAACGTGTTTTAGACAAAATGGTAAAGTGCCATCTAAACACACTTCTCTTATTTTTTCCTTAGTATTTTTTTGCAGTCTTTATCAGCCGTCCCAACTGCAGAAAGCAGAAATTGGAAGAAGAAAAAAGGTAAACGAACGAATAAATGAAAAAGTAAATAAAATGACATAAGTTTCAAGAACGATCGATTTAAATAAACGATATATAAATTTTATATTGCTTTCTATATTAGTTTCATATTCTTGTTTTATTCATTTACTTAATTATACATAAGAGTAAAATTACAGAGACAAATTAGCAACATATCGATAAAAAATATAAATATATTTAGATGCTTTCTCATCGTTATTTATTTCTATTCTTGTCTATAATTGTTGCATCAACTAATTTTGTTTTTTTATTATTTAATTAATTAATATCGATTTTATTTTTTTTCTTGGTGCACTTATAATTTAAAGATCTTCAATTTGAAAGCTGTATCATTAATAGTCTGTTCTTCATCTGCAATGGCATCAGTTCTAGAACCATCATATCTTGTGACATTGGATCTACAAATCTTGTTCAACATGGTACCATGTTCCTTAACAATCTTTTCAAAACCAATGGTATCGTTGGTCAATTCATATTGAACAAGAACATCGTCAGTAGCTTCCAAACCACATTTCTTTCTCAATTTCTGGATTCTGTTAACTAATTCTCTAGCTAAACCTTCAGTTTTTAATTCAGGGTAGATATTAACATCCAAGACGATCAAAACGTCTTGATCAGTTCTAGTTTCTTGACCAGAGGCAATAGCAGACTCTGGTAAACCTCTGATGACATTTAAGTCACCTTTGACCAACTCAATACCAGCAACTACAAGCTTACCGGTCTTTAGATACTCTTTGACTTCGTCTGAACTAACAAATGGTAAACCATCCTTTACCTTCTTCACGTCTTTCTTTAATTTCTTACCTAAGACTGGCCAATCAGCAACAGCCCTGTATTCAACACCGTATTTCTCCTCGTCAGAAGTGATAATGATATCACGGACATTTAATTCTTCAACAATATAGCTCTTTAAAGCCTCGATGTCTTTTAAGTATTCTTTATCATTGTGTAAAATAACTAGAGTCTTCAATGGGGTCTTTAAAGAGATGGTCTTCTTTTCACGGATGTTTCTACCTAATTCAATGACCGATTGCATTCTGGAGACAGCGGTTTCAATAGCTTCATCGAAAAATTCCTTTCTAACTTCTGGGTAAGATAAGAAATGAACAGATCTGCCATCTTTAGTAAACTGAGAAAGAACTTCTGGAGTAATGTACTCTTTCAATCTCATGTAAATACCATCAGACAAGAATGGGGTAAATGGAGCCATAGCACGGACGAAGGTGAATAAAGCTTCAAACAAAGTGTTCAAAGCCTTCAAACAATCTTCAAGACCGTTCTCACCCTTCAAACGACGACGGTTAAATCTAATGTACCAGTTCGTTAATTCATCAATAAAATGTAATAATTTGGGAACAACAGTGTATAGCTTGTATGCAGCCATTTCTTGGTGAATATATTGGACTAAGGATTGTAAAGAAGCTAAAATCCATCTATCCATTACGTTGTCACTGGTGACGGTTGGGTCATATTTGAAATCAACATTAGAACTCTTCTTTAATAAAGTAATTTGACCTTCTAAGAACTTGTAGGAATTCCACCATGGTAATAATACTTTAGATACGACTTCCTTGACACCCTCTTCCTTGAATTTCAAACTTTCAGCCTTTAAGACTGGAGAGTTAATTAAGTATAATCTTAAAGCATCTGCACCATATTTGTCCAAAACAATATTTGGATCTGGATAATTTTTCAAAGATTTAGACATCTTTCTACCATCAGCAGCTAAGACAATACCAGAAACAATAACGTTTTGGTAAGGAACTTTACCAAATAAATGAGTACCTAACACAGATAAAGTGTAGAACCAACCTCTAGTTTGATCTAAACCTTCAGAAATAAAGTTAGCTGGGACTCTTTCGAAAAATTTTTCAGTATTTTCGAATGGATAGTGTTGAGAAGCGTATGGCATAGAGCCAGATTCAAACCAACAATCAAAAACTTCTTCAACTCTCTTTAATTGACCCTTGCCTTGTTTAGATGGGATAGTTAACTTATCAATAATATCACGGTGTAAGTCAGTGATGCCAGTAACACCAGTCAATTCTTCTAATTCTGCTATGGAACCAACACAGACGATTTCTTCAAAGTCATCAGAAACCCATAGTGGGATTGGAGTACCCCAGTATCTGTTTCTTGAAATGTTCCAGTCACGGGCGTTAGAAATCCAATTAGCAAATCTTTTTTCTTTGATGTTATTTGGAACCCAGTTAGATTCCAAGACAGATTCTAACATCTTTGGTGCAATTTCTTTAACACGGACGAACCAGGCTGGAACACTACGGTAAAGTAATGGAGTATCAGATCTCCAACAGAATGGATATGAATGGCGAATTTGACTAGCTAATAATAAGTTACCAGTAGCAGTTAAATGCTTAATGATTAGTTTATCGGCGTCTTTAACATAAATACCAGCAAAATCAGTGACATCAGCAGTAAATTTACCAGAATCATTAACTGGGTTGGGGAATGGAGAATCTTCTGAAATAATGCCATGATTCAAACATACATTGTAATCCTCTTCACCAAAGGCAGGAGCATTATGGACAATACCAGTACCAGAGTCGGAAGTAACATAATCATCAGAAATAACTCTGAAAGCAGTATCCTTAAATTGTTCATAGAAATATGGGAATAATGGTTCATAATGAATGCCTACTAAATCAGAACCCTTAATCTTTTCAACAACCTTGTATTTAGCATCCTTTGGTTTCTTATATAAAGATTTGATTAAAGATTCTAATAAGATGTAATGAGCATCTTTGGTTTCATCATAGATCTTAACATATTCAAAATCCGGATTAACACATAATGCCATGTTTGATGGTAAGGTCCATGGAGTAGTAGTCCAAGCAACCAAGTAAGTGTTTTTTTCACCTTTAACTTTAAAACCAATAGTGACAGCTGGGTCAACGACATCCTTATAGTTTTGTTGAGCCTCGAAATTACTCAATGGTGTAGTTAAACCAGTAGAATAAGGCATGACCCTAAAACCACGGTACACTTGGTTTTTGTCATATAATTGTTTGAAAGCCCACCAAACAGATTCCATAAATGATGGATACATGGTCTTGTAATCGTTATCAAAGTCAATCCAACGACCTAAACGACCAATAGTCTTTCTCCAGTCAGCAGCATAAGTCATGACAATGGATCTACATTCGTTGTTGTAGTTTTCCAAACCATAGTCAAAGACATCTTGCTTGTCTTTAATGCCTAATTTCTTGTCAATAATGTGTTCAATTGGAACACCATGAGTATCCCAACCAAATCTTCTTTCGACATGATGACCAGTCATGGTGGCATATCTTGGAACAATATCTTTAATAGTGGAGGCTAGAATGTGACCATAGTGTGGGGTACCAGTGGCAAATGGAGGACCATCAAAGAACGAGAATTCAGGTTTGTCCTTTGTTAACTCTAAAGAGGTGTGGAAAGCATCGATTTCTTCCCAGAAGGCAAGAACATTTTCTTCCTCCTTTGGAAAAGAAAAGTGAGATGTATTTTCAGACATCGTACTTATTACTGTAGTTGATCTTTTTTTACAAGGGGAACAAGAATAGCTTGTAACAATTTTAAGGATGGCTCTATGCTTTCAATCTTTTAGTAAGCCATGAGAACCATTTTAACAAATAGAAAATTTGTTCAACATCAATGAAAAATTTCCAATGTCCTTTGAGAAAATTGGAAGCAATGAAAAATTTTGTTTTTTTTTATTCTTCTGTCGCGCGTCGCAAATTGTCGCCCATAAAAAAATGAAAAAAAAAAATAAATAAGTAAATAAAAAAAAATAAAAGGAAAAGTAGAAGAATATTATGTTCAGTATACTAAATTAAAATGATAAAAAATTTTCGTCATAAGTTTAATTTGTTTACACATTTTTGAACTTCTTTAATTTTTAATTAAAAAAGTTGAAACAGTGATGCATTTTTGTATGACTGTGCTAAAGTGTTATAGCTAGATTGGGCTTCGTAAAAGAGGTGTAAATTGGAACTAAGGAATATGAACATTTTAATTTATAGAGGTGATAATGTAAAGGTAGAAAAATTAAAACCAAATTAATGAGAGTTTAAATATAATATTGATTTGAATATTGACCATAGAAGCTATGTGTTGGATAATCATTTGATAATTTTGTAGTCAATTTATAGAATCGTTAGACAATGTAAACATTCAATAATTTCTAGTTCTATAGTTGATAAATGGGTTACTAATCATTTTAAAGTATCTTTTATTAATTGAAAGAAACATATGGGAGAATCTGTATAAAATGAACTATATATAAGTATATATGAATTTTTTTTTATTTTTTTTTGTCTAAACTAATTTTCTCCTTCTCTTCTTTGTTAACTTCTTTTCATTTCCTTAATAGTCTACGTAACTTTGTTTTATTTTTTTTTTGTATAGATTGAAATTATTATTAGTCAACTTCTTCTACTGTAGGACCTGATTCATCTTGAGAAACACCATGTGGTGGATGTTGATCACCAGTCCCACTAGATGCTCCAGATGCACCTGTAGATTCGTAAAATTTGGTCATTATGGGATTGGCAATAGATTCTAAGTGTTTTTGTTTATCTTTATACTCTTCAATTGAGGCTGCTTGAGAGATATCTAGCCAGTTAATTATCTCTTTTGCAGCCTCTTCTATCTTTTTTGCTTCAGCTTCTCCAACTTTTTCTTTGAAATCATTTTCACTAACAGTATTCTTTAAAGAAAACACATATGATTCTAATTGATTCTTAGTTTGAATGCGTTCAGCTTCCTTTTCATCTTCAGCTTTAAACCTTTCAGCCTCAGACACCATCCTTTCGATATCTTCCTTTGATAATCTACCTTTATCATTTGTAATGGTAATCTTATTTGTTTTGCCTGTACCCTTTTCCAAAGCAGACACATTTAATATACCATTAGCATCTATATCAAAAGTAACGTCAATCTGAGGTATACCCCTTGGTGCGGGTGGAATACCAGATAACTCAAATTTACCCAATAGATTATTATCCTTGGTTCTCGTTCTTTCCCCTTCAAACACTTGAATAAGGACACCTGGTTGGTTATCTGCATAAGTCGAAAATGTTTCGGATTTTTTGGTTGGGATAGTGGAATTTCTTGGAATTAATTTTGTCATTATACCACCAGCAGTTTCAATTCCTAAAGATAAAGGAGCCACATCTAGTAGTAATAAATCCTGGGTCTTTGATGAGGTATCGCCTGTTAATATTGCAGCTTGCACCGCTGCACCGTAGGCCACTGCTTCATCCGGGTTAATCGATCTATTTGGCTCTTTCCCATTGAAGAAATCCGACACCAATTTGTGGATCTTGGGAATTCTAGTGGATCCACCAACTAAGACAATTTCATCAATTTGAGATTTATCTAATTTAGAATCTTTAATGACCCGGTCTACAGGATCCAGTGTTGATCTAAACAAGTCGGAACATAACTCTTCAAACCTTGCTCTTGTGATAGACGTGTAAAAATCGATACCTTCAAACAAAGAATCTATTTCAATTGAAGTCTGTGTGGCTGAAGATAAAGCTCTTTTGCCCCTTTCTGCAGCAGTCCTCAATCTTCTTAAAGCTCTTTGATTCTGTGTGATATCCTTTTTATTTTTTCTTTTGAATTCGTTTGCAAGGTGTGTTACTAATCTATTATCGAAATCTTCGCCACCCAAATGAGTATCACCAGCAGTAGCTCTGACTTCAAAGACACCTTCATCGATGGAGAGCAAAGAAACATCAAAGGTTCCACCACCTAGATCAAAGATTAAGACCTCATGGTCTGTAGATCCCTTCTTATCCAGACCATAAGCTATAGCAGCGGCAGTAGGTTCATTGATAATACGTAGAACATTTAAACCAGCTATAGTTCCTGCATCTTTAGTCGCTTGTCGTTGAGAATCATTAAAGTAAGCAGGGACAGTGACGACTGCATCTTTTATTGTTCCACCCAAGTAGTGCTCTGCGGTCTCCTTCATTTTCAGTAAAACCATTGAAGAGATTTCTTCTGGTGTGAAAGTTTTAATTTCGCCCTTGAATTCGACTTGGATGATAGGTTTTCCCTGTCTATTGATGACTTTAAAAGGGAAATGTTTAATATCATTAGAGATATCTGGATCATCAAATTTTCTACCGATCATTCTTTTGGCATCAAAAACGGTATTGTGAGGGTTCAATGCAGCTTGATTTTTTGCTGCATCTCCGATTAACCGTTCAGTGTCTGTGAAGGCTACATAGGATGGAGTAGTACGGTTACCTTGGTCATTGGCGATGATTTCTACTCTATTGTTTGTGAAGTGCGCAACACAAGAATAAGTAGTACCAAGATCAATTCCAATGGCTCTTATCATGTTAAAATAAAATAAAATAAAATAAAATATATATCAGGTCAATTATGGTGGGATTAGTGATTTAAAATCAAAAGTTAATAAAAAAAATAAAAGGATACTTGCTATTAATAATTCCACACATACGAAAGTAACATTAATTTAAGAAGAGGAAGAGGCTATAAGTGAAAAAAATAAAAGGACTAAAAAAAAGAAAATAAATATAACATGAGTAAATACATACATATATATATATATATATGTGTGTGTGTGTGTATACGTATATAGATTATTAAAGGAAGAGTAGAATAGATAAATAAATAAATAAAGTATTTACTGAAGCAAAGTCCATGTATATATCAGATGCATACTGTTATATGTGACCCTAGAAGAAGATTAAAAATATTGAACATCCCTTTTCCCTTCATGTTTCAAGATGACGTAGAAAGAAATAAAGGATATACAGAAAGAACTATGGAAGGGGTCCAAAGAGTTGGTAGAATGCCTTCATTTGAAAACTTCTATTCAAATGTAAACAAGGGTATTCAAAATATCATTCTGGGGAAAATCTGTTGAATGTTGAATCAGTATAAATGGAGAGGAGAGGCGATAGGACTGTTTTCTCTTTTCTTTTTTTATTAAATGTCTTTAAATTTTTGGTTTAAAATAAAAAAAAAAGTAAAAAAAAAGCGTCACAACAAGAACAAAACAATAATTAATTGAATACAATGAGGTCCAATTTTTTGCATAACAGCTAAAAGTGTTGAGAATGAGCGCCTGTAGTCATTGGATATACAGTAAACATTCTCAATATTACATCAAATAGATTTAGTATACAAAATTATAATAAAGTTCCTTGGTTTTTCTTATTTACGTATATAATGTATAACGATAAAATAGAGAGGATGAGCAAGGGAAGAAACATGATATAGAAAAAATGTTGGCTTTATATATTTTCATATCTGGTCTATCTCGTCTCCGTACAACAACAAATTTATGATAAAGTTTGTTTACGTCTACTGATAAGCAAACAATACATCTCCACTTTTTACTTATCAATTAATGCTTACTAAAATGTAATTGGTCTATTATTTATTCTAGAACGTTCAATTCCAGCAAAAAGATATTAATATATATATATATATATAATTTGTAATTTATATACACTATCCTCCTCTTTATCTAATTAAGTCAAAATGCATTACTAGAATCTTTCCACAAACACAACAACCTTTTTTTATTTTTTTATTTTTGAAAACGTTTAAACACATTACAGACTCTTTCAGTCTCCTCTTGCTATTCTTGCTTTTCTTCAACACTTCCATTTAAAGAACATAAGTGTAAGGAACCTAACTGGATATCCAGTAGATACGCAAGTTCGAGGGTAACCCCCGAGTGTTTGGGTGGAGGATTGATACAGCCATGTGCGCAGTGGCTCGTATAAGGTATTGAATCTGATTGAGGGATTTCCAGGGAGTGATAGTTATATCAGATCTTATCAAGAGGCCTTTGATTATTGAGAGATATGCCAGGGGTAATCGTCTTATTTAAATACATCTTAGTAATGATATTGAGAGGCAACTCTTGATATCATACAACAAGAACAACAAGAGGAAGAAGAAGTAATACAATATCAGGGTTATTAATTAGTAATCTATAGAGCTTACATAAGAGTGTTTATACTTATACTAATTGATATGATTCATTCATTTACATACAACAACTCTTACAATAAGCTTTTGGATTTCTTAGCAAACAGAAACAACAAAACTTTTATCTCTCTATATCTCTTTTCATTCGATCATAAACGTTCATTACACATAAAAAGACAAAAAAAAAAGAAAAAAACAAAGAAAAAAAGACCAAAATAAAAAGAAACGACTTCAATCAATCCAAAAAAAAAAACTCCGAACTTTTCTTACCAAAATAATGTGTGGTGTACGGATGCACTTTAACAGTCTTGAACAGTGTTTGAAAAAGAAACAATTGACAATTGTTTCTTTTTCATAATTAGTAATCTACAATAAAAACAAAATTAAACAAATTTCCAAAAAAAAACAAAAAAATTTCTTTTGTAGGTCACACACCCTGATATCTTTTTATTTTCTTCTCTTTTCTGTTCTTTTACTTTCACTATTGATTTTAGCAAGGTTTGTAAGTTAATCTGTTGAATTGTTTTCTATATATAATACTGTCAAATAAGATTTCATATGGTGTGGCCTTTCTTCATCTCAAAATAGCCAAGAGATTTTTTTATTATTAATACCATTATCTACTCATTCATTTCGTCTATTTTCGAATATAAAACAAAACAAAGCAAAACAAAACAACAGTAAAAAAGATAGATATGTCTACGGCAACCTATGATCAAATAGAAATAGAAGATATGACATTCCATCCAGAGTCTCAACTATTCACATATCCATGTCCATGTGGTGACAGATTTGAGATTCTTATAGATGATATGGTCTATGGTGAAAATATTGCAGTATGCCCTAGCTGTTCTTTAATGATCGATGTCATCTTTGAGCCAGAAGATCTAATTCAATATTTTGAAGAGGCTGGTATCGAACCACCTACTGAATTAACTGTTACTGCTTAAATATAATACAATACAAGCTAGAATAATTCATACTAGACTAATCCACTAGTAATATTGTTTTGATGCTCACTAAAAAAAATAATGGTCAGTAGAAAGAAAGGAGGAAAAAAGAGAAAAAATAATAATATACAATATCGTTACACATGTATACAGTTTAAGGTTAATCATATTATTCAGACCAATTGTATAATTGCCAAAGAAAATAGTTATTGGGTATATTAGTATCATTTTTTATTATAATCACATTATTGTTTCCTAGTTTAGACTTACAATAAGCATTTACAATATGCATGTCGAACCGTTCCGTATCCACTACAGCCTGCATATATACAGACACTCTCTAAACTTTCTCTCTATATATACACATATACATTGCTATATGTATACATCCACTCACTTCACAACTATTATGTATTCTTTGTAGCTAAATGTGATTCATTTATTCACCACAAAAATCTTCGAAGATTGAGGGAAAAAAAAATCATGTAAAATCCCAAAATGGAAATTTCTGTTTTTATCAAAGCTGCCTTTTGTTTTGGTTTTTTGTTTTTGTTTATTTTTCGATCTCAATTAAACAAAAGACAAATATTTACTGATATTCTCAAAACATGATGAACCTCATCGACACTTATCTATATACATTAGACATACTAATACTTAGGTCTCTTTATTTTCTTCTTCTTTTTCTTCTTTAAATATATACTAACCACAAAAATTCCTACTACAACTCCAAGTTTTAATCCTTACTTTGTCCCTCCACCCACTCCTCCCAAAACAAAAAAAAATAACATTATCAAAACCAAAAGAAAAGAAACAAAAAACTCAATAAAGATGAGTAAACATGGAGATAAGATAATATCAAAATTAACACCTAGCTTACAGATTATGATAGAAACTCCAGAAGTTGAGGCTCCAAAAAAGATTACCACAAATGAAGTCAAATTACAAAGAGTTGCCAGACCTTTAAGACATGTAAAGTATATTCCGTGCAAGGCTCAAGTGTTTACAACATGTGAATCACCCATTAATTTTACATACGAAAAAAAGATTAAGACACCAATTTCTAAAAATAAATTAGTAGTCCAAGTCTCTCATGTTGCATTGAACCCTATCGATTCCAAGATCAAAAATGGCTACAAAACTACTTTATATGGTGAAGTTGGTTTGGGTAGAGAATATTGTGGTATCATTACCCACGTAGGCAGTGATATCTCCTACTGTTGGCATGAAGGTGATAAAGTTATGGGGATTTATTATCATCCCCATGAAGGATATGGTTCATTGCAAAGTTCAATCCTTGTCGATCCAAAAGTGGATCCAATAGTTTTAAAACCTGATTCAATTTCAGATGAGGAAGCTAGTGGCTCCTTGTTTTGTTTAGGTGCAGTGTTTAACTTATTGAAAAAGTTAAACAAGGATAAGTACTTGACAACTGATTCCAATGTCTTAATTAACGGTGGGACAACATCACTATCTTTGTTTGCTGTCCAATTATTGAAACGTGTCTATAAATTAAATAAAAAACTAGTTATCATTACATCAAGTAACGGTCCAGATATATTGAAATCAAACTTTCCTGATCTGAAAGATGACATGATTTTTATTAATTATCTAACTTGCAGGGGTAAATCAAGCAAACCTTTAAAACAGCTGATCAAAGAACAGAAAATTACTGATTATACTGATAATAGTGCGCAGACAATTGAAGAAGAACCTATTATTCCGTACACTCAAGGTAAATTCGATATTGTCCTGGATTTTGTCGGTGGTTATGATATAATTGAACATGGTGCATCCATCATTCACAGTAAAGGGATATATGTGACAACAGTAGGTGATTATGTTGGAAACTATAAAGAAGATATATTTGATTCATGGGACAATCCAAGTGCAAATGCAAGAAAATTATTTAATTGGTCATTTCGTTATTCACATTATTATTTTAACCCAAATCAAAAACGCCCTTCGAAAGATAATTGGGTGGAGACATGTGTGCAATATTTAAAAGATGGTACAGTCAAATGCATTGTTGATAAAGTTTATGACTGGAATGATACTAATGAAGCATTTAAATATTTACTAACTCAAAGAGCTCAAGGTAAAATCATCCTTAAAGTAGAGATGTTTTGATCTGCTCTTGCTTATAGCATCTCCTATGTATTATAGATTCATTATATCGACTAATTTGCTTTATATACATATAAATAGATAATGATATATAATAAAAATATTATCCATACCCCTCCACATACCTATTGTTTAATAAATAATTAATAATAAATATTTTTAACTTCCTAATGTTTTATGTTCACTTAACTATATATACTGTATAAATTTACTTATGCTTACTATAATATTTATATATATGGTGTAGATGCCAAATTATTTAATTCATTTTCTCTATGATATACTATCAATAGTATCATATATCTTATACCATAACAATAGACCACTTATTTCATATATAAATAAATCATCAAAAACTCTTAAAAGAAATAAATGTTTTCTCTATCCCAATGTTCATAATCTCATATTCATATAATTCTCATTTAAAAAGTGTTGTTTTATTTTACAAACACACCTAATAAAAACAAGAAAACAGCAAATGCAATATAATATATTTGTGATGCACCTGCTTTTTCTTTTTTATCTGCACTATTTTTATCCTTATTTTCATTTAGTTCACGTAATGCTTCTTCTGCTCTAATTCTATCTTCTGGATCTTCTATATCTTCAATATTAATTGCCTTTTCATTAGCCGCTTTGGCAATAGCATCATTATATTTACTTGTCTCCTTTATATCTTCCATCTCGGGATGTCCCTCAGCTTTCCTTTTTTGTAACTCAACTAAATTCTTCTCTACTACATCTGGAAATATCAATTTAAATCTAGTATTGCTAAAAGTATTATATTGTATAGACTTAGCTGCATAATACTTTTTTTGTTGATCCGTAGTCTGAATTGATCCAGTAGTACTTTCATTACCAGTCATAAAACTTAGTAGACCTGTCAAAATGGTGGCCACAGACCAACCTGGATTCCACAGATCAGGGTGATAATCGCTCATAGAAAGACAAAGCCTTGTATTCTCTTTAAATCTACCATTTGGTGTAATCATTCTAATGGCAGGTGGTTTATATGGATAATCCGATGGAAAAGTTAGAGTCCCATGGTATTGTCCATTATAGTATGGGGTATCTGGGGGGCCTGTAATAATATAATGCCACTCTAAGATATTATCCTCGTTAGGACGTGCTTCAATATACTGTGGGGGATTTTCTACAATCAATTTATACTCTTTTGTTAATCTTTTTAAGGCTTGTTTGGTGGCCATGACTTATTGAATTTCTTTACGTTTTATTTTCTTTCTTTATACCTCAAATATTTTGAAGTTACCCTGGTATTGAAATAAGAGTATACGTATTGAAGTTACCTACTTTTTTTCCTTACACACACAATCAGAACTAACTTCTGCGTATTTAAGTGGCTTATCTAACTATGTAACTTCAAAACTAATCGGGTCAACTTTTTTGCTTTTACTTTTTGATCACTCAATTTTTTTTCAATTTCGACTTTTTTTTCTCTTTCGTTTTTCACTTTTTTTTCTTTCATAAACTGAACATAGAAGAAAGGTAAATAATAAACAAACCTATACAAACCAAAAGTATAAAAAGAAGGGATGCTTATTCCAGATCGTTTGGTTTAAATCAATATTACAACCTTTGCCATTTTGTTTCATATTATTTGTTTTTTGTGCCTATAGAATTTGTCTATAAAAGCCACGAATAAAAATACTTGAAAATATCGTTATTTATTAACATTCATTATAGTTCATTACAAATTATATATATATATATATATATATATGCATGAGTGCATTCTTTAATCACCCTTTTTCATAAAACTAAACAACCTAGATCTTCTGGATTTGTTTGAAACAAGCATATCATTCTCACTTCCTTCTGTGATTACAGTAGAGTCGTAGATCGCCTCACTTTCATCTAAATTATCAGAACTATTATTGATGTATTCAATACCATGTTCCCTTGTAATTGCTGACTCAGTTCTCTTCTGTCTTTCTATTGAATCATATTTTAGCAAACTATCAATATTTTCTTGATATTCTCTTTTTGAAGTAGGATCTTTATCAAACAGTTTGACTGACTCAACATTAGAATCAATTTCCTTATAAAATAGAACATATGCAGTAGTTAAATTATTACCATCACCAGTGAATTTCAGGACGGTGGACTCTTCCACAGTCTCCACAGTCTCATCATCAAAGAATAACCAACCAAAATTTTCTGTTTTACATAATGAGACATAGTGACCATGCTGTGGACCACCACCCATATGTATTACCAGACCAACTAATTCATATCTTTTAGCTACAGATTGGTCAAAAGTAGAATGGACATTCAAAACTAATGGATATTCTATCCTATTAAATAATTTAATATTAGTATTTTTTTCTTCTGAGTACTTGAATCTCTTCAAATGCAATGCTAGTACATGCGGTAAATCTTCTATACCTACAACTCTTTCTGCTTCTTGCAATCCACAACAGACATTACAGTAAAATTTATTACCACTATTTAATATCTCTCTTTGATGAAACTCGTGCAAAATTCGCTGGATATCAGTAGTTTCGTTTTCATTGACTTCAATTGGGAAATCTAAAAAGGGTTCATTATTAGTAGTCACAGAATCACAAGTTAAACATTTAATTCTACTAGACTGAGTCCCTTGAAATAAATTCTTGATAAAATTTGAATTATTTTGAATACTTTGAAAACCATCCAAATTACTATCTGCATAATCACTTAAATCATTCAATAGGAAGTTTAAAAATTCATGGGCGTCTTGATGCATCATAGTATTAAATAAAACGTTTTCCTTCTTAAGGATGTGAATAAACCTTGTTGGTGATACAACACCAGTTAACGAATCATTCTCAGTAATCGACTCAAATATATCTTTCAAGGCCGAATAAAGATTTGGCTTATTTTCATTAAAGATAGAATAATCAACATTCAAAATAGGCCCTAAAATTAATGCTCTTTTTTTCCGTTGGTCATTACTTAATTCAATACTCTTTTCATTCGCTTGTACCAATAATTCATTCGATACCTGGCTTCTTTCTCGTTCTGGGTTTAGTAACAAATGATTGTTGTTGTGGTTTGTTATTGATATAGTAGGCAAACGACGACCCACAATAATTCTTTTATATCTTGAAGGATTTCTTGATTGATTTGAAGATGGCATCTGACTATCCCCATTTTCATTACTGATATTTTCTTGATCTTCATCTGAAAGATCAGACGCTTCTTCTTGGTTTTCAGTTGAACTTAGCTGATTCACCAATTTATTTGATCCTTGATCTAAATTTTTATTAGAATATTTCAACCATCCAGATAATAATTTCCGCCTTCCTGACGTCGAAAGTTTGGAATCATTATTATCTGATTTATTTTCATTATGTTTCTGAATATCAATATTGGTTGTATTAGTATTATTTATATTATCATTATTGATATTGATATTGTTATTACTATCTGTATTATCAAATAATTGCATTTTAGAGGTCATATTTTTTTCAAAACTTTGTTCTGTAAATATCCTTGGTGTTTTCCCTGACATTTCTGTCTTCTGTTTCCAAACAGGTTGATTTGAAGGTCTCAACGGATATTTTAATATATTAAAACGAAACTCAGGTATATGATATAAGCACTGCAATACAGAATTACAATAACATGTATTACCAAAGTTTTCATAACCAAATATCTTGTTAGAACCATTACCATATGGCATCAAATCAGTTTTTTCTATAAAACTAATATTATTGTAAATTTCTTCCTCTGATATAATAGTTCTAGTAATTTTATCATCAAAGGTATCATCAAACACAGTTTCATACTTTTCTGAATCAATTAGTTCATCACTTGGATTTATTTTATCATCGAATAGTCTATCTGGTTTATCGGGGATTGACTGTGAAATGAGATCAGTTTCGTTTTTTGATGATATGCTGCTATCATTTTCCTCATTTTTTTCTTGATCATCACTGTTGTTCGTATTTACAGTAGTCGAAGCCACACTAACTATGGTACGTAGTGGTTCTACATCCTGTAATGATTCATTTTGCTCACTAGCTTCCTTTTTCTTTGATATTTGTTTCTTTTTACTAGTTTTACTTACTGATAACCACCTTTTCAACATACTTGTTCTTGCTTAATATTCCTGTGCCTTCTATTAAACTTTACTATCCCTAATGGAAGTTTTTAGGTTATTCTTTATACAATCAATATTAATTTCTTTAATTGGAAAGATGCTAAAACAAAATAGATAAACATATATACACAAAGGTATTTGTAATATAGCCTAGGACCCTTTCTAATACCAACTATGATATTTCCACTGTCCATTATACCTAAATATCCAAGAAAATTTATATCAAGGGCTGCATCAATATTTTGAAAATACGACAAGTAAAATCAAATTGACTTTTACCGTTTCTTATGTATATTCAATTTTTCAACTTCTGAAAACCTGTTTTTTTTTTCCTTTTCCTTTTATTTTAAGCCACCTGCAATTTTTGAGTGTTCAAGATCTTTAATATTCAAAACAATCTACTAGTACTAAGAGATTACCTAACTAAATCAACCCAGAATGTTTCTAGAGATCGCATGTATTCGACAACAGTCAATGTTGATTGATTTATTAACATAATGAGAGAGTTAGATTTGACCAAAATTATAAATTATTTCTTTCTTGCTTTTTTTATTCTAAATGACTAAATATCCCATATCTTCTTTTCAATTATTTTGAAAATATTACTAACTATATCTGATGTTTATATACATTCATACCTATCATATAAAGTTAAAGTAAAAACATAAAAAATTAACTTTATTGATTTTATTACCTTCACCCTTTTGTAACCTTTTATGACATATATTTAATAATTCAAAATTCAGGTTCCACATTATTAACATTATCATACCAACCGAATAGATCATCTGTATTCAGATCACCTTCTGTCCAACCAAGACTCTGTTGTTGAAAGAAATCATTTAGATATGTTGCTTCTAATGCTTCATCACTATTCAATTGCTTCTCTTTCCCCTTTCTCTTATTATTATTACTATCATTAATCTTGTTTATATAATTAACATTTCTATTAGAATCATCTTCTAGATTGGATTCCATCGTATTATGACCGTCTTTATTTATATTATTAGACCGTTCTGCAACAACTTGCTCCTCAACCTTATTACTGTTATTGTTAAACAGAGTTATATTTTCAGACATGGATGTATTTATATTTGTACTCGTATTTGTGTTATTGAGATAGGGGGTTTGAGTATATTTATCAAATGATGATGGGATATGTTTTTTAGTATGAAATAAGGATTGAGAAATCTTTGTTTGATTCAATGATTGTTTCATAGAAGAGACAGATCTATTATATTGTATAGATGGTTGTACCTCTTCAGTTATTTTCATATCATTTTCATTTATATTTTCACTGTTTACTGATGCCGTAGTAGTATAAGGTGTCACAGTTCCACTGGGGCTACTCCAAGATGAATAGGACCAATCAAACCCAGTACCCTGAAATAAAGAATGATAGTTCTTAACACTACCAGTTTCATCCAACATTGAGAGTGGTATACCGTTAATTGTCATCATACCATGCTCTTTACCATTTTTACCCCGTGCTGTTTGTTCCGCAATTTTTAAGGCATTACTTGTAGGAACCAATGTAGTAACTGTGGTACCATTTGGTGTTGTTTCCGTAACTGTCTGAAAATCTTCTTTTTGAATATGATTATATAATGGTAATGGATATAACCTTTTTTCGTAATATCTCTCATCTTCCCTCTTGTTTGTATTACAGTTTGGATCCATTTGTCTTCTTCGAGCTTCATGAACACACCATACAAAATCATAAAATAATGATCCAGTCAAATGTGACCTTATTCTCGAAATGATACCAACACCTTCAGTGAAAACTTCTGGGTGTGTAATAAGAATCATATTAGCCTTTTCTAACATTGTAGCTGTTCTTGTAATATCATTTTCAACATGAGACCAAGCCGACGATTGATTTCTAAATAATCTATGTACTGTCACAATGGATTGTCTTGCAGAATTCAAATATCTATTAATAATCAGGGAATTTAATTGTAATTTAAATAACATTAACCCAGAAAATGTTATACTTTGTCTCACATAAATTGGTAATGTTATTAATGGTTTCTTTTCCACTAATTTACTTACTAATGTAATACATTTTGTAGCACAGAAATATGCTTTTGTAATATATTGAGATTGATCCTTGATTGGTGTCTGAGGTAAAAACGCAAAACAACATATATTTAAAATCACATAAAGGTAGTAGATGTGGACTACAATATCACTCTCAAAATCTAGATCCTTATTTGAATCATTTAATTCTTTTTCTAATACCATTAAAGCTCCGGAACGCTCTTTGGGATCTATTAGACCATGCGAACTCTCAATACTAGATCCCATAACATTACATAATTTCATTTGAAAACTTGCCAAATAAATTAATTTTTTGAAACGACTTGGTAACTTAAATGTATACGGTTTGCTATTATCGTAATCATCATCAATTTTATTCATTATATCGTTTATTACTTCCTGCTTATCCATTTCCTCCGAATGTTTAGCTGTTTCCACCAAATAATCAATCTGTGAAGTTGGTGGCAAACCTAATATTGTGGACCAACAAATTTCAGTAAAAAAAATTCCTAACCATGTCCTAGTTCTCCATTTCTTAGCATTTGGCATCAGCTTTTGATTTCTTGTAAATTCATATATGAATTCACCTCTATGTAAACCCAACTGGTAAGATAAAGATTTAGCAAGATTAATAAAACGATATGAACAATCATCTAAAACTTTTTGATTTGGCAGGGGCCAAATTGCTAAGATGGTCAATGCTTGTGAGAGATGAGTCGACCTTGGTGTGCATAAACAACATAGTTCAATAGCTAATTGTTTAACCAAAGGACTCAATTTTATATACAAAGCGGGGCTTGGATCAGATAAACAGGCCGTTAAAATCACTGTCCAAAACAAAAGTTTTGATTGAGAATATAGTTCAACCACTGAGGTTGAGAACATTATTGATAAATATGGTAGATATTCATCAATAAACATTTTATGTAGCTGAGATGCCTTTTCAACTGAAATGTGAACATCTCCAAGAATAAATTCTTTAATATTTCCAGTCTCACCAACAAATGGGGGTTCCAAAGATGATATAGTAGTGGTTTCAATAGTTTTACTGGAAAGTTCTATATTATTTTGTGATGTACTGGATGAATGAACTGTTGTTTTTGAAACACCCATGGACGCACTAACATTGGTAGCGGGAGATGTATCAATAATTGCCATTGTTGATGATTGTTTTGATAGTTGTAATTGAGTTGATGCAGGTAGCGGCACATTTTGCAAGTTGGTCATGCCATTATTCTTTAAAAGTAATTTATCAATTGGCGACTGCGTACGGCTTCTAGATGTTTGGTCAACATTATTATCAAATAATGAGTTATTAGAGTGCAATTGATCGGAACTTATCGGTTGTTGCACTATATTGGTCATTTCTATGTTTTTATTTTGCTCATTATTATTACTATTTGAGGTATTTATTAAAGTTTCATCAATATCGTCCCATTTTTTCAACGCCATATTATTTATGGAATTATTATTATTATTATTATTATTATTACTATTGTTATTATTAAAGTTAATGTTAGATTCTTTTAAAATGTTGATAAGCAGACTTTCATTAGCCAGTAAATGTTTAACTTTCAGTTTCAGTTCATCTATATCTTTTCTCATAGTTTGTAATTGTGAACCTTTTTTGGGAGTGAACTTTGGGTTAATTTCACAGAATAAATCAAACTTCTTACACCTTGTGCAAGGTTCAGGATATTTTTGATTTGCATCACATTTAATTTTATGCTGTCTACAATGGCTACATGAGGTTACTGGTCTATGGTTCAAACCTATAGGGTTAGACGTTACTGATTGCTTGTATTTTAAATTAGCTGCATTTATAGCGTTAGACAGATTTCTTTCTAATATTGAGGTGGTTTTAATTGTTGTTTGTGATAATGACGGCGATGAAGAAGCTGATGTTGTTTGTATTGTGCCATTTTTAGATAGTCCTATTTTTTGTTTTTTATTATCTGGAGAATTTATGCCATTATCATTAGCATTGATGATATTAGCTATATTGTTTTGTCTTTTAGGTAAATTATTATTAATATTATTAGTATTATTATTATTAGTAGTAGTATTAGTGCTCATAGTTCCACTTTATTTCTTGATTTCTGTAATCTAACTTAATATATATTATTGTATAGTAGGTTGCATTAAAACTTGTTTTGATAAAATATATATACATGTATATGTATTGGGGGAACAAACAACCAAAATAAACAAATAAGTGTGTAGATCCAAATCCAAATATTATGTCCGATATAGCCTAGGTAAAAAAAGAAAAAAAACAAACAAACTTTCAAATGAAATGCTTAACTTAGTTGATGCACTTATGCAATTTTCTGGACACTACAGATTATACCATACCAAAATCATGGTCATTGTGCCTTGTGCTCAACCATTAACTTCTCTTCAACTGAAATCAGACAAATAATCTATATCAAAAAGAACAAAAACGCAAAAAAAAAAATATCGCGATGTTACAAAACAGAAAAAGTGAAAAAAAAAAAAGATCAAGGAATCGTGTACAAATGACGGTCACCAATGGATATTATAGCATAAGCATCTCTGGTATTGGATAATTGTGATCTAATACATCCAATTTGAAGCATGCTCTACTATATTTCTTAACGGCATGTGTTAAAGTGACAAAATATAAAAGGTATAGTATACCTCATTACTTTATTTTCAAAGCTTGTATTAATGATATTTATCTTAATGAGTTGGAATGAAATACGTATAAAAAGAAATAAGCTTATTTTTTTGCAATCTGATTGTACTCTATAATGAAGAAATATATAACGACACCCTATACTAATCTACAATATATATGTACATACATACATATACATATATATAGTGTACACGATCTATATATGGAGATGCTATTTTTTATTCCAGAATTAGCTCTTGATAAATATAAGTAATATATACTTCTTTTTGTGTTTACAAGTAAACAAAGGTATTACAAAAAAAAAAACAAACCGAAAAAAAATACGGAAAAGATTAAATAAAGTATAATGAATATAAGAAATCTTAACTGACTTTAAACATTAATAGTAGATAAGGTTGTGTTATTTACTTGTACAACTCATAAATATTGTATAATATTGAAATTTGTATCTGATAGAGTAGTGGTGGATAGGTACATTAATTAAGAAACTGAATTGAGATTCATTTGTTCATAATTCGGATATAATAAATTAATATACACAAAAACACACACAAAAGTTTCTGTTAATTTTCTTTTTATTATTTCATTTTGTATTAGTAAATACTTTAAACTATCATTACCATTAATATATCTTTTCCTAGTATTAGATAACTGAATCTATTATTATGAAGAGAAGAACAACAATAGCTAATAGCAGGAACATCTCTAATACCTCATTAATCTCTAAGAAGGGAAATTTAAGATCAAGAACTTCTCCTCCAGCCACCACAAACAGATACGATGACATAAATAAATCAAAGCAAGCTAATAATAACAATAGCAATGACAACAACAATCCCGTATCCAATTCCCTCAATACAAGAGGTTCTAATATACAGGTCTATGTACGTTGTAGATCCAGAAATCAAAGAGAAATAGATGAAAAGAGTAGTGTAGTCATATCAACTAGAGGTCACCAGGGGAAAGAAGTTATATTTTCTAGCTCCTCTTCCCCGTTATCATATCAAAGAAAAACTTACTTTTTTGATCAAGTATTTGGTGCAGAAAGTGATCAAGAATTAGTATTCAACACCACTACCAAGAATTATATCGAAGAAATGTTGCAAGGTTATAACTGCACAATCTTTGCTTATGGCCAAACCGGCACAGGGAAAACTTATACTATGTCTGGTGATTTAAATATACTGGGTGACGTAACTTCTAGAGATAAGATTCTGCTCGGTGAACATGCTGGGATCATACCAAGGGTACTTGTTGACTTGTTCCAAAGATTAGACAAAGAAAAGGGACAATATACAGTTAAAATATCTTTTTTAGAACTTTATAATGAGAGACTGAAAGATTTACTATCCAATGTTAATAATGGCGAAGAAGAATCGATCCGAATATTTGATAATAACTCCAATAATACACCTAATAATAATGCAAATTTACTGAATCCAATTAACAAAAACTTAAATAAAAGACATAGCATATCGAGCTCTAATTTGTCATCTAATCAAAATTTCTCCCAACTTCGGTCCAAACTATATAACTCAAATACAACATCCAATTTTGGTGATAATCAATCATCTATCATGGTGAAAGGTATGGACGAGATCTATATTAAATCTGCATTTGAAGGTTTGCAATTATTAACGGAAGGTTCGCTAAAAAGAAAAGTAGCAGCCACCAAATGTAATGATTTATCATCTAGATCTCATACAATTTTTACTGTAACTACCAATATTGTTCAAATTGATCCGATCTCTGGGGAACAATTTGTTAAGATCGGCAAACTAAATTTAGTTGATTTGGCAGGTAGTGAAAATATCAATAGATCAGGTGCAGAAAATAAAAGAGCTCAAGAAGCTGGCTTAATCAACAAATCATTACTCACGTTAGGACGAGTAATAAATGCATTGGTGGATCATTCACAACACATTCCATATAGAGAATCTAAATTAACAAGATTATTGCAAGATTCGTTAGGTGGGAAGACCAAAACTTGCATTATAGCAACGATATCACCTGCCAAAATATCCATGGAAGAAACTATAAGTACTTTAGAATATGCTACGAGAGCCAAGTCGATTAAAAATACGCCACAAGTCAATCAATCTTTAGCTAAAGATGCTTCTTTAAGCACATATATTAATACGATTGAAAAATTGCAAAATGATTTAAGAGCAAGTAGACAAAAAGAAGGTATATATATCACACAAGATCAATATGATTTGTATGAGAGTAATTCGATTTTGGTTAATGAACAAAAGATGCGAATACACAACATGGAGGATCAATTAGAAAGATTCAAAAAAAAAAATACGTGGAACAAACTGAGATCAATAAAGAATTGGAACAAAAATGCAATAGTATGGAAGTTGAAAAAAAAATCTTTACAATCTGATAAGTTTTTTTTAATATCTTTAATTGAGGAATACTTACAAAAATGGGATAATTTATCCAATGAAATCAAACATATCCATAACAATAATATAACTTTATTAAATGAAATTAACACTGAAAGAAATCATTTATGTTCAGATCTAAATGTTAGTATTGATGAAAGAAAGGAAATATCCACTCAAATTCTGAAACAGATTGATATGTTGAGTAAACTTCAAATAACTACAAAGGATTATAATCAAAGATTTGAGACTGTACTTAAAGGTGTTAATGGTGAGTTAGATACAAAAACCACACAATTTGAAACAAACACTTTAAAAATATTAGAAGATATCAATATAGATGATGTTATCACCTCTGTAGAACAAATGGAAACATCTCTTAAATCCTGTTTTAAAGAACTGAGTGAACCAAGAGATGCATTAATTCAACCTATATATAAAACACATAGAGAGATTGTAGAAAATTGCTTATCAGATATTAAGACGTTCTGTAAAGAATTAGAAGCTAAAAATGTTAATTTGGTGACTGCACTCTCTTCTACAGTAAATAATAATTACCAGTCATTCGAATCCATGATTAATAATAAAAATAATCAAACATCTGAATTAATTGACAACAAGATACAATATATTCAAAGTCTTGAACAACAACTGCAACAGGAGAGACAAGCATCAATGAATATGCAAAAGCATATCCAATCACTACAAAATTACATTTCAAAAGATATCCAAGGACAAAGAATAGGTATGTTTGAAAATATGTCTCGTATCTTTAAGGCATTAGAAAGACAACAATTGGAATTGGATCAGAATATATATGAAAAATCACTTTTGGCTTTTAATAATTATAATAAAGAGACAGAGACAGCAACAAAGAAGATTTTTAGTGATCTGACAATAGGCTCTATTGAATGTATGGAAAATATTCAAGCATTGAATAAACAAACCAACAAAGAATTATTAACAACTATTCAACAAAACAATGATGCAAACAAAAAACTAATTGACAGTATTTCATTCTCAAATGATATTTCTAGATTAATTAAAAAGCTTGAATGTCATTGTAGTCAAGAAACATCGCTAAAACTACAAACTGTGATTGATTCCACTGATTCAAGTATTTCATCAAATATCGAAAAAGCTAATATTCAAATAATACAAATTATAAAAAATTTATCTAATAATGTTTCCTGTGTTTCCAATGTCAATAAATTACAACTTTCAAAACTATCCACTTGTGTTAAAGAGTTATGCGAATACATTTTGAAAACATATCATGGTAATTTATTTCAAATATCAACTACGCAAAATGATATATTGTCCGATCATTACACTAATTTAAAACAAATTACAGAAGAATTAACAATTTTGATCAATTCCAATACTGATTTCCAAGAAATAAAGCCACTGATAGATGTTGAAAATCGTATTCAAGCAAATATTCCCACCTTTACTCAACCTAAAAATTATGAAATATATAAAGATATAAAAGAACAAGACATGCATAATTCAATACCAAGTAATGATACTACAGAAGAAATGTCACCAAAACCTGATACCGAACCACTGACAAACCCAAGTACTCCTGTACCAGTACCAGATCAACCTTTACCAAAAGTGCTAGTACCAAAAAGCATAAATTCAACCAGTAAACGTGCCTATATTATACCTGGATTATTAAAGGAGAATGACACAGAACACAAAGGAGAAAATAATCTTAAGAGAAAATTTAGTACAGCAATGAAACCAGATAATGAGAAAATGGTTTCAGATAAATATCCTAACAAAAATCCACAATAACATTTAAAAATTAGTAGCCTATTATAAAAGATAATAAAAAAAGGACAAAATTAGATTGCAAGAATATATCAAAAAAGAATTCATATTTGCCTAATAGAATATTTATTAGATACATATTTATACACACAATAGCATGACATATATAAGCCTATTATGTCTTTTTCTTCAATAAACAAAAATAAGATCTTTACATGATTATACAGTCTTTTTTAGGTTTTTCCTTATCTTCTTCAGCAAAGCCATTTGACTTTTGCTTTTTAGGGAAAATGGTCTTGTTTTGTTTTAATTTTGCCTGTTTATGTAGTAATTTTGGAGTATCTGCTGATGTTGAAAATTTAAATGTGTTACTTGTGGAAGATTTAGAATTAGAAAGTACATGCGTTATTTGGTTTACTTCACTATTTGACTGAATAATACCACCGCTTGGAGTATGTTGCGACTGAACTGAATTTTGTAAATTAAAATTGTCTACAAAGCCCATTGGCATTTTTGTAGAAGTAAAAGCAGTGCCATTAATATGACTCTCTTCAAATTGTGTTTGTGTTTTTGAATTATTGTTATGGTTGTCGTCAATATTAAAATTGGTCGCCCTATTTACTTTGAATGCTGATGATTCAGAATTAGACACTGCTTCTTCATATATAACATTTTTAACTTCATTACTCTTAACCCGCTCATTTTCTACATATCCATCATATTGTTTCTTATCAGAATTAGGATCAGGTGTCACTTTATTTTCTTCCTTTTTTTCATCCACTGGAACGCAGCTTTTATCATTTAATTCAGTGTCGGATATACCAAACAAATTTAGTGTACTAATACTTAGAGTTTTACGAGAGTGGTTCTTATCTTTTATTTTATAGTTTTTCGACGATTTTTTAGGAATCTTCATGTTAGTTTTCTTCAATTTATTGATTGCTCTTTCATCATTATTCTTTGCTGCCCGTTGATACCATTTCAAAGATGCAGTTTTATCAGCAGAACAACCTTTCCCATGTTCATAAAAATATCCCAAAGTAAATTGTGCTTTAGCATACCCTGCAACCGCAGCTTTATGTGCCCATTGGAATGCTTCATTTTCATCTTTAGAAAATGCAGGTTCTGCACCTAACAAGTACCATGCACACAAGCCTAGCATTGCTACTGGATCTCCTCTTAAAGCGGCTTGTGTATAGTAATGAACAGAAAGACTAACATCTTGAGGAACAGTATCATTTCCCGTTTCATAAATTTGTCCTAATAATGTTGATGAGGGAACATGACCCAGAGCAGCAGCTTCAATGTATAATTCCATTGCGTATTTTTCATCTGGTATAAGAATATCCAAAAATCCAACTTCATAAATTTTTGCTAATTCATAAGGAGCCGCTGCTGTCAATTCAGTAGCCCTTGCAGCAGCCCTAGATAGCCATTTGATACCATTTTGTTTTGTGTTCACATCAGTGGGCAGACCCATCTTACCGTAAAAAGAATATAAACCTAATTTAAACATCGCAGATGGATGATTTCTTGAAGCAGCAAATTTCAAGAAATTTAACGCCTTCCTTGAATCACTTGTAGTACCAATCCCTTCTTCATAGCAATGTGCAGTTCTATAAGCACTTTCAATATGTCCATGCTTAGCAGCTGTTTGAAATAAGATAAAAGCTTCTTTATTGTCAACTTTGCCAAAGACACCAGATGAATACGAATCTGCCAATAAATATTGAGCATCAGCGTAACCTTTAACACTTAATTTTTTTAAATAATGCTTAGATTCCTTAAGAAACATCTTCTTCATCTCTTGTTCTTCCGTAGTTTTTTCAGATAAAAAGGAAGATGTATTAGATTCTGTATTTGTGGTTAAAGCAGTTTGTAACAAATATTGTGCAAATTCAAATAACATTTTAGGATCCTTTGATTTTTTAACACTTTCTTTATACATTTCAATAGTTTTTAATCTTGGTACCAAAGATGAATTATTCTCTTCACCAAGATACTTTTTAATTATTTGATGTGACATATCTGCAACAGATTCATTAGTTGATGTCAATTGTGCTTCACTGTTAGTATTTAATAAATATAAATGAGAAAGATCTACTGATTGTGATTTTTTTCTTAATGATGCCAAATTAATAGATGTAGTTGACATATTATTACTATTAATTTTATGCATGTTATTCAAATTTGTTGTTGAAGCTGTATTAGGTGTATTAACTGTATGAAGTGATGACGAACTACCTATTTCAGATAATCCACTACCATTATAAGTTGCAGGATCCCGTATCTTGTTAGGTGCTATTTTAAATAAAGATATATCTTCCTTGTTATTATTATTAGATGAAGAATTATCTAGAGATACAATTGTTCTACTAATTGGTATAGGAAGGTCTTGATTATTTGGATAAACATAGTTATTTATTCTATTGTTATTAACAATGTCATCGTTATTAAGTATATCTTGCTGTACAGCAACTTTATCTAACATATTGTTTGTGTCAACAGTTTCAAAAGACAGTCCTAACCCTAGACTTTCCTTAGAATCATCTAAATTTGTAAAATTGTCTATTGTAGAATCATTCGTATTTAAATTAACCTCATTCATCTGTGAACTATTACCATTAACTAATAAATTTGGTTGGGAATGTACCTTACCTTGGAAAAGTCCTTTGTACGGATGTCCTTTACCAACTTTAGTTTGTTCAGATAATGGAGACATCATTTATTTAACCATCAAAACGAAAAATATACATATATATACAAGCAGTAGTATAAACTTAGGCTAATATAACGTTCTAGGAAATAGTTAATTCTAAATAATTAAAACCTTTTTTTATCCTTAGAATTTTCCCTTTATATGATATTATCTATTGCTTTTATTACCAGTTCAAGTCCTTTTTACATATGTATTGATATTAACTTCTTTTACGTTAAAGCTTCCTTTCGAACAATGTTGCTTCTATTTTTAAATTTTATTTTTTTTTTTTAGTTTTTTAACAAAATTTTTATTCATCCTTTAATTAATATCAGTAAAAGGAAAAATTAAAATTCTCGATGAGATCGAAGAATTAGAAGAAGAAAAATCAAAACATTCAAGAAACATAGATTATGAAACATTAGTGTAACATATTTTCCATATGATCTGTTGGATATTTAAAAATATTAGTAACAAAAGCCATCTACATAGTTTGAAACAAAATTTTCTTTATTAAAATAAGGATTAAAGATAAGACAACTAAGAGGTACACGGATATATATTGCAAAATAATCCAATGAGGAATTGGGTTCAAATATGAAATCCCAAACAAGTAAAAACAATATAATGAGTTCTCAAACTCAGTTGAATACAAATAATTTTACTTTATCATCTCTAGGTTCATCTTTACTACGAACGCCTCTAATAAATAATAACAGTAGAGATAGTTTTTTCAGCGATGAATACAAAGGTACAGGTATTAATGACAGTGATTCACTAATAATAAAAGACATGACATCTTATATGGGGAGTATGTCAGTTGAAGGATCTGTGAATGCGTCTCCCAATATTTTACGTCAAGAAACAATATCCACTGACAACTCTGTAATAATTGCACAAGAGATATTTGATGGAACATACAACGCGATATCTTACAAAGAATATGCAAACTTTTTAGGAGAAAAGACCAACAATGAAATATTGAGTAATTTTATTCTATTATTAAGACCATTACCATATTCACTATTATCTGTTCTTCATAAGTTATCCAACAATCTTTATTTGATTGCTGAATCCCAAAATATGGATAAAATATTAGAAGAAGTGAGTAAACAATGGGTCAATACATATCCAGATAGCAAATGGGGAAATAGATACCAATTATGTCATATAATATTATTTTCTTTGTTAATATTAAATTCAGATATGCATAATGAAGAGAATAAAGCTAATCAGAATTACAATAAATTTACATGTGAAGAATTCATTAGTAATACTCTGACAGCTATTGAAATTGAACTAAACAAATCAAGGGATAGCAATTTTATTATTTTTGATAATTATGAGGAAGTTAAAATGGATCTTACAAATGAACTAGTATCTTATTATGAATCATTAAAATATAGTGCACTTCCTGTTTTAAAAATACGATCGAATGAATATTATAGCAAGGAATCAAGAGATGATAAAAGCATTATGACATCAAGAGGGAATCATATTAAAAGAACAACCTCTAGTGTTAGTACTCTGACAAAATCTACCTCTATATCAATATTTGATAAAAAATCATTACGTTCAATAAAATCTCAGTTAAATTTACAAAATCATGATTTTGATAAAAAGAAGAGGAAGAATTTACAAGATCAGAAATTTAATTTATTATACGTCAAGGAACCATTTGATGATCAATTCATTGAAAAAAGATGTCCTATTTGGATAATAGACACAGTTTTATACCTCTATGAGGATAGTTATAAAATATTAAAATTATTTAAAGGGCAACTAAATAGCGAAATAGACTATCACCCCTCTAGTCATGAAAATGAGTTTAATAATGATAAGACAAGTAGTAATATTAGTAATAATAGTTATAATAGTAGAAGCTCTTTTAAAAGTAAGTCATCTTTTTTATTAAAGTGGTTAAAGAAACAGCAAAAGTTGAAACAACATCAATTTTCTAATAATTATTTAAAACGTAATCACACAGCATTCTTAGAATCGGATTTCAAGTGGTTAAAACTTAGAATCAAAATAAATGAAGGTAGATTATTTATTTATAAAGACAATAAAGAAAGGCAAAAAGGAGGAGAAATATACAGAGACACACATTATCAAAAAGGAGATTGTTTTGTAATAGACTTGTTTGACTGTACAGCTGAATTATTACAAACAAATATAATTATTAGCAAACAGAATGATTCATCTGATATCGACCATTCAAATTATAATATTAATATTAATATTCCTTATAACGACATAAATCATCAACATATAATTAACAACAGCAGTGGTAGCAATAGCAGTAAAAACGGTAAAAAGAATTATAATGAAAATATTGTATTACAATTATGTACTACGAATAAAGATAAAGCGGATTATATTGTCAAATGCATAAATTTTTGGGCATCTAGAATAAGTTCAATACCAGATTCACAATTTGAACTTGTGTCAAATGAGGAATATGGCTGGAGCAACAAAGTTTTGTCGTTACCTTTTAGAGAATCTGATATAGTTAAATTAAATCAAATTAAAATTTCTGAATGGAAACCATTGTTATCCATATTGGATATATTTGATATAGATGATGAGGAAGCTGAAAGTTATATGATGATAGAAAAAGATCAGAAGTTAAACGAAAAATTGAATGAATTAAATGGTTTTATAATTAGATTAGATGAATTAATCGATAAACATAATCAAATTAAACCTGATGTAATTAACATTTGGAATGAAACTAGACAGTTTGATAAAGTGATGAATAACTGGAATAATAAATATTTATTTTTAAACAACCAATATCAAAGACAATTAACTTATTATAACATACTAAATGAAGTATATTTGAAATATTGTGTTCCAATGAGATCAGATAATCATTAGAAAAAGATACATGCATGTATATTCATCTTATTATATAATATTGATACTTACAAGAAAGGGCGGAAGAATATTATATATATTCAGGATTGATTTGGTGTAGAATTATCACTTGCGAAAGTAGATTTATCTTTTTTAGCCAATTGTCTTTCTAAAATAATCTTTAATATTTTGTCTTCTTCATCATTATCAAATTGTTTCCATTTAGATTCTAATATACCTCTTTTTTCTTTATTTTTTATTATTGCATGTTTTTTAGCTTCAAAGGAAGCCCTTTTTAAGCATTCTGTTAATGCATCCTTTTCGTTATTACAGACACCAAACATTCTCTTATAAAATTGTTTTTGATGACATTTATTTAGTGCTTCAATAAATTCATGGCACGCTATACTTAAAAAAAATAAAATATTAAATATTAATAAAATCTACAAAAAGATTTGTTAAATACGAGATTAAAGTTAGTAATATTATCTATAAATGAAATGAACAATTCGATATACATATATATCAACTGATTTGTTCTCTATTTCTCTTGTATGCTCACTTAGTTAATTAAATTTTTTACAAATAATAACTATTTACACATACATATAAATCTTTCTGATTCTAATTGTGGGTGCATATTGTATCAATGTATCAGTATGTTAACTTGTCTGAAACTTTTCTTGTGCTTTTAATAATCAAAGGTCACTAGTCCTATATAAAACAATCTGTGTATAAATAATTATTCTTTGTTCGTACTTGTACTAGATATCCATACCAGGTGCATATTATGTATAATATGTTAGTTTCTATAAGATGAAACTATAATGTTTCTATTTTTTTTTTTTCATTTCCCCTTCTTTTTGAGTCCCCCCCCTCCTCCTATCGGAATTTTATCTAAAGATACAAGCAGTGAAGTAGATAGATTCATCAATATACACAAAGCAGTATTAGAATATACATGGCAAAAGTATATGGATTTAATAATTCTGACTAAACTAAGACGATTTTTAGACGAATATTTCTATGATACAATACTACTAGAAAGATATTAAGAAAAAAAATTAAACTGAAACAGTCTAATAAACATATCATTTACAACAACAATGGATTCATTGTATAAAGAAAGAAGAAAACAACAGATGTTAAGGTTCTTTGGAGCAACAACATTGACTTTAATATCATGTAGATTTATGATGAAATTTTTAACACCAAGGGTAGAATCACCATTAGTGAATAATCTTGTTAAAAAACAATGTATGTCAAAGTTGCTTCTTTCTTTCCCTCTTTTTTTATTTATTTATTATAGAGACAAATAGAAAGTTATGCATATAAATATATACACATTACTAACATTATATTTATCATTTTTATTATTTTGTCATTAGGTTTAGTATAGACAAACCAAATTATTTTCAATTCAATCATAAGATTCCAAACGAGTTAATCAGTAAATACGGTAATAACAATATTAAAAATAAATCCCAATATAAGAATGAACCAAGAATGATTTCTGTTGTAATGGGCACAATTGGAATAACTAGTGGTTTGCTTTTAATGAGTGTGACAGGAACTCTTTGGACATTAAATGTTTCAACTTTAAATGAATGGAGACAACTATGTAAAATATAAAATCTTTTATAAATATAATTAACACAATTCAACCATACCTATGTATATTGTATAATGCATGTTGGATACATTTTGTATATATACCTGTAAATAATATATAACGTAAAAAATGCTTACTAATTCTGATAACCAATATACTGGTTAACGGTGTATGGGTGTTTAGTAAGCATCTTTAGTTCCCTTTGAAGTTAAAAAAAAAAAAAAAAAAAAAAGATACACAGAAACAGGAATTAATAGCAACGCACCTGTGTTGCTGTCAGTTTTATATCAACTAACCTTGAATATATTTGTAATTTTCATGTATACGAATACATAGTTATCATTTAACAATTATTTATTATACAAACAAATAGTCGTAAATCAAGTCAACATTTAATAAAAAGCAAACGTCCAAACAAAATTAAAACAAAATGAATGATAATACGGAGGATATTACTAGGTTTATGTCTTTTACTAACGTTTCTTTTAACGTTGCTAAGAACTATTTGGATAATTATGGTGATTTAAATACTGCAATGGAAGCATATTATGAGGACCAAAAGGATTTACTCGAAGAAAGAAAGGAAAAGGAAAAATATTATAATAATTTAGAAAGACAAACTTTTAACAAAGAAAAACAAACATCATCAATATCTCCAGCTTTATCTTCAACAAATAATACTCGCCCAATTTCAAGAAATACTAATAAGAGTTCTAATTCTAATTCAAAATTTATGTCTTTTTCAGATATGCTCAGATCCAACACTGCAGATAATGATGACGACAATGATACAAAACCACGTAATACATTTGCAGGTGGTGAAACTTCTGGATTAGAGATTACTGACCCTAATAATGATAGGAAGAATACAAATTCTCTAATAAGAGATCTTTTAGAAAGGGCTCAAAAGAATGGTGAACAAATGGAAGACTCTAATTTCCCAAATATTGAAGGCAATACGGATTCAAAGCCATCATTTATTGGAAAGGGGTACCGTCTTGGATCCCTGGTTGATAAACCCAGTGAAATTGTAGAGGAGTTTTCTAGTTTAAAGGATAATAATAATAGTAATACGGGCATGCAAAAAGTAACAAGGGAAATAACTTTTTGGAAAGATGGTTTCCAAGTTGGTTCCGATGGGAAACTATACAGGTATGATGATCCAGCTAATGAGTTTTTCTTAAATGAACTGAATCAAGGTAGAGCACCTTTAAAATTATTGGATGTTAAGTTTGGTCAAGAAGTGGAAGTCAACGTTTTTAAAAAATTAGATGAAAATTATAAACCTCCAAAGAGAAAATTAGGTGGATTCTACGGGAAAGGTCAAAGATTGGGATCACCCATCCCTGGCGAACCTACACCAACATTAAATATCGATGATACAAATACTAATACTAATACTGATACTGATACCAATAATAATAATAATAAAAATGAGAACTATACTAAAAACTCAAAAGAAAATAGTACTCAACAAACTCAAACAGATACAACTATACAGATTAGATATGCCACAGGGAAAAGAGAGGTTTTTCATTGTAATTCCACAGACAAAGTAAGATCATTATATGAACATGTTAGAACAAATACAGATGATCCAAATAGAACATTTACATTAAATTATGTGTTCCCAATAAAACCAATTGAAAATATGGATCAGACTTTATCGGAAGCCAATTTGAATAATTCTGTAGTTGTACAAAGATGGATATAAAAAATATTATTTTGTATTTTTTACTTACTATGATTTTATGTTTTTTCACCTTTATCTCATTTAATTTAATGTAACATCTATATTTATGCCTATATATCTGGTATATAGATTAATATAATTTCAATTCACCAGTAATTTGATCTAATATATCCTTTGGAGCTGGGCCTAGACCAAGAACAGTGGCACTTCCAGCAGCAATTTGAGTTCTACCTGCATCATGAATAACAATAGCATTTACACCTAACGAAATAGCTTTTGCATATAGTTCATCCATAACATCTTTATTTGGACACTTCAATGTAATCTTTGCTTGTCCTCCTCTTAACCATCTGTTAACCATAGCAGGATTATACGAACTGCGTGATGGATCAGTGGCAATCATTCTATAACATCCTAATGCTGCATGACAACATTGTGCTGCAATTTTACCCTTTTGCATACCCAAATCTTGACGAATAACTAATGCCATTCTAACTTCACCAGGAACATGATTTAAAGAGTTTGAGTCGATCTCATAATCCTCTTCACTCTCATATTCACCTTCGCTTTCAAGAGAATCCTTTGTTTCTTGATCATTTTGTTTCACAGTTTCATGTTTGCTGTTATCTTTCCTTTCCAGTGGAATAGATTGACCAATATAATACCCTGTAGCTAAAGACAAAGTAGCAATTGTACATAAAAGTGGAAAATTGGTACCCATTATTAATAATAATAATGATAATATCTATAATAGTATGAATTAAATGTTCAATGTAAATATACTAGGTGTATTCTAATAAGAATTTTCAACTAGATTACGTCCCCTCTAACTAGTGCAGGTTGTCATAAATTCAGTCCTTTTATGTTTATGTAATAAACTGAGCATCTCACTTTTATGTTATTAGATGAGACAAAAAGTGAATTGAAACGTTTTACTAGGTCTTTTCTTTTTTTTAAACATTTCCCAAAGAAGACATTTTTTCCAAAATAGAACTATTATCCTAATTAGGTACAAGTACCTGAGATAGGAAATATACTTTCAAAAGAGGGAAATAACGGTTACAAAAAATGGAAAATAAGAAAAATAGAAAGGAGTAAAAAAGAGTAACAATAGAAACAATAGAAACAATAGAAAGTGGGGCCCAAAGAAGTCCGAAGACTGTCAAATTTAGCGAATTTGATCTTCATTTAAGTTCCCCATTGAAGCTATTGGATTAACTATAGAATAAACACAATTCACACTTCATGATAAAGCGAACTAATAATTAAACATTGTATTTTTGTATTTGACTTAATTTTGTGTTTCTTCAGGTGAAATTTTTCTTTTTTTTTTTTTCTTATTTGAAAGAGGGGTTTGTTTTAGAGGAACTTATATTTTAACGTGCCTAATTAGAATTATTTCGATTTGACATAACATAGATCAATAAAACAAGCTTAACAACAAGAAAAGATATATATATACATATATATGGGTCAAATACTTTCAAATCCAGTAATAGATAAAGAGTGTCATCAAGGAATTGATACTTTCAGCTCATTTGGACTTTGTTCCATGCAAGGTTGGAGAACATCAATGGAAGATGCTCATATTGTAGAATTAAATATTTGGGCAAAGTATGTATCACAAGAAATCCAAAGAGTCAATGAAGAATCAGTGATTGATCATTTAGCAATGTATGGTGTTTTTGACGGACATGGTGGTTCTGCTGTTGCAAAATTTTGTGGCTCACAATTTTCCACTATTTTCAGAGAACAAATGATAGAGTCTCTGAAACATTACCAAACAAATGAAAACAGTAATCTTTTTTGTTTATCTTCTGTTCTTAAGAAAATGTTAATTCATTCGATAATAGATACATTCCAAATCACTGACCAAAGAATTTTAACAGATCAGCTTTTACAAAATGATCACAGTGGATCCACGTGCAGTTGTGTTTTGATTTCCAAAAAAATAGAGACTGTAATTTGTGCAAACGCTGGTGACAGTCGTTCTGTTCTGGCTACTAATGGTGTTGCTAAAACATTATCCTTTGATCATAAACCAAGTTTAGTAAATGAACGATCTCGTATCATTGCTGCAAACGGGTTTGTTGAAACAGGACGTGTTAACGGTAATTTGGCTTTATCTAGAGCCATTGGGGATTTTGAATTCAAAACAAATGATACAGTTTCAGCAGAAGAACAGGTAGTAACTTCATTTCCAGATATTTTAGTACACAAAATAAATTATTTAAATGACGATTTTCTCATTCTCGCTTGCGATGGAATTTGGGAATGTTTAACTTCTCAAGAATGTGTTAATATGATTTACCGTGGGATAATATCAACTGAAACAAATTCGCTCAATGAGATTGCATCAAAGATGGTAGATATATGTTGCGCTCCAAGTACTGAGGGAAGTGGCATTGGTTGTGATAATATGACAATCATAATTGTTGCATTATTACAAAATAATGAAACAGAAGAAGATTGGTTTGAAAGACTGAAACAAAAGCAATTCTTACAAAATTTTTTGAAAGCATGTAGTATTGAGAGTAAAGAAAATAAAAATAATATATATGGCAAAGAAAATGTACAAAATATGGAATTCTGCATTAACAGATCGAAATTTGATATACCAACTTTCGAAACAATGAGAAGATTAATATACAATGATTTTGATTTTGACACTATTATAAGTTTTGATGATGATAATAAATCTGCCACCAATGATAACGGTGACAGTGACAAAAATAACATTTTCAGTATAACTACAAAATCAAAGAAAGATAAGCTGATAAATGAAAACAAATTAAACATCTCTCTCTCGATCAATAATAGTAAAGAAATAAACGAAAATACTTATAATTCAGAAGAACAACAACAAATAGATTCTGATTATAGCTATAGTATAATCGATTTTGAATCTTTGAAACAATTATTGGAAGCTGGTATATGTATTACTTGTCATAACAACGATAATGATAATCCTCTGACACATAATAATGAGTTCACGCAGGGAATTTCATCTACATCGTCCCAATCTACAGTATTAAATACTTATACATCATTAAATAAGCCAATAACAGATGACACAGATGATCTAAACCATAAAAAAGATGTCAAAGAAGAAAGAAATTAGAATTAATAAATTCACAGATAATCATAGCTTGAATTGAGGATATATATATTCCAATAAAAAAAAGAAACAAGGAGTGTTGAGGCTATGCTAATTTAATAAATATTTACGTTTACTTAGGCTAACTATATATATTTATATATACATTCAAACCATATAGTTTATGGCAATAAAACTAAATACTAAATTAATCTTACATAAAAATACCAGTTTTAATCTCATTTATTTTTTGTTAATTCATTTTTCCCTATATATATACTGATATATCTACATCATTCTCCATATACATTACATGAAGTTTGCCACACTGTATCAATTACCTTTTCAAGAGGCAATTGTTTAACATTGGATATAACTTTTGCAACATTTTCCATTGTACAAGGTTCGTTTCTACCTTTAATCATATAATCATCCCATTCTTCTTTTGATATATTCTTCAACTTATCCTTTTTGATAAGTTTATATTTATTTTCTTTGTCCCTATCTGAAAGATACTTCCATGCTTCATGGGTTCTTTTAATTTCACACCATGGTGCATCAGTTTCTAATAATAATCTATCCAATGGTATATATTTAACACACTCAATATTATTAGTTTCTCTAAAAGATGCACCATTCATTCCAATATAACAGTTTGGTGATAAATTTAATAAATCTTTTAAATCTGTCAAGGAATCAGTAAATGAATGAACTACAAATTTTCTATTTGGATTGAATTTATAAAAAATCGAATTGTTTTGGTCTTGTTCATGAACCAAAGATTTCAAATTAAATAGATCCTTTGTATCTAAGAAACCAATAATAAATTTTTTCAAAATTTGAATAAAATCTTGACCACAGTTTCTCATGTGTAAGAACAGAGGTATTGAATCATTTTTTATCAAACATGACAATTTTAGTTGTTCTTCAAATAATAATTTCTGTAAATCTTTGCAAGAGTAATGTAATCTGCTATAATCAAGACCAATTTCACCAATAGCACGTAATGAATTATTGCTGTCATCAATATTGGCTTGCACTAATTCAAACAATTCTTTTAGTTTGCCTTTCACATGATCAATATCCATATTATCAAAGAGTTGCTGATTCATTTCTTCATTATTTGTTGGATTATTTATACCAGAATTGACCTCAGATTGAACAAACTCATTAACACAACATGGGTGAACACCAATTGTATGGTACAAATTAATAGGTGTCTTAGATTGATATTCTTGTATTAATTTGATAACTTCTCGAGATTCTTCTATTGAGGAACCTGTCACTAAAACAGTTTTGACATTTCTTTGATATGCTCTAGTTAGGATATTAGATATATCAGATTCATGATACTTTTTACCATGATATAACCCGCGAAACATATCATCAGTTAAATTGAAACCAATATCATAATATTTGGCAGACATGATACGTTTTAACATAAAACTAAAAGATGTTTATCCAACCTGATTAAAGTTAACTAATTATTCCTTTGAATTCTGTCACTTTTATAAAAGGAGCAAGACAAAAATATATTTCTTTAACGCAAAAAATCTTATTTAGTAGTTAGGATAAACTAATCAAACAGAGCAAAGTGTTGTTTTTATACATTGATCTATAGATATTTCAGATTGATCAATAAAAAAAGTTTTTCTTGACACTCTTTACATTGAATTTTTACTCTTTTTTTTTCTACGATTTTTTCTTCGAATTTGTCTCTTGACTTATCCACGTTAAAGAAACAAAAAGTTTGCACATACAGTTATCTTAATATACAGTTTAAAAACTTTGTGAGTTTACTAACCAAGGTTTTGTATTTGTTTGTATATGTTTAGCACATCTATACATATGTTTTAGAAAGTAAGAGTTTAACTATTAACAACAAGTAAATTATATGAAAAAATAAAAAAGTTCTTAACAATCATAGTAATAAAAAAATGCTTTATATATATATATATATATATATATAAATTATTCATCTCTTAAACTTTTTCTAAGCAAAGACACATTCTCATTTCAAATAATATTAAAAATGATCCTTTAAGTGCTGTTCAATCTCTTTTCTACATTGTAAATGGAAAAAAAACAATAAAAAATGGAAAATAATCTGAATGCTTAGATGATTTTTATTATCAGAATAGCCCTAATTATGGGAAATCTTCTAACTTACGAGTTAATCCCTATTCGATGAGAGATATGGAAATCTATGAGCTACAGATTCAATTGAGTTAGACGATTAATTAGAAAAATGAAACTCTGCAAGTTTTTAAAATAACAACATGTGGTTCAAACAAATCTGCTATTTAGTTATTAATGTCGTTTGCCTTTTTCTTGTGAAATTTTTCCGTCATATTTTTGTCGTTTCTATGGCTTTTTTTTTATTTTTTTTTCTCGTTGAAGAAACCTCATCGGCATCATCGCATGGCATTGCACTGTAGCATCTCATCTCATCTCATCTCATGTCTTCTAATAACATCGAATTCTACTTTGTAGTGCAGTTAATTCTCCTACTTCTAGTACCTGCGGCTACAGTTCTTTGACTATAAACAGCATAGTATCATTTATCTAATATTTCTCGTACTTCAGTAAGAAAAATAGATAAATAAGTATACACACATACACACACACAAACATACATATATATATATGTATGTGTGAGATAGACAAATGCCTGTACCTAAATCAACAGTGAAATCATTATCTGCTTCCAATTCAAATAACTCTTCAATACTAAATAATCATCCACACCCAAATATACATAATTATATACACTCAAAATATCGTGGTCATACCCATCTTCATAACATTACCGCTACTTCGGAACCACAAAATCATGAAAACAATAATAAAAATTCAATTAAACCAAAGGACATTGAAAATATTGAGAACAAAAACCCCATATCATGGGAGTTCCAGGACGATCTATTATTGAGATATTTAAAAGAAGTTAAGAGTTTAGGCTGGAAAGAAATATCAAAGTATTTTTCTAATAGGACTGCAAATGCATGTCAATTTAGATGGAGAAGATTAAAATCTGGTAATTTGAAGAATAATCATATTATATCAATCGATATCAATTCAATTGATACTTCCTCTTTATTCAAAAGTATTAATCAAAACATTCCTTCTGCTTTAATTGATTCACAATCTAAAAATAATGCTGCAGACATTTTATTACCGCATTTAGAAATGATGACACAAAACGTCAATAAAGAAACTAGAAACAACAATAATGTGAAAGAAAAACTCTCAACACATAATAGTAATGATACAAATATATATTCATCATATACTGATGAAAATACAAATAAAAAATTATTTGTCTCTAATACCAGTCAATTTATCAATAATAGTAACAATGAAAAATACAATAGTAATCACAATAACCATAATAATCATAATGCTATTAATACATTTAGTACAACGCACAACGATACCTCCTCTAATGCCATGAGTATAATAACTACAAATGAAACAAATATAAAAAACTTGAGGAAAAGTGTGTCAGCTGTATCTGTCAAATCATTTGCTAAACCAAGATCTTTCTCTTTAAATGTAGCAAGACCAAACTTAAATACACTTAATAATAATAATAATAGTATACAACAGCAAAAAGATTTAAATATTTCTCAACCAGAAAACGAAAATGTTGGGTTTGTACCTAAGATAATAGTTCGATCAAGAAGAAGTTCTTTTAATACAATTAATACTAACCCATCTTTTCTAGTACAAAACAATAATATTTTAGGAAATGATATCTCCAGAAGAAATAGTTTTGTGATACGATCAAGAAGACCTTCGATCAATTTATCACTAAATAGTGCTGCTTCATCAAGAAGGTCCTCATTTCATATGACGGATGATTATCTCGATACTCACTCAACTAACAACAATAACTCACATTCACATTCACACCACCCAAATAATACACATGGTTTTGCTAAATGGGAACAAGCCGAAGATCAATTGTTACTAGATTTGATTAATATAAAAAAACTAAATATAAAAGAAGTGTCTATCTTATTGCCAAACAGATCGGAAGAAGAAATTAAATGGAGATTTCAACATTTAGCTAAAGATAAATATACAAAATAGCAATAAAACAAGAAAAAATAACTAATTAGTAATAAATAATTAAGATAACAGTTTATCCAGATATTAATATAGTTTATATAAATCACTGATAATAAGAATAACAGAAATTTGTTTTTGAGATGACAAATAACATGTATTAGTTTTTTAAAAAGTTGTTAAAAAGTATATATATTCATACTTTTAATTCAGATTGAATCCAAAAAAATCACTTATTCTTTAGTCTTCAAGGAGACTCTTAACTTCATTCACAACACTATTGTCACTATCCACATCTGGTAAGTCGTCCTCTTCTTGATCTAAGACTTCACTATAGTCATCATCATGATCATCATCATAGTTATCAATATTAATATCCTCCATATTATTAAATATCTTACTAATATCTTTATCCTCATAATCGTCATTCTCATCATAACTGGCCATTTTATTTTTTTTTCCTAACTGATCAAGGTTTGAAACTTTCTTTTTTAGCCTAAACTTATTGTTTAATTTATTTAGTGTGTTCCCATGCAATCTAGGTTCTCTAAAACAAAGTTTCCAGTCCATCTCTTGCATATTTCCAATACTATCTATGCATATATCGTTTGCATTTAATTTGTTCAAAGTCTCAGATTCTATAGTACTATAATTATTATCAATATCATCTTTCATAAAACTTGTGATTAAATCAATATGTTTGTTAAAAATATCTTCGTCAGAGTCAATCCCACTAAATTTTTCGATGTTATTATCAATTCCTACAAATGAATCTGTAAGATTGGTGTTAACAGCATTCATACCACAGGATGGACCAAAAATCATTGGTTTCCACAATAATTTTTCTGGTTTTATAGTGAGTGGATTTTTTGCTTTCCACCTACGATACATGTCTTCTAGGGGCTTCCAATTGTTTATTATAATAGCATATTGTCTAGTTCCATCTTCTCTGTCTGAATAAAAAAGAACTCGTAGTTGTTCTAACCCTAGAATTATATCGGTAGGGGCCATTCCAAGAATATTTGATAAATCTTCTAGTGTGATTGTTTTCACTTTAGTAGTATCCCTTAAATATAATAGAGTCTCTAAGCATTTGATTTTCCAAAAAGTTCTATAAGTTATTAAACCTAAGTCTGATAATGGTTTTTCTGGTGTTCCGTGTTTAAATTCTCTTTTGGAGAGCAAATAAGAAAAATCCATTAACAAAAAACCATAACCTAGTCGTCTATGAGTGGGTAATGTTAGAATACAACTTAAATTATAATTTGTTGAATTTAATTTTTCTTTAGAAAAATAACCTACTAATTTCATTTCACCTTCATCATTATTATTCGTGTTACTATTTTTAGCAGAATCATTACTCAATTTGGGATGCTCATATAAAACATAAAACATAAATGGCTCTACTTCATAGTATAGAGTCTTAGATTTTAAAAACAGCATTGACAATAAACATAAATTTTTAGCAAAAGTCTTATGTTCTCTACCATCTATTTCAAATATACTAATACTTTTATCTCGATAAATCTCATTTCCTAGCGGTCTTCGCAAATTACATTGTGAACATTTTAGTTTATGTCTATTATATTGAAAACGATTGGAACTATATTGTAAACATAATTGACAAATGTATATAATCGACTGTTTGTTAATATTTTCAGGATAAGGGCTTGGATATAATGTCTTAATCTCATGGTTATTAATATATATATATTTTACATTTGATACTTTGTAAGGTTTTTTTAAAGCTAGTAATTCTTTAGAATCCTGTGGAAATGTCATTGTAATGTTTGAGTTTAAAAAACTAGAACCTTTCGATTGCACAAATAATCTATGAAAGAGTATTCTGTCTTCTTTTGTTGGTATTGTCAATGGAGTAGCATGAAAATAGTTTTTCTTTTTCAATGGATATATGGATTTATAAGGAATCTCTAAAGAATCTAACTGAGATGAAACATTTTTATTTAGAAACGTTTCTAAATCAAAATCAACATCTTGGTGGGTTTGTTCAGTATCTGTTTCGATTAAATATTCCTTTTGAGACGTATTTAAGGATTTATTAAAATTTAAAAATTTCTTAGGGTCATACTTAATCTTTATATTATTGGCAAATGTTTGCTTTGATAGTTTTTCATCCCAATTATCATTATAATTCTTATTATTATTCTCGATATTGTAAATTGCTGCTATAGATGATGAGGAATCATTTTGATAATAGAAAGTTACTTTATCATTTAATAAATTTGCTTCCTGTATGTCCCTTGGTAAAAACCAATTTGCAGTACTAAAAATTACTTTGATTCGAGGTAGTTTATTACCTCTGTTAACTTGCTGAACAGTACAGTTTGGCAATTGCTCCCCATTTTGTCTGGATTTGTCAGAATTATTTTTATTATCAGAATGACGTTTTGGTTTGTTTATTCTCTCATATTTTCTTTTAAATATGTAGTTAGCCTTTTTTTCTAGTGCTGTTTTTCGCAGTGTGCGTCTTTTTGGGATCAAAATAATATTGTTGTCTTGTTTTAATGAATCTCTATCATTACTATCTGTAGTCATTATGAGTTAGACAAAAATATAAGCACATATGAGCCTGTAACTTTTCTTTTCTTTTCTTTTTTTCTTTTGTGATGTTATATCTTAGATCTTGTCTGATTAATCACTAATTGAATTTGTCAACATTCAATAAATTGTGTCTTTCAATCTGTAACAACGGGCTATTGTTATTTTGACTTATAGATCATCTAACAATAATTGTAAAAAATAGTGAATGAATCTTTTGCTTTTTTTATACACTCTTCAGAATTTTAGCTTTCAATGTATATAGAGAATACAGATTTTTAAGAAATTTGTAAGGGACTGGCTTAATTTTTGTCTATGTTTTTTTTTTCTTTGTTTTTTAATAATTTTGATCTTTTCTGTTTAATTTCAATTGGCAAGAGAATTGATGAAGCTGGAAGAAATCCCTTGGAGATTAACGATGTATCAAACATTGGGATTGTATTTCTTGTTTTTACTCTGAATATGTGTGATGTTGAGTTTGAAAATATTATATCTCAGAATATGTAATCACTGATTGCTTTGATTAAGAGTAACAGAGAATCAAATTGATATGAAATTATACAATGTACTCCTGGTACTTATAAAGTTGATGTAATGGTCTGTATAATACTAATTCCTATATTTGAAGTGGTAATAGCGTAATGATATCATGATTAGTTTTTTTCTTCATCCTTTCTCATTTCTAAAATAGTACTTGAGTAATAAATTGTTGCCTTAGAAATTATTTCTTTATTGGAGAAGCATCTCTTCTTTTATTAGCAAATGTGATACATAAACTTAGCATGGCTATCGACTAATCCTTTCGAATGTGCAAGAACACTAATATAAAAGAATAAAGTAATCATAAATCGTAAAGAAGTTTTAGCACATGATTGTGACAGCAGTCACGGTCATGCAGTAAAGGCTGATGTTGATCATAATGATTTAAAGGATTTGTATGATAAATATTAAATAGTAATATTCAGAGTTGATTGAAATATATTTCGAGAATTATATTATAATATGTACATATACTATATACTATATATTATATATTATATATTAGAAAATTACCTTAACAAGACTGCCTATATTGCAACCGTTAATGTCTTTTGTACATTACATCATCTTCATAGAGCGTCATTATCATGATCATTAATATCATTAAAACATTTCAAAAATTGATATAGAAAGAAATGAAGAGAAAGAGAAAGCGAGGGAGAGAGAGGGAGAAATTGAAGGATATATAAAATTTTTTTGTAGTTTATTCTTTTTGACTTATCTTTTCTTTGTTTATCATTTTTTATGTAAATGACATACGGTAATGTAGTTTTTCTTCTATCATAAGTAATTTTTTTCGTAATTGAAATAACATTGATCACCAAATATTATTCTTTTTAGAATCTTGGATATCTAACCCACTCAAAGATCTAGCTAAATGATTATCTAAATCAGTGTTGTCTAAAGCTCCGGATTGACTTAATGTTTTGTACAAGATATCTGCATTATTAGCAGTATTAGCCATATTAGTATTTGTATTATCTCTATTGTTTGATGATTGGATGTTTCCATTACCATTGATGTTACCAAAAAGTGTGTCATCTTGATACGATTGAATTGAGAAATTCGAGTGAATAGAACCATTGGTATTTTGTGGGACTAATGGTTTGTTAATTGAATCATTAAGCAACAAATTTGTGCTACTAGAATTATTATACAACGAGGAAGTTAATCTGTTACCATTTGCAATATTGTTTGAGCCATTGTTATTAATATTTGCCAGTGTGGATCCAACTGAAGTAGTAATAGAGTTGACTACAGGCGAATTTGTGTTACTGGTAACAACATTAGCAGTAGGTGAAAGTGCAGCATTTCTTAATAGGGGATTTGAAGCATTAATGTTTTGATGGTGATTTGAATAACCAGATGGAACTCTTGATGATGGAGTCAAAGTGGTTTGCTGTCTGATGAAAGTTTGTTGTTGTGTAGGTTGAATTTGTTGGGACAAGATTGGTTGTGGATGTTGAAGTGGTTCTGGAGATGTTGAATTAGTAGATGGCACATTAAGATTGTTAGAGCTATTGTTACTATTGTTATAAATAGAATTCAAAATATTATTACCACTGGTGTTGGTATTAGAGATGCTACCAGAGGGTTGCTGAGCTAATAATTGTGCAGTTTGTGGTATTTTTGGAGTATTTAGAATATTGTTATTTCCACCTGAAATACTATTGTTGCTGTTGCTGTTGTTGTTGTTGCTACCATTATTCAAACTTATACTCATAGATGAAGCATGTGCTTGTAATAAACTTGTATAAGAATGTGATCTATTTAATGAACCACCCGTAGAGGTAGGTTGCAGCATCGCATTTTGGTTAACGTAATTAGGTTGAACTTGTTGTAGATGCTTCTGCAAATTAATTTGATCCAAGACATTACTTTGACAAGTACCGTTATTAAGTGGGATATTTTTTCTTCTAATAATGACAAACCTTGAATCATAGACTTCCATCAAATTTAAAAACGAACATAATACATTAATGATACGTTTATGGTTTGCTGATAGCCCTGCAGGATATGCCAATTCATAATAGGCTTTCTCTCTATCTTTAAATAATAATAACTGAGAATAGATCTCTAAAGTATCCGGGTCATTAAAATCCAATTGTTGAGGAGGAATGGGAACGTTGCTTGAAGATGGCAGTGGTGCATAATATCTCTCAGTTGATGGATTAATACTATTAGAGTTACTATACAATGAATTTGCAGTATGCTGTGCCACCAACAATGGTTGTTGTTGTTGTTGCTGTGATTGTTGAAGGATATTATTTTGGATTGGGCCTCCCATGAAATGATTAGATAATTGGGGGTTAGTGAGATTGGCAAACGTTGAAGTTGAATTTACGATGGGTTGTGCAATATTCATATTATTACTGGTATTGTTGTTGCTGTTTGTTAGAAGTGTATTTGAGTTAGGAGTTGAGATCACTCTATTCAGAGATTGTAAAGACAAATTGGACATGTTTTTATGCTGTTCTTCCAGCTGCCCTCTTTTCTCCCTTTTCTCCCTTTCTATTCTTTCTCTTTCATGTTGTGGCAACAATTTTTTATATTCAACTTTTAATTTTCTACCATTGATGTCTTTACCATTTAACCCTTGGATCACTTTTAAAGTATCTTCAGGTGTAGTGAAGTTTGCAAATGCCAAACCTCTAAAGATACCATTATCGAAATGGTAGTTAAAGGCGTACGGTAAAGGCAGTCCCATGTCTTCAATTATATCCAATAACTGTTCTCTTTTGATAGCAAATGGGATATTTTTAATGACAATGGCATTTGGTATGACATCTTCAGATCCAGTTGTCACTGGAGAAGTGTCCTCTTCCAAATTATTAATATCCTTGGTTTCTTTATCTTCTAAGTCTTTATTAGTTGTATCAGTCATCTTAAAGTAAATATACAACTAAATATATATGTATATGTATATGTATATATATATACCCGTGTGTGTGTGTGTATGTATGTATACTTCACGCCTGACAATACGGATACTCTTGCTTGAGTTTCCTGTGTTAGTATATCTTATCTAAAATGTAGTGGTAATATGTTCAGTGTACATATCATCATCTTTAACTTCTTTTCTTATCTTTTTTATTTTTTTTTCTTTTCAATTTCTTTTTTTTTCGTTTCCTTGGGAACTTTCCTATACAAAACGAGAAAAAAAGCAAAAGAAAAGAAAAAATTACTGTGTTTGGGATGAAATAAAACAACAACAACAACAAAAAAAGGAAAAAAAAAAAGAACATGATGCCTTTCAAAAAATTAGCATTTATCGTCCCATACGGCGTGGTCAGATGTTTTAACTCTGATGAAACCAACTAAAGATGAAACTGTTTCGACTGCAGACAAGGGAAGTGATTAGGGTCCATTAACTGTAATATACCAATGAAGTGTATAATGATATCATTCATTATTATCATCATCATTATTATTATATATAGATACATATATTCAAGAGAGAAACCGGTGTTGTACTACCTCGAGAGAGGGTAGCGGACAAATTGAATACATAGGCATATCTTTTGAACTCCTTTGTTGGTCGAGAATAAGGGAATGAGAATATTAGAGTTGATTTGAACTAGACTATATTGCTTACTTGTTGTTTTGTTGGTTGTTCTTTTCTTTTATTTTTTGAACTTAGCATGCATAGACCAATACAACGTAACATCAAATAAATAAACTAAAAACTAAAAAGAAGAAAGAAAAAGAAAATAAAACTATCCCCTATTGATAAAAAGAACATTTCAAGAAGATAAATGAATAGAAATAACAGAGTATTAAAACCCTCTACAAAAAAAAAAGAAGTGTAATAAGCAAGTTTCCAGTTCTACTACAATTGACGGATTGCTAAGTAAATTGAACCAAATTAAAAAATTGTGTGTCGAGATATATGGTGGCGATCAAGATTTATTATTGAGAGATATCAAGCAACAATCAATAGAAGATACAATAAAAAATTCTGAAAATCAGAAGAATTTAGATATAGGTGAAGAATCATTGCCGCCCCCACCTATTACAGAGGAAGAAATTGAAGAGTTATTACCCTTGAATTTAAATGGTAAAATTAAGTCCAAGCAACAAATTTATGAAAATATAGATGTATTGGTAAATCGTTCAGAACAAAGAAAATTGTATCTTTATAAACAATCACAATCCCAACCTCAACATAAAAAAGAAGTCATCGAACAAAAAGAAAAACAAACATATTCTTAGCCAAATCGAAGTTATGATGTAATAAACATATATAAATTACAGTTATCAGGGCTAGATCTATTAGTTTGGATTTCCTCTTTCTTTTTTCTTTTGCATTCATTGAGAACGTTAGCATAGAATACTAAGTTTACCAACAGAGTCTCTTATTTAGATACAAAGTCTGTTTCTAAATATTATTTTATTACAAAAGAAATGCAACTTGATTATTGATGGAGCATAATGTTTTCAGCTTTTGCTATATATAAACAATATCAGATCAACTGTAGTATACTTTACAAAAAAGAGAAAATAAGATTAAAAAAGAGGATTATAGGACAAGGGACTAATATAACTTGAGGCTCCTGTTCTAATGTGGTTCACAATTTATTGTCCCTAATACTCACTTTCAACTTCTGTCGTAGAGATATGGTTTACTACTTATATAAGTCATTAATATTGGTGTACTGAAATGCAGCCTTTTTAACCAAAATATAGTTGGCTTCAATTAAATAAATGGTATCTTGTTTGATTTCGAAATGTCTGTCATGTCATACGAAAAATCTAACAATGGACCTACCAGATCAAAAAAAATTTGGTTATTTCCTATTTCAGACATGTTTTGTCTCTCGATGTCCAAGTCAGGAAATACAATAATGTAAACAAACCGAAAACAGAAATCACAAAAACAAAGGAGAAAAGATTTGGGAATACTTTAATTTTTTGTTATGTTCGTTTTGGCTCTTTCTCTCAAGGAAATAATCAACGAATTGACGCAGTAACAGACAGAAAATACTAACTTACTGGTTCACATTGGTAAGAATAGACAAGAATTTCAGAATCAAATCAAGATCAATTTTATAAAATAAAATAGCTTAAAAAAAAAAATCCCTTGGGTCAATTTGATCTTGTTATTTTACGTCTCTTTTAAATCACATGTTTACGTTTTCTTTCAATTTTCTTTCTCTTTAATCAATTTATTTTACTCGTTCGAGTTTAATTCATAAAAGTCCATCTTTATAGACAAACAGTTTGCAATTGTTACTTATATTCCTGGCAGCACCAATCCATAAGAAAAAAAAAATAAAGATAAAACTATAAGTAATAATCCTAGTATAAAATAAAGGTGGAAACGTTATAGCAGATGAAATAATGAACAGCCCTCCTAAATTTTTTAAGGCAGAACAACTGACTCCCTCCTCGTCGCCAATTTCATTAAGTTTGGATGATTCAAGAAATTTGGGACATACTCCAAATTTCGCAAATTTACTAGCTTCTCCCACAAGGTTTAAACTTTCAGATGCGATGGCAATCTCTGCATTATCATCCACCTCTTCTTCCTCGTCTAATAGCAATAATAATAACGGTTATGCACTAACTACCTCTTTGTCCAAACTGAAGACTTACAAGAAAAATATACATCCTATGGAACAAAAGAATAATGACTTTTCTTCGGTTCTATTTAAAGAACAAAATTTCCAAAATATTGGTAGTAATGGCAATATTAGTTTCAATAATAAAAATAACAGGAGTGCCAAGCCTATGATGTTTAAACAAGAGTTTGTATCAAATTATTCTTCTCTACCATTATTGTCTACCCTTTTAAAAGTCAGTAATTCTCTAAAGACAAACGGTAATAAACAGAAAAAGGAAACTCTTAATACTAATGCTACTTCTAAGCCCGATAGTAACAACATAAATTCTTTACTCGATGATAATTTGCCAAAATTGAGTATTAAAGAGACTTTGGAAAGAATTCAAAAACATCATCAAAACTTGAATGTTTCTAATAATAATGATAATGATGAGACTAATAATGATAGATCTGATTTTAATATTAATATTCCTACTACTGCTACAAAAAGACACTCTGAAAATAGAAATGCTATAAATAATAATACGGCTTCTGCAACTGCTTTTATTCCTTCTTATGATAGTCAAAATAATGCTATCAAAAATATTAATTTGAATAATACATATGATATAATAGAATCCAAAGTTCAACCAACAGAATGTTTACTTGCACCTCCTCTAGAATTACATGTAATGCAAAAACCTGTTTCAAATACCGTTACTAGTACCTCTACTTTTCCACAAAAACAAGAATTAATAAATGAACAAACTGTACCCAATCTACCCACGTTCAATTCTGATCATGTGTTGTTAGACAATGGTGTTAATATCCGCAATCCTGCCATAAAATATTTCAATCAACCAAATAATAGATACAGTTTGGTTTCTTCAACTTCTACAGATTATGATAACTTTGATTTTATAGAGCAAATGCCATCAATGGTAACAGCACATCCTCTACCAGATATTAATGAATATACATCAAGGTTAGAATCTAGTAAATTGGACTTGAAAATCAAACAGTTAGAGGTGGAGATTAATGAATTGAAATTACAAAATATTAAATTGATTAATTCAATTTCCACAAGCAATGCCAATCAACATCAAAACAATAATTTGGTAGATCAAATGTCATCCAAAAACACACATGGATATGATATAGATTTACAAGATCAATGGATTGATGGTAGTGATGAAACAACTAGATTAAAAAACAAAGTGAAAGAATTGGAAAAGAAAATTAGCAGCTACAAAAGGACGATTTCTAAATACCAACAAAATAGCAAACTTCGTGCTCCTTCTAAAAGAAGACAATTACATATCGGTAATTCACATCATAGAATTTCTAGACTCTCTCCAATAGAATTACAAAAATATGGAGAAACTACAGATCCATCTTCATCTTTTTCTTCTATCTGTTCTGATGATGAGATAGAAGACACAATAGAAGAGAATGTTATATTTACAAGTGATTCAATACTTAATCACCAACGTACTAGTAAATATAACAAAAATAATAGAGATGGTGAATATGAGGCAGATATTGAGGAACATCCAATTCAACTTCCTAAAAGAAAAGGTTTTAATTTACATATTCCTATTGAGAAATAAGTTTATTTTTCTATGTTTGTTTTTGGTTCAGTATGATTTTTATACTTCAATTATATAGTTCCCGTTTTATTCTTTGTCTGTTTGTCACTTATCTATTTTTAATGCGCTGCTGTTATTATGAATTATTTAATTTATTCATTCTTTGAATTCAATGTATTTTGAAAAATAAATGTACCAATAATTAATTATCAACATCTTTTAGTAATTATCTTTATATAGTTAACAATTACTTTTATATATTTTCTTTAAAATAGTTTGTATCTTTTGACTTTATTAATTAATATAATGGGAGGATGTCTTTTATTTTGAAAAAATTTAGTTACTTTTACTTTTTTTATTTAATTAAAAAAGGTATATATGAAGCATAGTGAAACCATTTGGTAACGGCATAACATACTAAAACCGCATACAAATGTTCAAGATACACATGGGTATTATCAAAAGTTATCAAGTATATCAGTATTCGTAAGAGTAACAAGGTATGAATTCAGCAACAAGACCTAAACCATGGGAATCACAAGTTATTCATAAAGAAAATAATTCAGTAACGGATCATAATTCTACAGGCAATACCAATACTACTAGTAGCAACAATAATAGTAGTCTGGTATCTCCAGAAGTACCACCTTTACCAATAGATACTAATGATAGCCAAGTAGATACAAATAATCAGCAATATGGTGTAGGGCCTTCACTTTATGGAGGTGGAGCGTATGGGGATGTTAATCCAGCATCTGGATTATATGGAAACGGATTTTATGGAAATGGACCATATGGGAATAGTGGACTATATGGAAATGCTGGATTATATGGAAATAATGGGATGTATGGATATGGATTGTATGGTAATAGTGGATATGGATATGGGTATGGATACGGTCGTGGAGCAACGGGGACCGCAGCAGGGATGAACGGTCCAGGTATAATTACAGAATCAACTATGGCCACTTTCCAACTATTAGAAAATTTGATAGGTGCAATAAATGGCTTTGCACAAATTTTAGAATCAAGCTATATGGCTACATATAATTCATTTTTCACTTTAGTATCCTTTGCAGAGGAAATATCAAGATTAAAAGAATTTCTTGGATCGATTTTCGGCATGTTTAATCTTATAAAAATGTTTAAAAAATTATTGATTCATTTCAAGCCACGCAGTATTCATCAAACTAATGAAACTAATTCATTAGTAGAAGAATTTCAACATACAGTAAAGATACGAAATGGCAATAATGGTAAGGAAAATAGAGCCAGGAATAGAAGATTGGCATGGAAGCCATTAATTTTGTTTTTTATGGCAGTTTTTGGATTTCCATATCTGCTACAAAAGTATATTAATCGACTACAGAATAGCCATATTAAACAATTATTGTCCAAAGGTTTAATGGATGAACCTATTGATCTGACAAGTTTGGATTTTGCCAGAGCCTTATACGACTTTATACCGGAAAATCCTACTATTGAACTCACTTTGAAAAAAGGAGATTTGATGGCTATAATATCTAAGAAGGATCCTAATGGAAAAGAATCCTTATGGTGGAGAGTAAGAACCAAAAAAGGTGATGTTGGGTATGTACCATCCAATTATATTGAAATAATCAAAAGAAGGTAATGTTAGTTACGGATGCTTAAATTTAAGTATATATATATATTGTCATTGAAATAATAAACAATAATAAGTAAGTAAATTGAAATGTTATAACTGCAGAAAGTTTAATATCAACTCTATTAGTATATTCATTTTCTTTATATTTATATATATACATATATATATGTGTGTGTACATATCTATGTGTACAGACATAATATATAAATAATCTTAAAAGGTGATTGAGTCCAACTAGCTTATCAAATATAAAGATTAAAAGAAGGAATATTATTAAAACGAAAAAAAAAAAAAAAAAAAAAAAAAAAAAACAGAATATTAGATAAAAGTATTTAAAAAAAATAACTAGAAGTATAATAAAGTAATCATTTTGTAGATTGTTCTTCCTTTGAGGTTATACTTTTAATGGAGGATAAAAGAGAAGTATCATTATCAGTATTTTCCCTATGAACGATATTCTCTTCCTTACTTTTAATATGTTCTTGATTTATGGTTGTGCTTTCTTCAAGATGGCAATGGTTGGTATCATCTAAAGCAGAACAATGATGATCATCATCGTGCTGCTGATGATGATGATGGTGATGGTGATGATGATGGTGATAAAGTGAATCAGGGTGGTTTATTTTACAATCTTTGTCATCACAATTGTTGGTTGAAGAAAAGGATACTCTCCTCTTGATCATATTTGCTACATTCTTTAACCTTGTAGTATTAGTTAAATCTTTGTTCCTACAAGGACATTGGTCACCGTACACAAAAGGAATTGACATGAACATATTTGTTGTTGTTTTATTTTTCTTGTACAACTAATTTCGTAGTTTTGTTTATTTATAAAATAAAATAGCTGAAAATAAAATTTGAAAATAAAATTAACTTACCATATATTAGCTTACTATATATTTTAGATATATGAGAATTAATTGAAAATTTTGAAGAAACTATATTGTAAGAGTACACTTTATTAAATATATAATATTTTCAAAAAGTCTCAAATGTCTGCAAAAAATGTAATTTTTTCTGTTCCTTTCTTTCCTCTCCCCTTTATCAATTCTCGAGTAGAATATATATTTGTGTGTGTGGTATTGTATATTATTGATCCCACTAGTAAAGCTGTAGATTATACAGCCACTCCCTCTCCTTTCACACATTCAACTCCTTCTTGATAATAATAATGAAAAGGGGGGGGAGAGTATTATATACTTTATTTTTTTTATTTATATAGCAGAATTTGACTATTATGGCTTGTATTATGTATTGTTTTATATTAAAAAGAGAACACATGTCACACTTTCTTAATATAATGGGGTTCATAATTTGTAATTGTTGTGGATTGTTTTTCTATGCAATGGAAACAATATCCTTGTATAAAATTTGTATTGTTTTCTACAAAAATTTATTGTTTTTTTCTGTAAAAGAAGGGGCGTGCCATATATGGAAACAATATATCTTGTTAGCGCCAGTTAAAGGAACTGTGAAATCTATTCATGAGATTTTGCGAAATGGAATAAACATGGTATAATGATACTGATAACGTTGATGGTTAAACATTAACAATATATTTGTTATATTGCATAGAAAGAAACAGTAGAAGATTGTTTAAAGTTATTCTGGAAAGATGATTAAAGAATGACTCTCAATTCATTTTACCCAAAAAGTACTTATAATAATTTATATATTTATATATTTATTTGTTTATATACTAATGGTTACATAACCGTATGAAATGCCCTGGATAATGATACTAAAAATAGTAATAATAGTGATGATTCTTTACAAAATTCAATCACACTTGATGATAGTATTGGCAGTATATGGTTTATAGAAATAAAAATAAAAAAAAAAATTCTCTTTTCTTTTTTCTTTTTTTTTTTTCCATTTCTTCTACATAAAATCATCATCGCCAAAATCGTCATAATTGACATCGTCAAAATCAAATTCTTGGTCTTTCTTGAATGCACCACCAAGATTAGTCTTTGCCTTTGCCTTCTTCTTACCTGCACCACCAGTTGCAGTACCACCTTTAACTCTAGCCAACCTTGCCTGTCTTTCTTGTTTCTCCTTATCCTTAATCAACACATTTAATGTGGCAACAGTTTGTCTAATAGATTCTATAGACATAGGTTTTGAGATATCTCTTATTAAATCAATTGCCAAACTAGAAGAATAATTTAATGAGGATTTTTCGTGCATAGAAACAATAGCAGTGGCTAAGGCCTTTCTTAAATTCTGATAGTCACTCTTAGTTTCAGCAGTTTGGAATAATGGGTGGTTTTCAATTGGAGTATCCTTTGTTAAAACTGGGATTTTAGATAATAAAAATTCTTGTTCCTCTCTTTGTTTTCTAGCAGCTCTTTCTCTTGGGTGTTCCTCAGCAATGCCAAGAGAGCCTAATAAGTCAGCAGCATTATTTAAATCTGCTTCTAATTCTGCCTTTTTCAACAATTCCTTACGAGTAGCTTCATCCAATGTATCTAAATCCATTAATGTTTTACTGATAGATGGTTCAGGGGCAGTCTTGTTGTTATTCTTCTTCCCATCCTTCTTCTTGGCCAGTTGAGGTTTTGGTTCTTCCTTCTTGACTTCTTCTGGAGCATCCCAAGATTTCATAACTGGTTCATCATCCCAAGATCCCATTAATAAAGCATCGTCATTACCAGCATTAACATTTGAACCATTAATAGCTTCACTGTCCCAAGACATTTTTCTTGCTTTCCTTTTTTTTTTCAGTTTATTTAGTTTATTAATACTTTTATATTACTTTTTGGTATTTATTAAGGTGAATGTAAACTCTAAGAGCAACTTTAACAGTACATATTTTTGTGTCAGCAATAAAGATATCAGTCTTTTTTTTTAACTGTATTTTTTACTTTGTAGAGATAACCTTTCGACTCGAACCAATTTTTGTATTTTTTTTTTTTTGATTTTTTTGTTTTGTTTTTGGGGTGTCGTTAATAATGATAAAAGTTTTTTTATTTAAAAAAAGGGAAGATTAAAAGAGACAAAGAAGAACGATTGATGGATTGTACATATTTATGAGCTAGTATTTATCGAGGGAAAGGTCGTGTCTAATAGTTGATTATATGCTTCTTTCTAACATTATTAAAGCATATCAGATAAATGGGAATAAATTTTTCTGACTTTTCTTTCTATTCATAAATACATGTAGATGTTATAAGTATATATACTTTATACATTTTATAAAGTTTTACTTAGGAAATGGAGAGATGTTTATACAATATGTTTATATGTGAGTATGTACATGAAGAGTAAATGCAGTTTAGAAGACAAAAAGGTGTACTGAATAAATTTGAAAAGAGGTGGAAAAGCGTTAAATTTGTTCTTGTCTCATGGCTTCTATTCGTTGCATTACTAAAGACATCCCTAAACGGGATCTTTTCATGCTTTCTTCGAACTTTGATTTTGCCATATTTTCAATTTTTTCCTTGAGACTTAATTGTTGTATGGCATTACAAGAAAATGTTACTCGACTATTCACCTGTGTGGCTTTCAATTCATTATTCCATTGATAAGTAGTTCTTTCTTCTACTTGCAACAACTTGACATGGTCCAAATTTTTAATACATGTTTTCATTGTTAACGTGGATCTATCTACTACAGAATATTCAACTAGCCAGGATTCATTAATTTTTGATCCACCGCTAGCTCCAATTATATATGACACCCATATAGGCAATTTCCCTTGTTTTCTAATTAATCTTGTTGTAAACAATTTATTACCATCATTGCTTCGATGTCTATCAATAGTATCAATTGAGAGAATATGTTTGACGTATGGATTTGGATACTTATTAAATAATACACCAGTCACACATTCGAAGTCATTATAGAAAGTGTCTTTATTAGAATGGATCAGTACCATTATATTGTCGTTGTTGTTGTTGTAGTTTTTGTTTCTCACCTCTCTGTATTCTTTCTGTTTATCTTGTTTTTTGATTACTTGATTTTATTTACTAGAACCAAGTATACACATAAAGTGCAACATGTAGGAAACCTCTTGCAAAATGTTTGACATTTTATGATTGTTCTCTAAAGATAACTTAATTCAACTTTTCTTGAACCGGCCCGGTCCTCCCTCCTTGTAAAATCAGCAAAACAAAAAAAGAAATACAGGAATCCATGTGATCGGAAAAAGGGGGAAAAGTATATCTTTTTTTAATAATTTTGCACAAATTCTATTTTACGATTCAATATAATCAGATTATGATCTTCAAAAGAAGGAAATTTATAAAACAGAAGTTATTATAGCTCCTACTTTTATTTCAATTGCAGTATAAATACTACTAAATGTAGATGTATTATTGTCTTTTTTTTTAGCTATGGCAGGATAATTAATTGAAGAAAAACTCATGTATGCAAGTACAGGTTATAAAAGCTTAATGTTGCTTTCTAGTCTTCTTTTCTAAATTTTGTTGCATAATATTTACTAAAGAATGTAATTCTTTCAAGGTATTTTGCAGTGAGTTTTATAGTTCTTTACTAAGTTAATAAAAGTGTAACTAGAGTAGCTTTTAGTAAAAAAAAAAAGTTTATTCATTTTATACACTAAAAAAATCATGTCCATTATAATCAGATATTTTGAGTTTTTTAGATGATTTATATGTAAAAGAAATACTTTCAACAATTTACATGTAAAAAATAAAGGTAATTTAGTTATGCAAAGGGGCTATTTGAGAAATTTTTACTTTAATTCTTTTTTTCATTTTAGAATTTTTTTGCTATATTCAAAAATAGTATATATATATTGATTTTAATTCTAGTGATGTATATGCTATGCTTTAGAAATTGTTTTCTAAATATACCGTATGTGTATTTTACAAATGAACTCTATTTTACCCAAGACCAAATTTTATTCTTTTTTTTTTTTCTTTCCTCAACCTAGAAAGAAGTTGGAAAATATTTAACAGTCATCCATCTAACCTAATAGTTCGTATAATTTTTTTAGAGTGAGCGATTAATTTGAATAATGGTCTTGATTATTGATTATCAAATTTATTGCTGAAGTTGATGTATTAATCATATTCTTTTGTAAAGCATGCTTTTGTTTCTTACCTCCTCATTCTTCTATCTCTTTTTTTTTTATATACAAAATAAAGCAAAATAAGATAATTAAATAATTAAAGAAAAGAAAAAACTGCAAACGGAGAAATTCGTTTGGAATCGTAAGTTTACTGTTCTCTATTTACGTTTATCCTTGTGATGGAGGAGGAAAGGTTGGTAACAAAAGGACTTCAAATAAACTAAGAAGTAACGCCAAAAAACATAATAGTGAATAAAATGGAAACTATTTAATTCAAACACTAAAATACAATACTGTAACAACAAAGTATGTATATACTTTTACAAACAAAATGAAATACCTAAAAGGTAAAAATAAATACACAATTGTCTATAATAATAACAATGCGGCTAAGCCGACGACAGGGTAGTAATAATAGTTCTGTTCTTGTCCACCTAGTCTAATTGCAGCATTCTTTGAAGAACTGTGATGGGATGATGTGGCACTGCTAGAATGGCTTTCTGTATTTGTAGCTGTTGGATCCTTGGTGGTAGTATCAGTTACTGTGGAGCCATCAGCATTTGTAGATTTAACATACCATAGATATTGTGTCGTACTATGACCTTTTGCATCGGTAGTTACTATTGTAGAACTAGGAGAGTCTTTAAAGTGCTTTGATACTTCACTTTTTGCATCAGAAGCGACTTTACTTCCTTCACTTTTTGCGTCGGAAGCAACTTTAGTTCCTACACTTTCTGCATCAGAGGCGATTTTGGTTCCTACACTTCTTGCATTAGAGGCGACTTTGGTTCCCACACTAACTGCACCAGAAGTAATTTTTGTCCCCACACTTCTTGCATCAGAGGCAACTTTAGTTCCCACACTTCTTGCGTCAGAAGCAACTTTAGTTCCTACACTGACTGCACCAGATGCAATTTTAGTTCCCACACTTCTTGCACCGGATGCAATCTCAGTAGCTACATTGGCGGCATCAGATAGAGCGCCAGCAATGTCATCACCTACATCTCTTTTGGCAACATTCTTACTGTTAGAACTACCATCTAATGAGCCGGTAACATCACTGGCTGCAGAAGTTAAACAGGCCAATAATAAAAGCGATAATATCTTTTTGTATTCAGACATGTGTAACGATTTGTTTATTCCAATGTTTTTTTACCTCGAAGAAACTATTTTCTGCCCTTATTAATTACAGTATTTTAATTTAATTTAGTATCTCCAGACGATAGCACTGTAGATGCATACATACATATATATATATATATATATATATATATACGAAAATATTATAAAAGTGATGCTTAGAGCGAAAACTCTTCCCCGTGTAGCGGAAAACATTTCTGACAGTTATCCTTTTTATATATATATTTATACAAAATATTTGTACGCTGGTGTATAGAACAATATTGCTATTGTGTTTCTTTTAACTCCAATAAACATTTACCTGGGTATTATTAAATCTTAAAAATGCCTATTTTATTTGTTCAAAAAAAAAAAAAAAAAGATAAGGAAAAGTGATATTCTCTATTGATCTTGTATGCAATAATAGCCAAGTCATTATTTCAGATACTACTATTTTAGGAAACGGGGCCGTTTGGTTTTTTGTTTTTGTCGAGGAAAACGGAATCTTAACATACAAAAACAATCGGAACATAAAGAAAAATAAGGAAACAAAAAAGCAAACATGAAAAATGACGCAAATAGAGAAGGCGAACGGAAGAGGATATAAGGAGAAGATAGGAACTGAAAGGCTAAGCCATGTTTACCTTTAAAGTATAGATCTCCAGTAGATAAAAAAAAAAAAAAAAAAAGAAAGCAAGGGATGGGTTAAATGAATGGCTATTGGGATTCTCGTAAACTTTTTCTTTTTTTTTCTTTTTTTTTCTTTCTTTTTTCTATATTTGTTTATTTTTTTTCTTGGAGCATTTTGCAAATTAAATCTCCTGCATCAGCCTAGCCTCATCGGAACTTTATGTTAAATGTATTTACTGTAACCACTATCTATGTAAGTATATTATACAATACGATAGCATTTTTTAAGCTACTTTTTGGTTACTCTTATTTTGACAACTAACAATAATTTTAGGCAAGTTAGCAGTATCAATAATTGTGCACACGTATATAGATTACATATTAACTAGTCAACGGTCCTGTATTTTATACAAGTACATTATGTATAAAGCATTTTATTAAAAATTATAACATCACAACACCTATATTACTACGATTCACTGTATCATATTTTTTATCTTCAGTAAGACCGTTGCCAATAGGCAAGGCTTTGTAATTAAACAAGTAAAAATTTAAAAACCCATCACCTGGTCCAAACTTTAAATCATCTAGGAACAAACAATTATCTTGTGAAGTCAAAGCATTAAAAACATCCATTTTTTGTTCCTTGGCCAACACAATAGCATCAGAAATTAAACTATTTAATCTTTTCTCCAGGCATTTACTAGCATCCTTGTCAAACCTATCATTATATCCGAAATCTGCGTCACTTGCGTAATAAAATAGATAGCCAATACCTAACTCTTTATAGATTGCATTATCCAGGATCGTGAAAGGTAGTGAATAGAATGAAAAGAAATCTGTAATTTTACCTTCTTCATCTTCAACTACATAACTGAATACCACTTTATTACATTCATTGCTTCCCAAAAACCAATGTTCGAATTCATCTCTTGAGAAATTTTGTACAATATCAAATCTGGTTTGATATTTATCAAATAAATTTAAAGCTTGGTCTACATCTTTTGGGGTCATCTGTCTTAACCCCTTGGTTTTGGTAGTGTTTGGAATAGCATAATATGCCAACATATCAGCCTTTGTTTTGTTGATTGGAAGTCCAGTAAATCCAACATCAAATAATTTACTCCAGTTTATAGGCCTGTGAGCGTAGCGACAAGTGCTTATAGGAGATGGCAAAATGGTGCCTGAAGTATATAATGCTTGCCAGATGTCACACTTGTTAACACGTCTAGTAATTTCTTTGATTAATACAGGAGCCAGTCTTTTAGATCTCAATTGTTTATGGATACATAGAAAGTTGATTTCAACACTCTTAAATTCATTGTCACGAACCCTTAAATTTACAGGAATAGCAGAGATGAATGCGATTAGTTTTTGAGTCTTTTTAACACGCACACCTACATGCCACTCTTTTTTCCAGCCAGGACTCTTCAATGCCCAATTAAAGAATTCTTTAGTATAATTAAATCTAAATGATGCATCTTTATCTTCTACATAATTTTCATTTAACAGAACAAATAAATCTTCTAATTGGTCACTACTATCAACATCAATGTCACACCATTCAAAATCAGAAAGCATAGGTAACGGGGTATCCGGTATATCAGCTGGAGATTTCTTTATGTCAATTGGACCTTCATCTACTACTGGAACATCTAATGATGGGACTGGTTGAGTATTCCAGAACTTGTAATCCTTCATTTCTTTGCGTTGTTCTTCAGGAATCTCTCTAGGTTTGATAGGCCCTTGACCTAATGCAAGCTGTTGTAATAACTCTTGTAATTTCTTTTGATTATCACTCATTTCCTCGGAGTGCTGTTTTCATAAAATATAGTGAAAATTTCTGTCACTTACGATAACTCTTAATTAGAATTGTCAAGGTTTTTTTTTGGGGTTGTTTTCAGTTGTCTTTTCCAGAAATATGTACAAATAAAATGCATGAAATATTTATCCCCTCTTAATATTTATCATCATATCTAGTTTTCAAATTCAACTAAATAATGTTACTAGCTGGTTCTTGCTCTCCTTCTGCCTCTCTTTATTAAAGTCTCTGTAAGTCACATATTCGATCGAGAAAACAGAAAAAAGAAAAAAGAAAAAAGAAAAAAAGAGAATTCGTTAATATAAACAACTAACAGTAGAAAATTTTTCAAAAAAAAAAACTGAAAAAACTGAAAAATAAAAAAGGAAGAAAATGCGATGAGCAAGGTAGTAAATAGTAAATTAGAGATGTTTGACCACTATATGAATAGATTAGTTATTATTAGTTGTACTGTAAAGAATGCATATATCTGTTGTTTGTATAGATCTTAATAAAATTGTCAACCATTTAATAAAAGGAGAGGGGAAAAAAAGATGATTTCTGCTACCGGATGGGTTCCAAGAGGATTTGCTTCTGAATTTGCTGAAAAATATGAGTTAAATGATGAAGAATTGGCCAGAATTGAAGAAATGGCTAAATTGAACTTAGGTTCAAATACTACAAAAGAGACAGAAGAGAATGAAAATGAAGAAATTGAAGAAACCTCCAAGCCTAATGTTAACAAGTTAAGGGATCAACTTTCTGTTGACGATGATTTGAAAGAATTTGACATGGAACATTATGACGATGATACAGATGTAAATGGACAGGGTGTTGAATTATCTATGTTTCCAGGTCTATCTAAAGATGAGATTCAATTTTATGAAGGGGCAGACGGTGAAGACCCATATATCTCTTTACCTACACAAGAAGAAACAAATGAAGAAAAGCAAGAATTACAAGTGTACCCAACAGATAACATGGTTCTTGCTACAAGGACAGAAGATGAGATCTCCTATTTGGATGTTTATGTTTATGATGATGGTGCAGGTTTTCATGATAGTGACATACCTGTAGAAAAGGGTGATGAAGCAGATCCAGATGTGGCTCGTGGTCTTGTTCGTGATAGTTCTTTATATGTCCATCATGATTTAATGTTACCTGCTTTTCCATTGTGTATTGAATGGTTAAATTATAGACCAGCCTCCAATTCGGATGATCCAGCTAACTTTGTAGCCATTGGTACATTTGACCCACAAATTGAAATTTGGAACCTTGACTGTATTGAAAAAGCATTCCCAGATGTTATTCTTGGTGAACCAATGGAAAATTCAATGGCATCATTATCCAATAAGAAGAACAAAAAGAAGAAAAATGTTCATGTTACTACACATCATACAGATGCAGTTTTATCTTTGGCACACAATAAACAGTTCCGTTCAGTGTTGGCATCCACATCGGCAGATCATACTATTAAGTTATGGGATTTAAATGCTGCCACAGCCGTACGTTCTTTACAAAATATTCATAACAACAAAAATGTATCATCTTCAGAATGGCATCACAGTAATGGGTCCATTTTATTGACTGGTGGTTACGATTCACGTATTGCTTTAAGTGATGTTAGAATCGAAAACGAAAATAAAATGTCTAAATATTGGTCAGTTACTTCAGGAGAAGAAATCGAAAGCGCTACATTTGTTGGTGATAATATAATATTGTGTGGTACAGATTCCGGTAATATTTATTCATTTGATATTAGAAATAACAGCGGATCGAAACCTGTTTGGACATTAAATGCACACGATTCAGGGATTTCTAGTTTATCTGTTAATAAGTTTGTGCCTGGTTTAATGATCACAGGTGCAATGGGTGAAAAAACAGTTAAATTATGGAAATTCCCAACTGATGCTACCAAAAGTACCATGAATGGTCCTACTATGGTTCTCTCTCGTGATTTCGATGTGGGTAATGTTTTAAGTACTTCCTTTGCTCCAGATATTGAAGTAGCTGGTACTATGGTTATTGGTGGTGCTAATAAAGGTTTAAAGTTATGGGATGTTTTCACAAATAGAACTGTTCGTAAAACTTTTGCTTTAGAATTAAAGAATTTACAACAAACAGCTAGGGAAGTGGCTTCCCAAGCTGGTAAATCTTCTAGAATAGCAAGAAAGTATATAAAGAATGACAATCCTGACACTGTCATAACAGTAACTGATCAAGGTGAAGATGAAGAGGAAAGAGATGGTAAAGAGGAAGAGAATGACTGGAGTGATGCCGAATTTGATGAAGAAGATTAGTCGAAATTATATTTTATGAAATTATAAATTATAAATGTTTGGCTATATAGATACTGTGTAATATATTGCAACATATTATAAACTATTTGTACATTACCGTTAGGAAAAAAAGAAAGGAGGGAATGTGTTGAATGATTTTAGTTGCTTCACACATTTCTCTTTGTATTTTGTCTTTACTTCCTTGCAAGAATATTATATACTTCTAGTTTCCTGTTAGTTAACTTCGAGTTCATTGCTCAGATGTCCCGAATCAAATATTAATCAAGCCTAAGACCAAGACTCAATTTTGAAGCATATCTTAATAGTCTCTTCCATTATGAAGATTTTCACACATATGCAAGTTAGATCTTTTTTATTTGTGAATATATTATTTCCGTCTTAAGTGATATAAAATTTTTCGAAATATTTGAAAATCTGCGATGAGTTTAAAAAAATTTTCGAAGAGAGAAAAATGTACAAGTTATTCAAGAAATGAACAATTATAGAACAAAAGCATGTGTAACCACTACTCAAAATATCTACAGGTTCCAAAACATTCGCTATTTACTCTAGGATATTAGATCACACTCTATCAAGTAATTGAGTGGTTATAGAGTTATCTAAAAAACATTAATAAAATGGCTCCAATTGATTACTTATTGTTTGAAGAACCAACTGGTTACGCTATCTTCAAGGTAAAATTACAACAAGACGATATTGGGTCCAGATTGGCTGAAGTTCAGGAACAAATTAATGATTTTGGCTCCTTCACTAAATTGGTTGAATTGGTGTCTTTTGCACCATTCAAAGGTGCTGCTGAAGCACTAGAAAATGCTAATGATATTTCTGAGGGATTAGTATCTGAAAACTTAAAAGCTGTTTTAGATTTGAATTTGCCAAAGGCATCCAAGGATAATGCTGTTACTCTTGGTATCTCTGATAAGAATTTAGGTCCATCTATTAAGGAAATTTTCCCATATGTTGACTGTATTGCTAATGAATTGGCTCAAGATCTTTTGCGTGGTATTAGATTACATGGTGAAAAATTATTAAAGGGCCTACAAGCTGGTGACTTAGATAGAGCTCATTTAGGTTTAGGTCATGCTTATTCCAGAGCTAAGGTTAAGTTCTCTGTTCAAAAGAATGATAACCATATCATCCAATCTATTGCCTTGTTAGATCAATTGGATAAAGATATCAATACATTTGCCATGAGAGTTAAAGAATGGTATGGCTGGCATTTTCCAGAATTAGCTAAATTGGTTCCTGACAATTACAACTTTGCTCGTCTTGTTCTTTTTATTAAAAACAAGGCTTCTTTAAATGACGATTCTTTACACGATTTGGCTGCCCTTTTGAATGAAGATGCAGGTATTGCACAGAGAGTCATTGATAATGCTCGTATATCTATGGGTCAAGATTTATCTGAAACCGACATGGATAATGTTTGTGTTTTTGCTCAAAGAGTTGTTTCATTAATTGAATACAGAAGACAATTATATGACTATTTATGTGAAAAGATGCACACTGTGGCACCAAACTTATCAGAATTAATTGGTGAAGTTATTGGTGCCAGATTAATTTCACATGCTGGTTCCCTAACTAATTTATCAAAACAGGCTGCTTCAACTGTTCAAATTTTAGGTGCTGAAAAGGCTCTATTTAGAGCTTTAAAGACAAAGGGTAACACTCCAAAATATGGGTTGATTTACAACAGTGGTTTTATTGCCAAAGCCTCACCAAAGAATAAAGGTAGAATCTCTAGATATTTGGCTAACAAATGTTCTATTGCTTCTAGGATTGACAATTATTCTGATGAACCAACTAATGTATTTGGTGCTGTATTAAAAAAACAAGTTGAACAAAGACTAGAATTTTACAGTACTGGTAAACCAACATTAAAGAATGAATCTGCAATCAAAGAAGCCATGGATTTATATAACAAGGATAAACCAACAGATCTTCCTTCTGAAGAAAAGAAGGATAAGAAAAGAAAATTAGAAGTTGACGAAGGTGAAGAAGAAAAACCAAAGAAGACTAAGAAGGAAAAGAAGGAAAAGAAGGAAAAGAAAGAGAAGAAAGAGAAGAAAGGGAAGAAAGAGAAGAAGGAAAAGAAAGAAAAGAAAGAAAAGAAGGATAAAAAGGAAAAGAAAAGTAAGAAATAAAGTTACCGAATAGATCAGTTTTAGAACTTATGTACTAGTAGGTTTACTTTTTTTGTTATTTTATCTCTATTATTTGTTGATTAATATTATTGTTGGAAATCCTATATTATTCTACATTACTAAAAAGAATACAAGAAAAAAATATGATGGTTGTTTCTGTATGAACCAATTGATTGTACAGTTTTTTATTTTTTTTATTGTTATAGGTAATAAATTAACATATTTACATATGTAGGCATACCGCACTTTTGTATATTTAGCGTTTGTTATACCAAATAATTACTCTTAGTTGAATTTATGATTGATAATTTGATTGAATTAACAAAGTTAATTACGTCTATTGATTAAGAAGAGCAACAAAATGTGTTTTTTCATTGGAAGTTATTTAAATATTTACAAGGGATATCATAATGTGTATGAAATGGCTGGTGGTAGGGCCTATACTTTATATTGTTAACCTATTATTATATTACAATGATCTTAAAGTATATAAGTAACAAAATATGCTGTCATAAATATTTATCTCAAAGTAAAACAATATAGGAGAAATGTATACAAAAAAGCATACTTCATCTTTCATATTTAGATTTTAGACTGTTGAACTATATGCTTTTCATGGTTGAGAATGTCTACGATTTGGTTTGAATCGTTTGGATTGTACAACTGAATTTCTATCAAAATTTGTTTTAAAATATTCACAATTCAATGAGAAATCATCAGAAAATGCTCTCTTGTTACGAAATTTAGTACCAATATTACAGTCTAAAAGTGCCATTTTATCTGTAAATCTATTTACATCAGTCAAGCGTAAACAGTCGTATAAGACGGTGCTACCTATCAAGTTATTCGAATCAAATTCAACCTCAAAGGCTTTAATATCACCTGGTAAGCACGTTGTTATAATATTTAGTCTAATAATGTGGTGGCTAGGTTCTAAATCAAACGATTCCATAACCACTATAGCGTCATTTATCAAACCTATATCGAATATTGATAGTCGTACCGCTGAATCATTGGATATATTTTTTATGGATGAAAGATAATTTAGGTCTTGAATATTATTAATGTTACGAACACCTCCTTCAAAATTTTCTAAATTAACCAAAAGTAATCCACTAGTATCAACTATTAAACATAAGGATTTTGTCAATCTAAACATTTTCTTAAAAGACGATAAATTTTGTGATGCTTTATCAAATGTCAACTTTTCTACATTTTTCTCTTGATTGATCTTTTTTTTATTGTCTGTTATTAACTCAGCATCTTTCTTTGTAGAACCAATAGAGATATTATTCAAACACTTTCTACTAAAAAATAAATCGGTCTTAGCTATCTCATCATCTTGACACTTTGGCTTGAAGAGACTGAGAACTAATGATTTATCTACTTTAAGAATTTCCATGGTTTTATATTTGGCTGTCAGAAAAGAGGTACCCAGGTTACTAAGATTATAATTATAATTATAGTTAGAATATGTTGATGGTACATCAAGGGTATCTGATGTGGTTGAATTTGAAATTGGATTTAACTTTCGGTTTAATGATTCAGTATATGATGTAGTATGGACATTGCTCAAATTAGGTGAGATAAACTCATAATTATCATTTTTATTACTTGATAAATGTGACTTATTTTGAAAGATTAATGATGTTTTAAAATTATTTTTAAAACAGTTTGTATCAACAACGGAGAAATCTGCTAATGCCTTATCTGTCTGCAAGTTTTTAAAGAATGAATTGGATCTAAGCTTAGAGGAGGGCTCTAGGCACTGTGGTCTACTTCTAGAACTATTTCTTAAAATAGTGTTACCTCTTACTAAAGTATGGCTTGTTTCTCTTCCTCTTCTCCCTCTTCTATTTCTTATATCATTTGGTACTATAGGAGACCTTGAAAAATGATAAAGGAAATCAGATGATACATATGGATGATCTAAAGTGTTATTGTGATCTGCATTATAATTTTTAGTGTCGTTTCTAGTATCAATTAGATGAGTGGATCCTTGTTTCCAAACAACTGTAGATTTCAAATATCCAGTACCACCATCATTTCTAATATCATCCCATAAAGTTTGTGAGACAGTTTCAAAACCATAGACGGACTCATACGCAATCCATAAGGCAAAAGAATTAAACCCATTTTCCATAGCGATTTTCTCCCATGGTATAATTTCCATTTGATACTTTTTCTGTCCTCTCTTCTTCAAGTTTAAATATGTGATTAAATAATTTAGATATGTCATTGGTAAGATAACTTTCCTTATCATTATTGGATCAAATTGTGAGCCAATTAAAAAACTTAGTCTATCAAAGGGATTTATATGGAAATGTGAAATACCTTGGTTTAAACTGATACAAATTGAAGGTCTATAAACGTACTGGTCTTTGTAAACTTTCATATAGTGTAATAAAGTATGTTTTTTTGGAGTTGGATTAAAATCAAATTGGAATGGTGTTAGATAGTAGCAAATATGTTTTAATCTGGTACGTCCAGTATATTGGGTTTCTTTAAAAAAATCTGTAATTTGTCTTGCTTGTATGTCTTCACTGTCTTCTATATATGTCTTAAGTCTAGCAGTCTCATTTGCTCCATATGATATAATAGATCTATTGATATGTTTAGGAATATTATAGGTTCTGCTGTTGTTACTTCTGTTGCTATTATTATTATTATTATTGCGAATAATATGATTTTTTATTGATATAGTGTAATCTGTACTAGTGGTACTGTATTCTTGACTTATTATATTATTTAAATCGAATAAATTGTTTGATTGAATATAATTTGTAGGTAAATTTAGGATAAAAATGTAAATATTACCGTTGCTTTGACAACAATATAGAAGACCTTCTTTAAATTCCAATCCTATTGTAACACCAGTATGTTTTGAATCAGGAGTGAACCCGTCCGGAATACATGCTAATACATAGTCAGGACTTAATGGTAGGTTACAATTAACTTTATATTGATAGTCTTGGACGATTTCAATAAGTCCATTTGATTTAGAGATGAGCATATAGTCTGAATAGTCCATGATACTTAGATTCTGTGAGTCAGGTATAATACCGCCAGCATACGGTTTTAGATAACAAAATGCTTTTGTAGTCACACCAATATCTGTTACATTATTGTTATTATTTTTAGTATTTATATTGCTATTATTATTATTATAACAGTGAGTTTTATTATTTTGAATATTTTTATTCTTATTATTGTGGTTTTTATATGTTTTATTATAGTTGATTGGTAAAGAAGAAAGTTTTTTATCTTTTAACTGGATAACTCTATAACCTGAAGGTTGACTGTTTGAGTTACATGGTGTAGATACTACGAATTTGATTATAGGATTGGACATAAATTTATGTTAAACAAAAAAAGAAGGACAATAAATAAATAATATAAATATATATGTGTACGCTAGTAATATAAGAGATGATAACTTATATTGTTCTTGTTTTCTTTACCTATCTATGTTATCTGAATCATAGACAGTAAAAACAAATAAATTTAGATACAATTATATTTTCGGACTCTTTATCTGAAATATATATATATATGTATGTGTGTGTGTGTGTGTGGATGTACTTAATGAGTGAGAGGGAGTAACTTATATGTTTATTGAATATTGTATTGTAACGTATATATATATGGTGTGTGGTGTAGGGTAAGGATGTGAAACAAAGAAAAAGAGGAATTTTCCTGACATGTCCGAACATTCTCCACCAAGGTAGTCCTCCTCAAAGAAAAGCAAGTAAAAAGCAAGAAAAGAAGGACATACTAAAAACAAAAACAAAAAAAAACAAAAACAAAAAACAAAAAAAAATTAAAGGCATTTTGTTCAAAGCTCAACCCTAACTTGTTGCTAAGAAGAACCCTAATATTATTTAGTGACAGGGTAAAGATCATATATATGATATATACGTACATATATTATTATTGTATATTGTTATAATGGTGTTATGCATTAATATGTCTACCATGATTTATTTGTTTGGTTGCCGTTTTCTAATGAGTTCTCTTCCCCCCCCCTTTTTTTTTGTCTGTCTGTCATGCCTTTTTCCTTTCTTTTGTGCAAATGAAACAAATAAACAATAAAACAAAATAAAAATAAAGAAAAAAGTACGGAAGTGATGTAATAAAACTAAACTAAATTAAACTTTATTCAATATTAAACAATGAACAATCATATAGACAAATAAAAATCAAACAAAAAAAAGTACGTACGCACACAATTATATATTATATATATATATATATATAATATATACAATACCATTGTTTTTTGTTGGTTATAAAAATAAAGGAACAATTAGATGGCAAACAACAAACATAGTGATGGTAACAAGGCCATTGAAGCGGTAGAGTTAAGTAATGAATCAGAAATACTTGTAGATAGAAAGTCCAAATTTCAAGCAAGATGTTGTTCACTAACAGACCAAAATTCAATCGCCTCGCTTTTACATTCTTTATTAGATAATAACAAATTGGTTGCAAAAGCTTCACATAAATATATGTATGCATGGAGAATTGGTGTATTAAAACAGAATAATACAACTATAGGTAATAGAAATAATAATAATAATAATAATAATAATAAATTAAGTAAAAAAAAGAATAAGGCAAAATCTAATAATAATGATGCTAATGATGGCAGTAATAAGAACAATAGTACTAAACTTGATTCAACAAATTACACAAATATCCAACAAGGTTGTTTTGATGGTGGAGAGGCAGGTGCAGGTCAACGACTCTTAACATTGTTAGAAAGATCTAATGCAATTAATGTTCTGGTTATTGTTACAAGGTGGTATGGTGGTACCCCATTAGGACCCGCTAGGTTTAGACATATTTGTTCAACTGCAGCAGAAAGTTTAAAAAAAAGGTAAATTTATATAGAATATTACAAGAATCAGATTAAAATAATACATATAAATATATATAGGTAGATACGGATATTAATATAGATTGGGAGAGAGATTGTGGGAAGAAGAGTTGAAATTTAAAGAATGTTTTAAACATATTTGTATGGATTTAGGACACCATTTGGATCAAAATGGTTCTTGATGTCTTTCATTACTTTGATTTCAACTGGACTCTTACTATAATGTAGATGGTTTTTCTTCTGGAGTCCTACACCATGTTCTGCACTAATTGACCCTTGTAATTCAGATACTGCTTCGTATATAAATGGTTCTAAACACTTCTCAATAATCTTATTATATTCTTTCGCAGCAACATTCAAATGCAAGTTTCCATCACCAATATGGCCATAACCAACGGCACCGATAACTGGTCCCGATGGATTCTTGACCGGATCATATAACAAATCCTCCTTCAATAATTTTGCATTTGTAGATTCAACAAGCGAATAGATTTTAGATAATGGTAAAGAAACATCATATTTATACACTGCGCCCTCTGATTGGCATGATTCAGGGATCATTTCTCTCCATTTCCATATTTTTTCAATCTCAGTGACATCTTGTGCCATTGTGCCATCAATAACTGTTTCATCCCCCATGACATCTTCTAAGAATTTTTCCATTTTTGCATCATCATGTTCTTTATTTGACCCAGAGGTCTCGATCAAAATGTAAAATGGATGTTCATTTTCTAATGGGAAGGTCATTGAACCATCAGTTTCAGCAAGATGTTTTTTAGTCAGTTGCATAGATTTCATATCCATAAATTCAAAAGCGGACAAAATCTCACTCAAATCTCTTTTGGCCCTTTTGAATACGGTCTCAATATCCTTAAAATCTTTGACTGCAAGGAAACTAACATTGGTTGACTTAGGATTAGTTGGAGTTAAGATAGAAACACCGGTAATGATCCCTATGGTACCTTCAGAACCAATAAACAATTGTTTTAAGTCATACCCAGTATTATCCTTTCTAAGACTATGCATGGAGTTCAAAATAGTACCGTCTGGTAAAACAACTTCTAAACCAAGGACGTTGCCGTGTAATGACCCATAACGGAGCAATCTTTGACCACCTGCATTGGTGGCTACACAACCACCGATCTGACAAGAACCTTTGGCACCAAGATCCAATGGGAAAAGGTAACCCTTGTCTTTCAAATAATTGTCGACATCTTCTAAGATTGCACCTGCGTCACATTTCAGGATCCCAGTCAATTCATCGAACGATCTAATTTTATTTAAGTTAGATAAGGAAAGAATCAATTCATCAAAGACAGGCACAGAACCACCAACAAGGTCAGTGTTGCCTCCCTGTGGTACCACAGCGATTCTTTCCTTACTACAATAATTCATAATCAACGAAACTTTATCTACACTTTTTGGTTTAAGCACTATATTGGATTGGCCTTTATACTTGTGAGTCCAATCAGTGTTATAGAGGTTAAGCTCATCTTTGTCCTTGGCAATAATCAATTCTTGTGGAGTTAAAATAGATTGAAAATAGGCTAAATCATCAGAAGTTATCTTTTTGAAATTGTCATTTCTCTTAAGATTGGGATAATTATCACTTGTTAATTTAATGGTTGAATAACCATATCTTTGAAAAGTGGTTTCTGTTAGAAGATGTGATCTTCTAGAAGCGCATAATTTGATATAATTCACAAAGGAAAGCATTATCTTTTTTCTATCCCTTATAGTGTTTGTGAGTTTGGTTTGACTTTATGTCCTAGAAACAGGAATTATCCCTAAAAAAAACAGATGAATAATGATAATATCCAATTTCAACCAGGTTAAGTTAATGCTGTATTTTTTTTTTTTGAATAGGTGAAAACAAAGATGAATGTAGATATCCCGAAATCTGGAAGGAACTTGAAGAAAGAGTCATTACGCTCCTTTTGGTGTAACGGACTAAATAAAAAATATAGACCAAGCCAGGCACAATAAAGATCTGTTTTTTCTATTTTTTTTCTTTACACTTTTGTTATGGAAAAAAAAGAATGAAGTCAGCTGGAGTCAAAAAAAAAAATGAAGTGAAAAAGAGATAAGGATGATAAGAGATACTAGGATAAGAGTATATGCATGCGTTCTATGTGTGTCTACGTTTGTGTGTATGTGGTAAGATGGTAATTAATACAATAATAGTAAATATTATTTAAGTTTATGGTAAAAAAGCATTATTCTTTAGCAACGTAAGATTATTTATTTGTACGAAAAAAATTAAAGTTAAAGTAATTATTTGATGGCTCTGTTTATATTTTGATATCTATGTTTTTTATTAATGACTTTTATTTCTTTCTTTTAGTAGAAATTTATTTGAACATAGAGGGGTGGGGGAATAAAATCAATCATTAGCATCAAATAAATTTTTGTGTTACAAGTCTTGTCATTATAAAACAGGGTAGACCTTTAAATCTTTAAAATGTTTTCAATAATAAAAATATTATTTTGATAATTAATGCAAAAGAATGTGTCTTGTGTGTTTTTCTTCTATGACCCTTCAATTTCTTTTTTTTTTGTTCATTTTATTGTTTTACCATGAAAACCCCTTTAAATCTTGATATGGTAATGTTTAACAAATACAAACATGATCATATCTTTCCTTTTATTCGAATTCATACATACATATATATATGTGTGTATGTATATGTATATGATTGAATTCTGTAGGTGATTCTTTAGGATGGTAGAGATTATTAATAAAATATGTGTCAAAAAACAAAAAAAAAAGCTTAAAATTGTGATTTAATAATTTTATTTATTAATTTTTTTTTTATTTTTGAAGACGACGTGGAGAATAAACAAATCAACATTTATTACTAGATTCTTTTTTTTTTTCCTTTTCTAAATGTCTGAATCACATTCTGTAGTTCACGGTGATAAAAATTGCCTTTTTTGCAAAATCATAAATAGTATGTTTTATTATGGGTTGTTTTAGATCTTTTTATTTTATATTTTTTTACTAACAAAATAGTTTTAAACTTTTCAAATATTTTGAATATTGAAAAAGGGATGCATATTTTATATATTAATTTATCTTTTTCTTTTCTTTTTATTTTTTTTAACAGAAGAAGTCGAAACATACGAATTGATAGAAACTAAATATTCCATTGCTTTTCTTGATACTCATCCCAAGAATAGACTGCATGTGTTGATAGTCCCCAAATACCATGGTAAATTCTTACAAAATATTCCGGACCAATATTTAACGGATATTTTGCCTATAGCAAAGCGTTTTGCTACAATACTAACAAAGATGAATAAAGATAAGCAAGGTACCAAGAACATTCAAAATGAGGAAGAGTTTCCATTTAAATTTTTACAAAATAACGGCGTACAAGCTGGTCAAGAGATAGGCCATGTACACTTCCATTTCATTCCTGTTGGCCCTGTTAAATTGGGTCCCCATGCAGGGTCAACAGACAAACAAGTTTTTGTTGAAGAATTGAAGGAGTTTCAACTGTATCTAAAGGAGGAATTAAGCAAATGAAGTCTTATATAATTAATAATAATAATAATAATAATAATAATAAACAAGGGTTTTAATCATAAAAGACAAAAAGAGAAAACCAACGGTAAAATAAAAACATATATTATTGTGTAAAAATATTTAATTCATTTACTTAACTCTTATAGTTCTACAACTGTTTTGTTTGTTTATTTGTTTGTTTGCTTAAGTTCTGTTAGCAGTATAAGAAATAAAAACCCAGTGGAATTAAAGAAAAGAAAATTTCTGTTCGTCCAGTTGGGAGCCTCTACCCCACATACGGCGCTAACATGTTCGTTCTCGTATTGCTCTTCCTTTTCCACCTCCCCTTTTTCTTTTGCTTTTCTTTTCTTTTTTTTTTTCTTTTGGAAAATCGAGAATTTGCATGTTTTTTTTTTGTTTTTTCGGGGGGAAACGGGTGGCAATAATTTTTTTTTTTTTTGTTAAAATTGAGAAATATTGAATGAATTTTGGTTTTACTGCTGTCTATGGTAAAAGTTCTATTGATTTTTCTCTTTTTGACTGACATTTCTAAGCAAGGAAGAGGGAAAAAACAAGGAATTAGATATAGAGAAGTTTTTTTGATGCAGTAAAAGTAAAGTGTATACGATATACATACCTACATAGTCTTTTGGTTACACCCATAATTAATAAATACACACATACATACATACACATTAAATTCTATTCGATTAAGTCTTTTTGTGTACCTTTGCACAGTTATACTTGGATTTAAACATATCCACAATACAATAAGTAAATAAAGTGCTTTAAGAAATTAAGATATTTCAATCGTTAAAGATATATTTCTCTAGTTGCGAAATCAAACTAAACTAAGTTATATTAAAATAAATTAATTTAGTTTTTTCTTTTTTTTTTTTAAAAAAATAAATTCAAATGGGTAAAGATCATCATCATAAACCACTTTTAGACGCCTCTGGGGCTGAACCTCATGTCGAGGATTCTACTGCTACTGCAATTTTAAGAAGAAAAAAGAAACCAAACACTCTTCTAGTGGATGATGCCACCAACGATGATAACTCTGTCATTGCCATTAACTCTAATACAATGGATAAATTAGAATTGTTTAGGGGGGATACTGTTTTAGTGAAAGGTAAAAAAAGAAAGGATACAGTGTTAATCGTTTTAATCGATGATGAATTGGAAGATGGTGTCTGCAGAGTCAACCGTGTGGTAAGAAACAACTTAAGAATCAGATTAGGCGACTTGGTAACTGTTCACCCTTGTCCTGATATCAAGTATGCTACTAGAATCTCTGTTTTGCCTATCGCAGATACTATCGAGGGTATCACAGGTAACTTATTCGATGTTTTCTTAAAACCTTACTTTGTGGAAGCTTATAGACCTGTTAGAAAAGGTGATCACTTCATTGTTAGAGGTGGGATGAGACAGGTTGAATTCAAAGTCGTAGATGTCGAACCAGAAGAATACGCAGTCGTTGCACAAGATACCGTGATCCACTGGGAAGGTGAACCAATCAACAGAGAAGATGAAGAAAATAATATCAATGAAGTCGGTTATGACGATATTGGTGGTTGTCGTAAACAAATGGCTCAAATTAGAGAAATGGTTGAATTGCCATTAAGGCATCCTCAATTGTTTAAAGCCATCGGTATTAAGCCACCAAGAGGTGTTTTAATGTATGGTCCTCCTGGTACTGGTAAAACTTTGATGGCTAGAGCTGTGGCTAATGAAACTGGTGCATTTTTCTTTTTGATTAATGGTCCAGAAGTCATGTCTAAGATGGCTGGTGAGTCAGAATCTAATTTAAGAAAAGCCTTCGAAGAAGCCGAAAAGAACGCCCCAGCTATTATTTTCATTGATGAAATTGACTCTATTGCTCCAAAAAGAGACAAGACCAATGGAGAAGTTGAGAGACGAGTTGTTTCCCAATTACTAACTCTTATGGATGGTATGAAAGCCAGATCTAATGTCGTCGTTATTGCTGCCACAAATAGACCTAATTCCATCGATCCTGCTTTAAGAAGATTTGGAAGATTCGATCGTGAAGTCGATATTGGTATTCCAGATGCTACTGGTAGATTAGAAATTTTACGTATCCACACGAAAAACATGAAATTGGCAGACGATGTAGATTTAGAAACTTTGGCTGCTGAAACTCACGGATATGTTGGTGCTGATATTGCTTCATTATGTTCTGAAGCAGCTATGCAACAGATCCGTGAAAAGATGGATATGATCGACTTGGAAGAAGACGACATTGACGCTGAAGTGTTAGATTCCTTAGGTGTTACCATGGATAATTTCAGATTCGCATTAGGTAACTCTAACCCATCTGCATTACGTGAAACTGTCGTCGAAAGTGTCAATGTCACATGGGATGATGTTGGTGGTTTAGATGAAATTAAACAAGAATTAAAGGAAACTGTTGAATACCCAGTTTTGCACCCAGATCAATACACCAAATTTGGTTTGTCACCATCAAAGGGTGTCTTATTCTATGGTCCACCAGGTACTGGTAAAACTCTATTGGCCAAAGCTGTGGCTACCGAAGTCTCTGCCAACTTTATTTCTGTTAAAGGTCCAGAATTACTAAGTATGTGGTATGGTGAATCAGAATCTAATATTCGTGATATCTTCGACAAAGCCAGAGCAGCAGCACCAACAGTGGTGTTCCTTGATGAATTGGATTCTATTGCCAAGGCTAGAGGTGGTTCTGTAGGTGATGCCGGTGGTGCTTCTGATAGAGTTGTTAATCAATTATTAACAGAGATGGATGGTATGAACGCTAAAAAGAACGTCTTTGTCATTGGTGCTACAAACAGACCAGACCAAATCGATCCTGCTATATTAAGACCAGGTAGATTAGACCAGTTGATCTATGTTCCATTACCAGATGAGCCAGCTAGATTATCCATTTTACAGGCTCAATTAAGAAAGACTCCATTGGAACCAGGTCTAGATCTATCTGCTATCGCTAAGGCCACACAAGGTTTCTCTGGTGCCGATTTATCTTACATTGTTCAAAGAGCTGCTAAATTTGCTATCAAGGATTCTATTGAAGCACAAAGAAAGAAAGAAGCTGAAAGACAAGTTAAGAATGAAGAAGATGTCGATATGACCGATGGAGAAGGTGTTAAACAAGAAGAGGAGGAGTCTATCGATGAACGAGATCCAGTTCCATTCATTACCAAAGAACATTTTGCTGAGGCTATGAAGACTGCCAAGCGTTCTGTTTCAGACGCTGAATTACGTCGTTATGAAGCATACTCTCAACAAATGAAAGCTTCTAGAGGTCAATTCAGTAATTTCAACTTTAGTGAACCAGCTTTAGGTACTGAATCTTCATCAACCAATACTAACACAACTGCATCTAGTGGTGCTACATTTGGTGCTGATGCTGAAGAAGAGGATGACTTATACAGTTAGTTGATATTATGTAGCAAGCTATCTATGATTTGTTTTATCCTTTCAGTAGTTTTCATTATTTTTCATTTTCATATTTATAATACTTCCTTAGTTTAATTCAAAAGTATTCCAGAATCCTGGCATATTTTGTAAGCAAATTATATATCAACCGATCATCTTTTTAAAATAAAAACTTATTATAATTACAATTATAATGTACTATTGATTACAAAATTGAATTGAATATCTTATCTAAATATAATCATATGTAGATTGTTGTAAATAATATGCAAAAGAAGTATATATATGCAAAATATAATATACAAAGAGTAGAGAAAAGTAGCACTATGAACAGAGAAAAGAATTAATTGACACAAAACCCCATACATTATGTGTTGGTAAAAAAAACTTATAATATATGACGTAAAATAGGGCCTTTACTTGGCGATTTGGTTATGTATATTTGTGATTGAGAATGTGATGTTAGAATATTTTGTTTATCATTACTTGAAAAAACAGAACTGGCATTAGAAGAGCAACTATCAACACTATCTTTAGATACTATTGAAGATATGGAATCCATGGAATTACTATGTGATTTTTTGTATTGTTGATGATGATAGATGTCGGTTTTCATATGAGTTTTTGGTTTACTATAGCATACTGAACTGTTCATTAGAGAAATAGTTTGAATATCTTTATACATTTGCAATCTTATAGGCACTAAAAATCGCTCCTTTAAACAGAGAATCAATTCCTTTGTAGTAAAAATTACGTTCCATTTCAAATATACTAACAATTCTCTTTCTACAGTGTTAATTTCGTCGTTTGAGAGAAGATAGTTTGAATGTTTGCTCCAGTGCTTATTCATTGGAGAATTATCGTTCAATGTCTTTGCTGCTATAATTAAACATCCAAGGAAAAGTCTATGCCTTGTAGTCTCCATACCAATAATATTATCTGGTAAAATTTTTTTTAATCTATTTAGGTATATAGTAGTAGACATTAAGATAGATGTACCAACTCTTGAATTATTTACCAAAGTAGAGATAAATTTAGTTAAAGCAGGTATTTTGCTAGAACAAATCCCCTCCCGCACTTTGACCTTTTTTATAATGGATGTTGTCAATTCTGAAAGAAAATGGATCATATCTATATTAACTCTTTGTCTATTGAATATTTGCAAAGCTTCATAGTCCGACATTTCTGATACGTTTGTATTTAGAACTGAATTTTATGAATTGGATTTTGTGACGTCTATCTTAAATTGAGGATACTCAATATTTGTAAGAAAAAAGGTTCTACCATCAAGCAAGTACACTTAAATTATAAGAAGTATTTTATATATGTAGTTTCAGAGACAGTAATCTTATAGATTATTTTTTAAATGATGTTATTAATTAACAGAGTTTATTGTCAAAACTAGTTTATATTGCCATATTTGTCGAGAAAAAGTGGGTGTTTAGTTTACTATTCATTTAATCAGTACAGCTAAACATTGAATTGTAAACAAAAAAATTGTTTTTAAATCCATACCTGTCCTTACAGCGTACTTCATAATAGTTCAATTTCTTCTTAGTCTTCTTTTCTTTGTTATGTTATTAATGTTGTCGAGTCTTCTTTAAAAGAAACTTTGCAAAGATCTTAAAAAAAAAAAATAAATGAAAATGAAAAAATAAAATACAATAGAAACCAAGCACAAGTTCAGCATTTTTATTGTTTTAAATGTCATATTTGCTTGATTAGCAAGCCAGAACAATAGAAAAAGGAATGACAATAGGAAACAGTTTGGAGAAAACAAAAGAGATCAATTGTTAAATTTATTCGAGGAGGTACTGTTGCTGCTGTTAACTGCTTGTATATAGGTGAAAGAACAGTAAATAAACAAATAAACTGATGAGTAGAGAGACATTTATACTGGTAAAATCCTGGGTTTTCTACTTATTAGTTGGCAAAATTGAAATAAAAAGAGATAGTTTTTGTTGTGAAACAAGGTGGAGCATTAAAAGCAGTTGTTTTTAATTCATCTAAAAGGATGCTTTTCAGTATTGAACATGGGAGTTTATAATTCTACAATAACTATCATAAGAGTACTTTACAAAACTTTATGTTTAGTATTGATAATATAGATATATGAAGAGCATTGTGGTTAACTCTTTAGAAAAATTGTCTCTGTTTTGATTTTGATACTGATTATACTACTATAGACTTTTCTGTTGTACACTAATAGAAATAAGTAGTGATTATAACAGTCCACTAAGAGTATAAATAACAATACACGTAAATGAATAATCAAAAAAAAGTATAAATGTAGATTATACATATAATGCTTCATAAGTCTAACATAAGCGGTATATAAAAATGTCTCAAAGTAGCGAAGGTAAAAGTAGCTGTCCAATAAACTCTTATACAGTCTTTCACAAAAGACCAAAGTTTTCCATGTCAGGATAATAAAAAAAGGCAATAGCAATTAATAGATACATGGCTAAAGACATACAGCCTTCTAGCCAATTAGATTCACCATCTAAAATTAAATAATTGGAAAGAAATATGGAAATGAATAATGTTGCAGTTTCAAAAGTGGAAAAATTTAAAGTCATTGGAACATCAATCCACCATCCAAAAAGAACCATAAAAGGAGTGACAAATAATGAAATTTGTAAGGAAGATCCGATGGCAACACCAAGAGCAAGATCCATTTTATCTTTCATAGCTACCATTACTGAAGTAACGTGTTCTGCTGCATTTCCGACGATTGGAATGACAATAAGACCGACGAATGTCTTAGATAACCCTGTGGAAACAACAAAAGTATCAATAGCTCCTACTAAGTAATCGGCACAGATAGATACTAAAACCGTAGATGTCACTAAAAAAATAAGGGAGGATTTTACACTTAAAGAATGCTTAGGTTTAGATGAATACGTACTTATAACTTCATCAGTTTCCTCATTTTGTTGTTCAAATATAACCTGGTGACTTCCTAATTGGAATATTAAAAATAAAACATAAATAATTAACAAAATAATAGATGTACTTCTTGATAACGATAAAATCTTTTCGTCAATTAATTCGTCCTCTTTACCACTAGGTAACGTAGCTTTAAATGCAGCAGGAATTAACAAAGAAGCAGAAGAAATCGCTAATAACGATGACATAGTTTGTGCAGCTGTTTGATTAAATGTTTGTTGTACTCTATTGTATCCACCAAGTACAAAACAGAAACCAAGTACTAATAACAGATTTGACAGTAAACTGCCTAACATAGATGCTTGTACAATTCTAACTTGACCTCTCTCTAAAGCAATAATTGAAACAATTAGTTCAACAGCATTACCAAATGTGGCATTCAATAATCCACCTAAAGTGTTTCCAACTTTGTCAGCTAATTCTTCTGTAGCATATGATAATATGGCAGCTAAAGGAATAATAGCTAAAAAGTTGAAGATAAATAACCATTTTTCTGATAGCTCAAAAAAACCCCAAACCATTCCTAGGGGAACAAAGACTAGCAGTACATTCACAGGTGATGAATAAAGAACATATTGCATATCAATTTTGGCAGTTTCCCAATCAAACTTATTTTGCCTAGAGATTGTATTACTGTGTACTGTAAGTAATGGGGTATTAAAGTCGATCATTTGTAACTCGAAATAAAAACTATTAAAATTGTTTGCTTCCTTTTATTTGCGTAATTATATATGTTTAATATTGTGTATGCAACCACTTAAATTACCAAAAAGTAAACACTTAAATGATACGAAACAAAAATAAGAACCTGTTTAAATGGATTAATTAGTATGATCTTGAACGCTTTATATACTTATTTAATTGCATAAGAATGAGAAATGGAAATTGCTTGTTTAGTCTGTAAAACCTTGTGGTTATAACTTTTCCTTTACCCTGTTTTTATATCACTGCTTTTCATCTTGAATTACTTTTTGGAAATTGTTTTATCCGCGAAGATATACCGTATAATATTTGAGACAACAAATACTGCAAATATAAAGAACTGAAAATAATTGAATAAAGGGACAGAAAATGCCAAAAATTCAATGATATCTTGAATATAAACTAGTATGTAAAACTTAATATATATGTTTGTCAAGAATATATAAGCAAATTTGATATTAAATTTAAATTTGATAAGGCGGTGCTCATTTGCTGTATAAAATTTGTGTGTAAATTACATTGAGGTACCTGAATATTAGTTATTTATAGCTGGAATTTTAACTGCACTCAATATTCCAATAATGAAAAGTGACATACTCCATATTATTACGTTAGTCAATATAAAATCATTGTGAATGGCTGTTTTTTCCCATTTTCTGAGTAATTTTTTATAATATTCAGTAAACTTCTTCCTGTTTCTTTTTTCTGTTGTGCCATTTAGTTCTTGTGGGAAGTTTGGATACATTATGGTGGACGCTTGCGAGTCATTTAAGTTTAGTGATTGACTAGATCTACTGTCCTGTAGATATACATGATGATTTTGATATACTCTTGGGTAGAAACTGTATTCGATATTATTCAAATCTTGGTTTATTAGTTGTAAGTTTACCCATTCCAAGACATCATTGCATAGAAACACGAAAATACTTATACAAAGATTAATAATAGACAGCGGAACTATAAGTACCAATAAAAAAACCTCAATATTTTTACTACCAAAATAATTGACAATCTTGGTGAACAATCTTTCATGGCCACGGACATATATGAAATAAATGGATAAAAGAAAGGATTGACCTGCTATATATAGGATATTCATGGATAATATTAAGCCATACTGTAACAAGGATTTGAAAATCGCCTTCCAAGAGGTTAACTCTATATACAGTTTAACATCAGAAAAAGATGGAAATTGTGATTCACTTGATGTATATTTGATCCAAATGAAACCATAACGATATTCTAAAGCCGGCCTTGGAGAATGTCTGTGACACCAACCCTCTTCGATATCAGAGGAGGAAAACCTTAGGGAATTATCGATAGGATCTACCATAATAACATTGGTGAATGATTTTAATTTATTACTTGCATCATACAAATAATTTGAGCCATACCCTTTAATGTTATTGTATGCTTGACCTGGTTGAAACAATGGTTCTACTTCATTATAGTAAATATTTGAAGAAATTGAAGATGAGTTTCTTCTCAAACCAACACATTTAGCTAAAGTGATCTCTTTTCTGTCGATTAATTGATCAGGATTTAAGCTAGTCTCTGTATTAGGATTTATGACTTCAATAGATTCATTATTTTCTAATGGTGAAGTCTCTTCATAATTAAATACATTTGCAATAAGACATACTATTAATTCTCCTAAACTCCAAGATACTCCAAAAATATATGATTGCTTAGGGATAATATGCCACTGTTCCATAGAATTATCATGTTCTGAAAACAATGAAGAATTTTTATCTACAATAATTGCAGAAGAATGTTGTATAGGTTCTTGTAATTGAGGGTAAGCCAACATGATAAGAAGACATAACATAAACCAATCATTAATTAAAAAATCAGTTATTATATTCCCAATAACAAATGTGTTATTTATATTCAAAAGAAATACTTTAATGAAATAATATAAAAATGGGGAGAATAACCCCAATAATGAGGATCGAAAATAGTCTTGAGAATTCGGTTTAAACATTAAGGGATCATCATATTCACTTAACAACAACTTTGACATCCAATAAAAGGTAGAAAATGTAGTTCCAGTAACGATCACCGCTAAACTAACAATATGCGGTTTATGAGAACAGAATAACGGCATGAAATATGATGCCATATGACCTATTCTGACCATCTTAAGAAAAATGCAGTTGATTACCCGAGTTACCTTTATCTATAATGCTATATTCTAAAAATACAATAACTTCGATAAACCTTAGAATCTTTCAGCGAATGCATTTCAGTATCCTTTTGTACATATATATATACACTCACTATGCACAGGCTTTTCTTATTATATGTTCTCTCTTTGTATTTTTTTGGTATTGCGTTTTCCTCCTTATTTGTATTATTTTCTTTTCTTTTTTTTCTATTTTTTGTTCACGATGATGATTAAATCAAAGTTGAATCATCCAACAATAAAAAGATTTAGACAACAAATGTTGCAATAAAGATTCCATACAATTTCCATGATGTATAAAAATATGGACACATTTATATATTATGGAGAAAGTATATGATTAAGTGTAGGTGTAGTTGTTGTGATGTAGTTCAAAGCGATAATATCTACCATTAATTAAGGTTTCAATTTTTTTATAAAAAAGAAAAAGAAAAGAAAAAAAAGGTATCCCTCAAACAATAAAATCAATTAAAATACAACAGGCTCCTCCCCACATATCCTATTATTATCTTAATGGTTACGATATTATATTGGATTAAAATGGTATATATATATACTTATTCATACACAGAAAAGAATAGAATATGGCGAATTTGATAAACAAAAAAATAAATGCTTACAAGATACTTCTTTGTTTAGTCAAATAAACCGAAACCCATATCTTCATCAGATTCTTCAGCTTCTTCTTCAGCGGCAGCTTCTTCGGCAGCAGCTTCAGCAGCAGCACCAGTAGCAGCACCAGCGGAAGCAGCACCGATAGTTGGACCAGCATTGTGGAAACCAGATAAGATTTCCTTTAAGTCCTTACCTTCTAAAGCCTTAGCGTAGACATCAGCCCAGACCTATAGTGAAACAATAAATACATAAAATGTATTAATCGATATGTTTTGGAAAATCATACTTTTTTTTAAAAAAAAAATCAACATAAAAAAAGAGAATAGTCATTTCCATATAATATTTGTTAGTAAGCAATATTCAAACAATGATATGAAAAATCTTTTCATGAATAAAAATTATCGAAAGATGACAAATCACATTTATGAAACATTAATTATTGATAATTTAACTGTGGATGACATTTTCTTAGTAAATCATATAAGCATATTTCTTTCTCTTTCTTTGAAATAAACTACAATCAATATGTGTACAATATCTGGATACAAGTGTCGTACAATCTATAATATCTTTTTGCATTGATTTTTATTGTGGCAGTATTTTTAAATCCCTCTTGCGTATACCAAAATAAACTAAATTATATGAACAACGCCTCAAAATAGTTGATACAACATAAAGATCAATGTAACAACAAATTATACTTTTAGGATATTAAACTTCGTCAAAACCTGTAATTTCTCGCACTTTTACACATAAGATTTATTCATTTGGTTCATCTTGGTTTTTTTTTGATTGTTTATTTAAAAAATTAACATACGTTGTCAACATTGGCACCAGCAGCCTTGGTTAAAGCTTGTAAGTTGTCAGCAGAGATTTCCAAACCAGCATCAGCTAAGATGAAGGCAGCATAAGAGATGATAGCGTCAGACATTTCTGTATGTATACTTTTGGTTGGGTTTGGAAGGTTCTCTTACCGATTGTCAAGAAACACTGCTCTAATACTACAATATTTTAATGTAGTTGCATAACACTTCCAACTTCTAATAATAAGTTGATATGGCAATACAGTCTAGTCATGATACAGCCAAACAGGAGCCCATAGTAAGGAGCCAGCATACACACAACTAGTGCTTGCAAGGGGCACACATAGAAAGTCGCTTCAAACATTAACACCTCTACAAGGTGTTTTAGTTAATGGTGGATAGAGAACAAATTTACTGTACACGAACTAAAAATGGTTAGAATAAATTATTTCTCATTTCATTGCAAATGTTGAAGTTCTCATAAATTTGTAAGTTTTAGTTGGAATATTTGTGTGTTTTTTCTTACAAACACAATATACACCTCATAATGGATTATTGGTGAGAGTTTGTTTATTTCTCCTTCCTTTTTGGGAATATATGAAAACACGTTTTTAAGTGAAAAGTGTTATGAAAAATTTACTTTTTCTCTACATGTAGGGATGGTAGCGCTATAAAAAACAGTCCTGCAAATTGTAGCGTGGTCGTACTCAAAGTCCGAATACATCACTATAGAGACCTTGAAACTTCTTTTTTTTTTGTTTGTTTTTTTAAAGGGGAAAATGTGAAGTGGAAATTAAAACAAGCTATAAACATCTCTAGCATAAGAAAAGAGTAAAACTTTGAGTGAAATTAATGAAATGCTAGTGCATAAAATATCTGTCGATATTAATAACACAATAGAACAGGATATCTAGAAATGTAACGTATATACATATGTATCAAAGACATTGTTTTTTATGAGGAGAATTTATTTTATTTGCAGAAAAAACGAATAATTATAAAGAGGAATATGTCAATTTATAAACATAGAGATACAGATGTTATTTCATGGTATTAATATAAAAAGGGAGGGAGGGAGAAAATAAATTTCCAGAGGAATATTATCAGTTTACAAACAACTTGGATCGATATTTAAAAATCAATGACTTTTGAAATTAATAAGCATAAATAAATAAAAATAAAAGCATTTATCTGGTTACAATATTCCTATATCACAATTTATTTCTTTATATTTTTAAGTTGTTCCTCTATATTTTTAAGTTCAGCTTTATGTTTTTCTAATTGTTCTTTTAATTTAAGTAATTGTTCTTTTTCATGTTGTTTGATGTAGAAATCTTCGTTAGCCTTTTCTTTTTTAGTAAATGAATCACCTCCAAAACCTCTGTGAGAACCAGTAGAACCTTCAGAAGTCCCAACAGTATAATTTCTAACAATACCCATCACTCTTGGTGTTTGTTTGACTGTTTGTGCTATGTTGGAACGGCTTATCATTTCTGTTTAATAGAAAACACTTCGTTTTATATACTTATTTTTGGCTTTTAACTTTTTGGTGATTCAAAATATATAATTTGCCTTTTAAGGGTACTTGTTTATCTATTAGCGTCTTAGTCAAGTATTTCTTAGATGCTATGTATAATAAAGTGATCTTTGAAGAAAATTAGGTAATGTAAAGTTACATTTAGGATATGTCCTTCTATAGGAAATTCATCAAAAGCAAAAGCAATTATTCTACCATGTATAACTTATGGTAAACTTAATGCCTAATTGTGTCATTCTTATTTCTTACTTAGCGGGGTTTTTCGTACACCGAGCTTGATATCGCATTTATGGTCTCTAGATATTTTTTTTTGTATTTTTTGTGAAAAATTGTCGGCAATTGTATAAAAGCAATCTGATTGGTTTAACACTTGTGCAATGATGATTCGAAATTTTGCTCTAATTGGAGAACAACAATGTACCAATTGAGTGCACCTGTAAGCTACGTAAAAATGATGTCAAAGGTAGAAGTTAGATTCTAGCTCCAAATACTTGGAATTATATGAGAATAGGGGGATAAGATTATGATATATATACTATACAACTCGTCGACCATAAAAAGGTGAAATAATACGTGACAGTTCGGTTTTTCTTTGTTTTATTTGTATCTATATATAATGATGCTATTTTGGCTAACAATGAGGCAATGTGGGAAATGGTTTCTACACTTTAGCCTTCTTGGTAGCGGGTTTGCTTGCAATATCAAGAGGTTCTTCATCAGCTCTAGTCTTTTTAGGTTTCAACGTAGGTGTGTTTATTTCAGCATGGAATTCCTTAATTATGGAGTCTACATCATCAATGTTCAGTGGTCTAATGTCACCCATCTTCTTGATCTTAGCTGTGACTTCTTTGATTTCTGCATCTGTCAAATTTAGGTTTAATTGATCCACTCTTGATTTGATAGCGTTCCAGCCAGTCAGTCTATTTGCAAAATGAATATATCTTCTCATACCAAAATCATGTGGATTTAAAATTTCATATGTAGATGGGTTAGCTAGAATAGCCTTAGCATGAATACCAGCCTTATGTGTAAAAGCACAGAACCCAGTAATTGGGTTATTAAATGGAATATTGACCTCTACGGCTTCAGCAACTAAGTTTTCTAAATCTCTAAGCTTATGTAATTTATATTTGGACTTGACATAATCTGGAGCTGCTACAATCATTCTAGCCATTAATCCACCGATTGGGACAATACCGTTTCTTTCACCAATACCCAAGACACAAGTGTCGATTAAACGGGCACCGGCTTCTAAAGCTGTGTAAGCGTTGGCAATAGCACAACCAGTGTCGTTATGGAAGTGACATTCAATATCACAATTAACAACAGACTTCAAGGTTCTAACTAATTCATAGACTTGTCTTGGGTTAGCACAACCAACAGTATCGGCAATACCGACTCTATTTACACCGATCTTACTAACAGTCTTATAAATGTTTAATAAATCGACAAGATCACTTCTGAAGGAATCTTCAGAAGAGAATCTAATTTCAATACCTTTGGACTTGACAAATTCGATGACTTCAATAGCACTCTTGGCAATGTAGTTCATATCTTTACCATGAGAATATTGTCTTAAAAATTTAGAAGTACCGATGACAACATCGACACCATCGACACCTGTCTCGACAGCAACTCTTGCATCGTCCATGTGACAACGGATGTGAGTCAAAATTTTGGCCTTTAAACCTAATTTACAAATAGCTTCACAATCCTTTCTAGATTGTTCAGATGCAACAGGCGAAGTTAATTCGATATAGTCAACCCCAAAATCATCTAAAGCCTTGGCAATTTCAATCTTTTTTTCGGTAGTGAAGAAGGCATTAGCAAATTGTTCACCTTCTCTTAAGGTGGAATCAATTAATTGGAAATTGTCAACATTGGATAAATAGTCAGCTGGGTTAGGACCATATGGATTTGCCTGAAAAGTCTTAGAAGCAGTAGATTCAGTGACTTGTTGGAAGTCTTTTTGTTCGGAAGACATTTTTGTACAAAGTATGTATATGTATCTGTGAGTGACCAGCACAATGGTTGTTATTTTGTTTACTACTAAAAAAAATATTGAAGATATGAAGATAAAGATTACTTCCTAATGGCCAATAAGTTTGCTATATATATATATATATATATATGTGTGTGTGTGTGTGTGTGTGTGTGTGTGTGTGTGTAATGCTTTTATTCACTTTTGCAGGCACAAGTAGATTATTTCTTGAAAGAAAAATTGGCTATTATTAAGACATTCAAGTTCAATCTACAGAGTATTAGGGTGTTCAATGACATTATGTGGAATATGCAAAATACGAACAATGAACAAATGACATTGACTAATATTTTTTCAAGTTCTTTTTGTTGTAATACAAATTTTAGAAATAGATCATCACCGACCTTTTTCCTATGCTCTTTCTATCAACAATGTACCATTGACCAACACCGTCATGGAATAAGTAATAAAACAATATGAACCTTATTAGACTGACTTTCAATTGTAAAAGGACCTTAACTGAGATTCATATGAGTAAATATATAAAGCATTGAACAAGTAAGAGAAAAAAAAATTGCATGGGAATTATCCAGTGTTGATTAACTTTAATAAAAGGACATTAATGCAAACACATGGGAAATCTCAAATTCCATCGGAAATTATTCATTTTCTTCTCATTTTCTTATTTTTCGGTTTTTTATTTCTTTAATGGAGTTTTCTTTTCTTTTTTTTTTCCTCTTTTTGTTGAAGATAAAATCTACAGCTTATTCTTATGACCTATTTAATAATACATTGTTATGCTTATTCATTATACTTCGAATTCGCTGAACACTCAAAGTTTCGTTCATCTTGGAAAAGAAAAATGTTTTAATACAAGGAAACGGCGATATTGATCAGAAATATGTCTCTTTCAGTCTAAGGTATAAATTGCTCAACTGGAAGTGCGGGTGCATGTATTACGAACATATTTGGCAATGATTAATGTAGTATATTATAGTATAGCACACGTTTAATGTTGAAGAATTCTAAGAAAAGATCGTAGCTTTTAATAATTTTTGGTGTGTAATTTTCAATTCTATAACAATATATATGACATACAAAAAGATATAACACTTTGCTGTAAAGACAATGAATTGCAGCGTAAGTTCTAACTGTAGTGTTCAAAATACTGATTATAGGACGAATTTGAAATATAATAGTTTTTAAATATAGGATCATAAAAAAAATTGCTATGTCTCTTTATAATTCTTTTTTTAGGTAAAGATATTCTATAATGACACAAGGTTTGGTATGGAATACACATCTGCAATTTACTAAAAGAATCTGTTGTTACCCAATTCTGATACCTTGATTTCATGGTTTTATCTATCAAAGCAGATTAGTTAGATTTCATGGTTTTATCTATCAAAGCAGATTAGTTAGGAATGATTCGAGTTTATGTTCATGGTTTAAGAAAGGAAAATAATTGCGATAAAATTTACTAGCGTTTTGGTCATATGTTACTTCTTGTGTTCTAAAAAATTAAAGTAAAGATATATTCTTAGGGAAATATTTATATATGTGTATCTTACTTAATGCTATTTAAAATGTTAGTTAACAAAGTTCTCTGACACTTAAATTTCTTTATATTGGAAGTCATTTAATTTTGTAAATATGAGATAAAAGTATCTTGTTGCAGTTGAACTGAATGAATAACGAAAATTATACTCCTCTTTTTAACTATTACTGGTACTATTATTGTAATATCACCTTTTTATCTATATGCTTTGATAGTGTATGTCGTGACACCCTTTCTAAATTCCAATCCACAAGAGGAAAAAAATTAAAGGCTTTTCAAATGCTCTGTTTTTCATAGCGTGTGGTAAGATTTTAAGGGATAAATCAAGAACATATTAACACCATTCAAGCAAGTTCGACTGTGTGTATACATATATATATATATATATAATAATTTAGTTCTGGCCAAATGCAACCTTGAAACAAATTTCAGGTAATGTTCAATGTTCATAAAAACCTACAGAACTCAATAATATCAATAATCCGACCATTGGCCACTACCGCTAACAAGCTCAATTCCTTGCAACCATACAAAAATGAACCTGTTAAATTAATAGCAATACCTATAACTAAAAATAAAACATACATCTATTTTAAACATCTAGATCACTTCATAAATAGGAGATCAAAACTGATTCAATTAGAACAAAATGTTGTAGCAAAATGTAGTACGTTATGGGAAAAGATGAAGAAATCGCCCAAAAGAATTAATACTAAGATTGTAACATTTATAAACCAATACATGAATCAAATCCCATGGCAAGAAGAGAGTTTAAGAAGTATCCCTGGTGAACATTATATCATGAAAAGGATAAAAGTAGGAAAATCGGGTGAATTAAAGGCAAGACCAATAATAAAAATGGTAACTACGAGACAGTATAAGAAGGCAAACCCACTACCAGAAGCGATTCCAATAGCGGTGTATTATCCCACAAAGATTATTGAGAAGTCTAGGTTAATTTTGCAATTGAATGAATTATCCAAATGGGGTCTTAGATATCATTTAAAGGAAATTTATAAATGTTTGATATTATTACCGTTGACCATACCATTAGCATTGATTCCAATTGTCCCTAACATTCCTGGCTTTTATTTACTATATAGAATATATTGTAATATAAAAGCTTACTTGGGAGCAAAACATTTGCAACAGATTTTGAAAGATGATTTGTTAGACTTTCGAGAGTTGCAAGACTATAATATGATATTCTCTGTTTCTCCTACTTTAACAGAAACTAAGATAAATCAAATTACAAGACTGCTTGAGGTAGATGAAATTAATTCACATTTAAAAAAATCATTACTACAGGAGGAAAAAACTTTCGATGGAGATTAGCTGAGCAGAAATAGATCGACTTGGCCGTTGTTGTTTTTGTTTTTATTTGGTGTTATATTTTTCTAACCATATATATATATATATATATATATATACATATGTAAATACCAGAGGTTACTTTACTTTATAAGATCCAACAAGAAACCCTAAGATATTTTCTAGAAAGTTTTAGGATAACTATTTAAATTTTTCATGACTGTACATCCGGACATCATTTCAATCCTATATAAAATGCTAAAAGGTACACCTAATTTTTTCCATTTTCAGTAATTCTGTTAGATATTGTCACTTTGCGCGTTGAAAATCAAAAAATAAAAAAAAAAAAACACAAATTTTGAAATTTTCTTTTGGGTTTTGAAAAAACATTATTCCCTAAAGTAGTTCTGCTAGAATTCACCAGAATAATATTATTTAAGCGATGAAGATGTTTCGTATTTAAGTTGGCATTTTCAAGAAACTTGTACCCTTAATTTTTTGCCCTCCGCAGTTCTCTTCCTATCATAAAGAAAGAACCCAAGTAATCCCATTGTCAAAATGAGAGCTAAGTGGAGAAAGAAGAGAGTTAGAAGACTTAAGAGAAAGAGACGGAAGGTTAGAGCTAGATCCAAATAAGCGAACTGATGCTGTATAATAAGGTTAATATTTTTTTCCCCATTTATTTGCATCATTTAGGATAGATCTAGTATTACTTTCCTTCTTTTTTATGTCTCTATGCATCAATGATTTATACAACAAAATGTGTCAACCTTTTAAGGGTTTCATATATACATTAGTTTTAAGTTATATAATGTATAGATATATAAAATAAATGAATGTGTTCGCTTTTTATTAATTTTGTTTTTCTTTTTTTATGTTTTCTGTTGTGCTATTCTTTTGTTATATACTTTACTTACTTGATAAAAATACTTGAATCTCTTGGTTACTTTATAGTTGATAGTTGCGTGTTAGGGGTACTAGAGACAGAGGATCGGGACTGTTTTAGCAACGGGAGTTTGTGTTTTGAAAAACCTATAAGTGTCAGAAGTTTCTTTTTAAGGGGAAGATGATGCAAATACTTTAGGTTGAAAATTCTACTATTCTTGTTGACAGCCACTCCAGACCAAACAGGAGTGAAATATGCCATTGTGTTCTTGACAATGTATGTCACCTGGTTGTTGATCAAAGAATTGTCTTCTAGTGTTATTTGGCCCATTCTGAGAATCATAAATTGTACCAATATAATTTAAGGGTACTGGTTGTTGATAATATAGATGATATAATGAATTTGATTTGGATATTGAAAATGTATTCAAATTGATGGTCTCAAACCCTTGTCTTTTGTATTTATTTCCTATTGTAGTAATATTATCATTGCTTTTTAAATTGTTTACTTGATTTTGTTCGATGTCAGTATCATATCTGGAAGAACTTAATGTGCCGAAGGGTGTGGTATTTGCTAGTGGTTCTATAGGTGTAAGTAGAAATGAAGATCCGTTGTCACCAGTAATAGTATTATTATTATTATTATTATTATTATTATTATTATTATTATTATTATTATTATTATTATTATTATTATTATTATTATTATTATTATTAGGTTCTTCTTTTGGTAGATCTTCAAAAAAAAAACCGTAGTTTTCGTTGTACCATTGTTGTATGATAAAATTTTTACTTATGTCTTCTACATCAATTTCTGATTCTTTCTCTAAATTTTGATATGGATGATGACCTTCGAGTGCTAAAACTACATCATTATGGACAGATACAGATGGATTCCATTTCATTAGTTGAGTTTCTGCTTTACTTACAGTCTTATTTTGTATTGGAATGCTTCTTTGATTTTGATTTTTCCTAACTAATTCTCTAAGTGTAAGTAGTTCTGTACCAGGAATAAATTTATTTTTATTTGAATCTTGCGAATTATTCATTTGATTGTTTTACTCTTTTAACTATTTTTATTTTTTTGTTTTTTCTTTCTTTAATTTTATTATAAAAACACTTCTGTAGAAGCTCGAGATATTGTGTTTATCTTTATTTGAAATTATGTTTTTCTTATTGGCATGTATTTTTAATATAAAATGTTTAGAGTAACAAAAAAATTATGTTACTGTATTTAATTATTTTATTTTGTTTAATATGGGTTTTTTTCTTTTACTTTTTGTAATTTTTAAAAATAAAAAGCAAAATGTTTTTTTTATATTTAGTATTACAATACTTTATTTCTTATGGTTCTAATATAAATTAATATATTTATTGCTAAAATTTTTCATTACAAATGTTATCCTTCAAGTTATGAGCACAATTCTTCTATTTTTTTTTTGTTTAGTTATGGACAGTAGCTATCAATTGAATTTGCAGGTATCATTCTCCTTTAAAAAAGATAACAATGTACAAAATAATAAATTTCCTTTCCCCCAAACATAATTTTAAGAACCATAAACAAATAACACAAAAACTGTGTAAACCAAATTATCTTTAAATTCATTTTTTATCAAAATACATCTTCATAGCTTTATGGTTGATCACATGGCTCTTATAATAATATCCTTGCAAGGAAATAACATAAGTAAAAAACATCTAACTTGTTAAAATTTTAATTACTTTACGAATACTTAACCTATTATTTTTTAAATGGAAAAAACTTATTATTCTTTTGATGAGTATATGTTATTCATATATCACTATATAAGTGATTCACTCATTCACAATCTAGATATTTTCAAGTGAGAAAATAGATAGCATGGTTTACTGTCACTTATAGCAATTATTTTATATCACATTAAAAATAGAAAAAAAGAAATCCTCATAAAAAGAGAAAAAATATTGGATCAAGTTGCTATACCAAAGATTGATTCATTTTTTTTTGTTAACTATTAAGACATTATATAACCCATTATATTTCTAAATGAATCAGTTTTATACAACAATGCCCTACTAGTGCCTATAATAGTCTGTAATAATCTTTTATTTTTTTAAATGGTCCTTTCATAGTATATATATATATTCTCAACTATTTATTTACTGTCACTATCTTTCTGTTTGTTGTTAATGTGACACTTCCCTTACCCTTTTTTCCTTTTTTTTTTTTCTTTTCTTTTTTTAAATTACATACTGTTTTTTTTTACTTTCCATACTCAATAAAATTCAAAAACAAACCCACTTATTAAGAAAATCAGCCATTTTTGTAAGACTAAACACCACCACTGACTTACTAACAACATGCTTTTTTGTTATGTTCATAAAAGAATAAGCAAAACAAAAACACAATCGAAAAAATAAATAGTGGATTTAGTATATTTTTTATTCCATATATTTGAAAACTTGTACCAAATAATATCAATCTATATCCAATTGAAACGAAAAAACTTTTGAGAAAGATTTACTAAAATATGACCGACAAACAAATTAGAGAAATATTTCAAATTACTAATGATCCTAATGATATCCCTACAGGGTTTTCAGTTATATCGTTAAATGAGGATCCAAAAACGTTATTCACAATAGATGATATTGATTCAATTATTTTGACACAACTAACGGAAAATGATAAAGTGGAAAAACCATTAAGTTACTTAAACGATTGTATGAAAAGATGCCAACAACAAAAAAAGTTTAATAAGGATAATAAAGAACTGACTGAATTATTTCAGGAAATAGATAGATTAGTTATTGGATACGGGTTAGTTTCATTCCAAATCCAAGATTTTGCAATAAAAGGTAGTTTCAAACAATACATCATCGATATTATCAATCAATTTGACAATTTTTCTGATTTTCTTTTGCAAATTGTTCATAGAGCCATTATAGAAGATTCAATTCTTGAGTTATTAAATTCTGTATTCCCAACTACTATCGATTACATAATGAATGATCTACCCTCATTTGATCTTACATCACCAAAAATTTATAATCATGTTTTATCACTTTATGAACTTTTTGTTAATTTTAAGCCAGTTGCTGCTATTTTTACAAAAGTTGATGGATTTTTCCCTAATTTTGATTGTCCTGCAAATAGAATTGAGAAAATCACGACATTAGGCCCTATCTTAACTTTGTCACCATTAATGTTTAATGTAGCCTCAAATAATTATGGAAGTTCATTAGATTTATCAAAACAACATATTTCCATGATTGGTGAATCATCTCAAGTAGAACACAAAGCAGTATTAGATAGATTATTCTATATCATGGACAAGATCATACGAGGGTCTGTTGAATCTAGAACTGATGTCATTAGTTATTGGTCTATGATTGTCAACAAAAATCATTTAAGAAGAGGAGAACATGCTGAACAAAATAAGTTAGCCACAAATTCCTTCATGACTAACATTTCTTTACTTCTAATCCGATTTTCACAACCATTTCTGGATATTACATATAAAAAAATAGATAAAATTGATGTCAATTATTTTAACAATGTCAGTGTCTTCATTGATCTTACGAATGAAACAAGACTTAATTCTGATTTTAAAGAAGCTGATGAATTTTACGATCAAAATAAATCAGACCAAGATTCTAAACCAAATTTTATCTCCGATTGTTTCTTTTTAAGTTTAACCTATCTTCATTATGGTATTGGTGGGACGTTATTATACGATGAAAAAATAACTCCACAGATCAAAAGACTTGAAGAAGAAATTGCTAGATTGAAAGATGTTATGAAGGATCCATCTCCAAGAAGTATATTTTTCAACAATGCCTTTGTTCAAGCCCAGGTCAAAAGATTAGAAAAATCGTTAAAATATACTAACTGTTTAAAACATGCTATGAAAGCGTTTTTCACACACAGAAATTTACAATTAGAAATCTTTGACTTTGTATGTGGAGCTTCAACATTCCTAATGAGAGTGATCGATCCAAAGCATCAATATCCCTTTGCCACACTAGACCTTCCTTTAATCCCAGATCAAGTGGGTATTGAAAACGTCGACAATGCAGATTATCTAAGAAAAAATGCACCAATTCCATTCAAATACTACCCAGAATTTTGTGTAGAAGGGCCTATTAATTATACTTTGTATATTTCAAAATATGCTGCTTCACCATTGTTCAGAAATCAAAGGTTAAATTCTTTTATTGAATTTTGTACTACAGTCCTTCGTTGTCCCGAATTAGTATCTAATCCCCATTTAAAAGGTAAAATCGTCCAATTATTAAGTATTGGATGTATGCCATTGACTGATAACTCTCCAGGGTTTATGTTGCCTATCTTTGAAGACAACGAATTGGTGTCCAAACATCTGTTATATGCATTGCTAGATTTTTATGTTATTGTTGAAAAGACTGGTTCTTCATCACAATTTTACGACAAATTTAATAGTAGATACAGTATTTCTATTATTTTAGAAGAACTTTATGGAAGAATTCCTAAATATAAAAAACAATTAATTTGGCAGTCAAAGAATAATAAAGAATTTTTTATAAGGTTTGTTGCGCGTATGTTAAATGATTTAACATTTTTACTGGATGAAGGATTGTCGAGTCTGGCTGAACTTCATAAAATCAATCGTAAATTAAAAGAGAATTCCGGTAATAACGGCGAAGAAACACCTAATGATGGCAGCGAATCCAACAATATCCAAGATTTACAATCTAGATTGGTATCTGCCCAAAGACAAGCCAAATCTTCTTGTGGTCTTGCTAGTAAATCTATGCAATTATTTGTTATTTTTACTAAAGATATCCCTGGTGCATTTGTAGTCCCTGAATTAGTTGACAGGTTGGCCTGTATGCTTGATTATAATTTAGAGTCACTAGTTGGACCAAAATGTGGTGAGTTAAAAGTCGAAAATCCAGAACAGTATTCGTTCAATCCAAAAGACTTACTAAAAGCTGTTGCAACCACATATATTAATTTGTCTAGTCAAGAAGAATTTATTCATGCTGTATCAAGAGATGGAAGATCGTTTGACAGAAAATATTTCCTTAGAGCAACTGATATCTTAGGTAACAGAACTGGAATGGTTTCAGAAGATTTTTGTAATAAATTACTTAACTTTGCAAAATTAGCTGAAGAGAAGAAAGAGCTTGATATTGAAGAAGACTTAGATTATGATGATGCTCCTGACGAGTTCATTGATCCACTAATGTATACTTTAATGAAGGACCCTGTCACTTTGCCAACCTCCAAAGTAAATATTGATAGAAGTACCATTAGAGCCCATTTATTAAGTGATTCTACCGATCCATTTAATAGAATGCCATTGAGATTCGAAGAAGTAATTCCAAATGAGGAATTAAAACAGAAGATTATTGCTTTTAAGCAAAAGAGGAGGCAAGAGAGAGAAGCTAAAATAACGGAACAGAACAATATTGAATAATGAATTTGATTATTCTTAAAAAGAAAAAAAAAAAATGAAACAAAAACTATTTTTTGTAAAAGCATCCTTATCTACATCTGTATCTACATACATCTATATATTTTTATTAAAGTACAAGCTACGTCATTTCACAAAACTAGCATGTGTATTATTGTATGATCTTCTAGTAGTGAGATAGAACAAGAGCGAACAAAACAAGCAAAGTAGATTAATCAAGTATTCAATTTAAACTATACAAAAGTATGCTATAAAGATTTATACAATAAGACTAAAAAATTGTAAAAAAACACTAATTTTATTGCTATTAATCTTAAGCCTTGATAGCGTACTTTCTTTGTGGGAAAGCAATTTGCTTCTTTCTTTGCTTTTCAGTAATTCTAGAAGCTTCAAACTTGGTTAAAGCTCTTCTTAAAGCTCTGGTCTTCTTAGCTCTTAAATCCTTTGGTTGGTACTTCTTGCCCTTGTATAATTGTCTAACGGCTTCTCTTTGTTGTTCGTTAATAACAGTTAAGACACGAGCAATGTTCTTTCTGACAGTGTTAATCTTTGGTAAAGATGGTCTTTGTAATTTTTGAACCTTTAATTCGGCTAATTCCTTCTTTAAGTCGATTAATTGGGATTCTAATTCTTCCTTAGATTTGGTTCTTAATTCATAAGTCTTAACACCAGCCTGTTTAAAAAAAAATATAAAAAATCAATGATAACGTAAAGATATTAAACATTCCAAACTCCGGTAATATAATATATTATATCAGATAGTTGAATATATTTTTCATCAAAAACGGAACGTAAAATGTTTTTGATAGTTAGTAATCACATATTCTTGATCGCTTAACTGTTTATGCGTAGAAGTCACATACGGTATAGACAATTATTTACAAGTCATATAATTATGGTAAAACAACCTCATTTGGGCCAATAATTGAATTATGTCCATAATAAAATACGATAACTCTTTTTATCCATACACGCATAACTCTCCTGTATCTCATATAAGTTCACATACCATTTCGAATTCTTGTCAATGTACGTTTTTATTTGGGATTCCAAGAAATTATAAGTTAGGTAACAAGTGTTTCTAAAATAGTCTAAAATAGTCGGGCCCACTTAAGAAATACTACTGACATTTCATTGTTAAGCAAAGTTACTTACCAAAAAAACCGTACATAATATTATTTTTTCGATTAACATAGACATTAGAGGTTCTAGTGGTTTGTCCTATTACTGAATAACAATAATAGTAAAACTATAGCAAAATAATCTAACGAAATATCAGAAATTTTCAAAAATTTTGGCCCGCTTTTCCATTGCGGGCACAACTTTTCAAAAAAATGAAAGATTTAGACCGACGCAAAAAAGCATTCAAAAAAAAAATGTAAAGATGTACGGATGTAATAAAACAGTCGTTTTTGTTAACCGCTAAAAGAATTACATTTTTCCTAGAATAATTATGACTACTGCCATTACGATGCTATATTTACTTGTCATTAATGCATAAAAGGTAATTATGTTATAAATATTGAGTGGACTATTACTACGACGTATTGTCAAAAGCAGGTCACAGAGTAAAACATTCATGCTGTATACACATGTAATTCCTTGAAATTGCTTCTTTGCATTAACTTGATTGTTTCCCATATATACATATATACATATATAAATATAAACTTTAATTTTAATCTTCTTAAATTTACAATATATACTGAATGATATTATTAGGTAATTGTCTATAGTCTGTTAATTGATGATCAATCTGTTAGCCTCTTAGATGACTTTTTAAGGAGGATAGAAAAAAAAGACGAAAATAAAGTAAAAAGAAACAAAAAATAAACGTAATAAGTCTATACTTCGATTTATTATTATTACTATTACTATTTTTTTTTTTAGGTTGACATGATAAATTATACAGATTATTAAAGTAAAGAGTAAAATCTATGTTCAGCTATACTATGTTACTTTTTTCTTTTCACTTTTTTTGAAAGGGGGAGGGATGACTAGGGATAATGATAAGAAGGAGAAAATATGACGGATATACATCGGAATGATCATTAAATTGAATGTGATAATACTAATACCACACTATTATCCCTTTCATTTTGCCTTGCAGAAAGCTTTATGTTCACTTTATGTTTTTTTTTTTTTTTTGATTTGAGAGAAAAGAGACAGAGAGAAAGATAAAATAGAACTAGAAAAATGAAGGAAAGATAAACTTATATAATTTTTTTATGATTGGTTCTTTAAATTGTTACTTAACCATTCTAAACCTTCATATAAACCTTCACCAGATGTGGCACAAGTGGCTTGAATAAACCATGGACGGTTTTTAATAGAATGTAAGCCTAACTTTTCAGTTATTTCAGCAGCAGACATAGCTTCTGGTAAATCTTGTTTGTTAGCGAAAACTAACCATACAGCGTTTCTTAATTCATCTTCAGTTAACATTCTTTGCATAACCTCTCTTGCTTCACCGATACGTGATCTATCGTTTGAGTCAACAACAAAGATAACACCCTCAGTATTTCTGTAGTAGTGTCTCCATAAAGATCTGATTCTGTCTTGTCCACCAACATCCCAGACAGTGAAGGAAATGTTCTTATATTGAACAGTTTCGACATTGAAACCAATGGTTGGGATTGTGGTAATAACTTCACCTAACTTTAATTTATACAATACAGTGGTCTTACCGGCACCATCAAGACCCACCATAAGAATACGCATTTCTCTGTTGCCAAACAAGCTGCTAAATAATTTAGAAGCAAATAAACCCATTGCTGCGCGTTATATTTATTCACTATATGATTGTATTAATCTTTTAATTCTTGATTTGTTTTGCTTTTGCCTTTGGCAAAATAAAAAGTCGTGTACCAGCGAGATCAACGGTCAACAAAAATATTAATTCTTAGACGAGAACTTAAACTAAAAAGAACTCTTTTACTGTTTAAACTGGGACAACGAACAACATGTCAGAAGAAAGTGCATGCGCAAAGAGAAAAACAAGCTTTAAGACATATTTTAAAGGTGAGTTTCCAAAAATATAACTTTAAGAGATCGAAAAACAGTGAAGAATTTGCAGAGAATAAGTCAATTGAAATCAAAAATGGAAAAAAAAAAAAAAAAAAAAAAAAAAAAAAAAAGGAACAAAAATAAATTCCAAAAGTAAAGTGAATATTTATGTTATTTGCCCAAAATATTTAAGAATCCAACAACAATTTTTAGACAAATTTCAGGAAACTTTCCACTGAAAAGGAGATCGGTCAAATTTTTGTTTCCATCTGTTTGTACTATTTCCTAATTAGGAACAAAATTGGCTTCAGTTAGCGTGAGAAAATATTAGTAAATTCTGGTAGCGCCTTATATAGCTAGGAATTGTACAGCTTCTGTGACATTCTGTGACACACTGACAGGTTCATAAAGAATATGAAGGTTTATGGTGATACATAGGCGTGCTATTTAAAAGAAAATATCATTAGACATATTCATTCCCCTTAAAAATAGTACATGAAAGGATATAAATATACATACCATTATGAAATGAAATTAAAAGGTTAGTAAGTAAATAAACAAAATTAATAATAATCATGTCACACCATGTGAAAAAAAAAAATAAAAAATTTTTTTTAAAATTTAACTTAATATACAATCAGAAAATAAGCTTTATTCCAATATGTAATACTTTTAAGTGTTTCTTTTTTTCTTATGGACATTTTTAAAAGGACAATTTTTTTATGACTATTTAGGTTGTTTCTTTATTCTTGATCAATCAATTAAAAACATTGCCACAGCCAGTCTGGATCACACTTTTTTTTTTATCAATTCACTTTAAATATATACGTAAGAAACAAACGAACAATCTAAGACTTACTTGGATTAAGAATGCAATATAATGATTATATATAATTAATTCCCTCTATACAATTAGAAAAGAGATAATAGAAAACAAAAATACAAAGAGTAGATAAAAGACATCCTCATTAAAACATTATGCTTTAATATGCTAGCTATGCAATATTATAATGATCATAAAAAACTAAAACAAATTGAGAGTAAACAATCTCTTTATTTACCAACATTCATTTTGGCCCCTGCATAATTTTTTAAACCTCTAATGAATATTGAATATGTCACCGCATTATTATCTGGTTCCCAATAAAATTCAGTTAAACGGATATGCCAAGGTGGAAAACCTTGTAAATCTAAACTGGGACCAAAATACAATAACAAATCCGGTTCATGACCAACTAATTGAGTCAATTCAGAATCCACTAAATCCATAGTAATATCTGAAATTTTCAATTCCTTTGCTGCACATAATTCTGCCATTGTTTTGGTCAAGTCTACAATCGTTTCACGGCCGTCCCTATTAGATAGTAAAGAAATCTCAATAACTACTTTTGTATCTATATTATCATATTCATCTGTGTTATTATAATAAACTTTATTCGAATGAGGAATCTTAACAGCAAAATTAGGTGTATTAGTTGGACCATAATATTTCACTAATTTATTATAAATTTCCTCTCTAAATTTATGAACATTTCTTTGTAATAGTCCATCATAATCATATAACATCAAATGTTTGATGCCTGCAGATACAGTCCAGCAAACAAGTCTACTTCCATCATTCAATAAACCATTAATGCCTCCATCAACATCACCAACAGGCTTAATCTCCAATATTGCTGCAAGTCGTTTTGGAATTTTACTCAATTGAGTCACATCTTGTCTAATTAACTGTGGAGTGTTTGATGGGTTATAATATATATTATATATCTTCAATTTCAAAAAATTGTATTTTAATTGAAGATATCTGTAAATACCATAGATAATAAATAGGAATACTAAAAGACATTTGTAAAAAATATATTCCAAATAACCTATTTTCCTACTTTTATAATCACCTGAAGATGTAATAGTTTCCTTTGTTCTTTTTTTATCTGCTTCATCATCACTGATATACATATATTCAAATATTGATTTTAGTAATAGCGCTTTATTAGACGGATCAGACTTCATAAATGCTAGTTTGGAAGGAGGTGGTACATGTTCATAACTTGATGATCCTTCAGTTACCTCAGTTCTACCCGCCCGTGAACGCGTCTTTTCTTCGAGCTGTAACATATCTATACCTAAACAAGTACACAAAATATCTAATGCTGACGTTATTTCGTCTGATCCTTAGTATGCAATAGCAAATGATTATGTATATTCAAGGAATGACAGAGCAGAAATAGATAAAAACAAAAAATATACAATGTTGGCTTAATTCACTTTGTCAATGTTATAGTAAAATCTGATGTGTATTTTATTGTTTTTTATTGGTTGCTGTTATCAAAAACTGAATCATTTGCAACATTTTGCATATTTTGTAAAATTTTCTATGAAACCTTTTTTCCCTAACTTTATAGAGTTAATAAGTGAACATAATTATAAAAAAAAGTGAGAGAGAAATAATATAACAAAATAAAAGGATTTTCAGATTCGCCTTGTGAATAAAATCATATAGCATTCTATAAAAGTTGTGCAATGACATTTACAAGAAACAATTATTCTATAAGGCAAAAAAAAACATGATTGTGTAACATAAAATGTATTAGAATATTAGTATTTAAATGCATGATATATATGTATATATATGTACATAAATATTTTCATTTTTCTTACTATTTAATGCTCATTTCATTAATAATACTCATCATAATTGTAAATCAAAATGCTTGGTTAATTGTATGTTCATAATCTATCAAATCTATCATTAAAAAAACAAAAATTATAAATAATTCAAATTTATCATAATATCATCATCAATAATCTTGTAATATCTGTGAATAGTATCATTATCAAATATCTCAATGTTGAACTAAATTGAAGTGGATGCAATAAAAAAATTTTGGAATATATCACTGTTTTTACCACTACAATCTGTTTTGTTACAATTCCTGATATCTTGTTTTTCGTTATGCTTATTTATTTGAGAAAACTATTCATAATTTATCCAAAGTATGACCAATTCATCAAAAGTGTTAGTTGTATCATCCTATTTTGTAAAATATAGTGAATTAGAACTCTATGAACTTTATTAAGGTGAAGAACCTCTAATGACCTGTGACACATATTCGCCAACTAAATCCATATGACTTCTATCACTATAATATTGGCTACTAGTATGTATACTACGATTTTCCCCACTATTTTCTTCATCCTCCAAAATCAATGACCCACTTGATAAAGAAGGGGGTCCACGTTTATTCATGTTCAAAGTCAATCCGTTTCCAAGATCCACAATTCCTGATTTATCGATAGAGTTAGGTGTTAAATTTGCCAGTGCTGGGAGATCAGACGTTAATATGGGTGGTGTTTTTGTAAAAAGTCGAGCAATGGGATCTAACTGTTTCAAATAAATATCATTATCAAAGTTTACTGTTGTCAGAACTCTATTTCTCCCATCATTATTACACTTATTTAGTTGATCTCTGTTTATACTTCCTAGATTATAATTAATATCCACATAGGGTGAATTGGTGTCGTTTACACTGTCAGATGCTATGTTATTAGACGAAGAAGTGCATTGAGGTGCCGATGCATTATTAACTGCTGCAAAATTATTTACAGTATCAACATTGCAAAAGCTCACTTTTCTCATTCTTATTTCTTTATTCCATTTATCTGATTCGAATGCATTAGATGCATTCTCATATAGTTCATCAATTTGTTCTAAAGTTAAGCCTCTAGTTTCAAATACAGTGAAATAAACAATTAAGACCCCTAATGCATTCAAAGACCCCCATATGAAATATATTTTTGGACCAAGAGTGACTGTTTCATTATCCCCTGTGTCAATAATATAAGGTGTAATTAATGCACAAACAAAATTAGCCAACCAGTTGGAAGCTGCACACATCGCAGAACATTTGGCTCTTACACCTAAGGGATACAATTCTGCAGATAATACCCAGACCACCCCACCCCATGTGGCTGAATATGACGCAATAAATGTGCACATAAATGCAATCATAATTTTATCTGCCACTGATGCCTTTACTGACACACCTACAATAGCAATAATAAAATTAGATAAAGCCATAAAAAACCCACCAGCTATGAGAAGTTTCCTTCTACCGATATATTCTACTAAAAACAAACCTGGTATATTAAAAGCCACATTGACTGCATAGAGAATAAAAGATATAATATAACTTTGGTGAATACCTGCTTTGTTTAAAAAACTGATTCCAAAATAAAAAATAAAGTTAATCCCCGAAAATTGTTGGAATATCTGAACTGCAATTCCAGTAAACATTCTTAAACTTTGCTTTGGTCTCTCTTTACTTGAAATAAAACAATCTAAAAATGATGATGACCCCACAGCCTTTTCATAATCGAAGGTGGCTTTAATCTCAACCAATTCTTCCAAAAGGCCAGAATCTTCTATTGGCACACCCCTGAGAAAAGACAATGATTTTGCAGCTTCATGGAGCCGATCTTTCATTACATAATATCTAGGACTCTCAGGAAGGAAACACATACCAATTGTCAAAATGAAAGACCATACATATTGAAGCCCAATAGGAATTCTATAAGATGCAGCTGACTTCATTGCATGTGTACCCTGTGCCACTGCGCTGGAAGCAAACAGTCCCCATGTTATTGCCCATTGATATGTGGAAATAATTGCACCTCTTAAGTTCTTTTTGGCTGATTCAGCCTGATATGAAGGGACAATGGCAGATATGATACCGATACCTAAGCCTGATACAAATCTCCCTGCTACTAGAAGATCTAAAGACATAGAACCAACTTGTAATGATGTCCCAATTGAAAATATGATAGCCGTACTAAAAATTATCATTAGTTTTCTTCCAAATTTATCTGACGCAATCGGAGTAAATAAAGCTCCAATAAAGGTACCTAAGGATAAAAATGATACTAACACAGACCATTGTGTAGTAGTAAATGCAAAATGATTAGGTGCCAGATGTGATCTTACATAAGGCATTTCGGTCAGACTATTAATAAGCCCTGTATCATAACCGAATAAAAACCCACCTACAGCAACAAAAATTCCGACTAAAAAAGATATACAGTCTGATTGTTTCCTTGGTTTAGAATTAAAAATCATTGAAGTAGTATCTTCCATCACAGTATTAGAACAAATGGGAGTGTATACATTACTATGTAATTCATCATCAACTTTTTCAACCATAAATGGTTGTGATAGCTGTGGCACATTTCGATCAATATTATGTGAATTAGAAGCCTCTAATATATCCAGTCCTACTTCTGAACGCCTTCTTCTCTCTTCTGTTAGTTGATAACTTATACGTCTAATTGTCATATCAAATGGTCGAAACTTATCTTCTATTACCTGTTGATTTGCGTCAGTAGCTTCTGCATCTTTATTATCCATTCCACTTTGTTCTATGCAACTTTTAGCAGACCCAATCACTTGATGCATCTGAGCAACTTCCACTGCTTCATTATCAGGTGTTGTTTGAATTTGATCCATACTCATATGAAATACACCCACATCAATCAAATGTCTTATAGATTCCTTTTAGTCGTCTGTACTTTTTTATATATTGCACAGTTTTCTATTTGCCTCAAATAGGTAGGTCCACTTGTAATTAATCTTTACTATTGATATATTGAAGGAAATCTAAATAATAATTTCAGTAAGATGGAGCTAACATTCTATACTACATATTTAGTAAGTTTTTATTTGTCTTATAATAAGGAATTAAGTCATCCAAGAATTAAAGGATTACCATTTTTGGTTTTTACCTATTTTTTCTAAACAATACATAATTGAAAATCTCTATGAGAATTGAAAAGCACAACAAAAGAAAATAAAATAATCAAATCTAATAAATCACAATTCATTAGTAAAATGATTTTATAAAAAATTAATCTTGTTGGAGGTAAAGTTTATTAACTATTTATATATATTCGTTTGTCCATATAATTCAAGCATAAAATACAATAACAATAAAAGAAAATAAGGATTTTAAACTTGAAAATTGACTAGTATACTATAACTAGGTTTATATCAGGTATATGAAATAAAATTAAGGGATGTAACATACCGCTACATAAGAAAATTTGAAATAAATATAGATACATATATATGGTTGTATTTCAACTTGTGGTAGCTTCGGCAATACCGATTAATCTTTTTACACCTGTTAACCAATTGCCACCTTCTTGTGCATTGTTCGTTGCGATATCAACATGTACTTCCATTGCTTCTGTGTATTGTTTATTTTTCAGGTACTCAACAATCTTCTTCAACTTATCTACTGTTGGTTGAGTTAATAAATCTTGTCTTTCCATGTGGCTATAAAGTATCTTTAATCTTTTAGCACAATCCTTTAATTGCTTAGAATATTCTTTTGGAATCAATGGAGTAACACGTTCTAACTCACTTTTCAAAAAGGCAATAATCTCTTGTTGATCTTCCGGTATTGTAACGGCAGCAGTTGTTTCTGTTACAGCAGCAGGAGATGTCTGAACACTAGATTGAGTGCTAACAGGAGGCGGAATAACATTTTGTTGTTGTTGTTGGACCATATTTGTCGTAGATGGTGTACGTTGAACGGATTCTAACAAGCTTGTAGCATTTGCGATATTTTCTATTTTGTGCTGTACTTTTCTTCTGTTACTCATTGGTGGTGGTGGTGCAATTGTTTGTTTTGATATTGGCGGAGGCACCATTGTTGGACCTGTAGGAGGTAACGAGGACTTTGGTGGAACCGAATAAGGATTTGATGGAGATACGTTGGTCAAAATATTAGAGTTTGGCATTGTAGTAGGCTGTTTTGGAGCATATGGGTTTACTGGGATATTTTGAGATACTTGTGACTGTATTGGTGGAGCAATAGATCCAGTGGCTGGAGAATATGGACTATTCCTTTGGGTCATTGGTACAGGTTTGTTGATTTGAGGAGAGTATGGATTCGATGGTTTTGTATTGGTCGAGCTTTCTAAACCCTTATCCATTGAAGCCAATGATTCTTTTCTTTTAAAACCAGGAGGTGGTGGTGGAGTTGGCATGGAGGAGGCAGATGCAATTCTGTTAACTGGTGACCTTACTGGGAATTCACGCGATGAGATAGTATCACTGTGTGGAGTAGAAGGTCCTGGTGGAATGCTTACACTTGCAGGTGCAACACTTACAGCTTTAGCACGTGATGGTTTATTTTCCTTAACCTTTAATGGCAAGTCATTCCAGCCGTCATTTGCCTTTTGATTCAAATGTGGCATTTGACCAGATACAATACCAGATTGTGGTGTCTCTATAGATGAAGCAGCCACTGGTTTCTCATAAACTGATTGTTGAGGAACAAATGGAGTGGTCTGTGTGGCACCTGGAGTTTGTGCACCAACAGCATATGGATTCTTAGGTGGAATAAAAGATGAAGTTGGGATTGACGCTCCTAATGCACCATTAAATAAATTGGTAGCAGTTGCATTTGGTGTAGAAACAACAGTAGGTGGAGCATACGGATTTGCTTTTGGTGTATGTGCAGTTTTCACTGATCTAGCAGCATTGTTTAGATGTGTACCTGTTTGTTGTATAGGAATGATTGGTGGTTGGACAGGAGGCATACCAGTTGCAGTTGGGAATTGTGGTTGTTGTTTTATTGGAATATTACTTGCATGAGGATTTCTGTATCTATCATGTTGAATTGTAGATGACGCAACACCTTTTTGGATTGAACCATGCTGAACAGATTTACCGCAAGCCAATAGTACACGTTCTTTTTCTGCTTTAACATCTTCATTTGAATCTGGTAGAATGTTTAAAAATGACTCGGCTAAAAAGAAATCACCACTAGCAGATGCTATATCAACAAATTCCATAAATTTAGATATTAGGCCCTGATTTGATATTTTTGATTCTCCTATAAAACTTGAAAAGACAGTAAATCTTTCAACAAATTCTGTTAAACATTCAACATGTGCCTCATAAACAGTCTTATTTTCTTGCTTAATTATATCTTCTAAATCAGGCAATTCTTTTAACCATATGGAAGCCACTTTATCGATGGAGTTTGCAGAAAAATAAACAGCAATTGCATTTTGTCTATCGCCAGATTCTAAAATTCTATCACCTAATTGAACTAGTAATTCATTCTTGCGAGCAATATCGGCTGGCACAAACTTGTTAATAGCCTTTACGATATATTTCCATTGTGATACATCCATATTGGTAACCATATCTTCAATGTTATTGTTTGTAACAGAATATAGAATTCTTGATAAAGAATTAGAATTTCCAAATTTCTTGAAATAATGATCTTTAACTTTTTCCTTTAATGTGGTGTCATTTGAATCTAAAGCAATTATTAAAGATTCTAACAATAAATCATTCTGCAAAGCCTCTGTAACAACAGCCTTAGTGTTACCAGAAAGTAATTTTTTAGTTATAGAAAAATCGGTGTTTTTCTCTAATTTGAATGGATCCTTTGGTTTAAATTTATTTTCAATCTTTTCAAAAAATTCTTCACCTGCTTCTGTGTCCGTTTCACGATCATTAGCACCATCTTTATTTCCGTTTTCTTCGTCATCATCATCTAAGGTAAAAGTATCTCTTAAAAATTCCTCCCTTCCATCCATAGATAATTTATCTAATAAGTTCCAATCTTCTTCATTATTCTTATCTATGCCTTTGACTAATCTAACATTAATCAATGGTTTGAAATCCTTGGATTTTAAGGCATCATTTAATAAAATATTTTGTTCCAAACCAGGTAATACAGGTTTTGTAATATTGATTGATTTCCCATCTTCACTAATGCTAACCAATTTCCCACCAAAAGCCCAGGTAGCTGCTGGTGAGTGATTTGAATACCAAACTGGAGCTTGTATCTTTTTAACAGTTGGCTTTTCATTTGATTCTTGTTGTGAGACATGCGTCCAGAACTCTGTTTCTGATTCTTGTTGTTTTGTTACATTTTCCTCTTTATCTAATTCGTTAACAAGGTTTTGTAAAGTTTGAATTTCTATCTTAGAGTCGAAAGATGCAGTGGCAAAAATGTCCGGTGCTTGCGGAGCAAATTTTGTCTTGAATAGCCAGTTGCCATGAGGTGGATACTGTGTTAATTGTTCACCTGCAGTTGGGTTCCACAAGACCACGGTATTATCACGACCACTAGATAGCAGCAAATCTTCGTCCTGATTACACCAATCAAGAGACAAGATACCTTTGGAGTGGCCATTAACCAAAGTGGTCAATGGAGTGTTGGCATTTCTCAAATCCCATATAACGATGGCAGGTTCAGTGTCACTACCTGTAGCAGCAGCTAATTTAGTAGAATTAGTGGGATGCCATTGAACCACCGACAATTGTGGTTTAAGCCCAGTTGCAGGGGAAGTATAACTTAGATGAATAACTTCTTTTTTAGCTTTAAGATCCCAAATGGAGGCAAAGCTAGAAGAACCAGCGGAAGCGAAAACGTGTGCTAAAGATTGGTTCCATGCCAACGAATGAACCTCTTCAATAGAAGTCATTGCAGTACCTGGTTTCATTGGGGTGTATCCTTGAACAGCTGCCCCATTAGCGTTGGTGTTGATGGCTTTTTCAGTATCCCAGACGAAGATCTCACCACTATTATCACCAGAAATCAAAACATTTGCTTGTTTAGGATTGAATTTTATTGTATTAACGGTAGAATTATGAAGATTACTAAATTTACCTACTGATTCAATAGAAGTGTTGTTATTATTTTTGTTGTTATTTAGTTTAAAAAATTCAACAGTACCATTTTCTAATGCACCAGCGATCAGTTGATCATCAATAGACCAATCTAAATCGTTAAATTTAGCATCAGTAGATAATGATGCAATGGGCTTATTTGGTTCAGCAGATAATAAAGACCATAATTCCAAAACAGATTCATTAGAAAAATCGGCATCAATTGTACCTGAGGCGGTCCCTGTTACAATCTGTGGGATCTTATCATGAGACCAAGCAAAAGTAGCTGTACGCTGGTACTCAGCTAATTTCACCATATTGTGACAACACTGATACTGGTATGTGTATGTATATGTATATGTATATGTTTGTTAATATACGTATATATTTAATTTAATGTATAAATATATACACTGGAAATAGAGAGGAGGAGGAGGGGAAAAAAAAGGAAAGTCAATAGTTGATTTCAATCTGAGAATAATCAGAACAAAAATATAGAAGTGATGGCAAGATGAATAAAGAAGCAAGACAAGCGAAGCACAATTTGAAATTAGCACAACTTAATTAAAGTGTAGAACACCCAGCAACTGTTAAGTAGCTTTTTATTTCTTGTCCTTTGTTTTTTTTTTAATTCTTTCCTTATTCTTTACTTCGAATACTTTTAAGTCTTTGGAGTGGAAAAATAGAAAAAAAAAATTCAACCAGGTTCTTTTTCTTTCGGTGAGGTTTATTTTTTTTTTTTTCTATTTTTGTCGTCGTTGTTGTTGTTGCATTGCACCAGAAAAAAAAATGAAAATAAAAATGAAAATAAAAATGAAAATAAGAAAAAGTAAAAATACGCCTTGCTTTCAAAACTCAACATAAATTTGTTAAAAAAATGAAAACTCTATGTGTTTGTCCAATTTTTTAAGTTGAACCCTACTTTTTATATTTTTTTCAAAAAAAAAGTTTGTGTACCTTTTTGATAAATGTTCGTTTAGACATATACAATCTCTATTTTTTTTTATTTTTTGTTTGAAACCCTGATTAGAAAATTGGAAAATGTACAAAAACTATCCAGCAGTCCCAAACCTTCTTCCGTTGGCAAAAATTAAGTAAGCAATAACAAAATAAACAATAAAAAGTTGACTTTATAAGTCCAAATTTCATTCATTCATACGTTGCATAACTGTGGTATATGTATGGCGAATGATTTATTGTAATCATTACACGCTTGTTTACATTGTCTATATTACGATCGAGTACAGGTCATGGTTATAATAATACTAAAAAATACAATTAAATATTAAATAACTAGGTGATATAAAATAAATACATATGAAATGGATGAGTTGATTAGTCTTGGCAATAGCTTGTGACGTAACTGTTATCTTATACCAATACCCCTAGTTATATAATAGCCTTATTTTCTTATTATTCATAGCATACACACACTTATTTGCATATTGTCTGTGTTATCTATGTCTGACTCTAGTTACTGGTAACACTCTTTATTAGTAAACTTGATGAAATATTTGCATATATATTTTCAATTATTTACCCCTTCAGTGGTGATAATTTTGCTCATATCATTTTATTTTTTTTCTTTTCTTTTAATCTTTTACAAATGTATAGTGATTGCACAAGATAATTATTTCCATTTATATATGTGTATGTATATGTGTATGTATGGATAGATAGATAGATGGATGGATGGATATTGTAATTACTGTTAGGCTACTTCAAAGTCTGCTGTACTCACGAATAAATACATTTCATACATACATACACACACACATATATATATATATATATATATATATACCGATTTGTATTAGTATTATCCAAAATATACAGATGTCAGAGTCTAAGAAACAATATTTTCCCGATACAACATCAAAGTATTATCAACAAGCATTAGAAGATTATGATGGAGTTTTAGAAGATACAGATCCAGAAGAATGGGATAAGAGGATACAATCAACAGGCTGTTATGTCGAGAATATGGCTTTGCAACTCTGTCATGCTGAAACAGGAGATTGGAGACAATGCTTAAAAGAAATGGAAATGTTTAGAAAGTGTTGGGATTCAAAAGGTAATAATGAGAGAACTCATACTGTTGATAAATAAGTAAAACAAATAAAGTACTTGCAGTGCCCTTTCTTTGCTTATTTGACTATTTACTCTATTCTTAACTGTTATAACATATTGATATTGTGTACTATGTTAATATACAAAAATATACTTGTAACAATGAAGGACTTTCCCTCGCTACTTACAACTATTTTGGGTTTATTCCATTTTTCTTCTTTGTCTTTATATCATTTTTTTTCCATTACTTTCTATGAGATTCTTTTTAAATCTTTTTAATTAGATTACAGGGAGACAAAAAAAAATATTTATATGTATTTACGTTTATATATATATATATATATATATAATATACATTCGAACCTGAAAGAGGGACCAGTCACAATATATCATTAAGTATTAAAAAAAAAAATACTTGTTCACTTTTGACTTGATTGTTCTTGAAAAGCTTCTATCAAGCTCTATTTTTTATCTCATTTCTCAGTACACCCACATACATAAGCATTTCTCTCCCGTCTTCTACCGTAATTCAATAAATTATCAATTAATATGTCAGACAGACCAAAGACTTATTTTGATATTTCTATTGCAGGCAAACCAAAGGGCCGTATTGTATTTGAGTTATACAATGATATAGTTCCTAAGACAGCTGAAAACTTTTATAAATTATGTGAAGGCAACAGTGGTATGGCAAAGTCTAAACCAGATGTACCACTGTCTTATAAAGGATCTATTTTTCATAGGGTTATTAAGGATTTCATGTGTCAATTTGGTGATTTCACTAATTTTAATGGGACAGGTGGTGAAAGTATCTATGGTGAGAAGTTTGAAGACGAAAACTTCACATTAAAACATGATAGATCATTTCTTTTATCTATGGCTAATGCAGGTCCTAATACCAACGGATCACAAGCTTTTATCACTTGCGTTCCCACACCACATTTAGACGGTAAACATGTTGTCTTTGGGGAGGTTATTCAAGGTAAAAGAATTGTTCGCTTAATTGAAAATTTACAAGTTGATCAAGATAACAATTTACCATTCCAAGAGGTTAAAATTGAAGACTGTGGTGTTTTACCAAACGACTATGTTGTTCCTGAGGATGCAGAGATGACACCGGTTGATGAATACGGTGATAATTATGAAGATTCGTTAAAAAATGATTCGAAAGTAGATATCAATGATGTTGAGTCAGTTTTAAAGGCTGTTGAGTTTGTCAAAAATATCGGTACAGAACAATTTAAAAAGAAAAATTTGGCTATTGCTTTAGAGAAATATCAAAAATGTGATAAATTTCTAAAAGAATATTTCCCCAATGATTTGTCAGAAGGTGATATAAAAAGAGTTAATGCTTTGAAAATTTCAATTCCATTAAATATTGCTCTTGTTGCATTAAAATTAAATGATAATAGAGCTGTTCTTGTTGCCGCATCAGAAGTGTTATATGCAGAAGGTGCTGATGATTTAGCTAAAGCTAAAGCATTGTATCGTCGTGGTTTGGCCTATGCCAATGTTAATGACACTGATATGGCTTTAACAGATTTAGAGTTAGCTGCTACTTTCCATCCAAATGATGCAGCTATTCATAAAGCTATTAAAGATACAAAGGCTAAGAGAAAGCAACAGATTGAAAAACAAAAGAAATCACTTTCAAAGATGTTTGCTTAATCAAAGAGAAATCACCAGAATACCTATATATACATATATATATATATATACTATATTGATTCATATATTATAGCTTCATTCTTATGAAATTTTATATTTACCTCACAGTAGGTTTCTATATTTACTACTTTTTTACTATTTTAGTAGATGATGATCACAGTGGCTTCTATATCTCCTAGTTCTAATATTTTTAGATGTGATATGTGTACATACTATATGTTTATTTCGTCTTTATATTTATTATTCTACGTAAATATACTTTGAACAAAAAAGATCTCTAAAAAAAACCATAACAATTGATAATATTAATTGACTTTTCTACAAAAAGAAATGGTTCTGTGAACAATATATCATTTCACATAGAAGAGTATTTATACCATCTGAAAAATATCTGGTGTATTGCATATTAACAAACATATTACAATATTAGAGAATAATGATAACGATAGCTTCTTCTTTGCATAGTAGCAGCTCATATATATCCACTTTGAAACCATTTTATCCAATAACATCACCCTTAAAAAGAATTATTCACAATAATACTATTTTAAGTACAAACGGATTAAATCATAACAAACAATCTCCTAAATCTAGGCCAGTTATAAAAGTATCACAAAAAAATACCCTATTACTTAAGAAGAATTCTTTTTTTACTTTACCTAATATAATTACACTAACAAGAATAGGTTGTACTCCGTTCATCGGTCAATACATATGGATGGGTCAATTAACCCCTGCATTAACCTTGTTTGGTTACTGTTGTATTACAGATTTTCTTGATGGTTACATAGCTCGAAAGTTTAACATGAAATCTGTTGTTGGCACAATTCTAGATCCTATAGCAGACAAGTTGTTAATGATTTTCACCACTCTTGCTTTAACTTTACCATTAGGATCACAAATCATTCCATATAGTATTGCCACTTTAATATTGGGTAGAGATATAATATTAGGCTTCAGCGGTGGTATAATTAGATTTACTTCAATGAAGAAAGTTTATGGTAGCGTAAATTGGAATTCATATTGGAATCTTATAAAATATCCAACAGTGGAGGTTAAACCAACAAGAATATCTAAATGGAATACATTTTTTCAGATGATTTACTTGGGTTGCGGTGGTTTATTATTAATATTGAATAATACTAAGAATGCTCAAAAGGATGAAAATGAATCTGGAAATACTTTGCTTAAAAGTATACATACACAAAAAGTACTGCTAGAAACTGGGTTTAGATGGCTAGGTTATATTGTTGGTGTTACTACTGTGTTAAGTGGAGTTTCGTATATTTCAAGTAAGACAGCTGTTTCAACTTTGCCACTTTTAAAGTAATCATTATATTTTACTTGTATAATGAAGAAAGAACTAAAAAGAAGAAAAAGAAATCCTTTTTCATAGTACTTCTCTAATATGTCAATTTTTTTTTCTTTTTCTTCCTATTTTGAGTGGGATTGTATATAATCAAATACATTCTAATCATCAAGTCTTATTATTATTATTTATAAAGAGTCAAAACCAAAATGAGAACTTATAATGTTGTAGAATGTTATGATTGTGATTTGATTTATTATTTATTATTCATTTTCGATTACTAAGCATATGACTGATTTGTCAAAAATACTTAGTAAGATAAAAAATACTTTAGAGCAAGACTTGATTTTAGTGAAAAAATAGAATGTGAAAATTTTCATACAATTTTATACAAGATGCAATAGAGAAGCATAAACTAAATCATAGAGATAATCATCGGTGATATAGATTATAGGTTAATCTACATATTCATAATACAAAGAAAATATATATTACAATAAGTTGGACAATGACCAGCTATACTCCATTAACTGATGTTATTGTTACAAAACGAAATATTGAAAATTGTTCCTTTTCAAAATGGTATCCGTTATTTAAAGGTCATACACCAAAGTCAAAAATTCTAAAACCAGTCCCACATGAATTTATTCAATATTTGAAGCAGGATGGTATTAAATTACCATATGATCAAGAGGAGAAATCTTTCTATACCAGCAATATAGAAAGGAATGATGAAAATGATTATAGTGATTGGGAAGATTCTGAACTAGTAACAGATGAAAATTTAGAAATAGAGTCGAACTCTATTAATCCTCTAGTGCATTTCAGTGAGTTCCATTCACAATTGAAAGATATTATTAGGGATCTTGGACCAGTGACGCCAAAATTAAATTGGTCAGCTCCAAGAGATGCCACATGGATCTTACCCAATAATTCAATGAAATGTAATGAAGTTAATGAAATATATCTTCTTTTAAATGCTTCAAATTATATTATGCATGATTTAGAACATGCATACGATGAATGTCAAAAGGATACAAATGATGTGGTAATACCAGAAACCGAGTTAATTTTAAGAGAATGGTTTGATGTGAACCCAGCCTTAGAATTCAGAGTATTTGTTAAAGATAGAAGAATTATTGGTGTCACTCAACGTGATCTAAACTATTATGATTATTTGGAAGCATTAAGTAACACTTTTAAAGATTTAATAGACGAATTCGTAGAAGATGTTGTATTGCCAAAATTTCCTGATAAATCGTTTGTCTTAGATGTATATATTCCTAGACCATTCAACAAAGTTTATTTGATCGATATTAATCCATTTGCTAGAAAGACTGATTCCTTGCTATTTTCTTGGAACGAATTAATAACACATGATAACACTGTCGTGGATGAGAGTGGGGAAGATGCAGCCAGTAGTGATTATGAGTTGAGGTTGATCACAGAAAATAATACAGGGCGTTTTGCTAGTAAAGAACATTCAGAGAATCAGGTTCCAAGTGATGTTGTGGAGGCTAGTCTCAATCCAGGTGCTATCAGTGAATTAGTCCAAAAGTGGAAGGAGCTTTTAAACAAACAAGAAGAAGATAGTGGTGATGAATGCAATGGAGAGAATGGACAGTAAATAGGTTAAATAAATGCTAATCAACTATCAATTTTATACATATATTTATAAAGTTGTACTGCATTAATATACATCATAAAGAATAGACAAGTGAATAAACCAAAGAAAAATAAAATTAGAATTTTGTGAAAATAATTGTAATATAGTCTATTGTGATCTTACGGTGTATTTACCAGACAAAACTTTCAGATTGGAATTCTATGTTGATGGAACTCTCCTTTGGAATGCTCTTGGCAACTGATGATCTCAATTCATCATTGAAAGCAGCAGGACCACATCCTACAAACGTGATATCTTTCGATATAGACTCTGATTTGGAGATCTCTTTGATTACAAGTTCTTGTAAATTCGGTCTGTATCCCAACTTTTCTACATTCAAATTTTCTGTTAAGTTGCTCGAATGTTCACTTACTGATTTAGAAGAGGATTCAGTGTCAATATTAAGTAACCTACTATTGTTGCCTGTCACAATAATTTTAACTTGGCAGTTCTTAGATTTCAACCATTCCAGTTCTTTATGAAACCAATTCAAATAGTTGATTTCTCTGATGATCCATATAAACTTGTGTTGGTATTCTGACTTTTCGTTTTCATTGACATCAATATTTTTCAAAACGTCATAAATGTGTGGGTAAACAGCTGAAGAACCTAGACCTGCAGCTATAGCAACCATGTTGCTCTGTGGTTTTACAAGCTGAGGTAGTTGAGCACCGTAAGGACCTTCAAGTAGAATTCTGCACTTTATGGACTCTTCACCACTAGATAAGATTCTTGAAAGTATATTTCGAGTGATACCTTTGTGAGCCTTGAAGTAAAACATCAACGTGCTTGGATTATTTGGGTCTTTAGTTGGATCAGTTAACACAGTAAAGGGATGAGATTGGAAATTGTAAAAAAATGCATATTTGGAACTAAGGAAATAAACAAATGCATAGCTGCCAGCTTTATAGCGTAAGTATCTAGGCTTCTTGACTGTCATCTTAATAATGCCATCACCACAGTCTTTTAATGTTGCGGTGACAATACCACCATGTAAGATAATGCGGACTAGTCTCATAAACCTGTCGAATGAATAGATAGCAATCATGGACCAAACCCAGCCCATCCAACCATATGATTTCATATGGTAGTACATGGCAACAATGAACATAACACTCATAATTTTATGACATAGTAAAAAGGTTTCATACATATAATTTCTGATCATTTTATTACTGTGGAATACTAATAAAAATAGTAGAGTTGTAGCTACAATCCCCCATCTCCAGTATGGTCGTTTAGCTCTTGCACTATATGTATCTGATTTAACAGCCCATATTGTATAAACAACTGTATGCATAAATGCTAAAATTGTGCAAGCATATGCACAACATTTATGGTACAGATTAAATTTACTGTATGATATACCAGATATGTAGGTAAATGGATTGTTTCTAATGCCAAAGAAATATATCACTGGGAAAAGTGATATGGCCATAAGGTCAGTCCTAAAGCCAATCAACTTGATGTTTGCATAGAGCCTAGTAGTAAAATTTGGGTGTGGTAAGGTGACATTATAGCCAACACAGACAGAAACAATGGTGAGAATAGTGAATCCTGTGATAACAAGGGCACTGTCTCTGGTTGGAAAATCGAAAGGGAAAATTTTCCAGAGGATGAAAGGTCTATCATGATAATTCTTGAACATTGATGGAATCAAAAGGGTTTTATTTATCATATTTTTATATCTACGTAAGAATTTAAAACCTAACAATCTTTTATTGATGTTGAAAATGGATGCTATCGAGATAATAAAAACCCAATATAATACCAAACCCCAACCAAACCACTGTGATCTCTCTACAAATACTGTGTATTCCTTGAATTTCTTGTGATACCAATCAAAATCGGTTTCATTCACTTTTAAAGTCCCATTTACAATATATTTTTTTGCCAATGGGGTGTAGTCAACAAGATAATGAGTTCCATTTTCTTGGTATTTGTATAGCTGTTCCATAGTTAATGAGACTTTGCCACTACTTTTACATCTTTTAATTATATGTTCGAAGGCATGCTTACGTAAATGCGTACTTGATGTAGCATTGTAGACGCAATTTGTAATAGTTTGCAACCAATTGATGTTTTTACAATAGCAGTTGTATGAAAGACCACTTTTAGAACAACCCCACTTGAATTGTTTTTCATAGTAAATGCATGAAGTGGCAATGGTGGAGTCAATTATGGTTAGTGCATTGCCTGTTGTAAAACATATCGCAAGGAATGCCCAGAGAGTCGTTATTAATCGCATAGCAAAGAGGCTAGCCACTTAGAAATTTGATATTGTCGTAGTGTTGTGGAAGAGCCATGAGAGAAAGATCGGAAAAGTGAGTGAAAAGTTGTTTGTGAAGTAATAGAGAGATAACTCAGCTTTGTAAAAATGCTGTAGATGACTGTTGTATCGTTTATATATCAAAAATCACTTAGTCATCGTTGAACCAAAATGGACCATATCGAAGTTTACTAAAATTATGTTAAAGTCTGTCAAAAGTATGGTTAATTGCACCTGCAAAACGGATGTAATAGAATTAATCCATTGTAAACTAGCTGATCTTCTTAATAGAGTCTGAAACCTTTAAAGTATTCAGTAACATTTTAGTGGTGCAGTATTAATTTTCGAGGTGAAATTACTATTATATATTGTTGTTGTTGTTTTATGTGTTTTGTTTTATTTTTTTAGTATTTGAAAAAAAGAAAAAGAAAAAACAATCTGCACCGGGTTTTTCCAGATTCTGAAATATTTTGTTTAAAAATTGAAGAAACAAAGAGAAAGAGTCATGTGAGGCATTGGATCCAGCCTATTATACAATGCAAAGAAGGAATTACAAGGAATTTTTTTTGGTAAACAGAGCATCTCTAGCGATCTTGGTTGATCAGTTTTACAAAAGACAACTTATTTGATTAGCTTTAGTTCATTTAACCATTTTGAATATAAGAAATAAATATGGAACTCAGAGTCTTTTAACTTTAACTAGGTAACAAATAAGTGATGATTTATATAAAAAAAAAAAAAAAAAAAAAAGAAAGAAAGAAACCGTATATACACGTTTAAATGCTTTTTGTAATATATTGATGAATATTTATTACGATGTATTGCTGACAGTGCTCGATTGCTTCATTATGTGTATGTCAATTGCCCATGTTACACACTTTACTTGATCATTTGTATCTGTGTCAGTGTCAAAACTATCACTTGGTGTGGCTCTTGTAATAAAATAAACAAAAAAAATAAAAAAATAAAAACGGCATAGAGAAAACAGATGATGACACAAAATATAATTAAGAAATAACAGGCAAACAAAATAAAAAGCAAGAAAGAAAGTAAAGATAATAAGATAAAATGCAGTTGATAACTAAGCTTTTGTTTCAATACCGTAGCAAACAGTCAAGAAAGAACTAGTCTTCGTATTAAATACGTTAGGTGATACAAATTTAAAATTATTTAAAGTAAATAAAGATAAAAAAATTCTTTTTTATTATTTATTTATTTATTTATTCAATAATGTGGATATTTTACTCCTTGATATTTCTATTTTCTGTTGCTATAAAACATACAGCATCTATTAAATGCTCATTGGCACAAAAGTGTCCTTCTGACGTTCCCTGTTGTTCGCCTTACGGTGAATGTGGTACTGGCTCAACATGTCTTAATAGATGCAATCCTATGTTTTCTTTTCAGCCCTATAGCTGTCTACCTCAACCAATTTTATTATATCCTAATTCAATTCAATTCCCAAGAAGAGTAAAACACATTCGAAGTAACGCTAATAATATTAACTCTATTATAAGGAAAAAATTTGGTCATTCTAATAAACTATCAATATTGGCAGACAATAATTTTATACATTTTGAAAAGTTTTTAATCACTACCGATAGCCTATTAGCAAAGAAGCAATTAGAACAGTACGATTTTATATACAGTGGATACACTGTTCCCAGTGATTTAGATAAAGTTATTTCGTTAAGAATGCCACCAAGGACAAAAGGTTCTCTTGTCTCTACAAGTAAGCTTTTTTTGTATGGAAGATGCAGTGTTACATTGAAAGCTGCCAAAGGTAGAGGTGTCATTACAGCCATAGTATTAATAAGTCAAGTGGGCGATGAAATTGATTTTGAATTTTTGGGTACTGAATCAAGAAACGTGCAATCCAATTATTATCATTTAGGCCACTTGGATTATACAAAGATGCAATGGTTACCCATTACAAGTGATAATACAGATGCATGGCATACATACGAAATTGATTGGAACAAAGAAAGGATCCATTGGATTATTGATGGAAAAATATATAGAACTGTGTATCGAAGAGAGACTTGGGACCCAATCAAAAAAAAATATTTGTATCCGCAAACACCAGTACGTTTAGAAGTTGCTCTTTGGCCAGGTGGAGATATCAATCTACCACCTGGAACGGCACAATGGGCTGGTGGTTTTATCGACTGGGACCACGACGTAGAATTGAAGAAAAAAGGTTTCTTCGAGTCAAAGGTTGCCAATATAATAGTCAGCCCTTATATGAATTCGCACACCAGTAATATTGTAAAATGTATTAGATATAATACCAAAAGATCAAGAGTTAAGCTTGCTGATCTACAGAATGTAAACTTTCATTATGAACCTTCAATCAATCTTGATCATACAGAAATTGAAAAAGCTGTGTATTGGGATTGTAACAAGGTATTTTTCCTGGAAAATCAATGGAGTTCTAAAGCCAAAGTTTCAAACTACTAATTTACAGAAAAAAAAAAAAAGACAACTAGTTTAGTATATATATATATATATATGTCAAAGACATCCGACGTATTGAATTTTTCTACCCTATATTGAATAATTTAGTGGTTTTCTGAATGCTTTTGACAACACCCTTCATAGCTCTTTTTATGCAATCTTTATTCTTTATATATCTATGCATGTATGTATATCTTATACGTTTCATGGTCTCTCAATCGTTTTAAATATAAGCTGTATCACTTTTAACGACACCTTGTTTTATTTCAATCGATTTCTCTTTTTCCTTTCTTCTTGTTTTTTGCTTTTTTGTTTTTTATTTTTTTTTTCTTTGCTTTGCGAAGTGTTGTTTAATATTACGAGAAAAGAAAGTTACTGAGAGGGAACTCAATTGAGGGTTTCACTATCAACGTGTCATCCATTTCTTGAACTATCTTCGAAGAAGAGATTATAAAAAAAGATCCAGTATAGTATATACTAGATCGACAACAATATTGTCAGATTTAGATATATTAGGATTGATTGTTAGGTGTTTTATTTTTTTTATTTATTTTTTTCTTTTCTAGAAAACAACAGCAAATAGTTGAATCGTTTTCTATTTTCCTTTTGTTGTCTGATCAAATTCTTTTTCTGATCATTTAAGAAAGAGTAGTCTTAGGACATTCAATTGAAAAGAAATCATATTGTCAATCTTGTCAAGATGAAGATGCTAACTAAATTTGAGTCAAAGTCCACAAGGGCTAAGGGGATTGCATTCCATCCTTCTAGACCATGGGTCCTTGTGGCTTTGTTTTCTTCTACCATTCAATTATGGGATTACAGAATGGGTACTTTATTACATAGATTTGAAGGGCACGAAGGTCCAGTTCGTTCTGTGGATTTTCATCCAACTCAGCCAATTTTTGCTTCTACCGGTGATGATTCTACAATTAAGATTTGGTCTTTAGATACCAATAAATGTTTGCACACTTTCACTGGCCATTTGGATTACGTTCGTACCGTTTTTTTCCATAATGAATTACCATGGATTATCTCAGCATCTGATGATCAAACTATCAGAATTTGGAATTGGCAAAATCGTAAAGAAATTGCATGTTTAACTGGTCACAACCACTTTGTTATGTGTGCTCAATTTCATCCAACAGAGGATTTAGTCGTTTCTGCCTCTTTAGATGAAACTGTTAGAGTTTGGGATATATCTGGTTTAAGAAAAAAGCATTCTGCTCCAAATACTACAAGTATGGAAGATATTATGAACAACCAACAAAATTTACTAGATGGTGGATTTGGTGATTGTGTAGTAAAATTTATTTTGGAAGGTCATACCAGAGGTGTTAACTGGGCCTCTTTTCATCCAACTTTACCTTTAATTGTATCTGGCAGTGATGATCGTCAAGTGAAATTATGGAGAATGAGTGCTACTAAGGCTTGGGAAGTAGATACTTGTAGAGGTCATACAAATAATGTTGTTAGCGTTATTTTCCATCCACATCAAAATCTAATTCTTTCTGCAGGTGAAGACAAAACTTTAAGAGTATGGGATTTGGATAAGAGAATTCCAGTAAAACAATTTAAGAGAGAAAATGACAGATTTTGGTTGATCGCTTCTCATCCTCATATTAATTTATTTGGTGCTGCTCATGACTCAGGTATTATGATTTTCAAGTTAGATCGCGAAAGACCATGTTCCACGATTCACCAAAATCAATTGTTTTATGTGAATAAATCTAAACAAGTTCAATCTTTTGACTATCAAAAGAAAGTTACTTCTTTGCCTTATGTATCTCTAAAGGGCATTGGACAAACTTGGAGCGCTTTCAGAAATATATCTTATAATCCATCTCAACATTCTCTGTTAGTAAACCAACCAGATGGTAAATTTGCGCTTGTATTGTTACCAAAACAACCCTCTGGTGCAGTTGAGCCCACTAGTGTAACTGAGGATAATGGCAGTTTTACTACGTTTGTGGCTCGTAACAGATTTGTTGTTTACAACAAAAATGCAGGTGGTATTGAGGTTCGTACATTAGATAACAAAGTGACTAAAACTTTGAAAATTGAGGAAACAGTCAGAGATATTGCTAACGCAGGTCCAGGAACTGTTTTGTTGTTTCACCCAAAGTCAGTAGTTTTATTTGATGTTCAACAAGGTAAGAAATTAGGTGAGATTGCTGCAAAGAATGTGAAATATGTTACTTGGTCAAATGATGGTCAATACGTGGCTTTGATGAGTAAGCACACTATTACAATTGCTACCAAGAGATTAGAAAGTATCAATTCTATGCATGAAACCATTAGAATTAAAAGTGCTGCTTGGGATGAATCTAATGTTTTAATTTATTCCACTTTGAACCATATTAGATATTCTTTATTGAATGGTGACAGAGGTATTATTAAGACTTTGGAAGATACTCTATATATTACTAAAGTTCAAGATAAATTTGTTTATACATTAAACAGAGAAGGTGAAATCGAAATTGTTACTATTGATCCAACTGAGTATCGTTTCAAGAGGGCATTAATCAACAAAAATTTCCCAGAAGTTTTGAGATTGATAAAAACTTCAAACCTGGTTGGTCAAAATATTATCTTTTACTTACAAAAATCCGGTTATCCAGAAATTGCATTACAATTTGTTCAAGATCCACAAATTCGTTTTAATTTGGCTATTGAATCTGGAAATTTAGAAACTGCTTTAGAAGAAGCAAAGAAAATCGACAATAAAGCTACGTGGGATAGATTAAATGTAGAGGCCTTGGCGCAAGGTAATTTTGAATTATCTGAGATGATTTATCAAAATCAATGTTCCTTTGACAAGTTATCATTCTTATATTTGTTATCTGGTGAAATTTCAAAGTTGAGTAAGATGGAAGATATTGCAACTAGTCGCGAAGATGTACCAAGTATGCTATTGAATTCTATTTATAATAACAGTACTGTTTCTAGAGCTAATATATTTGCTGAATCTGGTAGTTTATCATTGGCTTATGCAATTGCTAAAGCCAATAATAATGAGCAAGCAGCTGCGGCATTTTTAGAACAGGCAGGTATTGATGAACAAGATTGCGTTCTTCCAGACACCATAAACACTTCTAACTTAATCAAGTCACCAGTTATATCGGAGCCTTTGTCAAAATGGCCATTGAGAAAGGCTGAATCATCTTATTTTGAAAAAGCTCTGGTTGGTGAATTTGATGAGTTAGACATTGAAGATGACCAAGAAGAAAGCGGAAATGTTACTTCTGCTAATGCAGGTTCAACCGTACAGGATGAAGAAGAAGGAGTTTTATTTAATGATGAAGTAATTGAAGACGACGTTGATGCTTGGGATATGGGTGATGAAGATCTAATTATTGATGAACCAGTTGATAAAGATGAAGAAAGCACTACAGCTCCAATTTCAACAGAAGATGAAATTACAGAAACTGCAATTTGGGTCAAAAATTCTAAATTGCCAGCCGTTTTGGCTGCCTCTGGTGCTTTTTCAGCTGCTGCTCAAGCTTTGAATAAACAAGTGGGTGTGGTTAACTTCGAGTTATTAAGAAAGTACTTTGTAGAAACATATGAAGGTGCTAGAACATATATTGCAACTACACCAAGTGAGCTGCCGGCAATTGAAGGGTTCATTCGTTCTGATGCAGATGCTGAGTCGGAGACTGATATATTACCACGTTTAAGTAATGTCGGTATTATCACTGAGAAGATGAATGAGGGTTACAGACTATTCAAAGCTAATAAATTGGAACAAGCCATTGAAGTTTTCCGTGATGTTATTTACAGAATAATGTTATTAGCTGTAAATAATGACGAAGATGTTGAAATTGTAGCAAAGACTTTAGAGAAGGCAAAAGAATATATTTTAGGATTATCGATAGAATTGAAACGTCGTTCCTTAGCTAATGATGATGTTAAACGTAGTTTGGAACTTGCTGCTTATTTCACCAAAGCCAAATTAGTTCCAAATCATAGGAGTAATGCTCTTCAAGTTGCTATGTCTCAGAATTTCAAGCATAAGAATTTTGTTCAAGCATCATATTTTGCAGGTGAGTTCCTAAAGGTTATCACAACAGGGCCACGTGCGGATCAAGCTCGTAAGATTAAACAAAGAGCTGATTCTATTGCACATGATGCTATTGCATTAGATTTTGATCCATATGCGGAATTTGATATTTGTGCTGCCACTTACACACCAATATATAAAGGGACACCTTCTGTTGCTGATCCACTAACTGGTGCAAAGTATCATGCAACAGAGAAAGGTAAAATTGATAATATTGCACTAGTTTCAATAATTGGTGCTCCTGCTTCTGGTTTAAGAATTGCTTTGTAATGTATTCGAACTTTCTAAAATAATTTGTTTATCTATATATACATATATATATTTATATTTATAATAAACTTTTTCAATATATAATTTTTATAAGATTTTAAAGTGTTTTCTATTCATATATATTTATAAATCAATTCAACATAGAGCTTTAAAGTATCGTAGTAACTGGATACATCGATGAATTGTATTTTGTTGATTTTCTATCTAAGTGGTATAGAATATGTTTTTTTGTTGATACTTTTTTTTTCAGTACACTTGGCTGTTAAATGCAGTTAAATAATCCACAAATAAAAAAAAAGGAATTCATGAAGGAGAATAGACTTAAAAATACAATGTGAGTACGTATATAAGATGTTGAAAATGTCCACTTGTTGAGTACTATAGTAGAACTCTAGGCGTTTTATACTAAATATATTATGGCAGGTGAGATTGTAACTTTGCAAGTTGGGCAATGTGGAAATCAGATAGGCCAACAATTTTGGTCTCAGTTGACTAAAGAGCATGGGATTGATAGAGATGGCTATACACAATTCTTTAATATACAATCATCCTTTAGAGACGATAATACTGATCCATTTTTTAAAGATAATGATAATGGTAGATATACCCCTAGAGCAATAATGCTTGATTTGGAACCTAAGGTAATTAATGATGTTTTTAACAATTTTCAAGGTTTATTTGATCAAAGAAATGTTTGGGTTTCACAGGAAAGGTATGGTGCAGGGAATTCGTGGGCTAAGGGTTATGATGAAGGAAGAAGGAATATGGAATATATATTGAATATTATTGATAAAGAATTAGAATCAACGGATAATTTTGAAGGTTTTCAATTATTACATTCAGTAGCAGGTGGTACTGGGTCAGGCCTTGGATCTAATTTGCTTGAAGCATTACAAGAAAGATATCCAAAAAGTTTTCTCACGACTTACTCTATCTTTCCAAGTAATGAATCAGAGGTTGTCGTGCAACCTTACAATACGATTTTAACTTTAAGGAGATTAGTGGAGGAAAGCGATGCTAGTATTGTATTCGACAATAATGCAATTTCAAATCTTTCATCCAGAATATTTAAAAAGTCCAATGTTGGTTACAGTGATTCAAATCAACTGATTGCGGCAGTTATGTCTTCAGTAACAAATTCAATTCGATTTCCTAGTTATATGTATTCATCATTACAAAGTATATTTTGTACTTTAATTCCCACACCTGATTTGCATTTTTTGACACCATCATTCACACCTTTTTCATCTGATTACATTACACATACTAGTGATGATAGGCATAATACTGCTTATGATGTTATTTTAGACCTTATAGATAGTACGACATCTTTAACTACACAGACAGAAAAAAATCCAGTATATTTCAATACATTTTGTACTTTGATTGGGTCAATCGACAACAATGATATATTAAGAGGTATTAATAAAATACAACATCGTTTGCAATTTGCACCATGGTCAGTTACTTCGATTCATGTAAATATGGGAAGACGTTCCCCTTATTTAACTTCTCAAAAGGATTCAAATTATATAAATGGTATGATGTTGAGTAATAACTCAGGAATAGTTCCTCTACTGACCAATTCGTGTGAAACTTTTGATAAGATATTTGCCAAAAGGGCATTTTTGAATGCGTTTAGAGAAGTGGAACCCTTTAATAGGGATGATTTGGAATTTACAGATTCTAGAAGTATTGTACAAAATGTCATTGATGAATACACTGCTGCTGAAGAAAAGGATTATTTAGACGATATTCTCATAGATGAAGAGAATATGGCGGGTAATCTCGATCCATATAATCAAGTTGATGCGGATGGAGATAATATTTTAAATTAATTAGGCTTAGCTTGTCTGTTATTAATAAAAATACTTATATAGACATATGTATAGGTGAATATATAAATGTGAATGATTTATATCAAAATGTCATTATCAATTTATTTGAGTATTTTATTAATAACGTATCGAAAAATTGTTCATATTCTTAAGATTTTTTTTATTATTAATAGGTTCTTCTTTATTATTAGTATTTGTCTTTTAATCACTTAAGCAAAAGTATTCTTTAATAACTAATATGTACACATATATTTAATGGTATTCTTAGAAAAATAATAAAACAGAGAAGGCAAATACGAATAATGTAATATTATTCAATTCAGATAAAATATATATTATATATATCAACATGCTTACATTAAATAAGGTATGGACATAATAACAATCAAAACACTTCAGGTATAAACTTGTTTATGCTAAAACTATATTTTACTGACATTTACTACCATTTCTTCTTGGTTGATGACAAAATATATGAGCACAGGTATATGAGATAATAGAAAAGGGGGAGTATAGTGTTTCTAACGATAACATCAAGGAGGCAATTAACTATTATAAAGAAGCTAATAAAGAGATAGACAATATATTGTTAGAAGTGAAGGGACAAGATGACATTAATAATAGTATAATTGAAAGTGTAGAACTGTTAGGTAAAAACATATCTCAAGTAATCTTTGAATTAAACAATATTAATGAACGAAAATGGCCTCAAGCCGAAAAGGATTTGGTAGACAGGTCAACAATTCAACCAAGAGATATATTGGAAGGTTCTTATGATTCTATGTCGTTAGAACAAAATTTAAATAAATTAAGTCCTCAAAATGATCCATTGCTTAATATGATTTTAAATAAACTGCAAACTAGTTTGTTAGATGTAATTAAAGCTACTGAGTCACACTCAAGAATTGCCAAAGATTCTAGTGTTAATGAGGGAAAAGAGCAGAAAATTGCACAATACATTGAACAATTCAAAAATGAAATAATTTGGTATGAGAAGAAGAAGTTTTCGCAGTACAATATCGACTTGGTTACTTTAACCAAGGAAAATGCTCTTTTACATAGACATATTGAGGAATTACAAGATCGATGGAATAATTTGGTGGAAAGTGCCAGAAAGAAAAAAAGAGAACAAAGATGAAGTAAATACAGTCTTGTCTAAATATCGATAAATATGCATTTTTTTCTGTTATTATTGTTATTGTTGATTTAATTATTGATTAAGAATTATTATTAATGCCGTTTCATATATATATTTATTCATATATATTGTATACATGATGATAAAATATTTACTATCATCCACTAATGTAACTATTCTATAATTGAATCTACCCATTGATCAAATATTTCTCTTGATTTGTGGTATTTTATATCAGAATATTTTTTCCAGATTGTATTATGTTTAACTTTGCCTTCTTTACAGTTGTCACATATAATTAATACCAGTGGTAATAATTGTTCTCTTGTGTAACCGGAATAGTAACAGTGTTTTAATGACCATTGGTCATCTTTTAATATTATACGACTAAGGAAGTATGCACCAGCAGCTAACCAACTTGGAGGTGAAGATATTAATCTTGAATCCAGTATTGTGGTCTCCAGAAAATACTTTGACAAAGTTCTAATCGAATATTCGTATGAATCAGCTTTGCTAATTCTTCTTAAAAAGGACATGGGACCAGGCCAACTGATTTCAAAATTCAAGGTATTAAGCATAAAACTTTCTGCTTGTAAAATATCGTCTCTGGTGTATTCACTATCTAAAATATAGATAATGTCATTTAATGTAGGACTGTGTATTTCTTCATATTTACATGCAATAAATAATGCAGTTATTCCGACTAGTTGGAATCTGTTTAAAGTGGCTATCTTCTTTGATAGGAATCTGTCCATTATATTTATTGCTAAGAATAATGTTTCAGGTAATAATTGAAATCTTTCATGAACCTGTATTAACCAGTCTAATAACTCGGCTCTATGATGCCATTTAAGTTGAGGTTGTAGATCAATATAGTTTGATTTAGGTGAATATTTCACTTCAAGTTTTCTCATATAAGTAAATATATCTACATTATATTCTACTGCCATAACTGGGTCATAAGTATCTTCATCATTAGAATCAGGTATTGGAGAGAAATATCTCATAACAGCTTCATCTAGGGTTTTTTCAATATTTTTATCCAAATATGGTAATAAAGGTTCAATAACTTCTTCCTTCATTTCAAAATTATCTTCACTTATATATATGTCATTATCTAAATGATTTACACTTCTATGCGTGTCATCCTCAATGCTTTCATCTTTATATATTGTTTTTTTTTCCAATAGTATATTAGAATCTAATGTTTTTTCCTGATACTCTATCTGTTGGTTTCTTAGACTTAATGTATTATTATATTTATTATTATCATTATTAATACTTTTGTTATTAACATGTGTTGTTTTATATGAATATGACGCAATATTATTAGTTGGTTTTTTAATACTATTCTGTTTAATAATATTTGATGCTTGTTTGGATCTTGAATTAGCTCTAGTAGTCACGTCAGCTAATACAAATCTATTTCTTTTTAGACTAGCTGCAGTTGGTTTTAAATAATTTTTTGTAACTGCATTAGCAATCACTCGGCCTTCATTTTCACTTCGGAGACTCCATGATTTAATAGTATTGGAATTCTTTAACATAATATAAAATGCTAGTTATTAGGATTACTTGATATTATATCTTTTTCAGGTGTATTAAGTAGAGCACTACAGATATATAACAAATCTTAATATTTATTTAATGATAAGATTTTTTTTCTCACCTACACAATTTTTCTTCCAACCAATAGTAGGTATTTAATTTTTTTTCCTTATACTTCAATAAACAACTAATGCTTAATGTTTGTATTTACGTTATTGAACTTCATATTTCTCTATATGAACTTTCTTTAACTTAAGCCAAATGACTGTATCATCTTTTGATTTGTTTTGTGACGAAATCTTTGTTTACATCTTTGACCCAAAACGGAAATTTCTTTAAACTAAGTTTCAAATCAAATCTCTTCAAAGTAGAGTTCCTAAAATAAGGAAGGAGGCAAAAAAAGAGGCAAAAATTACTTTGAGACGGTTCCAATAAAACATTTGTAGTAATTTGGTTATTTTAGTGACAGTAGTAAGTATCAGGCAATTATATAATTGAACCAGGGTTTCATTTTCTCAGAAGTATTAGAATTCTAAGAGCACATATTTTGGCGGTCGATTCTTCAATAATCCTGTGTTTTATTGGTATTAGACTGGGGGTATTCAATAAAATACTATCAGTATAGTGATCTGTTTGTTAAATTCTAATATTTATCCCTTAATTTTTATTTAATTGTTTTTTTTTTGATTATACTTTTTTATTTATTTTAACTTTTGTTAAGCTTTTGGTCCTTATGAATTCTGGTACATTTGATCTTGATAATGAGAGGAGTAAAATCTCTAATGCTGCTAATTATTTGAATGAACGTCTTGCTTCACATATGAAAGAGCATGTGAATGCAGAACCACCAAGAATATTAATCATATGTGGTTCTGGTCTTGGTGGTATTTCTAATAGACTAGAAAAAAGTGATCCTCCTATTTTGACTATTCCATATGAAGAGATACCAGAATTTAAGCGTAGTACTGTTCCAGGTCATTCGGGTTCTTTACTCTTTGGAAAAATGCAAGGAACACCTGTAGTATTGATGAATGGGAGATTACATGGATATGAAGGTAACTCAATATGGGAAACCGTTTTTCCTTTACGTGTCATTAATCAGATGGGTCACATTAAATTGTTAATAGTGACAAATGCTTCTGGTGGGATAAATCCAGATTTTAATGCATGCGATTTGATGTGTATTTCAGATCATATTAACCTCCCAGGTCTGGCTGGTTTACATCCTTTGAAAGGACCAAACTTTGATGAGCTTGGCCCTCGTTTTTTACCTCTAAGTGATGCTTATGATTTAGCATTAAGAAAATTATTATTCAGGAAATGGAAAGAATTAAATATTGAAAGACCTTTAAGAGAAGGTATTTATGTGTTTGTATCTGGTCCTACTTTTGAGACAAGGGCAGAGAGCAGAATGATAAGAATGCTCGGTGGCGATGCAGTCGGAATGAGTACCGTTCCTGAAGTTATTGTGGCAAGGCATTGTGGATGGAAAGTATTAGCATTAAGTTTAATAACAAATAAATGTGTTACGGATTATCCTGCAAGTGCATTAGATGATAATCCAACTTCATTAAAAGAAGGAATTGCATCTCATCAAGAAGTCTTAGAAAATGGGAAGATTGCATCTTTGGATGTTGAAAGATTGGTTGAGGCTGTAGTTGGTGATCTTTAATTGAACCTATTTACATTTAAAAGTCTCAATTTTTACTATTATTAGTTTAATTATACAAACACATATCTCTACATATATCGAGCGTATTTCTAATACGTACAAGGGATTCTAAGATATATTCCACGTTCATATTCCGAGGCGTTAACTAATAAAATAAGCTCGATTACTGCTACAAACATAGGTTATATTTATGATAACGAACAATTTGGTTAAATTAATGTAGTCTTAGTATATATGCTATGAGTGTTTATTTATCTTGCCTGCTTATTTTACTGTGTATTTTAAAAATAATTCATTATCTAATATCATATGTAAAAAAAATACCTATTTTATTTGGATTCATTTTTGTCTTAGTATTATTTTCTGGTAATATAACTAGAAATGTAATTTATTGACATATAATATATAGTTGTATTTATATTTATTGTTGTACTTCACCAGCGGGTTCCCAAGTACCTTCCAAGTTTTCCTTCCACAATGTAATTTTGTTATCACCCCCAGAAAGAGCCAAAATATTGCCAGAAAGTGACCAACTAGCCCTCCATAAGACATCAGGGAATTTTTCTTCTTTTAATAAAGTTTTCTCCCATGGATCCTTTGGATCATTCTGCGTCCAGATTATGCATGTTTTATCTTGAGAAACACTTGCAATATAAGAACGTGATAATATTGATGGTGACCATGCAACATCTCTTACCCAGTCAGAATGACCTTCCAATGTGGCTTCAACCACATATGTATTCAATCCACTATCATATTTCCAAATTTTAACCAAATTGTCCGCACCACCAGTAACAAATCTGCGTAACTCTTTGACTCCCTTGTCACTAACAGAACCATTGTTGGCATTAGTAGAGGAAGGATTAGAGGTTGTAATGTTATTAGTACTGTTGGCCATGACAGAATTTTTTTCTTCTTGAATAGTGGCAGGAGCCCAAGAAGCGGAATTGACACCAATTGCATGGGCATCAATAACAATTGGAGTAGAAATTCCATTTTCTTTAAATTCCAAAATAGAAACTTTACCGTCAGAAGAAGCACATAATAACACAATACCGTATTCATGTGGAGCCCAACGAACACAGTTAACAGATGCAGAATGAACAGCATGAGTAGCAATTTGACTCCATCTACCATTTTCTTCTTTCCAAATTATAACTTTACCATCATATGAACATGAAGCTAGCATGATCCCAAATTTAGGGTGTGCCCAATCAACTCTCCAAACTGGACCCTCATGGCCTTGTAAAGTTTCAACTAATTTATGAGAATCCCCATCAACTTCAAAAATCTTGATTGTTTTATCAGAAGAACAGGTAGCTAGACGTTTACCATAGTAATCTAAAACTGCATCATGGATCAGATCATTGTGTGCATTCGTTATTGAAACCATTATATAGGATTAAAAATCAAAGTACAATTATAATTTCTATGTATAAATACTTTAAAAAGAAAGTCAGATATATTTATGTAAATGACAGAATGCAATAGGAATTTTCGTTTCTATTTCTGTCAACACAACTGATTAAAACAATAACAAAAGCAATACTTGTTACTATAAATAGGGAATTATTTTTGTTTGACTCTCCTTCTTTCTCTCTAATAAATTTGGTACGAGGAAGGCAAAAAGCATAAAATTTATCTTGTAAATATTACAATCCACTCTGGTATTGCGATCGTGTATTTGGTAGTATTTGTATTAGTATTTTACAATCATCTTCGAGCAAGTATTTTTGTCTTCTTGTCAACTTAGTTCAAATTCTTCCTCTTTCTATTTTGAATTGTCTTTCTCAAAAATATTAACATTTTTTCTATTCAAAATAAAAATTGTATTATCATTTCAAACGAAGAGACTCTAGATTTATGTATATTCTTAAGTGGGAAAAACAAAAGGAAATAATACAAATATTTCTTTTGGACCTAATTTAATTATATGTATTTAAAGCAAAAAACAAAATATACCCTGAATTTTAATATTAGGATTTTTTTTGCACTATAATAGTGGCAGATTCCCTTGAATAACAGTTAATTATATATAGAGGTTTATTGATAATAGACCTCATTGGAGATCAAAAGAGTGAAAAAAAGAGAGCGATCTCAAGGAAAAACTATTTGGTATTATGACAATAAAGGTATATTGATAAGTTGTTTCAATTACATTTAATATTTTCTGGAAAATGTTTACAAACCACACACACATACACACAAATGTTCTTCTTTTGTTTTAAATAATAGTCCACAAATTCTTTCATTCTTATATATATATATAAAAAGGGCATTGTTTTTAAGTTGTTATATATTATCCATTAATATGTATTCCCATAATATCTTTTCTTTTAGAAAGGGAATGAAAGCAGTATGTCTTAATGATATGTTTAAATTGCAAAATGTATATCGACATTTCCCCATGGATTTTGGTCAGGTACTCCTTGATCTCCGTTAGGGTTTCCTTCTTCATCAGCGTTATTGTTGTTGTTGTTGTTGTTTATTCTTCCATTTATATGAACCCCATTGATGACAATGTTCCATTCGCCTCCAACCCCCATGTGTCTAAAAATAATAATGACAATAAAAATAAATAGCATAAGGAGTATACCGGCTAGGTCTTCAAAAGTAAAACCAAACATATCAAAGACATCATTAGCATCATTATGGCTATCAAAATTTATATCACTTACTTTATGGTTGATCATCCTTTGTATATTATTATATATTTTATCACCATCATCTGCTTCATTTTCAACAATTAATTTATGGTGTAATCGCTTGGCCTTAAACCAGGATTGTATGTAATTTTTTATTCTTAAAATATTAAAACAAAACCTATGCCACCTTATTCTCCAAAAAGTTTCCTTTCCATCGTTCATCCAATCAATCCACTTCTTGATTTCTAATTTCCAAACACTGACCTTCGACGCAAGTAATAATTTATTATTAACAAAATATACTTCATCATAAAATCTTTTTGCCAAATGATAATCCTTAGGTGTACCCAATCCATTTTCATACATATAACCCATATTCCATAATGCTTGTAAGGACTGTCTTCCAGATGCAGCCTGATATAGAGCAAAGGCCTTTTCGTATTCACCCAAATGATAATAAACATCTCCCCCAATGACACCAGCATCTAAGTTGTCTTGCTTGAAAGCCCTTGTGTAATATGAAGCAGCCAAAATTTTTCTTTCCTTTGGGGTGACTGGTAATTCCTCATATTTATACGGTATTTGGTATAATAATGATGCAGCTGATACTTGGGATTGTTCAAATCCTTGTTCAGCGGCAAGGGTATAGTACCATAGTGCCACCTCAGAATTACCTATTAATAATTCACTGAATGCATCTTTCAAATATGGTGCAGTAATATGTTCATTAGTTTCTACGAACTTTTTGTAAATATTCGCAATTTCGGAAGTATCATATTTAGTTTTCATAGACTTTTCAATTAGCTTGGCAAATTCAAATCTTGCTGGAGTGTAACCCTTCCAATTTGCATTCTTCATTAACATAAAGGGATCACCTAGTTTCATTTCTGGATATTTTTCAGATAATTTGGACAATTGATATTCGGCGATACCATTATTACTTCTGATGTGTAGAGCATTTTGGTAATATTTAACAGCTTCAGTTATATTATTGGAGAAATATTGAGATATCAAGCCTAAATCTATATTAGATCTACTGACTAAAGTTGATGGGGATTCTTCCAGTAATGATTTGGACATAGTTAAGAAATATTTTGCCCTTTCAATATCAGGTTTATTCATCCCTTGACCAGTAAAATATAAATGTCCTAATAAATCTAATGAATTGCAATAAAAAAATTTTTGTAAATTATCCATAATAGGAACATCTTCTTTATAATTTGTGTAGACCAGTTCTAATAATTCTCTTGTACGAGTACAATTACGCAATTTAGTGTAAGTACCCCTAAATTCATCCCATGCAGCATAAAAAATGTCAACCAATTGATCACTGCCGTTTTCATTTTCAACATTAGGAGCAAACGAAGATGGTTCATTATCTTCACTAAATTGTAAAACAATATTTCCACTATTCATTTTTGTTAATATACTGGAAGTTATGTCAGGTCTAACTGACTTTTTTCTGACTGTGCTTAGTGGAGTTTGTCGTAACTCAGGGTCTAATAATCCACCATCAAAGTCAGGTAGTCTAATGTTATATCCTTCAATATATGGTGTTACTATATTCCATTCATTATCTGAAAAATATTTAGATTTTAGCTCATGGCTGATGTGACGATATAGTAATAAGGATTTTTCAATATCTGTAGGGACATTGATACCATGTAAATACTTGTAGGCTAATGTTTGTCTAGCCTGTAAATTACCCATATTGGCACTTTTCTGGATATATAATAAACCCTTAGCTTCATCAATGGGTATTTCACCAAGTAATCCGGTCATAAACATTATTCCTTGGTGAAACAAAGTTTCAGGATTTGTATAATTAGTCATTTGGTTAAATTTGTCGATATAATAGAACGCCAGTTTCTTATTATGTGGAAAACCGTATTCTTGATATAAGAAATTTCTCATTAATATGTATGTTGCATTAGCATTCATAAAATTGTATGAGGAATCTCGAAGTAAATCATATAGTTGTTTTTGTTTCAGGTTGTTCTCACTAGTCCAAAATTTATCAAATTTATATTCTTCATATTCTGGAATATAATCAAGTGGGATGGTAAAAGTAATATCTGTATCATGTCCAAAATATAAAGATGGATTACTCAGCGGATGTATTCGTTTTGTCATTGATTTCATTAACTCCTGTGCTTGTATCCACGAAGTGTCTTCATCTATAGCAATAGCAGTGGAAATGACATACAATATGGGAAGAATGGCTGAACAATATATTGTAAGATACCACATCATAAAATTTATATAGGATATAATACTTCTTCTTCTCTCAAACTAATTTGAATTTTTTTTGAAGGGGGTATAATGATTCTTCATGAATAGACAAACAAATATCAAGAAAAGTTTGCATAAACTTTCCAAAATAAAGAGTTGATACTATGTATTTTGTATTTAATATTTTGATTTCGTTGTGTGAGTGTCAAAATTACAATGCCATTGATATGGCGAATTCTGTTAGATAGAAACACATTTAGTTTCCTTAATGGAGTTTAAAGGATGTTTCCTTTTAACAAAAGCTAATACTTGGTAAATTCTCGATTTTTGGTATTTTTTTCCGTATATTTTCTTTTTCTGGCGGAAGAAAGATTGAGATAATTTAAAAAATAGAATTATTTATTTTAAAAGATAAAGTATACAGAGTGCTGATAATGAAAACCGTACAAGAAAGGATATAATTGAAAGTCTAGAGGAGTGTAGAGCTGAAGTACGTTATTAATATGTTAGCTAACATAGATATACGTGTGTTCATACCTACACTGAAAGTTCTGAAACATGGTTTGTGTTTAGTCAATTCTACGTTTCCTTTATAAGTTGTTTTTTATTGTGTGCTTATCTATACTTCCATATTCTTGTTAATATTGAAATTAAAAACATATAATTAAATAGATATATATGCAGATATCTAAGTATATAGTGGTTTTAATCTATAATTCAATTAAGCTAATTCCTTGATCTGGAGGAGCAGATTGTTGAACTGAGTACCCTGCTTGATTATTAGTAAATGGATGTGGCTGTAGTGATGGTAAATACGTATTGGAAGTTTGTTGGTTATAGAGAGCTTGAGTGTTTTGAGAAGAAATAAAATTTGCTTGCTGTTGTATTGGTGGTGGTTGATTGTATGTGGATGGTATCTGCGTGGTGTGAGATTGGTTGAGTTGCTGTTGTTGTTGTTGTGAGCCAGTTACAGCAGATACTGTAGTATCTTTACTATTGTTACTATCGGGTTTATTCTGGTTACCAAAACCATAACCAGTGTAGGATGGTATCATACTAGATGCACTTGGAAGCCCTGTATATTGTGTATTCAAGAATGGATTGTTTTTTGAATCATCATTTGATATTTGTTTGTAACCTGTCCCTTGTGAATTAATAAAAGTACCTGTTTGAGTGTGTTGTGCTGGAATTCTTTGGTTCCCTGTGTTACCAAAAGTGTCAACACCAGTACCTTGAGCTATCAGATTGTTTAGTTCACTATATTGATTTGAAATATCTTGATTTCCAGTTTTAATTGGTTGCAATAATTGTTGTTGTGATTGCTGTGGTGGTAGTGAGTGTGTTGTTATTTGTTGGGGTTGTAAATGACCTGGTGGTGGAATGGTTTGTTGAATTGGAGATTGTACAGATTGCTGAACTGGAGATTGATACAGTTGTTGAGGGGGTGACTGATACGTTGTTTGTGGTTGTGTTTGTTGTGTTTGTTGTGTTTGCTGAATTGGTATTTGAGGTGGAATTTGTGGTGTTGGTTGTGTCATAGGAGTTGGTTGCGAGTTATTCAAGGCAAAAGGATTATTTGAACCAGTAATCATAGGTTGCTGTTGTTGTTGTTGTTGCTGCTGCTGCTCCCATAATTGTTGTTGTTGTAAGGCAGCTTGTTGCTGTTGTTGCAAATTAGCTTGTTGTTGTTCAGTAAATAAACGTTCTTGTTCCTTTTGGATGGCAAGCTGTTGTTCTTGTTGTTGTTGCATTTGCTGTTGTTGCAAGTATTGTTCTTGAGCCAATCTTTGTTGTTGTTGTAATTGCTCCCAAAGTTGTTGTTGTTGTTGATATTCTTGATATTCACTTTGTGATATTTGATTTCCAAACATATCATAATAACCAGTCTGTTGTAATTGCAATTGCTGTTGTTGCTGTTGTTGTTGTAATCTCTGCAACTCTTGTAATTCCTTCAGCTCTTGTTCTTCTTTACTTAATTGTAAAGCGGCCAAGTATTCAGGATCTTCATCATCATACTTGGCCAATTCTTGTCTTCTTTTTTCATCTTCTTCTGCTGTTCTTTTACTTTCTTCGATAGCACGTTGTAAATCAGAATCTGTGTTTCTTCTTGATGGGGTCCTTGAAGAACGGTAATTATTTCTTGGATCGTTATCAGAATAGTCGATATCAGTATTACTATTGAAACCATCATTTGGTCTAGAAAAGTCATATTGTCCATATGGACTATTCTCATTACGATAAAGGTTATTTCTGGTATATCTGCCATTATTACCCCTTTGGTGACGTTTATTAAATCTTCGTTCATATTGGAGTTGTTGATCGTCATTAATTAAATTGACCAAATCAATCGATTTGACCCTAATAATTTGACCTTGATCAAATCCAGATTCATCAAAATATCTGAAGTTTTTCAACGATTTCAAAGTCAATAAATGATCTTTACACCAATAGATACAATTCTCACTACCGAACCTGACCAAATAATCAAGTAAACTTAAGGATTTTTCAATGTGTTTCCAATATTTTGGTTTATCATTTAATCTTTTATCAACAATATCCATGATTTCATAGAAATCCACATTACTATAAGAAAGTCGGGCGATATCTTCCAGAAGGGAAACATGAGGCACTCTATCATCATTAGAAGTTGCATCTCTTACTAAAACTTGCGTCGAAGAGTAGCCCTTCACGACATTTTTGGCAGAACGTACAAATTGTTTTGACATTTTAGAATCGATAGATTTCCTAAATGAAAGATACTTTGCTTATATCAAAAAAAATATTTTATAGAATTCCCTCCTCCTTTACACAATCAGTTATTCGTATATATATTGGTTTTTCTGTTCAATATACACTTACGAAGTGCATGTAGTGGAATGAAGAAATATTTTCCTTTAATAAGTGTATTATAGGGGAAAGTTGTTATATCCACTATGGTTATTTTAAACCATTCCAACATAATATATTCAAACTTTTGAAGTAAATACTTGATTAAAAATTCCTTATTCTACTGATTCTACTTTACCAGCCAAAGGAAGGAACGAGAAAGAGACACCCCTTCCTTAGACAGAAAATCTAGGAAAAAAAAAATAGAAAAAAGAGAGAAAGAGACAATGATAAACTCTCCCGTGCATAGTGATGTTACTTTGTTAAATACAAGGATATATAGAAAGTTCATGTATTTATACATTATATTGTATTATATTTTTGTTATATTACTAAAATAGACAACTATACCTTAATATTCAGTATACTGTGTATTGTTGTGAAATGAAAGAATAAAGATTATTTCAAAATGTTTACTTGTAGATTGAATACCACATATATTGACAAACTTATGAAAATATTTAATGATCTATTTTTTTATTAGAACTTGATATTTTTAAAGTATGCAAAAAAGTAATTCAGTAATAATGCAAAATATTTTATATATTATGATTTTGGGGAATGTTTTTAGGTTAGTCGATGCATAGTTTATTGGATATTTTCACGTGCATTTTCAAAGATGAGAAGATGATTTATTCTTACACTTTTTCTTTTAGAGATAGAAAAAAGAAAAATAAGTTAAAACTGTAACCGCGTTTTTTTCTATATAATAATACCAAGTTTTAATGTAAATAATATATACATGTGTCTGTATTAATAGAAAGCGATTTATTATCTCCTAAGAAAAAAGGAAAATTAAGCAAATTAATATGTACGTATATGCTACAATAAAACTTTATTGTAGTATAATAAATAGGCATGTTGTACTCATATATAGAAAAATTATTAAAATTTTTAGTAATGTTGAATATTTTTACTTACATTTATTCTTCTTATTAAATACTGTTTTGAAGAATTTATTATTAATTCATTTTAATTATTTTAATCAATAAATGTTCTGTATAATTGTAAATAGGGTATAGATGTATTCTTTTGTAAATTATTTGATTTGATTTATACTTCAATAAAAATTTTCATTAGTTGACTTTTTCAATGTGCATATAAGTAGATTCATGTAGAATATCACTAATATTTGAAATACTCTGGTTGTATTGGCTATTTTAGTACATTTTATTTTCTTTTTTAGGAATATTACACAAACATTGGTTATTGGTGTGTTTTGAAACTGTTCAGATACTACCCAGACTCAATGAAAATTTTGTGAACAAATTTTTTTCTCAAAATTAACCTTCTGAAAAGTATAAATAGTCAAGATATAGAAATTAGAAATAATTTCTTTTACTCACGACTTTATATATGTACTACATAGTTTTGTATATAATATATGTATTATTTAATACTGTGAGCGATTACTTATAAAAATACGGTTCATAAAGTTCCATTATAACTTATAGGTTATTACTCCATACCTTTTAAATTTCAACAGAAACGAATTTTTTTATCTTAATAAAGAATTTTTTTGTTATTTGTTTATTTTGAGAGAGTTCTTTTTCCCTATTGGTTTTTTACCTTTTGTTTGATATATTTTAATTTCTAAAAAAGACCTTTTTTTTATTTCTATTTGCAAAAATACTATATATTTGTTGGGAATGAGCGCCTTTATTCATTGGATATATAGTAAACATTCTCAATATTATATTAAACAGATTTAGTATACAAAATTATAATAAAGTTCTTCACTTTCTTTCTTTATATACAACATAGAAATAATAATATAGAAAGATTGTAAATAAGATAAAAATAATGTATGATGAAATTCTTGGCTTTATATATGTTAACATTCAGCCATTTTCCTCTACGAACAGTAAGATATTTAATAAATAAACTCAACAACTTTTGGTGACCTCTCAACAATTATTACTCAACAATTTATCGTTTAGTGTCTGCTAAAATCTTATTGTTCTATCTATTTTATCATAAAACATTCTATTTCAACAATATTAAATTCAGAAAAGAAAAAATATTAGATAAAGCAATAGATATAGACCAAGCAGCCCTGATTTAATATTCTTAAATGTTGAAATATAATTATTAGAGTTATATTTGATAATCTAAATTCATCGTACTAAGTGATTAAAAGTTATGAAAATTTATAGTAAAGAAGATTCAAAGATAAAATGAGTATACTGTATAATATTGTATTTTGTATATTACTTATATAGAAAGGAAAGGACCAAGGAATAACTAATAATACCACCAATATCCTATTGTAAGTTACCTTATCTTATTATATTAGTCTTAAATGAACTCTACTAGAATGTTTGATTCCGAAGCCTTGCGTCAACATGTATAGTTGCTTATAAAAGAGGAATTAAAATAATATATAGTATAGTGTATAATAATTATATATGTATATTAAATATGTGGAGCAAAATAAGATAAACAATACAATAACAATTGATGATACCACTAATATCCTATTGTAAGTTATATTATCTTATTATATTAATTTAAAATAAACATTGATAAAATTTTTGATACTGAAGCCTTGCGTCAACAAAGAAAAATAGTGCAATCCAATCAAGTTATCAAAAATATTCCAAATAACATAAAAACTTAAGATATGAAGTGTTTTTGGAAAGGTGTTATGATATGAAGTGATCAAAGGTTTAGTAATTTTCGGGAAGCGCTAGAAATATCAAACGGATAATCTATTAATAATCGAGACAATAATTGATACAATCGGTAATGCAATTATTAATACGGTCTTATATATTAACGGCTATATCGAGCTTATATAATTATACTATTTGCTTATTGTATTCTGCGTTCGATGTTTGTTGGTTGTTCGTTATATAATATATCTAAATGATGTGTAAGAGAGGAGTGACAGAAGATAGTTCCATCTGCAGAAAACGTTGTCCTTTTATATGTTTTCTGGAACTCGATCAACTATTCAACTTGATATATTAATGAATTAGTAATCCATATCTTTATTACTAGTTACAATAATATAATCGACGATCATAGAACATTTAGGACAATAGGTTATGGTGGCGTAGTAAAAACTATAATGAACACGGTGTACATAAACATAATATGTTATGGTGGTGCAGTAACAAAGATATGTGAACACGCTGTACATTAGGTGGCCAATGGACACGTTGTACTTAAAACACAATAGATCACTTTAGATTCAGGTAGAATCTTACATAATCTCGGTGACATTACCTCTTTATTATAAAATAAACTCTGTTGTGGAATAGAATAGTTATAACCATCAAGATTACATAAGATCCTGAATGAATCTAGAACCAATTAGTGTATTAATAAGCCATACATGTGCTACAACATTAGATGCTGCATAATAAAAAGATTGGATTACATAAGATCTTGGCAAATCTAGAATTTACCTATTGTTTTATTAAGTCCCACGTGTATTACTAATCACCATGATTAGAGAATTGGGATGCAGTTCTAATCCAGTAGTGCACCTAAATTAATATAATAAATTTTAGGGTTTGAATCAGTCAAGTCATTAATGTAGTAATCTGAATAATCGATCGAGCTCCAGAAAACATATAAAAGGACAACGTTTTCAGGAGATAAAAGATCATCTTCCATAATCGTTTCTTGTAAATAATTTATATATTATGTATAAACAAAATAGAACAAGCAAGTAACAAGTCAAGTAACTTCGAATAAGTACATTAGCTCGATATAAGCCGCTTAATATATAAGACCGTTTTAGTAATTATACTATCGACTATAGTTGATTACTGTCTCGATTATTTGAATTACTATTAATATTATTTGCGCTTCCCTGGAATACACAAAGAACTTCACCACACCATACTACAACAAACTCAACAGGAAGTAGGGCGTGTGGTCTAGTGGTATGATTCTCGCTTTGGGTGTCTCATCTGGAATATGCGAGAGGCCCTGGGTTCAATTCCCAGCTCGCCCCAGTTGTTTTTATTTTTTGTGATATATTGATATCATGTTGCACGACGTATAGGTATGATGTAATTTTGCACCGTATTTGTAATAGATGAAAACCCCATTACGAGAGATATACTCTTCTAGATGCTAAAATAGAAAGATATAGCTTGGTTTGTTGTCTATATATGACACATAGACTATACTCTACATAAAGAGTAAACTAATATATACAGATAAACATAGTTATATAAACAAGATAAACAAGAAAAACAAGAGCATCGTCGTCGACCAAGGAGTCCACAAGATCGTTTATAGTGACCTCCGGATTTCATATGTTACAGTATTATTGTGTACTAAAAATCGCATTCTGTAGGAACATCAAGTTGTAAGGAACTTCTAATGGTATTTTGAAGCCCATTGTAAAAAGTACTAGGCAATGTTATAGATAATTGAAAAAAGTAATAGAAGATACATCTTTTTGTGTACTGCCTCTTGATTCTAATTGTTATTATTTCTGTATTCTGAATCCTGTAACCTGATTTAACTATTTCATTTCAGAATCTTTAGGTTTGCATTTGTAATCAAAACTAATGTTATCACAGCTTACCACATTGCAGTACTACAAAATACCAAGTATTCAAGAGTTGTATGGATGAATCAATTTTGCAAGGGATATATAATATATACTATCCTTCATTGTTATGGATAATTTTGTAATCTCTCTATTCAACGATGATATTCTTATTTGTCTTATTTATAAACTTTATATTTATCAATATATTTTTGGAGACTACTCCTTATATAAAATGTCATCTCCGTATCAAATATAGAAAATAACAACTAAAAATTATTTATCATATTTTATACTCTGAAAAAGTATACATACTGAGCCTTTATCTATCACAAGATGCCCCTTTTCCCAGATAACATAAGATGAACAGTTCTTGATCCTTTTTTCTAAAAAAAATGTGTTTTTATCTAATTAAATGTTTACAAGATCGTTCAAAGCGTCATCAGTACAATGTATGTCATATAAAATAAATATATTTAGTGATAGAGTAAAAAAACTAAACTATAGATAAAATAAACAGATAGTTAACATTACATAATTTTTATTTCTTATTCGTCTATTTAACAAGTTGTTTAATCCTTCTTGTAGTAACTTCTCCAGATACTTTAATATATGGAACATTCACAGTACCACAAATAAGTTCTCACTAAACGACAACATTTTACAAAAGTATTTTTACAAATAAATTAAAAAGATATATTACACCTATTTATTCCATGTTAACAAATATCAGGAGGAACATTTCAACAAATTCTTTAAAATGAAAATTATCATCATGAAATAAATAGTTTTCTAGCCTTAACTAATTAAACAATAAAAACATTGGTCAATGTAAATATTACAAGAATATAAACACTCATGTTCTGTGAGAACATGTTCTAAAATAAAAATATATTATATTAAATAGAATCAATTCAAAAAAGTGCAAAATAATTCCACTATAAAATAATGAATAATGTAAATGTTGCTTTAGAAAGTTGAATAAAGCAAATAAAAACACTTTAACACTTTTTTCGGAACTATACTGATATTAATTGAGGCTAATCATTTTTTTTTTATAAAAAAAATTGTTAAGTAAAATATTTGAATTTCTCACTAAGGCAAGGCCTCAGCTTTATTAAGTTTAAAATCAAAATACTTTATAAATAAATAAAAGAAGAAAATCAATTTTTTTTAAAATTTTCTAGATTAAGATACCTAGCTCTCAAAAACAATCAAAATTATACAATATGTGAAAAGTCATTTTCTCTTACTGTATTAAAGTATCATGTTTCCAGATATTGAAAGAGTAGTCGATACAACTATCTTAAGTAAATTAAAAATATCTCAATCAATAAGTGTCAAAATAATATTAGTTTTTCTCTGGTAATAATATTGGAACTAACTGAATTTATTAAAGCAACAGTAACCTAAAATAGTTGCCCTAAGTTTTGACTTTTGTAGTTAACTTTACTATAATAAAATATAATTAAAAGTATACGTTTTGTTAATTTTTTTTTTTCACATCAACATAGATGTACTAATCAAAGAAGAACAAAGAAAGGAAAAAAACAAAAGAATCATGTAATAATTCTCAGCAAAATGTTTTTACCATTACCAAGGTTACGTCCTACGTCACTATTTAATATGAGTAATCTATTAAAATTTCTACAAAACCACAACAAAATGAGATACATTTATTATCAGTTCTTTATTACTACCATGACTGAAGCAAATTAAGAGATCAATACCATTTTCTTAACTGTATTAAAAAGTTCTGTAGTTTACAGAATTAACTCACATGATCTCTTTGTTGGAAAAATCATTGACGGATAGCTCTTTTTAAAAAACCACATAATGTAATTCTCCACACTCGAATTGAATTGACTCCTGAATTGGCACCCAAAAATGACTGCCATTGCATAAAATAAAGGAAGGCTGGTAAATGCTGTAAATTCTGCTATTGTTGGTTGTTAACGACACCGTTGACATGTATATACATTCTAATTATCATCTTATCCTTAATATGTATTCATGCAGTATATGTTCTCTCTTATTTTGATTTTCTTTTCCTTAAAAAAGAAAACAATTGCTCTATTTTCCGGTAAATCCGAATTTATAGATAATATCACCACAGGGAAGATATATAAGGAAATATAGATACATACACATATTCAGCAATAGTTTGTGGACACTATAGTAGTCACTACGATTGAACATTTAATTAATGTTAACAGAAAAAAACGTAATGTAAAACAACAACGATAACAACAACCTTCAAGAAAAAACAATAAAGAAAAATGATACCAGCACCAACCGATACTGAAGCTCTAGCTAATAGAATCAATCTACATACAAGAGATGCTCATAATAAAGTGGATACTAGATTATCCATCAAAATGGCATTTGTTATGAGGCATGATTTTATTTACATTGATATCTTGAAAAATTTTTACCTAATATTTAATACTATTGAACAGAATATTGATCATATTTTGACATATGAATCAAATGATGATCGACTTTTAAAGTCTCGTCAGGTTTTGAAACAGTTTTATATAGATGAATTTAGGAGATCTGAAAATATCTCAAAGGATTTAGCTTTTTTCGGAGTAGATTCTAAACAGTTATTACAGGATAAGATCGAAGAAAATTTACCACCTAAATTAAGTGAATTTCTCGAATATATTGAATATAATGTTAAAAAGGATCCATTAACCGTATTAGCATATTGCCATGTTTTATATTTGGCACTCTTTGCCGGTGGAAGAATCTTTAGATCCTCATTTATGAGAAATATAGGATTTTTGGGTAATTATAAATCTGATTTGTCTCAACGTGAACTAATAATGAGAGCAACTAATTTTTTCCAATTTGACGAATCTGCCCAACAAGAGATAAAATTGAAATTAAAATATAAGGAAAAGTTCGAATTATCAACAAGGAACACCTTAACTGAACCAGAAAAATTGATCATTATCAATACGTCACGAGACATATTCAGATATGTTTACAATATCTTTGAAGAGATTAGTAAACTCAATCGTGAAAGATTACTATCTTTTAAAGATTTCAAAATTATAAGTTTCCTTCTAGATGAATGGAGATATGATAATGATAATAGTAAGTCAAAGTCACTTAAATTGATATTTTTCATTATCAAATATTCATTATTAATATTATCGATATTCATCCTATGGAAACTAATCGGGCTAGCCCAATCTTCTATCAAATAATTGAATATAAAATTGACAAAAAATAACAACAACAATAAGAAAACAGTGTTAATTCTTGTTGGTAATTAATTTCAATATTCATATAACAAATATTTATTTACTCATAGTTTGTTCTATTTCATACAATTTTCTATCTTTTTTTTAAGACATTTTATTGATAAGCATATTAATCTACATATATACAAGATATTGTTATTTAGCACTATATATTTTTATTAGTAATAATAAGTTTAAAATAAAACGAAAGAACATACTCAATTTATTAATATATATAGTGTTTATAATTTTATTACTTCCATTGTTTTTTTCCTCTTCTTTTCATACACAGATACAGATATGAACATGAATATTATTATTATTATCATAACGATATTTATTTTCCTTGATATTTAGCATTATTTCTTTTGACCTTGAGATATTTTTCTTTTTAGTGCTCTCTCTCTCTTTCTCCTTTTTCTTAATTTATGCTTCTTCATTTTCTTTCTTCTCTTTCTTAAAACTGAGTCCAACTGTAAAGCTTCGTTGTTTTCAATAGAAGGATTACAAATACGTTTCTGAGTAACAACATCTATATTTGCAAAGCTTCTATTAAATGTACAATTAGTGGGATCGTTATTACCCTCACTTGCTGATTGTAACCATTTAGAAAATTCTTGCGGTACAGGATTCCTTCTAGGAACAGACCCATAAAGATTCGTTATCAATAGTGACAATACATTATTGTTATAAACAGAATTGTGAGTTAATCCAGTGTATAAATTTCTAACACCATTGATTTTATTCAATTTGGTTCCTAAATTACAGATCCTCTGAATTCTCCCCAAAAAATTTCTCATTTTGTAAGCATCCAAACTGTGACAATGACAAATATAACAACACCAATTAAACTTAAACGAACAAGGAATAAAATAGTAATAGTCTGTTAACTCTGTTGAAATATATTAACAAAATCTAGATATCTTACAGATGCGTATTCACAAAGAGCATCTCATTGAGGTAATGCAACATTCCAAGTGTATATCTAACCATATACATAACAGAAAGGAGGGGCTCCTTTCTATTTCAAGACACATCTCAATTTTATTCTCTTTGCATTTTCTTCTAACCTTTTTAAATTTCAATTTTTCTTCCCGATCCTTCGAGAAATTTGGGGAATTTCCTGTTTAGGAAAGCCTCGGGGAGCTGAGAAAAAAATAAAGAAGAAGCAAATCACCGAAATTGAATTTTACATTGAGAGGATTAAAAGAAGAAGGACTTTAAATAACTGAACAACTAAGCACCTATGCAGTTGAAGATTGAGCTGTTGGAATACCTATGGCAAGTATATGGTGGTATTTTTGTCTTTAAAAGATATAGGGGAATGAAAGAGTGCAGTGACGCAATATAATTCCCAAAAATATATTATTTGAAACCATTTAATTCATTTCGGTTATAAAATTGAACTACACTTGTGTATACCTTCCTATTTTACTTTCTCTCTGTCTCTCTTTCTTCCTCTGTTTTTTTCTTCTTTTTCTTTGGATCCACCACTTCTTAAATAAAGAATTAATACATACAAACTATTCATCTATACAAGGATGTTTTCCACTAAAAGTATGTATTTAGGAAAACAAACGTTGACACCTACCTCTATATCTCTTACTTATTCTTTTTTCTCCTTTAAAATAAGAAATTATGTTTCAAGACGTTATCTGATGGGTTTTGTTAGGAATGCTTTGGGTCTAGAGCCTCCACCATCTCCCACTGATCCAACTCCAGAGAATAGATTTCATCCATGGGATCAATCTCCATGTGAAGCTTTAAGAGAAAGAGCAGCAAGAATCAAAGCTTTGGCACAATGCCCTGTAACTGGGAAAAACGTTCAATACATATGCCCTTTATCTGGTATTCCAACTCATCATTCGAGAGAGGCATGGTCATGTGATAAATATTATCATGATAATAAAATATATGAATTATTGAAGAAAGTTAACATATATGAACATGACCTAAGGAGTGGTAGACCATTCCCTGAATTTGAATTTCCACAAGAACAAGGGTTTGATAGGATGGTCAATATGACTAATTGGGATCTATTTTTTTACACACGAGGATTCTACTCGATGGATACCGAATTTCAATTAGCTGCTGTTACAAAAATGTTAAGTTATCCAATTACCATAGCCTCTCTTTTATCTCAGTTCTCCCCGTATTCATTAAATCCAAAAGGTCCAATAACTTTAGAAGGTCTCAAATCTTTGGCTGCTTTAAGGTATACATTATATTCCAACCAGGGAAACTATAAATATAGTAATGATAGTACCCGTAGAAATAACACTACTTCTTTTTTAAATGGATATGATTCATATAACACCAATTCTTTATTGAAGAATAGAGCAATGAGATTGTTTATTGTTGGTGCAAGGGCCGAATCCCAACTACCTGGTCACGTTTGGAAGCAATTACAATACCTTTTCACAAATCAAAAGTTTGATATCATATTTATCGGGCCAGAGTGTTATTTTGATAAAAATAAACAGGAATACACTAAATTGCCAATGGAATCTCCGCCAATTATAAACAAGATCGATGAATCTTTAAGATTAATCTACTATACAGATTATTTCCATACATTCCACGAATCCCAGGAGTTCTTTCCATATGATCCATATTTTGATTGTTTCTTTACTTTCCATCCCGGGTTTGCATCTCCAGAAAATGCAGACCATTGGGTCAATAAAACTATTCCTGCTTTATTAGACACTAAGTGTGCAATTTTCACCACCGGATTTGATAAGAATGATTTAATGAATGATATGAATCTGTTAGAAAACAAGTTTAGTCCAGAGATGGATATCTTAATGGATCCTATTAAAAATATATTCGGTAGTACTAAATGGGAATTAAATGATTTGAATCCACATGAAGTTTATCGTTTTAATATGTATATTGCTGGATTTAGAGGCAAAAGATATCATACTATTGAAAAATAAATAGGTGCAAGTGATTATCATTATTATTTATAAGCATTATTAATTTTCCATGAGATAAAAATTAGTTCCTTTGAAGTATTTGTAATTAAACTATATTCTATACATGGCTTTTATAATTATCACTACGACATTTATACACAAATATTTATATATAAATTACGTGTTAATAAATAAAAAAAATAAATATTTGTACACCAACAATAAGAAAAGAAAGCAACTTAATTCTTTATGTGTTCTTATGAAAACTCAAGATACAACGCATGGCACTATTTTACTACGGACAATATTATTTGTCTCTTTTCTTTTCTTCTTTATTTATTTTCTTCAAAGGTCCTAGAGACACTTTCAAAGTCAGAAAAACAAGTAAGAATGAAAATAGAAATGAAAGAGATTGACAATCCTTTAAAAAAAAGGGACTCTGTCATAGGATAACAGAAATTACAGTAATAATAATTCTTTATTTATAACAAATATTCAGCAAGGACCAAGTAATTTAGAAGAAAATAATTGGTTTATAAAGGAAAGAAAAGCGAAAAAGACAAAAAAATGACTATAGTTAGATATTTAGTCCCCCGTTTAAATGGTTCTATTAAGTTCTGGAAACCGTTTTCAAACTTAGGTTTTCTTAGGTATTATCATCCTTTATCCTCAGAATATGATCAACAAGATACTCTACTTGAACCATTGACATACAAAATGGGCTCTATTCAATCAAAAGTTTTATCTTATTGTTTGAAAGAGAAAGTTCCAAAGTATGGGTTCACTGAAAAAGCACTAGTGTCTTCAATCAATGATTTAGGTTATGACTCTAGCATGCTGAGTGTAATTGGTAGTTCCAATTCTCCATCCATCTTCCATTCATCAACAGCTGTTATGGAATTATTGAAATATAATTTAGTGACCAAAAGATATAATATGATCGATCCCAATTTACGCCAAGGATTAATTAACAAGAATGATATACCCAGTTTAGAGACTCTTTTATTAAGAAGATTAGAAATGGATAAACAATTGGGTTCCAAAACATTAACTGAACTTATGGCAAAATTATCTATACCAAGCCAATTACTATTAGAAATAGTATTGCCAGAATTATTTAGATTAGCAGATGATATGATTTATTTTTCAAATGAAAAGGACCATACGGATATTGCTTGGTACACAAAAAGATTAGGTGTGAGTTTAACGTACGTTTCAAGTAAGTTATTTATGAGTCAGGATAAATCGAATAATTATGAGGATACAATGGATTTTGCGAAATGGAAATTAAATAAAGTTATGAAATTAGGTGATTATTATAATAATATCGAAGAATATGCTTGGTATACTGTTATGACATCGTATAATTTAATTAAATCCCAATTCTCAAAATATTGATTAGACTGACACTCTTAAAACTGTATAAATATATGATATTATATGATATAATGTTAGATGGTACACCATGGTATAAGTCTCTTTTTTATTTTAATTTATTCCACCATAACATACTATCAATATTATATCCTTTATTTTTGAATTAATGTTATTTTTTTATATACCACTATGTAAATAGTTTAAATAATCAATTCAAGTATATATATATATATATAACTATGATTGACGAGATTGAACCAATTGTGACCTAGCCTTTTCCAGTTCTTCTTGTTTTGTCTTTATATTATTCTCACATCTTTCAATCTCTTGATTGATAAATTCTAATCTCTTTTGCACATTCATGTTAGCTTCACTTGTCTCTACTGGCAACAATACATTCCCAGTCAATTTATATATCTTTGAATCATCCTTCAATGAATTAAATTCCTCTTGAACAATCTTGTTTTCTTGCAACTGCGTCTCTAATTTCTGTCTCGCAAGAATAAAGTCTTCCAATTCACTTTGAATTTTCTGATATTTAGCAGTAATCTCAGACATTATCTTTTATGTTTATATTATGGCCTCCTGTTTTTTTTGTTATCACTCAATTTACTCTTATTTTCAGTCAATTGAACAAAACTATGGAACGGTAGTTGTTATTATCTTTCAGGTAGATTCCTTGTATTCCTACTAATAGTTGTGTTATCACCAATTCTGATTAACCGTATTCAACTGAAATAAAGTTTTTAAGAATCAACCCTACTTTTTCTAGATTTAATTTTTTCATTGAAAAATAAAGGTGGAAATATGCTGGTGAATAATAACATATAGATATATATCCATCCTTCACACACAAACACACACATACATATGTATATATATACATGTAAACATACGCATAAAAGAAAGAATATACCAAACATATATCGATATACATAAACATATATTCAAAGAGCAAAATTGTGTGTTAGGTTTTCGATTAGAACAGCTTATCTTTTAGTTTATATAAATTTAAAAAAGGAAAAGAACAACTTCTATTACAAATCCTACATTCCAATAATTATGTTAGTATGTATCTTCATTAACTTTTTATTTCCCCCCTGATTATTTAGATCATACAAACATTATTTTAAAACTGTTTAAAATTCAATTTTTTTTATTAGTATTATTTAGAATACTAACAATTATATATATTCATGGAATTGTAAGTGTGTATGTGTTGCATACTTACATATGTAAATATACTATCTATTACTATTAGTTCAAACAATGGAGTGACTTTGTCCAACCAAGACATGAATTAGATTCCCCAATAATAACATCCAATGATGAATCTTTACAAAAATCACCATTACCCTCTATTGTAATTGCAAGTGATCTCGATTTTAATAAGTACCAAAAAATAGTTTTGACTACGAAAGTTATGAACCCCTTATTTCATTCAATAAAGTCGATTAGAAGTAAAATTGTCGGTTATATTGAAAGCTCATTGACCATTCCCAAAGAATTATTATCAAAAACAAATGATTTTAGTAGAAATTTAAATCAGAATGTTAATACATTAGCACATTCTTGGGATTATAATGAAAATTTTCCAAACCAATTTGATCCAGATCTAGACGAAACTAATGGAACAACAAAGCAGGATAAACTTGTCCAATTTAAATTCCCGATTGTTGAATTATCAAATGATTATTCCAATAATGATTTCAATACAATATTATTAATTTCGATAGGGGAAAATCTTCTTAAATTTTCCCCTATCTTTTCCAATGTCATTGCTCAAGAATTGATTAGCAAGCTTTCAAATTATTCAAATGAAATAATTATCATTGGTACATCAGATAAAATATATCAGTACAGAGCAATATCTTTAAGTTCTTGTACTTTACAGCTACCTGAGTTTCTTACAGGTGTCTGTGCAAGTCTAATCCATTATTTGATAAATCTTAATATGAATAATTTTAAAGGACATTTTGTGCCGAGTGAAGGTCCTACAGGTTTCGAAAAATTATCAATTACATCAATGGATACACTAATTGATATTTCTATTAATGAATTGATTTCAACTATAGAAACTGAATTGGATATCAAGAACTATAGAGATGAGTGTCACCGTAATTGGAAACTTGATGGTGCTGCTATGAGCACCCAGTCCGGCCTATATATTTAACATACCCTCATTATAAATGCATATATATGATGTAAGCGGTTTCAATTAAAGTAGTTTTTTTCTTTTCTACTGATATTATTAGCACAACAATCGTAATAGTGATGTAAAAAGTAGTTCCAACTAAGTAGATGAGTAAATAAACGTAAACAAAAAAAACAAATTAAGAAAGAGAAAGGAAAAAATATATACTCACTCACAATTAACTGACAAGTAAACAAACGTCACCTTGACGATAATGTGCTTTTTTGCTTCCTTGTAAATAAATTCGTTTATTTACAATAGATAGTTAAATTGTAATAACTCATTTTCTTTACATAAGCTACTAAGAAATAAAAATATTAAAACAATTAAATATCTGTATATTTAAATATATAACCTTCAAATATAAATATTGTAAAACATCCTTTTTATATGATATAGAAGTACATTGTGTATGTATGACCTATTATAGATCAATATTTCAATTTTGTTAATTAGTATAAGTATAAGCTGCTGAGAATTAGCGCTTGTAGTAATTAGGTATATAGTAAACATTCTCAATATTATATTAGATAGATATAATGTACAAAGTCATGATAAAGTTTTTCACTTATTTTATTTATATATAATATGCAAGGATGATTATAAAAGATGAACAAGGAAAGGAACATGATATGAAAAAATGTTGGCTTTATATATTTTCATATCTGGCCTATCTCGTCTACGTACAGCACCAAATTGTCGATAAGGTTTGTTTACATCTACTGATAAGCAAAAGATACATTCTCCACTTTTTGCTTGTCAATTAATGTTTCCTAAAATCTAATTGGTCTATTATTTATTCTAGAACGTTCGATTTCAGCAATTATACTCTTTTTCGTGGAAATCTAAGAATGGCATAGCAATAAATAAATCAAATTTCATTAATAAAAATCTAGAAAGAATTAACATCGAAAGAAACTATGTTCTAATTTTGTGCTTGTCTTGCACATTTTTGAATTTATAAACAATAAATGTCGACTAAACAACAAAATTTACATCTAATATCCAAAAGAAGATTGTCGTAATATGGAGTGGTCAAATTTTTTTGTATGTTTCGGGGAAGCACTAATAGTATCAACAAATATTCAAATAGTCGAGACAGTAATTAATATAGCCGATAGTATTATTACTAAAAATGGCCTTATATATCGAGTGGCTTATGTCGAGCCTATATACTTATTCGAAGTCACTTGTCTTGTTGTTCTATTTATCTTTATATTTAATATATGAATTATCCACAAGAAAAAGTTATGGAAGATGGTTCTTTATCTCCAGAAAACGTTGTACTTTTATATGTTTTCTGGGGCTCAATCAATTATTTAGATTGATACATTAATAAGCTTAGTGATTCAAACCCTAATATTTATTATAATAATTCAGGTGCACTAATTTAGTAATAACTGTGTGACTTATTAAAACAATAGATACTTCTAGATTCACTTAAAATCTTATATAATCTTGATGGTAATAAACTTTCTAGTATAGAGCAGGAAATGTTGTAGAATAAAGAGGCAAAGCCACTGAGATTACGTAAGATTTTACCTGAATCTAAAGTGATCTATTGTGTTTTAAGTACAACGTGTCCATTGGCCACCTAATGTACAGCGTGTTCACATATCTTTGTTACTGCACCACCATAACATATTATGTTTATGTACACCGTGTTCATTATAGTTTCTACTACACCACCATAACCTATTGTCCTAAATGTTCTATGATCGTCGATTATATTATTGTAACTAATAATAAAGATATGGATTACTAATTCATTAATATATCAAGTTGAATAGTTGATCGAGTTCCAGAAAACATATAAAAGGACAACGTTTTCTAGAGCTTGATTGATTATTCAGATTTGTATATTAACGAGCTTAGTGATTCAAAGCCTAAATTTTATTACATTAATCTAGGTGCACTAGTGGATTAGAACTACACCCTAATTCTCTAATTATGGTAATTGTTATTATTCTATTCTACAACAGGAATGTGTTGTGGAATAGAATAGTTATAACCATCAAGATTACATAAGATCCTGAATGAATCTAGAACTATTTATTGTCTTAATAAGCCATACACGTGCTACAACATTAGATGCTGCATAATAAAGAGATTGGATTACATAAGATTTTGGCAAATCTAGAATTTATCTATTGTTTTAATAAGTCCCACGTGTATTACTAATCACCATGATTAGAGAATTGGGGTGCAGTTCTAATCCACTAGTGCACCTAAATTAATGTAATAAATTTTAGGGTGAATCAGTCAAGTCATTAATGTACTAATCTGAATAATCGATCGAGCTCCAAAAAACATATAAAAGGACAACGTTTTCTGGAGATAAAAGATCATCTTCCATAATCGTTTCTTGTAAATAATTTATATATTATATATGAACAAAAAAGAGAACAACAAGCAAGTAACAAGTTAAGTGACTTTGAATAAATATATTAGCTCGATATAAGCCGCTCAATATATAAGACCGTTTTAGTAATTATATTATCGCCTATAATTGATTACTGTCTCGATTACTTGAATGACTATTAATATTATTTGCGCTTCCCTGGAATACACAAAGAATTTCACCATACCATACTACAACATAATGCCGTACGAATGGTTCCTTGGCCCAGTTGGTTAAGGCACCGTGCTAATAACGCGGGGATCAGCGGTTCGATCCCGCTAGGAACCATTTATTTTGTTTTTTGTGATATATTGATATCATGTGGCACGACGTATAGGTATGATGTATTTTTGCACCGTATTATTGTGTACTAGAAAATCGCATTCTGTAAAAACATCAAGTTGTAAGGAACTTCTGATGGTATTTTGTAGACCATTGTAAAAAGTACTAGGCAATGTTATGGGTAAATGAAAAAAATAATTAACCTGATTTAACTAGTTCATTTCAGAATCTTTAGGTTTGCATTTGTGATCAAAACTAATGTTATCATAGATATATTATCCTAATATCACTGAAGATAATCTTGCTTAGTAACCTTTCTTTTTTTTTTCTCCTATTGATATCTTATATCTGCCAACACATATGAATCGTTATACAGTTCATTGTTTACATATCTTTTGTGGAAAAACCGAACAATTATTATCTATGTGATTTATTTAATTAAAATAGGTATATTTCTTTTGGTACATTTCTTTTTATTACAGATTCTAATTTTTTAGTTCTATCAATTATTCAAGAATAGATTAACACTTTAAAACCAAACTCTTTTAGTTGATTGAATGAACAAATATTCTCTTTGTATAATAGGAGAATACTTTTGTCTTTTGCCTCTTATATGAAAATATTATTAAAAGTATAATAATAATAATTATTATTTCTAACTGAAGTTATAAATCGAAATATCACCCTATCTTGTAGGTTTCTACATAATTATTAATTGTACCCATAACATGAAAAGAGAAGCCCTAGAAGCCAGTTATTCTTCTTTTTATATGCTTACGCAATTAAGGAATAATCTATTCTTTTCTTATTTCCCATTTTGTTTAATACATACCCATCTTAACTTTTTTTTTTTTTGCCAACTTATATAAAGATTTTGTAAAGTTTAGTCCACCTTTTATCCTTTATGTGAAAATAAAGCAAGATTAAGAAATTTTTAATACTAATAAATGTAGCACTAACATCAATAAACATCATAGCATATAAACATATATATGTTAAAATATATATATAAGCATGTGCTTTCTCAATTTAAACAATATACTACAGGCATATTTTTACTTTGCATACACCATTTTTAATCTATAAAAGATATATTCTTGATTAATAGAATAGTATCAAACCTTAATGCCCTTATCTTCTTTATTATTTTTTTTTTGAAGAGAAAAGGAAAGCTATTTGTTCATTTTATTATTTTACCTTCTAAATACATCTAAAAATTGTTGACGTAGGGGGCGTACAGGTTCATCTCCGACTTGATCATCATTTTCTTCAAATTGGTTATTAATGCCATTATCCAATCTATTATTATTATTATTATTATTATTATTAGTGGTAATAGTAGTAGTATTGTTATTATTACTGGGGAAACTTGTTGTTGATGCACTGTTATTTATATTCATTAAGGAGTCTTCAAAATTATTGCCATATTCTTCCTCACTTATCAAATTTTGTTCCTGGGCTAACACTGTTTCATTAGAATTTTGTGTTCGAATATTTTGATTTATTCTAGATTTATTCTCTAATACATGTCCCATAAAAGGTATTCTCCAATGATCTAAGCCTAAAAATATTTTTTTATCAATCAGAACACCTGTGATCCAACTGATGAATCCAACAAATAGACCAATTACTCCGTTATTTAAAACAAACAATATAATCAATACATCAATAATAAATTGATCGGATAATGTCAACAATATTTTCTTTCTATTTGGAATTACGTCTCTTTCACTAGACTCAGAATTTGATGTACCCATACTAGTTCCTTTCCCCCAGATATTAATAGGTGGTGCAAAAAGCAAAATTTGAAAATAGTAAATCTTTGGTGTATACTGTTTATAAAAGTGGTATAATCCTAGCATTAATGGTAGTGGACCAGAAGGTAACCTATTCCAAAGTTTGACTCCGAATAGATTTGGAATAAATATATTAGTCATCATATTCAAAAGAAGGATAATTACCGTGGTATGGCACCACAATAATGATAATAGATTTAAATATTTATAAGAACCAAACAATCTTTCCAAATGTCTAAAGTTGTACCATATTAAAACCAATAGTATTACATCACTCTCATTAACACATGACAATTGAAATGTTAAGTATCGGTAGTACTGATGATACTCACTGATAAACGGATTAAAATATAATAAAAAAATATATTTTATATCTGTAACTGCCGCAATCACAGGGACAACCACTGTGGTAATCATACAAAAACGTGTTATTGGATAGTCATTTAATCCAACAGGTGCCTCCAGAGACATATTTCTTTTATGTACCTTGATACTAGTGTATAATTGAAAAATTGCGTTCCAAGTTTATGTATAAGTATATTTATTAAATGATTAAAAAATCTCACTTATATGGTTTCAAAATGGCATCTACTAATCTCAAGGCCGTTCCTAGAGTCCCACTTTACCCAAGTAATAGCATGGCCTTGTACACTTATGTGGTGACTACAACATACAAGTCGTGCTTATGACACCTAATAAGTAAATCAGTAGAATATATAAAAAGGGAGTATCCCACTTCTTATGTGTTTTTAATTTTTCCACAAAAGAAGAAAACTGCAAAGTTTAAACCCTAATATAAACCCTAACGCTCTGTCTAAGATGTCTTAATCATAATTTGTCGATAATCAAGAAGAAGAAAAAAAAGAAGAAGAAGAAGGCATATAATACATACTATAAGGGTGAGTATTGATGTTTGTGTAAGGGCTGGTGCAGAGGCAAAAGGGTAACAAAAGAAGGTCCAGTTTATTAGTTTGAATGATATCGTCTGGGGAACAAAAGGTGATAAATTTGCTTAAACTTTAAAACCGTTGTTCTCTCTAATATAATGACTGCTAATGATATCGACTATTTAATTAATATTTTACATAAGAAAGATATACAATTTGATAAAAAGGACAAAGACAATATATTAAATAATCTGGTTTATTATGTCCCTAGAATCAGAGATGCTCCACAATTAGAACTACTCATATCCAGTCTTTTCCATGTGGAAAATGTCACTTTGCTAAACGATCCTTTCCAATTACAAGAGACTGTTCAATCAATCTTTTTGTCAAAGCTTTCGATCTCGGAACCAACCGTTTCGATCTCTACGTTTTACAAAATATGGGATTCTGTTATCGACAATATGAATAATAGATGGACTCTCTCAACCTTGGCGATGTTAAGTGGGATCCTTATTACAGAAAACGTATATGAATCTCTTCAAAATAGATTCTATATGGATGATCAAAGAAATACACAAAAGTTATATAAAAAATGGAGAGAAACATATTTTATACCCATTATCGTTCATACATTAAATTCCTTCCTTAAAATGTCCAATACAAATAAAAGTATTACACAAAATACGGATCTTATAGATTATTTGGTAAATTTATATTCTACAGTGACTTATTTCATGAATTTTAAAAGTAATAACAGAATTTTGCCTTGGAACTTGATAACAGAATCTTCGATTAGTATAATAATCAAATATATGACAAATGCTTCCAAATATCCGGCCTTTCTCAATAAAAGGATAAATTGTATTGCATTAAATCTACAGAATTGTATACCCCATACAGATGTAAAGTTGATTAGACAGGTACTGAGAGATTTGAATTATCAATGTAAAGTATTATCTCACAATCAACAATACGGTGATACACCAAACATATCATATTCTAATCGTTTCTTTTCTAATATTTTACTTACTTTGACATTAACATTTAAATCAATATTAACATCTAAGACAAATATTTTGAACAATGAAAATTCATTAGATAAAGATGATATCCTCATACAATTATTGGAATCTTTATTTTATTTACATTTCATTACATTAGATTTTGGGATAATAGGTTTCCAAAGTTATGAAATAGTTTACAATATTTTATGTTTAGAAATAATAAAAATCTGTAATAATCACCCTTCAAAACAATATTTTAATTTAATTCTGCAAAAATTATTGAGATGTAATCCAAGGAACGTAAAATATCCTAATAAAGTTTATGATTCCAAGATAATTTTCATTTTAGATTTCATTAAAAATACAATAACTGCAATTTGTTCATCTAATGTAAAATTGGCTATACAATCAGTAATTGAACCAACAATTTTGAATAATACTTTGAATTCTCCATATATAGATATAAGAGAAGTATCACACTCAGTAATTATTCATTTGTTATCAATGATGACAACAGATTCGGATGTACGACAATGGCAATTATCCAATATCTTACCGTATGCAAACCAGTCCTTTGATCAATACATTGAGAATTTACTTACAGAAGAACAGCTATATATTATTGCACAAAGGATTGGTGGCTATGTTCAATTATTATCCATATATAAACATGATTTTCAAAGAGAATGGTTACATAACATATATCGAAGACTGATAAACTTAACTGTAAATAGTAATATTACAAAGATAAAAATGATTCAATTACAGACTACATTAATAAAATGTATTATTTATCAAATACCTTACATTAATGCAAAATATTTAAAGAATTGGTTAGAGAATATTGATGAACTTTCAAAAACATTACTTTTTGACAAATACCATTATAGTGAGATAATAGATACATTATGGGATGTAATAAGTGAATCAAAATCTGATATTGCCATTAAATGGTGGTATTCAAGAAAAAATAGTAGCGTTGTACAGTCTTACCTGTAGGATATTCCTGGAATTGCAGAAATATGATGTATTCATAGAACATAACCTGAGCTATTTCTATCAAGATATTTTGAATATCATGGATCATCTACATTCATATTCTTTATTATTCTTTAATTAATATTTATTGCCATTAATATTTTGTACCATGACTTATGACTAGATGACATTGTATGTTAGACCCTAAGTATGCTTGTCTTATATACCTGTGATTTTTATATATAATTTAACAAAAAATAGAAAACAGATATCAATAGGAAATAAAAGTTTAAATAGTATTCAGTCATTCTTGTAAGTAAATATTCTTATATAATGAATAATGATCTAGTAATGAAACTATGTAAAAATAGGTACATTGTTGACTTTTCTTTTAAATCTCCCAGCTAAATATCCTCTTTGAAGAACAGATGCTAAACGGTCCAAGTAACATAAACTAAGACTATAAAATAACAAGATCTTTTACAAAATGAATATATACAGACCAATCGCAAAAACAAGGTATTCTGGAATGAGATATATTAACCAATGAGATTTTAATAGTTACTAAACAAAAAAATGCTAGGATTTTATCGTCTAAACATCATTAAACGTCGATAGAACGTTTTTGCTAATCTTTTTACCATTTGTAGAGGAAAACAATATAATATATACATATACATATACACATATATATTGTTTTGGATTATGGAACCTTACAGAAAAAAAAATATTTTTACATCAATAGACTCTAAGTTCATTTGTCAAACAACAAACAGTATCACTGACAAGAATGTATTTTGTACATCTTAGAGGAATAGAGATCATTATTAAAGCTTCTTATTACTGTTGCTCTTGCTAAAGAATGTGTCATAATTATCGACAATATAAATTATAAGTAAAGATACATCTACCTCTTGCAGAAAAAAAATTTTTTAATCAGGATATTTTCTTGGAATATTTTGGTTTGTGCAATTCCGTCCAAATCTTCTGCTTAAAAGGCATTATCCCGAAAAAAAAATAAATAAACATAAGAAATATTGTTCAATTTGATCTGATCCACTTCTTACGTAACTTCAGTATAACATTAACCCACTTCAGGCCATATTCTAATTGATTTCGGTGGAAAAAAAAGAAGTATATTGATCAATATTCGTAATAATAATAGGAATAAAACAGTCAGAAATTCCACAACATTTCTTTAAACTGAACAGAAAAAAAAGAAAATATGAAATAAAAGACTAACATTGCATCTAGACATCACATTATATGCACTTTAGGTCAATATCTACCACATCATTTATAAGTTATAAGGTACGGAATAAGAAAAAAAAGAACGATAACAAACAATGTCTTCTACATCATACGAATTCCAGGTAGAAAGTTTCTTATCTAATAAGGAATTAAACAATCAATCAGTATCCTTAGTTATTCCGAGGATTACAAGAGATAGAATACATAACATGCTATATTATAAAGTCAATTTAACTGCTAGTTCATTGAGAGGTGATACAATATTAGAATTATCTAAAATAATGATTAGAGATTTAGGAACTTTAAAGGGGCATTCTATTAATATAGTCCATATGTTAGGTGGTGTTGAATTTAAATGTTTGTTAATGAAACTAATAGAAATAAGGCCGACAATAGATCAATTATTTGCTATTTTTCAATTAGCTAAGTACCAAAATAATAATACAAAGTATGATTCATTTGATGATAAATATATTATTGCTTTGTTGTTAGTCTATATTAGAGTACAATATTTTTTTCTTAGAATAGATGACCCAAGAGCGATAAAATTTCATAAATTATTTAAAAATTTTATAAATGATTTCAGAAAATTAAAATGTATGGATTTTGAAGCTGATTGTTGGTCTCAATCACAAAATATAACTGTATCAATAAAACATATGGACGAACTTGTTGACTATTTAGTAACCGAAAATCAAATATGGGGGATTCCACTTGGATCATGTCGATGGTGCAATATTTTTGTCGAAGAAAGTGATACAGATTCTAGCTTAGATTCTAGTTCAAGTTCTGAAAGTGACTTTGACTAACTCGATTTCAAACAGGCATAGATGACCCTAATCAGAATATGATAAAAGCAAATAGATTTTAAAAGAAAGACCATGAACTTTTAGTTATATTTTATGAACAATAGTCCTTCTAGTATGGCTCTAAAGAATGAAAAGAAAAAATGATACTATTAAGTTCATCCAAAAGAAACATTCATCAAAATTGCCTTCACAATGATATAGAAACTATAAATCTGTTTCGAACTAAAGTTCATACAAATATATATATATAAATGTATACATACATACTCAAGCATATGATGCAAGGGATTCATTACAATTGGTTTTTTTTATGTAATATTCAGCCCTAAACGGATAATTCTTGAAAGGATTTTCCACTTTTTATTCTCAATTAAATCGCTCTTTCATCACTCTTTGCTTTAAATAAACAACAAAAATAAGTAAAACTCCTTTAATTAAAAAGAGTAAACCAATTAAAAAAGAGCAGCAATATCTATTAAAAACCGTCCTTTTTGTCAATTACTTAAATAACATTTTCTCTTTTAAGAAGAGTTACCTGTGATGAATTTATCTTTGGTGTGTTGCTAATCGAAGCGGGAACAAAAGGTTGACTATTAATATTAAATTTGGAACTTATAACACCATTGTTTTGCGGAATCTTTACTTCTTCTTTTTCTTTTTCTTTCTCCTTCTCCTTCTCCTTCTCTTTCTGTCTTTGTAATCTCATTCTCTTTTGTAATTCTTTCTTACCTGCCGCTTCTAAAATCACTATATTATTATTCTTACTCTCCTTCTTGTTTTGCTTTTCCAATCCATGCTTCGAATGAAGATTATCTTCTGAACCATTGGATGAATTCTTTGCCTTTGCCTTTTTCTTTCTTCTTTTCCCTTTCTTTGCAGAACTCTGACCGTCTAATAAATCATTTTTCTTCTTCTTCTTATTTTTATCCTTATTCTTTTTCTTCTTCTTTTTATCCTTTTTCAAAGCCCCAGCTAATTCAATTAATGCATTCTCTCTCTTCTTTTCAATCCCATCGTTGACTCTTTTCTGTTTAATCAATTCTTTATTTAAAGGTCTCAATAAACTGATGGACCCATCAAGTAAATAATCTGAATCCTTTGTAGTCTCCAAGATAGATAAAGATTTCAAAAAAGTTTGATATATTTTATCATTACTTAAAGTACCTTCTAAAGATTTCCCATTATTACTATTTTTATTAATTGATTTCAAATTTTTGGGAATAGTTTCATCTAAATTTTTAATATCTGCCTCAACATCCCTGTCTCTCGATAAATTCTTCACATATGAAGTCATTCTAATCCTTGGTTTCATTGCAGTATCTCTATCGTCAACAAATACAATATTAGAAATATTCTCAGTAAAAGTAACTAGTTGTTTCATATTTGAAGATGTGAAATAAGCTCTTGAGTACGTCGGTTCATTGAAAGCTTTTATAGAATAATGACCCTGGACAAAGTAATAATCCACAATTTGATATTCTTTAACAAAATTTTCATTATGCAACGCCTTTTTAATTTCATTTATAAAGGAAATCTCACCTAGATTTGGTGGTAATAGTCTTACAACAATTCTAAACTGTATTTTACCTGAATCTTTATTTCTGTTTCTCCTCCTCCTCCGATTACTATTATTTCTTGAATTTTTTTTACTTGTATTACCATAAGATTTTGCCTTCGATCTTGATTTTGATTTCATTACTAAATTTTTATTTGATTCATCTTGAAACTGTTTATTATTCTTATCTTGTGTGTCTTTTTTTTTTTGATCATTTAAAGATCGTCTTTTATCATTACTACTATGGCTGTTATTATTACTCTGTTTCTTTCTTTTCTTATTATCTAGATCTTTACTATTTTTACTCTTTGTGGGATTAGTATCCTTTTTCTTATTTCTAATCTTTGTAGTACCAGTCTTTTTATTCGCATTACCGTTAGCAGTCATTTGGGAACCCTTTTCCAAAGAAACACTATCTTGCTCACGATCTTTTTTACCCTCACTAGATTTAGAATTACGATTCTGCTGTGAATTCTTCATGGTAGAATTTTTAGATGTATTTGCTGACTTCAGATTGTCATTGCTGCTGTTGGTATTGTTTTCCATTATTATTAGGCCATTGAAAACGTATAAAGTCACAAAATAACTTAAAACAAAAAAAGGCAAAGGTACTAGTAGACCAGTCTAATACACAATCTTCTCGAGGTTCTTTGTGTGACTATTGATTCCATCTAACTGCCCTCTCTTTCTTTATGTCACTGTCACAATCAAATGTTCATTGTTAGTGTCCCAAAATATTCTCTTGCTAGTTTTTAATCTTTATATTTTGAAAAAAAAAAATTTTTGTTCAAAAAAACTCTGACAGGGTGGATGGGTTTTAAGCTAATTCTTTTTCGATAATATTGTTAATAGATAAAGTACCCAGACAAAGAAAGACAAAGAGAGAAAGAAAGAGGGAAGTGTATCACAGGAATACATAGTCTTATTCATTAATATCGATATGAAGAATTCTATTACATGATAGATAGGCACTATCCAAATCTACATTACTATTGACGATACTCCAGGCTAAGTGTGCTCATCTTTGATTTTGGTTTCAATTTTGAATGAATTAATGACAATGCAACAATATACTTTAAATAGTTTCTATAACGATATTTCAAATAAAAAATTTCAAGTATTAAAATTGGATCTGTCTAAAAACGGATATATTATAGCTGCCTTACAATCACAACTGTACTCAAGGAGTTGTGATAAAAGTACTCATGATGATGGTTCTTCTCATTATGATACTCAAAAACTACAAGACATGGTAGAATCCAACAATTTTTATTCTGGCAAGTGGACAAGATTTAATATGATGATAGTATCATTTCTAGAATATTGTCAAAATATTGATCCATGGTCATCTTGGAATAGTTGTGATGTTATTTTCCAATTCTACTCAGATCTAAACAATTGCATCCTAAATGATACTTACCCTGTTGATGAGTTAATTGATATTTTTATAGAGAATACCGAATACATTATACCATTTGCTGAGCTTTTAGATTCTAATTATAGATATTTACAGATCAAAAAATTCCAGTTTTTATCTTACACTTCTTCCATTATATCAAAAACTTTTAATAGTATTAAATCCCAACATCCTAATTCCAGTTCTAACCAAAATCATAATACTATATTAAACCAATCAAATTTCACAATATCAAAGAAACAACAGATATTATTATATTTAGTGAATAAATTAAATAACATATATTTTAAGATTCAATCGCCACAATTATGTTCCAATATTTTCAGAAATTTTAGACCGAAGAGTTCAATTAAAAATTTCAATGAATACCCAGTATGGCAACAGATTGAATACCGTTATCTATTAGGTAGATTTTATTTACTAAATAAGAGGGTCTCAAATAGTTTTGTACAACTGAATACTTCATTTAACTTACTTTTCAAATCTTATCAAATCATGAATATTCTCGATGATCTCAGATCTAAACGAAATTTGCAAAGAATCTTAAAATATTTAATACCATTAGGTATAATTATGGGTAAATTACCAAATTTAAACTTTGTTTCAAAATTTTTGATAGATGAGGAGAACAATTTAAATTATAGAGAACTGCTTCAATATGTTAGAAGTGGCAACATTTTCATGATGAACCAATGGTTAAAATCTAATGAAATTATATTAAGGAAAAGAAATCTTTTTTTAATTTTACTGGAAAAATTACCCATGCTAACATACAGATATTTATTACGAAGAGTTATTCAAATTTGGTCTATTGAACAGCAATTGAATCGTTTACCATATGATATATTTGAAAAATGTTTGAAAGTATCCATTCAAGACAATGACACATCTGATAACATTAATATATTCAATAGCATTCATAAAAGTAAAAATGTGGAAAATATTTTGGTCACTTTAATAAATTTAGGTTACCTTCGTGGAAATTGTTTCCCATTACTACAACTTTGTGTATTTCAAAGAACCACAGACATAAATAATATATTACCACCAATAGAGAATCGAATGCTGAGCATGTTCCCATTAAACCACGAAGATTCATGGTTAGATAACTGATTCTATATATATATATTTATATATGTATAACATATAAACACTATATCATATGTTATACCTTTTACCTTTTCTTTAAAGTTATCTCATTAGAATTGAACGTCAATGAATTGCTATGACTATGGTTAGACAAAGAATCACTTGTAGGCACAAGTTATTGAACGTCACTATTTATAATACTGGAATGTGATAACGTAGTAGAATTATTAAGAATATTGAGATTATTATTATTATTGTTGTTGCTGTTATCATCGTTATGTGAAACTTGAGTTAAATTTCTTAGATTTTTTTTCAATCTTACATTTTCAAAAACCAATTTTAAAATTACTTCAGATGTAACAGCTATATGATCTACAAGTGAAACAGCCATTGATTTTGGACCTTTAATTTCTTTAAGAAGTTCTAATAATTTCAATCGAAGTTTTCTATAATTGTTAATCTTTGTAATTGTATCTTCTCCTAAATCTTTATCAGTAATAATACATGTCATCTTTTTTAATATAGAATCAAAATCTTGTCTATTCGAAACCGTCTCTTGTCCAGTAACAGTCTTGCTAAATATATCCAATTGCTTTTGCATATTAGTTAACATATATGTTATATTTGTAAATTGTTCCAACTCACTAGCATTTTGAATCTCCAGTTTTCTTTTTAAAGTATTACTGTTTTCAATAACAGAGCCATTCGATACTATAGTATCATTAGCTTTCAAAGTTTCAATATCCGTAGAACGATCTGTATCTACTTGTGTAGATTTCGTTACTTGACGTAATAATCCAAGTCTTTTCCTTAATCTATTCAAGGTGCTTTTACTAAAAGTTTTAGGGAAGCTTAGATCACAGTTACTACTAGTACTAGCATTACCACCATTACTACTACTACTATTATTATTATTGTTGTTATTATCACTAGATGAAACTGTTGAGGGTAGTTTAAGAAGTGTAATTAATTGATTCAATAGCTCTTCCAACATAGTAATATCAAAAAACTGGAAAAGTGGTTCATTGTTTATAATTTGATATGAATTTGAATCTGAAAAATCTTCCTTTAATAATTTAAATAGTATTTGTAAAACAATTAAATGCCTATTCAACTGATCATTCTGATCACTATTATTATTATTATTGTTGTTGTTGCCATTTTCTTGCATTTGTTTTTGGTGATGAATCATATAATTTAGAGCGCTCAAATCTTCCTGCGTTATATGTGATTTAATAAGTGCCAAATTAATTAAATCTTGTAAGGATTTGTTTGATATAAGCAAAGTTTTATCCGGATATCGTTGGCTGAATTGAAGTTTCAACACATTTAAGACATTTTGCAAATATTTAAATTCAACATCATTAATCAAAGACTTTGTCTGTGGCCCATGTATTGCAGAATTCAAATGTTTACCAGTAAGATGATCATTAAAGGACTGTTTGGGTATCCCAAAATATTCGGCTACTGCTCTAGACGAAACTTTAACTATATCAAAGACCCCTTCTCCCTTTTCCACACCACGATTATTTGCATAAGTACTGTTATTAATTCTATAAAAATCCGTGGCCAATTGTACAATTTTCTTTTTCTTTTCTCTTTTCTGTAAACTAGTCAATCTGGTATCCAAATTAACGTTTCTATAATTTAGTTTATCTTTATTAAATAAGATTTCTGGATCAGTTAAGGTTACTCGTTTATCTTTAAAGTAGCCAGGTATAATAACCATGGGATAATCATGGAGTGGTATATTCTTGGTAAAATTGTCATTAGTAGTGCTAGTAGGCTCTTTATTCAGCATTAGATTTAAAGAAGACCCTCTGGTAATAGTATTATTATGATTAAAATCCATATTCATTTAAGATATGATATAGGAATCAGGGAAGATGAACCATCAAGCAGGTAAAAGAAACAAGCAAACAAGCAAACACAGATATAATAACCAAAGAAAGAAGACAACAAAAAATAAAAAAAATATGAGGCAGTTCTTTCATTTCATTGCATTCCAATGATTTTTCTTGATCCATCTGTCGCAGAAAGATGGACCGGGTAGAATTTTTTTTCACTTAGTCTGGGGTTTTTTCTGCAGTTCTTCTATTCCCTCCCTCAAACCGGTAAGTAAAAAGAAAAAAAAAATGAATAAATAAAAAACAAATAAACAACTCTAAAAGGTGTAAAAGGAGAGAAACAGAGAGAACAACGAAACTAAAGAACGATTCAAATAAAAAAAAATACAACTAAAAACATTGTGTAGATATATACTTGCGTAATATAAACATTTTTTACAAACATATATATCTATCAGTTTGTTGTGTAACAGAAAAGAGAAGTACATACATACATACATATATATATTAAGAGAAAAAAAAGGGAGAAAGAAACAGATTAATTGAGATGATGTTATTAAGAGTAAGAAATAGATTAATACTGAATAGTTTAGGAAATCAACCTAAAAGAATTTTAATCAATATGTATCAATTTAACAGATTATCTACTAAAAATAGAAATAATGGGCATGATGACACTAATAAGACATTAAGTCCAGAGTATGATGAAATTACACATTCAAAACTTATTGAAAGAATCAAAATACCACCAATTAAAAGAACAGATGAATCAATCGATAAGATGAGGTCACGGTTGATTTATCAATCCAGGAAAAGAGGTATACTGGAGACCGACTTACTTCTATCAAGCTTTGCATCTAAATATTTAAAAGCGATGAATTTAGATGAATTGAAAGAATATGATGAATTGTTAAATGAATTGGATTGGGATATTTATTATTGGGCCACTAAAAATTATAAAACTAGTAAAATACCTGACAGATGGGTAAATTCAAAGATTTTACAAAAATTACAAGATTTTGCAGAGAACAGAAATAAGGAAATTTTAAAGATGCCAGATTTAGATACATATTGAAATACTCACCATAATATATATTTTTATATTACTTGTAAATAACAATATCTTATAAATAAATAACGTATATTCACGGTAATATACAACAACACAAACAAACCTAAAGCAAGCATTCGATAGATTCTAATATTACTGCGTATTAGCCATCGTTATATCACCTTTATTACCGTTATTATTGCTATTACTATTATTACTGTTACCACTATGTAATTATCTCCGTGGAATCTGTCACCCCCTTTCCCCTTCTTCCGTTTCCACGGAAATGCCTCAAGGGGAGGGGGGAGAGGAAAGAAAAGCGGAGAAACCACACACACGCAGAAAACAAACAAAATAAACAAAAGAATTTTGCAGGAAAACCGGAAAAAAACAAAAGAGAACAATACAGCAAACGAAAAAACAAACAAAGAATCGAAAACTGGATTTTCTTTGTTCTCCTGTGGCTAAATAATAGATCGAGAGTGGCTTCTTTCGAGATCAGGGAGTGTTCGAGAAGAGACCCCCGCACTTTTTAATGGTTGACTTCTTTTGAATATGCAGTATTTTATACATCGGTCATTAATAGCCAATGTTCATATGCAATAATCCAAATATATATATATATATATACAGAGACATGAGAATAAATACAAATACAGAGTAAGGTTACAGAATATACTATTTATTTTATTAAACCTAATATTTAAATGTGATTCACAAATAAAACAAATCAAAACAACAATAACTACACACGTATATTATTAGTGATAATAACAACAATATCAACAACAAAAGTAAAAATGAGAGCTTTAGCATACTTTGGAAAAGGTGATATCCATTTCACCCACGAGTTAAAGGAACCGCAAATCACAACTGCAGACGAGCTGGTCATCGATATTGCGTACTGCGGGATCTGCGGCACGGACCTACATGAATACACCGACGGGCCCATCTTCTTCCCCAAGGACGGACACAGACACGAGATCAGTGATAACGAGCTACCGCAAGCGATGGGTCACGAAATGGCAGGCATAGTCAGAGAAGTGGGTCCAGCGGTCACCAGGTTCAAGGTGGGTGACCACGTCACAGTCGAGCCCACGGGGACCTGCAGAGACAGGTACCGCTGGCCAGAGTCCCCCAACGCTAACAAGCCCAAGTGTGCTGCCTGTAAAAAGGGCATGTACAACACCTGTGCACACCTGGGGCTCATCGGTAACGGTGTGCAGAGCGGTGGGTTTGCAGAAAGGGTGGTCATCAACGAGTCCCACTGCTACAAAGTACCCAAGGACATTCCGCTAGACGTTGTTGCGCTAATCCAGCCGATTGCGGTGAGTTGGCATGCTGTCGGAGTGGCCAAGTACAGCAAACAAGGAGGATCTGTGCTGATTCTAGGTGGTGGCCCCATTGGCCTGGCCACTATCCTGGCGTTGAACGGGCATGGGTGCACAGACATAGTGGTGTCCGAGCCTGCTAAGATAAGAAGAGAGCTAGCTGCAAAAATGGGGGCCAAGGTGTTTGACCCTACCTTGCACTCATACGACGAAAATGTACGTCTGCTAAAGGAAATGGCTCCTGGCGGCGAAGGTTTCGACTACTGTTTTGACTGCTCAGGCACGCCTGCCACACTTCGTACCTCCATCGACTGTCTAACGTTTAGAGGCACTGCGGTGAACGTGGCGATGTGGGCGTTGGACAAGCCGATTGATTTTTTTCCTATGGACATAACCCGACAAGAGAAGACATACACAGGGTCGATGTGCTACACGTACCACGATTTCGAAGAGGTGATCGATGCGTTTGAGAGGAGGATGATTGATCCAGAAAGGGCCAGGCACATGATCACCACAAAGGTGCCGCTAGAGAAGGCGTTTGAGCATGCACTGATGAGGCTGATCACTAGAAAAGAGGAAACAATCAAAGTACTTGTCACCCCAAATAACTTTGGAGAGTTAGAAGAAGAAAAAGAAGAAAACGAAAAGAAAGAAATAAGAGAAGAACACCATAGGACGGCAAGACTCTAATATTCTAACCCTTCATTATCAACTTTATAAAATAACTTCCTGTATGATATTAAAAAATACCTTTGATAATAACAATTTTAAATATATTCTAACATATACATATCTGTATTTTATATGCAGTGGCATTATATAAATAAACCTTTCTCATTATCTATCTATTTATCTTTTTTTTTTGTTTTCAATTATAGAAAAAAGCGTACATACACATATGCATATATATTAGTAGATTGAATTTATTGAATATACATGCTATTAAAAAAATCGATACTTGAATATATAAACAATAAAATACATCTTTCACTTCCTCTAATCTGAATTAATTTATATTTGATTTGATAAAATTTGATCAATAACATTTTGACCCACTTCATCCTCATATTGTTCATCTGATAAATTGGTTTTAGGACCACGATAATATTTCTTTTTATACACCATATAATATACCCACGACAAAAACCATACACCTGGTCCAATAATACATGCGTAATTCATTGTTGACTTAGTAATACTATGACAGGATGATGGAAACATCACTAGTATAATAACAAACGTCTCAAAAAAATAGAAATCCAAACTGCTATAGGAGACAAAAATTTTCCTAAATAGAATGGGCCTGGCCTAAACAAATCACGACCCCAAGTCAGTCTCATAAATGTCGGCATACTCCATGCCAAATTGTTACCTGCTACAGAAAGGCTAAATAATGCACTGGTTGCAGCGTTGTCAATTAAACATAATAAACCTAATACCAATGAACCACAACAAACAGTAAAGATAGCAATAAAAGGAACAGAATATTTCTTATCCACCTTCTTAATATAATGAGACATTGGAAAACCATCATCACGTGCAAAAGCCCAAACCTGTCTCGAGACAGCAGTCAAAATAGAGGAACCCATCAAAAATTGACAAAAAGCCATTAATGACATAAATGCTATAGCCCAATTTCTCCCTAGAGAATCATAAATAACTTGAGCCATAGCAAATCCATATAAATTATTTACCACATGCTCTATATCATTAGACATACATGCACATATACAGATTAACATTAACCAACCTAATATCCAGCACACAGAGATTGATACAAGAATCCCAATAGGAACAGACTTCTTAGCATCTTTGACTTCTTCAGATTGATGTACACAAGAGTCAAAAGAACCAATTGTCCATACTGCTGGCATTAATCCAGCAAGCAAAAATTACCATCCATCGTTCCAGTCACTTAAATTCTTATATTTACCAAAAACAAATGAACCGTTATTGAAACTGCCTATATTTTTTTTAGTGCCCATGGGTAAGGCAACAAAAAATAACACAATAATAAAGATGTTAGAAACAATACTCAAGGTTTGCAAACGTGCAATTGACTTTGAAGCTAAACATGTACACATACCCATACACACAACAACCGCTACAAGCTCGCCATACAATTTACCACTTGTAACTTCAAAATCACCATCCCTTGATATGACCACTGCTGCAAGCACTTCTTCTGCAAAACCATAATCTATAGAACATATACCTGCTGCTAGAGCTAGTGAATTAGAACATCCAATAATAAACGAAATAACTTTTTTGAAACCTTGTGAAGAGTAATAATATGTCCAATAGTAAAGACTACCAGCAGTGGGGATGGCACTAGCGTTTTCTGCCATTGAAATACCGACCATCAGAATAAACCCACCAGCAATAAACCATCCCTATACAAGAGTAGCAGGGCCACCAGTAAGTCCAGTACCCATAACAGATGCAATAGAAGGTAGCAACCCCATGATAGCAAAGGCAATCCCGAACACTTGAATAGTAGAAAACTGTCTTTTTAGTTCTTGCTTATAACCGATTTCGGCTAGTAATTGATTATCTGTAGCACCGGTACCAGCATTGATATAATTGACTTCACCTGCTCCTGTATGGGACCTAACAGAACGAATGCTTGAAAAACCTACTGGATGGAAATCCTTTGTTGTACCTACATCTATGAAGGTCCTAACTTCTGTGATGGTAGACCCTTTCTTCTCAATTAAATTAGACATTATCTTCTTCTTTAATAAAAAAAATTATTCTTGCCATTGCACTTATATTTGATTGATATCAAATCACAAGATAAAAAAACCTTTTTGAAAGAATTATTCACTATTCTTTAACATCAAAAACAAAATAAAGTATAGAAAACCATAGCTTTAAGAACTAATAGCTTTTTATATGTTTGAACATTATTTGGAAAGATTGTGTTTTTATTATCTTTCTTATCATTTTACTGAAAGATGATATATTTACTTATCGATAAAAACCTTTCAATGATTAACCTGACATAAATATATAATATTATTCATGCAAGATATTCTTTTCATATTTTTTGATTTTCCTTTTTTGTAATATGATCAAGATTCGACAGATAATGTTTGAGAATCAAAAAAAAAAAGTTTGTTATCGGATATCTTATCTCATTATTATTATCACTAATTTAGCATTACTTATGAGACTGATAAGCGGACAAAAGAAATATTTCACTTCTCTTTTTCTTTTTTTTCCCTCTTCCATCTACCTCAAGTTGTTGATTATGTAAGACCTTCTGAATTGAATTATTTTAATCAATTCCTGGAGTCACCTTCCATAGGAACTAATTCCAAAGAATTTTTAAAAAATCTCTTATAAAATATTCAAAACATATTATGCACTCATATTTACAAAGACCATATATTGTATATATACTTATTGCATTTTTCTTTAGTTCGTCTGGCCAACTTTCTGCCAAGGCAAACGAAGAAGTAAATGTACATAACATCGAACAACAATGTAACTATTTTAGATAAGTGATAGAATGTTACAACTAACTTTTTGAAAACATAGTTTACCTACTTTAAACAAGTTTTCTCATTATTATTATAACAACTATGGTGTATTTGTAGGATCTTTTTCTTTTGAATGTTAATAGCAATGCATTTTTAATCAGGAATATTCAATAACCAATTGAATAGATTATAAACATACTAATAGTCCTCTATTCTTGCTATGTTAATTCAATATAATTTTAAAAAACAACTTACAGAATTATTGAAAGAATATTTACAGATATTTTAGATAACGGTTCAAGAAGAACCAATTGGTAATAATTACACATCACTACAGATTAAAATATATTTGGATTAATAAATGACAAGAAGATAGTATATTGATTCATACATGCTATTTGTAAATTGAGATTACGTAAAAAACTTCAAATGGTCATTTCCTAAACTCTCTCTAACCATTGATTTCTTATGTTTTATATATACCTCTCTTCATTTTTTATATATTATGTATATAGAAAACATTCTGAGAAGCCCATTAATATATGGTGTGCATCAAACCATAACTGATAATTCACAATAAGGTCCATTAGCTTCTAGAATTGGTGAGATGGTTTTTCTTATAATTTGGGGAAATGATTTTGTTAGTACACAGGTATTCAAATTTGAACTTTTCTTTTAACTATACATTTGTAAAATACACACCTTACAATTATTAACATAATATATTAAACAACAAAACAACTACAAAAATTGAAAGAACAAATAATTATGGAATAGTTATTAGTTATTGAAAATTATTGGACAGACTAATTACAAGACCTACTATATTATCCAAATATATTACTAGAAATTTTAATACTCTTTCAGACCATACTTTTTCCCAATAATCTAATACTTCCATTGACATTAAATGTAAAAAAAAAAAGAAACCGAAATGAAATAAGCATATTCAAAATACTCTATAACAACACACTTAATTTTTTTTTGAATTATTAAGACACAATGAGATGTTTCGTAAAAGATGGAGAGAATTACTTGTATCTTCAAATAATCTTCATATTATAAAATTGTTACTAAAACACAAGAAACAAAAATATTATCAATGCTGTTCATTAAAATCATTACAATAAATAATATATATAATATACAATCTATAGCAGATAAATGCTATTATCATATGCTAAAATGTGGCATGAATGCATGAAGATATTTATCTAGGCAAAACATATAAACTCCAATAGCTAGATTATAATTTAGCCAGCAGTTCATCAGAATTTATAGGGTTTAGCTCTCCAAAGTTATTTGGGGTGACAAGTACTTTGATTGTTTCCTCTTTTCTAGTGATCAGCCTCATCAGTGCATGCTCAAACGCCTTCTCTAGCGGCACCTTTGTGGTGATCATGTGCCTGGCCCTTTCTGGATCAATCATCCTCCTCTCAAACGCATCGATCACCTCTTCGAAATCGTGGTACGTGTAGCACATCGACCCTGTGTATGTCTTCTCTTGTCGGGTTATGTCCATAGGAAAAAAATCAATCGGCTTGTCCAACGCCCACATCGCCACGTTCACCGCAGTGCCTCTAAACGTTAGACAGTCGATGGAGGTACGAAGTGTGGCAGGCGTGCCTGAGCAGTCAAAACAGTAGTCGAAACCTTCGCCGCCAGGAGCCATTTCCTTTAGCAGACGTACATTTTCGTCGTATGAGTGCAAGGTAGGGTCAAACACCTTGGCCCCCATTTTTGCAGCTAGCTCTCTTCTTATCTTAGCAGGCTCGGACACCACTATGTCTGTGCACCCATGCCCGTTCAACGCCAGGATAGTGGCCAGGCCAATGGGGCCACCACCTAGAATCAGCACAGATCCTCCTTGTTTGCTGTACTTGGCCACTCCGACAGCATGCCAACTCACCGCAATCGGCTGGATTAGCGCAACAACGTCTAGCGGAATGTCCTTGGGTACTTTGTAGCAGTGGGACTCGTTGATGACCACCCTTTCTGCAAACCCGCCGCTCTGCACACCGTTACCGATGAGCCCCAGGTGTGCACAGGTGTTGTACATGCCCTTTTTGCAGGCAGCACACTTGGGCTTGTTAGCGTTGGGGGACTCTGGCCAGCGGTACCTGTCTCTGCAGGTCCCCGTGGGCTCGACTGTGACGTGGTCACCCACCTTGAACCTGGTGACCGCTGGACCCACTTCTCTGACTATGCCTGCCATTTCGTGACCCATCGCTTGCGGTAGCTCGTTATCACTGATCTCGTGTCTGTGTCCGTCCTTGGGGAAGAAGATGGGCCCGTCGGTGTATTCATGTAGGTCCGTGCCGCAGATCCCGCAGTACGCAATATCGATGACCAGCTCGTCTGCAGTTGTGATTTGCGGTTCCTTTAACTCGTGGGTGAAATGGATATCACCTTTTCCAAAGTATGCTAAAGCTCTCATTAAATGCAAAATTTGTTTTTAACTTTTTTTTGTTAGTCAGTAAAATTGTTGTTAAACGTGAATTATCCTTGGTTACTTTATTTAGTGATTTATCTCTCTTGTTTTTTCTTTTTCTTATCTGAAATTAATATTAATAGTAACGAAGGAAAAAGAAATTATCTGTCAAAGAAATGAAAACACTCTTAATTCTTGAACACTTTATTTTTTTTTTTTAACAATTTATCACTTGAATTTATATATGCCATTTCCCTGATTAAACAATATTAGGGGTGATCAAAATATTTGACTAAAATACAGTCATTTGTTTCTAACATTGTAAACGTTCAGTCATCCAATTGCTACTAAAAAAAAAAAAAAAAGAAAGGAGAAGAAAAAGAAAGAAAAAATTGACTACATTGATCAAACTTTTTGTTACCTTTCCTTCCGTGTGTTCCGGTTTTTTGTTTCGAGGATACAAAAAAGAATGGCTTCTTTTGTCTTTCTGTCGATTTAAGAAAAATCGAATAACAACGCCACATCCAAATCCCTTAAAACAGACAAACAAAAGAACCACTTATACATGTGCTTTTCATTATTTCCCCGGCCCGCACTGTATGCTTTCCTCGAGTTGAAAAACCAAAAAAAAAAAAAACAATTACGAAACAAAAAAAAAAGAAACAAAAAAAGACGTCATAAAAATTTGTCATATAACAGAATAATAATAATTAATATACAACAAGGGATGAGAATACTATTGTGTAATTGCCACTTTTCCGTTAAAGCCATATCTGAATATGGCTGATCATCTTATTCCACAACAATCAACAGTAAAGTCCATCAATTATCGGCAGAAAAATGTATTTAACATTTTCATTCTGTTTATGCCTTCATTCTCTATGCACCCCCTTTAAAATTACGTATACACAATATAAGTATTTATTTATTTGATTCTTTTCATTATTGTAAGGTCATTTGGTTTTTTATTTTTATTTTTTTTTTGTCTAGAAAAATTACTTTTTATTGTCCCTTGATTGTAATATTTGCAATTGTCTGTCCACGTGTGATACCAATACAACGTTTCATTTCCCCTCCCGCTCCCCTCTCTATATTGTGTTAATCATAATACACTAACTGGTTTTCAATAGATATCTTGTCTTCTTTAATTGCTATTTAAAGCAATAACTTTCTTTTCAAGATTCACATAATCATTTTCTTACCCCTTCCTTCCCTTACATATAGAAGTGATGTACATTAATTTTGGTGGTGAATGAATAACTAATCAAAATCCAAGATCAGATTAACGTTCAAATAATAGATAATATCATGGGTATTGTATTAATTCCTTATATATATATATATATTCACAATAATCAAATATTACCAAAAGAACAAAATAGAATTATTCTTCGATAAATATATACAGTGTTAATGATTGCGGTGTAGTCAGTACACTAAAATCCTTCTAGGACACGTGTAGCACTGTCTAACCTTTTTAGGATTTCTGTTCTACGTGAGGGATCTAAGAATATATCCACTGCAAGCCTTGATAATGTATCGATAAATTGCTCTAATAGCATCTTTTCTTCGTTAGGGATAGATAACCTATCAAACTCCATTCCTACAGTACTTGTATTAGCTATAGATATCAATTGAGATAGAGTGTTTATATTTCTTTGTTGTTGGATAGAGAAAGTCTTCTTAGCACTAGTACTGTCCTTTGTATCACAACAATCATTATCATCATGCTGCTGGATATTTTCTATGATTGATGAATTCTCGACATCTTTATTGGAATCATCACCTTTTAATGGTTCTTCAGGAACAGGTCTTTGTAAATACTCATTAATGTCTCCCCCTTCTTCTTCTTTATGCTCTTGGACCTCGTCCTTACTTTCAGCAGTATGTTTATATTTGTAATTATTATCTTCAATAACTATGTTCCTATCTCTACCTTCTGTTTTTACCCCTAAATCACCCACATATTGTATTTTAATCGATGGAGGTCCTTGAATATTTGTATTAAACGAATTAGTTTCGTTTAATACACATATCTGAGACTTAGGTCTGTTTTTATTTCTTGGTAAGGGTACAATTATTTTAGTATTATCCATACTTGAATTATATTCGTAATCTAACTGATCAAATGCATCTCGCATATGAAAATGTTCAAGTTCACTTTCCGTTTCGTATCTAGCATGTGAAGTCCCACTTTCACTAGCTAAATTACCGGACCCGATAGAAGAATAATTCGAATACTGTCTACGAATATCTTTTATATTGCTTGATAATGTCAGGATGTGATCATCGTCTAATCTATCCTGAAAATTTACACCATTAACATTTTGATTATCATAATTCAATTGTTCACTTATTTTCCGTGCATATGCTAAAGTCTCCTTTGATGGCAAATTTGGAATATTTGGTTGTCCTTTAATCGACCTGTTAATTTTATAGTTATCAGTATTCTTATTTAAATTGGCCAGGTCAGTTTTTTCAATTTGCATTATTCTTTTTTACCTTATTATTATTGCTGTTGCTGTTGTTGTTTTTTCTTATTTTTATTTAATAGAATATCTATGGGGAAATTCCTTCAGCTCATTAGTATTATAGATATGCCAAATAATCAGCACTTATTTAGCAGCTCCAACCCCTACTTCCTAACCTACTATTACTTTTTAGGTTCATGCGAATTCTATCTCTGCAAATTTCACTCACTTTTATCGAGCTTTCCTTTTTTTTGGTTTTTTTTGTTAACTTTTTGATCTTGATTATAAAATATTATTAAACCGAACAAAAAAGACACCAACTATATTTACATTATTTCCTTTTTAGGTATAGTAATGAACGTTGGTAAATACTAAGATCTGGTTTTTATTGTTTCCTAACTAAGAATTAATTTTTTATTTTTTTTTAAATTGAAATTTCATCTTTTCCTTCTTCATCTTTTTTTTTTGTTTTGTTGTGTTTATACATTTGCTAGTAAGCACATTATTTTTAATATTTTTTTGAGATAACAAATGGAGTTTGCAAACAAGAGGGGAGACGTTGAATTCTTCTATATTTATTATTAAAAGGATATCAGTAATCAATAATGAGTTCCAGATCCATTCAACTGTCTTTAACCTAAACTTTTCCTTTTTTTTTTTTTACTTCCTTTCTCTCTTTAATATCATATCATTAAGAAATATATATCAGCTTGTTTATAGATAATAATAGCATTAATTTTTCCCTTTTCAATTCAAATACATATACTTTTATATTCCTATAATTATGTCTATGGATGAATTTCCTTTATTAGATGTACCCGAGTTGGTCTCTTGTTTACAAGAATGTGATTTCTCTGCGGCAACGTTAGAAACCATCACAAAACCTACTTCTCCTTCAATAATAAAATTGTATCAGCAAATCATAGACCTTTTTGCAAATATCAATACTGAAAATTATTCTATTCAGCCTAACCAAGATATGACAGAGACTTTAGATACTTCAAACACTATTCCTATTGCAATATTGAATCTAACATGTCATAAGTTCTTCAAAGTTATTGGAATATCAGATTTTAATATGATGGATCTTTGCAAACCTGATTTCCAACGGACAAGAAGGTTACTAAGTGCTGTAGTAAATTATGCTCGGTTTAGGGAAGAAAGAATTTTTGATTATAAGGAATCTATTCAGCAGATGTCTGATTTATCTGATGTGTTAGAATCGAAATTTGATTCTTTCAATTTATTACGACAACAGAACAATGAAATTAGGGCAGAATTAGGACATTTAAATAATGATTTAAATTATGAAAGTAGAAATATCGAGGATGATGAAGAGTACAATACTGAAAAATTAGATAACATGAGTAACGATCTTGAAGTTCAATTGAAAAGTTTAACAAAACAACAGGAGTCATTATCACTTGAATATGAATCATATAAATTGACTAAAAATGATCTATTAACGGAATTAGAAAAATGTGGTTTCCAATTAATAGAATTAGAATCCAAAAGAGATAAACTAAAGAAAATATCTGATACTGATGTTGTAATATTAGATGAAAATATTAAACAGTTACAAGAAACATTAAGTGCAAATAAAGATAAATTACAAACTTTGATAACTAAAAAAGACAATCTTGAAATAACATTGAAGACTTTGGAAAGAATTATAAGTGAATTATATGATTTAACTAACGTTATATCATCAGACTTAAAAGTCTCGTATGGAAGAGAAATTTCAATAATGAACACAAAAAAAACTTTAATAGAAAAGAAAATAACGTTGGAAAATTTACTAAAGACCTCTTTATCATCACAACTGAAATTAGCTAAAGAACAGCTTTCAAGACAAGAGATAATACATTCAAATTTGAAAAAAGATATGGCTTCAAAAATACAGGAGAATGAAGAGAAAATCAACGATTTAAATAATATCTATTCCAATGAAATCATGAAAAGACTAATGGAAACAGATAAACATATTACAAATGATATAATAGAAAAAGAAGTTAAATCTATTGAATTAGAAATTCATTCTAAAAAACAACAATTTAGCAACGAATTAGATGAATTAGAAGAAGAATACATACTTCTTATCAATCATGTAAAAGATTATATGAGTACTGTTTTAAGTAACCTAGACTAAACAAATTGCTAGGATCGACTGATACATATATATATGTATATATGTATGTATGTATGTATGTGTGTATAAATGTAATAGGATTAGAGTACATAACAATGGATATTTAGGTAACCCAAAGTAATTTTACCAGCTTATTAATTCGAAGATAATATAGGTTCTTCAGTTTCCTTTTTATATATTTTACTACCTAGTCTTTCTTTTGCCACAAAGACATCATAAAATCCCTTATCTTTCTCTATATATTCTATTCTTTTGTTTTTCAAATCTGACCAACTGCTATGTGGTATATCCCAATTAGATTTTTGTGCAATCAATGCGGCAATATCATCACAGAATCCAAGCAGATTTAAATCAAATTCTGCATGTTTTACAGGGTCTTTATTAATTAACACTTGAGGGACATGTGCAGGAATCATATTGACAATTTCAGAGACAGGTGCAACTTTCAAACTGGTCCCAATACATATTAGTAAATCACATTTCAATACATCTTCACGAATAGTTTTATGAAATTTAGATGGTAAGGCTTCACCAAAAAAAGTAATATCAGGTTTTAAAACACCATATGATTTCAATACTGTACCAGCAATTGGATTTTTAGAAATTTTATTATTTTTAGGCTGAGTATAATATTCTTTATTACCGTCATTATTATCGTCCAATTCCAATGGGAAATATTCTCTTCTTTTTTGATAACAATACGGACAAAGTGGTAACTCTAATTTCCTGATATGATCAAAAATTTTTTCACCTGGTAGTTGCCAATGACAAGTAATGCATGATGCAGTAGCAAAGGAACCATGACATTGCACCAACTTTTCTGCTTTGATTCCTGCGTATGATTCTAAGTTATCAATATTCTGCGTATAGTTTCTTAATAATTTCCCTTTATCCTGTAACATTTTAATAAAACTATGCAATGGAGAATAAATGTTTTCTGGAGGTAACACCATATGTGCAATATTATAGAATACTGAAGGATCCTGCAAAAAAATATCCATATTGAATACATCTTGTGGATCATCTAGGCCTAAATATTTAATTTTAGAATAGAAACCTTCTGAAGATCTAAAATCAGGAATACCCAGAGAGGTTGATACACCAGCACCTGTAAGAACCAGAATTTTGTTAGCCTTTTGTAATTTATCAATAAAATGTTCTAGTGTGTAAAAATTAGATAATCTTAGACGAGTAGATAAAACTTTATTAATTGCCTTTTGTAAATCCTTTATTAATCTAACGGCATGTTTCTTTTCTAGAGGATCTTCAAATTCTTCATATATTAAATCACTTTCTTCAAGGCTATTGGTTTTGTCATTATCACTGATATTATTACTATTATTAGAATTTAGAGTTACCGGAGAAATATATGCGTGAACAGCATTTATTACATCTCTATCCTTTAATTCAAATCCTAAAAGTCTTATTAGAAAATACACATATAAGGAATTTAATTCTTCAGGTAGATATGTATCCAAAAATTTTCTTAAACCATAATATTTTAAAAACATTCTAGCATTCTGTGTATCTTCTTTTTTAATCATTGGAAAAACATATTTATTATCTCTATTATTCCTACCTATACGTATAGGTTCCCTTGGTGTTCTTGGTTTTAGTATTTCATTTTCTTTACTCCTTATTCCACTATATGGTATTTGAATGGATTTAGTTTCTTCTACATCATCTTCTTGTTTATCTATACCTTTGCTTGTTGGATTAATGTAGTTACTTTCCTTTACTTGTTTTTCTTCATAGGTTTCTTCTAGCTTCGCTCTTTTATTTGTAGCGTTATTTTGATTTTGTAGGCTTTCCTCGCATTTTACAATTTCTTTATTGTCAAAAGATCTCTTCACTGTATTTGAAGGTTCAACGTCAGTGGACATAAGAGATATATATTATAGTATTGTGTGAATAGTATTCTATCTATAAAGTGTCAAATTAATCCCTGTAGGTCTTTTGTTTTAATATAGTTAATATTATTTACGCACGACTTCACTATACCTACACTGTTGATTGTATGTTATTTCTTTTTTTATTTTACTCTTTTTCTTGGGTTTTTTTTCCTATAAAATAATAAAGAGAATACCAGATAGATAAAGTTATTTTACCTGTATGAGAAAAAAAAACATATATACACCGAAATAAAACAGGTATAAAATACCAGCAATAGAATTTATCTTCCATAATCGATTCGCTTTTTTGTTTGTTCTTCCGATAACCATTGGTTCATTATGGTAATCTATTGTTAATGAAATATATTTTCTTCATCCAACAAAAAAACAGAAAAATAAAAAAAAAATTAGAAACCTAAAAAATTTTTTTCCAATAGGAAAAATAAAAAAAAAAAGGAAGTTATTTTATCATCCGAGATATGACCACTTATAACTTTAAGAAACATTGATATATCATTACTTATTATTAGATATCTTGAGTTAATCAATATAAATTTAAAAGTAAATTTGAACCGTTTAAAGAAAATGCAAAAAAAGAATGCGTATAAGAACAAGAATCAATGCATTTTTGGTTATTAGCACCTAGTCATTTCTGAATATTTGAAGGCTTTAATGTTATTACTTGTAAATTTTGATTATATTTTCAATATTTTAATTAAGTATTTTGAGATATTTTATAAACCTTCTATTAGTATATAATATAGATCACCGAATTTTGTTAAAAAGTTATTATCGGCACCCATAAAGTTTTTCTTGTTTTTTCATTTTTACCAGAATGGGTAGCTTAACCGTTAATTTAAATAAGACATAAAATTGTCTTTTTTTCTTAAAAAAACGTCTTACGTTCGATTTCGGGAAGAGTATTTTCATGGCATATGTAACTTTACAAGGTAATCTAATACAATAAATCTGATGTCGTCTTAAAGGAATCAGTATATTGTTGTGACGGAAGAGTTTATAGTATAAAAAAATTTATATCTATTAAAATATTTTTTGTAAACTTAAACATACTCAAGCCAGTACAACATCAGCTTTAAATAACTGTAATAAATTTCATTATTCAAATTTCTTCGTAACTTGTACAATATGTTTAAATCGCTAAGCATTCATATACTATTGTTCCATAATATTGGGTGAGTTTCTAACATAAAGTATGTAAAGTGTATGAAAACGCTAGTTCTTATATTTCAAATAAAAAAGGACTTGATATTACTGGGATCCTGTAGGTACATCTTGATACTACAAAATATACAGAGATTGTGGATTTCAAGTAGAATTAGAAAGGGAGAATAAATTAGGTTACTGTGCTATATTTCAATATATAGTTTGTATTAGAAGCCTCATAAAGTTAATCTTAAAAAGAAAATCGCTACCAATTAAGTTTGCACGACAAGTGGTCCCTAAACGTTCAATAAACTTTTATATTCTTTAAAGAATGCATTTGGTAGCAGTACTGTAAACTGCCTCAACTTTTGTAGGATCAGAAGAAAGAATGTTCATAAGTATTCTGACACACACTATCGTATCCATGTGGATACTCCATGTTACGAGTAGAGTAATATGCATGATTATGGGTTCATTATTATCCAGACAGCCATTATATGGACAGAAAACATACAATCGTAGTATGCCAAAGAGCTGATTATTCTTCTCCTGTTGATCGTGCTGTGTCAGTTTTTTTGTTAATACTTGGCAATCTTTACTTATTGAATGTAGAAGATAATAATCCATATTTTCGTAAATGATTATTTGAGTTTTTATCATAGTAAACGTTTTGCTTCTCAAATATAATGAAATCGCATGCAAATAAAAAAAATACTTATACTCCTTCCTAAAGCTGTTATATACCAGATATATTCCAAAAAATTGTTGTTTATTCATCAACATAATTTTAACAACTCTTTTATGCGAAATGCCATTTAGAAGAAGAAGAAAAAAACTAAAAAGAAACTTTACTATTTGACCTTGATAAAGTTAATAAGGTCCAAAGTAGAGATTGTACTATCAACAGTTAACAACATAGCTATACTACCTTTCAAAGTTATTCCAGAAAATATACAATCTACCTTGCCCCTTTTGTTTTTCGACAAAAAATACCTTAGATGCATATAATTACTTATACTAAGTGTTTATGTGGCCCAAAAATTTTTATCTTCTTCATTTGCTGTTATTGCTACTTTTATTTTACTTAAAACATTATATTCTTTACAATAAAGAGTAGTATTACACTTGATATAATCCAATAGTGAAATCTTTTATAAAGTAACCAATCCACATAACTAATTATTATATCAGGATAATTAACCTCACATAACATGAAATCTTTTCTCTTGATAATATTTTTGTTCCCAGTTAAATTTAGAGGATTTTTATTAATAAACTTTAATTGAACTGGTTGGTGATCAGAAAATAATAAACTTGAACCTCTTGAAATTGCATCATATGATTCAATACTAATGTTATTTTCATTGTTACTACATTTATATAGTATTCTATCACACCAGGAGGGATTTCTTTTCATATTAAACGAATTAGCTGCATCGTATAACACATATTTATATGTCTTATTAAAATTAATCCTAAACTCTTTTAAATTCTTAAATAAGGGGTGCGTGTTAAGAAGATGTAGAAGTTCATCTCCTTCATAAACTCTGGTTAATGGGTTAACTCTGAAGTTTAAATCACCAAAAAGAAATAATAGAGAATTTTCAAATAAAGAAGAAGGGATATTTGTTTTACAAGAATCTATAATAGCTTCAATATCTTTAATCCTATAATTTAAATTTTTGATACCTTCATTTGCAGTTAGGTGACAACAAATAAAACAATAAGTCTCTAAAAAATCACTCTGATTTGAATTGGTTACTTGTAATGTAATAGACACAGAACCTTTTAATGAAGAGTTTATTATACCACGCTTACAATGATCCCTTATCAAAGAGTGCACTGTCATATTGTTTCTTGCAAATAAAAAAAGCGCCGTCCCACCTGTATAATCTGATCCAATTGATGAATAATTATTACCTAAATGACCCTGTATCAATTTGTTTATTTCTCCAATCTTGTTTGACATAATTTCTGGGTCTAGACATTCCCAGATCATTGAAACTTCTTGCAATCCCAATACAATAAGGTCATATTCATCGGATACATTAGGAATGATGGATTTAATTACAGAACTAGCCAACTGGTTATTATGCAATGGGAATAATTTGCCACAATTAAAAGTTGTTATAGAGACTTTAGACATTTTTACTCTCTTTCTTGCTCCTTCTTTTTCTATATATAGATATGTACGCACATTTATATATGTATACAATGATGGATATGAATACTCGAGTTAATATAATACATATAGTTATCGAAATGTGTACAAGTATAGCAATTCTGGTAATAACCATGAGTAATATACATAATTTATCTTGTTTTAATACATTTTTTTGTTGTATATTAGTTTTCTTTTTAATTTTTTTTTTATTATACAATATATTTCAAACCTTCCAGATGTGGAGAATATGTATAAGTTGAGACAACCAGAGGGTTACAACATAAGGAAAAGGTGAAGGGAGAGCAACCAAACAAAAAAAAAAACATCACTGCAACCAAATCTTAAAAAAAGATTAAAACCATAAAAATTATTTTATTCAATTATATAAAAATCTATACGTAATTAAGAAAATAGAGCAAAGATATATATGGAATAAAGGATAAAGATTCGTGTTTATTTCTTTATTTCTTTATTTCTTCGATTCTTTTTTTTTCTTTGATGTTTCTATGCCCTATTAGATAAAACCTTTTTAGATGTAGATACGACTAGTTCATGTAGTTTAGCAGGACCACTTGTGGCAATAACACCCTTAGTCAACAAAGTTCTACCTTTGCTAAAGTCTAAATTTTGATTTTCTAGTGCATCAGTATGGAAACCACCACTCTCTAAAACAATAGCGTTACCCGCAGCATGATCCCAAATCTTTTCCTGAAATGACATTTTGATTGGTAAACGTAGATACACATCAGCAAGACCCATAGCCAATAGGCAATATTTGACCTGAGAATCCAAATGAATGGATTGTGTGATGTTTAATTTTTTCTTGATCAAATCTTGCTCTTCGTGAGAAGAATGACTCTTTTCTACACCTTCCAATGTAATCATATCCTTAGTGTCTTGTAAATGTCTAACATGAATATCTTTCCAATTAGACAAAGTTACAGAATCCGTGAAAGCAGCACCTTGACCTCTAACAGCACGGAAGATGTAACCAAAGGACTCATCAACGTTCCCAAGTTTATCTTGGATCGAATTATACTGAGACAATTTCAAATTAGGACAACCAATTATACCACATTTTACCACACCATCTACGATAAGAGCCAAGCATACAGCAAATTGTTCACCTCTTAAAAACCCTTTTGTACCATCAATTGGGTCTAAACACCAAAATCTGCCTTTATTACCACCTTGATAATCACCAAAATTAATAATTTGTTTGACATCATCTATTGACTTCAAAGGGAATTCATCATTGGAAAAATCTACAGAGCCAGTATCAATATTATTATCTTTATAGTATTGATCAATATCATTAATTTCTTTTAAGATGGAAGACACAAATTTATCGTCTAACCCATTTGCAGATTCTTCGCCCACTACATAATCGTTAGGAAAATTAGACTTTATTGTGTTGATGATTATAGTTTGGGCAGCATAGTCACCAAGAGTTACTGGAGAATTATCAGCCTTTGTGATAGTAGTTTCATCACGATGTTGAATAATAGATTGTTGAACTTTTTTAGTTAAAAAGGAGGCTTTTCTGACTGCATGAGTAGCTATTAATAATTCTCTTTCAAATGCCATTATTTTTGTTTTTTACTAGTATACTATCTTTGTAAGTTAAAATTACGGATATGAGTTTAAGATATTGTTATTAAAATGTTTTTAATGAATGTGATACACACACACACACATATATATATATATATATATATAAACGTATTACAGTTTTGAATCGAAAACCGTCTATTTAAAAGCAAATAGTGTTAATCACATTCAGGGGTAGAGAACATAAACCAGACTGATATTAAAATGGGTGAAAATTTGCTCTTTCGATGTCTTCAAGTAAGTAAAATAAGTGTATCACCAAACAAACTGTGTGTTTCTAGATGAATCCAAAAGTGAACTGTGTACAGTTTAAAAGAAATATTCAAATGTTCAAAGGAAAAAAAAAAAAAAAAAAATAAAAAAAGGAAGTGGAAATTGTATGTCTGGAGGTATGGATGTGAGAATATTAAGAGAGTGGGAGCTAAAACAAAGAGAATTTTTGCAACAACCTTGCACCACATACAAACTGTTTGTTTTTCCCGTCTTGTGCGGCTTCTTTCCTCTTTGGGGTACGATGAGATCAGACGAGATGAGCAGAATGAAATGGAATGGAGTTGAAAATTTGGTGAAAAGTGAAAAATTCTCATTTGACATCATTAGTCTTATTGTGATGATGTAAACTAGTATAATGTTTGATAATATCACCTCAAGAATAAAAGCTTCAATCTGACAAAATTCTGTGCTTTTTTACACAAATATTACATATTTATATTTTACGAACCAGTTGTTTCAAAAAACGGAAAATATATATATATATATATAAAACATAAAACAGAGAGTCGTTTAATACTAACTTAAATAATATAGTATAAACCATGAAACGGACCAGAAATCCTAACTATGAAGGTAGCTCTAGTGATGAGGACAATGGTGACTTTGATATTGCAAAAAATTTAATTGCTGTGGGAAGTAGTGATAGTGAAAGTAATAATAGTAATAGTAACAATGAAGATGTAGATATTCCTGATATTATTGAATATAGTGACGAAGAAGAAGAAGAAGAAAGTGATGATACACATGAAAATAGCAATAATAAACAAAAGAACTATGTTAAAAAGAATAAACAAAGTATTAAATCTTTCCCTAATTTAGATACAATTGATGTGGATAAAGGTACTAATGATAATGGCGATGAGAACAATGACGATGACGATGATGATGATATTGATTCATACTTTTCAACCACAAATACTACTTCCAATTCTAAACACAAGAAAGGTTCTTTTGCAAGTTTTGGTTTATCTAAACAAATTCTTTCAAATATTAAAAGAAAGGGGTTCCGTCAACCAACTCCTATTCAAAGAAAGACTATACCTTTAATTATATCTAATAGAGATATCGTTGGTATGGCAAGGACTGGGTCTGGTAAGACTGCTGCCTTTATTCTACCAATGATTGAGAAATTGAAGACCCATTCAACAAAAATCGGTGCAAGAGCCATAATATTGTCTCCATCAAGAGAATTGGCTCAACAAACTTTTACAGTTTTCAAAGAATTTGCAAGAGGCACAGAATTACGTGCTGTCTTATTAACTGGTGGTGACTCCCTGGAAGACCAATTCTCTATGATGATGTCTAACCCTGATGTTATTATTGCTACTCCAGGTAGATTCTTGCATTTAAAAGTAGAAATGTCTTTAGACTTGAAAAGTGTGGAATATGCAGTGTTTGATGAAGCTGATAGATTATTTGAAATGGGATTTCAAGAACAATTAAATGAATTATTGGCTGCTCTGCCACAACAGAGACAAACTCTGTTGTTTTCTGCTACTTTACCAAGTTCTTTAGTCGAGTTTGCCAAAGCTGGGTTAACTAATCCTGTCTTGGTTCGTTTAGATGCAGAACAAAGAATATCCGAAAATTTACAAATGCTGTTCTTGTCCACAAAAAATGATGAAAGAGAATCTACTTTATTATACATCTTACAAGATGTTATTAAAATTCCCTTAGCTACTCCTGAGCAATTGCAAAAGTGGGATAAAGCAGAGCAAGGATTGGATGAGTCAGACAGTGAAGAGGAAGAAGAAGAAGATGATGATGATGATAAACATGCGAATCAAAAGAAAAAGAAGAAATTAAATAAAAAATATCTTCAAAAAAAGAGACAAAAATTATCTTCTCCGACGGAATTACCTTCAGAAAAAGCCACTATCATATTTGTCCCAACTAGACACCATGTTGAATATATTTCTGAATTGTTGAAAAACTGTGGCTATCTGGTTTCATACATCTATGGTTCTTTAGATCAAACCGCTCGTAAGGCTCAACTTTACAATTTTAGACTTGGCTTAACTTCAATTTTAGTAGTGACAGATGTTGCAGCAAGAGGTGTAGATATCCCCATGTTACCATATGTTATCAATTACTCCTTACCATCTTCTTCTAAAATTTTTGTACATCGTGTTGGTAGAACTGCTAGAGCTGGGAATAAAGGTTGGGCATATTCTATCGTTGCTGAAAACGAACTACCTTACTTATTAGATTTAGAATTGTTCTTGGCCAAGAAAATCTTATTGACACCAATGTATGAGACAACTTGTGATATTTTGAGAAAAAGGTGGAGGGAATCACATAATGGTCATGACTCTGAGTTTGTAGAGCCTAAAATCTCATACACAGAAAGAATGGTATTGGGTTCATGTCCAAGATATGAATTAGAAAACTTTATCGATCTTTATAATAATATCTTCAGTAAGAAGTTTGATCTTAAATTAGCCAAACAAACCGCATTAAAAGCTGAAAAATTATATTTTAGGACCAGGACATCTGCATCACAAGAATCAATGAAAAGAAGTAAAGAGGTTATAGCTTCTGGTTGGGATGAACAAAATATTTATTTTGGTAAAAATATGGAGAAAGAAAAATTGCTATTTTTAGCTAAATTGCAAAACAGGCATAACAAAGAAACAGTATTTGAATTTGCTAGAAATCCGGATGACGAAATGGCAATCTTTATGAAGCGTAGAAGACAAAAGTTGGCTCCAATACAACAGAAGGCAAAGGAAAGAAGAGAACTTCTAGAAAAGGAAAGATTAGCAGGTTTTTCTCACTCAATTGAGGATGAGATTTTACGAACTGAAAGGAATTCAAATTCTAAAGATATACTAAATTCAACAGCTGGTTATTCAGTCTCTGAGGAGGCTTTATTAAAAGAGTTCGAAGACGCTGATAACATATTAGAATCGGAAAAAAGGGGAAAGTTAACAAAGAAATCTTACAAGGATCCAAATTTCTTCTTAAGTCATTATGCACCTGCAGCAGATCTTCAAGATAAACAATTACAATTAACAAGTGGGTTTGTTAATGATGCAGCAGAAGCCACATATGATATTAATGATGATGATAAAGTACAAATCCATAAGCAAACAGTAAAAATGAAATGGGATAAGAATAGGAAGAAATATGTAAACATGAATGGGATTGATAATAAAAAGTATATTATTGGCGAAAGCGGGCAAAAGATTGCAGCAAGTTTTAGATCAGGTAAATTTGATGAATGGTCTAAGGCCAGAAAGATAAAACCATTGAAAGTTGGGGCACGTGAATCCTCTATTCCATCTAATCTGCTTTCTGATCCAAAGCTTATGGGGTTAAGAACTTCAACTGGGAAATTCAAGCATAAACAGATGAAGGCACCAAAGATGCCAGATAAATATAGGGATGATTACCACGCCCAAAAGCAAAAAGTAGCCAAGGCACTGGAAAGAGGTGCTTCTATCAAGGGTTTCAATGCACCTGGTAGTAAGAATGAGTTGAAATCTACTGAACAAATCAGAAAGGAAAGAATTCAAAAGGAAAAGAGACGTGAAAAGAACGCACGTCCTTCTAAGAAAAGAAAATTATAGATTCTTTATTGCATAATATATAGGCAATTCTTCGTAAATTTATGTATTAGTAGAGAGGGTGAGATAGTGAATCAAATCCAATCAACGGGTAATAAATAATGTTATTTGCCGTTTCTCTGATAAAATGTGTATATTATTTCTTTCATATTTTCATTTATTATTTATGGTTTTTGAGTTTTTCTTTTTCTTTTTCATTTTGTATTTCTATAAAGGGAACTGTCATCTATAACCGGGCCTTCTGGATATGGGAAAAATAATCAGAGTGCAAAGTAATGAGTTATAGATATAGACAATTTAACAAAGACTATAGATGAGTTAGATTCATATGAAGACTAATGAATGAAGAAATAAGGTGAATTGAAAATTATAGTGAGATAGGTTGATTGAGAATGGCTTTAGAAGAACGAAGGGCCTTGTGGGAAGATTTAGAAGTAATTGAAAACGCAATATCAGAGAGATTTCAAAGAAATCCGTCTTTATATTATCACTCCTTGCCTATTTTATCAGATTTACTAAAACAAAATAATAATGATTACAACTCTACGCAAATTTCAAAGAATGTGATATATAATGTCAAAAAGATTAAACGTTCACGCAAGCAACTTATTGCGCAAGGACATGAAATAAAGTTGTTTGTAAAAGATAGAGATGCCATAATTAGAAAATTAGAGACTATGAATGTTGTCCCGATAACTCAATCTAATCTATCAATCAAAGATTTTAAGGATTCTATAATATCTGAGAAGAGTTTTCCTAAAGAGTCTTTGAAAGAAAAACAATCCAAATATAGTATATTTCCAAAGACTGTTGACCAAGATGAGAAACGACTATTATCATTAAGAGCAGAAGATTTGAGTCTTAATAAACTATTTTCTAGAGAAGAACAATATGGAGAATACTTTGACTTTGATGCAATATATAATGAATGGATAAATGTCATTAGAAATTCAGATCACACCATTTTAGACTTTTTGGCTATGTTAGAAGAAAAATTTATAGATAAGAAGGAAGATACGGATAGTCCGAATTATTCTTATTTATTTGAACCTTTAACTGATAGAAAGAATAAACGATATGAGGTGTTTATTGAAAAAATTGTCAAATATTTGGAGAAGTTTCTTTATAAATCTTATCCATTGATAAATAAAGCCACTGTAGAAAATGAACTTGCTCATGACTTTGAAAAAAATTATATTAGTAACCCAATTACTCACAAGGAGCCTTTTAAAAAATTGCTATGTATAGTATGTGGGAAAAATTTTGCCAACTTATCTGTATTTAAGAACCATCTTGATGGTAAGAATCATCAAAAGAATTTAATCAATAGAAGAGATTTCTATTACTATGAATTTAAACTGAAAAGATTTTTAAATGTGTTGAAAGATACATTTTATCACACTAGGAACTTTACTGAAAGAAAATTGGCTTTTACGCTTGATGAAAGAAAAGAGGAATTGCAAAGAATTACAGAGATATATAATGCACCAGTATATGGTAAAGGTGAGAAAGAAAATGATATAAATGATAAAAGTAATGATGTTAATAATAAAGAAGAAGAAAATAAAAGAAATAATACTATTCCTAATGGGACATTTGATATGCCAATAGGACCTGATGGGATGCCAATGCCATACTGGTTATATAAGTTACAAGGATTGGATGTCAAATACACATGCGAAATTTGTGGTAATAAAGAATTTCAAGGTAGAAGAGCATTTGAAAAACATTTCCGTGAACCAACGCATATATATCATTTGAAATGTTTAGGTATCACAGCATCAGCTGTGTTTAAAGGTATTACTAGCATTAGTGAGGCACAATCTCTATGGAAAAGGGTCAATAGTTCTGTTAGGATGGGATCAATGAATTCTCACAAGAGTGTCAAAAACGATTCAATAATTAAATTGGATAATACTAATGCTATTAAAATGGATATTGAAGTTGAAGATGAAGATGGAAACGTTATGACTGAGCAAGTGTATAACGATTTAAAAAAACAAGGTTTATTATAACTTTTATAAGAATGATAGAATATTTTAACGACTATCTTTTACAAAACTAATTTTTTTTAGACTTTAACTTAGTTATGCTTTTTCAAATGATAAACTAGAAATATCGCTGAAATACATTGATAAATTCATTGTAGTAACACGATATGGGTTGCATCTACTATTATCCTGCATCAATACACATCATTGTATAAATATATATGTGTGTGATCTATATGGAATTCCGCATATTCTTATCTCACTAGTGTGCACAAAATTATTATACATTTAGATAGAATGTCTTAGAACCATTTATGGCATTCTTATTTATATTGTTTGTTCATTTATTCATAAGCATATATCTAATTTGTGTATAACTCTTTGGTCCATATAGCACATAATTGGGAAGGAATTTTAGAAGCCGAAAATAGGCTTAATTGTAGTAGGGAAACCTTCATACAGAATTGTTTTTAAAGAGAAAATCCAAACGGCATTTTTGTGCACGTGACTAATCTGAACATTTCGATTTTTTGTATTATGACAATAATTCAAAAAGTTTATGAACCTTTCCTATATATGTTCAACCGACTGGAGACAATTATACGTATAGGGGGGATATTGTAAGATGAATGCAACTAAACAGAATAGAGAGAAGCCACCGCTATAAATAGTTATTACGGAATACAATTAGTTAAATTGAAAATATGGATTCACATTGTCCAATTGGTATGTTCATCTTTTAAGTTATTTTTTATTTTTATCTTATCCCAGCTTTTCTTATCTGTTTTTAATTATGATCATATCGCAAAAGCAAGGTCTTATTTTCCAGTGTAATATCTAGCATAAATATTTTAGAAATTAAAATTGGCTCATTATTAGAATATTACTAAGAGGATTTTATATATATAAATATATTATGTATTTGAATTTTCCTCTAAGTAATCACGATAGAATGTCATAGAAGATAAGGAAGAGAGTATAGAATTGTATACATATCAATAAAATGTTCAAAAAAAGATACTAACAATGTTAGGTTGAAATCAATGTGTTTTAATATTATATGTTAATATCATTGATGAGATTAGTCATTTCCTAATATATGTTTTGTGTAGTTCTTGATCAAGGTACTGGTTTTGTTAAAATTGGTCGTGCTGGGGAAAACTTTCCAGATTACACATTTCCTTCCATTGTGGGGAGACCAATTTTGAGAGCAGAGGAACGTGGAAATATTAGTACTCCACTAAAAGATATTATGATAGGTGAGGAAGCTAGTGACGTTCGTTCTTATTTACAAATTTCATATCCGATGGAAAATGGTATTATTAAAAATTGGACAGATATGGAGTTACTTTGGGATTATGCATTCTATAATAAAATGCAACTACCTAAAACCTCAAATGGTAAAATTTTGTTAACTGAACCACCAATGAATCCAGTAAAGAATAGAGAACAAATGTGTGAAGTTATGTTTGAAAAGTATGATTTTGGTGGTGTCTATGTGGCTATTCAGGCTGTATTAGCTTTATATGCGCAAGGTCTTTCCTCAGGTGTGGTTGTTGATTCTGGTGATGGTGTTACCCATATTGTACCTGTGTATGAGTCTGTGGTTCTAAATCATTTGACAAGAAGATTGGATGTTGCAGGTAGGGATGTCACTAGACACTTGATCGATTTATTATCACGTCGTGGTTATTCTTTCAACAGAAGTGCGGATTTTGAAACAGTTCGTCAAATTAAAGAGAAGTTTTGTTATGTTTCTTATGATTTAGATCTAGATACTAAATTAGCTAGAGAAACTACAACTTTGGTAGAAAGTTACGAATTACCAGATGGTAGAATCATTAAAGTTGGACAAGAAAGATTTGAAGCTCCTGAATGTTTGTTCCAACCAAATTTAGTTGATGTAGAACAGCCGGGTGTTGGGGAACTACTTTTCAACACAATTCAATCTGCAGATGTTGATATTAGGAGTTCGTTATATAAAGCAATAGTTTTATCCGGTGGTTCTAGTATGTATCCAGGCTTACCATCTAGACTAGAAAAAGAATTGAAACAATTATGGTTTACCAGGGTATTGCATAATGACCCAACACGAATGGACAAATTTAAGGTAAGAATTGAAGATCCACCAAGAAGAAAACATATGGTGTTCATTGGTGGTGCTGTTTTAGCTAATATTATGGCAGATAAAGATCATATGTGGTTGTCAAAACAAGAATGGCAGGAAAACGGTGCAGCTGCAATGGCAAAGTTTGGTCCAAGATAAAAAATGTTTATATATAAATATTCTATTGAATTGATGAAAACTAATTCCGTTACTTGCTGTATAATTCTATGTCATAATTTTTTTAAAAATATTTAGTTATAAAGAAATGAAACGATTTTAAAGAAAAAAAAAGAAACTTTATATTGTAGATTACTATTTTAATAAATTCAATATAAATCATTAAATATTTACTGTCCTGTTTTAATATTTGATATTTACTACGTATGTCTGAGTTTCTAATAATGTAGAAACGAATTTTATTACCAGTACCTTTTAAACTGTAAAATTATTTTTCACCAATAGTCTCTCCTGCAAATATCTTGAATTTTTGTTTATTACAACGACTTGTAACAATAAGTTCGACATATTCACTTACACCAGCCGATTTATTTTCAGGAAAGTACGTATAATCCATGCCAATAATAAATGCTAATGGTAATAATGTGTCATCGTGTAGGCATGGTGAAATATTTTCCCCAGTTATATAATATCTATTGCAAAGGAGATTATTATCCTCATAGGGATTTTGATACTTCCATCCTAATATGTACTCTTGTCTAAAGGAATAGATTCCTCTAAATTCTGTTAATCGCAATAGAGATACAAGCCCGACCTGCGAAGCAACTGCAATACAATTTAATTCTTTAATATGACAAACAAAGTTTATTCTATTAAGAAAACCAGCGGCTATAATTTCTGAACATATGGATGCATTTTCTAGTGGGAATATTTCATTGACTGTGTACGAAGTGATAATTAATGGTGATGGTTTGACAAGATAGATATTATATTCAGTTGTTACCAGCAATATATCGTTTTCAAATTTGGGTAGCGTAAAGCCACAAGGTTCATGACCTGATATAGCTAAATCTAATAATTTCTTCACTTTTAATGCATGATTATGAACCCACCAGGCACGTTGTTTGTATGTTTCATCTTCTTCTAAATTAAAACAATCATTTGGCTTATCAGGTATCTCTGCATCAGAATTTAATATGTCTTTCCAAGTTGGACGTTTATAATCCTTATGAAAATAGGCACTAGCAGCATATATAATGGGTTCTTTGGGGAATTCTAATGTAGAATTAGATGGACTAGACTTGGATTTATAAGTAAAATCATGAGAATATGATATGTCGAGTTGTCTGAAATTGTGGCTTTTATGGTTTGATACAATAATATATCCTCTATAATCAGAACGATTCTTGGTGTCATTTGCTAATGTTATTTCAAGATTGGATTGTTTCCATAAATCAAGTTCCTTGGGATCTTCTTTGAAATTCTTTTTCAGGTAATTTGGATATTTATACGTAAAACTTAGGGTATCATTTTCGAATGTACAGGTTATTCTTTCCATGGATTCTAATGGTCTTTCATCTAAGGAAGGAAGCAGCATTCCATAATTAGATATTTGATCTTTAAGTTCACCCTTTGATACCAAACCTTTTTTATCAAACGTAGTGAAATTTAGTTGGATTGATGATGACTTAATACCTTTTAAACATAACCAATTAAGATTGGTAGTTGGTACGGGAATTTGTGTCGTCAATGTTCCAATGCCATAATTACCTGAATTATATACACTTTTTGGTTGAAAATTTAATATCTTGCTATCCATAATGATGGACTTTTGAATTGATTGTTTTAATTTTTCTTGAAAATTCAGACATAATAACTCAAATTGTGAGACACTTAAAAAATCTTTCTTTTTTAATGCAGTAACATTCCAAACTTGTTCTCCAAAAAATTGAATATCTAAAAGTTTAACATTGATGATACCAGATGATATATCAGTGTCAATGTCAACGGTTGTGATGTTGCCAAATATAGAACCATAAACTAAAGTAATATTTTTTGTAATTGATTGGTCAGGAGTAATAAAAGTAACAGAGGGCACATTATGCTCTGAGAACAATTCTCTTGAAATAGTGTTATAATTATTAGTTGAACATGTGGGTACACCAGTTGTAAATGAAGAAAGTCTGGAATCTTTCCGATCTATCTTGTGTAATCCTTCATTGTCACAGTAATGTTTCTGTAGATTTGATAATGTATCTGAAAAATCATATTCCCTATATCTATTATTATATGAATAGTTGTTCTTTTCCTTTTTGATTGCAAACAAAGAAACACCTGGTAGATTATGACCAGCTGCAATGAATGCTACGTTATTGATATTAATAATGTCAATACTCCAGCAACTTTCAGGTACTTTCAAAGACACTACTGGAGACCATGGTACTGTTTTATCAAAATTATTATCCCATACGTGTTTTTTCTCATATCTTCTCACATCGTTTGTAATCGATTCAAGATCATAAAAAACCACTAAACCATACATTAAACAGACAATAAGTACATCTCTATCAAATAACTTTTTTATGCACATATAATTTGCACCTAACTCGCTTTCATCTACATAAGGGTCGTCTACATCTTTGTAATCTCTATTAGTCATGTTGTAGAGGTAATACTGATTTTTTAATAGTTTAGCATTTATATAATTGAAATCTATCACTGGGTCACGAAGGTTTCTTTGTTCGTAAACATTGATGGATCCACGTTCAACGATGAAAACATATTTACCATAGTTACACATTAATTGATTTTTGAAAGAAATATCTTCCTTTTTTTCATATGGGTACTGTAGACTGTATTCTGGTCCTTTAGTTGTAACAAACAATCTGTGATCATTAGGGAGCAATAATTCTGCTGGATTGCATATTTTGGTAGATGACCATGCAGGCTCCAAATTACCTTGTGTCTCTCTTATTGATTGGATCAAAGGTTCACCAAGATCATTCAGTACTTCTTCTTCGGTGATTGCAAGTTCGTTTAGTTTCTCTAAATAATTGTTGATAGACTGTTCAATACGAGGTGGGAATTTTAAAGTTGAATTATTAGGAGTTATTGGGTCAAATTTATCAAATGATTGTTCTTCTTCATAATTCTGTGTGTTACCATTGCTTTTTAAAAACTTCTCAGTATCGAAGCATGTACCATGGTGAGAGTTCAAAGTTATTTCTCGATATTTTAACCAGTTGTTAAATTTTTGATTATTAAATGGCATAATAAAAATTCATAATTGTAATGAATTCAACTCTTGTTTATATATATCAGTAACTTAAAGCAGGAATTCACAGATGCTTGTATCATGTTATTGCATAGCAAGACATGGTTGTTCTATATATCAGAAGTAAGTACATATATACATACATTGTTTATCGTACTTAATTTATGAAGAACAAAAACTGGTAGTTGTATTATGCAGAATAAAAGCGCTATCAAATTTGTTACAGAGTCTGGGGCAAAGAGCGCAAAGGAAAAAATGGATTGTTTATTGACTGATAAATTCATATATTAATACAAGATAAACTAGTCAAAGTGTTTGAAGGAAGTATACAAGTGATTGATATTCATTATGTTTTGGAATTTGTATAATAAGGTTTATATCCATCTACTAATCTATAGTGTAATAATTATTGAAATCATTTATATAAACAATTTGAGCATCTATTTGAGTGGTATTAACTTGTTATTGTATTTGTTTTATTAAGATCTTTAAAAGTAAACATATCTGAATACCTATCAGAAGATTGTTTATTATATAGTAAAGACAACCGTAAACAACTAAAATTAGTCTAAGTGTTGAAATCTTCATTTTGGCATAAATATATCATAAACACCTTCAATATCTAATCTCATATGATCCTGATTGTGAGATATATTTGATCCATTTTGTTATGCGATGGTTTTTATTTTTTTCAACGATATTAAATTGACGGATCTTGAGACCAGAATTACTAAACATTAAAATGTTGAATTGCAATGCAATTGGTGGTCGTTGCCATTGCTGTGAGCTTAGTTCTGTAGTGTCGTTACTACAAACTGTAAGAGCACTTAATTTGTCTTCTATTAGTCCATTATATTTATTAAATTTCCATATTATGGCATTTTCTTCAGGTACAAAATTACAATTACCATTAGACACACTAATTTTACAATCTATAGTTCCAGGTGGGACAGGTATCCTGAGAAGAAGATTTTTGGCAGATAATTTAGGAGGAAATAAGGATTTCAGAGTAATGTGGTAATCCATACTGCCTGTAAATGTTTGTGACACCACAGGGGTAACCTTAAATGGTATTTGTAAATTATTGTTAATATGATATTTCATTAATTCTGTTTGACCTTGAGGTGTAACAAATTGGATAATTCTCTGTTCATCGAATTTTTCAAAGGATACACATTGATGGAACTTGTAATCTTGTAGAACGATTTCTTTATTTGATTCCATGGTATTATCCATTTCAAATGTCTTGTCTTTTGTCTTATAATATTTATTATAACGACGTATACTCTCTATGTCATTCAATACTATCTCACAGATAGGGTGATCATGTATCTTGTTATCAGATTCAATAATACCATCAACATAAGATTTTAAGATAAATCCATCCTTGGAGACTAAGATATTTATCTTTTCAATTACACTTAATATTATTTCATTTTTCTTGGTTAAAAAATCTTTGTTTGTGGATATTGGACTAATGGAACTTGCACGCCTCAATAAGTTTGGAATTGCAGTAGTTGGACTAGGGAGATTGGCTTTTAAGATGGTGTCACTACCATTTGATGTCAATATGTTATTTATATTTTTGAGTTTATTGTTTTCATGATATTGATTATTATTATTATTATTAGAATATAGGTTGATGGATTGTAACGATTTTTTAGGTTTACTAGACATCATACTGACAATTGCAGTTAAATCTGTCTCCATTGGAATTCCACCTGGCATAAGCATAACACTTAACAATTCATAACATATCATAAAATCTTCCATTAAAGTTGATTCTGAATTAATTCCATAGATAGTCATAGCATCATTTAATTTATATAAAAATTCCCAGATGGCAGCACTATTACAATTGTTTCTACTTACAGTTACTAACCAAAGACGATCTTTTGATGTGGATCGAATAGAATGGAATGTTGTCGATCCTAATGTTAAAATTGGAGATCTAACGTCTTGATTGTTGATGACTTGTACTCTAAAGACATCTGCCACAGATCTTTTCAGTGTTGCCTTATATAATTTTGAGACAATGAGCTCTCCCCTATTAGAAAAAATTAATATAGCTCCAATCATCTTAGGCTTATATATGGTATTTACTTAAAATTATCTGAAAGGAAAGAAATTGTGTCTATATGGTTTTAAGTTAAAATTGATAATCTTTTTGTTTTCTAAAAATTAATTTTCTATGTTAATTTGTTAATTTGAAGATGACAAAAGACATTACCTCTATTATAGCTATCAATTTATTAATTCAATCATGCCTAAATGACAGCATAAAACATATTCTATGGTCCCAATAATTTTTAATAAAAACGATATTAGATTCTTCTTCAATTGATCTCTATGTAGATAATTAATTGTATGGTATTTTTGAAAGGGAGCCTGACAAAAGAAAAAGAAAAAGAAAGAAATCTTTGAAATGTTCAGATCGGCTTTTTGCGGATTATCATGCGGAATATAAAAGGGTTTGTCAATTCCTCTCCACAGGGTGACTCCACTTACCCGAGTTTCAGAAATCAAAAAAATAAAAAAAAAAAAACAGAAAGAGAAATAAAAAAACACGAAAAAGGAAAAGGAAAAAAATTTTTTCTAACAAGCAGAGAAAATGTATTAAAGCTCATCACAAATGAGAGCTCTAAAATTCTGGACTGAAATTGTGTTATCTATATGTGCACATCGTTAGATAATTTCTATTAATCCATGCGCAGTTGTTCTATTTGATCTTCTGTATTAATTTCGAAAAATAACTAAGTATGTTAATCTCTTGGTGGGATAAGGTAAAGGATTACATCTATTGAAAACTTAGATACTACAACCACTTTTTGTGTCAACTACTGATCCTCTAAAAATAAAACGAATAGAAATCAGAAGTCAATACATAAAAAGCAATCTAGATGAGCAACAATATTGTTATTTTTGGGGGTGATTCGCATCCTGAATTAGTTAATCGAATTTGTGAAAATCTGGATATTAAGCCATCTCAAGTAGAATTAGGTAAGTTTGCTAATGGTGAAACAAGTATCAGTGTTCGTTCTTCTGTACGTGAAAAGGATGTATATGTGATCCAAAGTGGCTGTGGTCATGTTAATGACACATTTATGCAATTACTGATTTTAATCAGTGCGTGCAAGTCTGCATCTGCATCTAGAGTCACTGCGGTGATGCCTTATTTATGTTATTCTAGACAACCAGATATTCCATATACAGCTAAGGGTGCACCTTTAGTCTCTAAACCAAGAAATTCACTTTCCAGCACATCGAAGACCAATGATGAAAACACAACTACGAATCAGTCAAAAATTTTGCACAATGGAGTTCTTCAAAGTACAAATACGGTTAACAGACCAGGTTCTGAGTTTCCATTCAAATCCTTGGATAATGCTATACGATCCAGTATTCAAATGGAACAGCCAGTCCCTGTTAGAGAACCAAAATTGGCGAAGACATCATCCATGTCGAGAATTCCAGTGATTCCAGATGGCAGAATATCTCGTGGTGCCAATAATGATGCAGAAGAATTATTTAATGCACAGAATTCAGGTTATAAACTATGGGTAGTACAGGCAGGTACTCTGATTGCTAATTTATTGACAACAGCAGGTGCGGACCATGTTATTACAATGGATTTGCACGATAGACAATTTCCCGGGTTTTTTACTGTTCCTGTGGATAATTTATATTGTAAACCAATGGCCCAAAACTATATTCAGCATTTCATTCCTGGGTATAAGGACGCAGTGATTGTTTCTCCAGATGCAGGTGGTGCTAAAAGAGCGACTGCAATTGCAGATGCATTAGAATTATCTGTTGCAATTATTCATAAGGAGAAAAGATCACAATTGCCTAAGGGTCCACCAGATGCTACTTTAACCAGTGGTGTCTCGTTGTCTTCTAAACCATTAATTTCTCATAATTCTGTCGATGATACCATAAATAGTAATAGCAACCAGGTTCCAGTGTTATCAGCAAATGGAGTAGCTACAGAATTTGCTAATTCTAATGCAAAATCATCTAAGTATATCCAGACTACTATGTTAGTTGGTGATGTTAGAAACAAGGTATGTATTTTGATAGATGATTTGATTGACACCTCTTATACAATTACTCGTGCAGCACAATTATTGAAAGATCAAGGTGCGACCAAGATTTATGCATTAGCTACACATGGTATCTTTTCAGGCGATGCATTAGACCGTATTAAATTAAGTCCTATTGACAAGATTATTGTCTCAAACACCATTCCTCAAGAACGCACAATCAAGAAATTAGGTAAACACAGAGTTGGCATTATCGATGTTTCGTTAGTGTTCGCTGAAGCCATAAGAAGAATTCATAATGGTGAATCCATTTCGATGTTATTTGAGTATGGGTTTTAAAAGAAAATTGTAAATGGGTTTCATACACCAGCATAAGTATATATATGTATATGTAATATTTTTTTTTCTTTTATCTTTTTCACACTCTGTAGACTTAATAATTTTGACAATACATTATACTATTTAATATTGATTGGATAGAACTTACTTAGCCAAGAAATCGAAAGTCGAGAAGAGATTAGCAGAGAAAGAAATGGGAAGAAAAATTAAGTAATGAGAAATGGAAGCCCTTACTTTGTTGCAATAATGACTTTGATACAGTGTAAATAAGATTGTCAACCCTATTTTTTGGAAAGCAAAAAAAATGCATGACTAGCCAAGTCGTAAAAAAAAATTAGGTCAAAGAAAAATAAAAGAAACAAAAAAAGATGTATTGTAATCTTTCAGAAAAAAAAATAGATAAATAGTCCTCACGCCACCATTAAACTAAAACAATAGTGTTTTTTTATCATAAAGAAAACGTGATGTTTTTTGTGGCAATTTTTTGTGCAGGTCCGATTATTTTTACACTATTGAAAAAACAACGTTTGATGTTTCGAATATTTTTATGACAAAATAATTGGATCTGTATAAGATTCTTCTAAATTAGATGATGCCACACACACTTTCATAAAGTTTAAATGCAGTAGTACCTAGTATCAACAAGAAGCCAAGGATTTTTTATGGTAGAATAGTGTGAGTAGGGACGGAGGGGGAAGAGTTCAAAAATAAAAATAAGAAAGGAAAAGACATGGTATTGGGTTACAGAAGAAAAACAAAAAGAAAGATTAGAAGTTAGGTTGCAATGAAGGTGTGGAACAGATGTAAGATTCCTTTTTAAGCATTGTTTAGAAAAGATGGCTCTTACTATGTCTTTGTATGTGTTTGTTTTTCTTGCTTTCATTAAATTTTTTCTTGTGTTCATGAGAGCGAAATTTGTCCCAAATTTCTCACTCACTGAATTTTTGAATCCTTTTGAATTATTATGTTATTCGTTGTTTCTCCGATTCTTTTGTAGTTTGTTTACCCTTATCGTGTTGTATGACATTTCATTTTTCTGCTTTCGTTTACTGTTTTAAAAAAGAAAAAGAAAAAGAAAAAAACCAGATTGTTGTACCAAATGTTGAAGGATTATTGCTTTTGTTATTATTATTATATGTATTACTTAATTAGGCAAATTTATTAATAACGCTTGTAGATTAGTAAATTGATTATTTATATTTCCTCCTTTTTCTCTCTTTCAAGGACTTGGTTAAGTGATAGAGTGTGTGGATGGATAGATGAATCAATTGACCTTATTCATTCTCACTCGCACCCATCCTCATTTTGTTCCTTCTATCTCCACCCCTTGAATGAAAATATCTGGTATTTTTATGATGCCTTCTACTTCATTCTGTTTTGCCTATATTGCTCCTCATTTAAAAAGAAAAGAGAAAAAGTTTTGTTTCTAATAATCTAAGATTAAACAAAAATGATCCTGTATTCTTGTTCAAGTGGCTTATTTAACCTATATAACTTACTTCTTTTTTTTTTTTCTTCCAATTTACTTGATCCTTTGATTTTCCCATCCCTCCTCCCTGCCCCCTTGTTTTGAAGTTGTCTTCTTGAGTGTCTCCTCTTTTTTCTGGTCATTTGCCTACTTGAATCTAATAAATAGCTTGCTTTTCTGAATCACGTTTTTGTTCTCTAGTTTTTGGTTCTCATACTTTTCTTGTTAGACCGCTGTAAACGTCTCTTATTTAAAATTTGTTCGTTTTATATCTGTCTTTTCCCTTTTACCTTCATCTTGGAATGTATTTTGTAGTCTGTTCTCCTTCTTCTTTTTCCTCTGTTTTTTTTTTTTTCAGTTTTTACTTTAGGGAGGAGATATGTACAACAACATAATAACTAAGAGTAAACCATCATTACTATCACTAAAATCTTTCTATAGATCATTACGTATTAGACCAAGGTTACTACCTTTAACTGGCAAGAATCCGCAGATCCATTCAAATCATTCACTACAAATAATATCATCATATTCAAAAATGACAGGTACTAGTAAGGCTGATGTTACAGCAATTAAGAAAAACTTCCCCTTAAAAAAAGTTGAGTCAGCAGTCTCAGTGGTCAGTTTACACCGTCATCCATTCAAAGTCACTGTTATCGGTTCAGGTAACTGGGGTACTACTATTGCTAAAGTGGTTGCCGAAAACACAAAGTTACATCCACATCTATTTAAGGAAACGGTTGAAATGTGGGTTTTTGATGAAAAGATTCCAAAATCTAAAGATAGTGAAGAATATGAAATGTTGACCGATATAATAAACACAAGACATCAAAATGTTAAGTATTTGCCAGATATTGATTTACCACATAATTTGCATGCTAATCCAGACTTACTTGATAGTATAAAAGATGCCGATATTTTGGTCTTTAATGTTCCACATCAATTTTTAGCTAAGATTGTCGAAAATTTGAAGGGACATGTCAGACCACATGTTCGTGCTATATCATGTTTGAAAGGTTTCGAAGTTGGTAGAAAGGGTGTCCAACTATTGTCTTCCTATATTACTGATGAATTGGGTATCCAATGTGGTGCTTTATCAGGTGCCAACTTAGCCCCTGAAGTGGCAAGAGAACACTGGTCTGAGACCACCGTTGCTTATCAATTACCAAAGGATTTCAGAGGTGAAGGATATGATGTTGACCATCGTATTTTGAAGATTTTATTCCATAGGCCGTACTTCCATGTTAATGTGATTGATGATGTGGCAGGTATTTCCATTGCGGGTGCTTTGAAGAATGTTGTTGCATTGGCATGTGGTTTTGTTGAAGGTCTGGGATGGGGGAACAATGCCGCCGCTGCTATTCAACGTGTCGGTCTTGGTGAAATCATCAAATTTGGTAGAACATTCTTTCCTGAGTGTAAAGTTGAAACATACTATCAAGAATCTGCAGGTGTTGCTGATTTGATCACGACATGTTCAGGTGGTAGAAACGTTAAAGTTGCCAAGCACATGGCTAAGACAGGTAAAGATGCATTTGAGAGTGAAAAGGAGCTTCTGAACGGTCAATCTGCACAAGGTGTTATTACTTGTAAGGAAGTTCATGAATGGTTAGACACTTGTGAAATGACACAAGAATTCCCATTATTTGAAGCTGTTTATCAAATTGTTTATAACAATGTTCCAATGAAGAACCTACCTGAAATGATTGAAGAATTAGATTCTTTTGTTACTGAAGACGATTAACAAGAAAACTGAATAAATGAATAAAAAGACAGGGAAATACAGGATAAGAGAAAATATTCAATGAAGAAATGATATGCCCATTTTTCTGCAAAAAAAAACAAAAAAATTAGAAAATAGAAATAAAAAAATACGAAAAAAAGAAGTCTAGTGAAATGTATAATAACTATAAGAGTTCACATATATTTTTACGATATAATACCAAAGAGGTCATATATATATATATATATATATATATGTGTGTGTATATGTATGTATACACATGTATATTTAGATCTATTTGATAATGAACAAAATTGCCAGTAGGTTTACCAGAATACTACTGTATGGATGATGGTAGCGATACAAAGGGGTTGGGTTGTGTGTTTTGACTTTATTTTATCTTATTCTATATTTATTTAGGCTCTGAAATTTTAAGTGCGTCTTTTAGAAGATCTACTAAAAGGAGCATTTTTGAAAATGGGACCAGGGTTTGTAGAAAGGAAAGAAAAGAAGGAATGAATGAAAGATAGAGAAATAAAAATTTCGTTAGGTCACCTCCACCTGTAGAAAATTGAATAATGAAATTACTCATACTTTTCTAATCTCTTTAACGTTTTTCTGTTTTCTGTTTTTGTTTTTTCTTCCATTCTTTAACTTATTGCCACATGCGAAATTTTGTTGTTATTAAATAATATGTAAAAAAAAAAAAAAATTTTCCAATTGGAACCAATAATTGGGATCATTGACACCCAGACACCGCACGTTGTAAAACAAAGAGAAAAACAAAGGCAACAACAAAAACAAAAGAAATAGACACGAATTTCTCCTCCCCTCCCCTTCTGTTATCGCGCAGGTATAAGTCCTATTTCTTTACATCCAGACACCAGACAAAAATGCTGACTCACACATGCATGCACCGCTCCCAGTTTCACTTAACGGCACAAATTAGTCAGTGATCTCGCTATCTTTGTCACTTAACGGTTCACTCTGGTTATCTTTTTTTTTCTCACATATAAAAGGCGATCGTTTGTTCCTTCCATTAGAGAAAAACTTTTTCTCCTCTTTTTTGCCTCGAATGCTTTCTTTTTCGTCTCTTCTGATCTTTTACTCTTTGAAGGATTCTCTCCCCATTCCACAGATCCACGACTCAATTAAGGGAGATATTAGCAATCACTAATAGTAATTGTTGGTTATTTTATAGTTAGTGATTTTATTTACTTACTATCATTTATACTCAGAATTAAACTGTTTATTTTATTATAATACATTTTTAGAGCTATTTGATAAAGAAACAAAAAAAAAAGAAAAAATTTCTATTCAAAGATGTCTAAGGGTAAAGTTTGTTTAGCTTATTCTGGTGGTCTTGACACCTCCGTTATTTTAGCTTGGTTATTAGATCAAGGTTATGAAGTTGTCGCTTTTATGGCAAATGTCGGTCAAGAAGAAGATTTTGAAGCTGCTAGAGAAAAGGCATTAAAGATTGGTGCTACCAAATTCGTCTGTGTTGATTGCCGTGAAGAATTCGTTAAGGATATTTTATTCCCAGCTGTTCAAGTGAACGCTATTTATGAAGATGTTTACCTATTGGGTACTTCTTTAGCTAGACCAGTCATTGCTAAGGCTCAAATCGATGTTGCTGAACAAGAAGGTTGTTTTGCTGTCGCTCATGGTTGTACTGGTAAGGGTAATGATCAAATCAGATTTGAATTGTCCTTCTACGCTTTGAAACCAGATGTCAAAGTTATTGCCCCATGGAGACTACCTGAATTCTTTGAGAGATTTGCTGGTAGAGCTGATTTGATTAATTACGCCGCTGAAAAGGGTATCCCAGTCACTCAAACCAAGGCTAAACCATGGTCTACTGATGAAAACCAAGCACACATCTCTTACGAAGCTGGTATCTTAGAAGATCCTAACACCACACCACCAAAGGATATGTGGAAATTAATTGTGGATCCATTGGATGCACCAGATCAACCACAAGATTTAACTATTGATTTCCAAAAGGGTCTTCCAGTTAAAGTACAATTTAAAGATAATGCCACTGGCAAGGATGTGGTGGCCACTTCTCCATTGGATATCTTCTTAACTGTCTCAAATGTTGCTAGAGCCAATGGTGTTGGTAGAATCGATATTGTGGAAAACCGTTATATTAACTTAAAGTCTAGAGGTTGTTACGAACAAGCTCCATTAACTGTCTTAAGAAAGGCACACGTAGACTTAGAAGGTCTTGTTCTAGATAAAGAAGTCCGTGCATTAAGAGATCAATTCGTTACTCCTTCCTATTCTAGACTTTTATACAATGGTTCTTACTTCACCCCAGAATGTGAATATATTAGATCCATGATTCAACCATCTCAAAATACCGTCAACGGTACCGTTAGAGTTAGGCTATATAAGGGTAACGTCATTATCTTAGGTAGATACTCTGAAACTGAAAACTTGTACGATGCCACTGAATCTTCCATGGATGAATTAACTGGTTTCATGCCAACTGATACTACTGGTTTCATTGCTATCCAAGCAATCAGAATTAAGAAATACGGTCAAGCTAAGAGAGACAAGGGTGAAAAATTAACTTTGTAAATGTAATAATAATGATAAATAGTAATAATAGTAAATAACAACAACAATAATAATAATAATAATAATAATAATAATAATTATATGCATGGTTTATTTCCTATTTGTCACATATGTATAGATACATCTAGGATGATATAATGATTCGTACTCTTTTATTTGTATTTCTGTGATTAATATCAGAAATTTTTTGAATTTTGTTGATGTTGTCATCATATGATGGTTTTTTCTTTTTTTTATCTGCTTTTTTATTTAGTAGTTTTTTATGACAGTTAATTTTATCTAACTTAGCTCAAGTATATTTCGTCAAATTCTGAGAGTTATCTTCTGTATTGTTCTTATTATTATTCACAAAGAAAAAAAAATAAAAAGGTCCGTATATATATGCAACAAAGTAATGTCTCTTACGTAAATCTGGTTGAAAAATGGTTACTCATTTTCTAATGTAACTTATTTATCTATATATCTCCTTTTTTATTGTTAATATGATTATTAGATATGATTAAAGGTGTTATTTGTTTTGCAAGTTGTTACATTTTTTAAGATTGTACCTCTGTTCCATCGAAGTCTTCACTGTGTTATAAGTAGAATCATCTTTGGACCTTCATCTATTCTAATCTCTTATCATTTGTTGATCGGGCATTGTTTTTATCAAATATATAAAAGATGATAGAAGATAGGAAAAATAACACGAAGGTACACAAAGAAAAAGTAAGAGGAAAAAGATGTGTATATATATTTAAATATATATACACATGTTCACAATAAGTAACTGGAGGCAGCAAAATAATTTAAAATATTGTTTTTAAGTCTGGTTAAATTAGAACTTTTCTATTTGTATAATAATATATATATTATTTAAGTCTATTTGACATTAAGACTAGTGATATTAACTATCAAAAGAACGGATATATCCAAGAATCGAAAAAAAATAAGGGAAAGGAGAGATGTCTAAGTACGTAGCAGACCATGAGGCCCCCTTAACTATGTTATCGGTTAAGGAGTATTTCCCTCAATTAACAGAAAAGGAACAGAAATATGCTCATTATATGTCAAAGGCTTCTCATGCAGGAACAAGAGTTGTATTAAGGCAAGTTTCTCATGAAAGTGAAGCCATATTTGACTTACTTCTTTCTATTCATAAGGGACTTAAGGGTAAATATCCAACTGATATTGAACAAGTTGATTTATACCTAGATTATGTCTCCCAATTTCTGGGCAATTTAGGGAACTATAAATCATTTGGTGATTCTAAATTTATCCCTGGTTGTTCACAAGATACTTGGTTCAAGTTAATGGAAAGATGCCAAATAAATCCCTCTGATAAAGTTACAGCGTTAAACTGTCCATATTCTACTATACATGACTTAGTGGTTAAGGGTATTTACTATGTTGATGATCAAGTTTCTATGTTAGGTTTCCCAGCTGATGGTTATGTTTCTTCATATTATTTGGGTGATCCTATATCTCTAGATGATATGAAATTACTGAAAAATGAAATATTTGCATCCCTATCTATCTTACCAGAGAATACTAGAATTAAGAAAGATTTGCAAAATTCTCAATTTGAAATTCTTATTGCATCAGTCAATTTGAACAATGCAATTCCTCATGAATATCCCTCAGAAGATATTAAATTATCTAATGGCTTTACTGTTAAATTTAAATTTGGTGATCATTCTACAGAATTAGCCCTAGTTGTTAAATATTTGAAGTTGGCGCGTGAAAATGCCGCTAACGACATTCAATATAAGATGTTAACTGAATATATCAATCATTTCCAAACTGGATCTTCTAAAGCTCATAAAGAATCACAAAAGTTATGGGTTAAAGATCTATCTCCAACTGTGGAGACTAATATTGGCTTTATTGAAACTTATAGAGAGCCATCAGGCATTATTGGTGAATATGAATCTTTAGTGTCTATTCAAAATAAGTTACGTACTGCAAAATTTGCTACAATGGTTTCCAATGCAGAAAATTTTATATCTTTATTACCTTGGAGTCAAGATTATGAGAAACCAAAATTTAATCCACCTGATTTCACTTCTTTAGAAGTTTTAACTTTCACAGGTTCAGGTATTCCAGCAGGTATCAACATTCCAAATTATGATGATGTTCGTTTAACTATTGGGTTTAAAAATGTCTCCTTAGGTAATATTTTGAGTGCGTCAACAAAAGCATCTAAAAAATTTCCACCAAGTTTTATTACTGAAGAAGATAGGCTTATTTTTGATAAATATCAAGGTGAATCCTTTGAAGTTCAAGTTGGAATCCATGAATTATTGGGACATGGCTCTGGTAAATTATTGATGGAAGTGGAACCGGGTAAATTCAATTTTGATATTAAAAATCCTCCATTAGGATTGGATGGGAAACTTGTATCTACATATTACAAAGTAGGTGAAACTTGGGGGTCCAGATTTGGTTCTCTAGCTGGTGCATTTGAGGAAACAAGAGCTGAAGTTGTCGCTATGTATTTAATTACAAACAGAGAATTATTAGAAATATTTGGCTTCAAGACTCGTGAAGAACAAGATAATGTTATTTACGCTGGTTACTTGCAAATGGCAAGAGCTGGTTTATTGGCTTTGGAATATTGGGATCCAAAGACGGGCAAATGGGGTCAACCACATATGCAAGCTAGATTTTCTATTATGAAGACATTCTTGAACCACTGTTCTGATAACAATTTCTTAACTTTAGAAAAGGATACAAAGGGCGAATTGTACATCAAATTAAGAAAGGATTTGATTGAAACTGCTGGTTATGAGTGTGTTAAAGATTATTTGCACCATTTACATGTTTATAAATGTTCAGCTGACGTTGAAAGAGGTACTCAATATTATGTAGATCGATCTACTGTCACCCCAGAGTTAGCTCAGTATAGAGATTTGGTTATTTCAAAGAGATTACCTAGAAGACAATTTATTCAAGCAAACACCATCTTAGATGGCGATAAAGTTGAATTGAAGGAATACGAAGAAACACCATTAGGTATGATAGAATCCTTTATTGAAAGAGAATGTTGAATTAATTGTACTACCAAGACACAAGCCAATTTTGTTTCATCCTAATATTATGTATGGATTTTTAGTATACATATTAAATTATGTATTTTACATAATTCTTGCATCTAGGTATTGAAGGACAAAATTTTTTTTTACTCCTATGTGATTTATAGTCTTGAAAGTTTTTGGATTCATATTGTTTTAAGCCATTCATTTTGCCATGGAATAGGTTTGTAAGACAAAAATTGATTTTGTGGAATGGACTTTGGTGGTTTAATTTATTCCTTGAAATCAGCCTTTTCAAGATTATTTTGGGATGGAAAAGTACCAAAATAACATGGATGATCAGTATCTAATATTTTGGATTATATACTAGCTGATTTAAGGAGTGCTTTAGGGCACTTATTCGGTCAAATGACTTTAAAACGTAACTCTAGAACGTATTTTTTATTTTTATTTATAGTTTCATGTAACATCATTATTCTTTTTTGCAAAATAGGATGAAGTTCCAATTGAATAACTTCTCTTCTTGGTTTCAGAAAGAATATAGAAAATTGGGGAAAATGTGAATTTTTTAAAATTACTACGATTGATCTGTTTATAAAAAAAACTATCATCAGAGAAGCAATATCGTAACAAGGCGGATTAAAAACTCAAATACACAATACTTCTGTAGATTTAGCCATATTTATATAGCTTAGTTACTTCGATAGGAGGCTCCAAAAAAAATAATAGTCTTGCGTATAATATTGCTGTTTCTATTTCTTACAATGAATTTGACTTTTCTACACGCATGTTATGTTTTGAATTTAAGAAAGCTGCAAGAAGGACTTTGGACAAGACTTTAGAAGTTCTAGAATAACAATTTTTATTAACTAGAACTCGTCTGTATAAGAGGCATAAAAGGTTAAATCATTTAATATTACTATGTTACTGAGAAACTGTAAACTGTTAGAAATATAAAAAGTCTAAAAGGTTAACATATTTAAATTATTTTTGATTGTAGGTGGATTATGACAATATATTTATAGGAAATTTCTTTCTTGAAGCTGTTAAGTGGGATAAAAGAATATGTGATAAAGAAGAAGTAGTAGCATATATCAATTTTGTGCATAATATGATTCAAAGGAATATTTAAAGTAATACTGCCTCGTAAGATATGATTTAACTTTATCATTGGTTAAGTAATCAAAAATATTCTGAACAATTCTAAATTAGATTACTACATGTTAATTAATACTATATGCTGCAAATATATCAAGTTGTTTTTATTTATTTATTCTTTTTTTTTTGGACACTTCGCCTTTTTTGTGTAAAAGCTTTGGGATTTCTTGCACATGTATGATATTGGATATTTTGACAGCTTCGTTTAAAATCACCTAGCTGTCTATTACCTTTTTAGGTTGCCTTTAATTGTCTATATTTCTTTTTCAGATGATTAATAATAGATAAACACAATAAAAAGTCCTCGAGATTTCACTTGCGTGATTGCTTTTTTTCTTTTTTTGGTACTTTTTTTTCTGCAGCTTACTTAATAAAAAAAATGCTCGAGGAAATGTGTACCTGTTTAACAAAACTTTTGGGTTAAAAATAAGAATATATTAAGTAAAGGCAAGGCAATTTAGTAAGCAGGGAAAACATTGATACAATAATCTTGCTTTGTTTTTTTAACATAGATAGATACTACTGTTTTCTGTTTAACATATTGCAAGTTTATTTTTTTTGACACGATTAAAGTAGCTACACTGGAGGATATAATAGCAGTTTATATCGCGTCCATCATATTGTTTTTTTTATTTTGAATTCTCATTGTTTAAAGATCTATTTATGATGACCGCATCAAGTGAAACCTTTAAGCTATTTGTTTTAAGACATGGACAAAGTGAATTAAACCATGAGAATATATTTTGTGGGTGGATTGATGCTCATTTAACAGAAAAGGGAAAAAATCAAGCAAAAAATACGGCTAAATTGATTAGGGATTATTGTGATACCAATAATATCAAATTGCCAGAGATTGGGTACACTTCACGTTTAATAAGAACACAAGAAACTATGGAAGTCATATTACAAAGTCTAGGCAAGACTGGAAAATTTGAGATTATTAGTGCTGTGGCTGATGATTTACAGAACGTGAGTTTTCCTACCATTAGTTCTCAAGAGCAAGAAAATGGTGTTATTCAAGTATTACAGAGTTGGAGATTGAATGAACGTCATTATGGGTCATGGCAGGGTCAAAGAAAACCAAAAATTTTAGAGCAATATGGGGACGAACAATATATGTATATTAGAAGAGATTATAATGGTAAACCACCAAAAGTGGATTTAAATTTGGAGATGATCCAAGAGAATAATGAAAAGGGAGCATTGACTGGTTATGAATTCAAGGAGCCAAATAGACATCAAAAATATCATGAAGAAGAAGCTAAAGGTGAGGTCTTACCTTCTAGCGAATCTTTATCTGAAGTGGTGAAAAGAATGAAACCATTTTTGGAAAATATTATTTTAAGGTTTGGTAAAGAACAAGATCAAGATTCATGTTTGATTGTAGCTCATGGAAGTTCTGTTAGATCTATCTTAAAAGTCTTGGAGAATATTTCAGATTCAGCTATTAAAGATATTGATATTCCAAATGGTATCCCATTGGTTATTGAATTGAATAAGAGTGATTTTGGGTTAGTTAGAAGCTTTTATCTAGATCCAGAATCAGCAAAAATCAATGCAGCTAAAGTTCGTAACGAAGGTTTTGAAAAGAGTCCATAAGGCTTATGTCAGTTTCCTTTTGTTACCGAATGATTTATTTTTTTTATTTTATAGAATACTGATGACTTTATTGAGAATATTTAATGACTTTTTTTTAAAAAAAAATGTTTTTTTTTGTTATTGCAACATATTTATATATTTTTGTATGATGATAGGTTGAAATAACATATATAGTAATATAATAATGACAGAAAGAAAACAAAGAATCAATAGAGAATGATATGTATGGTGATAAACTTGTTTCTTATCAACTTAAATAGTTTATAGGCCAGAAATTCTCTTTTTATTTATAAAACAGCTATTTAAGAAGTCTTTCAGACATCTTATTATTTACTGATGAAATAAAAAAAAGTGATAATAATATTAACAAAATTAGCAAAAGAATGTATAGCCTTAAAGTATTTTATTAATTGTTCTGTGGCGGCATAGGTAACTTTTGAACAGTTGCGGGTTACTTTTTAATAAAGTTTCCTTTTTTGACAAAGGACAAAGCTTTAGTCAACATTGAATTTGGATCTCCATATTCATTAAGAAAGGATGTTTTTTTATTACTTTTGTTGTATGTTTTATTGGAGTTCCATTCAGAATTACTGGAGTCAATTTCTGTTTCCCATTTGGAAAAGTTAATTGGTGATGGTACTGTTTTTTGAGAATAGTGATATTCATCTGAGGGGAGAATGAAGGAGTTACGTCTAGGAGAAGATGTTAAACTCTCAGCTGGTCGTAAATCAACATTTTTAAAATACTTTTTGATAGGAGAAGAGGTCTGTAATGTAGATATTAATTGAGAATCATTTGGCGATATTGTTTTTAAACAGTTGCAATCTTGGAGATTTAAGTCACCAACAAAGCTGACTTCTAAGAAATCTGACTCCATTATTGGTATGGTTTTTTTGAACAATAACAGTTTATTTTATATTATTATAAGAGTGTGAATAGTTATGTCCATTAGTTTTCATACAAATTACAAATATTGTTTATTAAAATGAAGTAATTCTTCAGAATTTTATTTTAAAAAACAGAAAATTCCAAGAAAGCAGCTACAATTTCTTTTTTTAAAAGAGGGATATTAGATTAATTCATCTATATGGCAACAAAACATATAAAATAATACCCTTTTCAAAAATAAATTGATAACTTCACGAATTCAGACTATAATATTCTTGAATTGTATACTCGTTAAACATTAATTCAGATACACACAAATATATAAACATATCTATCATTTCTATATAATTGTTATTAGAATTTAATTTTTTTATCTTATTTTATCATGCTAATTTATTTCCTTTCAAATTTCAATGCTGCATCCCAAAATTTGGTTTCAAGTTCACATACTTGTGAATAAATAGTTATTAAAATTTCGATATCTTGTGGTGGGTAAGTGGAAATTATACGATTCATTATAATTTTACCATCTGCCATTGCATTGTGGTAAAGTTCAGACAAATATACATCTAGCCAAGCTTGGTAGACTGGGTCGGTGGTAGTAATGCTGTCCCTAACAAGAATAGCCGCTTCACCGTAACCCATTAAACACGGAGTTAACGATGTTAATAATTCCGCCCAGTTTCCTCTCTTAGAAACATCAGTAAAATATCTTGAATAATTTTTTAAAGCAGTACCCCTTTTAATATTATCGAAATGAGAATCCTCTTCAATGCCAAAGCTTTCTCTTAATCTTTGTTTATGATGTTCCAATTCTTTTCTAACACCTCCAACTATAGCCAATTCTTTTTCCATATCATCCAAAGTTGGTGCTTTAGAAGCTGCAATACAATGGACCCTACCATAATCAACCAAATATGCATAATCTTGTTCTACAAAGAACTGGAATTTGTAACGTTCTAAAGAACCGTCTGCTACTTTTTTAACAAAATCATGCTTAATATACGATTCCCAGTATGGTTTAACCCTTGGATGGTTATGCAAATAATCAATAAAATCTTTCTTAATAACTGGTAATTCTTTATATATTGGTAATTTTTCAATATCACAATGATTATTTAATTCATTAATTTCATGACCACCGAAACATTCATCGTCAACCATTCTTTCTAATGGGATATTAATTGCGTAGAGATGATTAATTGGGCCATTCTCTTTAACCGTAGGTTGAGTTTGATCACAGCCAATCGTTACAGCATTTTGTACATATTCAATACCCCCATAGATAGCTTGAGGTAAAGTATAACCATGAGCCAAATTGGAGGCAATAGCTGAAGCTAAAGTACAACCAGTACCATGAGTGTGAGTAGTCGCAGAGTGACTACCTTTATATACAATAAATCTTTTTTCTTTACCAAGTAACAAAACATCAGTGATATATTCTTTACCAATACCTTTCCATGGAATATGACCACCTTTGACAAGAACATTAGTACTCTTGCATGCTTTTTGAACATCTTTGGCCAATTGTAAAACATCTTCTAAATGCTTGATTTCTCTTTTTTCACCAATCAACTTAAAACATTCCGGGATATTTGGAGTTAAAACATCGGCTAAGGGAGACAATTTTTCTTTAATAAGCTTAACCAAATTTTCATCAGCTAAGGGGGCACCTGAGGTAGCCACTAATACAGGATCAACCACCAATTTTGGTCTATTTATGGAACCTAATTGATTCAATTTCTCAGATAATATGTTAATAGCATCTTCAGTTAACATACCTGTCTTAATAACATCACATTTCATATCTGCTAAATTAACATCCAATACTCGAGCAATAAATTCCCTTGGAATTAAATGGATACCATAGACAGAGACTGGGGTTTGTGCCGTTAAAGCGGTAGTACACGTCATAGCATAACATCTGTGAGCGGTAATGGTCTTGATATCAGCTTCAATACCTGCACCACCGCTAGAATCAGAACCAGCAATTGTCATAACAACAGGTAAAGTTTCTTGGTGGGATAAGGATAGATATGGTGGCGGAGCATTAATAGTCACTGAAATATAAGAGGAGGGCATGATAGAAATATAGATACCTAGGTCCAATTTTGTACTAATATGTATGTTTAAAATGAATTCACTTATTAAATTATTCTTTTATTAATAGATATCTAAATCTAAACCTTTTAAACAAGTGCTCAACTATAACTCAATTATGTGCAGAAAAGAGGTATGTGTATATAGTAATATAATTCACAGGTCGATCTGCTAAGATATGATAAAAAATGACTTATTTGATTTGATCTCTCTTCCCCTATTTTTCGGAATTCTGCCAGATCAAATGAAAACTTCAAATGTCCTCGAAAGAAAATATGCTCGAAAAAAATAGGCACACAAAAAGAAAAAATGCGGAATTGGAAACCGCAGAGGATGAAAATTTATCTTTCCACCGGTCTATTTCCCTTTAAATATATATTATTCCGACAGAGGAAAAAAGAGAAAGAAACCTACAGATCAAAAAAAAAAGAAAAGGTGATCATGACAAGTTCTTACAGTTTCCCACAAAAAATTAATTGTCTACTTATTATGTCAAAAGAAAAAAACGAGACAAAAAAACTAGCTTATTTTATGACGTTAAAAGTAATCAAATTCGCAATCAACATCCATGTAATCAAATTACTTTATACTTGATGCATATAAATGCAATTATTTGAAAATAACAAATAAACAAACAAATAAACCAAATCGAATAATGTCTCAAACTTTTATGCCATGTTACATACCCTCACTACGAACACATAAATATAACAATAACTATATCTCCAATGTGTGTTAAAAACTGTTCATCATACTACATAGAATACACCATAATCATATATGTAGCTAAGTAAAATTGAATCAGAACGAAGGTTTTAAATTTTCTTATTTTATTATTCTATTTCTCCCATCTCTCTATTCCATCCATTCCAAACGCCAAACTAAAAGATATTATAGGAGTCTTCCCAGTTATGTTCTTTTCTTAAATTCCAATAGTCGCCTTTAAACTTCCATATCCTATCTTGGGTAATAGGATCCTTTTCTAATGTAAAGTATCTAGGATGGTACTTCTCTTTATTCTTTTCTCTTTCTCTTCTTACAGCCCTTTGTTTTTCTTCCACTCTATGTTTCTCTGTCGCAGCTTCGTCATATAATCCATCCTCCATGGCTCTTTGATCAGGTCTTAATCTACTATCTGTGGGTGCAACCCACTCAAGTAATTTAGGTTGAGGATCATTTAAAGTTATAGCAAATGATGTTAAATTAAAAGGAACCTTTTCCAATCTTTTGTGGACTTTCCAAATTAAAAATCGTGAACCATCATATTTAGGATCATCCAATTGGGCCTCATAATTACCACCTTTAACATCAATATCAATATTATTATTCATGCTATTACTATTATTATCTTCATTATTCTTGCTATCCTTATATTCTCCACTGCCTTCATTGCCATCATCTTTGGCAAAAACTTTCTTAGCAAACAATGCACTGTTCCAACGACCACCAAATGTCCAACACTTAACACCATCCTTATTATAAACATCCCCACGAACTTCATATGCACTGGTAGATGTCCAACCCCTTGCCTTATATACCATTATACAGTAATCACCTGTAGTCCTATTTTCAATTTTTACTTCCCCTGAATTATCAATCTCAGGTTTACCAACAAGAATACCAATAATTGTGTTTAATGGTTTCATCCATGTATAGGTTTCTTCACTTACATTCGCATCATTATCTGGACGAATATTAACATACCAACGACCCAAATGTTTGATTGTAAATGCACGACCATTAAATTTTGAATCCACATTAGATTCACCATAGTAATCCCATTTTGATGATTCTGCCCAAGATGCAGAAATTGGTGGATGATGTGATACTTGTTCTGTGAAAAACCTGAAATCCTTTTCCTTATCTGCATACTCGAATGTTTCACCTAGAAGTGGATTAAACGGTTTGGCAATTCTTCCAATTGTAGATGAATATGGTGATACCGAAAATGCAGCAACATATAACATTCTTAATGTAGAATCAGAAAATCTTGATGCATATTGTAAAAGATCAGAATACTCGATATCTTCCGCCAATCTTTGTAACATAGAAGATGGCTCATTCAAGCTTACCGGTAGAGTCATTCTTGTTACATCTTTACCAACCATAGATTTCAAAATACTCCATAAACTGACCTTAGGTCTGTCATCACTATCAAGTTTTAATCTACTTCTATGACCATCCTCATAACCCAAAAAGGTACCTTCATTCTCTAACATCTCATATTTCTTCTTTTGTACAGTAGTTACACATTTTAATGTATCACTTTTAGATAATGAATCCTTATCATCAATAGTCTCCATTATAGAAATAGTCTTTTCAACAGTATTTCTATCAGTATCTTTGAGTTCATAAAAAGTCTCTTTTTTAACTTTTCTATCTTTATCATATTTTTCTGGACCCAATCCATGATTAGTGTTAGAGTCGTCTTGAATGTCAATCTCTTCAGCATCAAAGAATTCATCAATATCTGATTCGTCGGAATCCATATTACCCTCAACTGTTGTAATAGCTTCCGCAATCTGTTGAAGTGTATCACGATTATCTTCATTAAGTTTAGCAATCTCTACATTGTTATTGTTTGCAACTTCCTTTAATGAGTTTTGGGTAACATCCTCTAAAAGTTTTTTTAATTGTTTTCTTTCTTTAGTCAAATTGCTTAATTTGGTATCTTTTTCAATCAACTCAAGTTCTAATTCCTTCATAGATTGAATCCAAACATTGTTTAAATCTCTTTGTTTAGATAACATAGAGATAAGTTTTCGATCCCTTTGTTGGGTTAATTCATTAAACTTTATAAAGTTAGTATTCATAGCTATTAGAGTCTTTTCTACAGTAGTCCATATATCATTACTTGGATTAATATTTTGATTAGATTTGATTGATTTATCAGACAATAGCTCATTCAATTCTGTAAAATCTAAAGTAATAGATCTTTGTAACATATGCAATTTATGAGAGAAGGGACCATATGTGATTTGTAAATCTTCCTCGTTCGTGCCGTTTATTATATCAAACATCTCACTATGTTCCAGTTCACTATCCGAATCATCAGAATCATCAGAGATATTATCTCCAATTTGGTCGCTGGTAGAAATTATTTCGGTTTTATTAATTTTATCTGTCCCACCATTATCATTATCAGCATAACTATTATGAATTGTTGAAATAGTACTTGTACTACTGGAGACTGGTTTTGTGTTAGCCTGCTTCTCACTTAAATACCTGTGTGAAGACTTAACCGAGATTGCATCATCGATCAATTTGTCATCACCATTATTATTCATATTGTTATCTACAACATTATCAATCATTGATAAGCTTGCGTGCAACTGAGATGGACTAGCCATTACAGGTAACAACCCTTTGTTTTTATCCTTAGCGTATCTAATAGCACCTTGAATGGCCCAAACCCATCTATTAGTCTCAATGGGATGGTTCCCCTTTAAATGCCAAATAATGGAAGAGGGACTATTACGATCCCCACTAATGATTTCAAATTTCAATCTTTCAGAAGAATCCAGATGAAGAGAACAATTGGACACACTTAAAGAACCACGGCATGCATTCTGGGTATCAGATTGATCAATAAAATAAGAAAGCCTGCCATCGTCACTTAAGATAAAATAACGTAGTTTATAACCTTGTGCAAAATTAGTCCATTTTTTCAAATAGCCTTTAAAAGTTGGTGGTGATGGTATCCTATTAAAACTTGGATCACTATTAATGACAATTTTATTCTCTGAATTTGAGGAAGTTGGGAAGTTGGCTACATTGATACCGGTTATATCAATTACAGATTGTTCCATAGCAGATTTTTCCAATAATTTCTTAAGTTCCATGTCAATAGCCAGCTTAGTAGTAGCAGTAGCTTTATTACTAATTGAATCTACAGTCCCACTAGAACCAGAAGGAATATCTACCTTCTTTAAAAGATCCAAAGGTAACCGTCCCTTTGCATCTCTTTTGAATGGGTCTGCTCCGTGCTCTAAAAGCCAACGACACATAATAACGTCCCTCTTTTTAACAAATTCATGTAACACGGTGTCTCCGGTCTGTGGGTCCATGCCATTAATATCTAAAAGATTAAAATTTCTTGGCTTATTTAAAATTGATTCAAGATGTTGAAAATCCCTATTATTAAAAGCTGTTCTAAATTCACTAGCAATCTCTGCAATATAATTTGATCTCTTAATCTGCATTAATTGAGCCACATTTAAATCTTTACACATATCTACAGGTTGCAAATTCAAATGATTAATAATAGTATCGTTAATATCTGGCAAATCCATTAAATAAGACACTACGTCTGCTCTAGATTGAAATGCTGCCATATGTAAAGGTGTATTACCAGCATTATCCTTCTCATTAATATCGATAAAGTCAAAATTAAAATTCAACTTATCAAATTGATCCTTTTGATTAATAATATCTTTAATTAGTTGCAGTGGTGCTACCTGCACTGCATAATGCAATATTAAACGTGCTACTTCTTTAACTGTTGGATTGTCTCTTGGAACAAATTGAGTGTCTAATAATTGGTAAAGATCATTAAAAGATCCCTTTCTTAAAACATTTAATAATTTCAATTTTAACAAAGGCTTACTAATTGTAGATTCCTGTTCAGTAGAAATATCCATTGGAGAGTCTAATTTCTGTGACATTATTAACAAATTAATACATATACAATGAACACACAAACAGACTATATAAATAACAATATACTTTTCTTCTTCCACCAACCAGTAGTATTATTCTTTATTAATTCTTCAATGACAATCCTTCATAAACTGTGGAACAAACCTAATCTAACAAACCATTCTATGCATGTAACAATACCTTTACAGGTAAAATAGTATTTTAAATGTTAATATGTATTAACACTTTATAGAATCCAAATTTTTCATTTCTTTTAATAGTTGCCTCAATATTTTTTCAATATTTCTTTCCTTCACAAACAAAAAAATTAAATATATCTAAAAATAGTATGGTAATCTCTTACACAAAGATATGATGAAGTATCAGAGCAGCAGTACACAATCACTACATTATAATACAATCTGTATTGCTAATAGTAATCAAACTTCTTAAAGATAAACTCAACCCTGTTTACTACGTTACATTTTATATCTATAACCTATCTAAAGAATAGAAAAGTGAAGCGAATACTATTTCACATATACAGGAGTAGAAGAGCATTAAAAAAAAAGGAAAGAAAAAGAAAGAATTAGTAACATAGGGATTATAATTTATAGTTGATGGAGGTAGTATAATTAATTATATTTATACTTAAGAAATAATGGAAGAATTTGAACCAGGAAATAACTCATGTGTCACTCCGTCACAGGTTCGTCAAAAATTTCATCATGACAATAAAAAAAGATCAAATAACGATAAAGACAAGCCCAGTTCTAAATCATCTGCACAATATCAACTCAAACAAGTCATTGGGAAAGGTTCATATGGAATTGTATATAAAGCGGAAAACAAAACGACAGGTCAAATAGTAGCTATCAAAGAGATTAATTATGATAACGATGATGATTTAAAAGAAATTATGATTGAAATAAATTTACTTAAAAACCTGAACCATATAAATATTGTAAAGTATCATGGTTTCATTCAAAAAATGTCAAATCTTTATATTATCCTAGAGTACGCAGCAAAGGGTTCCTTGAAGACTCTAATGGCAAATCGCCCAGAGAAATGTTTATCAGAAGCAGAAACAAAAATATATATACGTCAAACATTAAATGGATTGGTGTATTTACATGATAAAGGAGTAATTCACAGAGACATTAAAGCCGCAAATTTACTTTTAGATGCAAACAATATTGTTAAATTAGCTGATTTTGGCGTATCCACCAAAGTGAACAATTCTGCAATGACTCTAGCTGGATCTTTAAATTGGATGGCACCAGAAATTATTACTAATAAAGGTGCTTCTACCATTAGTGATATTTGGTCTCTTGGTGCCACAGTAGTAGAACTATTGACAGGGAAACCTCCATATCATAATTTATTAGATATCAACATCTATTATGCGATGGAGAATAAAGATGAACAATATTACCCACCTGCATCTCTTTCAGATGAAAGTAAAGAATTTTTGAAGTCGTGTTTACAAAAAAATATGTTTGAAAGATCTACTGCTAAAGATTTATTGAATCATCCATGGATTAAGTCAAGTTTGAACAATGATGACAAGTTGGCTAAATATAAGGAAGATTTTGTGCAAGAAGAAACTAATTGGGATGCAGATTTTAAAGAGAAAGAAATTAATGACCTGTTCAATATTTTTAACAATTCTCCTAGAAAAATGTTAATTAATTCATCTCCATTGAAGTCATTATCTTTAAAAAAAAATAATGGGTATAATGAAAACCTTGATATGGACCATTCAAATCCTCAATTTAACAAAAGCCGTAGTAGATTATCTATAATAAAAGCAGATAATAAAAATCCCTATGAAAATTATCAGAACATCGATGAACGAGATAGCAACAATAATTACACCGCCGATATTGACGATTCTTTATTATACGATGGATACTATTATCTGAATGCAATACAGGAGGATAAAAATAATGTAGCTTTTAAAGATTTAACAGATGATAGAATCAATAATATCTTAACAGAATGTAATTTGGAAGATATAATCGTGACCTTTTTTGAATTATTACAAAGGGATAAACTATCTACAGATACAATTATAGGATTATCACGAATATTAGCTAATGATTCTATTATTAACAATTCTAAGTTAATTGACTCTATTTTAAGATTTGGAGGAGGTTCATTATTAACAAATAACAGTGAATTACTTCTACAATGGTACAATCATCAACATGACAGAGATCGATTTTTAAAGGTGTTAATAAAAAATGGAATAATGAATTTGCACAGAACTGATAACCTTAAATCCAATAACGGTCTTTATTTTGACTTAGTTTATAAGTATCTTGAATGTACGTCAATGAAATTTTGGTATACATGGTGTAATAAAAATATCGATCCAAATTTTTTGATTGAATCTTTATACACAAGTAATTTAAAAAGAATACAGTCTATTATATTGAAGTTAGCCTCATTTGACAATAATGCAAATAGAGGTGGTAATTTTTGGGTATATAAAAAAGTATTACCTTTAATTGTACAACATTCAGCGAGCAACAACTGTCAAATAACATATATTATTTTTAAAACAGTAACATATTTGTTACAGTGGTCTCCAACAAATTCTGTGTTACATGATTTAGCAACTCAAAGCAATATTACCAGAAAGAGTTCCACCTCATCAATGCCTGGGACTGTATCTATGACACCTATAATGAATTCACCAATAAAACCACAGAGGATCTTGAGTAATCAATATTTTAAACCACTTAACATCAACTATAATAATAACAGCAACAATATTAATATCAATGACAGACAAATTACAATGGAAGATTTAGAAACTCATTTGAAATTACCGAAGAACTTTACTAAATGGTTATTCAATTATCTTGATACCATTGAAAAGTTTCTAATTAATAATGATAGTGATAATATTCATGTGTGGAAATATTTTATTAAAGTTTGCTATATTTCATCAAAAATTGATAAGGATATCTTATATCAATTACTAGAATCCAAAAAATTTATAAAATTAATAACTTTTATTGTGAATAGATATGAAGACAGCTTAACACAAACTAGGGATACAGATTTGAAGGATTATAGATTTTCTAACAAAATGTTAAAGAAACAAGATCAAAGGAATTTAAAATCTATAATTCAAACAATAATATTATTATTGGTTGATATTTCCAGATTATCAAATAATAAGAATACGATAAAAATATATTATATTTATCAAATGGATAAAATAATTTTTAATATTGCCAACAATTATGAAGAATTTTTACCCTTATGTATTGAATATCTATTAAATGTTACTATAAGTGATATATTTGTTGATTATAGTAACAAAGAGCAAAATATTCTAATAAACACTCTTTCATCTGCATTTTATAGATTTGAAGCTGAGGATTCTACTTTCAATTCCATTATCAATAAATTTATTAATTTTTTCTCTTCAAGCAATGATAAAAAAAGTGCAATTTTTAAAAAGATCTCAGAACAGATTGTTTGCAATTCAGAATTTATTAATAGGATAAAATTGTTCTTTAAATTGTATGAAAATAGTTTACTTATCCAAATCGAATTATTGAAATTAATTAAACTCTTATTTACTAGCTACGATCAAAATAAAACTGTAATTGATCAAGTAGTATCATTTCTTCAAATTAATTGGAAAAAGGACGAGAATGGGACTTCTTCAAGTAGACAAGTAGGAAGGAATTCTATCTTAATCATCCAGCTATGTAAAGATATTGCTAGTATGTAGTGTTTAAATTAAAATATATAATGAATTTTATGAGAATGAAATAAAAAAAAAGTAAGGAAGGAAGTTCTTAAGCCAATCTATACATATAAAAATAGATATAAATCTGTATACCTTTGTATCTGTGTCTTTAGAAATAGTTATGTTGGATGGAGCATACAGTTTAAGTTTTTGTATACATCTTTTCCTAACTAGGAAAAACACTTAAAGACTAACAGATCATAAAAAGCATTTTCTCTTCGAAAAGAACTGATAATAGGAAACACATCAGAACGAACAAAAAAACAATATATAGGATTCACTTTTGCTTTTGACAAAAGAGGGTCGAACAGCGAATTAAAAATATTTAAACGATATTTAAAGCAAGGAAAGTTTATAGCTAACAAAAAAAAGACAAGGGAGAATCGAGTTATTTATCTATCTTTTTGAAATTGCTATTTTAAAAAGTAATTATGTATCATCGACCAGAGATCAACGGAGAATATGAAATATTGGAAGAAATTGGAAGAGGATCTTTTGGATCAGTTAGAAAAGTGATTCATATGCCTTCAAATACTGTTATGGTACGAAAAGAGATCAAATATGGACATATGAATCAAAAAGAAAGACATCAATTAATAGCAGAATGTAAAATTTTATCACAATTAAATCATGACAATATTGTCAAGTTTTATTCATGGGATTTTAATGACCAAAAACAAATCCTGTTTTTATATATGGAATATTGTTCACAAGGTGATTTACAGAAATTGATAAGTAGATATAAGAAAGAACATAAATATATCCCAGAACAAACCATATGGACTATTTTAGCACAGATTTTATTGGCTCTCTATAGATGCCATTATGGTGAAGATACACCACCATTATTAACTATTTATGACAGAATGAGAAAACCACAGAAACAAAGAAACACTAATATTGTGATACATAGAGACTTGAAGCCAGGAAATATTTTTTTAAGTGATGAAGATGATATTCAATTTAATGGAAATATGATGAACCAAGATGATAACTACAACAATGGATCCCCATACAATTATAACAGAGGAAGAAGCAATAGTAATGCAAGTGGAACTAGTAATGGCAATAACAGTAACGGAAGCAACAATTATAAAAAGAATGGGATTGGTATTGTTAAACTTGGAGATTTTGGACTTGCCAAATCGTTGGGAAGTAGTATTCAATTTGCTACCACATATGTGGGGACACCATATTACATGTCGCCTGAAGTGTTAATGGACCAACCCTATTCACCTTTGAGTGATATATGGTCATTAGGATGTGTAATCTATGAACTGTGTTCGTTACATCCACCGTTCCAAGCTAAAAGCTACACCGAATTACAAAATAAAATTAAAAATGGTAAATATGAAAGAGTTCCTGAGTATTATTCGGATGGGTTAATGTCAATAATTAAAAGTATGATTAAGGTTGATATGAGGGATAGAATGTCTACATTTGAATTATTACAAGATATTCAAATTCGTGCGTCCAGAAAGGCATTACAGTTAGAAATATTTGAAAGAGATTTATTGAATTATGAAAAAGAATTAGTCAATATTGAGAAAATATTAGAGAAACAAGCAGCTGACTATGAGAGAACAATGAATCAATTAAAAGAACAATTTGTACAAGCTGTGGAAGAAAGAGCTAGGGAAGTAGTCAATGGTAAAAAAATTGGAAAAGTACCTGAAACACTATATCATAATGAATATCATTATCATGAAGGTCTATCATCACGACCTGCATATCACTGGCAAACCAGATACAGATAATTCTGTGATTTATGCCAATCCGTACACACATACACATTCATATGCAATATACATTTATATATATACCACAAACATACCACTACCTATATACATAATATGACATTTTGTACACAGAACAGCATTGTTGAGAACTTCTTTCACTTGACAATCTGGTCATCCTCAACCTGGAAGTTACTGTTTGATCCGTTTATACTTATGTTACTGCAATGTACTAAATATAACCCACGGAATGAAACAGAAAAAGGAAAAAAAAAAGAAAAAAAATTCTTTAACTAAATGGCAATGCTTGAAACAAACGCGAACATTTTCAATGTTACGAAGCGAGTGGGTTGATCAAAAGAAACATGTAACTTGTGTACACTGTTATAAGATCACCGTCCAAGGAGAAATACTGAACTAGTATTTAAATCAGTGGGGTGGCTGTTAAGAATATCTATAAGAGGTTGGACAAATAAATACATAAACAAGCAAATAGATAAATAAATAGAAGAAAAAAGAAACTGTGCGTGTATGGCATGATCGAAGAAACTATTAGAAAACAGAGTACAATAGCAGCATTATCCAAAGCCAGCATATTACATGATCCAACTTTAGTTGAGGATTTATCTGAATTGAGAAGTCTACAGCGAATCATTAATGAGGAAGATGAGGAAAGCGTATCTGGGAGTGTGGTGATTACGAAACGAGCTCCTCCTACAAATGGAATGAATACAAATGTAACACACAGCAATAATGATAATGATGTTAGTAGTAAAAACAAAGTTAACACCAATATTGAAGAAATAGATTCAAAACAATCAAGAATAACAAGTTTTGCCTCATCTAATTATTCAAGTGATTCTATACAAACGAATATGAACCAGGACAATACTCAAGATCAAGAACATAAACAGCAACCAATATCATCAAACAAAATTGATTTATCTAATAAAGATAATATAGATTTTCTGAAATCAAAATTAGACAAACAAATGTCTACTATTAACAGCAGGCAAAAGGATGATCATTATCACAAAAACAGTATACTGGATAAAAAAGAGGTGAATGAGACAGTGCTAAAGAAAGAAAATGATGATGAAAATAGTGAAAATGATGGACATAGTGAAAATGATGAAAATGAAGATGCTGATGAGAACGACTACGACTTAAATATGGAATACTCAGATTCAGATTTTGAAGATAATCTAGAACAAAGAATGATGCATTTAGATATAGAAAGTGACGTTACACCTTTGAATTTAAAAGGAAGTACTACAACACCGTTACAGTCTGGATCGACCACACCAACTTATAAATATTCAGATGAAGAAAACAACAATAGTTTAAATGAAGTTACCACATCACAAAAAATAATCGAAGATCTAAACATAAATAATAAAAAATACAGAAAAGATCTTGATAAAGAAGCAAAAGAAGATAATGAGTCAAAAATAATAACAGACAATGATAACAGTAATGAAGAGGACGAGAATGATCAAGAGGAATCAGAGGAAGAAGAGGAAGAGGAAGGTGAGTTTGAAGATGAAGAAGAATATCAATCTTTACCACCACCACAAGAATTAGATCCAGACAAATTGTATGCATTATATGCATTTAATGGACCAGATCCATCGCATTGTCAATTAGAACAAGATGAACCATGCATACTCTTGAATGATGAAGATGCATATTGGTGGCTGATTAAGAGATGCAAAGATAATAACATTGGGTTTGCACCTGCAGAAATATTAGAAACTTTCCCGGAGAGATTAGCAAGACTAAATTGTTGGAAAAATGAAAATATGACATCATCAGCTATAAATTCATTACAATCACTTGATATGATAAATCAAACTGAGAAGGAACAACAGGAACAATTAGAGACAAAAAAGTCCTCAAATTTAAAACTGCCGTATAAATCTAATAAAAATGAAAAATCAGTGAGCTTCAGTAATATTGTAAGTTATGCAAATAGGTATTTTAATGAGACAAGTGAAAATGAGGATGATGATACAACTAAAAAAATTAATAATAATGACGATGACGATAGTAATGTCGATGATAACTACACCGATTCAAACGATAAAATTGCGTTAAAAATCATAGAGGATAAAAAAGTTAGTAGATATAGTCATATAGACGAATTCACAAATGAAGTTATATCATACAAAAAAAGAGATGATTTTGATGAAAATAATAGCGATATAGTAAGTGATGTGTCCTTTAGTACAGGCTATTCTCAACCACTTAATATTGTAAAAATAAGAGAATCTAAGTCGATTAAAAACATTCATGACGAAATAATTAACGAAAAACCAAAGGGAAACGAAACAGAGAATGAAAAATCGTCTAATATCCAAGGACTTGGTATTAAGGAACTTAACCTCGGTAAAAAGTTTGAAACAGCCGATCCTAAGCTAAATGGCATTAAAAATACTAGAGAAAACAATGATAATAACAATAATCTACATAAAACAAAAAAGGGCGAATTAGAAAAGCCTGATAGTAATTCAAAACAGTCAAATTCAAATACAAGTGATTTACATAAAATATTTGAGGCTCCTATTGTACCCTTTGGTGAAAATAATTCTAATAAAATGAAGGAATCCACATCAGACTATTCCATTTCAACGATAGGAGAATTTTCACCATCATCATCTGAATGGACAAATGATTCTCCCAATCTTAAAAATATTGATAATATAGACTCTAGTAATCTTGCCACTGAAGAAAAAGAGTATAATGATAAATCAGAATCCTCGCATATCCCATCAACAAAAACTGTTAGAGATATTTTAAAATTGGTCAAAGATGCAAACTTATCTCCGAAGAATGAGGTTAATGAATTAGAAAATACCTTGGAAGGTCAATCCGATGATGTTGGAATCGATGAAGACATGAATGATAATATTATCAATAATAATGGTGAAGTGAGCAATGAGTTCAAATTATCTGCCAACAAGATATCAGATAATACCAGTACTTTATCAACAGAAAGCAATACGGTATCATCTATAAACAACGAATTTGAAATATATATGGACAATAAAGAGTTACAAATGTCTACTACCAGTGTGGCCAGTTACAACTCGTTACATAAAAACCAAAAAAACAGTGATATGTCTAACGTGAGACAAATATCAGATAATAATTTGGCCGTTGACTACACAGAGGGGCAATATTCAACCACATCAACTATAGGATTCAAACATCCATTAGTTCAAGAAATGTATGACCCAATTTTAAATAGAATTGACATCCTTATGAATCAAATTGATGATATTATACGACGTTAGTACAAAGGATAAACGGAAAATAAAAAAATAATACAGGTTTTACAATTTCATCAAACAGTTAATTTGTAATATCCTTTTTCACTATGTTTTTTTTAACATACATACGTATATACGTATACATAATATTTACCTGCATTTTTTATTGCTCAAAAAAAAAGATATTTAGAGACTTTATTTTTACACTTATTTAGTTGAACGTTATTCAAAGAATGAATTTATTAAAAAATTGATGCTTTTTCAATTTTACCCATGTTTGTGATTGTTAAACCCAAAGGTTGACATACTTAGATATTACGAATTCTTAATAGTCCTGTATGATAGAGCAAAGTTAACAAAACTATACAATATCTTTTCAATTTCATTTAGGGTTTTAAAACCATTAAAATTTCTTTACCATTTCTTTCTTGTTGAAAGTGACTTCAAAATATTTTGAATCTGTTTCAGAAGAGATCAAAAAAAAAAAAAAGAGAAAAGAAAATATAATGAAATTAGAATGAAATAATAAGTATAAATTTATATATAGCATTATATATCACAGAAGACTAGACAGATATTCGAGATATATCCAAATCGATAATACCAGATATAATCTACATGTTATTTAATACATATTGATTTGGCAAGGTTAAATTAAAGACTTTTAAAATCACACGTAAACTAGATAAAAATCGAACAACGACAAAGACGACTCTAATTACGACAAAAAAATATAACAAATGGCAACAAATTGGATCCCCGATGAAGCATCTTTATCTCAACTTGTTTTGTTGCTAAGAGATAGTATGTCTCCTGTGCAACATGATCGTGAGACTGCTATGAATGCCCTAAAGACTTTTCAATCACAACCCGAATTCTTAAATTATCTATGTTATATTTTGATTGAGGGTGCATCCAATCCTAATATTGCTACCCAATTCCAACCACACGAATTGTCTGCTTTACGTGGAACAGCTGGGCTTTTACTGAAAAATACAATGCTTCAAAATAAACATGGCATTTTAAAACATGATATTCAATATGTTAAGAATAACATCATCCATGCCTTATATACAAATGAAAACGACAAATTAATAACTAATTCCACAGGTATTGTGATAACAACGTTATTTGCCACTTATTATAGACAAGAAAGGTCTGATATAACTGGTGTAACTATGTTGAGAAAATTAATTGAATTAGCAGCAGGCAATAATGTAGGTGCAATTAAGGCATTATCAAAGATTATGGAAGATAATGCACAATTTTTTCAATTAGACTGGCAATCAGATAATGGTATTGTGAAGCCAATAAAATTTTTAATTGAAAATTTTTTAAAATTTATGATTAATCCTACTGTTTCAAATCCTGAAATAAGAGCTGAATCTATTAAATGTATTAATTTTGCTATCGGGTTCCAATTACAAGATGTAATTATTCAAATTGATGAATACCTTGCCAATATATTTAAACTAGCTGAACATGATGATCATGATATTGTAAGGGCTCAAATTTGTGTTGCATTTACAACTATTTTAGAATTCAGACCAGATAAATTAACTGATAATTTGATTGGTATTGTTCAATTCATGTTACATTTAATTACGTCAGTTCAAGAAGAAACTGTTGCTTTAGAAGCTTGTGAATTTTTATATGGGTTTTCTACTTCTTCAAGCATTCCAAGACATATATTACAACCATTTGTTAAAGATATCGTTCCAGTTCTTTTGACTAAAATGGTTTTTGATGAAGATTCGATTCTTATCTATGAATCTCACAATGAGGATGATGCATACTTGGATGATAAAGATGAAGACATTAAACCAATGGCACCACGTATTGTGAAAAAATCAACAAATAGCTCTATGAGTAAATCATCTAATTCATTAGATAATGAAAGTAGTGATAGTGAAGATGATCATGACGATGACGAGGGCGATGGGGACGTTGATTCTCGTTGGACTTTAAGAAAGTGTTCTGCAGCTACATTGGATATTATGACAAATATCTTACCAAGAGATGTGATTGAAATTGCACTTCCATACCTAAGGGAACATTTGACTTCTGAAAAATGGTTTATTAGAGAAGCTACAATTTTAGCCCTTGGTGCGATGTCTGAGGGTATTATGAAATTTTTCCATGATCAGTTACCAAGTCTCATCCCATTTCTTGTTGAACAGTTGAAGGATCAATGGGCTCCTGTGAGAAAGATTGTTTGCTGGACATTAAGTAGATTTGCCTCATGGATCTTACAAGATCATACTGAATTTTTGATTCCTGTGTTAGAACCAATTATTGACACATTATTAGACAAACGTAAGGATGTTCAAGAATCTGCAATTAGTAGTGTTGCCGTCTTCATTGAAAATTGTGATTCAGAGTTAATTGAAACATTGTTATACAGTGAATTACTGAATAATTTTGATAGATGTTTCCAATTTTATAAGAAGAAGAATCTAATTATTCTTTATGATGCCGTAGGAAGGTTTGCTGAAAAGGTAAATTTTGATGATGCAGCCATGCAAATAATTTTACCTCATTTAATTAACAAATGGGCTACATTGCAAGATAATGATAAAGAATTATGGCCATTGCTAGAATGCTTATCCTGTGTAGTATCATCACTTGGGGAAAAGTTCTTACCAATGGCACCTGATGTTTATGCCAGAGCGTACAGAATTCTTTGTCATTGTGTGGAAATGGAATCTAAATCACATAGTGATCCAACTATTGTTGTTCCAGAGAAAGATTTCACAATAACATCTATTGATTTAATAGATGGGTTAGTGCAAGGATTAGGATCACAATGTCAACCATTATTGTTCCCCAATAACGACAACACTTTATTAAGAGTAATACTTGAATGTTTAAACGATCCAGTTCACGAAGTTAGACAAAGTACATTTGCATTGCTTGGTGATATTGTTACATTCTGCGACCCTAAATTGTTGTCTGGCACGTTATCTGAATTTTTGAGATTGATTGGTACTGAAATCATGCATAATGATGATATAGATGGTGTTCCATCAGTTATCAACGCTGTATGGAGTCTGGGTTTAATTTCTGAAAGGGTTGATTTGAGTGCATTTATTATTGATCTGTCTAGGATCCTATTGGACTTATTTACCACTACATTACAATTCGTAGACACAGCAATATTAGAGAACATTGCTATCACCATTGGCCGTATGGGTATAACACATCCAGAAGTGTTTGCTAATGGTGCATTTGCCAATGATTCAGTATGGAATAAATGGACAGATTGCATGTCTACCGTAGAATCATGCGAGGAAAAAAGCAGTGGTTATATGGGATTTATTAAGATTGTCAATTTGAGTCAAATCACGATGTCAGATAAGACATTACACAAGGTGATATCAGGGTTATCTATTAATGTGGAAGCGGAAGTTTTTGGTCAAGATGTCCTAGCGTTTTTAATGAGATATTCCAATCAAATTCAAAATATATCAAGTAACTTGAATACTGAAGAGATTACCCTTTTACAAAAATTCAGTAATTAAAGGATACTCATCAGTTAAAGATAGAGGATAAAGATAGACATGAATATAAATAATAATCATGGATATATATATATATATTATCTTGTGTAAACGTATATTACATCATAAAAAGAGTATGACAAAAAATAAATAAATAAATAAAAGAGAAGAGCGATGAAATATGTTCAAAACAGCATATCTAAAGTACAACATAGACACATTGTTGCCAAACAAGCTGCCAAACAATCATTATTACCTCTCTGTGGTGGGGCTTGTTGAACATACATTGGTTGTGAAGGGTGTTGTTGATTCTGATAGGGATAATACTGTTGCTGTTGCTGTTGTTGTTGGTAGGGAGGTTGCAGTTGCAGTTGCGGTTGCGGTTGAGATTGATAATACTGACCTTGTTGAGGAGGAAGCCCTCGAGTATTGGATTGTTGATTTATTTGAGTATTGTTGGACAAATATTGTTTAGAAGTTTGATGAGTTTGTTTTGGGATATTCTGTTAATTCAATCAATGAATGAGTAAATATGTTAGTAAATATGATTTATTTCAAAAAAGCAAGAAAAAAAAAAACTATTCTAAGTAAACTTACTGGCTGTTCTGTAGAACCTTGATAATATTCTTTTGCAGACATGGATATGATAGGTTAGAAAAAGAAAAGAAAAAACCGGATAAAGTTTGGGTATTACCAGATATATTTTCTTATACGCTGATTTAATTTAATTCTTTTTTTTTTTTTATTATTTGACAGTATATAGCTATTATCTTCTAAGATACATAAAAATGAAAGAAATACAGTTACACACATATCTACACAAATACACACACACACACACACATATATATATATATATATTATATCATTATTTCTTCATTCAAAACATATAACTTTACCGTTAACAAAATACTGTAAATAGTGAAAACAATGCAGGAATGCAAAAATAGTCATACCGGTGTTCTCCTATATTAATACAGTTCATAACCCCTTTTATAACAGTTTGTTCAAGAAAAAAAGGGGAAGCCATGAGGTAGAGGGAGAGCAGAAGGGGGAAACATTGTGCAATATATGAGCATGGTACAAACATCTACGTAGACGTGAGGACTCTGTTCTGTAAGTATATATGTATATCTGGTCTATAAGAGATAAAAAAAATCAACCAACTGTTCTTACAAGTTGTCCATTGCACGTTGCAAATTTTGAGGTGACAAAACACGGACATCATTATACACTCCACATCCAAATTTCGACATGGCAACAGAAAACAACTAAAGACAGGAACGTGCAGGGAAGGGAACAAACACAATAGAGAGAAAAGAGGACCTTTGCTCGGATGAGGCTCGAAAACTCCGGGAAAGTTATGTAAACCCTAAATATCATATTAGGGTTCCCGTTGTCCCATATCGTCTTCTACGAAAATATGGGAAAAAAAGCAAACAAAAAAGTAAACATCTGTACATCCAAAGAACATATATGTACGCGACGCGTCGTAATTTTGTATTTTTTTCTATGTAAATGGAAAACTTCTTTTTAAAATGGCATTGATAAATTTATTCGAATGAGTTAGTACACAATGAAAAAAGTATATATTGACAGAGATGGATGACTCAGGTGAAAGGAAACTTTTTGTCATTCACTCGTTTTTAATTGATTGCATAGACACATACATGTATTTTTCTTCTTTTAACAGAGAGTCTTTCCTCCTCTTTCTCCTTCTTCTTTATTGCCTGCTAATGACTGTTCTTGTTGATGGAAGGGTTTCCTCTACATTAACAATTGTCTCATATTGTTAATCACCTAATTATCCAGAGATAATCTTTAAACCAACAGAAGAAAAAAAAGGAAAGATATAACAAAACAAAACGATTAAAACACACATTAACTTATACAGGTTTTTTTTTTTTTTTTATTCAAAAAAATTATTTGAAATATATTTATCTTTTTAAATTAATTTAATTCTAAGTTTCCTCCCTACTTCTCCACCTTCTGTTCACTCCATAGCATAATAATATTATTATCGTTACTTATTTACTATTATCTTAGTATGGCTCGAATAAATAAAAGATTTTATAAAGTGCTGCGATTGTCATTTGTTGTCATTATTATTACAATAATTTTTATCGCTTGTAGCAAATATATATCCGATGATAGTGTATCAGTAAGTGATTATAAAAAATATTTACAAAGTTATTTAGACTCTAATTCAAATATTGGATTTATTGATTCTATTTCTTCTTCTAATACTGACTCTAATTCTAATAATATAGATGATATATCCTCTTCTCCTAGCAACAACGAAAACAAGAAGACTAAGAATAAAAATGAAATATCAACGGATAATTTGCTGGCTGACACATTATCCACTATAGCAAATGTGGAAAAAATTACTAAAGCTCAGAAATTCTTTGATCAAATCTTTCAGAATATTATTGATTTTTCGCCAAGTGGTCAATGTTCCAGAAAATATAAAGAAGGTTGCAAAATCAAAGAAGGTGTTAATTCCAGACCTGAACATTATGATCTTTTCCCTACTTTATCCCACCAAAGTCTAATCAACTGTTTAGATTTGTCCGCCAATGAAATCAAGAATTTAAGTGAAACACATAAAAAATATGTAGATTCACTTGGCGTCACTTTACCAAATGATATCTATAAAGGTAATGGAATAGTCACTGTTGGAGGTGGTCGTTTCTCATTAATGGCCTTCTTAATCATCAAAAATCTAAGAGATTTAGGTTCTAAATTGCCTGTCGAAGTCTTTATTCCACCAGGTGAAAATAGAGAATTGGAATTTTGCAATAACCTGTTACCCCAATATAATGCTAAATGTATCTATATAGACAGAATACTGTCTCCAAAGATGACCCAGAAATTCAAATTTAAAGGGTATCAGTTTAAGTCCTTGGCTATGGTAGCCTCAAGTTTTGAGAATCTTTTATTATTAGACGCCGATAATTTCCCTGTTAAGAATTTAGATCTAATATTTAATAAGGAGCCATTCAAATCCAATGGCTTGATTCTATGGCCAGATTATTGGAGAAGAAGCACAACACCTTACTTTTATGAAATTGCTGGGATCCCCATTGATCTTAATACTCGTGTTCGTAATTCATACGATGATTTGACTCCACCAGAAGTTTATACTAAAGATATTAATGATTTGAAAGATGTTCCATTGCATGATTTAAAAGGTACCATGCCAGATTCATCAACTGAATCTGGTCAGTTATTGATCAACAAAAAGAAACATCTCGGGACAATGTTGTTATCTCTTTATTATAATGTTAACGGACCAACATGGTATTATCCAATTTTCACTCAAAAGGCTGCTGGTGAAGGCGATAAAGAGACATTCATTGCTGCTGCCACATTCTATGATTTACCATATTATCAAGTCAAATCAAATACTGATGTTGATGGGTATTTCGATGAATTGGGGTTCCATGGTGTGGCTATGCTACAATATGATTTTATTCAAGATTTCAAATTATATGAATTGGCTAAGCATGATATCTCAATCAAATATGGATTAATAGGAAATAGTAATAAGAAACAAAAGCAAAATAAGATTAATTATGATCCAAATTATACACTAGCGGATTTCGAAAAATATTTCAAGACAAAGGAGAACCATGATATTATGTTTATACACTCAAATTTCCCTAAATTTGATCCAGTTCAGTTATCTAAAGAAAAAAAATTAATGAATGAAAAAGGCCAACATTTTAGAGGTTATAATGGGTTATCGAAATTTGGACAGTATGATATTGAATTATCAAATTTCAAAATATTTAATGAATTCTTTTGTTCAAAGAAAAAAGTTCCATATTTCCCATATGTTTTTGAAGCTTTAAAGGATTCACCCACTGGTTGGGAAGATATGTGTAAATATATTACTGATAGATTGAAATTTTTAATTGACACTCATGAAGAAGCTATTAGCGATGCGAAAGCCTGAATAGGATTACTATCATCAATATTGTTATTGTTATTGTTATTATTATTATTCATTTTTTCTTTTACCTTATAGATAATTATCTTTTTTTTATACATAACGCAGGGAAGAAATGGTGCGCTTGACGAAATAAAAAATTGGTATAAAAATCAGTCAATCAATTAATATAATGCATATTACATTTAATGAGATGTATATAATATCAAAAAATATTCATTGTAATACATAACAATTAATATGACAATTATCAACAATGTTACTGTTTTTCTGTTATCTTGTATTAAAAAAAAGAGAGAGAGAAATGGAGCGAGCTTCTGTATATATGATTATGTCAACAGCTACTGAAGATAATTGTCATAGTTGATGATTCTTGTTAATTTTACAAAACAACCTTTATAATGTTTGTATAAAATTAATAATTTACGATACTACCAGAAATTTTATTAAAGAGAAGACAGGATGAAATATTTTTAATATATATACATATATAAAACAAAAACAAAAGAAGATAATAAATTATTCTTTCGCAACTCTATTAAATTTTTTGTACAAACTTTGCTTTATTTTATTCAACCATCTCTCCCTACATATATACATATATATATACTTTATACGCATGTGTATAATAATCTCCTTCAATCACTTTATCACATAAAATATAGGGTTCATTAAAAATACAGGGTTTTGTGAATTTAGTCAAGTTTTTCAAATAGAAAAAGATAGGGTACGATAGGTTATTGCCGGAAAGCTAAACTGTTTTTCCATTTATTTTCTACAAACCCTTGGAAAACAGACACCCATACATTGCAAACTATATTTGAAATTGGAAAAATGCCCAAATTACTTTTTTTTTCTTTCTTTTTTTAATTTTCGTTTTTCTTTATTAAAGTAGACAAATTCTTATCAGAAAAGTCGGCGTTGCAGTTTTTGTTCAAGAATTGGATAATTTCTTTATTTATTCAATGTACTGTAGAGTATTTATTTCTATGTAGCCCAAGAAACAAGTAAAAGATACTACAACTTTGTTCCCCATACATATACACATCCATATACATATATATATACCCATATATATTCATATGTGTTTAATACAATTTGTTGAAGTATAGATTACAAATTCAAAGAAGAAAGTATTCCCTACAAAATTTGAATTATCTACATACATACATATATACATATATTCCCTTTTTCTTTCCTCCTCGAGTAAAATATAAAAGCAAAAGAAGAGACACAACCTCGACAAGGATTAAAATATTTGAAAAGTTATACATTTATACCAGCAAGAAAACTTTTGTTTTGCTTTTTTTTTTGAATATGACGACTAATCTGCTTTGGTTAACCCTATTGGGAAGTTATATAGTCCAGACTAAATCATTTTCCAAGATTTTAGGAAGACCAACCCATCATAATAATAATGATTATAACAATAATATTAAACTTAACATCAGTAAGAATATTAGTAATATTCATGATACGAATAATTCAATCACAGATGAATCAATTAAACCAATTAAAAATTTGTCTGTTCAAATTGCCATAGTATATTTTGCAGCATGGTTTCTTTTAATCCCTCTGGCTAGATTTTGGAATATTCCATGTAAAACATCTTCTTTAGATTCTAATGACATAAATAACTTGTCCAATATAAATTTAAACCATGAAGAATTCTATAATAATAGTGGTAGTAATAATAATGATAACAGGGATAATGGAACGACTATATCCATGCTAAAAAGCAAATTTAAACAAGTCTCTAAGATATTTATACTATCCCTATTATTATCGATAACTGTATTATCATATACCTTAGCTTTAACAATGACACCTGCATTTGATGTAACGTTGATTCAAAATACATCTATCTTCGAGATTACTACTTTGTTATACGGTGTTTGTGGTGTTGCAAAGAGACAAAATGTTTTCCGCAACTTTATTATTATGATGGTGGCTCTAATTGGGATTTTAATTGTATCTTACACCAACGCTACTTGTGATCTATTAGCCGGTAAATTATCTATAAATAAAGAAACAGGTGAAGTCAATGATCCATTTTTGTTTGATAGATTAAAAGTTGCATTATTATGTGGCTTATGTTCTTTAACTATGGGACCCTTTGCTATATTATCACATAAATGGTTAACAAACCAAAAACTTATCACAAATAAGAAGAATATTTTTGCAATTGCCATAACATCTATTTTGTTATTGGTCCCCTTTATCCCTAAACAAAGTTCATTTTGGAGAGATATCAACAGCAACAATAGTTCTGGTTGGTTATTTTTAATACTGGCTATAGTTGGTGGTGTTTTACCAAACATAATATCTATTATATTGCTGACAAAGAATTCGCCACCTGAATTTATTACTACTGCCAATTTATCTGTTATTATATTGATGGGTATAGTACAAGGATTATCTGAATCTGGTCAAACTTATGTGGTTAGATGGGAAGTTATAGGATATCTTATGTTAACTATTAGCTCAATTATCTTATTTTTCAGTTTACGTAATAGGAAATAATATCCTTTCATATCCTTTTAAAATTACGACTATTGGAGATATTATTATTTTAATTGATTCATTGGTTCATTTACTTACTTAGTATTACTATGTAGTAATAATGATGAAGCATGATAATGACAACTCGATAAATATTATTGTATTTACAGATAGCAACATATTATATAGAAAGATAAATTATAAGTATAGACATACAGAATGTATTATAATTTAAGTTATAATAAATATGTTTTATTGGTTTCTAATAGCTTTTTTTTTTCTTCAATCTTGCTAATAACCATGTTCTTTTGCATTTTAATGTTTGGAGTTATAGTGTTGAATATGATATTTAATTTTTCCAGCACCTGATTTTTCATCAAGATTTAACCCTAGTGCATCAACGAATTGTCCTTGAGGGTCCATTAAGTAGAAAAAGATCGAGTGATCAACAAGATAATCTTGACCAGGTTGTACATTTGGAGGAGTAGAGAAATATACTCTATACTGTTTACAAACTTTCTTGACATCTTCATAGGTTCCTGTTAATCCAATAATTCCATCATGAAAATCAGTTAAATATTCCTTTAATACTTCTGGTGAATCTCTTGCTGGATCACATGTTATAAATATAGGTTGTACATGTATATTATTTGCCTCTAAATCATCTAGCCACACACCTAACTTGTCTAATTCATCTGGACAAATATCTGGACAATGACTAAAACCAAAATAGATCAAAGAAAATTTCCCTAATAAGTCTTTTTCAGTGAATATGTTCCCATTATGATCAATCAACTCAAATGGTTCACCGCCAATTCTTGGTTTGCCATATCCTTTAGTTTCTTCTTCATGCCTCTTTAAGTCTATTTTTTTCTTTTCTCTTTCAAAAATGTAATATGTTATACCACCAGCCACAAGAAATAATATAACTGATTTACCAGCCGAAAATTCAATGGTAGAACCACTCTTAACAGTTTTACTAGCTTCATACTTAGATCCCTTTCCTGTAAGGGGAACTCTACTCAATTGATTGATTTGAGAAAATATACCAAAATTTCTTTGGGCAGTAGGAAAAATTTGTTTCTTTAATATTTGGTAATACTGATCTCTTACTAAAAGATGTCTTTTGGCTAATCTAACTGCAAAGCTACTTCCATTTGAAAACATTTTATTTTATAAATATTATAGTTCAAATGACTTATCTTTTTCAATTACGTTGATAGTATTGTTTATTTTTTACAAATAAACTTATTAAGTTTACAATATAGCTAATTTAAAATTTACACTGCATCAGCTCACACATGTAATTTACATCTGCACGCATACGTATAGGTGAATGTTTAATATATAAATAAAACCATTTCGAAATATATAAGAAGAAATCTAAAACAGGGCAAGGAATAAGCTCTGATATTGACAGCTTATATTGGTTTTCGAAGTCTCTGGAATCCCTGAAACACAATCCTTTTCTATATAGATTTTTTCTGGCGGAATCACTTTCCGTCTTGTGTGTTTCCTATTAATTTCTTTTGTTGCTCGAGCAATTTTTGGTTTTTCTTTGCCCCTTTTCTCTTTTGGTGTAAGATTAGAATTTAATAAAGAAGGCCGGAATAACAGTTCTTCCGAAAGCAAAGGCAAACGATATTTGAAGCAAACCTTTAAATAAAATCAATTATGATTTCATCATTGCAAATAACTAATACAGTAAAAAAAAAAATTATTGAAATGGAGAAAATTAATTAGAAGTAGGGTGTAAAATTGTATGAGGTTATGGAGTTATCTAATTGCCAATCAAAATAATAACAGTTTACGTATTAAACTATTATTCTTGTTAAGCGGTGAAATCACATAATTTTTTTTATTTTGTGTCCTTAATTTTAATATAGGCAATTTTATATAAATCTAGTATGAATAATTGTTGTGCAATTACATTTTAAAATTTGTCATTAATTAGAAACTGTATATTGCTAAATTACTATCAGTCATACACATTGCTTTATTTCTGTTTGCCCATTATATACTTTTGCTATATATACGATGATATTAACAAGAAAAGAACATGCAATATTAAAAGCAGAAGTTTTAAGTTTTAAATTTTGAAGCCCTAATTTTTCTGGCCTCTGTCATTTCAATCATAATATATATATATATGTGTGTGTGTATGTGTGTGTGTGTAAATGGAAACCAATTTGGAATATATTTTGAAGCTACTTGCTGGCGTATAAAAAAGAAAATACACTAACTGATTTTCTTTTTATCTTTAAGGAACATGGAAGTATGTCTTTTGAAAAACATAGTACGCACTTGGACAGAGAGTCTCAGTTTTCTTCATTGAGAAAAATTAATATTGAAAATAATAGACTAAGTAGACCACAATCAAATAATTCATCACGATGTAGCATAGAAAATTATCTTTCAAATCAAAACAACATCAGCTCCTTTAATGATAATTCTAATGCTTCAAATAAGAAAAAAACAGATACATTAGAACCGTTTAATGATAAACTTAGTTTTTGGATTTTATATTGCTATATAGTCACATTTTGGGCAATAAGTCCACTTTTAAAGTTGTGTGGAATTGATAAGAAGGAACAACAAAAGTTATGGAGAGAAAAAATTGGTTTACTAGTTATCATATTTGTTTTAGGTACTTTTGTCTCATATTTGACACTGGGACTAGTGAAAACCACTTGTTCCTTCCAAAACTTAAAACTTAATGTAAACAATTTGGGATTATCATACATTGCAATCCATGGTAGAGCATTTAAATACAAACCTACCTACATGTCAATCAATAATGATAAAATTATTATAGATTTAGAAGAGAGATCTTTAATTGGACCTGCATCTTTCGGTGGTATGGATTTTTCTTTTGAATATCAAAATATTAACGGTCATTGTGCCAATCTGATAACATCACGGAACAAAAATACTGAAAGTGATGAGAGCATTTTAAATTTTCCATTGACTTATTTCCCATGTAATCCCTATGATCATAGTAATTTAATTATTGAGGAAGAAAACTGCCATTTAGATGACTTACAAAAATCTAAATTGTTTGAATTATTTCCCTACTCTTCAGTAATAGTTTACACATGGGAACAATTAAAAAACAAAACAAACCAAAGATTGGTTGTATATAACGGTAATGTGATGGATTTAGCTCTATTAAAATTTTTTCAAAAAGATAAATTCGAATATCCTCCTGTTATTCAAGAGCTAGCAAATTCAGATTTATTCAACGGTTATGATATTTCCTTACTATTCACATCTACACGAGATAAACAGATTGCTAGATGCTTAGTTAATTTAATAAAAGTTGGAGAAATAGATTCTGACACTATTGGATGTTTAATGTCGACGGTTATTTTATATTTATCGTTAACTCTTATCTTATCGATTGTTATATTCAAATTTATTACTGCTTGCTATTTTCGTTGGTTTGTTAGTAAGAAACAAGGTGCTTTCCAATTAGATAATAAATCATTTATTGCATATATTAATAAAATTGAAGAATGGTCCACGAATATGACAGCCCAAGCTCCTTTGAAAAAAGTTGATCCACATTTACGGCCCAAACAACCAAAAGAAAAGCAGTATGCTAATTTTAAAAGAAAATCAAGTATTACAAATAGCTTTTTGAAAAGATCTTCACAATTTTACACTTCAAATTCTACTCCATCTTTCCCCAATTTACCAAAAATCGAAGAATTTATGCTGATTGATAAATTTAATGGGTTGACAACTATGCCAATTCAAACAATCTTTCAAAAATTTAGATCAGTACATCAAAAAAATGATGGTTTTAATAAAACCACTACTACATTTACCGATTTTGCAAGTCCACAAAGAATATACGACTCACCTAAAATATTATCAAGATCCATAGTCCACGAAAATGTTGTAGAACAACCTCCTATTACATACATGCCGGATAATTTTCCACTAATTCATATAATATGTTTCGTAACCTGTTATTCAGAAGATGAAGACGGAATTAGAGTTACACTGGACTCCATATCTACATCTGACTATCCAAATTCACATAAGTTACTTTTCATTGTTTGTGATGGACTGATTAAAGGTTCCGGAAGTAATATGTACACCTCAGATATTATATTGAGTATGATGAATGATTATGTAAGATTACCAGAAAGTGTTGAGGCATCTTCCTATATATCCATTGCCTCAGGTTCAAAACAACATAATATGGGGAAAGTATATGCAGGTTTTTATAATTATAATGATTTGACAGTTCCTAGAGAGAAGCAGCAACGTGTCCCAATAATATTAGTTGTCAAATGTGGAACACCTTTGGAACAATTGGGCTCCAAAGCAGGAAATCGTGGGAAAAGGGACTCTCAAGTTATTCTAATGTCCTTTTTAAAAAAGATTCTTTTAAATGATAGAATGACTGATTTAGAATATATGCTATTAAAGAACATATGGCAATTAACAGGGTTAATGGCAGATCAGTATGAGGCTGTATTGATGGTAGATGCCGATACAAAAATCTTTCCTGATTCCTTAACTCATATGGCTGCTCAACTAGTTAAAGACCCTTTGATTATGGGTCTCTGTGGTGAAACTAAAATTGCAAACAAAACAGAATCTTGGGTTACTGCTATTCAAGTGTTTGAATATTATATATCTCACCATCAAATAAAGGCATTTGAATCTGTTTTTGGTTCTGTAACTTGTCTACCAGGATGTTTTTCAATATATAGGATTAAATCGCCAAAAGGTAATAATGGAAAATGGGTACCTATATTAGTTAATCCAGAAATTGTGGAAAGATATTCAGATAATGATACGAGAAGCTTGCATAAAAAGAATTTATTACTGCTAGGAGAGGATCGGTACTTATCATCATTAATGTTAAAGACATTTCCCAAAAGGAAACAAATTTTTGTCAATAAAGCTGCCTGTAAAACAATTGTACCATCTGAATTCGGAATACTTTTGTCACAAAGAAGAAGATGGATCAATTCTACAATACATAATTTGTTTGAGCTAGTTCTAGTTCAGAACTTATGTGGGACTTTTTTTTTCTCAATGCAATTTGTTGTGATCATTGAATTAATCGGTACCTTAGTATTACCCCTGGCTATTTGTCTTACAGGGTATTTAATCTTCTTTTCTATTTTTTCCTCACCAACACCAGTGTTAGCATTAGTACTTCTAGCCGTTATTTTGGGATTACCTGGTATTTTGGTAGTTGTTACTTCTACAAAGTGGATTTATATTATTTGGATGTTAATATATTTGTTAGCTCTTCCAATATGGAATTTAGTTTTACCTTCATATGCCTATTGGAAATTTGATGACTTTTCATGGGGGAAAACAAGAGCTATTGCAGAAAATAATTTGGATCCAAAGAGCAAAGAAATAGATGACATGATTACTCCACAGCTAAGATTAAGACGTTGGGAGGACTTTGAGAAAAATTTAGTAGAAGTTGATAATGTATAAACTCTATTTACACGATAATAACATTTTTTCTGAACTTTTTCATAAAAGAAAGTATATAAGCAAAATATATTGTAAAATTCCTTCCTTGTCAGTCTCAGGTTGCTTGTTACAGAATTTGTTATTCTATAACCTTGTTACTTTCTATCCTCAACATGAAAATATTCTTAAGTTAATAAATTACTTAATTTCAAAAATATATCAGATATAACATAGTGACTCTGTAGCGATCGCTTTAAAGCTAGTTTAGACAAATTCAAAACCATATAGTATTCTTGCTATATTTAAATAACAAAGTGTACGCGTTTTAAATCATATGTATATCCATGTTCTGTTTTTATCTTAACATAATATCTGTATACCAATGCCACTATTTTAATGTCAGAAGTTATTATGAATTCCGCCAATGTAAAATTAAGTTACTGAAAATATTACAGTCGATAGTGATAATGATTACATATTACAAATTGCAAAAATTGAGTAGTATGCAGAACCAATCCATCATAAATAGAGCTATAGCAATATGTTAATAAATAATACAACAAGTAATAGTAATCATTAATATTCGAAATAAAATATTTGGTATTCATGCCAATATATTTAGAAGATTAAACATATACAAATAAAATAAATATCATGTTTCTTTATTTCTATGGATTAGATTCTCATATAACCACATAGTAATTATGTTAGATACAATTTTATATATTTTACCACACAAAAGAGACGTAAGGATTTATACAGGAAATTTAGATATAAATACATTTAATTTAGTTTAGAAACTCTCCTAGCAATTATTTCATGTCAAAGATGAATCATATTAGTAAATCAGAATCTCACCCACAATTTATGTGACATACCATCTCAAATCTAAATCTCCATATTTTCCAATTCATTACTCCTTTATAGACAGTTTTTCCATTTACAGTATTCACGATTAATTATGTATCTCTTCAAAATCTACAAATAACAGTATTATTAATTTTTAAAAATTATATATTAACTCCAAATAAAAATTAAAAAAAAATACAAACAAAGTCTATAGACTTAAATCAATTCTTCTTTCTTTTCAGTATTTTCATTAGTTTGGCAGGATTAAGAAATGAGACACCTCTTACATGTAGCCAATAATAGAAAAATACCATCGCAAAAAGGTTGAAGAAAATATAAATGAAAAAAATACCAAAGTTTCTCCATAAATTGGAATAACTAGCAGAAATGTGCTTCAAATAATCATCACCCACAGAATATATACAGTATGCACAATCTGAAGTAGCATCTGGATTTGCAATATAACCACTTGAATAAGAAAAGAATGTCTTCATATAAGCACCACAGGTCATATTTTCCGGAGGCTGGAAGTAATTCAACTCTTTGGAACTACAAATTACAGGCTTTTTGTGTAATACAATAGAGACTAAATTTTGGACAAAATATGTGTAAGGGGAAGCCACATTCATAAAGACCCAGAAATCATTTAAAAGAGATTTAGGTTGCACAACACCACAAAAAGCAATCATAAAGGACAACAATAAACCAAGAATTACATTAGCAGATTGTAGATTTGGTGCCATGTATAGAACTAGCAAACCCATACCAACATAATACAATTGGAACATAATAGAATAATTCAAATAATAAACACCAGAGGCGGAAGCTTCAAAGTGAATTCTTAATGGGAAATATGACGAAACAAAAAAGATAGCACTAAATAATAAGTGGTATGGAATTTCACTTAAATACTGTGTTAATAATAATAGTGACCAGTGGAACATATTGGATTTAGACTCTCTTGTTTCATATAATTCTCTTGCAGCAATTGCACGTGCTTGGATTTGATTCATGGCTGGTGCAGACAAAACAATAGAAATAAAAACAGCAAAAAGTGTGTTTTGTAAACCAGTGTAACTATTACCAGGACTGTAGAAGGTAAACCCAATATATAACCCACCTACTGTCATTAACATCATCTTGGACATAATATAATCTAAACTTCTCCAAAAAGTAAGACTAGTTCTTTGTAAAACATACCTAAATTGGTAAAAGTACGATGTAGCGTACTTAGATGTATTTGCACCGACTTCTGATTCGTCATTCTTCAAAGATAATTCATTTATTAATTCAGTAACCTTGTTTTCACTGTCAACATATTCTTGTGAATTTAACCAGACTTCATGCCAATCTTCTTTAACTGTTGCGGTAGCACCTGCACCAATAGCTTCTAAGACATATTCAGCAGGATTCTCCTTGGATGAACATTTTCTAGCACCATTTCTCTCAAAATATGATAACACTGTTGACGAATTTTCACCAATATCACCAAAATACACAGTTTGGCCACCTTTCCTTAATAACAATAACCTATCAAATTGTTCAAATAAAGTAGCAGAAGGTTGATGGATTGTACACAAGATAGATTGACCAGCAGCAGCTAATTTTTTCAATAACTGAACAATTGCCCAAGCAGATTGAGAATCTAACCCTGAAGTTGGCTCATCTAAGAATAATAAGATGTCAGGTTTAGCAACCAATTCAACACCAATTGATAGTTTCTTTCTCTGTTCCACATTTAAGCCGTTACCAACAGCACCTACCAAAGCATCAGAATAATCTTCCATATCAAGAATTCTAATGATCTTATCAACATATGCAATCTTTTCTTCATCTGAAATATGTTGAGCACGACGCATACGAGCAGAAAAAATCAAAGATTCTCTAACAGTTAATTCAGCGATATGAATATCTTGCTGTTGAACATAACCAGTACGCCTCTCAAAACTCTTGTCAATAGGACGACCATTTACCAACATATCACCAGTAATAATACCAACATTTCTTTGAGCTAAAGTATTCAATAACGTAGTCTTACCAGCACCCGATTCACCCATTAATGCTGTCATGGTACCTGGTAAACAATACCCAGAGACATTATCTAATAATCTTCTTTGTCCACCATCGTATGGAATTGTAAAACAAACTTTTCTCCATAAGAAAGCACCCTTAGATTCAAGTTCTCCAAATACAGCATCATCTTCTTCATCTGTACTACTTGCTAAATATTTTTCCTTAATATCAATTGATTCATCAGCAGCCTCTTCATCATTACGAATTTCAAATCTTTTAGATCCCTTCTTGAAAACTAAAGCATCACCACCACCTTTAACAGGTCTTTTAAGTTCTGTAATAACACATTTCAAAATGAAATAGCCTAACAAGAAACACCACATAATACCAAAGTTTCTCCAAGTATGTTTGTATTCATATTGGAATTGCAATTTTAAATAATCATCTCCTAAAACATATGATTGATCTTCCTTAGAACCAATGAAAGCACATGCGTGATTAATTAATGGAAATTTCTCATATGCTGGACCACTAGGAACTAAACTATTAGCACAACTCATATGTCTACCGTGAAATTCAGCATTAAGCATAGATTCGAATGCATATCTAATTGGCAAAATATATGAGATCCATTTAAACCAAGGATGCATGGATGGCAATTGAATCATATATGTCGAATACATGGAGATAGACATCATAATAATACCGGAAATAGCATTGGCCTGAGAAATATTATCACAACCTGCTGCAATGAACTCGAATAACGCCGTAATAGCTTCAGAACACATTGTTAAGAACAGGTAAACGATAAAGAATGCAGATGGAGTCCTGTGCAAATCAGCAAGGAAGTATATAATAATTATAAATAAAGTTAAACCAATCATACGAAATGGGAACCCAGCAATTGTACTTGCCAATGCTTCTGCTGATGGATGATATAGAGAGTAATCTTTATGTTTTTGTAAAATTGGTCTATGTTCAAAAGAGATATTAGCCAACCCCATCAAAGAATAATACAACAAACAGAAGTAAAGGGTACCACCTCTTGAAAATGCACCATTAGTAGAAGATGGTGTATTATAATACATAGACCCTGTAATAAAAGCTTGTATCACTGCAGCTACAATATTTGTTATAGTAGTGGTTTTATTACCATAAATTCTTTGAAAACCACGACGAACACATAATCTGACTTGTTCCCAATATGACACTGTATAATATGATTTTTTACTTGCGCCTCTTGATTTTTCTGCGGCGATAGAATCTTTATAAAGTTTTCTTGTGGCTTCTGTATCTATCTCTTCCTTATATTTAACGATATCTTCTCTTAATTGCTTATATTCGGGGGAATTTAACCAATATTGTTCAAATTCCTCAGCAGTCTTTGGTACTTTATTTTCAAAACCTGGCTTAACAATATGATAACCATTTGGATCAGTCAATGCAGTTAAATATTCGGCAGTAGCTTGTCTTGGTGGACATAAATAACCCATCTTTTCAAAATAAGCCTTTGCATTTTCAATCCTACCGAAATATATTTGTTTACCTGAATATAATACAGTAACTTTATCAAAGGTTTCATAAATATTTTCACTTGCTTGATATATGGTGACAAAAGCAGTTGACCCAAGAAGATTAGTCATGATACGGATAGCTTTAGCATATTCTAAGGCAGTAGAAGCATCTAACCCTCTAGTTGCATTATCCCAACAATAAATGGATCCGTTAGCTGCAAGTGCTTCAGCAATAGAGACACGCTTTCTTTCACCACCGGAGACACCTCTTACGAAATCGTTACCAACAATGGTGTTATAGGTATGTCTTAAACCAAAAATTGTGGCATATAATTCTCTTGTTGAATTAATATATTCTTGTCTTGTCACATTGTTCACTCTCTTAGCAGGAGTTTTACAAGCAATGGCAAAATCAAGAGTTTGTTTAACTGTTAGATATGGAAAATGCACATCTAACTCACCATTGTATATGACGTCTGATTTGAAATGTTTCATCATTTCCCTTTGATGTATACCGTCATAAGTGATTTCACCTGTTACACCTCCAGCAAACTGGTCAATTTCACCTGCAGTGACTTTTAAAAATGAGGAACAACCAGCACCAGGCCTACCAAGCACCAAAATCATCTCTCCAGCTTTTGCTAAAGCATTGCAGTTCTGTAGAATCTGTTTCATTTTGGATTTACCATTTTGACGTCTTCTCCTTATCTTGTTATAAATAGTATATGGTAAAAATAAGATATTACCAAAAGTGGCACCTTCTAAAGCGGAACCATCTACACCTCTACAACCTACATCTTCCAGAGTGACACCAGCCTTTCTAATATGAATACCTTGGTCATTAGCATCACGAACAAATGAACCAATAATTCTAGCTGCATCAAATGAATCATCACCACCATTATCATTTTTTACTCCGTCGTTTACACTATTATCATTAAACTGAAAGGAACCTTCTCTAGTTGTATGACGAGATAATTCTTTTGCTAAGGATTCAACTTTAGATATAACTTCGGGAGACAATTCTCCAAGTGATCCATTATTATTATGAAAATTATTACTAATCTTTTGTTCGTTGATAGATTCACTAACATTTATGGAAGAATGACTTAACATTTTAACCAATTTATCCGCGGGGGTATCTTCTTTATTATTATTATTATTATTAGAATACATATTATTTGTATTTGAACCATAAAAGGAACGTGTGCTCGAACTAGTTGACTGTCTAGACAATGAAAAACTACTGGAAGTACTCATTGCTAGTAAAATTAAATTAAATTAAACTAAATTAATGGTATTAAATAAATATCTATAAAATGAAACTGCAATGTGGGAATAGAAGCAAATAAAAAGGAAATTTAAAAAAAAAAGAGGTAGGAAATTAAAAAGGTATCTCAATTATACTTGAACAATTTTTATAATAGTAGATATAATAAAGTGGTTATTATATAGTTCCTTTGTTTCTTGAATATTGCATGTAAATAGTCAAATTGAATAGATATTTTACTATCGGATAGTGCTATAATAAAGCACGCTATAAACTATGTTAGTCCAATCAAAATATAAGCGCTTACTGGAGGAAGATGGTTGATGTCTATAAACAAGTAAACATATATACATAGATATATATATACATATACGATATATATATATATATCTATGTAAATACAAAAACGAATAAAAAACGAAATGAACTCCCCACTTGTGCGAAGAGAAAAAGAAAGAAAGAGAAAAAGAAAAAAAATAAAAAAATAAAAAAAAAGAAACACCCTCTCTTGCTATTGTTAATGTTATCATTGCAAAAGCCACATGCCTAAAAAAAACAAAAAGAAAAAAAAAACCACAACTACAAAACGGCTATAGACGGATATAGATGGATATAAACGGATATAGACGGGTTATTATTTTTTTCAAGAGTCCCTAGTACTAAATGCTTATTTGTTCCGCGGAAAATAAAAGTAAACTGTGGATTATATTGATCATATTGACATCGAGCTAGTCTTAGTAATAATCTACATTCTATTTCTCCTCTTCAGGTTACGTACCAGCCAACTTTTCTTGAACTGTTTTCAATTTACAAAATAAGCGGATTCAATAGAGTTTCCGATGATGTATGGGTGGGTGTTTCCTTTTCAAATATGTATAGTACAGAACTAGATGAGTAATCCTTTAGTAAGAAAATAAGTAAATAAAAGAGGAAAAACGAAAAAGACATTGAAGGTTTAGTCGTTACTATTATTGTTATTGTTATCAAGGGCACGGAAGTAGGATGTAATATAGAATGTGTAAGTATTATATAATCTATTAATTTGCTGATTGGATTGATTTTGCCCTATCAGCAGTTATTAGATGATACGGAAAAAACCGATTAAGAGAATATTAGATTGGAAAAATTATCCATAACCAGATATTTGTTCTCTATTTTGTTCTTTTTTCTTTTCTGTTTTTATTTCATCCCAATAATAAAAAAAAAGTACTACTATTATTGGTATGATGTAATGGAAGTAAATATAGATATAAATATATATATCCATCATATAATATACCCACACTTTCTCTTTGTTTTTCTCTTTGTTTCTCCGTCCCTATCCATCCATCCATATATATATATTCAAGAAAAGAGAAAGAGTGTGGATATATGTATGTGTGTTTACGCTCGATATCTCTTTCCGCCCGGATTAATAACAAGATCACCCCAAGGCTTTATGATTCCGCATAGATTCTTCTTAAATTTCTTTCTTTCTTTTTTTTTTTTTCTAATTTTGTTTGTTTGTTTATTTATTTTTTTCCACTCTCTATAATCTTGCGCAAAAATAATAAGTTAGTAAAAACATAACCTTATTACTATGGTATTATAATACCTAAAACTCATCAACAATTATCATTAAATATGACCCCTACATTTACCCAACTCTTACAAATCTAAAGATTAATCATATATAAGCATATACCAATTACTTTTGTTTTTTTTAACCATACTATCAAAATATCCGTTTTTTAATAGATTAATACTTATTGAATACAATACAATATAATATTAATAAATATATCTCTGTATATTATTATTATTATTATTATTATTATTATAACTAAATAGTATTATACCAATACTAATTGATATATGAGTTATAAATTGTGATATCTATTTTTTTGTATTTTTGTTTATTATATATTTATCTATTTTTTCATCTCTCTCTCTCTCCCCCCTTCTCCCTTTTTTCCTTTTTTGTTTTTTCTTTCGTCATCTAACATCTATATAATGGTTCTTAGATCAACAACATACCAAAATGAAATGAATGAGACAGATTCTTCTAAAAATACAAGTTTTGTTACATCATTAATGAAATCTTGGAGAATTTCTTCAAGTTCTTCAATTGCTTCTTCTTCAAATACAAACGAACCACTAACAAATAATAATAATAATAACCACACTAAATCAGTATTATCTTCTGATTCTCCGTTCTATTCTTCCCCTATACAATCCACACATTTTGATACCATCACTAATAATACAGGTAGTGGCACTACTACCAATAAGAAAGGTTTTACAAGAAAGTTTAGTTCTAGTTCCCAAGATGGAAATTTCGACGCAATGGCCAAACAAACCATAAGCATAAGGAAATCAACATCTTCTTCGTCTTCATCTTCTTCAATTATTAATAATAATATTACCAGTCATGCTCATACTAGTACACATTCCCATACTCATAATAGCAACAATAATAAGACCACAAATTCATATTCCCCTTTAAGGTATGTAAGTCCCTCGATGACTAATTTGGAGAGTCTGAAATCAAGTTTCTTTAGACAACATCATACAAGAAATTCACACCATAATCAATATTATCATAACACGCCAGGTAATAACAACAGTAATAACCATAATTCATTTAATTATTCAAATTCTCCTGCCATTGGAGCTTCGTATTCAAGTTATAATGGCACCGGATCCCTTGAAAATTTTCCAAACGATAACAACAATGCTAGTAGTAAATATTTTCAAGATTTAGATGAAGATTGGAGTGCAGTCATAGATGATTTCAACATGCCGATACCGGTTATGTTAAATGGCGGTAGAGGAGATCATGCTAGTAACAGTAACAATAACTCTCTATCTAGAATCTCTACAAACTCATCAATAACAAATTTTAAACCATCAACAACATCAGTAGCACCACTTCAATACCCACAGTTACCTCTTATCGAAACAAGATCAAAGGAAGAGATCGAAAATGAAAGAGAGATACAGAAATTAAATTCTCTTATGAAGAGAATAACTAAGTTTGATAATATCCTTAATAACAAGCACATAATCAATCTATCAGAGTTGAGACAGATTAGCTGGAATGGAATACCTAAACCTCATAGACCAGTAGTTTGGAAATTATTGATCGGTTATTTGCCAGCTAATAAAAATAGACAGGAGTCATTTTTGAAAAGAAAAAGACAAGAATATCGTGATGGATTAAATCATACTTTCTCCAAAAACCATAAACGAGACATTCCCACTTGGCATCAAATTGAGATCGATATTCCAAGAACTAACCCACACATACCTCTGTATCAATTTAAAACAGTTCATGAAAGCCTACAAAGAATATTGTATCTTTGGGCAATCAGACATCCAGCAAGTGGTTACGTTCAAGGTATCAATGATTTGGTAACCCCATTTTATCAAACTTTTCTGACAGAATATTTACCTCAATCTCAAATAGATGATGTGGAAAATAGAGATCCATCCTCATATCTGTCTGAAGAACAACTGAAAGATGTAGAAGCAGACGCTTTTTGGTGTTTAACTAGATTGCTGGAACAAATTACAGATAATTATATACATGGTCAACCAGGTATTCTAAAACAGGTTAAAATCTTGAGTCAGTTGATTAAAAGAATTGATACTGATTTATATAATCATTTTCAAAAAGAACATGTTGAATTCATCCAATTCGCCTTTAGATGGATGAACTGTCTTTTAATGAGAGAATTTCAGATGAATGCTGTGATTAGAATGTGGGATACTTATTTATCAGAAACTTTCAGTGATACAGGTTCATCTATGTCCACATCCTTTAACAGTGATTTAATGTCACCACAAACACCAACACAACGATCAACTGCAACTTTTCATACAACACCACAAGGTTCCAATCATGTTACTACGTTATCACTTCATACCCCTGCAACCACAACAACTCGATTCAATTCAGTAACAACTTTAACATCGGTGAGTAAAGATGAATCGGATCCAACCAAGGTTAAACAATCTTCTTTGAATGAGTTCCATGTCTTTGTATGCGCTGCATTTTTAATCAAATGGAGTGATCAATTATGTGAAATGGACTTCCAAGAAATTATAACTTTTTTACAAAATCCACCTACTAAGAATTGGGATGAGAACGATATTGAGATGTTATTAAGTGGTGCATATATTTGGCAATCGTTATATAAAGATGCAACGTCCCATTGGTTATGATAAATTATGTAATCAAATAAAATTACGTAACATTATAAATCTTGATTATTAATTTCCCAAAAACAAATCATCCGAAACATCATTAATTCCATCTATTCTTACCTTTTATTTTCACTTTATTATACATATATAGCACTCATAAAAATTACTTACTTATAGGTTTGTTTGAAAAAAAGTTTCCCATAATTCAATACACTCCTTTTGAGATTCAATTGCGCCTTCCAGCGATATTTCAATACTACTTCTAAATTCATTTATTCTTGTCTTATTATACGAATTCAATTCATTTCTGATTGTAGTGGTAACATCACCAAACCATTTTGCTATTTTATCACGACGTGCTTGTAGTATATCGCATTCATTTTTTAACTTCAGGAGTTTTTCATTACCTTTAATGTCTTGTTGAATATTATTTGTCTGTTTATTAAACTGTACTAACTTTTTCTTTAAATCATTCTCTACTATACCTAAGTAATAACCAATCTTTCTTCTTTGTTTAAAAGTAGCTCTAACACTAGCTAATGAACGTATATATTCATCTACCATAGCAATGAGTGTTAAAGCATCCTGTAATGAATTTCTTTCTAATATCGATTTAATCTTGGATTGGACTTCTGAAAAATTGGACAATAATTCGGTGCTCTGTCTGGTAACTTCAAGTTTTGCCAAATTTTTAACGATTTTAGCGAACTCTTCTATAGTTAATGCTAATTCGTTTCTTTGACTATCGATCAAATCTAAGGATTGATATATTTGTTTCAATTGGGATTCTAATTGATTCAAATTATCATATTCTTGAATAAAAATTTGATCTTGTTCTATATACTTCGGTGGAGAAGAAAATGAAAAATTCATAAATCCTCTTGTATTTTCAGTATCTAACCCACCATTTTTTAATACTATGGCAGCATCATCAGGTCCCAGTAATTTTATTTCACTTATATGGATTTCTGATAAATCGTTGTTATCGTTATAAGCAGCAGAACCACTAATATATTCTCTGATTTTAGAGTCTTTATTAAATGATTCACTTGATAGGAAAAATATAAAATCAGCATCTCTTTGTAAAACTGGATCTCTTGCTATTCTATTTAACATCGATTCCATTTGAAACCTTCTATTTTCAATAAAATCATCTTTGAATCTACCAACAGCTTGCTTTTCTGGCGGAGGAGGTATGATCTTACCCCAGTGATTATTTTGTAATTGGCGATAAAGCCATCTAAAATCTCTATATCTCCGACGAACTTGAGATTCTCCTGAAGGTAAAATGGAATCAGAAGACATGGTTTGTGGAGACACAAGTGTAGTATTAACAGAGTATTCAATATGTGATGCTGCTAGCTCATCCACTTTAATTGGATCCTTAACTTCTATTTTAAATGTTAATAAATTATTATTTGCATTAGAAGGCTCATCTGACTTTATAATTTCAATATTACTGTTATTATTTGAATCTTCTTGTACTTCCATTGGTTCAGCTACCTTAATTTCCTCGTCATTCTTATTTATTGAATTTTTTTCAGAAGAAAGTGTATACAATGGTGAATTCATCTTTCTTAAAATATCAATATCATTATCATAATCAAAATCAATAATGCTGTTTTTATCTGATATTGTTGGCTGAGTTATCAGGTTACTTTTTTCATTTTTCTGTTTAGATGAATGGTTATCTAATTGAGCCTTATGTAATGGATCAGTTTCTACTGATGATGCAGGAACTGGTCTTCTACGCAGTTTTTTAACACTAAAAAGTCGATTCAGCTGGGTATTTGAGGCGTCCTTTTTTTTGGTTGTTTCATTGGAGTCGTTGAGAATATTGGTATCTATTGGAAGTGGCGAGGCAAACATCTCACCAGAAAATAATGGATCCGCATTACCTTTTGGTACATCTGTAATATGATCAATCCCAGAGTTATGAAACTTCGAGAAATCAGTATCCTCTTGTGGTGCCAATTTATCTAATAATAACTCATGATTAGTTGATATGTCTTCTGTTTCCTCGCCATCAGCATGGCTTGATTCCTGCTTTGAAGGCAATTGGAAAATATTTGACTGATCTGTAAATGAAGATGCCTGATATGTATTTTCATATAGTACTGGCTCCACTTTAGGGGAGCCAATACCTGTTCCTAAGATATTAATATTAGCAAAAGTTTGACTTAATTCATTTATTGCATTATCCTCGCCAATTTCATCTTCAATAAAACTATTATTATTATTTGTAGTCACGTCATGACTATCATTACTGCTGCTATTATCCCCTCTAACATCATCCCAAACAGATGCTTCCAAATTATCCTCTTCGAAATTATTAGTACCTTTTCTATAAAAATTATTTTCCATTTTCCTTTTAATTAGGAATTTATTAATAATAAGGTTTTTAATAAAACTTGCTGCTCTTTTTTTACTTGATCAATGAACAGGTATAAATATACTATCAAATTGCTATCAAATGAATACCAACAGCTTCAGAAGCAATGCAAAGTTTCTCTTCAAGGCTTTTTTATTCTTTACCTTTGTTCATTCTCTTTAAAGATCGGAGAAAAAAAAGGTAAGTTATTGTGTGACTAGAAATGAAAAATTTCAAAAAAGTTTCATAATTTCTGTGAATTGTATTCATCAAACTGGGTAAATTATAGAAAGATAACTTTCCTTTGTGACCATTTTGTGAAGGATAAATGCTTTCAAGGTATATGGGTTTAATTTAACGTGTTTATCCTCTAAACTTTATTTGTGAACATATGAACTAAGACAAGGAAGAAAAAAGGAAACACAAATAGTGACAAGCTTTTAGTAGATATACATGTTAATTTATTAGTAAGTCACATTGGATAAAAAAGAATCGAAAGAGGTAGTATAATAAAAATAAAAATATTTATTAATACAGAGATGTCTAAAGTTGATGGAAAAAAATCTAAGAAGAAACCTACTCAGATACTTACTACAAATAATTCAGAAACTCAAAAAAGATATTCTTTATGGAATTTTTGGATTTGTTCTTTATTTTTAAAACTTTTATTAATGCCAGATTATTTTAGTACCGACTTTGATGTACATCGTAATTGGCTGGCTATTACACATAAACTTTCTTTGAGAGAGTGGTACTATGAAAAAACAAGTCAATGGACTTTAGATTATCCACCTTTTTTTGCTTATTTTGAATGGGTATTATCTCAATTTGTACCCCAAATTGTACGTAAAGATGGTTGTTTAGATATTGTAGAAGTCGGTCAGTTTAGTTGGCCTACTATCGTTTTCCAAAGGTTAACTGTTATAATTACAGAAGGTTTATTATTTATCGTCTTGCAAATTTTTATAAATACTAGCAAATCATTTGAGAAAACGCAAAGTTTTATAGTAGCTTCTAGCATTGTATTATCTCCAGGATTTTTAATTGTTGACCATATTCATTTCCAATATAATGGCTTTCTTTTTTCAATATTAGTTGCTTCTATTGTTGCTGCAAGAAATCAAAGATATCTGCTATGTGCTCTTTTTTATTCAATTTCTTTGTGTTTTAAACATATTTTCTTATATTTGGCACCATGTTATTTTGTCTTCTTATTAAGGGTATATGTTTTGCAATTTGATGGTTTTAAATTTAGATCATATAAAGACCTTTTCTTTATTATCAATTGGAAACATTTATTCCAATTGGGAAGCGTTGTAATTGCTACTTTCACCTTATGTTTTGCTCCCTTTATTCTAGATATGCCACAAGTGATTAGCAGATTGTTTCCATTCTCTAGAGGATTGACACACGCTTATTGGGCTCCAAACTTCTGGGCCATTTATTCCTTTTTAGATAAAGTACTAACTATAGCTGTCCTTAAAGCACCATGGATTTTGGCTATGGTAAAAAAATTCACAAATTCCAGTTTCTTGCCTTCTTCTATCGAATCCATCAAACTTTCAATGAAAGAAAATAATACTGGTAGCAAAGGTTTAGTACAAGATGTTATATTTACTATTCTTCCTCAAATTACACCAAAGTTAACTTTTCTATTAACTTTACTATATCAAATACTAGCTGTGATTCCACTATTATTCGATCCATCTTATAAACGATTTGTTGGCTCACTAACTTTATGTGGATTAGCATCATTTTTGTTTGGCTGGCATGTCCATGAAAAAGCCATCATGTTAGTGATTATCCCGTTCTCATTTTTAGTTATTTTTGATAAGAGACTTTTAATTCCATTTATGTTGGTTACATCCGCTGGATACGTGTCTTTGTTCCCATTATTATACAAAAATGCAGATTTTTTGATTAAATGTCTTTACACTTATATTTGGTGTATTGTTTACTTCTTTGCTATTAGAAAGACAACAAAGGTATCTACTAGTGTGGAGAGACGTGTCTTCTTTTTAGATAGAATATCGATCACATATGTATGTTCTTTATTTCCCGTAGTAATAATTTTACAATTATTGGATTTATTGAAGTGGAAATATCCAATTATTGAAAAGTTTGAGTTCTTAAATTTAATGATTTACAGTTTTTATTGTTCTTTGGGTATAATTAGCTCATGGATTGGGCTATCATGGTTGTATAACTTTGATGAACCTCTATGGGTACAGAGTTCTTAGATACAACCTCCAATATTACGTAAGATTAATCATTAATATTTTTTGTAAGGATCAATATTATACAACAATGCTTTCTCACAATTTCTCAATAGTTTAGGGGATCAATAATGTTTTAGTGAACATATATGTGTGTACCATTGGATCCATTTTACTGAATGTTTATGTCTTTGTCATCAAATATATCAAATATCAAATAAAATAATAAAGATAAATTAAAGAAAATAATTAATCTAAATAATTTCCCGAATAAATAAATAAATTAATAAATAAATAGCCTATTTAAGTAAAGATGAGAAAAAAAAGATTTGATAGAATAAAACAATAAAAACAAGATTATACAGGAAGCATTTGGTATAGGAAGAGAAAAGTAGATAGATTTTTATTTCAAATGTAAGACTGGAAATAAAATCGAAGTCAAATAATGTGAACTGTGGTAATGTATAAAAACAATAATCATGAATATCAAAAAAGAAAGAGAAAGAAGGAAAAAAAAATAAATAAAAAAAGGAGAAAAGCTTATGATTGCAGAAATTTATTTCTTCAGTTATATTTATCTCTTCTTATTTTTTTATTTTTTATTTGCTTCTAACCAATTATCTTCTCTTTGGAGTATTTGGTGGATTAAAAACAATCTTTCTTGTCTTGATAGCAGACCACTTGAATTTTTTAACCCAGACGGATAGTAAGTATAGAGAGGATAATATTATGATAGCTTTCAAACCATATTTCTTTCTTTCATCCAATTCTGGTTCTGCAGCCCAATGTAGGAAAGTAGTAACATCCTTGGCCATTTGAGAGGTTGTAGCTGGAGTACCATCCTCATATTCGACTAAATCATCGAATAAGACACGACCCATGGCAATTGCACCACCCGGGAAATATGGGTTATAGTTAGTACCAGCTGGTAAGGTAACACCTTCTGGTGGCTCATCTGGATAACCAGTCAATAGAGAGAATACGTAATCTGGACCACCGTGTCTAGCCTTGACGATTAAAGATAAGTCTGGTGGTAAAGCACCTTGGTTAGCGGCTCTGGCAGCTTCTTCATTTGGGTATGGACCTGGGATGTAGTCAGACAACTTCCCTGGTCTCTTTCTTGGATTACCTTGATCATCTGGTTCGTCGTCGTATTCAAATTGAGCAGCCATTTCTTTAACTTCGTCAGTAGTGTGCGAAACGTCGACAAGGTTTCTCCATGCAACACGATCTAAAGAGTGACAGGCAGCACAAACTTCACGATAAACTTGATAACCACGTCTAATAGAAGCATGGTCGAAAGTGTTGAAAGGACCATTATGTGGCCAGTCAAATTGAGGAGCATGTAAACCATGTTCCGCAGCAGTCATAGCCTTTGAATAAGTAGAGTCGCTATATAATAGAGTAGCTGCGGTTAATCCAGAGAATGCCACACCTGCAGTAACCATCTTTGAAAGTAGAGAAGATTTCTGACTAGAAGAAGCCGATGTGGTAGTAGAAACAAATCTTTTTGTGGATTGGAACAACTGTCTTTTGAACATTATGTAATAGTAATACTATTGTTATGCTGAATATATAAATATGAATATATTATATTATGTTATGTTATGTTATGTTATACTATGTTGAATTATTGATAGCCAACGTTGCTGTTTATTTTATTTTATTTTTCGAGTCTTTTCTTGATTAATTTATTAAAAACGATCTGTTGGCTTGTAAATGTTGAATATGAAAACAAAAGCAAATTATAATTGAAGGAAGAATTAATATGTTTTAATCCTACTACACTTTTTCTTTCTTTCTAAAACGTAAAAATGACTGTGGTAAGATCTAGATCAAAAGAGTAAGACCAAAGGGCAAACAAAAACAAACACAAAAAAAGTTCTAATGATTATAGCTTTTCGAAAACTTCAAGCACGTTACGAAAGAGTACGAATTATGGAGTTGCCAAATAAACAAACAAGTGATGAGTAGCAACAGTCAACTAAGCTGCAAGGTAAGTTTGACGAAAGAAAAGTAAAAGAAAAGAGAGGATATATATGTAATATACAAGAATACAGCAATTATATGAAGACAAATCCAATTGAAAATGTAGAGTCCACTATTGTATCCTCTTTCTTTTCCTTTATAAATATCCCATCATAAGCACGAATATAGCGGACGGAAGAAAAAGAGAAGAAGAGAAAAAGAAAAGGAAATAAAAAAAACGGAGATATAAATCAAAAAAAAAAAAAAAAAAAAAAAAAAAAAACAAAAAACCTACTTTCGACAGAAGAAACATAGAAAACAAGTTATATTATCACGTATATATAACAGTACTTATCTGCTTGTCTGTATAACTGTATCAGAACCAATATATGGTAAGTCGGATGACAAACATAAGAATAACAAATAGTAGCTAATAGTAGTAACATCAAACTACCATACACTGTTCTTGTTAACGGTAAAAATATACGTACAAATGCACGTATAAACCTACGCCCACCATCAACACACACGAAACACATAGGTTCTGCAGAAAGAGCAGGTTTGACCGAAATAGGTTCGAATTAAAAATGATTTCTTTTGATTACTGTGACAGAAAAACAAAAACAAAAACAAAGGAAGAAGAAGAAGAAACAGAGAACTTATTGAATTACATTGATTGGCTCTTCGAATGTAGTTGGAGTGTTTTTGAGTGTCGTCGTCTCGCCGTTCCCTTTTCCCCTTCACCCCCTTTTTCGCTTATTCAAATCCCTCTTAACAAAATCTCGACCAAAATACAAAATCACAGAGAATTTCTAAAAACAAATCGTCCGAGAACTCCGATAGAAGAGAGCGGTTTATAATAGAAAACGAAAACTGAAAAGTCACCACAAGGGAAATTCTCAAAGTCCGTCTTTTCCGTATCATATGAACATCACGTGATGACATCCATACACCTATATTGATTTGTCTTTTTTTTTTTTTTCATTTTTTTTATATTCTAAAATTTGCTAGATGGGAACTACCGATGATTTTTTTAGCAAAGTTTACTCTGTGTGTATGGGTGTGATGTAAATCAAGGAAAAAACGAAATATTTAGCAGAGTTCTAGAGGAATGTAGCTTAGCTATGCATTTTAATCTAGTCTACCAGGGTAAACATGTAAAAGGAAGACTAAATATGTTGATAATGTAAATGGTATATATTCTTAGTTTGTATATTTAAGAGAATATATCACATCCTTCATTAAAAGAATATTACAAATGTAGATAGCTATAAATAAGGACAAAGGAAGAAGTATATGTTACGCATCTATACATATATAGCTATATATACCTATATTATTTCTTTACTTATATTTTCTGGTCATGTCCTTACCTCTTGAAGACATTAGACATGATTTTTTCCATGCTTTAGATCATTTTCCAAGTGATTTGGTTCGTACTTTATGGCTTTTACAATCAATTGATGTCCAATTAAATGAATGCTATGATAACACTAGTAAGATTGGTAATGAGGAAAGGTCTACGTACTTTGAATATTTGCAATCACAATTAAGGAAGCAATCTGTTTCATTGTTAAAACTAGTTCAAGATCAAAAAAACATTTTGAATAGAGAAAGGGTCCAGTTAAATAAACAATTGCACACAAGAAACAGGTATCAAAACTTTATCAAAAAGATAAACGAAACAAAACCAACTGTTCATAGCTATCAAGATACTAAGAGTAATGAGGTAAGTATTGGTATTGAAAACACTGAAGACCAAGATTTGGAACCAAGGTATTGTATATGCAATGACGTATCATATGGTGATATGATTGCTTGTGATAATGACAATTGTCCAAAACAATGGTTCCATTGCAAATGTGTTCATATATCTGTTCTGCCTAAGGGGAAATGGTATTGTAGTACAGAATGTAAATTACATGATAGGAAGAGTAAAAGCAAGAAGACAAGCAATAAAACCATCATTAGCAGTAGTAGAGATCAGGAGAAGAAAAATAATAAGCAAGCATCAAAAATAACTGAGCAAGCAAAAAAAGTAGTAAAACTTCAGAAAAGAAAGGGTAGAGGAAGAAAAAAAAAAATAGCATATACCTTATAGATATTATGTACATGCTACTTTACTTTCACTAGGTGAGAAACCTGCCATAAAGATGTGCAGCACAAAAATGCACCTACACATAACACATAAAGTGTAACTAATCAAAAATAAAAAAATCGGATTTTAAAAAAATAAGGTTTATTTTATAAAGATGATTTGCTATATAAAATTATATGTATATATATAGAGATAATATACTATAACAAAAAAAAAACTAAAGATTTAGCTATTTGATATTAGTAACTATTTCATCATCAACTTTATAAATCCTTCTTTAAAGTACCCATAAAAGCATGCTTTTCAGCTGGGGTTTGGAATCTACCCTTACCGAATTTAGAGGAAGTGTCAATCCATTTCAAGGTAACTTCTTCTAAGGCCTTTCTGGAGGTGTTAGTGTATAAGGACTTTCTTAAAGTAACAACTCTCTTTCTGATACCTGGGATAGAACCCTTTAACATAACGTAGTCATTGTTAACGTGACCGTAGTGAACAAAACCACCCATTGGGGTAATGGTCTTCTTGGTTCTATCAAAGTTGGTGGAAGCGTTAGCTTCATCATCACCCTTACCAATTCTGTAAATCTTGTGGTTAATGGAAGTTCTGTGGTGGTAACCGTTTTGACCAGCACGAGCAACAGTCCACATAACGTGAGCTGGATGCCAAGCACCAATACAAGCAACCTTTCTTAAACCTCTATGGGTCTTTCTTGGTAACTTCTTGGTACCCCATCTGTGAGTGACACCTTCAAAACCGTGACCCTTGGTAACAGCAACGACATCGATCATTTCGTTTTGTTCAAAGACGGAGTCAACAGAAACAGTCTTTTCGAAATGTTCCTTAGCCCAGTTGACCTTGTCTTCAATGGAACCACCGTTCAATTGAATTTCAGCTAAGTGAGCCTTCTTTTGAGTCAATGGGGTCTTTCTAATTTGAGTGTGAACAAGAACTCTGATGACAGTGGCGTATTTCTTTAATCTGGCTAATTCTCTTTCAATTTCAGCGCCATCTTGAGCGTACTTGGCGGAGTACTTGGAGAAGGCCTTCTTCTTGGACTTGTACCAGTTCTTGTAGAATCTTCTCTTAACTTCATCAGAAAGATGTTCAGCCCAGACGGTGGTCAAGGATCTTAAACCTCTTGGGGTTTCGACATAACCGACAACACCAACAACGACAATTTCTGGAGCATCAACAATAGTGACAGCCTCCACGATTTCTCTCTTGTGGAACTTAGAACCTGGTCTGTCTAAATCTCTGACAATGGTAGTCATACCAGCCTTGTAACCTAAGAAAGAGGTTAAAGCAACTGGCTTAGATTGATCATCCTTTGGGAAAGACTTAACTCTACCTCTGATGGAGGCGGCTCTCTTTCTTGGTAAGAAACCTAAATGACCGTGACGTGGAGCTTCGTATTTTCTGTGAGACATATTTTATATTATGAATTCAGACTGTAGTTGTGCTGGGTGGAGTCTTTATACTTTGAAGTAGTTCAACAAATAAAGCAATTGCTGCAAAAAAGGGCAACTGTTAGTGAGCGCTGTTCAAACAAGAGTTGTAAAAGAGGAAACCTCTACATGCCAGTGCTTTTATAAATATATATAAGTTGATTTCTTGCAAAAGAAGAGAAGTGGTGAGATCAACAATAGAAACATTATAAAAAAATTTTTCAAGAAAAAAAAATTTCTACCGTAAAAAATGATAGACAGGGTAAATCTTTAAGAATTAATTTTGAAAAAATTCAATCAATTTTTTCCCATTTGGAAGTGTTTTTTGTAGGAAAAAACAACGACATAGATTAAAAAAAAATAACATTTCTTCTGAAGAAGATTTACATTGAAGAAAAAACGTTTGATGTATGGGTGTAAACAAATATTAAAAACAGTCCTATAAAGAAGTGGAGTATTTTTTTAAAAACAATTGCTTCACTGATAAATTAAAGCAAAGAACTAATAAAGAAGTGTAGTCTATGATTCTTAAAAAATATTATCATGCAAAAATCCCAAATTTAAATTTTGATCAAGAAGGATTATTGTACTAAGAAGAAATTGTTTACCACTTACATCCCCTGCTGTTGTGATTTGAAATATGAATTGTAATATACGATAGTTTTTGTGATATGACGATATAAAATCTTAAATATCTGATAGTACCTGTTCATACTAAATTCAACGCCTATAAGAATTAAAAGCAAACAATAATGTGAAATCTGTATTTTTCTCCTTAAAATAAACCAAGAACATTACTGTAGTTTTTGAATGTATGTAGACAAATGTATTAAACTAGTAAAATTATGTCATAATACTGACACATTTAAATGCCAAACCACATATTACAGGATAAACAGACATCTCGATACTTACTAATATGAAGCTGCTAGTATTGACAGATAACAAAATTACAAAAGACATACACATGGGAAAATTCTGTATTATTATTCTGTTCTTTTTAGGCAAAAAAATTTTTTCCATTCTACACAATAATAGTGTTCGGAAAAATGTACAGTGAAAAAATCCCGAACGAGGAGAGTAAAAAAAAGAAACTATTGTTCAAAAAGTAAAAACTATTTATTTTTCTAGTACTAAAACGGAAAGTGGTGTAAATAATTGGGGTAGCAAAAACAATAAACAATACTATTCCTATTGTTTTTATTTACATCCCCACAGGAAATTACAAAAAAAACAGTTTGGTATTTTGCTTTGTTGCCTCCTTTTAACAATTGTTCGGTATTATGCTTTTTTATTTCTGGTCTGATAATATTGTCGAGAAAGGGGGGAAACACAAAAAAATATGTGCAGGCAGCAAGTTCTCGATAAATTTACTGGATCGATAAATTATAAATATAGATATTACTAAGTAATTCAATCAACACTATGGTTAGAAAAGTCTTTTTCGCTCTTCAACAAGATGTCTTACCGAATAACAGCTGTACTCATATGCATCCTTGAGACTACTTTTTACTACAATAGTTTGGTTTTTATACTCGTATACCTAAGAGTTCGTTACACATAATTCTATATTTATAATCAAATCATAATATTAATTAAAAAAAAAAGAGTCATAAAAAATATATGCAACTATGGCGAGTCTAGATGATACAGTTATTTCAAAACAAAATATGATGTTACTAGATAATGTAACAAATTATGATAAAATGGCTATAGATTATTTTCATACACCCTGGCAGAACATAAAAGATTTACCGTTATCTTGGTCACTGTTGTGTAAGATGAAAAAGCATAAGTTGTTAAGATTACCTTCATGTTCAATGGAAGATGATTTGGATTACAATATATATTTACAAAGATTGCACCACTGTCTTTGGAGGCGTTGGTCTATAGAAAATTTCCATTTAAATAGTTTCAAGATAAATCCTCTGGATATTAATTGGAATAAAGAGACTGATATAACTATTTTATATGGGCCAGACTTTTCCCCTTATACGGATATAGAAATTAGCAATACTAAGAATAGCAAATATAATACAATATCTTTTTCAAAGTTTGATGCTAATAAAAAAAAAGAGATCATTTCAGACACAGAATCTCTTCATAGTGAAGATTCTCTAATATACTCATCATCACTAGATTCTTCGTCCTCGTTGTTATTTGATAGCCCGAAACACACAACAAATTCCACAACATCTAAAAATATTCCACTTAAGAAATCACTGCGATTTAGTGAGATTGTTAAAAAAAGAAATATCACAGCATATGGGGAATTAAAAGAATCCTATATACAAATAAATGATAAAATTCACCACCAACATAGATTTAGAAAACATGAGAGATCGCATTCCTTACCCTCTCCGTTATTTTACCCTACAAACGCTGTTGGTATAGATTCGTGTGCTATTGAAACGGATGATGAGAATGATTTGGATGACCGTAATGACTTTGATGACTTTATGTTTAATGTAATGTAACTAATCTATGTCTGTATATAATATGTATATAGATACAACACAATATACTTTTTTATGTTTTAAACTCTTCTATTTCTTCTCTTTGAAGACTTCTGTTTACTAATACTAATATTAATGACTATATTTTTCTTTTATTATTATTATAATTATACTTATACAGAAAATAATTGATTAATGAATAGTAACATCTATTTGGTGAGTATACACGTTAGTCATAATGAGTTTTGAAGAAGACATGGTTCATGGTTTCTTTAGCAGTCAATCTTTCTTGATGATCGTATCTTAATAAATTATCAATCAAATCAACCATTTCAGGTACAGCTAATGTAGTTTCAGGGGTGATAAAATGGGACCATGGCTTTCTAGTGAATTCCTTCATAATACCGTCATATTCACTTGGCAATTGCAATCCATATTTATTTAAATATTGTCTCAATTCATTTGTACCAAGTACTGCAGCAATTTTGACCAATTGGTCTGGATTAGTAGCACCTTTGAAGAATGGTTCCTTTTTGAATACTATAGCAGCAAGCATACATCCAACAGACCATAAATCTAAAGAATAATCATATTGATTCAAATTGACTAAAAGTTCTGGTCCCTTATGATAACGAGAAGCAACACGGACATTATAGTCGACACCAGGATGATAAAATTCAGCAAGTCCCCAATCAATTAATCTTAGTTTTTTCTCTCTTGGATCAATCATAACATTTTGTGGTTTAACATCTCTATGCATAATCCCCATTGAATGACAATAATCTAAAGCTACCAGTAACTGTGTGAAATAATATTGTATATCAGATAAAGTGAACCTTGGATATAAAGTTCTAAAATCCATGTTTTTAACTTCTTCAAAAATTAATGCAGGTATACGTGAATCTTTATCTTGAACAATATCATATAATGCAACAATGTTTGGTCCACCAGTCAAATTGGTTAAAATTTTTAACTCACGATATATTTTTTTCATTTTAACAGGTTTTAACACCTTGATCACACAACGTTTATCATTTCCAACACACCGACCACTAAATACTTCACTGTATTTTCCACGTCCAATCTTATTCACTATTTCATATTGAGAAATTTTGCCCCATTCAATAGTAACACCTTGTTCATAATCCCAATATTCTTGTGGTCTTTTTTCACATGCATCAGCATAAACACGAGCAGTAGAATAAACACGGATAGCTCTTTGGTTTAGTGTGGAGGGTGATAATGGCATTTTTGAAAACTTTACTTTAATTTTTAAATATCTCTGTTAAATGAAACCACAACACACACAATTTTTGGTGATCAAACCTTAAAGATAAGGTACTTGTTGGCCTTTTTAGATATCAAATATAATTTATCTTTCAAATACTTCATACTAAGCTCAAAAATACGCATGGCTAATTGATACACTCTCTATCAACTGGATAAGATAATGTTACATTTTCCTAAGTTGTATTTGGTGGATTGGGAAAAAATTTTTGTTTTTTTTTTTTTTGAAATTTTCTGTAAATTTTCTTCTCGATGTTTTGTAGATGACTTTTATTTAATTGTAATATTTTATAATCAAGAGACATATGTTAAACAATCCAACAACTATCAACGGTATATACTGTTCTTTTACCATTTTGTAAGTCTATATCTTTCTTTATTTCCCTCTTCCTTTCTTCATGCTAGTTCCTTTATGTTAAAATGAATTATAAGTAAATTAATTACTTTTGTTACATGTAAACTGATTGTATATAAGAAATAAGTAAAATATACCAATGAAATATGCAGTCCTTTCACTGACTTTCGGGTATGGGAAAGAGAAAGTTTTGTTAAAGGATATCGAATTATGGGATGAAAATATAATCACTAATATAAAGGATAGACCACTTATATGGTCAGGGAGATATGTATCATATGTATCAGTACAAAAATTACCATTATGGATATATGACAAGGAACAGCCAACACCGTGGCATTGTTATTCTAATTGTTCAAAAACCTGCAATTACTTTAATATCAAATTGAAAAGCTTAAATAGGTCAATGATAGCGGAAATACACAATAACTCAATGGATTCAGCATCACAAACCCGACTGGCTCTGTTTTATGTTAAAAATAACTCGATAATGTGTAAATTACTGTCCACAAAATTAAAATCAAAAATTGACGAACACATTACTACATCTTCTAACGCCAACATTAATAGTGCCATGGTTACCAAAACTAATAGTAAATTTTCAGTTAGCAAAAAACCCACCCATAGTCTACTGAATAAGAAAGTTCATTTCAATGACACTTTGTCAAAATTGATTCTTACAGGATTACGATTAAGAGATATTCCAAACACCTCTTCAGGGTTCACTAAGTTATATAAAATGACATTTCAAGCTGCAGAATTTACACATAGGGAAGATGTTAAAAAATACGACTATCAAGTACCATTTGAATTGTTACAACAAACTGTAGAAATATTGTTAAAACTATTCACAAAGACATAATTCAAACCCAAAATCTAGAGTTAAATATAGCATTACTGGGTTGATTCGTGTATAGATTATAGTGTCAAACAAGTATTCGATCCCACATGTGCTATTTTTTTCCTCTCAACAATAGTAAATGATAGATGATAATTGATTGTTTCTCACTTTTTTTTTTACTTCGAGTGAGAAAATAAGGGAAGTCAACATTATATTTCCATCTCCGCGGAATTTAGGTTGGCCCTTTTCCATGGAAAGATCTGTCGATAAAAATTTGAAAAATGATTTAGTTTTTCTCCTTTTTCTAATAGTTAATGAGGAAGTTGGGTTTTATAAAAATTAAGTTGTCACCTCCCTGGTAAAGAAATATACACTATTTCACTTTAATGTTTCGTCATTCGCAGTTGTTTATAATTTGAATTGCTGTGCCATTTCCTCCCCACTATTGATAAAGCATAAAGTAAAATATGAATGACTCTCAAACTAAAAACAAACACTTAGTAGTATTAATACACGGATTATGGGGGTCATTTAAGCATATGAACTCAATGAAATCAGTGTTTAATGAAAAATTTGGTAAAATTCATAAGACAGATAATGATTTGAACAACATCGAAGAAACTATCTTTTTTGCCCCAATACAAAATACTTTATTTAAAACTTTTGATGGTATTGAAATTATCGGATATAGAACTTTGGTAGAGTTATGTCATTTTGTTGAAAATTTTCACAAACAAAATAGGGATTCCAAGATTACTAAGATTAGTGTTGTAGGTTACTCCCTTGGTGGGTTAGTGGCTAGGTTTGTTATTGGGAAATGCTTTACAGAATGTAAAGATATTTTTAAAGATATTAAACCATTTGTTTTTATAACTATTGCAAGTCCACATTTAGGTATTCAGTTCTATGACAAATCAAAACTCAATTCATGGATCTTGAATCCACTCAAAAGATTCTTGGGATCTACATTCTTAGGTAAAAGTGGTAGAGAACTGTTTATTATAGATTCAGGAAGTAGGGAGCCAATATTAGTAAGATTATGTCAAAATGAATATTTTTATGCATTATCCTTGTTTCAACATAGAATTTTGATAGCTAATGTGAAAAATGACAGAACAGTGGCCTTTTATACTGCATTTATCACAGATAGAGATCCATTTATTGAGTCAGGTAACACTTTAAGATATTTTTTTGAATGCAATATACCAGCTGAAGATTCATATAATGGTACTATTTTACCAAGAATTGTTGATTTAAATAGACTGAATTTCAAAGATAAGGCACCAACTAAAGATGAGAAAATACTAATACAACAATGGTTTCTATACAGAATTATAGTTCCAATCATAGTGATTATTTTTATTCCATTTGCAGTAGTAATCAATATGTGTGGTAGCTTATACAGTTACATAGGTACCTTAAAATATAGAAAGCTATCAACAAAAGATAAGCAGTTATCTGCTTTTGTAAAGGAAAAGATTGCACTATCTAATACAATCCATGATTTTGTAGGTGACACTTGTGACTCTATTATAAATGAATCAGCGCAAAAAAATAAGTATATGAATGCAAATGAAGATGATTTAGCTCTACATAAAAGTCAAAATACATTTGTTTTACAAGGTGGAGACGAAGATGATAGTGAAGATGATGGTGACACCACTATTAGTAGTGATTTGCAATTTTTGTCGAAGCAAGTTCCTTATATGACTGCTAATGATGTGGAAATGTGGAAGAAATTTATTGATAAGTATTCTCATAATATGGATCTAAGTGAGGAATGGTTAAAAACATTCCATAAGTTACCGATCGATGAGAATAGAAGAAAAATTTTACGTAATTTGTCAAAAGTGGATTGGATAAGGGTTCCTATTTATGTCAAATCTATTAATGCACACAGTGGAGTGATAGCACGTAGAGGTTTAAATAAAAATACTCCTTCAACAGGATATGCAGCATTGGAATTCTTGGGATTACTGATCAAATATTTGTTAGAAACAAATGAAAGTTGATATGCTTATAAAAAAGTAATAATTATTTAATTACTTGCATACTTTGTATTTTTTTTTTTAAGTTTAAATAAATATACATGTATTTACATCTCTATAGAAAATATCAATAAGACTACCATTTTTCTACTGGATTAACCTTATATTTAATGTATTCTTCTAAATTATATAAGGATATCTCAGTTTCATTTTCGATATCGTATTCGCATAAGGGTTTCCCCTTTGGATTTTTGATATCCAGAACCCAGTCATCATCGTCATGTTCGAAATTTATAACTAGATTAACAGTCTTAAATCCATGCGCATGGGTATAAATCTTCATTGTATCATAGTTGACATTACGAAAAGGTCTGAAAGCACCGTCTGTTTGAATATGTTTAATACAGTCATTAAAAAGATCATAACCGGTTTTTTCCTTTAAATTATAATTTCTCAAAATAAAGTTTTTAACATTTCTATATGGAAATGATTTGATAACTCTAATAGTTAGTGTGGAATTGGACAATGGGGTAGTACTTGAAGTTAATGGTTCTTGTAGGTCAAAATCTTGCTCTTCTTTGCTCAAAGACATTTTTTTTATTTTTATTAACTGTAACAAATTTATGTAGATTAAAAGCACTTAATAGCTATAATTCCTGATGTTGACTATCTTAATTTAGCTAATTAGGATAATTTTTCGTGAAGATAGTCTTTTATGACTTTACTTCCTTTTTTTTTGACAACTTCCTTAATACTATTAAAAATTCTTTAATTTTTCTGTTTTTTGACATTAATAAGAAGGTAGATGACAGTTTGTCCGTAAAGGAATATAAGATGCACAGATCTTGTGATTTTTTTTGTTGGCAAATATTGAATTGTGTTTATATTTTCTCTTTGACCCCCTTTGCCTACAAAAGGAAATTTTCTTTTTGGAAAATAAAATTAAATAAGGTGGCCATTCAAACATTAGGGTTTTATTGTGTTATAGTGCCATTACCGTAGATCGTGTATAAAAAAAAGCAGGTCTACGCCTCAATGTAGTGAGCTACTTCATGTTTTTTCAATGCTATCACAAACGTAATAATAAAAGTAGTATATTTTAGTTTTTAAATGTTTAAAACAAAATTAATTGTAAAATAACTTATTTCTTTTAACAGAAATCTTGTTAATTACGTGATTTACATTATTGTGATCTCTTTGAACGCTAATGCAATTGTGGAAGTTGAGGGGCTATATAATAATGGAACTTTTATTAAGAATTAATTATATATAAATATGTAAAACTACTCAAAACTCTCCAATATTAATTAAAGAATTACATAGTATTTTTTTCATGTTTTCTATTCATGTTTTTATGAAATATATATTCTGAAAAAAAAAATTAAGAGAAGGGTTTTTGATATAATAAAAATGGGTTTATTCATGTGCTAAGTGAGATTGATCAGAGAATATATGTTCAGTTCATCTTTATATATCTATTGATAATACAGATATTTTATATGATATGTACTGAACTTCTTCAGTTTCTTAATATATGACTTTCATACAATCTACTAAATATATATATGAATAATTAAATTTCTTGGAATATAAATATTGATGGAATGTTATTATACAACTTCTGATAGTGTAATTAAGTAAACATATGTATATATTCATTATATAGTGTATACAGTATAAATTCCTTTATTTATTTTGATTCTTCTTTTAAGTTTTTCACTTTTCTTCAAATCACTGAGAAACATATTTGGTAAAAAATAGAATGTATTCCCAATATTATGATATATCTGTCCACCACATAATACATAGAAAAACTAATTAAAAATAATTCTTATGGAAATGACAGTAATAAACTTTTATTTTCCCATAATTCTATACAAATGAGTGGTTACGAACTAAAATCAGTCTTCTTAAAGTGGTGTGTTTTTATATGTGTTGGAATTTGGAGCCTTCTGCGTCCATGTTAATGGCAGACATCATTAAGTTATAGATGCTTATTTTATTTTTGTATTAACTACACGTATATGATATTTCACCATACCATACTACAACAACTCATGTTGTAATATAAGATGGTGAAATTCTTTGTGTATTCCAGGGAAATGCAAATAATATTAATAGTTATTCAAATAATCGAGACAGTAATCAACTATAGTCGATAATATAATTACTAAAACGGTCTTATATATTGAGCAGCTTATATCTAGCTAATATATTTATTCAAAGTCACTTAACTTGTTACTTGCTTGTTGTTCTCTTTTTTGTTCATATATAATATATAAATTATTTACAAGAAACGGTTATGGAAGATGATCTTTTATCTCCAGAAAACGTTGTCCTTTTATATGTTTTCTGGAGCTCGATCAATTATTCAGATTTGTATATTAACGAGCTTAATGATCCAAACCCTAAATTTTATTACATTAATCTAGGTGCACTAGTGGATTAGAACTGCACCCCAATTCTCTAATCATGGTGATTAGTAATACACGTGGGATTGATTGAAACAATAGGTAAATTCTAGATTTGTTGAAATCTTATGTAATCTAATCTCTTTATTATGCAGCATCTAATGTTGTAGCACGTGTATGGCTTATTAAGACAATAAATAGTTCTAGATTCATTCAGGATTTTATGTAATCTTGATGGTTATAATTATCCTATTACACAACAAGTTTCGAGGAACTCGTCCTTGTTAGCTCAGTTGGTAGAGCGTTCGGCTTTTAAACCCAAGTTTAATCAAGGACAACCGAAATGTCAGGGGTTCGAGCCCCCTATGAGGAGTTCCTTTTTGCACTTGTAATTGTAATAACTCTGGGGTCATGTGTTTCTGATAATAGTAGTTCTTGTTGAAATCTCAATAATATTTCGCTTGGTTAGATATAAGATATAGACTCTTTCTATATCTCTAGATGTAATATTTCTATATATCTATATATCTATATCCCTAATCCAAGATAGCCTAATAGTATACATTTATACACTATATATCTAAACTTATTTAATCCTTGGTTCCTTGTTCTTTCATTCCTTCCTCTTGGTTGCTCTCTTGTACTTATGTTGGTTACTTCTGTTTTTTATCTAGGTTTGTAAAATTTGCAAAAAGGAAAGTTTAGAAAAATGTAATAGATGAAAACCCGATTACGAGAGATGTACTCTTCTAGACGCTAAAAAATAGATAAATATTGCTTGATTTGTTGTCTATATATGACATATAGACTATACTTTACATAAAGAGTAAACTAATATATACAGATATACAGATAAACATAGTTATATAAACAAGAAAAACAAGAAAAACAAGAAAAACAAGAGCGTCGTGATCGACCAAGGGGTCAACAAGATCGTTTATAGTGACCTCTGGATTTCATATGTTACAAAAAATGAGGGATGACGATATTTTTTTAAACATCCCAATGAAAGAACAAGGAACTAAGGATTAAATAAGTATAGATATAGTATATAAATGTATAATATTTAGTTATTGTAGATTAGAGATATAGATATATAGGAATATTACATCTAAAGATGTAAAAAGAGTCTATATCTTAAATCTATCTAAGTGAAGTATTATTGTGATTTCAAGAAGACTGACTGTTATCAAAAACACACAACCTTAGGGTTATCACAATTCTATAATTTAGTTTATCACTATATACGAATGTTTATATCTACATGATTTGTAAAGGATGATAGTTCCATATAAGAGATATAGTCTTCCTGATCACACAAAATTTATAAGTACTTCCTAGAGTTGAAGAATATAATAGAGTCAGTTTATAGTTTTTACAAAGGATAGTTAATTTATATTCAAGAAAAATTTAAATTTATGCATCAACAGTTGCTCGTAGGACTTCTATATTGCATATTTGACAAGGAGAGAAGAGGGTGATAGTATTTTAGATCTTATTGTTACCATGAAATCTGAATAGGGATAAAAGTATTTCCAATACAAACTTTATTCTATAACAATTTAATAAGGAGTTCTTTATGACAACATAAATTGATTCGAAAATTATTTGGTATTTTAGACAGACATGTTTCTATTTAAGAAGACTTTCATTTATCCTAATGTATATCTTGATTTTTCTATTCTTACTCCTCTCTAATGTTGTAACCTTTATTTTAAAAGTTGAACTAAAAAGAAGTACAAAATTAATTTTAAAAAAGGAAGTATTGTAATGAAAAAGTAATTTATTAGTTGAAGGTTAAAATCAAGACTATTTTTGGCTTCATATGTTAATGCCTCATATAAATGTTTAGATAAAATAAATATACTTAATGTTAGTGGAAATTAACTATCATACTTTTTTGTTGTAGGAAATTTTCTAGCTTATCTCATTTAAAGGGAATAGATGTTGCATCAACATATCAAAAATATCAACATACGTTACATTTATTAGGAGTTATCTTTTTAAGAACTCTCTGAGTTACTTGAGTGATTATCAGCTCAATGTAACGTTTTTTTTTATACTTATTAACTTCTAAACTATTCTCTCTGTAATTTATGATTTAAAAGATTACTAAGTGATTGGTTATTCTAGTATATGTATTGTATTATGCTCTGTGTTTGTTATTATTGGTTTTAAATCACTTTCTTTAACAACAAATTTTATTTTTAGAATTTTTGTTTCTAAAAAATAGAATAGTTATAGATACATGGTTTAGTAACATAAGATAGATTTTCTAGCTTCAATTATACAACATGTGGTAAACTAACTATTTATACTTCAGATAGTTTCAATAATTATATTTTTATGTTCTAATTGTAAAAAGTGGGTATTACTGTGCCTTCTTTTTACAATACTGAATTTGTGCCATATAATTACAGGTGCGTAGTAGCCAATTATTGTTTCCATGGACAATATTAGACAATTATAATTTCCTTATTCTAGATAATATATACTTTGTATTAATAATTTATTCTTCAAGAATAAAAAGTTACATAAAGAAGGTAGATTCTGTTAAATACTTTTTTATGAAGGTAAAGTATACCTCGAATGTTTAAACCACTTATTATTATATTTTTATTGCTGAATTTGTCTTTGGTGTTCAGTTAGCAAATATTTAAAAAGAGAAGATTGGGCAGCACACAACATTTAAATTAATTTCTTTATTTTCTTATATTTTTTACTTGAACTTTACAGTAAGCACTATTTAGACTTTATAAATCAACGAGGATGTTTGCTTATTTTGATATCATCAGTATTGTATTTTTATTTGATTAATTACTATTGCTTTTATTAATTCTTGATCGGTTATTGCTGAAAAGTCAATTTTGATACTTTATTTATATTGTTAAAAAATATATCAAATGTTTTTTTATATGATTTAAATTTTAGTAAAAAATAAACTATGAATTTATTTTTAACAATGCTAGAGATCCAACCATAAAATAACATATAAACATAGGTATGTATATATTATCAAAAACACTTGATTTTAAAAATTTTTCATTTCATTCTGTATTAGTTCATTGAAATATGGATAATTGTCTAAATAAAGATGATGTCCAGCATCTGGTATAATTACTACTTTACTTTTTCCTAAATTATTTTTAACAAAATGTTTGGAAATTCTTTTTCCACCGGCTATATTCATCCAATCATTTTCTCCATATAACCACACCCATTCGGAATTTGAGTCCCATTTATGCTTTGAGTTAATAATTCTATTTTCAATAGGAGTCCTTGGATCTCCACCACATTTTAAAATAAAAGGTAATAAATATTCACCACTACCTTGTTTATTAAAAATCGCATATGTGTATCGATGTAATGCTTCAAATTGGGAATCTGTGGCAACCTTTCTAAATCTTCTATATGACCATCCACTAGTCAATTTAGAACCTAAGATATGGGTATTTCTTACTAAAGAGAACGGTGAAACATTTTTTTCCCATAATTTGTTGAACCACCAAGGTACTTTATGTTCTACTTTATTTTTAGTCCCATTACAAATTCCAGCAGGTGAACAAAGAATTAATTTTTTAAAATGGCTTGGAAAAGTATTCTTATATAAAATCATAAGATAACCTCCTAAAGAATGGGCTACTACCATATTATTTTGTGGAGTATTTAGTAATTTTCTCCTTTGAAACCATTTATGAATTCCATCATGGAACCAACTTTCCACTTGTAATATGTTATCTTTTGGATATTGGAAAGAGAAAGGAAGTCTAGTGGAAAATCCGAAACCTGGTAAATCAATATAGTGTACACACCATTCATTATCTAATAAAGATATATTTTCCATATTTTTTAAAAAAAAACCAATACCAGCACCATAACCATGAATAAAGATTAAGTGTTTAATATTTTTCCCTTGATAAGATATATTCTCTGGCGATATGCAAAATTCATTCATATAATTTCCCTTTGAATCTATGGGGGTCTTAATAATCTTTGAAACTTTTCCTCCCTTTGGAGTTGGGAAAAAATTTAAAGTTGAAAAAAGTTCATACTGAATTTTGTCGACATTTGAATGATATAATCGATAATCTTCATAGGATTGTCCTATAGGTCTTGGAAACAGACAAGGCAATGATTTTACTATTTTCCATAATGGTAAAGCAGTGGGTGGAGTTGGTATTATTAACTGATTTGGTGTATTCTGTGTGCGATGTAAACTAATCTTGGAAGATTTAATCTTATTAATTAATCTAATAAGATAACTTTTATTTGTACTGGTCAACATTTTTAAACTGCCTTTTTGTTTAATAGCAATTTCTAGTCACATAACAAATAAATAAAGAGATATGTTATAAATTGATCAGTAATATGAAGATGTTACTGTTAAATGTATTATTTAAAACTTAACTAGACATGTTTTTTATGTTCTATTCTATTCTTTGGTTGATGACAACCTTTTTTTTAATCTAGTTTTTATTATATTTGAGGGAATTCGGAGTTTTTTCTTTGTTTGATAATGAGAAAAATAGACTTTTTATTTTTGTGCATTTCATTTGATCTTTGGTTTTCTTTTTTGCCAAACAGAAATCATTCCTGTAAAAATTGAAAGATCAAGAAATATGTAAAAGTCATCTCACCTAGTATACTGAAATATAAATATTAATTATATAGTTAAACAATTATAGATTATATAATATTCGTTTCCAAGCTGATAAATAGACTATTGTAACCTTTGGGGGTGTTGAGATATGATTAGAGTTATGTTTGATGATCTAAATTCATCGTACTAAGTGATTAAAAGTTATGAAAATTTATATTAAAGAAGATTCGAAGATAAAATGAGTATACTGTATAGTATCGTATCTTGTACATTACTTATGTAGAAGGAAAAAGACCAAGCAATACAATAACAATTTATAGTACCACTAATTTCCTACTATAAATAACAATAAAACTTATAATACCACCAATATCTTATTGTAAGCTACATTATCTTATAATATTAGTTTAAAATGAATTCTACTAGAATTTTTGATTCCGAAGCCTTGCGTCAACAGGGGGACATCAATTAATTACAATATAAATGTTAATGCTAATAATCACCTCTAGTGCTATCTCTCAATAATCAGCGGTATCTCAAATAAATTTCTTAGTTATTTGTCACTGATGTTAATTCGACAATTGGTCATTCGCCTACATTCATAGTCAGGGTTAAGAGTTTTAGCTGTTCCAAATCCATCACCTCAACATTTGACGTTACCTGTGAACTACGTATTTCAGAATTTCTAATTACGGCATCTTACGCAACACATTTAAGAAAATTATTTATATTTCACAGCATTGCTCTTATCTATTATGTATTATCTACATTATAAAAAGAAATATATAAGTAATAATCATTTTATAATAAAATATTTTTACATTTGCTATTACATACCTATCCCTTAAATAACATACTTTTCAAAGCTTCCACTACAACAAAAGTAGCTAAAGAATAAAGTGAGAAAACTGTTTAGTTAGAGAAAAATGTTCTTCAGATTGCTTGAGAATTGTTCAATTAATTATTTAAAGGATCTTTAATTAAGGTTTTCTACAAATGGTTTAGCTGGTAAAAAATTCCTTTTTATTGAGAAAATAACCATAGTTATTTGTACAATTGTTAAGAGTATACACATACAAGAACATTGGAATTTTAAAAAACGAAAAAAGAAACAAGAGAAATACCACTTCAATACATGATTAAAGGGCCCGCTAAATTCAATGTCAATGTGTATTCTTTATAAATGTTGATAATAAAACTTGAAAAATATATATATTTGAAAACTGTTAATCTTTTACCCAAAGCTCAACAAGAATGTTTGTAATATTCCTGATAAAAATTGCGACATATGAAATCTTGATATCACTACAAACGGTCTTGCGTATTCTTTAGTCAACAACGACGTTCTTGTTTTTTTGTTTATATAACTATGTGTATCTGTATATCTGTTTATATTAATTTACTCTTTCTGTAGAGTATAGTTTATATATCACATATAGAGAACCAATCAAGCTATGTGTATCTATTTTGATGGCTAGAAGAGTATATCTTTTGTAATAGGGTTTTGATCTGTTGCAAAAGTTAAAAAATCTCCCGGGGGTGAGTCGAACACCCGATCTCAAGATACCTTAAGAAACCAATCCTTAAATTACAGTCTTGCGCCTTAAACCAACTTGGCTACCGAGAGAGAACCCTGTGATTCATGTTGTGGAATAGAATAGTTATAACCATCAAGATTACATAAGATCCTGAATGAATCTAGAACTATTTATTGTCTTAATAAGCCATAAACGTGCTACAACATTAGATGCTGCATAATAAAGAGATTAGATTACATAAGATTTCAACAAATCTAGAATTTACCTATTGTTTCAATCAATCCCACGTGTATTACTAATCACCATGATTAGAGAATTGGGGTGCAGTTCTAATCCACTAGTGCACCTAAATTAATGTAATAAATTTTAGGGTTTGGATCAGTAAGTCATTAATGTACAATCTGAATAATTGATCGAGCTCCAGAAAACATATAAAAGGACAACGTTTTCTGGAGATAAAAGATCATCTTCCATAACCGTTTCTTGTAAATAATTTATATATTATATATGAACAAAATAGAGAACAACAAGCAAGTAACAAGTTAAGTGACTTTGAATAAATATATTAGCTAGATATAAGCTGCTCAATATATAAGACCGTTTTAGTAATTATATTATCGACTATAGTTGATTACTGTCTCGATTATTTGAATAACTATTAATATTATTTGCATTTCCCTGGAATACACAAAGAATCTCACCATCTCATATTACAACAAGGTTTGTTGTAGAATAGAATAATAACAATTACCATGATTAAAGAATTGGGGTGCAGTTCTAATCCACTAGTGCACCTAGATTAATGTAATAAAATTTAGGGTTTGGATCATTAAGCTCGTTAATATACAAATCTGAATAATTGACCGAGCTCCAGAAAACATATAAAAGGACAGCGTTTTCTGGAGATAAAAGATCATCTTCCATAACAGTTTTTTCGTAAATAATCTATATGTTGTATATAAACATAATAAAAAAAGAAAAACAAGCAATAAACCCTTAACCCTCCTAGTTATATATAACATTCTTATATATTTGTTATTGCCCTTACTACTCGTTCAATAGTACTGTTAAAAAACTTGGTCCTAAGTCCAAACTATGACAGGGTTTGTTGTAGTATGGTGTGGTGAAGTTCTTTGTGTATTCCAGGGAAGCGCAAATAATATTAATAGTTATTCAAATAATCGAGACAGTAATCAACTATAGTCGATAATATAATTACTAAAACGGTCTTATATATTGAGCAGCTTATATCTAGCTAATATATTTATTCAAAGTCACTTAACTTGTTACTTGCTTGTTGTTCTCTTTTTTGTTCATATATAATATATAAATTATTTACAAGAAACGGTTATGGAAGATGATCTTTTATCTCCAGAAAACGTTGTCCTTTTATATGTTTTCTGGAGCTCGATCGATTATTCAGGTTACTACATTAATGACTTGACTGATTCAACCCTAAAATTTATTATATTAATTTAGGTGCACTAGTGGATTAGAACTGCATCCCAATTCTCTAATCATGGTGATTAGTAATACACGTGGGACTTACTAAAACAATAGGTAAATTCTAGATTTGCCAAGGTCTTATGTAATCCAATCTTTTTATTATGCAGCATCTAATGTTGTAGCACATGTATGGCTTACTAATACACTAATTGGTTCTAGATTCATTCAGGATCTTATGTAATCTTGATGGTTATAACTATTCTATTCCACAACAGGGTTGGAAGTTTTTGTGGGCGTGTGGTCTAGAGGTATGATGTCCGCTCGGGGTGCGGGAGATCCCGGGTTCGATTCCCGGCTCGCCCCACTTTTTTGTAACATGTAAAATCCTGATATCATTATAAACGGTCTTGTGTATTCTTTAGTCAACAACGACGTTCTTGTTTTTTTGTTTATATAACTATGTGTATCTGTATATCTGTTTATATTAATTTACTCTTTCTGTAGAGTATAGTTTATATATCACATATAGGGAATCAATCAAGCTATATTTATCTATTTTTTAAAAACCCTATTACGAGAGATATACTCTTCTAGCCATCAAAATAGATACACATAGCTTGATTGGTTCTCTATATGTGATATATAAACTATACTCTACAGAAAGAGTAAATTAATATAAACAGATATACAGATACACATAGTTATATAAACAAAAAAACAAGAACGTCGTTGTTGACTAAAGAATACACAAGACCGTTTATAGTGATATCGCGATTTTGTATAGCATAAGAGTCTTAAGATATAAACTCACTATTAAAGTATTGCTGGATTAATGTAACTGATAATAACGAAGTAATATACTGTATATTATACTATATTGATTATAGTTCTGGTTGGATCTTTATCTTTTGTTCTATTGATTATTCATACTTCTTATATCTTTATATCTTGTTATTTATTTACTTATTTAGTTTTTAAACAGTATATATGTTTTCCAAAGAAGATAATAGACATAATTAAATTATCCATAAATGTGCGCACAAAAGTCATAGACACTGATCATGAATATTTTCTTTATATAGAGTTTTAGGTATATCTATAGATAGACTGATTTTTATAATAACTATTTCGATCAGTGAATGAGGTATGCATTTTTATAACAAGTTACATTAAGAAGAGAAATTTGAGAAAAATACTGATTTTCTTTTTATACCCGATGTAAGTATTATTGTTATTTCAAGTATATATTGTATTTTTAGTGATAAATATGAAAGTATAGAGTCAATAACATCTATTTTTATCAATAATTCATCGATGACTATTAATTTACATTTGATAAATTGTACATTAATAGAAGACAACGGGGACATATAATTTACCATAAGTATATCTGCTACAGTACCAGTAATATAATAAACCTTTAAATATGTTAATGAAGCAATCCTAAGAAAAATTTTGTCAACAGATAGTATTTTAAAGCTGATGTTAATAATCTTTCCAATGAAGAATCCCTAAGTATTAGTAGCAATATTTATATCAATTTTTTATTTAAAATGTTTTTTTAATTAAAAAAAAAAGGCAAATAAATATGCCATCTTTTATGAGATCAAAAAATTCACCAATTCCAAACATGATTATAAATTTTAAACAAACTGAAAGTGATAATATCAAAACCAATGATGGTGATCTTAAAAAGGGTAAAGAGATTCCAACAATACCTATATTTGTTATTATAATTTCTTTACTCGACCATATCCACAACTGCTTGATCAATGTAATTTTGTAACATCTCAAATAAAACAATATTTTCATTAGACCAATTATCTTCTTTCTTTTCATTTTATGTCTACATCTACTCTATATCTCATCTCAATGACTAACCTTTAATATTCTGTTCCATCTTTTTCTTATTTTGAAATGGTCACAAGATTACATCAAATGAAACATTATACAAATTGAAGAGAAAGTGATACTAATTGATGCAAAAAAGATAAGATAGTATCCAGATAATCCAATTGATTTACAAGAAGGTACTGAACGATTCTCTAGTTTTTAAAATAATATACTAATTGTATATTTTTGTTACTAATGGCATGGTAATTTTAACTTACACCGTAATTGCTTCCAAGCAGCATATACAGCAAATAAGATTCACAGCCAACACCAAAATTATTCAAAAAAAGGTATATAGGTGCTACTTAACTTTCTTATGACATTTTAGGGTTAGAAATCTACTTTGATTCTGGAAACAGAATGGTTTTTTCAATAGAGCTGTTGTTAAAAAATAAACTTTCTGAATTATTTATTCAGGATCTTGTAAAAAGCATCAACAATGTTCTATGTATCTACAATCCTTATGATAGTACAAAAATTATATCCTAGAAAGAGCAACATAACTTTTTTTCTTATTATAGAGTACAGACTCGATGTATTAGATTATGTGAAGCTACTAACCAAAGCCACATTATATCATTCAAAAGAAATAAATTTTTTTTTGGCAAGATAATCGATGAAAAAGCTTTTATCAATCCAGCAATAATAAATTGGTACAAATAAAAATTTGCACGTATGATGATAAAATTAGTATTATATATGATACTATGTTTACTACTACTCAAAAATTTAAATCTTAAATTGATTGTATATTACTTGTCAGCGACAAACTCAACACCAACAAAAGAATAAATATATCATTAATCTGTGCATCAACCATCCAAGCAGAAATATTTGTTAAACATTGATTTTTAACGTTGTTGATAGATGCCAAGGTTTATTAAACTAAATATTTAGAAAGCTCTACAGAATAATAACACTATGTTAAAGTATGTCTACTATTTCGAATCCTCGACACAATAGAAGATAAATATTTTTTAACATTTTGAATACGTTAAAATATCATCCAAATAAACAACAATAATTTTATCAATATATTTTTGTTAGACATTTTGCAAAAATTGTATTTTTTTAGCAGTTTCTGTAAAGCTGGAAATTAACTTATTTTACTTTTGACAGCGATCAAGTATTGCAGAATACAAGATTAAAATATCATATAGAAATAATACGGCAAAAATGTTACCTTAATATTCTATCAGAATAGAGTTTATTTTAATGATCCTACTTCTTCAGCTTCGAATGAAAATAAAGATAAAGAAAGTGTTTTAGTGATTCTTGCACATTTTACTTTATTATATCTGTTAAGATTCGAATATATTATAATTCTACAAACTACAGTCTCTTAAACTCTGCTATTCCATTGTACTGAAAATACCGTCATGTTATAGATCAACAAGATCACACCAATATTTTCTGCCCACACCTACTTATATTTCCTACTATAACTAGTATATTATCATATTTCAATTTTATATTATTCAATAAATTGCCTATTCCTCTCCTCTTTTACTGGTGACAAAAATTTTAAATAAGCACATAACCTTATTTATTCTTCTCGAATTAAAAAATCTGTTGCCACAACAACAGTGATGATCTTTACAAAATTATCAAACAATAACAACCAAGAATACAAAATACAAAAAGATAAAAAAAAAACAATGGAGCTATGCGAAAACAAAAGTGTTTGTATTCATTTAAAAATAATGTGGGATTGCGGAAAAAGAAAAACTAAAGGGAATTACAAAAAAAAAGAATGAAAGAAAACAAAAAACAGTGGGATCGCCAATTGAAATGCGTGACCCCCCCTAATGAAAGTAATGATTCCTCTCTCACCATTAGAAAAAAGTTCCATGAAATTGTAATGACGTAGACTCCTTTGCGGATCATCTGATAGCAGTAATTCGAATGTCCTTCACTATAATATTTTTGCTTATATTTTTTTTTATAATCATCACAGAGTATATACTTGAAATATTTAAAATTTATAAGATTTTTATTATTATTTTGTTTTTCTTTTTTTCTTTTTCCATTTTTTGCACCAATCAATGATGTCTCTTTTAAAAGAATAGACTTCTCTGTTATTTAGAGACATGTTACATACACAAAATGAAATTGACGTAACTAACCAGTAGAGCTCATTGTCAGTTACACTAACAAAAGTGCATTAAATTTAATAGTTCGAAACAAAACTAGTCAGCCAGGTTGTTTTCTTATCTACAGTTTATATTTAAGTCTTTTCTTCTTTCTTGTCTACCTCATCTCCATCTCTATTGCAGGTCTTTACACCTACTTTTTCTCCAATACCTTTCCTGGGCCTACACTCCTTTCTCCCGGTCGGTTCTCGCGATTTGCTTTTTTTGTTTTCCGTCTCATTCAACCTGACTCCCTCCTTCGTGCATGTTTGTCTTTCATCCAATTCTAAGTTTTATGTTATTCGTTGAAGCTGCAAGTTATACGTATTATATCTGCGTCTCTCCGTCCCGCTCTCTCTATATATATACACATCTATTCGTTTAATCAACAAACGGATTTCGAGTATATATTTCGATCCTTTGACACCTCCTTGTCTTAACTTCAGACTATTATTATGACCTTTTGGGGAAACGCGAGCTAAAGACAAACGAAATCGTACTCATACCTACCGCATATAACCTTTACAAATAATTACAAGCATGTCCCAAGTATTACAAAGAACTGCAACTACTTCCGCTAAACCTAACTACTTATTTAAAGCTTTTATTAATGCCAAAAGATTACAGTCTACTTTGACTTTAAAGGAGACTTTTGCGAATCAAATCCCAGCTAAAATAGAGGAGATTAAATCCTTTAAGAAAAAACACGGGAAAACTGTCATTGATCAAGTCACCCTAGACCAGGCGTACGGTGGTATGCGTGGTGTTAAATCTATGGTGTGGGAAGGTTCTGTTCTTGACCCAGAAGAAGGTATCAGATTCAGAGGTTTGACCATCCCAGAAATTAAAGCTAAATTACCACATGGTCCAGGTGACTCTCAAGAACCATTACCAGAAGGTTTGTTTTGGTTGGTCTTAACTGGTGAAATTCCAACCGAAGAACAAGTTAGACAATTGTCTGCAGATTTGGCTTCCCGTTCTGAATTACCTGAACATGTTACCAATTTATTGGACTCTTTACCAAAAAATTTACACCCCATGGCTCAATTTTCTATCGCTGTAAACGCATTAGAAAGTGAATCTAAATTTGCCAAGGCTTATGCTTCTGGTGTAAGCAAGACTGAATATTGGAACTACACTTTTGAAGACTCCTTAGATTTACTAGGTAAATTGCCAATGATTGCATCTAAGATCTACCGAAACGTTTTCAAGGATGGCAAGATTGGTTCTATTGACTTAAATAAGGATTACGGTGCCAATTTGGCCAACTTACTAGGTTTTGAAAACAAAGATTTCACCGAATTAATGAGATTGTACTTGACCATCCACTCTGACCATGAAGGTGGTAACGTCTCTGCCCATACTAGTCATCTAGTTGGTTCCGCGTTATCATCTCCTTATCTATCCTTTGCAGCTGGTATGAATGGTCTTGCTGGTCCACTACACGGTCGTGCTAATCAGGAAGTGTTGGAATGGCTATTTAAATTAAGGGAAGAAGTTAACGGTGATTACTCTAAAGAGTCTATTGAAAAATACTTATGGGACACTTTGAATTCCGGTAGAGTCATTCCAGGGTATGGCCATGCTGTCTTAAGAAAGACTGATCCACGTTACACTGCCCAACGTGATTTTGCACAAAGACACTTCCCAGAATACGAATTATTCAAATTGGTTTCTACTATCTATGAAGTTGCTCCTAAGGTGTTAACTAAGCACGGTAAGACCAAAAACCCATGGCCAAATGTAGATTCTCACTCTGGTGTATTGTTACAATACTATGGTTTGACCGAAGCATCCTTCTATACTGTATTATTTGGTGTTTCAAGAGCCTTTGGTGTATTACCACAATTAATTATTGATAGGGCTGTTGGTGCTCCAATTGAAAGACCAAAATCCTTTTCCACTGAAAAATATAAGCAATTAATTGCTCAAATTGAAGCTGGCTCCAAATAAATTGAACAGAATACCCTAAATTGCAGATATGCGTAGGTTTTATATGCTTAATACCAATATATTTCTGTGGGTATTTATAATCTGGCTTTAAAGTTTTTACTTATGTTTTCAGTGCCGATTCAAGTGTTTTATTAATGTGATTTTAATGTGAATTTTTAATGTGTGATATTCCATGGTTTATTTATTTATTTTTATTCATAACAACCGTATGTATATATATAAATGAAAAAAAAAAAAAAAAAAGAGGCATGTAATTATTTGGAAATTCTAATATGTTTATTTCTTCAAGTTGCACTCTGTTTTGCTGAACTAACCCTACAAGATAGTTATTCAGAGAAGAATGTCCACTGTTGTAGTTCTAACCCTCTAAATAGAAAAAACGAAATGGAGTGGCTTAAACATATCGTATTTCACGAGTCTTCTATCTCCATGTTTTTTTTTCCCTAGTCGTGTCTTGTTTCTTTTTATTTTTTTTCCCTCTTGGTTTATGTAAAATTTATGTAAGGAATTTATTTTTTTTTTTCTTTTTTTTTTTTTTTTTTTTTTCGGCACATTGTGGCACATAAAATAAAGGAAAATGAAGCTATATTTTTCTCGCAAGGGGGGGCAAATGACAGTAATAAGGAGTCAGTATACTTTCACGATTACAACTCAACACAGGTTACACATTGTACAACTTGAATCTTTTTTTCTTTTTTCTTTTTTGATTACATAACAGAGAGATAGTGTACCAATTCTAACACACACACACATATATATAGTATCATCATTACGTCTACTATATCGTGTGTTTATTTGTATATGCATTTATATTTTTATACATAAGTAAATAAATATTTTTTTCATCCATAAAGATTGTAACCTATTACTTATTTACAATTATTACAATTTGCAGATTCAATAGTGAGTAAGAGCAAAAAATTAATAGACAAACAGACCTATACATAAACTAACCTCTACGCTATCAATCACTTTGTTTGTCAGAACTGGGATAAATAAAAATAGAAATAAAAATCAAAATAAATCCCTATAATTGTAACACATATTCCTACTAATTTAAATATACATTAAAAATGGCTAAAGTTGCTATTATTACATATTCTACCTACGGTCATATTGATATCCTCGCTAAATCTATCCAAAAAGGTGTTGAAGAAGCTGATGGTAAAGCTGATATATATAGAGTCCCTGAAACATTGTCTGATGATGTTCTAGAGCAAATGAATGCTCCTCCAAAACCAACAGACATCCCAATTGCTTCTGAAGACATATTGGTTCAATATGATGCCTTCTTATTCGGTGTCCCAACTAGATTTGGTACATTACCAGCTCAATGGTCAGCTTTCTGGGATAAGACTGGTAAATTATGGGCTCAAGGTGAATTGGATGGTAAAGTTGCGGGCCTGTTCTTTTCCACATCCGCACCAGGCGGTGGTCAAGAATCTACTGTCAAGAACTGTCTTTCCTATTTAGCTCATCATGGTATCATTTATGTTCCACTTGGGTACCGTGACTGTTTTGCAGAAATGGCTAATATCGAAGAAGTACACGGAGGTTCTCCATGGGGTGCTGGTACTTTAGCTGGTGCTGATGGTTCACGTACTGCATCTGATTTGGAAAAGAGAATTGCAGAAGTTCAAGGTAAAACATTTTATCAAACTGCTTTGAAATTCTACCCATCAATTGAAGATGATAAGAAAAAAGAAGAAAAGCAAGATGCTAAACAGCCAGCTAAAGATCTTAAAAGAACCACTAAACCTGCAACTGCCAAACCATCCGAAACTAAACCAGCTGAAGAAAAGAAGGAAGAGAAGGGATTATTATCTTGCTGTTCCATCATGTGAAAAGGATAATTGAAAAAAAAAATAAAGCATGATATTTATATTTCCTTTATATTCTTTCTTATACTTATTATCTTCCAAAATAATAACGATATATAAATAAACACGAATACCTATCTATGTATGCATGTATAGGATATTTTACTTTTTATAATCTTTTTCAACACTATTAAATAAAAGAAAAAAGTGTAAATACAATTAATAATTAATATTTTATCACTAGTAAACTCTGTTGTGCAAATAATGAATGTTTGAATTTTTCGCTATTTACAATATGCATTAATAAAGTAATGTTTACACGCACATATATATATATTAGTTAATTTGTATACTTTATTTACATGAGAGTTTTCTTACACTGTTTTTGTTTTTAATGCTTTTAATGTTTTTTTTTTTTTTTTTTTTTTTTTAAATTTATTTTTCACCTTAATTATTCACATGATGTATTATTTAGTTTCTTCAACTGGTAGTGTCCTTTTTCTTTTTTCTAAGTAACTATCTTTATCTTTCAACTTTCTCATATATGGTGTATCACATCTCTCAGGATATATAATCCTTCTATCAATTTCGTCTAGTACAGGTTTTTCAACTTGTTTTGATTCTCCCAGTAAATGATTCTTCCAAATATATCTAATTTGTCCAACACAGTACATACAAAGCGTATGAGCCCTTTTATAATGGCCACATGATGGACATTTATTTAAATTGTTCCAGGGTTGTGCATTTTTCATTGAATGGGAACCGCCAAGCATCCTTGAACGTTTTTTCATATGTGATGTTTTCTTTTTTGGGGCAGCTAAAAGAATTCCTTGCAACCATTGAGACAAAATCGAGGGGACAGTAACCACATTTACTCGTAACAAATTTGATCTGATTACACTAAGCATTTTGTAATGGTATTATTGCTTGCTTTTTTAACCATTAATAAGATAGATGTAAATTTAAATGTGAATATAAATATATATGCTTTTTTTTTCTTTTAAAACCTCTGACAAATAAAGCAACTATACAATGCGTACTTATTCACTTCTAATAATCTAATAGCTGGTACCTAATCTTCTGTATAAATATATTTTCTACAATTTGTCTTTTATTGCTACTTAAAGAACTAAAAAAAAATATGTATTTAGAAGATAAAATAATTCAACAGTATTATATATGAATATGTATTGATTTAACGTCGAGTCTACATAAAACTCCCTGTACTTTGGCTTTTCTTATTCTATTCTCTCTCTTTGCAAATAATACTAAGTTAATAACACAAAAAAAAAGTTGGGAAAGTTTTCTGATTTCGTATTCCTAGTTTCCGCGTTACGGATTATGCGGAATTTTTGAGATGTTGAAAAATATTTTCAAAAATAAAAAAATTCTAGTAAAATAGTACTATTTTGTGCCTCGAATATTGATGAAAAGATACAAAATAATGTAACACAAAGGTTATTGGCAAATAAAACATTTAACACTTGATCTGTCCATTCATAGTGCTTGAAAAACCTTTTTTCTTTATTACTGTTGTGTATATTTGTAAATACGACTGGCTTGGTACTGAACTAATCCGATTTATTTTTCAAGCATAATTTTTAAGACAGTGTAGAATGGAAACCCTTCCTTCTAATCCAATGTTAAGTCAAAATAACAACAGTATGGATAATTCAGATATGATTCACCCCAGATCCTATGTTGGATTTGATACTATCACAAATCAAATTGAGCGTAGATTACTACAACGAGGTTTCCAGTTTAACATTATGACAGTTGGTGAATCAGGGTTAGGTAAAACTACTTTTTTAAATACATTATTTGCATCCCATTTACTAGATCCAATTACTGGTGAAGCTATTTATGATTCAATGGAGAAGACTACTGAAATTACTGTCTCACAACATACATTGATCGAAGATCAAGTTCGTTTGAATGTCAATTTGATTGACACGCCTGGGTTTGGTGATCATATTGATAATGATCGTTGTTGGGAACCAATTGTAAAATATATCAAAGAACAACATTCTCAATACTTAAGAAAGGAATTAACTGCACAAAGAGAGAGACATATTCTTGATACAAGAGTCCATGCTGTGCTTTATTTTTTGAATCCATCAAATATTAAAAGAGGATTAACCCCATTGGACATAATAACATTGAAAAAATTATGTGATATTGTTAACGTTATACCAGTAATTGGTAAATCTGACATGTTAACTTTAGACGAAAGATTAAATTTTAGAGAACTTATTAAACAACAACTAGCAATCAATGATATCAGAATTTATCCATATGATGATTTGCCAGATACTACTGAGGAAGATCTAGCTTTGAATAATTCAATTAAGTCAATTATTCCTTTTGCTGTGATCGGTGCAGAGAAAGAAGTTGAAATCAATGGTGAATTAGTTAGAGGTAGAAAAAACCGTTGGGGTATGATCAATATAGAAGATATGAATCAGTGTGAATTTGTATATCTAAGAGAATTTTTAATTAGAACCCATTTACAAGATTTGATTGAAGCCACTGCATTCATTCATTATGAAAAGTTTAGATCAAGACAATTAATTGCTTTGAAAGAAAATGCAAGCAACGCAGCTCATCGTCAATAATCTGCCACTTAATTGAATATCAGGAAGAAAAAAAAACAGTCAAATCTAGGTACATTGTTATAAAACACAACAAGGAGCCAATTTGGTTGAATAAAAAAGGAACACATAAATAATGAACGAGTGAAATAAAAGGTAAAATTCTATAATAATAAATTTTATATTTTAAGTATACATGTAGACTTATTCATACATACAACAATATATATATACTCTATAGTATCTATAAAATTATAATAATACTAAAAAAAAGAAAGAAAGAAAGAAAAGAGTAACTAAGACAATTTAGTATATAATTTGTCATTTAAAATTCTAATGCTTCTAGCCTTACTTGAAGTTTAATGAAAAGTTCAGACCTTTTTTGTCATTGATGATATCTTCTAAGTTTCTTTTTTTATTATAATTATTTTATTTTATTTTATATATATATTTTTTCACTATTTGACCTTTAAACAGATGTTACAGAATACTTCTTCTTACCTAAATCTAATGGAATATATTTATATTTGATCATATGTTGAATTTGTCTTCTCATTGTCAATGCGAATAAGATAATAAAATAGACCAAAAGAATTGGCCAATAGACAGGAATATCAGTGACTCTAGTAGTAGTCAACAAGAAGGCGATGATACCACCTCTCATAACATTAAACCAGAATTTAAATTCTGGAAGTCTTCTAATGAATGGACGGAATTCCTCGGATTGTTCATCTGGAGCACCACCAGCTTCTAGTCTTTCATTTGCTTCTTCTTGTTGCAATGATATATCGAATTTTGGGGTCAAGAATGCTAAAAATTGATTTAAAGAAAAGATATAAAAACTGTAACAGACAGCATACCAACCCTGCCAATATATGATTCTTACAAAAAATAGCAACTGTAAAATAAAAAAAGCAATCCACCTTCCTTTGGTGTGTGGAGTTACTTTATCTAAATAGAATTGATAAAACCTTTGTAATTCAACCCAATATTTTGTCAAACCATAACCTTTTTCTTCACTGTTTAAATTCTTGACAAAGTCCATTGTTCTTTTTGTGTTATTGTAATTTCTCCCTAAGCAACGTTCAATATATTTATTTATTTATTGGTTTATTTGTTTATGTTATTTTTTTAGTTGTTCGTATTTTATTGTAACTAAAAGCTATATTGACAACATATATGTATCCTATTAAAATAAATGTCTCGACGATTTATCAATTTATACGTTGTTGTGTTGTATCTTAATGCGAACTTATTCCTTTCTTCATATCCTTCTTTCTTTCTTTTTTTTTTTTTTTCGTGTTTCACCTATATATCACTTTTTCTTGTTGCTACTGGCTTCTCTCTCCCTCGACTTCATTTCATTGTTCTCTTAGAAATGGAAAGAAATTTGCAAAGGTGTTCAAAAAAAGAAAAGAAAAAGAAAAAAAAAAAGGGTAATTGATTTTTGATTTTTTTGATTTTTTTTATTGTGAAATTTCTTCGGCATTTCCAGAAAAGGAAAATATGTAATTATTCACGACATCTTTTATATAAGCCGATAATTGAAAAACGAATAAAAAAAAACTATGCTTTCACCTTCATAGCAACATACATACATAAATACATACATATATATATATATATAAAGATATAAACAAAAGACCAATAATATCAACTTAACCTATTAACGGCTGTACGACATTAGTTCATGTATAGTACTCTCATTTATGTTTGTTTAGAATATATTCAATAATTTATTCAAGGGAGGTACTGTTTCAATTTGTGGGTATTTACAAAATTAATACATTTTACTATATCTTTTTTAATATGTATTCTTTTATCACATTAGGAGTTTCAAGAAAGGTATTTCTCATCAGTATATTATCATTAGCTGCTTATAATCTTGAATAATTCAATATTTTATGCAAATTTATTTTCTTTTATTTTTAATATATATTCTTGTTAGAAGAAGAAAGAAAGGTTCTTCAGTTTAAACTCTGTCTCACTGAATATCTCATTTTACCCAAAAAGATAAAGATATTGCACAGAACTGGTATATTAAGAAGAGGAACAAAGTAATATTCAAAAATTGCATATTTTTAAAAAAAATAAAAAAAATGGTAGAGAAAAAGAGATATCCAAGAAACTATTCTTAACAGCGGTAAATATATAGCCTGAAATGTTTGTTATTGACTGTTCACATTGTTTTCATACTTTTCCATTCAAAGATGATGTCTAAATAGACTGTTTTTAGTATGTTTATTAATGGACTACATAAAGTTACTTTAGTGTACATTCCGAGGCAAAATCTTACTCATCGACTTTTTTTTTCGTTTTTACATAAAACAAAACAAAAAAAACAACAATCAGCAACAAAAAGCTTTCGTAACAATTTTGTGTTTGCATACAAGGATAGAGCCTATGACGTTTTTTGCTCTATTCTTTCACTTCTTGGTGTTCTTTTCTGATGAATGAAGTTGTAAAGTTAATATATATCATGCATAAAATATTTTGTATCAAATTATTAATAAATTGTTGATGTGCTAAAAGCACAAAGAAGATTGCAAATTTCTTTTTATTATTTATTTACTTATTTATTTTGATTGAGCAATTGCTGTTCATTCTACATGAGAACTGCCATATTCATCTGTTGTTATGTCAACTGAAGCGGATAGAGTGCCTTGGAATAAACCAATACTGGTTATTGGATCGCAAGCATTGGGTTCACTGATTACGCTCCTTGCCATTTATTACCAAAAAAGATACAATAGATTACATAGATCAATTTATGGGTTATCTTTTGATAGTCAATTGTTTCAATTCATACGGCATGTACTAGCTCTATATTGTTCTTTAAACTATTTGTTTAATCCATATATCAAAAGACAATTACAGAAAAGATGTCCATTATTTTATGATTCTCATGATGTTCAAATAATCCCTATATCTTGGGTAATTATGATATTTAATTTTTTACTTGCATGGAATTATTGGTCCCTAATACGACAATTAAAAAAATACGCCTATACAAAACATATTCACCAAGGTTTTTCATCTCTGGCCAAAAGTATTATTTTCATTTTTGCATATTTTTTAGGGATATTTACTTTTTGGTGTGCATTTTGGTTTGGTATATGCCAAGAGAAAGATTCTGGTCTCTTTGGTCTGTTTTGGCTAGACCATGTTAATTATCTTTGGCTACTATCCAATATATTTAATATTTGGTCTTTCTGGCCACAATTATGCATTAACTGGATGGGAAAATGTTGTCAAGGTCTCTCTTCTAGATTTGTCATACTATCATTATTGAGCTCTTTAATAAAATTATTTGGAATTACAATCTTAAATAACTGTGATAAACATGCAGTACCTATGAATCATAATAGCAATCAAGGTGTACCATACTATCAATGGCCATTTAATTTAGAGAATAAATTTGTCATTATTATGGAACTTTTATCCATTATTGGAATTTTAGTTCAGGCACAATATTTTTATCCAAATAATAAACCATATCTACCTAAGGATATTGAAAAGACCAATGTATATGGCCATACATATTCTATAATATAACATGTTATAATTATGACATTAATATTAGTAATTAAATTTCAATTACATATGTTTACTTTTCTATTTTTATTACATTCCTTTATTCTTGCAATCAAAACATTATATAAATTCTGAATAATATTACTTCATAACATAATATATATATATATATATGTGTGTGTTATTATATACATGATTAAAAAACAATTATAACCTTCTGCCCAGTAGCTTTGTAGCAATTTTAACACCTGATTTAACGTGCTTTTCTGGATCTTCCTTAAAATCATTCAAAGTAACATCCTTAGTATTCTTCAATAAATGGTTCAATTCATTATGTAATTTGTTTTGTAAAGACTCATTCTTAGTTAAAATTACAATATTTGATTCCAAATCTAATGAATATGATCTTCTTGTATAATTAGATGAACCTAAAATAGTCAAGAATGGTTGAAATGTATTATTTTGTGTATTTCCAAAGTAGAACCATATTCCCTTGGCATGATATGACCATCCATTAGGTCTATTATGAACACCATTCTCCCATTCTTTAACTAATACATGACTATCTGATTTATTAACTTGCTTTAAAAATTTATATGCTAAATGTAAATATGCTCCTGGCAAATGTTTTGAGACACCTTTGGATTCATAGAAACCATTAGCTTTACTTGAAGCAGTTATTACATTAGAATTAGTACAATTTGATTCTAGCATGGCCCTTCTAATTGATGGGAAGAGATTGAAATATCCAGCAGTAAAGCTCCAATTAATGTTTGGGTTATTTTTGAAATTAATATTTCTCATTATGTCAAACAACAATAAGATTGTTGGTAGCTCAGTAGATTTATCTACTAAAGAATGTTTAAATAATGGTGTAAATTGAGATATGGGAAAAATTACAGTATCCCAATCCTTAACTGTGTTTTTGGGTTCAATAGTTTTCTTATCATGTAAAAATTTTGTAATTATTAAAGATGAATCACGTAAAAATTGAGTTTTGTTCTTTAAAGGTTCTATTGTGGCATTATCCTTTGGCCAGATCAGATATGGCAAACCTGCAATCTCTCCACTATCAGCGTTAATTTCTACTTTATAAGATAGAGAACCGATCAATTGAAGTATTTGAAAATAATAATTGTTTAATTCATTATTTTGGAACAGCCAATATCTGTCTTGTCTGTTTGTAAAATAATCATTGGAAAGATTTGCACCAGAGAGAATAATTTTATCATCATCAAACCCATAAAATTTCATATGTTGTAAACCTAAACCTTCGTTGAATCTTTTAGGGATCAAATGGGATTTCCAACCATGAAAAGCTGGAGTCCTGTAGAGTCTAAATTGAACTCTCTTTGGCCCATGCTCAGATATCAATTTAGCTACTAGTGTAGTTGAAGAATCTTCTGGGAATTCTCTTGTGGATCTCAATCCATCTAATAAAAAGTGGACTTTTAAATTTGGATTATTTGTCAACGCAGTGTCTAAAGTTTGTATAAATTCGTGTTCATCTTTACCCAGGTATAATGATGTTAAAAAGATTCTCTGTTTTGCTAATAAAATATTTTTTAATAAAGTTTGATAGAAATCATTTGGGTTATATAAAAACTTTATTGAGTTACAATCGGAGGAATTAAGGTAGAATCTTGTCGGTACCGATGCTGATAATTGATCGTGGATATGATTGATTATTTTATCTTGTTGATTCTTAGGGATTATATTTTGTACAACTTGATTAGACATGAAGTATAATGACCGTTTTATAGTTGTGATTGTTCCTTTCCCTGTTAAAGTAAATGATGGTACTAACAGTATAGAAGCACTAGGAAACGACCTTGAAATCAATGGAGATTTACATATGAATTTAATCATTACACATAGCCCCTTCCAGATTTTTTAATATATTTAGTTTTATCTTTTTAATTCTTTCGAACTGTTATAGAAAGATATGCAAATATTGGCCTATGGTGATTTATATTTACCATGTAAAATGGTTCTGGAGCTGTTGTCGTAGATATTGAGGTTGTCTCCTCGAGGTTTAAAGATGTGTGTTATAGACATTACAAAAAAATTGAAGGTGTGTGGGTGTATTAAACTTTGATACTAACGCTTACTATTTAGTACTTCATAACAATACTACCATCATTATTTGCTATTAAAAAGCATGGAATAGTGCGTATTTTAATATTTAACAGTAATATTACAATAAATGTCAATGCTATATGTATATGTATATGTGTATGTAAGTGTAAGTGTATTATATATATAAGTGATAAATAATTGTCTATATGTACTCGTAGAGTTACCTTTTACCCCTGCTCTTTCTTTTTTTTAAAGTAGATGTCTTAATTGGAAGAGTAGATGAATCCAATAATTCTATAGAAATATCTATTGAATCAATAGAATTTGTTGACGACACAGGTGACCCTGGTGGTGTTTGGTAGACCGTATCACTCCTTGTCTTAACCTTGTTTGCTATTGATGGTGTAGTAGGTTTACATTTAACCGTAGTGGAATCATAAGTGTCAATGTTGTCATTCTGTTTATTTTGTCTATTCATATTTTTAGTTTTAGGATCAACAAAATCAAAATTTGTTAGCCATTCTAATGGAATAGAGGATACAGAGGAATACTTATTGTTCAATTCTTTTGATTCCACTTTTTCATTGAATTTTTCAATAACTTTTGTAGCAGTATCAAAATTTGTAGTGTTATATTTGGTAGTCATAGGAATATTTATGTTAGTATCATTACCGATATTGCCATCTGTTGTTGAATAATAATATTTCCTAATCAATTTCTCAATGGATGATATTAAAAACGACGATGAACTTGCCAAATGATCGTAGCATTTCTTTAATAACCATTTAATACTGGTTCTAAATCGGAACTCAAAAATATGATCTTTCAGGTAAGTATGAATATGTATGAAACCTAGAATAGAGCCCATTATTGAACCTAATAATATGCCCGACATAAATAACACTAAGCTGTATTGAAATAGAATAATAATTAGGTCTCCATTGACGCCTTTTAAAGTCTTGTCTATGATTGATTGTATTGTGTTATTAGAAATTATATATAACGGGATATTGATTGGTAACGTTACCAATTGGAGGAAACAGCGTGCCATGGTAGTCATTGGTACAACAATTATAAGGTAGAATAGTTTCCATATTGTATAAAGCATATATGAGATCAATTGAAAAGGTTTATGAAAGAGTATAGAGAGTATATTCCAATTAAATGGATATTTGGACAGATGATCTATGCCAAACAGCATTTATATTGAAGATAAGCAAGTATAATAATATGTAGAGATGATCGAGCTTTCTTTAAACTTTACATATAAATGTCCATGTAACTTATGATAAAAGAAAATAAAAAAGAATATAGAAAAGTGCTAATTGAGGGGGAAACAATATTGTTGGATGATCACTTATTGCTATTTAACTGACAGAAGAGTTCCATCTATTAGCGTCAGTTATATCCAATTAAACATATGTTATTATCTCATGCGTTTGTATTATATATTTATGTGTTTGTGACAGTAAAATATGGAGAAAAAAGGAAACCCTAATTAATCAATTTAATTTGTGTGCCGTCTTTCTTTTTTTTTATTTTTTTTTTTGCTTTTTTTTCGATTTTAATTTATTGGCTCAGCGATATTCGTTGCCTCCCTCAAGAGCCAAAACATGACAGGAAAACTATATAAATGGAGAGGAATAATTCTATGTAAAGAGTCAACATCAGGTTTCTTTCCCTTGCCTCTGCGTCTTTGACGACTGGCGGCAGTCTTCCTAGCTGCCCCGTTAAAGACATTTTTTTTGTTTGTTGTCGTTGACCAATCTCTTGCACTATGATCAAGGACCTGAGCAGTGCATAGGTAGGTAGAAGTCATACTACTATCGGCAGGTATAGATGATGAATTTTATATTTGAATAGATTTGTCCCGTACTGTCTAGTACTGTATTTTACCTCACATATGCCTTCTTTTTTATTCATATTATTTTATTATTACCAAAGTCCCCGTTTCCTTTTCTTTCCATTCCTTTCCTTTCACTTCTTTTTCTTTTCTTATTTCAATGTTTCATCACACATGTAGGTATATGTGTGCTCTATAAAACATAGCTATTTATTTAGATGAATTAAATTGCTATATTACATATGGGTTGCTTGTTTTATAGAGTCTCTTGAAACATTGGAGAGAAAAAAGAAGAAAAGTTGTACATCTCATACACTCCTGTTTCTGCCCCATTTTCTCGCTTTTTTATTTAATTTATCTACGGATTACTGGGTTCTAACTTTTGGAGAAGATAAAGCTATCAAACCGAACATGTTGATTTGATACCTCGACTTTCGTTTGGTGAGGTAGATCGTGCATCGTCCAAGGAAGATTTTATTTTGTTATTTCAATCATTGATTTGATAAATGTAAATATATTTCTTCCAAGGTGTGATGCTACAGTTTTTTTCTTTTTATCTTGCTTGTTATCTTATTAACTATCTATGTATATATGTGTACATGTATATAAACTCTTCTATGTGGTCTTACTCGCCAGCAAATTCTGGTCTTAAATCAGATCTCCGTGGTACAACCAACGGATGTAGTTGGGCTAAATATGTGATAGCCCACATTAAAAACATCATGGCCATACTTAGAATTACTGTGCTCCTCCAAACACTGTAAATAAAAGATTAGAATAGAGAAAACAAATTTTAGAAATTATAATATATGAAATGGAAATTAATTTTAGTTAGTTTTTTTTTTTATTTTATTTTCATTTTTGATTTTTGATTTCCTTTCCACGCATTTCTCATGAATACATATTCGTGTTAGTAACTGAATTTAATTTAAATGATACAAAGGGGATTTAGAAAGGGAGAAGGTTCAGCAAAAATGCAAGAGTGATGCTTTTTTTGTCTCATCGTGTATGTCTTAGTAATAATAATAATCAATTAATTGATTAATTGATTAATTACTTTTGATAGCTGAACCAACCTGAAAGCTGAAATTAAAAAAAATAAAATAAAATAAAATAAAATCCTTGTTATAATATACATACGTTCTATTTTCATTTGGGGCCATAAACCAAAATATTGTACATGCTAGCACAACAGTAAAAAATACATCAACAACAGTATAACTATATTTAAATGAACATAATTAAATAGCCATATACTAATCCAGAATAAATCGAATATCAAAGTGTCATATATAGGTATATATATGGATATGGATGAATGGATGGATGAATGTTAGTAAAATAGGAACATATCAGTTAATAGATGGACTAGAGCATTATAAAGTGTCTTGTTTGAAGAATTGTCTTTTTTTTTTGGTGTTATATATGCACACTTTCAGTTTATATACATACAAACTCATGGCACACTTATTATTTATTATTTAATTTCTTGTCTCTTTATTTCTTTATTTATTATTTCCTCTTTATCGATAAATGTGGATAGGAAGCTTGTATGAAGAGTTTATTTTTTATTTGATATATTATTATTTCTTATTTTTTGTTTAGTATTACTCTTCACCATTCGTTTAACATTAGAGAGAAGTTATAATTCAAATATATGGAAATTTTGTATACATTACAATAGTTGTATGGATATTAAAAATATAAGATTGATTTGCTATTTTATCAAAAGGGTTGGGTTTGTGTGATTTGAAAGAACCAAAAGAAAAATAAAAAAAAAAAAGAAAAGAAAATGAAAATAAAAAGAAAAAAAATTTGCAGTAACAATTATGAGAAAAGGTTGATAAGTTTTAATAAAAAGTAATATGTATAATCATGTTCATATCACTATCGCTGTCGAAATGGTGGAATCATATAAGTAAGATAGATAATATTTCAATAGTATATTAAACACATGGGTACTATTACTACTACTACTACTACTACTACTACTACTACTACATAATAATAATAATAATAATAATAATAATAATAATAATGGATCAAGTGGACCGATAGATAACATTCCTAGATCAGTTATTGATTGGTTACAACAGAATATATATAAACTGTATAAGATAGATCCACGGACCACGTTTAACGATTCTTTGTTAGCTTTATCATTATTTAAACAGAATTTAAGACCACGGACACGTGTATTTACAGATTCCAGAGGCAAATCACACCTATTACTTTGTTTCTATGGTAAATTCAAAATTGTATCACGAATCAAAAACAATAGCAGTATTGGCAATGATAATGGTATATATGCAGATGAAGAGTTGGAGGAGATACCTGTATTAATATGGATAGAAGAAGATTATCCATTGAGCCATCCGTTATGTTATTTAGATCTAGAGCAAATTGACAAGGATTGGGTAATAAACATTGGGAAAAACATTGATTCAAATGGACAGATCTACTTGCCCTTTTTCAAGGATTGGAATGACCAAGATTCGAATTACAATATTATCAATACGATTAAAAATTTGCAAAATACTATCAATAATGAAGTCTTATTACGTAGAAAACAACCTTTATTGCCACCAAAAGTGAGGGATATAGATATAAGTAATGTTATTACTGCTACTGCTATTGCTACTACTATAATCCCACCAGCGATTCCTGAAAGACCGAAACTACCCACAACAACAACGGCAGGTAGTATACTACAGACAGATATTAAACCAGAAGAAGAAAAGATAGTAGATTTAATGGATACAGATATTATATCAACAGATCTATTATCACGGTCAAATGTAGAGAATAGTACCACACATCAACAGCAAATAGATGAGTTATCAGATTTATTAAATAAGTTGGAAATAATGGAAGAGGAAAGGATAAAGCAGGTGGAAGATATAAAGTTGAATGAAATAGATGAATCAATAAGACAATTTCAAGAGACATTGGACTATGAAAACAAAGAGATGGATAAGATGAAATCACAAATAGGTATGACACGAGATTTAGTGATTAATAAGATAAAAGGTTTAGAAGAAATTGAGTTGAATTGGTCAGAGAGATATAGAAAGATAAACGATGTTTTATTAAGTGATAAAGATAATGATGAAGAATATAATTTTCAAACGACTGAGACATTAGGATTAAATCAATTATATGGTTTAGTAGCAGAGGATATGGCATTAGATGATACAATATCTGTTTTGAATGGATTATTATCTAAGAAAGGTATTACTGTGGATATATTTATAAGAAAGACACGAGATTTAGCCAAAAGACAATTTATGATTAGATTGCATATTGAAAAGATATATAACATGTTAAATGAATCAGCATAAGGAAAAGAAAAGAAAAGAAGGAAAAGAAGAAAAGCATTATTATCTATCACGAAACTACCCATTAGTGCTATGCACATATATGTATATCCCTCCTCCTCCCCTGTTAGAATATATATATGTATATGTATATGTGGAAAGAGAAACAGATAGACAGGTAACTATTGAATTATATCGTAGATAGAAGGTAAAGAGGTCAAGGTGGGTCAAGTCCTTTCACTGGATGTTATTACTACAGCTACTATAGCCACTTTAGATATAAACAGTTGTAAAGATGGGGATATTCCTCTGCAATTCTCTTGTTCGAATTCCTTGTTCGAATTTCTTGTTCCCCAGATATTTTTTCCTCTCCTCTTCTTCCCTTTCCCGCCATGCATTCGCCAGACAGGATAGAAAAAACGGAAAGAAAAGAAAAGCGAAACCGCTATTGAAACACCCATGCATCCAGCATATATAGAAAAGAGTCCGGTAGACTGTTGGATAGTGTAAAATACGTAGATATTTCAGAAACAGGAGGAGATTATCATTATTATTATTATTATTATTATTATTATTATTATTATTGTTGTTGTTGTTGTTGTTTTAATAATAACAATAAATAAAAATTCAGATTGCTCTTCAGATCTGCTTTCCTCTCCCCAATTCACCCACTGTTCATCCAGCCGTCTCTGTGTTTGCTTGTGCATCTTTTGTTTTTGTCACGAGCCACGGCCGCGAGACACGCGGCAGCAGAAGAAAAACAAAAGGGAGAGTTCTTTTTTTTTTTTGCTTTTATTTTCTATTTTGAGTCATTTGTCCCGTTGGATTTCTTCTGCTATATTTTGTGTTTCTGTGTTTCTTTTATGTTTCTTTTATTTTATTTTTTAGTCATTTCGATTTTTTACTGGGATGATTGTGTGGTTTTCTTACTTTCTTTTTCTTTTTCTTTTTTCTTCTTGATGTTTGTTAGTGGTTGATTGATTCAATCGATTGATCACGAATTTTTCAGCTATTCGATTGTATATATATTATACTATAAAGCATGTTACTAAATTTCACTGCATGCATTAATCTGTCTCCACATCTGCACAATTACACACAAACACACATATATATATATTCATATTCATATATATATATATATACGTATATCCAAACTCTTAAATTTAGGATTGGTAGAGCTGAAAAAAAATAGATTAAATAAAATAGATTTTAGTATTTTAATTGAATAGAAACTATCCAATAAACTAAGAGATCTTCTTTTATTCTATTCTATCTCTAATTTTTTTTTTCTATTAGGATATAAAAAAAAAAAAAGATGATAAGAACCTTATTAAGTGGGTCTATCAAAAGATCCGCTACTGTCTCTTCATCCTTTATTCGTCATAGTTCTTCTTCTACTAGTGCTTTAGCTTATAAAAGACTACATAAACATCATGCTAATCCTCCATTACCCATATTAGAAACTCCAATATGGAACGCTAATGCTGCTGTATCCTCTATTATATACGAGACTCCTGTTCCTTCTTCCCAACCAAGAAAACAACATGTGTTAAACTGTCTAGTACAGAATGAACCAGGTGTCTTATCTCGTATTTCCGGTACTTTAGCCGCAAGAGGCTTCAATATCGATTCTTTAATCGTCTGTAACACCGAAGTTAAGGATCTATCGAGAATGACCATCGTCTTGCAAGGTCAAGACTCCGTTATCGAACAAGCTAGAAGACAAATCGAAGATCTCGTGCCTGTCTATGCTGTGTTGAATTACACCGATTCTCAATTGGTTAAAAGAGAATTGTTGATGGCAAGAATCTCTCTATTGGGCTCCGAATATTTTGAAGATTTGTTACTACATCATCATCAGTCTACTGTTCCGTCATCTGTTGATACCTTCGCCTCTGATGGTAATAAAGGTCCCTCTGATGCCGATTTGATCAACAAGATTAGAGATCAACCATACCATCCTTCAAACATGCCTGCCTCTGAAGTACTAAGAAAGAAACATGAACATCTAAACGATATCACTGTCTTGGCTCAAAATTTCGGTGGTAAAGTCGTGGACATCAGTGAGACAAGTTGTATCGTGGAGTTGGCTGCTAAACCTTCCCGTGTCTCAGCTTTCTTAAGGTTAGTGGAACCATTCGGTGTTCTGGAATGTGCTAGATCCGGTATGATGGCTTTACCAAGGACTCCATTACAAACCTCTACCGAAGAAGCTGAAGGCTCTGATGAACAAGAAAAAATTAGTGAAATTGTTGATATTACTCAATTACCACCAGGTTAAGTTGGAGAAAAAAAAATTAAAACAAGTTAGAAAAAAAAAAAAGAGAGGGAGAGAGAGAATAGATTAAATTAAAGAAATTACACTTCGTAATCTTAAGAAAAGATAACATGATATACCATATATTATATATATATAGGTACAAATATGTATTTATGTCTTTTTTTTGTTTACGATAAATTTATCTGTCTTTTGGTGTTTAATGTTAAAAAGAATATATATTGATGCAGTTATATGGATTTTTTTTTGTTCTATTTCTTTTAATTTGTTCTTTCATGATTTTCGTGATTTTTGTAGTATTAATTTTAATTTCCTTCAAATTTTTTTTTATTTTTTATTTTTTTGGAATCTTTTCTATTCTCTAATTTAAAGAGGTGATGATTACTGATAATATGGAAAGTGTAATATAACTTGGTACATATATACATATATACATACATACAAGTTGTGGTTTTCTGTTTTCTGTCTTTTTTGTTTTTCTTTTCTTAAATGTAGTCACTATGTGCTTGCTCTATTTTGACACTAGATTTACCACAGAACATAACTTATAGCTATTGAAAATGAGTAATAGCAATACAATTGAATGGAGTCAAGTTATAGGTCTTTTACAAGATATTTTAAATATAAATGAGGTGCAATCTTTGGATTCGCTACTAGTTAAGGAAAAGAGTACAAATGAACAGAAAGACCAAGTCAAATTACTGGAACTTTTGGAAAGAATTCAGTCTAACGATAATAATACTTCAGCTTTTCAATCTGTTGATGATGATGAACAAATTGAAACAAGTCTAAGACTGCTTCAAGATCATTTACAAAATATTATCAAATCACAGAAATTATTGGATTCCATGATACTGAAATTAGCTAAAATAATAGAAACTTCTTTCATTACTCAGTCACAAACAAACACATACAAAAATAGTAATAGTAATAGTAATAGTAATAGTAATAGTAATAGTAATAGTAATAGTAGCAGTAGCAGTAGCAGTAGCAACAACAGTAATAGTAGTAGTAATGTCAATGCCAATGGGAAACAATATTGGACAAGCGCATATAATCCTGTTGGTTTGATTCCATTGCATTCAGAAGTAGCATACAAGCCAAAACAAAAAAATAGTGTAGATGAGGAGTGGTTCCAATGTATAGTCATCAAGATATCAAACGATGGCCTGAAATATGAAGTTCAAGATCCTGAACCTGACGAGATGGGTAATTCAGGGAAAATCTTTAAGTGCAATTGGAAAGAAATCATACCTATCCCATCTTCAAGAGTCAAAAGTTCGATGAAACCTTATCCAATGGGCACTAAAGTGTTGGCTAGGTACCCTGAAACTACCACTTTTTACCCAGCTGTGGTAAGTAGAGAAAATAGAAAAGATACTAAGATTTGTAAGTTAAGATTTGATGGTGAAGAAGAAGTTAATAAAGAAACAGAAGTAGATAGACGGTTTGTCCTGCCCTTCCCAACAATATCGGCATTTCCTGTTAATAATGCTAAAAGATCATAAAACGACAAAATAAGAGGTAAATAAACATAAAATAAAGCATATCATAGTGCATCTTACTCTATCACAGCATAGAAAAGTGCTACAGAATGTACATAAATATTTTCACACACACACACGCACGCACATACACACATGCATATACACATACACAGATATGAATATAGATATAGATATAGGGTGAAAGAGAGTGAGAGGGAGATGTAGAGATGGTTTAATTAATATTTCTTGTGTTTTCTTCACTTCAGCGAACTTTGATTTTTATTTTTAATTTTCTTTTAAATCTAAGAATTTTTTTTCTTTGCTGTCGTCTGAAAAGCGCAAAAGAAGAGAAGAGCAGTTATATTATTTAGTCTAGGGTTATATTTATGGATGGATGAATAGTAGCAACTTAACGGTAGGATAGTCACTATATATATATATATATATATTATAATTAAAGATATTGTATATAAAAACAAAAAAGCAAACAAAGGATATACACTTTGTTTTTTCCTTTGGCTTTCCACTATAGAAGGGGCATTGCATATTTTAAAGATTCAAAATAAATTAAAAAATAAAATAGAAAGAAGCATTCCAAGATACTATGGATGAAACACTAAGTAGCAGAAGTTACGATGATTATCGTAGCAGATCAAGATCTCCGTCACGGCGTGGATATGGAAACTATGAAAATAACTACCATGATGGTGTAGACCCATACTACGATGATTCAAGAAGAGGAGGTAGATATGGTGGTGGTAGAGGTAGAAAAGGTACTAATTTTCGTACTGGTCGTAGAAGAGGCGGTAGATACGCAGGACCTATAAGCAATTCTTTCAGAAGAGAACGTCCTGGTTTCCAGGTACGTAAATATGACCCACCACCAACAAATGTTACACCAGTAGATAGAAATTATGACAATACCATATTTGTCGGTAATCTATCATTTGATTGCACTGCTGAAGATTTGAGAAATTTGTTCATTGAAGTAGGTGAAGTGGTGTCTGCCGATATTATTTATTCTCGTGGTCGTCATAAGGGGATGGGAACAGTGGAATTTACTGATCCTCGGATGGTAAAAGATGCTATAAATCAATTTGATGGTATCACTTTTATGGATCGTGAAATATTTGTGAAACAGGATCGTGCACCTCCAATTTCAGATAAGCATAATAGCGATTATAATAATGAAAATGATACCATTGTTGGTAGTGGTAGCGGAAGAAGATTAGAATTTTCCAGTAGAGATTCTATAAATTCAACTTGGGGAGTTCGTCCATCTCCATTACAATTACAGTCACAACATGGTCAGTTAGATGGATATGAAGTGTTTATTATCAATTTACCTTATTCGACTACATGGCAACAATTGAAAGATCTTTTTAGAGAAGCAGGTGATGTGATTAGAGCAGATGTCGAATTAGACTATAGAGGCTATTCAAGAGGTTTTGGAAATGTTTTTTTTGCAACAAAGGAGGAAATGTATAGAGCTATTGAATTGTTCAATGGGTATGAATTGGAAGGTAGAGTGCTAGAAGTTAGAGAAGGTCGTTATAACTATTTATTGGAAGAAAATAATGATTATAATTATAGAGATGAAGGAAGATTCGATAATTCAAATGGTGGAAGAAGAAGGAGTAGAAGACCAAGAGATTATTATATGGATGAAGAACAAAGACAAGAAAGAGAATATGATGTGCCAGGCTCAGATTTTCTAGAAGGTATGGTAGGTGGGGGTGAAAAGAATAATTTTGTTTATTGTTCTAATTTGCCATATGCAACTTCGTCGAGTGATTTATATGAATTGTTTGAAAGTTTTGGGAAAGTAGAAAGAGCAGAATTAAAATTTGATAAGACTGGTGCTCCGACAGGTATTGCAGTTGTTGAATATGTTGATGCTGACACAGCAGAAATTTGTATTGAAAGATTGAATAACTACAATTATGGTGGAAATGATTTAGCAGTGTCTTATGCACAACATAACACTAAGTTATGACTTTTCATGAAAAAAAAAGAAAAAAAAACATAACAAAATATAAGATAGAATATGAAGGAATAATAGAAAGAAATAGAGAGGGAGACAAGTTTATTGAGCGATTATAACTGCCCTTATTTGTATTCCTCTGTTTATCGGTCTTTTCTTTATTTTTTTAATTGTAATCTCTTTACATCAATATAACATTAGTATTAATAGCTATGATAATCATGATGAAATATTGTAACATTATACTTTTAAAATATATTAGTAGTATTTTTTTTGTTTAGTTCCTGTGTTGTTTTATTGTTGATATACACCTATTTTGTTGGCTATTTATTTATTACTTATATGCTTTTTGAACTGAAACTTCAAAAGATATTTTGATGTAAAAGAGAAAACAATAAAAAATCATTCCTTCCCAGAAGAAGAAGATTGAATGATTCTCTATATGTTCTCTTTGTTTCCTATTGTGTTTATATATAATGTTATTTGTTTTAAATTTTATACTTTTTTCTCTTTTTGCTTAAGATATTATATATAGCATATATATATATATATATATATATTGTCTATGGATTTTATTTTATAAAGTTTAATTTTTCAGGCTTATCATTTTGATAATCAACATCTGATTCACTTGAAATATCACTAGTATCTTGGTCGAAAATTGTAGAATTTCCTAAATTTGAACCACTTATAATATCAGCCAAAAATGCAAACGAGGAATCTTTAACTAAATCATCGTTTTTAGACTTAGAACTTGTTTCATGAATTATTGTGTTATTTGTCACAGAATTTTCATTATTTGTTTCAGTTTTATTCTTGTGAGGACTTACTGCAAAATCTAGTTTGCTTGGAGATACCCAAATTGGATCCTCCTCATTGGGTTTGCCTAGTAGTTTGCTTGAATTACCATGTCCTTTGTTGTTAATAGGACTTATTCCTGACATCAAGTCTCTCGTTAATCTATATACAACAGGAACTTTATCCTTTTGCTCTAATTTAGGTGCTTCTTTCCATATATTTGAAATAACTGAGTCTTCACTTGTGTTTTTATCCTCTTGAACAAGTACGTTTTTATTGCTATTGTCAAATACGGAATTATTTGTTGTGGAATTGAAAGTCATATTAAAGGAACTAAATTCTAGATCAGCTAATAAGGAATGTGCAGTGTCACTGCATGAATTATTCATTTTTGAGCTATCTAGGGTTTGTTTATTACCATTCTTTGAAGATATAATATCATGTAAATCAGTATTATTGTTAAGAAATTGTTTAGTAGGTGTATCATCAACATTAGAAGATTGAACAGATGTGTTATTGATAGAATTATTATTAAAACTTTTACCAATAGTAGTGTCTTCTGGGGCTTCTAATGTAGTATCCCTTTCTATGGTAGTATCCATTTGATTTGAGTTATGAATTTTATTGAAAACATCTTCAGGTTCTTCCGAGGGTGTAAGATATGGTTTATTATCTAAGCTTTCGACAGATGGATTATAGATACCTTTTAAGTCCTCTTGTGATGCAAAAGAAAGTTCTAACCACCGCTTATCAGGACCTGGGACAATTTCTGATGGGAATGAGAAATCTGAGGTAATGTTGGTATTCTTATTAAAAAATCTATTTAGAGGTACTTTATCAGTACTAATAACTGTGTCAATATTTTTTGAAGGGCTTGTCGCATTATTAATTATCTTGTCAGTATCCTGGACCACTGTCTGATTTACATATCTGGGTGGAGAACTATGTAGCACCTTGAATGGAGAGGGTCCCTTTGGTTTTAATGTTGGAGTGCTTTCAGAAAACATAGATTCAACCATTTTTGTCACACTTTTATCTAGGCTTTCAATAATTACACTATCTTTAGAGTCTTCTTGAATTTCTAGTATTCCTTTGGCATCTTCATTAATATTTTTAGGGGTCGTAAAACTTTTGCCTAATGTAGTGGTTGCAAACTGCTGTAAATTGCCAATCAAAGATGAATCGTTGTAGTTTTCCGATGGTTCTTCAGGTACGCTTTCCATCTTATGCTTTTGTTCATTAGGATCCAATAATAACTCATTATTTAAAGAAGAAATACTAGGAATTCTTTTCCAATTATATTTTGCATCATTTTCATCTAAAACCATTCTCATGCCCTGGAATAATTCGATAAATGAGGGCGATCTTTCAAAGGATATGAATGGTTTCGAAATTTTGATGTTTGGTAGTTGAGGAAAAGCTTGAAACTTGTTAGAGTCATTGTTGGTACTATTTTCTTTAAGTTCAGTAGTTGGTGTGTTTGAATCGGCTGTCGGTTCACTATCACCGATAACGTTCTTTGTCTCAGTAGTTGTATTAAAAGTTGTATTTTCTGGTTCTTGGTTTTTGACAGTTGAAACACTTCTACTGGAGGAAACAGACACCACTGGTGTACTTATTATTGTTGATACTTTAGCATTATTATTATTATCGTTAGTGTCTTTGTTACAAATGGATTCTTCTTGACTCGTAACAGGTTTGGTGTTGTAAGTTCTTTTTTTAATTGTTGGAATATCTTCAATAAAATCACCAAATAAATCATTATTAAAAACTTGGCTTTGAGTTGAAATATCCCCAATTAAACCCTTATTTACGATATCTCTTGTTTTTATAGTTGAATGAGATATTTCTGTTGTATCAAGTTCTGAAGATTCTTTTCCACTATTTGTAGAATGATTATTGTTTATTGAATCATTGGTGTTCTTTTGAAGTGCTTTTGATAGCATTTCATCATTTTTAATAGACTTGTTATGATTTGAAGAAACAGAACCTTCCGATATTCTGATTGTATTCTGATTATCTGTTGAGATGATTGGTTCTTTATTTGTTGTATTACCTTTTTTTGTATTTTCATCCTTGTTTTGTTTCGCCAAATTTATTTTATTTTGATATTTATTATCTGTAGTTTTGGGATCTTTGTAATCTGTATTTTCATTGGAATCATCTGTAATGAGATTTGATTCAACCTCATTTACAATAAGCTCAATGTTTTTTACAAAGTCTGTATTTCGAACCACAGAAGGAATTCTTGCTTGAGAAGTAGATCCCTCATTTTGCAGCTTAACCGATGTTTCAATTGAGATTCCACTATCCACATCTTTTTTGTCTTTTTCTTCTGTGGTAGGCTTTTCTGTAAGTGATGGTAGATTTATATTTGATAATCTATTTCCTTTAGCTGGTGTTTGTATTTTTTTCATTGATTTTGGAGTAGGAATTGCGGTCACATTTTGGTTACCTTTATTATTTAACCTATGGTTGTTGACCGCAATTGGCTTACTAATTTTTGTCTTTTTAGCTTTGGGCTTAGATTTTCCAAAGATATTTTTTAAAACACCAAAAAACTTAGTTTTCTTTTCTTTGTTACTATAAGCAACACTTGGGGTTGGTTTGTTGTTTATTTTATTAATTTCTTTCTTCACTGGTGGTGTAGGTTTTTTGACAGTAGTTTTTTGAATCATATGTTTTGTTTTTGTTGAACTGGGGATTTTATTTTTTTCATGTTTTTCTTCACTAGCAGTATCTTTAAGATCGCTTTTATGACTTCTGAATGTGGTTATAGTACCGTATGATTGTTTATTTTCACTATTAACTTGTTGGAGAATAAATTTTTGACTACTATTATCAGAATTAGTGGAAAGAGGGTCGTCTGTGATATTTTTTATATTATTTAGTAAGCTAATATTACAATTCATTAAATCCTTGATATATGGTGATTTAATAGAAGAATAATATGATATTACGTGTTTGGAGATATTTTGTACGATTTCGCTAACAATTCCGTTAGAGGGATGTTCCATAGTTAGTTTGCCTTTATCTGCTGATAAGATAGTGAACTTGACTATCTCCTCAGTTTCATTTTTATTAATAAATTCAGCAAAGATTGCTAGTTGAAGTTTATGTTTAATTAAAAATGAGGGATTGGGTTTAATATTTAAAACAAGTGCAAATGGTGATTTTATTCTTTCGTTATTATAGGCATCTAATTCATGAGCAGTTGAATACATTGTTATATCATTTTTAACTGCCTTAAATAAATGAAATGCTGTATCTTTTTCCAGAATTTTAGCCTTTGTAATTAAGTCTGAAATATAGGACACACTGATACTTTTGGGGTTGGCTAATTGGCATGTAATTGAGAATGAATTATCCCCCTTAACAGAATCAAAACGTAAGAAAGTCTCGTCATAGACAGACACAAAGACATTGTCAATATAACTATATTTATCAACTTTTAATTTTGGTATCTTAGGAGGTAGTGGAATTTCATTTATCAAAGAATTCATCAAGATATCTGATATGAAAGGTTTATGTATTCCATCAGAGGTGTAATATTTTTCAAAATCAATTATACTTAAAAACACAACATAATCACTGAATATAACAAGGATACTTCTATTATTTGATTTTGATGTTTCTATTATATCATATACTCCAACAACACGTCTTTTTAACCATTTATATTGTAATTCCACTGGCCAACCTTTAGCTAGTTCAGTTAATATTTTTCCAGAAGGCGTAAATACTCTCGTATCATATGAACTTAACGGTTTATCTAATTTCCCAAATGAATCAATTACATCAATAACGTTTGTATATTCTTTTTCAGCTAGTATTTTATTTTTATCAGATGACCACTTTTTCTTGTTTTGATATAATCTGTCAATAATTAATTTTAATTTAATTAACTTCTCTTGGGGTCCTTTAATAATAGTTTCAAGTTTTAATTCCGTATAAGTATTATTCTCTGGTAAAATGTCATGAAAATTTCTTAAAAAGAGTTTAATATCCTTACTAAAATTTTTAGTAGCAGCTTCGTGTCTTGTATATGCTTTATAGAAATACGGTATAGTTAAACTGCAAGCTTTTAAAACTTCCAATGATCCATAAGGTGCTGCAGCTTTTAGTGAGTCCAGAAATATACAATTTATTCTTGTAACTTCATCAATAGTTGGTGGGAATAACCTATTTAATTTGGTGGTAGATAATCCATCGATTTCATTGTTTAACACACGGACTCTTAATGTGATCAAAACTTTTTGCAAAAAATCAACTAAATTATATGTAAAATTAGATTGAAACTGTAAAAATTCATTAATTATTGCTTTCACTAAAGGACCATCGTTTTCAATAGATGATTCATCATCTGGGGGTTTGTAGTTATATTCAGTTTGTTCAGGGGAATATTCGGTGATTGGATTAAATAGTTGCTCTAACTGTTCACCCAAATGGAAAACTAATTTGTTGTTGGCATCAATATAAGTTTCATTATTTTCATATACTACGTCAAGTAAGATAGATTTAATTGATCTATTTGAGGAAAATACCCCTATTTCTTTTAGTTTCTTTCCTAGTCTCTCTGGAATCAGAGATGTGAAAATTTGGCATTTACTACCTAATTCACCCGAATAAGTTTGATCATAGTCAAATTTCAAGGGATATTTAGGTGCAATTACCTGAATTTGATCATTAGTTAATTGTGTGAATTTTTGTAATAAAGATACAGCTAATGCTCTTCTAACGTTTGATTGTTGTTTATCTTGAGGTAGATTTTCGATAGCTGGATAGTATTTTGAGTTATTTGTGATATCAATACATGGCAGCACAGTAAGCCCTAGTTTATCTAATATGACAGAGGAAATATTTTTGGTATCCGGGTCCTTAAATATGATAATTAAAAATGGGCCCCATAATAATTTATCATTGTTATAATAAATAGTAGAATCAATAAGTATTTTATTAAACCATTCTTTGTTTTTGACTTTTGAAAGAAAGTTTTGTAAGTCGGAAGAGTTATTAATGGAGGGTATAAGATTATTAGCCACATGCAATTGTAAAGTTAAATCGGGTTTTTCATCTTTTTTACCCTTGTTATCTTTATTATCACTTTGATTATGATCATTCCTTACTTTCTCCTCTTGGGAGTAGATCGACGATAACTCAGGATTCATCTGCAACATTTTGAAAAGATCAAAATGAAAAGTTAAGGAAAGATAGGGTAAAATATGGAGGTATCTATTTTATTTTAAATAATTACCCTTTTTATACTATGTGTAAATATTATGAATAGTTAATTTTTGGTCAGTTGATATAGTTAATATGTAAATAGAAATATACAGTTGTATGCATCTGTCATTCAAAATCCTTGTGGTTTTGATTTATACCTCGAGAAAAAAAGACAAAATTTTTGATCTGAAAATGTACAAAATAGGTAATAACTTCAAGAAAATTTTCCTGTTTTGTTCTTCGAGAGAGGACCCCATCTAAATAATCAGTAATCATACTTAAAATAACAGATATAGACATAGATATAGATATATAGACAGCAGGAATATTGGTGTCATAAGACTAATAGCTTAGAATTTGTAAGTAGAAAAGTTAGCAAAAAACAAAGGAAGTAATTTTGTTTTACTAGATTTTTTTTTAGTTTTGTATTGGGACGTTTGTATGACACCATTTACATTTTGTTTTTCTTCTCTGAAACAAAAATATAGGATTAGTTTATAGTATAAAACACGTTATTAGGATAAAAAAAATTTATTGCCTTTTGGTATGACTAGAATAAATTTATATAGTAAAATGAAGTTGGATTCATCTTATAAGTTAATTCAATTGACACCAGATCTATTGAAAGTCATTGAACAATCTACTAATAATAAGAAAGAGAAGAAGGAGGATGAGAAGGATGAAAATAGTAGTAATGGTCAAGGCTATAAGACTTTTCCTACAGGATTGGCATTTAAGACGATAGATATGAAAGCTAATCAGATAAATAAAAATGATGTTGTACTTTGTTCTTCAAATAAAACATGGTTATTGAGACAAAAAAATCATTCTAATACAGTTTTATTGATGAAAGAATATAAACCCGATAAAAAGATTGTTTTACCTGAAAACTTGTTATTTGGTAAAAAGGAGCAGCCAACTTTAGATTTACTTGGCTTTAGTAAAACCACATATGAATATGAGACAAAACCAATTCAAGGAAAGATAAATCTAGATTTGATTCCTATATTTGATGGCGAATTGAACTTTGGGAAAGATTTTATTTATCAAGAGAAAGATGAAGACAGTAATAATAATAATAATAATAATAATAATAATAATATATCAAGTCGATATTTAAAAAATTTTGATGAATTGGTGGAAAATAGTGCTTGTTCAAGAGAAGAATGTTTAAAGGAATGGCATGAAATGGGTGGATGTAAAATTAATGGATATATATGTATTTTCTCAGAAGCGTTTATGACAAAGGCATTACATGTTACATTGGTGAGTATATTAGGTGGATCAATTGATATGAATGAATTAGATTTAAAAGAGACTTTTAAATTAGTGACAAGAGATATTGATGAAGATTACAATCCATATACATTGGAAGTAATTAAAACAGTTCTAAATAAATTTGGTACCAAAAGATTGAATGATGGGAAAATGGTTGGTAATGACAATAATAAAATATGTTGGAAGTTAAATATGGATATTATAGCGAAATGGTATGGTAAGCAGGCCCTACTAAAATATGCAAGTCAACATAGTGTACCTATTGATGAATTTTTAATTAAATGGAAGTCCTTATTCCCACCGTTTTTTCCATGTGATATAGATATTGATATGTTACGTGGTATGATATATAAACCGGATGTTAATTCGATTCAATACATGTCACGAGATATATTACCAATGGAACCTAAAGAAAGGTTCAAACTTTTGTTTAAATTACAGAGTAATTGGTTATTGGAAGATATTGCACCATATGTTGAAGAGTTAAATGTAAGAGGATTAAAATTAGATAATTTTATAATGAAATATGCACGTCGTAGAAGAGTCACGTCACCTAATAGCAAAAGTAAGAGTCTAATAATTATATCAAGTAGATAAGATCATGAATTTATATTATCTCGTAAGATTTTATTGCATTGTTTATATATTTTATTAGAGTGATGACTCGAGGAGGGGAGGGGAGTAAACAAATAAAACAGTTTGAGTTGTGAGAATGTCTAAGAACTCTGTTTACGGTTGTGAGAACGGGGGAAATGGTGGCATTTAATATATAATAGTAGCATAAGAGATATCTTCTTAAATTGCCAAAAGAGCAATCAAATAGATCATGAAAAAAAGAAAAAAAAAATAGAGGATAAGAGAAAAGAGTAACTCTAAATCATGTACTCAATTTCAGCTAAATTTTATTTTATATGTTCTATGTATGGTACTCATCCAAAATAATACTCTGTCGTTACATTTGTAATAAGAAATCTACTTTGCCTTATAATTATTACTTTAGTGTAAACTACCATATAATTTTGTATACAATAGTTTCATTTTTCCAATTAATTGTATAGAGGTAGTATCGTTATTAGAAAAATACAATTTTTTACTCCAACTCTAAACATTTTGAATTTAATTGAAAAAAAAAAATATAAACGTTAATATACAAGGTTATGCTTGAAGAGGAAGATATTTTTTAACTGTAACTTTTTCATTTATTAATACATATATTTTATTAAAAGCATATACACATACGGAACCGTCTACTCTATATAATTATATGCTCCAGAACAATATAAAAAGAATTTGCTCTACCGTATGAGAAAAAATGAAACTGTCTTGTCTATATTATACAGGTATGTCGGCTTTATAATCTAGCTTGAATTTACTAACTTACATTAAAGTGTGGTTAGGGCGTGCATAAATACGTGTGGATCCACAGTCTCAAATGTTTAACCCTCTCTTTCTTTTCCCAAGAACGATTCCGTAGCTTTCCGCTCAATCCGCAGGTTTCAGAACGGCGGAAAAAAAAAGAAGTTTTCTGTACACCCATGCACCCTCGCACCCCATAAAACGATTTAAAAAGAGAAAAAGAAAAAGTTTCTGTGTGGGTGTACTGATGTATATATAAAATATGGGGTGTACATCATATATTTGTATCATATTATATATTATTTATATATATTATATTATATGTTTCCCATCACTTGAAGGAAAAAAAAAAGAAAGAATGGGGAATACTGAATTACCGATGTAGAGAAGATAAAGAGAAAGAGAAAGTGGAAGAGATTGTGTAGAACCTGTGTGAGGTAAAGTGGCAGTATTCATTGATTGTAGTTGTGTTGCGGGTTAAACTAGAAGGGTACATTATCTTATTTCTTATTTTTTTCCCTTTATAAAGAGGTTTTTTATTAATTCTTATATTTGTCAACATAAGCAATCTTTAAAAATTATATTTGAGCATTTAGATAAGAGTATATAAAAGACAATTCATTAGTGAGTTTTTTATTTTTATTCATACCATAGATATTCATTGATTAGGTTGATTCCTAAAAGTATATATATTCAAATACCATAACGAATTTTTTGCTATTTTGCTAAAGCAGTATTGATGTTATTATTGAAAAATTCGTCGTTGACTAATAATTCAATTAATATGATCAAAGTCTCGACCACTAATCTAACGTCTGTATCTGTTTATAGGACTAGATTTATTAGATATAATCATATCAACACATGTAGTAAACATATATTTGTTAGACCATATCATGTTACAAGAATAACGAATACATTCAAGGCAGCCACGGCAACTAAAAAGGTTATTGATATTCCAGAGGATTTCGCATTAGAGACGCACACGGATATCCAGGCTGCCACAAAGGAACAAGCTAAACAAAGATCGGCTGCTATGTCCTTAAACGATTCAAATATAATCACAAATGCCGTATCCTCAGCTACTACAGCATTACACCATGCATACAGACAAGATACAGGGTTCGGTACAAGACCTATATATATGGATATGCAAGCTACCACGCCAACTGATCCTCGTGTTCTAGATACTATGCTGAAATTCTTCACTGGGCTGTATGGTAACCCACATTCAAATACACATTCCTATGGGTGGGAAACAAATAAGGCTATTGAGGACTCAAGGAAGCATATTGCTTCTTTGATTAATGCCGATCCAAAGGAAATAATTTTTACCTCAGGTGCCACAGAATCAAATAATATGGTGATTAAGGGTGTACCTCGTTTCTATAAAAAGACCAAAAAACATATTATTACCACTAGAACTGAACATAAATGTGTTCTGGAAGCTGCAAGAAGCATGATTAATGAAGGTTTTGAAGTAACCTTTTTAAATGTTAATAAAGATGGGTTGATTGACTTAAAGGAATTGGAATCATCTATTAGACCAGATACTTGTTTAGTTTCTGTGATGGCTGTAAATAATGAAATCGGTGTTATTCAACCTTTAAAAGAGATTGGTGCAATTTGTAAAAAAAATAAGGTTTATTTCCATACTGATTGTGCTCAAGCATATGGTAAGATTAAGTTGGATGTAAATGATATGAATATAGATATGTTGTCAATTTCTTCCCATAAAATTTACGGTCCAAAAGGGATTGGTGCGTTGTACGTTAGAAGAAGACCAAGAGTCAGATTAGAACCTTTATTGTCTGGGGGTGGTCAAGAAAGAGGTTTAAGATCGGGTACTTTGGCACCACCACTAGTTGCTGGTTTTGGTGAGGCTGCCAGATTATTAAAACAAGAGTTTGTTAATGATGATGCCCATATTAAGAGGCTGTCTAAAAAGTTGATTGATGGGTTGTTAGCTTTGGAACATACTACGTTGAATGGTTCTGCAGAGCACAGATATCCAGGCTGCATCAATGTTTCTTTTGCATATGTAGAAGGTGAATCTTTGTTGATGGCCTTGCGGGATATTGCTTTGTCCTCTGGGTCTGCATGTACTTCAGCATCATTGGAACCATCTTACGTTTTGCATGCCTTAGGTGCAGATGATGCTTTAGCACATTCTTCAATTAGATTCGGTATTGGTAGATTTACTACAGAGGAAGAGATTGATTACGCTATTAAAGCAATTAGTGGAAGAGTCAAATTCTTAAGAGAATTATCTCCATTATGGGAAATGGTTCAAGAAGGTATCGATTTAGATTCTATTGAATGGTCTGGTCATTGAAATATGCTATATACATAAATAGTAATAAGTAAAACTAAATTAGAAAGTTTATGTAAAAATAATTGCATAATGAGTTTTATCTAGTAAATAGTTTTCCGTTTAGTCATATTACCTAAATATATGTTAAATACCATATATGATGTTACTAATAAATATGAAACAAATATCAATATAGATATATTTGTTCTAAGGGGAGCCTAATTATTGTAATAATATAGAAATAAACTAGTCTGTACTGTTATTGAAAGATGTATAAAATTGTTAGAATTTAACTTGTTTTGTTCCATTTAATTAAAGTTCATTAAAAAGGTTATATATAAAAGAATACTACTACATTATGAATATTGAATGCACAGTATTATCTCAAAAAAATGCATGATATATAGATAAGTATACTTGAGGCTTTGTATTGACTTGACTTTTCTATTCATAAGTACTCTAATTCCCTTATATTAGTTTATTTCTATGTTTGTCATTTTCTTTCGTTTTAATATAATATCAATTTGGATGAATCCATTTTTTAAGTTAAAATTTCTTTAATAGATTTTGCAATAGCATCACCAACTTCGGATGTAGAATTGTTACCACCTAAATCAGCAGTTCTGACACCTGAATCTAAAACTTTTCTAACGGCTTCTTCTACCGCTTTACCTTCTTCGACTAAATTCAAAGATAATTTCAACATCATGGCGGCAGATAGGATAGTAGCAATTGGGTTAACTTTACCCTTTGGTAGATCAGGTGCTGAACCATGGCATGGTTCATATAGACCAAAGGCTGTGTTGGTATCGGGTAAAGAAGCCAAGGAGGCAGAAGGTAATAGACCTAATGAACCTGGGATCACAGAAGCTTCATCAGAAATGATATCACCGAACATGTTAGAGGTAATTATAATACCATTTAATTGATTTGGATTCTTAACTAAGATCATTGCAGCAGAGTCAATTAATTGATGATGTACTGTTAAAGTTGGGAATTCTTCTTTAATAGTCTTTTCAACAGTTTTTCTCCATAATCTAGAGGAGGCAAGGACATTAGCTTTATCTAATGACCAGATTGGTAATGGAGGGTTGTGTTGTAAAGCCAAGAAAGCAGCCATTCTTGTAATTCTTTGAACTTCTGGAATAGAATATTTTTCGGAGTCCCATGCTACACCATCACCTTCGTCTTCTTTTCTTTCACCAAAATAAATACCACCAACCAGTTCTCTAACGACAGTGAAATCTGTGCCCCTGGCATATTCAGCTTTTAATGGAGATAGATCTAATAAAGAATCAGATGCAAAATTGCATGGTCTTAAATTAGCATATAATTGTAATTCTTTACGAATCTTCAAAAGACCTTGTTCTGGTCTAACAGCACCAGTCCCCCATTTTGGACCACCTACAGCACCTAATAAAACTGCATCGGCTTTCTTAGCAGCTGCTAAAGCTTCATCAGGTAGAGGAACACCAGTGGCATCGATAGCAGCACCACCGATCAAGTGGTGTTGGAATTCAAATTTAACATTTGGACGAACAGATTCAATGGCATTTAAAACTTTAATGGCTTCTTCGGTAATTTCTTGACCGACGTGATCACCAGGAAGGACAACAATTTTTTTAGTAGACATTTCTTGCTTTATTTTTTTAATCTGTATTTATGTATTGAAATATAGTAATGAGGTAAGTGGAAATTATAGGACAGATGTGTTCTGGGGATATATAAGGAGACAAAATAACAATCCTTTGCTTTACTTTTCTATTTTTCAGAATGTCTTAATAGTTTAGCAAAGTAAAAGGAGCAAGCTAAGAAAAATAGTTAAAGTAATAGGTTGATTTACACATATTTATATATATAATATTTTGTCTGGTAGAGATTACCGAGGATCTATCAATTAGAAACCTCCCATTTGGAATAATGTATCATAAAAAAATTTAATTAAGCCCTTGTATATATCTCAATATGCTTGACCTCCTTTTGAGTCACGATCAAAATTCCGATATTTTCTCCGGTGCCGGAGAGTTGGATTTTCTCTAATTTTGCCGGTTTTTCCTTTTTTGGTAATTTATTCCGTTATGGAAGATATTTTTGTGTTTTTTCTTTGTACAAAATAGGCAATTTTCCGTATTGGAGTAAATTTTCCTAATATGGTAAGTGTTATATTACCTATAATATATTTTATATTTTGTATGAATTTACATAACTTTCAAATCAATCGTCTAAAAAATAAAATGTATTTTTTAAAGGATTGTAAACACAAAAGACAAAAAAACAAAACATTTAAAGTAAATACCTTTACCTAAATATATTTTCACACAAATTATTTTTAAACTAAAATTATTTTTATTATACAAGATTAAGGAAAAAGAAGAATAAAAATAAAAATAAAAATAAAAATTAAATGATTCAGTAATAATATACAACAGATTTATTTATATATACACATAAATATACATATTTATACCTATACCTATATTTCCAAATATGTGTGTAATATCAATTTAATTTAGTTAATAGTTTGTCAATATCAATTTGAATAATTGGTGCAACCGAAGAATTTGAAAGCTTACGTGTTTTCTTTTGTTGTTCACTTTGCTCAATTTTTTTCAATTTATTTAATGCATTAAAGCCCGAAGCTTCTTTATTCAATTTAAATGGTTGTAAAAAGAAATTAACTTCTTGGAAGTTTTCACCAAGAGAATTAATTTCATGAATAATATCTTCAATGCAAATAATACCATATTCACCCAATTTTTCTTCCACAATATTATTATCATTTAATATAATCTCCACAGGTTCTGGATCAGTTTCTCTTTTAAATATAACTTTACTTCTCTTTTGTATTAAAGAACGAACAGATTGTAATGATGGTTTACCAATGACAATATATGGAGAGATCAATCTTAACAATGGATAAGTAGTTTTTGTCAACTTCATAAAGACACCAGTATCCAATTCTTGTAATCTTAATAAATTCAAAATCTTGAATACTTTTTGTGGGATATTAACATTAGTTGGACCCTTAACTCTAAGAACAAAGAGTAATGTTGGTTCACCATTATAGACAATTTTCTCTCTTATAAATTCATCTTCGTTGTTTTCGAATTCTTCGTCTTCCTTCTTTTGTTCTGGTGTCTTCTCAAATACTTTTAATATAAAATTTTTTTCACTAGGCAAATGGTCCAAATCATTTTTCAGTTTCTTCAATTCAACTTTGGAGACTCTTTTAATTCTTTCCTTCTCCCTTTCAGTAGCTAGCGTGTTAGCCACAATAGTTTCTGCCCTAATAAATCTATTCTTTTTGGCAGACTTAAGCTTATTTTGTTTAGCCAATTTCTTTTTTGCTAGTTCTTGTTTTTCTAATCTTATTCTATCAGTATTTCTTCTTTTACGAAGTAATATTTCTGGTGTAGAATTTAATTCCTTCTTTCCAACATTTTGCGATGACATTGTTAATCTTTAAATGTTTGTTCTTCTTTCTTTTATTTACTTATTTTTTTTTAGTTACTTATCTATCTTACTTTTCTTAAACACTAGATAATATGGTACAACAGCAACACGTCTAATCAACTCTTCTCATGCATGCACACACATGTACATACATGGATATGTATCAGCACATTTAAGAATATCTAACTATAGGCAGTTCCTCTAACCAAAACCATCGAACAATTGAAAATAAAAATGGTCATCGCAAAAAAAAAAAAAGAAAATAAAAAAAATTTTTTTAATAAATCTTAAACATCCCAACACTTACATCCAGACACGAATCACGTGATGCAAGATATTTCCACCCAGACACCTGTTACCCCCTCACAATCACAAAAATTCCCGACTTGAGAAGCCACGGGTAACCACGGGAAACGGCACAAGTTGTTATGGCAATACATGGTAAATACAAAAAGCTGCACAGCTGCTGCTAGCATGCGTCAGTGGTTGGAGATCAAACATCACAGGAAAAGAAAGAAACATCAGATACAGACAAATAATCGTATTTCCATATTGGATAAGTTATGTTAAACACACATTAAGCATTTTTTCCAGTTTTTCCTTTTTTTTTTTTTTCCACATAACAATTATAAATAAAATAATTCCAAATTATCATCATATGGACAATAAAAAAGAAATATTAGAAATTATTTCAGTCTAATATTACCAGTATCCATTTATTAGTTAATAACAATATCTCCTACATCATTTTTAAAAAAAATAGCACATAATATATCCTTAGACTATATGAAGGATATATCCAATTCTAAAACACAGAGTAGTACCGTCACTACTAGTTCAACTAACTCAACTAGAACACCTATGAACAAAAATAATACAGGACAATCAACAAACACTCCATATAGTACACCTACTAGAACTACTTCTTCTATATATAATTTATTACATGCAACCACAACGCCAACCACTGATGACACTACCCATAATAAAACATCACCACAAAATGGTGAACCCAAAGGACCTTCTGTCTCTCCCAGTGATTTATCTAAACCAGCTGATTTTCTGAAATTAAAGGTTGATACTGCTCCTTCTGTTCCTGTAACTTCAAATAGAACACCTTCTCCCTCTTTTCCTAATAGTAATAATAACCATAATAAAAATATGCCAAATAATAAACAAGAATCATCAAATATCAATATTATTCCACCATTGAAAAACATAACAACACACTTATTAAGTGAAAATCCAAAAACTAAGTCAATAACGATCCATACGTCCACATCTTCATCCTCCTCACTTTATAAGCCAATTAATTATGAACACAACAGTATAAATAATGACACCAAGACAAAGACATCCTTACCTACTTTGATTCATTATTCGACTACAAATATGTCCAAAACTCTTCATAACCGATTACCTTTACTAAATAAATCCAACTCAACATTAAATCCTATCCAATATAGTCATCTAAACAAAACAAATGGAAGGTTAAACAAAAGGTCTATTTCTACACTTTCAAGTGATAATTTAATGTTTGTAATAGATAATGATAATACTGCTACTACTAATACTAGTACTAATAACCCTAATTCTAGTTATTATAACAATAATCATGACCATATGAGTAAAAAGTTCAAAATATCAAAGAATAATCTTTTTATTACTACTGATGATGATACAAATAAAGATATGGATAAAAATAAACCTCCTGCTGATAAAATAAAGTTAAGAAATAATTTAGTGACTAGAAGGAACACACAAGAATTGATTGCAAAAGGTATTGCAGAACAAAACTTGGATAAGAGCCTTTCTGAATATGCATGCATAGTTAAAAATGCCGAGTTAAAAGTATTAAATATGGATCCTTTAATAATATCAAAGTCCTTAATACAAAGAGCTGAACAAAATAAAGAACGTGAAAGGCAAGTTTTTGCTCTCTTGTGGTTAATGAAAAATTGCGAATCTAAGCATGACTCTTTTGTTCCAAGAAGTAAAATTTTTGCACAATATGCTTCTTCATGTGCTGAAAATAAATTGAAACCTTTATCTCAAGCCTCTTTAGGTAAATTAATCAGAACAGTATTTCCAGACCTCACAACAAGAAGATTAGGAATGAGAGGTCAGTCTAAATATCATTATTGTGGTCTTCGTTTAATTAATGAATCGGAAAGTAATCATAATTATAACCAGCTAATTCAGAGTTATAATAACCAACAAAACTCTTTAGAGAATATTGTTCAACTAGAAAATATTACATCCAAATCTAATGATATTAATGATAGAAATGTTAATACTAATCACTCAATACAAACTGCTGTAAAAACTAAAAGTAAAATCACTCAATTAAATAAAGATATGCATCAGAATAATAGATCATTTAAAAACAAAAATACTATTACTACAAACGACTCTTTTTTAAATGTTGATAGTACAAATTTAAACCAATCAATTAGTTTAAATAATAATAACAGTGATAATATATTCTTTATGAAGAATCTAATTGAAACTATATATGACAATAATGAACTCATCTCCGCAAATTATAAGTTAAATTTTCCCAAGATTACTATAAATCGAGTCAATAGTAAACTTGTGGACAAGGATATTCTGTCATCTTTAGAATCATTATACCAAATATATTGCACCACTATTTTTGAAAATATAAAATTTTTCAAATTTGATCAATTGAATGAAGATTTATTTTCGTTTAACCCGAGTTCTATTTCTCCACAAATGTTCAATCTATTCATTTCAGAAGAATTATTACCATGGATTCGTCAGTGTGACCTGGTTACCTACATTGCCATCATTAAATATTTATCAAACCTTGTTATCAATCATAACAATGTCAATGGTAATACTTTCAATAAGTTAGAATTATTTATTTCGAAATACATTAATCAAATATCGAAAGTCACTATAGGGTTACCGACTCAGTTTGTAGAAATGAAATTAGATATGGCAAAGAAATTCACCACTTTATTGAAAAAACTCTTGAAATTATTGAAATTTATTGCTGGATTTTTAAAAAGTTTCAAATCTTTTAGAAAAGGAATGAAAAAGGACTGGAATTCAATTGTCAATTTAGACGATATCTTGGAGGTGGTCACAACTGATGCAAAACAAATAGAGATAATGGGATTTATCAAAGAAAATGTTGCAATCCGTACTTCCAATCTTTTAAAAGATGATAGTCCAAATTCATTATACAATATAATAATCTCAATTTTAGAATTTATCTCTGAAATTAATGCACCTGCACATGAGATCATCAATGCATATATCAGATTTACAAACGCTCTAATCGGCGATATATCCTTAAAGTCATCAGAAAACTTACTACCTTGGCTGTTTTTCAACAACATTACTGTCCAATTAATTAATTATTCATTGGCTGCAACAAAATTTATATCACAAAATTAACACTATACATTTAAATAGAATAAACACATCACTATTTTATAAACGTAATTCCATATGAAGTATAAAGGAATTTTTTTTTAAATTTTTATAAAATTATATTGCTGCCACATTGTAATAACCTTAACTATACTACATAGTTGTGCACAATTCTTTTTATTGATTTTTAACAGCTCGAAATTACATTTCGTTGATATTGCTATGTATTGATTCACATTATTCAACCATTCTCCGTATCTTATCAATAGTAAACCTATCGTAACTAAGAGCGTTGTTATTGTAATTTGGTGGACCTTTATGATATATGTAATGCCCAATGCTGGGCCTGTACTTTTTAATTAGAAGTTTATTATCAACTAACCAAATAAAAGTAATACGAAATAATTGCCATTAAAACAACCGGTATACAGAATATCATACCATTATTTGAAGATAGTGGTATGACGGCTTTAGGCAACAGTTATTGTATGAATGGTCCGATTGTTCAGACAAAACAAAGCGTCATTATGATTTTTTGTTCTTAAAAATTGTTCAATGGTAAAATTGACTCCAGTAATACCATCACAGCATCACATTAGGCATTATTTAGTACCATTTCTTCAATATTAAACTTAAGAGACTCAATGTTGACCCTCAATAAAAATGATTGATTCATTAATTAATAGATCTATTTATATAGAGTATGCAAAAAGTATTCTTTTTCTTTAATGGACTAATTTACTTCATGAGTGTGCAAAGCCCCGTCAAAATATGCTTCACTCCTGTGACTAATTGAAAACTGCTATTATATACTTCCAGAGTAATACCATCAGCATAATCAATAGCATTTATAGTAAATGTTAACAACTTAGAAGAATAAAATAAGTTCAAACTAGAAGCTTTCAGTAATTGTTCCTTTGGAGAACCAAAAGTGTCTAGTTATACAACTGCAAATTCTATAGTGTTTTAATTTGCAAAAAAGTATGGTGGAATAGATGTTCCTGAATTGTCCTGATGTATTCTTAATTGCAAAACTAAAACAAATTAAAAATGCTGGCCAATTTTGTAAACCCAAACTTAACTAATAATTATTCATAACAAAATAGAAAGACCAATGATATATACACAACCAAAGCTCTCTATCCTTTAAACAATGTTTTCGACGTCTGAAAGTAACAAACAATTCTTTTTCGCTGACCAGCCCATTTAACTAAAAATTTTGTAAGACCTTGCTTAATCAAGCAAGTGAAATAATAATTTTATTTTTTTTCTGTTTGCTAATTCTAGAACTACACTTATTGTTTCTTTACTCCTATTTATTGCAAGTACTACTACACCATTAATTCAATATACTTTTTTCTAATTTCTCTTAGGCTATTTAATAACATATGATCACTCTTCAATCATTTCTCTTTTTATCAACTATTATCATAGAATAACTTAATATCATAGCTTTTTGTACTCTACTTGTATTCTTCTTGTATCAAGTATCGTTTCTTATAGGTCACCACATCTTTCTTTCGTTCGTATCTTTCTAGTACCTGTCTTACGTTTCTTCTTTTTTACATTTCTTTTTATTTTACTAATCATCAAATCCAAATCTAATTTTTTTTACTATGATTAAATGAGACAATATGGGTTAATTTAGATTACACGTCAGAACATTTAATATCAATACATAGAAAGAATCACATTTCCACCGATAATAAGAAGATAAAACAATTATTTCCTTAAATATTTCTAGCTCAATTATTTTATTCAAATAGAATGTCTCTTTTTTTAATATACTATACAGAATGCTATTTAGAAATCACATCTGTTATCATTTTATTAATGAGCAAAACAAAATAAAAAACGATTTATTCCTTACTTCTTTTCATTTTGCTTCATTATACAATTTACCTAAAATACAAATATACAAATAATTATGTTATGACAAAACAAAGTATAAAGAAAACCATAATTAAAATTATTTCTTAGACTTCTTTTTCTTCTTATCTTCAGCTTCATCTTCAGCCTTTCTCTTTTTATCCTTCTTTTCCTTCTTATCTTTCTTTTCCTTCTTTTCCTTCTTCTCCTTCTTCTCCTTCTTTTCTTTCTTCTTGTCTTCTTCCTTTTCTTTATCATCCTTAGTTTCGACTTCTTTAATTAAAGGCTTAGATTCCTTGGCTTCATTTTGAACTTCATTGGAGGAAGATGGAGAAGCAGTAGAGTCACCTTCTACCGGTTTTTCCAAAGAAACATAGGATTTCTTCCAATCTTCTGGAGTATTTTCATTAACACGACCAAACTTATCTAATTTACCATCTGCTTTCAATTGTTTTTTCTTTTGGGCAATTGGACCAAGACCCCATCTTCTTGGGTATAGATCTCTTTCCATAATACATCTCTTTACTGTAGCAACAACACCGTGATCACATGTAGCTAAGTCAACAGTGGACATCTGTGCGATAGCGACAGCAATAGCTTCACCTTTAGTAGTAATTAAAACAACTTCATCGTACAATTCAATGCCTTCTTCATAACGTAAAAGACCTGGAATCATTAATTTTGCACCGTAACAGACAGCATTTACAGCAGAGTCCTTAACAACAATTCTCTTATAACCAACTAAAAGAGTTTCTAATGGAGAAATAATTTTTCTTAAATATGATTCGTCTCTAGTGTTATCATAGACCCATTGGGCATCTAAAACATCATGTAAAGTGACCATATTATCGTTTTCACTTAAAGCACCAGATCTGACACGACGTAATTCTTGCATATGACCACCGACACCTAATAACATACCCAAATGAACACATAATGTACGCATATATGTACCGGCTTCACAAGAAGCCCAGAAAACACCTAAGTTTCTCTTATTATCGAATTCAATTAATTTAGAATCATAAATTGTACGAACACGCAATTGACGCTTAACTGCAGAAATCAAAGGAGGTCTTTGAAATAAGGCACCAGTTAAAGTTTCAATAGCACGGCCTAAATCCTTTTCATCCTTTAGAGCATCATGCAATCTAACAATACACACATATTCCTTACCTGCACCCTGTTGAGATTTAACTAATCTTGTGGCTCTATCGATACAAACAATTAAACAACCGGTAACCTTTGGATCCAAAGTACCAGAGTGACCGGTCTTTTCACAACGTAAGATACGCTTAATCCAAGCAACAACTTCATGGGAAGATGGGTTAGATGGTTTGTCTAAATTGATAACACCAGAACTAATATAGGATTTCAAATCTCTTTTCAATGGAGAAGAACCACATGGAATTGGAGTGTAATGACCACTTCTAACTAATAACTTATCATAGTTTTTCAATAATAATGGCCACTCTGAGGTGTCAACAGAAGCACCAGTATCTTCTGGTTTAATAACAAAATCACCTTTAGACATTGCAGTAATAATATTAATGATTTATTTTATCCTGTATTTAATAAACAGAAAAAAAAATTCTATATTATTTATTCTTTTTGATGGTAATGGGATATTAAATGCTAAAAAGTTTCTTTCCACCCCCTACAGAAGATGGTCCAGCTATGTCAAATGATGTCTTAATAATATTCTTCTCTTCAATACATCTAAAATTTATTTACAGATTCCTTTTCATTAATCATTAGCTATTTTCTTTGTTTCCTCTTCATCAAAGAAAATTTTTCACTATAACCAAAAAAAAGAAAAAGAAAAAGAAAAAGAAAAAAACAAAAAACAAAAAACAAAAAACAAAAAACAAAAAACAAAAACAAGGCAAAAACAAAAAAAAAATCGAGACTATACCGGGTAAACTTTGGTAGATCTATATATAATAAGGTAGACTTTGCAACTGAAGTGGTAGAGACAACGATCACTTTGATCTATAAACAACATACATAGAAGAATGTTACCTATTATTGAAAATGCTTAATATTATAGAAATAAAAAAGAAAATAAGAAAAAAAAAAAACGAACTTAAGTATATTTGACTTTTAGAATAGACATAGTCTTAAAAGCATATACATATGTTTACAAATACATGTGGTAGATATAAACGGGACAAAAATAAAGAATATTATCACAAGAGATTCTTTTGTGACCTTATATAAAAAAAGGATACTTTCTATGTTACCTTATTTAGAATGCTTTCTCAAAATCTTTGATTAATCTACTTTCCACGGCATCAATAAATTCTTCTGTAGTCGCATAACTTGATCTATCGGTCTTTCCTAAAATAAGAGCCAAATCCTTTGTCATGATTCCATCTTCTTGAACTGTACCGATAGTAGCACTTTCTAAGAGTTGGCCGAACTTGACTACCTCAGGGGTCTCATCCAACTTACCTCTTTGTATAATGCCACGAGTCCATGCGAAGATAGAGGCAATAGAATTTGTCGAAGTTTCTTTGCCCTGCTGGTGTTGTCTATAGTGTCTAGTGACAGTCCCATGAGCTGCTTCTGATTCAAAAGTCTTACCATCAGCAGAAACAAGGACCGAGGTCATTAAGCCTAGAGAGCCAAAACCCTGTGCCACAATGTCAGATTGAACGTCACCATCATAGTTTTTCATAGCAATAATAAACCCGCCATGAGATTTCAACATTTGAGCCACCATATCATCAATAAGTCTATGTTCATACCAAATACTCAACTCCTCGAATTTTGCCTTATACTCCTTTTCATACATAGATTCGAAGATATCTTTGAACATTCCATCATATTTCTTTAAGATAGTGTTTTTGGTAGTCGAATACAGCGGCATTTTTCTTTCAATAGCCAATTCGAAAGATGCCCTTGCAAAACCTTGAATTGATTCCTTTGTGTTGTACATTACCATAGCCACACCGCCATCTCTTGGATAATGGAATACATTTAGGACAATCTTCTCACTGTTGGAACTGAGAGAGTTTCCATTATCAACAGAATCTGGTTCAAAGACCAACTTCAAGCGCCCACCGCTTGGAATGACGGTATCGGTGGCCCTATACTGATCACCAAAGGCATGCCTACCAATAATAATTGGTTTCTCCCATTGTGGAACCAACCTGGGAATCCTTGGAATCACAATTGGTTCTCTAAATACAGTACCACCAAGGATGTTTCTTATTGTACCATTTGGTGATTTCCACATTTCCTGCAAATTAAATTCCTTAACACGGGCTTCATCAGGGGTAATAGTGGCACATTTGACGGCCACCCCATATTTCAAAGTGGCGTTAGCGGAATCTATAGTGACTTGGTCCCTGGTTTCATCTCTATATTGGATAGACAGATCGTAATACTTCAGATCAACATCTAAGAAGGGCAAGATCAGTTTTTCTCTAATTAAATGCCAGATGATTCTTGTCTGTTCATCACCATCCATTTCCACGATTGGTGTCTTAACTTTAATCTTGTTTGCAGTCATGATAATGGTATTATTATTGCTCTAAATGTCTTTATGAGGGTAGGAGAAAGTTTTTTTTTTCTATTCCAGATTACAATAACACACTATTTGGTAGTACTTCCTTTGGCAATTCAAAATTTAATATATAGCATACAAGGGTCAGAGTAAAATCTAGAGACTATTTGAAAAATGTTCTAAGTATATCAAGATCAAGGGGGAAACCTTGCAAGTAGTTGCCATTCAATATAGTGAAATCACTTTGAAATACATATATATATATGGATATGGATGTATATGAATAACATAATTCATAAGTAGCCTGAAACTTTTTCATTTCATGATGGATGAATTCTGATTACCATACCGCATAAATTTATTTAAAATTAAACGGGGCGAACAGCAAATCAAATCAAATCAAATCATGCATGATTGATTGTTAGAAAGTAGACTACACTATTTTTATTTTTATTTTCATTCTTATTTTTATCTTTTCTTTTTCTGATTTTTCTAATAGAACAAACAACAACATCCAGATGCCTTTAAACAAACAGGAAGAACGATTTACTAGGCAGTATGCGTTGTCTTTTGCAGTTGTTACATAAAGATGGTTTCTTGTTTCTTGTTTCTGGTGGTGTGCTTGGCGACATTTCGCAGACAACGAGTTTAGTTGTAATATTTCTGTTGTTCTCCCTTATCCCGGGCTGTGCGGATGCCCATCAAAAGAAAAAAAAAAAAATAAAAAACAGAATAGACAGAGCCTTTGTTTATTCTCTATTTTTTTTGGTTGTAGGGCGACCAGCTTCTCGGATAAACGGAGTTTCTATTTTCCTATGCATATTACTCTCTGAGTGTTACCCGAAAAGGAGACATACTCCAAATTAGGAAGATGTGCGTCCCGGTTGGGTAATCTTGTCTGTTTTAGTTTTATTTATCATATATAACAACAGCCTCCTTATTGTTTTCTTCCTTTCCGCCAACCTCCGCTGCCCACCAAATCGCAAAAATGAGTTATATATACATAATAACTGTGGAAGAATGGTTCATGCATAACGTATACATATATACACATACATATTTATCCCCCTCTTCTAATGCAATCTTCTAATTTGAAACCTCTCTTTATCACAACTTGATTTTAATATAAAGCTATGAAACGGATTGATGAATGACAGTAAAGAAAAAAAGCAACAGAAAAAGGATTCCAGAATTCCTTATAGTTTAACTTTCTAAAATTAGAATTATGATGGTATTTACATATTGTTCATATAAAGAATAACCATCTTTTCTCTCTTTTCTTTTCTTTTCTTTTTTTCCTTTTTTTTTTTTTTTTTGATGATGAACTCTGTAAAAACATTATATACATGTATATAAATATATAATGCATGTATTTGTATTTGTAGTTAATTATAATGTGTCCTTTTTAATTTGGCTGTTTTCTTTTTTCTGTTAAAAGAAACCATTTTTGAAATTGGCCGGGATATTTTCAACGTTAATGCGTGATTCTAATTCATCATCTGTAATAACTGTGGCACGGGATGCACCTCTTTGAATCTTCTCCTCATGTTCAATTTCATGTTCATGATGTAGTAGTTCATGCTCTACATCCTCCTTGTGTACAATCTTCACCTCGGGATCTGAATCCTTATGATACATGTTCCAGTGATGGATCTCATATTCCAGTTCAAAATCTGAATGATGGCCAACACCAACTCCTAAATCTGGGAACTTGTTGCCGTGCCTGGCAAAATCTAAATATTCAGACTTCCAGATCTTCGAATCATCATCCACATCCAATAACCTCATTATTAAATTCACAACTCTTGTCCCCATCCCCTCATCAATCTTTTCACTTTCGTCATGTTGACCCATACCATCACCTTTACCAACCACCTCACTTCTATCCAAACCATAAAGAGATAAAATATCATTGGCGTCTAAGTACCCCTTTTTCTTTATATCATGCAAAGCAAAAAATTGTTCCGGCGTATAAGTCTCCAACTGATGTTCTTGTGCCATATGCCATTCTTCCCAAGACTTTCCTTCTGGTGGCTTCTCTGAATCAATATTGATATGTGGATCTCTTAGCTCGTTTTCAATAGACATGGAATTGACCAGGCCTTTATTCCATGATAAAATCACTGCACCATAGGTAACAACTGTGTTTATTCTCATATTTGTATCTATTATTTTCTATTGATCTTCTTTTTTTTTTTTTGTTTCTTTTGTCACTCAATAAAACAATTAGATCGATTCTCTCTCTCTCTCTCTCTCTCTTTACTTAAATTTGGTTTCTATAATTTTTGTTCAGTGTATTATAATATTACCATTAATCATTCATCAAAAAATTTTTTTCCTCTGTTGATTTAACAAAAGTCAAAATTATTTCTACTCGTTGTAATTTTTTTTTTTTTTTTCGTTTTTTATTTTCTTTTTTTTGTGATATTTTTTCCATTTAAAAAAAGAAGATTAAAAATAGTAGTAGCATAAACACAATTATTTATTATTTACGACGGGATCAGTTTGTCTGTATATCCCGATACATTGTATATAGATATAAATCATGCTTAAAAATAACTAATTTAAAAAAGATAATCAACTGTATTTTGAATCTATAGAGTAACAAATAGTACAAAAAAAAATATACAGAAAAAAACTCACTGATAAAATATAAATTAAATAAACATTAAGTCGAGGGTTTAATTATAATGATGACAAATGAAAAAGGAATAAATAAATCTAACATATGACATTAACAAAATGACTAATAAAAATAAAAGAAAAAAAACGAATTAGAAAACCTAAAAAAAAAAAAAAATAAACCAAACATGTCTTTTAATCACATATCATGGCCAACTTTCCTCCTCGTTAATCTTTAAAAACTTTTTAAAAATCATCTTCGTCGGAAGAAATGTAAGCATCACCTAATTCCTTCTTCTTTCTCATTCTTTCCTTCTTCTTCTTTCTTAATTCAGAAGAGGTCAACTTCTTCTTCTTCTTACCACCAGAGATCTTGTTACCCATAGCATCGAATTTTTCTTCATCGTCTTCCTTCTTTTCGATTCTTGGACCAGAACCTTGACCAGTGACCCAGTTGTGACCAGATGGAGTCATCTTACCGTCCTTAACAGCCCAAACTTCATCAGTTAAGTCCTTGGTGAATTCAGCAGAGTGAGTGATAATAATAACACCACCTTCGAAAGCCTTCAAAGCCTTAGATAAAGCACCTAAAGAGTCTCTGTCCAAATAGTTGGTTGGTTCATCTAAGACGATTAAGTGTGGTCTTTGCCATGTACAAGCAGCTAAGACTAACTTAACTTTTTGACCACCAGATAAACCTCTAATTCTAGAGTGGGAAACTAATTCAGCATCTAAACCTAACATGGCACAGTGTTCTTCAATTTCCTTTCTGGTTAATGGTCTGAATTGACCAGAAGCTAAAGCTTCCTTCATATCAACTTCAGCAACCATCTTGGAGTGAGATTCAATTAATTCACCTCTTGGTAACCAAGCGTTGTCAACAGACATCATTGGAACCCATCTTTCAGACTTCATACCAATGTTTTCACCTAATAAGAAAGAACATTCGTATTCGTAGGTGTTCTTGAACTTACGTCTAGCATGGATACCAGCAATTCTTCTTGGAGTACCTTCAATCTTGAAGATCTTGTTCATAGCTTCAGCATCGTTTTCGTTGATTTGTCTGTTAGCTCTGTCCATGGTTTCTCTATCTTCACCAGTTTGGAATCTCCATTGGATATATTCGGATGGGGTCTTGTCTAAGTGAGCTTCAATGTGGGCGAAAGCGTGTTGCTTAATGTAAGCAATTCTACAGTTTTCGTGAGTGTAAACTTCACCAGCAGTTGGCAATAATTCACCAGTTAAGACGTTAATCAAAGTGGACTTACCAGCACCGTTTGGACCAATAACAGCAATTCTTGAAGATAAGGAACATTGGAAGTTAATGTCAGAAATTTGTGGTTTAGAAGTACCTGGGTATTGGAACATCATGTTGGTAACCTTAACAATAGCCTTTTGCTTGGTCTTAACACCTTCCAAGTAACCTGGTTCTGGGAATTTGAATTCTAAGTCAGAAGCACCTAATTCGTAGTAGGACTTAGCAGATGGAACTCTCTTGACTAATTCAGATAAGTTACCCTTGTATTTTCTTAATTTCAAACCTTCGTAGTGGATAATGTATTGACAGACCTTGTCTAAGAAACCAGAGTCGTGAGAAACAGTGATAGAAGTGATACCACAGTTGTTTAAGTAGTCAACTAACCAAGCAACATTAACAGTATCCAAATGGTTGGTTGGTTCATCTAATAATAAGATATCAGCGTTCTTTAAGACAGCTCTAGCTAAAGCTAATTTCATCTTCCAACCACCAGATAAGGATTGAATTGGCATTTGGATCATTTCATCGGAGAAACCGAATTCCTTTAACTTAGCAGTAATAGCTTCCTTAGTACCGACATCACCTTCGTAAACGAAATCAACGACTGGGGTGTCAGCCTTGGTACCATCGATATCGTGTTCGACGTAGACAGTTCTACATTCCTCTTGAGATGGGAAACCATCAACTTGACCGTTGGCAATGGCTCTCATTAAAGTAGACTTACCAGCACCGTTTGGACCACATAAACCGTATCTTCTACCTCTCTTTAATCTCAATTGAGTCTTGTTCAACAAGATCTTGGCACCATAAGCTAAAGAGAATTCACAATTACATAAATCTTCACCTTCATCTTCTTCATCATCAAAGGATGGACCAACTGGAATGTTGTCAACAGCTCTCTTTCTGTATTCATCTAAGATTTCCTTAGCCTTTCTTTCGTGTAAGAAAACAGTCATGTAGTTGGTAATTTGAGTGAACCAAGTAGATTGGTCAATGACTCTTTCGTCAATTAAGTCAGCAGCCATAGCAGCAATGTACTTGACGTAGATGTCGAATCTTGGAGCAACCTTTTCGTCCTTTAACAAATCCTTTAATAAAGCGTAAGTGGTTTCAACGTCACCAGCGTGAGAGATTTCTGGTAATTCATCGTTTTCACCAACGTTACCAACTCTTCTCAAAGTTTTCAAACCTCTTAAAGTGACTTCTCTAGCTTCTGGATCAGCAATAGTAGAGAAGTTATTCTTTAAACCTGGTAATAATTTACCTAAGAAAGGAGCGACGACTTGTGGGTCTTCGACTAACTTACACATGTTGTCGATAATAACAGCAGACTTACGCTTGATAGCGGTTTCTCTTTCGTTCAAACCTCTAGATAATAATGGGACCATGATGGAAAGAGTAGCTGGGGTAACTTCGGCAACGAAAGTAGTAGCACCTAGTAAGTGCACAGTTTCTGGAACCATCTTTGGATCAGCAATACAACCAATCAATTCTGGGATGAATCTTTCGATATCCTTATTGTCGACGGTTTCAGTAGCCTTAGTCATGGTAGCGGTAGCAGCAGCCTTGACTTCCTTCTTGGTATCCCACATAGCTTCAGAAAGAACTGGAATTAATTCAGGCATTCTTAAAGCGACTTGATCCTTAGCAACATCAACTAAAGCGGAGATAGCAGCTAAGATAGCAACCTTTTCTTGCCATTTGTTGGTCTTTTCCAATCTATCAGTTAAGTGTGGCAAGATAGCCTTGATAGCGACTGGGTTGATAGCCTTGACAGTAGCAATCAAACACTCAGCAGCTAAGGTTTGAGTTTCTTTGTCCTTGTCACCAGCCTTTTCACAGATACCTGGGACTAAATCGACAATGAATGGTTCAACAGATGGAGATAAGTTGTTTTCATTGGCGATGTGGGTGATAGCAACTAAGACATTTGGACAAGTCTTCTTATCCTTAGCGGCAGCCTTTAATTCAGCAAAGAACTTTTCTGGGATATCATGTTCAATGATAGAACCGTTTAAGAAAGAAGCCATCTCAACGGCAACAGATTGTCTGGAATCAGCATCAGCGACAGATAAGGACTTGAAAAGTTCTTCTAAAACCTTTAAAGATTCTTGAGAGTCAGCCATTGTTTATCTTAACTTGCTTGACCTTTTAGAGGATTGTCGAGTAGGTGGGGTTATGCAGAAAGAAGGTTGAAAATAAACCAAAACTGGAGAAAATGCTGTAAAAAAGATTCTCCAAACATACAAGCAAAATTAAGCAAATCTGAAGAAACAGTTAAAAAGACATATAGATTAGCTACTAAAATAAGTGACAAAAGTAAGAGTAAAAACGAATGGTTTAGATTTGAAGTAGCTTTGAGTATTTATAAAAAAATGATGCAGACTTTATCAATGATGAATGAAAATTTTTTTCTGTTTCTTTCTTTTTTTTTTTTTTTTTTTTTTACAATGAAAAAATTTTCTTTTCTTTTTTTCTTTTTGAATTTGTATTTCTTTTTCTCATTAGAAACGAAACAAAAGAAAACATAAATAGAAGGAAAATACAAAGAGATGAAAATAAGATAAAATGAAATAAAAAAGAAAATAAAATGAAGAGAGAAAGAGAGAGAGAGTCAGAATTGACGGAAGCCAGTAAAAAAAAAAGAAACGAAAAAAAAATAAAAAAAAAAAGCAATAAATCTAAACACACGTGAAAATAGCTCATCGGTAAAAGAAAAAGACAAAGACAAATTTTACATAAAAAGAAATAATAACATTCTGTAAGGTACGGATGTTAGTGCTTTCTTTTTTCTGTTTTTTCTTTTCTTGGTGGACTACTTTTGAGGTATGGATGTTCAGTATGTATTGTAGATACGATAAAAATGTCACATGCCACCACCATAACAAACATTATAATAGCATAATACGATAATCTGTCAAACTCTGATACAAAGATAGAAGTAAGCATAAATATGGAAATTGATAACTAACGTTCCAATCATCAACAATGGAAGAATTTTTCTTCGATCTTAATATTTGCAGTATTTAATTGTCTAAGAGAATAGTAGAACAATTATCTTTTTATTGTGAGATAACTTCTTTCTCTTTCCTTTCCTTTTCCTTTTATTTTTGTTTTGGTTATTTGTTTGATTTCATCCAAGAGATTGACTTCTAGTATTTACATTACAATACATTAAAGTATAATACACATGGTATTATTATAAGATGAATAGATCTTATAGTATATTATTAAAAGTAACACCGAAAAATCATACTGAATTTTGCAAAAGTTATATATTATTATCTTTTTACACACATATGTAGAACAATATTTTGATATACCGAGAGGTAAATACTAGATATAGTTCCTTACCTTCTCATACCCAATAATCCTATTCTCTTTTCTTTTTTTGGGCCCCATCACCCCTGCGGCTCATCCTTGCATCCTTTCCGAGACATCCCCATTCATATAATTATCTTTATTATTAGACATGACCATTCTTTGTTTCTTTTGCCTACGTTGAATAATAGTAGATGTATTTAAATTTAATTCAAACACATTTGCATGTCTGAATGCATTATTATTACTGCTATTATCATCATTATTATTACTAATATAATTCATATTTGTACGATTGTTATTTTCTGTAAATTCATCCTCATCTCTTATCTCTAATTCTTCATCTAAGGAATATAATCCCTTTCTCTTATTATTCTGATTATTATTTCTATTTGTGCCTATGTCATTACGTTTCACAGCATTACTTATATCAAAAGCATCACGCATAGCAACTGCAGCTGGAGAATATAAAATTGATGGATCTTCTTGGAATGCACGTACTTTCTTGAATTTTTCATGTACCTTGCTTTTATTTCTTTTCCCTCTACCTTTACCGCTAATATTAGTAGCATTGGCAACATTAATTTCTGTATCATATCTATTTAACCACGGATCATTTAAAAATTGGTCTATATTATATCTTCTATCTGGATCTACCTCCAATAATCTAGCTACACAATTCTTCGCACCATCACTGATTTCATCCCACCACGGTTGCAAAAAAGTATATTCACCTCTAGATATCTTTTCTGTCAATAGGTCTATTTTGTCGTCATAGAATGGTGGGAACCCACATAGCATAGTATATAAAACACAACCAATTCCCCACATATCCACTTTCATCGAATATCTTTCATCCCTTACCACTTCGGGTGCTGTGTATCCAACTGTACCACATGGCGTCTTTGTGTTTGTTTGATATATCTGTTTTGATAAACCAAAATCTGTTAATTTCACTATCCCAATACCCCCACCACCGATATTTGGACGAAACACACCTTCATCCAATTTGGTCAATGGATCATCTGATCTACGTAGACGTGGTTGATCTCTTGGAATATATTCAATTGGTTCAAACAACAAATTTTCCGGTTTAATATCACGGTGTACCACACCTATAGAATGCAATGCTTTAATTGCATTACCTAGTTGTTTGATTACATGACGCGATAGATCTTCACTAAAGTATGTATACTTAACGATAGAATTAAATATTTCGCCACCTGTTAATAGTTCTTGTACAATATAATAAAATGAAGAAGTTTCTTTAAATTCGATAAATCTTACTATATTTTCACATTGTAACGAAGTGACCATCTTATGTAAAGTGACTTCTTTGAGCACCTGTTCCAACTTAGTCTGTGATTTCCTTTTAGCTCGGTCTTTTACTTTATTGTTGTTGTTGGTAGTGGTAATGTTAGTTGTCTCTTCATTTACCATTGATAATGTTTCTTTTCTGATTACTTTAATAGCTACTTTTTCTCCAGTTGATAAGTTTATACCTTTAAATACTTTTGAGAATGCACCTTCACCGATTTTAGCGATCAATTTATAACCAATTAATTCTTTTTGTTCGGTAAAAACTGGCGAGTCTATACTATTATCTTGTCCAAGTTGAATATAACTTCCCTCATTACTAAAAGAAGATAGAGAAGATGATACTGAGGAAGCAGATGCAGATGAAGTAACAGAGGAAGCAGAATCAATTGAACTTAATGACATATTTGAATTAAATGTGCATTCAGTAGGTACTTTCCTAGTTAGAAGTTTATCATTATCATTATCGTTACTGTTATCATTATTTTCACGAAACATTTCATTATATTTATCTTCAAGAATTATATCTGCAGTGTTACTATCATCAGTCAATGATAATTGTTCTAGTTTTCTTCTTGTTGGAGCACCCATATCATTTGCATCCTTACTAATTACCCCTTCTCTATTACTATTAGATATTATACTTTGTTTAATTGATTTCCCATGACTATTATTACTACTATTACTTTGATTAACAGTTTTCTTATTTATATGAAATATAGATTTTAACTTATTCATTCTTGTATGTATTGATTCACAAAGAAAAAAAAATAAATACCGGCTTATTAATATTAGTCGATTCAATTTTTTTTCTCTTATAACATAAAAATATGAAAAACAAAAACGACAACACACCAACGTATACACACACCCACAAACACAAAAGAATAATTAAATAACAATTAATGAGTGACCTTGTATATATATATATATATATATGTATATGTATATGTATACGTATTGCACCGTTTAGTAAAAGAATATATTAAAACAAAACAAAACAAAAAAAGGAATGCTTTTCGCTTTTCTTATTTCTTTAGGCACTCCCAAACTTTATAGAAATACAAATTGTTGGGTATCTATGCACTTAGGTATCTTATGTATCTACTGAACTATCTATAAAGTCTTTTAATTTGCATTTAAACAATGCTAAAACGAGGGCTATAAATCCCCATATGTGCCGTATGTGTTTATATATATAGTCCCCTAGAGATAGCATTATTAAATATGTTAAAAAAAAAAAAAATCAAACAAACAAACAAACAAAAAAAAAAAAAAGAAAAAGAAAAAGAAGTGAACAATACTACTACCATTAATACTATGCGGTAAAATAGATACCAGATGGATCGATCGAATATCCGAAATTATGTTACCGTTCTAATTTTTGTTTTTCGTTCACCTCCCTTGACCAGTATCGTTTACCACGAAACATTTGTGCCACGATCACAATCTTCTCCTCCCATTTTCCCCCTCCTCCCCGTCCTCTACCAAAGCAAAAAAGAAGAGTACAGAAGAACAACAGAGAGGAGACATACACACTGAAGACAAAATATAACTCTGCACGGCTAGCGGTAGAGATACTGTTAGAGTATGAACAACACTTTTAAAAAAACAGGAGGAGTGTTCTATTTTTTTTTTCTTTTACTTTTTTCCTGATTACATTACGTCATATGCTTAGAAGAAAGAAACTTGGCAGAATAACTCATGTAAGGGATCCCCTTGTTTCAATAGAGAAAGAAAGAAAGAGAGAGAGAGGGAGAGAGGAGAAACGATGTGCCTGGAAAAACTCACAGATGAGGCTATTGCCTCTGTTTTTTCTACTGAACTATATTTTATATTTGCCATGTAGATTGTAGGACATTCACGCATAATTGTATACAGTTACAATCATTCAAATATTTAAATAAGATATAAGCATTGAGTGAAGGTTTTATTTACAACATATATATTTTACATTATTATCGGCCCCTTTTATGTGTTTATAAAATAATCTAAAATTTAAAATGACAAGAGTTGTGAGAAACTAATAATACCTTACTAAACATTGGCATAGTTCTATCTGTTTTGTTGGTATTATTGCATAACAGATTAAACTTTATTACCCAAAAAACATCTTCTCTTTCTTTTGTAAGGAACGTTTGAATTTTAGTAATAATAGGAAATAAATAGTAAAACTTCTGTAATTTTCTTTTCTTTATTTATACTCAAATTATTCATTTGCTGATTTTCAAGAATCTTCAAACATTTCCTACTTTTTTTTTCTCTGTGATCTATTCATTAAATATATGGTTCCTACTTTCAGATTGTTCATTCTTGTATTTTCATCTATGTCTTTGACACAATATTATAGAAATAATTAGTAGCCTATTAAATTAAACAGTAATCTTTATGAAATACACTCACTAATCTTTGTTACCTCATTTTTAATGTAATATAATTAACAAAAAAAAATAGGTCAATATTCTTTAGTAGTATACTATTTTAATTAGTCTTTAATTCTATAATGAAATGTTATGTTAGCTAAATAAGAATAAACTACTATTGAATGATATCCTGCCTCATACATATATATATACCATATTTGTTGATTTATTATAGTACGAGATACAATCTTATACTCTTATTATTTCCTAAAATACTGGTCTGTATTTCGTAGTGAGCCACTTGTATTAATATGCGGTATTGTTTGTAAATATACCACCGTATGCTTCTCTGTATCAACATGCAGAAAAATACTATTGTTTGCTACTTTTTTTTATTTATTGTAATCAAGAAAAAAAAATAAGAAAGAAAAAGAAAAAATATAAAACAAAAATTGCTAATAATTAACTCATCGATTATGATCTATATATGAAAAGTTGGACTAATAGATTAGGTCCAATGGTCATATTCCAATGTATAAATATATATGACTGTTTTTAGTTATGACTCATGCAAATATACTAGTTGAAGGTATAGAATTTGACAGGAAAAATGGAATATTATCTCTTCAGGATCTGCTGAACTTCATAGATAACCATGATCAAAAGACAATAATTAAAAATAATGAAAATGGCAAGAATTACCAACCTCCCAGGATTAAAAAACCCAAAATTGATTCGCCAAAATCAATCAATTTTATAAAAATTACATTATCATCACAACAAAACGACAGTAATAATACTGTCACTGAAACTCCATCCAATCAAATAATCAGAATACCTATATTTATTACATCTTTTGAATCTGAAGATATTTTATCAATACAATTCAATAAAAATTGGGATTCAACAAAGCTTTTCAACATAAATTTAATTCAAAATCATAAAGATACCCAATTACACAAAAATATTAAAACAATTATCTTGAATAAAGGTAGAGAAAATCTTTTCCACAGTCTTTTAGATTCGAGTAAAATTGGACGTAACCAAATAAATCCAACTGACAGAAGACTTTTGTTAACTAAATTAAGCAAATTGAAAAGATTAAATAAAGACTGGAATCTTAATAATTTAAATCTATTAATTAATAAAACTGATTTGACTTGGTTTTTAGAATTGGATTTGGATTTAATCCTTAAAGAAAACTCGTATAACAAATTTTCATACTTAACATGTCAAATATTGGATATTGTATCCTCACAATATTTAGATTGCAATCAATCTCATGATCCTGATCGCATTTCCCTTCAAACAAATAGTAATTTTATTCAAAAACATTTTTTGAAACAAACTATAAGGTTCACAAATAATACATTATCCAAAATAAAGATTGATTTTTATAATAATAATGGTGGTGATTCTAATCATACAACCGCAACTGTTCGTGTCCCAGGTTTATGTGTGGACTTGTTACCATTTCAAGAAGAAAGTGTTCAGTGGATGTTGAATAAAGAAACAAACTATCAATTTAATAGTTCTCTTAATACAGAAAGCAAAGACCCAATTTCATTAAAGGAATTCTTAAATGAAAAAATAAGTTATGGCTATATCATACTGAACCTAAATAATAGAAACAAATTGTATTGGAATAAATTTACCAACTTTATTCTTACGTACAATCACGCATTATCAATATACAACGATTATATTAAGGATTCCTCTGAGCTTGATGGTGCGAAGGGTTTATTATCAGATGAAATGGGATTAGGCAAGACTATTGAAATTATTGCATTAATATTATTAAACCAAAGAAAGTTGACTTCATCATCTTCTTTTTTAACGCAAGACAACAAAACTATTTATAGATCAAACTCAACTCTGATAATTTGCCCTGATCCGTTATTATATCAGTGGATCAATGAAATAGAAATGCATACAGATAATGGAATAATAAAGTGTTTCAATTATAAGGGCTACCAAGATATAACTCAAAGATTCCAAACTACCAATATTGAGGAAATTGTGAACATTTTACTCAAATATGATTTAATTATAACTACTTATAAAGTTATAAACCTTGAAATCCATTATGCAAAGTATAATGCTAATTTAAGATCGAGACGTAGAAGAAATAATTCAAATAGTATAGCCAACAATGGACCAAAATATGATTATTCATCCCCATTATCACTAATTCAATTTTGGAGAATTATATTGGACGAAGTTCAAATGTTAAAAAGTGATAATACACAGATTGCAAAATGCACCAATTTGCTCCATAGAATTCATACTTGGGGGGTGTCAGGTACCCCCATTCAATATATTCGAGATTTCCAAACGGTTTTATCATATTTACAGATTTATCCTTTCGTCAGCGAGAGTTCTATTATTTTAGATATCCACAATAACTTCAACACAACACTCACTAGGAATGGAATTAAATTTGATTTAAATAACCTTATGAATCTTTTCATAAAATACAATATTTGTATAAGACATAGTAAAAAAGATGTTATCAATCAGATTCATTTGCCAAAACAAACCAACTTTATATTACCATTAGATTTTAATCCTATTGAATGGGATAACTATTTGAATCTTTGGAATGATTTTATTTCAGTATCAGGCTATGGTATGCACGGCCAAAATGAAACAAGGTTGTCAAATAATCAGCTAAACCAATGGTTAGTTAAATTAAGATATCTATGTTGTCATGCAATTATTCCTGATAATCTATCAAATATACTTAATTTGCACAACAATAAAGGTAATATGCGTGGACGAAGAGGAAGAAAGCATTCATACGATAATCAAAAGACATTAACTGAAAAAGAGGGGGAGTCTAATTCAATTAGGAAGATCGATGATGTATTGGTCTTAATGATTGAGGCTGCTACTGATACATTGGATACACTTAATAAAGAAAATATCCAATTAAAGATCAAATCTGCACAGGCTGCTATGGAGCTTCAAAACAAACCAGATGCTGGTATTATCTTACTCAAACAAATGGTTAACAAAATTAAAAAAGATATAAAAGAAAAATTTATGGTTACTGATGATCGTTGCTTAAAGATAACATGCAAAACAAACACAGAAAAATCAAAAATTCGATCATATTTTGATTTATTACATCAGTGCTACTTTTTCTTAGGAACTGGTTACTACTTCTTAGGATCAAAAAAACTGGAATTTGTAGAGGAAGAAAATGAAAAAATAAAAATTCTTTCAAAGGATAGTAAAGAACCATTAGAATTCAAAAAAATCACAGATTTTTATACTGAGGATGAACTTTTGATGATTAAAAAGATGCAAGTGCAAGAAACAGAATATTATCAAAAAGCTGAACAATTAAGAATACAAATACTATCAGAAAGAGCAAACAAAGTTGAAGAAGTAATTAGTAATGTAAAGCATTTGTTTGATTCCAGTAAGAATAAAGAAGCAATAAAAGATAGTGCAAAGGAACAGAAGAAACTGATCACTGAATTACAAGAAATTTACTTTGATAAAAAAAATTATTCATCCAATCCCTCAGTTTCTAACTGTTTTGACTCATTATCGTTTATGATTAATATATTAAATAAACAAAGTGTTCAATTCAATGCATTGCTTAAGTCTCTAATGGAATATTTATATAATCCTGTTCTTAAAAATTATGATGAAAATAATGAGGACAAGAAAGCAGAAGAATATAATCAATCATTGGAAGAACAGGATATGATTTTTGCAATTTTGCACAGTTTAGAGGAATTATTAAAAAATAGAGAAATTATAGTTACATCAGAAGAAGAAATAATAAAATTAAATAAAAAACAATTTGTAAAAAATGATCCTACATTCTCTGAATTTCATTCTAAGTTGCTTAAAAAATTGATAATAATCGATAAAGGTAAATCCTTAAAATCTATATTTAATGATTTGGAAAACGTGAAAATTGTCAGAAAATCTTCAGATACCTTTGAAAAAGAATATGCAAGTGATACATATGAGGATTATTTACTTCAGTATGGCAAAGAAGTGTCTAGAATGATTAAAGAGATTGAGGATATTAAGGAATCAATAAAGACTTTAAATTTAATTTATAATGCAAAAGTTGAGTATTATAGTCAATTACAAAAAATTTCCGACTCACTTATTTCACTAATACAATTAGAACCAATATCTAGAAATAATATATTAAAAGCAATAAGGGATGATAATCGTTTTAATGATAACACGATCACTATCACAAAAGTACAATCAAGGATTAAATATTTAAAAAATTTGTCCAAAATTAAAGAATTGATTGATCGTGGTGAATCATTTAATTGTGCAATCTGCCTTAGTATGATTCATGACGGTTCTATTATTAAATGTGGTCATTTCTTTTGTTATGATTGTATACACAATTGGTTAAAAAATAAAAAATCATGTCCAATATGCAAGATCGATACTAATCAATCAGAGTTATATAATTTTAAATTTAAAAATAAAGAGAGTGTAGAAAGTACTGATGATACTCAGTTGGTTAAAATATTGTCAATCCCTAACAAAAATTTTGAGCCAGGAGATCAAGATCACGCAGGAGCTACAAATATTACTAGCAAAAAAAATGATGATATCTTATTTTGTAACAAGTATGAAAGGTTTAAACAATTTAAGGAAGTTTGTAAAATAAAAATTAAAGAGCATTTTGGTGCCAAGATTGATTTTATGATTCGATTAATCCTATACCTTAAATTAAAGTCTGAGCATGAAGATGGAAAATCTTTACAAATCTTGATATATTCCCAAAATTTTGAATTTTTAAAGGTAATATCTAAAGTACTAAAAATCAATAATATTTCACATTTAACATGTTTAACTAATGTTAAAACAATAAGCAATACAATTGATAAGTTCAAAAAAGATCGTACCATTACATGTTTATTATTAAACGTAAAATCTCTTGGTGCTGGTCTAAATTTATTAAATGTTGAACATATTTTTTTATTAGACCCAATAATAAGCCATAATGAGGAATTACAAGCAATGAGTAGGAATTATAGAATAGGGCAAACGAAAAAAACATATGTTTGGAATTTTATGATTAGAGGTACTGTTGAAGAAAATATTTTCCGATATAAATGTATTTTAGAAACTCAGAAGAATTTATCATATTTAAAACAAAGTCATCACGAATTTAATAGAGAACTAAATGCAGAACCAACTTTTAAAGTTCATAAAAGGAACAAACATGGCAATAATAAGATTAGTAACAACAATGAGGATGATGAAGAATTAGAGTTCGGTGGAGATGCTAATGATCTAGTAACCGATAAACATTTATGGCATTGTTTTTTTCAAACTTAAATAGAGCAATCATCTATAAGTCTAATTCACTTTTTTATAATAAATGATAGAAAATGAAATGCTACGAACTTCTCAATGAACGAACATTTTATTATATTATTATATATAGATACACACACACACACATATATATATATATGTACATACTAACAGATCAACTCAATACTCTATCCAGTTTATCATGATTATCCATGCTATCCATAGCAGTCATAGTTTGTAAAATGTTCCTTTTGCTTGATTCAGCTAAAGATCCATCACACATAATCATTTCATTCAGTATATCATAAGCCTTAGTGAAATTAAAAATGATATCCAATTCACAAACATTACCAAAATAAGCGTCCATAGTTTCTACATATCTATGAATCAATTCTAAAGTCAATAATTCATTACCTATATCTGGTGTTATACCTGCAATGAAGTACAAACTTGCATAACGTCTATACACTACTTTATGATCTGAATAATTTATTATATTGCACATCTTAGGTTTTCTAGCTAAAACTGTTTGAGTTAATTCATTGGTGATTTTAGTCTTTTCTTTACTAGATAATGGGGTATACCATTTCATTAACCTGACCTTTCCTTGTCTGGATATCAATAATAAGTATCTTAATTGAGTCATGAATTTTCTTAGTTACAACAGATATCTTTTCTTTCTCACAATATTTAATTGTTGAGAGTTGTCGAGACTGTTAAATAGATTGGCTGTGTTTTCAGAGGGCGAACATATTCTTAATACTGTTATAAGATTTTATGTAGTTAAACATATCCAGTTTCCTTAACTTCTCTGAATCATTTATTCTGAAAGCTGGAAAATGAAAAATTATGTGTTTATTTACATAGAATGTAAAAACACAGAAACAAATACATCCAAACATATGCACACATGAATGTATCTATATATAGGGGTGATAGTAGATTGTGGGATATATATGTTTAAGTGATATAAAAATTCAAAATGTGTAATGTACAAATTATTAAAGATTTTCTATTAGGATAAAATAAAATTTACATATAATGTGTGTGAATGAGAAAGTTACATAATTATACAGTTATAGAATCACAACTCATTATCGTCTTCTTCGGCAGGTGGGACCCATGGTGCAGGTTTGAAATATTCTTGATCAGCAGCAACATCCTTTTTAAATTTTTCTGAATTATCAGTGAATTCTAGTAAATATTCTAATTCCAATTCATGGCATTGTCTACCGAGGATAACCAAAGAATGTAATGGTTCTCCAGCATCATATTGAGACAATTCTTCGATGGTTCCAACTTTAAAAGTTTGATTTGCAGCACCCAATCTACTAATAGCTACAGCTGGTGTATCTTTAGTGTAGGCCTTTGTTCCACGTGCTTCTTCAATTTCTAGCAGTTGCTCGCAGCATTGAGAGATGGACATATAACGTGGTGGTTCATAGATTAATCTCCCACGAGCCATGTTTTCAAGACTTTGCTCCTTGACTTTAATATCCAATAACACTAAAGTGTGTAAGCCAATCTTACGATTCTCCCAAATTTTATCATACCATGAATCTGGTCTCCAATTATCAGTGAAAAAGACCATTGACACTGTTTGACCAAAATTGTATAACTGTAAACCACAGGAACCAACAGCATTCATAACAGAAGCATTATGAATCACTTCTACTGGAATGCCAGCTTTCTTGGCCCTAAGAACTAAATCAGTGTGTGTAGTAGCACCAAATGGATCACCAACCACCAAAAAAGCCACATCTTTCTTATCTGCATCAAGTAAAATCTCATCAGAACCAGATTCAACTAGCTCTCTATCAGCTAATATAACAGGTTTACCATAAAATTCCTCTAGTTCCTCTTTTTCAGCAGCCATTAAAATACTTGTGTAATGTTCTAAATAAATTCTTTCACATTTTTTAACAGCTTCCAATCCACGAACAGTGATGTCTTCTTTATATGATAAGCCTAAACCAATTAGATAAAACATGGTAATGTTGTAATTTATAAAGAGAGATGAGGTGCAATCGGTTGTTTTGATCACTGAAGGTAGACTAACCACAATTGTAGTTCACTCTTTTATTGTTTTTCTTCTTAAAATTGATATCAATTGCAATAAAGAAAAAATTTTTTGTAGTTTTATATTTTATCACGACACCCAAATTAAAGGAATCAGAATAAATAAAATCTTACTGTTAATAGGGAAAATAATTAAACAATGAGTATGACAGAATATCCGTATATAAAAATGTTATGGTGCATGCAATTAAGGTACCGGCTACTAAATTGCATGAATAGAAAGTGGAAGTATTTGTAAACAAACTATGTGAAAAGGTACAAAAAATAGGTACTAGTTAAGTGAAAAATTAGTATATCCATTTTGTAATACAGAAAGGAAAAAACGATATGGCTTTTGAAACAGTTCAGCCTGAAGGTAACGATATTGAAACACAACTATTACTACCTCATCCAAATACTTTTAATAGCAATTATAAACAAAAGAAAGGGTACCAGCGATATTTGGATCGATTAAGACATCATTGTCCCTCTTATTTTTTTAGATTCTCATTCCTTTTTTTCTCCTTTATTATTCTTATTCTCATATTTTTTATCCTTATAAGAGAAAAGTTTGACAAAATAATACCATCGAATGAGGCTATTCAATCAAATATTCTGGAAATTACAGAATTTGATATAGACCAAATTCATATTGATGGCTGGAAAAGCATAAAAATTGAGTCAAAAAATAAATGCAATTTACCAGATGGCAGATATTTACAAGTATCATGTAAATTACAAACATATTTAAACTATGATTTAATAGGTCAAGGTTCAATCCCGTTTACAGCACAACAAGCTTCATGGTTTAAGTATATTAATGAAAATATTATACAAACAATGTGCATATCTATGAATAATATTACTACATTTAATCAAAAAACAGATAGGGATTCTCCAAACGATAACAGTGTTATGTTGGGTTCATTATTCATTTTGGAACCATTATGCTTGGATCTTCATAATGGAACCATAAACCATTTAAATTTAACACTGTTGATTAAGCCAGAAATTAAAAATATTATAAAAGTGTTAAAGAAAATCTGGGACCATGATTATTCTGGTTTAAAGTTATGGTCTATAGTTGACATGTCGTTGTCTAAACAAGTACCATTTATAAGTCAGTCAATAACCTTTTGGAAATTACATGATTTTACAGTTAATTGGGATAAAATAATCGATTGGACTAAGTTGTTCAAAAACATTAAATTTTTTCGTGAAAATTTTCTTGGAGATCTTACATATGAAGGTATCGAAATGGTGGATACAGTGGACGGGTTCCATATTCAATTGATTATTAAACAAATACTAAATTATGAATGGCTTAAGTTCTTACAAAAGAAGTTTCCATGGTTGAATATTTCCTTTAGAACTGAGTCTATATATATTCCACCATTAGCATGGGATGTTCGCTTACCTGATTGTTATAACAATTTTACAATTGAGTTAACCAATATCACATCGTATTCTGATAACTATAATATATCTAAGGATGTTTTAACAACAAAGATGAACATTGATATGATTGGTAGATTACCAAATTTTCTATTGAAAGAACCGTGTGATGAAATAAACTTTATTACTCCGTTAACGAAATTTTTAAATCATTTATTTAATGATACAGAATCTATTGAATTTCAAGTAAACGGTAAAGTCAAAGATAATATTAATAACGATGATAAACTTTCTGACAGCTTGGTGCCAAATGATGTTCTAGAGGATATTTTTAATGAAGTATCGTATATAGAAATAAAACAGAATATCACCTATAATGTGAGTGAATCGCTTAAAGATCTTATTATAGATGATATGCAACTATTTTGGCAAAATGGTAAATTATCTATTATAGGTACGGTTATTGGATTTATTGATTTTTCATTTTATCATACTAATTTAGAAAGATTTCAAGTCAATAGAATCAAGGGAAATTTGGAATTATATCATAATGAGAAACATTTTATTTCTTTACCAATGGGACAGTGGATTCCTGCAATATCACAAATTATACATGAAAATAATGATGATACTGATAATAATATGCATAGTGTTAATAAAAATTCTACTATATTAAAAGTTCAATTTGATGTTAATGATAATGATATGGAGGTACTAGATAAATATGAATTATCTAAGTGTTTTAATGAAATTCTATTCAAGGGAGAAACAAATATCAAATTTGATAGTATTCTAGATATTGAAACTGAGAGTTTATTAGGTGAAATTGTGCTAATGGGACTTGTCACAAATGGCAATACACTAGTACATTAGATGAAATTAGACTCAGGGAAAAACATCCTGAAGTATATACATAACTAAACATATATATATCCATTTATTTATATATGTGTGTTAACAACTAATGTCAATCCTTCTTTTCTGTTACTTTCACCATGATTTACAAGAATATCTAAATTTTGCTTTATTTGAACAGAAAAGGGGGAAATAAATCTGCGACAAATTTTCGGACATAGACGAAATGACTCTGTAAGTACCTAATGGAGAAAGAAATTAATGAACCATTAGTTAATTTTTTTGGGTTGGTCAAATAATAGAAGAACTTTTTTTTTTCGTTAACTAGATTGTGTTTGACACCTGCATGGTCGTATACAATTATCTGATACATAAGAGAAGAAAAAAGCACATATTGATGTTGTTGTTAGAAGGTCAATAGTAACAAACAAATCATTAATACTGACATATATTTGCATTTCACCAAAAAAAAAGGCAACAAGTAATAGTATATAAATTTCCTAATGCGAAATATATGGGTTAAAAACCTGAAGTGTTTTCGTACTATAATTTCTTATCAAAACAGCGTTTACACAAGTAAGATATTTAATCAAACAAGATCTTTAAAATCAGTTACCATAACAAATACAAATGGTAATAATTTTTATGCTCGACATAAAAGAAGTATTCAATTATTCGGTATCAGTTCCACTTTAATGATTGTATATAATACAAATCAAACTGCTCATGACTCGGCTCAGTATTTAATTTTTTCAACTAAAAGAATTACCATCGTTGGACAAGCAACTTTAAGATGTTTTTATAATTATAAGAAGGTTTTAAGCCAAACATTTAAAGATAGTGAATTAAGAAATATCGAATTAGAGGGCTGTCATAAGAGGTGTGCTTTGATAACATTACATGCGTTACAAGCTAATGGTGGTATATTTATTAAGTTAGGCCAACATATTGGTGCAATGACATATTTACTACCAAGACAATGGACAGAGACTATGATTCCGTTACAAGATCAATGTCCTGAATCATCATTTACTAGTATTGAGGACATGTTTGTTGAAGATATGGGAGTTAGGATGGAAGATTTGTTTGAATGTGTTGATCCTAACCCTATTGGTGTAGCATCATTAGCACAAGTTTATACAGGAAAATTAAAGGAGACTGGAGATAAAGTGGCTATAAAATGTCAACATCCTTCCTTAAAAGAATACATTCCTGTGGATGTTTGGTTAACTAAAACTGTATTTTGGTTATTGGATAAGGTGTTTCCTGAATATCCTTTAACATGGTTAGGGGACGAGTTGCAATCTTCTATTTATAACGAGTTAGATTTTTGTAAAGAAGCTCAGAATGCAAAAAATACGGCAGCTTATTTTAAAAACTTTGAGAAATTAACTGCATTAAGAATTCCTAAAGTTATCAAAGCTGATAAGCGAATTTTAATTATGGAATATGTGGAAGGAAAAAGACTAGATGATTTGGATTATATTGACAAAAATAAAATTTCCAGATCTGAAGTGTCTTCATGTCTTTCTCATATTTTCAATAATATGATTTTTACACCAAATGTTGGATTACATTGTGACCCACATGGTGGTAACTTGGCTATACGGGCTCTTCCAAATAAGTCTGCCACAGGTCATAATTTCGAAATTATTTTGTTTGATCATGGATTATACCGTTTTCCCGATACAGAGACCAGGAGGCAGTATGCAAAATTTTGGTTAGCTTTATTAGACAAAGATAAAGAAGAAATGAAGAAATATGCAAGACAGTTTGCACATATAACTGATGAGGAATTTCCTTTATTTGCAGCTGCAATTAGTGGGCGTAGCATAGAATTTGCTTTAAATTATGATATTTCAAAAAGAAGAAGTAATGAGGAAATAAGTCAAATGACAAAAGGACTTCTTGAAGGCTCACTCCTAACTGATCTTATGGGTATTCTTTCACATATACCAAGAATTGTGTTACTAATATTAAAGACTAATGATTTAACAAGACACTTAGATGAATGTTTACAGAATCCATTAGGACCTGAAAGAACATTTTTAATTATGACCCAATATTGTGCCAAAACTGTATTTGATGAAGAGATTGAAATTCTAAATAAAGAATATATAAAGGAGAAGAAAAGTAAATGGTCTGTTTCGTGGATATGGCAATACATAAAGTATTGGGTCTCTTATCAAAAACGTGTGAATCAATTAGTATTATACGACACAGTTATATGGTATCAGAATCATGTAAATCGTATTTTCAAATGGTTTACTTTTTGAATAAAATGCATAAAAGTGTATGAATTAATATATATATTCTTATTAAATTTTGAGTATTAGAAATTCATATATATATATATATATGTATATCTATATGCAATATTTTATATCAACAATCGTTAAGAATCAAAATTAAGAACATAAAAATTGTACTTTTGTTACAGAATATGGATGGTTTTATTAACTAATATATTACGAATATATACATAATTATGATCGTATCTTTTATTCTATATATTGATATATTTAGAATCTAACTAGAATCTATATTATTCTTCCTATTTTTTTTAAGTGGATAATGACATGGGTATGGTAGTAGCCATAACTATTGAATGTGATTCCTTAATTGTGGGTGTAGGTCCCATCTCATTACCATAAGAGTTTTTACATAGCGGTTTTACTATCAAAGAAGAGCCATTAGTAGATACTGTTAACGAATTTCTTGAGTATATGGAAGACTTAGAAGACTTGTCACTGTATATACTATGGAGAGGGTTAGAATCAATATACTTCCGTAAATCACAGACTTCATGTTCTAACAATATGTTTTCCTCTAGTAATTTATCGTTGTTTTTGGTTAAAGTTTTTGTCTTGTGTATTAAGCAGGCATTTTCGGTTTCTAACTCTTCTACTCGTATTTCCAAATTTCTCTTGTTTATTTGATATTCTTTATTAATTTCTTGCAATTTACTTAGTTCAGTCTGTAATGTTTTTAAAACATTTTCCATTTCATTTTCATACTCTTTACTCACTACATTAACTTCCTCTAGTTGCTTTTCCAGAGTTTTTATTAGTTTAATTGCCCTGGGCAGATCAATATTATCTATGTTAATCATTATTATCAGGTTCGACTGTTTACTTAATTGTTTTTTTTTCCTCTTTTAACAGAAGCAGAAAAGTGTACATATGTGCCTTTATCTAGCTTTCCTCTCTATTTGTAGAAATATATTGGTATTCTATAGTTAGTTTTCAGATAGTAATTACATACATATCTACTTTATAGATTTATAGATATCTCTTTAAACAATTTTTCAGATCATGTCATTAGTTTTCCTTTTTAGGTAATTTAGTAAACAAATCAAAATAAAGTGAGAAAAGAACAAATAAAATAAATAAATAAATAGAGTATTTTCAATCTTTTGTAGAAAAGGAAGAAAAAAAGAAGGAAAGAACTTCTTGAAATACATATTATGCAACACTACGAATATATAATATTGAGTTTATCTTTTTATGAATATGTAAGTGATATATCTACAGAAAATAGGGATATGGTGAAGCAGCGTCTGTGTTTTCCTTAAAATGGTCCCAATTAGTTTCCTTCTGTTTCTTTTCACAATGCTTTTCATATCCTTCTAGCAATTCCCAAGCTTTTGTAGAACCCCTTATCGGTTTCTGTGGAGGTGTTGAGGGAGAAACAAACCTTGTTTTGTTTGGTTTAGAGACGTTGTACTTCCTTGGTCGTATTTCATTAACATTTTTAACTTTCGAATTTGCGTTCGGTTTTTTTCTATGACAGAAATCATTTTTATTGCAATTATGTGTGACACTATTTTTTTTGTTATAAGTATGAGGAGGTGTCTCTGCCGATTTCGCAAATGTTTTTAAAATATTTTTGTCATTTGAGTTATTGGGTTTAATTTTTTGTACTACTGTTTGAAAACATGTGTGATTACTATTTAAAGTGTCAAACTTTCTTGGTTGGTGGGTATATGTATTCAGCATAAGCTTACCCATTGAATTGTATAGTCGGTCTTTGGAACCGAATTGTTCACTTCTGATGGGACTAGAAGTATTGATCAATTCCAATAGATCATCAAATTTTTTGTCGCTATTACTTGGTAATACTTCTAATTCAAGATCTCTATTGATTTCATGTAAATTGATTTTCTTTGTTACGACCAATTCAATAGATTGTTCTGATTTGATCTTTCTTGTAAGACTAGTACATTTATTTTTAAATCGTTTCAATTTACAATTTTTATCTCCTTTTACACATGATTTACTATGATACTGCACCAAACGATTCCAAATACCCTTATTAGAATTTCTTTTACTAGGATTATAATGATAACTTTTCTTTCTAACTCTATTGAATTTTTTGTATGTCATCTCTATACCTTGTTATACCTTGTTACTATTTCCTTTAAATGTTAATAAACTAAGAAAGCATTAAAAAATATATGCCTAAACTTTCAAAGAAATGCTGTGTATGTATTACATAATATGTTAGAAAATAAAATTTTTTTTGTATATTTAACAAATTAATTTGTGACACTTCGTCAGATAGAAATTATTAAATGATGCCAAATAGGAAACATACTGAGCCAGAGTAACTAAGAGATTATTCGTATAAAAAAACTTAGAAAAATTTTGTCCGTGCTTCGTATATAATGATTGCTAAGCCAAAAAAAAAAAAACAAAAAAAAAAAACAGAAACGAAAGAAAAGTTTAGTTTTTTAAAATATTCCCTTTAATTGTATCAAAAATTCGGAAACGCGGAACATTAATTTTTAAATCGAAAGCAGCCATTTTTCATTCTTACCCTCAAAAAATAGTTAATGATACACCTGAATAATTTTACAAAACCTATGATTCCATCTTTTTTTTTTTTTTTGAAAGTTATATTTTATTTATAATTAAAAAAAATATGGCTAAAAAAAGATAATAAGATAATGTAGCAACTTGTTAAAGTAGATATGTTGTAGCATTTATATCTAATTCTTACTCTTTTATTTATCCGTATTGAATGTTAAAAAATAAAGAAAATAGATTGGGGGAATATGACAACCCTAAGATAATATAAACCTAGGTGGATATTGCCATTGATTACGGCATGTTTGATGGCATAACCTAATTTTAGAAAATTGAGTGCGAAGTCATCCTTCTTTTGTCATTCTTTTCTAAAAAGGAGATAGAATAGAAATAATTTCCGTGTTCGGATAAAGAAGATGAAGCGACGTACATTTCTTTCTTTTTATTTTTTTTTTTCTGGCTATTGGAAAACAAAAACATCGCGGTGAGATTTGTTTTTTTTTTTTTCATTTTTTTTTTATTTTTTCGACAATTGACATTGTCAAGAGTAAATAAAAGATGTGAAGTGAAAAGAAGTGAGAAACGAGCAAATCTTATTATTGTCATTTGAAATAAAAGACGGGGTATTCTAATCATTCCTGTACAAATACTAGCATTGCTAAGTTACTCTCTCACAATTCTTATTCTAATCACACTCAAGAAACAAAAATAAAAATAAAAAAATACTGAAATAGTCTTAGTGTAACACAGTTGTGTGTATATGTCTAAGATAATACCCATATTTAACACGCATATATCTTTTTTTTTTAATTTTGTTGAAGTAATTTTGTATTCATTTAAGGACACAATACCTTACCAAGGACATAGTGGTTAAGCTTATTAAAACGTCTGTCTTTTTTTTCTTTATTGTTTTTGATTGAATTATTGATTTAGTTTGTTCATTGAAGTGTGTAGAATAGCTGTGTGTTATAGAATCTTTTTATTTATTACTTAATAGCTATTCATAATAATAATAATATAAATAATGCAAATTACACCAATAGACATAATAGCTACTCAAGTAACACCGCCACCGTTACAACCACAGACAAGTTCTCAAACTTTACCTACTAATAATCAGTTAAATACTACGAATGATAGCTCTGTTAACAAACCTGCTAATAATGTTAGTGCTGGAAATACCAATATTTTACATGGTCTAACTTCAGATAATAATAATAATAATAATAATAATAATAATAATAATAATAATAATTGTAATAAAAATAACGATAACACTGCCACTTTTACTTCTACATCTAATAAAAATAATGGAGAGGTAAAAGTTAAAAGAAAACGTAGAAGAATTCCTTTAAGCTGTACAATTTGTAGGAAAAGAAAGATCAAATGTGATAAGAAACGTCCACGTTGTGAACAATGTACTAAGAGTGGTGTAGGACATTTATGTCATTATATGGAACAGTCTTGGGCTGAACAAGCAGTAAAGGATCTATCTAAAGACATGGAATTGAAACAGCTAAGAGAAAGAGTGAAATATTTAGAAAGAACTCTAAACAAATTACATGGAAATTCCGCTTCAAATTTTGATGGTGCCTCATGTGGACAAAGTTCACCTAATTTGATCGGACAAAGTCCTCATGCAGATAACATTTTAGAGAATAATAGTAATTCTAATAGTAGTTCTAATCTTGTTGAAGGTATTCAACATATTACTTCTGTTGCTAATGAAAATACAGATTTCAATAAAAGTGGTGGCATAAGTGGTAATGTGTCACGTTCTGATGAATTGATTCTAAATCAAAGAGGTAAGTATGATAATGATGAATTGGATCTTACTAAGCAGTTCGATATGTTGCATATTAAGAATAATGGTACAATCCATTTAGGTGCAACACACTGGTTAGCTATAATGAAAGGTGATCCATATTTGAAATTATTATGGGGGCATATTTTTAATATTAGAGAGAAAGTTAATGGTTGGTATTCTCAAAGAATGAAGTTCAACAAAAACATTCAAAATAAAAGATCATTGAAACATGCTACCAAACACTTAATGGATAATAATGGTGGTATTGGAAAGAGTATAGTAGCCAATACACAAACTAATCCAAATGTAATCTTACATCCCCTAAATTTGAGTGCCGATAAATCTATAAAAAGGTGTCCAGTTACTGGACAAACTTCAGAAGATTTTGCAAAAATATCAGCTAACATGTCTAACACTGCCGTAAAATCTGAGGAAAAATCTAATCAAAATGTACCTTTGGTAAAGTCAAATGATCTAGATAACGTTATGATAAAAAGTGAAAAAGCATGTTCCGATAGTTTACCCTCCAATGAGAAACAACCAATGAGATGTCCAGTAACAGGTGCTGTTGCTATCTCTAGTCCATTGGCATCACACTCTTTTGTGCCCACATCAACAGCAGCTTACATTCCAAAACAAGAAACTAGAAAACGTCCTATACCATATAATATAAATCCTGCTGTTAATCATGCCGCAAAGGCAACATTGCCCCCAATTAATAAAATACATCCAACTAATTTTAAAAGACTTGATTATGGTTCAATGACCCGTAAGGAGATTTTACAAAGAGTTGCAAGATTATTACCACCAAGACATATCATCTTCCAATTTGTTAACAAGTTTTTCAGACATATTTATCCAATTATCCCGATTATAGATGAGAAAAATTTTAAAAACCATCTAGAAGAAATTTTGAGTTCACAGGTAGAGGCATTGACGGTCGATCCATCACCATTAAAAATAAGAGTTAGCAAACCATCTGACTATTGTCATTTGGGTATTATGGTTTTAATCTTAAGGCTTACCTGGTTATCACTTCCTGCAAATAGATGTGAACTAAAATTAGGCGCATTCGAGTCTAATAGTGTAAGTAACCCAGCATCTCCTGCGTCCATCTCGTCCACATCTTCTTCGCCATCTGCTAATATGAAAGAAGACAATATGCTTTTCAATTATGAAACTCCAGTAGAATGTTTGGAATTAGTTAAGGATTACTTAATAAAATTTGATAAAATATCTTCGTTATCTAATAACAATATTAATTTAACAACCATTCAGTTTGCTATATTTTACAAGATGTATATGAGTAATTCTCCAACAGAAGGTTTTGTAGTTCCAAAGAAGAATGCTGTTAATAGTATTAGTGACTCGAATGCCCATGATAATGAATCTAATCAAATTCTCATGTCTTCTATTGTGCAAATGGCGTTCAGTTGTGGGTTACATAGAGATCCCGATAATTTCCCCCAATTAAATGTTGTTTCTACTTATCATAATAAGGAAAGTGGCACTACTTTGAAGGAGGCCACTACAGAAGTATCTAGTAATGAAAATAGTGATGGTGATATTAAGAATAAAGAAAATCAAATTGCAATAGAAAGATTCAAGCATACTTGGAGAAAAATTTGGTATTATATTGTTCACCTAGATGTTGAACAATCTCTTGCGATTGGATCCCCAAGATTACTAAGAAATATGAAAGAATTTAGTGATACCAAACTACCATCTGCATCAAAAATTGATTATGTACGTGACATTAAGGAACTTATTATTATTAAGAATTTTACTTTGTTCTGGCAAATAGATTTAATTATTATTGCTGTGTTGAATCATGTTTTAAATGTCTTCTTGGCTAAAAATGTCAGAAAGTATGAATTAGATGCTTTAATTGAGAGCTTAAAAGACTTAACGTATGGAAAGAAAAATATCAGAGCTATTATTAATGATTTAATTAATAAAAATTTATTATATACTTCTGAAGCGTCTGTCAGTTTTGAAGATCATGTCGATGATAGTTATGGGTTACCAAGTTTGGAAGATATATTATTACGTGAAGCTGTCTCAACTCCAAATTCTACTGCTAATACACCTGGGCCCTCTACTTATGATGCTGCAAATACTTTTAATAATAATAGTGAAAAGAGATTCGAATTACCACATGAGTCAACTACAAAGGCTTTATTTTTTACTAAACATTTAATGTTGAGGATGGTTTTATATTTATTAAATTATATTTTGTTCACTCATTATGAACCTTTAGGTTCTCAAGATAGTGGAACTATCGCGTTAACAAAGAAATATGCACAAGAAACTTTAAATTTTGCGTTAGATGGATACAGAAATTGTCTAATTTTCTTTAATAATGTAAGAAAGACATCGCACGCTTACTCTACTATTTTTGATTACAGTAATGTGTTGTTATCTCCATGTTGTTTAGATATTGGTCATCGTTCACTACAATTCCTTGTGTGTTTAACTCTACGTGCTAAATGTGGTCCTATTGGAGGCATTAATCAAAATTTATTCACCAGTAGTGGAAGTGAAGAATCTGAGGGTGATTCAAACGCAGATGACATTCCGCAGAGTAAAGCTATTGTGAAAAATCTTTCAGAGATCAATCCAAACGTTATTAATGATATAAATTTGGATAGTGTAACAGACATGCAATTAAGTGAAAATCTGATTGCAAGAATGAAACTCTTTGAAGATTTGACAAGACAAGTTGCAGTTAAATATCCTTATGCTAGTAGAACATCAAGATCTACTGGTTTTTTTATTACTTTGTTAGGAGGAAATTCATCAACCAAAAAGAATACTCCTAATGGTACAAGATGGAAACATCCTAATATTTCTAACTTCTTTAAGAATGTTCCATCTATGGTATTATCAGGTGAGAATGACCAGTTATCAAGATGTCCAGTATTTCAAGATGCACTAGGTTTTGTCTCACCAAAACCACCTGGAACATCAGATTCTACTAAATTGCCACCAATAAAGTCTACATATAAACCGATTACATATACTAATAGTAATATAAGGAAGTTAGAAAGCAACAAAGAACAGCAGAACGAAAAGAGAAGGAAGTTAAATCCATATGAATTGGATAATGAAAAGAGAAGTGCAAGTAGTGTAGATTTGCATAATTCAAATAAAGTTGCTGAAACAGCTTCCAATGGAATTATTATGTCAAATAGTGGTGTTAATATTATACCACCATTACCTATAATGAACTCGATTAATAATTTGGTTGAGACAATGGGAACTCCAAATGGCATAGCAAACTCCACTAATGATATAAAGGTTAGAAGCGTTAGCAATAATATTGACAATGTCAATCAATCAAACGCAGGATTGGCAAATCGTCAATATGTTAGAGATGCTAATGTTGTGGACAATAACGGAAATGGTAATGGTAATAGTAAAGGTCAAGAGCAGACACAACAATTTATTCCAATGTCTCAGGGTCAAGGTTCCTTGGATTCTACATCTAGTACCCCAATAAATATTCCTTTGGCTCCATCTAAATCAACAGGGAATATAGTTGATCAAAATGATACAATTAGTAGTATGATGATGACTGGTAATGGATTTCCAGATATTAATAATATAGACTTATTGAATGAAGTTGTTGGCAACGATAGTAATTCTAATATGAATGAGTTATTCAACCCAAGTAACGTTATTCAGGCTATTACACAGTTTAATCCATTATTTGGAATGAACGACATGAATAATCCTTATAATGTTAACGGATTTGATAGTAAAAGGAACAGTGGTACTCCTAATCATGCTGGTGGTATAAACACTAGTGGCGCAAATAACCCAGTGTCCCCATATGGAGGAAGTATTACAAGTACTAATAGTAACACTAATTACAAGCCTTCAATTCCAACTATGGATAATCTATATCCTAGCATAAATTCCAATACTAATAATGCTAATCTTAATGTTGGCAATAATATAAATAGTTTTAATATTCAGAGTGGTATTGTTCCTGGAATAAATATGATGAATAATAACGGCAATACACCATCAGTAGGGTCTCAAGGTCAGGTAGAAATGGACTTCTTCATGTCACGTATTGAAGATGGATTTACTGATTTACAAGATTTTACAATTTGGGATTAAACAAAAAATAATGTATTAATTTTTTTATAATTCTGTTTGATAATAGAAACAATGTGACGCCAAAATTTTTATAACAAAATTTTAATTACATTTTGATCTTTTTGCAAAACGATACTTACAACATCGAAATAATAGAAAAGATATTTAATCTGGACTTTTAGATAAAATCAAAAAAGACAAAAGAAAAAAAGAAAGAGAAAACATCATTTAAAATACTAATATGCTTATGTAATTTTAATTATTTTTATTGTTATCGTATATGATTATGATCTTATAAATTTATAATGTATTTGTTCTTTATTACTATTTTTTTTGTATTGTTTTAATATTTGGTTTTTCAACACTTAGATGAATACGGCATAATCAAGATTGAGCAATACATTTGCTCACACACAAATACACACACATATATATATATAGATAGATAGATGTAGATATTTACTAAAGTTGTTTTAATTAAAAAATACTGAATTAACATTATATGAACAATATTTTCCCAGTGTCTCCAATGATCTATAATTTTTTCAAAGCATGAAAACATAAAAGGATCAAGGAGGAGACTTGCATTATAATAACTAAAAAGAAGATGAACTAATAATTAAATTATTTAATGTTCGAGCATAGTTGTATGTGTGTTAGTAAAGTTACATTATAAATAACACAGATATCATAATTAATTGTTTACTTTTCTTTGTTTTATCTCGCGCATTATACCTAGTTGTAATGTATAAGCAACAATACTAGATAATATTAAGAATCTATCTAATCAGAATCTTATTTTAAAAATATGCCTAAATCCTTTGATTAGTTCTATTCTTAAACGTACCTATATTGACATGATTCTTTTCTTTTAATGTAAAGTATTAATATGTTCTATTCCAGGAGTGTTGTTTTTCTTAAACAATCAGGTGAAAAATTTACAGGTATTGTTTCGTTGTTCCCTGGATAAGTTTTATATAATAAATTAGGTAATCGAAAAAACAAATAGACAAACTGAAAAAGAAAAAAAAAATAAAAAAGGAAATACAAAAGGGATAATATGTCTCATGTTGAAGGGAACTTCTCAAATTTTATACTAAGAAGAAAAGAAAGGGGCAAAGAGAAAGTGGAAGTGTTGTAAATTTACCATTGTGGGTAATATAACCCTTATTTTTCGCTTACTCTTTATTTTTGTTGCTATTCCGCACAAAATCGATAAAAAAAAAACAGGTTGTTTTCTGTATCCTGTGTTTGCGTGGAGTAAGGGAATGTCGAGTTTCCCGCGATTATTTGTGCTCTTTCCGGCTGATTGGTTTGACAAGAAAAGGGGAAAAAGAAAGGAAAAAAAGGGATGTCTAGACAAGTCGACTTATAACGATGTTATATAGTTTTTTAAACTGGGTTTTCCTCGAAGAATTAACAAGAGGGACAAGTAAAAACAAAGGGTGAGGTCGAATAACAATAAACTGATCTTACTACTATTGTTGATGTTGCTGTTAATATATTGTATTTTATTTTTTTAATTTGTTTCTTCGTGTCCTTTCTCGAGATCAAAGATCTTAAACAGTAATAACTACTGGTGTTATATATACAAATATATATATATGTATATATATATATATATATATGTGTGTGTGTGTGAAAATTTTTAGGTAGTAGTTATTAACTAAGCAAACGTACCCTTGTTTTTCGAGGATAGCGATTTGTGTGTCTTGGGTAACTTTTTAGCGTAGACTTTCGTATTAAGTATATTTCTATCCTTTTCATATCACCAAGTCTTAAGTGTATCATAATAGTATAATATAGATATTATAACGGCATGACTCGTAGTATCCAAAATCATCTTTTGTTTGAAGTAGCTACTGAAGTTGCTAATAGAGTAGGTGGTATTTATTCCGTTTTGAAGTCTAAAGCTCCGATCACTGTGGCTCAGTACAAGGATGATTATTGTGCAATTGGTCCATTGAATAAAAATACTTATCAAAGTGAAGTTGAAGTTCAAGATTGGGAATCAGATGAGGTCTTTCCAGATAAGATTAAATCCATTCAAAATACTTTAAGATCCATGAAATCTCGTGGTGTACATTTCATCTATGGTAGATGGCTAATCGAAGGCGGTCCAAGAGTATTATTATTCGACTTGGATTCTGTTAGACATTATTTGGATGAATGGAAAGGTGACTTATGGTCTCTTGTTGGTATACCCTCGCCAGAAAATGATGTTGAAACGAATGATGCAATATTATTGGGCTATACAGTAGCCTGGTTCCTTGGTGAGTTGGCGGCAGAAGATCAATACCATGCAATTATTGCTCATTTTCATGAATGGTTGGCTAGTGTGGCTGCACCACTTTGTAGAAAAAGAAGAATTGATGTAGTTACAATTTTCACTACTCATGCAACTTTATTAGGTAGATATTTATGTGCTGCCGGTGATGTTGATTTTTATAACAATTTACAATACTTTGATGTTGATCAAGAAGCTGGGAAAAGAGGTATTTATCATAGATATTGTATTGAGAGAGCTGCTGCTCACACTGCAGATGTCTTCACAACTGTTTCTCAGATTACTGCACTGGAAGCTGAGCATCTTTTGAAGAGAAAGCCAGATGGTATTTTACCAAATGGTATTAATGTAGTCAAATTCCAAGCAGTCCATGAATTCCAAAATTTGCATGCGTTAAAGAAGGAAAAGATTAATGATTTTGTTAGAGGTCATTTTCACGGTAAGTTCGACTTTGATTTGGATAACACCTTATATTTCTTTATTGCTGGTAGGTATGAATTTAAAAACAAGGGTGCTGATATGTTTATAGAGGCTTTAGCTCGTTTGAACTATAGATTAAAGGTCTCTGGTTCAAAAAAAACAGTTATTGCTTTTATTATTATGCCAGCGAAGACTAAGTCATTCACTGTGGAAGAGTTGAGATCACAAGCCGTTGTTAAGGCCTTAGAGAATACAGTCAATGAAGTAACAAAAAGTATTGGTAAGAGGATCTTTGAACATGCAATGAGATATCCAAATAATGGAACTAAAACAGAGCTGCCAACCAATTTAGATGAACTGATTAAACCGGCAGATAAGATTTTATTAAAGAAGAGAGTTCTTGGTCTAAGAAGGGCTCCAAATGAGCTGCCTCCAGTAGTTACACACAATATGGTTGACGACGCTAATGATCCAATTTTGAATAAGATCAGACATGTTCAATTATTTAACAGTCCACATGATCCGGTAAAGATCATCTTCCACCCAGAATTCTTGAATGCTAATAACCCAGTGCTTGGTTTAGATTATGATGAATTTGTTCGTGGTTGTCACCTGGGTGTCTTCCCATCCTATTATGAGCCATGGGGTTATACACCAGCTGAATGTACCGTTATGGGTGTTCCTTCAGTTACTACTAATTTATCTGGTTTTGGTGCCTATATGGAGGATTTAATTGATACCGATCAAGCTAAAGATTATGGTATTTATATTGTAGATCGTAGATTTAAGAATCCAGAAGAATCAGTGGAACAATTAGTCGATTACATGGAAGATTTCTGTAAGAAGACAAGAAGACAAAGAATAAATCAAAGGAATAGAACAGAAAGATTATCCGATTTGTTAGATTGGAGGAGAATGGGTCTTGAATATTTGAAAGCAAGACAGCTTGCTTTAAGAAGATCATATCCAGGTCAATTTAAAGATTTAGTTGATCAAGATGTTAGCGTGACAAACATGGATTCTTTGCCTGGTTCGAGAAAGATTAAGATTGCAAGACCTATGAGTGTCCCAGGTTCTCCAAGAGAAAGAGGCCATACTGTTAATGATGCTGTATACATGACACCAGGTGACTTGGGTACATTACAAGATGCGAATAATGCAAATGATTATTTCCAATTAAGTTTAAATGGCACATCAGACGATGAGGAAGAGACTGTCGCTGATAATGAATGATAATTTAAATATTCTTATAGAAATGAGTCATGTTGAGCTAGCTGGTGGTGTATTATATACAACTGAAAGATATGCTTGGTGAAAAGTAACCAAAAAAATTGTTATAATATATGTATGTATTATATACAAACCATGGAATTTGTTTTAAAAAAAATTAATATTCTGTTTTTTATATTTAGAAAACGTCCATTAGCAGACTAATTAATCAAAAATCGTTGGCCCGTGAATGCATATTTATGATACTATTTGTTCTGTGTATTACACCTGTTTATATGGTATACACAATATCTGTTAGCAAAAGTGTTCTGTTTATCTTCCGATAATTTTTGAATGTTTGTAATTTTTCACATGTTGAATAGCATTATGAAACTTAGTTGGAAATTTGATAAAAGAGAAAATATAACGGATAAGGAAAACTTTTGAAAGCGCATCTTGTTTGCTTAAAAAAAATTACATGATCACTGTTTGGTTTTTTTCAACCTATATTATTTGGTATATACTAAGTGTTTAATTGACAAAATCAGTTGTTATTGTGTAATCTTAAAAAGATTGTTTAATATATCATTGAAAGACATATATTAATATAGGGAGAAAGAGGTAAAGGGAAGCTCAGATCAAACAACCGTATACTTTAATAAGTAAATATATTCATAGGTTGTTACAAAAAACAATAGTATTATATATTACAAAGTCAGTGACAACAAAAAATCAGAAAGAAACAGAACGAAGATGTCAAAGGAAGTGGGTAGTGATGGTATTGTTAAGCCAGAAAATGTCAAAGGTCATATAGTTTCTAAATTTATAACTAGATTGGCAGGTCAACCACAGTCTTATATTAATAGATCAAATTATGAATTTGAAAAGACTCTTGGTGCAGGAACGTTTGGGGTTGTTAGAAAGGCTAAAAAATTGTCTACAAATGAAGATGTAGCTGTGAAAGTCATCTTGAAAAAGGCTTTAAAAGAGAAAGGCGTTGAAGTACAAACATTATATGATGAATTATCCATGTTGAATCAGTTGGATCATCCAAATATTGTTAAATTTAAAGGGTGGTTTGAATCTAAGGATAAATTTTACATAGTTACTCAATTGGCTACTGGTGGTGAATTATTCGATCGAATTTTGAAAAGGGGGAAATTTACAGAATTTGATGCAATTAAGATTGTGGTGCAAATATTGAAAGCTGTTGAATATATGCATTCAAAGAACATTGTCCATAGAGACTTAAAACCAGAAAATGTACTATATATTGATGAATCTCCAGATTCATCAGTAGTTATTGCAGATTTGGGTATTGCCAAAAAATTAGAAGACAACGATGAGTTGATATACAATGCAGCGGGTTCATTAGGTTATGTTGCACCAGAAGTGTTAACAGATAGAGGACACGGCAAGCCTTGTGATATTTGGTCCTTAGGTGTCATCACATATACATTATTGTGTGGTTATTCACCATTTCTTGCAGAGAATGTTGAAGGATTTCTAGAAGAGTGTACAAACCACAAGTATCCAGTTACGTTTCATTCTCCATATTGGGATGATATTTCTCCAGAAGCTAAAAATTTCATCTTAAGAACTTTATCATTAGATCCAAAAGAGAGGCCTACTGCTTCAGAGTTATTACAAGATAAATGGATAACCAGTAAAGGTATTGATTATAAGGATACTAATATCTTACCAAATGTTAGAAAAGGTTTCTCCTTACGTGGTAAGCTTCGTGATGCTATTGAATTAGTTATGATTAACAACAGAATTAGAAGATTGAAAAATCTATATCTTTCAAACGACGAAGAAAATGGAACAGATCTTGACATTGAAGAATTTCCGTTGGCATCTATTGAATCTATAACACAATCATTAAGAGAATTATCGGCTCAAACACAAAATAAGATGGTGAAATTGACGCAAGACCAACAAAGAATCAAATCTTGTTTGACACAGGATGCATTTGCATTAATTGTTAAAGCAGCGGCTAAGAATAAAGATATATTAAAGGGTAATTCAAAAAAGACTGAAAATACATGACCTCCAAATAAGGGTGACCTATTAAGATGGACTGTTGCCACTTTAATATCTCCTAAGAAATTTAAAAAGGAAAAAAGTGAAGTGTCTATATATTTGCATTTGAATTAATAAATCAAGTGAAATGTAAAATTATACATAGATAAGGTTTTTAATTATTAATGTTGTATTTGATATCTTGAAGATGTTTATACTAAGAAATTTTGTATAAAATTAGCATTATAAGTGTCTATTATTATAGTCATAAGTTCATTTTTTCTTTAAAAAGTTTTCAAAAACAAATTTTTGAGTAGAAGTTAGAATTAATAAATCCATTAAATTGTTTTTTATATTTTTGTTTGGCACCTTTTACTGTTATTCTTACATCTTCTAACATCTTCTTTTTCTTCCTCTCCATATTCACTCACTAACTCATTTTGTTGGTAGTAATCACTATCAATCAGTTCTGCCTCTTCTTCTTTTGTTTTCTGTATTTTTTCGATATCATATTCATCAGCTTCATATATCTCATTTTGCCTTTTTTTAACTGATATATGTGCTCCTCTGGTACTACTTCTTAACTTTCTCTTTCCAGGCTCTATTGTCTTGCATAACTTTCTTGAATCTTCAATTTCTTTTAGAATATTAATGATATTAGATAAATAGTCTTTTAATTTCATAATGTGCCCTTTCATCTGAAAAAAATCTGAATTAGTTTGGTTATATACGAGATTACAATCTGTTCCATATTTATCAATAAATTCATCTAATTTATCAATGAAGATTTGTAAAGATGTAGTGTCATTAGATATTTCATACCAGTAGGTGTTTTCAAAATTATTGTTTTCATAGGGATTGGATAAAAGTTCAGATATTATTCCTTTCTTATCATAGAATAGAATTTTAAATTGACTGCTTACTGTGCTATAAAATTCCTTGAATAAAGTTAATTTCTCAAGTTTTTTAGAATTAAATTTTTCAAAGAGTTTCAATAAGTTGATAGCATCTTTAAAAATATTGAAATCATTAGATGAATGTGATATATGCAATTGTGGTAAATATAATTCACCAACACCTGGTATACTACCAATTAAAAAATCTAGCAGTCTTAATGAATATAAATTATTGTCATATGGGTTGTTTAATGGATTGTCTAATATTAATCCTTTGAATAGCAATAACCATTTGTCATACAAAGAAATAATAGCTTTACTTCTACCCTCATGTGTATCTAGGTTATTCAGTAGATCCTTACATTCTTTTAAAACTTTACATTGATCTTTGAATTCTTTTTTCATCGGTCTTTTTTTTTTAATCATATTTACTCTTTTTCTTTCTAAATGGAATTGGACTTGGTCACATAATGATTCAAATGTTTTTAGTGATTGAGGTAGTCCTTCAAGCAAATATCGTGTTGCATAATAACTATCATCTTTAATACCTAAATCTTTCTTAGTATGATTCCAATCCTGAATTGTATTATGAATGAGTGAACATTGGACCAAAAGGTATACTATTAAACTGTCCAAAATAACCAGTCTATCTGTTGGATTTAATGCTAATAAGCCAAGTTTATCTAATCCAGGTGTAAAAAAACCACCACTGTCAATATACCTCCATTCTTTTACAATTCCCCATTCAAAACATTTTTTACGCAACGTTGCAATGTATCTTCTAAAAGGATTACGCAATGTCAAGAAATGATTTAAAGTTGTAGGTTCAATGGCATTATCAAATAACAGTCTCAACAATGTGTAAAATAAATAATTCATTTTATCTTGACATTGCTTAATTTCAGATATTTCTGTAGTGTTTTCATTAATGTTTAAACCATTTTCGAAATCTTGAAATGATAGTGTAAGTAATTCTTTACTGTTTAAATAATTTCGGAATTTGTTTATAAATGACATTATTTTGATAATTTTACCTGCATATGGTATTGGCTTAAAAAAAATAAAGCATTCTTGTTTCCAAAGTTCTTCAAAATTTGTCTTCCAGGTATACTCATTTGGTGTATTATAGTGACAATTTGATAATGGAATAGCTGAACACCAATTTTTAGTAAATAGATCTTTTTCATTGATCTGTGTTGAAGTTGATTTAAGACTTAGTAAACTCATCTGATTTTGCAATCTTGGTTTATATTTTTTTGATTTACCTTCATTATTATTGTTTTCGGTGGGTATTAATAAATCGGAGTTGGAATGTGATTTATTTTTTGTAGAGTCTCTTGGTAGTTGCGTATTTTTATTAATTCTACTAGCATTATTTGATTTATTTGTCTTTTCAGTTCTGCTTAGTTTTGTGGTCACCGAAGATGTCCCAATATGTTTGGAAATTTGTTTATTATCAGAATCTACGTCTGATTTTTTAGCGTCTTCGCCATTTAATGTCACTGTGATCTTTAATTCAGTGCCAGATTTTTTAATAGTATCGTAGATTTTACTATCAGCAATATTATTATTATTATTATTAGCTTTGATATATTTAGCTTTTTTTTGTTTAGGTTGTTGGTCTATGTCTGGTTCACTGTTAGGATGTAATTTTTTGTTATTATCATCATCTAACCTTTTGATATTATCTTTATCACTATTCTTCCTTCTAAGAGCGTCATCAGCTTTTTTCTTTAATATAGAAATAGCTGCACTGTTCGTTTTTCGAAGTAAATTGTTGTCTTTATCAATGGTATCACAATTTTTGTTATTCTTATTTTTTGCAACTATTTTTACTAATTTGAAATCATTAAAGGTCATCTGTCGTTTATTATTTTTAAAGTTGGAGTTAATGTTATGGGTTTCTGTTTTTTGCTCTAGTGATGATTCTGAACATATGTTGGAGTCTGAAGTATTTACATTTTTTGAAGGTATATTATTAATTTTATGGACCTCTGTAATTTCCAAATCTGAATTAGAATTAAATTTTGACATAACTCTATGCAGAAAACAAAACAGAAGAAATGAATGAATAATAAGTTAAAAAAAATTGCCACTGGTTTTCTTAAGGTTGATAATGTATTTTAATAAATTCTTAATTATTGGATAGCCAAGCAGTGAATGTTTTCAAACAGAAATAGTTGATTTAGAGAAACAGGGGAAAAAAGAGTTTACTGAAATCTTTAATAAATTTTGATGAGTCTTAACAAGTTTTCAAAAAGAACAAATCCAATTTCTTGTATTATATATCCGAGTGTATAATGATGACAGTATTTTAAATATTCAATGTTCATAAGGACAGTAAATGAAAGTGAAAGATGGCGTTTGATACTGTTGGAACTTTACTGTCTCTGATGATGTTAAGTGGTAGATCATTTAACATGTTCAAAACTGAATTAATATCGACACAAAATTACTGTATTGGGATTATTTTCTATTTTGGAAAGATTTAAAATGTTAGGGTTTAGATTTTCAGTTTTTTGAGGGTCTATTTTTAGGGTTTGAGTTTTTAGGGTTTCATTTTGTTTTGTTGTATTTCTACCTCCATACTATTGTTTCCTAGCAGAAAGAGAAACGTGATTATATGAAGAGAGAGATGGTCAATATACATGATATAACAGTATATATATGCAAGTATAAACATATAAGTGCGTGTAAAGCAGTAAGAATATATTAACTAGACTATAGACGACAGTACAAACTATTTTTTTTTAATATCGAAATATAAGAATTACTAATTGATTGAATTAAGTTAAGTCAAACGGAGGTATTTTTGTTCAATAGTCACAACAAAAAAAAAAAAGAAAAAACCAGATTGAAAATAAAGGTTTCATTCAGACTTATTTCACTAAATAAACATATATCAAAATATTGTTGATTATTCCTATTTGATTCATATTGTATTTGTTACAGCTGTCTGAATATGTTTAGGGATAGAACTAATTTATATGTTTCATACAGAAGAACGTTCCCTCATTTTGCCAGGGAAAGTAATGACGCTGACAAAACTCATATAGATTATGATGAAGAATCTAATTTAGGCACTTCAATACCTTTATCTGATCCATTTTTGGAAAATGGATATAATAATATAGAAGACATTGAATTAGATAATTTGACTGAATTAAGTACAACAAATAATGACGTTAGTAAAAGGTTAAATAGAGGAACATTACCACCTTTATTCGTTGATATCGCCAGAGATATTGATGATTATTTAAAAGAGACTAGTTTAAAAATGGAACAATTGATGAAGTTATATAGACAAAATTCACTGCCTGGATTTGATGACAAGAGTCATGATGCAAGAGAAATTGAAGATTTAAGTGTCTCCATACTGCAATTATTTCAACAATGTTATAATATAATAAAAAAATTAGAGTCTATTTATTCTACACAGATATCAAATGGGAAACAATTGAATAGAACTGAACTAATCATTCTAGACAACATGACGAAGGGGTATGCCCAAAAGATTCGATGGGAAAGTAATAAGTTTAGGGTACTACAAAACAACTATTTGAAATTTTTAAATAAAGATGATTTGAAACCTATATTTCCTAAAAATGATAAAGAATCATCTCAATTAGTATTAAATATGATGGAGGAGGAAGATCAAATGAATTCACAAGGCATCGGTAACAGCCAAGGTGGTGGTAATGAAGATATCGAAGAATATTCAAGACATACTTTAGAACAACAACAATTGAAAAGACAGGCGCTTACTAATAGCAATCAACGATTATTAGAAGAAAGAGATGAAGAGATTGCACAACTTGCTAATGGTGTATTTGAGGTAAGTGTAATATTTCGTGAGATGCAATCATTGATTATTAACCAAGGAACTATAGTAGATAGAATTGATTATAATTTAGAGAATACTGTAGTTGAATTACGGGGAGCCAATCAACATTTAGAAGGAGCTACACGATATCAAAAGAGAACTCAGAAATGTAAACTAATATTATTGTTAACGCTTTGTGTCATCGTATTGTTCTTCTTTGTCATGTTAAAACCACATAAGCATGCCACTTTGGAGAGTCATACAATAATACAGCATGAGCCAGTAAAGTCTGACGCAGAATCCTCGGATATAGTAGAAGAAACTAGTCATTTGGAAGGAAGTGAATATGTAACTAACGAAAATTTTTTTTGATCATTATCTTCATCCTATATTTTTCCTTTTAAATATGACTGAATTAATTAGTAGTGATAAATGCAAAAAACAATTTCGGAGCAGGTTCATGATATCTTTTAAACTATCGCATTCATGTGGAGAATGATCAGGAAAATTTTATAACAGTATAATTATGGAATAATAGAGGTGGTTTTATTTTGACAAGAATATATTTAATTAGAAGTAGTATGGCACGCATAATGATATATATATTTCAAAATAAAAACGATATAACACATCTGTATAGGTACATAGATAAGTAAGCTATTTTAAGTGTGAGGAATATAAAGAAATTTTTTTAAGACGAATATTAATTGGGAGAAATCTGTTTGTTTATTTTTTTCCTTCTTATTTATCTAAACTGATAGGGATTATTTAATGGAGGATGTAGGTTATTATAAATGTTATTTTTTTCGGCCATTCTCTTTTTATATGCATTCTGGAAATGGTTTGGGCCTCTATAGATATTCATGTTTGTATTTTGCATAGTTGGGTTACTGTAAAATCTCTTTTTTGCCCCTAAGCTTCTTGTTTGTGGTATAAAATTTGGGTTGTTCTGCAGTAACAATTCAGATGAATTTGATCCACTAGAGGTGTAATGTTGTTGATATTGAGGGAATCTTTGTTGAGGAACCATTGGCTGAAAGTATTGATTTATTGGTTGTTGGTTATTTTGCAGTGGGATATTGAACTGTTTTTGCGTTTGTTGATATGGAAACTGTTGTGATGGCTGAACATAATTAAAAGATGTAACACCTGGAGACTGTGGATAGGGTAAAGTTTGTGTCATGTTAGAGTTATTAACGTTGGAATTATAATTGTTCTTGATAGGAGTAGAATAGTTTGTATTACTTGGTCTTTGAGAGATAGATGTAAAATCAGATATATTATCTACACTATCATCTCTTTGTTGAACGTTTTGTAAAGTATTGTGGTTCGAAGATGGTGGATTATATATATCCTGCAATAATTTGTTGGTTGGTAAAGCATTTTTGTGTAAATATTTATTTGAATAGTTTGAAGAAGCTATAGAAGGAGAATTTGCTCTATTTAAAGCAGCATCGTTATCAATAACAGAAAATGCAACGAATGAATCTCTCTTTGCATCAATATCATCTTCTATTTGTTCATTTGTGTTTGTTTCTTCTTCTTTATTGTCCTCAATTTTGTTAATAGAATTAGAATCAGTTTCACTAGAGAAACCTGAAGTTGAATTTCTTTCTAAAGTACCAGTGTGATAATCTTCCTTTTTTTCTAAATAATGACTAGAAGAAATGTCAGTAGTTGAATTAGTTATTAAAGTATCTTTCTGGTATAGGTCAGTAAGGGTATTATCATTATTGTTTTGCGATTCGAATGTGGGTAATACAGTTGGTGCCAATTTTTTTTCAGTGTAATGACTTATATTAGTACCATCAGTTTCAAATTCTGTACTTAGCAAATGGTCTCCATCACTTGTATAGTCAAGATCATTTTCGTCGTTATTGTGGCTGTTGAAATGACCCATGAAAATAATAGGAATATTAACTAATGGTAAAGCTGCAGCCGGGATTAAAAGCCATGAACACCATGTCATATTTGGATAAAACAATAAGGATACGACAATACATATCAAAGAGGCAGATAAAAAACCAAATACAGTAAAAAGGAGATTGATAAAGAATAAAATAGCTGAAAATGTGCTGTTATTCTGTAATGTGACAATAATTGTACTAATGAAAGAGGATAGAAATGAGAAAAAATTTAGTCCAGCTGCTATAGGTGTCACGATAAGAATTTTCCCCAGGGTACCTCTAGCATGGTTATTTATTTTCCAATTATCATTGTTTTCTTGGAATTGAGATGGATTGTACAAGGCGGATGCTTTAGAACAACCACTGCTATCACAATAACCAAAGACTCCATAGGTAATACTATTATATTTTGAAAGTCCTATTTGTTCGAATACTGGGGCTGTGACACAACATATAATTAAAAAGGCCATAGACACAAACTGAAGTACAGTTATTATTGATAATATTATAGTTGATTTGGCCATTATAAGAGTTTAATTATTTTAAATATTTTATTTAACGGACCTTATCAAATATATCAAAGTTATGAAATTGTATGTGGTATTTAGTATTCTGTGTTATTATTTTTTTTCTCTTGTTTATTCTGCTTGAAAACTGGATCGATATTACTGTAGCATGTAATGGTTAAATAAGAGGGAGAAGCAAAATGAAAAGAGTGAATTAATGAACAAAAATGAACTCTTACAAAGTTTTTATGTTAAATGGAATAGAAATTTGCTTTAGCCAATATTGTATTTTCTTTACTTAGCTATGTTTGTGAAATAACAAAATCTTTGGTGGTCATCAACACAATTGTATTTTATTGAATAGGTGTAATTACAAACTTTAGTCAACCAGTTATAAATGGGAAAGTTTAGTTATATTCATATATCTATAAAAGTAATTCTAAGAAAAAAAATTTTTGCTTATCTACGTTTCAGGTATAAACAAATCTGAAAACCCAGCCTCGAGATATTGTCGCGTCCATAATTTCCTAAATAGGAAATATTAGAGATTGTAATAAAAAGAATAAACAACACGTAATAGTTTTTTTCATTGTATTCTCAATAGACAAAAATTCTTTGAATTGATAGGTTTTTGTTCTAAAAATATATCGATAACGAAAATGACAGTAGCAGCTCGAGGGAAAGAACAAAACAGTAAAAAAAAAGTGACAGAATTTAGCGATCATGTAAAGGGAAGTAAGAAGAAAACTTCGCAAAGAGTAGAAATAATTCTTAGAGAAGTTGTACTTATTAATAGTTAGAATTAGATAAGTTGGAAAATTGCAAGAAAGGATTGACAAAGTTGAGAAAGTGGAAATTCTGTAGTAATTTATTACCGCAAAGCATCTATATTCTTAATTATACGTGTCCTTGTAATGTCATTTTTACACAATATGTAAATAGTTATTTAAATATCAAAGGTTAATTTGATTATGTTTTTTAATTCGTTTAGAGGTATACAATTTTTTAGTAATCACTTTTTTAAAGAGAAGTTGAGGTATTGGGTATGAAACATAGTACCTTGAGTAAGTTGGTGAAGGAAGTTACTTTTATAGTTTGTAGATTGGCCTTTGGGGATGGCCAATAAAGTAACTTGGAAGGATAGCCTTAATTTCAAATATACCACACTTGAAGACTACATTAAATAGTACATGTAGTTATATTTTTGGAATAGCAACAATATGAATATATATTTATTTGTATTAGTGCATTTAGTTATCTAAAATAGAAAAAAAAAGGGAAAGGAAAATATGCATCAAATGTACAATAGAAGAAATGGTAGCAAATATTTAATAACTGATTTTTCTTACAGGCTAAAACTATAATTTTTTAGTGTATTTTTTTACTCTAAGAGTATTAATTGAAAATTTGAGTAATATTGAGAGATATTATTTTGTTTAATATTTCAAAAAATAACGCTATTTCCCGATAAAAAGCATGCTTTAGTTGGAAACAAATTTAAGAACGTTGTGTTTAATGAGAAATTGTCAAATTCTAGTAAAATAAATCTCAACAATAGCATATTATAGATTGGGGATAATTTTAAAATTATCAGTAATATTCTCTTGAATTAAATATAAAAATAGACTTAACAATTTATATGTAACAATTTTTTACTTTCAAAATGAAACCCTTATGTTTCACTATTAATTTTTGTAAATTCATAACATTTTCCATTATCTTTGATGTAGTTGAGTAATAAGATGATCAAGTTATTTTAATTAGTAATTTAATTTTTTTTGTTTAATAATGCTTGATTGATCGTCATAATTTATCATGATTTTTTTGTTATTAATACTACACAAGCTTTTAACAGTTTCAGTCTTGCCTGTTATGTTTATATCAACTATTGCAATAGCTATTATTTATGAACATAATATTGTTTAGATTTTATCACTTATTTTTTTTTTTAATTATTATAATTATTTTTGTTACTTATCGTTTACTATTTATTTACTTTTAAGTTATTTTCTTTTTCCTTTCATGAGGAGGTATTTTACTTTTTTCCTACCTAACACATTTCAAGATATGTTATTAATAATTATCTTTTGTTTAAACAGGACTATTACAGGAAAGAGCATTACATAATGAAAAGCACTTGGCTAAAAAAAAAGGGGATAATCTTTTTATTTCAATAGTTATTGCTGGAATCGAACGTTCTAGAATAAATAATAGACCAATTAGATTTTAGTAAACATTAATTGATAAGCAAAAAGTGGAGAACATATTGTTTGCTTATCAGTAGACGTAAACAAACTTCATCATAAATTTGGTGCTATATTTAAATAAGATGTGCCAGATACGAAAATATATTAAACCAACATTTTTTTCATATCATGTTTCTTCCCTTGCACATCACCCATGTTTTATCATTATACATTATATACATAAATAAAAAAACCGAAGAACTTTATTATAATTTTGTATACTAAATCTATCTAATATAATATTGAGAATGTTTACTATATATTCAATGACTACAGGCGCTCATTCCTAACAGTTCTTAAAATAATAAAAAATACCATATTCTATTCAATGGGATTAAGTATAGTAAAATTCTTCTACCAGTAATATATATGTCATACTTAGACTTTAAGAACTCAAAGTTGGATAATAAAATAAATTCTATTGTGATATATAATAACTCAACATTAGTGTAATTGATTTTGTAAGTCCTTTTTTTAACAAAAATATTATGGTTTTTCTTGTTTATGAATATATATTTTGCTTTTTATGTATAATATAATTTATGTATAATATATAGATGACAATTAAGAATCATCTATCACAATTACTATGACATATGAAATTCTGATGTCACCATAAATTATTTTATGATCTTTTTAGACGACGACACTCTTGTTCTTCTTGTTTCTCTTACCTATACAATTATGTTTGTCCGTATATTTGTGTATATTAGTTTATTCTTTATGTAGAGTACTGTTTATATGTCATATATATAGAACAATTCAAGTTGTGTCTATCTATTTTAGTGTCTAGAAGAGTATATCTTTCGTAATCTGGTTTTCATCTATTACATTTTATCTATCCAAGTGAAACATTATCGAGATTTGAACAAGAACTACTGTTATCAGAAACACATAACCTCAGGGTTATTACAATTGTAAAAATTGAAAAATCTCCCGGGGGTGAGTCGAACACCCGATCTCAAGATATCTCAGGAAACGAATCCTTACATTACAGTCTTGCGCCTTAAACCAACTTGGCTACCGAGAGGTAAAGGGACAAACTCTGTTGTGGAATAGAATAGTTATAACCATCAAGATTACATAAGATCCTGAATGAATCTAGAACCAATTAGTGTATTAATAAGCCATACATGTGCTACAACATTAGATGCTGCATAATAAAAAGATTGGATTACATAAGATCTTGGCAAATCTAGAATTTACCTATTGTTTTATTAAGTCCCACGTGTATTACTAATCACCATGATTAGAGAATTGGGATGCAGTTCTAATCCACTAAATTAATGTAATAAATTTTAGGATTGAACCAGTCAGATTATTAATGTACTAATTTAATGTACTAACCTGAATAATCGATCGAGCTCCAGAAAACATATAAAAGGACAACGTTTTCTGGAGATAAAAGACCATCTTCCATAACCGTTTCTTGTGAATAATATATATATTATATATAAACATAAATAAAAAAAAACAAGCAAGTAACAAGTCAAGTAACTTCGAATAAGTACATTAGCTCGATATAAGCCGCTTAATATATAAGACCGTTTTAGTAATTATACTATCGACTATAGTTGATTACTGTCTCGATTATTTGGATTACTATTAATATTATTTGCGCTTCCCTGGAATACACAAAGAACTTCACCACACCAAACTACAACAAACTCTGTTGTGGAATAGAATAATTATAACCATCAAGATTACATAAGATCCTGAATGAATCTAGAACTATTTATTGTCTTAATAAGCCATATATGTGCTACAACATTAGATGCTGCATAATAAAGAGATTGGATTACATAAGATTTTGAGTGAATTTAGAACTATCTATTGTTTAATAAGTCACACATTTATTACTAATGGCCATAACAGTTGTGCCATCTATCATTAGTGCACCTAACTACCATAACTAGTAAATTAGGGTACAGTTACTAATTCACTAAGGCACTTGAATTATTATAATTGTTGGAATTTGGAGCACTCAGTGTCCATGGTAATGGTAGGCATCATTAAGTTATAGATGCTTGTTGTATTGTGTACTAAATACATGTATATACTTATTATATGGCGTATACAGTATAAGTTCTTTTATTTACGTCAAGTTTTCTTTTAAAGTTTTTCATTTTTCTTCAAATCTCTGAAAAATATACTTAGCGAAAAAATAAAATGTCTTCCTGATATTATAGTACACCTGTACACCGCATAATATACAGAAAAACAAATTAAAAATAATTCTTATGGAAATGACAGTAATAAACTCTCATTTTCCAACAAAAGCAATAAATAGTTCTGGATTTACTCAGGATCTTATGTAATCTTGATGGTTATAATTATTCTATTCCACAACAGAGTTTGTCCCTTTACCTCTCGGTAGCCAAGTTGGTCTAAGGCGCAAGACTGTAATGTAAGGATTCGTTTCCTGAGATATCTTGAGATCGGGTGTTCGACTCACCCCCGGGAGATTTTTTAATTTTTACAATTGTAATAACCCTGAGGTTATGTGTTTCTGATAACAGTAGTTCTTGTTCAAATCTCGATAATGTTTCACTTGGATAGATATAAGATATAGACTCTTTCTATATCTCTAGATGTAATATTCCTATATATCTATATATCTTTATCCCTAATCTAAGATAACCTAATAGTATACATTTATATACTATATATCTAAACTTATGTAATACTTTTTTTGTTCCCTGTTTCTTATTCTTATTCGTTGCTTGGTTGTTGTTCTTCTTGGTTGCTCTCTTATACTTGTGTTGGTTACTCCTGTTTTTATGTATGTTTGTAAAATTTTGCAAAAAGGAAAGTTTAGAAAAATATCATCAACCCTCCTTTTTCTAAACAAACCCTAAATAGTAATATCAGGGATATTACTGTGACAAAAAGAATCGTCACAGACAGGATTCGAACCTGCGAAGGTAAAACCCAATGCCTCACAGCTACTTCTACGAAATAGCAGGGCATCGCCTTAACCACTCGGCCACTGGGACAATGCTAGACGCTGCTTGTTGTAGTTTGGACTTAGGACCAATTTTTTTAACAGTACTATTGAACGAATAGTAAGGGCAATAACAAATATATAAGAACGTTATATATATCTAAGAGAATTAAACGATTATTGCTTTTTTTTTGTATTATACAATGTGCTACATATTTATAAATCAACCAAACATATAAATTTAGATACCAAGATACTGGTCCTTTATATATGAACTATGGGTTGATAGTTTCTTATTTGAGGTTCTGTAACGATTGTCACCGTAAACACATCTCTCATTGATGCCTCATTAAGGTCTCATTAATGTTGCATTTTGTTACTTAGTATTCAACAGTCACATGGAATTTATTAACAAACCCTAAGTTCTATAAATCCAAACTAGAACTCTTTCATGACATTTATTACAGAATCCTAATAATAGTTTTTCAACCCTAATCCTTTTTTTAATCATAGATTTAAGCTTGGTCTACAACAATTTTTGTTATGTTTATAGATTATCTTTAGTCGTATTAATTAGTGGAGAAGCACGAGCAATATCAATTTGACATTCAATATTTGAAGACAGTGCAATTTTTACAGGCGGTTATACAATTACTATTCGGTCATATATATTAATAGGCGCTTTATTAGTTCTATTGAGTTTACATACTTATCGCTGTTCTTTTTTATTTTATATAATTTATCTATATAAGAGAGGAATTACGGAAGATAGCTTTATTTTTTAGATAGTGTTGTACTTTTATTTGTTTCTGAAACTTGATCAATCATTCAATTTGAGACATTAATAGATTTGTAATCCACATCCTACTTATTAATTGTAATAATTTAATAGAACCACATGGGACATTTAGGACAATAAGTTATGGTGGTGAAAAAATATTTCGCAGCAGTGCCATATTATTATATAACATTTCTTGTTGCTAATAGTAGGATACGCATACTGTAATCTGAATTGAGATTTAAAGTGAACAAAAATATGTAAGGATTTGAAAAAGAATAAATTAGTATTGTTTTACAACAGATAAGATAGAAAAGCTGACCTTTTAACTACATTGAGTCGGACAAAGAGTAACAGGTTGTCCTGTCACCTATTGTCTAAGATATTATGCTCTTCTTGTAAGAAACCCTAGTTGAAAATCTAGAAATACGTAGTCGATGAGTAAGACTGAATGTTGAGTCTAAGAAGTTGGAAGAGCCAAGATTCTAGGCTCAGGTTGTGATTATATTCGAACAAACAAATACTTGTTCGATTAATGTCGGTGGTAAATTATTGAGAAATTTATTTGAGAGACTTCTGATTACTGAGAATTTGTGTTAGAGATAATTACCAACATCAACATTTGTATTCCATCAAACAGGATCTGCCTAGAATATGGGATACTTAAATAACTAGCTAGAAAGTAATAACTAGGGATAATTCAAGATAATTGATTTATTAATTAAGAACCAACTAGTGTGTAAACTGTAAGTGCTTCCCTATATCGTTAACATCCAGTTTTTAGTAAATCGCTTGTAATACCCCTTATATAATCATTTATAGTTAAATAATGATGATATAAAATTTTGATGCATTAATTTTAGCGTTCTATTATTTCATCTTGATGTTAAAGCATTGAGTAGAGTATTGGTGGTAAATTTTGTGGTAGTAAAATTATTTAACAAGTTTTGTAATAATGTAATTAAAAAATGGGCACATGGAATCAATGTAAACATCTTTGGGAGGGAGGAGGTTAATTGATGCATATTTATTTTTATATTCAGAACCATTACAATTATTGACTACTATGAAAGTAATACTGAGGGCCTTAAAATAAAGCTAGATCATTATTAAACTTAATTGAATAACATTTTCCCTCCTCTAAATTTTTTCCAGTGATTATATAAATTTCAAAAGAAAAGTATCAGACAGATGAAAAATTGGCTTACGAGTCCTTCATCTAGAGTGAGATTATATGAGTTAATTAACCAATATATATATTCTTAATTCTTAATAAACGCCCTATGATTATTTGTCTCTTCATTTGTTATAAATACGTAATTTAATAAATTATCTTAGTAATTGTTGTTTGCTTATTACAAAAAAATTTGAATAAAAATATGATTTAACTCTTAATAACTGTTTATTGGCTCTTTTTAGTGTCATTCTCTTCTACTAATCAGTTGATGTATTCCAACAATTCTTTCTAATGTTAGATTTATACATTTGTATAAGTAATTTATTTACCAGTAATGGGGTATTCCATATAATTCAAATTTCCAGCAACTAAGGACTCATATATCCATGGTTTTATAAAATTTTTGTCAGGTTTTGGTAATAGTGCATTAAACATGTACAGGAAACCTCTATACTTAAACATTAAAACAAGAATAGTCAAGTGTTGGAGTCAGTTAAAATGTTAGTAGCAACGAATTTAACAACGTTGGGTCTATCAAAGAAAACTAGTTCTATCTATGATATGTTTACCTTGAAATCTTTTGATGTCTGACAAAATGTTACAGTTCTTTTTTTTTTTGTTACTGTTTGAAGAAAATTTTTTTCTAAATGCGATGAGTTGTTGAATTATAAACTACAAAGTAAAAAAAGATAAAAGGATCCTTAAATATAGTTCTGATCTTTGCATGTAAAGAAGAAAGGTAACATAGGTTGATATTTATTACAGTATTTTTCTGAAAAGAATTTGTCATTTCTATCATCGAGACATTTTTGTATTTAAGATATTCATAAAATAATAGAAAAAAATGGCGCAAATAGAAGAATTACCAGGTTCAGATGATGAAGTCACCTATGATCACAAAAATAGTAATGTCTTCCTAGCATTTATAGATACTGCAGTTAAAGAAACCGATGAATTGACCGTTGAAGATACATTTATTGGTGGTGAACCTATATGGCTACATCCTGATTCTATTCCTGACTCAAAACTTTTAGAATGTAAAAACTGTCATTCTCTTGAAAATATGAAACTATTATTACAGGCCTTTGCTCCATTAGACGAAGAACAAATGGAAGAGGTGCAACTGAAATATAATAAGAATGTTAATTTAGAATCAATCAATTCAAATGACGACAGAGTTTTATATATTTTTATCTGCACTAACTGTCAAAGAAAAGATAAAGCTATTCGTTGTATTAGAGGTACTAGGAAGAATGAACATTCTAATGATATTAATAAAAAAATTAGTAATGTTATAGATGACGAAGGAAAAGATTTTCAAATTAACCCCTTTGATATTTCCAATAATAATATGAATAATCCATTTGGAAATAATCCATTTCAAAGTAATGGTAATGATAATCCATTTGCAAATTCAATTAACAAAAAAAATGATATTAATACAAGTGGACCATCTACTAAGACATTACGTAAAATGCATGATGCGGAAAAAGATAAGGAATTCGATAAAGACAAAAGTTTTAAATGTTATTTACTATATGTAGAAGAAGAAAAATTTACTAATAAACCAGATCATTTGAAATTACCTAAAAATCTAAAGATTAACAAAGATGCTTTAGAGTTATCAGAAAAAAATATTGAAGAAGATTTAGAGAAGGATCCTGTTAAAGTTGATCCAAGAACTGAAAAACTGTCGCAATTCTTAGATGATGATGTCTTTCAAAAATTTCAAGAAATTGTGGGATATAATCCATCTCAGGTTTTACGTTATGATATTGGTGGTACACCATTATTTTATTCAAAAGTAGCTAATTTGAAATTGTTTGAAAATGCAATACCTAAACCAGATTACAATCCATCAAGTCGAAGAATATTTGAAATGCAGCTAATGCCAAAGATGATTTTAGATTTGGAAGAAACTGTTTCAATCAAAGAAGGTATGGAATGGGGTACTATTCTAGTATTTACTGATATGGAAAATACTACCCCTCAATTTGATGAACATAATGTTGGCTATGTTGAAGAATTTTGTAAAATCCAATGGGAGTCATTATCTTAAAATATATATTTCCTAGATACATATATATATATATGAATAAATAGTTTTATCTAAACAAGAATATAAATTTTTATTCTATTTATACATAGATGCACAGCTATTTTATGATAGTAGTGTATCAGTTTGTCTAATTTATTTACAAGTCTATTTTATAATGACTATTCTCATTTTATCGTAGGTTACAAATGTCTTGCAACTTCTACCAACTCATATACAGAAATTTTGTCGCCTGCCTGGAAATTTTCAAAATTATTGGTAAAAGTTATACCGCATTCATGCCCTTTATTGGTAGTTGCTATTTCATCTTTGCCGTGTTTCAAAGTTTGAATTTGTCCTTCATATATTATATTATCATCAGAATTCCTTGTTATCTGAACTTTGGCGTTTCTTTTGACTTCTCCGTTAGAGACTTTACAACCAGCTATCTTAATTATTTTTTTCTTTAATCTATATTCAAAGACTTCTCTTAATTCCAAAGTAGCTATTATCTTCTTTTCAAAAATTTGTTTCATATTCTTTACCAAAATATCAATGACATCCTCAATCAATTTGTATATAACATTATATCTCTTAATGGGGATATTGAACTTGTTATTTATTACTTCGTTTGGTAATTTATCTAGATTGAAACATATAATAGTACTAGATGTAAGATTTGCCATTTTTAAATCACCTTCAGTTGGAACTCCTACACTAGTGGATATTATGTTACATTTAACTTCATCATTACCTAGGTGTTCAATACTTTCTTTAACAGCCTCTGCAGAACCTGATACATCGGTTTTTATGATAAAATTGACTTCTTTTGGACCACTGTTGATATTATTTTCCTTATTTAACTCATTGACTTCTAATTTATCTTGACCAGTTAATACTGTATTATGTAACTCCATAGCTCTATTTTCATTGTATTGTTCCACAGATTTTACCTTATTTTCTAATTCTAGCAATGCTATTCTTTTGTTTATATATTTTTTAGCAACAGCTTCATTTTTAACTTGAATTATTTCATCTCCAACATTAGGTAAATCCTTCCATCCTAAGACTTCAACTGCTTCAGCGGGTAGAGCTTGTGTTACTGGTTTGTTATTATTGTTTGTCATGTTCTTCACGCGACAGTATGTATTACCACATAATAGAATATCTCCTTTTTTCAACGCTCCCTTCTTTATTAAAACAGTAGCGATATTACCTACCTTATTTTTGATTTTACTCTCAACAATCCATCCTTGGACCATTGTACTTGGCAAATTTTCAGATCTGATATCCATAATTTCACTAAGAGAAACAATTGATTCTTCTAAATTCTCCATATTTTCACCTGTTTTAGCACTTATCTGTACTAATTGAATATCCCCTCCATTATCCTCAACCATAATACCATGTTGCATCAGGTCATTAATGATTTTTGTTAATTTTTTTTTTCTATCTTCTAATCTGGGGAATTTGTCTATCTTTGTGATTGCTACAATCAGCTCATTTCCAGAGTTTTTAATGTGCTTGATTGCCTCCACAGTCTGTGGTTTTATTGAATCTTCCATAGATATAACTAATACAATAATATCTGTTATATTAGCACCACGTTCTCTCATTTTCAGGAATGCAGCATGTCCAGGGGTATCCAAAAAAGTAATTTTTTGTTTTGTTACTGGTGTTGTTACTTGGAATGCACCAATATGTTGAGTAATACCACCATGTTCCTGTTTCACCACCGAGGAATTCCGTAAATAGTCAATTATAGTTGTCTTCCCGTGATCAACATGCCCTAAAATAGTAACAATAGGTGGTCTTCTCTTTAATGCTTTAGGGTTTGAAGACTGTTTCAATTCGTCATAGATATTTTGACAATCTTGAACGACTGTTTCAGGGATATGATAATTATATTCTTGCAAAATCAATTCAGTATATTCCTTTGTCAATATGTAATCATTAGAGATATCTTTAAAACCAAGTTTTGCAAGATCATTAATCAATGTTTGGATTCTACAATTCAACAAATTAGCCAAGTTAGTCACAGAAATAAAATTAGGAATAGTGAAATTTAACTCTTTCAATTTATTACTCTGGCATAGTTTATTCTTTCGGTGACTTTTTGCATAGTACCTTGACCCAATGCAATCATATTTAAAAAATAATTGGTTATTTATCAGTGGTAATTTACTATTCCTTATTCCTTCAAAACGATTCCGACAGAGAAAAGATATAATATATCTAGAGCCTACGTTTGGCTTGATTATACCATTATAAAGCATAGCAAATTTTTGATTGTCATATACACGATTCTTGTTGTAAATTTAAGTATCTTCTGGTATACTTTGCATGTGAAAAAATTGTCTTTTAGACGGTTTGATAATTCCAAGTTTTGTCATTTTGAACCTTTTTGTATTTTTTTGAACATCCTGTGTCTTTATTTTTTTTTTCCTTTTTTAGTGGGAAAACCCTTTAAAGAAAAAAACCATGCCTTCTCAAAGATTGATATTTGCTCTTCTGAACATGAATATGCGTATGTATATTTATATTAGTATGTACATTTATAGATCTTCTCGATAGATATATAGGCAGGTGCACGTTGCCCTTTTATGTCGTTTTTGGGTTGCAAATATAGAAATATGCCATTAATATACATATCTTAAGTGATGAGAAATAAAATCATACAAACAAACATATACAGTTAATTATTCCATATTAAATCATATATTTTTGAACCAGGATTTGTTATTCCAGGAACTATTTCATTTTTGAACCACTCTGGATCCAGGCCTTCAAAGTTGTGTTCATATTTTTTTAAAATAGCTTTGTATAAGGTCGAAATTTGTACCATTATACTGTTATTTTGTTCCTTAACACCAAATGTGATAATCGTGTCTAATATCATACATGCTATAGTGTAAGATAGGAACTTGTCGCTCGTTTCAAGAAGAATATTATAGATAGATATTCTGATATCCTCGCCTTCATCAATGGATTGTTTCATATTACCAACTTTAATTACTTTAATAAATTCTTTGTTTCTTTCTAGTCTTTTCAGTAACGCCTTGTATAGCTCAATATGTATATTTGAACCAACCGTACTATATAATGGGTCTTTGATGATTTTTTCTATTTGAGTAATACAATTATTTAATTTGTTAAAATCAGTGGTTGTATGTAACATGTGTATAAAATGTTTTATTTCAGCCCACATACTATTTTCCAAAATTGTATCTCCTGTTACAGAATGATCAAAAATATTAAGATCTTGAAGAATATCATCAATTTTGGATACATTTTTTGACAGATAACAATCGTTATTCTCTTCAGCACTGACTCTAATATTATTATGATCGTCCTCGATATTGAATGGATTTTCTTCTTCTTCAAAATCGTTAATGCTAAACTGTAATTCGTTTAAATAATTCTCCTGAGCAATATCTACATCGTATAACTCCTTACGATTCTCATTCGATCTAGTCTCATCGTTAATAGGATAACCTGATCTCTTTTCGATAATATATAAAAGTTGATTTTTTATTTTACCTAGATAGTCTATTAACTTTTGAACATGCTCCCAATTAACTAGATGTTTGCCTGATTTATATGACTCAAACATGAAAAATGGTTTCATATTAGAGATAATAGTTAAAAAATTGTATAATTCATCTGGTCTCTTTGTAAATTTTTCAACATTATTTGTCATAAATTTTTCGTATATTGTAGGTATATTATTAAATTTATACCACTTTTCTGACAATACCGATAATTGAGGAAGTGTGATTAGTTCAGATATAGAAAGAATATTTCCGTAATTAACAAATTCAAAAGAATCGTTTAGTAATTTATATGTAGTAGTATCGAATTTACTTTCTCCTGATGTATCCTTTAAGATATTTATCATTAAGTCAACTGGAACTTCAGTTTTATAAATAATATGTATTAATAGCCTTAGAATATCTCTGTACATTATTCTATGGTTTATATGGAAATCATCCACTTTTAGAATTTGTTCATAAAGCATTACATAATTTTTGTTAACTTTGATTTGAAGAGCTAGATTTTTATGTTTCTTCATGCATATATCTAGCACTTTTTTTAAACATTGTAAAATTGATAATTTTCTAAATTCATCACTTAGATTCACAAACAATCTTAATAAAGGTTCAAATACAATATTGATAAATAACTCCAAATCATTTTTAAATATATGTGGCAAAATTTGAAACGATAGTAAATCTATAAGGTCTGAATCACCTCCTTCAAATATGGGTATAATAATTTCATTTAGGTAAAGTGTCAAATCATCAACAGTACTCCAGTGTATTGATTTTTTTAGAATCATATATTTGATATCTTCATCATTACATGAATGAAATTCATTTATAATATGAGTGACTTTTTCAGGGGCATCATCACAGGGGCTAAAACACTCCATTTTTTTTATTAACTAATTGTGATAGGGTCATTGCAAAGATAACATATGAAACAGACAGGAGCAGGTAACAATATCAAAAAAAGAAACGAATCCCGTTGCTATAGAAGGTTTTTTGGTTCAATTACGTATGATGTTATTATATATTATAATATCTCAAAACTCGAGGTATTAGGGTTTTGACTTTTAGTCTAGCAAAAAATCGATAATCTCCATCCTCCTAAACTTACTTTTTTGGAAAATTTTGCAAACCTTGATAAAGTTGAAAAATGAAGAAATTGATGAAGAATTAGATGCAAAACACATATAAATGCAGAAGTAATAAACAGAAGAGAAGAAATCAACAAGAAAAATAACCAAAAGAGTTGAGTATATAATACATATTACTTAGTTAGTGGTCTATTATATATCTATTTGAATGTGTTGCTATTATTATTGGTATTATTTCTAACTTGGTCCTTATCAAAAGTTAATAATTGTGGAGTTATAATACTCCCATGGTAACCAACTACTTTTTGATAATGATTTTCAAGTGGCTTTATTTTTTTTTTTTTTGGCATGAATTTTAATCCCTTTACATCATCGTGACTATTCTTTTTTTAATTAACTTCTTATACACTTTTGTAGATCACTTGGACAGTAAAATATGTATTTAAATTGGAACAATTATTGATATAAGAAAAAGCCCCAATCTTTTTTTCTCCGATACTCTGTTTCTTTTAAACTATTTCAAAATAATACTAATAATAATAATAAGTAGTGGATTGAGTAAGGATTTATATGTTTTATTTAATTCTCATCTGCTATTTATTAAAATTTATCTTAACGTGAAAACACACTTTCTCTCATTAACAAAATTATAGAAAATAAATTACTTTATAAGCTCTAAAGAAAAAACGTATACAAAAAAGAATTTCATTCTTAGTCCTAAGGTTGTTCTTTTTTTTTTTTTTTAAGTTTCGATTTTATCTTTCTGAATTTGTTTTTTGCTGCGAGTTCCTTTATTTTATTCTTAATGTCAGTGGAACATTTTTTGGATAAGTGTGTTACTTTTGGTCTAAATACAAAGATAAACTATATTGTTGAGAAGAGGAAAAATTATTAGTAACTGAAGGTATACGTTTTATTTGGGGATCCAAAGAAATTTAACATTCAAAAGTGGAAACTAATTTTTTTTTTCATTTATTTTTAAAGATTTGATCTTCATCTAAAACGTAAATAAATCTGGTTTGTAAATAAACAAAAAGTATTAAATCTGAAAAACATTAATAATCAACTTATTTCATAATCTTAAAGGCTTTAACAGCCTGTAGAATATATTTTTTGCCTTTTTTCTTCTTCTTTTAATATATAAACCAAGGTGTAGCAATCTATCATAGCTTTTTTTGGCCATCTTTAGAATACTTCGTTATCTAGAATATCATTTTTTAGTTATTCGAATAGTATATGCTCTCTGATAATATATAGGCATATATAAATGATTGAATTGCTGCAATTTATAAAAAAAAGAAAGTACTAACAAGACATAAATAACTAATAAAACTTCATACCACAGCATTTACAAACCTAGTTCCATATTATTTTATTATAAATATTTGAATATCCATAAATTAAAGAGAAAAAAAAATCATTTGAGAAGATTTTTAGAGTTATTTTTAGAATTCACTTATTTAAGATCTGTTCTCTTTTATGCTAATAAACCCTATAACTTCTTAAATCTTAACCAAAAAATCTTATACTAATTCCCAAGTTGAAAAGACTAGAGAGTCACGTTATTATTTAACAAAGATAATCAATTAAAGAAAGAAAAAAATAAAAAGAAAGAGAAATAGAAACGATGAGCTTACACTGGATTATAATGAATTGACGAAAATTCTGTCAAATACTAAGATCAGTTTATAACATCACAAACAAGAATGAAAATTAGAAGAAAAGAACCAAATATCTACATAAACATGCATACACATGTATATATATGTTTATGTATAAAGAAGAATATATCTGTTAATCTGGTGAGACTGTTAGGACAATAATAATTTATCTAACCCAAGTTATATGGTTGGTAATGGCGATAACTATCCTTTTTAGATAAAGTTGTAAGAACTCGTTACAGTAAGACTTGACAGTCTGTTTGAGAGAAGAGTTGGCAGAACTTGTTCTTGGGATCATATATGTTTTTACAATTTGAATCTGAAACAGCAAATAAGTTTTACCCGGAATTACCCAAACGGGTAATATACATAACACTACCTGATTTGGATATTTCGACAATAAACAGCAAACATTGGAAACAAAACTAAATTGGCATCTAAAATTTTCATAATCCGAAAGAGAAAAAAATAAAAAAAATAAAAAAGAATTCTGGATACTTCACCCAGGCAGATCATAATTATTAAAAAGAACCAGACTTGCTATACTCAACTTGACACGAGAGAGTGTGGCTTTCTAGGTCAAAGAGATTCATTAGATATTTTGGCAAACCCTCACAGCCTTATAGATTACAACTAAAGTAACAACTAATTGTACATTATCAAATGAGGAGAAGCGTTTGCCTGGATAACACTATTGAATTTTTGAAAGGAAGAGTTTACCTCGGAGCATATGATTATACACCAGATGACACAGATGAAATTGTCTTTTTTACTGTAGAAGATTCAATTTTCTACAATAGTTTCCATTTAGATTTTGGCCCTATGAATATAGGCCATCTGTATAGGTTTGCTGTAATTTTTCATGAAATTTTGAATGATCCAGAAAACGCTAATAAGGCAGTTGTCTTTTATTCATCTGCTTCTTCTAGACAAAGAGCTAATGCTGCATGTATGTTGTGCTGTTATATGATCCTTGTCCAAGGATGGACCCCTCATCAAGTCCTACAGCCACTAGCACAAGTTGATCCTCCATTTATGCCATTTAGGGATGCAGGCTACTCCAATGCAGATTTTGAAATTACCATCCAGGACGTCGTTTACGGTGTTTGGAGAGCTAAAGAGAAGAGTCTTATTGATTTGCATACATTTAATTTGGAAGTATATGAGAAATATGAGCATGTCGAAAATGGTGATTTTAACGTACTGACTCCAGATTTCATTGCTTTTGCCTCACCACAAGAGGATATGAGAACCACTTCCATTGATTATAAGCCTCGTCTAAACCAACCATTTAGAAGCGTATTGAAATTTTTTGCCGAGAATGATGTCCAGCTGGTGGTTAGATTAAACTCTTATCTTTATAATAAATGTCATTTTGAGGATATTGGAATAAAACACGTTGATTTGATCTTTGAAGATGGTACTTGTCCTGACATGTCTATAGTGAAAAATTTCATCGGTGCTGCTGAGACTATAATTAAGCAAGGTGGTAAAATTGCAGTCCATTGTAAAGCCGGTCTTGGTAGAACTGGATGTCTAATTGGTGCACACTTAATTTATTCCTATGGTTTTACTGCAAATGAATGTATTGGATTTTTAAGATTTATAAGACCGGGCATGGTAGTGGGACCCCAGCAACATTGGCTATATCTACATCAAAATGAATTTAGGGAATGGAAATATACGACTCGACTATCTTTGGAACCAAGTGATATAATAGGTGGCCTTTATCCTTTACTCAGTGTTGAAGAATATCGTCTACAAAAGAAGAAATTAAAAATTGGTAACAAAAAAAGTGATGATGGTTTAGACCTTGTCACACCTGGAAGACATAAATTTTCAGCAGTACTGGATAATTCTGACAGAGATAAATTTAATTCTATTGCAGTACCACAAAATTCACCTGGGCAGCCAAGAAAAGGGCATAATGGTAACAATACAATAGAAAACCTTTCTAAATTGAAACAGAACCCAACTAATGAAATCCACAATGGTAACAACAATATCACAACAATTGATAACAATTCTGAGGATGAAGATGACGATATGATGCAAACAGATGAATCTAAATACTTAAAAATAAATATTAACAAATCAAGCAATAGACCTTCTACAGCACAATCTACTGAATCTGATGATGTCATTTTACGACAATTGTTACCTAAAAATAGAAGGGCTGTTTCAGGGAGAAGGATAGCAAGTTCTGCTGGTGGCGTTAGAAAGATGAGTGGAACAACAAAAAGAGCTAATATATAGTAAATAGATGCATATCATGTAATCATATAAATAATTAAAAAAAACATCATCACATAGTTCGAAAGGAAATAGTTTCTGATATCTAAAGTTGGTAGCATTGACAAAAGCACTATCACTGAAGAGACATTTAAGTCATATTCAACTAAAGTTAAAAGTTATAGTATTGTTTTTTTCTCAATGAATTCTTGCATATTTGTGGATTTTATTGGTCTATATAAATACTCAAACAATAATAATACAGTTATATATGTATATAGATATTATTTTTCATATCGCTTAGTAGGAACGACCAAACATAGTGTAGTTAATGGCTGGACGATCACACTTAATACACTTTTGACTTTCCTTTAATTCTGGTTGTTCAAATGGAATACATAATGATTTAGCACCCATACTTGGAGCTTTTTCATCAACAGCGATTTCTTCACCGTCATCTTTCTTGGCAGAAGAGTCCTTAATATCCTCTTCACATTCGGTAACACCACACCATGGTGCAATAATAACATTCTTTTTGTTTAAGTTTGGAACAAACTCTTTCCATTCATTGACAAGAACTCTATGAGAATCGTAAAGTTCCTTAGCTTTAGAATACAAATCGTTGTGTAATTCATTTAAGATCTCTGGGATACGTTTTTCTAACTCATCTAATTTAACATTGTACTTACGAGAGTCATTTCTACGGACAACAGTAACTTGGTTTTCCTTAATATCCTTTGGACCCAATTCAATACGGACAGGAATACCCTTTAATTCATATTGAGAAAATTTCCAACCTGGTGTGTAATTATCGTTATAATCACCAAAGGCTCTAATACCAGCTTGCTTCAAACGAGATTCGACACTCTTAGAAGAATCGTAGATTTGCTGACGCTGTTCTTCGGTAGTATTTTTAGTGATACCAACTGGAATAACAACAGCTTGGAATTGAGCAACTCTTGGTGGGATAACTAAACCTTTGTTATCAGAATGGATCATAACCATAACACCAAGAGTACGTGTAGAAAGACCCCAGGAGTTCTGGAATGCAAAAACTTTTGGATATTCTGGACCCTTTGGATTTTCAACAGTTAAGTTAAACATTTTAGAGAAATTTTGTCCTAAATGATGAGATGTAGCACCTTGGATACCACGACCTGTTTGTGGGATATAACCTTCAACAGTAGTTGTGTAGTCACCACCAGCAAATTTTTCCTTTTCTGTCTTTCTACCCTTAACAACTGGAACAGCCAATAATTCTTTGTAGATATCAGCATAAAAGTCTAAGATCTGCAAAACTTCCTTTTCAGCCTCTTCCTTGGTTAAGAAAACAGTGTGACCTTCTTGCCACAAAAATTCTCTTGTTCTTAAAAATGGTTGTGGATGCTTAAACTCCCATCTGACGACAGAGTTCCATTGGTTTAACTTTAATGGTAGGTCTCTGTAGGATTGGATCCATTTAGCATAGTATGGATACATAACAGTCTCTGAAGTTGGTCTAATAGCAATTGGTTCTTCCAACTCAGATTGACCAGCTCTGGTAACCCAGGCGACTTCTGGAGCAAAACCTTCAATGTGATCCTTTTCTCTTTCCAAAACACGAGAGGAAACGAACATTGGGAAATAGGCATTTTGGACACCTAAACCTTTAATTTTCTCATCGAACCATTTTTGAATGTTTTCCCAAATGGCATAAGATGGTGGTCTTAAAATATAACAACCTGAAACGTCATAATAATCTAACATTTCACCCTTGGTTAAGACCTGTTGATACCAACCTGGGAAATCCTTAGATTTGTCGACAGTGATACCAATTAATTTAGCATCCTCTAAAATGGCGCTAGATGAGTCTTGCTTCTTTGGCTGTTGTCCCTTCTTTTGATCTTTACTTTTAACTTCTTGAGTGAAATCAACAGACTGCCTGACAGCATCAAATTCAGATAAGAACTTGAATAAAATTTCTTTGGTCATAAATAAGTCATCAGTCAATTTTAAGATAGTAGCACCTTCAACAGCTTCTAATTGAGAATCAATTAATAATTTAAAGTCAGAGGTAGCGTTGGATAAGTAACCCAAGTTAAAATCCTTAGCAGATTCACATTTGAAAATGTCTCTGACTAAATCATCACGTGCTAACCTTGGATCCTTAGAAGAAGTAACTTGTGCAATAAGTGGAGATGGTGTGGCAGTAGATTGTAGAGCTACAACAACAATTGGAACTGGTGTAGCAGACTTTGGAGTCTTTGGTTTAAAGACAAGTGACTTGACTGGAACAGATTCAGCAGGAGGATCATTAAAACCCAACTTGGTAAAGGATTCTACAACAGACATTATTATTTAGTTGGGTAAGATAGAGTGTATTACTGATTGTCTATTACGAACTTAACTGAAGAAACATATAATTTAACTGAAAAAAAAAAAAAAAACAAAATACAAACATAAGAACTCAAAAGCTAACTACGTATGAAAACAAGAATCAACAATTAAAAATGATTATTCCAAATAAACAAGATTTCATACAAGGATCAAACAAATGTTTAGCGTAAATTATGACCCAGTTTAGCATATCAAAGAAGAATGGTAAACCTGTAACAGTACAGTTATACTTAGTTAAAATTGCTTGTAAACCTAATAACGATAAATGACTTTTCTGTCTACTTTTTTTTTTTTTTTTTTTTTTTGGAAGCCTCAATTTGAAAGAACATCAAAAATTTTTGAAATTTGCGATGACATTTAAGAAAAAAAAATTTTTTTTTTTCATTTTTCTTAAAAACAAAAACATCATAAATCGAAGCTTGAAAGGAAAATTGACAAAACAAGAAAAAATTTTGTACGACATAATAAATATCATTTTCTTTTCTTCAATTTTCAAATTTCAATACGTCCAGGAAAAAAGAAATTTGTATCAACAAACCATTAGACTAACAATTTATTCTCCATGTTCTAACAACAAAAACCTTTAATTATGACTAATAATGGATACATTATGGTTTGTAGAAAATGAAATAAAAACTAGTTTCTTAATTTAAATATTGAGATGGTCTGAAAGAAAAAAAAGGATTTTCTTTAGTTCCTCTTCTATCTCTCTTGACTTTCTTAGGTTCTTAAGTAGATGGTTCTAATAAATATTCACGAAAGAACCAAGCCATTATCTCTCTATCTCTTTCTTTCTTCAACCCAATAATGTCCTTATACATAAAAGATTCTACTGGTGTGGACGAATTAACCATCACTGGTACTAGAGAACAACCATTCAAGACTCCAGCTTTTGCCTTATTTGCAAACATCACTAACAATGGTACTGATGCTGCTGAACCAAAATTATTTGTTTTTAAAGATGAAGAAAATGATTTTGTTGAAATCACTGCCTCTGCTTTAAAGAAGGCTCGTAAAGGTGCTGAAGGTTTAAAGAAGAAAGCTATTAAAGCTAAGGAACAAGAAGCTAAATTAGAACAGCAAAAGTTAGAAAATGCCGCCAAACAAATGGCTGCTTTAAACATTAAAATTGAAGAAGACAAATCTTTGCCAGAAGCAAAGAAATACAAAATTCTTAAGGCCTATGGTGCTGTTGGTGAAAGAGTCAAAGTTTCTGGTTGGGTTCACAGATTACGTTCTAACAAGAAAGTTGTTTTCATCGTTCTTAGAGACGGTACTGGTTACTTACAATGTGTGTTAACTGGTGACTTAGCATTAGCCAAACAAACTTTAGATTTAACTTTGGAATCCACTGTCACTTTATATGGTACCATTATTAATGTTCCAGAAGGTAAAACGGCACCAGGTAACGTTGAATTGAACGTTGATTACTACGAAGTGGTTGGTTTAGCACCAGCTGGTGATGAAGCCTTCTCTAACAAGATTGCTGAAGACACTGATCCATCTATTTTATTAGACCAACGTCATTTAGCTTTAAGAGGTGAAACATTATCCAGTGTGATGAAGGTTCGTGCTGCTTTCTTAAGAGCCATCAGACGTGTTTATGAGGAAGAAGGATTATTAGAAGTTACTCCACCATGTATGGTTCAGACCCAAGTTGAAGGTGGTTCTACTCTTTTCAAATTGGACTACTATGGTGAAGAAGCCTACTTGACTCAAAGTTCTCAATTATATCTTGAAACATGTTTACCATCCCTAGGTGATGTCTTCTGTATCCAGGAATCATTCCGTGCTGAGAAATCACACACTAGAAGACATCTTTCTGAATACACTCATATCGAGGCTGAATTAGCTTTCTTAACCTTTGAAGAATTATTAGATCACATTGAAACAGTTATTGTCAATTCTGTGAAATATGTTTTGGAAGATCCAGTTGCTGGACCAATTGTTAAGCAATTAAACCCAGATTTTGTAGCTCCAGCCAAACCATTCATGAGATTGGAATATAAGGATGCCATCACTTGGCTACAAGAACATGACATAAAGAACGAGGATGGTGAAGATTTCAAATTTGGTGATGATATTGCTGAAGCTGCCGAAAGAAAGATGACAGACACGATTGGTGTTCCAATTCTTTTGACAAAGTTCCCAGTTGAAATAAAGTCCTTCTACATGCCTCGTTGCAAAGACGATAACAGAGTTACTGAATCTGTGGATGTGTTAATGCCAACTGTCGGTGAAATTACTGGTGGGTCTATGAGAATCAACAGTACCGATGAATTAATGGCTGGTTTTGAACGTGAAGGAATTGATCCAAAACCATACTATTGGTTTATTGATCAAAGAAAATATGGTACTTCTCCACACGGTGGTTATGGTTTAGGTACTGAACGTATTCTAGCTTGGTTATGTAACAGATTTACCGTTAGAGACTGTTCCTTATACCCTCGTTTCAGTGGAAGATGTAAACCATAAAATAAAAAAAAAAAAGAAACAAGAAAAGAAAAAAAGAAGAAGAAGAAAAAGGATATTAAATGGACCATTTATTTTCTTTTCAATTTTTTTTTTTTTTTTCATTTCTCTTTCTCTACCTTATAAATATAAATATATAATATATTGTTGAATTTGATATTGTATAAAAAAATTCATTATATATTTGTCAAATTGTTAAGTAATGAAATGTATTTATTCATGCATGGGTGTCTATTTATGGCCAAATATATGCATATGCATCCACACAAATCCATATATATATATATATATGGATTTGTGTGGATTAGCCGCCCAGCAAAATGAGTTGAAAGAGAAAGAGGGAAGGTGGAGGAAAGGAGAAAATTAATTCAAGGCACAAAAATAAACAAAACAAAAAAAAACATGCAATGACCCAAACAGAGAATGCGCAAACATCTAGACACCACGTAACAGACAGTGGAATGTTGTGACCTCGCTGACTCATTCCTTTAAAAGAACGAAATCTTATCGTAAACGTTTTGTGATGCTGAAAGCAAAAACAAAAAAACTTTTTTCTTTTTCGTTTTTCATTGATTATAAAAAGCTCGACAGAAGTTGCCATTAAAGGATACTCGCTCGCTTGGTTTGTCACTTAAAGGTAAAAAGAAAAAATTCCTTTTATCTATAAAATAAAGAAACTAATATTTAGGTGCATAGATATATACAATTTCTGTAATATCAGTCCCAATCACAAGTGTCACAATATCCATTTACAAACATACCCACTTCGTCAGGGTGTCACATATTCAATATTAAATAATTAGAAATATATATATACATATATACAACATTAACAAGGAAAAAACAAAACAATAAAAAAAAAACAAAAAGATGTCATCCGAAGAAAGTCAAAAATTATGGGGTGGTAGATTTACCGGTGAAACTGACCCATTAATGCATTTATACAATGCATCTTTGCCCTATGATTATAAGATGTATAAAGCCGACTTAGAAGGTACCAAAGTCTATACTGAAGGTTTACATAAGTTAGGATTAATCACAAAAGAAGAATTAAGTAAAATACATTTTGGTCTTGAAGAAATTAAGAAGGAGTGGAATACTGATAAATTTGTCCGTCACCCAAGTGATGAAGACATCCACACTGCTAATGAAAGACGTTTAGGAGAACTTATTGGTCGCCACATCGCTGGTAAAGTTCACACTGGTAGATCTCGTAATGACCAAGTCGTTACTGACATGAGAATATATTGTCGTGATATTTTGACCGAAAAATTGCTACCCTTCCTAAAGGATCTGATTAAGACGTTGATCTTAAGAGCAGAACAAGAAATTGACATCCTAATGCCAGGTTATACCCATTTACAAAGAGCACAGCCAATTAGATGGGCACATTGGCTAAGTTCCTATGCAACTTATTTTACTGAAGATTTGAAAAGACTAGCCCAGATCGCCGAAAGATTAAATGTGTCTCCTCTAGGGGCTGGTGCCTTGGCTGGTCACCCATATGGCATCGATAGAGAATTTTTAGCTGAAAAACTTAACTTCAATGGAGTTATTGGTAATTCTTTGGTTGCAGTCTCTGATAGAGACTTTGTTGTGGAGTTAATGTTCTGGGGAACACTTTTCATGAACCACATCTCTCGTTTCGCTGAAGATTTAATTATTTATTCCACTGCTGAGTTTGGATTCGTTAAACTAAGTGATGCATATTCCACTGGTTCCTCTTTAATGCCACAAAAGAAGAATGCCGATTCGTTAGAATTGTTGAGGGGTAAATCTGGTAGAATCTTTGGTGATTTGGCTGGGTTCTTAATGAGTTTAAAAGGTATTCCTTCCACTTATGACAAAGATATGCAAGAAGATAAGGAAGCGTTGTTCGATGCATTAGTAACCGTGGAACACTCTATCCTAATTGCCACAGGGGTTATCTCCACTTTAACTGTTGTCAAAGAAAAAATGGAAGCTGCATTAACCGTAGATATGTTGGCCACTGATTTAGCTGATTATTTGGTCAGAAAGGGTGTTCCATTCAGAGAAACCCACCATATATCTGGTGAATGTGTCGCTACCGCTGAAAAATTAGACTTAAGTGGTATTGACAAATTGTCCCTTGAACAATTCAAACAAATTGACTCTAGATTCGAAGCTGATTTGTTTGAAACATTTGATTTTGAGAAGAGTGTGGAACAAAGAAACGCCACTGGTGGTACCGCTAAAGCCTCTGTTTTAAAACAATTAGAAAATTTGAAAAATCAACTTTAAATCTCGAACTAGGAATGAAAATCGTACAAGTATCTATATGCATACACATATAGGTACATGCATGATATATATATATATATGTTTATATATATACCAGGCTAATTGCAAGATGAAATCGTGTAAGAAATGCTGCCTGTATGATTACGAAAATAAATATATTGAGGACGTTTCCAACATTTTGTTCCTCAAAAATATTAACAAATGTTAATGTATAATGAATTGTAATATGATATGAAATCCTCTTTTTTCTGCATATATTTGTAGCATTGTAGACGATGTACTGATACTTAACATTGATTCAAATTCATTTAAAAGTTGAAAGGAGTCCTTTTTCTAGAAAAAATCAAAATTATTGGCATAGTGTTGAAATATAATTAATTACATAGTTTCTCAAGAGGTTACACCAACCAGAAGAACAACCCACAAATATAATAGCTCAAAAATAACCATACAACCAGTTTTAATTTATACATATTAATTTATATATATATATATATTATATTAATAACTTGTCAATATAACAACATTAAACTATGATTAAATAATCAGTTGCTGTGATAAAAATTAAAAAAGTTTGAATATGATTTTATTAAAATAATGTATCACCAGATTTGAGATCTTACAATATATAGCTTCGAACTTCATAAACAATGGAAAAATGTTAAAAGTTGCTAATAGACTATATTTTCCCATATAATATACTGGCCAATATCCATTAATAGTCCAAATTCTTTGACAAAGGCTTTGCAATAAATTGCCATTATATCTTCTAATCAACTCGTACAACGGATCGTGTAAGTATTTACCAATATCTGATCCATTCCATTTTAAATATTTATAGTTTGATAATTGACCACGAACCTGAAACAAGCCTATATGAATCATAAATACACTTAAGGAATCATAATTTTTCAAAGACTTGTATATTGCTGTTATAAAAGCAGAAATGAACATTTCAGTTGGATGGTGTGTATTTTGTAAATTATACGATAATGAGGGATTCAATAAAATCAATTGGGTGACCTGACTTCTTGGAAGATGTGGGATTATTTTTAGTAAGGTATTATAATTAATTAAAATATTTGCTTTAATTTCATATTGCAAAGTCTCTAATGAAACTTCCCCTGGTGTAAAATATGATAATTTCGGAGTGAAAATGATGGATACTAATTTGTTATTATAGCAGTTAGTATTATTAATAGAATGAGAATCGAATAATTTTGTGAATTTATATAAATCATCCTCTGAGTTTGGGTTTATAAAATAAAGATTTTCAAAATCTTCTTGTTGCAGTTTGAATCTATCTGCTGTCTCCGAACAGATATACACAGTATAATTTCTTCTATAAAAATCTAATGCTTGTGATCTTATGATTGGATCACTGTAATCACCCAAAATCAGGATCATTTGTGTTTCATTTCTAGATATTGTCTTTGAGATTCTTAAGGCCTGAAGAAGTTTGAAGCCTAAAAAGACCGCAGTTGTAGTTACACCTGCACTTAAAATCCAATTTTTGCTTATTTGTTTTCCTATACCGGATGTGTAGAAAGTTTTATAAATCTTTCCAACCCCAAAAGTTCTTGTACTATTATCATTCAAAATACTATGCTTAATGACATTGTTCGACTCTATAGAATAAATTTTTATATTATTTTTTATTGAATTCACCTTCTTAACAGCATTTTCACTAAAATTTGAAACTAAACGATTTGCCTTGTCATACCAGAAATATCCTAAATTAAAAGCTTTATCAACAATATCCGAAGATTCTGTTCCTTTCATGTCAATATACTATCACTAACTTTTATTCTAATATGTCAACCTAACGGACTAAGAAACATTATTATTGTGCTTTAGATAAAAAAAAAATAAGTTGTAAGTATCACAATAATACAAAATTTATATTATCAATATTTTAATTTATATTTATACTGTAGAGTTACCTTTTTTTTATATCCACCAGGTTCTTAGATATTAAGAAAATGACAAGAAAAAAAAAAGAAAATAAAAATGGAGGGAAGATCCAAACAAGTGGGTTCGCAAAAAAAAAAGAATTAATCTTTTTTCCATTATGTCATCATCTTTGTAAGGATTTATTTTTAGGATCTGCTTGCTGGCGAAGATATACTAAAATCAAAGTTTCAGCTGTCTCCAAGATCAGTTTCAAAACACGAAATTATCAACAAATTTGTTAAAAAAATGCAGTTATTTTAGAAACCTAGTTGTAATATTAGCTTGAGTATTTCTAGTAATATTCATTATATTGTTAAGACACATTAGACATTAACTTGTCCAATAAAATTACACTATGTTTAAAAAAATTTAAATTTTGTTTTTATTTCTAACCTGCAAAAGAATGGCAAATTCTAAGAAATAATTTGTGGACATACTCAATTACTTACTTACGTACTTTTTACAGAATATTATGAAATGTTATGGAAAATTTTTGAACAACATAAAATATAATAAAGTATCATAGAATACTTAATAATAGCACGAAGCTAATATTGTATTAAAAAAGTCACTGTAGATGGTTCTTCAAATTCTTTAGTTGATGGCAGCATTACTGGTTTGCCAATTTACAAATATGATATTTACTTATATAGCTACTTATTTGAGCAACTCCTTAATTGAATTACAATCGTTACACTACATATAAAGGAAAGGACTAAGAATCATTGCCCATAATTTGCATTCTAAAAGGTTATATATCTTGTATTAGTCCTCTGATCCACTACAAAACGCATCGGACCTACACGTCGTATAACGGGATATCAAATTTTCAATTAATGCAAAAAAGGTCCTACCCGGATTCGAACCGGGGTTGTTCGGATCAAAACCGAAAGTGATGACCACTACACTATAGAACCGCAACTGTTGCAACAACGCAGTATAATAATGTATTATAATCATTAATATTAGATAATATTCCATTTGAATTCAGAATTAGTTATTGTTATTACCTTACTTAATTCAGCATATGAGTCATTTATTCACCCCATTTAAGTTAATATAGTTGTTTAACAACATGAGATAGAATACAGTGTAGCCTTTTGACACTCCATTTATTGTTCATGTTGGAATTTGGAGCACTCAGTGCCCATGGTAATGGTAGGCATCATTAAGTTATAGATGCTTGTTGTATTGTGTACTAAATACATGTATATACTTATTATATGGCGTATACAGTATAAGTTCTTTTATTTACGTCAAGTTTTCTTTTAAAGTTTTTCATTTTTCTTCAAATCTCTGAAAAATATACTTAGCGAAAAAATAAAATGTCTTCCTGATATTATAGTACACCTGTACACCGCATAATATACAGAAAAACAAATTAAAAATAATTCTTATGGAAATGACAGTAATAAACTCTCATTTTCCGACAGTTCAAAATGTTCATGATGTTCAATCAAGAAATGCATTTAATAATTATGGTGTGACTTAATAATGCATTACTATATCAGATTGTATTGGTAATTGGGTCCCAAGAACATATAAAAAGACAACATTTTTTAGAAAATAACTTATCTTCCACAACTTTTCTTTTACATATAATGTGTATTATTACATACAACGATATGTAATAAGAACCAAAATGAAAAGGAACAAGAGAATAATAAAATAAGACAAGCTTAAACAAATAAATTTTATACACGTCTGGTATAGCCAAAAGTGCAACAGAAAATACAAGATGTTAAACCTATTTGGAAAACTTCTAGAGTGTGATATTTATACTAAATTTTGTTCAATAAACCTGTTAATGATTATTTCTAGTAATATACCCATATACAGATATTGATTATATATAAACACTTATAAATTGTATCGATGTAAATTCTAATTAATAAGACAATTATAGAATCCTCTTTACTAATGTTGTGTTGTTAATTCATCTCTTATGAAAAATCTAATAGATATATTGAGAATGTTAATGATGATAAATATCTTGGGTGTTCTCTTTCAATAGTCAAATGTTTTTTAAAAGAGATTCTCAGTAATGTACTACCAGTGTTAGTCTAACAAATATACTGGTAGCTGTTGATTTATATCGCACGCCTTTTAAGTTTTTTTAGCTAAAAACTCCAAATTTTCTGCACACTACATATTTTATGATTCACAATTGGTGCTTCTTATAAGGTCTTTGCTGGTTAAAGTATACAGAAAGGGTAATTACCTTATTCAAAAACACCTTAGTATGAATATTAGGAAGCAACTTTAATATTAGACAAAACCAGTATTAAAACAGTATACTAATAAAAAGTTTAGTAATAATGATACATTATTTAATAATAAATAGCCTATATAAGGATATTTATAATTATAATAATTGAAGTATTTCAGATTTATTTATTCAAAACAATTCTAACAGAATTCCTATATTCTTTTTTTTCTTATTAAAAGTATATAAATACGCCTATATACCATATAGAGATTATTCATTATGTATTATACATTCACCACTATTTATTTAATAGAGTTACTTAATTTACTATATTATTAATTATTATATTCATAATAGTATTATCACTATTTAGAGAGAGAGATATCAACATTGCTTGCACCAATTCTTTCCTCCTTGAATAAAGTTTATATGAATAGATTTAGTTTCCATATTATTTTTATTAGTTATTGACAAGAGTTATTTTCTGAGTATTATTTAAATGGAGCATTTTAGTAAATATAATAGAGTTTGTTCTTTAAAATAAACATAATATAGCATTTATACTCTAATAGACATACTATTTTTTTTTAAGAAATTGTTTTAGAAGAAAACTCAAGTTATATAAGAACGTTTAATATGAATAATGGTATGTTTATGTATATATATAGGTTACTCGGATGTTAAACAAGTGTCAATAAGCAAATAAGCTTAAAAAAATAGTTAAAAAGGCCTTTTATTTTCATAGATGGTACCTTTTCAAAGAAATATTAACTGTAGCAACATTACTATTTACCATCCAGTCAGAAGTTATTTTAAGTTTAATGTACCTGCTATCCTATTTAACATTTTATACCTTATGATAAAGTTGTTCACAGTTTCATTCCTTATATATTTGATATATTTAGTTTAATTACCTAACATTATTTGACATTCTTTATGCATTCAAACATTTGATTAACTTAAAAAGAAAAAGAATGCTTTAAATTAAAAAAATCGTTAAAAAAATGATTTTTACATTTCTTTAAGACAATTACATAGTTCATTAATGTATCTGGAAAACATGTTTATCTGTTTCATTCAAGACATCCATTTGTTGAAAGAAAGAAGATTAGTTTCCCGAAAAAGTGATATGCAAATATTTCAAGTGATAAGATTATCAAAAAAATTGCAATATTTATAACTATAATTTTAATCTTTCTTTGAAAACATTCCAACAAATACTGGAAAAGATGTGGAACGTTGTCTGGATTTTGATGAGTTTATTGCATCATTTCTTTGTAATGGATAGGATGTCAAATTATTTTCCTCTACACAATCCTGTCTAATTACGGGAAGAGGAATTGGAGTCATGTTGAATGATGCTTTACGTCCTGATGATGACAATTTATTCAATGAAGTTGTTGAATTAGAATTATTTTGCGGAACACTTAAAGAGCCACCAGTATTATTTCTTGCCATTAAATTTAATGATGTATTCGAATTATTACTACTTCTACTTAAAGATCTTTGTCTTGAAACAACACTCAAAAAGGATGATGATCTATGACGGAGTGACTGTGGTTTTTCTAACGAAAATTTATTGACAGATCTTAGCATGTTGTTTCTTTCCTGTGATAAGTGTTCACTTTGTTCCTCATTATGCGGATAAGTTGGAGGTAAATCATCCTCAATAATATCGGAGTGTACAGCTTTGTCATAAGAAGGCAATCTACTTAATTCAGCCATTTCAAATACTTTCCTTAAGGATGCAGTCGATTCTTGTCTTAGGTTACTAAATGAACTAGCCCTTGAAATATGATCAAAAGCTGGTGTCAATGGAAGACTCTGTAAGCCTTCATCTAAACATTGAGGGTCTGATTCTGAGGTGGCAAATGTTGGGAACTGACTATCTCTAAATGGATTTGTGGAAGATAAATAAACTGGAGTGACTTGAGTGTCTCTTAATAAATTTAATTCAGTAAAATTTTCTTGTAAATTATTTACATCATGTGGGTCATTGCAAACATCTGGTGAACTATTAGAAACTGGATTACAAGTATTTAATTCAGGTTCTAAACTTAAAGAGTTTTGAGATGCCGGTATATCACTCCATAGCCTATCATAAACATGTTTACCATAATTAGGAGGTGTCATCAATTCAGAAATTGCTGTTGTAGCAAAGAAATTATTTTCTAAAGTACCAGCATGTAGTTCAACCTCAGATGTAGCATTTGCAAAAATTACATCTTCATCTTCATCTGTGTTAGTTTCTTTGTTATTGAGGAAAAACGTCTCAGACGAAAAACTGGTGTTTGCATTACTACTAGTGTTACCATCATTATTATAATTCACCTTTGAGTTAACTTTTCTATCTTGTTCCATTTCTACCGTTTTAGTATTTTTTACACCTACAGTAACAAATGGTGATATAAATAATTGAATTGGTAAAGATGCTCTAAGTTCAGAAATATGTCCATCTGGATTGATTAATGAAATATTAAATTTTAATTTGTGGCGAACTCTTATGTTATTAAAGATATCACAATCTTGGGTACATTTAGACAAACTTGGTGGAACATTAATAATTGTGTCTATTTCCCATCTATCTTGAAAATCAATTGGCCCTAGGTCGTCATTGTTTCCGTTTCCCTCTCTTTGTTTTTTCAATAAACTAATATGACCTAATGGATCTTTTAACTTAAGCTTTGTCACTATTCTTTCTTGATTTACGACCCCACCGAATGGACCTAAATACTGCGATGTTTCAAGCAGAGATATCTTAATGTGACCAAGCTTTAAATTTTTAAGCAAAGGTACAAGTACAATATATACAGGAGTCGCTGATCCAATAGCAATCGATTTAGCAGGAATAGATAATGTATATTCCATTTTATTTGGCCAAGAGTTCTCTGCTGCTACTGTTTCAGACAATTCCACTGCATCTGGAGATAAAGTTCTTACTATTCTTAATGGTTTTTGACAATTAATATCTGGACCTTTAGTTCTTTCCAATACAGACTCCAATTTATAGATTACCGATGCATTGGGCAAGCCCTCCACACTCTCTATTAATGAACCTGGTAAAACAGTGCTGAAAGGGAATTCATAGTTTCCTTGTAACAATGTATGATAAGTCGAGGTGTTTCCTAAAGAGAACAAAGAACTACTTGATTTGCTTCTTGTCGGTATAGAAGAAATGTTAGAGTTTAGGAGTCCATCTGAATTACCATTGTTTGTACTATTTGTATTTAAATTTGAGCTAATAGTAGATGGTGATAATCTTCCAGAATTATTTAATTTCATTTTCCCATAATTACCATATAAGTTATCAAAAAAGTCGTCCATATTAAATTCATCCCAATTATAAGAAAATATCATCTTTTCATATTTAACATATTTTTTTGTGTTAACACCATTAATACAATATGTAGTAGGAATATTCAATCTTACCTTACCAATCAGGCGTAACGATAGTGATCTAATTTGAATAGGTTCTAAGACTGAGAGAACAATAGTTCCAGCAAGTAACACGGACGAAGCTTCATTCTCTTTCCCCTTTAATAACAACACATCATGATCTGTACTTTTCAACCTAATATCAAATAGAAGGGGATCTCTTGAATTAGATAATTTTGATAGTGATGATAACATTTTCTTTTCGAGATTAAATATTTCAAACTAAAAAAAAAGAATAAAAAAGCAAAAAGAAAACAAAATAAACCTAAAAACTAAATTGATCTACCAATTTAATGCTATTTTCTTATTTGAACAGAATATTCTTTATCACTTAGTTTACATTTCATGTTCGATGTAGCTTTTCAGTCATTATTTCTAATGATACCTTTTTCAATCTCACATTAATAAATAAGGTCTTCCGGTAACCTTGTTACATCTTCTTAAATCCTCAAACAAGTTTTGTGTCTATTTTTTTTTTTTTTTGTAAAATGCACTCAACACTGCCTCTTTAGGAAATTCAGATTCGAGTGATATACATTTTTAAAAAAAAAAAAGAAATTTTTTTGTCTACAAATTGTCCTCAACAACTCACGTGATAGAGAAAAATAACACGTGTTTCATTGGAAATTTGTAAAACATGCCCTTGCTTGTCTTTAATAGATACAATCTCTTTTTAAAATTAAAAATCCAAAACCTAATTAAGAATAAAGTTATAAAACAGTTATGTTATACTCCCCCACCATGCTTTAACAAACATACATAACTTTGATTGATTAAAAAATAAGAACATAAATAAGCATGTATGTATCATTATAGGAGTATTTTGAACGAAAATATAGTGTCTTCTAAAAAAATACAAGGTTGTGAAACATTGAAATGTTTCTTTCCACATTCAATGATTAGTCAACATATCGTTTTCTTGCCACTTTATATCTTTTACCCAGAATGAAAAACAGAATAGAAGGAAGTCCAACCCTAGTTTTTCTTGAGGTTTATTTCTAAATGTTAAGTTTAGAGAAATATCTGAACCTAATTCTTTTTCAAAAGTTTACTTCAACAACTTATTTGTTTAATGAAAAAAAAGTTTTTTCATTTTCTCAGAAATGTATATCACTCAAATTTGAACGGGGAGATTTCGTTAGATTTGAATGCAAAAAACGGAATAGTGTCCACATGAAAAACAATAGAGAAACAATTTGTCTCTATTGTGTGAATGACGTCTCGAATTTCTTTTGCGTTATATTTGGAAAATATAAGTGATATGTAAATACGAAGGGTTAGATGTATAGCTAAATAGATGTGTACAAATACGATTACTATTAAAGTGAAGACCGTTGTTAATGTAATGAGTCAGCTTTCTTTTTTTCCCCCTCTTCTTTTTGACACTTCATCCAAATGATACTAAAGAGAAAATAATAACAGAAGACTATTTCTTTCACGTCACATAATTTTAATAAATTAAAATTCTAAATAACTCAAAGAAAAACAACGATAGTTGCTCATATTCATGTTAAAATTGTATATTATATATATAATGTTTTCCCCCCTTTTTTGTTATAAGGAATGCTGTGTCACTCATTAATTTATATTTTTATTGTTACAACTGTAGAACTAATATTATTTTAAATATGAATCTGTCAAAATAAATAGCTAAAACTACTTGTACTTCTCAACCGGGTAAATTTTCACCATTTATTTAAATAATGAATATAAACAAACTCAAAAAATACTAATCAACAACTAAAAAATATTGATTCAGTAGCAGACAATCACCACCTCTTTCTGGATCCAAGACGTATTGATAGAGATATCCTTCTTGTGTAACCACATTGATTGGTAACAGTTTCAAGGTATATTTCAAATTATTTTCTGGTGCTACTCCTTCTGAAGTCAAAGTTGTTATTGTTTCTCGGGCAACGGGGCCCTCATTAGTAGAGTTTTTCATCGAAACGGCTTTATCAATATCCTTGTTCTCTGAAACAAACAATCCTGGATATTCATGTGAGTTTATTTCGATTATTTCTCCAATACTGGCAACACTTCTAATGTTTAAATCACTTTCCAAAGGTAGTTTCAGACTAGCAAAATGTCTTGAAGGTTCTAAGATCGTATTCATTTTAATTGGCAACAACTGTCCCAAAGTTTTTGCTGCTTTTCTAGTTAGGTTTTGTGATGAATTTCTAATCATTCTCCCAACAGTTTTTCTTGTTATATCTACAAATGGCTCTTTGTTACATGATTCGTTATTCGTCATATCAGATCCTGAAAACGTATCCATGTCATCTGGATTTATTACTTCTTCAAAATCTATATCACTATTGCTATTAAAATTATGACTAGTTATGGGAGTACCGTGAACACTTTCATTACCATTGGTTAATTCACCTAACATAAATATATGAACTGTCTTACTTGAACAAGATACTACTAAAAATTTATTATCAGAACTAAATGACATAGAGAAGATTTTTGTTTGATACGTACCTCTTCTAAATTGATATAATTTAATCCCACTTCCTACACTAAAAACCCGTATTATAGTACCCTTTTCAGATGCAGTAGCTAATAAAGTACCATCAGGGCTTAATGTTAATGCTGCAATATTATTTTTATGTGCTTCAATTACAAGAACTGGTTGTAGTTTATCTAAATTAAATATAATGATATCACCAGTCTTCGCATTGTTTTCAACCGTATTACTTCTAACAGTTGTTATTCCACCATGTACAGTAGAATATAATACATCTGCTGCATTTGAATCTTTATTTCCTTTATTTTCATTTAACAATAGTTCATTATTAGTATCCTTAGTATTACTTTTACTATCTTCATTTATATTAATATCATTAACCTGATGTATAGTTTTGTTATATAAAACTTCCTTGTGATAAAAATTTAATAGATCACCATTTTTTTGTCTAGATAGAGGTATTGTTATATTATTAGTAGTTGCAAAATTAGTTACTTCCGAATTTATGATCTGTGATGGCGCTGGATATAATAAATAATTATTTTCTAACGAATACGATATGGATACTAACCCATATGGATTAGAGAAATTTTCAATAACATGCAGTAGCTTCATTGTTTTAATATCATAAATATACATTTGTTCCTTCAACATTACAACCAATCTTGATTTATTCATTTTCACTGATAAAATAGATGTTGGAAATGTAACTTCACAAATTATAGTACATTTTTTAGTATTAACTAACTTTAATTTTCTTGGTGATAAGTCTGGAGAATCGCCACAACCAACTAATGCTACTAACGAGGTTGAAAAAAGCATCTCTACAATACTATAGCCTCCCTCTTTAATTTTTTTCTCAGTATAGAATTTACCAAATGGCTTACAATTAAATATGTCAAATCCAGCTGATGTCCCCACTGAAATACATGTTCCTGTTTGATTAAAATTAATAAAATTGACTATTGGTAATGAATGTAAATCTTTTCCCATACTAAAATCACTAAAGAAGAACCTTGAGGTGAAATAATAAATATAAATGCAAAGATATATATAATCACAATCAGTAACCTCTTGATATTATCTCATATATTCTACGTCTACTTGTTTATACTCACATCAAATCTCTCCTAATAACATCATACTACTTCTCTTTCCCTTCCTTGTATAATCATCAATTTTTTAAACATTAACATATATCTACTTGTACTCTATATTCTTCTCCTATTTTCTTATTTTCTTTCTTTTTTTCTTTCTTTTCTTTATGTAAAATGCATCAATTTGAAAACATTATAGGAAAAGACAAAAAAAAGATATTGAACAACTTTTGAAAAGATAGCAAAGATGACAATTATAAAAGATAGAGAGCTATGTATCTTACAAGTAAAAAAATAATAATAACCAACATCATATTAGGTAACTAAGTACTTTGAAGTCAAAACAATAAAACGATTTTGTATTTATTCTAGCAAAAAATATTAAAGATAAGAATCTTCTGATGTTTGAGTTATTAGTACTAGAAATTTTATTCTTTTGCAAAACTTATAAGCTTACTTCTTTTGGAATATTGTTTGAAAAGTAAAATGTAAAAACAGCTTATATAGTATCTTTTTATATTCTTTTTGTACTTTTTAGTATTTTTGGTAAAAATAAGGAAACAATTCATTTGTATACTTACAAGTGACGGTTTTTTAAACATAGTCAGATTTATAAATAAGTTTATCTTCTTATTTATATGTTTATTTGATTATTTGTTTGAGTTTACAAGGTAATATTCCTATTTTTGACATTGTTTATTTAACAAAACCTTTGTATCTTTGTTTTTTTATGTAATTTTGATTAATCATTTAACTACAAGTTAATATAACAATATTTTGGAGATAAAGAAAAATTTTCTTTATTATAGATTTTTTATACATAATAATATAACTCGACATATTATTTCAAAATCTAGTTTCAAAGCGTTTCTGTATTTGACAAATACATAGGCATCTCAATTATTAGTGATAATATAGTATATTGTTAAAAATAATTTTAGAAAAAAATTTCTAATGCTATTCGTTTTATAAACTTTAAAATTTTTTTGTTTGACAAATACTAATTCTCCAAGATCTACAATATTACTTTTCTTTCTTCTATTGGGCTACTAACTTGCCAAGTGTTGTTTGTTAAAAAGTTTACTTCTTACTTATAAATATTTTTAAATTTGATATTGTGATTTTACTTTGTTGAGAATTTGCTAATGTATTCATTTAAAATATAGTATATATTTTCCATTATTATTATATATTGATATGGTATAAAGAAGTATATTCTAGTTTTTCGGTCTTCCTTTGTAAGTACAATATGGAGGTGGTTATGTAAAAAAAGTTTACAAGAATAGAAACATGAGATAAAAAAACTATTGGCATTATATATGTTCATATCTGGTGTTTTCTTTGTAAAGATGACAAAAATTTATCAATTTGTTTTATTTATATTTATTGATAAGCAAACACTACATACCCCACATTTTCAAGGAGATTTATATTTGTAAAATTTAAGTATTCTACCTATTTATTCTAAGATATTTACCAACAGCATAATTTGCAGTGTTTATTATATAAACCATTATATCGTTGGTTTGTATGTATATTCTAATTTAAATAAGAAATTTGATAAATAATAATTTTTACTTAGAGTCATAATCATTATATATTAACTATGCAAAGTTTCCCCTACATTTCTTTCTTCGTATAAAATATTAAACAATTGGATAAATTTTCTAAAAAAACTAACTAAAATTAATAAATATTTATATTTAACATACAATATAATGAAATAACATACTATTTACAAAAAAAAACCGTTTTGTTTACTACATATTGACAAAATATCTTCCAATACTTTGAACTACTGATCATATTAGGGTTTGAGAAATGGTAGCCAGAGTTCTGTGATGTTTATCAATAATTTGTTCTAGTTTGAATTTTAGAAGTTAGGGTTTAATATAAATTTCTTATTAAATATTTAAGTAAATAAAACAACAGATCCATTTACAGAGTATGATACTAGAACAGTTAAGCACATAAAATATTCAGTGCAAAAATATATTAATCCGTGTTTAATTTAATTAAAATAGAAAATTTTAAGTCCATATTTACAATCATTGTAGATTTCAATTAATAAAAGTATTAAATGACAACTCCTTATATAAAGAATTATTATCTTAGCGTCTACAATTGCATTTGAGATTGGTTTATAATTGTATATTTATGTATGATAGAATTTAAAAAGAATAAACAATACTATTTTTTTCCATATATATAATGTTTTAATACTTATTCATTATTGCAATATCTATCTTTTTAATAGCTTAAGTTCTCAACTTATTTTTCAGAATTGTAACAACAACAACAATATAATAAAGTAAAGTGGTAAATAACTTAATAAGTAAATACATGGAAGGTACAGATTTGCTAACTTACAGATATTATATATTGTTTGAAAATAATAATTAGATCAGAACAAAATCTAATTACCATACAATCTTGTCTTTGAAATTTACTTGTATAGATTAATGTTATTCTATTTTGCTCTTATTATTTCTTCATTCTAGTTCTAGTGCAAGAAGGAGTTCATTAATCTCAGTAATAATACTAAGCATTATGCAATTGCTGTGTTCAATTATTGCAATATCAAACAGATAATCTATTAATAGTCGATACAATAATTGATACAATCGGTATTACAATTATTAATAAGGTCTTTATATCTTGAGCAGCTTTTATCAAGCTTATATATTTTTATTGGAAAATGAGAGTTTATTACTGTCATTTCCATAAGAATTATTTTTAATTTGTTTTTCTGTATATTATGCGGTGTACAGGTGTACTATAATATCAGGAAGACATTTTATTTTTTCGCTAAGTATATTTTTCAGAGATTTGAAGAAAAATGAAAAACTTTAAAAGAAAACTTGACGTAAATAAAAGAACTTATACTGTATGCGCCATATAATAAGTATATACATGTATTTAGTACACAATACAACAAGCATCTATAACTTAATGATGCCTACCATTACCATGGGCACTGAGTGCTCCAAATTCCAACAATTATAATAATTCAAGTGCCTTAGTGAATTAGTAACTGTACCCTAATTTACTAGTTATGGTAGTTAGGTGCACTAATGATAGATGGCACAACTGTTATGGCCATTAGTAATAAATGTGTGACTTATTAAACAATAGATAGTTCTAAATTCACTCAAAATCTTATGTAATCCAATCTCTTTATTATGCAGCATCTAATGTTGTAGCACATATATGGCTTATTAAGACAATAAATAGTTCTAGATTCATTCAGGATCTTATATAATCTTGATGGTTATAATTATTCTATTCCACAACAAGTATCGGACAAGATTGGCAACTTGGCCGAGTGGTTAAGGCGTAAGATTAGAAATCTTTTGGGCTTTGCCCGCGCAGGTTCGAATCCTGCAGTTGTCGGTTTATTTTTCTTTTTTGATTGCAGACCTAATTTTTATAATAGCCCTTAGGTTAGGTGTCTCTGATAACAGTCAATCTTGTTGAAAACACAATAATACTTCACTTAAATAGATATAGGATATAGACTGTTACTATATCTCTAGATGCAATATTTCTATATATCTATATATCTCTATCCCCATTCTATGATAACCTAATAGTATACACTTATATACTGTATATCTACACTTATTTAATCCTTGGTTCCTTGTTCTTTCATTCCTTCCTCTTGGTTGCTCTCTTGTACTTATGTTGGTTACTCCTGTTCTTATGTATGTTTGTAAAATTTTGCAAAAAGGAAAGTTTAAAAAAATATCGTCAACCCTCATTTTTTTAAACAAACCCTAAACAGTAATATCAGGGATATTATAGATACTACGAGAGATATTCTCTTCCCAAAAACTAAAACAGATATTTCTTGATTGTTTGTGTATATATGATTCATAAACTATACTCTACACAAAGAGTAAACTAATAACGTACATAGATATACTAATAAACATACTTATATAAACAAGGACGTCGTTATCAACTAGAGAGTTCACAAGATCGTTTTTAGTGACACCAAGATTTCATATATTACAATATTCTAAAATAAGATAGATAAGTCTAGTTATTAAATCCAAAATACATAAATATTAGTGACCAGAAACAAGATACAATGTATTGAATAATATATTATCTCTTTTATACTAGCCTGATCTTAAATTTTATAACTGGTTTTATCCATCTTATTTGAAAATCTTTAGATTTAGATTTATAATCAAAATCTGAACTGTTACAGTTCAAATTAACACAACCCAAATCGAAGGTATGTAAAGGCTTATAATCAACACCATCGAAATTATCTATATGTAGTCTGAATCTATGACTTATCAATGCTAACTTTTAGATATTTTAACAATTCTATAATTAAATCATCTAATATAGATTATATAACCTTGGTATTATCTTCATGTTCCATTCAACCAATCTTAAACAATATTACACAATCACGTCCTGGTTATCTCAACTATCATGAAAACTTTGTAGTTATCAAAAAAATATAATTTATGATATATTATGACATGTGATTTTAATATTTCTTGCATTCTTTTCAAATCTTTTTATGCTTATTTAGTGTTTTAAAATTATAATTGATATAATATAATATTATTATACATAATTTTTGTTTAAGAATATATCTAATGACATTAATGACAAGTTTCTGTCAAAAAAGAGTTAGTAGATTTATATCATATTGACAGTCCTTAAAAAACAATCAAATGTTAAAGGAAAAACCAATTGTTTTTTATTATTCTTACACCTAAAAGTATTTTATTATTTAGTAGTACTGTAAGTCACAATAAAGTACATTAATAAAAATCGAGAAAATACATTGAAAAACCACATCGATTAAACATATATAACTTCCTAGCAAAAATATATACAAGTTTTATTTACAAATTTAAATAATTTTCACATGAAATAAACATACTTCTCCCATTATTCTAAATAATTTCGAGCATATTGTTCAAAACTCATTCCAATGATATTTTTATCGGTACAACATACGATACGGCCATGTTCCACTTCAATAGTTTTATGCTTTAGTGGTTCTGATAAATGAACTTTAAATTTAGGTCCTGCATCATACTTCCATTTATGGCTTTTCAATTTGTTCATTGTATTTTTAATTTCTTCATTAATTGTTTCATAATCATTGCAGTAATATACTGGTATTGAATTCCTTCCTTTTATACCATAATACTTTGAGAAACCATCTTTACATATTCTGATAAATTCATTGACATCATTTATGGAAATATTAGAAATACTTGATCGTACACTTTCAACACTAGGACTATCCCATTTGATTCCAGGTAACTCCTTTGGTTTCAATAGACCAGAAAAAGCATTAATTTGAGAATCTACAAGCATAGTGCCATGATGATATGCTTTACCTTTTGATATTTTAAATGCACTTCCACTACACTTTTTACCTTTATATAAGATATCTCCTCTTTTGGTTAATTTGTAGTCACCATTACACTGATAATTAAAGTTTAACCATTCTACAATAAGATTAGTAAAAAAAGATGTATCAAAATTAGACCGACTTGTAAGGAATGAAAAATTAACATTCCCGAGATCATGAATCACTGAGCCACCGCCTGAAAATCTTCTTAATATTTCATATCCTCTTCTCTCTAATTCTTTCACATATAACTCTCTCCATATAACCTGATTCCTACCAATAACTGCACATTTACGATTAATATAAAAGAGTAATCTCTCTGAGTAAAACGGTTTCATTGCATCAAATGGAGTATGTCTAAAGATATAATCTTCTAGTGCAAGATTATAATACGGATTACTGGATAAACTTTGAATTACAAACCTCCCTGGATTTGAGATAATCTGTTCGAATAATTTATTATCCAAGACGGAAAAAGTAGTTAAATTATCAAATTCTTCATTCAATTCATCCAATTCAGACTTATATATCTCTTCATTATCCTTTAAAACAGATTTCTCATCATTTGGATTTCTCGTAAACATATTCGCATACATGTTATTCAATTCTTTATATTTATCATCTGCGTCTTCTAAATCGAAAGGTGCATTAGTAAGGTTACTATGAAAATTTTTCTTATTAAATTTAGAATGGTTAATCATGGTATACAGTGCATTTGCAGACCTAAATCTTGAATATCTTACAACATTTCTAATTGACATTTTTATAGTTATTATATCGTTTACTTCTCCCTTCTTTTAATAAATTTTAGAACAAACAAACCATTTTAGTGGAGTAAATATGTTATATATCTACTAAGTCCCTTTTATTTTAATTAAATGAGTATATTAGTCTGTGGACACATATAAATCTGTTGCATAACTACTAATATAAAAATATTTTCCTGCGTAAATTTCTCTTTAGCATCTCTCTTAAATCTCTGTATTCTTTTGTATCAATAACTTTGATATGATTATTATTTTTTTTTACACGAAACGACTAAGTAGAGTAAAAACAAGAAAAAACAATTATTACTGATTCTCTCGATGAGTAAAATTTACTTTAACTTCAAACTAAAGAAGCTTAAATAGAAGAAGCAATTTGAATCTTGCACCAATACATACATATGATCTGAGTGATATGCTAATCTCTAGAACACATTTATGACATTTTCATTATTATTGTTCAACCAACTAGAAATTCAACAACAACAACCTCAACTACACAAATAAAATACTTCCCTTCCATTTACCCAACAATTTTTATATATAGAATAAACATGGACAAATCACAAGAATTCATCAAACAATGTCTTTTCACAAAGAATTTTAATAACCCAAATAAACCAATTGATGAAAATAGACTGAGAGACACATTACTTGTGATACCTACTGATGGCGGAGTTTCTCAAAGACTAAAACAAAGCAAAAGTAAATTTTCATTGAGTACAGATAATCTTGTTTCAATAGATAGTAAAATCAAACATCCAACTTATCGTGACATTAATAAGAATTCTAAAATTGCCATGAAAAAATACATTCAAAAATGTAGAAGTTTATCCAAGAAAGTCAAACATATTGCATACAAACAAAAAATCAATAATAAAGATGTTCTATATAAATATTTACAGGACAAACAACCAGAAATCTTAGAAGAGTTACCACGTTATGAAAATTATTTACCAATGTATGAGAAACTATGGATAGGTTATATAAGAGAGGTTCTTGGATTAGGAAAGGATATAGACGATTGTAAGAAAGTAAAAATCAATGAAACCATTGCTTTGATGAAATTATCCATGGCTGAATATAATGGATCGCTTTTACGAGTAGTTAAAAGTATTAATAAGGATATTATTGGTAAAGAGGGTATCGTGATATGGGATAGTCAAAAATCCTTCATTATGGTAACAAAGGGTAAATTAATAGATGAAATTAAAGTCATACCCAAAAAGGGTACAGTCTTTAATTTCGAGGTCCCAGTGAATGATACTGATGCATTACAATATACAATTCTGGGTGATAGATTCAAATACAGAAGCAGTGACCGTGCTGCAAGAAAATTTAAAAGTAGAAGGTGCGATGACCTGTTATATTATCTGCAAAAATGATTTTGTAACTGACACGATTTTTACAGTATATAATAAATTCGTCATTAAAAGTTCATTTCTACAACTAAAAAAAAAAGCAAGATAATATACCAAAAAAAACGAATTATAATTATAAAAGTAGATTTATGTAGTGAAATAACCAATACCTCATATATGGTCGATTATAGTTATCTGGACCATTGCATATATGAGCTGCCTAGACTTTCTGTTCTTGTAAGAATGGAGGCTCTGACATATTTGGCACTACCAATAAATATCTCTATTAATCAAGACTTTTGTATATCTGCAATTGAAAGGCAGAAAAATAAAATAAAATAAAATAAAATAAACTAAACTAATCATTACAGATAGCACGAATAGGTATGTAAATGGATATGTAGATACACACATATACGAAGAATATGAGAATGTAATTAATTCAATTATCAATAGGTTAAAACTCCCAAGTTTTTTTTGACCGCTGCTGGTTTTTGTACAGTTATACCACTATTTCATCCTATTGTAAAACAGGGAAAAAAGCTAAGCAAAAATATTAACGGCAGAAGTACAAAGCTTCCATCTCAACCCACTTGGTCAATGCCACTTAACAAAGATCACTTCAATTCAATTAAGGACATTGTTACCCGTGACAAGGTGCAATTTTTTGATAGAATAAACAAATTAGTTGATGAGATACTGGCTATTTTTGTTAGAGACTTCAAAAAGGATATTGGCAAAACATTATACAATTTTAAGAACAGTATAGATTATAACATATTTTATTCTGGTTGTAATAGTCTATTTCGGCAAAAAATTTATATCAATGTATCTAATACCAAATTTTTTTCTTCTTTTGATGAAAGTTCTCCTGATACAGATCATTCCGATGCTAATAAAACGTCTTTTAGTAATTCTAATAAACAAAAATTAATAAGTTATAGCACATTAATTCATTTTTTTTGGGATTATTACAATGAAATTACAGATTATATAATAAGCAAACTTATTGAAATTGAAATTCCAATACTCACATTTCATTATAATACAGATGTCATAGAATTTTTCAATATCTGGACAAGCGCATATATGCATTTCTGGGCTGTTTCAAGCGTTTTATTTCCTATTATAAACTATGTTTATCTTAATTATCCAAATGTCTCTCAAAAATATGTTTCAAACAGTGACACGCTTCATAATTATTTTAATAGAAAATTCCATGATGCATTAAAAAATAAACTCAATGAAACGAGTATTTCTTATAAAGATTTTTTACAATATTCTATTCAAGGTCTTCTAAATGCAAAAGCTCTTGATAATAGCTATTTTAATGTTGATACTCCCTTCAGATTTGCATATTTATTTAAAGAAACTATCGATGATAAACCTCTGCAAGAATATGTATTTAAGCAATACAAACAAGATACCATTTCCAAACACAAATTTCTTTTTCAAAATGGTAAAATTTATGATGATGAACATCATAATAAAGAAATCCAAACTTTTATCCAGTTCTTTTCTCTGGATTTAGCTAATAAAGTAACTCTCGTCTCGATGTTTAGCCCAACTTGGATGGAACCTATCAAAAATATACTAGTAGAGACAACTATGATGAATAAAGACATAATTTCAAGGTATTATTATTTTTTTAGAGATAACTTTGACTTTGAGAAAAATGATGACTATGCAAAAGATCAAAACGGTTATATGGGTACGTTTAGGTTTGTTTACCTGTCAAGAGGAAAAACTGATGAGCTTGATCAAATTTGCAGTGACATTATTTATAATGAAATCTCCAAATTATATGATGCATCTGATAAATTATCATTGATAAAAGTGTTTGAAACTTTGTTTTTTCAAATAAAGTTTTTTTCACGTATTAAACCTGTAGAAGATAAAGGTTGCACCTGTTCAGAGCAATGTGTATGCTATTCAGATCACGGTCCTGAATATATCAGAAGAGCATATATCAAATTGTTTGAAAATGAAATGAATTTAATTCAGGCAATTCTAATTTATGTTCAAACTATGGAAAAATTATCAGTAGAAGGCAATATTAATCTTGAATTTTTCTTTTCAAATTTTGGATTACTTTTAAAAAGATTATCAATTCCATCTATTGTAACATCTTTATATTCTGAACATTTATTCAGGTATGTTCTGATGAATTATAATACATTAGTAGATAGTGCCAATTTAGATTTAGATAGTACAGTGCAATTTATTAGACATATCATTACTGTTTTCAATAATATATACTGCGATAAAGTACACAATTTGGTTTCAATGTGGAGAAATTTTGAAGAAAATATTACAAAAGTTGGTGCAACTAAAGACAGATATAATGAGCTCGTAGAGTTTTATCCTTTGATCCTTCCACAGTCAGATATACCAGAAATATACCAACGTATAAATGATGAAAGCAGTTTGAATAATGTAAGACTACCAACCAAGATACGAGAGATGTGGAGGAAATTTGAAAAAAATTATAAAGACGTTATACTAATGAACGGAGAACATAAAGTGATGCATCCTCTGTATGGGCTACAGTATTGCAGTGTGGAAACACCATTTTTGAGAAAAAATGGGGAGCCACTAATCTTAGAATTGACTCTGTACCAAACATGTGTACTCAATGAGTTCAACAAGGTAGACCAAGTGTCATTTAAACAGTTAGTAGAAAGGTTACAAATAGATGGGAATAATATGAAGGCAATTTTGAATTCATTTTTAAACATTGGCCTGATAAAGATGAACAAGGATAAAACGTTTTCAGTGAACGAGATGTTCAAGGTAGAGGAGAGGAAAATCAAGAAAGATGTATTAAGAGTGGTAATGGGAAAAAAAACAAAGAAGCCATCAAGGAAGTCGAATAATGCTAAGGAAAATTGCGCAGAAAGCAGTTTCAGTGGCCAGGAGGATGAGACACGTCAGGAAAATATAGAGAGGGAATTTGAAGACTTAACTTCAGGACACCACGAAGGACCAAGTTCTGTGTGGAGAAGAGAGGTGATCAAGGCGTGCATTGTAAGGACTGTTAAAAGTCACATCCACAACGTCGAAGGGATTTCTGAAGAAGATCTGATGCATGAATGTCTGCCACAACTTCTTCAAGGGACAAGTGTTGGAGAGTTCCAGGATGCTCTTAGATCAGCAGTTCACGAAAGATATATTACAAGAACAAGCAATGGTAAATTTTTATTTGATATGTAACACCATCGTAAATACAGATATGCAAATATAACCGTTGTCCAACTGCAGGATAACCCATTAGTAACCGTAAATGGAGCCTATTACTAATCATCGGTTTTTTCTCTTACACCTTTTCTCATAATTAATGAAATGAACATTGCAGATTTAAAACCCTAAACAAAAATAACTAAAGAAAATACAAAAGATTTGTTTTTTTAAAATCGGTGAAACAAAAAAAAAATTTTTTTTAAAAAATAAATCTTCCATATATTCACTTCAAATGAAACAAGAAAATTTACCATATATAAAGCAATAGACAAAAACAGTAAAAATATACGACACTCCTAGAGAAGCATCTCCCCAAACTACCGCAGCTACTTTTCCCTGCTGTGTTTTGCTTTCGCTGCTCTCATTTTACTGGGACGCACCTGAGTTTAGCATATCACTGAATGAATTAATATATAACACCTCGATAAAGGGAATAGCATAGTACAAGAAAAAAAATCTTAGTTCTTTTTTGTTTGTCTATTTATTTATATTAATCATTTTACTATCTCTTTTGTTATTGTGTATTTGACAATTTTATTTCCTGAATAGCATAGTTATGTGTGCTGAGATGATGAGAAATCTACAACAGTGCATAGTTCAACTGATTGTTTAAATGAAGACACAACACCATCGAATTTAGTCTTTCGCTCCTATCTGAAACTCACACATAAATTAAAAGCTTATAATTGCTTTTATCCTGATTCATAGGAATAGTGATGCTATTAACACTCTTATCGTTTATATATTTATCTCGTCTATCAAATCCTGTTAGCTAAATCTTATAGTGTATCATTTATTCTTTGTCATATGGACTTCTTCAACAGATTCTATTCTTTGTGCTTTCTTCCTTTTTTTTTTCTCTCTCTTAAAATAGAAAAAGAAGAAAGGAAATAAGTAAACCCTACTGTTACTTTTAATTAATTCTTGTAAAAATCTTCAACATTTACATTAAACCCTAGTGCACCCCTTAAAAATAAACAAAAAAGGGAAAAATTAAATAAAAGACCTATTTTCATCTCTTTCCCCCTCACCATGTGGAAATATTTTGGTAAACCAAAATTCAAAATAAACAAATTTAAAGACATATCGGTAGGTAACGTCACTCAATTCTGACCCCTTTGCCCTTACATTGTTGATTCTCCAATTATCAATCTTCTTAACAAAAAAGAACGAGAAGAAGATATTAAAGTTACCGAATAATAATATTAAAAATCCACTTGGTTGAAATAAGTTTAGTCAAAACATTATATTGAAAACCTTCGTTTCAAATCTTTCAGGTTAATAATTTTTTATACCTATAAAATCCTTATCTTCTAAACAACAAACAAACATAATGTTATCAAACTTATTTATTGAATCTATTCAAGATGCAGTCACTCAATCAACCACCAATGATCTTTGTTTAGTAGTGTATATTACAGATTCAAACCAATCTAATGACAGCGACAAATGGTTAAAAAAATGGTTCCAATTAGACAATATTGCTAAACTAAAATCTATGGCTATATGGCTAAGGATATTTAATGGCTCACAAGAATTGCAATATTTTGAACAAATCTTTCCCGGTGTAGTTATACCATCACTTTATTTGATTTATAAGGGTCAGATTAAATTATTACTTATGGATGATCCAAATGTAACTGATGATACGATTAAAAACTATTGGAATCAATTATTCGATTGTTTACATTCATGTACGCCAAGAATGAATACTTCGAGTATTGATCAAAGGGATTCTCCCTCCTCTTCATCTTTGCCCACCTCCTCTGATTCTTCCAATACCAACAATAATATCAAACCATCTAAAGGAAATAAGAAAACTTTTAGGCAGCAAGTAGAAGAAACTACACAACAATTATATAGAGAAAAAATCGAAAAAGAAAGGCGATTAGATAGAGAAGAAAGAGATCGAATTCTAAGGTTAGTTAAAGCAGATAGGAAAGAGAGAAAGGCAAGAGAACATGAATTACATTTAAGAATTGACAATGTTGCTACTACTACTGTTAATGACAATAATGATTTAAGTGTTCATGACAACATTAAAAATGAGGAACTTTTACATTCTGTCAATTGTATTTTACAAATAAAATTGACAAATGGAAAGTCCATAAGACATACTTTTGATCATAAGGATACTTTAAATGATGTTAGAAAATGGGTTGATTTGAATAGAACCGATTCTCATGTTCCATATGCATTCCATAGATCTATGCCTAGATATACTTTTCAAGAATCAGATGAATTGGAATCCTTAGAATCTTTGGAATTGACTCCGAGATCTTTGTTAATCTTAAAACCTTTAGAAACTTCCACAAATAAATTAAATACCTCTGATATTGAGAATCCTGGCTTGTTTGGCAGAGTTTACAATACATTTTCTGCCTTTTGGGGTGGATATAGTAACAACACTGATGGCAATAATAAAAACTTAAATGATAATCAATTAAATCCATTAGACATGAGAAGTATGAACAACAGTGATCTCAGTTTAAATGATAATTCAATAATAACAACAAGATTTGACACGTCAATTTTCGGTAATCGTTATAGTAACAATAATAATTCTAACACTACCAACAATAATAACAATATATCAAGATCATTGACTCCCAATGTGTTTCATTTCTTTAATACAGACACTAATGACAATAATTCAGATGATGATAGTGATAAAGAGAAAGAAACTTATAACGGAAATAATATTAAATTAGAGAAAAGAAAGGATGATTAAAAATAATTAATAATAAAGTTTTATCATATAAATATATATTCATACTATGTAATATTTTTCGTTATCTAAGATTTTTTAATACTTCAGTGACTTATGTTTCCTGTATTTGTAAGATAGCTTCTTTTTTCTTTGGACTAGACTCCGTATCTTTATTGATAGTTTCTTTCACATTTAGCTCATTTAACTTATTCACCAAACTCTCCATTTTATTTTCTTCTTGCAAATCTATAATATTTTTATTTTCAGCCATTTCTAATTTATCCAGCTCCTCTTCAATATCCGCTTCGATATTCTTATCTTCTTCTTTTCTAGTCAACAAATCATTAATCTTTTCACTTTTGTCACTCTCTTCATTAATTGTTTCCAACAACTCTTCAACTTTTTCTGCCGATCCAATATAACTATTAATACTTTTAAGAACTTCATTAGAACTAACCAATATTTCCACGAGCATTTTGTTTGTACCACAAATATCTAACTGTTGTCGTATGATCTGTAGCTTGGCCAATCCATCAAGTAATTGTGTTAAGTATTTAATCAATAACTGTTTGCTTCTCTGAACCCTTAGTTTGTACCTTGAAGATAAAATTACACCATCCTGCTCATTAGCCTTTTCTTTATCCTTCAAATCTTTTAATTCCAATCTTAACTTCTTAATTTGTTGTTTTAAATTCGATATCCCAACTTTCACATGTACAATATTTTTATCATTATCTGTAATTGTTTTATCTATATCGTTCGTTATGAGAGTTCCACTTATTGATGAATCAATTACTTTAATTATTGAATCCTTGCACCTAATTATATTTTTGTATCGATCCATATAAATCAGCAAGACTTTAATATCATTCTTATCTTGATATGAAATTGAGTTTCTTATCCCACTTTTCATTAAAAATTCATCTTCACTAAACACAATATTAGTTATCGTTAACGGATCATTTAAAATATTCCTTTTCAAAATATCATAAATTGTATTATATTTCTTTTGAAGTTGATTTCTCAGAACATACTGGCATTCTTTTAGATAACATGAACTTGTACTTCCATAATTCTTCTCAATCCTAGTAATTGATTTATTATTAAAACTAAAATTATTAGAATTATTATTATAATCGAAAGATAATATAGAACTAAACCACTGAATATAATCCCAGAATTTTACTTTGTTACCATTATCATTATTAGTATTTATATTCAATAAAATATCTGCATCGCCGTTGATAAAATCATCTAAAGGGACCATATAACCATCTAAAATCAAACTATCTAATACGACATCAATAGACTTGGGATAACCATATTGTGGTAATATTAAAGTGTTTAAAAATCGCGACCCAGATTGGAACACAATTATATTTTTATTCACAAAGTATTTCTTAATTAAAAACTCTTTCCATGTATCAATGTTTGCATTATATCCATCAATATTCAATTCTTTTAAATATCTAAAATCCTTATACAAAGACTCTAATCTACTCTTAGGTAAATCAATTGACAAAGTGCCATCCGCAGTGTTGTCTAACATATTTTCTGACAAAGTGATAATAATATGAAAAGAGAGATATTATATGATCCTAATAACCACAATTGTTACTTTTCGGTGTTGAAACAAGCAAATTTGACTCTAAATCTATTCTTCACGCAGCGTATATCAGTTTTTGGAATAGTCCAGACATACTAAATATTTATACTCACAAAATAATAACACCAATGTGATAATGACATAGACTAAAGAATAGGTAAATCAGTGAATCCAAACAACAAAATTTATAGATTCTTATATATATCACTCGAAATGAAACTTACCATTGATTTTTTTTTAGTTCGAGAAACAATATTCTCTATTTACCTTTCTAGTTACGTCTACAACTGAAACTCTTATCGACATAAAAAAAATACTTATCCTAAGTAATTTACAATCCTCTTAGTAGAAGAAAATAATCTAAAAACATAAATGTCCATTTCTTAGCATAAATTGATTAATCAATAAAAAAGTGATAGAAATCAACTATTTATAAATGCTATAATTAATAATTTGCTTCTATACTTATTTAAAATGATATTATTACTATACAACAAATTATTATATATATAATTAGAAAAAAAATATCTTAAATCTATATAATACATATAAATATAACTAACAGACCCGTACTACACCTACAACAAAAAAAAATAGGGCTATACTAAATTTGCTTTATCACTCTATGGTATCATGAAATTCTTTATTGGTCTTGTTCCTCTTCTTAGTCACGATCAAACTACAGTATAACTATCTATAAATACAATGAACCAGCAGATACAATATCTCTATGAATTAATTTCAAAATAGTTTCCATTTTTTCTTTCAATGCTGAATTACCTATAGTATTAGCCACTTCTATCAATTCCTTGACCAATTCCTCTAATCTCTTAAACATTCTAATTAAAGAACCTTCATAAACATCAGTCATTTTACATATCTGTGTAAATGTAGCACCCCTACACCATTCATATACCACTTCCATCAATTCATGTCTGAAACTTTCAACATAATCCTTCTCCACTATTTCAATTTTAGAATCCTTCATTAGTTTAGCTATCTTAGAAGCAAGTTCTCTTAAATTCTTCAAAGGTTCAGATAATTCAGGTTTCAATCTTGGTGATTCTTTACAACGTTCTTGGAATGCAAAACACGATAGTAAAGCAGCAGCTTGTTCTGGCTTCAATTCACTGAAATTACCATTAAAGATTAATTCAGTTAATAACAGTTCGTCACCACTTGAAATCTCACAGGCTACTCTACCTTTTAATTCAATAATATCATTTGGTGTACAGAACCCAAGACGACGCAAAACTCTCTTTCTACGACGTAAGTCATCCAATTGTATAACTGATTGGGATTCACTAATTTTATGTCTTAATTGCTTCATATCGTTTTCAATAGCATGCTTTCTACTATAGTTATTATATAATTCACCTAATTTAACTGAATCATGTAATGGATTTGAAAATAATTTATCTTCTAACACCTTAATCTTTCTTAACAACTTTTGGAAATCGTCATCATCAATTTTCATATTTTTAACAGGGTCAATTAATGGAATACCATCCGGGAATCTACGTTTGACTTCATTTAATGATTTACCAACTACAGCAGCCTGACCTGAAGCCCTAATATCTTTAGGCATAAATAATCTTAAGTTACCAACGCTACGAATTGACTCTAATGTAATTGGTATAATGACAGACATCGATTTTTCACCGTCTTTTGCAGCACGAATGCCCTCTGGGAACACTGGATTAAATGGTTTTAATAAATTGATTGGTGCATCGATATACATAGAATTAACCACAACATTAACGATATATGATTCATGATCTGTGTATTCAACCAATAGGTTACGTTTATTAACTCTTTTAACAAAATCAACAACAGCACCCCATCCATAATTTTCTTTACCATCAATAATAACTTCAATCAATCTACCTGGCTGCAAGAAACTCAATAAATTAGCTGGATGTGTGATGATATGACGAACATCTTCATTGTAACTATCCAATCTTTGTCTTAATTCATAATAATCTTTCACGTTCTCTTCATCTTCAATATGAATTGAGGCAGCTTCATTGCCTAATTCAATCAATTTTTTTTCCATAACAGGTACGGAAATCACATTTTGGAATTGATAAAAGGAATTTTCTAACATAAATTCAGGCGATATACCTTCAACTCTCATCAAATTCAAAATCATGTTATAACCTAAATGAAATGCTGAATCCAAACGATCTGCTTGACCTTTTACCATACCTTTGGCAACTTGAGGTTCCATCTTTTCATCTATCATCATAATGACAATACCACGATCATCTAACCCACGACGACCTGCACGACCAGACATTTGAATATATTCACCACCAGAAACCCAACGAAATTGTTGACCATCCCATTTTCTTACTGATGTGAAAACGACAGTCTTAGCAGGCATATTTAACCCAATAGAAAAAGTTTCAGTGGCAAATAAGACTTTTAAGAAACCTTCTTGGAACAAAATTTCAATCACTTCTTTTAGGATAGGTAATAAACCGGAGTGGTGAATACCAATACCTCTTCTCAATAATGGTAAAATGTGTTTTATTTGAGGTAATTCTCTATCAGTATCAGGTAGTAATGCAATGGCATTATTAAAAATTTTAGTTAACGCATCCTTTTCCTCCTCAGAATTAAAATCCAATTTTGACATCTTTAAAGCCAATTCTTCACAGTCACGTTTACTGAATGAGAAGATAATAACAGGATTATACTTCTTTTTCCAGATCATTTTTACAATTTTGTAAATATCACCTTTGGAATCACCCTTAGCAGCACCGCCTTTAAAAGTTTGGCCCTTTTTACCTCTAGAATTTGTGGAGTTTGGATCATCACCGATTTGATTACTAATTGATGCCATCGCTTTTTGGAAATTTTCTTCTCTAAAAGTACTTTTTTCATCAACAACCAAATAGATACCATCACCATGACTTGGGAATAAATAATGTTGTAAAGGTGTAGGACGGAAGTTAGTATAAACAATGTGGCATGGTTGAGCATGAATCTTACAAATCCATTCTGCAAATTCCATAGCATTTGGAATAGTAGCTGATAAGAATACATAACGTACTTTATCTGGTAATAGAATAATAGTTTCTTCCCAAACAACACCACGTTCTTTATCTCTCATATAATGGACTTCATCGAAAATTACCCATGCAACTTCTCTCATAACTTCACTACCTCTATACAACATACTTCTTAAAATTTCTGTTGTCATCACTAGACAACCTGCATCGGGATTAATCGTAATATCACCTGTCATCAAACCAACATCACCGAACTCAGCTAATAATTCTCTATATTTTTGATTGGATAATGCTTTAATTGGAGAGGTATAGATTACTCTTTGCTTATCTCTTAGAGATTGTGCAATAGCATATTCTGCAACAACAGTCTTACCAGCAGATGTATGAGCAGATACTAAAACTGATTCACCTCTATCAATACAAGAAATAGCTGTATCTTGAAATGGATCTAAAGTAAATGGGTAAGTTCTAGCCTCATTAACTCTTTTATGTTCACCTATAGGCTTATAATCATAATTGGGTGGTAATGCGACTTGATGACGGACTTGATGAGATAATTTCATTTTACCATCTTCCTCAGATGGTATGCTGGATGGCCCTGTTAAAGTTCCAGCAGCTTCTACTTCTCTAGAAGCCTCTTGTTCGAAAGAATCTGCTACTCTAGGAACTACAACTTCCTTAGATTTCACATCAGTTGTCTTACTTGGCTTAACCTTCTTATTTTCTTGAGTAGTTTTTTCGTCATCGGTGTGCAAACGTTTCTTGTTATTTTCATCTATGGATGTAGTGTCTTTATCTAACTCTTCTTCTACTGGAACTTCAACGTCTTCCAATTCTTCTGGAGAAATTGTTGGGTTCTCTTCAAAGACATCAAACAAGTTGTCATCCATGATCAAATTAACTATTTTAGATATATCCTAGTCTACTGATTGAATAATACTTTTTCTATTCGACTGTTAACATGTAAAAATATCGAACTAGATCCTTGAACGATTTATAAATGTAACATTGACTCATCTATAATTTCCTATTCTTTTTATTCTTTATTTAAAACTTTTTCACTCTCATCGCAATGCCCATTCTGTAAAAGTATTTTTTCTTTTTTACAAAAACAAAAAGGAAAAGAAATTGAAACTCATCGAAAAAAGAAAAAAGTATGTCATAGAAGTCAATATAGGAATGCAGATGTAAAAAAAGTTCACGTCATACGTTTAACTGTGTCTGTTCAGAGGAATGCTCTTATTACATGTATATAAAATATAGAATACTATAGTGCATTATTATGAATATTTGTATTATTTATTTTTGTTTTTTCTCTGAGATAGTATGAATATATTAACATGTACACAGATGCAGAGTTATATTCTTCTCTGTAACATTATTTATAAGTATATAATATTATATATATATAATAATAATAAGAGGGTATCATCATGACAATATTTTAGTTTGATCAGTAAATTACTAAACTTCTTGTTTGCTTTCCATTTTTTTTCTAAAAAATATTGCTTTCATTTTATCAAGTGACCTTCATCATCAATAATATTCAAATTCTTCATTGTATTCCATTTTTCTCGGTCATATTCACTCATTACAATATCTGGATAAATATTTTCAGATCCTAAACTTGTCTGATTAGAAATTTTACGCTCTTCCAATGAATGTTCTATTGGAGGTGGTTGATGTATCTGTTCTTCCACAGTATCCGATATTGGGGCCATTTCAATAGCAACATTGTTGTGTTTATACAACATGGAACTAGCTGATCTGAGCATCTTCTCCACAGCGATCATGCTATGTCTTCTATCATTCTTCTTAGACTTACTTATATTGGAATGTACACTATCTACCAGATATCTGGACGCGCTACTATGATGTATGTGGGAAGCCATACTATGCGTTGGAATTACGGACACAGACTTACTTGGGAAATGTCTATTATTTTGTAAATTATGAATATATGTAAATTCTACACTTTGGTTTCTCGAGTGTCCATTTTCAGATTCTGTTTCGAATAACATGGTATCAGATATATTGGATAAAGAAAGCTTTTTACCAATTCTTTTAAATCTATGTTTATTAGGGGAAGAGTGGGTAGACATGTTATTAATATTGGGAGGGAAACTATATTGTAACAACTGACTTGGTGTCTTTGTATGAGTTGGTGTGCTAAATGAGAAATTTTGTGATCTCTGTTTATTCAAACTTAAATTGTTGATACCACTGCCAGTACCCCCGCTAATAATGGACACCAACGATTTGGTTGGAGAGTGTCTGAAACTAGACCTTGCAAATTCATGAGATATTCTTTCACTTGTAGAACTTAGGATATGTGTGACTGATTCTGTATCTTGTCGTAAACTATCTTCTAAAAGTTGACTTTGATCCTTGCTTGATCCCTCACCATCATTCAAATATTTGTCAAGTTCACTAATTGTGTCTGATATATTTCTATTATGTGTGGCTCTTTGTGTATTTTTATCTAAGTTTGAGATTGGTTGTTTATCTTTAATTTCAATTTCATAATTTTCATCTTCCACATCAATATTCGCTTTATTCTTGCTAGGAAATGTAAACTTTTGTTTACTTTCTAATAATGGTGACTCTGATATAGATTGCATCTTATCAATATTCATATTAAATTGAAATGGAGACATTAACGTAGAATTTTGAGTATTTTCACTTGCCTTTCTCATAAAATCAACTTTATTCTTTTCCCACATATCTAAACTAATATTTGGTGGATATTCAAATGGCTTTCTGTCCTTACTTGGTGTAATAAAATCTTGATCTGTTGTATAGCCTAAATCAGGAATCTGCGTTAAATCATTTAATTCGTTTAACACATTATCTTGTAGATCATTTATATTACATTTATCATCATTGGACATTTCGGGTATCAAAAAAGATGGTGCCCCAGAAGCTTGAGTGGGTAGAACAGAAGATTTATGACTATCGTTACAACTGCTTCCATACTTCTGTAAGCAAGGTGGAAGTAATGCATTGTTTATTCTTCCAATAGCCTGTCTCTCTTCGGTTAGTTTCGGTGATATATTTTGACGTTGTTCTCCATTTAAAATGTCCCCAGACACCTCAATAAACGATGTGTGTTGGTATGCACTTGGTGATGAATTGTACGGTTCATTATTACTTATGTTTGCAAGATTATTGCTATATGTCTTACCCTTCATTTGATTCATTATATCATTATTTGAGAGTGAAGCATGCTTGTTATTAACTCCATCATCTGAATTTGATGAGCTCAAAATATTAATAAAACTTTTATGTAAATCAGAGATAGTAGACAGTCTCGTCATGTATTTTGCATTTAATCCAATAGATTTCTTTTCTTGAGACCTTCTTCTTTGAGTTTGATTTTCTTTTTTTATTTTCATTGGATTTAATTGAAATTTCTTAGATGCTTTTAATTTTAACGCCTGAATCTTTTTTAATGATGATCTAGATGGCGATGATTTTCTAGAATTATACGAAGATATGGATAAAGATCTTAATTTTTTATTAAGATTAATATTTTTAAAGGTATGGCTATGCGAAATACCTAATTGATGTCGAATAACAGAGACATTTGATTCTGTTTCGCTTGTTTTACTGTTTAATCTTTCATTTTTTGCCCAATTTGTATACATGTTCATGCTATCAGAATTACTCTCCTTGTTACTGTTCGATACCATTTTTAAACCATTTGGATTACTTTCATCAAAAAGTATATTATTGTTATTTGCTCCCATTTGAATATGAAACATCTGGGGAGTTAAAGTTTGAGCAGAATCCTTTAATGGAACAAATTTATCACTTGGAACATATAACAAATCATCATTTTCTGTAACCTTACCAACTTTCTCAACATCATTATTTAAATTTTGCTTACTATCACTTTCGATTATCTCATTCTGAGGTTTTATCCAAATTCCTAAAAATAATCCATTAACTAGCATGAGAAATAATATAGATGATTCAAAAGCCAACATTAGCTGCCTATGAAGAGAGTCGGTAAAAAACCCTGAATTATTAATCCAATAATGAAAAAATTCAATAGCACTACCTACAATCATTAACTGTAATATACTGAAGAGTACCTTAATCAAATAATAGTAATGGCCCCATGGAAAAAATAATAGCAGTAATTGTAAAATAGTATGTACATAACACGAACAGACAATTATAATCAGAACAGCCTCTGTACCCTGATAAAGTGATAATAGAGACACTGCAATAGATCCGGTGAGTAAAGAGAGCAGCAAACTCCCTAAATAATATACTTCCTGCATGCAATCTTAACTGTAGGCTCTGCTATTTGCAAGTGACCTTTAACGTTAAACAGAAAAAAACAAAACAGAATGAAGTTATAAATATAAATATACCTTTGTGAAAAAAAATAGGTTTTAATAACACTCATACGCACCCTCAATGTTTCAATTCAAGACTCTTCTGACCACTCATGCTGTCTCTTTATCCTTTTCTTAATCTTTTATGTAAATCAAAACCAATTTTTCTTTTCACAACCAGATCCAATATTTACTATTTTCCTAAAATAGAAAAACGACAAATATGAACTCTTTAAATCAATTCCCCGTGTTTAACTTGCACAATGTGATATATTTGGCAACATAACTCTCTATTCGACTACGCATATGCATATGCCATATTTAATCCTATTTATTTTGATGTACTGTATCTGCATGCGTACGCTACATTTATCTATTAATATATATGTAAAAAAAAGAAAACAGTGCCAAACAACATTGTACTCATCTGGCAATAAACTTGGAATATAAAATGGCAGTAAATAAACATTCCAGACGAGTAATTACATAACAAGATATTAAATAAATCTTCATACTTACTTTATAACACAAAAATGTCAAAAGTAAAAAATATAATTGTAATTTGTTGATGGAGTATTCTATTCAGTACGATATAATGCAATTGGGATCTGTTTAAAATACCTTCTGTTATCTTCATCCACAATTACTAAACTTAAATAATTCTTAATATTGAAATAATTACAACTCATATCTGGTGTTAAATCATAACCACTTAAAAATAATCTAATAGGTATGGTCTCACCTCTCACTGGAGATCCATCCATAATTTCAAACCTGATAGCTGTTGTATCTAATATAAAAGTCGATGGTTTTAATCCTGATGTTTCTCTAGTTAACAAAGATAATTCCATGTGTCTTATTTTTAATCGTGTTAATAAGAAATATATCCTCCCCACAATGACCTCTTTTAGATTGTACTGTGATTTAGAAAACTCAAATTCCAAATGCAGACAATTCTCTATACCAATATCATGTCTAAATGGCTTATCAAGATCCTTGATATTTTTATTCCCATCAACTGGTGTTTCACCTTCTATACTTTTTATTGAAGTTAAATCATTGTACAAATATACCCAAAACTTTTTATTTTTAGTAATATCAGTAGATTTTCTCATTACAGTAACCTTCACATAGTAATTAACATCTACATTTCTTCCCCTATAAGATTCATATCGTTTAGTTAAGTCCTTAAAAGTAAACGGATAACTCTGTGTGTGCTGTATATCTCCAGCAGGACACAGATCATCACTAAGACAAAGAAACTGATCAACACTTTTCTTCTTTACACTATCAAATATGGAATTTGTTCCAAAGTTAGCATTCTTACCATTATTGCTAATTTTGACCATATCAATTGACCCAATAACAGAGACTTTTATGCCTAAATGTTCCATTCGCTTCCCCTCTTTTACTCTGATAGTCACTACACCACTGATTGTTTCACCATCTTTATAAAGAGGTAAATTATCCTTTAAAGTTTTAGCATTGGGACCTTGCCTAACTGGTACTTCCACATGTTTTCTGCTTTCTTCATCATCAAATGATATTTCAATATCTATTGGTGATTTGAAAAATAAACTCATTTTTATCTTGGTTATTTCTTTATATATTAACTTTTTACAGTATTTCCACTAGCAGAATATGCAGTGTTTTCCTAAACAATGAATTGCGAGGAAAGTACTTCTTACTCTAATATTTCTATTAAATACTCTGATACTTCAATATTTGTAGAGTAGAAGTGATATATCTGCGACGAACAAAAAATAAGACCTATACTTTGCCAATTTCACTGTTTTTTTGAAAAGAAAAAAAATGAAATATTACTATTAAGGAAACTTTACTGTCCTACATAAAAGTCACACTTTATTACGCCAGTAGATGAAAGTATATATAAAAAACCTTTTTAAATAAAATATGTTTAGCAATCATGCCGCAATATATGCTTGTATGTCTTATTTACAAGCTATATTGACATGTTATGGTTTACAACTTCTATATACATAAGTAACTATCTTTAAGTTTAACGGTCCTTATTTTTATCAATATTAATGGTGTCATAATCTTGTTTCAAAACGGACATATATTCAGTTACACGTTTGTCGGATTTTAAGGGTTGAACCCACTCACTATTCTTTTTTAGACCTTGTTTGACCCAATGGCTAGGCCAATCGTCTTCTTCTTCCACTCCAATGAGTAAATCAACTGGATCTTTGAAAGGTCTAATATTATCTTGATTAACTAAATGTGCAACTTGGGAACATACCTGCTCTGTGTAAAACCTTCTTTGATAAAATCTAATAATCCTCGTTGGAATAGTAGTAAAACCAGATAAGCTGGGTACAGGTATCATTAATACAGGTTGATGTAAAAATATTGGAACACCAGTGGCTGGATTTTTGATAACTGGTAATTGCATAACAACTTCTTCAGATAATGACACATTTGAATAGTTTTCTGGAGAAATAAATCGTGCCAACACTTTACTATCCTTACTATTGGATACATCTTCCTTTTTGTCATTATTATTTGAATTTTCGTCGAGTGTATTATTATCATCATCTTTTTGCTTGTTCATATTGGCATTTGATAATTCACTATTGTTATCGTTTGTTTGTTCATTAAGTGCATCTCTTATTTCATCTGCAGAAGGATCCTTCCTTTCTATATCTTCTGCAGTATCCTTTAGTGTAGAAATCTCTGGTTGTTCTAAAGGTCCCAATAATCCCTCATGCAATCCATTTATATATTCTTTATAAGAACCACGTCCTAAACAAATCACACCACCAGTTAAGGTAGGATCTATAGGCTCTGAATCTGTATGAATAATTTTGTCTATTTTAGGTCTTTTATAAAATACACCAATTAAATCCCTATAATCAAAATTTCTCTTATATTCTCTCCCATTTAATTCATCATTACCATGTGTAGCATTTAAAGAATCTTCAAAATCTGAAAGTTCCTTTTGATTTCTCAAGTTATTTTCTGATTGTTCCAATAAATATTCTTTTCTAATCTTTCTAATCTCATTAGCTACATATGTTCTAATTACCCCTTGTTTATCTTCCTCCACTATATCATAATCTAGCCCAGCAGAATATAAGACTGGCTTGATGTAACGTCTCCAAATTTTCAAAGATGTCTCTAAATAATCATTTGGTGGGGGTGAAATAAAGACAGTAATTTTTCTTGGAACTCTATTTGTCGCCATTTTCGCACAGGACTTGGATTCTACTGATTTACTGTATCGTTTTACTATTTGCTTTTGTTCATATTTATCATATACAACTCCAGAAATAGCAACTGTTAAAACAGACCAAAAAATCATCCAATTTCTCGAAGGTAATTTAATTCTTGATATACCCATGACCTTTAAAGCAGGATTGGTAAATCCTTTTCCTTGTGCTACTGGTTGTTTCTCTGTCATTACAATGTTTCAATATAAATAAAGGAAATCAACAACTAAGCAAAAATCTAGAAATACCTATAAAGAAATAACAACTTGATAATAATTTTAAAATTCAATTTAAATTGCTTGTATATCTATGTGTATATGTGTTTTTATAAGTTTGAAATAGTGAATATTCAGACTTATGAATTCACACACACACATATATATACATATACATAAATATGTATGTATAATCAAAACTAATATAATGAAAGAAACATTGTCGTACCATTATTATATCTTTTATGACCAATCTTACCACCAATTCTACAGTATGTAATTATAGACTTCAGTTGTCTTGCTTAGTAAAAAAAAAATTCATTCTTTCAAGAATAACAAAAATTTATATATATACAAAAAAAAAAGAAAAAAGAAGGACTATCTTACATCCAGAAAAAAGAAGTAAAAGCAAAACTTTTAATATAAGATACAATTCAAAGCCAGCAAGTAACGTCACTAAAATAATTATTCCTATTTAATAGTACAGGATTACTCGAGAGAAAAGATCATGTATTAAAGTATATAAAAGTTATTATATACGAATATGTACGGAGAGAAGATATGTTTTTTTCTTTTTTTTATCATTATCATCATCATTATTATTTGTTATCACATTCATCATTCCAATCAAGATTAAATCTCCCATCGGGTGCTACGTAATTATTAATTTTATGTATTACTTCTTGTGGAGTAGTAGCTACTTGTAAAATTATGCCATTTCTTTGACTAACGAATCCATTGTTAATTGACTCATGAAGGAAGTCCAGCAATTTATCATAATAGCCATCGATATTAAATAAAACGATAGGTTTGTTATGAATTCCTAATTGTGACCATGTGATACATTCCATAATCTCTTCTATTGTACCAAAACCACCCGGCATAGCCACAAAGGCATCACTTTCTTTAGCCATTAACCTTTTTCTAGTATGCATATCTGGAACAATAGTAGTCTTCCCATATTCTTTTGAAATCTTGGTAGTGCCAGAATGATCTTCTATTCTTGTTATTTCTGTTTTTGCAGAATGCCCATTACTACTATTCATGTTACTGTCATACTGTTTTGTATTTGAATCCTCATTTCTTTCTTTTGAAACTAAAGCATCTGGAATTATTCCATGAACTTTCCCGTCATTGTTCGGACCTATGGCAGCCCGAGCAACAGTACCCATCAAACCAGTAGTACCACCACCATAAACCAATTGCCAACCATTTTGGTAGAATAATTGTCCCAACTCCTTTGCCTTTTCTGTAAACACTCTGTTTGTACCAGAAGAAGACCCACAATATACACAAACACTTTTAATGCTCATTACCAACACCTGTAATGCTTTTTAATGTTAATACACAATAATGTAGGTAACACACCAAACTAGATTATGCAAATATAATGTGTAATATTTATATTTACCAGTCTTATTAATGTGTAACTACTATTCTAGATCCCTAGCAAGATGCAAGGAGCCGTTGGAACAATATTCTTTATAATTGCACAGTTATCTGCATACATTGCATTATATTCCATGTACGGTGCACCTATTTCATTTGTTCTCAGAGCCCTACTAGATCCATCGTACTCTGTCCTTGCCATCCCCATCCCTCTCCCTGTTTCCTGGCGCAATAGGAACAAATTCAGAGGGACAAGATTCGCAGAAAGAAAATATAGAAAAACAAAAAAAAAATGCAAAAAAAAATAACCTCACACACCCATACCTCCTCCGAAATCATTCTTTTTGATGACGTGTTTAACCTTGAGGGTTCTTTTCCTCTTTTTGCGTTTAGTTTAGTCTTACGATGTTCTTGGCTGAAAAAGCAGAGGGAGGAGGGAAGACGATGGGAGGATAAGTAGACAAGTAGGAGATGCATATAGAAATGACTAGATGTCCACAAAAATGTTTTATATATGTGAGAATGTTACACACAGTCATACCTAATCATACTCTATTATAGTAAATTATAGTAAATTATCATACACTCTGTTATAGACAAGGGAATTTAATAGATAAATTAAAATAACAGTCGTTAATTAAAAAATCTAAACTTATTTATACATTGAAGTGCATCAACATAGACACATTATAGAACATATTTACATATATATATGCAGATTTAGCTACTGCTTGACGAATTATTCATTCATCTACTTTATACACATATTTTCTTTCTTTCTGATAGTTAAGGAATGATTGTTCTTGATGCATAGTTTTTTCTGTGATAAAAAAAGAACTAAAATTCAACTACCAATTTAAATAACCACGTATAGAAACAACGACTGTGTTCTTATTTCATTTTATTTTATTTATGGCATAAGGCTTTTTTACGTATCAGATGTCAGATTCAATTAACTCAACTGGTAGCGGTGTGATTCATGGCCACATCCATAATTACGATAACTTAACATATATTCATGGACATGTCCATCATAAAACATATATAAATAATAACACATCTGATCACAATCTTCAACATGAACAACAAAATAAGCACATCAATAGCAGCAACAGTAATGATGATAGCAGTGCATTATTGACACATGATACAGGCCAGAATAATCTTCAATTGCATGAACACTGTAAACCTTTTGAATTTTTTGACTTTCATAATAATAACAATCGTAGTAGTAATAGCAGTAACTCTTATAATATTTATGATAATCATGATAATATAAGTGATTATGGAAATAATACTCCATTCAATTCAGTTTCGTTAGATTTACCGTTCACTTACCATCAAACTAATGATAATATTCGTATTAAGAGAAAATTTGAAGAATTAGATGATAACATTTTATCGAATACGGCTATTAAAAAACATCAAAATAAAAATACTAATAAGAGTAATAATGTCTGCAATAACAACAACAACAACAACAACCACAGTAATAATACTGTAAATGATACTGAATACGATTGTAATCCTAAAATATTCGAAATTTGTTGTGATATTGATCATCATAATAGTTCACCATCTGGTACTATTAAAAACAATGAAGATAATAAAAATATTCTTTATGATACTAATGGGACCTCTTTTAATAAAGATACCATAATGATACACACTTTAAAAAATGGTTCCTCATCTACCAATTCACATCTCATTAATAACAATAATACTAGTCACAATACTGTAAATATTTTTGATTTACAAAATAAGATTAAATATTTATCCGATCTAAATTGTACATTCGATTGTGTTTTTGACTGTGCTAATATGAATAAAGTAACGAATCACAATCATGATAACGTTGACACTAATAATAACAACAATAATAATACCAACAGTTTATCATCTGATTCATTCACTATAAATTCATTCGATAAATATTGTCAATTATGTTCGATAAATGAACCACATAAGCAACATAAATATGGCTCTAAACCTATGCAATCTCATGTTGCAATTATTCCTGCAAGTAATAGTAATAATAGTAATAGTAGTAGCAGTGGTAGTATTACTACTACGACCAAGAATAACGATATGTCAATCTTGCAAGACTTATGCAATATATCATCGTTGTATGAAGTTCCCTTTGCTCAACATATGAGTCATTACCATAATCATAACCATACTCATGATCAGGAAAGAATATTTAATCAACAGCCACAACCAGAACAACTACAAATACAAAATGAAACAAAGGACATAGATAATAAGGTTACAGAATATGATAATCTATCCAGTAACCATAGTAGTGCATCAAACCTTTTAGACCCTGTCATCAATTCCAGCTTATTAAATAAGACACCAAACACCAAATCTAACAACAATCACAATCATCATCATCATAAGATAAAGTTACATACACATGCACCGATGATCAATAATCACACTGTTCTTGATAATAAAACAAGACAAACTATATTAAACAATGCAATTAATTTCCATATTGATTCCAAGACAGACCCAGTAAAAGAAAAGAAGGAAGCAGAATATAGTTTGAACATGGATATGGCTTTCAATGAGCTAAACACGATTGATTTCAATTGGAATTATAAAAGAAATAGAGATAAAGATATGAAATGCCTTTGGGATGACTGTGATAATGAATATAAATTTGATAATTTGATAGACTTGCAGAAACATATGTTTGTTGATCATATACCTAATGATAACGATTATTCATGCCATTGGCAAGATTGCTTGTTTCATGGGAACGATGTATGTTCATTAGTCAATCATATTAATGATCAACATGGTATAAACTTTGGCATCAAAGTGAAAGAACCAACACATCCACCTATAAAGATGATTAAAGAGGAGAAAAAGGAAGGCAGAGTGATGTCAAATAATGTAAACACCACTAATGGATATGTATGCCAATGGGATAATTGTCAAATAAAATTTGATACCAAAAAAGAGTTAAATGAACATCTAGAAAAAGATCATATACCAAGAAGGAAACCCCAATATAAATGTAATTGGAACCAATGTAATAAGAATTTTAATCAAAGACAAAAATTACTAAGGCATATAAAAGTCCATACAGGCTACAAACCATATAAATGTGATGTATGTGATAAAACATTCGCAAATCAAGAAACATTGATACAACATAAAAGAATCCATTCAGGAGAAAAACCATATAAATGCGATATATGTGGTAAATGTTTTGGAGGATCATCATCATTAAAGATACACATTAGAACGCACACAGGAGAGAAACCATTAAAGTGTCATGTATGCGGTAAAAGATTTAATGAATCATCAAATTTGAATAAACATCTAAGGACACATTCAAAAGAATTCTGTTGTCAAAATTGTGGTAAAAGGTTTTCAACATTAAAATATTTAAAACAGCATGAATTATCCGGGAACTGTACAAAAACAAGGGTTTTGAATATATAAGATTATGAAAATAAAAAAAAAAGTTTATTTTTCTCTTCGTCTGTATAATTTTGTTCAAAAGGCTCTTATAGATTATATATTTTATCATACCAACTTGGAAGTTATATAGCCATACACTATTATTATGATACTGAAAAATAATAACTAAACAAAAGAAAAAAAATTACTGCAATTACGGACAGAGGATAACCAAGGAAAAACCTTTTATTTTAATCGAGTCGAGCAAATAAAAATAAGCTCTCTTGTTTTATGGTGTGGCGTGTCTTTTGATTCTGAAAGAAGTTCGAAAAGGACAAAAGAAACACTGGCCGGAGATAAATGGAAATGACGCAAAATAAAACTCCACATTCCTAAAAAGAAAGAGAAAAATATACATAAAAAAAAAAAAAACTAACAAACAAACAAAAAAGCGGGGAAGCTGACAAATTAAAGGAAAATTCCGAAGGAACGCAGGCAAAACAACATATACACTGTGGTGCTGGGATGTTAGCCAGAAAAAACATCTGTGTGATCACATGTCATCAAGAAGGGAAAAGAAAAACAAAAAAAAAAAAACACAAAAAACAAAAAGCCAGATATGAAAATTCTTAAAAAACAGAGAGTGAGAAAGACAATAGAACAGGTGCATCACTAGAAATATATTCGTTTATTAACAGTTCATGATTTGGGAACATACCTATCATAACAAAATAGTCCATTACCCAGTGTAGACGTCACAACATTTTTCTGTATGACTACTGTTAAAGCAAGAAGATGCCCTCTACTTTGTTTTCTCTTTCTCTCTCTCTCTCTGTATTGAATCCAGTGATCACAATTTCAACAACTACATTTTAATCAACCTCCCCCACTTCTTGCGACATTCAATGAATATATGATTATATCTTGTTTCTTTTCTTTTTTGTTTTTCCTTTTCTTTTCTTTTCTTTTTTCATTTTTTTTTTTCACTTTCTCTCCCCCTTTTTTCTCTTACGGTTGAATATTTTTTTATGAATATGGCAAGCCTATAAAATATTAAGATATATATAACTCTCAAGACACAAAACTGAGTTTTGATTTATTTAGTAAGCAAGGTTGAGTCTTCCGTTCTCCTACATTTGTTACGCAGGACAGCTATTCTTAAATAACAGAGGGTCGAGAAACTACTTGTTGGTATTTCATATCAACACATACACACTTACACACACATATTATATATTTATATATCTATAAATACACTTGTATTTTTTAAAAGAAAAAAAAAAAAGAAAAGAAAATGCTAAGATCAATTACTCAGACTCATACTATTCCTCATTTAAATATTAGACAATTTTTAAGATTACAATCTACCTTCACTATTCCTACTATTCAAAAGGGTGTGATTTTTTATGAAAATGGTGGTCCATTGCATTATAAAGATATTCCTGTACCAAAACCAAAGCCAAATGAAATTTTAGTCAATGTTAAATATTCAGGTGTTTGTCATACTGATTTACACGCATGGAAGGGTGACTGGCCCTTACCTGTCAAATTACCATTAGTTGGTGGTCATGAGGGTGCTGGTGTTGTCGTAGCAAAGGGTGAAAATGTGACTAATTTTGAAATAGGTGATTTGGCTGGTATTAAATGGTTAAACGGCTCCTGTATGTCTTGTGAATTGTGTGAAGCCGGTTTTGAGTCTAACTGTGAACATGCTGATCTATCAGGTTATACACATGATGGTTCTTTCCAACAATACGCTACAGCTGATGCTGTTCAAGCTGCTAAGATCCCTAAGGGTACTGATTTAGCTAAAGTGGCTCCTGTTCTTTGTGCCGGTGTTACGGTTTACAAAGCACTTAAAGAAGCTAATGTTAGACCAGGCCAGTGGGTTTGTATCTCTGGTGCTGCTGGTGGGTTAGGTTCCTTGGCTGTTCAATATGCCAAATGTATGGGTTTAAGAGTCCTAGGTATTGATGGTGGTCCAGGTAAAAAAGAATTATTTGAATCACTTGGTGGTGAAGTCTTTATAGATTTTACTAAATATAAGACTCCAAAGGATATGGTCCATACAATCCAAGAAGCTACCCATGGTGGTCCACATGGTGTTATTAATGTATCTGTCTCAGATGCTGCTATTTCTTTATCTGCGGAATATGTAAGAGCTTGTGGTACAGTAGTTCTTGTTGGATTACCAGCCAACTCAGTAGTTAAATCAGATGTCTTTTCTCATGTGGTTAAATCCATTAACATTAAGGGTTCCTACGTTGGTAATAGAGCTGATACTAGAGAAGCCATAGATTTCTTCTCTCGTGGCTTAATTCAAGCCCCAATTAAAATTGTTGGATTATCCGAATTGCCAAAAGTTTATGAATTAATGGAAACTGGTAAAATCTTAGGTAGATACGTGGTAGACACATCTAGATAAGGATATGAAGGAGATATTCCTTTTTTTTTCTTGGTTTTCCATTCCCACTGCATATTTTTATTTTTGTGTATGTGTTTCGTTTTCATCATTTATTATATATTATTCAATTGTTTGTTCACTTATATTTTTATATAGAGATTATTAGGAGTTTTATAACATAGACTAGCGTAATGGATATACATTTAGTGTGATAATTTTTTTCTTTTGGAAAAAAAAAAACAAGCAAAAATACGGACTCTAACGACAAATTTTTGACTTATTTTGTGCCAGTGCTTTTTTTAAAACTTGTTATACTTTAAATTAGGAATGAAATGATTCCTTTTTGACACAGACTGAAATTTACAAGTAAGAAACAAGAACATATCTTTTTTAGCAGACACCTTAATAAAACTTTTGAAGGTACTTAATTTTTTATTTGCAAACCTAACTCTTTTTCAAACTAAAATGTTAATATCCTTTGTTTACCCATCTATCAAATCTCTGTTCTCAATACTTGCCCTGTAGATTCTAAATTCTTGCCTATTACTTTATAAAGTGTTCAATATTAACTGTGTAAAACCTAATATAGGTTACTTTGAATATATATTTTTGATTTGTAGTATTCTGCATTACTTTTTCTAGGGTTTTATTAAATTTCATTTGTTTTTTCAACTTATTTCCCCCCTTTTTTTTGTTCTTTTTTTTATTTTATTTTATTTTTTGTGGTTTGTTGATTTGAAATTATCAGAAAAGGGGAGTTAAGTAGTTTTGAACTCATAAAATTGTTTGATTACGGTATTCGAGGATCAAAAATTTTTGTTATAAATAAAGGATTTTCATAAAATTCAAGGAATCACCTGTTATTCGAGAAACTAAATATATAAGCTGAGACAGTAACTGGGTCATCGAATTAACTATTTTATTTTAAATAATTATCAAATAATTATCAACTAATATCAGTCATAATCTAATATTTATATTTATTAGCATCTTTCCAGATTTTTTTTATCCTATTGTTTCATTTCACTGTTTTTTTTTTTAGTGTTTGAATAAATTGTTAAAATTGTCAAGTTAACATCACTTGTATTTGCCACTATTCTAGTTGCCATTACCTTTATATTCATACATATTACGCTTATTTTAACCCATACCAAGTGGATACATCAATGTACAGAAGGCAAAGTATATATAATAATTCTCAAGAAAATGTTAATTTGAATGCACTAGCAGCAGCAGCAGCACTAGGAAAAGCATTATCTCCTGACGGAAGGGAGGTGGATCATTCAAAGATTCCATTTTACAAGTCATCAAATAGAGTTACTGCAATGACTAATATAAACAGATCTTCTTCTATAACAAATAGACACAGATCCCAGTTGAATTCAATTACAAGACATAACTCTATGTATGTTTCAACAAATGAAGTTCTACAAAGGCAAGAAAAGAAGCGAATTATTATTCCGTCCTATAGACAGACTACAACAAATAATAATAATAGAAGAACATCAAGTCTACCGTCAAGTAGTAGTACTAGGCGTAATCATGGCAAAGTGGCAGCTGTGGAAACAAAAAATGTGCATAAAGCATTTCAAGAGTTTGGTGGGCCCCAGAGTGTATCGATTAATTCCTTCTCAAATAAACGAAATATTAAAAAATATATTCCTGGTCCCAATGGTTTGATTGCTATTGATGTTCCTATTGATGATGATATTAAAAGACGACAAAGAGGGTCATATTCCATAACAACTGGGTATTTAGATGCAAGGAATTCACATAGTAAAATTAACTACGGTAGTAGGTCTAATAGTGGCCTTCATAATAATATTAATAACAATGATAATAATAATATGACACAGCCTCGTATTCGTACTAGAGTCTCATCTGTTCTATTAACTAATAATAATAATAGTAATTATAATAATAAAACAAGTAATTCGGTTAATAAAAATCCATACCAGAAGAATGATTTAACTCTTAAGAAACAAAGATCAACTGCAAGTTTAACATCAAAGAATCAGAAAAAAAGCTCTAATAACCTTACTTTAGATCAAAATAAGTATACAAAGGTAAATGTCACAAATCGAAAAGCTATTAATCATAAAGAGAGTTCCTCAAAAAATAATTTAACTGCTTCAACATTGCACTCAAGCAAAGAAAATATTAATAATAAAAGAACAGTTTCTTTACCAATGATTGAAAGTTCAATGCCAGAGGAAACTGAGTTAGAATTGGAATTAGATTCAGATAATGTGGGATCATCAAATTTGAAAAAGTTAGACACTCCATCAAAGATTGAATTAAGTGAATTAATAGAAGAAACTATTGAACTGGAAGAAAAGTTGAATGAAGATCTCATGTCGAATGATGAACCAAAACCACCTGATGTTAGTGATAGAACAACTATTGAACAATATAATTCGTCAGATAAAATTGCAAATAATAAACTTCCAAATGAAAATAAAACAGTTTTAGATATTAATAGTATAGACTCCCAAACTTACAGTAATAATGATATTCATACAAGCGATTTTGATGCAATACATAAAGATGAAATATATCAAAGTGATGAAGAAATATCAATAACTTCACTAAGTGACACCCATGTAGGAGAAGGTACTATAGAAAAAGTGTCTAATGATTTAGTTCATGTATCAAACAAGTCTGATGTAAGTTCATCATTTGATCAAGAGGAAAGTACTGTTAATCACAAAATAGAAAATATCAACATTGACAGATCTAATCAAGACACTAATCTAAGTGTATTGAGTGAGAAATCAGTCAATAAAACATGTGCTAGTAAGAAAATCAATTTATTAGGAAACGAAAGTAATAGAGCTAAAAATAAAGCAGTGAACGAACAACAAAACGGTAAACCAAAAAATATTAATAAGTTGGTCACAGATGAACCACAAGAAAAGCAAGTGGAGGAACTAGGTTTACAAGTGATGAATCATTCATACTTGGATGGAGATCAAATTAGTGAAAATATTCGTGGTGGTTCATCGGATTATGTAAGCACGGAAGAATATCCAAATGAAGATGCACCAAAGGCACCTATACCACCGCCAATAAGTCCCAAAAGGCATAGAAAAACTGCTCATCCTGTTAGAGATGATCTCCAGGATGTTATAACCGATGCTAAAACTACAGAAAAGCATTTATCGAGCCAGTCAGAAAACATTATGAAAGATACATTAAAACAAGACAACGATCATTCTCAAAACAAAGAAAGTATAACAATAAAGAAAAATAGGACAACAATGGCTGATTATTTAAGATCAGCAAATCCATATTTAAGTAAAAAAGATAATCTGAATTTTAAGGCACAAAGCAGTATAAGTAAGAAAGACACATATTCAACACCGAAAAAAAAAACTATCAGATCTCCATCGTTAAGTCCACCAAGTAAAAAACCTATTACAAAACATTCTATACCTTCTATTGACTTAAAACCACCACCACGTTTTAGTCAAAATATAACTCCAATAAAATCAGCTTTAAAGAAGACTCAATCATACAATTCTGATAGTTCAGTATACGATGATAATCCAGCTAATGATGCGTATCTTTCTTTAACTACAGCTGAAAATACAAGACTAAATGCTAGAATGTCAAATGAAAATTTGGTTAGTCGTAAAATCTCCATAAAAAAGGTAAAAAGACCACAATCTATGGTTACTCAAGCAACACAAAAACCTCAATCTCCTCCATCAAAAGATAATAAAAAAAAATCAGCTGTTATTACAAGACGCTCATCATTAATCAGAAATTCGAAGAGTACCGATAATTCAAAAATAGTAAAACAACAATCACAGCTTGACCCTGACAAGGCTGCTAGCGCTCATGAGGAATTAGTTATTACAAAGGCAAAGAAATTAGTACAAGACCCGAAAATGAGCTTAGCCCTTTATCCTATAGAACCAATACCAACAAAATCAAGCTTTGAAAAGTTGAGACCAGAAAAAAACCATTTAGGGTTTAAGAATTTATCTTTGAGAACAGATATAACAAATGAGACAGAATATGAACAAAGTAATATGAATAATAAATTTCATCAAAACAAGGCATCTGTAAGTTACCCAATCAACCAGCAACAAAGAACCCAGCAGATGCAACCATTAACATCTACAATAGGATATGGACTTTCTTCAGGTTGGACTTCAAGATTTCAAGATTCAGATTCAGACGATGATTATACTTTTTCACAATCCAATTATTTTAAATCTAATGGGAAAAGTAGCTCGAAGTCATCTAAGGTGTTATCACCCTCAAAATTGAAGAGTAATGGATTTTCATTATTCAAGAACACAAAACATCATGAGTTGCAGGAACCACCAGATAAATCATCATATGAAACACCGAAATTATCAAATAATAGTAAACTTGATAGGACTATAATGAGAACAGCAAGTGCAACAGACCAGTTAACGCCTACTAGCAAATCAGAATTGAAGGCTTCGCCACAGAGGGTATTAAGTGAACCGCAACTCAAAGGATCAGAAAAGATCTATAGTGATCAACATATCGAAGATGGTGACCATAAAAGAGCACACAATAAATTTGGGAATAAGTTAAGGAAATTATTTGGTAGAAAGAAATAGATATCTTAGCAATTTACTAACTGCTATTAAAAAAAGTTATTTTATAGTACCAACTTATTCGTACAAATATTGTGACTGTTTTGAAGTATAATAATGAAAATTATACTTTGTTCTGTTGATATTCATGAGTAATCGTTATGACATGTGTAAATTAACCTTTAAAAATGCATATATGTTTGCTTATGTATAGATTGTATATGTATATTCGTTATTTTTTTCCTTTTTACCGTTGAGTGATTAAAGGCATTTCTGGTGTAATGCTCCTAAAGGTAATAGTCGAAAGAAATGTTATGGGAAAAACAACTGGTATATCAATAATCTTAAGGAAGTTTACATATGTTGCACTCCGACTCAAACAAATAAGTATGTATTTTATTTATTACGCTGAATAATACAACTTTTAAGTATGCGTCCACTAAGAATAATTCTCTGTGATACTAATGAAGTCCTTACAAAACTGTGGAAAACATATATTCCTCGAACAATATTAAAAAATGATGATATCCTGTGTATACATCATGGATTCTTTGAATCATTGGTTGATTTAATTAGAAAAGGTAAAGAAAAACATGCAGGTAAATCTTACGCAATAGTGTCCCCTGGTAACTCCTTTGGATACCTTGGAGGTGGATTTGATTTAGCAATAAAGAATTATTTTGGTGGTACAGACTTTGAGATCTGGTTTAGAAGACAACTAGGTAATAGATACCATACAGTTGGTTCAGCTACTGTGATAGACCTCTCTAAATGTAATTTAGAGATTACTAAAAGATGTAGAGATGGTATGAAATATATTATTCATTGTCCAACTATGGTGACACCAGGAAAATCCATATTTGATGAAAAACATCCTATAGAGACAGGATATATACCCGTATTTAACGTGATTTGGAATGCCTTAATGCATGCACCTTCAGATATTGATGGATTGATTATTCCTGGGTTATGCACTGGGTATGCTGGTGTACCCCCAGAAATAAGTGGGAAATCAATGGCTTTTGCATTAAGATTGTATATGCTAAGTAGCATTATTTCAAAGGAATTAAGAAATGTGCTTATTATGTACTATTTTGGATGTCCATATGAACCATTTTTTTTACAGAGTTATCAAGAGGAATGTAAACAATTAGGGCTTAATGTTAAATCTATAAAAAATTTTGATATTAAAACAGATCCCTTAGAACATATCTTACCAATGGAACTTGAACACAATTAGTGAAATAATCCAGTATAAAAATAATATCTAAATGCTTAATCATCAACAAAAAATTCATAAATAGATTAGTTAAGTTTCTCCAACAAGTTGATAAAAGCGATGTGCAAACGAATAATAATATATGATACAATCAAACTATTCAATTAGAAATTCTTGTAATATTAGTAGTTGATCCATTTAAGCCTGGTTTAAAACATCTTATTTTATATAAATGCATGTTTTCATATAAATATATATGTATGTACTTATGAATTTTAGAAACATTTTCTTTTATACTTGTGTGGAAGTAGTAAATAATTGAGCTCTTTTTGTATGTAGTCGATATAAAATGATGGTAACAATTAAACCTATTATTGCTAATGAAGTGTTTGGTAAGTAAGAATCTAAAAATGCACGTCTATAAACACTTAACAAGTCAGCTAAAATGTCCACTGGAAAAGCTCCAGATCTTAAATAACTTGAATCCGAAATCAAATTATTGAAATGTTTCTTAGTGAAATGGAATGAAGTTTGTTGTTCATTTCCAAACATATAATTCCATAGTTTTGATGCTAATGATTTTTCAAAAACTACTAAAGTTAATGATGCACCAAGTACATTACCAATTGATCTCCATAGATAAAAAATACCTGTAATGGTACCTTGCTGTGATCTCTCGATAGAAAAGACAATACTAACTAAGGTTGAAACTAAGAGAGTGGCATAACCGAATGATACAGTACAAAGTGCTAAAATAAAAATTATTTTCCACCATATAGAATCGGATCTAAATTGATATGTAGAAGAGAATAAGAGTATCTTGATTGAATCTTGAATTGGAACAGAAGGTTGAATATGACTAATCAAATAATATGATATTATTAATCCAATCAATTGTAAGCCAATGGCAATCATAACTAGTATGGATGAGCAATGAGCTAAATTTAACTTAGTGTGTCTCAGAATAGATCCTGTAATTACTGATCCTATTGCAGTAGTGATAGAAGGGGGAATTGCATATAAACCAGTGACAGTAACACCAATGTTTTGAACTAACTGTAAATAAATCGGAGATCTGAATATATCACCATATATGATAAAAGAAGAGATAACAGTTGCAATAGAAGAAAGACCAAAAGAGCCTTTTAATAATTCAAATGGAATAATTCGTTCCTTAGCCACATATATTTCAATGAGCAAAAATATAATAAAAGAAAATACTGTAAACATTGTCAAAAGGGTTTTATTCCATTCAGAAGATGTTAAAAATAAAAGTCCACTAATAGTAAACACTAAAGTTATAGATCCAGCAAGATCGATCCTAGAAATATTGGCCCAGGTGAACCTTTCATGTCTTGGTGGTACGTGAAGCAATTTAATATTAACATTCCTACAAGCAAAGAATGAACAAGTCAATAGAAGTGGTACTTGTAATGCAAATACTGCTCTCCAACCAATAGTATCCAATAGAAAACCACCTAAAGGACCTCCGAGTAATTGACCTGTACCAAATACAATATTAGCATACCCTTGGTAGACACCTCTTTCTCTCGTGGTACATATATCACTTACAGTGATACTACTTAAAGCATTAATGCCACCACCGCCGATACCACAAATTGCTCTAGCCAAAGCAAATTGTGGAACATTTTGTGTAAAACATGTTAAGAAACAACCTAGTCCAAAAAAGAAATGAGCGGTTAATACAGCAAATTTTCTTCCAGTAATATCTGATAATTTACCATACAAAGGTTGGAATGCAGTATTTGTTAAAAGGTAACTTGTAGCTATCCAATGTTTTAATTCTGATTGTTGGAATTCTTCAGCCACGGGGTTCATGATATTGGCCACTACAGTACCATCTAAAGCACTTAAAAAACTACCCATCCAAAGTGAAAACAAAATAGGGAATTTAGGCAAAGTCAGATTATATTTATGGTATTGTTCATCTAAGGATTTTTGATTATCTCGGTTACTTTTACTCTCGTTTTCAGTGTTTTGTAGACTTACACTAGAAGAATAATTAACTGATTCAGTAAAAAGACTAGTATTTTCATCTGGAGAGGTATCACTCATTATAGCAAAAAAAAAAAAAATGGTTTATTAAATATTTGTATGTATTCTAGTAAATTTCAATACAACCTATAAAGTATAAGGTCAAAAATATAAGTTTTCTTCTTTATTGGTTTGTAGTTTGCAATCCTCTAATAAATTATACTTATAATATAGCTAGGGGGGGGTAAGATATCTAATTATTTTAATCTTAATTAAATTGAAATTTTTAAAGAAAACAAAAGAAAATACTAGGGATCATAACAATTAAAATAACTATTCTGGTTTGTATACTAATAGGATAAATAAGTTTAAAATACTCTTCGTATGTGCATATATGTATATACATTCATCATAGGTGTATTCAATAAATTTCGATGACTAAACTGTAAAAAGATGACTAATAAAAAGAAAAGAAAAAAAAGAAAAGAGAAAATGATTTTTTGTTTCTTATCAAGATAAGATAAGATAAGATAACGTAAAGTAGAGTAAAGTCAGGTAAGAGAGGTATAAATAGTACAATCAAATGAGATAACTATGCCTCTATATGAGGTTTGATACGGCAGTGCAATTTATTTTAAATTATAAAAAACGAAGGCAGGATAATTTATTTAATATATACATGAATACTAAAAAAATGAATATAGAAGAGTTAAGATATATATTTATAAATATGTGTAGGTGTACTCGTACGTGTATGTGTGTGAAGAGATATATGTATATTTGTATTGTAAAAATCCCAGGGTAAGAATAAACACAATAAAAAGGAGAATAATTGCTACTAATGGTCAGATTTGAAACTAATTAGGAGTTTCAGGTGAAGGAATGGATCCATCATTATCATTATTATTCTCTTTTTCTTGATCTTCTAACTTCTTAGTTTCAGTTTCATTCAAATATTTATCAAAGGCATCATTTCTTTCTGGGAATGGTCTTTTACCTAACATTGAAATCATGTCCTCTCTGGTCAATACTTCTTTACTTAACAACAATTGAGCTACTTTGTCGACTTCTTTTGCTTTTTCCTGTAGCAACTTCTTACAACGATTATAACATTCTTTTACAATTCTTTGCACTTCTGAATCAATTATATCACCAGTTTCATCAGAAAACGGTTTTGTTAGGTCGGTTTCACTTTTTTTTTTTGGTAATTAATCCACCCAATCTTTGGACTCATGCCTAATTGAGTGACCATTGCAGTGGCCATATTAGTAACTTTTTTGAAATCATCAGACGCACCACTTGTCACCGAATCAAAATGTAATTCTTCTGAAACACGACCACCAAGTGACATCGTAATTCTATCTCTTAATTGTTGTTCACTTAGCAAAAAAATGTCACCAGGCAAATATTGAGCATAGCCCAATGCACCTTGACCTCTTGGAATGATACTAACTTTTAATAATGGATCTGCATATTTCAAATACCAGCCACAAATTGCATGACCTGCTTCATGGTAAGCTACGATTTTTTTTCTCTTCAGGAGATAATAATTTAGATTTCCTTTCTACACCACCAATCACTCTTTCAATAGCTTGTTCGAAATGATTCAATTTGACTGAAGTAGAGTCATTCCTTGCTGCAATTAAGGCTGCTTCATTGCATACATTAGCAATATCGGCGCCAGAAAACCCGGGTGTTAAAGCAGCAAGACGATTTTTTAAGTCGTAGATTTTGTTAGCCAATTTCAATTTAGCTAAGTGTACCTCAAAGATCGCTTTTCTACCTTCCAATTCTGGTTTATCGATATCGATGTGTCTATCAAACCTACCTGGTCTTAGCAAAGCTTTATCTAGGATATCTGGTCTGTTTGTACCGGCAAGGACGACGACATGGTCACTTGGTGTGAATCCATCCATTTCAACCAAAATTTGGTTCAAAGTGTTTTCTCTTTCATCGTTTGCACCAGAGAAATTTCCCTTCTGTCTTGCTTTACCTACAGCATCAATTTCGTCGATAAAGATAATGGATGGTGCATTTTCTCTTGCAGTCTTAAAAAGGTCACGTACCCTTGCAGCACCTACACCTACAAACATTTCTACGAACTCAGAACCACTGACAAAATAGAACGGGACGTTGGCTTCGCCTGCAGTAGCTTTGGCTAAAAGAGTCTTACCTGTACCAGGAGGACCAGAGAGGATAGCACCACGTGGAATCTTTGCACCCATCTTTTCATATCTGGAAGGTTCCTTCAAGAAACTTACAAATTCCATGATTTCTTCTTTAGCTTCATCACAGCCAGCGACGTTTTTAAATTTAATTTTGACGTCTGTGTCGATATTAAACTGTCTTGCTTTTGAACGAGATAATCCGAAGATGCCATTCTTACCAGCTGAACTTGCAGCAGTGGCAGATTTCTTGGTCAACCAAATTAAACCAGTTATCATTAGTACAGTTGGTAAAATTTGGAATATGGTTTTTGTCCAATTGCCTTGTTGAATATATAAAACAGGGATTTTAAAATCTGTTTGAACGTTTAGATCATCTTGAGCTTTATTTAATTTACGTTCAAAATTTTCTATAGAACCGATAGTGAAATAAATCTCGCTACCGGAAGCAGTACTACCACCATTACGAGTACTAAAAGGTGAGGATGAGCTATTCGATTGACTTAACTGGATTCTGCCTGTATCATTTAAAACAACTTTTACTCTCGAATTATTAATGACAATCAATTTGGACACATAACCCTTTGCTAAATAATTTGAATAAAAGTCCTGCCATGAGATTTCATTGGTTTCGTTATTATTGTTCAATAAATCCAATAAAAATGAAAGAACAAAAAATGTCAAACCTAATTGGAATAGATTAATATTGTTGTTATCTATACTATTGTTATTATTATTTCGATTTTTATTGAAAAAGTCATTATTATTGTTGCTGTTGTTGTTATTGTTATTGTTGTTTGTATTATTTTCTTGATTAATACTATTTTGTCTTTTAATAGTATCTTCTAAATGCTGTAACCTTTCATTAATATTTTCTTGACGTTCTAACCATACTTTTTCATCATGATCCTCATTATTATTATTATTATTATTATTACTTAAACTTTTTAACCTATTTTGACTCATTTCTATATAATCACGAATATCTTTTTTAATGTTTATCAAATCTTCATCAGTAGCATCCATTTTCTTGTCTATTCTATTGTTACTATTGTTGTTATTGTTATTTTGTAATAAAGAAAATGATTGTTTTAGATAAAGTGGATTAGAATGATTAAATACATGGAACGATCGGATACATTTCTGATTGATCAAAGATGTTATCCCATTATCTATACTATTTCTATTAGTTTTCTTACTGTTGTCATTATTATTATTATTATTGCTGTTGTTGATCAATATTAGATCATTTTGACTGATTGAAATAAATGATCTTTTCGATATAAAAGATGCCACTCTTACTGGTGTTTTTTTGACATGAATCATGATTACTCGAGAATTTAAATAATTAAACTCAAATAGTTTTGTCTAATATATGAATTATGAGTATATATATATATATATATATATGTGTGTGTGTGTGTGCATGAAAAGATTGAAATGGGGGTGCGAGGGAGAGGAGAGAAAAAGAAAGTAAGTATTTCGACTCCAACAAAACAAGAATAACGTACGTAATTTGTGTATTTTACGTATATATAAAACAGTGTAAGCAAAATATATATAACAAAAGAACAAACCAGTGGTAGGCAAGGTCAATTCAAATAGATTTCGGTCAAGTCAATCGTAATATAAACTTAATCTTCGATTTGGAATTAATCCGTACATTGATGCTATTGGATACCTGTAAGGTAAACTGCAACAGTAATTCAAACAAACAGGGAAAGTAGAATACAAAAGCAGAAATGTAAATGTAAATGTAAATTTGGAGAAGAAGGGGAGAAAAACAAGAAAAAGAAAAAAAAACTCTTTTTTTCCCTCAACAGTGACATCGTTGTCGTGGACAATGACCCAAAAAGCAAATATAACTGTGTACGAATGGTGTACGAATGTAGTGCTTAGTAAGCAATAGTTGGTTGTCTTACGTAATCGCAATTCTAAGGGGCAATAAAAATTGCAGAAAAAGTTTCCTCGAGCACTCAAAAAAAAAAAACCCTTTTGCGACATCGAATTGATCTTTCGGAGTATTGAATATATACATGAAAAAAAGAGATATGTGGTAGGTTTGATGCTTTTTAGCTAGTATGTGGTGTTCGTTTATTATAGAAAGAAGGATATCATTTAATCATCAATAGACAAATAAATAAATAAATATAGATATACATACATATATATTTATTACAATATTTTATCATCTCTTCTTTTTCTCTTTTTATTTGTCATGTCTGGTTTAAAAGTCGCTATCATTGGTGCTAACGGTAAAATTGGTCGTCTTCTAATAAATATCTTAAAACAAGACAAGACAAATTTTGATACACCATTAGCTATCGTAAGAAACTCAGAACAACAGGACTATTTTATCAACGAAATCAAAGTCAACGCCTCCTTAACAAGCATAGAACATGCAACAGTTAAAGAGATAGCTGACGCAATTAAGGGGTACGATGCTGTCGTCTTCAGTGCAGGTGCTGGTGGTAAAGGTGTTGAAAGAATCTTCACTGTAGACTTGGATGGCTGTTGCAAAGCCATTGAAGCTTGTCAATTGGCCAACGTTAAAAGATTTATTGTGGTCTCTGCTTTAAAAGCAGAAGATAGAGATTTTTGGTGGAGCATCCCTTCTTTAAGAGAATACTATATCGCTAAAAGAGCAGCAGATCATGATGTTAGGTTGTCTGGTTTGAATTACACTATTTTACAACCTGGGTGGCTGCTAGATAGTAATGGTACACAAAAGTTTGCATCTTTGAATCAAGTCGATAAGATGGTGGAAATGGGGGAAAAAACTGTCGCTAGAGAGGACGTGGCCTTGTTTATCAAGGAAGCTCTATTACATGAAAATGAAACTAAAGAAAAGACTATTCCATTACTTAATGGTGATATCCCAATTAATGAATTTATTACAACTATTTAATTCTATATATATATATATATATGTAGGTGTATGAATGTGTTTTAATAATAAAAAAAAAATCATAACCCTTCTTCAAATATTCTCTGTTGTTCAATAGCTTCTAATGTTGTTTTGTCAACAACATCCTCATATATCTCCTTTGGTATTTTGCTTAATCCAGTAACAGGTCTCAACAAGTCTTTGTCTTTAATAAGAACCTCATACTGCACTTCCTTATTATCCAATGCATCATTTTTTTCCTTTAAACTATCTACTTTTTGATATTCTATCACTTTTGTTGATTGTGTTCCCTGTGGTACATGCAAGGTGTTTGTATATGGATCTCTTATCCCCTGGTTTTCTATCAACAAGATACGAACACGATCGTAATATATGTCACTATTGTATCTACTGCATACAGCAGCATGTTGATATAGCCAATTTGTTGCATTCAATTGGCTTCCATTTACATTGAACAATGCATTATAATTGCTATTAATATTCATATCTATAGTATTATTAGTAATAATACCGTTAGAGGACGCAATATTTGTAACAGCACTGGTATTATTCGTATTAGTACTATGTAATTGGTTGTTTTGAAAAAAATCTATAGTATTTTTTGCAGGATCAGTTGAGAATTGTAATTGTGCTTGGTCCATATGTTCTTGTCCCTCAGTATGCCTATGTTTATCAGTAGTATCTGTTGTAATGTTGTTATTGTTATGCGACGAGGAGGAAGATGATTTCCCATGTTTATATTTGGCATGTCTACCTCTTTTGCCTCTATGGGATTGTTTGTCTCTTGGAATCTGTCCCTCTTTGATAATATTATGTCTTAGATTTGGATCACTATAATAATCATCGTCATTCTCTTTACCGTTAACAATAATCTGATGTCCAAATTCTTTAAATATACTTCTTGCCGCTACCACAGATATGGTTCTATTTCTGTAGGAATACGGTAACACACTCTGTCCAATCAGTTTGTTCTTTTCAGACTGACTTAAAATATATTTGTACAAATTAGGATGATGTTGGAACAAAGTAGCAGAGTCCCTTAAACCAACAGCCCTGGCAGGTTCGGTGGCCAGCATAAACAACCTATCTCCATTGTCAAATAATTTGAACGTACGAACTTTAAATTTTCTACCACCCTTTAAATTACCATCGGTATCTATCTTCTCCTCACCAGATGGATCATCAGGTAATGCATACTCATCATTAACAACAGGTAAGGGATGACCATCAGAATCTACAGGGTATGATAATTTCACTTTCTTATTAAGATGGGAATCCTCATTATCTTGATTATCTGTCTTTTCATCAGGTACTGTCTTATCTTTAGGTGTTTCAACACCACTATCATTTTCTTTTTCATTATCATTATCATCATCATTACTTTTTGTAGTTTCTGTTTTTACTGTTTTATTACCATTTTCCTGTTCTTTTTCTTTCAACTCCTCAGAGTTTTCTTCCTTTCTAATTGTACTACGAGTTCTTTTACTTCTTCTGCGGGGCAAATTTTCTTCTTTCTCTTCTTCCATGTAATCTTCTTCGTTATCAGTTGTTTTTCTCCCATTTCTTAGTTTCTTATCTCCTTCTTCCTCTTCTTCCTCTTCTTCTTCTACTTCCTCTTCCTCTTTATACTCTTCATCTTCATCGCTTTTATTTAAACCAGCATCATCAATCTTATAATTAGGTCTTTGTGAACGTGATCTAGAACGTGACCTAGAACTTGATGTTGATCCCACTGCTTTTTTAATTTCAATATCAGACATTACGTTTAAACTATTATCCCTTCTAACAACTTTGTAGTTTTCTTTACCACTACCCACTTTTTTTTTTCCTTGACAATATTCAAACTGTTTTTTCAGTAAAGCAATTAGCATTTCTGTATTAGTATTTAACATGTTTAAATTTCTTATGGAGAGGTTTCATTTACTTATTTTTTATTTTTTTCTAAGTTTTTTGTTCCTCTTTTTTTTTTTAGTTTACTTTTACTTTTGTTTTTCTTTTTAAAATCTGGTATTCGGTTGTGGTTCGAGTCTTTTCATGGGCCTTTCTTGCTTTCAAAGTCTATTTTAATGAAGCTACATGGACATTCATATATGTTTATATATGTGTATATACGTGCGTGTATGTATATGTACTGTCTTGTAGATTTATTCTATACTACTATTATTAACTTACTTCTTTATATTATCCAATATAATTGTTAACTATTACATTGAATATTGAACTCTTACAGTTGTAACTCCCAAGTCTTGATGCAAGCATCATTTCCGGTGGATACAATATGATCATTATCTTGCCACATGACATTATTAACACCATCCTTATGAGCATTTAAATATTTGACAATTTTCATAGGTCTCTTTACAGAATAGATAATGATATGTGTATCTAATGACCCAGTTGCCACTAAATCCTCCTCTTCCTCTTCTGCCCCATCAGCGGAGTCATCACTTTGTGGTCTCCAAGAGATCGCGTTGATTTTACCGGTATGGAATGACCATCTTGATGTCTTTATATCACGGCTTTCGATATCAAACAAAAGTATTTTACCTAAAACATCACCGACAGCAACATATTTTTCGCTTGGTGATATAGATATATATGATGGCATGGCCCTCATACTAGCTTTTAAGTTAAAACTCTTTTCCAGGTTATTTAATTCAAATATTTCAATGGCATTCGATCTTTCATATCCAACAGCGGCATATGTCTTAGAGATAGCAACACAAGAAGCTTGCTCATGTAATTTCATTATGTTCACAATTTCACCGGTAAATGATTTGATAATAACTAGCTCATTGTTGTTATTAATCACTGCGAATAAGAGATCTTTGTCATTCTGATCAAAGTTTACAGCTGCAAATTTTGGCTGGGATTTAAATTTATATTTAATTTCATTATTAATTTGTAATGTATCATCCCATGATATAGAAGACACTTGTGGATACTCTTTGTTATTTATTCCAATAATTAAATTATTATGGTTTTGGTACATAACAGTGCTTGATTGTTGCCAATCAATAATTTTACCATCAAAAGAACCAGTAATCATTGGGTTGACAGCTAAAGCAGAGATCCCCTTATTATGACCCCTAATAACAGCTAATGGCTCTTCTTGATCCAATTTGATAATAGTTAAAGTACCATTTAATGATAAAGTCACAAGAGCTTCACCATTAAGTATTGATACGACACCTACTTGTTGTAATCCAACATCTTTGGTGTTATTAGGGTTCAAATTCCACCTGTGAATACATTTTGATGATTCTAAATCCCATACTCTTAAAATAGAGTCAGAACTTACAGTGGCATAAGTATCTTTATTTAACCAGGATAAAGCAAATAACCCACCATTAATTGTTTCTTCTGGATCTTCCACAATTTTGATGAATTCACCGGTCAATCCATCGAAAACATTTATCTTTCTATCAGAGCCTACTGAGATAAACACTTTACCATCACCTGGTTGAAATTTAACATCTCTGATAAATTTCCCTTGGTCATGATGAGCTTGATCACTACTGGTGAATTTGAATGGAGGACCAGTATAAAAGACAACTTTCCCATTATCATCGACAGTGGCAGCTCTCATAGGTCTTGATTGTTTCATGTGACAGGAATTGACTTTAATCGAATGACCAGTGACTTCACCCAACGAATTGCCAGAATCCCATGATATGAAAACACCAAATTGATCCTTACCATCACCAACTACGCATAGTCTACGGCCTTCAAAATCCCAGGATATGTCAGTAATAGGACCAGATAAGACTTGAAATTCAGATTTAACTTTAGTTTCTACTTGTCTATAACCAGTAGCAGGATTGGGTGTGTTAGCATTATCAATAAAGTCCCATGACCAAACAATGGCTTTTCCTGATGAATCACCAGAGATCATATAATGAGATCCTTTAAGAGGTGAAAATTTTACAACAGTAACATTGTTATTAGCATGACCAGTAAATTGAACTACAAATGGTTCTTCATCATCCATAGAGGTGAATTGACTTAGACTTCTTATAAAGGCAGATTTACCACATGGATAAGCAATTGCATTTAGAGTTTCGTCATAGGAAAGGTGAGTGGTGAAATTTCTTTCGGTAATTGGCTGTGGAGGTATCACCTTTACCAAAGCTAACTTTGATGTCATGCTAGGAATTGATAAATGAAAATAACAGAGAAATATAAGAGAAATTAGAAAAAGAAGTAAATAACCTGATAATTGATATCAGATTGTTTTTTTTAGTATCAGTTGTTTAATCTTTAGTTATTTTTAATTTAACCAAAAGATTTATTGTAGCGATAACATCTTATGTTTAAACAAATGATACTGTGAGAGAGCCAGTTATGACAGGCATGTACAGAAACATTCAACAAGCAATGGAATTATTATTATAACAATCTTTGAAACGGGGCGGTGTAAGATAGTTTAAGATAGGAGTTTCAAAAAATTTTGAAAACACTCGGATCGAAATATTACGTTAGGTTTTCTTCATTATGGTTAGAATTCTCTAGTTTATGTGTTAGGGTTGTTTGTAAAAAGGAAAAAATGTGTGTAAAAATTTCCACAATTTTTAGGGTTAAAAGGTAAAAACCAAATTTGTTCGAGGTTGTCTTTTTTCTTATTTTTTTATTTATTTTGCGATGAGGTGAAAAATTTTGTTAATTAAAAGATGAAAGATTATTTTATCATCAGGATAATATAGATAGAGGTATAGATGTTGTTGTGCAAGGAAGTGTACATTGTTCAGTTCACTTGTAATCTCATACAATACATCATTTTTTAAATATATGAATTACTTCAGAATTACGACCAGGGAATTTTATTTGTGATTGTTACATATTCCATTGTGATAAACGACTAGAATAAGTTTTTTATAATAATCAGATTACAGTTATTTATTACCACTTCTACTATTATTGTTATTTATTATTAAATACCATTAGTTAATATGTCTTCCAATAGACCTCGTATTATTACTGCCAGAGCTCCAGTTCTGCCACAACAAACTACTCCAGAACAAAGATATTGGAGACAGTATTCTTCTGCACAATTGGTGAAAGAACACAATGCCGTGACACATATTTCCTTCAATCCACAAAGTCCATATGATTTTGCAGTCACATCTTCAACCAGGATTCAGTTATTTTCTTCAAAGACTAGACAAGTTATTAAAACATTTTCCCGTTTCAAAGATGTTGTTTATTCTGCATCATTCAGAGCAGATGGTAAATTATTAGTAGCTGGTGATGCTACCGGTTTAGTTTCAATTTATGATTCATATAATCCAAGAAATATTTTAGTGTCTATTAATGCATCTACACATCCAACACATGTGACAAAATTCCATCAGCATGATAATAAGACCTTGATTACTGCAAGTGATGATAGATTGACCAGAGTCTGGGATATATCTCATCCATATGAACCACAATTAGAATTAAGTGGTGCCACAGATTATATTCGTTCGCTTTGTTTTATACCCAATGCTCCACATTTAGTTGCTACTGGTTCTTACGATAATTTTGTTAGATTATACGACACTAGGAGTAAATCAAATAAACCAATCTTCCAATTGAACCATGGTAATCCAATTGAAAATGTAATATCTATATCACCAACTCAATTGGTATCATGTGGTGGAACAAGTTTTAAGGTTTGGGATTTGACCCATAATTCTACTTTATTCGAAAGAGGAAACTTTAATAAAACTGTAACATGTTTAGACTATATTGAAAAGTTCAATGCTCCGATGAATTCTGCTTTAATTGCATCCTCTTTGGATGGTCATGTTAAAGTGTTTGATCCATTAGATAATTTTAAAGTTAAATTTGGATGGAAATTCTCCAGTGCAGTATTAAGTTGTGCCATTTCTCCATCTATAATGGGTGACGACTCTAATAATGGTGGTATACTTGGTTCAAAAGAAGATTTAAATGCTAGAATGAATAGACATTTGGTTGTTGGGATGTCTTCTGGTCTTCTAGCTATTAGAACAAAGAAAGGGTCCATTGTCAAAACAAAAGAAGCTAAAGCAAAACTTATGGAATCCCAGTTAGCATCACAGTCGACACCAAAGAGTAATAACTTTAAAAGAATGATGAGAGGTTTAGATTATAATGGTGACCAGGAGAATATTATTCATAACGACACATCTAAACCACAACAACAACAGCGTCGTATACGTCCATTTGAAAGATGCATCAATAAATTCAAGTGGTCAGAAGCACTTGATTGTGCTTTTGTTCCTGGTATGGCTAAAGAATTGACAGTTACTATTTTACAAGAGTTGAGAAAACGTGGTAAAATTCGTGTTGCATTATATAATAGAGATGAAACTACTCTTGAACCATTGTTAAATTGGTGTTTAAGAGGTATTGAAGACGTTAGGTTTTGTTCGATTGTGGCAGATTGGATAGCTGTTGTTTTAGAATTATATGGTAACAATATTATAGAAAACTCGCCTGTATTACAACAAATTTTAATTGATTTAAGAAATAAGGTGAGAAATGAAATACACAAGGCTAAAGAGGCAAAAAGAATTGAAGGCATGTTACAATTATTAACAAATTGAGCTATTTTAATAGAATTAAAAAAAATGGAGGTACAATATTCTCAAAGTAAGACTTATTAAGAACTAGGTAATAATATATATATATGTGTATGTATATGTACATACTTAACTTATTATAAAAAAAAAAAGGATAATAACAATATAATACTGATAAAAATTCATCTATACTTTTCAGAAATGTTTTTCTTTCTTTAGAATATTAAAATAACTATATGACCTTCAATGTTCCTTAAATTGTGGAAATCATTCTTAGCATAATAACAAACCATATTCATAATTTCTCAAACTTGGATACATTGTGTCAATAATATACTATGTACGTCTACGTTAAAGTCACTTAATCTTTTCAATTAGTAGCAGACTCTCTTTCCAAGCTCAATAAAATAGTTCAGTACAGGTAACTTATTAATTGAATTTATTTAATGTTGTCAATATTACAATAAGAAGAATATTATACAAATGTGTCGACATTTTTTTATTCAATACATCAAGGGATAAACCATTCATTATCAGTATATTAAATATATTTATTTTACATAATATACTTTTATATTTGTACTGACCTCCAAGAGATATAATTGCAGCTGTATATTGCTGAAGAAGATGAGATCATAATCTAATAGTAACAATATTTAACTTTGGAAAGTCACAACAAAGTCTGTCGGGTTTTCCTTCTTTTTTTTAACAAATGACGCGAGAGCACTATTGAGGATAGATATATTCTGAGTTTCTTATTAGTTCATTAGATAACATATATGAAACCTAGCTAGAAACCACAAAACACATGTAATTCTTTTCATAATGATGTCGGTAGTTTTTTATTCTGTATCTTGTTTGTTTTGCTTGAACTCGAAAGAGGGAAAAAAAAAAAAAAAGAAAAGGAACTGTGTTTATTTATTTAAACACAAGAACAAACAAAATGAAAAAGGTCTATAACGGTATTGAAAGAAAAAAATTAAGAAAGAGATGCATTAGAACTGATAAGTTTAGATGTAAACTGCTTGCTATTATTTTGATTTTAGCACAATTACTGATAGTAGGTTTAATTTGTTGATAAATATAATTTATCTGCCTTTCTTCTCTTTTCTATTCTTTTTTGAGAACTGGATTTTAATGAGTTATCATTTTGATGTTGAAACTTTTCTGAAATTACCAACAGACATTAGAAAATATGTCTATTATCATTTAGATGGATCATTGATATCACTCAAGCCACATGCTTTACAAGAAGTTGAATTCTTGAGTAAACGACAAAAAAGAAGAAGAAAAGTGCTATACAATTTTATGTACCCAGTATTTAAACCATATTTGAAAAACTTTATATATGATTCTGATTTCATTTATAAATGGTTGGAATTGGCTCTTTGGTTTCGGTATGACTCGATTGTATTGGACTGTTTAAGGCTAAATCAATTATATGAGGGTACTCTATTGGGTCCAATAGATATTATAACTTTGGATGGTCATTTACAGTTTGCTTTCTTTGATAAGGAACAGTCCTTTTTACAAGTTTGGTATTCAAAAAGAGATTATCAAAATATGGTTATGAATCGATATTTTGCGTATGATAAATATAAGCCCGACACTGATTGTAATTTTATTAGATTAAATCTTGAAGTTTTACCTGAATCAATGATAACCGCCACTTTAACAAACCTTTTGAAAAAACAATATTTTTTATTTATTAACCATATTGAATTCGCAGAAGAAAAGATAAACTATTTGCAGAATCTTTATCGCGATGATGATGATGAAGATGATGATGATGAGGATAATAAAATAGTTCAAAATAATAGTTCAAAAAGAAGAAAACGCAAGCTGTTAAATAATAACACTAATAATTTTAATAATAAAAGGGGTAAGTTTTCAGTAAGTTCTCACATTCAAATGGTAGTAAATAATATTAAATCGATGAGAAATATCCAAGTCATATCATGCCACGGAAATGATCTATTTAAACATTTAATTGATGGTAATGCGTTTTCAAATCGAAATCTTAAATCAATACCTTCGGTAGTTAAGAAAAAGATTCCAACGCTTCAACTTTATCAAATTAGCAATATTACAAGAAGTAATATAGTTGATGTCTCCATGTGGGAAAGTTTGAAGACTATTGTTTTAAGTAACGTTAACAAGGTTGATTTAAATATGTTGATTCTACCACAATCCTGTGTCTCTTTAACAATCAATCATGTTAAAGTTTGTAAATGGTGGGATTTTGAGTCCCGTATTAATAGATTATGTAGTGAAAGGTTTAAGACTATAGAGATAAAAAAAAAGGTAGATATTGAAAGAGATCCAAGAATTATGAAATTAGAGTTGATAGATGAAGATAGTATGGATCCTGAATTAATTTTTAATTGTCAAAAACTATTTTGGAAAAATTTACCTGAAATAACTGAGATAATATTTTCTAATGTGTCTATCTTTGCCTCAGATCATATGATAATTTTACCTAGAACTTTGTATTTAAATGAGAGGATACGATTTTATAACTGTGGCGGGATAAATGAAATGTTATTGATGTGATTTTGTTTGTCATTTTGTAATAAAAGAGCACAAGCGCATATACAAATGAAGATTAAGATGGGGAACACACTACATATATATGGTGAAAAAGATATTATTATATTTATCTTTTATTTTTTGAAATGTTGGGAATATATGATTGTAAGAGGTTAGATATAAGGGGTATGAATATATATTTACACATGAGGCTTTCCATCTAATAGAATAGATTGTTAATAAACCTGGTCTTACTCTTTCCCTTAGGATTGATAGTCAAATTTCCAAGTTTGTTTAATTCTTGTTGAGTATAATTCTTATACGAAAATTCTTCAGAGGATAATAGAGTTTCAATATCAAACATTATATTTTTACCATAACGAGACCAATGCGTTATCCATTTCATTGCAAGGGATTTTTCATCCTGTGATTTATTGGTACGTAACCGTTGAAGAACTTCATATATGTCATTAGTTGGATTAGTTAAGTAGTCTGGGTAGAATTCTTGGTTTCCGTAACATTTTTGTAGGTTCATTAAATATAATAAATAATCAGCGATAATAACAGGGTCTATAAGATTTGTCTTTAAAGAACCACATAAAGATTGGGATAGCATTCTGATTTCGTTGGATACCCTCCCAGGTAATCCTATTCCAGGTGTATCGATAAGATATATTGGTTGTTCGGTATGACTATTATTAGGGGTAATCTTAATACATTCACTGGTACTTCTTGTTATTCCAGCCTCATTACCAGTTTTAGCTACTTTTTTGTGTTTACCAACAAAGTCCTCTCTCATTTTACCAATTGATCTCAAAGAATTTATTAAAGTCGATTTACCCAGATTTGGAATACCAGTAATAAGTATTTTGAAACCCATAGGTAAGGGCATTCCAATTTTATTTATTAGTTGATCACTTTTAAATCGAATAATCTTGTATAAATTACGGGCATCTTTTTTACACCTTGCATCAACTAGCATAAATTGTTCATTCATTTCATTATGCCAATTATTTAGTTTATTTATAACTAAATTTTGATTTTGTATTAAATCCTTTTTGGTGTAGACTATTAATCTATCTATGTCGTTATATTTCCAATTTGCTAATAATTTATCGAACAAAATGTTCTTAGTTGCCAATGGTGCTCTAACGTCTCTTAATTCTAGAATCATATTTAATTGTGGTGCAAGGGATTCAATCTTCCTTAAAGCTTTCATTTGATGCCCTTTGAAATCAGATTTTAAGATATTATAGTCAGGAAACACATATCTTGGAAGAAACTGCGTATAATTTCTTCTTATTATTATTTTCTTATGATAAGAATTCATTATTGACAGTCTGATCTTTTTAATGGTGATGGTTATCCCTATTCAACGGCATGCAAGATAGATCATTGATAGTCAAGGGAGAAATAAAAAACATCATAAAGATTGTGTTAAATATATTATAACTTGGATCTGTAAATAATTATGATTTTCTAGTTTAAAGTATTCTTGCAGTTGACTGATATTCGTTGATTTTGCTCCAGAACTATTCAATTTTTGTATATATTGAAAAAATGTTGAAAGGAATATATTCGAAAAAGAAAAAAGTTCACAGTTACAAGATAAAATTCTGTATACACTATTATTCAATAAAGAAGACGAGAAAAATGATAAGTTATTTGGAACGGCTTAACTTCAAATACTGCAATATATAAAACATCTATGTCTGTTCTTTAATCACAAGGCAGTTCTTTTTTATTCTTTCTTGATAACTATCGATTTTTACTTCTTATTTTTACATTAGAATATGTATGTGTATGTATGACTCTAAAGAGTATTTATGTTATTTACAGGTTAAAGTAAAATTTTGCTATGTTGCATATCTAACAACAAAGATTCTAATTCTTTGAATTGTTCCCTTTGAGGATCCAAGATATCAAATAAAGTGGTGATTTGGTATCTTATTCCTGGTGTGATGGGAACTTGATATCTTTTCAACCATAAAAGATGATCATCTTTAATTAATTGATACATTAAATTTTGATCTTTGCTCTCTACTAGATATTGAATGAACTGTTCCCATGGTCTATAGTCATTTCCAATAGTGATATTATGAAGTTTATTCTCCCAGAAATTGAAATATGCATGCCAATGTTTAGCTTGCGCTAAACTTCTCAATATGGCTACAATAATATCATATTGGGGCTGGTTATTTGTATGTGTTAGGATGTATTCAACGAAAGAATATAAGCTATTCAATTTATTTGCAGTGTTATTCACTAATGTTTGCAAGAATAGATTAACAAGTTCTGGATCCGTAGATATTTGCAAAGTAGTATCATCATATAGTGGTAGAACTTGTGATATTGTATTATTACATGTCAATAACCCTTTGCCATTGTTCATCCCAATATCTGTAATATTCAACTTTAAAAATTCAAGTAGTTCGTCACGAGTTAATGAATGATTTGTTAGCTTTTTCAAAATAAAATAATCTTTAATAAATCTTGATGTTTGGTATTGTCTTGGATTGATCATATTTAATAATGATAAAAATTCGAACCTTTTATGCCAGAATTTTTCATTGTTATCGATTGGTAATATTAAAGGCCATAATAAATCAAAACTTTCTTTCCATTCTTTTATAATTATTCTTTTTGTTTTGTTCACAGGACTTTGTTTTAAATAGTCAATTATTTGATCCATCACTTCTAAAGTGGAAGTATAATATTGTTGTGATAGTTGTTGATTAGTTTCAGAGTTCAAATTTTTTATAGAAGACTTTATTTTTTCTAAGAAAACTGTAGGATTTGGATTTACACTGATATTTTTGCTGTTGTTACTTTTAATTGAATAATTTTTTGCTTGTTTATCGAGTATAGTGGAGTAATTTCTTCTTTGATGAGCTAGCCTTTTCAATCCAGCTAGAATATTTTGATTAGGACTTACATTATGTAATAAATCATCATTCTCGATGGATGAGTTTGAATTTTGACTACCAATTTGATTTCTATATTTATTTTTTTCATTTATAGGACAATATAATTCTTCTAGGTTTAGAGCTAATCTCTTTCTCTTTGTCATTATATTAACTATAATTCCTTCAATTTTGCAATCTATCATATACCAACTTTCATTAATATTGAATATATCGTTAATAAGACCTTGCTTATTTTTAATATTTTTTCTTTTAAATCTTTTCTCGACCCTTTTCAATTCATTGTTATTTAATTTTCCCTCGACTGTAGAAAATACATTAAATTTTCCTTTTAAAAGTTGGTTTAATTCAATATAGCTGTTATGACAATGTTTCACTGATAGAGCAGTAGAAAGTATAACAATTTTTCCTATCTTACCATATATTGGGTTAGTATAATTCTCATCTTCAAAAGATGATTTTGATAAATCAAAGACAATAACATTTGATAAACCTAATTTATCAACTAAAAAATCAGATATTTCTGTTAAAGATTTTGATGGAATAAAATCTTCTGGGTATTGTATAATTTCTTTGATATAGTTTTCTTGTAATTTTAAATTTTGTCTTTGATTTGCACCTAATCTGAGGTACCACGGTTCATATGATGTAGTATTTAAAATTGGATCATTACTATTGATCTGTTCATTATTTCCTAAAGATTGTTCATTGTTGATCTTAGCAGAATAATATAAATGAGATTGGGGAAGTGTGGATATAAAACTATTATTTACTAATGTAATTACTCTTTCATTATATTGAGGTATAAATGAAACGTTTTTATTTAGTAGTAATCTTTTTTGTATATTTGATCTAAGTATAAACATTCCGAACCAAAAGGGAAAAATAATTACTGTATAATTGAGAAAGAAGAAAAGTGAAAGAGCTAACAAATTAGTGATTATTGGGTTCTTTCGAATGCTTGTTAACAGACTACTAATTACTATTTTATCTTTATTGTTTTCTTTTTGTTTTTTTCTCTTTAATATTGTGTCTTGATCATTGTTTCATGGGTTTTATGCATTCCAATTTAAACAATATCCTTTAGTAGCTTTACGATATTTTTTTTTTTTTAGTTCTGAATATTTTTTTTTCCTACTTGTTTCTCGAAGAGGAAAAGAGGCATCAGATCAAGTTGAATTAAACTATTTTTCTCCCTCATCAAATATTGATTACTATAATATTAGGTAGTTGTAGTAATCACTTAATATTGTTATCGTTGTTGTTATTAGTTCTGGTGTATATAATAAAATTGGCAACTCTATTAATAATGTTAGTAAAATTACAAAAGGAGATTAAACATTCAATTAATGACAATAATGTTATATATATATATAAGATTTAGTTTAAATACATAACGGATATTAATTCATCTTTTTTTTTATCTTCTTTCTTATTTTGTTTCAATTTTATAGTCTCAAAGAATAAAAAGAAAGAAAGAAGGGAGAAAGTAGGTATGGTTGTTATTTAATTATTTACTGTCCTCTTAATTCAGGTTGAATATTCTCATCTAATATGTGTGAATCATTGGCAGCTACTATACCATTATGTATATCATTGCTATGCCCATGGGTATCATCAGTCTCGTTATCGTCTTCATCATCAAATGTATGATGAAGATCGTCTTCTGGATGTGTGCCATTGGTGCCTGTAGTAGGTACCATGTTGTTAGAATTGGTGGTAACAGTAGTAGCACTTGTTGTCGGCTGACCAACATCAACATCTTTGAAGTGGGAGGATAATAGTCTTAATTGTTCAGCCACCTCATGTGGTAATTTGTCATCACCAATATCACCTATATTAATATCGTCTAATTGTGATGTAGAGTTACTATTATTGGTATGATTATGACTATGGTTATTATTGTTATTATTTACTTTTGAACGTTTATAGGGGTCCAAGTCTGATTCATCACTAGTCAATCTTCTCTTCAATACTATTGCTTCGTTAATGGCGGCTTGTGCAGCACTTTGTAGATCTGGAGTGATAACATGCGAGGCACTATGTAAATCTATAACAGTTTGATCAGATAGCAAAGATTCATTTAAACGTTTTGAACTAACTCTATCTGTGTGGTTATTAGGTGTGTCTGTTGCGGTTGCCGTTGCAGTTGTTGTTGCATGGTCACTGCCATGTGATAGAATCTTTTTGGTTACGTTCAATAGGGCTTGATTTGTTGCCAACTGTTCTTCTAGATCATTAGTATGCTTGAGATTAGCTAACAATGAATGGTCATCAGTTATTGAGTTACTGGTAGTGGTGATGGTGGCAGCTGTGGTAGCTGTGACAGTATCATCACCGTTAGCCATATGTCTATTTATACTATGATCAGTGGCAGTGGAAGTTGTAGCGGTACCGGTACCAGTGCCGGCGCCGTTTGCAATGGCAATGGCAGATGAGGGAGAAGAGGAGTGAGGGGTGGTCATGGTAGTAATACCAGTATTTGTAAGGGATTGGACATTTGTGTTATGAACATGGGGATTATGGTGTATCAAATGAATATTTGTAGATTGATCATGGTATTGACCCATTTTTTTCTTTTTCAAGACAAATCTGGCTTTATAAGTGGTGACTCTTCTTGAGATTAAGGATAGAAACTCTTTCGTTATGGATTTATCGTCGATATGGTACCTTTGTTTAATGATGTCCAATAGGCCAGAATCGGTAACAAAAAGTGATACTTTAAATTTATTCATTGAGTTGTTGCCCTTCTTATAGAGATTTTCCAGGATAGCATCAAAATTGAGGTCATTTTGTAAAATTTTTGGTATTTTAGTTAAAACAAATTTTTCCAAAGACATATTATCTTTTAGTGGATGGTTATGGTAAGGGAAGATCTTTGTGACCACAAAGGGACCGATTATTGGATTTTCAGTTATAAAATTGACTGATGTCTCTAAAAAGGAATTAATGTCGTCATCAGTGGTAGTAGAAGTAGTGGTGGTACCATTATCATAATAATTTTCTTTAATGACATTGAGTGTATCAGATATATGGACAAGATCGTTATGAGAATTAAAATGGTCTTCAAAGTGATTAGATTCTGGATTGGAGGTAGAGTCAGAAGTATGATTTGAGGTAGAAGAAGAAGAATTAGAATTAGAGGTTGAATTCGAGCTAGAGCTAGAGTTAGAATTAGAATTAGAATTAGAGTTGGTATTAGTAGAATCTTCAACAGCAGCGACAGCAGCAGCAATTGCAGCTGTTACATGAGGATCAGTTTCATGAGAATCAGGGTCATGTGCGTCAGTATCAGTGTATTTTTTGATAGTTTCAACGTCGCTATCGTCATCGTCATCATCGTGTTCATTATCACTTAAATTTGTGGCTGTGGCTGTGGCTGTAACTGTGTTGGTGTTGACATTGGCGTTATTAGCGGTAGTGGTGATTGTATGACTGTTATTATTGGTTATAGGATCTTTTTTGATTGGTATATCATCTAAAGTAACTAGTTGAGACTCCAGAACAGAATTATTATGAAGAGTATTATTCTTGTTATGATTATGGTTATGGTTGAAAGTGTTATTTACACCAGAATAACTCAATAGGATTTTGAAATCACAATCCTTTAGATGGCAGGCGAAAGTGAAGTGTTTATTTTTATGAGAGTTTTTCAGGATGATTGGACAACGAAACCTGAATTCGTAGTCATTGATCACATTATACCAGGATTGCAAAGTGGGGAACCTTCTTGGGTTTGGATTATTTGTGTTTGTGACCAAGTCGTTGTTTATTATGGGATGAGTATATTCAAAGACTTGAGACATAGTTAATTAAAAAAAAAAAAAAAAAAAGAGAAATAGAGAAGGAAACAAAGAGAGAAGAATAAAAAAAAAATAGAAAAAAGAAAGTCTAATTCCTTGTTGTTAATGTAGTTTGTTTGTTTGTTTTTAAGAAAGTTGTCTGGTATGTGTTTGTGTTTGCAGATGTCTCTATAGGTACGTATGGACGTTTGTGTATACTACTAGTGTGATATCTGTTTGTAGTTATGTACGTAATGTAAACAGAACTCGTTTGTTCTTTTGGAGAAAAGACAGAGGTTAGATGTTTCGTTCAATGAGATATTTGTGTCTTTATATATATAATAACATATAATAACATATAACAAAACAAAAAAAAAAGAAATTTTCTTTCGTGGGAAATTCATTTTTTTTTATTTTTTTTCTTTTTAATCTTGTACTCTATCCCTTTTCGGAAATCTGTGGTGTGTGGATGTTTATGCTTATTGACGCGTTTCGTCTTTTTTTTCTGTCTGACGCGTCTTTACATTTTTCATTTGTTTTTTTTTTTTTTTGTTTTTTGGTGGTATTATAGTGTGATGGGATATATATTAAGGTATGGTAGATGAAACTTAAGAACAAAAACAAGAATAAGAGCAAGCAGAACAGTGACAACAACACTGATAATAATACTAGTACAGTATGGGTATTAAAGGATTGAATGCCATAGTTATGGAAAATGCTCCCTTGGCTATTCGCAAAAGTGACATCAAATCCTTTTTTGGAAGGAAAGTGGCCATCGACGCATCTATGTCCCTATACCAGTTTCTGATAGCAGTTAGACAAAATGATGGTACTCAACTGCTGAATGACAACGGTGAGACTACTTCACATCTTATGGGAATCTTCTATAGAACCCTGCGAATGATAGACAACGGTATCAAGCCGGTATATGTGTTTGATGGGAAACCTCCGGTCCTTAAAAAATTCGAATTGGATAAACGGTCAGAGAGACGTAAGGAAACAGAACTGAAATTGGCTGAGGCCACAGACTTGAACGAAAAGATCAAGCAGGAACGTCGGCTGGTCAAAGTCACAAAACAACACAACGACGAGGCCAAACATCTCTTGAAACTCATGGGGATCCCCTACGTCGAGGCTCCCAGTGAAGCTGAGGCCCAGTGTGCAGAATTGGCCAAGGCTGGTAAAGTCTATGCTGCTGCAAGTGAAGATATGGACACCCTTTGTTACAGAACACCTTATCTTTTACGACATCTTACTTTCTCTGAAGCGAAAAAGGAACCCATACAGGAATTGGACACGGAAAAAATTTTACAGTCGCTGGACCTGTCCATAGAACAATTTATAGACTTGGGTATATTACTAGGTTGTGACTATATAGAGAGTATTAAGGGAATCGGTCCTGTTACCGCACTGAAATTAATAAAAGAGCATGGATCTCTCGATTCTATAGTCAAATATATACAGGAAAATAACAACAACAACAGCAGCAGCAGCAGTGGTAATAGCAACGAGGGGAAGTGTAAATGGAAGATACCAGATAATTGGCAGTACAATGAAGCACGCCAGTTGTTTTTGGAACCTGAAGTGATACCTGCAAAAGATATCAACTTGAAATGGTTGCCACCAGATGAAGAAGGATTGATTAAATATCTTTGTGGAGAGAAATTGTTTAATGAGGACCGTGTTAAAAATGGTATACAAAGATTGAGAAAGGGACTTAAAAATGGTACTCAGGTTAGATTGGATGGATTCTTCAAAGTAGTACCAAAAACAAAAGAAGAATTAGAAAAGGCTAATCAAAGAGCTAAAGCACAATTGAAAAAAAATAAAATCACTAAAAAGAGACGTTGATCATTAACAATCAAAAGCTAAATGCAAATGTGTATGTATATACTTATTTAAACATTAACGTTGTAATAGTAATAACAAAGTCATTATAATTGCCAAATATTTAACTATATTTATATATTTTTCCTCTAGGGTACCTCCTATAATTGCAGTATCTTTTTTTTTATTTTTTTAGTTAATAATCTTAGATATGTCTGCTTCTTTCTTGTTTAATAACAAGAGTATATTCTATTATTTAATTATTATTATTTATTATGATTTTTCTCCAGATGTGAGACTTTTTTTTATTGTTTTTTATTTTGTGTCGTGCATGCGTGTTTTTATTTTCTTTTTTTTCTTTTTTTCTTTCTCGATTATATTTTTCTCTTTATTTATTAGAAGTGTTGTGTTGAATAGAAAAATATTTTATATATCGAAGGGTGGGAGAGAACTATGTACACAGTTTATTTACATTTCTATAAGAATTACCTGATTATTACTAATATCCTATTCAATCCTTATATTCAAATATATTTTATATATACAAAAAAAAAACAAGTTAAAAAAAATAAATAAATAAAAAAGTTGATTCTTTCTAATTCAAATATGACTATTCAAGAAACCGAATCCCAAATTGTTTTAACTCATCCAGACAATAAGAATACTACAGTCACTATTTTGAAATATGGTGCTACCGTTATTTCTTGGAAATTAAACGGTATAGAACAACTATGGTTGTCTGATGCAGCAAAACTAGACGGCTCAAGACCAGTCAGGGGTGGTATCCCATTGGTGTTTCCTGTCTTTGGTAAGAATCAAAATGATGAATTGGTCAAAGATCTACCACAACATGGTTTGGCTAGAAACTCTACTTGGGAATTTTTAGGTCAGGTTAAATCTAATCCATTAACTGTTCAGTTCGGCCTTAATGAAACAATTGCTAATCCAGAGATGACTGCTTTATGGAAGGAAAAATTCAACTTAATTCTTACTGTGGAATTGGGATCTGATTACTTGAAAACTGCCATTGAGGTAGAAAATTCTTCCAACGAAAGAGATTTGAAATTTAATTGGTTATTCCATACCTATTTGAAAGTTCCAGATATCGAAGATACCATGGTGTCTAATTTAACTGGCATGAAATGCTTCGATTCATTGATCAAGGAATCCTTCGTTGATAAACATCCAGTTGTTAACTTCACTAAAGAAACTGATGTAATCTATCAAAATATAGATCCAGAACGTGTTATCCAGGTCGTTAACCAAGGTAAACCAATTCACACTGTCAAGAGAATCAATTTACCAGATACTGTCGTTTGGAATCCATGGATTGAAAAATCCGCTGGTATGGCAGATTTTGAACCAAAGAATGGTTATTTAGACATGCTTTGTGTTGAACCTGGTCACGTTCATGAGTTCGTCAAATTGGCTCCAGGTGAAAAGTGGCAGGCTACACAAATTCTTTCGAAAGATGCTTTAAATTATCAAGCTATCTAAAAAATGAATATATATATGTAAATGTGTATATATATGAATTAAATAGAATATGATAATGTAATGAATTTTGTTTAACCAATGTGATTCCTTGTTTCTTATTATCTACATTACTAAGTATGTCTTCTAGCGATATACAAATAAAATCAATTTATTTTAAATTATCATGTAATGTTTACATGATAGTATTAGTGTAAACCAGGAGTACTGTAATACACTATGATACGAAGGTATAAGTCAAATATATTTTGATAGTTCATTTTGTAATATGGTTCGTAACGGGTTGTTGTTTAAGGAGAGTTTTATTTTGCAGCCTATGAACTTGGAAGATATAACGGCATAACGGCATTTTGAGAGGCTCTCTTAAGAAGGACAATGGAGTTTGTAGACGTTCGACCAAGAAATGGTATATATACTTATATTTGTAGATTAATTCTTGACTCTATTTATTATTGCTTATCGATTTTGAATTTAGCAAACGGATTTATCCATTTTACGGTAGATTTCTTAAAAAGTTATTATTGATTAAGGCTTTATTATTTTCGTGAAAGGTGATATAATATAACATATATTTGTAATAACCCTGAGGTTATGTGTTTCTGATAACAGTAGTTCTTGTTGAAATCTCAATAATATTTCACTTGGATAGATATAAGATATAGACTCTTTCCATATCTCTAGATGTAATATTCCTATATATCTATATATCTATATCCCTAATCTAAGTTAACCTAATAGTATACACTTATATACTATATCTAAACTTAGGTAGCCCTTTTTCCTTGTTCCTTCTTCTTGGTTGCTCTCTTGTACTTATGTTGGTTACTCCTGTTTTTATGTGTGTTTGTAAAATTTTGTAAAAAGGAAAGTTTAGAAAAATATCGTCAACCCTCATTTTTCTAAACAAACCCTAAACAGTAATATCAGGGATATTACAATATTGGCAAAAACAAAAATTGGACGAGTCCGGAATCGAACCGAAGACCTCTCCCATGCTAAGGGAGCGCGCTACCAACTACGCCACACGCCCTAAGACCCTTACATTTTATTTTATAATAAGGAGGTAACACCACCAAGATTACGTAAGATTTTATCTGAATTTAAAGTGATCTATTGTGTTTTAAGAACAACGTGTCCATTTGTCACTTAGTGTACAGCGTGTTCACATATATTTGTTACTGCACCACCATAACATATTATGACCATACACACCATAACATATTATGACCATACACACTGTGTTCTTTATAATTTTTACTGCGCCACCATAACCTATTGTCCTAAATGTTCTATGAGGTTCGATTATATTGTTATAACTAATAATAAAGATATAGGTTACTAATCTATTAATATATCAAGTTGAATAGTTGATCAAGTTCTGGAAAACATATAAAAGGACAACATTTTCTGAAGATAAAAGACTATCTTCCATCATTCCTCTCTTATCTATAATTTATATATTTTATATAAAATAGCAGCAAGCAAAGTAATAAGCAAGTCATCGACAAGAATAAGTATGTAAACTCGATAAAGGCCGTTAATATATAAGACCGTATTAATAATTGCATTACCAATTGTATCAATTATTGCCTTGATTATTAATAGATTATCTGTTTGATATTTCTAGCGCTTCCCCGAAACAAAAATGTGTTGTAATATGATGTGATCAGAGTTTTGTTTCGGGGAAGCGCTAGAAATATCAAACAGATAATCTATTAATAATCAAGGCAATAATTGATACAATTGGTAATGCAATTATTAATACGGTCTTATATATTAACGGCCTTTATCGAGTTTACATACTTATTCTTGTCGATGACTTGCTTATTACTTTGCTTGCTGCTATTTTATATAAAATATATAAATTATAGATAAGAGAGGAATGATGGAAGATAGTCTTTTATCTTCAGAAAATGTTGTCCTTTTATATGTTTTCCAGAACTTGATCAACTATTCAACTTGATATATTAATAGATTAGTAACCTATATCTTTATTATTAGTTATAACAATATAATCGAACCTCATAGAACATTTAGGACAATAGGTTATGGTGGCGCAGTAAAAATTATAAAGAACACAGTGTGTATGGTCATAATAGGTAATCTTGGAATCTTTTAGAATCTAACATAAATTAGATGGTGATTATCTCTTATTCTACAACGGTTTTTTAATGTTTAATTAATTATTATTACTAGTAATATTAGCTAAGTTCTAGCTGAATTTAGAATTTTCTATTGTTATTATTGCATTACCCATTTGTCACCGCTATTTAACATAATACTTGTGCTGTTTGTTACTGAAATCTTTCTTTTTTGTATTATTAGAATAAACGATTAGGTGTAAGGTTTATTACAAGTAGTATGTTAAAATATGAATACTAGTAAATACATAAACACTTACAAATTATACAATTGATTGATTCTAACTAATAAACAGATTAAACTTACGTATTACTGATATTCTCAGTGTAACCTGTTATATAAAATATGAATGTTAATGCTAATAATTAGCTCTGGTAGCATCTCTCAATAATCAGAAGTTTCATGAATAAGTTTCTCAGTAATTTGACACTAATGTCCATCCACTTACTGTTCATTTGTTCGAAAACATTTGCACCCAGCTTCCAGAACTTCGGCTGTTTCAGGTCTTTCGTATCGACATTTGGTGTTACCCGAGAAGTATGTATTTTAGGATTTTTAATTAGGATTTCTTAATGTGTATTACATCTAAAGCTCTGCAAGGATATGATTGGAAATTCTAAAACAGCATAATCTACATTTAAAATTTAATATTAAGTTAGGATATTTGGAACAGCAAAAATTTTGGACATAGGCGGTTTATTTGAATAAGCATCAGATAAGAACTATTATAGGTGCATAACAGAAATATGTGAATTGGTACATACATATGCAATATTATTTTAGATGTATTCAGTAATAAACAATATCCCTGATATTTTTTTATTATTAGCTTGTTACAAGTTGTAATATTGTTATTGTGTTATTCATGTAAATAGTATGTGTTTCCCAGAGTACACAATGTTACTTTACCAGGGTCCAATAGACAATTCTTTGTCTCTTAAATGAAAGAAGTCTTTGTTAATTAGGGTTTGTGTAATATATAGATGTTGCGTAAGTGGAATTTATTGAATTAAAAAAATACACGGAATGTTTAATTCCGCAAGAATAATTCCGAATTTTTCAAAAAAAATTCCGCAAATCCTGTAAATTTCTTTTTCTTGAATTCAAAAGTTGTTCTAATCTTTGTTTAATAATAAGTGGCGAATCTCTCAACACGTTCACTTTTTTTTTAAAGGAAATAAAGAAAGTAACAAGCATAATAATCTTCTAGACAAACTTTTTTTGCAGATGTTGGTTTGACCACTAGAACATCGTAAAATTTCCATATGATAATGCGACTCTTGGTATGAACAACCGATCTGACTATTGATTTTCCGTCACTATCCTCATTCAAATTTTTAGCATTGGACTTTAAGGACAATTTTAATCATAATAACGATACCCAATTTACAGAATAAGTAATCTATTTTTTTGTTTGTTTTTCATACTGTTATTTCTCTATAATATCTAGATTTAGTAATTATTAGTAATCATCATTATGAGAAACACTACTCAACGATCAATTTCGTCTAATAGACCTGTTGTGACAATAACATCTACCGTATATGACAGAAGGGCATTGGACATAAATTCTGATATCCCATTGATTAACTCACTTAACCATTTAACTTATTTGACTTCTAATTCTGCTAAAGTTAGGGAAACAGTGGCAAATGATGGGGCATTAGATAGACTAGTATCTATTTTACGTGATTGTCATCTAAGTTTGATGGATTGTTTACAATTTGGAATCAAAGATAATGATTTACATTTAGATGTCACATTACCTAATGCAGAAAGAATAAGACAACAGAAAAAATTAGCGTTATGTTCATGGAAATGGACTCTTGCATTTCAATGTTTAGTGTTGACAGGCACAAGAGGTACCGAAGCAACTAGAAGAAAAGTTGTATCATCAGGGATAATATCTGTATTAGCTACAGTTCTAGATAATTATCTTTTGTATTATGCTAATTATGATCATTTAAAGGGTGAATATTTGAAATTTGATTTGAAAAGTTTAAACTCTACAAATATGTATTTACTTTTGTCACAAAACCACGATGAAACTTTTGAAGACTATATCAAAGAACTAGTTGGGAAAGATATCCTTGACATATCTTCTGATAACAATTTCATAATAGATTCATTGATTCAACCTATAGGTACCAAACCAATTGATTTTGGTAATGTCTGGAGTAAATATAAATTATCCAAAAATATATTAAATGGGCAAATGGAGATGGATAATATGGATATAGTTGATTTGAATCAAGCACACTGTAATACTAAAAATAATAGAACTGAAAATTTGACAACTAGAACATGTGTTTCAGAGGGGTCTTCTAATGAGGTGAGTGGTAATTGCCATTTTATTCAGGATGATGAAATTGAAGATGAAAATTGCTTTTTGGAGGATATTGAGCAGAGGCCATCAATATTATCCCCTAGAAGCATGTTTTTAGGTAGGATTATACCGAAACAAGATGATTTGATTTGGTCTTTACAATTATTGGCATTTATATCGAAATATACATATTTAAAACCTCAACTACAAAGTGTTGAATTGGTTAAATCTTTATCTTTTAGATCAATTATAGAAAGAGTAGAAAAAAGGTTTTCTCAAATTGAAAACAATGTTGAAATGAATAATGAAAACATCAATAATTTCATGACTTACCAGAATTTAGTGTTACCTCAAAATATTATGATTCCGTCAAATAGTGGTGATAATTTCAATACCAATAATAATAATGATAATGATAGCAAGAATCAAAAACTGTTTACTGATGATAGTACTTCTTTAAACATTCAAAATATTGAGGTATCAAACTGTAATTCTGAGATCGATAGTAATATCATGTGTGAACTGGAAAGTTTAGTCGAGAAATGCAATATTATACGGGATAGAGAAAGAACTGTTAAATTCGGGAATAATTCTTTCTTTGATAATGAAAACAAAAGAATATCACCTCATTTTATTATAACAGAAAGAAATCGAAAAGAATTGCGTATTGTAAAAGAATTTCATCGTAATTGGAACTATAACAAAATATCGAAGCAGTTGAATTATGATTGCTGGTATAATGTAAAGAATAGGCAATTGCTTAATATTTTTCCCTTAGTAGAAAAATTCACGGTAACTCCAGAAAACACACATGACGTGATTTATTGGAGTTCGGTTATTATGAGAAATTCATGTCGTAAAAATGAAATTACAGGAGTCAGGCAGTGCGCTAATTTTGACTGTGGGAAGTGGGAATCATATCCAAGGGAATTTGCAAAATGTAGACGTTGTAAGAGGACAAAGTACTGTTCTAGAAAATGCCAATTACAAGCTTGGACTTATCATAGGTTTTGGTGTCATGAAGTTACATGTAGTTCAAAGACAACAACCTCTACTACTGATGTAAATACTAGAGAGGTCAGTCCTAACACCACAGGTGGATTAGCAAATGCTTTTTCAACCACCATTTCCAATGAACAATTGACAAGTGTTAACAACAATGGGAGTGATAATACTGATAGACACAACAACGGTGGTAACACCACTAGGAACACTAATCAACCCAATAATGCAAATATTTTACAGACTTAAAGTATTAAAAAAAATAAAAAGAAAGTTTTACAATTGATGGATATAAAATTTTGTGGATTGGTGTATTTTCCTTCCATATAGTATATCTAAATTTCTGCCTTACATTTTATTCAAAAAAAAAAAATTACAAAAAATTTCAAAATATCTTTCAAATTAATTTTAATTATATTTTAGCATAAATAATTTTTATTCATATTCAACTTACAAGTAGCTACTATACTATTGATACATGGTATTTTTTGATCATGTATTTGCATCTATAATGATATTAAAAATTTTTGTAATAACGTCATTTAATAATCAATGAAACTTTTCTTATCACATAAAAAAACTAATTAATATTATAATTTAATTTTATATTCTTTAAAGATTACCTTTACCGATCTTTTTTTTTTTGATATAAAAAACGATTTTTATTAGAATTTTCAAGGTGCAACTTTACATTGCTATTGTTTTGTTAGTGGAAAGGTAAGGGAAGGGCACACTTCAACCTTTTTTCTCAGATATACTAATTGTTTGTGGTGGAGCAGGTAAATCAAAGTAATTGAGGTTCTTCCCTTTTCTTTTTAATATAAAACATTTTTTACTTAGTTTACTTTTAAGTGAGGATGATGATTCTTTATAATTTTGAATATTTTGGAAGAATGCCCATTTTAGTATCATAACATACATTTCAAAAAACGCAAAATCAGGCCATAGTGAATCACTGAATTCTATTGTGGCATTTTCATGACATTGCCATAACATATAATCAGAGAGTCTTTTATGTCCACTTGTTCTTATAACTAAATCACATTTGTTGGAAAAACCTTCAAAATACATTTCATTTGAAAGGGTATCTTTTGTAATTTCTTTTTTTTTATTGATTTTATCTTGTAATGAAATCAATACATTCTTACCTATAGAATGAAGTATATCATTACGAGAGGTATAGGGTAAACATATATAGACTATGAACGTTTCTCCAGTAGATGTAAGGGATTCAACAGTTTGGATTTTTGCCTTAATTTTATTGGATAATAAAGTCTTGTCACCAACAATTTTCAATTTAGAGCCATACAGAGGGTCTTTATGATCGTTTGCTCTATTTGCAAAATCATTTAATTTAATGGAAAATAGTTCCATTAAAGTGTCAACTTCCTCCTTTGGTCTTTTAAAATTCTCAATGGAAAAAGCATAACAACTTACACACTTGACACCAACCTTCTTACAGATATAAAGTAAAGTTAAAAGTGTAACTCCACCAGCTTCATGGCCCTCTTTCAACGGAATATTTTGACTTTTTGCATACCGTCTATTCCCATCCATAATAAAGGATACATGTTTGGGAATGGGTCCCATCTTTAATGCATAGATTAATAGATCTTTAAATGCATCGGTAACTGTCGATACAAAAGGTATTCTAAAGACAATACTAATCAGAAAATTTCTTTTTAATTGACACCAGTAATAGATTTGCATAAAAATTTCCATGAGTAAGGTAATAAACCAAACAAATGGAGCTTCAAAATATGTTGATAATTTCTTTGTTAGCATGTTATATATATTTTAATAATTTTGTTCTTGTAGTGTGCTGTTATCGTGGTCTCACTATTTATTTTGTATGTTATCTGAAGAAAAAAACCGTAGAATTTAAAGAACTTGGATGGCTTATTTTTTCTATTTATACTTATTTGTTTAATAATGTTGTAGCAAATCTTTGAAAACGGCTCTAACAATTAGCCGCCCAAATACACTTTCCTTTTTTTCTACCATTTTTACCATATAGCCTAAAAAGAAACGAATAGAAAAATGACTTACAGTATGATTGGTAGAATGGTGTAATATACAAGGATGTAAATTTTTTTCTGGTAGTTATATTTTCTTTTAGGAATCTGAGTGAAATTATATTTGAGTTGAGAGAGATATGAATCATCTGTGTGATTTTATTAATCATTTGTGTATTGATAATAAACATTGTATGAAACATCATTATAATAATATATATATGTATATAGAGAATGGAGGAAGGTGGGAGGGAAAAAGTAGGAAAAAAAATAAAATAAAAAAAGGAAAATTTACTCGATAATATAATGAATGCTAATGGGAATATCTATCTAAAATTATTGCAAATTGTTCCACAATCTTTACAAATTAAGGTGTTATTATTAAGATGTGAAGAAAGAATGGTGGAATCATTGTTCATAGGTTCAAAATTTGTTCCTTTACAGATATCACATTCTAAACCATTCAAAGAGGACCTGCTAATAGAGTTTTCTGACTCTATCGAATAGGCCAAAGATGTTGAACTATGATTCCTATGGAATCTTGATCCTTTTGAAAAGGATGAATGATGGCTTGGTGTTAATGCAGATAGTGAATGACGTACATGAGTAAATGATTTTGATCTTTTTGGGAAAATTTGTTGTTTATGTGTTGTTGAATCTAATACATTATCATTGTTTTCGGGGTTTTCATGGATATCATACATATTATTACATGAGTGTGGCCTAATGATGTTTGATAATGCAGAATGTAAACTGTTGCTCCTATGCAGGGATGGTGATGTTAATTTCAGTGCATTCATGGAATGGTACCCTTTTTCTAGTTTATAATCTTGTAAACTTTTCAGAATTATGTTTTTTAATTTTGAGGATAGGTCTGCTCTAAAAATACGGATTATACCTCTGTTATCAGTAGTTACTAAAATAGTACCAATAGCTTTCACAGCATTAAACATTGTATCTGAGTTAACAGAAATATTACTCATTGAAAGTGATGAATTGATCGCTTCATGATCCCTACTTTTATAAAAAAACTCTAGAGACAATTCACATAAGATGTCGTTGGATAGTGATAGTGCTTTAGATGTTCCTATTGGAGCCATTATAGCTGTGGTGACTGCACTTTGGTGAGCTTTAAAAGCGATGTAATGTTTATTCTTAAGAGGTGAGTTAGAGTACGGTAAAGATGATGACGGGTGTAAAAAAGAAGAAACTTTTATACTATTATGTCTTGAGTGTGTTGAAGAATGTAAAGTTGTGCTGGATGATGCTGTAGAAATAGTCTCATTGGAATATGTCAAAAGGTTGAATGACCGTGGTTGATCTTCGGTAATACTTTTTTGACTAGATGACCTACTTATTGTATTAAATATATTCTTAAAACTTCTTGATCTACTAATATTCCTTCTTTCAGAACTCTTATCATTTGCCAAGTTTGGTTGTTGCCCATTAACATAGGATTTCAGTTTCCAACAGTAAACCCAACCATTATCACTACTTGATAATACAATAGGAGCTTCAATTTGAGATACACTAATATGTGCAACATGCGATGAATGTTCATTATCAAATCCTTTCAACGTCTCTACCAATTTCTTTGTCCTTAGATTAAATACTCTAATTTTTGAGTCTTTACACGTGATAATAGCTCTTAACGAATTATCATTGTCATCAATAAATAATTCAATACCAGTAATACGTGGTCCATGATAATATTTCCTATATTGATCTGGAAAAATACAAGAGTTTTGTAATCTTTGCGTTGAAGTATCAGTGATATGAAATGAATAAATTGGCTTCAAATCGCGAGTTGAAAGAAGAAATACAAATCCATTGAATGTTCCTATAATAGTATATTTGGCATCACCAGGAGAAAAAGTAACATATGTTATGAGATCCTGACAATCAAATTCATTAGTAATTTGATGGTCTAAAATAGACCACAGCCTACATTTGTGGTCAAGACATCCACTAATAAAGAATCTATCATCGGTTGGATGAAAGGCAACCGATGTAACAAAATCTGGATGTCTAAATGTCTTTAAGGATGTTGGTTTTTCGGGGTGCCATAACTTTACATTATTATCCATAGAGGAAGAAAGTAGAAAATTATTTTTCGACCAATCCAATGATAAAATATCATGTGTATGTTCTTTATATAATCTGTACGGCTTAGGATCAAATACAGGAGCAAATAGATGTTTCGTAGAATCGCTATTCATAGTTTCTTGAATATTTTCCAAACTTGAAGAAGATTTAGACATATTTTGTGATCTTAATATTTTAGTCCTTAAATCATTGGTAGAATTGCTTCCTGATCTCACACATACCCTTTCCACAGGTGTACTTAGAACTTTCCAAATAGCAATAGTACAGTCCTTCCCCCCTGTAGCCATGAATTTTCCATCGCTACTAAATTGTGTTGTCCATATAGCTTTTGAAGTAGGTTTGTTATTATTATTGTTGTTAATATCATTGTTATGATAAGCTAAGCGTTCAGCAGATGGTCTAGGTGAATCTATTGGTGATACTAAGCGTGAGTGTGTATGAAGGGTAGAACTCTCTAAGATATCATCATCTTTCGTTATACCGACATAAGGACTTAAGGGAGGCGATGATTTGATATCTAATAAAGATGTTGTATTTAGATCATTGTCTAGGGGGGCCTGCAGTTCCTGCGCTAAAAATAGTCTCCTAAACTGTTTGATTCCTTTTGTCTTTTTCAACATTTTAATATGAGAAGGCTCTCGTAAAATTCGTTCAAATTGGACAATATCAATATTATTAAATAAACTAATTTCATCAAAAATGTTTTTCTTTTTAGTTTGAGAAAGTGTATTTCCATGAAGTCGAGCTTGCACTTGTGATTTAGTTTTCCTTGCTGATCTCCCATTATTAATACTTTCATCTACCACAGTATTTGAAGCTTGGTTATTCCTTCTTTTCTCCTTTCTTCTCTTAATTGAAAATTCTAATGGTTTAATATCTGATAAATAGTCATCGTTTGTATCATTTAAATTTTTTTTAGAATCTGGACCAGATGATATAGAAAGTGAACTCATTTTCGTTTCAATTATAAGTGGCTTAGAATACTCATCTGACTCTTCAAACGAAAGATCATTGGATGACATTTTTTTGTGAAACACCTCTTTTTTTTCTGGTATTTACTCAGTCAAAAAGACAAGATGTATGGCTTAGGAGATGCGAGAAAGGAGATGTGGGAAATATATACTATTTATTAATCAGCTTGTAAGAAGTTATTTATATGTTGGATTTTGTAATCTGATTATATTCAATAAAATTTGTATTAGCCTGTTCTTGAAACCATAAATATTAAAGTTAGATGAGTTTAATTGTATTAACAGGTAGTGTGTTAAAATAGCTTCAGATCTGTGTGGAGCCGTGTGATTAGATGTATTGATTCGTTTATGGGTGGTATTTTTTAAGAGCCGATGCTTACCAATAAATTTTTTTTTTTCTTTTGAACTTGAGAAAAAAAAAGAGTTATTTAAAAGAAAAAGTATTGTTGTTGTACAACTTTAAAAGAAGAATGGAATGTTACTTTGGATGAGAACAAAAATGGGCTCGTATTTTTATAAGATACTCGAAAAATACGAAACACCCAGTAATTTATAATTTCAGAGTTGTTGTAATCAGCAAGTTTTGTTAACTAATAAATCATTAAAATCATTAAAATCATTAAATTATATGTATACAATAATACCACCTTTTGCGAAAATGAAAGGCAATAAATATATATATATATATATATGAGGGGGGGAAATTTATACTACAATGAATGCTCTATGTACGAACAGTTGGTTCATCAGTGCCAATGAATTCTTTCAATTTTAAGAATTCAATAACTGGTGTCATAACGGGTTTTAAGAAATTCTCAGCGGTTAAACTGTATTTAGTCTTGTCATCGGTGTATTGTTCCAAATATAATCTAATTGTGGCACCAGAAGAACCAGTACCAGACAGTCTAACAACAAATCTAGCACCGTTAGATAATTTAACATACAAACCTTGATGTTCTGACACAGAACCATCCAAATCAGTGTATGAGAAGTCACCACCTCCAACAACGGTTAAATCTGATGCAGTTGGGAATTTGGAACTTACAAGGTCTGGCTTCTCGATATAGCTTCTCAAGTGATCGATAACTTTAGCAGCATTTTCAGTAGTAACATGTTCATAATCGTATCGAGTGAAAAAGACTCTACCGTACTTGTTCCAGAATTCATCTTGAATGATCTTAATTGACACTTCTTTGTCTGGGTTATGTTTATTGTAAATGGCAAGGACATTTAACCAAGCAATGATAGCCCAAACACCATCTTTCTCTCTTACGTGGTTCGAACCAGTACCAAACGATTCTTCACCACAGATAGATAATTTCTTAGCTTCAAACAAGGCGCAGAAGAACTTCCAACCAGTTGGAACTTCATAACAGTTAAGACCATGGGCTTTTGCTACACGATCAATAGCACTTGAAGTCGGGAAAGAACGTGCTAGACCGTATATACCATGTTTGGCGAAATATGGGATTTCACTAGCATATTCGGCGATGATGGCAACAGAATCACCTGGAGATACGAATGCAGGACCAGCACCATATATCATATTTCTGTCACCATCACCATCGGAGGCAGCGCCAAATTCGATATTTTCTTTATCAACTCTATCAACTAATGACCTAGCATAGGTTAAGTTTGGATCTGGATGCATACCACCGAAATCCGGTTGCGGATGCCAGTTTTGCAACACTTCATCTGCGGACAAACCGAACTCATCAACAAAGATGGCCTTACCATATGGCCCAGTGACACCATTCATACTGTCAAATAATAATTTCCAATTCTTTTCTTTTCTTTGTTTGTGAATAAAGCTCTTTATTAGTGGGAAATCAAAGATAGTCTTTAAGAAATCGACATAGGCTTGAGTTGTATCAATAACATCGATCAATAAAGGACCATATTGAGCGTTTTCGACGATTTTATCTAGTTTCAACTGGGGAAAGTCTTCAATTATCTTATATTCAGTCAATTGTTTAGAGATCTCCCAAATTTTGTTTGTGACAGGCTCAGGTGCAGGACCACCATTAGACAAATTGTATTTGATACCCATATCATTTTTTGGTCCACCAGGGTTGTGGGAAGCAGTTAATATGATACCACCTGTGCATTTTTCCTTGTATGTTCTAATGATATGTGAAGCAGCAGGTGTGGATAGAAGACCATTTTGACCGATTACTAATTTCTTGATACCATTGGCAGCACCAATTGCGGCAATCTTATATAAAATAACATCATTATAGTAACGACCATCACCACCTACAACCAAGGTAGCACCTTTTGAGCCCTCCGGAATAGCAGACATGATAGATTGAATAAAATTTTCGGTGTAATTTGGCTCATTCATAAAGACGACAGTCTTCTTACGAAGACCTGAAGTACCAGGCTTTTGGTCTTGATATGGTTTAGTTGGCACTGTTTTTACTTGGAAAGACATATTAGTAATTGAGGGTTGAGTGTTTGTATAACTTTTTCTTGTTTGGTTAGCTGGTTACTTTCATAATAAAAGTTTTTATTTCCAAAAAAAAAGAAAATTGAGCGTTCAACGTAAACACATTCTTAGGTACTGTCAAATATGTCAAGTACAATTTATTTACATTTATATATCTTCAACTATGTACATCTTATCAGATCATGTGCCTGTCATGTCTTTCGAATCTTATTCTTTACCCCTTGAACAAAAGATCAAACAAAAAGAGTGCAATAGGAAAGAAAAAGAAGCTAAAGCCAAAAAAAACAATTGGATATTTGGAATTTGTATTGTATTCTGTATGGTTCGTCTGTTTGTTTCTTATCCCTCCCCCCCCTTTTTTTTATTGTTTACATTTTATAGATTTGTTCTGTTTTCTTTTGTTTTCTTTTATTTGATTTCACGCTCGAGCTTGAGAAAGCATATCACCATTGACGGTGTTTGGCTCCCCACCTTCCCCTTAAAATTTTGTCATACAAAGAGTTTTGTGAAGAAAGGAAAAAAAAGAAACAAGTACCCCTTAAACAAAATGTTATTAAAAATAATTTTGACGGCCTTACTAGCTCGTAAAGGCCCATCCAGCTTCTTATTTGTTTGTAGTTTTTTTAGACACGGAACCTAAAGATATTATTCTGATTGCTTGTTTATGAATATTTGTTGCATCAACAGTATATTTACGGTACAAAAGACATACAATAAGAAATTGGCCATCAACAACTATTCTTTTGTGATTTACATTACAAAATTTTCATGTCATTTTATTAAAGGAGTTAAAACAAAAAAATAATGTTTACGAGTAATTATCAGCAAAATATTTTTTTGTTTTTGTTGTTTTTTTTTAACTTTAAATCTTTTGTGCCTAAACCTTTTCAGGGGTCAGCCATTTTTCCATCTTTGGATAAAGGAGAATTAAACTATCCCACAATGGTAATGAATCAATTAAGAGTTTCTCGCACTGTTGGAAAAGAATGATCAACAGGCTTTCTTGATCGTTATACATGGATGGTACGTTATATTATCAAATTATCAAATTAGTCTGCCACGAAAAATTGATATCATATATATATATGTACGTATATAGAGAAAGAGAGTTAGAGAGGAAGCGAGTGAAAGAAAAGTGAATAATTAATTGATCAAGTTATTTTAGTCAAGATCAAATTGAGATGGTCCTAACTCAGTAGCTAACCAATACTTTAATGAATCTGAACTTTTCTGGTCCTGTGTCAAAGTCAATAACTCACCTTCTTGTGTTTGCCAAGCTTCTTTTATCTTATTTTTATCTTCTTCACTTAATTGCTTTTGAATATTAACATAAGGCGTAGTTTCATCTTTCAGTAATTCAGGAAACTGAGGCAACTCAAATTTTTTGAAAGTAGCATCTTGAGATAAGTACTTTTGTTTTACCCACTCATGCAATACAAGGTTTTTATAATGCAATGTTACGTGTGGCTTTAATGTTGGGTCATTGTTTAATAAACTATTTGTACTGTTGTTTTCTGGTAATAGAATGCTTGTATTATGTCGGTTATTAAGTTCGCTGTAATGTCGATATAATAAAGCATTATCTAACGATGCATTATCATCTGTATCCATCGAATTAATGAATTTTTGCATTAGGTCATCATCTAATTCATTTTCTTCTTTCTTAATCTTACCACTTGATGTACGTGGATTTAATAATGAGGGAAATATCATATGTTTTTCATCCTCCATATATGGTAAGACATTTAATATCATTACTCTGGTATGTGCATTATAGTTAACGTCAGATTCATCTGAATTAAAATTAGGCAGGTAATTTGATGTCGAAATATCTGAATTACTAACTAATAAAGGACACAAACATACCATACTAACTTCTCCGTTAAATTTACTGACATATCGTGCAATCGCAATCTTATCGTGTTTTAACATCACATCAACAAGAGTACTAAATGAACGTATATCTGCCTTATTACCTAATCTTGTATCAGGTATAATCATTGTTGACTCTGAGGTTAAATATTGTCTTGGTAAAGATAATCTCGATGCAAATCCTCTAATATCTAATCCAGGGGCTGCATGGTACCCCATTTCTTCCGATAATGTGGGAGGCAATACCACATAATCTGATCCGTATCTATATGCCTTAGTAATATTTTTAATTCCTACTGCAATATTATTTGATTTTTCGTTGTTTTTATTTTCTTCACTTTTTATTTTAATTTTCATTTCTTCTTTTATCTCCTTCTTTATTTTTATGGTATCATCTTGTGATTCAGTTGTTTTATCTGTGGTCTGAGATCGTAAAATTTCATATTCAATGATAGATTTTACAGGGAGGTATTCGTATTGTTTACTATCATCACCTTGTGGTTCTCTAGATTGCTTAAGCATAACCTTTCTGTTTAAACCAGATACAGTCTTAGTAGCAGGATATCCTTCTACAGTTATACATAAAGAAAACTTATCTTTAAAAAATTTTTCACGGATCCTTAAATCTGAACTGGTGATATCTTCAACATTTGCACCAAATCTTAATTCACCAGAAAATATTCTAACTGGCTTAACCAAAGGAAGTTGTATTTCATCTATTTTTTTCACCAAACCTTCAAGTGAAACAACATTTGAATCAATTCCATATTTATTTTGATATTTTATAATTTGATCCCATTGACCACTCTCACAAATACCTGTTGAAGATGAACAGTTGACTAAAATTAACTTTATATCACCTAGTTGATCCTTAACAAGATCCAATTCATCCACTTCTATATCGAGATTGTCTAGATTGTCAGAAAATATCACTATCTGTTTTTTTATTCTTTTATTGTTAAACTTTTCTCTTATTTGAATAGCAGATAGAAGTATGGTCTTAATTACCGTCTGTCCACCTTCATCTACCGCTCTTATTTCATCTAAATTGTTATATTTAGTGAGACCAAAAATTAAAGAATGCATTAACTGGCCATTTACTGGTGCCATACAGGAACATAACTGGACTATATCTTCGATGTCTTGGTCATTTATAACATTGTATGTGTTACATATATATAGACTGACATAGTCAGTCTTTCTCATCTTCTTACATTTCTCTATAAGTACAAATTTTAAATATTCGATAATAGAATTATATTGTTTTGATTGAATTAAGGAATGGCATCCGTCGACGATAAAAGAAGTGCATTCCTGAGACATTGAGTTAAAAATGCAGCTGGCAAAAATATCTTGAAGGTATAGGTTCAAAAAAGAAGATCATTGGTTCTATTATTTTGTAGTTTCATATGAGTTACTCTCAACTCTTTGAAAGATATTAAGAAAACTGGTAAAAATATTTTTTAAATTAATAAAAATTTAAAGGAAAAAGAAAAGAGAAGAGATAAAATAAAAGCAAACTGTTGGGCATAAATATATATATATATATCTGTGCTAGAATGATATATTACCAGTTTGAGTAACATGTAAATATAACAAAGAGGAAAAATGTTTGTTTTGCACATTCAATATTACGGAGATAAGATCAAACAGAATCAAAGTAAATTAATATATTATGAAAAATTGCCAAAAGGTAAACATATATAAGTAGATGACTTTACTTATTAATTTTCCAATCTGGATGAATAATATATATACATTATATCGTATGTTTCTTGTATATTTATATAATTATTAATTCCCAATCAAGAGATCGAGGGAAAATTATTCTACATATCAACATAATAATAATACATAATAATAATAATATACAATATGATCACCGACGCTAAAAACATGTATACTAATATTATTCGTCCAGAGGAATCTGTTTATAAAGAAATGGGTGTTAGAGAATCTATTAAAAAAGACTAGAAGTGACCAAAACAAAGTTCAATGGATATTTTGTTGTAATATAAATGTTGTATCTTAAATATTTTTTTTCAAAAATAATTATAATTGTTATAACAAAAGCAAAGTTCCCATAAATAGAAGAAAAGTGTGCTAGAATATATTATAAAAAAATCATTTCACAGCTCTAAAATTTTAGAACTGGTAATATTTTTTTAGAACTCGGATGTTAAATGGTAGAACTCCATGGTAGTTCAATACTAGTACCAAAATGTTTCTTTAAAATACATATATTTTTTAACAGGATAAACTTCTTTTTTTACAATTATAGAAATGTTTTTTTTTCAAGGAGTATGAGAAAGTAATTATTTGTAGAGATGTGAATCTGTAATTTTGGGACAAATAATATTTTTAAAACTGTAGATATATTCTTAGATAGAATTAATACAAAACAGAGTATTATGGATCACCTCCTCAAATTTTTTTTGTAGGTAACAGGATATAATTACCAACTAATTTTTTTATTGAAATTGTATATATAGTTATTTAAATTTTGAGAATATTTTAATATATTTCTTTTGTATCGATTAGATCTATTGGAGAAATATTAAAATTCAAAATCTGTTTTAATAGATTGTATTTATATTCTTTTTTTCACAAGAGATTTTATTGGTTGTTGTGTTTTTTCTATTTAGGGACTTAACAAAATGTTGTTATAATTGCATATATACTTGATTTGAGAGGAAATATTCCAAGTTTTATTGTCATGCTAATGGAAGAACATTCACTGTTAAGAATTTTTTTAGCCTTCAACTTTTATTGTCATTTTAAAAGAATATGTAAGAAATCTTCATTGGAGATCTTGAAATACACAATTTATGGCAATACTTAGTATTGAGATAAAGAACTTGGAACAATTGATACTCTACGTCCAGGTTGTAGGTTTGTCCGAACATCTGTCATGTTGACATTAAGGAAAAATTGTTGAGAATGTAATTTAAGAGACCTCTGAACATTGAAAATGTGTTGGAGATAATCATCAACATTAATATTTTTATTATGTATTTTGGGTCCTGCTGAACAAATATCAAAAATAATAATAGTAAGAATTACGGAATTGATGTTCATATTTTAGTGTATAATTTGAGATTACCAGTCGGATATATTGGACGAATGTATATGAAGAATTTGAGTGATAATTACAGATGAATTAATAAGAATTATCGGTATATAAAACGATTGTCACAGATAATAGATATATTAATAAATAAGTATATAGAGTAACTTTTTTGTTCTAAAAATAATAGTAAATACTAGAACCAAGCAAATAGAGTAAAAAAATAATTCTACAGTTTTTCTTTAAAAATAATTAGTTGTTATTTTTATGTTTTATATGTTAATGTAGGGTCTTATTATCAAAAATTTTATTAAAGCTTGTTATAAAAATAATATAATGATATGATATAAACTTATGATAGAATGTTAACGGTATTATGACGCTAATTTAGATTGTTTAATTTTTTTAATTTACTTAATCAATATATTAGTTAAAATATTCGATGTAATTTATTTTATATTTGGTTTGTTTTTAATATGAAATTTGATGAAAGTGAGCGCCTGTAGTCATTGGATATACAGTAAACATCCTTGATATTATATTAGATAGATTTAGTATACAAAAATATAATAGAGTTCTTCCCTTTTTATTTATATATATAATATATTATGATAAAATATAGAAGATAATCAAGAGAAGAAACATGATATGAAAAAAAATGTTGGCTTTATATATTTTCATATCTCGTCTATCTCGTCTACGTATGGGACCAAATTTATGATGAGGTTTGTTTATGTATACTGATGAGCAAACAATACGTTCTCCACTTTTTGCTTATCAATTAATGTTTACTAAAATCTAATTGGTCTATTATTTATTCGATTTCAACAAAATTTTATAACTTTTTCACTCATTCAGTATGATACATTTAAATTATCATAAATATTTCTAATTATATTTGAATGTTTGATACGAAAAGACAAAGAATTTTATTTCCAATATATATAGCAGTAATTTTATTAATTGAATAGGACCATTAATTTTAGATATACTTTGTATGTAGTTTCTTTTAAGTAATACTGTTATAAAATTCATTTTTAAAAAGTTTTCAATAAGTTTTGTTTATTTTTTAGAAAGTTTTTTCCTCTCAAATTATTTTTTATATTTAGTTTCTTTGTCACAGTTTTAATATAATAGATAAAAGATGTAAGGAGCTATCTTAAATAATATACCAAAATATAAATATTAAATGTATATATAAACACTTACAAATTATATAATTGGTTAATTCTAATGTAAGGAACCTAACTGGAAATCTAGTAGATACACAATTTTGAGGGTAACACCTGAGTATCTGAGTGGAGGATTGGTTCAGCCATGTACGCAGTGGCTCGCATAAGGTATTGAATCTGATTGGAGGATTTCCAAGGAGTGAAAATTATATCAGATCTTGTCAAGAGGCCTTTGATTATTGAAAGATATGCTAGGGGTAATCATCTTATTTAAATACATCTTAGTAATGATATTAAGAGGCAACTCTTAATATCATACAAGATTAAGAAGAACAACAACAAGAAGTAATTATACTATATCAGGGTTATTAATTAGTGATATATAGAGCTTACGTAAGAGTGTTTATACTTATACTAGTTGATATGATTCATCCATTTACATACAACAACTCTTACATCTAATTATTAAATAGATTAATCCTAGTTATTCGTGTTATTCTTCGTTAGATTAAACCTATTATATAGAATACGAATATTAATGCTGACAATTACCTCTAACACTATCTCTCAATAATCAAGGGTGTCTTAAGTAAGCTTCTTAGTAATTTGCCACCAATGTCTATCCGACGATAGTTTATTTGTTTAAAAACACTTGCAACCTGCTCCCAGAATTTCGAATGTTCCGGGTCTTCCGCCTCGACATTAGGTGCTACCCGCAGAATACATATTTCAGGATTTCCATTTAGGACTCCTTACATTTGGTTTGTAACAATATATATATATATATAATATTTTTTAAATTAAACCGTTTTCAATACTACACCCTTTCTAATTTATATACAATTAGCAAAATCCAATAATAATATATATAACTAAAAAAATTTACATAATTCTTCTATAAATAAAAAACGGTTCTTAATTGAAAACTACTTACATCCACAAGGTATTGTAGATTAGATGTAATTATAGCAAGTTTAACAATTGAGAATTAGGATTTTGAAATAAAAAGAAAAATATAATTTTAGAAAAGAAATTATGTTTCCCAAGTAAGTTAAAATCAACTCAGCAAAAATTAAAGAATAACATAAAAAAAGTAACTATAGTGAATATACTACATGTATTGGATGCCTGCAGCCTTAACCAATGAACACATTAAATATTTTAGTTTATATGTTGCTCGCTTTTTTCTTCTGTTTGTACATAATACATAGATATATACGTATGGATTATATAAAAGTAACTAAAGTATCTTCTTATATTTTATTCTTTTTTGTTTATTTTTTATTTTTTTTTAAAAATCTTTCTTTTCTTTTATAGATCTAGACACCAAATGTATCATTGTTTCCATAACAGCGTCTTTAATTAATAAAAAACTTCTTTAATATTTACTGTTCATGGTAATAATTCCAGGAAGATGAACTAATAAAGTATGGCTATTTGCCATATATTTTATCGCTTGAGAAGTTTTTGAGAAGTTTATTAGAATTTATTGAGTTATTTCAGTCATCGAATATAATATATGAGCTAATTAATAATATATCAAGATGATTGATAGAGTCCCAGAAACATATAAAAGGACGATATTTTAAGAAGAAAGAATGTAGTTTGTGACCATTTATTTGTATAAAGTATATAATAAAATAATAGTAAGCAACCAAGCAATAAATAAATAATGAATATTAAAATAATATAATATCTCTATATTATCCATTATTACCACCTATCTATTAGAGAGTATTTTAATTGGTTTGTCGGTTAGTTCATCCGTCCATCCTAATCTATCCGTTAGATTATTAGATTTATGAACCCTAATTAACAACACAACATCCTGTAGGATGAAGTGATCAATGGCTTTATATTGTACAGGAAAGGCAGATAGTATCAAACAGATATTTAAATAATCGAGACAGTTACTAATATAATCGATAATATAATTACTAAAACAGCCTTATATCTTGAGCGGCTTTCGTCGAGCTTATATATTTTCTTATCCTTATTCTATTTATATATATATATAATATAAATCATCTATAAGAGAAGGGTTATGGAAATTAACTCTTTAACTTCAGAAAACGTTGCCCTTTTATATGTTCGCTGGAGCTCGACCAATTACTCAGATTGATACATTAATGAGCTTATTGATCCAAACCCTAAAATTTACTACACTAATTCAGGTACACTAGTGAATTAGTAACTGAACCCCAATTCACTAGTTATGGTAATCGGATGCACTAATGATAAATAGTATAATTATTATGGTCATTAGTAACACATGTGTGACTTATTAAAACAATAGGTAAATTCTAGATTCATCAGAATCTTATGTAATTACACTGGAACTAATCTTTTTATTACGCAACATCTAATGTTGTAGCACGCGTATGGCTTATTAAAACAATAAATAGTTCTAGATTTATTCAGAATCTTAGGTAATATTGTTGGTGATGACTCATCTATTATACGACGATAACCGTTGTAATATGATGTGGTCAGAGGTTTGTATTATTTGGGAAAGCGCTAGAAATATCAAACGGATAATCTATTAATAATCGAGACAATAATTGATACAATTGGTAATGCAATTATTAATACGGTCTTATATATTAACGACTATATCGAGCTTATATAATTATTCTTGTCGATGACTTGCTTATTATTTTGCTTGCTGCTATTTTATATAATATATATAAATTATATATAAGAGAGGAATGATGGAAGATATTCTTTTATCTTCAGAAAATGTTGTCCTTTTATACGTTTTCCAGAACTTGATCAACTATTCAACTTGATATATTAATAGATTAGTAACCTATATCTTTATTATTAGTTACAATAACATAATCGAAGATCATAGAGCATTTAGGACAATAGGTTATGGTGGCGTAGTAGAAACCATAATGAACACGGTGTACATAAACATAATATGTTATGGTGGCGCAGTAACAAAGATGTGTGAACACGCTGTACAAAACAGGTGATAAACGGACACGTTGTACTTAAAACACAATAGATCACTTTAGATTCAGATAGAATCTTACATAATCTCGGTGACATTACCTCTTTATTCTACAACAATAGCTGTTGTGGAATAGAATAGTTATAACCATCAAGATTACATAAGATCCTGAATGAATCTAGAACTATTTATTGTCTTAATAAGTCATACACGTGCTACAACATTAGATGCTGCATAATAAAGAGATTGGATTACATAAGATTTAACAAATCTAGAATTTACCTATTGTTTTAATAAGTCCCACGTGTATTACTAATTACCATGATTAGAGAATTGAGGTGCAGTTCTAATGCACTAGTGCACCTAAATTAATGTAATAAATTTTAGGGTTTGAATCAGTCAGATCATTAATATACCAATCTGAATAATCGATCGAGCTCCAGAAAACATATAAAAGAACAACGTTTTCTGGAGATAAAAGATCATCTTCCATAACCGTTTCTTGTAAATAATTTATATATTATATAAACATAAATAGAACAACAAGCAAGTAACAAAATAAGTAACTTCGAATAAGTATATTAGCTCGTTAAAAGTCATTCAATATATAAGACCGTTATAGTAATTATATTATTGACTATAGTTGATTACTGTCTCGATTAGTTGAATAACCATTAATATTATTTGCACTTCCCTGGAATACACAAAGAATCTCACCATCTCATATTGCGATCAACGATGTTGTGGAATAGAATAGTTATAACCATCAAGATTACATAAGATCCTGAATGAATCTAGAACCAATTAGTGTATTAATAAGCCTTACATGTGCTACAACATTAGATGCTGCATAATAAAAAGATTGGATTACATAAGATCTTGGCAAATCTAGAATTTACCTATTGTTTTATTAAGTCCCACGTGTATTACTAATCACCATGATTAGAGAATTGGGATGCAGTTCTAATCCAGTAGTGCACCTAAATTAATATAATAAATTTTAGGGTTTGAATCAGTCAAGTCATTAATGTAGTAATCTGAATAATCGATCGAGCTCCAGAAAACATATAAAAGGACAACGTTTTCAGGAGATAAAAGATCATCTTCCATAATCGTTTCTTGTAAATAATTTATATATTATGTATAAACAAAATAGAAAAGCAAGTAACAAGTCAAGTAACTTCGAATAAGTACATTAGCTCGATATAAGCCGCTTAATATATAAGACCGTTTTAGTAATTATACTATCGACTATAGTTGATTACTGTCTCGATTATTTGAATTACTATTAATATTATTTGCGCTTCCCTGGAATACACAAAGAACTTCACCACACCATACTACAACAAACGACAACAGTTGAAGCGCAAGTGGTTTAGTGGTAAAATCCAACGTTGCCATCGTTGGGCCCCCGGTTCGATTCCGGGCTTGCGCATGTTTTTACTACTGTGTAATATTGTAATGTAATATCCTTGATATTACTGTTTAGGGTTTGTTTAGAAAAATGAGGGTTGACGATATTTTTCTAAACTTTCCTTTTTACAAAATTTTACAAACACACATAAAAACAGGAGTAACCAACATAAATACAAGAGAGCAACCAAGAAGAAGGAACAAGGAAAAAGGGCTACCTAAGTTTAGATATAGTATATAAGTGTATACTATTAGGTTAACTTAGATTAGGGATATAGATATATAGATATATAGGAATATTACATCTAGAGATATGGAAAGAGTCTATATCTTATATCTATCCAAGTGAAATATTATTGAGATTTCAACAAGATTAACTGTTATCAGAAACACTTAACCTCAGGGGTATTACAGTTTTCATCTATTTCAAAAATTAAAAAATCTCCCAGGGGTGAGTCGAACACCTGATCTTAAGATGTTTTGGGATAGTTTGCTTAGTTTTACTAAATTTATGTAATGTAATCTTGAAATGTAATTTTTATTCACTAATTGAATTAAATAAGAAAGAATCCCAATTCTTATCATTATATAGAATCTATGTAACAATTATATGTCTCCTTGAGAGAAGAAACAAAGCATAATATCAAAAATTCTTCTAAATGATAAATCAACTGTTTACATCAAAGAAAGCGTTTTAATCAAGTAAAGTCTATTCAACCATTTTTTTTATTTATTTACTAACCATCTTTCAATTTTCAACGCCAAGGTTAACCAACTTTATATTTATTGAACCCTAATTAAAAATATTCAAACAACTCACATATTATCAACTACTTTAAAAAAAAAACATGGCTTAAATAACAATCATGCTTACTTTCATTTTTTTAGAAAGAAAGTTTCTGAATAAGTGAACAGATGATTAACTAACTATTCACTGTGATTATTAGCATCACTTAAAAGAAAAAAAATGGTACTACAATATACGTAGCCCTTCCTTTAAAAATTATGGTGTGTTTTTCTTTTCTTTTCTTTTCTTGGTAATTACTATCATTATGATAGCTGAACCCTGCAGCAACAGAAAATTTTTTTTCTATTTAACAAGAATAAACCTGTTGAACTTATCTAAAAATAGAAATTAGTCAACCGCGTTACCTCTAGATCAAAAATAGAACAGAAAAAAAGGAACCAGATCAGCCTATTCTTGTATAATAACCAAGCAATATTTATAGATTGATTAGGAAATTAAATATCCACTAAACACATTATAATTACTGTATTTGTAACTGTTTATGATTATGTCACATATTTCAAAAAAAAAAAAAACAATAAATAAGTTGATATCTAAGTTTCCATTTTTAGAACAAACAAATGAACAAGCAAACACAATACAATAACCTCACAATTCTAACATTGGGATATATCCTAATCAAGTAATACATTTAAACAATATTTTTTCTGTTATTAGAAGTATTATTATGAAAAAATTTAGTTTTACTTTTTTTTTAGTTAATTTTCTTGATTGCTGGTATTAAAATTTCCTTTTTCGTGTTTCTTTTGTTTTATTTTATTTTATTCTATTCTTTTTTTTCTTTTTTAGCGTTAATTTGTTTTGCATCTCCCTAAAAGTTTCCAAAATATCTGTAACAAAAAACTGAGGGCTGATGTTTCAAAGAAGTAGGAAAAACTTTAAAATAATTAGGTTTTTTAAAAACAATCTGTGATATTCCATAATAAAATTTTCTTATATATTATTTGTGGGTAATACAACTATACGTGTTCTTCAGGGTTTTTCAATGTTACTCTGACTTATTTTTTTAAATCTACAAAGGGGGGGGAGAGGCGCAAAAAGGAGTAGAGGAATCCTTTGAAAACTTTCCCCTGATATTTCTTTTGTTTCATTATTCCCTAATCTTGGTATTTTATATCGGTATATTCTTATTCATCAAGATCACAAAAGGAAACTTCCTCGATTGACAATAGTTAAATATTACACAACACAGCCTGTTTTATCAAGATTATTATCACTACTATTGTTATTCCTTTTTTTTAGTCCAGATTATTATTGTTAAATAGTGAAAATATATGGGTCAACATATCTTATAGCAATAATTTCTGTAAGAGGGAAAGAAAATGGACAAAATACATTTCACTGGTCCCATGTTTCTTTCAGTCATATATAAAAGGGAGTAATTCCATCAAGTTAGAAAGGGTAAATACGCAGATTTATATCTGTGCTTTACACTTCTTTAATTACAAAAAAAACAAAAGGAATCAGAATAACAACAACAGAAGACACTGTTACATCTCAGCGAATTATATCACATATTTTAATACATACATAAGAACAAAATGTCTAAAACTACTTCCGTCTCTGCTTCCACCAACTCTGCTTTAGTCTCTACTGGTGTCGTCGCTGCTTCCTCTGTTTCTGCTAGTGCTCATGCTAACAAGACTTCTACTAAGACTTCTACTAAGACTTCTAAGGGCGATGCTGCTGGTTTAGTTGCTAACCCAGTCTCTTGGAAATACGGTGTTGCTATCCTAATTTCTACTATTGGTTCCTACATCTTAGGTTCTGAATTCTAAAATTTTTGATAAGAAGAGCATATTCATCTGTTTTATTTAACCTAACATAATGATACATGTTGTTTTTTCTGTTCAATGCTTCATCATGCACTGTTTTATTCCATTTTAGATGTATACAATTCATATACATATACATATACGTATATATCTGTCCCCAAATTAAATGAAAGTACTGCATTTTTGTATTCTATATACATTTATAAGAAAAGAAAAATGAATATATTTACTTTAGTAAGGTTTTTGTTTGTAATTTGATCCGTTTTTAGTTTTGTTTTCCATGTGAGTATTTTTGTATCTGGTGTCAAAAATGGCATTATCAATTTTAACGTATTTGCTTTGAAAATTTTATTGGTAAAAAGTTTGTCAAAAAGGTACATAAATCTTATTGATTTACAACATACAAAGAACAACACATACTAAAAAGTTACAAAACAGATATAGTGAATGGATAGATAGCGTTCATATCTAATCTGAATTCAAATAGACTGTTAATTACTGCTTTTTCCATTTCTCTTTTTCTTTTTGTTCTTTTTCTTTTTTTTTTTAAATCAAACGCTACATACATATAGATAATTTTGACTATTACAATGACAAGCTTCTTTTCAGGTCTTTGGAACAGTATATTTCAACCTGGTGCAAGTCCACAATTAATTCTAGCTACTCATGCATCTTTCATTGCATTACTGTTAACATTAACATGGTTAATATTTGTCACAAGAGGAAATATCCACTTTATTGCATTATTTGTAATTGCCACATTGTTATGGCTATCTATCATCTGGTTTATCCAAGAATTGAAAAATGTTAGATTAATGACCAACGAAGAATTAAAGGAACAAAACATCAAAGATAATAATAATAATAATGATAATGGTAATACAGGAGAAAAGGACAAAAGTTCCGATTCCAAATCCAAAAAAGATGAACCAACTAAAAATAACAGGAAAAAAAATGATAATAATTCAGTAGTATATAGTTCTGGGATTTCAATTAGCAAGTCAAAGTCCAGAAAAGTTTAGTTATATAAGATGTTCCCATACATGTACAATCATTTTTTTATCTAGTCACACGTACAAGTATGTACATATACGTATATATTTTTTATGCACAACTAGGATACATCTATTAAATGAATAGCATGCCCCAACTTTCCTCAGATTCACTGTTGTCTCTCTCAGTCTCAAGAGATGAACAAAAAGCAATTCCTTTACTTTTTGTCTTTTATCGTTTTTACCTTTTGTCTTTTACCTTTTACCTTTTATCTTTTTTTTTTTTTTTTTTTTTTTTTTTTCAGTATTCGAAGATTTTTAATTGAACAAAAATTAAGACGGAAACTGTCAAAATGAAAATAAGTAAATAAAGGTTAAACAAATGCCCCTCAGTTCAGGTAAGCTTGAACGTTATTCAAGATGATTCTATAAACCGGTCATATTTACTTTTTATTCCACCTTCTACTGTCTTAACTAAAAAGAAAAGATTATAATTAGGGGGACAAGTAACTAAGGTATAGATTCGATACAAAATAGAAGAGTATCATCTCTTATATAAGTGATTCTTACAATATTCTCTAAAATAATTGAGTCTTTTGTTTTATTTTTTATTGTTACTCTTAAATAGTCCAAGAAAAAACATTATATTAAACCTCAAGTAATAACGTCTCCTTCTGCCTTCTTCTCTCTATATACCTATATTACATAGAAACAATAATAACAACCAGGACAAATAAAACTACAATAATAAACAGCAAAAAATATGGATTTCATGACAAAGGGAAATCAATTTTCATCCCAACAACAACCACAAACACAACTGCATCACTCTGTGCAATATAATATAAGAAATAATCTTTTAAATGGTAATATTGGTAATATCGATATAACTAAGGAAACTCCAATTGATGTGTCAAATAATAACAACTTTATTCAAAACCAACAATTTCAAAACTACAACAACATACCTGTGACTCAACAACCTCCTAATGTTCCATTTAATAATAACTACAATAGTAATAATATTCAGCCAACTATACAATATAGAAATAAACCCATGCCAACGAAACAAGAAAAAAGAACACATTCATTAAATCAAAAATCAATTACAAATTTCTTTAAAGGGAAAAATCACAGTGGATTTGGATTTGGTACCAATAAATCCAAAAAACAGAACCATAGCAACAGTTATGGAGGTAAAAACAGTGCTGATGGTGACGACGATGACGATGTGTTTATAGACGACCCTAATTCGTCAACTTTAACTTTTCATGATATTCAAAAATATGGGTTCAAAAATGGTGATAAATTAAATGTCACTGAAGATACTACGCCACTAATACCAACTTTAGTTACTAAACAAACTAGTAATATGACCAACACAGAATATAGAAAATTTTTGAATACACAAAAGAAGAATGTATTGAATGCTCTTAACAATCAGAATAAATTATCATCACCAACATTAGCAACTAGTCAACAAAATATGATGAATAGTAACATAGATGGATTTAGTAACAATCAACTACAATCCAGAGCAATGTCACTACAAAATGGATACAATAGTGGAAATCCATATCTTATGCAACGACAACAACAATTCCAGCAATGGAATGGTATGTCTTATAATGGTGTGAATCAATCCAATTCAAATATACCAAATACTGTTGGCCCAAGAGCCAATTCATTGATGACTGGTGGAATACAACATATGAGATATTTCAATCAACAACAACACCAAGGGAATAATATAGGTTATCCTAGAACTATGTCATTAACTAACAACCCACAGCAACCACAAAATAAGGAGAACATACCCAATAATCCGTATAAGCAACAACAGTTTATTAACAATAGGCCAGATACCTCTGATATGAACCAGCAAATGCAATCACAATATCGAACAATGTCATTGCAACAGGGACCAACAAAAAATACCCAACAATTTGTAAGTAATACAAATACTACCATCTTCCAACAATCCCAATTTCAACCATCACCGCAGCAATCATCTCTACAACAGCAACAACATCCACAACAATTAGTCGAAAGACAAGTAACTGGACAAAAACAATCACAACACCAATTACAACAACAAGATCAAATATCAATTGAAAATGATAGTATAAATAATAAAGTAAATACCTCAAATAATATCATTAATAGTAATGTTTTGAATATTAACGATACTTTAGATAGTCAAAAAGGGATATCCTCAGCTAATATCTCACAAACAAACAATGGCGAAACAAACATACCTTTAAATGGTGTTAATTCACTGAATATACCCTCTGTAAACGAAGAAGAAGAAGAACAAAGGAATAAACAAATTTTACAAATAAATCCTAACATTAATAAACCAAAATTGAATATTATTAAATTATCCAAACCAAAACAAGAGGAATTGTTACAAAAAGAAAATATAGCCAATGATTCAATTAAAGAAATTAATCAAACTCTAGTTAGTGATAAAACAAATCAAAAAAATTCTATGTTTCAGGAACCTGATCTAAGACCATCAAGTTTATTACAAGAAGGATTAAACTCATTAAGTTTAAATGATAATAATGCTAGAGATTCAACCATAACACAAGTATCATCGTTTAGTGTATCTCCGATAAAACAACAGGAAGGTTATAATCAATCAATCTACAAATTAGCCAATGGAACTGATTCTAAGGCATTTGTCACTGCAGAGGAATTTCCTTCATTAAATTATAATAATAATATAACTTATAATATTAATGAAATAAATAGATCTACAATAGAGGCCAAGATAAATTCCAGAAGGATTTCAGCTATAGCCATAGCACCTGCGTCAAAGAGAATTTCGATTTATAAGAACCCAAGTTCTTCTGCTTCTAGTGCATCCTCCACAGTCTCTGAAAAATTAAACAAAACAGGAGAGAGAATTCAGGAGACGTCCCCATCAACAGTTACAGCTTCAAAAACAGATGCTAATACAGATCGTGATGATCAAACCAGTACTACAGAAGTAGATACTGCTAATATTGACGATGCCTTTGCGCATAAGAGCTCTCCTACAACACCAACACATGACACAGTGACACCACAATCAAAAGACAAAGAAAAGAATTCAGACAATTTTGTCTTTGATAATACACTTTACTCTCCATATGAGGATATAACTCAGACTGCTCCAAAGATTTTGTATATTTCAAAGGATCAAATGGGTCTATTAAATGAAAATAAGAGATTAATGAAGGAACTCACTTTACTATCTACTGAATTAGCAGAATCAATCAAAAGGGAGACCTTACTGGAGGACAAAATACAGAATATGAAACAATTCAATGAGTTTAACAATCAACCACAAAGAAATTCAACAATATCTACATCGCCAATAGCATATACAGACTTTGAAACTGAATTAAGGAGAAAATCTTCTAAGATCGTAGAACTAATTCAAGCATTAAATGAAGAAAGAATGAAACGTTTTATTTCAGAAGAGCAACTATTATTAAAGGAAAACGGTGCAAGTCCATCATGTTTAGATTTAATCAAAAAGATAAACGACTTAGAAAATAAACTTCAACTCAAAGAAAATGCTATAAATGATTTAAAGTCAGCATTAAGTAATTTATAAACAAGATCGATTCACACCATAGGTGTAAGTATATTTTGTATCTACTGGATATATATAACTGGATATAAGTATAGGTATACATAAAAATATAATTTAGGAGAATACCTTGTAAACAAAACATCAAAAACTTTTCCATAATGGTTAAATTTTGTGTTTCGTTTATGACAAAAAATTAATCTCTACATTTTATTGTGTCCCATAGATATTATAAATAAATACTTAGATACAATCTAGGCTAAAAACCTTTACAAGGACATCTGATAAAAATTCTGAATATATCACTCCCTTTATCATCATTCCTATTGTAGATGGTGCAACAAATCTTGTAAATACAAACATTTTCCTTTTTTCTTTTTCTTTTTTTATTTTTTTAAAACACAGAACAAACATATAAAAAAATTCGAATGGATCCATAACACAGATATGAAAACATTATAACTCAAACTATTTTACTATCATAGTAGCAGTACTTGGAATATCACATTCTGCATTTTAAAAATTACTATTCTAAGAAGTGGCAACCAAGTTCTATCACTACAAGTGGTTCTCTGTGGTATTAAAAAATGAGCGGAAGAAAGAGAAGAAATAATTTTGATAATGATGACGAGGATGATTACTATCAACATGAATTCAGACCTCGTATGCAAAAAAGACAAAGAATTCCACCTGTGGTTCAGTTATGTAAAGAAATGATGCCAGATATCACCACTATTGGAGAATCCAAAAAAGCTTTCGAGGAAGATATCAAACTATTGAGTGAAGCTATTGTAAATGAATTTGGTCATGATGAATATTTTAACAATGCTCTTTTAAGTACTTTAAGAGCAGTGATTTTAGAACAACCTCATAAACAACCTGCAATTGCACTACTAACCATTACTGTCAATTCTCAAAATGAAGTGACTGGGAAAAACATTATTAATTTTTTCTTTGAAGAATTACAAAACACATGTAACGATACTGTAAAAATCAGTGAGTTAAAATTGGAATCTAACAATACAGGTCCTTGGAATAGAATAAAATTATTATTAAGATTTTTGTCTTTACTATCCCCAATTCTTCTAAACGATGATATAATCAATATCTACACCCAATTACTCAATCTTGCAGTGGAATTAAATAATTTAGATTCAGAAAAAAGAAATCCATTAGCAGAAGCTATCTATACTAATACATTAGTTGATGTTCCATATCTATTTTACTTCAATAAGTCCGATAAAGATCTACAGAACAAAGTTGATCAATTAATTACTACTGTTGAAGCCTCATTCAAGATTAAGCACACAACACTTCAATTATTAAGTCAATATAACACATCAGTTGTTCCATATGAAACTATAGAATTACCACAAGTTTCTTTGTCCAATGTGAAAAAGATTCTGGCTAATAATATGGAGCAGTTGGAACAATTATTTATCAATTGGAATCATCTCTTACCAGAGACTCTAAATGGTGACCAAGGATTCAATGACGCTTTAAAATTACCGACCTGTGAAGATTTAAAACTATTTAGCTTCTTTAATACATGTGAAAATGCCGGTTCTGTTGACGGCATGTGGAAAACGCCTTATTATATTTTCAAAATATACCTTCCTCAATCAACTGGTGATTTTGATACTGTAGTTCCAATAAATACATATGCAGGCCAGTTATTTAGAGACATTTTTATTGATATTGTTCAAAGCTTAGAATTCAATAGAAGAGAAGTGGCAAAGCAAATTGTTATGATAGACCTATTTTTTAAGGAAAAATTCTTTGCTGAACAAGGTATATCTATTGCCGACTTAATCGAAACTTACGAAGAAGATCCTTTGGCTAGTACTTATAAGATTGAGGACAATGTTATAGAAACTATATTAAGCTTAGTCTTCAAACTACCAACTGTATCCCAACCATTTGCCTATTTCTATACATTGTTAGTTGACATTTGTCAAAATTCACCTAAAGCTATTGCCCCAGTTTTCGGTAGAGCGTTCAGATTCTTCTATAACAATATAGACAATCTTGATTTCGAATTAAATTTAAGATTTTTAGATTGGTTCTCAATTCAAATGAGCAACTTCAATTTTTCGTGGAAATGGAATGAATGGGAAAATGATTCCAAAAGATTCAGTTCTTCAATTTATAATCCAAAAATTGTTTTTATTAAAAACTTGATAAGAAAAGAATTGAGATTGACTTCCACTCCAAATGAGGTCAATTCTAGCCTACCTGATGAATTTAAGCAATATATGAATACTTCTTATTTTTCTTCTGACATATTATGTACAATTTATCAGTCATACTTTGTTAATGAGAAATTACAAATAACTTTCGAAGATACGAAATCCAATGATTTGATATTCAAAAATGAAAAATTTCCATTTGCTAGTATTGTATCTGAATTACTGGATTATATTCATAAACAAAATGATGTCAGAGATGTTAATGAATTAGAAACTATAATAGCCAAATTTAACGAAGGCACCGACCCATTATCTAATCACATTACAGATTTTAACAAGTTCATCGTATTCCTGCTTACTCAATGTGTCGTTCATTGTGGTAGTAGATCTTTATCTCATGCTAATAAATATATTAGTGATTTGTACGAAGAATTGAAAACAGTTTGGGATAAATTGGATATTCCACAGGATATAAGAGAAGCCACAATTATTGAAGCTGTCTTAACTTACTGGAACTCCAACTCACAAAATGGTTATTTGATTGTAGATGCATTTAAATTTGTAGGAATGGTTAGTGCTAAGGCTATATATGAATTCTGCTTTAAAGATTGGAATGGAAAAGTGTATGGTTTAATGGATGTTACTAGCATTGATGCTATTTTCAGAACTTTGTCTAACCAAGTTAAAATAATCAAATCTGAAGAATCTATCGAATCTGGTGTAGAAGACTTTGAAACCGTATTTGAAAAATTATGCATTATTATCAATGATGCTATAGTGAATTTAAACGTTTCTAATGAAGACACCATAAATATTCCAGAGATCAATGATACTACAGAATTAACCAATTTAGAAGAATTACAAAGATTAGATATGTTATGGAAATACTCCACTGCTGTTAGCTTTGCAAAAAGTTTACTAAGAAAATATGCTACTCAATATAGACAATTATCTGAAAAATTGTTAACTGGTATGAATGCTGCAATTCCACATGCTCCAACCAGAAATGTTCTATCCACCTGGATAAAAGAAGTTGAAGAATTGTAAACGTACTAACTAGAAGTATCAAATTTTAAGTATAATATCAATATCTATTAAGATATAACTACATAATTTTCTATATGTCTATATATTATTAATTAAGTTAATTGTACAATGACTGTCCCTTATATTTTATCCTCCTTTTCTATTCGCAAATTTAACTATCCTACAAATGAACTAACTTCTATAAATCACAATGAATGCAAAAATATGCATATATGGCTTTCACTGTGTATGTATAATCTATATATAAAGCACCAATAATTATAGCTCTTGAAAAGGCAGCCAAACAACTATCTATTTGAGCACTAGCTTTCTCCTAAAATACTAACACATTTATAAATTCTTTTAGTACTCTCCACGAGATAATTATATTTCTTTAGTGATCTCGTCACAGGTTCACCTACAAAAACCTTATTACAACTTGTAGTTGTTTCAGATAATCAAAAATGAGTAAAATAAAACAAACTGAATACTATAAAATATACCCAATTTCTAAATATTGTTGCTTTTTTTTCGTATCTCAAAGGTCTTAGTTTAGATACAATAAAAATTGTTTAATATAATACTCTGTATTGGATTTATTAAACTATCCTTTTGTGATAGTAAGAACAGAGTTAGATTTTATACTATAGATACATATAATTTCGTGTAATTTGAATATTATCATCCACCCTCATTTTTTGACTGCGAAGAAGTAGAAGGAAAATAACTAATTTCATCAGGTGCCAATTCTGAACTATTATTTGAAATTTTATCCACACTTATATTAGAAACAAAAGGATTTCTAAGTAAGAATTCTTCATTATCAATCCTGTTATTATAAATTTTCTCATTATTCTCCGGAAATGATGCAATTTTAATATCATCATCACCTAAACGAGCTGATTTTGAAGACATCTGTTTATGATTTACATTATCAATATTATTATTTGCTAATGGAATAGTGGAACTGAAGCCATTAACTCCTGGATTTCTAAGAGATTGATTAGATTTAGTATTAAGTTTCATCAATGTATCAATATGATTATTTCTTATTGATTTATCACTTGTAGCAAGTGTATCAGCGAAATATATTGAGAGTTCAACAAATTCAATAAAATCCTCTCTTTTTATTGGTTTACCAGAATATTGTAAATATTGATATAAGGAAATATATCTTTTAGCCTTTTCAACTTGAATACTGTTTGTTTCATTACCATCTATAAATTGTTTCCTAATAATATCGCTGAACGTATCTTGTGTCTCAAACCCAAAATTAATTACTGAAAGAAAATATCCCTGATATTTTATCCTATTAGATACAACTTTCATACATGTCTCATAATTTAAATATTCAGGGAATATTTTACCCAAAGAACCAGCCATGATACTATTATTACTACCACTATTACTTTTTCTTTGTTTCTGTTTCCTTCTATATAAATCACCACCATTTTTATTATCTGTGTTTGGATCTTGAAATTGTATATCACATCTTAGTGGTGGTTCCAACCCATCATGAATTACTGGATCCTTCGGTTTTTTAAAATATATACCCAGTTCTTTTGATCTGTTCATATTTTGTAAAATATATTCTCTACTTTCTTTATGTGGTAAATCTGCTGATGTAACAGGTAAATATCTTCTTGGGATGTCAATCAGACAACTCTTTCTATAAATAAGCCTTCCGATTACGATCACAATACAAATAATAAAAAATACAACTATGGCACCAACCACAATAAAAGTATTCAATGCGTTATTATCAGATACAGATGCTTGTGCAATAGAATCAATTGGTAATACAGCAGAAAATCCAACTAATAATAAAATGGAGCTGAAAAAACAACTTCTATATAACCAAATCCTAATCAATTTCCATGACAAGTTTCTCTCTCTAGACAGTAAAAAATGAATATGTACATCTTCACGCATGTTATTAGTAACATATGATATTATTATAGCGCTTCCCCTCCCCTCTTCCTCTCTCTTTAGCTCTTTCTTTTTATGTATAGAGTTATATATATATAATCTTGTAAAAATATAATCAGTTGTTTAATAGATAATAATAGAAATGTAAATTCACAAAAATGGTTACCTTTAACAATTAGTCTATCTCTAACCAGTTTCTTGGAAAGACAGTTGTTTACAATTTACTATTACTGCACAAGTGATCAATCATCATAATTAATTAATATGATTAATATCATAAATAATTATAGAAAAAAAATATATATAATGAAAAAAAAAAAGAAAAAAACAGTAAAGATGAAAATCTGAAAGCAATAAAAAAATAAAGATGCTACTAATTGTACAACCACTAACACATACACATGTAAACATATCAATAGCGTCATATTAACATGAGATTAATCTATTCTGTAATGTCCTTCTTTCTATATATAGTTGTATATATATATATATATATTTGTTCATTGGTACTTTATAATTTCCTTGTTTCTATCTTTTTTCTATCTTTAATCTGAAATCATCAAATATTCATCCTCTAGCATGAAATGACCGTTTTTTTCATTTCTTGAATTAATCCAATATTTGATTTGAGAAATGTTGATAGTCCCTTTTTCCATGTCAATACAATTTAGATAATTTAATGTCATAATAATATCAGAGATTCTAAAACCTGTTACTAGTGATATATCCTTGATTGATATCGACGTCAAGTGATTCAGATCGCCGTCCAGGAGATGCCAACATATTGTCTTAGCCCAATAATTTATATAGCCAACCAAACCGAAAGGGGATAAAGGGAATTCCGGACCTGATATTAAATCTTGTGAACGAGACAGCTTATATGAAAACTCTATCAACAACGAGCCCAATCTTTTTCTCTGATAAGGAGGAAAAGTTAATATACATGCTAAATTGTTTTGATTATAAGATATAACATCTTTAGAAAAGAAGGCCATTGGTTTCCGTCCATTTGTTTTATAAAGAATATAAAATTCATAATTTTCCACTTTGAAATATGTTGATTTATTATCTAAAAACAATTTTGTAAATAAGCAAAGACATTGACAGAATAATTTTTCTTTATAACCCTTCACTCTTCTAATAGTATATTCAGGTGACCTATATTTGATTTTCCCTGATGGATTATTCAATTTATATCTACACATAGAATCATGGATCTTTAGATCATTTGAATTATTTGTATATTTAAAGCAATATTCACAGACATAAAGTGTATCTAACCATATAGAATCAGTTTTATCCTCATTCCTATCCTTATCCTTATCATTAATAATATTCTTGTTGAAGTTATTTATTTCATTGTTGACTCCATCTTTCTCTTTCTCTTTCTCTTTCTCTTTAAAGCACTCAATTGCACTCTCGATATTATTATTTTGATCTTCTTTATCTGAATTTGTTACAAGTAAAGAATGGTCAATATAACTAACATTGTCTGCTTTTCCATAATTAATGATTTGACTTTTAATTACTTTGGTATTAATATTATTTGTAAATATACCATCATTCTTTGAAGGATAAATACCTAGCTGTCTAGTTTCCTTATCAAAATATACTGCAGATCCATACCAGGTGGGAAACAATTTATCTAATCCAAATTGAACTTGTTTAATATTTCTCTCTTCAAGTATACCATATATTTCTTCTTGCTCTTGTTCTTCGTCTTGTTCTTCTCCCCCTCTCTCCCCTCTAACATCTCCTTTCATATTATTCTCCCTATCTTCTAGTTTCTTCCTTCCAATAACAGATCTATTGTAATTGTTTATATTTTTATAAAATTTAGAAGATTTGGCGGCACTCTTGGATTTGGATTTGGATTTGGATTTATATCCCCTTTTATATCTAACCTTTTGAATTTTATCCACTTTAATGGTATCTAATGTGTTTAGATGTTTTTTATTTATACCTATTGATGTAATATTCTGTATTATAACATCTTTAGCCAGTGGGTATTTACGAGGACGGCCTCTTCCCCTTTTCTTCTCCACAATTGGTTCTTGTTGAAGCATAATAGGCGGTACTATGCCACTATCATTCCGGACATTATCATTATTATTGTTATTAGTGTTGTTATTATTTGAATTATTGAAAATTGTGATATTTTGATTAACTGAACTTACATCTTGACTCCTTTTCACATGTAATTGATTTGAATTTGAATCAAAGTTTGAATTCGAGTTTAATTCATTTGAAAGTTCAGACTTCTTTAAATGATTCGAATTATTACCAAATGATATATTCATGACCAACCAATAAAATTTGTTATTCACCTTACGTGAACAAACAAGGTGATAGATACACTAATATTCCAATATGGCAACAATTGACTGAATATGCTAATGAAAAGAAAAAAAAAATTTTTTTGAACTCAGCTTAATGAGAAGACAAAAAGTTTTGTTGTCTGGTCAAACAATGTTATACATCCAACAATATCCTATGTCTATATATGTATATGTATATCTGTATATAGACTTCTTCTCTTGCCAACGTATATATATATATATATGTATGCATGTGTGGACATGTATGTATATGTGTCTAGTTAACATCACTATATTTTTATTGTATTGTCATATTGCTGAATAATCGGTTGTTTTTTGCCGCCGCTGTCTACACAGAAAATTCAAACAAATAAAAAGACGTAATGACTCAATCGTTGAAAATGATACTGCATAAATTACTTTTTCCGTTTTAAGTGATATCACGTAAATATATTTTTACACGAAACAAACCCTAGGGCTTTTCATTTTTTTATTTTTTTCTTATTTTTTATTTTTTGCCGCTTTTCGCACAAAAAAAAAACCAAAAAATCAAAAAATTTTTCTTTTCTTTTTTATTTTTGTACATTGAAGAAATGAAGGATGAAGATCTGTGGATTGGGTGATTGCTCGATTTAACTGATTAATTAAGAAGGACATTGTACATTTGTATAGCAAACAGAGATGCACACAAACAACTGGCATCTATACGAATTTATAGCCTATTAGATAACCAACTATTCAGTTAGTCAACCAATTGAATTTTCACGGACTCCTTAAAGATCTGTTCTTCTCTTTTTTAAATTAGTTTCATATACATAAAACACACACACACACACACACACACACACACATATATATATATATATATATATATATATATGTATAAGTGTAGCCCTATATTCCTGACTTTCTTCATATTATTCTAATCATGGAAAAGAAAACTTTTAATGCATTTAATGATACCCCTAGAGGGAAACATTGGTTGATGGATACACCTTCTGCTACCAGAGATTCAAGCATTAACAAAGATAAGTCATTAAATGATAAAGTAGATACAAAACGTCAATATTCGAGCATATTTGTTAATGGTTTTAGTTCTGGTTTATCCGTTAATGATGAATCTACTTTAAAAAATAAATTTTCAAATGATACAATAAGGAAAAACGAAAATAGAAATATCAATGAAGATAATATCAAAGAAGAAACAAAACAAAAGGAAGAAGAATATCGTTCAATTTTTTCTTTATTTGGTAAACAGCCAACTTTTAAACATTCTTCAATGAGCAATTTTAATAAGGATGATTCCTTTTTCAAATCAAATAATGACAGTAGTAGCGGCAATGGTAGAACCACTGTTACTGCTAATAAGAATAATCTACAAAATAACATAAAAAGAGAAACTTTATACAAAGATCGTGATTCAGATCTTCCGTTAATATCACCAAATGTTTTGGATGTCTCAAAACAAAGACTATTAATCTCTGTTTTGTTTATAATATTACAGTGTTACAAAATTTATGATTTAATTGTTCTCAAATATAATTTACCAGACAACACACTCTCGGTACAGTTAATGAAGCATTCAAAATTCATATTCGTGATCAAATATTTCATGTTGGATTCATTATTTTTATTCTTTTTACCAACTTTAAATATTCCAAGATTAAATTTTGGTCCAATCATGGTTCTCATTCAAATTATTTTCATGAATTCGTTTAATATCTATTTGTCAATAGATCATGATCATTTTATATGGGTTTCTATCTTCATCTCTGTATGGAATAAGATGTTTCATTCAAAACAATTAACTCTGACTGGTTCCACAATCGACCCTCATCATAAAATTATTAATTTTTCCAACCATTTTAAAGGTGCTCTTACTATCAAGATTTTACCTGAGAATACTGCTCTTTTGAATCCCCTACATGAATCGTTTTGTTTACCTATTGACTCAAATTCTCCACTTAATGAATATTCTTCCAATATTAATACTGTGAAAGTGCCAATTAAGATTAATTCTACTGAACCAGTAGATTTTATCCAATTAGAATATAGAGATTTATACACAAATTCAATATTTTTGAAAAACTTCACTTCAAAAGATTTTGAGATTATGAACGACATTCCACAACATTGGAAAGATTCTGGTGAATCAATTGATTCTATGGCACAAACTATCCGTTATCTATATTTGAATTTAAATGATATTGGGTTCTACCAAATTAGAAAAATTGTAGATCGAAAAGGTTTAAATCTAAAAATTTATCAAACTCATTTAATTTTACCACACTGTCCAATGGCTTCAGTAATCAAATCAAACAATATTGATATCGATAAGTGTATTGGTGATAAGGACGAAATTTCATTTGAAGTTCACGGGATCCCACCGTTGAAATTATTTTATTCAAAAGTGATTAATGATCAAGTGTTCCATTACAACGACAAAAATTTACAACCCGAATATTTCGAATCTCCTTTACAATCATCAATTAAAAGAAAACCGACTCTATTTAACAAAAATGATATTGAGGATTTGAAGTGGGCTCGTAGTTATCCTGTTAGCATTAATTTAGACACCTTGACATCTATAGATGGTACTTATCAATATAAGATAGATAAAGTAATCGATGGACTAGGTAATGCTATTGATTTTACTACAATTGACAATGACTCAATTAAAATTAAATATGATTTAATATCAACTTTTAGGGTTCATAACATTCCAAAAGCTTCTTTAGATGAAAAATTCAACCCAAGATCTCCAACCAAGAAAAATATCGTGATTAACCTAGAGAGTATTAATAATTGGAATCAAGAGATACCATTTTCAGTCAATTTATCATTTATTGATCACAATGGCGAGGAATCCAAAAAAACTATTGAAATGAATTCTTTATCTGAAGAAATCGTGGCTAATTATCCTGGTATTTACCAATTGAATTCAATCAACTCCAAGTATTGCCCTGGCTCGGTTATTGGAAAGTCCAAAGTCTTAATAACTAAACCTGTACCACCCCAGTTAGATGTTAAATCATCACCAATCATTGATCCATGTGTTGGTCCTATTGGTTTGGATTTCGATTTAAATTTCGTCGGTGTCCCACCATTCCATTATTTGGTTAAAATTTATAAACTTGATAAATATGATAAAAATATTAAGAAACTTTATGATACCAAGAGAATTACCTCAAAGGGTGCTAGAAGCCAATTCAAGTACTTACCATCCGTGGAGGGTAATTATGAAATTGTATTTGACAGTCTAACTAATGATATTTTTACTGAACAGATTCAATTAATACCTTTAAAAAATTACAGTTTCCAAACTTCTATGAGAGTTAAACCAAGTGCATCCATAAGATCAAGGAACCATGTTAAAAATCTATGTCTTAATGGTAATACAAAAATCCCCATTTCTTTTAAAGGCGAACCTCCTTTCACTTTACAATATGATATTATTGAAACCTCGTCTAACAGAAGAAGATCTTTTACAAAGGACAATATAATGGATAATGAATATTTAATTGAAACTCCTGCTTTTACCGTTGGAGGAGATTATATCCTATCCTTAGTATCAATAAAAGATTCTTCAAAATGTCTTGTCAATCTAAGTGAATTGGATGCAAAGATTAGAGTAAGAAGAGATATTCCAACTGCTTCGTTTAACTTTATTGAAAATGCAAATGCATCTAAAATTAAACAAGGTAGTGCTGCTGAGATTCCAATTAGATTAACCGGCGAGGCTCCATTTACAATCAAATATGAACATTTAGATCTAAACGGCAATCATCTTGGTATTTATGAAGCTAAATTTTACTCAAATTATAAACAATCATTGTCTGTCTTTAAAGAAGGCATTTATAGACTTAAGGAGATGCACGATTCTAGTTGTAATGGTAAAATTGAAAATATCGAGAATCAGTACATGGTAACATACTTATCAAGGCCATATTTTACGATCCAAAAGACAGCTAATTCAAAGATTACAAAATTAACTGAATCAATTTTTACCAGAAATCCAGTCTGTCAAAACCATGAGACTACGATTGATCTTTCTTTGTTTGGGTCACCACCTTTTGTTTTAACATACGAATTAACTTCACCAGAAGGACAAACTTCAATCAATACTATACAGATAACAACTAAATATGCTTCATTACAATTACCAAATACAGAAACAGGTGAATATATTGCTACTATTAAATCTATATATGATACTAACTATGAAGAGGAAGATTTTAAGTATATTGATACTTCCAATAATGAAATAATTATTAAACAAATTGTTAATTCTATTCCTCAGATATCATTCACTGATAAGGGCAGAACCTTGAGGACATGCTCTGTAAATATTGAACAACAAATGGAAAGAAAAGATGCATATTTAAAACCAATTAAATTGAAACATATCAACGGTCAAAGTCCATTTTCAATCACCTTTAGTGTTTATCATGAAAGTACAAGTAGAACTGACCATATTACGTTAGACAATGTGGATATTGAGCACTTCCCATATTATCGATTATATGAGGGATTGAAGTTGGGCAAACACATTATTACAATGGACAATATCATAGATGCTAATGGATGTATTAATGAGTTTGCCAATGAACATGATAATTTCATTTCAATATCTATAACGGATGTACCAAAGATTCATTTATTGGATGCTAATGCTGATTATTGTGTTGGTGATTATGTATCCTACCAATTAAATGGTGTTCCACCATTCAACATTAGATATAGTTTCAATGGTATTGAATTGCAATCTCAAGAACGTTCTACCCAATTTGTTAGAGTTGCTTCTGAGCCAGGGTTTATCTCTATTAACACCATCCAAGACTCGCTTTCACAATGTGTTGTTAATTTTAGTTTACCATCAATGGAGCAAGAACGTGAAAGACTAAGTTTGACTATTCATCCAATTCCATCAGTTACAGTATCGCAGGGTAATTATGTAATCGAAGATATTCATGAGGGTGATCAAGCGGAAGTTGTCTTCACATTTGAAGGTACACCACCATTTTCGTTAACATATGTCAGAACTGAAGATACCAATACTAATAGTAATAATCATAACCAAAGAAGACCCCAAGTAGTGGAGACTCATAAAGTTACTGATATTTATGAATATGAATATAGAGTGCTAACTAGTTTACAAGGTACTTATGAAGCTATTGAAATATCAGACGCATTCTGTTTTGCTAAAAATGAAGCATTTTTCAGTAATTAAGACTCATGTTGTATCATATAATAGGAAGTTTGATTTTGTGTTATTTTCCTCATAACCTCACTAATTTTATATCGAAAACTACATGTCAATATATATCAATCTATATATATACTCTAAAAGAAATTCTCCTTTGTCTTATAAAAAAAAGATATTCATTTTTTATTCCAAGGACACTTTTTCTATCAAGTAATGACAGAATGATACAAGCATAGGAACCAATATCTTATCTTGCTAGTTTTGACACAATTAACAAGAAGGTATAAAAAACTTTATGTAAACTTCTTTTTAGGAGGTATTAATAATTTACTGTTGTAGGTCTACGATAAAGAGTCTATCAAACATACTTTTCCATCAATGACTTAAAGCAATACAAGAATTAACCAAGACGATTGTAAATCTATTCATCTCAAGCAAACTTTTATTCCTGTCTCCATAGCATACATATACTACTATAATGCAAATTTAATTTTGAATCAGTATTAGTATGCAAAATAAAAAAATTACCACGACACAAATAGTGCAGTCATCGTTCATAAAATCTTAATTCTTGTGATAAAAATAATTATTTCATGTTTTATGATATTACTTTATAAGGTAAGTCTTATATTTTAAAATTCTAAAATTTACATTTTCTTATTAAGAAGATGTAAAAGACCTTTCTTCGAGATTATATTCTTTCTATTGTCAAAGCATCTTTATTTTTAGATCTAGGTATATGTATACTAGTTGAAGGATGGCCACTAAAAACATATATGTATATATTGAAACACAAGTAAAAAAGTGAAACATATTTGCTACAAATTTTCCTTCAAGTGTTTTGAATGCTCCGATTCTTAACCAACAGTCGTGTTTTCAATCTACACAAATTTCGATATCAAATGACATTTCCTAAAAAATACTCAATCAGTGAATCTATACAAACTATAAAACCGTTGTTACCTCCAAAATTGATAACCTTTGATGCTTACAATACACTATACTGTTCCAGTATCCCTGTCCTAGAACAGTATGCAAGCATTGCCAGAAAATACGGCATTATAATAGATCCTAATAACCTGGTTAAACGTTTTCCTGAATGTTTTAAAAAACTAACCAAAATACACCCCAATTACGGTAAATATACTAATATTACTGGTGACGAATGGTGGTCTATTTTAATCAAAGATCTATTTCAACCACATGATGTACCACAAGATATGATATCAAAGATTGTAACACACTTCAAAACTAAAAAAGCATATTCTACATATCCCGATATTATCGAGTTTATTAAGGCCATCAAATTGAAATATCCTGATATTATACTTGGTGTTATAAGTAATACAGACCCTGCTGTCTATGATCTATTGAAAAATCTAAATCTTTTCCAATATTTTACACCTTACACATATTTCTCGTATGATTTAGAAATATCTAAACCTAATCCTAAAATATTTGATTATGTAATTAACGATGTGTTGAAAAAAAAACCCAGAAATTACTAATGGTTTATTGGATAGGCAATCCCTTTTGAAACATTGCTGGCATATTGGTGATGAAATTGAGAAAGATATGTTAGCTGCCGAAAATGCAGGTTGGAATGGTATTTTAGTTGACCGGTTAGACAAGCATGGATATTTAGGCGATTATTCTTCTAAAAGAAGTATGACAGAACATGAATTATTATTAGATAAAATCGACCAACATGTACAAAATATTTGGGAAATATGTCATGCAAAAGATTGGTTTGTTCAACTAAATGAAAGAACTTTCGTTGTTCCAAACATCAGAGTGGTTAAACATATCTTTCTTCAGGAATGAGAACAAAGCACCTCTTCATGTCGGTTAGATTATAAACCCTTTGTGTATACCTAATCCACACTAATTTACAATGACAATTATCAAGTATATGGCCTGATATATATATATATATATTTATTTATTATGATTGTTTATATAAAATTATGTACCAGTTATGGTTATTATCTTGAATACCAATTGCAATTAAATAGCAATCGGCAAAAAATTATTTTTTTTCTAAACCATATATTTTATATTATATTTTGTGGATAAGTAAAGTGTGCATATGTATTTGTATCCATAGTGGAATACAGTAATGACCATACGACCTCTTTACTAGTACTAATATATTCATGCTGTTGTATTATTTTATCCCTTAGCTCTTATTTATTACTTGAATTAAGTCCTATGTCTTTTTTTGTTTGATCTAAACTATGTATTCTTTTCCTCTCCTCTTCTTAATGTATTTCTAAATCTTACACACTGATAGTCTTCCAAACGTTTAACCCATCAGTACCAGTACTGACTAAACAACCTGGGATTTGTTTGTGCCACTTAACATCTTTAACTTCCTTTTGCCAATGAACAAACAATAATTGTGGTGGAATTTGTTCTAACTCTTTCGTTTCAGCAGCTTGTTGTTTAATTTCTTCATCATCAGCCTCAACAGATAAATCCCATAATGTCACAGTATTATCTTCGGATGCAACAGCAATAATGGATTCATCTAACGGATTGAAGCTGATGGATGTGATGGCACCTTTATGAAAGTCGTATTGTGCCACAGGTTGAACATTATTAATATTTAATGGTGAGAACTGTCTTAGATCCCATACACCCCATGAACCATTATCATCTCCACTTGCTAACAAGTAACCTAATTTAGATGACCAACTAATGACATTGACATCTGTCTTTGATGCTTTAACAGATAGTGCTGGTTGATGCTTTTTAGATCTTGTATCCCAAATTCTGATGAACCCATCACAACCGGCTGTAGCAAATACAGTATTTTCGGTAGTAGACCATTGGATATCTTCAATTGATTTGTTATTACCTACAGTAAATGGAGTTTTATCTGTGACCCATTTAGATGTGTGTCTTTGTGTGTGATAAATTAAACCAGAACAGTCACCAGTTAAAAGGGAACCAGATTTAATTAAAGGTGACCAATCGACAGCATAACCCTCTACATTTCCATGATTTCTAATTGTATGAATTGGTTTTTTTGCTGTTTTTGGGATTTGGTAACCTGGAGAAGAAAAAGCTTTAGATTGTGGTGCAAGATCAAATATGTAAACCTCACCACTTTCACTCATAGTGGCAGTTAACACTTCTTGATTAACAGATGCAAATGGAGAAACTTTTAATCTGTTTGTAGTGTCTCTTAATTGTATGTTTTCATTTTCAATGATTGGATCAAGATCATCGTCTTCATTATCTTCATCGTCATCATTTTCATCATCATCCTTCACTAAGGTCTTACTCAATTGAGATAGATTTAAAACCATTAGTTCGTTTTCTTTCTTTCTTGATGCTTGAGTAGCGGTAGTCATTAGAAGAGATTGTGGATAACTTCTACGTTCAGAACCTAAATTATCCGGGATAATATCCAAAGTTAAACATGGCCATGGCATATTAACGTTATGTAACATTTCATACACCGTAGGGTCGGCTTCTAACACTTCATCTGGGCCTAAGGGACGACTCATATGAGGTAAGTATAATTCTTGACCTTTTTTATTTGAGTTTTCCTCGTCCTTCTTCAGCAATTGTTCAGCTTTCTCCAAAGACATCTCGGTCAATTTCTCCTCATCACCATCTAACTCAATATCTTCTTCGTCATCTAATTCGATAATTTCCTCATCACTTTCAAAATCATCACTAAATTGACCATCATCTGCAATCATATCGACATCATTTCCATTCTGATTAACACTAGTCGGACCAGATCCATTTTTTGATTTAGCAAAAACATTTCTTTCTTGTTCAGGATCTTCTCTATCAATAACTCTCTTGGACATTTTTTTTTTTTATTTTTCTTCAGCCTTCTATCCTGCAATCAACACAACCAAATCTTTAGATTGAATAGGTGTACAATACACTAACCTTTCTGTAGACACATGCATAAAAGTTATCTTGTAAACAACATTATATACTATTCTTTGTTTCCTATCTACTAACAATTGTTGATATTTTTGTCTATTCAAGTCATCGCAAATTTTTTTTCTCGTACCTGGAATACAAGTATCAAAAGAAAAAAAAAATTTTTCCTCTTTCTGATTTATTTCTTTTCTTTTTTTTATAGAAATGCCGAATATGCGCAGAATGCTACGGAATAATCCAAAGCCTCTTTGCGGAAAGCAGAAAAAACTTGTTTCCAATTGTTTTAAAAACTTAGGGCTTGCTAAATAAAAGTATAACTTTCTCTTCCACTTGTAAAATAAAACTAGGGTTTGTGTGTGAATTACTCAATCCACGGATTAGTAATATATAATGGTTCACAAAGCTATAACAGAGTTAATATCAAACTACCGTTGATATTAACTCTGTTTTTTCTGCCAGTGAATTGGTTTGTTTCAGCGTAGTTTAATTATTACAGATTGACTTCTACAGATTTAGAATTAGAACTATAATCCAGATGCTTAAGATTATCAATCTCATTCTCACCACACAACTCTTTTTCTTCTTCCCCCCAATCCTTATTTTTCTTTTTATTCTTTTTAGCTAGCTTTTTTGCTTGTTTTCTATTCTTTTCAATTAACAATAATTGTTCTTTATTTCTTTCAATAAATTTTAAGAAATAATCACCATCTTTACTTTTTTTAGCTTCATTTAAAAAACTATCTAATTCTTTGATGTCATCGGTCACATATTCTACTCTTGTTTTCGTTAATCTATTAAGTATTTTATTATCTCTATTGAAACATTTCCTCTTATAGCAGTTTTTGGTAGTTTTAAATGATACTTCGCCGGGTTTCATAAATTTTGTTTTTCTTAAATTAGTCCAAGGTGTGATAATTATAACACATTCAGGTAATTTGTTTCCTTGAATAGACTGAGATTTGCATAATTGTAAACAATCATTTATCACATCCTCCGGCACATCAAAAAATGTCTTTTCGTTTGATTTCAATTTCAAATATATATGACCACTTGAATATTTATCTGTATGAAACCACCAATAATTTAGTTCTTTATATCCCCATTTAATCAATAAATCATTTTCAAACTTGTCTTTGCCCATTACAATTTGATATGCTTCATCATATGGGTTTGGCTTAGATTCATAGAAAAATACCATTAGATACTGATAATATATCTCTAAAAACTTTTTCTCGTTTATTTGCTTATTCCGCTCAAATATTTTAGCTGGAAAATTTTTGTCAGATTGAATATACCTGTAATATCATTGCCACTGAAAATTTGAAGGTATAAAATCTTTGATCCTTTATCAGTCTTCTTAATTACCGTTTACTTATCCAATTCTTTTATATCTCTAGATTTCTTTCTTAACTGATATAAATGTTGAATGAAAATGTCAATAAAAATTTCACTCCACAGACGATTCGAACCAAGGAAAAGAAATTCATTCTTTTTTTATAAAAAAAGCTAATCACTAAATTACTTTCTATCAGTCAAAAATATTAAAAAAACGAGTTGTAAAGAAGGTTAAAATGCAGTTGCAGGAAAACTAACAACTTCTTCTTCTTTTTACTAATATATTGATAACACCTCAAAACGAAAAAAGAAAGTGTACAATATATTTGCATTTCTCTTCTTTTTTCTACTCTATGGTTGTATTATTTTTATTTTCTCTTTACTATAAATAAGATGGAATACCTATTAAAATTTGAGCTTAAATACTTTTCTCAATATGTGGATAATATTCCAGTTATCAATGGGATAGAAACTCACATGAGTAAGTTGGATTTTCTGAAATGGAAACATTATTCAACTAAGGAAAATTTTATCTTTCAATTAGCTATCTCTCAGGACAAGACTTTTTCGATAAATATTTTAATGAATGGATCAATTATTATTGATTCAGTGGAATTAAACACACAAAACGTAGATCGACAGACTTTCAAAAAAATTCAATTTTCTGTTAATTGTCCAATGATATCATGTAAATATTTTAATCATGATTCCATGTCAAACATATTTCAAAGAAGGTTTCAGATGACATTAAAGTCTGAATCAGATTTTAGTACTTTGACAAATATTTTAAGACAAATGGGGTTCATCGTTAAAAATGCAAAATTATTAAGCAATAAAGTTGAAAAGGAGAATTGTAGTTTGAATAATATTGCTGGAAACATATTATCACCATTAGTTGAATCTAGTTTTATTTCTAGTTCTAAAGATAATTCGTACTTTAAGCACCTAAAAAGTAGATCAAATAATACCAATGTTGATGAAACAACGATACCTTTGTTAGAAACACAGAGTAAAGATTTTGCGCCTAGATCAATTGTACATCACTCAGTTGAATCTATCGCACCCAATACTAATATTCCAGACATATTCTGTAATCATTCAGAACAAAACACTTTTCTATTGAGAGTTGAAAACTCTAATATGAATAAAAACTGCTCACAAGAAAATTCATTTATTGGAACATTTGGTAATTCTACTGGTTTGATTAATTCGAATTTAGAGGAGAGAACAAACAAGAAAAACGAAATTAATAATCATAATGTTCGAAACAATTTAGATAAAGATCTTGAAAAGGGAGACGAACATACACGGACTGAGAATAGTGGCCTACCCCAAAATAGAACATATGATCAAGATCGGAAGCAAACAATAAGTCAAGATATTGTTTCTCAAAAGGAAGCTTGTAATGTAGTATCCAATAATGATAGTACTAATCAAACAGAAAATTTAAGGAAAAAAGTTCATATTACCAGAAAATTAATTAAAACAAAACTTAAAGATAAAAAATTTCGAAAATTGGTATGTATCAATTACTATTAAAGAACTTAGTAAAGCAAAAGCAACAATCACTGTTGTGTATTCATATGATGTTCTTTGGCTCCTTATTTTTGAATACGATCATATACTAACAAATATATTATGCCACATATCATTTTCATATTTAATATAACAATCTATCGGAAAGTTAGCCAAGAAAATGGATATGCTAAATTCATAATCGAGTCATTATAATGAATGTGAACGAATTAAAGAGATATTAAAACAAGATTGCACGAGTCGAACAAGAATTAATCAGAATGAGTGGAATAGAAGATTTATGAACCGTTGTAGTATATTTTTATTGATTTTGTACATCTCTATTCGCACACCACTTACAAGAGATTATTAACTATTTAACTAAGCCTGGGCAACAAACACTTAACATTAAATGTTAGTATACAAAACATTATAGCTATCTTTTTTACACCCGTTAAAAGCGTTGATCACTAAATCCTTACATCAGAAGAAAAGAGACGAAACAGAGCAAATTTGGAAAATTTATGGAAAAATAGAAAGGTAAAAATGTGTTCGTTTAATAAGAAACAAGATGATGAGACCGATCTTTAATAGCTTTTATAGCATAATTCTTGATTAATTTACATATATAAAAACAAAAGATAATCACAGGCATATAAATCGTTTTTTTTGTATTTCTTTTGATAGTTTTTTATTTCAATGAATTATTCAAGATAAAAACATAGCAAGATAAGATAATAGAAAAGGAGGAGTCGATCATTCAAAGAACAATGACAGAAGTATTAAACAGATGGTTAGAAATTGAAGACAAATTATTAAATATTTTACATAAATATGAAATTACAAATCAATTTATGCATGACAAATTAAGTAGTAGGATAACATTATATCTAATTATAATTGGTTTAATAGCTTTTCTGAATGAACTGTATATTAGTATAGATATGATTTTCATTCAAAAACAAACATATAATGAATTAAATGAAGGTTCAATCACCGAGGGATTAAAGCTGCGTAAAGTTTTAATCAATGATCCAACATATCATAGCAAGGAATATATGGATCAGGTGAATGGTATAATCATTGAAGAATTTGAAGATTGGGATAAATTTTGTTCAAAACCCGTCCATGTATCACAATTGTTCGTTGAATGCAATATAATTAAAGATGGTAAAACGTTGCTATTTAAGCCTATCAAATATCATATTGAATTTCTACCAGAAGAATTTGATGATGAGAAAAGAACAGAGTTTGGTTGTTCTTTACACGTTTTGCGTGTTAAATTGTATCATCTTTTCAAAGATTCTGATTGGTATAATGAATTAGTCGATTCTGATGACAAAAAATTCACCATCAGTGAAAATGTTAAGGTTTATAATACACAAAATGAACTTTTACCGGTTGAATATGATGATATCCAATTATGTTTCTTAAAAATGGAAACAAATAACACAATTAAATGTGAATTTGTCTTATAGAGGTCATTCTTTCCTGTAACACTCTTATATATATATATATATATATATATATATATGTATGTTTGTGTATGTGTATGTGCGTGGTCATATATTGTTATGAAGATTTTAAATTATCTTCTACTCTAGGGATACCAAAACTCTTTCTATGTAATCTATTCTCTGCATATATCCATAGTTTCATTAATTGAACTAACTTTGCTTCAAACGGGGAATTTCCCCGTACTACGTTATTATCGGTATCGTTATTGCTGCCACCAATATCTTCATCGATATTATTCTGTAAATTTAAATATTTTCTTGTCTCTTGCCAGTATCTATTATGATCAGTAACAGGCAACTCAGTGGGATTGAAATCTGTTTTAACAGGAATTTCAGTAGTAGTATTTCTTAAGTTGTCATCGTGATGACTATGAAAATGTTGCTTATATCGTTGGAAATGAGTGATCTTGTTTGTTGAATCAATTGAATTCAAACACAAATTTCCAGATAGAATCAAGTTAGGGAATTTGCTTTGATTAGATACTTTAACATTAATAATTTGCAAAAATTTCATATTAATTGAATGAGCCAGTCTATTTCTTAATTTAATTGAGTATAACATTTTCAAATTAGCTGGTAATTTATTGATATTTAATGAAACATTCTCCTTATTATTATTTGATGCGGCAGTTAACATCAATAAAGATATAACAGATTGTAAATCAGTCATATATTTTTTGGATTGAGAAGCCTTAGTAGATAAATGGGTTCTTGCATATTCGACTAATTTAGGTATATCGTTTGGGTATGAATTATTTCTAATCATTTCGATTAAGTTTAATAGAATCAATTGGAAATATAAATCATCATCGTCGTAATTATTATTGTCATTGTTATTATTTTCGTCTATGAGATTGTCATTTATGATGTCGTCATAAAGGATATTCAAACCAAATAATTGATCAATCAGATTTATTGCCTCGGTTATCTTACCAGATATAATTAAGATTTTGATCTTGTTACGTTCTTTAATCATAAATAATTCATTGAATTGTTTAATATCATTGTTATTTTTAATCAAACCCAATTCTTTACACATCCTGATTGCTGCTTCTTCATAACCATAGATGACAAAATAGTTCAATAAAAGTAATGGGATTGATGGTTCAGGAATAATAATATTACAGACCTTATCCTTAGTAATGTGCTTATCTTTACCATCTTTATTATATAAATCGACTGCAGACTTTGATTTGTTCAAATTTATTGATGGAATATTAGTACCTAAAATATAGTTATTAAGCAGTTTATCATTTTTACATTTCATTGACCACTCATCTCTATAATACCATTTTCTTTTATACTTAAATTTTTTTTGATGTGAGATATTAGATGGTTTAGAAGGAGCAGCATTACTATTTTTATCTGTGGTTTGTGAATTAGAAGACATTACAATATTAGTAGTATTAGTGATTAAATTAATTGTGACTGTAGAAGTAGTCGTTTTTTCTTATTATATTTGTAAAAAAAAGAAAAAAAACAAGAGAAATATATATTTGTATATTTGTATATTCGTATATTTGTATATATATATGTATGTATGCTCATTTTTATGTTATTATAAATATTACTATTATTACGACTCTTTATTATAGTACATCACCTACATAATTCTCTGTTTCCTTCCTTTACCTATTCTTTGCCACCCCTTTTCTTCCTACCTTGTTTTTTGATCTTTTTATTTTTTTTATTTTTTTTAATTCAATAACGAAGTTAAAGGAAAAGAAAAAGAGAGGGGAAAAAAAGAAGGAAAAAGAGAACAAACCCTAACAAACATAGCCGACTTTAAATATAGTATAACGAAAAAAAAAGGTGCAGGACCAGTAAACGAAAACAACAACAACAAAATCTACTGTAGACATTAGAGTTAAAAGATAAAGTAATATAGATAGTATGTTGATAGTTCAACGAGATGACTATTTACTGAAAATAGACATCACGATTAATTTGTCTTTTTATCTTTTTTTTTTTTTTTTTTTTTTTTTTGGGCTTTTTAGTATTGCTATTAATAGCAACTAATTTCTTTATTTTCCTTTTTTATTTTGTTTGAATAAACTGTAAACACTATATATTGTGATATTCAAATGACTAAAAAAGAAATCATGCGAGGGATAGGAAAGAAACGTGGGACGTTTAAGGAACGTGGGCAATTTAATACAAATATACATACATGCATTTTTTTATTTTTTTTAAATTAAATAGAGTTACAATAAAGTTAATTGACAATTACTATAAAAGTTGCCAAGATTGAATTACAAAAAACAATACGATAATAAAACAAAGAAACAAAGAAACAAACAAATAAACAAATAAAAATGGTCTGACTCCTCACCAGGAAGCTATTAGAGTTACTCCTTTTTTTTCTTTTTCTTTTTCCTTTTTCCTTTTTACTGAAGGATGTGAGGAGGGAGTCAGACGTTGTTTTCATAGTGTTATTGTTAATAGTTGGTAGCAAAACAAAGCAAACAGTAGAGAAATAACAAATTAATGGGAAGAGTAATCGGTGTCCTTTTTGAAACTGGTTGTGTACACAGTAATATTAGAAAAGAATGTAATTTGTGACTCAGTCTCTCCTCATTCTTTTGTTTTGAGGATAATGGACATATGTTTATCGTGTATGTGGAGTTGTAATATTGTGAATGCTATTATTTATCTTATTTTTTTCTTGGTTCTTTTTGGTTATTATTCCGGAGATTTTGCTTTTATTTTTTTGTTTTATTCATTCTTGTAATAAGGGACAAAAAAAAGAAAAGAAAGTAAAACCGATTTTTTTTTGATTCGGTTAAAAGAAAAATGTGGAGAGAAAAAGAAAAAGAAAAAAAAAAAACAAAGAAAGAAATTGAATTTCTCCATCTCTGCGGGCGAATTAGAGAAGAAAAAAATCGGAAAGATTAAAGAAAAGTAACTTAATCTAAATTTAGAAAACACGTCAGTAGTTTTTTTATTGTATTTTGTTTGTTGCACGCCGTTGTGTACGTCATTCTTTTTTCTATTGGTGTCAAGAAAAAATAATAATCGGAATCTCAACAACACAATACTGTGGTAGAAATAATGCAAGTATGACAACTATATTTTGTTTCTATCAATTCTTTTGTAAGATTTACATTCTTTTTCCTTTCTTTTGTTTCTTGGAGTGTTACCACAAATATTGAATAAAAATTGCGAGTGTTAATTTATTTACAACCACCAAAAAACAATACGTAAACAATAATATTTATTTATAACGAATAATGAGTAGGGTTGCTGTATATTTGTTTGCTTGTGTTGTTTGTGCGGGAATAATGCAATTTAACATTTGCTTGGAAGACTTGTCTCAATTAACTCCTCTTTTTTCTTCTTTTTTCTTTGTTTAATGGTCGTATCTTTTGTTATTAAATAACAGAATAAAAGATTAGAGAAATCTAAGTTTTTGTTTTGTTCTTATTGCTCTTGTTATTATTATGACGATGATGTATGCAAGCCTTGAAGTTGGTGACTATAGTTACTGTTGTCGCCATTGTTATTCTCAATATTGTCTTCGATATCGCTATTGTGATTGTGACTTTTCTTTTTGTTATTTATCTATTTTTCTTTCTTTTGAGATTAGATTAAGAATAACATTACAATTCATTCTGTCATCATTATGCTCATAGGGAAAGTTTAATTATTCATTTCTTTTATTCAATTTCACTTTATTTGTCTTTTGGTTGTGGACTGAATTGGTAGTTGTTGTCATTATTGGCATCCATTTTCTACAAGTAAAGGGTTATCTGTCTCATGCATCCATATATACAAACAAACATACATACATGCAAACATGCATATATACATCCACACACACACACACACACAAAAAAAAATACACAAAAACACAAACAAACAAACACATATATATGTAGATATATATATAAACAGTAAGATAATCGTTCTCTCCCCTCTTTTGTATAGTTGCTTTTCTCCACTTCTGGTTTTTTTTTTGTAAACTTCGAACTACTCTTGGCACTTAACCTCGATCATTTATAATCCTTTAAATTATTTAATCTTTTTTAGATATAAAACTATTGAAATATTAATTAAGTTTGATCTCTAGATAAGATCAGATTCTTCCCTTTAAAAATATTTCTTGTATTTTGTCAAGTGTTTGAATAATAATAATAATAATAATAATAATAATAATAATAATAATAATAATAATAATAATAATAATAATAATAATAATAATAATAATAATAATAATAATAATAATAATAATAAGCATATATAATATATAAAATGTCTAACCTTTCAAATAACTGTTATGCTACAAATTTACCTCAAATATATTATTCAAACAATATGAATAATAATGATAATCACATTATCAATAACAAAAACTATACAACTTTACAAAAAGAGTTTATTTTACCAAGTTTTAAAAATCTTTTAACTACACTAAACCACACTAAACTTGTAAGGATTAATGATTACACTTATATTTCACCACCAAATAGTAATGATTTAAATTATCACACAGGAACTATATCTCCGCTATCATTATTACCACAGCAACAACAGCAGCAACAACTCCCAGCTCCTGCTTCTGCTATTACAGCTACAAAGACTAATACTACAAATAATACTAATGCAGCTCGCTATTCATTGCCACACTATATTTACACTCCACCTGTTCAAATTATAGGTCCTGAACAATTAAATCCACATTTTTTACAACAACAACAGCAGCAAATGCAAATGAACTATAATAACAACATCTCTGCATCTTATCCTCGTAGTTTACCTGTCTACATACCTAATATAAATATGACTATTAATCAACAACCACAATATCAACAGCAAGAAAATGTTTTACTACCACAGAATTTACCAACAACAACGGCTTTAAAGAACCATTCTGCTCCAACAAATAATGTAGATACAACTACTACTGCTACAACCGCTAGCACAGTTAAAAAATCTGACAGTAAAACTGTTAAATCTGACAGTAATAAAAGAAAAAATAATAATAAGATAAAGAAGAAAAGAAAACAAAGAATAACGAAAAAGAATAAAAAAATTTCAAATATTAAAGATTTACTTAATCCAATATCAAAAAGATCTTTTTCTTCTTCTTCCTCCAATAAGAAATGCTTTCAATGTCAAGAGACAAATACACCAGAATGGAGGTTGGGACCTTATGGTAGTAGATCCTTATGTAATGCATGTGGTCTATATTACAGACGTCTTATTCAAAGATACGATTTGAAACAAGCTAATTTGATTATGAGGTTTAATAGATTTATTCAACCAACCAATGTAAGACAAGTTCCAAGTCATATTGAAATCCCACATGATATTATTAAGCAATTTGATATGGATCCAACCTTAGATAATAATTATAATACTATAAATTAATATAAATTAATATATATATCTGTTATATAAATCATATTTTTCCATTATCTTCTTTAATTTTTGAAATAGTTTCAAACCACTCTCTCATATCATCTAATTTATCCAGATTTACTGTAGGAAGAATATTTTTCCAATATATATCCCTTGATGATAAAAATTGTATTAATTCAGGGAAACTACTATGCTCAGAGTATGGGACATTAAAAATATCAAATTTACCACGTTCTTTTAATTTTTTTTGATTACGTCGTATTATCTGCGTTTCGAACCATATATTATCTATATAATCACCATAAGTATTACCATTTAATATCTTTTCGACAATTTCTGCTTTCTCCTTTACATTTCTTCTTTGATAACTCCAATGTCCAGAGAACGTCCAGCCTGTTGGTATAATACCAATAAGGTTCACATCAAGCCACGTTATCCCATAATACGTCCTCTTAATATATTCACATATTTTGGATTCATCTTTTAGAATATTTAAAGGTACAATATGTACATCAACGTATCCATGAGTTTTGTTCAATGATAATTGTTTACCGTTTGGTATAAAACATTTTCTTAGAGTATCATTTTCTCTGATGTATATACTGGTGTCCCCATAGTTTAATGCTTCAGCAATGCCCTGAGCTAGTTTTTCTTTCCCAATAGAATATGATCCAACAAGAACAATATTTTTTTTATCCTTGTTCTGTCGATGTTTAACCAATTTATCAAGAATATTATCACTTTTTCCATCTGATTGTTTATTAGTAAGATCATCAAAATATGCTTTAATATATTGGGCTGCAGTAGTTATAACGTTATTTTGTGTAGGATGTGAGTTTCCTACATTTAAATACGTGGTATCTAGATATATTTCATCGATTATTTTATATTTATTCATTGATACCTCTTTCCCATCAATTAGATCCATACCACTTTTTAATACATTACTAATCTTATTAGTCAATTGTTCGGTTACTCGAAAGTCTCCTGTATGAAGAATTTGTTTGACAATAGTTTTATTAATATCCCATTCTCGAAATAAAAATATACTTGCACCTGGACAATGATTTGCATCCATAGCCATGACCTCAATATGGTCACTTATATGAATCCACGTATCATTCTCTAATTCAAATATTCGTTCAGCAGGGACTTTAAATTTATATTGAAGTAGTTGACTAGTTATTATTGAACAAAATATTCTCCCATTATCCCATGATTTATTTATTCCCATATAATGGTCTGAATGGAAATGTGAAAGAAAATACATATCTATATTTGGATCAGGTGCGAAATTAAATCCATCTACTACCAGTTTATATCCGGATTTAAAATTTAATATTTTGATTGATGGTAGAGGTAATCTCTGTTTTATTCTCTTTTTCTTTTTCATTTTTTTCGTTGCCATCCTCAACTTCGTTTCTTTCTTATTGTTCTCTGTTAATTGTTTTTTTGGGGAACTTTTTAACATAAGTTCCATTTTATTTGTGGATACTTTGGTTAAATTAACATCAAAACACTGTTCACAGTGTGCTTCTCGTGCATACAATTCTAATCCAGATATATCAATATCACAAATAGGGCATTTTATTGACGTGATTTGGTCTGTATATTTATGAGTAATACCAGTGGTAGGTGTAGTAGTGATGGACATTTCAGTTTCAAAAGATTCTTTCTGCACTTCATTCATGGTATTCCCCTTGTCTGATTCTATAATTTCTATTACACTTTCCTGTGATTCAACTAAAGCAACTAAGGGTTCTGCATGATTTGTAATATGAGTAGAATCTAGAGTTTCATTCATCTCTAATTCTTCGGTTATTTCAGTTTTCTCATTGACATTTTCTCTATTTTGCCTTTCATCTGGCTCTTGAGACTCAATATTTTGACTCTTATCGCCTTCAAATGTATTAAAATCTATTTCATCCTCATCCAATACAATTGGGGTGTCACCATCATTTATAATCACTTTTAATCCATCTCTTTTACGGATAGGTAAACTTGATGCCACAGGGATTTGAAATTCGGTCAACGTCCTTTGTCTCTTAAAATTCTGTGTCTTCTTCACATATGGCTTACTGCGTATATCTGATTGCCTGATATTAACAAGAGATCTTCTCATTGTATCTTACATAAACATAAGATCATAGTTTTCACTAAGTTATGTTATGTTATATGGAGTTCTTTTTTGGTAGGTTATATTTTAGATTATTTATTTTCTTAAGGGAGTTTGTAAAGTCTTGTAATAGATCAAGATTGGTAAATGCTTTTGTATTTGTCCACTTTTTTTGTTTCTTTTTACCTTATTAATTATTTTTTTGGTTATTTTATTTTGTTTTTATTTTTTTCTTTCCTTTCTGTTCCAAGTTGAATATCTCATCACCCTTTTTGAAGCATGCACTTGATTAAGATGTAGCACCGCAATATACAGATATCCTAACAAATTATGAGATGAGTTATACACACACACACATATATATATATATATATGGAAAAGTTAATTACTTATCATCTTCTATAGTTGAAAAAATAATGGGTCTTTTAACTATTATTAAGAAACAAAAATTAAAAGACCAAGAAATCAGATGTCTTATCCTAGGTTTAGACAACTCAGGTAAATCTACCATAGTTAATCAACTATTACCGTTACATGAAAGAAAGAATAATATTACGCCCACTATTGGATTTCAGATTCAAACCATTACTTTGGATGATTCAGGTAAACAAGTGTCGTTATGGGATATAGGTGGACAAAAGACACTAAGACCGTTTTGGGATAACTACTTCGATAAGACAGATATTTTGATCTGGTGTATTGATATCAGTTTACCTTTAAGGTTTGATGAATCTTTTAACGAGTTGAAAGAATTGATTCTGAGAGATGAGGGAAGGATTGGGTATGAGTGTAAAGTTATTGTTCTTTGTAATAAAGTGGATTTATTATTACCAGATGACATTGATGTTTCTTTTCAGCAGATCAAAAAGAAAATATTAGCACAACTAAATATAGATATTGAGGATGTAGATTCGAATATTAAAAGTCAGAAAATGAGATCAGAATCCATCTTATTTTTGAAATGTAGTGGTATCACGGGTGAAGGTGTGGGCAATTTGAAAAAAGAGCTGTTAATAGATACATCTAATAGATAGCCTCGAAGCATTTATGTTTCGAGTTTTGGAAAAATGAAAGAGTATACGATAGGAATTGTTTCTGTTATTAATACATATTGTCAGTTATTGGTTCATCTTTAGTATATAGTATGTAATATTATGACTGTTGTTAGTTAGATAAAGCAATGGTGTTTTGTTTTATTTGATTAAAAAACAATTATTGCTTTTAATTTATAACCCAGTTTAGGTACCTTTTCCATTTCTGCTTTACTCTATATATATTATGCTTTTTTATAGTATTAAAGTATATATGGTATTTATTTATTTATTTATTATAACAAGTGCACAATAAAACTATTTATGGTGAATCTCAATCATTCCTTTATTTTTTATATGGTCCATTCAAAAAATAGTGTAAATTCACTCTCAATAATATCAATATTAAAGAACTAATATTCTTGTACTAAGGTGAATTAATGTGAATGGAATTTTGAGTGAAACCTTTTCTTTTTTCAAAGTGTTATATATATTTTTATTTATTATTTAAGTCTCTACTAGGTGTGAGGAATTGTAGTTCATCTTGATTGTCAGATTTTGTATCTGGTCAGTTAAAGTTTGAAAATAATTTTTCAAGACCAGCAAAGAAAAGTAACTTATTTCAGCTATAAATATGGTACCTTATTATGAAAAACGGGTTATTATTTTTTTCTAGGAAAAAAAAGAAAAGAAAAAAACAACGATTTCGGAGTAAGATCGCCTTACCTTACCTTATCTCACCTTATCTTATCTTGTTTTTTCCTAATCTGGACATATGTTCCAACAAAGGTATTTCCTTTAATTCCATTTGGTTGGTCTGTTCAAGGAATTAGAATATTTGATAAAAGTTCAAATCATCTTTAAGGTGACTACTAGAGGACAAACTGACCATAATTCTGGCCTTGAAAGTGAACCAGAGATAATATATATACAAACGAAATTACTTTTAACTTTTAAAATATTCACTATAATATAGTTTAATATTTAGTTATCTTCTTCTATTTACTTGTTTATCTATTCATTTATGTATACATACATATATGTTTTGAATGTTTTTCTTTTTTTTTTCTCATGATTATGTCTTTTGATACTGTATCCTTATACAAGTAACTTTGCTGTTAAATAAATCAAGGATGAACACGTTCAAAAAGTATTGAATGCATTAGAGATGGTCATGTTAGATAATAATACAGCAATTATAATCTGTGAACATATAAATTTAAAGAAAGAAATTAATAAAGAGAGATATGATTAATGATATTGAAATTGATAAAAACAAGAAAATCAAGATCGGTCTTTTGTTTTGATCTGAAAATAACGCAGTTGTTTTTAGTAAGCCAGTTTTTTTTAAAAGACAGTTCAGGCATTACAACACTAGTTTTGTTTAGTTCAAAAGGATGAATTGTGTGGTATTGCTGTGTTTACTCATATTTATATTGCTACAGATGAAGCTATTGATGAAATTGTCTATAAAAATGTGGCCGCTGATAAAGCTTTTAGTAAAAGGTTTAAGAGTTGAGAGGATCCTTTTAGACACCTTATATTCTTCTAAGATTAATATGTGAACTATAAATATATACGATCGCACACAGAGTCCCTTGCTCTTTATATATATATATATATTTGTTATTTCTTTTTCTTTTTCTTTTTTTTAGTGCTAGTCTCATTCGTTTCCTTATCTTTACTTACTTTTTCTGCATTATCTTCCTAAAAAAATAAAACAAAAAAAAATAAAAAATAAAAAATCTATGAGAAGCGAGTTTTTTCCGGAAAGATGCCAATTTCCCACAAATCCCGCTCCGCTCCTTTTTTTATGTTTTATTTTCCCCTTTTCTTTTTTTTCTGTCTTTATTTCTTAAATTCCGCTCTATTTGTTTTTCTTTTTTCTTTTTTTCTTTTTATTTCCTTCTTGCAGGAGAGGCGCATTTCTTTTTTCTCTCCCTCCGCTGTGGGCAGCCTTTTTCTTTTAATATTACTTCTTCAAAAAGTTGCGAAAATGAATTGAAATTAAAGGGGAACCAAAAGGAAAATGAAAAGGACAATGGAAACGAAAAAAAAAAAAAAAAAAAAACAAAAAGAAAATATTTAACCAATCTATTGAATGCTGTGTTTGAAAATATATATAGATACATATATGTAAATTCATGTTCATAACAATGACTTTTTTTTTCTTTTTCTGTCTAATTAAACTATAAAATAAATAGAGAATAAGTGGATCCCCATCTTATTTAAGTGTTCTAAAAAGACGTGTTAAGAAGCTTTGTTGGTTGAATAAAAATAAAAACCAATCTTTCATTTTTCTTTTTCTTTTTCCTTTTTTTTTTGTTTCTTTATTTCTGTTTTTCAATTATCCATTTATACATATACATCTATCTACATTTATATTTATAATGGGGAATACGCCAACGAAATTATATCCTGAGGGTCCTACTTATAATGATACAGAATTCGTTAATGATGCAGACACCTTAAATCATAAAAATTATAAAAACAGATCTAAGAATGTTTCATTAGCCAACACTTTATTAAATCCTAACAGCAATAGCATGGTAGGAGAAAATTACACTAATAATACTAGGCAAAAACAATACAGTATCTTTAATAAGATAGATCGTGACAAGGATAGGAAAAAATACGTCAAGGATAGAGAAAAATTAAAAGAAATTCACGCAAGGGGGCTGGTGGTCAAATATGACGAATGTTGCGATGGTGGGTTTTTGGCACCGTTTGGTTGTTACAACTTCGATAAACTGGATTACAATATAGATATTGTTAGAAGCCTGATTATAGAGAGAAAATTGGCTCCATTTTATACGCCGTTACAAGACTTTGACGAAACTTGGTCAAGGGAAGAAATCATCAAAATTGTAGATGGGTTACCATTACATGCAACCTTTGAAGAAAATTTAGAGGAATTCGAAGATGTCCCAATCGGCGACCTAAAAAAACCTAACTTCGATTATTTGGTTGATAGAAGTTTGTCCAAAAGAGAACAGCGTCGTCAGCATGCAATGATCTTTAAAGCTAGGCTGTATAGGAAAAGATTAATCTGGCAAGAAACTGCAAACGAATCCTTCCTGGAAGATAAAGTCGATGCAAAGAAAAATAAAATTAAAAATAGATATTTACCAAGCGATGATTTAAAATATTCTTTATACAAAAATGGTATGGAATGCCCCATATGTTTTCTTCACATCCCTGGGCCTTTAAACTATTCTAAATGTTGTCAACAGCCTATCTGTACAGAATGTTTTGTTCAGATAAAACGATCAGAACCACATTTCCCTCATGAAGAAGTGGACCCAACAAAACCAATAACTGACGATAATTCTAAGGATCCAAACTTATTAATATCAGAACCTTCAAACTGTCCATATTGTGCAACACCCAATTTTTCCATTACATATACACCACCAACAAACCGTAGAACAGGTATAGGTGGTATCCCTCCTAGCGATTACTGTGAAGTAGCGCAAAATGAAATACAGAAACAGGAAATTTCTGGTCAAGAAAAGGAGAACAAAGAAACTTTGGGATCGCCAACATCCATATCCGCATCTGCATCGCCGTTATCATCATCATCATCATCATCGTCTGGAAATAAACATAAGGATATCATAATCAGTAATATCATAACATCAGATGATATTAGACCTGATTGGGAAGCTAAATTAAAGAAAGAACGTTCGAGGCTTGCCAAGAGAGCAGCTAATGCTACTGCTATTCATGTTAGTAATCAATTAGTGGATCCTGAATACTCTCTGAGACAAAATTCTAATACTAGTTCACCAGCCAAGTATTCAGTACGAGGAACTAATTCTAAAACAAAAAGAAAACAATTAAGTCTTGAGGAATTAGAGGAACAAATGATAAAACAAGCTATTCAACTAAGTCTTGAGGACCAAGAAAAATCCAAGAAAAAGTAAGAAATATGCTAATGATATATATGTATACATATATTAATTCTACATATAAACGAAATAACATTGACATGACAATCATTAGCTTCCTGATTAATTATCATAAACAAATGAGGTTAAATTACGACGGATCTTATAATAATCCTTTGTTAATAAAAGAAAAACATCATACATATCATTATATAATTGGAATTTTCTATATCTTCTTGCCTTAAACAGAAAAGAAATTACACCAAAAAAATACTGACGTCAGTCTGTATAAGTCACATGATTAAATTTCGTCAAAGATGATAGACGCACTTTTAATTTTTTTTTTTTTATTTTTGAGGAAAAAAAAATTGCGATGTTTAAACAAAACTCATTGAAATGTCTGAAAAATTTTTGATTTCTTACAACTTTATTGATAGAAGTTTGACTTCGTAGAATGAAAAATGCTACTATGTTCTGTTTCAATGCTCTCCTAAATTCTTTTGAAGCCTTCTCCGTCTTAGATACTTAAACTACATCTTTCTTAAACACATTTGCTTGTATTCCCTTTAATACAAAACCAAGGAAATAGTCTGCTCTTTTGAAGCTTAAATTGATTATTCTATAAACCCTCCACTAGGAAAAAAAAACAGAGATGTCTACCGAAACTGCTTTATCTTACGCTGCTTTAATCTTAGCTGATGCTGAAATTGAAATTTCTGCTGACAAATTAATTACTTTAACTGAAGCTGCCAACATCCCAGTTGAAGGTATCTGGGCTGACATCTATGCCAAGGCTTTAGAAGGTCAAGACTTGAAGGACTTATTAGTCAACTTCTCTGCTGGTGCCGCTGCTCCAGCCGCCGCTGGTGCTGCAGCTACTGGTGCTGCTGAAGAAGCTGCTGCTGAAGAAGAAGAAGAAGAAGCTAAGGAAGAATCTGATGATGACATGGGTTTCGGTTTATTCGATTAAGGGGATAAAGCTGATTAAATCATATTTGTTATATATCTATATATATATAGTATTATATAATTGTATTTAATTTTTTTTTAACCTCTCTAATTTAATAATATAAAAAGATATCTTTGTTATAATTTTATGTTTTTTGTGAAAATGGTATGGATAATGAACACTGGATTTTCATAATAGGTCATCTTATGGTTTTATTTGGGAAACTATGTATTATGATTTTTCGCAGTTATTTTCAACTATATATTAACATTTTACCAATTATTACATTACAAACATTTAGATTAATTTCATATATGCACGAGCACACTACATATACAATAATCAGAGTAAGAATAATCATAAAGTTACACTATGCTTATTTTTATTTATTATAATATATTAATGTAGAGTGTTATTGAAAAAAAGAGTATATAGTATGATAGAAAAATATGTATATTTATTTGCAATAAAATTAAATATCATTTATTTCTTCTTTTCAGCTTCAGCTTCAGCCTTTTCTCTAGCTCTCTTTTCTCTAATACCCTTGTATTTCTTTTCAGATCTTGCTAATCTTAAAGTTCTGTAAGCAGATTGTTCAGTGGCTTCAACAGCTCTGGCTTCAACATCGGTAGATGGTTGAGCAATTGGGAAAGCAGCGGCAGTAGATAAGACTTGTTCGGCTTCAACCTTACCATTTCTTGGGAAGACAATGATCTTAGATAAGTATTCCTTTAATCTTTGAACATTGACTTCAAAAGTTTCTTGGTTCTTATCTTGACGTCTGTGATCAACAGCGATACCAATGGTTCTGGCGTAAGCTGGGGTTAAACCAGCAGCCTTGATTTCACCAAAAGTAAAACCCTTACCAGCTCTGACCTTTCTGTTGTATCTAACGGTTGGAGCTCTGACAACTGGTCTTAACAAGTCTAATGGTCTTGGAGCAATCTTGGCAGCCTTAGCAGCTCTGGCTTGACGTCTAGCAACCTTCTTACCAGCTTGGTCAAAGTGAACTCTGACACGTTCTTGCCAGTGCTTTCTGAAGTGGTTATTTAAAAGTGGTAAATTCTTGGAAATAGCTGTAATGAAATAAAAAAATCAATTAATATATTATTAACATCAATAGAATGAGATCAAATATTAATCACAAAAAGGAGAAACCATACTACAATATCCACTTCTCTCTCTTTTATTGCCATTATAATTTTCTCATTTATATTAATGTTTAATTGTTCTTGTTAGTAATCAGTATTTTGATAATCTAGTTTATTTGCTATTATAACATGTCATGTACTGCATGGTATTAATGGTAAATAAATAAACTCTCAGCTTTAACTTAATTTCACCTCGACTTCATGATATTTCATTCTAATTTGGCATTACCTGTACCCCCGAAATCATTAGTCTTTTATAACATGTAACTAGCTTCTTAATCATGTATAGGTAACATACCCATTGTTACGTGTTTTCTGCTCTACGACCTTCCTTTGACAATACAAGACCAACGGTAGTAACGACGACAAGCTTTTTATACACACGTCACACTAACCGTCTATTTTTGTTACACTGAATTTGATATATACTTTTGTTGACAGTAACCATGAACCACTCTATAGTGATAGACGCTAAAGGATTCAATATGGCACAGCAGACGTTACACCATCCATCCATCCATCCATCCATCATAGAAAGGGATAAAGGTTTAGTCAATCTGTGGCCAGACAGGCTATATCCTTCTGAGTGGTGTTGTCAAGCCTCTCAGCTATCGGTAAGCATACTGCAGTGCATTACTCGTACAACTGGAAAACAGAGTAGACATATTTCCAGCTTCCTCCCAGTGATATTTTTCTGTCCAACAGGAATTTTTCCAGGCGAATAGAGCTCTCAAACAATGCATACTGTTTCTCCAAAGTTTGGTGTCCTCCTTACATTTGAACACTCAGTTTTCCTGTTTAAGAGATACTGTTCGCTCGGATTAATCAACATTCTTTTTCTGTCCTAACTTTCCAAGATTCTATCTAAATTTTCCTAAAAAAGGAAAGTGTATATATTTTAAATAATGCGAATGTTTTTCTTTTTTATCCAAGGTAAAATAAGTAAAAAAACCTTCTAATTAAAAATGTACTGATGTTTTAAAAAATAACAGTCCGAGGACTATTTTATAACATCTGTACACCATTGCTCAGTTTGTATGTATGTATTTGCATATTTTATTTAGTCGTTGGTTTAGAAAAACAAGAAAGCCATTTACGAGATCTTTAGTATGCAATGAAAAGGGGAAAAATATCTATGCAAATATGATGCTCCCTACATCCTTTTCCTACTATTATCTCGCAAGGTAAAACGACTTTCTGCTTTGGTTTTCGTCTATGACGCCTACCTAACTTGCTTACTAGACTGGACTATCTGTCTGTTTACCAGACAGTCAGGCCTACCAACACCTGCCTAACCACCACATCAGTCTGTTTGTGCTTATTGGCTTCTGAGTAAGTGGGTGATGAATAAAACAACCTATAGTTAAAAATGTGAAACTTGTGTACCCACAGATAAAAGAGACTGATAAATAAATTGCATAATGTCTGCCGTCCCAAGTGTTCAAGTATGTCAAGAATTTTTAGTCCAAAAATGCACTTTAAGAAGCCCCACAAGTTAATATCATAAAATCGACCAGCGATATTGAGAACCAGGAGGGGTAAATTTATCAGTTTACAAAGAATGTTTTGATACTAACATATTATAACCATGAATGGCCATATTGTCCCGCTTTCATTTGTAATACAACCGTATTTTAACGTGATTTTGTGTATATAGACCTTCGGTAAGAAGAAATCTGCTACAGCTGTTGCCCATGTTAAAGCTGGTAAGGGTTTAATCAAGGTTAACGGTTCTCCAATTACCTTAGTTGAACCAGAAATTTTAAGATTCAAGGTTTACGAGCCATTATTATTGGTTGGTTTAGATAAGTTTGCCAACATTGACATCAGAGTTAGAGTTACTGGTGGTGGTCACGTTTCCCAAGTCTATGCTATTAGACAAGCCATTGCTAAGGGTTTGGTCGCTTACCACCAAAAATACGTCGATGAACAATCCAAGAATGAATTAAAGAAAGCCTTCACTTCTTACGATAGAACCTTGTTGATTGCTGATGCTAGAAGACCAGAACCAAAGAAATTCGGTGGTAGAGGTGCTAGAGCTAGATTCCAAAAATCTTACCGTTAAAAAGAGTTTTTTGTCATTCCAACTTTCTTTTTTTTTCTATTTAATCAATTTTGCTTACTTCCATAGCCAGTTGAATTATAGTTATTCATAGAAACTATCGGTTTGCACTTAGCATACTTTTTATTTTTCCACAAATAAAAAAGGGAAGGTATATTATATATATGGGTATTCCCTATTCTTCCATCATATAATGTCATATTAAAAATAAACTAATTTTGATGCAATTTATATATATATTGTAAACTTTTATACCATTTTGTAAAATAACATCATTGTAATATACGGACTATAAATATTACAGAGCTTGTTTAATGGTGATTAAATGTACTATCTTTGATTACTCCCCCTTTACTAACTTGGCAATGCTGCTCTCACTCAAACGCAGTAGGCGATACAGCTTATGTATAGACTGACACATCGGTAGAAAATTCTTTATTTCTTAGATTAATTAAATTTTCGGGTAGTTACCGTGTTGTTACCATAGCGACCAACATATTTTAATCTCATTTTTTGTTTTCTTTTTTTCCATTTTTCGAAAATCTTCTCCGTTTATTTAATTATTTTTTTTTGTTTTCCTTTATAGAAATGTATTTTTTGAATTTTCACAATAGGTCGAGATTCATTTATATTATAAAAGGGCTATCCAGAAGGAAGATCTGAGATCGAAGAAAAAAGTAAACAAAAAGAGAGTTTTCACCACCAAACAAGCACATACAATAATTAATATTTGATCAGACATAATTAATAATGAGTAGAGGTAATCAAAGAGATTTAGCAAGAGCTAAGAATTTGAAAAAACAAAAGGAAGCTGCCAAGAACCAAAAAAAGACAGGTGATCCAAAAAAGAGAATGGAAAATGATGCTGATATCTTAAGGAAAAAACAGGCTATTGCTGATGCAAGAAAAGAAGCAGAAAGATTAGAAAAATTGAAGGCTGCTAGAAGATGATTGAATTGGTTTTTATTACCTTGTCATAACTATTTCTCTGTATTGATTTCTGCATCCCCATGCATATAGTTTTCTTATATACTAGTATAACAACTTGATAAATAATACATGTATAATTAATTAGTTATTATACATATTAATGAATAACGCTACATTTTGATCTTTCCAAATTAAGCGAATTTTGTTTGTTTTATACTTTTTCCTTAAGTATTCTTACGCTCCAGAAGTGGTTTTTTACTAGGTTCTTTTGATAATAAGGCATGTAATAGATTGAATTATCTCACAATATAAACATTATATTATGACTATACGTATATATATATATATATATATATATATATATATATATATATGGACATGTAATTCGTTTGGTATTATTTTATTAAAACATATGTGCAGAATAAATGAGAAACTTTTAAAATAATTAATGTATAGGTATATAGAATGTCGTACTTTTCCTCCCTTCTTTTTATTTATAGAACAAATTTTGAAAATGTTTCAATAATACGAAAAAAAATCAAAATTCACTAATTGATACTTCTCCTTCATACCTTCTAACTTCATAGAAGATAAAATAAAAAATCACTTTTCTTTACTTATATTTTTTCTTTTAGAATAGCATACTTACATAACTAACTAAAAATTTAGTTGGCTTCTTGCATATGTTCTTTGGCTTCAAAAGCCTTTTCAACATCATATTTGAAATCGAAATAGGACCTCTCAAAATGGTGTAAACGAACAAGCCCATCTTCCCCACCAGAGGTGTATGAAGTACCAGTTGGAGATACAGCAATACAGTTCAATGGACCGAAATGACCTTTAACTCTCCCAATTTCTTCTTCAAAAATCTTATGATAAAATCTAGCTTCAAATTTACCTTCACTGGCACTAGTAGTTGTGACATCTTTGGCACTTTGACCACCACCAAGAACCACAAATTCCTTTAATGGAGTGATAGCAGCGGTATTTAAAGGACAGTCACTTTCATAAGTCTTTAAGATTTTGAAAGAGGCAACATCCACTATATGGGCTTTAGAGTCTCTTGAAGAAGTGATAAAATATGTTCTATCTAAGGAGAATTGTAAATCACTAATGTTAGATTCGTGTAACTTGATAGCTTCAACAAATTTATAATCATTATCGACATCATATTTGCTCACTTCACCATCCTTGTGTCCACCAATAATAAATTTACCATTGGTAGACCAGCCTGCAACAGTGACTGTGGCGTGACCTTCTTGCGTATTTATAATTTTAATTGGTTCTTCATTAAATTTGATAATTTTGTGAGTTTCGGAATCTCTTTCAACTTTATAGATAGAGATAGAACCTGGGTAACCCATAACACTATCCAAGATGGCAAGGAAGTAGTTACCACATGGAGAAAATTCCACATGTTTGACTGGGACAGGAGATTGATAAGTAAAAATGTTTTGACCATTGCTAACGTCCCAGACTTTAATACTATAATCTGCACTACCGGTGATACAATATATAGAAAATGGATCAACATCAATAGACCAAATGGTACCTGCATGGCCATCTAAAGTTCCCAATCTTTCACCATTGACAGTATACCAAACAGAAGCAGAACTATCCTTGGAGCATGTGAATAACAGGTCACCTTCTTTATTATATTTAACTTGAGTTAAAGGACGTTCATGGCCCATAAGCACTAGAGGTCTCATTGTTAAATGTGTATTTTATTTTATAATATTAAATTCAAAATATGTTTGTTTATTTGTTTTTAATGCAAAAGAGATTAAAAATATCACACACAACCACAGATGGTTTGAGTCAATGAATACTTTGCTGTGTCTTTTTTATCTTTTCTTGATGTTGAAGAAAGATAATGTGCTAAACTAAACTCCTGAATATTAATGCAGAGGTGTCTAATTGGATACACAGCTCTATGCGTAATTCGATTTACTGATCTGTTTCAATAGCTATTAGACCTATTTTGTCTTTTGCAAAAATTCTGTTGAAAATTTTTCCTAACCTGAAAGGTAATAAAAAAAATTTCAATATTTTGGGTTGTGCAAAACGAAAAAGAAAAAAAAGAAAAAGGAAGATCACGTGAAATATATGATAGCGCACCCACTATACACAGCAGTGAATCTTGTAGATTTGCTAATGTTTAATGAAACTGAAGCCTCATGAAAAGTTAAAATGGTGGTGAGGAAAACAACAAGAGAATAGAAAGGGGGGAAGAGAAGTAATAAAGATGAATAAGGACAGTAGATGGATAGTTTGAGAAGTTACTATTTAAATAATTGAAGAATGATATAAGCTTAATCCTTAATACTTTCAAAAAAAAAGAAAAAAGAAACGGAATACTGTTACCATATAAATTTATAGGATATACTTTAATATCAATAGATTAAGAGATGGGTAACCCATGGCTTGGTGGATTTACTACAACTATAAAATGTCTAGCACTTTTACATATTGTTCATTCAAGATATTATGAATTTACTCAAACAAAAGGGGAATCCATGCTGCCTACATTGAACCGGATAAACGATTATGTCCATGTTTCTAAATGGTATAGAAATGGCAGAGATTGTCGAATGGGTGATTGTATAGTATTATATAAACCTAATGATCCAAAAAAAAGAGTTTGTAAACGAATAACAGGCATGCCTGGAGATTACATCTTGGTTGATCCATCATTGGATGATCCTAATGCAAGGTCTACATATATTAAAGTTCCTAAGGGTCATGTATGGGTTACTGGGGACAATTTAGCGCACTCTCTGGACTCCCGATCGTATAATGTTGTGCCTATGGGATTAATAGTAGGTAAAATAATTGCTGCAAACGATTTTAATAAGCCTGTATGGGATCCTGATTTAAGGATTTTATTTGGATTTAGGTGGATCATTAATAACTTTGAACATATATAAGAAAAAAAAAAAAGAAATTAAATAATACAGGGCAAAATAAGTTGGTGTATAAAATAAACCAATAAATGTACATAATTATATTATTTCTTTTATATATATATATATTTTTGGTCTTTCTAAATAGATAAATCAATAGGTATATATGTATATGTACATAAACACAGATGGTAGGTATATTTAAATATTGTTTCCAATACTTCTTAAATACTTAGTACCAATTACTAAACCAAAAATACCCAGCAACGAAGAAGTATTAATCGTTTCAAAGATACTAGTGCCTAAATAATACCTTAAAAAGACAAGCTCAAAACCAATGATTGAAATGATAAACCCTAATAAATAAATAAGATTTAATCCTGTTGCTATATTATCAAACTTAATTACACCAAAAGAAACCCAAATAAATAATAAACCAAAACCTGCAAGAATAATGATCCCAACAAATATTTTTGCTAAAAATGGAGAAACAGTTTTTGGTGGTGATGGGAAGATATGACGAATTTCTGGTAATGGTTCATATCTAATTGGCTCTTTAAATGAATCAAATGCAAAGGTATCATAATCTAAATTCATTTCAAAAGTTTTTGTGAAAATATAATCATTTTTACCAACCTCAGAAGATGCGACAATTAAAGTACCAGAAATTGGTTTTTCTTCGTTGTGAGCAAAATATAATATAGATTTAGGAATGTCCTTTAATGATAGTTTGAAAAGAGCCAATATTGAATTATCTTTGACCTTTAAAGTTGGTTTAATTGGGATCTCTAAATCTCTATCTGGTAAACCGACAAGTAACGCAATTTGTTCGGGAACTGCACCATAGTCAACTATTTGGAATGAAAATTTGATAGTATCATCAATTGTCAAATTGTTTATAATATTAGGTACTAGATTGTTTTCAATTGTACCAATTTTAATGGTATTGGATTGTTTATTTGAAGTGTATGTTAACTTTAAATTATCTACTTGGAAAGCTATGATCTTGCAAAGAAGCATGGATACTAACAAAAAAGTTGATTTCATCCTTGCTTATTTTTCTTCTTTACTAGTTTTACTTCTTGTTCCGTTATATATATAAAGATATGAATTGTATGTTTCCTGTCTTACTTGGCTGTCACTCCTTTTTTTTTTATTTTTTGGATTTTTTTCAATATTTATCAATATCCACTTTTATATATCACACCTTCAGTTGTTATAAAGATATTTAAGTTTATCCTTTAAACAGTTTAATCCTTTGTTGTTTTTTATTCTCTTACTCGATCTTTCAATTCTTCCTGTAATCCTTTCCTCTGTTTTTTTCTGCCATGTCAGTTAATTTTTGATAAAAAATAAAAAATAACAAGAAATAGCTTCAAAGTTGTTTACCCGCACAATAAAAGAAAAGGTAGCACAAAACAATAGAAATCAACAAATATTCCAATGTTACGGAGTAGTTTTCGATAACTAGACCTGATAAGAAGGGATCAATATGTGAATGTATCTTCTTTTTGTGACTTTATAGTTGTATTATTATCAATATAATTACATATATTAACATTTAATTTCAATAATGAGTAACCTTTCAAAAAAAAAAAAAAAGTGAAGACCTAAGGAAAAGATAATATAAAAATGTATGTAACCTTCAAAAGGTAAAATAAATATTATTTACTTATGCATCGATATATATATATATGCTAACTTCATTAATGCATGTCAGTTTTGTTATCCCTTCTTGATTTGACCTTATTGAATATTTGGTATAAAAAAATTCTTGTGCCAAGAAACATTCGCCTACTCGCTCTAAATGTAATATTACTTAATAATCCAAAGAAAATAACTGCAAAAGCACAAATAATTGATATTATTAAAACAGGGAAGATTAAAAGAGACGAAGTCATAGTAATGATAATGAAGACAAAAACATATATTGTTGATATTATCGCATTAATTGGCTGGAACATAGTATACTAAAATATTTTCAAAGCCATAAATATATACTTCTCTTTTTGTGTGTGTATTCACTTATTTATAAAAATATTATTTGCTTAAAAAGAGATGGATAAGATCTACGGTTCTGAGATAGTATTGTAAGTCTATTTCTTTTTTTTTTTTTATTATGTGAGTTAAAAAAAAATTGAAATTGAATTAGAAGTTTGATAAAATTATTTTTTTTCTTGTATTAGAATACTATGTTCTAATAAGCTAAGAATTTTAGATAGGTATCAATTAGGAGTTACAAAGTTACATTTTAGCTTTTTTATTCGACAAAACAAGTTCTCATTTTCTGACTGAATGTCTCTCTCTCTTTTTTTTTTTTTATTTTCTTTTTCAAAGAAAAAATTCCAAAACATAAAACTCTTTATATAAAGGTAGTATTAATGTATACGAATAAACAGGTAAGTATAACTAACTCTGTACCTATTCATAATAATCCTTACTCTTATTTAAATATTATAATAGCAATAAATAAATAAATAAATAACAAGCATAAGGCTACATTATTACAATATATTTGCTTACCTCTATAACCTCAATTATTGCAAATGCTTTAAGTACATCTCCTTGCTTATATAATAATACACCTCTTTCTTGTTTGATACAAAATTCCTTGTGCTTAAAATATAATCATGTTTTACTCCCTTCTTCATTCCTCTATGTATAATCAGTATTTATAAAATTGGAAAGACTACAGGGGAAGAAAAATATATATATACTCGTAAATATATACATAATAAGAAATAACTATTACCAATGGCTGCTTATTTAAAACATATTTCTTTATTATTAAATACTTCTTTTTGTTTTCGACTTTTTTTTTCTTATTCATAATCAACTTTCTACAGACAAAATTTAAGAATATGTAAATCTCGTCTTTTTTTTCTCTTTTTTCGATCTTGCTTCACATGCATTATCATGGGAAAAACAAGATGAGGAACAATTTAAATATTTCATTCAGTCACAGTTAACTAATTGATCTTGTACTTCTTTCTTGAAATCGGTACCTAGCACATATAAGTATAACAAGAATAATAAGTTTTAAGACTACCAGTAAGATTTTTTTTAAAAATAAGATAACAACATCAACAGCAGCAATAAAAAAAGAAAAAGAGAAAATATTGAAACATACCTAGAACATATGATAACTCCTCAGTTTGATATTGAACAAGATGATGAATTTTTGATTATTAAAATAAGAATCAGTAACATACGATTTTCATCAAATTGTGTTGAAATTAATATTAATGGAAATATGCTAATATTCCATCTTTCACCATACTATCTAAGGTTAAGATTCGATCATAATCTTGTGGATGATGAAAGAGCAATTGCAAAATTCCTACCTGGCGAAAGTAAAATTTTAATTAAAGCACCTAAGGCTAACAATGGAGAATTTTTTAATGATTTGGATCTTCATAGTAAATTGTTGGCCCGTGTCAATATTGGAAGTGCAATAAATGAAACCTCTCAAAAAAATCCCTTAATACAAGAAATTGGTAATAATGATGATAATACTAGCGATAATAAGGCAACTAGTGAAGAAAAAATTGAAGATATCGCAAAATTAGGAGAAAATTTTGATTGGGAGATCGAACAAGTTGAAACAGATAATTTTGATTTATTGAATAAAGCATACAAATATGGGTTTAATAATAACTATTCCGAATTAATTGGTATATCCATATCTAATGGTAACGATATTAATGATTTAAATGATCCAGAACATACTAATAGTATTGATAGAATCAAGCAGAGAATTCAAAGAGAGAATAATGTGTTTGATGATGAATATTACGCATCTGAATACATCTTATATAAATATGGTCAGGATGATGATTTAGAAATTAATCGTATAAAATATATTTTAAATTACACTCCTAAATTTGTTCAAGATTATCAAAATTGGATTAAAGAGCATTCCAACAATAACAAAGATGCAATCATGTCAATTGAATTCAATGAATTTGAACATAGGCAAATGGAAAATTATATACCAAGAAAGGAGTATATATTAAATCCTGAAATTGTTAAATTAAACTATATAACTATTTTGAATCTCTTATTCAGTTTTAATTTTGAAAGTATGGAAAATGAAGGCGAACACACAACCGAAAGTGTATGGACAATTGGTAAATTGACGCCACAGATAGCATATCTGGACCAACAATTAATGTTACCTGAATCTGCCTTGGAACAAGATAGTACTACTTCAGCTGCTGACACTATTGCTACAATGAGTACCAATAGATCATTGTTGAAGGAAGTTAAACCTGACCGAGTAAGGAATGAGAAAAATAATTCTGAATCTATAATTAAATCTGCAATCATAGTAGGAACTAGAAGATCATTGTGTTATCCACTACATAGGAACTATGATTTATCAATGAAAGCATGGCATTGTGTCTTCCAGACATTAAAAGCTGGTAAAAGATTAGTTATTAGAAATTTATTAGCTATTCATGAATTATTTAGATTCCATGACGTATATTATGTTTACAATAAATGCTTATTAGATGACTTATGTGCGTGGTTTATATCTTATGGTAATGAAACAATTGTTAGGAGTCTAGCTTTAGAACTTGAAAACCATCTGTTAAAATTTACTAAAGATGATATCGAATTTGAATGTATATCAGACATAGATATGGATACTGGAGCTACATCCTTCGAATCAGTCACAATCAGAGAATTAGAGATACTAACCGAACAAATGTATCAAGAGAATATAAATAAAAAAAATACAGAATAAATATATATTACCACTAATATTGGTAATATATGTAAATCAGAAATAGATAAAAACGCTTTTATTTTATTATTTATAGATTTTCTTCTTTTATATTACATTAATACATAGAAGTAGTGGTTAGACTACCATCTATGGCTCTAAAGAAAAATGGGTATTAATATATATACAATTCAATGTTTAATAAAGTACATAAAACAACATTGAAAATGCTTGTTACCTATCCTTCAATTCAGTAACTAACTCTAACAATGGACCATAATCTGCTGGCCGTAACAAATTAAATTCTTGAGCAAAAAGAATAAAATGTCTAAAACTAGTATTCAAAACTGTCTGTAGATTTAATTCCAAAATTTCATTAAAATGGTGACAATATATGTGTGCATAAACTCTGAATAATCTTCTTAACATTGGAATCACAATTTTTTCTGGAAATCTTTCTGGAAACACACCATCTTTTCTACTTGGAAATATAGTTTCATCATCAAATTGATCTTGACACCATCTCATTAGGCATTCTACATATTTAGGAGCACTAACTGATACAGGAGCTGCACCCTTTTCAAACGACCATAGATATTCGTATTCATTAGTTGCAATCATTCTTGGGCAGGTAGTCGGAGAACAAAATTCTGTTATAGTACCATATAACATGTTAATTTGGTTGTAAAAATCTACCACATGGACAGCAAGCCATTCATTTTCATTTTCACCTTTTGGTAATTTTACTGCTTGATTTAAAACCCCCTCAGAACCTAAAGTTACCTCCACTATTTGTCTTATATCTTCATGTGATGTCACTGTGGTGCCGGCAGTAGTCTGAAGAAATGGTTTTTGGTGAGATGGAGTATAATTAAAATCAGTTACCTTTTGTTGGCCTATTTTTCCCCTGAGAGAACCTAGTTGTTTTTGTGGTGTAGATACCCCGTGAGGATAAATATTACTATTATTGTTGTAATAATGATTTTGATTTTCAAAGGAGAGTGGTAGTTTTTGTTGAGGTTGTGAATGTGGGTTGACTAAAGAGTCGGATCCATTATTTAAAGGCTCAGAGGTTTGTTGGCCGTTATTCTGGCCAGTATTCCATTTGAATCCTCTAGTAGAACGTATAGTTTGACCTGGACTTAAGTGACTAAAGAAATGTATAAAAAGGGTAAATCAAAAATATGAGGAAGATAATATTGTTAGTATAGAAAATCAGGACATAGACTATTTAGCTATCTCTTATTTCTTATAACATACAAATTCTGTAAAAAAGACATCGGCTATTGGTGGCTTTATTTTGCAAAAGTTATATTTAACAAATGCTGAATATACCTCTTAACTGGTTATTAAAATTAACTATACACCAAATTCAGACTGCTATAATGTCCTATTCTGCAATACCTTCTCGCAACACTTTTTTCTAAAGGTTCTGAGATCAAACATTTTAAGCAAAATTAAACTTAGAAAGGGTTTCACAAAATAAAAAGAGACGTCAAAGAAATTTATTAGCTTCAAAAAAAGGAAAAAAGAAACAACCCTAGTTAAAAATATTTTTTTAAAAAATAAAATAAATACAACCCTAATTATTTTAAAAAAGTATAGGAAAAAGAAAACAAGACCTAAAATAAAGCCAAAATAATTGGAGGAAAATAAAACGGGAAAAAAAAAAAAAAAGGTTATAAGGGATTAATTATTAAAGATGCCTTTAAGGGTTGATCTACAGTGACATATAAGTTAACGATAATACAAAAAACATAAAGAGTCACGAAGCCAATCACTGAACAAGTTTGTTTTTGTATATAATAACTTAAAAAGATTTGTAAATATTATTTCCATATCAATATTATTATTAATACTACTATCAATTCATAAGAGAATATACAATACTAGGTTACATCTGTTCAGCTATACATCATTTAGATATCTTTTTATTCTAATTTTATATCCCTGTAATGTTTAAAAATATTAACTTTTCCGAGCATTCGTCGAATATTATCACATATGACTCCGATAATGAGACTGAAGGCAAGTTGTCTCCTTCCACCTCTACAATGAATCCACATATAAAAAAAAAAACAAACAGTCTGGTAATGAAGATATTAATTCACTCAGGTTAGAATCTACAGAAACATCTATATCCTCCAAAATCACAACATTAAATTCAGATCAATTACCAAAATTTGCTCGAAGACCTTTAAATGATACACCTATTATTTCCACTCTGACATCTCCGACGGAATCCGCTGAACCATCCCCTCCATCAAGTTCAACTTCTTTAAGGAATTTAGACAAAAAGATATGCTCTACTACCAATAATAAAACTTCTTTGAATAAAAATACTATCGTAGATGAAATTGAAGATGGATCTGATTTAAAAGAAGTACCTGAAGAAAAAGAACTTACATCCAGAAGTAGGTTTTCCTTTCCTAAGAGAAGACCTACCACTATTGATGTGCCAGGTCAAACTAAATCAAAGTCTTCGCCTGATGGAATGATTGCTAAGGAGGACTGTGGATCAAAATTGGTTATTGTGATGGTTGGTTTACCTGCTACCGGGAAATCCTTTATTACAAATAAATTATCTAGATACCTTAATTATGCCCTTTACTATTGTAAAGTATTCAATGTTGGAAATACTAGAAGGAGGTATGCAAAGGAACATAATCTAACAGATCAAGATTCTAATTTCTTTGATCCAAATAATGTTAGTTTTGGAAAATTAAGAGAAAAATGGGCATTAGATACTTTAGATGAATTATTAGACTATTTATTAGATGGGACAGGATCAGTGGGGATATTTGATGCAACTAACACTACTAAAAAAAGAAGAAGAACCGTATTAGAACATATTAGAAAAAGAAGTCATGATATTAAGGTACTATTTTTGGAATCTATCTGCACAAACAAATCTGTCGTTGAGAATAATATCCATTTGAAGTTGTTTGGTCCTGACTACAAAGGTAAGGATCCTGAAAAATCTTTGAAGGATTTCAAAGGTAGACTATCAAACTATCTAAAAGCATATGAACCAATTGAAGATGAGGAGAATATTCAATATATAAAAATGATTGATGTTGGAAAAAAAGTCATCTCTTACAAAATTGAAGGTTTCTTAGCTTCTCAAACAGTTTACTATCTTTTGAATTTCAATTTAACTGAGCGCCAAATATGGATAACAAGAAATGGTGAATCTGAAGATAATGTATTGGGTAAACTAGGCGGGAACTCTCGACTAACATCTAGAGGTATTAGATACGCAAAAGCATTGTCCATTTTTATCCACCAACAACGTTATAAATTTTATCAAGAGCAGATAGAGAAAAGACATCATACAGGTGTAATTAAAAGTAAAGATGATATCGTTCAGAACCTAGATGAAGGTGATGATGAAGTAGAAAGTGGTTTTTATGTATGGACAAGCATGCGTACAAGAGCAATTCAGACAGCTCAATTTTTTAATGAAGAAGAGTACCCAATAAAGCAAATGAAGATGTTGGATGAATTAAATGCAGGTGACTATGAGGGTATGACATATAAAGAAATTTTGGACAAGTTTCCAAACGAATTTATGAAAAGGCAAAAAGATAAAATCCGTTATAGATATCCAGGCATTGCAGGTGAATCATATATGGATGTGATTAATAGGTTAAGGCCAGTAATTACTGAGTTAGAAAGAATTGAAGAAAGTGCATTGATTGTAACTCACAGAGTAGTAGCAAGAGCCCTATTAGGTTATTTTATGAATTTAGATATTAATATTATTTCCAATTTAGATGTTCCATTGCACTGTGTTTATTGTCTGGAACCTAAACCCTACGGTATTACCTGGTCTCTGTGGGAATATAATGACGAAACTAATTCTTTCAGTGAAGTTCCACAATCAGATTTGAATACAACCACTGTTCAAGAAATGGGATTGGTAGATAAGGAAAGAAGACTTTCTGTTGTTCCAACAGCACCTCCCACTAGTGATCTAAGATCTAGTGATTTTTTGAGAAGAAGAGTTAGTGTTAGTTTTTCTGGAAGTGGTGTTGAGATTACAAATAAACTAAATCAATCAAATAAAGATAGACCATCGATATTAAGATCAAATACCACTGACTACAAAGATCCAAGAGCTTATAGAAATAATGGGGTAGTTTCTAATTCTATATTATTAAATAACAATTCTAAGGTGTCCAATTCTTCAATATTACTAAGAAAGGCTACTGAAAATAATAGGAATGGAGAACGTAAGAACACAGGTTTTCATTCTATGGAGATGACAGAATTAGCAAAATTGAATGAAAAATTAGCTAAATTGTCTGGTAATAATAAAATTGACTTTGAGAAATCACAAAAACCTAGCCATAAGGAAGCAGATTCTAAGGATACTACAACTTAAAGTCTCAATAATTCATAAATCATCTTATATAAGTTAAAGGTGGTATATAAGAAATATAGATTTTTTTACGTTGTACTAAAAATATAAAAAGCATATTAAGACTATGGTCAGAACATCAAAATATTTATTCAGTAGTGTAAGATTTTTTTTTGTGTTCAAATCTAAATAATATATATTTGTTTTATAAGTTACCATACACAATGCCTATGGCATCCACCCATTCACCAATTCTACCATAAACACCTAATATATATTGGCCAACTGGGGGAATCAATTCAGATAATGAACCACCATATTTATTACCAAACATGTCTGTAACTCTTCCATGACTTGTAATGATTTGGATAGCATCAATCCATGCACCACATCTAACATTAAAACCCGTTATAATTTCATTCATTTCTAATACAATATCAGTATAGTTTGCAGTTTCCTTTCCGAAAAGAACACTGGTGGTTGAACCGTCAGTAATTGAAGACATTGATGATTTAAATGATTGAGTAATTTTACCTAAATAAGTTCTTGGTGGTAGACTTGGAATCTTCTCTTTTTCAGTTTCAAGATTTTTTTGAATAAAGAAGCGAATACCATCCAAAGCAGCACCATGGTACACTCTAACTGATACAACTTTCCTAATATCAAAAGCCTTAACCCCAGAATCTTGCCCACCTTTAGCATTACCTAATAAAGGTGATTTGATACCTTTAACATTTGAAGAAAAGCCGTATTGCTCCATAGGAATAGTAGAAGTTAATAGAGTTTCAGGGAATTTTTCTATGTATAAATCAGGAGAGTTGCAGGCTAATACTCTTACACTGAAATCATTACCATGTTTACGCTGAAAGTCTGGAGGCATCAAATTACATAATTCATCCAAAGATATAAGAACCTCTTTTTGAGGACCACGACCTTGTAAAGACTTAGGTAAAAATTCAACAAAGCCTCTCGATAGATCTTCAGCTACAACTTCAATTAAGTATATACCTGTAGAAGATGTGAACCGTGCAATTCCATTACCCATTGGGTAAAATGCCGGTTTAGCCACTTTATATTTACCATTTTTACTTGGCCTCATAAATGTTGGGTCATAGAAATCAATATCCTTGGTGAAAGAAGGATGATATAAATATCTTAACAGGTCCATTCTATTCCATGTACATTCTTCCTTAGGATAGATAGGAGGTGCACTTCCGTATGAATTTGTTCTTACAGAGTAACTTTCTTTAGTGAGGAAGGATCTATTCAATCTTGTATAATCCCTCAACATGACACCATTAACTTGATGTGGAGAACCCAACAGATGACCAATTTCATGCATAAACGCACCTAGTGTCACAGTAAGACATTCCCAATGTGTCCCACATTCATTACAATCATTGGCGACTTCTTTAATAGAAATTTTGGTATCATCCAAAAAATATGGAACAATATCTTCCATACAAGTTGGCCAAGAATATAAACCATGAGAACCAAAAATAGCCAATTTGAGATCATCAGTACCACCACCTAAGGCTGCATGTCCAGTAATCAATTTACCATCCCAATGAGTGTCTAAATAGATACAAGCAGCTTGAGCGGGTTGCTCTGGTGGGTTAAATGGGCCACCATATTTCTTAAGTGCATCCAGAGCCCAATTAAATAGTGCACCTGTGTTAGTTCCTTTGCTATTTTGTTGGGCTACATTAGGATCTCTGATCTCTTTTGTAGTTTTATCTAAGGTTATAACATGGATTTTTACATTATTTCTCATTTGATTAGATTGTCTAAATTCGGTATCCATTGTATACTCTTCTACGAATGGGAAAGTACGGCGGCCAAATCCATTTCTTAACATTTGTTCATCAGTAAACGCTTGCATTAATCTAGCACCCACTCTTAATTTCTTAATTGCTAAATCGATCCCATTACCACCTTCTTTTCTAATTTGAGAAGAAGGTGAATCATATTTTAATGGTGAATCCTTAGCTACAAGTAGACATAGATGAATTGGTTTATTCTGAACCATTGGTGTATAATAACAGTTTATAGTCTTAACGACATTAGTATCAGTCACAAATGTCAACTTGTTTTCACCTGGGGTCAATATAATAGTGGCTTTAAAGAATTGAGCATTTATTGGGAAAGTCAAAGTTGGTAACTGAGGATGTTGAACTTGAATATTTTGAGCAGCAGATTTAGTACAGGACCCGTGAATTGTGATACATGGAGATACTAATTTCTCATTTTCCTGTAAATTAAATAGTTCAATAGACATTAATGATTTTTGTTTTTTAGGTTGCTTACAGCTATTCTATAATGATGTACTTGTAGGATAAAAGTACTCGAATTTAGTGGTATAGACGTCAAGTAAAATATATCTTAACAGTTCTATACATGAAAAACGTTCGAGATTTAAAGGGATTCAGTTTTTTTTTCTCTGATTTATCATCTTCAATAAATTTTGTTTGTTTATTTTTTCGGATCTTAATCTTCTGACAATAGTTTCCGCTCGAAGAAATCATGATATATATCAAAGTTATAAATAAACAGCGCAGACGTTGCGGGACAGCGCTTATCAAACAAATATTAAAAGGATAAATGGATCAAAAGTGGCATGAAAACTTAAATTAAAGGAATTCCTTGATTTAGAAGTTCTCTAAAACGTTTGCTAATTTGCTTTTTTTACACGTGTATTTTTCTTTATGGCAGAAATATATTTTGTGAATGGCAAGATAGATAAAAAGTTGACAATCTAAGCAATTGAAAATGTAATTAAGTTTTTTATTTTTGCTATTTTAATATCTTACAAATTTACAAATTCACTTACACACACAAATATATATATCTATATATATACTATTGATCTTTTTAAACCAGCGTTTATTTTAAATGTAACAAAATTGATATTTCTATCGATCAAATATTTTTGGAAATCTAATATACTACCTCCCACGCCAAAATAGATGTCTTTGGCAGCTACCAAAATATGATTTTGATTAAGGAATTTCTCATGTACGTCGATCAAAGTTTCAGAAATCAATGGTAAATTTTCTGGTTGATAAATAGTTTCTGATGTAATGAGTAAAATTTCTTCATTGCTGTTAACATCAATTAAAGTATATAACAACTGATTGAATTTACGACCCCAAGATCCTGAAATTAGACTTATTTTTACGTTCCTTCTCTCCATATCATTATAGAAAGTGTCAAGTAATTTATTAGTTAATAACAATTCATCGTCTAATATCGGAATATTTGGATCATTACATCTCTGTAGGTCAGTCCATTGATCCTTGGATAATGTCAACATTGCCCATGTGATAATTAGATTTGGTAAACTAGCTAATCTTAAAACACTTGAATTGTAGTCAGCTAGAATGAAATGGATACCATGATTTGAAGGAGTGGCAAAGGAATCATTTGTCTGTAGAAGATATTGCATGAAAATATATTCGGTTGGAAGTGAAGTACCACAACCCAATTCTACTATATATTTGATCTTATTAAAATTTAAATTAGGTAACAAAGTTTGATCGTGATTTTTTTTAGCAAAGGAATCAACTACGTCGATAGAGCATTCCCATGATTTTAATCCACCTTCATAAACATTTTTTTTCAAATCTTCATTAATCAGTATATCCAACTTCAGATTATTAGCGTCATTTTCTTCACTGTTAGTATCATATTCTGTCATTAATTGGTGTTTTATATCAAATAATTCACGTCTAAATAGCTCTGTTTTTGTTTCTGGTGTATAAATTTTTTCAAACGTTAACCTTACATCTTTCAAGGATTCTAGAAATTGTTGGTAATTTTCAATTTGTGCTTGAACAACTGGATCCTTCAAAAGATGATCAGAATCTAAAGGATTGATAAAATTAGATTGTATGTTATTGGTTCCATTATCAGTATACTTATTTAAAGATGATATATTCTCGACATTTGCATCATATTCAATCTCATCATTATAATCACTCCCAGAGAATCCAAATGAAAAACTCATTTCTTTGCTGGTTTTTTTTTTAATAATTTAACCAAATATACACTTTTACTGAAGTTTTCAATATATATAAATCTATACTAGCGTATGTATATAAAAAGAAAGTATATTACTATAACTTATCATTCTTCTTTTGTCTCTAGTTTTTTTATCTAAATCTTTAAGTTAAAGCTCATCGCAAAACGAATGAAAAATAGATAAACCCATACATTTTTCTCTTTTACATTTTACGATGTGTTCATTAAAAAAAATTGATTGATTAGAGAAACTAGAAAATCACAACAGCATTTCTGTGATTAAATTTTTTGTTTCAGGGAAAAGTTGTGGAGTTTATTGTTACTGTATAGAATAAAACTTGAATTCGTATCTCCCAAAAATAATCCTGAGAGTCTTCATGTATTATTTTTTTTTTTCTTTTTTCAATTGGTAAATTTTTAAGTAAATATAATAAATATTATAGAATAACATCTAAAATAATGTAATTTAATTTTCATTGATAATTTTCTTTTTGTAAATATTTCCTTTGTCTGTGAATGGAAGTGAATTTGATCTTTCATATGCGTTTTATTTATTATACTTTTTTATAACTTTCAATAGAAGATTTAGTAGTATATCTTGAAATAGGATGTTCAAATGAATTCGTTCATATGAGATGAAAGTACTATCAGTTAAAATAAATGATGATGGTTTTATTATTAGAAAAATTTTTGTATTGTTATTATATTATAGTTGTCTAACAACTTTATAGTTCAAGAAATTATGTAAAGATACAGGCATTAAAAAATACTTGATAAGAAATAACTACAATTTATGTATATACTTTATATATGTGTATAAATATGTAAGTATGTATAATATTGTACTCCATATCTAAATATCTAAAAAGAAACTTTAGAGTACAGTTAATATTTTTCTTTTCATTTAAGAGAGGAAAATGTGTTATAAGTGCCAAAGGTACCAAAAAAGAACAGAACAAACTACTTATTTTTAACTTTTATGTTAAAAATGAATCTAAAATATATCATATAGAGACTTAAGAAAAACAAAATTAAAAGTTAGTCATTCAACATTTATAATTTAATTTTTTGTTTATGTAAAAATATCATTCATTTTTTTTTACACAATAATCAAATCTACCAAAATTAAATGAAAACATAAATTATTACTTTTTTGAAAAATAGATAAAATTGAATTCCCAAATAAAACATATACTATTAGTTACTACCAAGTTTTCTTTCTACAATAGCATAACTATTTTTTGATTTAGACCAAATTTGGCACATTTACTCACCACTTTCTTTAAAAATAAGAATAAAGAAGCTGTAAAAAAAACGGCTTTTCAGTATAACAAAATATCCCTACCATTTTTTTGGGCTAAAATGATTAGAAACGAGAAAGTATTAGAACATAACTTTCAAATATTTTAGCAAATCAATACTTATTAATTATGTAATAAAATAGAAATTAAACCAATTACGTGTATATATATATATGAGAAAAAAAATCCATATTAATAGTAATAATACTTTAAGAAATCAAAATGACAGAAAAGAATCATAGAAAATAAATAATTAGGTAATAATATATTTCAATACATAATTATATATATTTTTAAGTTTTTATGGTACTAAAAAAATGAGAAACAGCAGCACATATATACAATACATGTACACTAGATTTGTAGAACATTAAAAGAATATAAATTTATTGTAATAAATAAAGAAAAAAAGATTTGAATGAAAAAAAGAAGAAATTTAAGATAAAAAAAACTAATAGAATATGGATTTCTATCAATATATATATTTATTTTTCTTATCTTATATGTTTCTTCTTCTTGTTTTTACTTTTTTTTTTCTTAGTTAACTTATCTTCCCCCTAAAATTACATCAAATGATTTCATTTGGATTGAACTTGTGAGTAACCACCCCATGGGTTTGCATTCTTTGATTTCAAATATTCATCAGATTTCAATTGCCATTCTCTGTTCATGGACTTAACATCTTCACCAGCAAATTGTCTAAAGAATGCGAACGTAGCTAAAGCAGCAGTTAAGCCAAGGATAACACCCTTAGCGATGAAAACACCATCACCTTTTTCTAAAACTGGTTTTCTTGGACCCCATGCACCATATGATATATACCAAGCAGCTTGTTTTTCAGTGGTAGTTAAGTCCTTCCATGGTAACTTCTGACGCTCAGTTAGTTTAGCTACAATATCCTCTTGTTCTTCTATGGGCATCTTTTCCCAACGACTTTGTAAGTTGTCAATGGAGGCCTTAGATATAGCTTGTATTTGGGAGCATCTGATTGGAATAGTACGGTTGACACCTATTCTTGTAAGAGAGTTACGTAACATCATTTTGCTTTTTCAACTGTTGGGTATATGTTGTGAATATAACTATTTCGATTATTCTTTTTATTTTTTTTCTGTTTGGTCTGTATTCTGCTAAGACTAATAATCAAAAGGAATGCACAATCTTTTTACCTTTCCTGACTATATGTAGATAACGAAAAAAAGAAGAAAACCAAGTAGCTTTCCAGTTTCTAGGAGTTACCCAAGAACTGTGTAGTAAGAAGTGAGAACCGCAAGAGTAAAATGAATCCCTATATCTATTAAAAAAGAGAGACGGCAGAGACAATGAACGCACCGTTGAAAGGAAAAAGCCCAAAACATATGTTAACTATATATAAATAAACAAGCAGATGGGACTATGCGACTTGTGTGAGCATTTCAGGAGAAAAACTTCAAGATGAAAATGCATTAATCAGATCGAGGATAAAGTCCTTTTTCTTTATGTCTGTGTTTATTATGGATAATAACAAGCAACAGCGGACAATAGAGTTCGAAATATTAACGGAGGTGAACAAAAGTAGAAAATTAAAAAAAAAAAATAAGCAAAAAAAACTTACTAACAATAAATATATATAACGGAGTTAATCAATCTAATCCAATAGAAATGTGGGAAAAAAAATGAAGGTGATGAGCAAGAAAGCTTTTCTATTTGATGGAAGGAGAGTTTGATTAAGTACAAAATCAGCTAAACTGTATGTGCAGAGACTATTCATTGGTATGGTGAAGTTCTCTGTGGTCAGGAGGGAACATTGAAACACTTAGAGAACAGAAAGAATGAAAGAGAAGTGCAAAGCGGGTACTAGAAACACATGCCTGCTTTGTGTTTTATTCTACGATTCTTGAAATCTTGGTACTTTTGCTTTTCTCTTTTTCTTGATTATATTTTCAGTTTATACACTCCTTGAGCAGACAATAAGGAGTATTTATATCATCCTAGCTCTGCACGACTGATTTAGCCTTGCCACGAACCATTATACTGTGTAATTATATCTCTACTGATATTCTTTTCCACTCTTACAAGGATATATTTTTACACTCTAGAAAAAGTTGGGATTGTAGAATCATTTTAATGATGTAAACATGAGGAACACTAAAACACATCTTACCTCACATTCTTTTGTTTTTTTGTAGCCGAGAAAACAAAATGTTATTGGTCACTTTGGATAATATTTGAAGATAAAAAGGAAAAAAACTATAAAGAAGCGAAGTTTTGTTATTATTATTTTTTGATAGATATAACGTAAGAAAACTTAGTAAGCAATAATTTTCGTGTATGCAAAATAATATTGCCTTATAAACTTCTATATAACAATATTCAATAAAGGCAATCGATTGAATTATATCTATATTTAGATTTTGTGGTATTTGATAAATACGTAGTACATACAATATGCATACAAGTCAAGGTAGACTATCAATACCAACTAGACCTTGAGAATAGAAAGCACCAAATACTATTCTTTACCACATAGGTTGAAATTCTGTGAATTTTTCATGCTGTAATAAATTAGTTATTCTGTATCTATGTTGCAAATTAATAGGTAACATTAAAGATGGTTTTTTAACATGTCTATGTTTATCCGTGTTAACTGTAGAAATATTTAGAAGAGTCTTTTCGATCGATGATGATACGGTTGGAGTTGAATTTTTTCCAACAGAGATCATAGATTGCTTTTTATTAGTTTCATTATAAGACAAAATAAATAATTCTGTCATGTTTTTCTCCAGGTTTCTTTTTAACTCAGAACTTATGAGATCTGTTTTACATACCAGTTCATCCCATCTAATCCAATTCATGGGCAATTCATTAAATTTTTTATATTCTTCATTTTCAAATTGTAATCTTTGTGATAATGAACAACTATGAAATATATTCATATATTCATTATCTTTATTTAATTCACCAAATAAAAATTGTGGTTTAAGTATATTCCATAACTGTAATCTTTCATTAACATTAATTATAGGCGAAACCGTAATGTCTTGTCTATTTAGTATCTTTGTTATAATTTGAGAATCTCTTAATATTAACAGTAATTGTAAATCAAATACATATCTGATTGAATCTTTAACAATATAATATATTGGGATATGTCTTAAATTTGTTGCATCTAGTTCACCATTAAATTTAATTAATTTTAACCCTAAAGGATACATGTTTCTTATACGACGTCTTTTCTCAATCTCTAATCTTTTCTCCTTTCTTTCTAATTCTAATTCTTTTTCTTTGAATACCTGTTCTAATTTTTTAGCTTCCTCAAATTTTTGTTTTTCCTTTTCTTCAACACGCTTCTTTTCATCTTCTTGTAATTTTTGTATTAATTCTAATTCTTTACGTCTCTTATTTTCAAGCTTCCTTTGTAAATATTCGTCTTCTTCAGCTTTCAATCTTTCTTGTTTTTTTCTTTCACTTTCCATATCATTATATTTTACCTTTTTATCTATATGCTTATCTGTACTATTATCACCTTCATTGTCCCTATTCTTACCACTATCATTCTCATTTGTTTCTAGTAATAATGATCTTTTACTTGGTATACTATTGCTGAAGGATGGTGAAGTGTGTCTATATCTAGATGTTGGTATAGTAGCATCTTCATCTTCATCTTCATTATTATCAGCCAAATTCACATTTTCAACTTCCTTCTGAGATTTCCCTGATTCTTTTTTCACTGTAATATCATCATCAAATATTCTATTAACACTGTCATTTGTCTTGATTGTTGTGGAATCTTTATCAGAACTTTTTTTCTTACTTTTATTCTTTAACAGATCATGGTTATGATTGTGAGTTTTATCATTTTCTTTATTTATTTTTTTTTCTTCTCTTCTTCTATTCTGTTTTTCCTTTACCTCATATTCCTTTTTTTCTTCCTTTATACCATCAGTAGTTGATTCCACCATTCCTCCATGTAATTTGATTGACTTTATTAATAATGCAATTTCATCATCATCAACTACACCTAGCGGACTATTTTTTGAATAAAATAGAGCATCATAGCCTTTCTTATTTTTAATTGTTGGATCTGCACCAGCTTCTAATAATAATTTTACAGTTCCAAAATGACCACGTCCTACCGATACCATTAATGGTGTATAATCATCTTTATTTAGTTTATTAACTTGTGCACCGAACGCAAGAAATAAACTAGCAATGTCTTCATGACCGAATTTAACAGATTCAATAAACGCTTTAAAATCTATACGTCCCCCATTTTCAAGATATTGCCCTACATATACTAAATTACCTTCTTTTGAAGCTTGCATCAATTTTTCTTTACCTGTTTTAGACGTTAAATCAGTCCAAAGAAATTCAATGTCATTTTTAATCTTATTTGGCTTATGATTTAATAACGTATCTTCATGATGATAATGACTATGACTCTTATACTTATCATCATCATCGTTAGAATCATTACTAGTAACACCATTGAAATCAGAAATCATATTATTCTTACTTCTAGCATTGTTCTTAAAATCTCGTCTATATGTATAGCTTGGACTTTGTAAATTATGGCCCATTGATTTATCATTATTATGACGACGTGCATTAATCCATGCCTGCGTGCCTCTTCTTAGTGTATCTTTAATGTCTCCTACTAATTCTTTCTCGTGTTCATCAAGATCTGAATCCTCCTCGATTGCTTCATACGCTGTTAATCCTTTTGCATTTATTACCGTTGGATCTGCACCTTTAGATAATAAATATTCAACGACTTCAAGATGGCCATTAGCTGATGCATCGATAAGTGGGGTATCTTTGAAATATTCAAAAGATTGTATATTAACATTTGCACCATGATCCACCAATAATTTAACTATATCTAAATGACCATTCAAGGCGGCTTCATGTAACGGTGTATTTCCAGCATTATCTTGATCATTAATATCGATATTTGAATCTGGGTTATCTGAAGCTTCTGCAAGAATTTTTTTAACAACATCTATCTTACCTTTATCACATGCAATTTGAAGTCTTGTTCTACCACCAAAATCTCGATAAACACTTTTCTTGTTTCTTGATCCTTTTGAATTTGCACTGTTATTACTATTATAATTTGACCTAGATTTAGGTTTTGATTTAACACCTTTATTAAATGATGAAACAGCTTCCTTGTCATCCTTCATCGAATTACCATTAAGAAAACTACTGTTAATATTTATATCTTTATTATCGTTAATATCAGACAATTCAGAGTCTGATTCATTATAAATTGTAGAATAATTTAAAACATTTGATAGAGTTTGTAATTTATCACCTCTTATTAATCGACCTCTTCTAACTTTAATTGGGGAACCCCTTGGTGTTTCTGTATCGCTATTTATCGTATTTTGTTCAAGTAATGATGAGAAAGGCTTTTCATTATCTTCATTTGAATTTGATTCATGATTTTCTGCATTTGATATTGATGATGACTTCGAATTAATAGAATCGTAATCTATTTGTGGTTCTTTTAATACAGATTTCAACTCTTCTCTTGAAAAAGGTGTGAAATAACTATTATTAATTGTAGTATGCTTTACACCTTTTTCCTGTGAGGGAGAATTTACGATTTTGGAGTCATCGACATGTAATTTGGTTTCATCTTTAGCATCTGCTATTTTTTTCTCATTTTCTTCCTTTTCAGTTTTTATTCTATTTTCATTAACAAAACTCATGATACTGGCTTTTAATATGTCGGCACTTTCAATCTTTTCACTTAATGGTTCTACTGATTTTTCTTTAGATGATTTATTAGTAGTGTTAAAAATGTCATTTTGCAATGGTTTAATACCTTCTTTCACATTTGATTCCATCTTTTTTGTATGCAATTTAGACAGATAGCTACTCAAAGACCTTCTTTTTGGAGAATGTACTACTGTATCAGTTGTGATAGCTTTTGTTGATGTCGCATAGATGGGTTTGTTTTCATTTATTTTATTGAAATTAGACATTATGAAATGATAAAACTAGTTTAGATATAAAACACACACACGCACATATATATATATGTATATATATGCATATAGATATGACAATGAATAAGTGAAAAGTATATATATTTATGGATTCTTGTGTATGTGGTATACGTGCCAGTAGTAACAACTAGCTGGGATGATTGCTCGTGAATAAAGCAAAGCTATTATTTCTATTACTATATTAATAATGCTACATGGAACCAAAAAATATAACATAATTGTATGAATGAGTCTGTGCTAAATGTTAATACTATTTTTTAAGAGTGGTTATAATAGTTTTATCTTATTTAGTTTTTCTTATTGTTCGGCATTACCCTCCTATAGACAAAAATGATTCCAAAAAAAAAAATCGTGAATTTATTTTTTGCAAAAATAGATATTCGTATAACATGACCGGAAAGCATATTGTTTTCTTGCATAAATACTTGTAGGTCGATTTATTATATTTTACGTAAGATCGTCTATTATATTTCTCAAAAAAATTTCTTGATAAATGTGTCATTTTAAATCCATTTATATAAATAAAGTCACCGTTAGAAAACAAAAATTCTTTAATTTATTGCAAAATATGTTTAAGTTCACTTCAAAAAGGATGAAGATTTTTATATTTAGGTTTTTATAAAAAAATCAAGTTAGATTTTATAATTAAGATAAATCAGAATTATTATAATTTATGTAACATACATTCGCAGAGCTCATCAATAATGTCACAGTTTTTTTTTCAGGACCCTTTGTTTCTGTTTAACAGTCAAAAAAAAAGGAATTTAAAAAAGTATCAATGACTAATCTCTTTTGAAACTTCATTTTATTACCTTTTTGATTATTGTCAAGGTAACAAGAAAATGCAAAATTACCTAAATATAAAAAATTTGATTACATTCTAGAAACAACTGCTGAATTATCATCTGTGGTATTAAGATATATTATTGAATCAATTTCGCCAATAATTAATGTGCACTTCACTTCTTCATATAATAATATACAAAAGGAAGGGGACAAGTTTATTCAAAAAATATTTAAATATTCCCAAGATGGAAAAACAAGTTGTGATAACAAGTATTACAAAAAACCATTACACTTAAAACATTTTAGTTATGAATCTACACCAATTGTTGAAATTGAAAATAGTTATAATTTTCTACGTGGAATAATATAACTTAAGTAGTATCGCTCAACTCAATATGACTTCCATTTATGTATGTCAATAGATCTGAAAATAGATATATGAGTATATTTCAGTTAGAAAAATAAAAAAAAAATTTTATTTTCTATATCTTTGTAAGCAACACCTACTAAGACATCAGTATAACTTATGACATCAAACACATAAGAATGATTTTCCAAGAATAACTAACATGCTTGTTGAGATCTGTTTTGCGTTACCAAGTCACAATTAGTTCACGCACACGAGAATTTTAAGGTTGGACACAATCTTCTATTTTATGAATAACAAGACAGAGGATAATGTGATTTCAAACCTAACAAGGTAATTAATCCACTCTCATTATCCAACGAGCATATTAGTAAGTCAATAACTAAGTAAAAAAATATAAGAAAATATATGAATCAATTATGAAAAGAAATTGATATAAATGTCACTAATGAGAGAGAGTTTCATATTGGTCTAACTTTTTAGCTCTATAATTGTGGCCAATTGAAATTTAATGGTCACTTTATGTAGAATCACTTACTAGAACATTTTCTTGAAAAGTTAAACCTTAAACTAATAGAATTTTTAAACTACAAGTCCCAAATTCGAATTACATTACCATTATTAATAAATAAAAATTTGAACTATGTGATAAACTTGAAAGCATTAATTCTATACCAATTTGATATAAAAAATTTAATGTTGTGAATACAAATGAGGCCAAAATTTCTAACGGGGACAAAGATAGCCCTAATAATGAAAGTATCAAATTTGACTTCTTACGTAAACTATAGTTAGAAGATTATAAAGGTAATAATTCTGTGGCATCGATGGAAAACTTTATTTTTAATTTGCAAAACTTAAATTAGAATATTTTTCAACTTCATAGCGCTAGTGATAATTTATTATAGACATAAAATAGCTTACAATAGAGTTAGTAAATGATGTTATTGAGCTTCTCAGCTAAACCAAGGTTCATGGCTAAATGGTGTTTATCAGGAATGATAAGTGATATGACCAGTTTTTGGGACCTAAATAGTTCTCTTGGTTTAAAAATACATTGAAATTGTGAGTAATTTTATGATATTGAAAAATTGATTAATATCTTTACTTGTTTATAACTAATTTTAACATCTTTCGTCCTTCTGTTGTTCAAATTGAGTTATCTTGCTATAAACCGCACCAAGAAGTTATTTATCTAAAATTGTGTGTTATTCACAGAAGAAATTCTCCACATTCTTGTTATTTTAGAAAAAAAAATACCATCTCTTACAGATTTTTTTTTATGTGAAATTTTTTAGTCACTTGAAACAAAATTTATCATTTCGGACTGCAAAAAATCTATGCACACATCTATCTATGTAAATAACAAATGCAAATACATAGATATATATACATATGTCACTGGCAGATCTACAAGAGATAACCGGACGTTATATTGTTTAGTGATAGTCTCTAGCAGTCCACCTACAATATAAATAAAATATAAATACACACAATAAAATAAAGCAGAAAGCAAATCAAAACTAAATAATGTCTGTAGCACCATTCTTTTCGGATATATTCCAAAATATTAATACGCTTTTAAATAAGGATTTCTTCCACAATGTACCAACAGCAGTCAATATTTCAACTATTACTAAATCTGGATTAAAATTTAATGTAAATGGGAAGCAGTTATCCAAAGACGCACCACTACAAACTGGTATAGAAGCAAGATTTTTTGACAAATCAACTGGACTCCTATTATCTCAAGGCTGGACTAATAAAAATAGATTGGATACCAGAATTGAATTATCTTCTTTGGCACCTGGCTTGAAAACTGATTTCTTTACGAGTATTATTCCTAATCAAAATAAATTTGTAGCATCTGAATCCACATCAATGTCCAATACTCCCAATACAACAACCACAACCACTAATATTACTGCAGCAGCAAATACAGGTCGCCATAATAATAATTCCACAGTCGATGAAAAATTGGAGTCGGTTAGTAATACAACTAAAGATATGATTAAAACTGCTATTGTTAATGTTTCATTTGTACAACCATTCTTTGCTGCAAAGGCAACTTTTGATTTATTGAAAAAACCAAGTATCATTGGTAATTTAACTTTAGCACATGACGGTTTCGTTGCAGGTACAGAAGTTGGTTATGATCTCACATCAGGTTTTATATATCGTTATGCAGTAGCATTAGCATATAGAACCAAGGGTTGTAACGTTGGAATCTCTATCAATGATGAACAATTGACAACTGCTTCATTCTTCCAGAATGTGAGTAAGTCATTGCAGGTTGGTTCGAAAGCAACATTGAATCCCAAATTAGGTTCTAATGTTAACGTTGAGTTTGCTACAAAATATTTACCTGATCCAAGTTCTCAAATCAAAGCCAAGATTACAGATGTGGGAAAGCTGACTTTATCTTATAAACAAAATTTGAAGGCAGGTGTTACCCTTGGTATTGGTGCTTCTTTGGATGCCTTAAAATTGGATGAACCTTTACAAAAAGTGGGCTGGTCATTATCATTCATCACTCCATAATGTTAACGTTTATGAATATTGCAGTATTAGCACACATAGACACACACACATATATAAATATGTATATATCTATATATTGATAGATAGACAAACTAAACAAAAATATAAATAACTGAATAAACTTATAAATGGAAGCCATCGATGGCGGAATACTCAAGCCTTCTTTTCCGAGTATAACAGATGTTTTTTCCGCTGTCCAACTTCAAAAGAGAAAGAAAATTTAGTAATAGCAGTAGGATGAACGGAAAAGAGAACAGCTGCAATAACAAAAAAAAGACTTTTAATTTTAAAACATATTGAGATGGAGCATTAAATTTAACAAGTTAATTGTTGTGCAAAGAAGGTATCTATCATATATATAATTAACTTTTGGTAAGATCGTTGTTAAGCTTGTTTTTGCAGCTAAGTGGTAATTATATACACATTATAGAGATATATTATTAGAGTAAAAAAGATTGTTATTCAGAAGTGTTATATTACTGCATTTAACCAAAAGATTTCATTGTTAATTATTCATTTTCTGTCTCTGAATCATATATTTTTATTTATTTATTGATAGAATCAAAGAATGGAAGAAATTATTACCACCATATCTGAAGATTTAGGATTTAAATCTTTGGGTGCAAAAGTTATCTTACCGCCATTTCCAAATGAAAAATTACCTTTGGCTAGCTTGAATGATTTTAAAATAAATAATGAAGCTGGTCTGTTTGTAGCTACATGTTCAAACCAAGTTATATTTGGGGATTTACAAAAATTAAGAGATTTTATACTATCTGAAAATGATACAAAGAATGATTTGTCATCATATAATCTCACCATATTAAATGATATTATAGAAGATGATAATGACAATATCATATCTGTTGATATTTTATATCATACTAAGCAAATTGTCGTTGTTACTTTATATGGTAAATTGTTTTTTATTGATTTCGAAACTCCCACGACTCCAAATCCATCTAAACAAATCGATTCTGATATTAAAATATTGAAATGCTTAATTATTGCTGATACCTTATATTATATAGATTCTAATCATTCACTAAAGTGTTTTCAGCTTTTAATACAGGATGATTCCCAAATGTTGATTTCTGATAATGTAGCTGACTTTGATAAAACTTTAAATACAAATGAATTAGTTGTATTAACTAGAAATGATTGTAAATTGCAATTCTATCATATTTTGAGAGGGACGTTATCGTTGGAAAGAACTCTTGATCTTCCAGAAGAGATCATATCAACTATACAAGAAAATGACGACGATGACGAGTGTATCTCATTGAATGTCGTAACATTGTATCATAAACAGTACTTATTAGTTTTTGGTAATTCTCCAAATCCAAATAATGATGGTGATGACGACAATATAGAGGTTGTATATAATCATAGAACATATATGGTGAAATTCGATTCAGATAATAAAGCCACATATTATGAAACCTTCGATTTGGCTCCAGCGTTTGGTGTAATTAAACGAGTACCTTCAATTTATAACATTTTATTACCGGATTTAGTTGACAACATATCTAATTTCAACATTATTACTTCTTCGTGTTCCACTGAACTATCAATATGGGATTCAAATGAAATTGTCCAACCAGACCAAGATAGTGAACGTGCAGTTCTACCTATTAGCAAAGAAACAGATAATGATACATGTCCTGTTGGTATGGCATTAGATTATTCTACAGTTGGTACTATAACAGAACCATGTTCTGGGGTTGACTCTGTAGATAAATTACCTTTAATATATGTGTTAAATAACGAAGGTAGGTTGCAGATATGGGGGTTTTATCATAGCCATGCGATTAAACAAAAAACATTTCACGTTGAAAAAGTAGCAAGCTTTTTTAAAGATCAAAATGTAATGGTATTACCCGATACTATAGAAGAGAAACAAGGTGAAAGGGATGTTGACACAATAAATTCAAATAGATCAGATGAGTCATCTATTTTTACAAAGAAAGACGATCGAAATACTGTAATTACTACGAACGAAGGTGTTCGTGAATCAGTATTACATACTGAACCGGATATTACTACTTCAAATAATGATGATATCACCAACTCTATGGGAAGTTTTTCTTTTGGTCAAACAGATAATAGTAATAACAGTACTGATATTCAAAAACCAGCATTCAGTTTTGGTTCATTGACTTTTGGTAATTCAACTGATTCTTCCTTTAAAATTATGGATCATGTAGAATCAAATAAACCAGTGTTTGGTTCAAGTACATTTAATCAAAATAATAACAATAATCCAAGTAATAATAAGACGTCAGCTTTTGGTGTTCCCTCATTTAACCAAAGTTCCAAGAATGGTTCTAATTCAACAATGGAAACAATTTTTGGAAAATCTGCATTTGGGAAACCATTGTTTGGCCAATTAGAAGTAGGGAGTACCTATAGTTTAGCTACAGAGTCCGTATTTGGAAAGCCTGCGTTTGGTAAACCATCATTTAGGCAATCAGATGGAGAGAGTACTAATAATGTAACTACAGAATTCGTATTTGGAAAGCCTGTGTTTGGTAAACCATCATTTGGGCAATCAGATGGAGAGAGTGCTAATAATGTAACTACAGAATTCGTATTTGGAAAGCCTGTGTTTGGTAAACCATCATTTGGGCAATCAGATGGAGAGAGTGCTAATAATGTAACTACAGAGTCAGTATTTGGAAAGCCTGCATTTGGAAATTTTAGTTTTAATGATATGGAATTTGACAAGTCTCCTTTTGCTAGTATTGCTAACAAAAAGTCACCATTTGCTAATCTATCTAATAAAGAGTCTCCTTTTGCTAGTATTGCTAATAAGGAATCGCCACTTGCTAATTTATCCAATAAAGAACCTCTTTTTGCAAATACAACTGATAAAGGATCTGTATCTAAAAGTTTGGAAGAATCTCGAAACCAGATTAGTGAACAAAAATATGATTTCAGCCAAACAGATAATATAGAAAATACTAAAAAGTCTATTAGTGATGATGAAAAAGTTAAAGAAGAAATATTAAATCACTCTATGTCTGAACCCAACGATGATCTTAGTGACTCTACAATAGAACAAACACCTTCCGTGTCATTACAGAAGAATGAATCCAACTTTTCCTTATCCGCTTTTACCAGTAGTCTTAAAAAAACAGCAAATATACCAACATCTAACTTTACCAATATTAACTTTGGGCAATTTAGTAATAATAATACTGAGAAAAGCTCATCTCCATTTGCCTCATTTGCAGATGATTTGAAAAAACCAAATACCCCATCTTTTTCTTTCTCCAATCTTAACATTAGTAATGATGAGAAGAAGGGCCAGGAAGAGGAACCAAATAATTGTAAAATAGATGAAAATAAGAATAATGGACTATTATCTGACAAAATTAATCAAGATTCTGAGGTGGAGGAAAAAGATGCAGTATCAACCTTTGGGGACAATAAGGATAAGGTAGAGGATAAAATTATTAGTAAAATATCAAACATCGATGAGATATCCAAATCAGATTTAAAATGTGAACAAAGAGATGAAAGAACAAATGATGGCGCAAAAATAAAGGAACCAACTAATGTAGATAACGAAGCAAATGAACTTTCTAGTGATTTAATAAATAAGAAAATAATGGAAGAAAAGCAACCAATTGAAACAAACATAAAAGGACCTAATACAGCTGAGAAAGACAATGAAGTGTCTGAAACTGCTAACCAACTAAAAGTAAACGATGAGAGGGAAGATACTAAGATTGTTTTAGATAAAGATGATCACTTAGATAAGAAAGATAATGAAGTAGATGGTCAAACTAGTTTTTCAACTGTTGAAATATCAACAGAAATATCCAAGGACAGAAAGCGGTCTGAAAATGTAGTGGTTAAAAATAAAGAGGACAAGAACGATGGGGAGTTAATTGACAAACCAGAAACCAAAATCTCAGAGATTCTTAAAGAAAAAATTGATGGTGTTAAAAAATCACACTTGGTTGATAAATGTGTGGACACAACTATTCAATCTGTCAGTCAACAAATACAAACAGAGCCTATTGAGTATAAAGATTCAAGCATTCAAATGAAAGAGTTTACTTCTCAGTCGTGCCAAACAGATGAAATAAAATACGAAACTTTTCAAATGAAGTCATTTGAAGAAGACGAAAATTATTTAGCTGAGATATACATACCTTTGTCTTTGGGTCAATATTACACAAATGCTAATATTTTAAATATTCCATATGCATCAGCAAATAAAACCATGAAATTATTTGAAAGTACTTATCAGCAAGTCAATGCAGAATTTCAGGTCTTAGAAGATAATCTTAAGTCAATGAAACGCTTTTTTGAGGATCAAACAACTATTAATCTAGAGCAACGTACAGAACAATCTGTTGGAAATAAATACACTTGGAGAATACCTGAAGTCAAACAGTTATTTAAGATTGTCCAAAAGAGGCAGTTAAAAATTGATGAAAGATCTAAAGATATTAATGAGTTAGAGGCAAAGATTTTTATGTTTAAAAAGAAAGAATGCCATATATTGTTGCAACAAAGAGATGAAATTAAAGAAAGATATTCTCAAATAGATTACTTAAAGACAGAGGTATTAAATAATCAGTATGCTCCATTAAGTTATCATCAAAACTCGTTGAAGAAAATATTACGTGAAAAGATGTTAAATTTGGATAAACAATCAGAAGAAATTAGCCAATGTCTATACATATCTAAATTGTTTGTGAATTATCTTACGGATCCATTAAATACAGATATTAGATCACTTCTTATGTCAGCAGAATATTTTGATGTATCAAACAAACTAAAGCCAAAATCTGTTAATATTAATACTGTAAGTAAGATTGGTCGAGACCAAATACAATCACTAGATGTTGTTCAAGTCGGCTTAGATATTAATGCAAAGAAACAAATGGGTAAATTTTTTAAAGAACTTCATTCTCAAAAGTTATGAAGTATGTATAGGAAAGCAAAACTGTTGCATCAAAATAATTACTATAAAACAAGAAAATGGAAGCATAAACCGTACTCGTCATTATACATAAATGACTCTTTTTTTTGTTTGTGTGGTATTATTTTTTATATTTTAATATATATATATATATGTCTATACAGGTAGGTTTTTTTAAAATAAAGAAAAGTTTAAGAAGTTCAAAATGTGTTAAACTTGAGCAGGTACAAGGTATAAAATCATTGGAATACAGCTGTAAATTTGAAGTCAGTTCACTTGGCTAGTTCTTGTACAGTTTCTTTGAATTTTTGGATTAAAATATCATTTTCTTCTCTCGTCCCTACTGTTACTCTTAGACATCCCTGACAGCCCAATTCCATCCCTCTGAATCTAATCACTACGCCACATTTTGTAGCCAAAGTTAAATAAATCTTTTTTGCTAATTCATTATCACCTTTGTTAATTCTAATTAAAATGAAATTAGCATCCAATCCACCTACATATTGATCATCCACATAAGGTATGGAAGTTAGCTCTTTTACAAGGCGAATTTTTTCTTCGTTTAATGTCTTGGTATTGACTTCCATTAATTCTAGATTATGATCTTGAACTGCTTTTATACCATGCTCAGCAGTGATGGTAGATATATTGTATGGGGCTTTCATAGCATTTAAAACTCTTGCTAAATCAGCTGTAGCAAAAGTCATACCTAATCTGATCCCTGCAAGACCAAAAGACTTTGACAAAGTTTGTAACGTAACTAAATTTGGATATTTAGTCACTAATGGTGCAGTAGAGCCTCCACAGAAATCTATATAAGCTTCATCTATAACAACAAGACCATTCTTCCAATTTTTTAAAATGTATTCAATTTTTTGGACGTTGATTTTGACACCTGTTGGATTACCTGGGGATGTTATAAATGTTAGTTTTATTGAAGGATCATTGTTCAATATTTCCACTGCTTTAATCTCGTTGACTTGGAAACTATTATCACCAACAATCAAAGGGCATTCAATTACATCGACATCATTAATATTCGCGCAGACAGAATACATTGAATAAGTTGGCGGCATAACTAAGATTTTTTCCTTAGCTGGAACACAAGTAGCCCTGATGATAGCATCAATACTTTCATCAGACCCAACACCAAGACAGATATTATCTGCTGTTAACGGTAAAACATCTGGAATCTGTTTAAAAGATGATGTCTTGTTTCTATAATTTGCTAATGCAGTTTTGAATTCAATTTGGTGTGGGTCAGGATAACGGTTTAAAGTAGAATCTTTTAATTCTTTTTGTGTTGGACCCCATGCATTCTCATTTGCATCTAAAAGAATTCCTTCTGTGAAATCATCTCTGGCACAACGATAAGGTTTCAAATTATAGATTTTAGGTCTGACAATCTTTTTCAAATCAAAACTCATTTCTAGCTTTTCAATATGATAATAGGCGGTATGTTAAAAGTTTCAGTATGTTTGCTTTTATTATTAGGTTATATATTTAAAAGGAATTAGATAGAAACACTACCTAGATGCTTACTCATGGAAACTTAAGGGGTAACGATCTTACAATACACCAATATATATTCAAGAATCAGCATGTATTCTAAGGTCGAATTAGTACTAGTAAAGACAAAAAAACATAAGAAGAATGTTGAATAATTGTTTGCTAGCATCTACTCAATGACTCCAGTCACCCAAATATATATATATGTGAATGTATATGCATATAAAAATGACTAATTTTTTTTTCTTTTAGATTTCCCTTTGTTTCTTGAGCAATTATTTTTCTTTTTCCTGCAGAAAAGAAGTCACTTGAGTGGTCCAAGGGCTATTATTATAATGTCATCTTTATCGTGGCACATTCTTTTTTTTTTCCTGCGTAAAAATAATATCCACGACCAAAAGAAAGACGAAAGAAATAAGAAGAGATATGTTAGATTTGAAAAGACCCAATTGTATTTCCAACATTTTGGAAGACACCATAAAGAGTTGGCATCGTTAAAGGAGAAGCCCTTGTATGTGCTTATTTTGGGTAGATGTGACAAGAAATAGGTTAATGATAACAACGATGGTGGTTTATCTACATAATTGGGATGCGTTAAACCCGTGTTTCTTCTTTTTGTAGAGAATTATTCCTGTTATTACCTTAAATGAAAATGTTATATATTTAAACGTGGTCTTGTATTCGTGTCTATATAGATAGTAATATATAAATCAGTATATATTTCTCGAAAGGACGTTGGTATAATATTTTGATCTGTTAAATATTCCACTCTAGGTTTACGTAATTAAAGTAATATTGTGTTTCATGTTACTCAGTACATAAAGTTACAATTTCTTGGTGTTTTCTATAATTGACATTTTTTTATCAGTAGTGTTATGCGTATATATATGTATGTATCATTGAAACCTCCGAAAGAAAGATAGTAATTTTTTTTAATGAAATGTTTGTATTTAGAATAAAAGCTTTAAGCTTTAATAAGATGATATTCTTTACTATTTATGATAGTCAAGCAACTGGATCAAAAGGATATCTTTTAACATTGAAAAGCTTCTATTTAAAGATAAAAGTACATATTTATAAGAATATAATACATATAATATTTAATAGTCTAGTCGGATAATTAGATTATTTATTATTTTTAACACTATTGTTGAAAAAGGGGGAAGTTGTGAGGAAAAAGAAAGTAAACTAATTCCAATCGATAAAAATTTTACATGATTACACAACTATTTCCACTGTCGTTATTATTATTGTTGTCACTGTGGCCATCTTGTTGACCTACAGTCAATGCAACTCTAGCAGCTTCAGTAAATGCTTCATTAACACCCTTATTAGATTTGGCACTACATTCTAAATAACGTAATGCACTAATTTGTTTAGCCATAGCCAAACCTTCTTCATATGATATCAGTTTATTATTTTTATTCTTGGAGTTGGTATTGTTACTGTGAATATTATTTGGAGTTATAGCTTCAGTGTCGTTATTTCTTAAATCGCATTTCAAAGCAACAAGAACTAATTTAACACCTTCGCAATGATCAGTAATTTCACTAACCCATTTATTTTTAACGTTTTCTAAAGAGTCATACGAGTCTACACTAAAACATAGCATAATTGTATGAGTATCAGAATAAGATAAGGATCTTAATCTATCAAATTCTTCTTGTCCTGCAGTGTCCCATAATGATAGGGTAATGTGTTTCCCATCAACGAATATATCATGGATATAATTTTCAAATACAGTAGGTTCGTATACTTCAGGAAAATAACCTCTTGTGAAAACATTTAATAATGAGGTTTTACCACATGCACCATCACCTAAGATAACAATTTTTCTTTCAATTGGTTTCTTAGATACGGTTGAACTGGATGAGCCACATAAAAATGCCATATTTAAGAAATTGAGTACGGATAGTGATGCTAAGTTTCTTTTTTATTATCTTTATTATTATTATTCTCTCTTCTTGCGTATTTAATTTTGATGTTAAAATAACAAGGCCAACTCCTTCGCAGTGTATTGACTGTATTTACTTATAGGTATGTGGTAGTAGTAGAGGAAAATAGATAAATATTCAAAACAACAAAATTATAGACATATACTTTAAAGAGTCTGATATTAAGTGACTATATTTACAAATATTTTTAATGAGATTGAATTGTAAACAAAGATATTGTGCATGGTTGTTTACTATCAAAAAGGGTATACACATAACAAGAGTAATGATGATGGTGATGCTAATGATAACAATGATAATTTACTTGCTATAGTGGCAAGGGTGAAAGCAGCTTGGCAAATTTTTGTTTTTCTTCTGATCAAAAAAAATTGTTTAAATTAAAAAAAAAAATAAAAAAATAAAAATAAACATAAACAATTACATTACCCGGTTTTACTATTTTTAAAACCTAATAATTTTTGGGAAAGCTTTTGGAATAAAGAGAAAATATTTTACGTAACCCTAATAATGATAATTTTATTTTTTTCAGAAAGCAATATTTTCTTTTTTTTTTTATCTTTTATTTGAACAAAGAAGAATCTAGACAATATAGAAAAATAATTGTTATAATTGCTAGCTGATAACGTACCTGTGTATCCATGGTTACTTATATATATCTATATACCAAATATACTGGGTACAATAGGTATGAATATTGTATGTTGTTTTTTTTTATGATCATTCCTAATGAGTTACTTATCTTTATGAAATCTTTCTTTTTTATTCTTTTCTTTAACAGAGAAGTCTTTTAGTCAGTCTTTCTCTCCAACTATAAGACTTTTATGTTATTTTCCTCTCTCGTCTTTTTTTAATAACGAAAATGTTCAATCGATTGGTATAACAAAACAGATACAACCATTTTTGTAAATGGATGGTTTATTTTCTTGAGCTATAGCTATACTACTACACTAAATCTTGCATTAAAATATTTACCAAAAAATAAAAATAAATAAATGAAAATCTGGAGAAGTATTTAATCGTATATAAATTAGTTCATCTTTTTCCTTTAGATAGCATTTTTGGTTTATTATCATAAGAAAGAATAATATGATAATTCATTATAAGATTTTATAGTATTAATTTTAATTGAGTCGATTACATTTCCCAGAAATGGTAATAAGAGTGTGTAATTCAGTAATAAAAATTATATATTTTTTCAGAAGTTGGTTAAATCTTAAATTTAATAGCTAGGTTAATCAAGTTGAGTATTTGGAAGCTGGACCTATTATGAACAATCAGGGAATGTGTTTACTCGACATGAAATTTAGTACAGACAAGGGTTATAATCGTAACAGTAAGAGTTTGTTAAATCTGGCTGATTTGTTCTTTTTTTTTTCAAACTTAATTTAAACTATGACTTTGAAAAAGTTGTTTGGTTTTTATTGCATTATATCAACCTAAATACATGTATTATAATTTTTTGTCATTATAAAATAATTGCAGAAATATAATAGAAGATGTAAATATATGAAATATGAAAGTTAGTCAACTATGTTATTAGGTTTAATTATAAAAAAATAAAACGAATACACATAATATTGTTTTTGATCAACAGTTTCGTCGTGTTATTAGACATAGTTAAGTTTTTGAACAATAAGTTGATCTATAAAAGAAGTTTTAGACGTGTATATGGTTTAAATAATGTAGAACTTATAAAACATTATTTTCTCCATAATACAAAAGATGATAGAGAGAGTCCCAGAAAGAAGAGATTTCTGAATTAAAAACAAAGCTGAAGAATCTTTAATGAATGAAAATTGAATATGGAAACGATTACATGATGATAGCTCTTTTATAGATGATATTTCATTGTCGTTGTGGAATAGAGAACGTTTATCTCCAAGAATCGGGTCGTTAAATAAAAGTTTTATGACAGAGTTAAAAAAAAAATTATAATACTGGTATTGCCAACAATGAGTTTTAGGTAAAAAAGGCAGACACACTAATAAAATCAGAGTATATTGATTTAGTAAATTTAGAAGAAACATATTCTTTTGTGTTGTTAATGGCAACATGTATTCAAACATGTGTATATAAACAATAGTAAGACTATTTATTAACAGAAGTATTTTTTAAAACTATCCCTTTAAAACGAATGAAACCTGGTATCTTCTGTTAGTGATTTATTAGGATATATATAATCATTGAATAATCTAGTACATTAGTAAAAAATGGAGTTTATATGTGGTTGGTGAGGAGGCAGAATACTGTGTAATACAACATATTCAAACAATAATAAATATTATTAATATTCATATTGTGTTGTTTTTAAAAATTTTCGAATATTGTGGTAGTGGTTTGGAATTACAAACCTATTTTATAAAGAAGATTTTTTTTAATTTCTTTCATATTATACATATATGATGTCTTTTATTAATATATTAGGTGTTGACAAAAACTTCAAGATTATGGAATATGGTATGCATGTTGTCAACTGAAAATCATAAATTGTTTTACTCTTTTCTTTAGTATATTCTTAATTTTTAATGAAAATTTTTTATTCAACTATATCTTAGGGGCCTGTGTGAAAAATATGTAACTGTAAAATTGTTTTAAGAGTTTATTTTGACCTAAGATTGATGTATAATTACATTCAAAGTGGTTGTGAGATTAATTTCTTAGTTGAAGTATGTCAACTTTTTTAAAACAAATAAGCCTGTCTATCATAAAAAAGTATAATGTTATTTTTAGCATCAGATGTTATGTTATTTCCAGGGCTTTAAATATAATAAAATCATTTATTACTCAATAAGACCACATTCGTTGATTAGCACATAACTTGAGTTTCTTACTTATGTTACAAATTTAAAATACATGTTAATATCCTATTTTCATCAAAAATGGTAAGTTTTTATTGAAACTTTATTTCTTTATTGAACAATGTTTCAGTACGGACTAGTATTATTGTTTTTAGAAATATAGCTACTTGATTTATTTCCTTATCTATCTTAGAATATAAAAGTATTTATTCTTTCAATTAAGTTATGATGAATAGCTTATATTAACGTCGTATTAATATGGTTGTCACTTACAATTTCGATATTCATATACATTATGTATAAGTTTTTTTTTTGTATTGTTATTCTAAGTAAATACTTCATAAATAATAAGGATCCAGATAACAAAAAAGCCATAAAAAATCCAAATTATAACTGTTAATTGGGTATCTTTTAATATTATTTAAATTTGTATAAATATACATATATATATTTCATACACATGTTTAACTATTTATATATATGATATGCAAAACTTGGAACCATGATAATTATTATGATTTGGTAATATATAGTGTTGCAGGGATAATGATCATGGTTATTTATGAAGGTGGTGGGTGTTTAGGGGTATGTATCAAGAAATTCACAGGTTTTGAATTATTAAATGTTTGAGGGGATCTAAATTCAATATTATTATTTGAATAACTTCCAAATGATACAGATGCACTTTGAGTCCTTCTATGACCCTTTTTCAAAGGTTTGGAGATGGGTGGTAAAGGTTGTCTATATGGAGAAGTCTGGGGACCTGGAGGAGCTAAAGGTTGTTGGTGAAAAAAATTAGGATGTGACATGGGAACTTTATAATATGGATTCTCTACACCATAAGTATTATTAGGATCAACTCGGTTTAGATTTTCGCTGATTGGTTGAGGTACCATCAGATATTGTCTATTTTGCGAAATTTTGTACGCTTGTGAAGAATACAATTGAGTAGGTTGAGGAGTTTGAGACACGTAATAACCTACATTAGGTGAATTTTGAAGATGTACATTTTGAGGCTGTGGATTAGCAATGTAGCCTGTGTTACTATATGCAACATTTGGATCGGTATAATGTTGCCAATTAGAGGAAACCGTTGTTTGTTGATTGCTTGACGGTATTTTAGGGGCAGGTAATTGGTATGGTCGTGTAGAATTATTAAATTGGTGTGATAAATCACTGTTTTTTTCTCTTGAAGAGGTTTCAGTTGTACATAGTTCGTACCCTCTAGGACTAGCAAGTTTTGGTGTATTCTCATTTGAAATTTCCAATTTCCTTTTTTTATCCACATTTGATGGTACCTTCGATTTGGAAGATCTCTGTAAGGACGAAACTTTATTTCCAAAATTAACAGTATCCATGATTCGATCATCAGCGGTATGAATGAGACTAAAAATTTTATTCAATGTAACATTGTCAAATTTATCACATTTCATACATTTATCTAGCAATATGTTTAATTTATCCAGATTTTGAGATTTCAATTCTTCTAATTTTTGAGTTTTCTTTATTATTTTTATCTTGACAAAATTATTAAAATCTTCATCGTTACCATTAATTAGATGCTTATGCTCATCACTATTGTTTTCAATTTTTAACTCTTTGATTATTAATTCTTTGTATGAAATAGAGTCATTATTCAATAATAAATTAGTAATATTAGATTTTTTGTTTTTAGTGGCATTTTCTTCATTCTTCAGCTGAGTGGTTATAGTATTTGCATGGTCTCTGTCACTATAGTGTGTATCGGTTGAGATAGATGAGTTTGTTTCGCTTTTTTCATTGTTATCTTTTGCTTTTACAGGCGCTGAATTGGCATATTCAGATGCAGCTGAATCACTCATCGTTTTTTTTATATAAATTATTATAAAGGTCAGAATATAAGACTTTTAAGTGGATTTATAGATGAGACACAGAATAATGTAATCTTTTGAATATAATTAATAGGCCTTGACTCTTTAGAAGAGGTAGTTTAGGTCTATTGCTAATGATAGAAAGTATGAAACAAACGAATTTCAGTATAATTCTAGTGAAGGAATATAAAGATATTGTACACTCTCAGCAACTTGTTTGCGATAAATAGATTAGTGTATATAGGAAGGAATACCAATTTAATAATCAAAAAAATGAACGATGCAAAGTTGTATCTTATTTCAAAGGTAAAAGTTTTCAAGATAACGTATTTCTACTACACACAGTAGATAAAAGTTGTATATAGTTAAAACTAGACTACTTTTTCCTGTTTTTTGGTTTTTATCGACGTTCTTTTTCTTATGTTAGAGCCAATACTCAGAAAATAAAATGTTATGGCACTGTGGTATTAGTGGAATGTATTTTTTGTAGTTTTGTATATTTTGAACCAACCAACCAAAAAAAAATAATAATAATAAACTATAGTCAAATACTTATTGTTTATTTTGTAATTTGGAAAGATAATGCATATGGTTTCTGAAACAAAAAATTCCAGATTTTAGTTAGAATGACCAAAAACAATGAAGAATATAAATATAAATAGCACGATAAGGAATTATAGGTGGTATTGGATATCAAATGGTAATACTCTTTTTTTTTTCTAGAAAGAGTAGATATACAATATGGTTAAGTATTGAAGCTTATGAAATATTGTAGGCACTTTTTTTTTCTTATATTTCTATACTGCATGAATACATATAATAATTTTAAAGATCTTCATCCATTGCTTTGTTGCCAAATTTGGGCATCGCTATTTCCAAAAGAAATTCTAGTCCAGGATATTTTTGGCATCACTTCATTTTTTTCCCTTTTATTTTTGTTCTAAATATTTTTCCTATTTCGAAAGTTATACAGATCAGGAAATAATGGCACACATTTTTCCATATTAAGTAAAAAAAATTCACTAATGTTTTAATCGGTACTTGTAAACAAGGACAAAACTTTTCTGATGCATATCCCGTTTCAACGCAGCTAGAACACGTTCCACTCTATTTTTCGAACCTGACTTTAAAGTAAATTCAGAAGGCATTTCTTTCTAAAAATAATTATGGAAGTTAATTAACACTAGTTGTGGCGTATAACTAATATTACAAACCTTTTATCAAAAAAGCGATATATATATATATATATGTCTATATATTCATTAGATGTATAACAATAAAAATATACACATATAGAGTAATAAAAAGTATAAACAATGAAACTATACAAACTTAATAAAGTATTCGACGGGAGGGAAACTCTTTGGAAAATACTCAAAGGAAGCTAGACAAAAAATCAGAAGAAGAAAACTGAACCATATCGAATAATGTCTTGCACTAGTAACAGCAGTAAAAAAGAAAAGATAAATTTAAAATAAAAATAGGCGTAGTATCAAAAAGAAGTAAAGACCTTTATTGTTTTTCAATATAAAACAAATTTAGCTTTACCAGAAGTGACAGCAACAGTACAACCATCAGAGCCACCAGAGTATGAACCATTTTCATAAACACATTCACCGTTAACAACGGAATCATCACCATCTGGAACGATTTTAACATTGAAGTTCAAGGGAGCTCTGTTGTTTGGATTTGGAATTAAAGATAAGTATGTAATACCATTTGTGTAACCAGCTCCAAAATTCAATGGAGCCCAGTTACCAACACCGGAACCTTCAGTACCCCAAATACAGCCATCTTCGACAGAAACACCTGCGTTGTTAACATAGTATTGAGCGGATGTCTTTAGACCTTTCCATTGGTAGTAAGTGTCTTGATTCACAACAGTTAATGGTATGCTTGCACCAGGTTGCACGAAAGTTGGAATATCCATATTTTCAGTACCTGGATAATCAGTTCTACAGATGGCAACACCTTTACTTAATTCAGAAACAACAACAGCAGTATCAAGACCCCATTCACATAAGTAATCGGAGTTGACATTGGAACGGTATAAGAAGCCATCTTTACATAACAAACCACCAATAGATCTACCATCAGATGGTTGCTCAGATGGCCATTGAGTCTTGGACATACCTGGTTGACAGGCGTAGGAACAGTAAGAACCATCTTTACAAGAACCACCGGTAGACTTGTCAGAATTTTCAATACCAGACCAACCGTTGGAGCCAATCCAGTCAACAGCAATAACACCTTGGCCAGATGGGAAGCTACTACATGGAACGACACCATCTTGGAATTTCTTAAAAGGACCGGTGAATGGTGCTAAATCACCGTAGATACCACCAGGAGCGGAAGAGGTGGAAGTGGCTTGGGTAGTAGTGGTAGTTGAAGAAGCAGCTTCTGCTGTAGTTTGAGTAGTAGTAACAGAGCTGGTTTGGACTGCCTTAGTTTCATTAGTAGTCACAGGTGAAGCAGAAGTGACAACTGGAGTGGCAGCAGCTGGGGCAGAGGCTTCAACAGCAGAAGCTGCAACTAGAGTAGCAGCAGCTGGAGTAGAAGTTGCAATAGCAGAAGTTGGAGCTAAAGTAGTTGGAGAAGATCCATTACCGGAAATGACATTACCGTTTTCATCAACAACTACAGTTTCGTAAACATATTCAACAGCAACAGCTCTCTTATGTTGATGAGCCTCGTTAGTAACAGTAGTGGTACAATCAGCAGAGTTTTGGGATACTTCTAAAGCAGGTAAGGCTGAGACAATGGCACTAGAGCCAAGCAACGTAGCAGCTAAAGTGGTGGTGGAGAATTTCATAGTTCTTGAAGCTTGCAATGGATTGGACTTGAGTGATAATAGTTTTTAAAATATGATATAAAATAATTTATTTGATAATTTGTTCTGTACAGTAAAAGGGATTTTTTTTTAAAGGAATGGATGGTCAAAATGTTTTGCCAAAGTTAAAGATAATAAATGTTAGTAAGTTAATGTTATGGATCACAGGGGTCTGCAAAAAAAAGAAATAGTACTAGATTATGGGTCTACATTTGAAGTTAAGTATTAGTTATAAGTAAACATAAGAGCATATGGTGAAGGGCGTTAATAACCAAAACTATAAGATATAGGTAAATCTTGATCAAAAAGCAAAGCTAGTCAAACAAATTTAGTACAAAAATAAATCAAAAGTTGGAGGAAATACCCAAGTTATGCACTGACATAAGACATTTTTTCTGGAGTTGGTCTTCTTCTACGTGCCGTTTTAGAAATGGTTAGTGAGGAATTTTGTAGTATTGTTGTTTATAATCTAAAAGAAGTTTTTTTCGTGTCTTAAACTTTTCCGGCGCATTTACATAAACGTTCATACAAAAGTAAAAAAAACAATAATATGACGCGAATTGACAATTTGGACATTTTTTGTTTTTTTCGGTCCATCTTTTTTTTTTTTTTCGCTTACGACTATTTTTTTTTTTCATGGGATGACGCGAAAAAGTAAAAAAGACAAAAAATAAGCGTGGTTAAGACTCATAATGTTATTGGTTCAATAATTTCTAAAACAATGAAAAAAATTTTCATGTCTATTTTGGTTTACTTCATTTAGTTAAACTAGCTTGGCTTTCTTACGTTTTTTGGTAGGAAAAAAATATAATATATTTCGAGTGCTTGGAAACATTTTCAGGAAAGATGCATTATATCTATCAGGATAGGCCAGTAATAAAAACTCTAAATTGAAATAATACTATATTCATAGCAAAACCCATTCAGGAACAAATATTTCATAATTCTGTCTAATATATAAAACAAAATCATACATACTAATAAAAGGAGTGTAGACAAGTTGGATGTTCAAAAAATGAAATAAATTAATAAAAAATTCAGATATTTTTGTTAAGGAGTGTAAATAGTTGGAATCTGTTGTTATCGTCACAGTGATACTGGTGATTGTGTAGATTGTATCAAAATGTTATCAAAGCAGAAGCGTTGTTTCAGAAACTCTTTTTTTTATGGTGAGGACAGAGGAGGAAGCAATTATAAGCTTGTTATGTATATATAATATTTAAATATGGTCATTCTGGTTTTCTCAAGAAATGTCTTGGCTCGTTGGATTTTGCCTTGTTTTTTTTTTTTGTTTACATAAAAATAAACCTCATAAGTTTATCCGAAAATAGAACAGGTTTTTTTTTCCAAAAAAGTAATGTCCGCTGCGTGCGTACGTACGTGTTGTTTCTTTTTTGAAAAAATTAAACCTGTGCTTACCCTAATTATTTTAACTTTGATGTGAAGAAAAAATCTCAATAATATGTATATAACCTGTATCATTTTAAGATGCAGAAAAAAACTATCTTTTGGGAATAGAAAGGCTATCAAATGTTAAACTTTACTAATACAAAGTAGATATATTGAAATTGCTCTGTGAGCACTCTATGTAGTCATTATCACATTACAAGCATATACTTCCCCCATCTAACTTTCAAAAAGTACTTGGCTGTAGAACTGTTTTAAGAGAAATACTTTACCTTTCTATTTTGATTACATGAAGGTTATTGGTGGTGTACAAGCTAAAAAATTATTATGAAATTCTAACATTCATGGTGAAGTGTTTGGGATTTACACAAATTCTACTGATGATAGCAATTACTAATGAATCACTAAGACTAAAAAGATTAAAGGAGAGTTTCTAAATATAATTGTGGATGAATTAACTGATAAATCAGTTTTTTCTAGGAAGATTAAACATATGATTAAATTAAAATCTAGGACTGATCCTATGTCATACAAATTCTACAGACTGAATATTTTGGAGAATAAAAAAAACCAGAATGTTAAATAGATGCTTTAGTTGAAACATGATGCATTGAATTTTTTTATTTCTCCTTTTGTAGCTCTAGTTTCGTTCGTTGTAAGAGAAAGCTACACAAGGCGGTTGTACTGCGGTTCTAGAGGGTTTATGGTACGATGATTGAAGGTAAAAATCTTCTTCTTAAGATCAGTGAATTGTTTGACCAGCTTTTAGGTGCTTCCCGCTTTTTTGAATTAAATTTCGTGAGTGATAATTACTTACTTACATTGCTTATAATAGGCATATATAAAAGAACTTATATAAAGTCGGTGTAGGTGTACATTTTATATATATAACCCTATATTGTGATAAATAAAATTAGGAAAATTTAAATGCAACTAAAATGAACCCTATAATTTTATGATTGTCTTCCTGGTAAAAAAAACTTTCATGAAGAGTGTTTTTTCACATATTTTGTTTTTAAACGATCTCCTTAAAAAAACATAAATAAAAAAAAAGCAAGCAAATAAAAAAAGATAAAACAATAGTTCAAGATACAGATTACAATTCCCCCTAAAAACTATTAAGAATATCATCTAAGACGGAAACCATTTTTTGTCAGAAGTATGTTTTTTTTTTCAATGACAAAAAACTTTTTAGTTTGGGTATAATGTAACTGTGCTACTTGTTCTTGAAGCTTATATCTAGGACAGATCTTTGTTTTACTGGTGGATACATAAATATCAAATAAAAAATAACTTTGGTAATTCACTAATAAGAAATACAAAAAAAAAAGAGCCCCGTTTTTGATTATATAAGATAGAACACTTTGGGAAAGAAAAATAATAGCATTTAGTTTTTATAACTTTGCATGATTGAGTTTTGACCCTACATATTATATTGCAATTTAAAAATATGCTTTTACAGTCTAAATGGAATATCGGAGCTTGAAACATGAATAACATTTTCTTACAAAATAATCGAAGCTAATGAAAATATTCAATAGTCTAAACCGATAATTTCAAAACAGTATTGTAGGGGAAATAATAAAAGTATCAATCTTTCTCTTACAAAAAAAACAAAAGATTTAGCTAAATTCATATGTTTTCAACATAAAAACGAGACTATAGAGAAAATTAATGAATATAAACTATTTATAAAATACCATTATGGTAGAGATGCGTTACATTTTGAAATATTTTCGATTATTAATCATTACATATTGGAATATTCTTCATTATGGTTACTTTTTTTCTGAAGAGTTGAGAGTTCATTACTGTTGGAGCCATTTTTTGCACTTACTTTTAAATATATAAATTTCAAAAAGCCATTGTATAATTCTCATGGTATATCAGCTTATTCAAATATATAAGTTGTCGAGGACGTACATGTTGTTTACTAACTATAACCTGGTAAGACTGTGAAAGAATACAAAGATCATTATGTTCTGAAAAAATAGAAAAGAGAGAATTAAATAATAAAATAGGGGGTCGAAGAGTATTTTTGTTTGTTTATTATAGATACACAAATTTTTTTTCATTTCATTGGACAATACTTAATCAAAGAAATTATTAATTTACTTATGTCTTGCATTTAATGTCGTTCTTTCAAAAGAAAAGATTAATAGTTGGCTTAATTCTTTTAATAAAATGACGGATGAATACGTCAAAAATTATCTAAAAATATTAAATCATTCTTTTATAGGAAAAATCTGTTGATTTGGTAGTCACCAGAATAATAAGATTTTAAGTATTTTTAAGGAAGACTTGTCTAGATTTGAGTAGTTCTGCGTGGAGAAAGAAAGTTTTAAAAAGAATAGAGATAGAAAAAAACTGCAAACTAATGAAAATATCTTCTAAATTTGTATCTGTTGTAAAAACAAATATAGAAAAGCTTCTTGAGGTTGGATATCTCCTAAGAATCTATTATGTTATTCAATCACTTTTCTTTGTTAATGGTACTGTAATAATATAGAAAAAAAGTAACACTGTTAGTGTTTTCTTCAAGTCTTGAGAATTGTGTTAATATTTAAAACAAATTATGAAACTTTTATAACACCTGAATCTTGTCTAAAAAAAAATAATTCAATATATCATTTAAACTATAGAATGCAGAAAATTGTGGAGACATTATTATATTATTTCATTTTTTTTCTTTTTATTCGTTCTTTCTCTTGTGTGTCAGCTAACTACTAGGCATTATCTTTTTTAAATTATGTAGCAGGTACCATTTGAAAGCTCCTGTTGAGATCATATGATTGCAGTTAAAAAAATGTCTAGGTTTATTTAAAAAGAATATCCGCCTCTCTTCATTTTTAAAATAATACTTCAGTAACAAAGATGAACATTTTCTTATTTAAAAGCAACTATATAGCTGTGTCTACTAAAACGTATAGAATATTAAAACAATGATTTATTTATAAAGAAAAGAGATAATAAGGAAAAGAGATAATAAAACAGATGAACAAGAGTTGTTTTTAACTATCTTGATTTTTATTAATCTAGTTTTTTGTCCTTTCTTTTTAGTGAATCAAATAGTTTGACTAACTTAAATTTCCTTTTCAAACCCCATTCCAAGATGTAGTATGGTATTAGGAAAGCAATCCAGCTCACTAGCCATGCTTGTGATCCACGATATACATCCACGGGATCTTTTTGTTTTTCTACAATTAAATCAACCACTTGTTTAGCATACGTGTCAGCAGACATAGGCGTGTTGTGTTTGACCATATTTTGTCTATACTCAAAGGCTTCTCTTCCCTCTTTGAAATTGTATATTGATCCTTCTGGCAGTGGACGATTATCACTTATGTTGGTCGCAACACCACCCGTAATTACATTAATTACACGAACACCAAATGGTTGTAATTCTAAATGTAATCCGCGAGCATATGCATGGATAGCTGCCTTGGTTGCAGAATAAATACTACCGAATGGAAAACTAATCACACCAGCTAATGAACCAGTGAAAAGTATAGTACCTCTACCATTTATAATAAATTCTGATAACTCTGTTGTCATGTTAATGTGGCCAAAAACATTGACTTGGAAACACTTTTCCATGACTTCTGGAGTAACATCTAAAGCTGGAAAAGTACAGCTTTGGCCAGCGTTATTATACAATACATCTAATGTAGGTTGGCCGTCGGAATTCTTTGGCAATTCTCTGGTTAAAAAATCCTTGAACTTCTTTATTGCATCTGTAGAGGTAATATCTAGTTCATAGGCAAATAATTGCAATCCAGGATATTCTTTTTTGATATCTTCAATCGCTTGTTGTCTACGAGCTACAGCATACACAGTATAACCTCTTTTGCATAATTCAAGAGATACAGCTTTGCCAATACCTGAGGAACCACCACTAACAATAGCAACTTTACTCATTTTTTTCTTTTTCTGCCAATTTTGTGTTATATGTATTAGTGTATACTAATATTATTGTATTTTGTCAATTATAGGTGAGATATATCGGTGTACCTAAAGCGATCCCTCTTGATTGATATCTGTCTTTTTATAGTTTATCTCGTTTTTATTATTTTCTCCCTTTATCCCCTTTTTGCATAGTATGAAAAATGTTGGAAATATTGAAATAAGATTAAAAAAAAATATAGAAAAAGAAAGAGGTGTTGAAAATATCTTATATAAACAACGATAAGTGAATGATATTTCTTACCTTAACATTAATCATAAAAGAATAAGTACGACATTATTGGAATATACATTTTATATACATAGATAGATTTTGTATTTAAACCAAAATAATTTTTAAAAACATGATCATAGTTATTAATATCATTTGCAATATTTATAAAATAAAACACCTGTATTCATCATAAATATAATCATTTAATTAAGATATGAATAAAGGTAGGATGAATTTATTCATTAAATTCTTGTTGGAAGACATCACGCAAGAATTGATCTTCTTCAGCAAGATGTAGACCTTTAGAACCAGCTGCAACAGCACCACTTGGATTTCTACCACAATACCTAACTTCATGATTCTTGTATTGTTCAGTTTCTTTTAATGTAGTCTTCAATCTTGGTTGAACATAAGCCCATGCACCCATATTTAATGGCTCTTCTTGACACCAAATAATATCTTCTAGGTGTGGATAAGAGTTTAAGGTGTCACGCAGTTGTTCGAATGGGAATGGGTGAAGCTGTTCGATCTTTAAAAAGGCAGTATTTCTATCTTTTAAGTATTCACGTCTCTTATGCAAGGCTGTATATACTTGACCTGTTAGCATAACTAACCTCTTTGTCTCTTCCTTGGTACTAATAGCCTTGCCATGTTCAATATCTTCAATAATCCATTGGAATTTACCATTAGTAAAATCATTCAATGGAGATTTTGCTAGGGGGTGACGCAATAATTGTTTTGAGAAGAATAATGCTAATGGCTTACGGAATTGACGATGTTGTTGTCTTCTGATAATATGGAATAAGTTAGCTGGAGTAGTTGGATAAGCAACCTGGAAGTTACAATCTTGATGTTGTCTTTGTAACTTTTTAGGGGATGGGAAATATCTTGGGTCTTCGTTAGCCAATTGTAAGAATCTTTCCAACCTACCAGAAGAATGTTCAGGGCCTTGACCATCATAACCATGTGGTAAAGACAGGACTAAGCCTGAACGTTGTTTCCATTTTTGTTCACCACCTGCAATGAATTGATCAATAATCACTTGCGCAGTATTGGCAAAATCACCAAATTGAGCTTCCCAAACAACTAAATAGTCTGGTGAAGTTAAAGAATAACCATATTCAAAACCCATTACAGCATATTCAGACAAGGATGAATTGCAAATAGAAAAATCAGCTTGTTTTTCAGATAAATGTTTTAGTGGGGTATATGTGGTCTCAGATTTTTGATCATGTAAGACCGCATGACGTTGAGAGAAGGTACCTCTTTCAACATCTTCACCAGAGACTCTTACGTTATGACCCTCAAGAACTAGAGAGCCATAGGCTAAAGCTTCACCTGTGGCCCAATCAATGCCTTCACCCTGTTTGATTGTTTTACCCCTTTGATTTAGGATTCTCTTTAAGTTTCTGTGAACTTCAAATCCCTCCGGCCAGGAAGAAATGACTTTACCGATGTGTTGTAATATATCGGTAGAAACATTAGTTGGTTCATGAGGTAAAATCTCAGTAGCTAATTCCTTTGGAGATTTAAATCCTTCCCATGCAGCAGTTAACCATTCTCTTTGAGTTGGAACATAATCTTTCGACTTTTCAAAGGCCTCCTCAAACAAACCCCAAACCCACTTCTTATGTTCTTCAATGTCCTGTGTGGTGAAAGTTCCATCAGAAACTAATTTTTCAGTGTATACATCAATTACAGACTTTTGTTTAGAAATTTGTTTGTACATTAATGGTTGGGTAAATGCTGGCTGATCAGTTTCATTATGGCCATGTTTTCTCCAACCAACAACATCAATAATAGCATCAGTGTGGAATGTATTTCTCCATTCAGCAGCCAAATTAAAGATAAATGTAACAGCTTCGACGTCGTTAGCATTACAGTGGAAAATTGGAGCGTCAATTGCTTTAGCTAAATCAGAGGGATATGGAGTGGATCTGGCAAATCTTGGATCAGTGGTGAACCCAATTTGGTTGTTTGTAATGATATGAATAGTACCACCAGTAGAGTATTCAGATAAGTTAACGAAACCCATAGTTTCATAAACAACGCCCTGCCCTGCAAAAGCAGCGTCACCATGTAATAACACACCTAGAGCCTTAGTCTTGTTCTTCAAATCATTTTTGGCGTGTAATAAAGCTCTGGTTCTACCAAGAACAACAGGGTCTTGGGATTCTAAGTGAGATGGATTGGCGACTAAGGATAGATTAACGTATTTACCAGAAGTTGTGGGTCTCTGGTAATTCATCCCTAAATGGTATTTTACGTCACCAGAACCCTCTGCTTGATCTGTAGTACCAGTTCCTTTAAATTCAGCAAAGATAGATTCATTTGGCTTACGAACAACGTTAGATAGCACATTGAGTCTGCCACGATGAGCCATACCTAAGACGACATCTTCGACACCTAGTTCTACAGAACGATCGATCAAAGTTTTAATACCGGGAACAACGGCTTCTAACCCTTCTAAACCAAATCTTTTGTCATTAGGGAATTTAGTAGATAAAAACGATTCAAATGAGGTTGCCCATATAAGTCTGTCCAAAATTTGTCTCTTTTGATCAACATTGTAAGAATATGGATTTTCAACTTCGATTCTATCTCTTAACCATTCACATTTTTCCTTAGAAGGTATGTGAGTGTATTGAATTCCATATGATTGACAGTATAATTTTTCTAAATGATTTATGATTTCTCTTAGAGTCATGGCTTGTCTACCTTCTCTTGCGAATCTTGGTAAAATACCTGGGCCTAAATTGATTTCCCTGTCTAAGTCTTTTTCAGTAAAACCATAATATTCGATCGTTAATTCTGGTGGAGTAGGTTTGAATTTATCATCACCAAAGGAAATTTTTAACGGATCAATATGTGCTTTAAGATGGCCTCTTACTTGATATGCTCTGCATAAAAGTTGAGCCTTTAAATGAAAAATAACATTTTCGTCAACGTTACTAGCTAATCCAGCACCAAAAGCTGAAGTTTCTGTGCCTTGAGGACCATGTACCAACAATGGAGGAGCCTGAAAAGCTCTAGAGGTTGGAATATTATCTCCTAACTTCTTTAAATTACTAAAGTAAGCATTCCAAGAAACATGTACTGATGATGGGTCTTTTTGCCATGCTTCGTACATCTCATCTATGTACTGGGCATTAGAAGTGGCTAAAAAGGTGTCAGTTCCAGTAATAATAGTTCTGTGTTGACAGAAGTTACTTCTAGAAAATGTAGAAGTTAGATTGGATCTCCTCAAGAGGGAACCCTTTGCTAGTTTGGATAAAGTAAACACTGATTTTGTATTCCTGCTCAAATAAACCGATCTAAGCATTTTGTATTGTTTATTATTAAATGTGAACAGAATATGATTTCTTCAATCTTAAAAAATGATAAGGTGTTCAATTCTAAATAATATGAGATGAATATGGAAAATATTTAACTTGAATGTAGGTAAAAAAAAAAATAATTGTGGTTTTTTTGTCTTTTAAATCGATAGAATATTAACAAGTTAACTGTTTGTAACCACCTGTAGCAAGTCAAAATGAAATAAAATATAAGGACATTGGAAAAAATGCTCTGGGCTCCATTGTGGTCTTCAGTTCCATTTTCTCTTAATTGGTTTTTATATTCCTTTTCATAATTTATGTAGGCGGACTTTTTTTTTTTGATAGAAGAATTCGACGTTTAAGCTGATTCGTTGAAGTTTCGGAAGAATGAGCGAGAGAGAACAGTGGGTCATAGATAAACTAAAAATAATAAAAAAGCAAGTTTGTCTTCAAAGGTTGCGGCTTTTTTCTAAGAGATAGTAAGAAGGGAGAGAAAGCCCTGGGAGTGTTCCTAAAACAAAGGCCAAAATTAATAGAAGCATTGATCAACAGGAGTAGCGGAGATAATAACTATTCCTCTACAAAATATAGAAAGGTAATTTTTGCTAGAAAAAGAAATTACAACACACGAATCATTTCCTTTCAACTAAGAATAAATAATGTCTTGTACTTACTACAGTTTATTGTTTTAAGCAAAAACAATTGAAGGTAAATGCAGGAGAGTAACTATGTGACTTCATTTATTTATAGATATGATTATATACTGTATACATTAATTATGATTTTTAGTCTTTAAACAACAAAGTATAGAATAGGTTAAAGATTAGTCGTTTATACTTAACTTAAGAAGTAAATACTTAACCCTGTCATGGTTTTGTTTGACTTATATGGTCAGTGAACCATTTATCAGTAAATTCCTTTAATATAGTGGCATCATTGTAAACCCAGGAACCTTCTTCATTATAAAATCTTGCATTGTCAAACATAATGTCGAATTTTTCTTTAACATCTTCTAAGGTTTTAAAAGAAAGTCTTTTTGCGCTACTTAAAATTTTTTCTATAGATATCGGAGTTTTAATCACTTCATAATAATCAGGGTATTCTTTCTTTGAAGGTAAGGCCTCAAATATTTCTGTTCTTAAATGTTTATCTGTTTCATCTTTGATCTTACGTATTTCATTAACTAATGATTCCACAAGCAATCTTATATCCTTTTTGGTTGGAGCTTTCTTAACAACCTTGACTTTAACTCTAACATGAGGTTGCTTTTGTTTACTTTTTGAGTCTGAAGTGGTGCTATTGTCGTTGGCATCATCTAGCTTCTTGGCTTTGCATTTCTTATTTACAATTTTGACCACTGGCTTGGGGGGGTTGCTTACTTTTTTTGAATTTTGTTCCTCATTATTCAAAGATATGTCATCTATGATTTCAGCACCTTTTAGGCTGACTTTTACTCTTAGTTTACGTTTCTTGACTTGAGGATCATTAATCTCTTCGGAATTAGCAATATCTGAAGAGGAAGCATTTAATTTTTCGGAGGGGGTATTTTGATCTTCATTATCTAAGACAGCAGCTTTTCTTTTAGATCTGTGTCTTGTTGAACGTCTAGGTTGTTTAGGGATCTTTTGGTCGACATTTTCCTTTTCTTTAAGTTCCTTGCTTGATGCAGCTGATACGTGATTTGTTGTGTTAGCCTCTTTATTTTCCTCTATCTCTTTATCTATATGCGGCATATCTTCTGGAAGCTTGTTTTCAGTATTCTTTTCTTTTAATTTTTTCTTACGTTGTCTTCTTTCACGCTCTTGGCGCTTTTTCTCAATAGCTTCCTCCAGTGTAATATTTTCATTTTCAACAGCCTCCAAGAACTGTTCCTCTGTTAACCCATCATCATAATATACCCTTTTCGTCCTTCTGGTTTTGTTCATTTCCTCAGGTTCATGTTCCAAATGTTTGGAAATATCTTCAGTAAATACAGATGGTAATTCGTTCAGTTGAATTAGTCTTGGAAGTGGTTTCTTCAAATGTAGTTTTTTGGCGGCTTTAACCTCGTTTGAAATTCTTTCTTTATCCATTTGATCAAATAGTTTTTTTTCTTCATCACTACGGGCTAATATTTCGTTTAATTCATCATCATCTAATTCAGCGGAGCCATCATTGTCCTTAGAACTTTCATTTTCAAGTAATCTTCTTAAAAATGCTTCTTGTTCTTCTGCAGTTGATTTATTATCGAATTTACCTGCTTGGATGACTTTGCCATCTATATCTAATTTTTGCATAGCTCTTTCAAGAATGACTTCTTCCACAGAATCAGTGGTTATCAGTCTTAGAATTCTGACTTCATTCTTTTGACCGATTCTGTGGGCTCTATCTTGGGCTTGTAAATCTTGATGTGGATTCCAATCTGTATCAAAAATAATAACCGTATCAGCTGTTTGAAGATTTAGACCTAAACCACCAGCTCTTGTTGATAAAAGAAAGCAGAAATATTCAGAGTCAGGTGCATTGAACAACTTAAGCATGGAATTTCTGTCTTCAGCTTTAGTACCACCATCCAATCTCATATATTTTAGGTCTCTCATTCTTAAAAAGTCTTCCATAATATCCATAACTTGTGTCATTTGAAAAAATATCAACACTCGATGGCCCGATGCTCTAAACTTAGGTAGAATACGGTCTAACAATTCGAATTTTCCCGACACACGATATAATATGTCTGAATTACCTCTTGAAGGGTTGACAACTGCTTCAACTTCATCGAAAACAAATGGATGATTACAGATTTTCCTTAATTGCATAATTTTATTGTTCAAACCTTTAATACCAGACTTAGTGGCACCCTCTGTACCAGCTCCTACAAACAAAGCATTATGTTTCAACATTTGTTCGTATAGTTGTTGTTGAAGTCCTGATAATTTACATTTAATCACTTTTTCAACTTTATCAGGTAAATCCTTTTCAACTTCTTTTTTCAAACGACGTAATAAGAAAGGTCTTAATACTTTATGCAATCTTCTAATAACTAATAAAGTTTCTTCTTCGGTTAATTCTAATTTCTCTTGAGTGCCTGTATTTGCAAATGGTGTGTTGAACCAATCTTCAAATGTCTTTGCAGAATTAAAGATCTTAGGAAGCACAAAATTCAGTAGAGCCCATAACTCTGGTAAATTGTTTTGCAACGGTGTACCAGTTAGAATTAATCTATTTTGTGTTTTGTAATAACGCTGAATAGTCGAAGACAATTTCGATTGGGTGTTTTTCATTCTATGACCTTCATCGATAATCATGTGAGCCCAATCATGTTTGCATAATAGAGGTCTATCTTTAATAATATATTCGTATGTAGTTAGTAAAACATCAAAGTTACCAATTTTAATTTGATGTTGTAGAGACTTTCTTTGATTTGGTGTACCCTTATATACTACAGTTGTCAAACTTGGCGCCCACTTCTCAAATTCTAATGTCCAGTTTGTAATTGTGGATAGGGGAACAATAACCAAATATGGGCCAGGGTTGTTCTTAATTTCATAAAGATACGTAATTAATGAAATGGATTGAATAGTTTTACCTAAACCCATTTCATCAGCTAAAATACCGTTAAGATGATTGTTATAAAGAGACACCATCCATTCTAATCCACGTAATTGATATTCTTTCAAAGTACCACCAACCAATATGGAGGGCTGTTTTTCAATTTTCTCCTTGATTCTATGGGCTACTTCATAATAATCAATTTTCTCTCTTTCTTCATCAGAAATAATTGGAATCTCTTCACCCCTTAATAATTTTGCTTCATTTTGCTGTACTCTAACGGCTTGAGATAAGGAATCCAGAAAGTTATTAGTTTGTTTTAATAACTGAGTGATTCTTGTATCTTTTGTCTGGTCTAATAATTTCAAATAAGCTTCTTCATCATTAGATTTTAAAGCTGCTAAACGTTGTTTTGCAGTTCTTTCTATTCTCTTTTGTTCATCCTTCTCGATTTGTGTGTGAGTAGTTTGACAAAGTTTACCAAAATGATTACAACGATCACGTAATGACCAATGATTTTCACTTTTTTCTTGCTGATATTCTATCAGAATATTTATTTTTTGTTGTTGCATGGTACGCTCCTTTTTCCTCTTTTCTAAAAATTGTTGCCTCTCCAATTCTTCCGCTATTCTTGCAGTTTGTGGTACTATTACTTTGGTTCTCACTTGAACTGATCTTTGAGCTGCCATTGTATATGGTGAATCACGCAATTCCGGAATCAGATGGTGCGCTTGACTTGTTACATTGTTTACCAATTTTTGCCTGAGTTGCTTTTGTTTTGTTAACAATTTTAAAGATTTTAATTCAACTAATGCTTTTAATTTTAATTTATCAATATTTGTAGGTAAATCATATTTGGTTAAAAATTCTAAAGAATCGTCTAAAGAATATGTACCCAAGTTCCCTGGTAACCGTTCCAATTCATATATTCTCTGAGCTATTTGATTTGATACAATATCCTCATTTTCTGAACGACCTAGTATAGATTTATTATTATTATTAAAAAACTTGTTTTCAAGACCAAAATTTTTGATGGTGATATCGAAATTAGGTGAAATAGATATTTTGTTTAAAGATAGATTATTTAAATTACTATGTGTTAAGTCATTATTTCTCAGAGTTGTTGAGTTGTTTGTTGATTCTTCATCAATATCGAGTAACCCCTCTGGAATATCTAGGTTTTTTTCTAACAATTGCAGGGCTAAAATTTCTTTGAAAATTTCTGTATCATCCAAAATAGCATCTTGTTTCATTGTTTTAGTTAAATGAGCTAGATTTTCTTTATAATATTGGTGATCATTGGAAATTGATTCTAAGACTCTTTCAATTGCATTGATTTCTAGTTTTACATTCTCATTATTTTCTTTAGTGTTGATATCTGTTAGATTATTAGGATGTTCATTTGGAGATGGAAATGTGCTTGTAATTTTATCATATATGGATCTGTATCTATAGATTAATTGATCTAGTTGGTCTAGTGTTTCTGGTTTGGGAATATTGATGATGGAAATATTCTTGATAGTTTCAATTTGTTCATCACTTGATAAATTATGATTGTTATTATTGTCAACAGAAATACCCTCTATTATTTGAGAAGTATTGTTATTGAGTTCTGAATTGGTTGCAGAAATAGTAGTTATAACCGGTGTAGTTTGTTCTAGCATGTACTCTAAATCAATAATCTTTGTTTTGTTAACAGTTCAGGTGTATGTTTAAAAATAAAATATACACAAATATAAAAAAGAAGGTCACGATATCTACCTTCTTTAAATGAGTTTAGTATATATAAATGTGTATAATGATGAAAAAGTGAATTTGTATGTTATTTTCTGTTTTTTTCGGTTTCCTTTTTGTAAATTGTAAAGAAACTTATTGTTATTCACTTCAATAGTAACAATATTTTGAAGGCTAAATACAATTCTATCTGTTTTTGAAATTATAAATTTTTTTGTAGGAATCTTTTATTCTCTTTTATTTTGTTTTCTTGTATTTTTGATTTTTCTTTTTGGATAAGTCAAAAATTTTTTTGTACGTGGACACAATGAAATTTTATTCTAAAACCGAACAAAAAATAGATAGTGGAAGATAAAAGAAACTATGTGCGGAATTATTTTCCGAAAAATTTTAGTTGAGCATTTTTGATGGTTTTTTTCATTCCGCATATTTCAAATGAAAAATTTCTTTTTAGACAAAAATTCCCCCACCCCAAAAAAAAAAAAAGAGAGAATTTGTGTTAAACTGACAACTCGTATTTAATGATATAATGTAGGTACTGTTTATTTTAGCTTTATTTGCATAATCTCTAATATTGTATTTTTTCTATAAGCTTCTTTATTCCTATGTAAGAGTTGTTGTATATAAATGGATGAATCATATCAATTAGTATAAGTATAAATACCCTTACGTAGGCTCTATATATTACTAATTAATAACCCTGATGTCGTATTACTTCATCTTGTTGTTGTTCTTGTATGATATTAAGAGGCAGCTCTTAATATCATTACTAAGATGTATTTAAATAAGATGATTACCCCTGGCATATCTCTCAATAATCAAAGGCCTCTTGACAAGATCTGATATAATTCTCACTCCCTGGAAATCCTCCAATCAGATTCAATACCTTATACGAGCCGCTGCGCACATGGCCGTACCAATCCTCCACCTAGACACTCAGGTGTTACCCTCGGAATTGCGTATCTACTGGATTTCCAGTTAGGTTCCTTACATCATCTCCCTTCAAGATTTCAATATCATTGAGTCGCGATTATTTTGTGACTTAAGTAACTTCATTAAAAATTAATTTAATGAAGGTGATTAACTGATAGAATCTGAAAAACTGAAGTAGGGACCTAATTGGAAAAAAAGCTGCAACCAACGTATCTAATCTCTAGCCTTCATATCTAAGATTAATCGAAGGTGAATGATCATTTGGGTGATTCAATGGAATCTCAGATGCGCACGCGATTTGTAGCTTTCACTAATCATCTGGGCTTAAGCAACAGTAATTTAAACTTACAACTAAATGAAACAATTCAGGAACTTCATATAGTAGAAAAGCAATCTAGAAAAAATAACAAACTGTCTACATTTATGTGGTTGTCTTACAAATAAAATGGAGTTCGAGGCAATGTATCAGAGTGGGTAATTGGTTCATCTCTACTCTCCCAAACACAATAAGAACCTAGCATAAATGGCGTAAAAACTAATAAAACTACTATCAACATTTGATCAGACAAGTATAACATCTTTTCTTGTAATCTATCTCACCACTTTAACCAAATCTTCTACGTTTGATCTCTTTCCTCTTGTGGGCATTTTTGGTTAGCCAATCATCTATTCTTTCACGTTTATGTGACATATGTTGTTTCCAGTAGTTGTAAAGATTAGGGGGTATCATAGGCCGTATACTTTGACAGGAAGCTTGACTGTATCTCAAGGTTCACAGTCTTTCCATCCCACATCTGCCATAACCATGTTGTTCACAAAATGGATATCATTAAAGCCTGCAATTTGATCGATGTTTTTCATAATCTCTTCCCTTCCCATGGGAGGAACATGACCGTAGTCGTTGAAACGTTCATGATAATGTTTCAAATACCTGACATTAAAAGCATCATGTCTAACTGTATCTTGGTTTAAGGCTAACCGAACTGCGTTAGGATGCCTTAATTCGATGATTTGGAAGGGGCCGTACCATTTAAATTGGAATTTGTCACATGCATGTGGTTTCTGATATACTTCTCTATTTATCAAAACCTTTTGTCCTACTTCGAATGTGGGCCGTAATGACTTGGCGTTTGCACGTAGAGACAGACGTTTTTGTTCTTCAGCAATGTTGTGTGTTAAAACTTCCTTGATTCGATGGGCACGTTTCAAAATTCTCTCAACTTCTGATGATGCAAATTTAGGTAACGATGGCTGATCTAAAGGATTCCGTACAGATGATTCCAATGGGTTTAAAATTCCAACAAACCTAGGATGGTAACCATAGCATGCTAAAAATGGAGTAGTCTTTATGGTTGCTTGATAGGTACTGTTGTACGCAAACTCAACCATTGGCAAAATATCAACCCATTTATTAGAGTGAGGAGCTAAAGCACCAGTGATCTTTTCAGCTAAAATTTTGTTGACCCTCTCTACTTGACCATCTCCTTGTGAATTGTGACTGATAGTCATTTGAAGTTTTATGCCTGCTCTCTGAGCGAAAATGTTCCATACCGTTGATGTGAAAATTTTATCTCGATCCGAGATAATCACTCGAGGCATTCCATGTAATCGGAAAATTTCTCTGAAAAAAATCGAAACGATATCTTCCGCTTTAGCTGTCTTTCTGCAAGGGATGAAATGTGACATCTTGCTCAACTGACAACTAACAACCAGTATATTATCGCATTTAGTCTTCTTATCGGGCTCCGTACCTGAAAGAAAATCAATGTTTATGCTTCTCCAACGTTCGTCGGGAACACTTAATGGCATATAAGTACCAAATTGTTTACCGGCCCTATACTTAGATCTCTGACAACTATCACATGTCTTCACATACTTACGTATGGACTCATTCATCTTTGGCCAATAATAATGAGGTGAGATATTGGTCAACGTTCTAGAAACATCACCATGACCGGCTGCAGGAGAATTGTGAGCTAGTTGCAGTATTTCTCGACGAATTTCATTGTCAGGAATACATAACTTGTCAATCGGTAATTCATTATAACCATGATATAAAAGACCGTCAATGACTTTATATTTTTGACTTATAGTATCTAACGAATGAGGAATAGGATTCTTCTTACTGGATAAACCTGCATAAATTATCTTAAAGTCGGGATCTTTCATATACTCATTCTTTAAAAGTTCGACATATTCAGGAGACAATTGATTTATTACTGCAATTTGTGATGGAATTTCCAGACTAAATAGATATGTGTCATAACTATAGTCCTCAATTATAAACTTATTAATTACTGGAATTTCACTAACTTCACCTGGTAACTGGCTGGGTTGAATATTTGATTTGTCTGTGGATTGTTTTCTCAACCCTTGTTCTTTGACGTTCATCAAGTCAGGACGACGACTAAAGCCATCAGCCTTATTACATTCATCCTTAATGTATACTATTTCAAAGTCAAAAGCAGCAAATACATCCAGCCAACGGCCTACTTTCAAGCTACTGTCTTTCTTTAACTGCAAATATTCTAGGGACTCATGGTCAGTATTCAAGATAAAATGTCTACCTTTCAGATAATGTGACCATTGCATAAGAGTAACCCATATGGCATAACCTTCTATTTTTCCTGTGGGCCACTTCAATTGAGATTTTTGCAATTTTCTGCTTGAATACGCAACAACACCTAAGGAATGACCTTTGGCATCTACATGTTCCAAGACAGCACCGATTGCAAAATCTGATGCGGCAGTAGTAACCAATATATCTTTCGATTTATCAAAAGGAATTAACACTGGAGCTGTTGTCAACTTTTGCTTCAATTCGTCAAATGACCAATCGCATTCAACATTTCATTTAACTTTCCTATTGGCATATTCATATAATGGATTACTAATTTTGGCAAACTTAGGGATAAAACGACGAAAGAATGAGCACGTAGCTACAAAACTCAAAGCCTCTTTAGGTTTTATAGGTTTTGGCCATTGTACAATAGCTTCAACTTTAGACTCATCCACGTGAATTTCATCTTTATCCACTCGATGATCCAGGAATTTAATTGAAGATTGAAATAGTTTGGTTTGGGACCTTTTTGCATATAAGCCTTGGTCTCTCAAACGTTTAAAAACTTCACGCAAATGTTGTACATGTTCTGATTCGCTTTGGGAATACACTAAAATGTCATCCAAATAAACTATAACACACTTACCTATTAACTCTCGCAGGGTCTCGTTCACTAACATTTGGAATGTGGAAGGGGCATTGGTGAACCCGAATGGCATCACTTTCCAAATATATTGGCCTTCATGAGTAATGAATGCAGTTTTATATTGATTTTTCGGTTCAACTTCGACTTGATGATATCTGCTGACTAGATCTAGCTGGGAAAAGTGGGAAGCGCCTACTAACTGATCAAACAACCCATCCATTTTTGGCAAAGGATATTCACTTTTAATAGCTGCGTCATTTAGACTTCTAAAATCACAACATAATCGTTTAGTGCCATCCTTTTTGGTGACAAATAGTGCTGGGGTAGCAAAAGGTGAAGTTGAAGGGGCAATTCGTTGAGTTTTCAATAATGCATCCAACTGTTTTTCCAACTCCTTTTTATCAGATATATTCATATGATATGGACGATGAGTGGTAGAAACTGTCCCAGGCTTCAACTCTATCGTATGTTTAATCCTACCTGGATTCGTTGGTACGTCAGGTAATTCTTCAACTATGACATCAGAAAATTCCTTTTCAATATCTTTAGCCTTGCCTGTCCACTGATCTGTAATTTCCATATTCGACTGTGCTGCAATCCAAAACAATTCAGTATGAATGTCTGAGTTTTGTGATAATCTTCTAGCATGCACGCCATCAATAACTTCAATATATTCTGAATAAGGAATTAAATTTACCTTCCTAGAAATAATTGAAATAGCGATACCTTTATATTGTTCCTTAAAAGGTACACCTAAAATACAATCTCGATGTAACCATTCTGTAATAAATGCAGTAAGAGTTACTTCTTCTGATTTAACTGGACAAGAGAAAGAGACAATTTGTTTCACCTAAAGAGGAAAACCATTTGTAATGTTTACTCGAATACTTTGTTTCATTTCTTGTAGGTTAAATATATTATTATTCCTATGTAACACTTTAACTATATCACTAGATATAAAATTTGCAGTAGATCCGGTATCAATAATAGTCATAAATTTTGTTAATTCTGTCTTAACAATAGTTGCCGGAGCTGGACCTAACTTAGCTTCGTCATTACTTGATATTTGTAAACAGTATATTGCGTTAAGACTTAACTCTTTGGAGATTAATTTCTATTGGTCTCCTTGGGCGGTACTTGTCTTCTTCGTCTTTCTTACAGGACAATGAATGAAGGAATGTCTGTTGGTTTTACATAATCTGCATCTAAAACCTCTAAGCTTCTTGTTGACTTTCTTTCCTTCGATGGTTCCAATCTGTTCACTGTTTCTTGTTCGATTTCTTCTAGTTTTTGAAAACTTCGAAACCCAAGCAACAACTTGTGCGATTGTCCTCATTGATTTGTTGGTCTCGATAAGAGTGGTATTGGCTTCACTCATACGACTCAAAGCTAAACTAACACCTATTTCACTTGCAGTTTTATTTGCAAAAGAAGCGTGTCAATTTGTCAAAAATCTATCAGCATCTTCGGGATAGCCCAAATTTAACTTTTGTAGTTCCCTCATCACCGAATTTGAATTCCTAGACGTTCTATATTCTTCCATAATTTTGTCTAAGAAAAATTCTAATCCATGATTTCCAGGATAATGTAATAAATGAATAAATTTGTAATTTCTGGATAAAACAATATAATGTACTTGGATCTTTTAACCATGAAGACGTCTACCAAATGTAAGAGTTGTTGTATATAAATGGATGAATCATATCAATTAGTATACAACAATTCTTACATCCTATTTTTAAAGAAAGTGGTGAGTAAATGTGCCAATTTTGAATGAAATCCAAAAATAGTTATATTATTGTAAAAGGAAAACTTAGTAGTAACTAATAGTATATGTTTTATTTAGGAATTCAATTTTATCTATATTTCAAAAACACTAGCAATTTATATTTTCAGTTTATTTTTGTAGATTTGATCATTGTGTAAAAAAAATGAATGATATTTTTACATAAACAAAAATATTAAATTATAAATGTTGAATGATTAACCTTTAATTTTGATTCTCTTAAGTTTATATATGATATATATTAGATTCATTTTTAATATAAAAGTTAAAAATAAGTAGTTTGTTCTGTTCTTTTTTGGTACATTTGGCACTTACGACACATTTTCCTCTCTTAAATGAAAAGAAAAATATTAATTATATTCTAAAGTTTTTTTTAAACATTTTGATGTAAGATTCAATATAATATATATAAGGTTTCTATATAAATTGTAATCATTTATTAACAATTAGCTTTTGTTATCTTTTGATTCTTACAATATCTTAATTCAAAAACATACTAAATATTTACATTATAAAAACTACCTAAAATAGAACCAAAGAAATATAATACTAAAACCCTGAATATTTACTTTAGTACATAGTATTATAATAACTCTTACATAAATTAGTACTAACAGAATACCTTATAATATATTACTAAATTTTATTTAAGATTTATACCCGATGGTTATATTAAGCTTTATTTAAAATTATAGTTATACTTATATGAAAGATCAAAACTTCTCTATTTATAAATAAAAATAGTATATACAAAGCAGAAAATATTTATATAAGTTACTTTACAAAATTTTGATTATTTTTTTATATCTTTTGTTTAATTTAACCAAATATTTGTCATTTTAATTAAGAAATATGATAGATAAGGAAATTCTTGCAATTATTTTAAAATGTACTTGTTTACATTTCGTTGTTTATCAGGAAAATAAAACCAAAAATTCTTCAAATATTGTGAGTAATTATTTCAATTTTTTTTAAAATGAGAAGACTATCAGAATTTTTATATAGTTTTTTTAATATAAAATTAAACTATATTGTGTATACCAGATTGTCTTATTAAAGTTTTAAAAAGAAAATGATATATTAATTAAAAAAGTTTAAAAATAGAAAACACAATTTTTAATATTCAAATACGATTTTAATTTTTACGGTTTGTAATATACAATTGTTATTAACATAAAGTATAATATACAAAATAGCTTAATTATACATTAAAAAAAAAAAACTTTAATATCCAATAATATAATATTTTGAATTATATAAAAAATACTGAATTAAAAAAAACTTAACACAAAAAATATTACAAGTTTGTTAGTAAACAAATTCAACCTTATTGATAGACAAAAGTTAAAATGATGTATATTTAATATCTTATATATTATTGTGTAATATTATAAAATAACTTATTTGTATAGATTAATAATAACAAACAAATTATTTTGCTTATACAATATAGACCAAAAGATGGTACATATTACACACAAAGAATAATCGAGGAATGCATTTTAATTCTCCGAATTTTTTTACATTCTGTAATATTTTCTAAAATTTCTTGTAGTATATATGTTAGCAATATATAAATGTTATGAATTTTTTGATTCTTTTTTTATTATATACTTAATAGGAAAAGTCTTCTATTCTATATTACAGACCAAAAGTATATGGTTTGTGTCAGAATAACACACAGGATGATCTACAAACTTTAATGCGAATATGTTGTCAAAATAAGACAAATATGGCTTTATTGTTAGATCCATGTGTGTTAATAGCTCATCCTGCTATTTTATTTTCTTTTATATCTTCAACAACAACCACAATTCTAGTTTCAGATAATAAAGATACCCATACACAAATTCCTTTTCGAATACTAAGTAATTAATTTAATGAAATTCATTACCATATACTCCTAAGTGAATTTTCTATTTAACCAAATTACATAGGAGGTATTTGAAAAACGTAGTGATCTTATTTTTTTCCTATTATTTGTACATAATCTCTTAATTTTTCAAAATAAAAATATAATCAAATACCTTTTTAGCAATCTTACAACGAACGTCCTTAAGTTTTTTTTTTAAAACTCTAAATGGAAAATATACCACATCAGTAACATTGTATTATACTGTCCTAAATGTAGAGATTAACATCTGCACCAAACTCTAATATGCTATTATATCTCTAAAGAAAAATGACTTACGATAATAGTTAGTATGCTTTTATAAAAAAATGCAGAGTAAATGGACATCTATTAATTTATATTCTCTAGCTCGTTTCTATATATAATCTGCTAGAGAAATAAAATTAATATTTTCGATTTGATGGATGTCTAAGCCTAAATATTTATTTACTGAACCTAAGTTCTTCATTTTTTAAGTTTTCTATAAATACTCTTTAATTGTACGAATTTCAATGTTTAAAGCATAAGCACAAAATATATCAAAGGTATACAATGCAACTAAAGATGTGTCAACTTTCAATACTTTTTGTTATTTTGTATAATTGTATCTTTAGATAATAGGTTCTTTACACTGTTCCATAATATTAATGAGAGTTTTAAATCGTAGCTAATGCTATTTAATTTTCAAACATATTTATACTTACTATCTTATCCTGGTAATAGTTTTACACAAATATTAGATTTACAGAAGTACTTAACAGAATAACTTATAAGATTACCAGGAAATTCCGAAATTCCTCATATTATATCTATAACAAAATCTTAAACATCACGAATTTCTTCGATATTGGATCATGAGAAGAGAATTTCATCAAAACTTAGATTCCTTACTATTTTCATTTATAAAAAACGAAAATATATAATATCTCTTTCTGGATAAATCATACTCTGCCATAACACATGCAAAAAAGGTAAAAAGGAATCTAGCATGACAATAACTCAAAGAAAGATGTAGCTATGGATTTTTTTTTTACAACTGATTATACGAGCTCTATTCCGTAGGAAAACATCAAATAACAAGGCTTCTGATCAGAAGTATAGGGAAATGTGGTCCCCAATAGAAAATATATATATATATTTTGAAGCACACCTGGAACACATTCAACTGCACCAATTTAGGAACTAGAATAACATAATATTACAGTCAGTAAAAATAATTATTTAATACTTGCCCAATAATTTCACTACAATTGTTAGTATGTACATAAAATACTTCATAATTATCATAATAAAAAAAATTCTTCACCTAATGGATTCAATCCAATAATTTAATAATAGTTTGAGATATAAACTTTAAAGCAATAACATCATAACAAAAAGAAAAAAATATATCGGAGATAGTCAAAAAACATTTACTGGTTACTTAGTCGATATATCTAAAATCACCACATATATTCTTCTAGATTAGTTTAAAAGAAATAGATGCTTTTCGATTATAACTATGACTATTACTAATCTTTTTTTAGATAATAAGCAAATTAACTCCACTGTGTCATTACCAATTGATAGGATTGATAGGCTTTTTATTTTTGCAGGAGTTTTATAAATAGCATAACTAGGATGACAAATTCTGGCATGCCACATATTTCCAAAACTATATTCTCAAATAAAAGAAATTTTAAATTTATTAGTCTCTTATGTTGATAAAATTGATGCAAGGTCAACAGTTCACAATGAAATATCATTTGGACTATATACCGACGCTTCTTAAAAACTGTTCCTTGAAACACCTATTTTCCTAACATACTTAAATACTTTAATTCTTAATAATATTAGATAAGCATCATTATTATTAAATTTTTATATGACATTTAGGTTTAGGAGCAATTGTTGAAATAGAAACTAAAACACACTGAGAAAATGAGTCCAACAATGCATTAAATATACATATATCTATTCTGTCTTCCACATGGTACTAACAAAAACAGCCAAACCAGAAACATTTGAACTATACCTCAATTCAAGTTTCTTAAATATTTTATTATACCTCTAATATGAATAGTGTATCCACTATCTCAGTACCAAAAGTCATTATTCTCATTGTCAAAGTTTGCATATTTGCATGATTAACTAACCTAACAAAGTTCGATATTTCATCTAGCTCAATATTTAATCATACTAGGACCAAATTAACAATACTACTAGCTAAATATCCTTTCACTTAACGATCATCTCCTTAATGCAGCCAAAAAACTTTATTACTATTTTTCTCTTTTTTTTAATTTTGGCCAATGATCCGATCATAATAATAAACTTAAAAAGTACTTATCAAAAACCTTGAAAATCGTGATGTAATTTGCTAAAATAAAATTCGGTGTCTATATGAAACTTTAAGAATATTTCTGTTCTAGTTTGATCAAATCATTTCATTAAATTGGTGTAATTTTTAAATTAATTAAGATGCTTAGTTATGGTAAAAAGTTGCAACATAACTGTTCAATAGCAGCACTCTCAGTGCCAACAACTTTCAAGGATTAGCCTGAAAATATTCAGCAAAAATTCCATATTTTTTTAAAACGTCTTCGAATAACACTTTTAACGAAATGTACCAGTAAAGTTCTTGACCCAATTTAGTAATTTTCAGTAGAATCTTTAATTGGAATATAAATACTTAATCTTGGGGTACCGAGTAAAAATGAACTATACATATGGATTAACTACCTAAGAATATGTGCGATAGGAATTTCACTGTTGACAAGATTAATAATATCGTTATGTTCAGACTAGAAATAATTACTAAACAATTGAAAAGAAGAAAGTAGAAATTGTTCTTACTTGATTCTCCGTAATCAGTAGTTTGATAAATCATTAGCGCGTGAGTAAATTTACAAGCACCACGATTAGGATTCATAACTTGTAACAAACAATGTTTTCCATCCGAACACAATGGTATTTTTCATAACGTTAAATAGTACATATGCTAGTATTATATAGATTTTATAAATATTTCTGTTGTTAGGATACAACTCATAAATTATGATGTGATAAAGAAACTTGTATAAAAAACATTATCTATCCATTTTCATGAAAAAGAGATTTTCAGAATAATTAAAAACTTTACACACTTTCAATTATCTTAAACAATATCATTAATGAAATATAAATTCGTATCATGTGATGATCAAACATTTCTTTTCACAAAAACCAATTTTAAATATCATCAATATAAATATACTTTTTAACGAAAATATATTTTGTTTAATAATATTATACGATTATTTATACAAAATATTAACTAAGGAAAATAAAAATTATTTATTATTTACTAATAAATAAAATAAACATTTAATTTAAAATATTTATCATGTGACTATTAAATAACTTATATCAGACAATATGTATTTTCGTAGTATATGATAGTTTATATCAGGTATTATGTTTAAGAAAAGAACAGCTTTTAATATAGAATATTTCGTATTCTATGATATTATTTATTTCCATAATTATTTTATAAAAAGACAAAATCATGTTATGGAAAGATACTAAATAAAAATTTGCAATGTAATTTCGATATTTGCTAATTTTTGTTCTGTACGTTCTCAATATTGTTTCAAGCTTTAGTATTATACAAATTTTTCATTTTAACGCAAAGCGCAAAAATTGGATAGTAATAAAGTAGATATTATAAATAAATAAATAAATTAACATACAATTTTCTGCATAGCTTTTTCAAATAATGATTTTTTACTTTACACTAAACTAATGTATTTGACTAAAATAATTAGAAAGCATGCAACAATCCAGGTTTTTTTCTAGATTTAGTAATATTTTTCATAATATCAGATAGTATATACATCAATAGTATTCAAGTTTTATAAAGCTTCTATTATTTTAATATCACTATTCATGAAAATTCTAACATGTAATTTTATACAGTAAAAGTAAAGAATACAAACTTTTCTACATTAAAAGATATTTTATATATGTTTATTTAGTCACAATTTCAATTTTTAAGTTTTCATGACAAGAAAAAGAGAAAATATTACATCACAATACATCTGAATAGATTTTACTAATATTTTTATGAAACCCAAAAAAGAATAAAATTTATAATAATTACTCTCCTTTTTTTTATGAATAAAAGTTAATGTCATCCAAATAATTATTTAGAATCATAAAAAAATCTTTAAATTTGAAATCATACTTTACGGAAGAACACAAAAAAGAAGATCAAAAAAAAAAGGATTCAAAAAGAAAGCAAACAAAAGATAATTTTGAATAAATATTGCTGTTTGTGTTTGTTTATCTAGTGGAAAAAATATTTTAAAACTTCAAAGTAATTACAAAAGAACATCTCATTACCAATCTTTTAGAAGTATGTCTGACTGCGATTCCGAAACAGAGTTAACCTTATCAGCCAATGCTCTAGCTGCTTTAGCTGAATTTAGACAAGAAGAAAAGCAACGTCAAGAAGAGTTTCAAAGATTATATGATGAAACAGATAAGGAGTATCAGAAAAAAAAGAAACAAGAAGGAATGAAATTATTCCAAGAAGACTGGCAATTATCACAATTTTGGTATAACGATTCTACAGCGGATACACTTGCGGATGCCCTTTTGGATGGTGCAAACAAAGATACAATAATAGCAATAGTGAGTGCACCATCTGTTTATGCTGCCATTCAAAAAAGGCCTGCTAATGAAATACCCACAGAACATATTTACTTGTTTGAATTTGATAAAAGATTTGAATTAATGGCAGGTAAAGATCATTTTGTTTTTTATGATTATAAAGATCCATTGAATTATAACTGTTCCATTCGTGGGAAGGTCAACAGATTATTAATTGATCCTCCATTTTTGAATGAAGATTGTCAAACAAAATCATCTATTACTGCAAAATCTCTTTTGACCTCTTCATCAAATAAAGAAATGAATCAAGAGATCCGTTTAATTTCTTGTACAGGTGAGAGAATGCATGGAATTATTGCTAAAGTCTACCCCTCCACTAAAATCACCACTTTTTTACCAGAACATGAAAATGGTTTAAGTAATGAATTTAGATGCTACGCTAATTTTGAATGGAGGGGATGGTCCTTTCAAAGTTGAAAAAGAAGTAACATAATGGAATAAGAACTGAACTAAGTACAAACAACTTTAGTATTCCAACTATATAGAAGAAGTATAATAACTAATATACAAAAAATTGTTACTTTCTAAACTCTAGAAACAAGAATATATAAAAATGAATGATAAATTTATATACACACATATATATAGATATATATATAATATTTTTTTGCCACTAAAAATCATATATAATGATATATAGGGGAAATTGTACCATTTAACTTAAAATAGAGTTCCATATTTGATATAATTTTTTGTGTAGGTGCTAATTTATGCCACAATTAGGCAAAATAATATTCATTCGATTAATATTTATTTATTTGTTGAAGGGATATACTGTGGTACTTTCCCGAATGGTATTACCCATTATTTAATAATAAGGAGTCTGTAAAACTATTTCAAGATCCCAAAATAGAAAGAATTGCCAAAAAGAAACAGGCTATGGTACTGCTTGCAAGTCTCTTTTTCTTACTTTATCCTTTTTTTTTTCATTTTTCTTCTTTCTTTTTTTGTAATCTCATTTACATGTTTTAAATCGTTTAGCAGATTTGAAAAAAGGAGCGATAAAACGAATTACCTGTTTTTCTGAATAAACGATTGATTTTAAAAGGCAAAATATTTCAAAGTTGTTTTTTTTTTGAGAAAGTGTGTTCTTTAAAAATAAAGGTAAGGGAAACAAAGACAAAACTACCTGAAATAAAAAAAAAAAATAAAATTAACAATCTCTCACTTATTACCAACTGAAAGACGAAGGTTCAAACGATTAGGATTGTAAGAATCAATAATATAGTTCTATTTATTACTTTAATCTATAGTTGAATACAATTAAGTCAATAATCATGTCAGACACCTATAATTTTCCCGTTGACTCAGTCCTTATCATTGGTGGTACTGGGTTTCTCGGTCTACATCTAATTGAGAAATTTTATCATATGGGTGATGATTATCCAGAAGCACAAGGTTTACATCCAAATATTTACGTCTTTGACATAAGACCACTACCAGAAAAAATCAGCAGTCAGTTTGATTTTGACCCTAAAGATATTAAGGTTATTCAAGGTGATTTAACTAGTAAAACAGATCTTGAAAAGGCTATAAATGAGGTAAAACCAAATGTCGTGGTCCATGCTGCATCACCAATACATGGTGCCTCAGCAGATATTTACGAAAAAGTTAATGTGCAAGGTACAAGAAATATCATTGAGGTGTGCAGCAAAAATACATTGGTTTCTGCCCTTGTGTACACTTCTAGTGCTGGTGTAGCATTTAATGGTAACGATTTACATAACGCAGATGAAACTTGGCCTATTCCAAAACCTGCTATGGATGCATATAATGAGACAAAAGCCATTGCAGAACAAATGGTATTAGATGTAAATGATCCCTCAAATAAATTTTACACTATAAGTTTAAGACCAGCAGGTATTTTTGGTCCTGGCGATAGACAGTTAGTTCCTGGTCTTAGAACAGTAGCAAGATTAGGCCAGGATAAATTTCAATTAGGTGATAATAATAATCTATTTGATTGGACATATGCTGGTAATGTTGCCGATGCACATGTATTAGCCACCCTAGCTTTAAGAGACGTTGAAAGAGCATCTAAAGTTATGGGTGAAACTTTTTTCATTACTAATGACTCTCCTTCGTATTTTTGGTCATTAGCTAGAACTGTATGGAAACAAGATAATCACCCAGTTGACGAGAGACGAGTCATTGTTTTGAATAAGCCATTGGCAATGGTATTGGCGTACTGTTCCAAATGGGTTTCTAGTCTTTTAGGAAAGGAACCTGGTTTAACCCCATTTAGAGTTCGTATTGTCTGTGCCACTAGATATCACAATATCACAAAAGCAAAGACTTTGCTTGGCTACAAACCCCGTGTAGGTATCGAGGAAGGCATTAATCGTACACTTCAGTGGATGGATGAAACTGAAACAACAGCTTAGAGTTACATTATTGTTTACTTTTATATAACATTAGTTTATACATGTAAGAATTTATGAGAAAAGCTACTACGTAAATATGCCCTAATATTGAACAGAATACTATGATTTTTAAAAGTGATTATATTTTCCTAACTGAAAATCAGAATTTGTGGACTGTCAATCCACATTTCTTGCGTCACTCATACCAGGGGTCTTACTTCCTGTCATAAACACGGACCAAAGAATTGAATTCATCATTAACTTCATATAGGAAATATATAATACATTTTGGATCTTTAAACTGATACCATTGAATTTCTATTACAGATGTTCGGACGTATTTGCCCAAAAGATAAGATGACTTTCACTAAAGTCCATGATATCATGATGCATTGTTAATTCCAACAAGTTTTATGCTCGAACGTGGATAATTCTTGACTTGAGGAAACAAGTCAAAGACTTTGCAATAAATAAAAAATCTTTTAATCTTTTCATGCCCATATATATAGCTTTTTTTTTCAACAGAAAAATATTTTTTTATTTTTGAAAAAGAAAACGAAAATAATAATGCCAAATTCGGACCAACAAGATTGGAAATATAAGACAAAAAAGTCTGTTAGGGTTTCTAAAACATTTAAATAGAGAATGTTCTAAGATCCACTGAACATGTGTTGAAGGTCAGATTGCCAGATAGCATAGGAAACCAGCAGGATATAATGAGTGGAACACAAGATAAATATAGATATAGAATAGAAATTCAGCAGATGATGTTTGTTTCTGGTGAAATAACGGATCCACCAGTAGAAACAACCTCATTAATTGAAGATATTGTTAGAGGACAAGTTATTGAGATCCTTCTACAGGCTGCTAAAACATCTCATGCTAGAGGAACTAGGTCAATTTTACCAGAAGATATTATTTTTCTTATTAGGCATGATAAGGCTAAAGTAAATAGATTACGAACATACCTTTCATGGAAGGATTTAAGAAAGAATGCTAAAGATCAGGATGCTACTGCATCTTTGAATGCAGGGGGATCAGGGCCTGGTGATGACGATGGTAAAGACAATAGAGATGGAAAGGATAAGGATGGTAAGGATGGTAAGGACAACATGATGAAAGTAAAAAAATCAGCTATCAAGCTACCTTGGGAGTTACAATTTATGTTTAACGAGCAACCATTAGAGAATAATGAAGATTCTAATGACTTGGATGAAGATGAAAGGGAAGCCAACATTACAACACTAAAACGTTTGAAGATTGCTGATGATAGGACTAAGCATATGACAAAGGAAGAATATGTTCACTGGTCTGATTGTAGACAAGCCAGTTTCACATTTAGAAAGGCTAGGCGGTTCAAAGACTGGTCAGGTATTACACATTTAATAGAAGGGAAACCTAATGATGATGTCATAGACATTCTTGGTTTTCTGACTTTTGAGATTGTTTGTTCAATAACTGAAACAGCATTGAGGATTAAGAAAAATGAACAGTTACAACTGCAACGAAAAGCAAACAATCAATCATTCGAGATTACGCATAGTTCAAATTCTGCATCTAATCCAACAAACTTACAATTTCAAACCACAACTTTGTCTCATAATTGTGGCAATAAAAGGAAAAAAAGACTTTTTGATGGTCCAGACGATGCACTTGAACCCTTAAAACCAAAACATATTGAAGAAGCATGGAGAGTACTTCAGTCCATAGACATGAAACATAGAGCTGTAACTAATTTTAAAGGAGGAAGATTATATTCGAGACCAATAATTCTGTAATTTATGAATTGGAAAAAAAGAGTCCAAAAAAGAAGAAAAAAAGAAAAATAGAAAATAGGAAAGGAAATAGTTTCATTAATTATTAATATATATTCATATACGTATATACGTGTGTTAATTTTGATTTTATGTATATTATTCTCTAACAGCCTTCTCTGCATCAAGTTTATCCATCTGTTTCTTTAAATCAAGTAATTTCACTATTTGTTTTAATAGTTTTTCTTGGACCTGTACTACATCGTAAGAGGGCATTGCAGGTCTCGCTGGTAACCCTAGTTCTTGTAGAACACCTATTACTTTATTTTGTAAAGCAGGTTTAAAAGTAGATATTTTTGTTCCTCTTAAATAAACACCTGGGTATAACTTTTCACCATGGGCAATAACGCCAAGAGATTTCTTTTCCTCTTCAGTAAAATTTTGCAGTATATGTTCCACAAACTGCACTTCGTTTTTTCTCTTGATCGAATTCTGTAGTTCGAGTTTTTGTTTTTTTGTCTTACGCGGTGATGTTGTGGAGGGTGTAGAGGTTGCTACCCTTGTATCTGCACCACTTGAATTCGTACGATTAGTTAACAAATCTGGAGTTTCCATAGAGAGAGATTTTGATACAGCTGTGGTTTTAGTATTTGGTTCTGAAAGTTCAGATCGCTTTTTTTCATGTAATTGCTGCAATCGTTGCTTCTGTTGGGCAAATTGCTGTTGTTGTTTCATCCATGGGTTTTCTGGAATACTAGAATCATGCTTACGCTTACGGTTTTTATCAGTTAATAGGGTATTATATAACTGTGATATACCTTGTGATGTCATATATTGGGAACTATTTTGATCTGAGTTTGGAGAATCTAATAGTCTCAATAATGATTCTCTTTCATTCAATATTTTTTTAGCTGCCATTCCAAATTTTTTGGATTCCATAATTAAAGCTTCTTCTTCAGCAATTTCTGCTGCAGTACGTGACAATAATCTATTTAGATATTGTTTTCTCTCTAGTTCTCTTTCCTTGTCATACTTTAGTGATTCTAAAAGAGGATCCTTACTATTTCTTGCTGCAAAATAGTTCTGGCAAACTTCATAAAACTTATCTTTTAAATCTTCGAGAGTTCGATGTTCTGCGGACTCATAATAATACCTGTCGTATATAATAAACCACCTTAAGTCATATTTTCGACACAACCAGAAAAGATAATTAACTTCTTCATAATCCCATTCATTCTTATTTTCATCTACATTTATATTTGTAATACCAGTTGTATTACCTTTATCCAAACTGCTATCATCATTGGAGCTAGTCTGATTGTGGTCCTTAGTACCATATGTGATGATCTCAGTTGCAGCTTTTTCATTAATCTTGGCAGTAGATTTATCATTAGATTTTTCGTCAGTATTATCAGCTTGATTTGATTCAATGGGTGAATTTGTTTTATTAACTTTATTCTCCTTATCGTTGACTGTTTCAATGGAACTACTTGTATCTAATTTATTATCATCTACAGATTTAGTAGACGTTTCTTCTTTGTTGTCTAGCTTACAATCCTTTAGTTCGCTATGGTTTCTTTGATCAGTATTTTTCTCACTTGTGGTGCCATCTATTGGCAAATTTTCTTGTGAATTCTGGATTGGTGTTCTTTCCAAACTATCACTTTTCTCCTGAACTCTTCTCTTTCTGGCCAATTCCATAAATGATTGGTACTCTTCTTTTGTAAATCGTGGTAATGTTAAATGTTGATTAAATTTGCAGAAAGTGGAGGTTTGAGGAACATCACCAACTAAATTTTTAGACCCCTTTACCCAGTGTTTTAGTTTAACTCTTTTTTTTATATCTGTTTGATCACTAGACCAAAACTCTGCATATGTCCAAGGGGACGGTTTTCCTGCCATCTTGTCTTTGAACCGATTAGCTGGTTGAACCATAATTGGTGGTTGGTTTTCACCCAATAAATTATATAATTCTCTTTGCATCCCAGTTACCTGGGGTTTAGAAGTTGTAGCCTTTATTGGCTGAACATTGTTGCCACTTAAGGAAGAAGATAAATTTAAACTACTTTTCTCATTAGAACTAAGTAATTTGGATTTATTTGCAGTACCTGTATCATCATTTTGTGGGCTTTGTGATTTTGATCTTATGTTAAGGATATCAAAAATGTCCGACGATGACATTCTAGCTTTATGTTGTGGGATTTTGTATTATGATTACTGTTCTCTTAATAGTTTATTTTGTAATTGTGGTTGTAGTTTATTATTTGTTTTGTTTAATCGAAGAAATATATTGATGTTTTTCTCTGTTGTTATATTTGAAATTATTTTCATAATTTTAAATATTTAGAACCTTGCGCAAATTCATTAAAAAAATAAATATCCAAGAGACTAGCAGTAAAAAGACGTACGTAATAATATTATTGAGCGTGTGTCTACGCAGGTATTTATTTATTTATCTATATGCTCATACAGCTATAAATATATACCAATTAATATCTAAATTATTATGGCTCCACTAACTGTCAAATCAGTGAAAAGAACTCCGCCATTATACACCTCTTTTGAAGAATTATGGGAGGTTGTAAATAACGCACTAGAGCATATTTTTCTAGATGAGACGTCAAAAGTTTCTTTTCAAAGGGTATATCGTGCAGTATATGATATTACATTATTAGGAGAATCTTCAAGGTTCTATTCTCAAATAAAAACATATCTTACCGACAAGATGATTTTATTGAGAGAGGAAATGTTTAACAATACGGATGATTTAATGAAAACAGAGTTATGCTCTGATAATGTTCATATGCTCAATGTTTTTTGGTTGTCTCTTAACCAACGTTTTAAATGGATTGGTGACCTGATGTTATATTTCGATAAAGTTTATTGTGTGCCTAAAAGATCGTTACAAGTTATTGATCTATGCTATTCTACATTCTATCAAAATATCCTTTCACCATTATCAAATTTTTTGCTATATTCTGTGATTAACACAATAAATCTTATTCGAAAAAGATTGTCACAATCTGATGATTTATCTGTATTGTTGCCAGAAGAACAAAATGTTATTGAACAAGTCAAATCCCTTATTAGTATGATGGAGTTGATAACTGTTGATAATGCCACACAATATAGTGTCTACAATAAGATTTTTGAAAGTTATTTTTTAGAAAATCTTGATATATTTTTTGGGACTTCTATGAACTGGGAAGGTACGTCACCCCTTGAGACCTTTTATAAAATCCAAAGATTGATTTCAACAGAGTATTATATATCAAAACAATTATTCAATGATGACACACGTAACAAAGTTTTTAAAAAATTAGAAAAGGTACTAGTAGAAGAAAAAGCTACTACTATAGTGGATCCTTTAATTCAGCTTGCTTTGTCAGATTTAAATAAAACACTATTAAAAAAAATTTTATATCTAACTATAGACTGTGAGGAATACCTAACCAAATGTTATGACTCTATTAAATTACATATATTAAACGATCTAAAAGATAATATTCACCTTGATACATCTTTAAAGAGACGGTCTTTAATGGGTGTAAAATGGGTATCTAAAGTGATACAAAAAAGAGAATCTTATTTAAAGTTATTAGATATTCAGTATCCAAAGGGATATGATGCAAGTGGACTTCTTGTGGATGAACCATTTCAAAAATACCTAAACCTTGATAAAAAACAATCAACAGAATTTCTTTGTTATATTATTGATACACAATTAAAGAGACCACCAAGTGTGTCATTGACATTAGAAGTCATTAATAGTGAATTGGATTCTATTATTAAATTGGTGAAAGCTTTATCTGAGAAGGATGAATTTATGGAAACATATAAGGTGATGTTATCGAAAAGGTTGTTACATCAAAGATATACTTATGAATGGGAAGTAAGCATTTTTAAAAAGCTATCATATGAAATTGGATCCTATTTTACTGGAAACATTGAAACTATGCTGAAGGATATAGTCATATCTGGTGATTTATCAAGAATTACGAGGACTATGAATGGAAATAAACACATGGCCCATCAATTGCCTTCCTTTGAATTCCATCCTAATATATTGACAATGACCGCGTGGCCTTTTAATCCAGTAAATGAGCAAGAGAATGAACAGATTATACTTCCTAAATGTATGCAGATACAGTTAGACAACTTCGAAATGGTATATAGAAAAAAATATAATCAACGGTTATTAAAATGGTGCCATCCATTAGGGTTGGTTGAGGTTGCCTATTGGTTTGGTGAAGGTGAAGATTTAAGAAAATATAATTTATTGTTGCCATTTTATTCTGCAATTGTTTTTCTTTCAGTTTTAGAAGATGATGTTGTAAGTAATGATAATGATAATAATAATAGTAATAAAGAACCATGGACCTTGGGTAGGATTCAGCAGGCTACAGGATTGAGTATAACAGAGGTAACTCGTCAACTGGTATCATTATCTATAGCACCAAGATTCCGTATCTTGAAGAAAATACCAGAGGGACCTATAATAAATCCTTCGGATATTTTTTCAATAAATGAAGACTTTAGAAGTCCCACAGATATTGTTAGGGTAAAGACTGTAAATATAACATCAACTAATGAGCCGTTGGTAAATACTAAATTAGGTATGAGCGTGAAAAAGACTCTCGAAAGAGATCGGTTTATAACTACTAATGCTATAGCGGTGAGAATCATGAAACAAGAAAAGACATTGACGGAAATGGAATTATTTGAGCGCTGTCAAGCTGCCTTAAAAACTAGATTCTCATTGCAGAGTAGAACATTCCATCACACTATACGGCATTTGTTAGACAAAGAATATCTAGCAACAGATCCTGATGACTCGAAAGTGTATAGATATCTATAATAATACTATTACTTATTAATAATATTATCTATTATACATTTAAATGTTATCGATATATATTTTAATAGTAAAAATTATTTTGAACTACACCGAAGCAAGTCTGGAAAAAAAAATAAGATAAAAAAGATAAAAATACAAAAATAGCCAAAGATGATATAAGCATACTATGTAACGGTTAGAAGGATTAATGAACTAAATAAATGTTATTGGGTCTCATAATCTTGAATGATTTTGTTTTTCTTCCTGACAACTAGAAAACAAAACAAACAAGAATATAAGAAACTATTTAAAAACTAATAATTACTCTGGAGAATAAAATTGAGTACTGACCACAAACGAATGAATAATTTAAAAGAATATGTCCATCCAAGAGAATGGTGTTTTGAGTAGTACATTCAGGGAGTCAGACACTACCTCTTCAAATATGTTAAATGGTATAATACAAAATAAAGAATCAAGGATATCTCCTACTTTGATATCCTCATCAGTATCAACACAACCATATCTTCTAAAGAGTGCCATGAAACGACGACATAAGAAAAACTATAAAAGTGGGGGTATAATCAATCAAAGAAGGAGAAGATTAAGAAGACAAGATGGTAATTATCGTAATGATTATAACTATATATGGTCTGATGATACTGTAATTGCTTCCTCTCCATTGTTGAACTCGACACCCCCAATCGTTTCTAGACGATTATTGAAACTTTATCCATATTTAATTATATTAGACAGAGTTTTAGGCATTCTAATATGGAATAATAAAGAATTTTATTGGGTTAATTATTCATTAGTAATAATATTTTTTCTTTTAGTACAGTATTTTCACCTGATTATGAAATACATGGGTCATATCCTTTTGTTTTTATTGTTGTTGCTGTATTCATTGCTTGATAAGTATGTTAATTCGATAGTCTCCACATATCCAACACTGGATGATATTATTCTCATAATGGGAACTTTGTCTCAGAAAGCAGATTTAATACAAACACCTATTACTATCCTAAATAAACAAGACATTATGAGATTGTGGTTTACAATTATGTTTTTTACACCATGTTATATTGTTTTAGCGACGTTTATTATTTCTCCAAGACATATTTTTTTAATAGTAGGATTATACATTTTAACATACTATTCACCATCTTGTAGATGGGTTAGAAAATACTTATGGAAGTTTAGATTAATTAGGCTTGCTTTGTTTTATTTAACTGGATTGGATTTTGGTGGATTGACAAATAAAGATAAGAATGCCTTCAGAAAAGCTATAGAGACCGTAGCTATGATGTCTAGTTGTAATAATAGTGATGATAAAACAAACGATAAAACAAATTCAGGAGGTGTTAAATACACTTTCGTATTGTTTGAAAACCAGAGAAAATGGATTGGGGTTGGTTGGACAGCCAGTATGTTGAGCTATGAAAGAGATTGTTGGACTGATGAACATCTGAATCCAACCTCTGATTTGGCTAATTTTAAACTTCCACAAGATGATTCTGATGAAAATCAGTGGAGGTGGGTAGATAATTACTGGCAATTGGATAAAACTAATAATGGTGCGATTCAGTTATCAAGTAAGGAACCTACTTTAACTTCAAATCCAGCAGATGATGAAGGTTTCATTTATTATGATAATACGTGGAAGAATCCATCTTTGGAGGACACTTTTACCAAGTTTACAAGACGAAGGCGTTGGGTCCGAATAGCAGAGTTTATTAACAATAAATATCTTGAAGCTGGTAATAATCAAGAAGATAATACATCATCTGTTAAGGCTGATTTAGATTCAATAAACTCATCTTCATCAGTAAGTTCATTTTCAATAAACCACGAAAATTCAATCAATAATGAGAATTTTCCTTTAAAACCAAGAAAGGTTGGTTTCAGTGAAAACAATAATATCCATATATTACCGTTAGATGGGTATATTAACGAGGATGATATGTAGGAAACATAATGTTCGTGATATATAACGATACATATGTATTATCATAAAAGTGATCTCTAAGCAAGTTTTACTGTTGAAAACATTGACTATATAAACCATATAAAAGTGGTGCTAGTATTGTTGTTACTGTTGTTGGTATTATTCTGAAAAGAAAATAGTGTTTATAAATATTGGAGATGTCTTTTTGATACAGTTAGTACATTGTAATAACTTACATATATTCAGTAAATTAGATTTAATAAATATATTATTCTTTTTGTTGTTTCTTAGTAGCCTGAAGAGTTTCTTATTAATAGATTTAGTTTTACTCTAGGGGAAACTGTATGGTTTCAAAACATGTTTATCTTTTGTTTTAAACTATTTTTAAGTTCGTTTTGAGAATATTTGAAGTATCTTATACAGGTTTGTTTAATTTTTATAATTAACAGCTTTCTATATTCATTCATTATACTTAAATGTGATATTTTAAGGTGTTAAGTATATATAATATACATATATTAATTAATGCAAAAATTTAATACTTTGATAAATGAACGACTTCCTTCTGAAGGAGGCAGTTGTCTCTATTATAAAGATATATTACTAAGAATATCGAAAAATAAAAATAACTAAATATCTTTGAATAAGGTAATTTTTAGTAAATTTTCTGTGATTATTTTATATTATTTTTTTTAGAATATAAAGTAAAACAATCTAATATATATATCAAAGATTTGCTTATAATAGTTTTAAAAAGAGTCATCTGACTTCTTAAATACTTTAAAACATGCTAAAACATAAATATATTAGAGTATATAAGTTCAGATGCTATATCAACCTAGACTTTTTTAACTAGTTAATAATTTTTTGAAACTTTTTTGATGATGCTCTGTTTGTTTCTTGTAGATAAAAGTTTATGCAAAGATATTTTTGAAAGAAAATTGTTATTCAACTCTTAAAATCTTTGTTATAATTTTTAAAAATAATAAAGTTAGAAACAGATTATTCTAAATTAATGTATTAGAGTAGTAAAATAAAAACTTGTTTATTTCATGTTCACTCTTTGTAGCTTTCACTATTTTTATCATTTGTTTATTATTTTCTATTTTCAACGGTTTATACGAATAATTTTAAACTTTTAAAACATATATATACTTTTTTTAAAGAAACTAATTCCAAAACAAGATATGCCTCAGGATCAGTTTAAAGTACAAATAAAACTATGAATAGATCTATTTAATATAGTCCTGAATAACACTTACTATGAGAATAAAAAAGCCTATTAAGTAATTTACTAACCCAAATAACACATTATTTTATCGATAGAATCACAATATAATAATAACCACTATGGAATTAATTAATGTTTTTATCACTGCATATAAAAAAATAAATTGTAAAAAGTTATAATACATACAAACATAATGGAATTCATGAATTAGATTAAATTTTGTACATTCAATTTTTTATATCTTTATGAGTTATATAAATCACTCATTTTGTATAACAAACGAAGAATTCGTTTCGTAATTAAATATTCTAATAATATTTATTAACCTTGCTAAATAGCATAAATTTAACAACACCTAATTTTCATATCAACGTTTTAAGCAAAAAGAACAGTAATTAGTCTAGTTCTGGTAATAGTGAGAACAAGGTACTTTATCCAATTTATGCATTTAATTTAGTGACGAAATCCTTCATACACTATCGATAATAAACTTTTTTGAAAGAAGTAGACATGAACAAACTGATGAATATTAAAACCATATCTACTAAAAAAAAGCAACAAATTTAAAATACCTAAATTAGTTTTTGAAATAGTTCTACAAGAGCTAAATGCATACAACAAAACGATTGAAAAAGACATAACACATTATTGGACGTTGATGGCATAACTTACTTATATACTTGAAAATAATTAAATCCATAATCCAACTGCATATATATCTGTCTACATAAACAACGAATTTATAGAAAATCTACATACTCATTTTTTTTCACATATAAACAGTATAACCATAATACTAAAGTTAAACAAATCTTTATGCGAACTGAACTAAAATATTACCAATTACTATAAAAAATAAAATAAGAATATATTTGGTAAAAAAATAGAACAGAAAGAAGTATCCAAACAAATATATATATTTTTTTACAAAGATAATCATAACAATATGTTTATTTGTAGATGATATGATTTCCATAGCAAATGACATGAAAACTTCGTATATGCCCTTAAGAAAATTATAAGATTACGATACAGGTAGGCTTCAGAACTGATACATGATAATGATCTCAAAAATAATACTAATTAATATGACATTTTAAGCTCAGAATTAACATATAAATTTATGAAGAAAATAAAACTTGGAATGTGTAAATCTTTAAAATATATATATATTTAATTTAGGACCTAACCAATCGAATTCATAAAACAATTATGTCACTGGAAGTCCTAATTTTTTATTTCGATATTAATAACTTTTAAGTGTTTGACGATACATTTTATGGAGACACACTAAATTATTTTATAGTGACAAATAATGATATTCACATTAGCAAACATCCACAACCTCAACTATCAATTGTTACTAGTATTATTCATATTCAAAAAACTTTTAATATGATAATCACTATGTACTCATAGGCATATTCATACATATACAGGCATTTAATAAATTTAATGAGTTTTTCTGTATTACTTTAATTTTTTATAAAAAAAAATGCTATCAAAACAACTTATCTTCCCGAAAACTTAGAGCTTTTTTCTTCTTTGCATATTAGAGTTACTATTGATACTACATATATATATATATATATATCTATATATGCACCTATGGTAAACATGGATATGAAATTTGTAAGAAACATTTCAATTACACAATATCTTCCATTTCAATTTCATCTTCATCTTCATCTTCATCTTCCTGCTTATTAGCGTCATTATTAGAAACTGGCGAAGCAGATGATGCACCAGCTGATTGATTTTCATCTGCTAATTCACCTAATGTAGCCTTTCTTTCTTCTTCCTTCAATTTTTTATATTCAGGTCTTAAAGTATATTTGAAGGCATAGGGTCCCTTTTTCACTAAAGTGGCTACTTTGTCTAAACATTCTTTCAAATGAGCTTCTGGCTGTCTTGTTCTTTCTTTTAGCCCCTTTAGAGACCAATAATCATATTCGTCGAATAATTTGAATAAATAATCCAATATTTCCTTTTTTGGCATTCTAATGGATTTGACATTGCTCTTAGCCTTTTCACGACCAACTTTCAAGAAATTAGATGTATCAGACCTCATGGACATACCTGTATGACTCATAGTAACACCCACAGTTTCCTCCAATGTAGTAATTTTTTCTTTATTATTAAACTTAACTATATTACGTCTTTGCTCTACAATTTTATGATAATTTGGATCATTCATGGATGGCATAACTTGACATTCATGACATACAGTACCGACAATACCTGTTTTCTTTGGGATTGTTTTAACATAAGGAATGTAACGGTCCCTACCATCACGATCTGTCATAACACGATGATTGAACTTTCTACGTTGATTTCTCCTTTTCATTTGTTGCTGTTTTTTCTTTAGTTCTTCTTCACGCTCTTGTTTTTTCAAATAAGCTTCGATTTGTTTTTCTGGATTTGATGCCAGTTCTTTTTCTCTCTGTTGATACTTCTTCAAATTTTGTTCAGTAAAGATAAATTCATTTTGAACCACTTTTTTAGTCAATTGTAAATCATATTCATGTGGGATAGAATCACCGTCTTTATCATTATCATCTCTATTTAACATTAGTTTAATTTGAGAACCGTCTTTATTAATTTTAATTTTCCCTAGTTCCTGTCCATGTAAATTAGAACGATCTCTCCATCTTTCTGCTAGAAACATTGGCAATCTGACCAACCAGATCTGTCTATTGGCTTGAGATAAATCTAGATCTAGTGATTCTTCATACACTTTAGTTTCATTATTTTCAATATCATTACCATCAAAGACTTCTTCTTCTTGTGATAAATAACCATTATCTAGATCTCTTGCATCTATGTGAGTGACATTGTTAGTAGTAAGGGTTGGTGCACTAGTAACATTGTTTTCCATTATGAACAAATAATATCTGAATTGATAAGTACAGGTAGCAATATATATCTCTATATATTTATTTATGTGCTTATGAGAATAGTTTGGATGGAATATGGTTTATCTTACATGAACAAAATTTATTGTTATAACAACAGTAATGAAGAAATGATTTCAAATTGATTCTCTTCTTCTTCTTTTATTTTATCAATAAATTTTTTATTTAAATGATTTTCAAAAAATAACAAAACAATGTTTTCAAAGAGTTAGGTCTTAGTAAGAGAAAGTTGAAAAAAAGAACTCCCTGTAATAATTTACTTAGGGTAATGTTTTAGAGTATAAAAAAAAGAAAAAGAAAAAGAAAAAGAAATTGTAATTAAGAAATAAGAAAGAAATCCATCAACATGAAAAGTTGAAAGCAAATATGAAGTTAACAATATTTCATCATGTCTTTAAACAACAACAATTAAAGATGTAGAATCTGAAATAAAAATGAAGTAAAAATAAAAAAAAAAAATAAAATAGAATGATAATAAGATAGGCATCAAGATATGGATTTAGGATTAGATTCATTATTAGAAGAAGAAATTCGACGTCAAACAGGATCTATCGAAAAGATAGAGAGTGCTAATAACACAGTAAATAAAAATGAAAACCAAAATAATACTGATAAACTAGATAATAAAGTTAGTGGTGAAACCAATCATATTGAAAGGGAAGAGCCCATCAATGAAAAAGATTATACATGGATTGAAGACATTATAGATAAAGAAAATAAGGAATATAATGATTTAACTATTGATATAAAAGATATTACTGGTCAGAATATTCATGAGAATATACTTCCTATGAAATGTAATCTATATATTCATAACATATTACGACAATGGGAGAGAGAAATCAAGAGTCAAGAAGTACATACTGATGATAATACTAGTAGTGGTAGTATCGATAGAACAACACAAGAGAGAAATGAACTATTTTATGATACAAAGATGAGTTTGTTTCCTCTCCTTGTTCAATTGAGAAAAAACAGTTTACCTAAAAACCAATTAATTTCTGTATCCACTATTTTGTTTCATCTACAACGTCACGAGTGGGATTTATCATTACAATCATACATGCAGTTATCAATTGGGAATGTTGCATGGCCTATTGGTGTGACTTCTGTAGGTATTCATGCAAGAAGTGCCCATTCCAAGATTACTGGTGATAGAAAGCATAGTTATAACATAGGGAAACAAATTAATATGGCTAATATTATGATAGATGATTCCACTAGGAAGTGGACAACAGCATTAAAACGGTTAATAACAATAAGTAAGAACATAGCTGTTACAAACACACAAGAACCTAAACATAAATAATGCTTTGAAGTTAAGAGGAGAAGGAGATGTGGTAAATGTCAACGTTTAAGACATGCATATTTTTATTTATAATGCTGCTTTTTAATGCTTCAAGAACTTTCTGCTTTTCCGTTTTTCGTTTTCCATTTTTTTTTTTTTTTTTTCTTTTTTGTCTAATTTCTAATAAATTTTAAGCAGAAATGAAAACAAAAAAGAAAAAAAAAATAACAAAAACAAAATCCTCGATAAATGTATTGTATAAGTCCCAATACCAGTGTTATAAATAGTCTGTAATTTATTCTGACACCAAATGTTACATTAGTTAACTAATTTCTTTCTCCAGTTCTATTATGGTTGAATGACAGCAACAATAATAATCCAGCAGAACAATTTCACAAATTCTCTTTATAATCTTTTTTATTTTATTTTATTTTGGGAAGGCAGATTAGTTCAGAAACACAATGAGGTTAGATGAAAACAAGATTTGGGTAGACGGATGTTTTGATTTCATGCATCATGGTCACTGCGGTGCACTTTTGCAAGCAAGACGCGCAGCATCAAATCCCACACAATCACAGTTGTTAGTTGGGATCCATACAGATGAGCAAATCACTATTAATAAGGGACCACCAGTCATGCACACTTTGGAAAGATATGCTCATGCTAGGGCATTGAGATGGTGTACACAGGTTATCGAGAATGCACCATATGTGACCCAACCAGAATGGTTAGACAAATATGGATGCGTATATGTAGTTCATGGTGATGACATTACTACAGATGCAAATGGCGAGGACTGTTATCAAGAGATGAAGGATTTAAATAGATTTAAAATGGTGAAAAGGACATATGGTGTAAGCACAACAGATATCATTCAAAGAATCTTAACTGGGGAAAACAATCATGAATCATATAAAATCAATGGGTTATATTATCCCACTATCAAAGAATTGAGCTTTTATTCACATGGAATTAATGGGATTGATAATTATTGTAATGTTTGGGAAAAATCTTTCAAGAATTATTTGGTGAAAGGCTTAGAGATCAATGATTTCAACTCATGTGTGTTAGTTATGGGTGTGTTTGATTTATTTCATATAGGCCATATTGAACAATTACATAACATTCATGATAAATATCCAGATTGTAAGATTATTATTAGTTTAATGGAGCCACAGGATAGAAATAAAGAGTTTTGTATTATGACGTTAAAAGAAAGAGCACTAAGTATACTAAGTTGTAAATATGTGGATGGATTAATATTGACACCTAGTGATGATTTGGATGCTTTCAGAAAAATGTTCAAATTTGTTACTTACATTGACAATCCAGATTTTATTTCTGGAACTGGATCTTTCAGCCAATACTTAAATAAACAAGTCATAATTGATAGAATCCAAGAACAAAGAAATTTATATGTGGCAAGAAATAAAAGTAAAGGTATGGTCATAACATAAGATTTATTATTTAAGCAATAAGCGCTTAATAATAATAAAGTTATTGCTAAAATTAGCAACATGTAACTTTTGTAATATTATACTTCATATACTCATATATGTTATTTAGATGAATGTTTTTAGTTATATGTGCCAATAAAAGTCCAAAGAAATTGGAACATATAAAGTTATTGGCATAGACAATACTTCTTCATATACGAGTAATTTTAAATATTAAGATAAAAGAAACACAAATAATAATAAAGAAAATATAATGGAATCCGCTAATGAAAACAATATATCAATTGCTCAAACTGGTATCTCCCTTTCAGATTATAATGTTATATTTGTTACACATTTAGCAACACTAATCGGAACAGGATTCACTTGTGCTGGATTCCCACTAATTTCAGCTACAGTGCTTTCTTGCACTTTTAATCTTTTAGCAGCCGTATCATCACTATTACTAAGTATATTAGTCGGTTGGGATGCCCTATCTGCGGCAGATTATTACAAAAAAGACTCAATTAAAAGTATAATGAAATATCCAGCTTCACCAGCTTTATTTTTATCATCATCATCAATACAAGGTGTAGTTGATTCATCTGATTATTCAAAGACACCTGCTATTTTATCATTTTTTGAAGAAATGGATCTGATATCCACTTCTTTTGTTAAAAATTTTATCACCCAAGATATATTGGAAGATGATAATATGGACTATTCTTGGATCAACTTTGTTAAAGGAATCCATTCGATTAAAGAGTCCTTACAAACTCCAATCTATTATAATAATCAAGGATATAAATGTATTACTATCAGATTAGCACCCTTAACTAATGAAGAAAGCTTGTCAGGTTGGAAACAAGAGGTTTGTACCAATTCCATGGGTAGAAGCATATTATCATCAGCATCATCTTCATCAATTTTGATAAATACAAAAAAAAATCAACAAAAAGTATCAGGGTGGTTATTGGACCATAATCTTTTAGAATCACAACTCTCTATTTTCCAAGGAACGTATCTGGTCCAATTCTATCAGGATATAAGTACCTCAGTAATAAACTGTCTATTAACTCAAAGTAAACAATTGTTAAATGGTGAGAGCAAAATATCAGGAGAAGTTACAGATAAAAATGGTATTATTTTTATCACGTCTAAATTATGGAAGGACTCCTAGACTTTATGTATATATATATTTTTGAATAATCTTTATATCAATATAACAGCTTCTTTTTATTTCTGCACAGTAACATTTAAATACGCATCCTGTCTTAGAAATAGCGGCTAGAGTTTTCTTCTTTGAACATTCTGCGATTAATTTTAAACATTACGAGAAATTTAAATACAAATTAAGATTATTCCTGATCTCAAAAACTGCAACAAATTTGCTGTAATAGATGTCATTTTCTCATTGAAAAAGCTTTGGTTCTTTGTTGTATTGACTTTTTTTTTTAAACATGCTAAGTTTAACATAAAAAAGATAAATCTCTTATTCCTATAGTGGATTAAATTGCCCATAACTCATATTTATAGAGAATGACTATGGTGTTATGGTTGTCACTAAACCTATACATTCTGAACAATCGGTTAAAAAACGGAAAAGAATCACAAGAAATAGAGTCATTAAATCCTGTAGAAGTTGCTATAAGTATAAATTAAAGTGCGATAAAGCTACTCCTTGTCGTGCTTGTGTTTCCAGAGGCACTGTGGACCAATGTGAATATGGATTTAGTAAAGCTTTGGAAAATCCAGTGTATAATTTGGATTCATCAGCGTTAATAAATTCAGATAAAAGATATTCAAATAAAATTGATGGTAATATTATTAATAATGAATGTTACCATTCGGGCAATAATGTATCTAAAGCTACTTCTTTTTTCTCTAAAAGGATTCATTTTGATAATTCAAAAATATGGAAAGTTAGTGAAGATGATTCAGTATACAAGTCAAAATATTTTTACCCATTTTTTACTAATTCGATTAATGACAAATTTCTGTCTTCTGAAGCTTATGGAAGAGTAATATTATCCGATGAAAACTTCATTAGAAATGAAATAACTAAATTCAATAGGTTTTGTTTTCATTCTTTAACTAATCCCAATGAAGTGTTAGACCTATTTCCAACAACACCTGTGATGGCAAGAACTCAAATCGAAATATTTTTGAATGGGTTTATCCAATTATTCCAGTAATAAATAAGGCGAAAGTGTTAAAAAAACTTGACAAAATTTATAATTTTTTATTATCATCAACTACTGAAAGTTCAGCTTCTAATCCTTACCAAGAGGAAAATCTCAATATTCATAATTGTGTTAAAAACACCTCTACTCATAAAAACAATCATTTTAACGATATTAGCATTTTAGATTTGCTTCTTATTGTGAGCATATTCTTTTATTCAGCATATTGCAGTGTAGCCTCAGGAATTAGTCCTGATTTGCTACTTTGTAATAAATATTATGCAGCATATCAACATCTTTTGAAACTAAGTGAGTTTCCTATAAAACCTGTATTAGAATCACTTCAATCATTCCTTTTAGTAAATTTTATTACAGACCCCAACATGGTTGATGCTTCAGATTATTCACCTATGTTAGTTAGGATAAGCCAACAGCTTGCTTTACATAAACTGGAATTGCACCCAAGAAATAAAGATTTGATTTTTTTGTGGCATTACATATTATATGTGGAGGAATTTGCATCTGTTGTTTCTGGATTTCCCTTTTCTACAAGTAAAGCTCTTCTAACTTGTGTACCCATTCCTGAAGCAAACTCAAAATTATTTGTTACTAATACTAATACCCCTACATTAAACAAAACTAGTTTAGATACCACAGTACAGGTACCTATAGAATATAGTATTGGAAGATTTAAGATCAATTTAGTTTTCAAAGATATAATGGACTCTACTGTCTCCAAAACACCACTAGTTGAATCACTGAAACAGAATTTATTAAAACAAGTTAGTAAGCTCTACATAGAGGTTAATAAATTACTCATTAATATAAGAAATAACAAATATACTCATACTGAATATTATTGTAGTACGTTACTGGTATTTTTATATCGATTACATTTAAGATATTACGCCTTAGTGAAGATTCATGGACAAAATAGTATTTTTAATAAGAACAAAAATGATCGTCATAGTATAATATTGAAGCATAGAAAACACATGGTTAAGATAGTAAATAATGCTAAAGAAGAGGCAGAATTACTTAAACCACATGATCTCACTTGGATTTTGGAAACTACACAAGATGTAAAGGAGGATGTGATTCCATTATGTCTACTATTACTTCTAGCTACATTGAAACGTTTAATTCAAAACAATGTAAATAATTTTGCGTGGTATACCAGAGGATCTACAGTAATGCAATATTTATTTGTAGTACTTCGAGATCTGTATCAAAATCCAAAAAAGGAATATCCTCTAGAACATTTCAATCGTCCGTTTTGTAATACCATTAGTGATGACATGAAGGAAATTATAAATACTGATCTCTTATGCTTTAAATTAGTACTAATTGAAGAACTATTACCATTAATGGAACTAAAACTAACACCATTATGGAAGAAAAATGATTTGTATAAATTTGTCTTGATGAAAACAGTCAAGAATAAGGTTTGGCAAACACATGGACCTCTGTGGAATAATAATGAACATGTAAAAAGAGTTAAAAGACAGTTACAAAAATGTGAACTATTTACTTCAGGCAATATAAATCTGGAAAACAAAAAAAGTATTGTTTTAGAAGATTGTTTGGCTCAATGGAGTTCTGATATAAAAATGTTTGATCCGGAACAAATTGTGATTGATTGGTTGGAGGATTTCAATTGATTTAATAACAGAAAGCATTAAAAGTATTACTTCTGGGATAATATATATATATATATATGTAGATTCCTGTAGTTGCGCTTCGTGTATTACCCTTGTATTTTATTGCGTTTATGATGAACTTTGCATCTAGATAATATTGTATTTGTAAATTGAAAAAACATCTTCTTTTTTCTTTTATTTAAAATTTATTTATTCCTGATTGTAAGTGGTAAACATACTAGAATAGTCTTTTCAACTTAACAAATTACTCCAAAGATCATCATATATATGATCAAAATATTCTATGGAGTGAATTATGATTCGAACTTGTCATATTCAATACGATTTTTATCAAGATCTTTCAATAGAAGAACAATATCGAGGAAATACTTTAGAACCATCCTTTTATATTAATGTAGATATTACACCAGAATCTATTAGAGAATATAGAATTCAAAAGCAAGAAAGTATCAACAATAAAAATAAGAATGTACAATATAAAGTTGTAAGCGATTATGAGGGTGATTATTGCGGAACATCGCAAGAAAACCAATTTAGAAAGGTTTCGGAACGAATTTATGAAGCTACTTTGGACAACGAAAAATACCAATTTCAAACACCAATAGAAGATTTAACAAATTCGATCAATTGTTTAAATATTAATTGGAGCGCAATAGCTAAATTTCCAGATGGATATATATTAGGTGATCAAACAGGTTCAATTCATACATATGATACTCAATGGAAATCAAAAAACATATTGAAGAATGTTCATAAAGATGAAATCACATCGTTAAGATGTTTTCCCAGCGGAAGTGTTCTATTATCCGCATCTAATGATATGCAAATCAAATTGTGGTCTTTATTGGATGATTCAAATCCACGTACATTTATTGGACACACAGCTGGTATTACAGATACGGCATTACTTGGTAGAGGAAGAAATTTTCTATCTTCCGGACGTGATGGCACTATCCGATTATGGGAGTGTGGTTCTGGCCAAAATATTTACACGTTGACAAGAAAAGAGACCCCTTATGATCCTGTCAATTCAATTATTCTCTTTGATGGAGAAAATCAGGGCAAGAAAGAAAAAGACAAACAAGGATTAAAAAGCCATGAATTGGAATTTGAAACAGAAGGTAAACAAGTTGCAGCAGCTCATGAATCTGGTGTTATTACTTTTCATGATCTTTACACAAAAAAAGAACAATTACAATTACCAAATGAATTCATATCAACATGTAATGTAGTTGCAAATAATCTCGATATGAATAATTATTATTTATTTGCAGGTTATGAGAATGGTGTAGTGGCACAATGGGATATTAGAAGTCCAAATAAATCACTATCACATGTAAAATTAGAAGGTACACTTAACTCTATTAACACAATGGTATGGTCCGGATCTTCTCCATCATATTCTTACGATCAAAGCTCACTTTACATTTCTGCTGGAATAGATACAAGTTTAAGAATATTGTTAACTGCAGAAGGAATATTACCAATAGAGTCTGTGCCACAGTTTTTAGTTTGTGATGATTATAAAGTGACACAATACCTGGTTATACAAGATTCAGAAAATATGACACAGGTTAAGAAAGACTTAAGTGAAAAAAATGAAGTTGTAGCCATTGGAAATAGGGGTTTTATTTCCATATATCAAGATTTATTAGTCATGGAATAGAATCAATGTGTTACCAGTTAATCACTTATCCCTTATTTAATTTTTTTTTCAATAATATTTTTTGATAAATATCTTTATTAGTGCATTAATGTATATAAGCGTATAGAAATTTATTTAGCTCAAAGAATTCATTTTTTTATACTGTCTTTCATTACAAACCGACAAATCAAATCAAGTTAAAAAGTAAATAAAAAATTTCGTTAAAATGTAAATTTGCATTATATTTATATACTCTAATATATTTTAGAGGTTCCCTCTCCACTTACCTTTAGTGAAAAACAAACAAATAAACAAACATATATTATGGAATGACTGTTGTATTTCGTGTTAAAATTAGCACATTTGATAAAATCTGGAATATTTACATACTATATTATATTTGATATATGGTTATATAATTAGTGTTATTCCTAATAAAATTATCATTATTATATCGTATCACTCTGTAACCAGTTTTTTGAAAGTGCATTGACTCATAATAGTACTCAATTAAATAAACATAGTAAATAAAACATTTGATAATAAAAAAAATACGTAGCTTTATAAAGTTTGGATTATTTTTTTAAGTACTACACTCAACATAATTAGAGGATTCAGTTTTTTCAAAACATAGATGTCAAATATACATAGTGTGTTTTATGGGAAGCAATCTTTGATAATGTTTTCTTAGTTAATAAATATTTATTCAAATCATTTGGAAATGGATACAAAAAATTATTTAAAAGTATATTTATTATAATAATAACAGATTTTTTACTTCAATTCATCTATATATAGTCTTCCTTAATTATTAAAAGCCTAAGTATCTAAGGTCTCATCCTATTCGCATCTCACATATCTTGCTAAGTAATAAAAAAAATGTATATATATATATTTTAAATCCTTGTTAGCTCAATCAGACATGTTATAATAATAATGTATACAGATTTGTTATTTGTATATTAATTAATTTACCGCAACAAAGACGCATGCCTGTTATGTATTCTATCAAAAAAACTCTGTTGATTGAAATTTTTAACTAAACAACCAATCCAATGTTTACAAAGTAACCATTTAAACTGTTAAGTTAGAATTTTCTACATAAGAAATAAAGCAAATATCTTTTAGTCAATAAATAACTCACTCTTTGTTTTAAACTTATAACACTGACGCTTTTACTAAAAAAAGAAATTTTTTTTATAAAAGTATTCGCACTTTATAATGGTTTTTGTGACACTATGTGTAAAACTTCTCTGAGGTTAGTATACACAAAATTAATAGAGAAAAATACATAGAAACACTTTAATATATAAAAAAATTATGTATGTTTACTCTTTTCCTGATTTAAATATTTTTTATTTATATATTTAATTGATTAACAGATTTATTCTATTGCTAATTTATTTTTTTAAACCTTTAATATAGTTTTTGCTTTTATTATTAATCAATTACATTTCTTGTATCATAGAATGTCACCTTCTTTTTATATATAAAAGCCAAACATACACAAAGTTTCTTTTCCTTTCTTTTACAACTCACCTGAACACTTTTTCTTAAATTCTTTTTGTTTATTTTCACTTGTTCTTTTGTATTAACATCTCCATACCATAGACTTTTTTAGATACGAGACATCAGTATATATCATATTAGTGTTTCAGTTGCAACAAAAAAAGTTTTGCGTCAGAGTTCACTTTAGTTTTTATTTCGTACTTATTTTTGAAACAAAAAAATGGTTTTTGGTACAAAAACAAGACAATCCAAGGTTTCTTCAACAAAAGACCATTTGTCTAAGTTCAAATCATTTTTTAAAAAAAGTAAGAATGAAAGCTCTAAGCAAGTTCACTCTCTTTCAGCTGCAGATAATCCTTCTGTAGTGTGTCATAAGGTCAAACATTTCTTAATAGTTGAAAAAGTTCAGACTGCTCAATCAGAAGAAAGCTCTTCTATTAAGAACAAATTAAGATCTTTATTTGCTATCAAAAAGAATGACGAGCAATCACCAGTAGTTAAACAACGACCATCTGGAAGGAAAAGAAAACAGTTCATCAATAAGATTGACATCTTCTTCCAAGAAAAGATCGTTCCAACTTTCAATCCTTCCAAAAAAATGAGACCTATCGAAACAGAGCTAGAAAAAAAACAATATGCTGTTGCAGGTAAAAATATTCAGATTGATGCTCAAGTTGAAAGTATTGAAAATTTAACCATTGAAATCGAACAATTTGAAAAACATTTCCAGGAAAGAGTATGTAACTTCAACTTGGAGTCCAACCCATGGGACCAAGATGAATTGGAAGTGCAACAAGAAGAAATTGATTTTTTGAACAAATTGATTCGTCAAAAAAAGATGGAAAGAAAAGAACAAATAAAGTTGCTAGACGTCTATTTTGCTGAATTGTCATCTTTAAAAGAAAATGTAACAGAACAAGAAAAGCAAGACGATTTAGCAAGAGTTCAAAAGATTGAAAAGGAAAAACAGAGAAGAGAACAATTGCTTAGAGAACAACAGCAGCAAGCAGAAGAAACTGAATTATATAAATGGCAACTAGACCAAATTAAAAAGCAGAAAATGCGCCCAAAGGAATATGAAAGACTAACACTTCATCCTACCAAATTAAATCCATGGACGGTACAAAAAGAACTGCAGAAGAATCATACTGAACAACTTTTAGCCTGGCAGGAAAGATTTAATTTGTTACAGCGTACAAAACTCTCTATAACCCTGTTGGAGATAAAAAATGGTATCGTACCATTATCAGAACTTCATCCTCATGAAATAAAATATGCACAGGAATATGAAGAAAAATCTTATAGGATGCTATTAAAAATGAAACATATTATGCAGCAACAAAGACAGGAAAAGATACAATTAGAAAGAGATACTGTTACCTACATAAAGGCATTTTGGGACACAAAAAGTAAACAAATAGCAAGAGGTATTAAGGATAGTGGAGTAGCACAACAATTGATGCTATTTAACAAGAAGATTGGAATTTATATAACCAATCTTTATTATAAAATCATTTAGAGTTCCTAACCACAACTCTATATGAAGGTATGCTTTACTGGTGTTTTTAGAGGAGTTATATAATATATAGTGAAGTAAACTTACTGATTAATACCCTGGCCCAGTATTATTCACAAAGTTTTCTTCTGTCAACTCCTCTAAAATTTCCATTGCAATAAACCCATTATCAATTTTTGAAATAGTACATAATTCCATTATTATATTTGGCACTATCCTCTCCCACAGACTCTCATATCTCTGTGGTTTTAATCCCAATTATTGTCCTTTAATTCTGCTCTCATTTTACAACTTCATATTCCAACAGTTTTATCCATTCAACTAGTATCTATCGCATTAATGCTATTTTTATTTTTATGTAGGTATATCTAATTGCCACTAGTTTTTGTGCGTCACTTTATCTAGTCTGTTCATTCATAAGTTATTTTTTGTTACAACTACTTGTTATAGCTTCCATGACTCTTCATATCTGATATTTTATTACTATAAATATCAACAATACTAGCGTCTTTTCAAATAATAAGATTTACAATTGGATCCTGAAAATAATAATTGCATAGAAGAATCTATATTGACAATATCAAGTACAATTTATAGAACCACAAAACCCATTTTCAAATATGATAACCAATAAGTGTTTGTCAGGGTTTTAAATTGTACCTTGTTGACAATATTATAAAAACTTCAGATCTAGGGTAAAATATTAATGAACCATTGTGATAACAGGTTGATAAGTTGTTGTCTTATGTCTGAATAATATTTTACATGCGTCATTTGCTTCTTTTTTGATTTCTCTTTCATCTTATTTTTGTTTCTCATTTCTCTATATCTATACTTTATTTTTATAAGTTTTATTTTTATAAATTTAATATTTTCTAATGTGTTTTGTCTTATTTTTTTTTTTTGGAAAAGTTATATTAAGCTAGTTTAATGTTCAAAGATTCTATCATATTTCAGATCTTTATACAGGTAATAATTTGTTTAGAATCATTTGTTACCTCATGTAATCTAAGTGAAAGATTGTGTATCACATTATTTACTAAAATATTAATATAGTAAATTCAGTGAGGAGAAGTAATTCTAAGGAGTATTGATGATAGACATATAAAATTTGTTGTCTGTTTATATTTGCTATACTCAGATGGGAAAATGTCTAAGAAGATATATGAAAGTTCACAAATATGTACATATGAATTCAGCTGATATTATTGGTACCTCTGGATTGATAATTAGCTAAATGAATTTGCACTTTTTTAGAAGACAGAATTTTTTTATTTTATCTCTTTACTCAACAACTCTATAAGTGATGGTTGTAAAATTATGCCTTCATTTTCCTTTAGAAATTATCATTTATGTGAAAAAATGTAATAACTAATGTAAAAAGAACTATCAAATTCTATCTTAATGTACTTTTGAATAATATATAGCATATCAAAAAAAAAATTAAGAAAATAAGTTTTCCGATTAATGGTTTTGTAAAAAAAATTTTCATTAGATATTTCCCTTCTAATATTAAATTGTCTTATTCATTGAAATAAACGACGCAGCTACTTCTTTCGATTATTTTAGAGAATTATATGAATATATCTTCTTTCAATTTCTTTTCTGTATTGATCTTCTGACTGGACTTACAACATATAGAAGAATGTATATGCCAACTTTGTTGAGACAATTTCTTGTCTCTTTAATTCAGTACTTAGTCAGATGATTAATGATCACATTGTCTATATGCTTTGAATTATGTGCATTATCATTTAAAAATAGTTTTGCTTAATAGTTCAACTTGTACTACTAATATATTTTCCAATAAATCTTTATAATATGTTTTACATTATACTGTCAGATTTTCTTTGTTGTAATTTTTAAATCTGTTGATTGAATATGTTAATACATTCTTTTTTTTTCAGTTATCATATATTTAAGTATTTTAACTAAACATTCACTATCTAGTGACCAACTAATCTCAAAACATATTTCTCTTTAAGTAAAATTGGCTTCATATTACACATACTGGTGTGTACCACTAGTGGCAATCATTTCGATCTTATTACCGATTCTTCTTTTTTCCTTTTTTCTTTCTTGCAGAGTTGTCAAACATATGTTTATGAATTGAAAAATGTCAAAAATATTGAAACAAAGACGCTTCAATATTTAGTTTATAGAATCAAGTATCTAAAGTGACAAAATAAAAATGAACTATCCAATGACTAGGGATATTGGTGCCGATGATACTAATAGCATGTCATCAAAAGATGATCTTTTTAATATGTTTCTAGATGAGGATTTTGTACCTCAAGCCTATGTAGATATTCTTTTAAATAATATTGATATAGATAACTTAAATCAAGTTCATTCTCTATCATCTGGCCTTTTAACCAAATTGGATTTCTATACAACAAGTTTAACAAAAGAACTTGAAAAAAATGTTTGGAATTTAGAGAAATTGGCACAGAGTTTACCTGGTACTTGGTCAGTCACAGATCCAATTGAGAATCAAGTATATAATCATAATTCGAAAGAACATGAGACCAAGACCAAATCAGACAATGATACGTTTCCTTCACCTATATTAAACGAAAAACCTGTAAGAAATATTGGAGCTTTTGGGGTCTCTAAATTGGAATATTATCTTGATACACTGGGGTCATCGGTGAAATCTTTGGAAAATGACTTAAACAAGTTGGAAACAGATTTAAGTCAACAACATAAAGACACACAAAACATCAATCAAAGTGAGAAAACCAGATGTGTTATACAGCAACTGAAAGATATAAAGTTAATAAAGACAAGATTAATTGAAGTGTTAACAGTATTTACCACTTTGAAGGATATTTTGTTTATTTCAAATGCAGGGGAGATGAAAGGTAAAGAAGAAGAGCCTGCAAAAACATTTACAATTAACGATTTTAGAGTGTCACTTTTTACTTTACAACAAACAATTGAGCAAACCTTAGAAAAGGCAGCACAGGAAGAAGATTCTGATGTTGTGAATAAAGAAATTTTATCTAAAATAGAGAAATTGGTTAAATTAACAGATGTGTTTAAGAGTTTTGATAAATTTTATAAAGAGTATCAAGAGTTTTCAAAATCTATATCACAAAGTTCTACTAAATATCTCGAGTTGAAGGATATTGTAAATGAAGAATAAAAATGCAAAGAACAAAGAACTTTATGAATAAAAAAGTTGAAAAACATAACTACAAATGATATATATATATACATATTTATATTATATAAATACCGAGGACATAAATTGTATAATGAAAAATGATATTATGTATAGGTGATGGATAAAATTTTGAACGTAAATATAGTAATTACTCAGTAGTATGGGACGCTTCTTTAGTTCTAGATGGCAGTGTTTAGTCTAAGTTGCCATTTTTCTCTTTTTAAAAGAAAACATCAGAATTATTTTCATTTGATTCATTCAGTAAGGCTTCTTCATCATTAATATTAGTACCTGTGTAGTGGTTCGTAATATTTCTTAACCACTTAAGGCCTATTAAACATTGTATTACGTGCCATAACCGAGATGGGAAAATGGCTAATGCCCACTCATCAGGGCATATTCTAATAAGTGCACCAACAGGTAATGATAACATACCACAGCCAACGGCAGTTACCCACATAGACATTGTTTGAGGAGCTATTGAGAATGCTGTACCACCAAATTTCATAATTAGAATTTGACACAAACCAATAATAATTAGAATAGAAATAAAATAGTAATTTCTGAATAGGTCCTGGAAGAAGTTTATATTGTTACAGGATATTCTTTTGCGCCAATCTTTTATACCATCAGCCTCATCCAACTTCCTGGAAACTAACAGCGTAAAAAATTGTAACCAAACAAATGTATTAAATGTCATTGCATTCAACGATTGCTGTTGAACACCAGTGATTTCTTCCATATCAGAATAAAAAATCGATTTACCATGGAAATGTAAAATAAATGTAACGGTAAGTTGAACCATTGCTTGTCCTAAGATCATTTTCCATGTAGATGGTGCAATCAGAGGAGTTGATCTTCCTCTTGGTTTTTTGTTCATAATATTGTTATCAGGTTTATCTGTTGCTAAAGCTAAGGCTGCTAAGGTATCCATAATTAAATTAACCCACAATAATTGCACAGCGGTTAATACAGAAGTCTCATTTTCAGAAGACACAGCTGATACAAAGGTTAAGATCACTGCAGTAACGTTGACAATTAATTGAAACTGAATGAATTTTTTAATGGATATAGAAACACATCTCCCCCATTTAATAGCATTAACGATGGCAGAAAAATTATCTGTCATTAAAATGATATCAGAAGCTTCTCTAGCTACTTCTGTACCAGAAATACCCATAGAAAAACCAACATCTGCTAATTTGAGAGCTGGTGCATCATTGGTCCCATCACCAGTAACAGCGACAACATTACCCATACTCTTCAGCGTTCCAATTAATAATCTTTTATCTTCAGGAGATGACCTAGCAAGAACTCTTAAATTTGGCAAGGCTTTAATTCTTTCCTCAGGTGTTAATTGTCGAAACTTTGGACCTTCCATAGCACAGTCTACATTGTTGAAAATACTATTGTCCAGTATGTTACAGTTCCTGGCAATTGCCTTTGCTGTTATAATATTATCCCCAGTAACCATTCTAACAGTGACACCAGCATTTTGACATTGTAATACCGAATCTTTGACACCCTCACGTAACGGATCCTGGATACCCAAAACACCATCCAATATTAATCCGCAATTATTGCTCTTATTATGATATGTTTTGGTGAGAATTAATTCAGGAGATGGCGTGTCATTCTCAGAATCGTCTTTATTTATGGAGGTGTCTACAAACTCTTTTGGTGGCCATTTTTTCAAATTATAGAAATCACAGTGTGCTAGAGAGATTGCTCTTAGAGCATCATTAGCTAATTCTCTAATATTTGCGTTTATCTCATTTTCAATAGTTTCATCGATTTTGATTAATTCAAATTTTTCATTGTATTTGTACTTGCAATAACTTGAAACAATCTCAGCAGCACCTTTTATGAAAAATCTATAGAAATCCCCATTTGGATAATGAACTACTACACCCGACCATTTTCTGGAACTTTCGAAAGGGATGATTTGTACAATATTATCAATATTGAAATACTTTTGATATTCTTCACGTAAAGTTTGTAATTGACCCCATTTTAATTGTTTAGTTTGATCTTTAGACCATGATAATAACGCCGTTTCTGTCTTAGAACCAATGTATGGCTCTTGTCTTCCATGTTTAATTCTTTTTATTAGGTCTTCATCAACAGCACCATTCACGTCTTCTTCTTGTCTAGAAATCACAGGAGTAGCAGTAGTGTTATTATCCTTATAATCCTTATTTTCAAATGCAGTAGAATTTAAAATAATGTTGGTAAAGATAATATTTTTATTGACATCAGGTATGATTTTATCGAATAGAACAGGAGTAGTAGCAGTAGTGGCTGGGGTGACAGTAGAAGAGTTCATAGTACTAATAGTCCCATTACTTCCGGTAGTCGTGAGTAGATCAGAATAATCATGAAAGCCATAAGATGCTATGACACCTTTGATGACAGTCATAATATTTTCTGTTAATGTACCAGTTTTATCTGAACAAACAGCGGTAGCTGAACCCATGGTTTCACAAGCCCTTAATTCTCTTACAAGATTACCATCTTTGGTCATTCTTGTTGTAGCAAATGCCAAAGCCAAAGTGACAGCCAATGGTAGTCCTTCTGGAACAGCGACAACTATTATTGTAATAGCAGTAATAAAGATGTTCATGAATTTAGTACCCTTTTCAGCTCTTGTTAGATCATGGAATTTTCCATTAGGTAATAAAGTGTTGAATAGGAACCTTATAAAAAGGACAGAAAATAAGATGATTGCAGCTACACAACCATATACCGATATATTATCTGCCAATTGACTCAGTCTCTCTTGTAAGGGTGTTGGATCTGGTTCGACTTTCAAAGACATCATTGTTCTTCCATATATAGAGTTTGTTCCAACAGAGGTTACCACAGCTTTACCTAAACCTGAGAGCAATTTGGAACCAGAGATTAACATACAATCAGGAACTTTTTCTCCTTTGCTGTTTCTTTCACCGATATCAGGTAAAGGCAGAGTTGGATCTGGCGACGATAGTGAGAAGTTACTATTATATTTTGTCAATGCGTGATGAAGATCTACTTTTTTGATTGTATCGGATTCACCAGTGATTGACGATTCATCTGCTTCACACTCACCTTCCACAAGGATGGAATCCGCGGGGACCACATCACCGGTCTGTAGACAGATGATATCACCGACTAAAAGATTGTAGATTGAGATCAAAGTTTCTTTTCCTTTCCTAATAACCACAATTTTTCTATTCTCCTTTTTTTGATTCAATTTAACAAATTGTAATTCTTTTTGGTAATCATTGATTGCACCTACTAATACGACGACTATAACGGCCATCATAATAGCGACTCCTTCAATCCAATCCACTTGTTTTATTGGATTTCCCTTAGGATCATATTCAGGAGGTTGGAAAAAGTATTCGTATAGCCCTAGGACAAAGGATATGATTGCAGCAAATGATAATAATAACATGGTTTGATCTTTTAAAGCTTCTACTATCAGTTGCCATAGAGTTTTGGGGATTCTATCGGGTAATTTGTTATCCCCGTATTTTTTATACCTATTCCAAATGACATATTTTGGTGGTGGTGGGTGATTTAGTGGAGTTTTGGATTTAACTTTTTCGAATGCAATAGTAGTTCTTCTTTTAATGGGCAATCTTAAAAACATTTCTGGTGGATACTCGATACCATTTGATAAGGAAGTATGTAGAAAGTGATATAGATTATTTTCATCATTTTGAAATAATTGATTGAATTCTTTCAAAGATTTGGGGTTATGTAATTTATTTAGATCGTTGACAGATAATGTGAAGTCTAAATCATGTGGTTCTTGTTCTATCGAATTGTATGAAGTTTTGTTATTGTTGTTGTTATCTGTTTTATTTCCATTACCCACGTTTAACGGTGTATAAACAGAGTTCTTAGTAGTTCTTTCATTTATAATAGTCATAATAATATGAGTATATAAATATCTAGAACAGGTGGATGTCTATGGGGTGTATATGTGGTATACGGGTGTTTATTGAGAAAGTTTAAACTTCAGAATAAGAAAACTATTGGGTAGATAATAAATTTTGTCTTTGAATAGTAGATACTAAGATAATTTAACCATATAAAATATGGAGATAAAACAAACTTAAATTAAATGATTCTTTTTGTTTGTTATATTCTTCAAGCTTATTCCGTTACATAACAAAAAAATTAAGATTAAGAAAAGAGAGAAAAGAAAAGAAAAGAAGAAGGGAAATAAGGAATTAATTGATTAGATTCTCTAATTTAGTTTTTATAAAGAAAGAAAAAAAAACAAAGTTCGATCTATACAAAAGGAATCAAGCGTTACAAATATCTATATCGAATATCTATAACCATGTCTATGTATATGTATATGTTTATGTTTGTTTGTTTATTTGTATGACTATCTGCTATTCTTTTTCTCTTTCTTTTTTTTCTCTCTTTTTCTTTTATCCTCGTGGGGTATACTCTGCCTCACTAATATTTTAATCAGTTTCCTCCTTCCTCCTTTTGTTTGTTTTATTGATTATTATTATTAACGTGGGAAGGGGAGAGGAAAAGGTGGAAAGAATAAAAGAAAAGAAAAGAGATGCAGAAAAGAGAATAGAAAAATTTAGGGGGGCAGGCGAAGGGGAAAGAAGGCAGGGCGAGTGGCCACAAAAAAGAAAGAAAAGAAGGAAATATAAAAAGTTTTCAATTGTCTTTTTTTTTATTACCAACATTTCGACTCATATAAGCCCTGTTTCTTTGTGTGTGATTAACAAAAGATATTATATTATTGTGTATTAATTAGTTAAGTTATAGTCATTGAACACAAAAGATAACATATTAAACAGAATACAAGATACAGCATCTTATACACGCACGCACACATGTACATACTCTCTCTCTTTCTCTCTCTCCCTTGTCTTTTATTTTTTTTTTCCTTTTTCCTAATTGTATATTATGTATTTGTCCTATTTATGTTATTTGTCTTAAAAGAAATATATGAACCTACTAAAAGACCAGTTTTGTCTTAATTTTTCATACAATACTTCAATATTTATTCTATATATTCATTTGTCCATGTCTATAAGATATGTCCCATAAAGAAAAAAGGTGGCTGTGCTTCTCTCTTTCTTTTTTTTTCATTTATTTGGATTAGGCTGGGTAATCCATCCTAAGGACTGAGATGCTTACGAGTAAATAATAATTATAATAATAAGAAAGATGGGAATTGAAGCTTATAAAAATCTTTATTAAAGAACTTTTCATACTATTCTCTTTTTATTTTTTCGATATTATTAATAAGGTAACAGATTAAGAGATTTGAAAATAAATCTAATGAATAAAATATAATCTTTACATAAATTTCAAACCGTTAAGAGTTTTACTTTGCGTTTTTTTGTTTTGATAGAAGTTACTTGTTCAACTAAAACCAAGAAATAAAAAAATATATATGGGTCTCATAAAGTAATGCTTTACAGCCCTTTTCTTTTAAGTCGAGTTAAATATCTTAGTCTCTGTAGATTTTCTATGGATTTATTCTAGCAATGATGTAAATATATATGTGTGTGTGTGTGTGTGTAATACGTATATACATTATTGTCTTTCTTTATACTTTTGTATGTTTGTGTTTTTCTTCTATCTTTTCCCTTTTTTATTTGCTTTCTTCTTAAGCTAACTGTATTTTTTTTTTACAAATAATATTTGACAGAATACAATTAAAAATAAACAAAATTATAATATTTTGTATAAAAAAAAAAATAAAAAAGACCATACAATAGTATAAAATTACACTCAACGTGAATATATTTACAAACAAACTAATCATTAGTAATAAAAAAAAACTCAGATCAACCTATTAAAAAAGTTTATTTTTTTTCTAAATTGTCTAACATTCTTGCTCCTTTTTTCTTACCTTATTCTTTCTGTTATTGAAAATAGATAACAATATTTTCTATAAATTTACAAAATATGATTGCAGTCCCTATTTGTATAATAAATAAACATACTCATAAGAATATAGATATAATTGTACTTTTTTATAATATTAATTGTTTTAATTAGATAATCAAGATGATCTTTTTTTTTTTTTTTTTTTTTTTGCAAATCATAGAAAAAACTAAATACAAAAACTTACCCAAATTAATATATATTATAAAAAGAATAGGTTATTTACATGACCCTATCGAAAACCTCTTCTTAGAAGATAAGTTAAATAAAAAAAGATTGTACAAACATTCATTTTTTTTTAGCACTTTATTACTAATACAATTATCTTTTACTGAAATTCTATAAAATCCTTTTATTAGAAGAAACTATATGATTGAACCTTTATCATGATTATAAAAATTAATACACATATTTATCAAAGATAAGTTTTCCCTTGTAGATGACCTACAAGATATGCTTCTATACTTGACAAAAACAAAAAAAAAAACTACATCCCTTTTGCAAAAAATCTAAATCCTTTGTTATGAACATTAGATATTGTTTTTGCATTACTCTAGAGTGATGCCATTTTTTCCACCAAAAAAAAAAAAAAAAAAAGAAAAACAAAACAAAAAGTGGATGACCATAAGATTTACCGTAAAATCGATTTTTCAAAGTAAATCAATTTAATAAAGTGAGTCTCAAGAAACATTACATTGTGCACTATACAACAGAAACAACCTATTTCATACCAATTTTGAATAAAAATGCATGAAAATTACATAAATAATATTAACCGTTAACACTTTTAATTGTATAATTATTTATTTAAAAACAAAAACACTTCTAAGGTCGTTTGTCTTACCAGACAACTTTAAAAAATAAATTCAGAAAACTACTCTAAATATCTATATTCAGTCTTATATAGTATCTTTACTGATTTCAGTAGAATAAATTGGAATTTAAGCCAATGAACTTTTCTTCTCTTCCCCCTAAAAAAAAAGTAAATAAAAAAAAGAAAGATAAAGGTAAAAGTGAAAGAATCTGAACTTATTAAAGAGATAGTCTGATGCATACAAAAACTTAATATTAGAACGGCTGTATATCTTTGGCAAAATCTATCCGTGTAAAAAAAGATGAAGGGCTAGATGTTTTTTTTTCCACCTTTCTAGTGTAGCCAAGATGTTATAAATTGTCGTAAAGATAAAATAGTCTAAAAGAATCTAATATCTGAAAAATTAAAATTATAAGTATATTCTTAAACTTTAATCTTCAAAGAATCACACTTTTGTTGCTCTCAAATTAGTTTATAAAAAAAGAAAAATACAATAAAACACCATCACTCATTGAAATTATAGGCAACTTAGAAGAGTTTATCGGAAAACAAATCAAGATTAGGTTTCCTGATATCTGTAACTGTATAAAAAAAAAACAGTAGCAATTCAACTAATAATATTAACCATTTTTCGCAAAAGCTGAGAAAGAGATACCAAATCCTTGTGGTCTAAACATTTTTCAAAAAGGTAACAAAGAAGTGTCTACATCTTTACCAGTTAAAATTGACTACTACGCAAAGTTCACTTGTCAAAGGTGAAAAACAAAAATAGAAATCAAATTACGGCGAAAATTTCTTAACAAACTTGAAAGGGGATTACCTAACTATCGATCTTGGTTACAATCCAATGAACAGAACAGAAGAAAAAAAGGGAAAAATACTTTAACTCAGTAATCATGAATAATATACATCTAGATGGTGTTCTACATCAATTCCATATAATTGTTGGAGAATTACAAGAAACAAGGTTACCCTATATATCTACTCTGTTCATAAAAGAACAATGCAACAATCACAATAATGCAATATTCTTTCCATGAATAGGGAACCATTGAATTGTGATAAAATAATTTACAATCATTCTATTGGTTATATTAATGATAAAAGACATGAAAAGAGCAACAACAATACATTGATAGCAAATATTCTTTCTGAAGCTTCTAAAGAAATAAAAGATTATGTGATGGAGAACAAAGAGTAAAGTATATCAGCATTATCAATTACGCAATCCAAGACAGTATGACTCTGCCGAATACGATTCAGTCGTCCCCTTAGACAGACTATCAAATACAATCTAAGCGAAACTGAATCAAAATAGAAAAACACACATCGACTAGCATTACAAATTGTGGGTATACTATCCGACGTCGTTTAGCATTTACTATCTAAGTAAATACACACACACACACATATATATATATATATATATGTATATATGACGTTATTATTATACAGTGAAAGTAAAGTTTCTCTATTTGTGTATTTGTTTACTCACTTCTTTGTTTCGGAAGTCCATTTATTTACTTATCATTTTTGCCATTTGAGAAAAAAAATCGTAAAAAGTTATATATTTTCTTTTTTTTTTTAAAGAAAACCTCATAAAGAAATCACAGTGCCCTTTTTGTGATGTGTTTTTCTTTTTCGGATACCCTCGTCCAGGACAAATTTTTGATCAAGGTTGAGTGGCAAATTTATTTATGAAAAATGACATCTACGACTTGATAAGGTGTCTTAGTTTCCTAATTTGTCTAGAAAACTCTGTATACAAAGTATTCATCTTAAGAAGTATTAACGATGTTGTTTACTTGAAGAATATTTTTAAACAAAAAGGAAAAAAAAAAGAATTCCTGTTTCTTTTTTTCCTTTCAGTACAAGCACAAAACTTCCTGTTTTTCGATAATATATTTTTTTTATCTCAAAGTAAAATATTGTGATTCAATAATATTATATTCCAAAGAATCTGATACTATTGTTTACTCTGATAATTTTCTTTGTCTTCTGAACAATGTCATTCAATTTGTTATTTTTTATTCTTAAAATATGCAGTTGAGCTATTTTATGATTTTTTTTTCTACCAATTTGAATTTCGTCATTTTTTTTATCTTGAAATTGAGAATTCCGTTCTTGTGTTTCTAATTCCAATTGGCTAAAAGCGATGACATATATCCTAAATTAACATTCTTTTTGCGAAGATGTGTATTATTATGAAAATGATATCATATCAGTAAAACGTTGATTAAATAATAGAAGAGAATTGTTTATTTATTTATTTTTGTTTCTTTTTTTTCCTAATTGGGTGATCTCGTATTTATTTTTTTTATTTGAGTTTTTCTTCTTTCGGCCCTTCATTCACAGTTTACCTAATTTGGACGGCGAATGTCCATTTTTGGACAAAATAAATATTACTTTTGGGAAAGCCAAAATATGTTAGAATTGTTTACTTTACTTTTTTTTTTATTCTTTCTTTATCGTATTTCCTGATTTGATCGGCATTGGCTATTTGGTATCTTTTCGAGAAATGAGATGAGGCATCAAGAAAAAAGAATCTTAAAAAAAGAAAACTGTTTTTTCTTTTTCTTTTTCTTTTTTTTTTTTTCATCTTTTTTGTTTATTTCTAATTTAGAAATGCTGAGATATTTTCTCTTCTCCTGGAGGAACTGTAGGGCATTTCCTCTTTTGGTCTCGGGATTACCATCCTGGTAAAACCTCTTCAAATCTCGACTTCCAGACACCCTATTACTTCTCTAAAAACTATTCTTTCTTCATTGACTTCCCTTTTTGAGTTCTTATTTTTTTATTTGTTTTATTTATTTGTTTGTTTATATTACGTACCAGCACCTATCCATTTCCGGTAAAATAACAACAAATAAAGAACCTTTTTCACTTCATTAGTTCTTTTGTCGTTTTTATCTCATTACCAGTTTCGTTTCTCTCTGTTTCATCTCGTTTTTTCATGTTTCTTTTTTTTTCTTGTTCTCATTCTTCTACTATGAATTGTTCTACCCATCATAATATTCCTTATCTCATTGTTCACTCTTATTTATCGTTTTTACTTAGTCAATCAATTACGTGGGTAATCTCAATGAATAGAAAAATAGTAATAGATGGAAAAAAAAAACCTCTCATCTTACCAATCAAGCAAAGTAAACTTGTCAGTTCAATTCGTCCGTAGCAAAATGTTCTCTTTGTTTCTTGCTCAAATTTTATATAAAAGCTAACACACCCAAATTCCTTACCTCGAGAATTTCCTTCTTTCTTCTCTTTAACTCCCACTCTCTCCCTTTTTACCCAAACACAAAGCAAACCGATAACTGATTTCTATTCTTTTTAATACCCCATTTTATACACGATAGTATCTTTCTATTAGTTCGTCCCTCTTTTATCCTCTCCATAAATTTTGGAATTTTTTTTTTTTACATTTTACTTAATTACTAATATTTTAATAGTAAAGATCTACACTTTTCTTTTCGTTAAAAAAAGATTAGATTTCATTTAAACATATAAATATGTCTGAATCCATTACTGAAGAAAAACCTCCAAAGGATGTTTATGAATCTTCCGGTGAAGAATCCGAAGATGATGATATCGATGCCTTAATCGAAGAATTACAATCCAACCATGGTTTAGATGACGGTGACGATGAAGAAGATGAACATGCCGCTGCTGGTGAAGCCAGACTCGTCCCAGAAGAGTTGTTGCAAACCGACCCATCTTACGGTTTGACTACTGATGAAGTTCTCAGAAGAAGAAAGAAGTACGGTCTTAACCAAATGTCTGAGGAGAACGAATCTCTTGTTGTTAAGTTCCTTATGTTCTTCATCGGTCCAATTCAATTTGTTATGGAAGCTGCTGCCATTTTAGCTGCTGGTTTGTCTGATTGGGTCGATTTTGGTGTTATCTGTGGTTTGTTAATGTTAAACGCTTGTGTTGGTTTCATTCAAGAATTCCAAGCTGGTTCTATTGTCGATGAATTAAAAAAGACTTTAGCTAACTCTGCTATCTTGATCAGAGATGGTCAATTAGTTGAAGTCCCAGCCAATGAAGTTGTTCCAGGTGATATCTTACAAATGGAAGAAGGTACTATTATTCCAGCTGATGGTAGAATTGTTACTGAAGGTTGTTTCGTTCAAGTTGACCAGTCTGCTATTACTGGTGAATCCTTAGCTGTTGACAAGCACTACGGTGACCAAACTTTCTCCTCCTCTACTGTTAAGAGAGGTGAGGGTTTCATGGTCGTTACTGCTACTGGTGACAACACTTTCGTCGGTAGAGCTGCTGCTTTAGTCAACAAGGCTGCCGGTGGTCAAGGTCACTTCACTGAAGTCTTAAACGGTATTGGTACTATCTTGTTAGTTTTGGTCATTATCACCTTGTTATTAGTCTGGACTGCTTCCTTCTACAGAACTGATGGTATTGTTAGAATCTTAAGATACACTTTAGGTATTACCATTATTGGTGTTCCAGTCGGTTTACCAGCTGTTGTTACCACCACCATGGCTGTCGGTGCTGCTTACTTGGCTAAGAAGCAAGCTATTGTTCAAAAGTTATCTGCTATTGAATCTTTAGCTGGTGTCGAAATCTTATGTTCCGATAAGACTGGTACTTTGACCAAGAACAAGTTGTCCTTACACGAACCATACACTGTTGAAGGTGTTTCTGCTGACGATTTGATGTTAACTGCTTGTTTAGCTGCTTCCAGAAAGAAGAAGGGTTTGGATGCCATCGACAGGGCTTTCTTAAAGGCTTTAGCTCAATACCCAACTGCCAAGAATGCTTTAACCAAATACAAGGTTCTTGAATTCCACCCATTCGACCCAGTTTCCAAGAAGGTTACTGCTGTTGTCGAATCCCCAGAAGGTGAAAGAATTGTCTGTGTCAAGGGTGCTCCATTATTCGTTTTAAAGACTGTCGAAGAAGACCACCCAATCCCAGAAGATATTCATGAAAACTACGAAAACAAGGTTGCTGAACTAGCCTCCAGAGGTTTCAGAGCTTTAGGTGTTGCAAGAAAGAGAGGTGAAGGTCACTGGGAAATCTTAGGTGTTATGCCATGTATGGATCCACCAAGAGACGATACCGCTGAAACTGTTGCTGAAGCTAGACGTTTAGGTTTGAGAGTCAAGATGTTAACTGGTGATGCTGTTGGTATTGCCAAGGAAACCTGTAGACAATTAGGTTTAGGTACCAACATCTACAATGCTGAAAGATTAGGTTTAGGTGGTGCTTCTGACATGCCAGGTTCTGAATTAGCTGATTTTGTTGAAAATGCTGACGGTTTTGCTGAAGTCTTCCCACAACACAAGTACAGAGTTGTCGAAATCTTACAAAACAGAGGTTACTTGGTTGCTATGACTGGTGATGGTGTTAATGATGCTCCTTCCTTAAAGAAGGCTGATACTGGTATTGCTGTCGAAGGTGCCACCGATGCTGCTAGATCTGCTGCTGATATTGTTTTCTTAGCCCCAGGTTTATCTGCTATTATTGATGCCTTGAAGACTTCCAGACAAATTTTCCACAGAATGTACTCTTATGTTGTTTACCGTATTGCTTTATCCTTACACTTAGAAATTTTCTTAGGTTTATGGATTGCTATTTTGGATACTTCCTTAGACATTGACTTAATTGTCTTTATTGCTATTTTCGCCGATGTCGCCACCTTAGCTATTGCTTATGATAACGCTCCATACTCTCAAAAGCCAGTCAAGTGGAACTTACCAAGATTATGGGGTATGTCTATCATTTTGGGTATCATCTTAGCTGTTGGTTCCTGGATCGCCTTAACTACCATGTTCCTACCAAAGGGTGGTATTATCCAAAACTTCGGTTCTATTGATGGTGTTATGTTCCTGGAAATCTCTTTAACCGAAAACTGGTTAATTTTCATCACCAGAGCTGTTGGTCCATTCTGGACTTCTATTCCATCTTGGCAATTAGCTGGTGCTGTCTTTGCTGTCGATATCATTGCTACTATGTTCACCTTATTCGGTTGGTGGTCTCAAAACTGGACTGACATTGTTACTGTCGTCCGTATCTACATCTGGTCCATTGGTGTCTTCTGTGTCTTAGGTGGTGCTTACTATGAAATGTCTGAATCTGATGCCTTTGACAGATTAATGAACGGTAAGCCATTGAGAGAACAAAAGTCTACCAGATCTGTCGAAGATTTCTTAGCCGCTATGAGAAGAGTTTCCACTCAACACGAAAAGGAAATGTAAAGCAACTTGCATTTTGGTTTCTCGAATATGCTTTAAATTTCTTTTATTTTAATATCATAGTTCAGTAGGGACATTCCTTATTAATAATTTTTTATTTCTTTATTTTTATGAATATTGATAAACTTTTTTTTCTACATCAAGTTTGCTTAACAATTCAGATCATTTTTTGAGTTGTGATTCTTCTCTGTCGTCGGTTTTGTTTTCTTACAGTCAAGGAATTATAACGTGGCAGTAACTTGTGTTTTAATGGTATTATTTTAATTACTACACACACATTTTTTAATATAGTACATTGGGACGGTTTAGAGGGCATCTTTGTTTGAGTTTGGTTTGGGATGCGGTTACACACACACTTAATTTTATCTGCATTCCTTCTAATACTGATGAAGCTCTAATCGGTTGTTGTTACGTTAAATGCCTTGGAGGTATGTGACAAAGTGCGTGAAATTTCATTTCTTAAAAGTGAATATTTGTTTGTGAGGAGGCTTTTTGTATTTTCTTTTTTATGTTACTAATATATTAATTTGCACACACATGATACGCATTTTGTTAATACTTTATCGTTGAAACACACATTTCGATTTATTTGCACACATATTCACATATAACTAATTTTAATAATTTAAGTTATTTTTTATCATATAGTTAATATTTAATTTTTATATACTTTTGCACACACTAATTTAATTAATCATTTGTAAAATTGTTAATTTTTGTTTTGGAATCGATAAGGTTAGTGCTTCGTAGCGAGGGCAAATGACCTGTGGATTAAGGTTTTATATGTTTTTCTGTTATCTGCAAAGTTCAGAGGAAAAAGAGGAAATGATACAGTGTTGATTGCTTGATATTTCATTTCCATGTTAGACTCTAACAATGGTTGCTTTATTTTAAGTCATCCTTGTCATTTGTTTTCCAGTATAACTCTTTATTGATGAAGCTATCTCAAAGCTTGTATTTGTGACAGCGCATTTCTGACGAAACTTTTGGGAGAATTTTTTCGTAAAAATTTCAAAAAAAAAAAAAGAAAACAAAGAGAGAAAAAATAGAAAAATAAAAAATGACAATTCAGTTGAAGGATATTTGGATCAACAACTGAGCGCTTACGATACATTGGCAGGTTGCATTCCTGGATTTAGTATATTTTCTTCGTTTCAGTCACTGCTAACTTTAGAGAACTATTTCAAAAAACCAAAGATAAAAAGGAAGTCAAAATAGAATAACAAAAAAAATAATACGAATAACTGAAGAAGGCTTGACAAAGACAAGAAATATTCATTCAATCTTCTTTTTGATTCCTTTTTTACATATTGTTTCTTCCTTTTCGAATTTACTCAATTCACCCATTGTATATTATTTTGTATTTTAGTTTCATTAAACGTTTGTTTTTATCAACTGCATTTTCTAGTACGGTTATAAATAAATATTCAAGTTGTAAATTAGTAGTTTTCTGTACTTAAATTATTTAACGATAGAGTTAGAAATAAGGACCACGGGTGTTATTTACTTTTTTTCGTCGGTAAATACACCATAATTAATATAGATAAATATTCTGTATTTTATGATTAATTTTGTACATTATTATACCATATACCTTATCATATCGTGATCACTTTTAAATTACTATTATCCAAACAAGCCATCCCTTATTTCATTTATTCTGTATATTATCTATTAATTAATTGACCAGTTTTTGAGACTATATTACTAGCTTTGCCTTATCTCTTTTTTGCATATTATTAAGATTTTTTAAGATCATTACAATATACCATGTGTCCTACTAAAAACCCTAAAACAAAAACAGCTAATGTTCCACAAACTGATGTAGATTCAACAACAACTGTTATCAACACAGCTCTACACCAGTTACATTTGGATGTAGCCGAATCTACCAATGTTGCTGAAGATCCTACATCTATGAAAAACTCAACAGATAAAAATTCATTTATTCCAAATGCTATGGAACCACCTCCAAATGGCCCTCCACCATTGATGGGTATGAATTTCCATTATTCTCAAATGATGAATTTACCACCACATCAACAAGCCTCCTTTTTGCCAACACCTGAATTCCATCCACTGAATAGAAACAATTCTAATGTATTCCCTCCAAGTAAAGGTGCTGTTCCACCATTGGATTCAAATATTGATATGCCAATCTTCCCTAATATCCCTGGTCCAGATGGTAATGGATTGAACCCATATAACATACTACCATTACCTCAATTAATGCCACCACTCAATGACCCCAAAATAGTTCCCGTTTGGCCTGGTTCAAATCCTGCTAGTCCATCCATAACAAACGATCCACAATTACCACCAACAACCGAAGGAACCATATCCAATTTAAATGCAGACGATTCATCCGCAATCGATGATGGTTTGTCTTCTATTAATGTAAAGACTCCTGGCGCTGCTACTATTGGTATTAGGAGAAAAACTTTCCATGCATTATCAACAAAGGACCTAGTTGATAGTGCAAATTCAAATTTTGTGTCTTCTTCTAATGATAAGGGCGGGTCTAATGATGAACCAACTAGTGGTACAGTTATAAAAGACAATTCAACTACACTTGGCGGTACTTTTAATGTTGGTGCAAAGACAAGAACTATGTCCACTTCTGATAGTATTTCTGATCGTAGCAATATCTTCTTACCCTCCAATAACTCTGGTGAATTAACCAGTAAAAAATCCAAAAAAATTACTGAAAAGTCAGACAAAGAAAAATTAACAGATATGAACAACCCCAAGACTTATGCAGCTGCTTACCCATATGGTGGCCCATTACTACAAAATAATCCACTCCTTGGTGATAATAGTCACATGACTGCATCTTATCCTAGTGGATTACATTCTCCATATCCAGGCAGCTTTGAATTTGGATCCCCATTCCACGGATTTTCTCCAATATTAGGTGGACCAACACCACCGTTACATAGACAATCCCCTATTCCTCCAATGGGTCCATCCCCTATTCCAATGGGTCCAGCTCATGATGTGGCCAGTACTTCAGAGAAAGAAGATAATAAAGTCCAGAATATTAGTACTAATGCAATTGCTGAAAGCCCTAACAATATTCACTTCCCATTCCAAATGATGCAACCTGGTCATAGTGGAACTCCACCACCATGGATGTATGGTAATCCAGGATTTAACCCTGTTATGGGTGCTCCTCATAGTCCACACCATCCTCACCCTCATGGTCATGTACCTTTGATTGCTGATCATCACGGTAAGAATTATACATTCAATTCTAACAAGAATGATAGGGGAAACAATTTTAGAGGCAGACACAAAAACAATGATCCTCATTTCTATACTAATGCCAACAAACGTAGAATAGAAGATATTTCCCGTTTTGTAGATGCTACGTTAGATGATTATGTTGGAAACATCTATTCACTTTGCAAAGACCAATATGGATGTCGATTCTTACAAAAACAATTAGATATTAGTGGAAAGGAGGCTGCTGCTATTATTTTTGAGGAAACCAAAAATCATACCATAGAATTAATGACTGATTCTTTTGGTAATTATCTTATCCAAAAATTAATTGAAAAGGTTACTATAGAAGAAAGAAAGACTCTATCTGTGATTTCTGCTCCATTTTTTGTTGATATAGCATTGAACTCTCATGGTACAAGAGCATTACAAAAATTAATCGAGTGTGTTGATACTCCTGACGAAGCACAAATTATTGTTGATGCATTACGTGATAATGTGGTCACGCTAAGTAAAGACTTGAACGGTAACCATGTCATCCAAAAGTGTTTACAAAAATTAAAACCTTCTGAATTTCAATTTATTTTTGATACTGCCTACGACCACTCCTTAGAAATAGCCACACATAGACATGGTTGTTGTGTTCTACAACGTTGCCTTGATTTTGGTACTAAAGAGCAGTCTCAAAAATTATGCGAGACATTGCTATCTAACATTGATAAGTTGACCCTAGATCCATTTGGAAATTATGTAGTTCAATACATAATCAATAAAGAGACCGAGAAAAATGACTATGACTACACTTACAAAATTGTCCATTTGTTAAAACCAAAAATTACCGAATTATCAGTTCACAAGTTCGGTTCTAATGTTATTGAAAAAATTTTGAGAACTCCAACTGTCTCAGAATCAATGATTGTAGAACTGTTAAATAATGGCGGTGAAAAGGATATTCAAACCTTATTAAATGATAGCTATGGTAATTATGTTTTACAAACAGCTCTAGATATTTGCCATAAACAGAATGATTATTTATATAATAAATTTTCAAGTATTGTTGGTCCATTGCTAGTAGGACAAGTGAGAAATACCCCCCACGGGAAAAGAATTGCTAATATGTTAAACTTATCTCAATCTACCGAAACATAAACGATTTAAATCGGAACTACCTTTTTCATCCTTTATTTTTACGAAAAAAAGTTTTCATTTTTTTATATCTCAAATTTATTATATTTTCATTGTACATTATATAGTGTAATATAAAAAATTTACATGTCAAATATTGGTTGGTTATTTGTTATATAAACAAGAAATCAATCTTTTCGTAATATTTTGTTTAACGCAAACATTTCTTAGTATTTAAATGTATATAAATCACCCCACAAAGCATCACAGAGATCTGTTAAATCATTATTTTGTACGAATTCATCCAAAGTACCAAGATTATAAGCAGGAGACTCAAAGTCATTTTCCATTAAGCCAAAATCGTTAGGATGTCTACCCAAGTTATCATTATTTCCTGAAGATTGCGCTGCATATGTTTCTGAATCGGTAGTTGTCGAAGAATTACCCATCGTTGTTCCAGGAGTTAACATCTGATGATCCATTGTCTTAGAATATTTATTTAAAGATGAACCAACTGAAGAAAACGAATTATTATTATTAATTACAGCACCAGATAATCCGATATTTTTAAAAATACTATTATTCCTTGAAGTTGGATTTTCATCTGCAATTCCTTCATTTACTCCGATATAATTCAACATTCTTTTAATCTTGAGATGGAATCCAGACTTAGCCACCGGTCTCATTAAATATCTATATGGCCAGGCTTTAGGATCAGAACATGCCTCAACCAGGGGCATAATTTCAGGAGCAATCTTTCCTAATCCGTCTATTAACTCTTCCTCTTTCATTCCTATTTTATGTGGAAAGTTTTCAATCAGCATCTTACAATAAATAGCCGTAATAGAAAATGTTCTACAATAGGATTTAAAAAGAGCACTATCCGTAACTTGATGATACCCTACATTTTCTGTTAGTATTGGGAAATAACTTAATCTACCAAATATTTTAAAAATTACAGCAATATCTTCCAATGTGAAATGATCCACTAATTCCCCGAGATGTGTCATTACAATAATTAAAATTGTAGAGTAGATAAAAAAATTATTTGCTAAACAATATGTATCATTGAATCTTAATACGATTTGTGATATATCTCTCCAAAGTTTGTGTAAACGCACAATGTTAGACAAAGTATTAACTTTTGGATCATCAGCTCTTGAAGAAAATCTTGCATCTAAATTATCCAAAGTTGATATTAAGGTAGCATAAACATTACCTGCATATATACAATACTTCATTGCTTTAATTATGCTTTCCTTTGGTAACGATGTTTCATATAACGATGGATTTTTGGAAATTTCATATAATTTTTTAACTTGTTCATATACCGCAGTCAATTTTTGTTGAGTAAGTTCACATTGTTCCAAAATTTCTTCAAACCTTTTAGATTTCAATTGTGGAGGTAATGAAGCATTTCTTATTGAGGTAAAACGTTCATTCAATAAAACATTAAGGTGGAATTCTGAATAAATTTGTAAAATCGCAGTCTTACCATAAAATACTAATGTATCAATATCCATATTATCAAAAATTTCATTCCTTTTAACTTCTGCGACCCTTGATAAAAAATCTCTATTATCTAGAAATCCTACATCTCTAAAGCATTTAGGCAATAAACAGGTCATAATTTTATCATTGATGACTGAAGTAACCCCCGATTTTACTATACTGCTCTTTTCATGACAATATAATTTCCACCATACTTCTCTTCTTCTTTCAGCATAAAATTCATCAAGGCCAACATAATACTCCCACCTAGATAAACCCATATCCAATGCTCTTGGGATTGCAGCACCTAGTACTTTATAAAAACCATTTTTATCCTCATTCCACACCTGCTGATCCAATAATCTAATCAACATCTCTAAATATTCCAATGCACTATCTGGATTAAAATACATATAAAGAGTAGAATTATAATATGTGTATAGTAAAACCAACAACAACTCGCCCTCATTCGAAAAATTTAATAATTTATGTGTATCTGCGGGTTTTATAGTTGGAACAATATTGTTCATAGTATTGTAATTAGTATAATTACTATTATAATTACTATTATTTTGATGTGTCTGTAAATTCATTTCCCCCATAAATTTGTCAAGTGATTTCATATGAGTGTCATACATATCTAAAAGTAATTTAAACATTAGCACATCATCATACATAGAATCTAATAATTGAGCATTGCTAATACCTGTATGTTTTTCTACAAATGGCTGAGGTAACATTTTAATCAAAATAGCCACTAACGCTTTTGTATTTTCAGAGGAAAATGATGAACCTGTAGATGCTGAGTTAGGAGAATTTGGCATAGCAGTATTACCGTTCCCAAAAGAAAGTTTAGTAACAACATTGCTATTATTATTAATATTATTACTCTCAATTAAAGGAGAATTAGCGTTTGAGATTGGTGTTTGTGAAATTGGTATTTTTTTCAACTGTAGATAACTTTCAATTGGATTTCCAATAGACAAAGCATTTTCGTGAAAATGTGACATTACCATGTCAAAGAATCTCAAAGTCAAATATAAAGTTTCTTTTATACTTTTGCTTATGTTTTTACAATGATTTTGATTTTTGATAGATTTAATGAAACATGTACCTATACCTCTAAGAGAGAAAACTTCATAAGCTGAGTATAAACCGAACATCTCGTCTACAACTGGATATTGAGTCACTTTCAATTGAGTAAAATTATCTATATTATTTGCATCAGAGTTTATTAAAGTTTGTTCCAACTGTTTATCACCGGATATCGCAAATTTAGTTATTGGAACAGTTTCTGAATATTTATTTTTCAATAAATAAGTCTCTACAGATTTAACTGCAATTTTATTCAGTTCCTTATATTGAATCAAATCTATCTCAGGTTGCCATTGATTATTAATTTCAGCTAACTGTTCTTTAATTGAATTAATTAACTCGTTGATATGCAAGTTTTCACCATCTAAATGTGTTTGCTTTATGGTATTTTCCAAATCCTTCAATTGTAAAAGTACTTTATTTAAATTATCCAATCTTTTTTCAATATCTGTATTGTCTTCATAAACACCACTGTTTATTTTTATTACATTTGCATTTTTGATCTCAATATCATTGTGGCTATCCCCAGTACTAATACAATTATTATTACTGTTGGTGCTAGTGCTAATGCTAGTGCTAGTGCTACTGCTGCTCCTGCTACTATTGATACCATTCTTATTAATTATCTTAGATATATGTGTTTCATTAGAAGTATAGGAAGATATGTAATCACCATAATTATGATCATTATTACTAATGTTAATATTAACATTATTACTTGAACCTATAGTTCTCCCACTATAAACACACTTACAATTATATGCCTGACAAGAGGAACATGGTTGTGTTCCGGTGCATTTTATCTTTCTCTTTCTACAACTATCACATGCTTTCCTCACTTTACTCCTCATTGGTTTTGTTACTCCACCATTTGGAGATGATCTCCTTTGGTTATCCATATTTTTTTTTTTTTTACAAAATATAATTAGTGCTAATAAATGTTTATTATATATACACAAACAGCTATTTAGTAGATCTTGACAGTTATTCTTGTAGACTATAGTAACTGTGTCTAATAGTTGACTTGTAAAGAAACATTTTTAATAGGTTTAATGGAACTCAATTGCCACTCGCTTTTAAATTATGGATAAGACAATCAATTCGGAGTGTGGGATTGATCATAAAGAAAGAGGCGTGTGAGATGTACATATCTTAAATAGGTCTGAGTCTTTTTCCTCTCACAGATCACGTGAACAACACAATGCTTAAACTAGGTCCAAAAACATTTTTCAATAAAATAATCACTTTTGGAGAATATTACCTGAGGGTTTGAGTTTTTCATACAATAAAATATTTTTCTTTTTCTTTTTATAGGAGAAAAAAAATTAGCAGTACATATAAACATACATCACAAATTCTTCATAAAAAATCAGGTATTCTTCAACACTTATAGTTACAGTAGATGGTGTCCTTAGAAATAGTTCAATTTCAATATAATGTTACTAATCTCGATTTCTTTACTCTCCTAGATATTCATACCACCGTTTAAAGTATTGACCATTACCCTTTTGCTTTTGACATAAAACTTTGAAATTTCTTATACGATTTTTTGGAGTACTTCTTCTCGTAATAACTAACAAGAACCTTAAAAGATTTGTTATTTCTTTCAGAAAATTAATAGATTTGATAATTAACAATTGTCTCAGTCAAGATTAATAGCCATCACATATCTTAATAGTGTATATGACAATGCCCTTGCAACACGCAGCTTCTTTCATAAGAAAAGAAAAGCTTGGTTTTTTACACCAACAGTCTGTTTTTAAAAATTTTTCATTGTTCCCGTAAGGGGTTTTAAAAAATTTTTCATCTTTTTACCATGCAATTCATTGGAAAAAAAATCCAGTTTATCCTACATCTATGGTGACATATTAACATATTAGGGCTTACCTTTTTATTTTTTTAATTTTACCTAAACTGTAGGTCTTTTACATTAGGGTTCATATTATTTTGGTTCTTTTTTTCTTTTTAGCTACTTCTCCAGCTGCATTCATACACCTGCAAAAGATTTAATCTTATACTTTTTTTATTTTTTATTTTTTATATTTGTTATTTCGTAATTTTCTGCTCGAATCGTATCTTTTTTTTCTTTTCTTTTCTTTTTTTTTTTATCTTCGTTTGGAATTGCGATATTTTTTTTTATATCTTTCCGGTTGTTCGAAGCCTTGTGTCCCTCTATTAAGCTGTGATGTTGGATCTACAGAACATAAACATAGATAGTTAATAATCGCAGGTTACAGGTATATATAAATATATATGTTCACCAAATAATTTACGTGGATTTGGTATTCCTAAAAGGCTAGATCGTACATTGCAAAGTTCTTCAAAGTAACAAGAAGAAAAAGAAAGGGAACCAGTTCGTTAATTCTTCAATATCGAACAAGAAACTTTAAAACTAGACTAACGATATTTTACGTACTTTATTTATTTTTATAATCTCTTATCTTATCTTCATTTTTTTTTAGTTTTTTTTTTTTGTCTTTTGACTATTCATTAAAAGCTAACTTAAGGATATAGACCTACGAGCAATAATATCAATAACATTGTATTAAATCTGTTGGAACTATTATTATCATCATTTCCCTAGTATAATAATTATAATAAGATGTCCACTGAAGAAAAGACTGAGCCCGTATCTGCTCCAAAACATGCTAGTTTTCTACCTCAAGGTAAATATTTGAAACCAGAAGAAATTGAGTATGAATTTGGTGGCACTGTTGGTGTTGTTGGTATGCTTATCGGATTTCCTTTATTAATGTATTACATGTGGATATCTGCCGAATTCTACAATGGTTCCTTGGCATGGCCAAGTGAAAATCAAACTTGGTATGATTTTGTTACTAACACCCTTTATGGTAACTACTTTATTAATTACGCTATCCCAACGAAATATGCATGGACTATCTTTTTAGCATTTTGGGCCATGCAAGTCATCTTCTATTACACTTTACCTGGTATTTGGACAAAAGGTCAACCTCTAATCCATCTAAATAACAAACAATTACCTTATTATTGTAATGCTATGTGGACTCTTTACACAACTACCGTAATTGTTTTAGTGTTACATTTTACTGGCATATTCAAACTATATACAATTGTGGATCTTTTTGGTCAAATCATGACCTGTGCCATCATATCCGGATTCACATTTTCTATTGCCTTATATCTTTGGACTTTATTCATATCTGGTGACTATTATAGAATGACAGGTAACCATCTTTATGATTTCTTCATGGGTGCCCCATTAAATCCAAGATGGGGGATCCTAGACTTGAAGATGTTCTTCGAAGTTAGATTACCATGGTTCACCTTATTCTACATCACTTTAGGTGCATGTTTAAAACAAATTGAAGTATACGGTTACTTAACTCCACAATTAGGTGTTGTCATGCTAGCCCATTGGTTATATGCTAATGCATGTGCTAAGGGTGAAGAATTGATTGTTCCAACTTGGGATATGGCTTATGAAAAATTCGGATTTATGTTAATCTTCTGGAATATCGCTGGTGTCCCTTACACTTATTGCCACTGCACTCTATACCTATACTATCACAATCCTGAAGAATATAACTGGTCTTTACCATATAACATCAGTTTATACGTTGTTTTATTAATTGCATACTACTTCTTCGATACTGCAAATGCACAAAAAAATTCATTTAGAAAACAAATGTCTGGTGATAAAACTATCAGAAAAACTTTCCCATTTTTACCATATCAAGTCTTGAAGAATCCAAAATACTTCAAAACCGAAAATGGTTCATATCTATTGATTGATGGCTGGTACACCTGGGCTAGAAAAATCCATTACACTGCAGATTGGACTCAATCTTTGATCTGGGCTTTATCGTGTGGTTTCAATTCTCCATTCCCATGGTTCTTCCCAGTCTTTTTCTTTGTTGTGTTAGTTCACAGAGCTATGAGAGATCAAGCCAAATGTGCAAAGAAATACGGTAAGGACTGGGATAAGTACTTAAAATATTGCCCATACTTATTTATCCCATACGTTTTCTGATACATATCCTCTATCAAACTACCTTATTTTTTTATGCCTATTTATTTACTGTCAGCTCACAGAATCATGTACCCCATATATAGGTATGTGGAAAAGAAGAAACTATTTATATATTTTTTACTTATTAAAAGAAAAAATGTTTATGTAAATATGTTCTTGAGAAATATATTGAAAAGGATAACTCATAAAACGTACATAGGAATGGATATGTCTACCTACATACCTACATACACATATACGTAAATATATTTATATTTATTTTCTTCACTGTTTTTTAATATTTCAATCTTGTTCTGCAATTGCAATCAATCTTTCCTCAATTTCATTTGGAGTTAAAACAAAAAATTTATCTTTAATTGCAACACCAACTTCAAGATCATTTTTAGTAAATTCGGTACCTAAGGAATCAATTAAATGTGTAATACCAAATTCAACAACTTTGTCCCATCCATCTTCATTTAAATAATCTGTTTTGGATTTCTTAAAGAAATTCTCCAAATTAGTGGTGATCTCTTGTTGTTTAGGTCCTGTAGCAGTAGCTTTATAACCAACATAATACCCTGCTGGATCACATTTATAGATAGATGGACCCAGTTCTTCATCAAAAGAAATAAAAGTTAATATCACACCAAGTGGTCTCATATAAGCTCTTTGAGTGTATATTTGTGCCAGATTAGCCATTCTCTTAGCTAAGACATCCACCGGCATATCATACCCATATTTATAACGGAACTCAGCTGCTTCAGCTTTAGCTCTTAAAGCAGCATTTCTTGCATCTGGGATCCCTCCATTAACCACCATACCTATATGATTTGAAATACGGAATATATAAGACACAGTACTTGCATCCAATAATTTATCTGGAACTTTCTTTTGATTTATTATAACGGCGCATTCTTTGCCTCTGATGGCCATAGAATTTAAATTTGTTTGATTAGTAGCTTTAAATGCATATTCAACTTGGAAAAGACGACCTTCTGGAGAAAAAATGGTAATATGTCTATCATAACCAGCAGCGGAAGCAGCAGCAGCACCAGACATTATGAAGTTTTGAGTATGTTAATAAGAACTATGAATATATATATATATGTATATATATTTTATGTGATATCGGTACTTTACTTGAACTATAGTTATAAAGAATTGAAAAAAGTTTATTCTTCTTTCCGAATGTACTTGGAAGTTTGGTAGTAGCTATTTTATTTGCCACACATGCAGTTGTTGATTTTTGTTACTTTTATCAAACCTTGCCTTGTTTTTTTTTTTCTTATTTTTCTCTACCTAGTAAAAGGAGAAAAAAATATTTAAAAGTTTCATAAAACATATGGAAATCAACTACTACAAAGCAAACAGATACCATTAGAAGAAAAAGAAGAAAGAAACTGCAGAAATACCCTATAGAGATACATATATATATATAAGTTTATATATATATATATATATATATATATATATTAAGAAAATGTGTATGTAAATATTCCAATAACTCTTAGATCATCGTACAAAAAAAAATTTCGAAAGAAAGCAAAATTAACTTACATAATCGTCGTAAATACCTTGTTATCTTTCCTCAGCTTGTCTTTCCTTCATTGTCTCCATATAATTATCAGTACTAATACTACATTTAGAAACGTATGATCTTCATTCTACACATATATCTTTTCTTATGTTCTTTATAAATATCAACTTATGACTATTTGCATTTTTAGGGGATTACATATATAAAAAAACCCAAATCTTCAGTTTTATTCTATTCTTTAATTTCTCATATATTTGATACAACAAACAAACATATATACACAACTAACACATTTTCCCGACAAATTATCCTCAGCGAACCTAAAATTTTAAATAAGCATTCATGGATTTAAGATCTCAACTCAAATTCTATAAACATTACCACTGCAATGCTACTAATGTTCTAATTCACTCAATTTTTGTTCCAATAATTTTGTATACTAGTTTAGCAATTCTTTCTGATATAAAGATATATCAATTAAATGTTAACATCTGGGTATCACTAATATACAGCTGCTTCTATATCTACCTATGTGTTCCAACTGGTATATTCTTTGTCATACTATTTTTTTTTTATGAATAACTTAATTTCAAAGGGGTTTCTTTCTGGGAATAAGGAAAGATTTGGATTATTTATATTAGGCTGGATATGCCAATTCATTGGACACTTTAAGTACGAAGGTGATAAACCTGCCATATTTAATAATTTGTTCCAAAGCTTAATACTTGCCCCTTATTTTATTCTGTTTGAATTATTATTTAAATTAGGATTTTATAAAGAATTGCTCAAACAATTAGAAGAAGATACCAAACTTAGGAGAATAGGCAAACAAAAGGAGAGAAACTAATAAATACTGACATAATATATCTTAAAATAAATAGTCAATTAAGTTCATAAATAAATAAATAAATAAATACAGATAAATACAGATAAATAAATAAGGTAAATGAATGCAAAAGATTTATGAAAACATCTTAAATCTCATTTTCTTTTTAAAGTTTTCAATATTTATTCGATGAGATCTACCTAGATGCACTTATAAAAATACATATGCCACATGTATAATTTTTTTTATTCTCACCATTCTTGGTGGATAGTATTCGCAGTTGTGACAGGTTTTTCAACAGGCTTGACATCCTGAAACTTCAATAAAGATGAACCAGGCTCATAAAATGAATAAATATCCCTTCTAAGTGCTTCATATCTAGCAATAAACTCTTCTTTTTGTAAAGTGATACCAATATCATCTAAACCGTTAATTAAACAGTGTTTTCTAAATGGTTCAACATCAAAGCGTTCAACAAGAATATTACCTTCACTGTCTAAAATTCTTTGAGTTGGTAAGTCGACAACCAGTTTACCACCAGCTTTAGCAACTGGAATCAATTTAGCAATGATTGTTTCTTGATCCAGTCTAATTGGTAGTATACCGTTCTTGAAAGAATTGTTATAGAAAATATCACCAAAAGATGGTGCGATAATAGATTTAATACCAAAATCTTTCAAAGCCCATGGTGCATGTTCCCTAGAAGAACCACAACCAAAATTATCACCAGTGACCACAAGAATCTCTGCTTTATCCCATGGTTTCACATTCAAGACGAAGTCAGTTGGAACGTCCTTACCATCAGCGTCCTGAGTGAATCTCCATTCATAGAAAAGACCAGATTTCAACCCTGTTCTTTTGATAGTCTTCAAGAATTGCTTTGGAATAATAGCATCTGTGTCAACATTCGCCTTATCTAATGGAGCAGCAATACCTTCCAAGGTGACGAATGGTTCCATACCAGCACCACCAGTGGCCTTATTATTAGAAAAAACTTTAACATTTGTGTGTGTATTATTCAATTCCCTATGTTTGATAATAGGGTTGTTTTGAACAGAGCCTTCAACCTCTTCTAAAGGAGCATCTTCAGAAACAATATCAATCTTAGCACAATCCCCATCTTTATAAACATGGTTTCTGATATCAATGAAATGACCGTGGACACCTGCAGCAGCAGCCATAGCTGGAGACATTAAGTGAGTACGAGACAAAGCACCTTGACGACCTTCAAAGTTTCTATTGGAGGTAGAAGCACATCTTTCATACGGTTGTAAGATATCTGGATTCATACCTAGACACATTGAACAACCAGCCTCTCTCCAAGAGAAACCAGCATCTTTAAAAATTTTATCTAAACCTTCCTTTTCAGCCTGTCTCTTAACAAGACCAGAACCCGGAACCACAAGAGCCAATTTGACATTTGGAGCTAATTTATAACCTTTACAGACAGCAGCAGCGGCTCTTAAATCTTCTATACGACCATTAGTACAGGAACCAATGAAAACTTTATCAATTTTAACACTTTCTAATGGAGTGCCTGGTTCAAGACCCATATATTTCAATGCCCTTTCCATACCAGATTTTCTAATTGGATTTTGAGCATCTTCTGGATTAGGAACAACAGAGGTAACAGGCAAAGCATCTTGTGGAGAAGTTCCCCAAGTGATAGTTGGAACCACATCTTTTGCATCTATAATAACTTCCTTATCAAACTTAGCGCCTTCGTCACTGTGTAAAGTTTTCCAATACTTAACAGCCTTTTCCCACTCCTCCCCAGTTGGAGCTAATGGTCTGCCTTTAATATAGTCGAAAGTAGTCTGGTCTGGTTTGATCATACCCGCTCTAGCACCAGCTTCAATAGACATATTACACATAGACATTCTAGCTTCCATTGAAAGATTTTCGATAGCTTCACCAGCAAATTCAATAACGCAACCGGTACCACCAGCAGTACCAATTTTACCAATAATATGAAGGATTAAATCTTTGGAAGTGACACCTTTGGATAAAGTTCCATTAACTTTGATTAAAAGGTTTTTAGATTTGGTTTGAATGATAGTTTGGGTAGCCAAGACATGCTCGACTTCAGAGGTACCGATACCAAAGGCAAGAGAACCGAATGCACCGTGAGTAGATGTATGGGAGTCCCCACAAACCACTGTGGTACCTGGTAAAGTGAAACCTTGTTCAGGACCAATAGTGTGGACAATACCTTGTCTGGCAGAAGTCATACCAAAATAGGGTATACCAAATTTCTTAACATTTTCTTCTAAAGTTTTGACTTGCAGACGAGAATCGGCTTGTTTGATAAATGTGTCCAGGGAGTTGAAATTAGCCCTAGATTCTGTTGGGATATTGTGATCCACGGTGGCCAGTGTACATTCTGGTCTCCTTACTTGTCTGTTAGCATTTTCTAGGCCTTCGAATGCTTGCGGAGAAGTGACTTCATGTAACAAATGTCTATCTATATATAACAAATATGAACCACTCTCATCCTTATGGACAACGTGATTTTCAAAAACCTTATCATAGAGAGTCTTAGGACCAGCGGTCATTTTTTATATATTTTAAATAAATAGATTCTGTATACTTGCTTGTTTGCTAGGTTGTAAGTTCTGAAACTTAATTAAAATAAAAAAAAAGAAAATAGTAAGCAAGGATGCGCTGAATAAGGTAAAAAGAGCTCAAGCCTAGTGTAGCGATTCTGTGACATAAAATATATGCTATATTTATATTTTCTTGACAGATAGGCATCTCTGGGTTTTCTTTCCCTCTCTTTTTCTATATATTTTTGAAATTATCCTTATTTTTGTTCCATTATTCTTTTCAGTACTGAATGACTATTTGTCTCCTCTCCGATGAGTAAATCTTCAAATCTTCCGAGAGTCCATAACTCAGTCCTTTTTTTTTTTTTAATTGTTTGATTTACCCGAGTAAAGAAAAAAAAAGACAAGTCGCCCAAACTGGCTTCCGGTCCCGGACAACCAACCGGCAATTTTTTCTTTGGCAACCGGCCCGTTTTGAAATCTGAGGAAAACGTTGGTGGTTCGAATGGGCGTCTCCGCCGTTTTTTTCTTTTCCCTATTTCTTTTTGTTTGTATGGCGATAACAACAAACAAAAGAACAAAATAAAAAGGAAGATCGGACACATTATTCTCTTTTTAGAGATAAATTATATCACGTGCAAGACGTATCGAACAAACAGAAAGATAGCTCAAAGCAGCATTAATCCAAGACACAATATTATATTAAGACTTAAAACTACTAAATTATCATTTTTTTTCTGCAAATACAAAATGAAAAACAAACATAGAAACAAAAGATAACATCTCCAGTCTTGCCTCAACATAGTTGACATGGAAATATGAGTACAAATTGCAGTCAGTGTAATCGAACAGTAATAAGAATAATAATTTAATCAAATCGAACAGTAATAAGAATAATAATTTAATCAAATCGAACAGACACATTCTCTACCTTCTTTCTGAAAAAATAAATGAATAAATATTTACACTAATTACTGTATCGAAAAGGCAATAATGGCGTATGAATAACACTTTATTTTTTTTATTTCTTGGAATTACAGGTATTTTTGTCCCCTATTTTTTCTTCTAGGATAAATAACTGTAGTATGTATAATTTAGGTGTCCGTATGCAACTTTCAAAAAAAAAAAAAAGACATAATAAAAAAAAATGTACAATAGATTAGAAAATCTTCATAATAGTTCTATGAGTTGATACATGACTAAACATATCAAATAGTTTTCAAAAATATTTTATCAGATTTCAATTGTTATCTCAAAAGAGCATTATGATCAATTCTTGATCATAAAAATCTTTATTCAATAATTTCAAAAAACAATCCATGGTAACTTTGAGCTCTTAATGATAAATCTTAAAAAAAAAAAAGATATCCTACGTTAAGTAACCAATAATCTAGTCAAACAACAAACTGAACCACTTTTGCCTTTGAAACAAACAATGTGTTTACAGGCCACAGGTAAAAGTTAACCAAAACTAACAACTGATCCATCTTCTAATTTTACAGAGTTATATTTTATTGTAACACATTTAATATATTGGCTCAAAACTGTATATACTCCTACTAGTATAAATTTATACCTTTCTCTCTCTCTCTCTATATATATATGTATGTAAATATGTTTCTCTCACTAAGTCAAGATATCTATCATGCTCGTTCACTATAATTCTTTACAAATAAAATAAAAAAAAACCGTACTTTTCTCCTAGGTCTCGTTTAGAAAGGGAAAAAAAGAAAGACCATTTTCCACCAAAGTTTTCTAACATTTAAATATTTCCAAAAGTTGAATTAATTACAAAAATTTTCCACCCTTTTTTTATATAGCAGTGGTAATTGCACCTCCCTTGCGAGAGAACATTCCTCCTGTATTATAAACAACTTTCAATAAGTAAAAAAAGAATAAAGGAGTAAGAATAAAAATGTCAAGTGAGTCCACTTCCTTAGGTTTGAAAATTTCAAAAACTGTAGCCATCTCCTCTTTAGGATTATACGCTGGTTTATTAGCCACATCATCAGTGATAAACATATGTTCACCAATAGATGCAATTAAGAAAACTGTTAACACAATTTATTGCAGACTGGGTGAAACTGGCTGTCTTCTAGGAACCTTGACTACTGCTTCCTTCGCTGTTAGTTGTTTACTAATGAAAAATGTTCCTAGTAGTCAAGAGAAAAAAAATTTGTTTTTTGGACTATTGGCTGCCCCAGCAAGTGGTCTATATCTCTGGATTTCATCTAAAGCAGCCAACTTTATGTCTGACTTCTGTAAAAACCAGAATAAAAGCGGTGTTGAAGTAGAGTTACCACCCAATCATCCAGATATTTACAATGAAAAGGGTGAAAAATTACAATGTCCCTTTAGTGGAACTGTAAAAGATGACACAAAAGGCAACAAACATAAATGTCTAAGCAAAAATATCCCAATGAAACTACTAAAACACTTTAGACCTTGTTTTCAATCCATGGGGATACACATTTTTATTGCTTCAGTAATAACTATTATCCCATTTTCAAAGATCATCTATGAAAGACTTTAGTTTACAAGAAATAAGAATCTTTCTTTTCTTATTCTATTTAATATAAATAAAGTATTTAGATTTTATACATCCCATTTATAATATAATTGACTATATGTTTATATGAAATAACATGACCCAACTTAATGATATATAACTAATCAAACTAATCTCCTAAGTTTCCTTTATTACTAGCTGAGTAGAAATATACATTAATAAATTTACAATTTATGTAAGTATATGGTTAACAAAAGATAGAACTCTCATGCTAGAAAAAGAAAAAGAAAAGAACTGTGTAATCCTATGATTATATTAAACTGTATCCGCATATTATATAGCTGTTAACACATGAAAGAAAATTTAAATCACACATAAAAAATAGTTTAACTAATGCATTAAATCAAACCGTACTAAACTCAGTAGAAGATGGCTAATTGTTCAAACTAGAAATCGAACAAAATAAATATTGAACAACAACATTTTCTCCAGTCGAACAATAATTACCAAGTATTTAACACCCTATGCCTGTGTAAAAATTTGTATCTTTTGAACTATTATATTCTTAGATCAGATCTTAGAACGTGTTGAAGAGTTATTGAATGTAGAGAGTCTCTACATAACAATTCAGATCAATTGTAGAAGTTAAGAAAATAATATCTGAATCTTCTTAAATGATGTATAAGGTTGAAAAAAGTAGTAACAGCTCCTCTCCCCACAAAAAAAGATCAGGGACCAAAATTAACAAACTAATAGACCAGGAAAAGAAAAAGGTTGGGTGGAAAACAATATTTATTACCGTCTTCTTAGGTTCCCTTATACTTATTTGGAGTTAGGGCTATATTCAGCATTGTGCAAGCAGGTAAAAAAATAGAAGAAGCATTCTGCTAATCATGAAATGTAAATAAAAATGAATAATTAATTAATAGTAAAGTCATACATGCTACGTATGTGTAACTGTTTATAGATATCATTTTGTTGTTTTGCTCAAATTAATATAATTAGGGTTTAGTTAAAAAAAGTTAGGTGTAAGGTTTCAAGACTGTAGGGATGTAATAAATTTTCAATAACTTTTTTTCTAAGAAACATTTTTTCTACAGCACTTTTTTGCATGAAAAAAAGTCTTAAAGAATAACATTAATAGTGATGTAATGTCAAGAAATCTATTTCACATCAAAACAAAAACACTTTTTTTGTTACGTAATTCTGTCCATAAACCGGAGATAATCAAAACCCGATTGATTTTTAATTTTCTTCAAGGTCTATCTTAAAGGTCATTAATAACGAAACATACATACTGTTTATCCGTTTATTAAAAAATCGGAGGATTTTTTTAGTTTCTTTAATTTTAATACGAATTATAGATGATATCAAAAAATTTGCAGCATGCAAAAAAAAAAAAAGATAACCTATAACGAATAAAGTATAATCCGGGGGGGGGGGGGGAGGAAGAAGAGGAAAAATGCACACACACGATTATTTACCCTGAAAAAGTGTTTCCGATAATCTCCATTACCTACTAGTCCTAAAATTTTAAACACTTTGCAAACCTTCAATGGAAAACACGGAGAGAAAAAAAATCCTCTTTATTCAAGTAAAACCTATTTCCATTTCTAGAAAGTTCGCAACTAAATTGAAAAATAACAAGAAAATCTTAATATAATTCACTATTATGTTTCAATATTTCCATAAAATTCTAAAAAAATTTTCATTAACAAACTGAGCTAGCTAATACGTTATATCCAGGAGAAAAATAATTTTTTTAATTTTCTCATAATTTAGAGGGGCTAAATCTTTCATCACTCTTGCTTCACATATGAAAAACAATATAGCTATTTTTTTCACCTAACTCCTCAGAAATACTAACTAATTTTTGCAAAAAAAATAATAAAAGACGAATTGAAAAAAAAAAAAAATTGTTTTTTTATGGATTGCCACGTTTTCTTCGATGAAGTTTAAGAAATTTTCATAACTTTCCCCTCTCGTCTCATGCAACTCACATTACAGGTAAACGTGTGTATTCTATTTTTAATGCTTTGTAGCAAAGGTGGGGAGAACATTGTAACAACTCAACTATGGGCGGATTCCTGCGTCTCAATGTTAGTCATGATAAGATCATGTCTCGATCTGTGAATACTCATTTTATTTCTTTCCTCTTCGAAGAAAGCTAATACCTAAATTAAAAAAAGTATGTTTATGTAAGGAGCAGTATCGGTAAAAATATAAAACTACTCATTAAAAACTGTTTAGTTTAACTTATATATATCTATGAAAAAAATAACTACTACTTTTCTAAGTGACTGTCTTGGAAGCTTGGTCCATTTGTTTATTGTGTAATATGGAATTAACTGGACCATTCCTCAGTTACTTTAATCATATATTAATATAGTATCACGGCACTAATAAAGTCTGTTTCTCCGACAAGGATAAGATCAGTTGATCTTTTACTTTTCTCGTCCAAGCTGAAGATTTCAAACAAATATTATTAATATTATATATATATATATAATGAAAAACCTTAACCAATATCCTTTTACTGATATCAAACCTCTACAAACAGGTTCATTTAGCACAGTTTACAGAGCATGGTCCTATTCATTGAATAAATATGTTGCATTAAAAGTTGTACCTAAAGATAAAACATCACAAAATATTCTATATAATGAAGTTGAAATAATGAGAACTTTAGGTGACACACATCCTAATATCTGTCAAATGTTGGACTTCTTTGAAGATGAATTAAATTATATAATTGTATTGGAATACTGTGAATGTGGTGATCTATATGATTTTCTTGATATTGCCAAAAGACAAGGAGATTCTACTGCACCATCATTAATACAACTGAATTTTCAAACATTGACAAAACAACTCTTCTCTGCATTATATTATACTCATTCTTTGGGGATTGCTCATAGAGATATCAAGCCCGAAAATATCCTACTAACAAAAAATGGTGACATTAAATTAGCTGATTGGGGACATGCTACTTTTGAAGAGACTTCCACTGAATTCCATATTGGTACTGACAATTATCGTGCTCCAGAAACATTTTACGATAGGAATGGTTACAATACAAAAGTATCAGATTATTGGTCCCTCGGTGTAACAATTCTTTCACTAATATTTGGTCAAAGTCCGTTTAAATCTGCTGCCTTGAATTTAAATAATACTCCCGAAAAATATTCGAGAGAAACAAATTCATGTTCCAATTTCCATTATTACTTAAAAAACCCTTATCAGTTTATCAATGACTATTATCTGGCACCAATACTTGCAGTTAGGGATAAACAACCGTGTAACTATCGCAATGGTAGAGCAGCAACTTTTGTATGGGAAGATATGGTTAATATACATTATGTGATGAGTTTTTGCTATATTATAGTAGATACATTAATCACTATCGATGTCAAAAAAAGAAATTTTTTCAAGTGTATTGATGTGTGTGATGTTTTTTGGTCCATATATCAAGGACAGCATTCAAAAGGTAAATTTGTGCAATTGCATATATACAAGGAAAGTTTATCTACACCAACATCCTTACGAGAATTACAAAAATGTTTATCTGTTGACAAGAACACATCTTCTTTAAATTCACATGCATCCACACACTCATTAACGATCGCTACTCTAGATGAAAATAACAAAAGATTTTATAATAATACAGTAACACATAATCCAGGAGATGGGATTCCCAATGGTGTGACTCCTATTCGTCATTCTAATAATTTTCCATATAAAGACGTTGCAAACGTTGCTTATAACATTACATCACATACATCATTATACAATCAAGTAGCATAATATTATCTCAGCACACAGAAAATTGTCATTTCTTTGTAGAAAGTAACAATAATAAATTAGTTACTTTCTACAAAGATCAATTTTTTCAATATTTATAGAACACGGACATTTATGTAATAATATAGAACCATTTATCAAAAAATAGACAAACAAAAGTGTTATATATACATATATATGTATGTATATTCATATGCTTTTCTGCCACCTTATTATCATCATGATGATTATATTTGTGCAAAATGTTTTGTAATCATTGAAACCGAACTCACCAATGTATACAAAACGTGCCAAAATTAAATCATATTTTAACAAATTGATACATTAGTAGTATTTTCGTTATCACTTTTCAAATGATAAAATTCAATATTCTCGATAGTATGTATCAATATCTTAGAATTATCAGAATTAAATTCGAATATAAAAGTACCTTTAACCATTCTATCATTTTTAATTTCAGTAAAATTTCCATCTTCTACTCTAACATATTGTGGCATGGTCAAAGGAAGGTTGTAGTTACTACCACTACCATCACCATTATTACGAATATTATTATTTTTATTTAGTTGATTTGGGGAAGTTTTCCACTTAATTAACAATTTATCATTTTTGGTAATAAAAAGTTTATTTTGTGAGAGTTGACTTGACTTGATTTGATTAATTGATATTATATTCAATTTATGTGGTAGATGATCTTTACCATGATCCAAAAGAAACCTATTGCATAATACTCGTAGAGTGTTTAAACAGGTTAAATATTGTAACTGACCAGACAAAGCAGGTAAGATCGGTAAACTTAAGGGAAATAATCTTAGTTTAATATTAGTGTCTAAATACTCTTTGGATAGGTTACATAAAAGTAAATTCGGTATACCATCATTTTTCAAAAAAGTGGTTATCCGTCCTAAATTGACTAACTTAATTTGTTGTGACATATTACTGATTTTAAAATTAAAATGAAACCAAAATTAAATTTTAAGCCATTACCTTAATAATATTTTTCTTGACTCCCTCTCTTCTCTCCCTCACAATTAATTCTAATCTTGTTGTATGACAATAGTATATCTGAGAATAACTACAAACCTAAAAATTGTGTAAAAAATGATACTTGAGAACAATTATAACATGTTTAGTTAGACAATAAAAACTATACAATATAAAAAAAAAGATATAATCTCCATGCCAGGTATATTTGATCATATCAAAAATTGCTCGAGATTAAGACAGCAAATCAAAACAAATAACCTTGACACATTCAGTCATAACACCTTCCTTTCCCCCCCTTATTTTTTTCTCTTTATTGTCACATTTTTTGCTTATAAGAAGAAAAAAAAAATCTCCGAAGATTTTATTTGTGTGGATTGTACAAAGACAAAAAAAAGACATCTTCCACAGTTCGAACGTCAGTTCAAATCACTCAGAGCTAATTTTTGTAAAGAAAAGGACAAACGACAAATCCCAATGAACTCGGAAATGTCGGAATACAACTTTTATTACACCCATACATTCACCAAAAAAGCAATAAAGAATAAGAAAAATTTTTCCTCATTGTATATTTTTAGAAGTGGCTATAATATTTCAAAATCTTATTATTAATTAAAACAATTGAAATTCTTTTTTCAGAGCCGTTTGCTATTGTCTAAATTTTTTGTATTGTCTTACTTTTTTTTCTTTTTTAAAGAATTTATAATATATAGAACGGCTCTAAAAATTAATTACAATAGAAAAATACTAATTATTATGGATGTATTGTAAAGTTGACAATGTAATTGACACATTATTTTTTTAGTATGCTGTTAATGAGTAAAACACAGAGGTAAACAATAGTTGTTACACAGTTTTTTCGACTAACTTATACATAAATTTACACAGTTTTTGATATATATATATATATATTTTCTTTTTCTTTTATTTTTTTTTTTTTGCTTATAATAATACTTTCAAAAAAATTTCAGAAGCACAACAATTCACATACTTCCACATTTTTTAGCGTTGTTTTTTAGAAGTACTTGGCTTTGTCTATTCTCCTTTAACTCCCTAACGATGACTAAACATTAATCCAGCATGAACAAATGAAACTATATATATATGTGTATATAGATAGATAATCACTTACGACCTTAATAAAGAGTCTCCTAGTCTCTTGCTTCTAATGTAGATTGTATCATGGTGAACCAAACAAACTAAACAAAATTAGCATACAATTGCGTATATATACAAATCACTATATATACTGTACAATATGTCGGAGGTAAAGAAAAACACATTTATTTCTCAACTGAATGTATTTAACAAAGAAAATTATTCTTTTAAGAAGCCATCAAATTCTATAACATCGTATACTTCTGATTCCGGCGAAACATCCGATATTGAAGCAGGCCAACAATTTACAACAGAATTAGATCAAGGTGAAAAAAGAATTGGTTTACTATCATGTATTGGTTTGATATGTAACCGTATGTTGGGTACTGGTGTCTTTGCTGTCTCTTCTACCATTTATACCCTTTGTGGTTCTGTAGGTCTATCTTTGATCATGTGGGCCGTTGGTGCTATTATTTCTCTTGCCGGTCTATATGTTTATATGGAATACGGTACTGCTATACCCAAAAATGGTGGTGAGAAGAATTATTTAGAAGCTGTATTTAGAAAACCCAAATTTTTTGTTACTTCAATGTACGCCGCATATGTATTTTTTTTAGGTTGGGCAGCGGGTAACTCTGTCAATACTGCTGTTATGTTTTTAACTGCTGCAGATGCCAACATCACTAAATGGAACCAAAGAGGTATTGCTGTTGCTGTCATCTCTTTCGCTTTCTTAGTCAACTCTATTAACGTGAAACTTGGCATCTATTTGCAAAATATTTTAGGTATCTTTAAGGTGGGTATTATCATTTTTATCTCGGTTACAGGTTGGGTTGCCTTAGGTGGTGGTCTTAAGGACGGTTACCATACAGATAATTTTCATGATGCCTTCGCAGGATCAGAAAAGGCTAGTGCATATGGTATTGTTAATGCATTATATAATGTTATTTGGTCCTTTGTTGGTTACAGTAATGTCAATTATGCCTTAGGTGAGGTTAAAGATCCAGTAAGAACATTGAAGATTGCTGGCCCAACTTCATTGATCTTCTTAGCTATCCTTTATATCTTTGTTAATATTGCTTATTTTGCTGTCGTACCAAAGGAAAAATTGATCTCTTCTAAATTAGTTTTAGCCGCAGACTTTTTCGATATTGCATTTGGTGGTCATGCAAAGAGAGCAGCAGCAGCATTTGTTGGTTTAAGTGCTTTAGGTAATGTTTTAGCTGTTATTTTCTCTCAAGGTAGAATCATTCAACAGCTGGGCCGTGAAGGTGTTTTACCATTCTCAAAGTTTTTTGCTACATCTAAACCATTTAATTCTCCAATGGTAGGTCTTTTCCAACATTTCATTATTTGCTTGATTACAATTCTAGCACCACCACCAGGAGATGCTTACAACTTCATTATGAATCTAATTTCCTATCCATTGAATATTATTAACTTTGCCATTTCAGTAGGTTTGTTATGGATTTATTATCAAAGAAGCCAAGGTAAGATTGAATGGAATCCACCCATCAAAGCTGGTGTTTTCATAACATCATTCTTTGCTTTGACAAACTTGTATTTAATCGTCTGTCCCTACGTTCCACCAACAGCTGGAGAATCTGTCTATGAATCGCTACCATATTGGATTCAGTGTGTAGTCGCATGGGGGGTCTTCGCTTTTGGTGGCTGTTACTACTTAGTTTGGGCGCAAATATTGCCAAGAGTTGGTCATTACAAGTTGGTGACTAAGGATGTGTTGGGTGAAGATGGATTCTGGAGAGTTAAAATCATTAAAGTGTATGATGATGAGTCTAAAAATGACCAAGATGTTCTAGATTATATTAATAACAACCCTAATATTGATTCTTCTGATACAAATACACTAAGCAAGGGTGAACAGATTGAATACATAGTTAGTGGTAAAGAATCAAATAAAGAAGAACATGAAAACAGCTCTTTCCATGAAAGACAAAAATACTAATATTTGTTTTTCCTACAGAACAGAAGAAGAAAGGAATCGATTGTAACATTTATATTTAGATAATATTTGTTCTTCACTTGTATCATATTGCGCGGATGACTACTTCTTCTCTTCCTTTTTAGTACATCTATACTTATGTATCAAGTATACTATTTTGCATTTAAATATGGACATATAAATATTCTATCTTTAATTTAAAATATTTTCACTTTTTTTATACTTGGATTTCTATGAACTCTTATATCAAAAATGTTCTATACATACTGCAATACAGGAAGAAAAATTATATAGTTGGTCAACGTTTCAACAAGTTCTTTTAACCGTCCCAAACCATTATTGTTTAGAAAAGACGGGGAACATGCTTAACAACCAATCATTTATTATATATTATATAAATAATGAATTTTTACTAAGTTAACCGATCTAAAAAAATAATTTCCTACCATACATTGACTGTGGTATCTCTTCTTAAATCTTTGCATCATTTATACAAGTAGTATGAAATACATGATTCATTAAGAATTTGGCAACGTCTACATATATATAATTCGATGGCGGAAATAACCCGGCGAAAATAAAACTCGTTGTGAAAACCAAATGATGTATAAATTATTTTTCGTGTTTTTAAAATGAAAAAAACTAACAATCAAAAATAAATAGGTGTAAAAAAAAATTAGAATAAACAAAATAGATTTATAAGACAGCATCTACTACTACTATTTCAATTAACTATCTGAGTTGGTATGCTATACACTGAAAACTACAATCACAATTAACTAAAGACAAACATAATTTTTTTTTTTAAACATTCCACTACCCTTCTTTCTCTTTTCATTTCTCTTAAAATACCACTCTTCCTATTCAAATACTTTGTGTACATGTACTATGGTGGATGTTGATAAGGATGAATTAGAAAAGACATTACGTGTCTTTCAAAAAGAATTTTATACTTTAAAAGATGAAAGTGATAATTTGATATTCCCTGTTTTCAATACTCTACCATTAAAAAAAGAATATCCAGATTACTATGAAGTTATCAAAAAACCTGTTTCATTAAATACTTTGAAAAAAAGAGTTCCTCATTATACAGACCCTCAGCTGTTTTTAAATGATATTGTACAGATGACATGGAATGCAAGAATTTATAATGCACCTGAGTCCATAATATATATATACGCAAGAATACTCGATGCTTACATTAGAAAGACTGTTGTCCCTAAATTAATTAAGAAATACCCTCATGTCGTATACCCTAACCCTGGACCCTTACCTGAACCTGAAGATAATAAAATTCAAGAGGATATGTTGGCAAAATATGGTGGAATACCATTACAAACTGAACTACCAAAAAAGAAGGATAGTATTGAACAAATAGAAAATGATTCTGAACATCAAGGAATGAAAACAAGATTTAGAAGTACAAGACAGAGTGAAAGAAATACAAACAACAATCATATTTCACAACAACAGGGAAAACAGCAGAGTAGCCATGATGTTGTTTCTGGAACAACCCCCAATTCCATATCTTTACTATCAAAAAAGGATAAACTTGATGACATGGGTACTGAAACTGCTCAATCTTATACATCTAACAATTCATCACAATCATCTCTTTACCAAATGAACGAAGCGACACAATTATCGTCACTTCAAAATCAGACCCAATTTCCATCACATCGAAATCCAGCTATACTTCAATGGCAGTTTCCAATAATAAGACAAGGATCAGATAATCAGTCTATGTCTAGGAGTCGGGGCAGGCCGCACAAGTTACGTTCCCCAGAAAGTTCTCCTTCTGTTACGCCTACCTACTCATATTCAAAAAATGCCCAACATAAGTTATATACCAAACGTGGTAGACCTCCTGTTATTGATTTGCCATATTTACAGAGAATCAAAAACATTTTAAAGAATTTGAAAAAAGAACGTGACCTTAAACAAAAATTATGGATAACAGCACCATTTGAAAGACTACCTGGTGAATTTCAAAGTGAAACAATTAAAAAATCAATTCCTGATCCCTTATGTTTAGATGATATAAGAAAAAAAGCAAAACATCGTAAATACAAGGACTTTCAAAGTTTTCAAAATGATATAATGCAAATGCTGAGCACGTTTAAATTATTTTATAAGGACAATAACACTATGTTAAGAAATATTTCAAACTTAGAATCCGTATATGCCAATTTGGCAAGAATAGAGCTAGCTAAACCAGATCGTTCTTTCCTTCCAGAAGGTGAAGTTAGAATTCCATATGAAGATGTAACCGTTAACAATATCACATATCATATTGGTGATTGGGTATTCATAAGGAATCCAACTGATGAAAACAAACCTATTGTTGGGCAAATCTTTAGAATTTGGAGTATGCCGGATGGAAGTAAATGGTTCAATGCATGCTGGTATTTTAGACCTGAACAAACTGTTCATAGAGTTGATAGATTATTTTATAAGAATGAAGTTATGAAGACTGGTCAATACAGAGATAGCTTAGTAACTGACTTGGTAGGTAAATGTTATGTGGTTCATTTTACTAGATACCAAAGAGGTGATCCTGATATTAAACTTGAAGGTCCGATGTTTATTTGCGAATTTCGTTATAATGAGACAGATAAAGCCTTTAACAAGATTAGAACATGGAAAGCTTGCCTACCAGAAGAGTTACGTGATCAAGATGAACCTACTATACCTATTGGTAGTCGAAAATTTTTTAAATATCCTTCTCCAATTAGACATTTGTTGCCTCCTAATGCAACACCGAACGATCCAATACCAGAACCTGTTGAGGGTGTACCGGATGGACCACCATTGGTTGGTGCCGTATATATTAGACCTCCATTAAAACGGGATGATCTAGGTGAATATGCATCAAGTCCAGATTCTCCTAGGCACATCATTAGACCTGGAGAACCCTATGGTGAAGGTAAAATAGATTTTGAGATGGGTACATTAACAGTTTCTGCGTCTGCCGTTGGTAAAGTAAGCTACTATCAAGCTAGAAAGGCACAAGCTACCTTAGTTGCTGAGGCGAATGCAGGGAAAATACACTCTCAAGTACATACAGGAATTGATAATAGTGCATTCAATAACCTGAATATACACAACTTCAACAAAAGTCCAATCACTGGAATTGATGGAAACAATAGTAATAGTATCCAGTTGGATAACAGGATTACGTTTCAGAAGTTGAAACAAAGACAATTACAAAAAATACAAGATCAACAAGATCAACAACGCCAACAACACATGAGTAATCATGCTACTAATTACAATCTCACCAATGTTATTAACAATATGTCTTCCTTGGCCTCTAAGAATGCTTTAACACCAATAGATATAGATTCACCTGGTGCATACACTCTACCAATAAGTATTACAAAAGGTGTTGAAACTCTACAACATTTATATGGTATAGATGGAAGGAAACTAATAGATAGATCTATCCCTCGGAAAAGAAATCAAGGTGACGTTGTATGGTTTAAAGGTCCAAGCACCCGTATTGAAGAACGAGTTTTAAACATGGGCACTTCAAATCATTCTGAATTCTCACTATATAATATATTTCCATGGAACCAAAAGAAACCCCACCTAGACTATAAGGAGATTGAAGAAGAGGTAACTGAACATATAAGACATACTAGACACAATAAAAGAAAAGATGTTTTTGAAGATGATGTCGAATTCAAATTGCCAGATGAAAATGAAAATAAAGAAGATATTAAATATGTTTCAGGAACCTATGCACTTGGACTACGACCATCTGCCACATTTATGGCCCACAAATTAAATAAAAGTGGGATTCATTAAGATCATAATCCACTTATACTCTGATCATTCTGTGACCAAGGTGACGACAACAGAAGCCAGAAATACAAATATGGAAATATTATTAATCTAGTAAAAAAATTTTTTATAGATTTTACTTTTATATAATGAGAGAGAATTGTAATGAAGTAAAAACATATGTATCATTATATATCTATAAAATATTGATTGCATAAATCATTTAAGGGATTAAGTTGTTACCATTATTATTATTAATGTCAACACCGATGTTAATATTATTAATTGAGTTGAGGCGATTTTTATTTATGAGTGAGCTTATAAGATATGCATTCCATTTATGTATTTTAATGAAAATTGACTTATCATTAGTTAAAGTTATCAAATTTTTAGCAATCTTTGTTTTATTAGCTCTTAAATAGTTTGATATAAAAAGATTATTATTATTATTATTATTATTATTATTATTATTATTATTATTATTATTATTATTATTATTATTATTATTATTATTATTATTATTATTATTACTGTTTTTGTTGTTATTACTGTTAGTAATACCTAATTTATTTTTTGATAACTTCTCTCTATTTGATCTGTCTATCGCAATTTGATGGAGTTCTTTTATATGATTTATAATTTTTTTAAATCCTAATAAAATGAAATTCCAGTTTTGTGATAAAAGATCCATTGCAAATTCAATATTTGGTTGATCAATAGTCAAAATCAGACAATACCTCCTTTCATTACCTCTTGCATTTTCATCATACAATTTAAAGCCCATGGACAGATTCAAACCTCTAATATCATCGTAGAAAACAAATGGGGAACAATCATATATCATAGTCTCTTCAGAAAACACTTTCCTTGTTATCGAATTCAACTTTTGGAATCTTATGGACGAATATTGTGTAGTGACAAAAGCATGGTTATTTAAAATGGACCTCATGGATCTGATAGCATCATTGATTTCTGGTTCAGAATTATCAGTTGAAGCTGGATTTGGGGGGAACCATAGAAGACATGAATCACAGTATGAGTCGATTGGGTAATTAGGTACCAACAATTCTTCTCCCCCAGTTACATTAAAGGCATCCTTAACTGAATTTGGTATACTTTTGATCTCGGATTTATCCTCATCATTATCTTGATTATTGCTTGTAAATGTGACATTATCTGATTGTCTTTCGTCAATGTTATTATTAGAAGTAATACCAGAATTACTACATTGAGTCACACATATAATTCGAGGTCCATGTTTATCGCAGAAATGAGTTAAAGAAATTAACACTGTAGAAAAATAATCCATTGAGTAACATAAAGAACAGTCACATCCACATATAATAACCAAATTCCTAATAGCTGCACCAGAATGATATTTTAAATGATAAAACCCAAGCAACCTTTTCCTTTAAACGTAATATCGTACATCTACTAATTTCAAATTTTCTCTCTATTTTTTTTTTAAGAGGTTGCTATTATTACTGTTTATTCTGCAAATTACTACCATAAAAAACAAACACTAGATATACTGCTTTCTGTTGGGAGAAGGGAATGAAGCAGAATAGGTCTTTACAAGTTTCAAGTTTACAGAGGGAAAGGGAGGAAGATACATATTCATATTTCTCAAACACAGACATTCTCTTTGTTTCTGTATTTTTCCTAATATTAAGCTAAACTTTGCAGATGGAATTGTTCATACTGTGGTGTGTGGATGTAGAAGATATATCTGCGAGAATATTTCGATGTCGGCTTTTTACTTTTTTTTTTTTATTTTCTTCTGTCGTTTTGTTACTTTTTTCTTCAATTTTGATGTAATTAATAATATGCAGGTATCTTCGAGCTGCTATTTTTTTATTCTTTTACTCAACTGTTGCAGATGAAACACATCAAGAAAAAAAAAGCGTGTGTATATATATGTATTTATGTATGTGTGCATTTGTATATTTGTATTTCAGCTGATTAATGTGTATTGGCAAGAATATTAGTTGGTTGGGAAATTTTTCTAAGTTCAGAATTTATAAGGCGAAAAAATAGTAGGATCCATTTAGAGAAGCTCTTATGTGTGCCAGAAAGTTAAAATACGCAGCAGGTGATGATTTACATCTATATGCTACGCCAAAGGAATCCCTTGAAGCATCCAGGAAAGAGATTGAAGAGAAGGAAAGATGGAGACAGGTAATTGAAAAACAAGAAAGATTGAAAAAATTGGCTGAAGAGCAAAGCTGGATACGAAGAAATCAATCTAATTCATACCAAGATTCAAATATACGACATAATGGGAGCAGAACTGTTTCTGGACCAGCCAGTATGATATCAGGACAACTAAATCATAATCGAAACAACAATAACCATAATACCAATGGGAATTTCCATATTTCAGAAAATATTGAAAGTAATCACTCTATGCCTCCCACTGGATCTGTATTATCATCTAGACATAAAAAGACAAGACCACCACCTATTCCAATACAAAAGGGTAATGCATCCACTTTTTCATTATCGCCCCATCATAATGTATTTAATAACAACACTAGTACCAGAAGTGATGTCAGCAGTAATAGAAGTCGTTCTTCATCGCCAAACAAGCTTCTGTCGCCAAACTCTAAGGAATCTTCTACTGAAAGAGATATTAAAATAGCTAAACAGTTATTTAACAACCATGATATTAAACGTAAGGGTAGGTTGACAGCAGAGGAATTGCAGAATTTGTTGCAAAATGATGATAGTAGCAGATTTTGTATCTCATCTATAGATTCAATAATTGAATATTTCGGACAGTCTAGGTTTGGTACAATCAATGAAACAGAGTTTATATCGTTGTACCAAAAGATTAAATATTGGAGGAAAGTTTATGTAGATAATGATATTAACTATTCCTTATCGATTAATGTGACAGAATATTATAATTGCTTACAAGAATTGAAATACCTTATTCCATTCGAGATTAGCGAAAAATTGTTTAACCAATACGCTGAGTTCAATATAAATAAAACAGATATGAATAGTAAAGAATTAAAATTTGATAAATTTGTGGAAAGTTTGATTTGGCTAATGAAATTGACTAAAATATTTCGTAAATATGATGTTAAGCATGACGGTGTAGCGAATATTGCTTATAAAGATTTTATTGAAACAACTATATATTTAGGTAGATTTCTACCACACTAACAATTGGGAAAAAAATAAATTTAATGTAGATACGTACATATATGCATATATACATACACACATATATATTTGTATGCGTGTATTCCTCATGGTTTTTCTTCATATTATATTGCATTTTATTTAATATATTAAATGTAACTTGTGCATATTTTTTATATTTTTGGAATACGTCACACTAAAAAAATAACAAAAAAAAGGAAGAAGAAAAAACGCGAATAACAACTGAAAAGTGTCACAAATTCAAAAAAAAATATATACAAATATATATAATAGATGAAGATACAAACAAAGATACCCACAGACACAAGAAAATACAATAATATAGTTACTATTATGAAAAACAATCTAAATAAAATTAATCAAATCAATGATGTCTCTGAAAATGCATATATCCCAAATATGCTCCCTTATTTAATTCAAAATTATTTCAGAGAAAATAGACTAAAAATTTCTTCTCATTTGGATGATATGCAGATAGAAGAATTTTTGTCAAAAGACTCGAATAATATAAAAGAAACAGAAAAAGGAGAAGTTAAAAACTCAGAAGGAAATATTAGCAATCTTTCTAATCTATTAACCCAAAGAGACAGAATATATTATGAAAGGGGAATAAATTTTAACATATTGATATGTGGCCAAAGAGGAGTTGGTAAGACAACAATTCTTGAGAAACTCTTTGATATTGATTTATCCATAAATAGAGAATATCCAAATTATAAAGAGGAAATCGAATTAAGATATAACAATAGTAGTAATAATATTGATAATAGTATTATTAACAATGGAATAATCATCAAATTGGGAATTACTGAAATATCAAACTTTGATAATAATAAAATAAACAACTCATTTTCCTGGATTTCTATTATTAATGAAATAAATAAACACAGCAATCAATGTTGCAAAGAGAGACAAAGACTACATCGAGATCGTAAACCAAGTCAAGATAAAAAGATACACGTGTGTTTATATGTCATGGAGCCGAACCAAATTTCTGCAATAGACATAATTACCATGAAAATGGTAGGCCAAATTATTACAATGATCCCAATCATTAATAAAATAGATATAATTAGTGATACTGAAGAATTGAATAGAATAAAAGATGAAATGCAAAGATTGTTCAAAATATATGATATAACCTCCTTTCAAAACATTAGTAGTAAAAATGATAACCTAGATCCAATATTTATTCACCAAGACGACAGTTCAGATTTGAAAAAAATGGTCATTGATAAAAATATGATTGAATTGATTGATAATGATGTTGTTTATGATTTAAATATTTGCAATTTTGAAAGAGACCAACCCAATGGTTTCTGGTGGGGAGAGAATTTATTTTCAAAACAAATAAATTTACAAAAAAAATATAGAGAATTAATTGAGTTACAGGATAAAAAATTTCAAGAATGGATCAAAATGTTAATTCAAAAACAAAAAAGATGCAATTCTGTAATTGAACAGTTACTAAATCGAATTAATTTAATTAGAAAAGAGTGTCATATATTAGAAGACAGATTAGTTACACTCCATGAATCTAATAAATATCTGTCCAATAAAGAAACCACATATACTACTAATTGTAATAATAGTAGCAAAACACTTGTCGTAACCAATAAAACTAGTGATAGTAGCGATAATAATAAAAACGAGTATGAGTCTGAATACAGTAATAATTATAGTATCAATCTAAATCAACAAAGGAGAAACACAAATAAAAGTAAAAATCCAATTAAAAATGGACATTACCTTACAGAGAATATTAGGGTTATGCGATACTAAAAACGAAAAAAAAAAAAAAAACAAAAAAGCAAAACGTTTCAAATTTCTAATGATTTTAAGACCTAAAACAAAATATGAGATAAACAAAAAAAAATTAAAACATTTTTTTATGAGGGTAACATCCCGAAGTGCTTATTTATTATTATTTATTTATTTTTCTTTCTCTCTCTCTCTTTATATATAAAAGCGCACAAGTGCAAAAAAGTTTGGAAGACATAACTTTTCCTTTCGTTCCAGTCTTTTCTCCTTGACACCTCTTACTCCTGCCAAGAAGATAAAAGAGACATTAATTGAGTCAAAGCAAAGTAGAGAGTGGGGGAACTGTCTATAGACAGGATAATTATAATATCGATGTTTGGTGTGTATGGCTCTATATTATTCTCTATTATTTCCTAATTAAATCATTTACTGTTTGATGTCTTTGTTAGCATGAATTTCTTCTCTCTCTCTCTCTCTCTCTTTCTTATTCAGTCTTTTTTTATTTTTATTTTTATTTTTATTTTTGTTGGCTTTTGCTTTCTTTACTTTTAAATGAGAAACATAATGATGAATACTTTATCATATAGCATTTTTTTTTCTGGCATCTCTAATGTTAGGATGGGAAGTTTAAGTACAACTCATTCGATGAATACAACCTTATGACTATTATCTGAAATTGATTTAAGAATAAAGAAAAGAAGCAAGACAAAGATAAGACTAAGTAATTTAGAAGAGAGTTACAGTATTGTGCTCTTGGTGTAGTCTATATGTGAGTAGTGTAATTATTTCATCCGATCTGCTTGCTTTGGATAGATATTAAGCGGTTTAAAATTGATGAAGAAAGTAGTAATGGGTCATCCTAGTAATCTTGTATTTGATTTTCCTTGTATTTATATGCAGTATATTATTATTTCTTTTTTTTCTTGACTCATTGACATGTCCACGAACTCTTATTACTGTTGTTGTTATTACTACTATAGAACAAGGAAAACAATTAGGAGTAATAGAGCAAAGAACAGTGCTATGAAATTATAGTGCATTTTAAATCGTCTTTTATTCTTTGTGGGAGGTGTGAGGAAATTTGCTAGTGCACATATCAAGTTGGCATATATACATTCACACACCAATAGTATGACTGTATATATCGGGGTTTAAAAGTTACCAATAGTAATGTAATGTAAGGATCTTAAAACTGTATATCCAACTTTTTTTAACTAAACCCTAATTATATTAATTTGAGCAAAACAACAAAATGATATCTATAAACAGTTACACATACGTAGCATGTATGACTTTACTATTAATTAATTATTCATTTTTATTTACATTTCATGATTAGCAGAATGCTTCTTCTATTTTTTTACCTGCTTGCACAATGCTGAATATAGCCCTAACTCCAAATAAGTATAAGGGAGCCTAAGAAGACGGTAATAAATATTGTTTTCCACCCAACCTTTTTCTTTTCCTGGTCTATTAGTTTGTTAATTTTGGTCCCTAATCTTTTCTTGCGGGGAGAGGAGCTGTTACTACTTTTTTCAACCTTAATGTGAGTGACAGATATTGTTCTTTTTTTTTTTTTTTTTTTTTTTCATCTATCTCTCTCTCTCTCTATCGTTTACAACAAAACAAAACAAGACAAAACAAGAAAAGACAAAGAAAGAGAGAGCCATTACAAAAATATAGTCGAAGAAATTTCATGGAAGGTTCTTATTTTTTTTTTCTTCTTTCTTTTTTTCGGAGTTGTGTACACATAGACTGTCTTCTGTCTTTCTTTTCTTTCTATCATTTTTTTTAATTTGTTAAGAAAAAAGAAGAATACATGTACCTTTTACTGATTTAAGAAGGATGCACAAAGAAAATTCACTTGTAACGTACACATAAAAACATTAAAAACATCATGATCCATTCATTATTTTAAAAAAAAGGGAAAAAAAGAAATATACCTTAATTACTCAATGATTCATATCAAAAAAGAAAAGAAAAATTTAAGAAACGATATTGTACCAGTAATATTAACAATAATATACATATATATCAAACATATTGAAGTATAAAACTTGTTTTAGTATATCAACAGAGACAATATTTTGTATCTTACTTGTAAAATTAATGTATGTCCCGTTTTCAGGCTTATCATCTTGTAAAAAAAGAAAACAGAAACAAGAAAAAATAAAATAAAAAGAAACAAGACACAAACACCGAAAGAAAAGAGAGGGACGATTTCAAAATGTTTTCTACAGACCTAAATTTCCGGAAAATTAGGGCGATAAGTTTTATTAATAGTTTTTCTAAAAAAAAAAAAAAAGAAGGAAAGAAGGGAGGAAAGAAAAGAAAGAAAGATCCAAACGATAAAAAGAAAAACAAAATCTGTTGGAGTTCATTATTTCGGAGATACAATCTCATTTTGATATGACTTTCTTTTATTTATTTATTTATTTTTTGTTTCTTTGTTTTTCCCATCTTTCCCACCGAAAGGTCCCCAGAATTTCTAATTCTCTTGATATCAGCCTATATCGTTTATAACGTAAGAACAAAACAAAACAAAAAAAATAGCCTATTCGTTTATAGAAACAAAGGAAATAGACTCTTGCTTATGATTATTGTTAATTTGATAATAACATTAAACGATTCTTGTTCTTTTTTTGTTTCTTTTGTTCTCCCCTTTGTCATTTGTTTTAGACATAGCAAATTTGCTCTTGGAAAAAAACAAAAATGCTGAGATTTGGAAATATTTGACTATTTGCCGTACAAAAAAAAATCGTTTCCCACGTTCTATCTTATTTTCATTTTTATTTTATTTTCATTTTTACTTTATTTTCAACGATTCTTAAACGATTGGATCAAAAGTAATCTTGACAATAGATTAGCAACCAGTGGTATTTGCTGTGTCATTATATCGTATTTTATCAATTGATATATAGGAAAGCCTATATATACAATTTTATTTAGCTATCTATCTAAATATATATATATATATATATATATATATTCACTTAAAGAGACAAGTCAACAGGAGGAATAAAACCTTCTTTACACTGAGTCTCTTGTATCTGGAACAGCACGTATTTTCTTTCTACTCTTCTCACTAGTCTGACTTGTGAGAGAGAATACCCGAAAAATAAATAAGTAAATCAATAAGTCCATAGAAGGTGAAAAGAAAATCAACCACATTATAGATCGGATCCCACTTGATTTCATTTATATTTTTATTTATTTTTTACAAAAAAAAAATAGAAATTAAGGAAGGAAGAAACTTATAAATCTAAATAAATCAATAAACAGGTTTTTTCTGTACATTTGCTTTATATTATTAAAGAAAAAAAACGATAAAGAAATTAACAAAACAAAGATGGTATCCGCAGTTTTCAACAACTCAACTATCGCTGAGTTGGTCCAAGCAGAATCTTTCACTGAAACCCTACATAATGTTATGAAATATCAACCACAATTGAATATCATGGAACAATACTGGGCATCTTGGTACTCTTACATGAACAACGATGTCTTAGCTACCGGCTTAATGTTCTTCCTTTTACACGAAATCACGTATTTTGCTCGTTGTTTACCATGGTTCATCATCGATCAAATACCTTATTTCAGACGTTGGAAGATCCAACCAACTAAAATTCCATCTACTAAAGAACAATTATATTGTTTGAAATCTGTCCTTTTATCACATTTCCTTGTCGAAGCTATCCCAATCTGGACTTTCCACCCAATGTGTGAAAAATTAGGTATCTCCGTCGAAGTTCCATTCCCACACTGGAAGACTATGTGTTTTGAAATCGCCTTATTCTTCGTCTTGGAAGACATGTGGCATTACTGGGCTCACAGATTATTCCACTACGGTTTCTTCTACAAGTACATCCACAAACAACACCACAGATACGCTGCCCCATTCGGTTTGTCTGCTGAATATGCTCATCCTGTAGAAACTATGTCCTTAGGTTTCGGTACCGTCGGTATGCCAATCTTATACGTTTTATACACTGGTAACTTACATCTTTTCACCTTATGTATCTGGGTTGTATTAAGATTGTTCCAGGCTGTCGATTCTCACTCCGGTTACGATTTCCCATGGTCCTTAAACAAATTCTTGCCATTCTGGGCCGGTGCTGAACACCATGACTTACACCACCACTACTTCATTGGTAACTACGCTTCTAGTTTCAGATGGTGGGATTACTGTCTTGACACTGAAGCTGGTCCAGAAGCTAAATTGGCCCGTGAAGAAAAGATGAAGTTAAAGGCTAACAAGAATGCAAAGAAGAGAGTTTAAATAATATACTCCTCCCTCACCAGAGTCTTTTAATTGTTTTTCTTTTTTTTTTTAGTTGACTTGGTTTCTGCCTTTTTTTTTTTTTCATCTCTCTGTTATGTTTTATTCTATTTATATTTTTTTTTATTTTTTGTTAATGACCTAGATAGACCTTTTATTTTTCATCTTATTTATATAAATCTTTTTTCTTTTTTCATAATTTTATTTATATATATATCCTTTTGCTCTATATATATATATATGCGTATGTATATGTATATATGTACATGTATTATTTTTTTTATTAATACATATTTATATATAAGTGCACGTTTTTACATATCCTCTGTTATTTTGCGATCTTTTTTTGTATAAAATTGTAAGGCCATTTAAAAGAGTCCATTGTATCTTGTTCATTTTGTCATTTTTGTTACTGGCAACTCTCCTAGAAAACCTTCCTCATTTCTATTTTTATTCTACCCAATAAAAATTTACCAATCTTTTAAAAATGTATAAACAGCCTACACATACATGTATATATATAACACATGTCATTTTTTTTGTTATTATATATCGTTCAATCATACACTACTAATTAACTTAAAATCTGTCACCAACCCATTTTCTTGCATTCTTAAATAATCTAATCCACGGACCATAACCCTCCCATTCGTCATATTTGCCACATGGGTAATACGAGTTGGCTTCTAATCTACAAACTCTTTCTGGGTGTGGCATCATGGCAAGAACTCTACCATTTGGTGACTTAATACCAGCAATACCATCAATGGAACCGTTTGGATTGAATGGGAATCTTGTAGTAACAGTTCCATAATTATCAATGTATCTGATTGATGCCAATCCATTACTTTCAAATTGCTTAACTTGTTCATCAGATACAAATGTGGCTCTACCTTCACCATGGGCTACTGCAATTGGCAATTTTGACCCTATCATACCATCTAAGAAAATGTTCTTTTCTTCAACGTTTTCATCTTCAACCAGTTCTACCATACAGACACGTGCCTCGTATTGTTCACTTAAGTTTCTTTCAAAAGTTGGCCAGTTTTCACAACCTGGAATGATATCCTTTAATCTACTTAAGAATTGACAACCATTACATGCACCAAAGGCAAAAGTATCATCTCTCTTTTGGAAGAACTCAACAAATTGATTACGAACGTCTTCATGGTATAAAACAGACTTGGCCCAACCTGCACCAGCACCCAAGACGTCACCATATGAGAAACCACCACATGCAGCAATACCGACAAATTCATTTAAATGGAATCTACCCTCGATTAAATCTGTCATTGTCACATCAATAGAATCAAAACCGGCTTGTTGGAAACACCATGCCATTTCCATTTGGCCATTAACACCTTGTTCTCTTAAAATAGCTACTTTTGGTCTTCTTCCACCTTCTAGAGTAGTTGGAATCACAGTATCAGTTGGGTTAAAAGTCAAGGAATAATGAATACCTGGATCCTTATCATCAAGAATGGCCTGATACTCCTCTTCAGCAGTTCTTGGATTGTCTCTTAATTTTTGCATTTCAAATGAAGTAGTAGACCAAATCTTTTGTAATTGACCTCTTGTGTTTTTATACAATTGTTTACCATCGAATGTGGACTCGATGATTGTAATATTTTGAGATACAAAATTTGGTTTGGCAACAATAGAGATATATTCCTCACTGACGCCATTCTTGGCAAACACATTCTTGAATTCTTCTAATTTATCGTTTCTAATTTGGAAAATAGCACCCAATTCTTCATTGAATAAAGAGACCAAAGCATCACCTTGAGAAATAATATCAAGACCACATCTAGAAGCAAATGCCATTTCTAATAAAGAAACCAACAAACCACCATCAGATCTATCATGGTAAGATAAAACGATATCAGTTTTATGTAAGTCTAAAATACTCTCTAAGACACCTTTAAATAACTTGTTATCATACACGGTTGGAGAAACATCACCAACTTGTTGATAAACTTGTAACAATGCTGAGGCACCAAGAGCTTTATATTCTTGTAAAGCTGAGACATCGACAAGGACCAACGATGTATCTTCAATCTTTTCTAATAATGGAGTCCATGTTTTTGACGTGTCATTTACAGGAGCAAAAGCAGTGATATTTAAAGATAATGGAGCAGTAACTTCCTTGCCATCCCATTTCATCTTCATGGACATAGAATCTTTACCAACTGGGATAGCAACGCCCAAAGCAGGACACAAATCCATACCAATAGCCTGAACAGCCTCATACAATTTGGAACCTTCACCTTTGTGAGAGGCTGGAGACATCCAATTTGCAGATAACTTAACATGAGATAAAGATTTGACATCAGCAGCTAATATATTTAATAATGATTCTGCAACACTTAATTTAGCTGAAGCGGATGCTGAGATTAAAGCATTGATTGGTCTTTCACCCATAGCTAAGGCCTCACCAGTCTTAATTATCTTATCACCTAAGGAAGTGGCAGTAACACCGACATCAGCAACTGGAACTTGCCATGGACCAACAAATTGATCCCTGTCAATTAAGCCAGTAACAGATCTATCACCAATTGTAATTAAGAACGACTTGGATGCCACAGATGGTAAATTCAAGACTCTTTCAACAGCTTCATCCAAAGATGTGATAACAGATAAATCTGGCTTTGGTAAAACTAAGGGTTCTGTGATTGCAGTTCTTGACATCTTTGGTGGTTTACCAAACAAAATAGACATTTCCAAATCAATTGGAGTCGTTTTCAATAGTGGATCTTCCACAATTAATCTTTGCTCAGCTGTAGCATGACCAACAACTGCAAATGGTGCTCTTTCCCTTTTACAAATTTCTTCAAAAACAGGCAAGTCCTTTGGAGAGACACCAAGAACATAACGTTCTTGAGATTCATTACACCAGATTTCCATTGGAGACATACCCTTTTCTAAAGATAAAACCTTTCTAATGTCGAATCTAGCACCAAGATCATTATCATGGACTAATTCAGGTAAAGCATTTGAAAGACCACCAGCACCAACATCATGGATGGATTGAATTGGATTATTATCACCTAAGGCCACACATGCGTCAATAACTTGTTGACAACGACGTTCCATTTCTGGATTACCTCTTTGGACAGACGCAAAATCCAAATCAGCTGACCCTTCACCAGAGGCCACAGAAGAAGCAGCACCACCACCCAAACCAATTAACATGGATTCACCACCGAGAACAATCAATTGGGACCCTGGGGCGATTGGTTTATTCTTTAATGCAAACTGTGGTCTGACAGTACCAAACCCACCAGCAATCATAATTGGTTTGTGAAACCCTCTAATTTCTTCTTTTTGATCATGATTTGTCACTTTAGTAGTTAAAGTTCTAAAATAACCGTTAATACAAGGTCTACCAAATTCGTTGTTAAAGGCAGCAGAACCTAATGGCGCCTCAATCATGATATCTAAGGCGGATGCTATATGAGCTGGCTTACCGATATCTAATTCCCATGGTTGTTTATAATTTGGTATCGAAAGATCACTAACAGAGAACCCACTTAGACCACATTTGGATTTAGAACCTCTACCAGTGGCACCTTCATCTCGAATTTCACCACCAGAACCAGTAGCAGCACCGGGGAATGGAGAGACAGCAGTTGGATGATTATGGGTTTCCACCTTAATCAACATAGGTACAGGCTCTTTCTTAGCTTCCCACCTCTTGGTGACGGAATTTGGTGCATAGTAATATGCTTCGTTATTTGTGTCCAAGACAGCGGCGTTATCAGAATAAGCACTGAGAGTATAATCTGGGGTGACATTATATGTGTTTCTGATCATTTTAAATAGAGTCAAATCTTTCTTAATACCATCTATAGTCCAGTCGGCGTTAAAAATTTTGTGTCTACAGTGTTCCGAATTAACTTGAGCGAACATAAACAATTCAACATCAGTTGGATCTCTTTTCATAGTTTCAACAAATGCATTAATCAAATAATCGATTTCTCCCTTATCTAAGGCAAGACCTAACTCTACATTAGCTTTAGCTAAGACATCTCTTGGAGATCCCTTGTTCTGTTCGTTAGATGTCAATGGTACATGAACCAAAGGTCTTGGAGTCTCATGAGTGAATACATCAGTAGTCTTTGGTGGATCATTTAGATATAATTGTTGCGTCATTCTATCAAAGATAACTTTTAAAGAGTCTTCATTTAAGTTATCCAAAATAGGGAAGTTAGGAATAGTCTTAATTAATAAGGCCATACCTCTTTCAATTCTATTAATCTTAGAGGAAAGACCACATACATTAGAAATATTAGTAGCTTTTGAAGACCAAGGAGAAATGGTACCAGGCCTTGGCACGATTCTTAATAGATATAAGTCTGGTTCATTTAGTTGTGTAGTAGAAATATTGTTGTTAATTGCATGATATAGAACATTAGATAATGGATCTTCTTTGAAATTTAAAGCAGTATCATAAGTTAATAGAACATCCAATAGGTTTCTATCCATTTCAGTTAATTCCACATTTTCTTGAATATCGACATAATGAATAAAACAAGAACGAATTTCCTTGATAACAGATGTACTGTTTATATATTTATTAAAATCCTTAATTAAATTATCAACTCTGAATTGTGATAAAGCTTGTGGACCAGCTAAAATTAAAGTAGACATTTTTTTTTTAAAGAAACAATATAATATAATGTGATAAATAAAGGAAGAGAGCAAAAAAGTGCTTCTAATGACTTGGTTGTATATGTTTTTTTTGCTTGTTTGTTTGTTTGGTATACTAGAAAATAACTTTTTATTCCTTGAAAATAAAAAAGTTTTATTCTTTACCAAAGACAAATATTAAAATTGGGTTGGTTAACTTAAATTGCTTTAAAGCAGTTTGATTATATATATATATATATTGGAGAAAGAATAAAGAAAAGAGTAAAGAGAAGAATATAACTACAGTCATATTTAGTCTTTAAATGTCACAAGAAAAAAAATGGAGAATGAAATATTAGAATTCAAAGAAACAGCTTCTCATCACAAGTATTAGATGAATCATCATCTGGTACAATAAAGTAAGGAGTTGAAGAAGCTAAGAGAAGACTTCCCCCCAGTTTATAGCTAATTCCAGAATATATCAAACAAAAATAAACAAGTGGTCGGAGTGGCTACAGAACAGAGTAAAACAGAAGGAGTCAACATTTCAGAACTCCCCTCTCCACTCAACGTCAAAGGATCGAATAACTCTATCTTTCCCCTCTTTTTTCAATGTTTAAATATCTTGGAAATTTGTTATGAACAGTATTGCAGACAATCTAATGACATGGAATATAATTAGGTGACTCGGATTTTAACTGCGTCTTACACTATTGTAACATCAAAGGAAACCAAACGATTTATGATCTCGCTATTATTATTACTATTATTATTATTATTTTTTTCTTGAATAAAACAGAATCAAAAAAAAAAAATGAAAAAAAAAACAAAACAGAAAAAGAAACTCCAAAAAACAAAAAAACTTCGTAGTCATTTTTAACGAGTTTTATATGCTAGCGCCATTTTTATTAAATAAAAAGATTTTAAATTTACATGTATACTTTTTTTAATAAAATAAAAACAAAAAAATGATGCACTAGATTTCTAACCACTAGATGAGATGACATTAGATAAGATTAGGTAGTGATATGGTATAATAAACGGTGATATAGATATCTTCACGTTAAAAGATAATCTATATTACCTATTTACTGCCTATAGAAACTAACAAATTCAAAGCGTTTCTTTATTTTATTATTAACCATGGTTCAAAAACCTCTTAAAGTGAAAACTAAAACCAAAGATCCACGTCGTATTACTAAAAAACAAAAAAATCCAAGAAAGGCAGCACCGCTAATAATTAAATCAAAGAAAAAACAATTGGATTATTTAAAAAAATTAAATAAAACTGTATCATTAACTGCATCCACTGAAAAATTAATTGCCAGTAAAGTCGGCCATTTAGAATTACTAAAGGGAACAAGAAAAGAGATTGAAAACAACAAGAAAAAATAATTAAATTAATAAAGTAATAAATTAACAAATCAATACGCCAACAATAATATTAATGATATTACTATTTCCGTACCTATTCATTTGAATCATATATACCTATAACTAACTAAGAATATAAAGCCATATAATCTGTATATTATTATAAAAAATATTATTTTTATTGTCTAACATAATTTGTTCTAATTGTTTATCTTCTCTATTTTTATTTACATGCATTGTTTGTCCATATTCTATCTCCGATACGGCCACATTTTATCTAAAATGACGTTTTGGATTAATGAATATAGTTGGGATGAAATCCAATATATAGAGAGTAATACAGCACTCTGTGATGACACACCCATCATAAAGATGCATCCAAGCCTAGATATATTTAAAATACTTTTCATAGCTTGATTGATTCTTGATTGATCATCCCTAAATACTTCTATACCAACATTATCTGTACCTCTTCTGGACATCATCTTCCCATTATATTCTACATTCATTAAAGATAATGCACCTAATGTCACTGGTACAATAAAAGGATAATCTGAAAATGGGCCTGTTAAATCAGTTCCCTTATAGTTAAACGATTCAAACCATTCTTTGGTAGATCTTTCAATTTTTAGTTGGGTCAAGCTTCTAATACCAAACGACATTGTAATCCATAATGGAATTTGAACTAATGGTAATACCATATTCTTCCACAAAGGAACATTATAAGACTTGAATAATTGTTTCCCACGTTTTCTGGTTTCTTTCAATGCCAGCAATTGAATCTGGTCAGGTGTCAATACTGGCTTACTAGGTTGAGTCATTTGTTGTCGATTAGCTAATAATGCTAACCTTGACTTCACAATTGGAATACTGCTCTGGGAAATCTTTCTTAATTCTTGTTGTTTCACTATGCGTTTCCTTTGAAGGATACTTAGAGGCAATGTAAATATAGTTCTTAATGTAAATGTTGTTAGTGGAATCAAAACAACCCAGCAGATACCTGTTATTTCATGTGCGGTAGTGAAAAGATCAGCTATACTACTTGCAAAGTAAGTTCTACCACTAGAAGCTTGAAATCTTTGTCGATATAGCCATGGCAACGTTTCTGTCCTTCTCAATATTACTGAAGAAGAAGTAAATTTGGAAAGTGTATGAGAATTTCTTAATATTAATGGCTTAAAAAACATATTGTTACTATATCTCACCATTTTATTTAATCCTGATAAGTTCAATATCTAACAAATAGATCTACAATTGTATAACATATATTCATCGATCTGGCGTTCTTTCTATGAATTTACTATTTTGTGTGACCTTCGTTGAAGGTTATTCATTGTCTAAATCCTTTTCTTTATTCTTATTCTGCAAGTTATTTTTCTGGTGTCATCTTCGGTATCTTAAAGAAAAAAGTCATGTATTGAAATCCTTTAGTGTTGTAAGAACACTTGTATATAATACGTATATATTCTATTTTATACTTATATATCTGCAGACTATCATGACAATATTTATGTTGTATCTTTATACCTAAGAAAAATAGCTGCTAATGTCTCCTTATACCGTTTTTATGTTTCTATTCTATTCTTGTTTTTCCCTCCTTTTTCTTCCTTTCTTTATATTTGTGATATGCAATATCATTTATTACTCTACTCTATTTGACTACCATCCCTTGGCTTGTAATGAGGCAATAACTCGACTACTTCTACAGGCAGTCTGCCATCCACCTTAATTGCATACATCGCTGGTATGTTCATATCTACACTCAACCATTTTGCTACCCACGATTTAGTAGGTTTGCACATACCAACAAGCCCTTCAAATGAAGGTGATGTGCATTCCATTGCCGAAACCCCTGCTTCTTCAAATATACCTTGACAGTTTGGACATCCATTCCTGTTAAATTCATTAGTGGTTTGCACTATCCCACATAACATACATGCCCTTTCACTTGACATTTTGGTATTATTTATATATGAATATTAAACGATTTATCGATTAAAGTTGTGTACAGATATCTAAAACAAAAATATTATCTCTCTGCTTTGTTATTCAGCCTTTATTCAACGTATTACGTATTTTTATTTTGTAAAACATAATAGATACATTTTGCTGTCTATAAAAATTATACTTCAACTTTTTCAGTGCGTTAAGCTTTTTATTCGAATATATATATTTTTTTTATTTTTTTTTCTTGTAGTTTTTAGATTTTGTCAAAAAATCCTTTTCCCCTCTAAGAAGAAGAGAACTGTCACAAATCTATATTTGTAGTCTTCTATAAACTTTTCATGTAAAGGCAGTAAATATTACTGATATAAAAATAGGCCAATCCACCCCAGTGTCCATTTGGAGATATCTTTCTTTTTTTTTAGTTTTAACATTTTAGTACAGCTTACACAATTTTTTGGTACATATGCAGATCTAAACTTTTTGAGACTATTGGGTGATAGAAATTATAATCAATGTCTCAAAGGGAATACAATAAGTTATGTATCTAACTTTAATTTATTATTATTCTTATCATTATTTTTTTCGATTTATTTTTGTACTCTATTAATATAATATTTTTATCAAAAAAGTTGAAGAATTGATCACATGTAAAAGTGGTCAATACATGAAATTAGTCCTTTAATCAGAATTAGGACTTATTATCAACATCAACAACGCAAAGATAAGATATTAACAAAATTAACAAATTATTATATAGAATATATTATATATATACGTATCTATCAATCCTATATTTAAAAAAAAAAGACTAGAAAGGATCAAGATAAATGACAATCTATGGAAAAAAGATGAATATTTCAATAATCATAAGAGCGACCTAACCATTTTCCTTTTTGAGTTCATTGCTTTACATAATAATATCCATCTTCTCTTTGTTCTAAATCTCTTTCCACAAAATCAGGAATTTTACCTTCTTCATTTGGTTTACTACTATCATATAGGATAATGCCATTTCCCAACGCATGTTTTCTTTCATTCTTTTTATATAGATATAATACAACAAAGGTCCACAACCCATATATTGTGCCAAATATTAATGACGTAGTATATCCTGTCTTGAATCTAGGTGATTCCACAGTGGGCCATGCTAGTTTAGGGATCCATGCATAAGTAGATTGTGAAATGGAGTATATCGCGATCCATGTAACCGCTTTAATCTGAGGATCGAATCTTAAGAAATCGTTTATAAATGACCACAGACATGGAGATGCAGATACACTGAAATATGTGGTTAAAAATGCATACCATTTAGCGGAAGATGAAACATCCCATTTAACTAGAATTGAACAGGATATTGTATTCATAATCGCGGCAAAGACCATGAAGAACCATTTGGAATGAAACAAATCTGCTCCAAATGAACATAAAAACACATATATAAAACCCAAACAGGCAGGTAAAACACACAAATTGTTAACTTGGACAATGGAATAGTTTGAATTTGATTTCAACCATAAAGCATAAGATCCACTAAATGCCGTCATGTTGTTCCACGAACACATATCAAAAACACAAAGAACCCAGAATGTAGGGTTACAGAAAATTGCTTTCCATATACTTTTATTCCATAAAGGTTTCAAACTATGAGTACTTGCTCCATCTTTGATTTGGTTTCTTTTATTTCTAATTCTAGCTAACCTAATCTCATCATCCGTTAAAAATAACGAATAGCATTTAGATGGGACTCCTGGTATAACAAAAAACCCAATTATAACGGTAGGCAATGATATAGCTATTGAGTCGATCAAAAACATCCACCGCCAACCTGCTAACCCATTTCTTCCATTTAGAGACGAAAATATTCTACTTTGTAAAAGACCAGAAGTAATACCACCTAGAAGGTTACCACAAAAGAAAAGACATACACGCGAACTCAATTCATCAGGTGCATACCAACATCCCATAATATATTGAGACACAGGATAATAAGCAGCACCAAATGCATTTAGAAGAAATCTGTACGCTTGAAGTTCAGGAAGAGATTTAGCTCTGTAGCAAGCGAATGTAAAACTTGTCCAACCTAAATCCATAGCCGGTAACAATATGTGTGGAGGAAATCTTGGTAAAAGATACATGAATGGTAACTGAAACACAATTGAACCTATATTAGCAATAGTCAAAGTGTTGATATAATCATTACCCTTCATCTTTAAGTCTTCTCTCATGTTAGACACATAGGCACTTGTAAAATTGTTTAGTTCAACAGAGTTAGACCAAGATAACATGAAGAAATAGAATGTGATAATCAAATCTAATTTATAAAGTAATCTCCGTTCTGCAGGGTTCTTTGTTGTGTGACTTGGATACAAGAATTCGTACCATTTACGGGATTCTCTATATTGTTTGTTAACACGGTACTCGAATTCATCGAAAAACTTCCACCAAGGTCTATTTGCTTCATCTCTTAATTCATATGGCATATCCTTTTCCAACTGATTGTAGCGTTGTGTAGCTAATTGATAATGATCCACACATTGATCCTGTAGCGAATGGCCATTGAAATCCAAGGTAATTGTTTTATAGCCAAGATCAACAATTTTAGAAGAGACCTGATCTTTATTTACATGTTCTATACTATCACTGCTATCATTGCTGACTGAAACAACCATATCATTCTCGTCCGTATCTTGTTCTGAATTGACAATATCGCCAATATCTTCTGGAAGAATTCTCAAATGCGGGAAAAAGTGTCTCCAACCCGCAACCATATTGAATTATCTACTTCTTTTAACTATGCTTGCTTTGATGTTATCTATTTGGGAATATAACAACATGTGGAATATATATATGTATATGCTTAGATATGAAACTTGAGACTTCATATATAAATTAGTTATATTTATATTTATATTTATATATTTTTTGTTGAATATAAAATTACCTTGTATAAATGTTTTCATGGAGCTGATAATGACTATCCTATTATAAGATAGGATTATTGTATTGGCGTCACATATTTATTCGATTAGACTATGATGATGCTTTTAGAAGAAAACCGTAGCGATTAAAAGTTGGCTCAGTTAGTTTCTATTAGACATACCTTGAGAGAGTCAAAGAAAAAAACAAAAAGAAAAAAGGAAAAAAAAAATCCAACAGAGTTACGGTCCCTTTAGTGATCTCATTTCCCCTTTAGGAAATTACTCTTCGGTGTCGGTCTTGCCTTGTCTCCCAAAACGGATATAATCAATAGTCAAAATAATATAATGAAATTGCTTCTATATATTTATTATGATTGATAAGCAAACCCACCCAAAAAATAAAAGAACAAAGTAAGAGAAAAGAAAAAAAAACACAGTGATATAAATTATACCAATCAGAGCTCACTTCCTTGCATCATCGTCTCAGATTTTAAGGAGCCGAGGAATGTGAGCTGCACATAGACATGGAAGAAGAGAGAATGACATGCCATTCATGCCAACTTGGTCTTATACTTGATTAGCTTCCATTTTTGATCATGTTTTCTAACCACAAACTTAACATTTGTATTAAACTATCATATGCTGCAATTTTTCAGAATTTGGCCATTTTCAAAATTGCTAATAAACTATATAGATGGTAAGTAGTTTTCATAGTTTCTTTGGAAAAAGAAAAATAATCTTGTTTTTTCTCTGATAGTCCTTCCTATATAGGATCTATTTGATATTTTGTAGAATAGTCCACTTAAACTAAATTCTTCCCTGATTAGGTGGTAAGTAGTTATGATATAAAAGAAAAATCCGTAAAACTACATGATTCCACTGAAATAATCATGGTGATTGGTTAAGCTATTTCCATATAAAACGTACCAATTTGAAATCAATTGGTCCTATATCACCACTATGTATAATTAAAATCTGAATTTTGTCAGTAATATAGATCGTATACATAAATATATAAATATGTGTATATATTATTGTGTTATTGCTAAACCCTATAATCTGCATCACATTCTCTTCTGACGTAAAAAGCGATTTCAATATCTCTTCTTTTTTTTTTTCATTCACTTTTTCGAAGAAGGAAATAAAAAAGAAAAAATTTTTTTTTTTTTTCAAAAAACCAAAAAAGAAAAAGGTATAAAAGCAATGTGAGAACTAAAAACAAGGAAATTTTGCACTATTTTGCCTACTTCGTTCCTGCTACGCTTTCTCCCCGTACAACTTCATGCATTTTGCTTCCTTCATTTTGTACTGGATATAAACTGGAGTAACCGTCGGAATCCAATTTAGTTAGTTTATAGGTAGTATGTTGGGTTGTGATGAATGTATTACTTGATGATAAGTAACTGTTTTTCGTGGAAGAGTAATAACGTAGATCAATTTAAGATTGTTAGTGTCCAATTGGTGTTATTAGAATCAAAGTTAATTGTATTCTAAAAGTTTTTCGAGAGATAAATGGAGTAAATATTGTTTCTGTTCTGTTGAACAGCAATATCTTTACAGGAATATAAGACTTTGATACCTTAATGACAATTTTGGAAGGAATTGTAGATTATAACTCCGTTCAAGGGATACTTATAATCAATTTACTTTGGATATTGATTCAATCTTTTGAGAGTTGATCTTTTTCCTTCTTTTTTTCAGGGTTTACTTATTGTCGTTGTTTTATTATACAGAAAGGGGTTGTATGTTCTACTAACATCATTGTTTTAAACATTTATGTATGAATTTATTTAACTTTTTTTATTTTTAGGGATATAGGAAAAATGACTCGTTCTTCTGTTTTAGCTGATGCTTTAAATGCCATTAACAACGCTGAAAAAGCCGGTAAACGTCAGGTTATGATTAGGCCATCCTCTAAAGTCATCATTAAGTTCTTACAAGTCATGCAAAAACATGGTATGTTAGAATCATAAAAATTGTGTTTTATTATATCCCTTTCAATAAGGAACCGAAAGAAAATAAAAGTATTCCAGTATCTTTACTTCTGTTATTTTTTTTATCTATAAGTTTCCCCAAAAGTAAACCTTTTCTACTTTTCTGCTATACCCGGATTGATAACTGGATGGTTTGTCTGCTTTTTTTTCTCCAAGAAAAAGGTTTTTGTCTCTTACTGTCTTTTAAGTATCCGGAATATCAAGTGATTAGAAGGAATGTCTCTTACACGGTGTTATATTATGTTATTGATGCGATTTTATTTCATTAATAATTATCTCTACCTATTTCACTGTTTACTTTTCTTCTACATGTCTTTCTTTTTTCTTTAGAGAATTATAAATTTTGGAGGAGATGGAAAAAAAAGTTGTAAAGTGTATTGGGCAATACCTTTTCTCTTTTCTTTCATTTTAAATCTGTCTATAATTTGGAATGCCAGATTTTGAAATGGTTACTTTTTGAATTTGTTTGAGATTATCAACACGTGACAATAGTCTATGCAGTTGTCTCATGTCAGGATTTTATTTACTAACAGTAACTTTTTTTTGATCGATACTTTTTTGTATCTACACATATTATACATATGTATACAGGTTACATTGGTGAATTTGAATATATTGACGACCACAGAGCCGGTAAGATTGTCATTCAATTAACCGGTAGACTGAACAAGTGTGGTGTTATTTCCCCAAGATTTAATGTTAAAATCGGTGACATTGAAAAATGGACTGACAATCTTTTGCCAGCTAGACAATTTGGTTATGTTATTTTAACTACTTCCTCTGGTATCATGGATCATGAAGAAGCCAGAAGAAAGCATGTCTCTGGTAAGATTTTAGGTTTCGTCTATTGAGTTAATAATATATTCCTATAATATATATTTGTGTACAGCATTCATATAAAATAAAGCTTATGAAAGGTTAAAAAATGAAAAGAAGCACGTAAAATAGACGAAATTAGTTGGAAAGATACAGGTGGTATTATTTCTTTATATACATATATATACGTGTGTGTATGTATAATACTCTCACTTTGGTTATTTTCTTTCTGATTGTTTTGGTTTTATATTCCAAACAACTGTCATGGTGAAGGTAGTTGTATGTTTGGTTCTGGCAGGTCTTCCCTAGGTGCAAGACTATTGACGACTGTAGAACTATTATTATCATTAATTGACATATCAATCGAGTTGTTAACCAAATTTGATGGGTGGGTAATTCCACTATTACGTCCGCTTGTTGATCTAGCTAATACATGGTTATTAGATAATAAAATAGATCCTGAGACTAATGTTGAACTAGATGGAATATTTGTATTAACATAAGAATGTACAACTGGGTGTCTAAAAACACTATTCTTGGAAGACGGCGTTCGTGAATGTAAACCACTGTTGAAAAAAATACTATTCTTTGCATGGTTAACACTAGTGTTAATACTATTACTACTACTTGAACCGGTCAAAAATGTGGATTTGGTTGGAATAATTGGTACAGATGCTCTCCTCTTTTTAGTCAATGGGCTTTTTCTAATAGCATCTTTTAAATCATAATTATACAATGAATTAAATGTATTATTGTTATTATTTATACCATTTAAACTTTCATTCAAGTAAAAACCACCCTTCTTATTTGCACTCTTAGAATTTGTTATTGGATTTGTAATCATACTTGCAATTGCCTCATTAGATAGACTAGTTTGAATAGATGATAAAAGTGGTGTGTCCATTTGGATAGGATCAAAATTTAATGGTGGTAACAGGTAATTCTTACCATCGTCAGTAACTGACATAACAGAAGATCTTCTTCGGGTTAAATATGGTGATAAGGATATTGGAGATACACCCAATGTCAATGAGAGTCTTCCACTAGAGGTTGGTTTTGATACTGAATTGCTACTTGATGATGTTGAATTTCTTTTTCTGAAAGGCGATGTTAAATTTTGGCTTCCTAAAGTATATAGTGATGTCGATAAAGAATTGAAATTTATTGGTTTAGTTTCCAAAGTGAGGGGTTCATTTTGTTTTGAACTTGCCATCCTATTGATATCTTCGTCTATGTAAACAAAATTAAGAGAGTTATTGTTATTGGCTGTTGCTATGCTAGTAATGGTGCCCGTGCCATGTTCATTGGCAATATTATTTATAGCAGATTGATCTGTTACAATATAATTGTCATCTGTATTAAAAATTTTAACAGCTTCAATTAATTTAAACTTGATATTATTAGATAAATAAGGGGATGACAACACTTTATTTAGTAACAGTTCATTTTTAATAAAAGATGTGACACGATTTAAAAAAAAATTGAAACCCATATGCTCTGGAGCTTCTTTGTCAAATAGTATTTTATCTAAGTCTTGTTCAAGCAACTTGTCTGTATCAATATGTTTCTCTAAATTCATAATGTATTTACTCATAAAAGTATTCACTGAATCAACCTCTGACTGAGAATATACTGGTGCAATTGTACCATCCATTTTGTAGATTATGATATACCAAACATATAATAATAATTGGATAAGAGGATTTAACAAAAACCCACCAATCTTAGTTTTATCATTCCTTGATGATAGATTTAATTCGGAACAAATTAATTTCAATTGAATTAAAAGCACATCAATAATTAAAGGTAAGAATCTTTTAAATCTACGTGACAAAACGTTCAAATAATTTGTAGTGGGAGTTATTACCAATAGAATCACTGGTAATGAACATATACTTAAATTATTATTAATTGATTCAGAATCAAAGACTATATTCTCATTTAACATGTTGTCAAGAAACCAATTTTTCTTAAAAATATATTCAGCATTCGATAGGTTTTTAATGAATTCAAACCATGTTGTCTCTATTAATAACCAATGTGACAGAGTGGTTGGGATAATAGCATAACTTTTAATGATAGGTTTAAATCTTTGTGGTGCTATGGATACTATCAAGTTTTTCTTCCATATATTAATATCATTGCTTATATATTTTCCAGATTTTGGAACTGTTTCGTTTATACATTTTGTGGTCTTAGTACTAAAATAATTATTAATTAAAATAGGTGATATCTTAACAATTGTCAGGGCATCATTGTATTGATTAGTGTTAACGCGTGAAATATTTGTGTTGCTGGTTTTACTACGATAATTATCGTTTTGAATGTAACATTGATTAATTTTGATTATTAAATTATGTAGATCTTCCATCGATTTAAAGTTACCTAAGGTAAGCATTTTTTCTTTATTCAAAAATCCGTTATTGTTTGCTTCCAAATACAATATAGAGGGAAGACACACAAGCAAGTCATCTGGTATATATTCATTTATTAGATGGTCTATCCCGAGTTGTATCAAGTTTTTAAGAGTATTCTGATTGAATTGATTCCAAATAGAATGTATACTAATGATTTTAAAATATATCTTTGAGGATATTTTATTGAAAAGTAAACCATCGAAAAATTGTAAAAAAGAGGTCCATATCAAAATTAATGAATTAAAATCCCATTGATTAAAGTGCATTGAACTATAATCAATATTGGATTGAATAAATGTTAATAGCACTAATTGATAATTATCAAACAGACGGTTCACAATAGGAGAGCTGGCAGAGTATATATCTACATAATTTTCAGTGCCTTGCGCAAGTAAAGTATGTTGTTGAATAAATTCGAAGGCAAGGAAAGATATGGTGACCACACGCTCAATTTGATTACTATAGAAAGATTCATTTAAAGATAATAGCCATAAATCATTCCACAATTGATAGTTAACTGTATTGTTTAACATATAACCTAGATAAACTATTGTTAGAGGTAATATAGGTATATTTTTTTTTAAAATTCTCGTATGATTTGGTAGGAATATTATTTCTGCTGTTATTACAGTTGTCGCTATTATCATTAGTCTTACATAATTTATTAACCCCCCCATAAAGATTCCAAATTTTTATAAGAATGAGTTAAATAGTGGATAAAAAGGAGATTGTCTGTATTGGAAGCAAAAGAAGAAGTGGAAATGGAAGGTGATGAGGAGATGGAAGATATATTTATCGATTCGTCATCATTAAAATCTCCATGAACCAAAATAAATTTAAAACCATTATTGAAATATTTTATAAAATCTGAAACGTTAAAGTTGGAAAGACTTGGCAATTCATTCCTTAAATTGATAAATATTTCGTTATTGATATAATTAATCCAATTGATATCGTCTGAGCATATTTGGGTTACAAATAGAGATGTATCAAGGGCATTTTTATTGTCGTTACTAACATTTTCAACTTCATTTACACTATTTGAAATATTTTGGAAAATCACCATTCCATTTGATAAAGTATTTAAAAATGGTTTCTTGCAAGTTTCTGTATCGTTTTGTTTACTTTCACTCTTATTCCCTACAATTGATGAAGTTTTATCTTTATGATATAGTTTAGAATATTTTTTCATATCCAACTTTGGATCATTAATAGAATCTTTATAATTAACAAAAAATTTAACTATTTTGTCCAATATTGAAAGTTCGTCTTCTGTAACGGCCAATATATGGCTATTGCCATCAGTATTTGTGTTATTTTTAACGTGAAAATGGTCAAAATTTGAATTTGAATTTGAATTTGAGTGCCTTTCCAGATTGACATTTAAATCTTTTAATATTTTCAAAATATTAAAGTTAGAAGGAATAGTAGTCTTATTTTTAGTGTGACCATCGTTATTATTGTTCTTATTCTTGTTCTTGTTATCTGTAAGTTCATTTAAAGAGTCTATAATTTCTAAAAGAATATCTTTGTTATTCAGTAAAACATATTTATGTACAGTTTTGATATGTCTTTGGACCAGATCTCTACGAACAAAAGAATGTTGACATAGTATACATTGGAAAGGTTTATAACCTGTATGTGATCTTTCATGCCTTATTCTATGCTCAGATCTTGAAAATGCCTTAGCACAAAACGAACAAATATATTTTCTCTGTGCCACTACCATAAAAAGTTAAAAGGGAAGTTTAAAAAATAAAATAAAATAATAAAAAAAGGTAATAGAAATATCTGGAAGATATTATATGTAATATATATCGATTGATTAAATGATGTATCAAGTAAAAAATATTGCTTCAATATTTTTGATGTCAAGCGATATAAATATATACATATGTATGCATATGTACATATATTTGTTAAAATTCTGTTCCTCACTTTTATACGATTTGATATCGTTATGCTTTGGTTGTCTTCTTTTAATTATATCTAGTATGATATCTTATATAATATTTAAAAACTTTATGAAATAAAGGGTACTGAATTGATAAGATTATATGCAATGGAAATATAAATATAAATATAAATATAATGAATTAGTCTGTTGTCAAGGTTAATAAATCCGAAGTCCGATAAATTAAGCAACAATTAAAAAAGCAAGTGTTCACAAAATGCTCCAAAAAGAATAGTTAATTAATATATAAGTAAGTAAAATCCTCGAGAAAAATACAGGTAAAGGCAAACAAACATACAACAACGTACATACAGAAACAAATGAATAAGATTATTACATTGAATAAAGAACACATGGTATAGAAAGGGAAAGAAAGAATAGTATCACGACATGATGCAAGAACAAAGGGGACAACATGATATTATAACAACAATTTTTAATCTAATCTTAATTTACTTTGGCCTGTTATATCTATAGTTCTCGAGAAAAAAATATTGGACCGAATCTTCTTCTCGTAATGTATATTTCTGTTTTATGAATAGCTTCGAATAAATTCACATTGAACACAACTTGCAGAACATTGCGTAATAAAATAAAAAAAAAATTAACTGTAAATATTCCATATATGCTTTCATACGATACATAAAAAAGGGAAGGAAGAAGAGACAAGGGGGAAATAGAAATAAAAAAAAAAGGTGGCCTTATTATTTTTTGATCCATATAAATAGAAAACAAAATAAACAATAACTATAAAAGCAATAACTATTGTGTGACTGTTTACATCTAATTCAATTGGAAGGCTTTATACAAAAATGAAAAATTTTTATTGTTTATTTAGTTAATAGATTGAATCAAAATAGAAATCCGGGAGAAAAGGGCTAGGGGTAAAGACCGGAAAAGTGGTGGTTCTCCTGAAAAAAAGACCAAAAAATAAGAAAGAAAATATAGATATGATATCAACGTCAAAAAAGATTGGGCGAGAAACAAGATTTTAAATTTTTTCTGATTACCATAAATATTTGATGTTAGGGTTTGTAAAAATATTGTAGAATCATCAACGATCATCTATTTACATAGTTTTTATACATATGTGTATATTCATATATATATTCAGTCTGTACACATTATATTAGAATGACTCAATAGTAACTTGTCCTTGTTATGTATTAATTATTTCTTAAAATTTGTGAATCCTATGAGAAACTCTTTCAAAATACTTAGTAATAACTAGCAATATATCTATATCTTCTTCTTAACATATGATGATTGATTGAAACATTTAGCAAATGAGTAAAAAATGAAAACAAAATATTCTAATAATAACTAAGTATAAACATTATTTTAATCGTAAAGAATTTTATGTTGTTACAAAGGAAAAAGTTGATGATAAATTTTTCATTGGTGTATCTTCGTATATTCGATTCTGTTCATGTACCAACTATTTATTTGATTGCATGGTTTCTTAGTCAAACATACCAATACTAGGGTTTTGTCGAGAAAACTTTAGACATACATCAATTTACCATAGGATTTTAGTGGCTTTGTAAACTTTTCTTTAAGGATACTCTTTCCTTTTTTTTTATGAGACTTTCTGCCTGAAGAATATTTTAAGGAAATGCCGTTCATGGTGATGTAACTGTCTAATTACAATGGAGACAAGATGCACATGAGGACACATAAAGAAAGAAATCGATAATAAAATGGCACGATATATGAAGGCTAGAAATAAAGACATTTATTATGGGGGAGATAATAGGAAAAACAACGCTAGTTCTATATAGTCAACAATACGTTTAAAATTAAACAAATTAAAATTGGTGCTATAAACAATCACCCCACTAATAATATGCTCCTTACTCCTACAGAAAACAATTAGAATTCTTATATTATGTTTTTTTTTTTCCTAAAGGCCGGCCCACTTTTTTTTCCCTCTCCATGATTTTGCAGGAACGGTATTGTTAAATACGGAGTTTTGTATTTTTTTTTGGTGTAGAAACATTTATCTAGTTAACCAGCTTTTGAATAAACCTGAGGGGTGGAATTCTTGTACAAGATTGATGAATTTCCTATTTGTTAACTTGAGTAATTTATGTCTGTGCCTTAAATAAAAAAATTCATTTATTATCTAAGTCACCTAGAATGAAAAGTCTTTCATTGAGTATAATTTACTTAGATAGGTTATTGAGTTCTTTCTTTTGTGTTATTTGAGTTGGAGCTTAGTTTCAGTTCGCACTTAAAAAATTATTCTTTTATTCAAAATCTCACCAAGATTGATAAAAATGTATTATCTTGTCTTTGCTACAAATATTACAGGTAATTGTGAAAAATAAATTGTTATATATATATTTTAAGAATGATACTACTTAGCGTATAACTTTTAACTAGTTGTTTGAGAATATCTTACAATAAATAAACTTTATTTTGCTTTTAAATCACAATCAAAGTTAAAATTAATATCAAATGGAACATGATAGCATCTATTGAAAAATAGCAGAAAAAAATATCTAAGGGGAAGGCAAATGATGGAAAATGTTTATTCTTTTTGGTTTAATAAATATCATGTTGATGAATTGACGCTAAAATAAAGGTCTTACAGGATTTAGTCATTTCATACATTGCCTTCCTCTTTTTGCTTTTTGTTTGATTTCTGTAGATCAAATAACTCATTTCAACTATATGCTGTACTCAATTCCTAATATAGATATATGTGTTTTATTTATAGACTATTAAAAGGGGAAGGGAGTCGACATAAGCAATGAATTATGTATTTATCATATGATTCGACGATGTGGCTTGTTCATAACTTGGAATATTATCAGTAATAAGCATTCTACGTAATCTATTTGTCAAATGATGATCTGGTATAATCAATTGATCTCTATTGTATTCTTCATAAGTTGGGGGTGGGGGTATATCATTTAACAAGTGTTGTTGTTGTTGACCATGAATATTTTCAAATAAGGGAGAATAATCTTGTAATGATCTTAGATTAGTTAAATGTGGTACTCCTACACAATTAGTCTCAGCATTAAATAAATCTATTAATTCACCTGGACGAAAGTGGATCTTACCAGTCATTTGATCATAATATACCAATCTACCTTTAATATTGACATATGGTGATATATAAAGGATCAATGGTATAGTGGCATTAATTTGAAAATTCTTCCACTGTTTTACATTTGTATCGTATCTTTTGAATTTTAATTGGAATTTTAATTTATGTAATACTTGGATAAACTTTTCGTCTCTTATTGAACAACTTTGTGTCAACGATTTTAAATCCTTTGGCAAATCAATTTTTGATATAAAATCAATTTCTTTAAACAATTTATTGTCTTCCAATAATAAAGAGCCAAAATTTTTGATAGATTTTTTGAATATTATAATTTCATTATCATATATAGTGCCTTTTGAATCTTTAATATAATATTTTTGCGCTAAATGAACACTAATTTTAATTAATTTGACCTGTTTCGAAAACGGGAAGATCTTGATTTGTATGGGTATTGAATCACCGATTGGTATTGCACGACTAGGTATCTTGATTTCGTATTGTAATCTATCTGGTAAAGTATTTTGGATAGACATTTCTTCATCAACATTCAAATTGTTTGACGATAAAGTGCGTAAAATACGTAAATATTTGTATCTATGATATTGTGACAGTATAGGGTTATAAACTTTAGCCAGAGTATCATCTTCTCTATTATTATCACTAGTATTGTTATTGGTATGACTGTAACTATTATGATTACGGCTGAGATTAAGATGTATTAAACTGGTGGATTTATTGCCAAAGTCATTAGCATATTTGCATTCAATGTTTGATTCCAACGTATAAAGGATTGAACCACTCTGTAGACCTTCGATAGTTTCAGGTATATCATTAGGCAACATAAGTTTAAAGGGGATTGAATATTTACCTCTATGGAATTTGTATCGTATTTTAGCCTTAGACTTATTTAATTCAGGGATATTTATGGTGGTTACTGTATCAGGTGTAATATCTATGATAATAGATGAACTGTTACTGTTATAAGTATTGTTGTTACTATGATTATTATAATTGCTGTTATTTCTCTTTAATTTAAACTTACTATATGGCATTTTTATATTAGTACTATTACTGTTGGTAGCTGTAGTAGTAGTAGTGCTGTTATTGTTAGTTATATTAGTAATAATTTCACCATTTTTATTGGCTAACAAATTATTCCATAAACATTCAAATATAATAGAATTTTCTTTCACCACAGCGACACCATTAGTTGTATTCATACTATTATTGCCATTGATTTCAATAGATCCACTTGTGATAGAGGTAGAACCAGTAGGATTAACAGTAGAAGCAGGATTGGTAGTTGATGTCCTTGTTAACACTGTGTTGATATTGGACGATGATGATGATGGTGACGGAGACGCTAAAGAAGAAGATGTAACTGATATGTTATGTGAAGGATTATTGTGAAAACTTTTAGTACCTATTTGAATAAATTCCAATTTGTACTGTCCGATCATTCTTAAACAGATTTTTTTGATAATCAAATAATCCACATCGATTATGAAATTGATTGTACCATTCAACGGAATCTGGTCATTCTCTAATGGATTACCGTATATCAAGATCGTATCCTTGTACGGTGAATCAACTAAAATATCGTGATCTTTGATTCTTATGATTTGTTTATTAGAAGATGATATTGAAAACATTATTTGTTGCTTTGTTTTGTGTTATCTCAAAACAAAAGGATTGAAGAAGGTTGGGACGTAACTTTTAAAACATTTATATTGAGATGATTTGTGTACTTGCTTTTATGTTAATTTCTTGCAAGAAATAGAGGAAGCGGGTGGGGGAGAAAGCAAAGCAAGATATTTGGCCTAAGTCATTAAACGTACATAAATGCATATATGCATGTATTTATGTGTCTGTGGGTGTCTCTGTGTATGGATATTACATATATATATATATATATATTAATATAATTATTTTTTTTTTTTCTTTGAGCGTGTTGTCCTCTCTCGAAAGCGATTGTTTTTACGGAAAATTTATGCATCACATAAATATCCTTTCTGTTTCTTTTCTTTTTCTTCTTAGAAAGAAACAGAGAAAATGTGTACGCTTGAACAGAGAGATGGATAGATAAATAGATAGATAGATGAGTGTGTATACATACGTGTATATATTTATACGTGTACATGTGTATTTATAGATGTATAAGTGTGTATGTAAGTGTTATAGAGAGAATTTTGGAGAAGTGAAAAAAAAAAAGGGTAATGTTCATAAGGATTTATTCATGAATTTTCTCTTTGTGAAAGATAGCCAATATTTGCTTGGTGAATTCTTTGTCTTGTCCTGTTCTGCTTCTACACCCAATTTAGGGTCAGTGTAAACACGTTCGATTAATCTCATGGCGAGTTCTTGACGGAACTGAGCTAGATAAGATTTCAAAAGGGCCATCTGTTGCGGATCTTCGATAGGGACCTGGTAGGTTGAATTCAGTGGGAAGCCGGGCGTGCCGGGTAAGACAAAATGGTTCAATGAAAGATTTACCAAAGCTTTAACTGCATCGTTATAGGACATGTGTGGTTGGATAGTTGCTAGGCATTGATTGATGAAAAGGATTCCGTAGATCAACAGTCTGTCACTTGGTGTTTTAATCTCGAAGTTCTTGAAAAAGGAGTTTGGACGGAAAAGGTCGAGACATTCATCGATTATGTCGTAATCCGAGTTGCATGGATATGAAGGACCACGGAATTTGGTTTTGATTGGCATAATAACAAAATTACCGATCAAACGGTCTGTATTTGGATCGTATGGAAATGTTGAATGGTAAGCCTGTGTGTAATAACAAAAGATTGAATAACCATGGAATGTATAGATTTATGATGTTGTTAGTAAGTAAGATTATGAGTTGTTATGAAACTAAAAGAAATCAAACAGTAAGAAAAGTCATCAAAAAACTTCATACATACTGGCATTGTAAAATCGGATCAATATTAAAGTAAAACTAGTTGAGTACAGCTATAAATATATGCATATATATTTATATTATGTGTGGATATGCATGTTCAAAGTACTGAGTGCAAAATTTATATTATTGGAACAATGTCTAAAATTATACATTCCTTATTTGCTTCTGAAATCACGTTTCTTTTGAGTTTCTTCTTGGGTTTCTTTGTCTTGTTTTTTTCTGTTTAAATCGCCAACGGTAGAGAGTACGGGAGGTCTGGGTGTTTGTCTGCTCCCCCTCCCCTATTCCCCTTTTGCTCTGATGCGGGATATTGGCGGGATATTGGCGGCATTTAAAAATAGCAACCGTCTTTTTTTTTTTTTTTTTTTCTTTCTTTTATTTTTTTATTTTTATTTTAGAACGAGCAAAACGAGAAAGAAAAGCAAGAAAAGAAAGAAAGAAAAGATAAGACGTACTTGATTGATCGGTCCATTGATTTAATTGACACACACAGAGAATGTTGTTGCAAACACTGCATACCTTATATTTTTGCTTCTCTGAACATACATGCAAGTCTACTAAGCAATCAGTATATATATATATATATATATATATATATATATCCATTTTTTTTTTATTTTTTTATTTGTCTATTCCTGTTTTTATTTGTATACCGTATACCTTACTGCAATTTTGTTCTTTTCCACTGTTACACTTATCTTCGAAAACTTCGATTAGGGTTGAAAAAGAAGAAGAGAGTGTGTGTGCGTCTGTGTCTGTGTCTGTGTGTCTGTGTGAGATTTATTCCAATATTAACAAACATAGTGGCTAAACCAAGTATATATATTTGTTTATATACATCTACAATATATGCATATCCGGCTATTTAAGTTATGAATGGGTTGAAACTTTATCAAGAGATTTTCGGTATTGAAAGATTACCTGATATAAAACCATGTTTGTCCAGTAATAATAATACTAAAAACAGTAATAGTAGGAGTAGTAGTAATAATGATGATAATCTAGATAATTGTCACCCAATGGTGAACAGAATCGAGGACATACCAAACTTAAATAACATATTCAACGAAGATGTTTTAAATGACTATATTGAAATAGGAAACAATAATAGAAAACATAATAACTATGATTACAATAATATTGATAAGAATATACCCAATGACTATGTCGATACTTTACAAAGAAGTACTGATCAAAGAAATTTTATATTGGATAAAATGACCACGATTAAAAATGTTCCAGATACTCAGAGTCTATCAAGTAATGATAATACTCCAATATCAAGTCCCAGAAAAATATATGATAATTATAATAATTCAGGCTTTAACCCAAATATCTATCAACAAAGTCATTCGCATAATACTACTAAAATGAAAACTTCTCCACTCATTATAAAAAAGAATAGATCTAATCCAAATTTGAATAATAATACTTCTAGTAATCATCATCCTTATCATACTATTCCTTCTAATGCTAATACTACTAACAACAAGGCATCCCCTCTAGTAAGTTCATCTTCAAAGTTCAAGAATGGTATAATACCAAAGAAGAAACCTTCTTTACCACAATTATCCATAGCTGGACTGAAAAAACAAACAAGTTTTTCAAATTCATCAAATAATAATACACCTGTCTTATCTTCTTCAAGAAAATCACCTTTGCAAGGGTTTGGTCTCTTTGGAAGATCTCATTCAAATGAAGTACAACAAGACAGTTATAACAACAACAATAACAATAATGATAATAGTAATATTATCAACACAAATAACACTAACAATCATATAAGTAATAACGTGTGTTATAAAAATATAAATTCCTCAGCCAGTTCTCAAACATTAAATTCTTTTTTATTGAACCATCATATCTCATCTAATAATTCCACCACAACTATTAATGCCACTACTCCAACTACTACTTCCACTGGTTATCATAATAGTAATAACAATAACAATAGTAATAACAATACACATTCCAAAATTATAGGGCTAGGGTTAAAGACAAGAAATTCCTCTGCATCATTAACTTCAAAACGTTTTGTCTCTGCATCAGGTGTATCTTTGCATCATTATCATTCAAATAGTATTAATAATAACAATAACAGTAATAGTAATAGTAAAAATCATCGTAGACGTAGTAGTTTTACACCTGTCTCTTCAAATATGTCTATGTCAATAACTAAATCTCATTCTAACGCCACCCTTTCTTCAAATTCCCATAATCATGGTCATAGTCATAGTCACAGTCACAGTCATAACCACAGTCATAGCCATAATCATAATCATAATTATAATCACCATGGTCGTAGTCATAATGGTAACAGTAACACGTATAGAAAACCACAGGTGTATCCTGCTTTATTATCAAGAGTTGCAACAAGATTCAAAAAAATTATGCCTCTTGGAGAATATAAAAAGGACGGTTTAATTTATAGAGATGCATTTACTGGTCAACAAGCAGTCGACGTCCTTTGTTCCATATTAAGATCAAATGATAGAAACGTTGCATTGTTATTAGGTAGATCTCTGGATGCACAAAAATTGTTTCACGATGTTGTTTATGAACATAGATTAAGAGATTCCCCATTTGAAGTCTATGAGTTTACTGATAACTCAAGGTTTATCGGGTCTGGGAATACTGGGATCGTTTCAATTAACTCGCATGACCCATTAATGTTGTTATCACAATCACAATCCACAGTCACTTTAAATAATCAGTCCAGTGTGCCTACCGCTATTTCAAGATCATCTTTATTAAGTCAACACACCGCTAGTTCTTCTGATACAAATGTGACTACTCTTATGAATAGGTTATCTTCTATGACCAGTTCTTCATCAATGAATATTTCTTTAATGAACAACAACAATAACAACAATAATAATAACAATAGCAATACTAGCAGTAATAACCCATTTATTAATCAGTCTGCGTGGAAGAATCAGCAAGTAGATCCATCCACGCTACACAACGTCAATGGTGTCTTCACATTGCTCGCAGATTGTTACTCTCCAACTTGTTCAAAAGATAAACTATGCTATTCTATTTCATGTCCAAGGAGACTAGAACAACAGGCTAGGTTAAATTTAAAACCTAACGGAGGTCTTAAGAGAAATATTTCTTTAGCTTTGGATGAAGAAGAAGAAGAGAAACCTTCTTGGACAAGTTCTGTATCCGAAGAAGTCTGGAAGGATTTGCCCAAGAAGGAGATTAAAAGACAAGAAGCAATATACGAAGTGTTTATCACTGAAAAGAATTTCGTTAAGTCTTTAGAGGTTACGAGAGATGTATTCTTGAAAACATTGGCTGAGACAAATATCATACCGGCAGATATACGTAAGAATTTTATTAAGCATGTTTTTGCTCATATTAATGATATTTATTCAGTTAATAGACGATTCTTGGAAGCATTGACTGAAAGACAGAAAGCCAGTCCAGTAGTGAGGGGGGTCGGTGATATTTTTCTTCGATTCATCCCATTCTTTGAACCATTTGTTTCATATGTTGCATCAAGACCATATGCTAAATATTTGATTGAGACTCAAAGATCAGTTAACCCATATTTTGCAAGGTTTGATGATGATATGATGAATTCGTCATTAAGACATGGGATTGATTCATTTTTATCTCAGGGTGTATCTAGGCCTGGTAGGTACATGTTACTTGTCAGAGAAATCATGAAATCGTCAGATGAAGTCAAGGATAAAAAAGATTTGGAAAATTTGAACAGAGCCATGGATGCATTACGTGATTTTATGAAGAGAATTGATAAGGCTAGTGGTACTGCGCAAGATAGACACGATGTGAAATTGTTGAAGCAGAAAATCCTTTTTAAAAATGAATATGTTAATATGGGGTTGAATGACGAAAAACGGAAGATTAAACATGAAGGTATTCTATCAAGAAAGGAAATTTCTAAATCAGATAACAGTGCAGTTGGTGATATTCAATTCTATTTGTTGGATAATATGCTGTTATTCCTGAAGGCAAAATCTGTAAATAAATGGCATCAGCATAAGGTTTTCCAAAGACCAATTCCACTACCATTATTATTTGTATGTCCAGCAGAAGAGATGCCACCTTTAAGAAGGTACATTGGATCTGCACCTGATACAGCAGGAACAGTAATTAGACCTGACTATAATATTGCTAATCCTAAGAATGCAATCACGTTTTTATATTATGGTGCTAAACAAAAATATCAAATTACTTTATACGCAGCTCAATTGGCAGGATTACAAACTTTATTAGAAAAGATTAGGCAAGAACAACAAAGGATTATTGACTCAACAAGCATAATAAATGTTACAAAAGTTACTGATAAATTTTTTGATTATGCTAATAAAATTAATAGTGTTAGTACATGTGATGGTGGTAGAAAATTATTAATCGCTACGAATTTAGGTCTTTATATTACTGATATTAAGAGACAGGAAAATAGGGAGTCTAAAAAGACATATATCATTTTTTCTTCTTTGGTACAATTAGTCCAGAGAAGTAATGTTTTACAAGTAGCAGTTTTGGATCAATTTCAGTGTATTTTGTTATTGATTGATAAAAAGCTTTATACATGTCCATTGGCGCTTTTAAACGCAGGTGATAACGGGACTTCATATTTCAAGAAGCATGCCAAAGAGTTGGTAAACCATGTTAATTTCTTTTCTGAAGGTGATTGTAACGGTAAAAGATTAATTGTAACCGCGCATTGTTCTTCTCATTCTATCAAGTTTTTTGAATTAGAACCACCTGCATTTTCTGGTACTGGTAGTAATAGTAATACAAAGAAGAATTTAAAGAAAAAGGTAACTGAGGTATTATTTGATTCAGAACCCGTGTCTATTTCATTCCTTAAAGCAAATTTATGTATCGGTTGTAAGAAGGGATTTCAAATTGTTAGTATATCTCAAAATGCACATGAGTCGTTGTTAGACCCTGCAGATACTTCATTAGAATTTGCACTTAAAGACACATTGAAACCTATGGCAATTTATAGAGTCGGCAACATGTTTTTATTATGTTACACGGAATTTGCCTTTTTTGTTAATAATCAAGGGTGGAGGAAAAAAGAGTCACATATAATTCATTGGGAAGGTGAGCCGCAAAAATTCGCTATCTGGTATCCGTATATTTTAGCCTTTAATACTAATTTTATTGAAATTAGAAAAATTGAAACTGGTGAATTGGTCCGCTGTATTCTTGGGGATAAAATTAGATTACTACAAACCAATACTCAAGAAATCTTATATGCATATGAAGATGCCCGGGGTTATGATACTGTTGCGTCGCTAGATTTCTGGGGATGAGCTTTTATAATAAAAAGGATATCAAAAAAGGAAATTGACTTTACAAAATTCATATTATAAATATTCTGTTTTTTTTTTTTTTTTTTAATTTTGTTTCCTAGTGATTATAAAAAATCTTTATTTTTTATGATTTTAATGATTAATATAACTATATTTACGTTTATACGTATTTTTTCAAGAAATGCAATGAAAATAAATTTTGTTTTGTATATAATATAAGAGGATTATAATTTGTTAGTACCAGATCCTATATAGTGGATATTCCGTCGATCTGTTTATACATGGCATATAGAAGATAAGACGAAATGATTTAAATAACATTCAAAACACCAGACCATTTCATTAAATTTGAAAGATGTCATAAGTGTGTGAAAGAAGAGTTTCAATAATGAGGTGTGATGTGCATAGTACAAATATTACAGTAAGAAAAGTAATTTTTTCATTAGGGTATTCCTGATTTTTCGGATAAATTCTCCAATATTTTTCTATTTTTCATGATTTTTTTTTTGATAATATGTTAAGGTAGCCCTAAAGTTTCTTGAGTAGTGTAATGAGATTAGCAAGATCTTCGCAAAACTTACAAAAAGAAAGAAAGGTAAATAGAAAAGAATAATTTGGCATTCGTTGAGACATTTTCTTTTTGTATTACCTCTATTGTGGATTGCTAAATGAGAGGAATTAACAAACCTCAAAGAACTTCTTCGACAACTTTTGGATAATAAGAAGAGTACCCGCTTCATTCATTTACTTTCTTAGGTGTTAGTCATTTACTTATTAATCGGGTTTAAGCGGCCAATATATATTCTTTCTTCTTAATTTAAACTTTAAAAGATTTGCTGGAAAATATCTAAAGAGAGAAATATGTTGGAATTGGGCTTGAATAAAGCTATTACTTTTTTGTCTACCCTTCCAATAGAATATCATGGATTTTCCATTGATTATCCTTTTGGCATAGATCTTTGGTCAATCTTTTCAAAATGTTTTGAAAAGATTATCGGTTATTCTGCAAATGATTTTGTCTTCATTTATGATAAAACACGGTTGGCTAATGGTTATCACGCAGTTGGTTTGATAATGCTATACTATATATTCGTTTTTGGTGGACAGTACGTTTTAAGAAAGTTACATGCTCCCAGTATACGATTTACAACATTGTTCCAAATACATAACTTATTTTTAAGTATAGTGTCGCTTATATTATTATTGTTATTATTAGAACAGATAATTCCAATGGTATATAATAATGGTTTATTTTGGTCTATTTGTTCAGTAGAGGCATTTTCTCCTAAGCTGATAACTATATATTATTTGAATTATCTTATCAAATATTTAGAGTTGTTTGATACAGTATTCTTGATTTTGAGGAAAAAAAGACTTATATTTGTACATACATATCATCATGGTGCTACCGTTTTATTATGTTACACACAATTGATGGGACATACATCTGTAGAATGGGTTCCGATCGGGCTAAACTTGGGTGTTCATGTAATAATGTACTACTATTACTTCTTAACATCATGTGGTATCAGAGTTCGTTGGAAACGTTGGGTTACCAGAATTCAAATTATTCAATTCTTTGTTGATGTTCTATTTGTTTATTTTGTCACTTATACATTTTACGCTAACAAGTACTACAATGGAATTCTTCCAAACATGGGGACATGTTATTTAACACAAGATGCAGCAGCTTATGGGTATTTGATTCTAACTTCATATTTAGTGCTTTTTGTGGCTTTATATATGGGTTTTTTTACAGGTAGAAAGTCTGAAAGAAGGTTGAAACAAAAAATGAAGCGTAAAAGAATCTCTAAGAAAAATTAGTTAATTAAGCTATAGAAAAGCATAAAGTGTCGTTTTATTTATGCTGTATTTTTGGTTGTTTCAATTAATTGTTTCAAAGGTTATATGCATAGATCATCCCACTGGATCATAATTTCGAAAGAAAAAACATTTTAGAAAGGGATGAAGAAAGTATAATCAGGATTTGGTAGATTTTGTGCGTGCAAGTATGTTTTTGAGTTATATATATATATATTAACAAGCCAAAATATGAGAATTAGTTTTTAATGAACAGTAATGTTTCTATACATCTTTGTTTTTATAAATTTTTATGTTGTATTATATATATATCTTGAATAGAGACTTTTTTTTATTCTTATTTTTGAATTTGTTCTTTGATAATTATTATTTTCTTAAAAAAAAATATGTATATTTAAGATTATTTGGAACTACTATTTCTAAAAAATGATATATTGTTCATATGTTTTATAATAAAAGTATTCATTAGTTATCTAAATAACCAAACTTCGTATTATATATTCTATATAAAATTACCAAAAAAATTTTTTTTATTGATTATATTTACAAAGTTCTAGTATAGTGGTATTTTTTAAGCCGGTTCTATTGATATTAAACTGTTCGTTAAAAACTTTAATCTTCAAACATGATTCAAGGAATTCTTCGTCGATATTAGGTGTATAATTTGATAGATAAAGATATTCGTTTCTGATAGAAGAACTGCATTCAGTACAAACAAATTTAACAAGGATTTTAAATAATAATCCAACATCATTTGAGAGATATTTGCTTAAGAAATGACGGCAAATTGGAAGATGGATAAATTCTAATTCTTGTAATGGTGTTAGGAAATTATTTGTTTTTTTATTTTTATAAAATTTGCCGTTATACTCATATTTCTTCATATCAATATACCTGTCGTGTAATTTTTGATATTCAGACGAGACAGAGATCAAATAATGGTTTAGATCAGACTCAATTTCTTGTGACAACAAATCTTTTACTAAACTTAGAACTGGAGTATCTTCATTCATGACAACACTCACTTTATTTGATTCTCCATTTAATTCTACACATTGGAAGGGGAGGCCCTCGAATAAAGGATCAGCTGATTCCTTATAAGTGGTAGGCTTCTTAGTAGGTTCTTTTTTTGTTTGATTTATGTCAATAAACTTATCTAACATACTCAAACCAATATTTGAACAGATCGATATAATTTCTGAAGTTTTATTTGTATAATATATTTTTTGTTGCATTGGTCCATTTATCAAAATGTATGGGATGAAAAAGGAGGCTAATTTAATTGAACTTATCTCTGTTAGCAGTTTCATAGTCTTAATTATATGTGCAAGGCATCTAGTAAACCCCTTAGTATATCTTGAAAAGTAGATTTCTTTTATTATGTTATTAAGTTGTTGTTCAAATTGATGTAATAACATCAAAGAAAATATTGGTAAATACATAGAATCACCAAGTAGATGATTTATGATTGAATATGTCGATTCAAGGAAATTAATCAAAAGATGAACTACTTTAAAATCACTATCTGTAAACTTTTCATTTGTCAAATATGGTTCCATTTCAAGGACTACATCAATAATCTTTTCAAACTGCATTAAGAATTCTATAGCCGTGCTTGGTTTCTTTGGATCAAAATACTTGATACGTGGGACTTTAATTTCCAGTTCATAACAGATATCGACAAAACGAGACGCTTGGATTGGATCGTTGAGAATTTCACTATAAAATAAATTTATTTTACCAAAGATAGACGAACTGATATCAATGTTTTTCAAGTTGATTAAAACATCTATTGGATCAAAGCCTGTGACAGAATCAAAATGTTCTCCAACATTTACATACGTACCAAACAGATTTTCTATGGCTGAACATAGACTTGTTAAAATACAGATTCTTAATTGGTTATTGAATGTGTTACTAGCGGAAGAATTGAATAAACTAATGCTCTCTTTTTTGATATGTTCAAGTATATCTTCATCAGGTAACGTAATAGTCAATGTGGATAGAGAAAGGCCAGGATATCTGTTGTAAAGTTCTTGAAATTTTTGAGATATGAAAAAAACATCGATCTTTTCCTTGATGATATCAATTGGAGTAATAGACAAAGGTATCGTTTTCTGAGTTTGAGTAAATCTGTCGAAATACATTGCAGTGATAACAAAATATCTATTGGACCAAATATGATAACTTAATGAAAAGATTGCAGCATTTTTTATACTTATAAGATTCTTTTGAAAAGTATCCTTGAGTTGATCAAAGGCATTTTCTGCAGTATTAATGGTATCAGCTGTCTTGAAAGAGATGGGGAAATCATGGGAAACAGTATTTCTTAACATATGTTCTATTTCTTCTGAGATATTAACAATATTGTCTTCAATATCAATATTCTTAGCAGAGCTATTTTGAGTGACATATTCTATTAATGAAGAAAATAAAGGATTTTCAGCGAATGACAAAGGTATGTTCTGTGCTATCATCATGAGGGTGAGCAATATATTATTCGATATAAAATCAGTTGTAGAATCGTCATTCTGGATTTCTTCTTCAGTATCTTCGTCTCCATGCATATCATTTTCTTGAGTAATGAGATAGGTATCCTTTAGATTCCTTTTAGAATATACACTTGGACAAGGAGTTATATAAATTCCAGTGGATTGATCAGTTATGGTAGAAATCAAATTGATATTTTGATGTAGTTTTATTTGTGATTTTTTATTATAGAAATCTATGTTAGGATCGATTAAATGGCAGGTTCCTAGATGGAAAATTAAATCAACATTAAATGTCTTTTCATCTTTGATGGTGATAATAGTATCACAATGTTTACATCTCAATAATGATAAATCATCTTTAGCAACTAAAAAATGGGTCCACCATGGGGCATTGTAACTAGTAACAGCGTGTATAGGAACCCATTTATGTGCTCTATCATATATAGTTTCATTTCTAATATCGATTTCTTTAGTAGCCGAAAGTTGATATAACGGGTTATTTTCTATTTTTTTATTTTCAGATTTTAAATGTTTACGTTTTTTTGTAATTTTGCCAGTCTTGGTAGTAGTTTTAATAATGAATTCTTGGTCTGTTTCTGTATCAATTCTATCTATATTTAAATCACCATGAAGCCAGTTTTTCGGTATATCATATAGGGAAGGTAAATCCAAAAGAGTAATTTTTCTGGTATCTTTTGATTTTAACTTATTGGTGTCATTGAAAGTAGGGTCAAAGGTATTGTCATTCGGTTGATGACTAGTGAACGGTGGTAGTTTTGTATTAATGTGTTCATTAATTAATTGAGCAGACATATTTTTAAATAATTGTTTTAATTTCTTATCTTACCCTTCTCTATTGTTTGTTTGTTTGTTTGTCTTCGATTTTGCTGTTTGATTTATTATTGTTCTTCAAGATATATAACTCCAGATTAAATTTGTGTAGATAGACCAAAAAAAATAGCTCGGAGAAACGAGTTTACAGATTGCTTTAGTCTCTTCTTAAAAACTTTCCATCCAAAGGTTATAACGTGTTTATATTCCTGGGTTTGTTTATAGATAGCTCGAAAAGAAAAAAAGAGTAAAAAAAGGAAAAAAAAGGGAACTCTTGGAAACGAAACGTGTTACCCCGACAACACGTGAGAAGTGATATACATTTTGTCGGCGGCTATTTAAAACACCTATACCACCACACAGTAGTATATATTTTTCTTTTTTACTTTACACCCAAATAATATACGATTTGTCAGCGTCATAATTATATATAAAGATAGGTTAGATTTCTTCCAAGAAAGGATTGCCTTCAAAGGTCTGCTATACGAGTATACCCCTCTATTAGTTATGATGGATAATACAATCATGTACATTTATGATAAACTCAATCCATCTTAATCATTTTTGCTGTTAAGACTGAAGTTCACTTTCTTTTTTATTTATTTATATATATATATATTTATTTATTTATTTATTTTGATGCTACCTGACATAACAAGAAATTAAAGCATTTAAATATATATCAATAGTATTATTATTATTAATGAAGTGATAATGTTATACATAAGTATTTAATGACATTCTTATTTTTTTTTTTTATTTTCTTTTTATGCAAATGTGAAAATAGATAATAATAATAATGATTATTGATATTAACATTGTGTCATCTTCTTTTTTACCATTTTTTGTTTTTTATTTTGTGTTTTTTTTATTTTATCAAATTAATAGAATTAAAATAGTTTCACCTACTTTTCTTCTTCTGGTTTTTTTTCTTCTGAGTTGATTTTTTCTGGTTCTTCTTCATCAATGACGGCAGATTCTTGGTCAGCATTAGCTGGTGGAATCAATTTAGGCATATTCTTCCTATGACCTGTGAAAGATCTTGATCTTTGTCCAGAACCACTGAAATTCTTGGATCTGGTGGCTTCTCTATGTAAATCATATTGTTTCTTGGAAAAAACATTTAATTTTTTACCTTCATAAGAAAGAATTTCTTTTGGTTCGTCATTACCATCATCGTCTTTAGTGCTGGAATAATTGTTCAAAAACTCTTCGGCATCCTCAATGGTTTTGAACTCGATGAAAACTTTACCATGAAACTTTTTTTTATGATCTCTTTTCAAACGGATTTGAACAATATTATTATTCAATTGATGGAAGAAGTTTTCTACATTTTCTTGTAATTGGGAAATCATTAATCTTTCCGGATTGAATGGAACCTCCATAACAACCAAAGTTCTTTTTTCTCTTTCAATTCTTGCTTCTTTACCCTTTGATAGGTCTAATGGAACCATTCTTTTAACATTTTCACCGTCTTCGGAGACTTGAAGAATCTTTGATTGACGTAATATTTCAACGACATTTTCAATAGGTCTAAATTTCTTCATACGATTGAATGTGGCTATGGTACTAATTGGCACCCAGCCATCATTCTTCTCTGCTGTAGTTCTAAGAAATCTGTCATATGGAAAATTAAATTCAGAAAAATAAAATTCTACCTGTTTCAAACATTGTTTGGATACTTCTTCAGTAAATTCAATAGGAGAAAAGGAATTCCTTCTTGTAGTTTGAATAGAGTCACCTTCAGCCATTGTAAATGATATTTGTATTAGCTAAGTTATCAGTCCAAAAAATAAAAAAAAAAAAATAGAATTTTTCTTTGTTTTTTTTTTTCTCTTTTTATTTTCTCGTTGCTCGTTATAGTCAGCCTTTTCACCAGACGATTGTCGAATAGATCCTATTCTGAACTATGAGAATCGATTCTAATCTTTTTTTCTTTTACTCCTATCCTTATGTTGTGTTTGTGGTTGATGGAATGAAACAAGTTTCCAAAAGAGATCACTTCTAACAAATTGATGTTTTTTTTTTTTCACCGTTATCATCATCGCCATCGATTTCGTTTTTTATCTTGCCAAACGTTCACTTGTTTGATTACGCGAAAAATAAAAAAAAGTGATATCTGAAAATTGAAAAGAAAAAGATCAGAAAAGACAAATAGCGATTAGGGCTTTGGAAAAATATCAGAGCCTTCTAATGTAGAAGATCTTTTTTCTTTTAGGGTTATAGGGAAAAATTCAATAACTTTTTGAATGAAGCACTAATAGGACCAATTCTCCACAAAATAGATACATACTGATCTGTTTATAATTAATTCATTTGTTTTATCTCACACAGCATGGCTATCTCCGTGTTATTTTCTTTTTTTTAGTAGAAACAGGGATTTGAATAGAAGAGGTGAGTGGGAAGGAGATAGCATCATAGAATATATAATTCAAGACGTATTTTACAAAGAGGTACTTGTAGAAAAGAAAGTTAAAGAGTATAAATGAATAAAACAACAATGGCGTGCCAATTTAACCTTTACAGATTACCTTTTCATTAGTTTCTGTCTTTTTTTTCTCTTTTCTCTCTTCTTTTCAACCATTTATGATAAACATCTCTTGTGTTTAATAGTTGAAAAAAAAAGTACATATATATCTAGATGTTCATCATTGTATGATTTTTTTTTACCATTACATAGAGGAATATATATTTTAACATAAAATATTTCTTGTTTCTGTTTTTATTGTGTATTTGTTTGTTTTTTGGTTTTGTTTTTGTTTTTGGTTTTTTTCCTTTTTTTTTTAAAATCTTTTTATCTTCAATTTCCAACCATACAAAAATGAAAAAAAAAAAAAAAGCCATAAAGATAGAAAATTAAAAGGAATATCGAAAGAGAAATGTAATAAAGAAAGAGATTTTCTTACCTGGCAAGAGTTACTTTTTCGTTTGGAGCATTATGTAGATAAATGAGTTCGTTTGTTTGTTTGTTTGTTTGACACTTTTTCTTTGATTTATCTCACCACGTTTCTAAATAGAAATTTAGGAACAGCAAGAACAATCAAACAAAATAAAACAAAAAAAAAAAAATAAAAAAAAATTAAAAAAGAAAATAAAATAAAAATGGGTCATTTAGTTCTTTATTATTTAAGAGTTGTTTTGGGAGTGATATTGTTGTTGGTGTGTGCCTTATATGGTACGGTCTCTTCGATTATTTTTAAATTGATTGGTAAACAGTATCTATCGCAATGGAGTACAGCACGTTGTTACTACTATGTTATGAAGTATGGTATGGGGATCGATGTTAAAGTTATTGGTGAAGAAAAGTTGGCAAATAAACCATTCGTTGCTATTTCAAACCACCAATCTACATTAGATATTCTTATGTTAGGAAGAATGTTTCCCAAAGGATGTACTGTTACAGCAAAGAAATCCTTAAAATATGTCCCTCTTTTGGGTTGGTTCATGGCTCTAAGTGGTACTTTTTTCTTAGATAGAAGCAGTAGAGAAAAGAGTGTTAAAACATTAAATAAAGGGTTACAACAAATTAAGGAAAAGAAGAGAGCATTATGGATTTTCCCCGAAGGCACAAGATCATATGCTACTACTTTAGATATTTTGCCATTTAAGAAAGGTGCGTTCCATTTAGCTCAACAAGGAAATATCCCAGTTGTGCCTGTCGTTGTCTCCAACACAAGTACTATCATGAATCCAAAGAATAAAGTATTTAATAGAGGCGTCATCACTGTTAAAGTGTTGGATCCAGTCTCTACCGATGGATTAGCTAAAGAAGATGTTGGTGAGTTTAGTGAAACTATTAGAGAGTCAATGTTAAAAGAATTAAAAGAAATTGGTTACTCTAAACCAATCAATGACACCACGGTACCACAGGAATATATTGATTATATGAACAAAAAGGGCCAGACAAAGAAGCCTGGAGATAATGTTGTTGGTGTTTCTACTGGTGTTTCTATTAACGCATGATTCTAAAGCTTAACAAAAAAATAAAAAAATAAAGAGAAAGAAATAAAATCTGAATACTAAGAGTGGAAATTAATGATTTATGTTCATTCAGATGTATATATATCTGTGTATTTGCTTTTTTTTTTTTTTTAGATTTCTCTTATTATTTTGGTAGGTTGATTAAAAAGCATTGATTTTTTTTTTTTTACTTGTATAGAGTTATATGTTGATTATTTATATGTTAATCTAAATTGAGATTTATCTACTAGTCAATTACTTCGAACTGTATATATAGCTAGAGAGATACGGTTGGATAGATGAATATTAATTATTCAACTATACATTACCTTTGGTTATGCGGAATTTGACGGGATTTGAAGAAGCCGGATGTGTTTTCATTTTTGTGTTTTGTTTTTTGATTTTTATCGTAGGGAAATTTGTTGATCTGTTTTTTTTTGATTATAATGTGATTTGAAATTTTTTTCTTTTTTCGTATTGGGTTTGTTAGAGTTGTATAGATATTGCTTTGCAATAACTTGATAACATTAGAAGGTTATTTTGTATTCAATTGTGATTTGGTCTGTTGATTGTATAAAATAAGATTCCTAATATTGTTGACTCTTTAAATATATCCAGATAACAATAATTTTCTTTTAATTTTGATTTTTTTCCTTTTTTTTTTTATTTGTTAAGATTATAATAAAACAGTAAATAGTAAAAATTATAAAAACTAATTTTTACTGATTTTAAGCTGTAAATAGTTACTTTATATTAACAAGTTTCATTTAATTTCCCAAGTTATCTTTTTTTTGTTACATCTGTTTATTTATATTGCATCGGATTCCTATATTATAAAAATATATATGTATAGAATGGCTACTGCTATGACATCAGCATCAACTACCACCACCTCATCTACTGTTACTGCTACAAATGCTTCTCAAACTACAAAAAAATCGACAAGTTGGGCACAAGCAGCTGCTAGATCTGCTCCACCAAATATTAAGAAAAATGAAAAAAAGGTGGAATCTAAAGTTACTAAGGTGATTGTCTCAACAACTGACTCAAATTCTATTCCTAAAAAGAAAACAGTTACTTCCAATGGTAATACAAATCCTAATATCAGCAACAAAAATAATAATAATGGTGTTAGTAGTGGCAGTAATGCTAATAACAAAAAACATTCTAATAGACAGTCGTACAATAGAAACGAAGTCAGATCCTATATGAATGATTTGTTCACGAAATATGCGAAAAGTCCTAAGACAACACCATATCGGAATGTGGTAAGGAATAATAAACATTTACCAAATGAAAGTTGGGATACAGTTCAATCCAAAAGCAATAGAAATAGGAATAAAAAATACGGGCTATTGATCGAAGTATCCAAGCTATTAAAATAATTAATGATACATGTAACTGCATTGAATTATTCATATATACATATATATATTTGTATTATATATATGTATACGTTAGTATTAATCAAAAAATGGTAATGAGATATTTGAAAGAAAGATGAAGGGTAAGTGGAAGAAAACATTTAAAATAGATAATTTAAAATGTATGTATATGTCACTTTAATGATTAGGGAGTGTCCATGTTTTTTCCACTATATATCTTCATTAGTATATAGAATATTGTATATGGTTACACGGTTGAAGATTTTACCGAAAAGAGAACAATAAAAAAAAAGAGGAAGAGAGGAAAAATCATTGAAGACTCATGTCATAGAGAAAACATAACTCTTTAAAATGGAGTCATAATGATTACATTTTACTCAATAATAGCTAGTTTGTGAAAACGATCTACAGTTTTTCAAGTTATCTACATCTTCTGTGGTCTGTTAAATTATGAAGTTGTTTATTCTGTATGGACTTTGAACCTACAAGATATAAGCAATACTAATCATTGTTTAATCAATTTTTTTCTTTAATATATTGGCACCTTATTTCTTCTGTTTTAAAGAGTTAGTTAAAAGAGATATAGTATACACATACAGGCATACGTATTGACTATTAGATAAACAAGATAGAAAATAAGTAAATATATAAGAAGAAAGTTTTTTGTCGGTTTATTGATGGCTTTATCTACTGTGGAGCACTATTTGTCGTATTACTTGCGAGTACTACTACCTCATTTTTTATCATCAAAGACATCACATAAATTAGCATATATTTTTTCTTTGTTTTCTGCTATTACATCGGGTTTTATTGCATTAATTTCATTATATTCATTTCCATGGCAAGTCAAATTAAATTATACTTCTACACAAATTAATATCATTTCAAGTATAGCTAATTTGGGTGCATATTTGACTCCACCTATCTTAGGTGTGATTGCTGATCTTCATGGTCCTATCACTTTAAGCTGTTTGGCTATTCTTGGGTTTGTTCCAAGTTATTCATACTTGGCATATTCATTTAATAATCCAGAGTTCTCTATGTCACAATCTTCTTTTACTGGTTCAGTTTTCTGTTTCTTTGTTATTGGAATCTCTACTAGTGCGTTATATTTCAGTGCATTATTAACTTGTACAAAACTGTATCCACACAGAAAATTGCTATCTATCAGTTTACCTACTACGTGTATCGGGATATCTAGTCTAATTGGATCTCAGGTATTAAAATTGGAAACATTTTGGATTTATGATCCAATAAACAATTTAAAATATTTGGATTTATATAAGGTGTTTAAGAGTCTAGCACAACTGTACGTTATCATTGGTATTTCGGCATGGATTGCTACGGGAACCGTTTCTATGATACAGTCTAACGAAAGTTCAGAATCACAGAATTTGGAAGAAGAAGAAGTGATAGATAGTACACATAGTAATAGTGTTGAAAATACTTCACATAATGAGACTGTAGCCTTATTAAGACCTTCTACATCCTCTCTTTCAATTAGTTCAGCAATGTTGACAGCTCAAGAGAACCATAAAGAATCGGATGTTACGAGAATAATGCATAAATCTGTCTTTCATGATCCAACATTATATTTGTTTGGAGTTACAATGTTATTATCACTAGGTCCATTAGAAATGTTTATTACCGATATGGGATCATTAGCAAATGTTTTATTAGGTGGGAGAGCGCCATTGCATGAGAATTTATCAAGCTCATTAATATCTCTATTTGCCATATCATCCACCATGATAAGACTTATTGTTGGGTTGATAAGTGACTATTTAATATTTAATAAAAAATCGTTGAAATTGATTCTATTACTATTGTTAAGTCTAACTTTATTTGCTCAGCTATTAATTGTTTCATATTCTACAAAGTGGCCAGCCAATAAAGAATTAAATATATCAAAGATATTAATTGTGGATTTACTATTTGGCTGTGTTTATGGTGGACTTTTCACAATATATCCAACAATAGTACTCACTGTGTGGGGACAAGCATCTTTTGGTAGTGCATATGGTTCATTGATGATTGCACCTGCATTGGGTGCCACACTCTCATGTTTGCAGTATGCCCATGTTTATGATACTCGTTGTGTGAAAAATGTAATAAATTCATGTATTTCACAGGTGTATTATTTTGGTACCTTTCAATTGACAGTTTCATTAATAACAACCATTCTAATTTTGAAATCTTGGTACAGAAGAGGAATTCGTGTATAACTTTGTTGTTTTGTTTTCTCTTGAAGACATTTCTTTGGTGTATTTTGAAATGTTTTGACACCGTAGTCTATTTTGATTGTTTATTTAGACTTAATAGATGTGCCTGGTTTGGGATTTTTTTTTAATCTTTTCATTAACTTTTTTAATAATATCTCAGATAGAATAGAGCATTTTAATAATATTCTGTAAAAGAAGCGTTTATTTAAAAGGCAATGGTAATGATGATATATATATTTTACAATATCAAGTAATGTTTATTCAAATTACTATCATAAGAGCGGCGAATTAGGTTGAAGCAATCTCCCAGTACTTTTCTGACACCTTTATAATATTTTTTTTTACAATATATTGTTGTGCAAAGAAAGATGTTTTGTGGTGTATAGACTTGTGAGATACAATGGTATTTTGAGAGGCTAACATAAAAAAGGCTAGAAAATGTTATAGATATACAAGTAAGAGATAGAATATATATATATATATATTATTTATATATTGTGAATCTCAAAACTAGGCCTGTTCTATTCTATTTTAAAGCCTCTAAATTGACGCTAATAAATATTGAAAGTTTAGTAATATTCTTAACATTAATGTTTAAAGTTTGGTTTGGAAAACTGAGGGTTGACGATATTTTTCTAAACTTTCCTTTTTGCAAATTTTACAAACATAGATAAAAGCAGGAGTAACCAACATAAGTACAAGAGAGCAGCCAAGGAGAAGAACGAACAAGAAGAACAAGAATAAAGAACAAGGAACCAAGGATTAAATAAGTAGAGATATATAGTATATAAGTGTATACTATTAGGTTAGCTTAGACTAGAAATATAGATATATAGATACATAGGAATACTACCTCTAGAGATATATCAAGAGTCTATATCTTAATATTTATCCAGGTGAAATATTATTGAGATTTCAACAAGATTAACTGTTATCACAAACACATAACCCAAGGGATTTTTTACATTTGCCCCTCTTTCAAGAAACAAATTCCACGTTGTTTCTAAACCAGGGTCTGTTCCTTTTAAATTTCTCAATTAATCTCATCAATTCTCTCTTGGGCAAAATTTTCCTTAAGCCTTCTCTGCTAACATGGACTGGATCTACTTCTGTACATCCGTCCAACATCACTAGTAACACTTCCTGATTATGGTCATTCATTTTCATATCTATGATCCTAATAATACGTCGATTTTGTTTTCTCAATTCTTCTAGTGTAAATTTTGGAACCTGGTGAAATTGAGTATCAGTACTTACATAATGTTTTACTGATCTAATATTGAACACATTATGTCTTTTCAAGCTTAATTCACCTCTCTTAATTTTAACATTCAGATCACCAACTATGTGATTTACTTCAAATGGTCCAAACCACGTATAATGGAATTTACGACCAGCACTATTTTTCACATACGCGTCTTTATGCACTAATACCTTATCTCCGTGTTTAAATAATTCTGGATCTCTATGTCTTTTATTATAATGTAACGATTGTCGGTCTTGTGCCTCAACTATTGTATCTCTAAACATTAAAAGCGCAGCTTCCATATTATGCAAGTAAATTTCCATGGCCTTATATGCATTTTGTCTTCCAATATCTCCTTTAGGAATCACGTATTTCTGTTTGTCCCACTTTGGATTATATAAACCACTAAATCTTTCCTTATACCCACGTAACGCAACAAAGGGAGACGCACCTAATGAAACTTAAAACGTAGTATTATATGCAAATGCTGCTAACGGTAAATATTCTACCCATTTTGGTTTATTCTTAACATATGTTCTAATAGTTTCTACCATTGTTTTATTCAAACGTTCTACTTGACCATCACTTTGGGGATTGTAAGATGTTGAGAAACCTGTAGTGATTTCTAACCTTGCAGCAAATTCCTCCCAAATTGAATTAACAAATTTTGGATCTCTATCTGACACAATAAATCTTGGAATACCATATTGTAATACCACCTCTGTCAAAAGTATACTTGCAATCTCTTGAGTGGAAACTTTCTTATTCATAGTTTTAAAAATTGCCCATTTAGTCAATCTATCTGTGATTACCATTATTTGATCACATCCCTCATCTAATGACATACCTGACACAAAATCAATATTGATAGCCTCAAATCGTCTAGTAGGAATTTATAAAGGATGATAAATACCAATAGGTAACAAATGTGAATTTTTAGCTTTCTGACATGACTCACAACTTCTTACAAATTTGATAATCATGTTTTTCATCTTCCTCCAATAATAAAATGCAGCAATCTTAGCATATGTTCTATTCATACCAGGGTGTCCTGCAGCTTTAGAACTATGGTAAGTACGTACTATTTCATATTGTAATTCTTTAGTAGGAATCACCAATCTATCTTGAAATCCAACTATCAAACCATAATACAATAGCCCATTGTCCAATTTATATCTTTTAATGATTGTTCTCCATTCCCTTGGACACTTCTCCGTCCCTTTCAAAATCTCAAGCACCTGGTTGAGGAATACATTATGTTTATAGGACTTCCTAATTTTCTTCACCATAAAATCTTCCATATTACCTGTACTAACACATATCTTCTTAATGGAAATTCGAGACAAACTATCAGCCTTATTATGTTCACCTGGGATATATTTAACATTAAAATCATAATCTGCAAGCTAACTAATCCATCTTTATAATCGACTATTCAATTCAGTACTCTTCATAATAGTTTCCAAGGACTTATGATCTGTGCATAATTCAAAATTTTTACCGACAAGGCAATGTCTCCATGTTTTTAACGCATGAACGATTGCATAAAATTCTTTATCACGAATAGGCCAATTTAACTGGTAGTGAACTAATACCTTACTCAAATATGCAACAACACCTACTGTCTTACTTTCATCATCAACTAACTCTAGCACGGCACCTACAGCAAGCGTACTAGCATCCGTAGCTACTCTTACTTTGTATTTCTCATTAAAGGGACATAAAATCGGACCTTTCATTAAGGTTTCCTTCAACATTTGGAATGCAGCGGTTTGTTGTATGTTCCATTCTTGTTTACCTGCCATATAATCGTATAATGGTCTAGCAATGTGACTAAATTTCTTCACAAAACGTCTAAAATAACCACATAACCCTAAAAATGATCCTGCTTCTTTTGGTGTCTTAGGTATAGGCCACTCGGTAATAGCTTCAACTTTTCTTGGATCCATATGTATACCTTCTTTATCAATGTAATGACCTAGCCAAAATATACTTTGTTGAAATAACGCACATTTAGATTCCTTAACATACAATTTAATTGATCTCAACAATTGTAATACTTCTCTAACGTCTTATAAATGTTGTTCTTTAGAGGATGAATACACTAATATATCATCTAAGTAAACCAGTACCTTTTTGTTTAAAATATCACGAAATAAGTCATTCATTACCATCTGAAACGTTGATGGTGCGTTCGTTAACCCAAATGGCATCACACGCCAAGCATATTGTCCTAGATGTGTGACAATAGCTGTCTTCGCTTGATCTTGCTCTGCAGTTGGTATTTGATGATATCCTGAGATTAAATCCAATGACGTAAACCACTTAGCATCATATAAATGATCAAATAAATCTTCAATTAGTGGTAACGGAAATCTTGACTTAATTGTCACGGCATTTAATCGTTTAAAATCACAACATAATCTCTTAGAACCATCTTTCTTCTTTACAAACAATACAGGAGCACCATATAGAGATGTAGTGGGATAAATTTTACCTGCAGAAATCAACTCATCAATTTGTCTTTCTAATTCTTCACGTTCGTCAATGGATAATCGGTAAGCTCTACTATAAGTTGGTTTTGAATCAGCGACCACGTCAATGACATGCTTGATCTCGCCTCTATAATCAATTGCCTTAGGTAACTCTTTATAAAAGACATCACTAAACTCTTGCTTAACCAATTCTGATTCATAACAATTTCCAACTGCCACGACACTGTCCACATTCATCTGGATTCTACGAATCAACAAAACTGCTGAAAAATTTATATCTTTATTACCACGCAGAGTCTTATTCATTTTTGCAGCACTAATTCTCTTGATGGGTAAAACACAATTAACATTTAATTCCTTACTCTTAATCTTAGACTTCTCAGAGTCAACTTTATAACCCGGGTAGTTACTTCTCGTAACCTTTTCTCCAGGAATAAATGGATTAACTTTCATATGATCATGTAGATAGTTTAAAGCATCGCACTTCCTTCCTGCAAGCCACAAAGCATCTTCAGTAGTCGTCATTTTCACACTCTTGAGAGTCGCAACTCCCTTTTCATTATCGTAATTCCTCGTCTCAAACTTAGAATCCGATCTGCTTAACTCTGCATCAAGATCTGCAATCTCGACACCAATTCCTAAATTATAGCCTACGTAGTTATCTGAGATGTCCCCCAACATCACATTCGCAATGTTGACACCCTCAGAATCCGGCTCTTTTAAAGGTTTCACCTCGCATGAATACTCTTTGTTTGACTTAACTACAGTGTTTCCACCGTACGTCATACTCCCCACCTTACAGGCATTTGTACCATGGCTCAAAAAATTCGCCAAACGTTTCCACAGTAGCAGAAGTATAACCGTCCAACTTCCTACCTGCCGTTTCTGCTTCTTTTAACCACCGTATGGCTACATCCATATACGCAAAAATAAAGTCTAGACCTAATAACAACAACTCTTGTACTGATTCGCTTGAGACCAAAAAACATGTTACTTCAACCTCAATGTCAAAGATAACGAAGGATACATCTACGCACATATTTGTCTGTAGCTTCTCTTCATCTGGATTTATTCCGTCTAAAGACCACGTCTGATCTAACTTCCGGACCTTCAATCCTAATGTTTTCACTAAATCTTTTCCAATAATGGAAACTTGAGCACCCGAATCCAATTCTGCTTTTACTACTTTATCTCCAATCTTAACATTCTTCTTTAAAGATTCTTGAACGATAGGATCTTTGTTCTTTTTAATTCTAGCAACCATTGCCCTTAATTCTGTCCTCGGGCCAATCTCGTTTGAGGACCTCACTAGTTTTTCGATGTATTATTAATTGAGTACTTACATTGGTGAGCCAAATGACTCATTTTGTTACACTTGAAACATTTGACAGGCTTCCTTTTCTCCATCCCTTTATAGGATTTGGAAATTTTAAAATTCAACTTGGTCCTGTTTGGTTGAGCTTGCTTGAAAGTATTTTCATAATTACAAGCCATGTCCAATAATTGTGTCCACGTTGTAGTTTCTGGAGGTCTATTATTCAAAATATACCCGGTTAATCCAATTGGGATTCGACGATAAAATTCACCCGCCAAAAACTGTTCTGAGATGAATTCAGGAGCTACATCTACTAACTCTTGAAAATCATCACCAATTTTCTTCATGGACTTACCTTCTGGGTTGTAATTTCTACATTTATCAATAAATTCCCAGAAAGGGTTATTTGAACCAAACCTTTTCTCAATACCATGAATTGCATGTTTCAATGTTGTAAAAGTGTGTTCTTCGTTCTCGTACCACGCTTTTGCTGCCCCCTTCAAACGTAATTTAATCAATTGTAACATAAAACTATCATCAGGAATAGACTCGGAATAGATTTGATAAAATATATCAACAGAATCTTTCCAAGCTTTAAAATCTGTTTTGGGGTCGTTAGTCTTACCATCATAGTAATCCTTAACTTCAGCAGCAAATTTCTCTTTTAATTGTTGATCACTTAATCTTTTGTTATGACCATAATCTTCAGCAGCACTCTTACCTTCAGTCTTCTTATTGACCTCATCTAACTTAACACGTAATGCATTATTTTGATTAGCGAGTTCACGAATCAACTTGTTTTGCTTAACTTGTTCTGAAATAAGTTGTGCAATTAATTCATTAGATAAACCTTTTCTTTCTTGACTTTTGTTATCAGAAACAACTTCTTTTTCGATAGAAAAATTTTGCACAGTAGAACTCTGATCGTTACCTGACATTTTTAAAAATAATAATCAATGAAAACAGCAATACTACTCAATAAATATAACAGAATTTTAGTGACGCTACCAAATGTAATAACCCAAAGATTATGTGTTTCTGATAACAGTTAATCTTGTTGAAATCTCAATAATATTTCACTTGGATAGATATAAGATATAGACTCTTTCCATATCTCTAGATGTAATATTCCTATATATCTATATATCTATATCCCTAATCTAAGTTAACCTAATAGTATACACTTATATACTATATCTAAACTTAGGTAGTCCTTGGTTCCTTGTTCCTTCTTCTTGGTTGCTCTCTTGTAATTATGTTGGTTACTCCTGTTTTTATGTGTGTTTGTAAAATTTTACAAAAAGGAAAGTTTAGAAAAATATCGTCAACCCTCATTTTTCTAAACAAGCCCTAAACAGTAATATCCCTGATATTACATATTATAAGTACAAAAATTGCAAAAAGAACTCCTCATAGGGGGCTCGAACCCCTGACATTTCGGTTGCCCTCGATTAAACATGTGTTTAAAAGCCGAACGCTCTACCAACTGAGCTAACAAGGACGAGTTCTTCGCTCCTCGTTGTGGAATAGAATAGTTATTACCATCAAGATTACATAAGATTCTGAATGAATCTAGAACTACTTATTGTATTAATAAGCCATACACGTACTACAACATTAGATGCTGCATAATAAAAAGATTAGATTACATAAGATTTTGGCAAATCTAGAATTTACCTATGGTTTTAATAAGTCCCACGTGTATTACTAATTACCATAATTAAGGAATTGGGGTGCAATTCTAATCCACTAGTGTACCTAAATTAATGTAATAAATTTTAGGGTTTGAATCAGTCAGATCATTAATGTACTAATCTGAATAGTTGATCCAGCTCCAGAAAACATACAAAAGGACAACGTTTTCTGGAGATAAAAGATCTTCTTCCATAACCATTTCTTGTAAATAATTTATATATTATATGTAAACGTAAATAGAATAGCAAGCAATTAACAAGAAGTAACTTCGAATATATATATTAGCTTGATATAAACTGTTCAATATATAAGACCGTTTTAGTAATTATATTATCGCCTATAGTTGATTACTGTCTCGATTATTTGAATAACTGTTAATATTATTTGTGCTTCCCTGAAATACACAAAAGAATCTGACAATTTAATAGTACAACACTCCCTTTACTGAAAGAATAGAAATAAGTACTTAATTAGATGTGTTATTTGTTAGTGTTTGGTCTAAATTGACAAGTAATATAGAAATACGTTATCGCCCATTATAGGATAATATATATTATTCTATACATAAACTCGATACTATTATTAGTTTTTTTTATGAATATATTGCTTCACATTTTTCTTGAAACATATGAATTTAAAAGGAAATAAAACACATACAAAAATGGAATCAACATTTTCTATTATTGGTTTTTTATAATATTGTTTACAGACGAAGTTCAAGATCAATTATTATGATGTGACTTTTTATTTTTCGATAAAAAAGAGAATGATGACAAATTGTAGTATATGTGTTGAAAAATGAGAGTTTATTACTGTTATTTTCATAAGAATTATTTTTAATTAGTTTTTCTGTATATTATGTAGTGTACGAATGTACCATGATATCAGGAAGATATTTTATTTTTCACCAACAGTATTTTTCAGAGATTTGAAAAGGAATGAAAAACTTAAAAGAAGCCCTGAAGTAAATATAAGAATTTATACTATATACACTATATAATAAGTATATAGATGTATTTAGTACACAAAAAAACAAGCATCTATAACTTAATGATGTCAGCCGTTAACATAGACGCTGAGGGTTCCAAATTTCAACAATATGTTGTTAACATAGTATAAATTTTATGCATCTTATATTATTAAGCTTAACTTCACAATTCATTGTTAAGCTGTCTTACAACACTGTTTGGAGTAAAGTGAAACGGTCAAAAACTTGGATGATTATGAAATTGGAAGCACATCTTTGATAACTTATGGATTTCATATATAATTTAAAGACAGTAATTGATATTAACAGTAATTTGATTAGTATATGGATTTGTGTATAAAATAAGTAATCGGGAATGAAAATAGTAATAAAAATAAAAATAAATTGATTTTTTATAAGCTAGTATAGCAATCAGTGTATTATTTACATCAACTATTATACGATTTTGATAATAATAATATATAAAAACAAGGAAGCCAATTGGACTTTGCTGGATATACAATTTTGCAAGTAACACCAGATTGTTTAAGTAAAGGTTTGGTAGAGGTGTGTGCATAATGGTTAGTATAAGATGCTAAATTTGACTGGTTGTTTTTCAGGGAATAATAATAATATTAGGGCACATTCAAGAGGTCTTTAATGATCGATAAATATGATTAGGTAATCACCTTAGTTAAATATACCTGAATATTGATATTAAGAGAAAACATTTAATACCATATATGGTTAACACTAGTTATATATAAAGTCTAGGTAAGTTTATTTATATATGTATATATCAATTGATATAATCTAGTCTTTTACTAATAACAACTATTAAAAATTGTTGGAGTCTCGTTTTTCATTATCATGTTTTTTGTAATATTTTTTTTTTCTATTTTATTAGCTTTTAAAAGTTCTGTTAACAGAAAACAAATCATTAATTAATAAATAAATCTCCCAGTTTAAAAAATGATTAACGGCCTAACGATTTGAAATAGATACATTTTTTAAAAATTAACAGTTGGATATGTTATAAGATTTAAAAATATTTTCAATTTAATGATTTTCTGTTTACAAAAATTTTCAGTTATAAATAATATTAAAATTACAATGTTACATCTAAAAAATCTTTTATGATAATTTTTATTGAAATGCTTCATCAGAAATACATTTCCAAATATTAATTTCAATTTTTTGGATGTGTCAATTTTAGAAGCAAAAATATTAAGCAGAGAGACATCATAAATGCAAAAAGGAATACAATGATCGTTATTTAGTAGACAACTAAGTGATTAAGTATATTAACCAAAAAGCATTAAATACAAGTACGATTAATAGTAATATTGAAAAAATTGAAAAAAAGAAAAAAAAAGCATATATTTTCAAATTACTATTTTCTTTTTTCATTTTTTAAATTTATATAAATGTTCATAATATAGCGTTTTGCAGATCTTTTAAACCTGTTTTGTAATTTTTTTTAGTAGAAAATACAAAAATAAAAAGAGATGCAAGGAACATAACTGGAAATCCAGTAGATACGCAATTCTGAGGGTAATACCTAAGTGTCTGGGTGGAGGATTGGTACAGCCATGTGCGCAGTGGCTCGTATAAGGTATTGAATCTGATTGGAGGATTTCCAGGGAGTAAAAATTATACCAGATCTTGTCAAGAGGCCTTTGATTATTGAGAGATATGTCAGGGGTAACCATCTTATTTAAATACATTTTAGTACTGATATTAAGAAGTAACTTTTAATATCATACAAGACTAAGAAGAACAACAACAAGAAGTAATACTACTACATCAGGGTTATTAATTAGTGATATAAAGAGCTTACGTAAGAGTGTTTATACTTATACCAATTGATATGATTCATCCATTTACATACAACAACTCTTACAAGAGACTACGTTACCGAAAAACTTAAGAAACAAAAGTAATTTTATCTTAATACAAATTTTTATTGGAAAATACAACGAAGCATATAGATATTTAGTCGAAGTCAAGGGATAAACAATTAGAAAAAAAATTTTTTCAGTAAAGGTACAAAATAACTATTTAGTTAAAACACTGAAAGATTACACCTAATAGATAATTTTCTCATAAAAAAATATAGGAGAAATTAAATTTTGTAGGAGATATATAAATCCCTAACAGGATATATTTATATTCTAGATAATGAGATGATAATTTATTAACTGAATAAGAAAATATATATATGAAGAAGAAAGCATTTATCAAAGTAATGAAATTATTGTAAACAGTAATAATTTACCATACCTCAATTAAAATGATGATAATGATGAAGAAGCAAGGGAGCTTATTACATTTTCATCTAAATACATGGTTTTCTTTTGGTGCTTTGATGAATTTGACAATGCTTGTAAAGAATTGTTTGGTAAATATAAGAAAGTTGACATTATTTGGGGAAGTTTTTTTAAAAGAAGTAGAAGAATCATAGGTAGTTGTAAAACATTACAGAGTTGATGTAATGGATAATTGCAGTAGAAGTACCTTTCTCCGCATAATTTAACAATTAAGTTCTTTGTTTGGATTTGTTGTTCACAGGAAATTCTGCATGAACTTGTAGAGGATTCATTTCTGATGTCATATCTATTATATCCAAATTACAACGATTATGTTATTAATTTGTATGAATATATTTTTCTATATAATGGTTTGTTTGTTTATTTATTCATCTGTTTTGGATATCAGAATATTTTTTCGCGTAAACCATATAATCATTTAAGGAAAAAAAAATAAAAAAAAAAAAAGAGAAAAGAAATTTATTTTTTTCGAAAGTTATGGGGGTACAGCAAACTATTGTTTTCCCGTTAAACAATATTTCACGAAACAAAGAGCGCAATTACAAAAGATCATTATAATTTTATACTCTCCTTTCAATCTTTGGGGACACTAAAAAAGACAGTGGCCGAAATTCAAGCTAGATCTATTTCTTTTTTTTTTCTTTTTTATTTTTAAAAACAAAAAGCAAAATAGAAAAAAAAAAAAAGATAAAAAAAACAAACCTAATTAAAGCACTTTTTTCCAACAATTCTAACCTTATATTAAAGCTGGGAAATTGGCGACCTTTGATTAAAAAAATTAAGAAAAAATAAAACAAAAAAACAAGAATATCGGGTTAAAAATAATATTTAAAGTTTCTCTGACTGTTACCACTATATAGAGTTAGGGTTTATAGACAATATGGTAAAACTATCTGAAATAAAGTATAATAAAGTAACTTGTTAATAATTTATCTTTTTCATGTAGTTCTTTATTTTCTATAAATATAGAAACTAATGAGGAGTTCATTTATTTTATAAATGTATAACGACTAATTTTATACTGTTTTCTTGAATTCTGGTAATTGTGAATGTTTAGTGTGTTCCTAAAAAGAAAAAAATCATTCCAATAATAATTACGTGTAAACATTATATTTTTTTTAAATATTTACTAGCACAAGGGTTTGAATTCGTATGCATTCAAAAAGTAATAGTTAGTAGTCAATTTATTATTATCTGTCTTTATATATTCATAACTGTTTATGTAACAGTCAGTTACAGAATTACGTAGTTTTTTTGTTCATAAATTTAATAGCATTAGGGTCCAGTTAAGAAAAAAGTTAGATATACCTTAACGTACAATAGGGTTAAGAAAAGACTACTAATGGTGATGCAATCTTTTAAGGCTGGCGTAAACGTAAAAAAAAAAATCGAACCCCAAAGATTTCCATTTTAGGAAGAAAAGTGCAGTTGAAAAAATACAACATCTGGTTATTTTGCCCTCTTTTATTTTTCGTTTTTATATTTACTTTTTTAATATTATTCCCAGTAGCCCTGAGTACTATCGGCGCAATCATTTCTGAAATCAAAACAAGAGAAATAAACTGTTAAACTTATTGATTGAATCATATAGAAATTTAAATATGCCCTATCATTATTAATATTCTAAAAAATAAAAAAAAAATTATTAAGTTACAAGAATGAAAGATTAAATAGGAAAATGTGATGTTTGCTTCATATTCGATTTTCTCTTGAAAACATACATAAAACTTAATTTGCTTGGTGAATAGTCTTACAAAATCCAATAGTTAACGACAATTTACCCTGGATTTAAAATATGTATAAACAAACAGAAAATGCAACCAAAAAAAAAAAAAAAAAAAAAAAACACCAAATCTTGTTTTTCTTTTTTTTTTTATAAAAAATTTAAAATCTCCACGTTCCTCGAAAAAAGTAAACAAATAAATGGAGAGAAAAAACAAAAAAAAAAAAAAAAACAATAGATGAAAATTTTTTTTCTTTGTTTATTGCTTTCTTGGTTTCTCGACCAAAGTTGACAACTAATGGATTAAATATTTACTGACACGAAATTAAAATACTAAATAACCAAAAAATATTGGCAAATGTGACAGGTAAAATTGAAATCTTTTGTGTCGTGTCTGGTCTATTTGTCTTTCTCCCCTCTTCTTTTGTTCTCCTTTTACTTTTGTTACAATTTAGACAATTTTAGCCTATATTTAGAATAAAAAAATTCAATCGAAATATAAATATATAAATGTTATATTTATAAGTTGGTGTGTTCTCAACCCATTTCTCTCACTCTAACCGTTCCCTTTTGTGGTGTTGTCTTTTTTGTATTCTCTTCGTTAACATCTGTTATAGTTAGCTCTCTGACCATAAACTTGTCTTATTACCTTAGTAAGAAAACATAGGTAACCAGCGCTTTTCTTTATTGTCATCTTCCATTTACATTACCCAAATTAGTATCACACATACAAAGTCATAAAAATGAAAGGTTTAATTTTAGTTGGTGGTTACGGTACCAGATTAAGACCATTAACTTTGACTGTTCCAAAGCCATTAGTTGAATTTGCTAACAGACCAATGATTTTGCACCAAATCGAAGCTTTAGCTGCTGCTGGTGTCACTGATATTGTTCTTGCTGTCAATTACAGACCAGAAGTTATGGTCGAAACTTTAAAAAAATACGAAAAAGAATATGGTGTCAGCATCACTTTCTCTGTTGAAACTGAACCATTAGGTACTGCTGGTCCTTTGAAATTAGCTGAAAAGATTTTAAAGAAGGATGATTCTCCATTCTTTGTTTTAAACTCTGATGTCATCTGTGAATATCCATTCAAAGAATTAGCTGAGTTCCATGCTGCTCATGGTGGTAAAGGTACTATCGTTGCCACTAAGGTTGACGAACCATCTAAATATGGTGTTATTGTTCACGATATAGCTACTCCAAACTTAATTGACAGATTCGTTGAAAAACCAAAGGAATTCGTCGGTAACAGAATCAATGCCGGTTTATATATCTTAAATCCAGAAGTTATTGATTTAATTGAAATGAAACCAACTTCCATTGAAAAGGAAACCTTCCCAATATTAGTGGAACAAAAATCCTTATACTCCTTTGATCTAGAAGGTTTTTGGATGGATGTTGGTCAACCAAAAGACTTCTTATCTGGTACTGTTCTTTACTTAAACTCTTTAAAGAAAAAGAATTCCGATAAATTGGTCACTGGTGACAACATCCTTGGCAATGCTATGATTGACCCAACTGCAAAGATTGCCAAGACTGCCAAGATTGGTCCAGATGTTGTCATTGGTCCAAATGTTACCATCGGTGATGGTGTCAGAATCACCAGATCTGTTGTCTTAGCTAACTCTACTATCAATGATCACTCCTTAGTCAAATCTACTATTATTGGTTGGAACTCTAAGGTCGGTAAGTGGTGTCGTCTTGAAGGTGTCACTGTTCTTGGTGACGATGTTGAAGTGAAAGATGAAGTTTACATCAATGGTGGTAAAGTTTTACCACACAAGTCCATTTCTGACAATGTCCCACAAGAAGCTATTATTATGTAAGAGGAATCAACCCTTTTCTTCTTTGTTATTTTACTCAATGAGCATTATCCTTTCTCTTTCTATTTAAAAAAGCAGGTAGAAACTCTTACCATTTTCCCTCTCAATCTAATATCTTAATATATATAAACAATTTTGTTGCCGGTTATTTGTAATGACCCTTTGTATCTTTAAATTTTACATTAGTTAAACGTTATGACATATATCTTCATATATAATTTATATTGTTAGTATTATAGTATCATTTATTATTGTAATAATGATTTGCCATTGGTTATTAGAAGTCTTCGGACATTATTTGTTGGCATTTTTATTATGAGAGTGTAGATGCAGCAACCTGATGTGTGTATTCTATAGGATATATGTATATATATATAACATATGGAGTCTATATACATATCAATACCGATGTAGTTTATTTAAGAACGGTATCCTTGTATTATACAAGTTGTTAAAAAATTGGGCACTCTATCTAAGATTTATCATTAAGATTTTCTAAGTTTTGTAATATAACATGCAACATATCATCTATTTGATCCGTGGATATTTCTGTACCTTGGCTAATCATTTTTCTATATTTAGGAATATTGTTATTACCCTTAATTGAATTTATGATTTTTTGAATTATAATTTTTCTTTTGTATTGGTATTTTTCTAATCTAATAGATTGTCTTAAAACTTTATATAATTCATCTGTCATATCATTTTCCTCATGCTTCTTAGTGTCACAATCATCTTCTGTATCAATATCATTATCACTTTTATTGTTGTCAATATAGGATTTCAATTTATATAATTGTGCTTTTTCAATTTTGCTATGAAGATTTTTTTGTAGTTGATAGACTTCTTCTCTTGCTGAATTGGTCACATTTTTTTGTAATAAAAGTAATTTCTCGATATTTTCCTTATTTATGGCCAGATGTAAGTTGTTGCGATCATCTGATACTTCATAATTTTTATACAAAAGATCCACCAATCTGGTATTACACTTAACCGCAGTATTTCTCATACTTGCCAATGTCTTTTCTAATGTTCTTAATTCATTCTCTCTTTCTTGAAAGATTTGATTGTATCTATCAGCAATATTCTTCATTGACCTAACTATATTAGGTATACCTCTTGAAAACTTTGTGGCAGCAGCGGATGGATACATATTATAGTCATTTGACAGACTCAACGAGTCTTCCAATAAGGAATCTCTTACTTTATTGTGATCCATATCTGCTTGATTTCTTAAAGCTTCTTTATAATGTTGATTCATAATTTCATTTGGTGTTAAATCATCCTTATTCGGAACTGTGCATAAAGCACCATTGCTAATTAAAGTGTTAAAAAATTTATCATCTCCATTTTTTGCTGCGATATGTAATGCAGTATCTCCATGACAATCAGTTGCATTTAATAATAATTCGATCCTTTGTTGTGAGGCAAAATCTTTCAGCTTAGATAACACAATATCTAAATAATATACTGCAGAAGGAGTTGACGATTTCCGTTTTACTATATGATGTATGACGGTTTGTAAATTAGAATCAACATCAAATACAGTCTCTCGGAGGAGTTCAAAGATTTTTGGGAAACTTCTTTTGGTGTAAGAGTTGTGAAACATTGAACTTCTCATTAATGGGGTTTGTCCTGATGAGTTAACAGAATGAGGACTGCTACCTACTTGATATAATGCTTCAATGATAGGTAAAGTCCCCATTGAACAAGTCCAATGGAAGGCAGTATGTAATTCAGGGTCAATAGGTACATCAATGTATGGGGCACTATGCATGGGTGGTAATAATAATTCAGGTGGTATATCTTTATTTGTCTTTGATTCATTTGATATGAAATAATCCACTAATCCGGTAAGATATTTATTAACATTATCATTTATGTCAGACGTCTGTGGTCTAGTGTGAGACACATACTTCGGTATAGAGGAAACTACAGGTGAGGTCCCTAAAGCATCGTAATTGTGCTCACTAAACGGACTAGAACCACCTAATTGAGCTGGTGATGTCGGTAACGAGGGTGAGGACATATTTGGAGAATCTGGACCATGTATATGTTGAAGTTGTTGTTGTCGTAATTGTTGAAAATCTCCTTTACGTAATTCACTTTCATGTATTTGTGATGATTCAATGTCACTTGATAATCCGTCATTTATTTCAAGTTCTTTAAAATGAGGTATAACCCTATTACTAGTTATGATGGGGACTTGTTGTGATAGTGATGCAGTATGACTATTATTAACAGTAGTCTTATTTGTATATGAATAACTATTGTTATGCTTATTATTCTGTAGTTCTTCTAATGGTTCTAAAACTTTTGAAATTTTTGACTGAAGGAGTTGCGTAGAATCTATTATAGCATTTGACATTGTAGGTCGTGTAACACTAATATCACTTTGTGACCTATTCAATCCACGACTCACTTCTGCTTTTTTCTTAGAATTTGAAGGTGGTCTTCCTCTTTTCCTAGGGACTGTTGATTTTGAAACAGTAGGTTTTTTTGTGGGTTTATCTGTTATATTAATAAGTAAGGGTTGTGAAGTTGTTATTAAAAGTGGTGATGACGTTGTTAGTGAACTTGTGATATGAGCGGATTGTTTATCGTTTAGTGCAGACATACTAGCACTCTTTGTTGCCTTTTTCCTGCCATCAGCTCTGGATGCATGATGATGTTTAGGTGCCCTTGGTGGCTCAGGTTCGCCATCTCTATGAACAAAATCAAACAAAGGTTTCAATTCGGTATAAACATCGAATTTACTAGCCAAGGATATAGCGAGTTCCAATGGAACCCATGTACCTTGATATTTTCCAAAGCCACCTTGAACCTTCTCATGGGTCTCCCCTAAGATTTCTCTTTCTAATATTCTTGTTCTTTTTGCCTTGGCAAAATTTGCAGCTTTCAGAATATGAGTAGCATTAACCCAATTATCTTTCTTTCTTTTCATGACAGAGCCTGTTGGATGAATGAGCTCATATACATCAACACCAGAATATTTGGCAAAATATATCTGATTCGACATTGTTACTCTTTTTACATTTACTAGGTAACTCTATTATTTTTTTTTTTACGAATGAGTTTATTTTTTTTTATTCTGTTTATTTATTTATTTATTTCTTTACTTATTTATCTATTTATTTGCTTGTTTTGGTTAATTTGAATCTATCACCCTGGTCTACTCACGACTGTCTAAATGTTTACTAGATAAATGTACTATTATCACTACTGAACACCTGCTTTAATGTTGATATCAATAGACGATCTTAATGTAAACATTCTGTTTAACATTTGTATTATTTATTATTTATTATCTGTTATTTGTTGTTATTACTATTATTGTTATTTTCCAAATTCGATGTCTTTGCATTGATTAAAAAACAGAGCAGAAGAAAAAAAAATACCTTCAATTATTGAACTGTAGACACAAACCCACACACCCACAAAGATAATAAAGTAATGTAGTTGTTACTATAAGTAGTGCACTATAATTACATCATAACATGTTTCAGGTGTGTGTGTGTGTTAAAGTATTTTAATGCTGTAAAAGCAAGCAAGAAACCTTTAATCAGGATGCTAGTAACTCTGCCAATGCACTTTTTATCTGGAACTCATCTATGTCATGAAATGAATCATTTTGGACACCAAGATATATTAATGCGGCTAGATAATATGAATAATTTGTTCTTCCTCTTTTTGTTGGTAGATTGTAAGGGTTCTTATCATCAATCAATCCATAGAAGTTATGATCGGATCCAGGAACCCAGAATTGGAATGATCTACTCCCGAACGTGTTATGATATTTTGTTGCATCATCATTTGGAATAACATGGTCACAGGTTCCATAAATATTTACAACATTTGTTGTTTTATGTATATGTTTGAAACATTCTGTCGAAAATTGGCCAGCATCTAGTACTTCACCTTCTGGCACCCAATAATTAATGTATTCACCATGATAAAAAGTCTTCGCCCAAAACCCTTTCTGTTGTTTCCATTTAGGGTATAATTTTGTATATCTTTCTAATAAACCCTCAGAGGCATACCTTCCGCAACAATTAACAAGATATGGAACTCTTTCAGACGTTTTTACTGATCCAAAATATTTCATTATAGGCAGAACTCCTCTTGAGTGAGCTATAACCATTTTAATACTCATTTCATCCTCTCCAAACAATTCCTTGTAGTCTTTAGAGAAATAAGGATTCAAACTTTTTATGATTGTCTCTAGATCTTCGATATCTTGGGATACAGTTCTTCCTAATTGTAGATTAGCATTTGTTTCTGAGTCACCTTGACCTCTAAAATCAAATCTTATAACCCAGTAACCTAGCAGACTTAACACGTTTGCTAGTAATGGTTGATAAATTGCATTTTTGTGGGATAGATGCCCATGTACTAATAATATAATTTGTTTTTTATTGATCTCAGTTTTATTAGGTTCTGTAACTATTACAGCCAAGCCCTTTGCAGTGTGGTACTGTTCATTTTTAATAAAACAAAAAATCTCTCTTTCTTGTAAAATAAGGTAAGATGGTTTTAATCTTGAATCCCTTTTAACAGTTATATTATTGTTCATATGAAAAGTATTTATTGTATTTTTTTTAATTTAATTCACAAGATATATTATGATAATAATGGGTTGATTAGCTCTTTGCCTCACTCTCTGTATTGTATCATTGAATGTTGTCTTTTTTGCTCAACAGTGTTTTAAGGTAGTTTTCTTTTTTTTACATTACACTATCAGTTTTGCTACTAACACGAAAGTTAAAATCATTCTATTTAATATAAAATGATCTACAATAATTTATTTAAAATATAATGGTTTGTTTTTTTCATGGAGCTATAATAAAACTAGGAGTTGGTATTATAATATATAAACAACATCAACCATAATTAACTGTCTTCTTTTAATGAATAACAATTTTATATTATTTTTTTCCCTATATAATAAAAATTTATAACTATTAATTGAATTAACTGCACTTATATTATATAATACAATATAATACATATTACTATTTATTATTTACAATCCAAATTAATGGTTTTATGTTTCGTTCTCACTTCCGTCACTATCAGTATCACTCTCACCCTCATCTTCATCATTTGAAGAGACTTCAACACCTAACTCTTCTAGTCTTTCACGATATTTAGAATTTTTCTCATCTAGTTCTGTAATTAACAACATTAACTCATCGATTTCTGCATGGTCCATAACTTGTTTCTTATATTCCTCATTTTTCTTTTTAAGCTCATCGATTTCATTTTTAAGTCTAACTTGTTCTTTATTAAATTTTGCAGATAACTGATCGACTGATAATTGTCCTTCTTTGTTTTCTTGATCTTCTTTGATCTTTATAATTATATCTTCGACAAGTTTCTCAAATGGAATTTGATTTTCGGGAAATTCATTTAAATCTTTAATCATACTTTGAATTTTATCATTAAAACTGTATTTTTGGATAGTTAATAATCTTCTCAATTGTACTTCTACAGTCGATTTTTCCTTTTGTTCATCGGAAATTTTAGCCTCTAGAGTTAATTTTATCTTCTGTATTTCATCATCTTTAGCTGACATAACAGATGCATTTGTATTCTCAATTGTGATAATTTTCTTTTGAAGCCTATCTATGTCGTCCTTCAAAGATTCAATGTTTTCTTTATTCTCCAATTCAGACTTCTTAAAAGAATCTTTATGATTCTTAATTAAGATATCTTTTTCATTTTGAAGAATTTTAATCCTTTCTTTAAATTTATCCTCTGTATCATGTATATTTTTCTTGTTATTTTCGTTTGTCTTTTGTTGTTCAATCTTTAATTCCTCAATATGTTTTGATAACTCCTTTTCTTTGTTCTCAAATTCTTTTTTCAATGATTCAGTTTTGGATGTAATTTCTTTGATTCTCTGATCTCTTTCAGTTAAGTCAGCTTTTAATTTGTTGATTTCTTCTGTATAGTCTTTCAACTTCTTATCCAATTCTTTCTGTGATTCTTTCATTGTTTCTTTATCTTTTTTTGCATTCTCAAATTTTTTAGATAATTCTTCCAGTTCTCCTTCGATAGACCTGTTTTTAGAAATTAACTGATCAAAAGACTTTTCCATTTGATCGTTCTTCTCTTGTAATTTTAAATTATTTTCTTTTTCTGAAGCTAGTTTTTCGTTAACCTTTTCTAGTTGTCCTGTAGTGGTCTCCAAAATTGTTTTGCTTTCATTTAGTTTTGAAATATTTTTAAGATATCCATCAATTTCCTTTTTATGATTGATTAAAAGTATTTTTTTTTCATCCAATAGTTTACTTTCTTTATCCTTGGATTGTTTTAGCTCTTTTTCAATTATGTGAATTTTATCAATATTTTTCTGACTTTCAAGCTTATGATTATTTTTAAGTTCATCCAGCTCTTTTTCTTTTGATTTAATCTCTTCCTCTAAGTTGGAAATTTGAGATTTTAAGTTGGTACAAACTTTTTCTGATTCTCTTATTTTTACATCTGCATTTGATTTAGATTCTTGCAGTTGTCCAAAAATGGTATCCTTGGCCTTCTTTACCTCTATAATTTCTTCTTCCTTCTCTTTTAGTTCATTTTTAAGAGTGTTTAGTTGATTAATATTGCTTTGGTTAATATCGTCTAACTCTTTGGTCTTGTCAAACATTTTTTGTTTCTCACTGTTTAATAAATTACTCAATTCCTCTATTTTAGTCGAATGTTCCTTAAGAGTAATTTCATGGTTAGTTTTCAAACTTTCTATTTCACTTTCAAATTTTTGTTTTTTTTGTTCTAGTTCATCCTGATATTTTGTGATTAATGCCTCCTTGCTTTTAATATTTTTGTCTAATTCTTCAAAAGCACCAGCTTTACCTTCTAGTGACTTCTTTAATGATTCTACTGACATTAATGCATCATTTTTTTGAGATTTGAGATTCTTAATTTTAAATTCGAAATCGTTTTTCTGTGTTTTTAATTGCATTTCTATCGTTTTGATTTTTTCACTGTTCTGTTCTAATGAGTTTTGCAGTTCCTTAATAGCAGCATCTTTCTGTTTTAGTTCTGCATCTTTTGTGTGTAGCGAACTATTAGAACTTTCTTTAAGTTTCTCTAATTCACTTTTTAATGAGTTAATTGAACTGTTTAGTTCAGCTATTGTACCATTTTTAATATCTATTTCTTTGTTAGTAGATTCAATATTTTCCTTGGAATGGGCCAATTTCTCATTGTTTTCTTTAATCTCCTTTTCAAGGTTTTTGATCTTTTCTTTTAATTCAGCATTTTCCTTTTCATGTATTGTAAGTTTTTTTTTTAATTGTCTAATATTATCATTGTTTTTAGTTAATGACTTTTCTAATTCATCTTTTTCTAAAATTACACTTTCTTGCTTTCTTGATAATTCGATGATATTATCTTGCAATTGTACTTTCTCATTCTGTAAATTTTGATATTGTTCTTCGAACAATTCTAGAGTGTTATGCAACTCATTAAGTTTATTCATAGATTCCAATGATTTCGTTGTTAACTCAGAGTTTTGTTCTGTCAACTTTTTAAGTTCATCGTTTTTTTCGTCTATTTCATTTTGTAACTTGTTAAGCTCTATTTCCTTATTGTTAAGAGCATTAATAACAGACTTGTGCTCTGATTTTGCCTGAGCATATAGTATTTCCTGTTCTTCAATATTATTATTAGCTTTTGCCAAAGTTTCTTGTGTTTCCTCCAACTGTACCTTAACATCCATTAGCTCTTTTTTAGTAGCATTAATATCAGCCTCCGTGTTAAGCTTATTTCCTTCAAGTTGCTTAATTTTTTGTTCCAGTTTTTGTACTGTTTCATTAAGTGTGATATTCGTCTTTTTTAACTCCTCTGAACTATTTGTAACTTCAACAAGTTTTTTCTCTGTTTCTTGCTTTTCTTCTTTTTCCTTCTTTAATTGTTTACTCACTTCGTTAGAATGTTTTTCTAAAGAGTTTAATTGCTCTTCTATTTTCGATGATTTTTCTTTTACTTTCAAAAGCAGATCATCAAGGTTGATTTTTTCCTTCTCTAATTCATCAATGGTTTTTTCTAAAGTAGATATTTTTAATTCATCGGAATCTTTAAGTTTTCGTAATTCTTTTACTTGGTCTTTTTGTTCATTACTCCTCGACTCTAACATATTTTTTTGTTCTTCTAATTTATTTGTTTTAGATTTTAATGCAGTCATTTGTTTTTCTAGCTCATCATTTCTGGATTGCAGTTCTACTTTTTGTTTTTCTAATTCACTAGTTTTAGCTTCTAGCTTCGTTTGTTTCTCTTTAAGGTTGTTAGTTCTAGATTCTAGTTCTTCATTATGTTCCTGTAATTGGTTTATATTTTTTTCTAAGTCATCAGCATGTGATTGTATTGATGTGCAATTTATAGTCCATGAATCGACTTTTTCAGTTAATTCTTTAATTTGATCTTCTTTTTCCTTCAAAAGTCTCATTGATGAGTTTTTGTCCTCTTTTAATTGTCTAACTTGCTCTTCTTTTTCTTTACAGTCGCTTAAAGTTTTTTTCGTTTTACTTTCAATATTGGAAATAAGTTCTTCATTTTTTTTCTGCTCTTCTTTAAACCATTGTAATTTTTCATTAAGTGCTGAAACAGATTCTTTATAATTATCCCTTTCTTGTTCTAAATCGGTATTATCTTTTAATAAAATCTCAATTTCGTCTTGCATATTTTGTTTCGAAGTTGTAAGAGATTCCATTTCTTTTGAGTGTATTTCCACATTTTCCTTTAATTGATTTTCAAGACTGGCAATGCTTATGGATAGCTCTTCTTTTTCTTTTAATAACTGTGCTTTTTCTTTATTTAGGCAGTTAATTTGATCATCATAACTCATAGATGTATCTTGAAGTTTTTGACTAGTATTTGTTAATGAATCTTCTAACTTAGTATTTTCAGCTTGAAGTTCTTTATAACTATTAGCTAATGATTTAAGTTTGTCCGTTAACTTAGTAATCAATCCCTCATGGCTGGAAAATTTTGATTTCCAGTCATTAAGTTCATGTGTGATATCATTCTTAGCTATTTCAAGACTATCTTTTTGTTTTAAAATTTCTTCTTGTTGTTTCTTGAGTTTTGTGATAGTTTCCTGTAAATTATTTTTGGCCTTGATCATCCTTTCATTTTCATTCTGTAAATTTTTCATCTTCTTAGTTGTCTCCTTCTCTTGTTGTTTTAATTTTTCTTCAAGGGATATTTTTTCTTTATTTAAATTTATTAAATCACGACTCATTTTATTAATACCATCTTCAGCTTTGTCTTTTTTTGAAGTTATATCTTGTAATTTAGTTCTTAAAGAGTCTATTTTTTCCTCCAACGTTTTGAATTCGATGGTTTTGGATTGTAATGTATCAGATAACTCTTCTTCTAATTTTTTTAATTTATCTCTTTCTTCTGTCGTTGACTTTAAATCTTTGGAGGTTTTGTTGAATTTCTTTTCGATGGTAGTATAATTTTCACTAAGATTCTTATGTTCTTCGGAGAGCTTTTCAAATTCACTCTCAACATTCTCATGTTCTTTAGAAAGTTCTTCTAGTTTTGTCTTAAGTTCAGAAGTTATTTTTGAATTATCAGATTTAATAGTTTGAATCTCATTGCTTAAGACGTTACACTTTTCCTGCAACTCTTCAAACATTTCAAACGATAACTTAGCAATGGGTTCCTCATCTGGACTATGAGACAATGAAGTTTTTATCCTGTACAAATTTTCATTAAACATGGTTACAAAATATGGACTAAAATATAACTGTGGTAAACCAGTGTCATCTAGGGATATATTAAAAAGATCAGATTTATTTTCGGTCTTTGTGAATAAGGATTTCTCTTTAAACTGCTTAACTCTTGATTGGTAGTTATCTTTACCGATTCTCTTTGAGATATATTCAAAGTATTCTTTTCGTGGATAAGGAGAACTTTTAGAAGAAAATTCATAAGCAATACCCAAAAGAATTGTTACTAGACATTTCGTTGTAATATCTTCATCCTGGATTTGATATGAAAATGTTAATAATGATTCTAGAGTTGATCTGTTATATAAAAAATCATTCACAGCATTTAAATCGCCATATAACCAGAAAACTAAGAACGAAATATAAAAGATTGGAATGCGAACATCTTGTAAATCAAGTGTAGTCAGTAATAAATCAACAATTGTCTGAATAACATTAAGGGGTTCGTCATTTTCTATACTATTTTCAGTTTTGACCCCACGAATCAATGCTCTCAATTCCATTTCACTATCATTTTTTAATTGAAATAGATACATCAATATATCGGTTGCAAAAAAAACTTTGTAGGGATTTAAACTCAGATCAGGGTCATATAATAATAATATTTCGAAAATATTAGATTTTACATGAGGTAAGTTGATATGTGACAAATTGTCATTTTTATTATATTTTGCTGTTTCTTCATTATCGAAATTAGAGTTGTCCACAGAAACTATGTGTTTATTATATATGTTAATTTGAGAAGTTAGGAAATTGTGTTGAATAGTAGAACTACCACTGAGATATGCCTTTAGTAATTCATTTGAAGCAACTCTTACATCGAATGTATGGACAGAATTAGCATAGAATGTCCAATTCAATAGTATATTAACTACTGGAACAAGTTCTAGACTTTCATTTTCTACCGGAGTAGCTATTGTAGGGTCTAAATATGGTACATCAATTTTTGCAAACTCGTTTTGGATTTTTTCATTATTTCTGATTAAATCAGCTGCAGTTATCAATGCTATAGGCCTAGTTTTTCTTGGAGTGTTGTAATAAAAGACTAAGCGCAATACAGTTATTAAAATTCCAGTTTCTAACAAAGCTAACTGATGATGAGACGTTGCAGAACTATCTGGATCAACGAGCAGTGAGACAATGTCTAATGATGTATTAATGTTGATTATTCTTTGATCATTCCAAAAAAATTCTTCGTTTGGTACCAATGGTTCATTAAGAACTTCTCCTAATTTGGAAAGATTTCCGCTTTGGATGAATAATTCTTGATTGGATGTATTATACTTTAAAATGTTATTAATTAAAGAAAGACAATCATTAACAATCAAGGAACCTCTGAGACCGCCTTCTTCCTTGATTATGGAAAACAACTTTTCAAATATATCTTCAAATGCAACTAATTTTTGGACATGTGGTGAATCATTAACAACTGCCATTAGTAGCAGAATAGCTTCATCTCTAACAGGCTCATGTATATCATTTAACAAAGAAACAAGAATAGATATACTGGTAGGAAGGGTTACAATAACACTCTTGGCCTTTAGCGGTCTTGTAACTAATAAAGCCTCCAGCAATTGAACAGTGTAAAGTCTAATGTGAAAATCTTCTATCTCTAAAAACTTTAAAACTAAGTGAACAAGAGGTTCATCTTGGATCAAGGCGTCAGTTATCCATATAGAGAATTGATCAACCGATTGTTTTTCTGTTTTCATTACCAAAGGAGAAGGGTATTTTCCATTTTGTAATCTAGATTGTTGAGAGATCCAGTTTCTTGTCAAGTCATCACTTCCATCACCTCTGATAAATAAAATTAATAAGGTTTCTAAAATTGCTTTTATCATTTTTTCATCTTCATGATCCTTTTTTAAAGTATTTAACAGTGGTTTTAATCCTGATGCAATAACTGTTTCTCTATATTGTCTACTAAAGGCTTTGATCCCAAGAATCGCAGATCGTCTATCATTTATTAAAGTAGCATTTTCAGCTCTATCGCATAGGGTTGGGATTGTTTCATCCACAGTTTGTGGTTTCTGTGGTTGAATAAAACCTTGAATTATATCCATTCCACTTTGGTTAATTATAAATGCAGAGTAATAACTTCAGGTTTCAATATGAATTGAATAAATAGCTTTACAGTTTGATCAATTTACTAGTCCAAACTACTCATAGAATCAATTATTAATCCTGATGTACTATAAAAGCCTATATATGCAAATTTTATAATTATTTTTGTTTATTTTTCTTGTTTGTTAAAAGAACTACAGGAAATATCGAAAAAGGCAAAATATTTATCACAAAAGGTTTTTAATTTAAAAATCGATTATATACATTTGTGAACAACTCATCTACAAACAGAAAGGTCAACAGTTGATTTATTTTTGTCTGTTCATGGTTTGAAAAGGAAATTTTAATGAAGAAATATTTTAGGATTAATTTTAAATGAGTTTGACCCTTGTATCATGGTATTTCAACAACATAAGATTATGGACGATTAAATTAAGTTGATTTAAAGGCAATTAATGAAAAAGAGGAATGTGAAAAACAAACTGTATATATCTGTTAGGTGGGTGAATTTAACCGTTACTCTCAACTTTGGAGATTAAAGGTTTTTTTGAATACAAGAACCTTATTGTAAAAATACAAAATGATTTTAAAAAAACAATATTTAGTTGATTTCTTCTAATTATATGATAACAATTAGAGAACATTTAAAAAATAAATCATCAGATTGTATTAAACTTCTTTAGTAAATATTTGTTTGATAGTTGTTCGATAGATATTTAAAATTAAAACTACTGACCTCTACTTAGGAATTGAAGTTTTACTGTTAATAAAAATAATGCTAATAAAAATTTTATTTGGTATGAGGAGAAGGTGGACAACAAAGAAATTTTTTAATAAGCATTAATAAGAGATTTTGAAAACAGGATTAATTATATAAAAATATTTTTTCGAAAAGTTGTATGAATATACAAAAGCTAGCCTATTTTAAAGATATGTATTTTTATAATACTATATTTTAGTATCCAATGAATTTTCTTACAGTTACAAAGCTTAATTGTGAATTACTGCCATTATGTTAACTTTTATCAGGGTTTAGTATGTTTATATTTTGGAAAAAAAGCATATGTGCTTGAGTTGTTTACATTTTTTGAGAATTATAATAAAATCGAATTTTCTGACACTTGAGTAAATAAAAACAAAACAAGCAACTAAGTGAAATAAACACATATTTAACTAAAATACTAATAAAAAAATGTACCTAATGTTTTGCTTGACTGGACTGTCTCACTCTCTTGCCAATATTACCTCTCAGTAGTGTTATGAATATATCTAATTGTAAAGTAGGGTGAGATGTGATTATTTTTTATTATAATATTTCTGCACTTATGATAATGTTGATTCTTATGGCTGTCAATGGAATATGAAGGTAGGAATAGATTTATGACACTTTTTAAACATATTCTGGTCTACAACGTTCAGGGATAACATATGTTTTTGTTGACAATTGAGAAGAATAACAAAAAAATATTATAATTTAAGTTTGTAAAATATGTATATTCATCCAAGTTGTAATGATATATGATTCTCACCTATTTTATGTTGATATTTACTTTTTGCATTTTTCCAACATCTTCTTATCTCTAAAAATGCGTTACTTTTTTTGCATAAATAATATTAATTAAGAATAAGGAAAGATTGTAACAGAAAAAACCTTAGATTACAATTTGTTGTTTTGAGGTATGGAGGACAAGTTACAGAGCTTTCTAAAATCTTAATGGTGTGATGAAATACATTAACATGTCTATAAGAAGCTTCAATTTTTATAGTAAATTTGTCTCTACACTAGTGGTACTGGTAGTTCCAGACCGAAATATATTATGACTTGAACAATCACTTTGGTAGCAAAATAATATTTCGCTAATTGACTAATCCATTTGTATAAGAAATTATGTAAATCAGTACTTGCGATAATTTTTTCAACAATTTATGATCAGTATGTATTTCAAATTCCTTCTCCAACAAGTTATGATACTAATGCTTCAAAACACATACAAATATATATAACTCTTTATTTTATGTTGGTCAACTTACTTTATAACTAAATAAAAATATGCTCATAGATGATTCCAGTATGAACTCTATCATACATAAGAGTCAATGTAATTAAATGGGTATATAAAGATAGATGTGTTAATAAATATGTAAAACAAGAACGTCATTATTATTAAAAGGATTTATTGTGATAACCTTAATTTCCATTATAACCACAAATCTATAGATTTTAAAATAAAATAGATAAAACTAGTTATGGAATTCTAAATAGGTAGGTAACAATAACGACAGTAAAAAGTTACATATTCTATGGTTTGTTCGTCTACTTAAAATATTGTCCAATCGCTCCTACAGATAGAGGCTGTGATATATGAAATCTTGATGCCCCTAGAAATGATCTTGTGAACTCTTTATTCGACGACAACGTTCTTGGTTTTCTTGTTTCTCTTGCTTATACAAATATGTCTATCTGTATATTTGTGTATGTTAGTTTACTTCTCGTGTAGAGTAGAGTTTATATATTCTATATAGAGAAGAAATCAAGCAACATTTATCTATTTTAGTGGTTTAGGAGAGCACATCTCTGTAATATCTCTGATATTATTGTTTAGGGTTTTGTTAAGAAAAATGAGGGTTGACGATATTTTTCTAAACTTTCCTTTTTGCAAATTTTACAAACATAGATAAAAGCAGGAGTAACCAACATAAGTACAAGAGAGCAGCCAAGAAGAAGAAGAACGAACAAGAAGAACAAGAATAAAGAACAAGGAACCAAGGATTAAATAAGTAGAGATATATAGTATATAAGTGTATACTATTAGGTTAGCTTAGACTAGAAATATAGATATATAGATACATAGGAATACTACCTCTAGAGATATAGCAAGAGTCTATATCTTAATATTTATCCAGGTGAAATATTATTGAAATTTTAACAAGATTAACTGTTATCAGAAACACATAACCTAAGGGTTATTACGATCTCTTGTAATAGGGTTTTCATCCATTACACCTTCTATAGATTTCGTATCATATGATATTATAATTCAAATTTTTCTAAAAATGATTTCGCCCAGGATCGAACTGGGGACGTTCTGCGTGTTAAGCAGATGCCATAACCAACTAGACCACGAAACCATGTTCTTGCTATAACTTGTTATAGTTTGGACTTAGGACTAATTCTTTAACAGGAATATTGAACGAATAGTAAGGGCAATAACAAATATATATGAACGTTATATATAGGAGAATTAAGGATTATTGCTTGTTTTTCTATTTATGTTTTTATACAATATATAGATTATTTACAAAAAACGGTTATGGAAGATGATCTTTTATCTCCAGAAAACGTTGTCCTTTTATGTGTTTTCTGGAGCTCGATCGATTATTCAGATTAGTACATTAATGATTTAACTGATTTAAACCCTAAAATTTATTACATTAATCTAGGTGCACTAGTGGATTAGAACTGCACCTCAATTCTCTAATCATGGTAATTATTATTCTATTCTACAACATAATTTCTTGTAACATGAGGTGGTCAGATTCTTTTGTGTATTTCGGGGAAGTGTAAATAATATTAACAGTTATTCAAATAATCAAGACAGTAATCAACTAACGCTTCCCGAATACTAAAAAACCTTTGACCACTTCATATTACAACAGTGGTTGTTGTATAATAAAGAAGTTAATACCATTGAGATTACGTAAGGTTCCTGTTAAATCCAGAATTGTATATTGTTTTTTAAGTACAACATATTCATTCGCCACCTGCTTGTACAGTGTATCTATTTGCCACCTGTTCTTGTACAGCATGTTTATGTACTTCTGTTACTGCATTGCCATAACCTATTGTCCTAGATGTTTTATGAGATTCAATTATATCATTAGTTATAATGAACACGGTGTATCTGGATACAATAGGTAATTCTAGATTCGACTAGAATCTAATGTACTTTCTATGACAATGGCTTCTTATTTTACAAGATTTCTGGTCTGGTAATAATTATAATATAATATTAAATTATTAATATCATAAAGGATATTGTTTGAACTTCTTTTTATTCTAAAATATAGAATGTTGGTTAAAAGAAATGAACAATATTTTCATATGTTTTTGTTATTAACAGTATTTTTAATGTATTTTTAAAAAAACTGTTTTCAAAAATATTTATGAAAAATATGAAGGAACAGATTGTATTTGTTTATAACCATGACATACTTAAATTTTGTTGAAATGAAATTAGAGCTGTATGTGCTAACTTAGATTCTTCGTACTAAATAACTGAAAAATTTTATAACAGCATATAAAAAAAGAATAAAAAAATGTGTTATAATGTATATTAGCTATATATCTATAGTAAGTATGTAGAACAAAATAAAGTAACCAACACAATAATAATTTATAGTACTACTACAATCCTATTATAAATATACGATAGTTTTTAATACCATCGATATCCTATTATAAGTTATAGTGTCTTATTATATTAATCTAGAATAGATATTAGTAAAATATTTGATACTAAAGTCTTACATTAACAAAATTAAAATTTCAAAGAAGTGGTATTTAAAAAGTATGAAGAATGCAACATCGGAATGCTATATTATCTATAAATATTTTAGAAATAAGAAAGAAAAAGGAATATATAGCACAATAACAAGATAAGTCGATGTTAATAATTAGATGTAAAACTTAATATAGCATATAAGAATGTTAAGTAATTACGCATATCTTAAATCAATTACTTTATTTTGTGTCTCAAGTAGTAAATATTAGTTATGATTCTTTTAATGAGTTTTTTTGAATAAAAATATTTGTTGAAATAAAACAAAGTTAAACTAAACTCAAAAGTAGCATTGGCACTTAACAGAGTCTTTCTTTGTCATATTTTTATATTTTCCTGATATCTTTGACAATCGATTTACTAAAATAAGATGAATACTGAATTAATTAAAACAAAATTATTTTTTGACTAGATGATAGAACTGACAATGGTTTGTTCATTTTTTAGAATTACTTACATAATAATACATAAATGTCTAAAAATGTACAAAACAACTACAAATTTTAAGAATAAATTTTGGGAGCTTTGAAGAATAAATGTCCTCTTTAACCATAAGCCTAAGGTATTAGTGGGATTTGTTTTCTTGATTAGTTAGTAATGTTATTGATATTATTAAATGTGTAATACATTTCATTATGTTTTAAATAGTGTATAAAAAAATAGATAGAAATATATAATTTAAAACATATTTATTAATAATATTGGGAGTATAACTATAAAAATGTTTTTTGGCTTTTTTTTTCTCCTAAGGTGTAGATTTCATTTTTGGAAAAACAATTTATTCACACTCATTCTTTCCTTAATATATTTTTCATTGGTGTTAACAATAATATGTTTAACAATGTTAATTGCCAGTTTTTTAATTGTCGTGTATATTATTTTTCCGTATTGTCTTAACAATATTGTCAGTTTTCTCATTTAAAATTAAATTATTATAATTTTTGATGTTAATATTATCAAATTTAACTTTTTTTTTAATGTTTTGTGTTTCAATTGTAACTTAATAATTCGAAATCGTAAAGAAAAAATAAACAAAAAAACGTATTACTGGATATGAATAATATTATTTATTAAAATGGACATAAAAATTTGATAATCCCTTATGTATGAACTAAAAATATAAATTTGTGTTGAAATATGATTAGAGTTATGTTTGATAATCTAAATTCATCGTACTAAGTGATTAAAAGTTATGAAAATTTATATTAAAGAAGATTCAAAGATAAAATGAGTATACTGTATAATATTGTATTTTGTATATTAGTTATGTAGAAAGAAAAAGACCAAGCAATAAAATAACAATTTATAGTACCACTAATTTTCTACTATAAATAATAATAAAACACATAATACCACCAATATCCTATTGTAAGTTACATTATCTTATTATATTAATCTAAAATGAATTCTACTAGAATTTTTGATTCCGAAGCCTTGCGTCAACAATTTGTATAAGTAAAAGAAATAACTAAATAATATATTTAGAGAGAAGTTATAAAATTTGTTTTATTAACTTTCTAACTATATCCTAATATAATATTTCAATTGTCTCTTAACAGTTATTTCTTACGTCTGTTTTGACTGCATCATAGTCAATGATTGTTAAAAAATATTGTAAATTTATTTTGCAAGTGTAAAAGTAATTTACTGTTAAAACCACAAAATTTGGCGTCATAAAATATTTCAAAAAAATAAACCATAAGACAAGTGCTATTTGAAAGCAACCATCATAAATACTGTAATAGTAATTTTTAACAGTAAACTAACACACCAGATATAAGTATAAATATGTAAAATGTAATGTTTAATATATAAATGAATATTCATAAAATACCAAACATATATAAACTCGGTAAATACCATATTATGATATTTCTATCAGATTATAATATTATTTAACTATGTATTACTTATGTCATATATTACATTTCATACTTTTTCTTAAATCAAGAAAGGATACAAATCAATATTAGTAATATAAGAATCACCACATTTTATGTGCTTCAAAAACTTTTGTAGCATTTACTCTATAAAGTATATAATTTACATTAATTAACTTGAATCCACTTTATTATTTACACATGATGATACCAAGAAATAATACCAGTCAATTCATTTATAATTCTAATGTGAAAAATTCACATACATTTAGCTAATATTCACAACAGAGTAAATTTAAATTCTTACATAAAAATCATAGAACTTAAAAAATACTTTTAAAAAACGTTTAAACTTGTAAATCAAAAATTATATTTAAAACTCACATAATATATAATAGGCAGAAAAATATCAATGAATATAGAATCTAATAATTTCATCATATACCTATCTAATCAAACCTTATATTATGCCTTATTAAGTCATAAACTCTACTGAAAATCTTTAACACAGAATCACAGTCTTAACATTATTTAGAGCTATTAGAGAGAATTTTAAAAAAAATTGCCTTAGTTTCTTTCAGAATTTTCTGCCTATAATATATGTACTTGAGAATAATAACCTGATTATGTTCATTTATTGGTCAATATACATTTATTTAATAAAAACATTCAAAAAATTTGATGTCTTACAATATTTATTGGCTTATCTCTAAGTTTCATCTCAATAATAGTTGTCCAATAAATTCAATCATTAAAAAATATTAAGAATAATTAGAATAGTTTAATTCCTTATTGTATACAAAAAAAATAATAATGTGTTAATCATAAAACATTAAAAACTGAATTACACACACACTTTTTTATAAAATTATGATATAAAGAAAAGAAGATATGTATTCATATATATATTCAAATTTATTTTTTTTTTGAAAAATTATGTCCAATATGAGCAAAACAAATAATCATAAAAATACTAATGTTTTACCTTTTTTGTATTTTATAATTATTCAAATTATTTCTGACTATATACATTTTTTAATATATCTTCTTATAACATAGTGTCTTTGAAGGATTATCCATCACAATTAACCTTTGAATTCTTACAACTTATATAATACATATATGATTACTTTTTTTAAAAATAGAAAACAATTGTTAGTTTATATATAATATTCTATCAAATTAGTTAAAAAAAACCATCTTAAACTATAACAAAAAATATAAAGAGGGAATATTCAAATAAAATGTTAACAATTACATATATATATATATATTATAACTATCTATCAATCTAGTATGCAGAAATATTATGGTTTTTTAGCGATAACATACCAATTATCCCTTTCATAACCACTAGTAATGATTTTTGCACCGGCACTAATACAATCTTCTTCCAACTCACCTTCACGATACAAGTGATAATATCTATACTTAGTAATCTCATTTTTTTCTTCATGTCTTATCTGTTGGGATTCCTTTTCCTTTCTTTCTTGTTCAATTCTGATATCCTCTTGTTCTTTTTTCCATTTAGCCATATACAATGCTCTTTCCTTTGGTGGAATCCCAGATAAATCAGGTTTAATAAGATTTTTCTTATCTTTACTCTTATCTGAATCACTAGTATCTCTCTTCTTCTTAGTCTTTTCTTGCAAAACCCAAGGGACAAGAATATCCTGTTCCATTCCTTCATGATAACCTCTTCTAGAAGTGCTTTGTTCTAAAGCCCAACAATAAATTAAAATCTGACTGCCACTTTTAACTTTATTTAAAATATGATTTATTGCTTGAACTCTTCTTTCCCTTGTCGACCAATGATGAACAACGGCAATAGAGATTGCAAAATCAAAGGTATTATCTCTATGAGGTAAACACATCCCATCTGCTACAAGAACATTATATTGACCATTAATCTCATGAGCACATTTAATTAATCCATCTGATCTATCTGAGCCAATTATAAAGATATTAGGATTAACATTTAAATATTTCCCGTTCCCACAACCAACATCTATCCCAATGCTACCAATGGGTTGCCCATTTAAGAATTTGGTCACAATTGGCCATGGTTTATATCTTGTTTGAGAAAAATGAGAAGCAATTTCATTATATACTTTATGAACGTATTCTTCTTCTTTTGCAGATGCCATTATGGATCTATGTTATTATTCTGTATTATTCCTCTTTCTTATGTGATAAATTTGAGCTATATTGAATACACAAAATAACAAATATTGATACTGATGCTATTACTATACGTAATAGTACGACTTTTACACACTTAAAATTGAATAAATAAAAGGATACATCAACATTGTATATATACTATCTGAATAAAAGACTCCTCAATAACTTTCGTATTCAGTCACAACTAACTAAACAGAAAAAATTTTTTTTTCTACGTAGTGTGCAGGACATATTGTATCACTTTGAAATAATAAAATAAAACAAGAATAAAACTAAATAATAAGCTAAAGGTAAGTAATTAGTATTCAATCATCCCTCTTCTTCATATAATAGTGGTATCACTCCCATGTTTATAAAAGACGAGGACAAAAGTTTTAAAGATTCTATTACAATGGGAATATAAATAAGCTGAATTATTCGAGTAAATGGATATTAAAAAGAAATACTATCTATTCTATTTCCACATCTTCTCGAATTCGACCAACAAACAGATACACAAATGCACAGATACCCAGATGCACACATACACATATCTGTATATCATTGCACTTTCCTTTAATCCCCTTTACTGTCCTATTTTTCACTATATTGCCTCCAATGCCATAAATATACATACAGATTCTCAATTCTTTTCTTACATGTAGGTTATATATCCAAGGTGTAATATATTCCAACACTGTTCCCACAATAAGCTATAACCATACATATCTAGATAGGACCGATATATAAGAGAAGAACATAAAGTGAGGGAAATAGAAAGCCTCTTCAATTGAAAACAGAAAAAAAATATCATGCTACAAAAATTGTTTCTAAAATTAGAATCAGATAATATTAATACGAATACCCAAAATAAACCAACAATAAATCTATGAATAAAATAGAAGTTTACAATTCTCCATGTTCTTGTATTCTTTTCGTGTTTTCCTTCCTCCTGCATTCACTTTCCCCATCTTCTTACGAATCTTGATCTCATTACAATTATTTGTTAATTCTCCCTGATCTTGGCAAAATCAGATGCCCTAAATACATAGACAAGTGTATACATATCCGTTATATATATTTACTCGTGCATTTTAATTCATATCACCACGAATCTAAATGCTTCAGTCTTTGATCCTTCTTTTATGAGGATAATCTTCTATATTTTACTTTTACTGTTAACTTTCTTTCCTCGAGGGGAAAAAGACAAAAGAATAATTATTTGATTAGATCAAACTTTGTTTCAATACAATATAGTAAGAAACACAAGACAATACATATACATATACATATACCTACATACATGTATATACCAAGCAGGGGAATCGAATATAAATTGATTACAACAAGATAATTGTTTCTTCAGTAATCATTGTTTATATCTTCACCTTTCATCTTCATCTACTACACTCTCATTTCCTTTTCAACGTCTACATATTCGTTTGCTTAACGTGGTTCAATATTTTCCCTATCCCATTCTTTTGTGGTAAGTACCCACATATACAATATTAAAAATACCATATTTGTCATCTTTTTTGCATATATTCATTTTATTTTAATATACTCTGTTTTTACATATACCATTTTCAATTAATTTACTTGTCAATCAAAGCCTTTTTTTTTATTACAATCTAATGGGTAATTCAAGCTCTAAATCTAAATCAATATCCACGTCTTCCAACGATGGTAGTGTTATAACATCAACGAACAATAAGTCTAAGAACAACTCTAATATTTCTTCAAAAGTGAATATTCCAAAACCCACTGCAATTAGTTCCACTCCTGAGAAAAGTTCATCTCTGTCTAATTCTAACAAACCCATAACAAATAACCAAAACTTGGATCAAAATAAAAAAAATCTCAAACTTAAAGATAAAAGCTTTGAAAGTAATGAAAAACCACCAATACTAGGCCATTATAAATCATATTCTAATTCGAATGACTATTCAAATAAAACTTCTCAGAAAAGTATTCACAACGTCAATCCAAGCAATAATATTCGTCGACTCCACCGTAAATCTCATTCAACACATGAAGTGCTTCCCACTATCGTTAGTCACAACACTAATAACATTCCTGATATTAAAGTTTCCGATTCATCTGATCCTGCACAAGATAATATGAATAGCAGTAATAATACCAATAAAAGTAAAATATTACCAAAAAATAGAAGTGATCTTATGAATAGACGTTCAAGTTTTAATACGACAGTAGATTTACCGCCATCAATGGTTCAAATAGAACCTAGATCTTCAATTTTGAAAAACAATCAACATTCTTTATCCTCCCATTCTCTACATTCTTCTGAAAATATAGTAAGTCAAACAGCTACTCTAAATAATATGCCACCTGACGCATCTCTTTATCACTCCCATAATCACCGTCATCGTGACAAACATAATTCTAAGGGGTCAAATCCAAACCAGAGAAAATATGGTTTATCATATAATCAAACTCAAGCCCTTTCACCTTCCAAATCAGGTTCACCTAATTATACAGTAAGTGATAATAATACTATTAATGCTATCGAAAGATCGAATAATTCTAATCACAATAAACTGGATCCATATATGTCATCACATCTAAGTAAAATAACCTCATATGGATCTAATACAACCACGGCCTATAGTACACCGTTAAATTCTCCTGGTTTGAAAAGAATATTTGAACATTATAAGAAAAGTGAATTGGAAACTGGGGATTATTTTGGTAATATTAATAACTATAAAAATACTGATAACAACAATTCAAGAGAATATGTATCATCTGGTGGAACTCCAACCATGGCTAATCATGATCATTCTCCACTACATCAACAGCAATATTTTATATCAGATAATCACGACTACGCTGAAAGTACTTTCAAAGATGTTTATCCACATACAAATAGTACTAACAATATTAATAGCGACACTTTAAATGATCCTCATACACAAAATGATATCTCTAATACATACAATAATCGTAATATCAGTAATGGTAATTTAAATATCACAAAAAAGAAAAAAATTATCAAGCCTCTTGATATTGATGCTACAATTCAAAAATTATTGGATGCAGGTTATGCAGCAAAAAAGACTAAAAACGTTTGTTTAAAAAACTCTGAAATTACTCAAATTTGTAACCTTTCCAGAGATATTTTTCTATCTCAACCATCATTGTTGGAACTTTCACCACCAGTCAAAATTGTTGGCGACGTTCATGGCCAATTTAGTGATCTATTAAGGCTATTTACAAAATGTGGGTTTCCACCATCCTCAAACTATTTATTCCTTGGTGATTATGTTGATCGTGGTAAACAATCGTTAGAGACGATTTTATTACTATTATGTTATAAGATTAAGTATCCAGAGAATTTTTTCTTATTAAGAGGTAACCATGAATGTGCTAATGTGACAAGAGTTTATGGGTTTTATGATGAATGTAAGCGTCGTTGTAGTATAAAAATTTGGAAAATTTTCATTGACACATTCAATACTTTACCCTTAGCAGCTATTGTGGCTGGCAAAATATTCTGTGTTCACGGTGGTTTATCACCAGTATTAAACTCAATGGATGAAATTAGGCATGTTAGTAGACCCACCGATGTCCCAGATTTTGGATTAATTAATGATTTACTATGGTCTGATCCAACTGATTCTCCAAATGAATGGGAAGATAATGAACGTGGTGTCAGTTATTGTTATAATAAAGTAGCAATCAATAAATTTTTAAATAAATTTGGATTTGATTTAGTTTGTAGAGCGCATATGGTTGTTGAAGATGGTTATGAATTTTTTAATGATAGAAGTCTTGTCACCGTATTCTCTGCTCCTAATTATTGTGGTGAATTTGATAACTGGGGAGCAGTGATGACTGTTAGTGAGAGTTTATTATGTTCATTTGAGTTATTAGATCCATTAGATAAAGCTGCCTTGAAACTAGTTATGAAGAAAGGAAGGCAAGAACGAAAATTAGCTAGTGCGCAACAAAATCAATTACATTCTACGGAAAACTCTTAGTAATACATAACCATACCTATACATATGTTAAAAGAATATAAACAAAGAGATTTCTTTTTGTTTTATCTGTTAACATTGCGATAACGTACAAAACAACTTATATGGCAAAATTGTGGAGAAATTGGATGCCTATAACTTTGTTCAACTTAATTTCCAAATAATATTTATCACTAAGTGTGTTTAATCATAAACTTAAACTTGATACATATATCTATATAGATATATACTAGAACATGTAAACCTCACCTATTATATAAGTATACAGATAAGATCTAGTATTAGGGTTCTTTTTGCTTATTTATTTTTTTCAATGATTAGAACTATGCAGTAATATTGACAACAGCAAAATAGAAAATTATAGTCCTTTAAATTTTTTTTCTATTCACAGATATAACTTAACCTTTGCATGAAAAGAATAATTTTCAATAATGAGAAGTGATAAATGAGCATGTCAATTATTTTACACGAAAAATTAGTTTTTATTTTGTTTTTTATTTTTGTTTTAAATATAGCTTCCAGAATAGTTGCTATTACTACGATAGTACCCACCACGGCCACGACTATTACTATGATGCCCACCTCTATCGTTTTTTGTAGTTGTTTGTAAAAATCCACTTGCAGGAGCAAATAACGATGGTCCACCGTCTTTCTCCTCAAAGGTTTGTTTACGATATGATGTATTTCTACTATTATCGAAATTATTGTTAAAACGTTGATTGTATCCTCCACGTCCCCTATTATTATATCCTCTTGAAAAGTTTCCACCACGACCACCACGACCACCACGACCTCTCAAACCAATACCTCTTCCACCTCTATATGATTTATTATAATTTTGTAAATTGTTACCACTTGGAGACATATCTCTTTCTTGATTCTTGAAAGTGAAAATCTTTGAAGATTCTCCTTCAATATTTTCATAAAGTTTATTTTTTGTTCGATCTTCCGACAGATCATAATTTTCATATGTTTCTGACATGGTCACATTATTATTGTATTCAGAAGAATTCTCTTTAGATTCATTTCCTTGCTTGATATCATGGCTGTTTGACACGTTTTCACTATTACTTTCGTTGTTGGAAGGATTTGAAGTCGCCAGGGAATTGGATGAGGAATCAAGAACTTTCCCCGAACCAGCATTTTGAGGTGAATTTTTCTTAATAGAATCTAATAATGATTGTTGTGCTACCTCAGAATAACTCAATTGCGGTTTTTTCAATATTGTGATCTTTGGTTTTAAAGATTCTAATGGTTCGCCTTCAGATAACCTTCTTAAGGTCTCAGTATCCTCTACATGCAATCTTTCCATCTTTTCTTCTATATCAAGTATTTTAGATTGTGTATCTACAGGTTTTGCTGTTCCAAATGGATTTGTTTTATTCTTTGGAACCAAGTAGGGTTTTGATGGATCATCGCTTGGATCTGTCAACAGATTAATTTTGGACATGTATTCCTTAAAATCCTCATATTGAGCGGGTTCTGTGTGAATCTTATAGATTTCTTTCAAAGGTTGATACCAATATTTCAAAATTTTCATTATATCACGAGCCGAATAAACTTCAACGAATGCTACTTTTGCATCACGCTTGAAATTTTGATCAAAGATGGAACCAGATTTCAAAGTGGATAAGGATGGATTTTTATTAATTTCCCAAAATATTTTAAATTTTACAAATTTGGTATATTTAGCTTCAAATAATTCTTCTATATCAGAATCTGCAAATCTTGGTGGTAAATTAGAAAATTTGATCATATATGGGGGTCCTTGTACTGTGAACTGTTGTTGATTGTTTGCATAGGAATCTGGGACGTTTCTTAATTGAGGATTTTGTTTTTTATAATAGTCATTTTGATTAAATGAGGAAGAGGAAAGAGAAGTAGAATTAATAGTAGTAGAAGTGGGAGAAGAGACAGAAGTAGAAGCAAAAGGAAGTACTGTAGAATTTACAGGATATTGTGGTGAAACTATATTTTGATGAATTTGAGGTTGGTTACCACGGATACTATTATTAGTAATGTTACTTTTTTGATGGCTATTTTTAAGAACTTCAATGTTAATAGTATTATTAATAGCATCTATATTAATGTCATCTTCATTCCAAACAGAGTCCCCAAGTGAATCATCACCAAGAAACTCTTCTAACGACATTTTTTTTGCAGAATCATTTTTCGAGCCTATTTTTAATAGAAAAAAGAAATAGAAAATATAGAAATATTATAACAATAAGAATAAAAACAAATAATAATAAAGTTATTAAAAGTTAGTAAATGATAATGAAAAAAAAACAAACAAACAAATAAACATTGATCACTATCAATTTCTGTTTCACAACAACAGGAAACAATCGATATTATGATAAAATGATTTGAATAACATACTCATGATAGATCAAAATAGGTCTATTATTATAGTTCAATTATCTATAGATGCCTCAAATATCACTTTTATAGCTAAATGAACCTTCTCTCTATAAATCATACGTTACAAACAAGGGGTGACTAATCTACATAGGCAAACGTGACTGTGTATCTTCCAAACGTACAAACGTGCAAATGTATATATATATTACTACTACTGGTTATTTGACACTCAAAAATAAAAAAAAGAAATCAAATCTTTGAACAAAGGACAACAACAACAACAACAACAACAACAAAAAAAAAGAGAAGATAGGTGTCGAGGACATTACCCGGAACTAGGGCTTGAAACATCTTCTTTTTCCAAGGGAAAAAAATACAACGTACTTAGGGCTTGTAAATTTTTTCAAAAAAGGTTCCTCAATTTTTCCTTTAGTGTCTTTTTTCTTTTTCTTCTTCTTTTTCGTTGTTCCTAATAGAATAATTTCCAATTTCAGTGCAAAAATCTTTTCCTTTTCTCCTCACCTCCACAACCTCATTTCTTTTAGATTTCATTTCTTTTTTTAAATTTCTTCGTTTATTGAAAAATAGCAAATCCACAAATCCACAAATCCACAAATTCCCAGACACACACACAAAAACTCAAATCTTTTTTTTCTTCCTTCATTTTTCTTTTTTTTTTTTTTTTTTGCGAAAATATAACTGATAAATCTACCGAACCTGTAAAAAATAGATGAAATCGTTAAGAGAATGTCTATCACAACTTTTATGTACTGTTTCTGCTTGGTTCAAACTCTACCATGATCTACTCTTTTGCGTTGTGAATCAATTTTACGTTAATTGCAGCTTGACAATTGCTTTTTTTCTCTTTTTCTACTTCCTTTTTTTTGTTATTCTATTCTTTATCTGTCTATCTATCTATCTATCTATCTACTCTAGAAATCCGTACATACGTACAGATAGACCTTTAGTGACTAGTGGTGACAGCTCTAGAAATTCATATCTCAATTCTAACCTTATATTTTTTTTTTTCATTTTTTCACTTGCTTATTTTTGTTTTACCTTTGTATTGATTTGTTTCACTTTATTTCATGCTATAATACCAAAGATAGATAAAATAAATATTTAAAGACTTTAAAAAGGACTAAAAAAAAAATTAAAAAGAAGAAAAGAGAGAAAAAAGAATCTAAATCCTTTTCAACTAATATTTGCATTATTTATCAGATACTAGCCTTTTATATTTGATTTTAATCCACTATATTGGATTCACTTATTCTTATCAATAAATATGATATCGAATTTTAATAAACAATGGAGTCTGGGACTCTTTATGCTTGCAATAGTCATCTTTCTTTGGGTTTTATCCTCTTTTTTAATCAATATCATATTCGAAAATGATGATTATAGAAAACCATTTTTTATCACATATATAAATACAACTGCATTTATGTTTTATTTATTACCCACGTTCAAAAATATTATCCATAATTATAGAAATACAGGGAAGTTCCGTATCCATGAAGAACTGATCTTAGAGGAAGAAGGCATAACGAATATTTGTGGCGAAGATCCAATCTATAGAATAGTACGTGATGGTGCATTATCCGTTCATAGTCCTCTTTTAACTCCAAAGACAAGTAATGATTCAATGCCACCTAATCACTTGGACAATCCAACTATAGATACCGAGAATCATAATCCCGCCTTGAATAAAATGAATACAGGATCTGTTATATTCCATGATGAAAATCGTCTATCTTTACCAGAAACGATCAAACTTAGTGCTCAATTTTGCATCTTATGGTTCTTAGCAAATTTCGCTACAAATGCATCGTTAGCATACACCTCAGTCGCATCACAAACAATTTTATCTTCTACATCATCATTTTTTACCCTTTTTGTTGGTGCTTTATTCAATGTAGAATCTATCAATAGGCTTAAATTATTAGGCGCTTTTGTGTCGTTCTTTGGAATAATGTTAGTCACTAAGTCCGATTCAAATCCTAAAAAATGCAGGAATTTTCAAACAGGAATGATATGTCCTGAAAATGAACTAAATTCTTCATCAACTGATACATTTTATATTCTTATAGGTAATATGTTAGCCTTAGCAGGTGCATTCTTTTATGGTGTCTATAGTACTTTATTGAAAAGGAAAGTTAAAGATGAAAACAGAATCAATATGAAAATTTTTTTTGGGTTTGTCGGTTTGTTTACTTTACTACTATTATGGCCTTCATTATTATTATTACACCATTTTGGTTGGGAAAGATTCGAGATTCCTACAGATCCTCGAATAATTTTGATCATTCTATCGAATTGTTTCATTACATTTATTAGCGATTTTTGTTGGGCCAAAGCAATGCTTTTGACAAGTCCTCTTACAGTCACAGTGGGGCTTAGTATTACAATACCAGTCGCAATGTTAGGCGATTTTCTATTTAGACACAAGACTATGTCAGAAGTATATCTGGTGGGTGCCTCCTTAATCCTAGGCTCATTTTTTATCATAAGTAGAAGTTCGGAAGAAGAACATCTTAATAAAATTATTGAGCAAGGTATTACCAATCAAGAGACCGAAGCATGATCATCGATACTAGTGCTACCACCACCACCACTACTATTACTAATATTTTATGTTTAATTTTAGAGGTCTCTGAATCCTCTATTGTATGGATTTTTTTTTTAATACATTGATTTCATATATTCTAATTGGGTAACAATATAATAAAAAAAGAAGCCAAAAATAAAGTGTACAAACGAAAGATTAATCAATGCTAATTATTTATTATACTTTATACACACTAACACATATTGCTCTTATATACTTATAGATATTAATAATGTAATTCATGTAACTTTTATTGAAAAAATAGATAAATAAGTAAATAAAAAAAAATAATAAATATGTTTGCATCTTCATTGAAAACCAATATGCATTATTTAATCAAAAAGAAGAATTGGGGAGAAATCTCTTCTCAAAATGGGTAAAATGGCTCCTTAATTTTATAACAGCTAATGAAATACGAGAATGTATAAAATACACCACATGCAAAGATACTAGAAAGCACAGTCTTTATTCTATCATCAACAAAAGACCATGTGTTTAACCAAATCAACAAAAGTGTAAAGAGACCCATTATGATGTACATACCGGAGACAAAAAATATTTCAATACCAAATTGCCATGAATTTCCTCCGCTAAAATACATTATTTTACCTTCATCATTTCTTGCTAATAAAGGAATATTATTTATTTGTGTAAATTTATAACCTGATATACTGTTCAATATAATAAAAAGGGACAAAAGATATAGTCCAACTTTCCATTTATGATCAATATTCGGAAGAACCACTTTTTTAATGAACAAGAAAACTCCAATAAAGAAAGTGAAATATCCAAAGAATTCAAACATATTAAAATCTTCTTCCAGTTGAATATATATTTGTAACATTTTTCCAACAAAGTTACCAAAATGTAAAATATCTTTAACACTTTGATTACTCAATTGATAATGATAAAATGGAGACTTTGACCATGAGAAATCACTATTTGCATTTGGTGGTGAGTAAGATACCACATGTGGAACGTTTTTCAATTTTAAATCATGTACCAGGCTTGGAACTTCATTCACATCAGCCATAAAAAATAAAACTTTGGAGTGAGGTGCCTGATCTCTAACAGCAGCCGCAACTTTACGATAAACAGGTTCAAAATCAACACATATTTGACAGTTATAATTATTATTATTTTTTGATCTCATCGTAAGAAACAATATATTATAATAACCATCTACACCTTGACTAATTATAGGATAGTTATCTTCAGTGACTTCAATTATGTTAAAAGCATTTTTTATCAAAGCTGGATGACTTGCATCGATCATAGCCTTACTAACTTTAAGAAAAAATAAACTCAGACACATAAAACATCTTAAAAGTAGCATTTTTAAAATATGTCGCACTTATTGATATCTATGTTAGAGTAAGAACAATGGCCTGCAAATGTCTTTAATTCCCTTTTTAAGCTTCCAAAACAGATAAGGCATGTAGATGTATTTTTATTAATCTATTTTTTTCTGTTTTGAATGTATTTTCCTTGCCTGTTTTCTTTTCCTTTTCCATATTCTTTTTTTTTTTTTTCGTTTTTTAGATGTTATTAAATAAGACTAAATTATTAAACATGAAAATATATATATATATGTATATATGGACATATGCGTGTATGTGTGATAAAGGGAAAGCAAAAACATGAGACCAGATGGTACAATCTACTTCAAGAAATTTAGACTTACACTTCTGTATTTCAATAAAACAACGATAAAAATAATTGTAATATCTTTATCTTCATGTAAATTAATTTCTATACTCATCAAGCTTGAGAAAACAGTAAAATCAAAATTTAACTTATATCTATAAAAACTTATAATATATATATATATATATGCTAGCATTTTTTCATTGGTCGGTTACAACTCAGAATGTTACAATTGGTACTTGAGTCCATTTAATCTATATTTAATATCCTTTAACACAGCGGTCTTAGGCCTCCAATCTTGGTATTCTTTGTAAAGACTCTGCACACTTTCATCACCAAGACTCTTTCTTGCTTGATGTAGAAGCCCTCTCATTGTCCAGGGAAGTCTATAAGGGTTTGTTTTCAGATCATCAGCTTTATAAGGAATATATTTAGCGGGCACATCTTCATAAGTGTCAGTAGTCTCCAATGCAAACTTCAATCCCAGGAGGTATACTTGGTACTCATTATAGATAGTAGAATGTCCACCACCTGTGAGAGTACCAGCTAACGAGGGACTAATTTCTTTTATGATGTTATGGTCATCATACCCCAAATTTAATAAAGTTCCAGCTATATTAACTATTCCTGTAATAAAGTTTGGAGTCAAAGAAGCTCTATCAATGAAAGTAGCTCTAAAGATATTTGGATGTTTCAAAAAGATACAAAACGAGGAATATAGAGGTACCAATTGGTCATTGATCGATGCAATAAAAGTCAGTTTGACGTTATTTGCTACTAAAGTCTTTAGACTTTGTATCAATTTCTTTGATTGAATAGAATCAGGTTTTTGAAATTCAAACAATTCCATCATTGCATCCTTTGCTATTGTAGTGTACGCTTTAACTAGGAGTGTCTGGTCTCTGCCATAGAAGGGCCCATTATTGATGCCTGCCATACCTAGGATAGACACAATTTTTTTATTTGGTGTTATGTTTGGACCAGTTTCAATATCATTAAAGAATTTTGTGCTGTTCAATCGAAGTATACCAGCGTCGAACAATTTAGCCAACAAAATGATTGTAACGGGGCAACCTTGTGAATGGGTCACGAAATATATGAAATCAGATTCATTAATTTGGTGTGCCCACTGTTTCATAACCTCAAAGAAGAAGTCCACTCTTTCAAAAATCTCGCCTTCTTTCTCCAGGGATATTTTATTTATCTGTATGTCAAATTTTTTCTTTTCATTGAAGTAGTCTACCACGACTTTCTCTGCTTCCTTAATAAACCTATCTGATGTGCCAGTTGGTTCACCAATGAAAGTTCTTAGCATTTTAGTAGGGAAGAACCCGTGGACACCAACAAGCAAGATTCTAATTGGTCTTTTGCGTCCATTGGATAGGTCGAGCAGAGTTTCATTTGAGGTTGTTCTGTATATATGTTTCTGTGGGTTGGAATTGTTGCCAAACATTTGTTTGATTGAACTCCATAGAGTTTTGGATGGCAAACATTCAAAATCTGGTATCACGATGTTTGGAGGTTGATTCATGGGGACATCAATTGTGGATCCAGTATTTTTTGATAAACGATTTGTATGGGATACGTTTAGATCTGAATCGTACGGGATAAAAGTATTAGGTATAATTTTTGTATTTTTATCGAAAGGGTCATTTTGATTCTCTACCATATTCACACTGTTATCATTGATATTATTTATATTAATAATAATATTATTATTGTCATTTATATTTTTGTTATGATTGAGATTGTGATTGAGATTGAGATTGTTGTTATTATTTTTATTAGTGTTTGAAGCGATTATGTCATCATTTTTGTTCCTCCAAAAAAACCATCCTCTATACCTTAATTCTTTATTATCGTTCTTGTTATTACCATTATTCTGTGACATTTAAAAGGTAAAAAAAAAAAAAGACAAAAGACAAAAAAACAAAAGAACAAGAAACAAAAAAAAGCAATAACAAAAATAAAAAAAAACAAAAAAAAAAACAAAAAAAGGTTAATTGTTCTCTTTGATTTCTTTCTTTCTTTCTTTCTTGTTTCCTGTATTATTTTCAATTGATAGTGCTTATGTTTTCAAATAGACTACCAACGATAACTACTGTTACTACTATTCTATATTTGGAAAGATTAATCCTAAACTTAGAATCAAACTTGAACTTTAAAGGATCAAATAAAACAGAATAGTAGAGAGAGAAAGAGAGAGAGAGAGAGAGAGAATAGCCAATCTAGTATACTATGATGTAATATTGTGGCATAGCAATACTATCTTACCATTTGACCTACACCACAATCTTTAAAGACTTGGTTATACTTTGGTAAGGAGGGATCAGCAACGACAGTTAGCAAAAAAAAACAAATTATTAACCTCTATACTTTCCCTCTGTCTTTTCCTCTTTTCTTCCCTCCGCCCCTCCGCCCCTCAGCCTCCGCCCTTCCCCGCAAACATTAATTGGGAAATTTGTCTGCATAAAGGTTTTATTACAAACCCGCACAAACCCGCTTCCTGAAACACCAAACAACCGTCAGATTACAAAAACAAAAAAATAAAAAACCCATCCCAAAGAAAAAAGCGGGAATAAACATTCTGAACGGAAGTGTGAAAAAGGGTGCCATGTGAAGATTTTGTCCCTTTTCTTCCTGTTTTCTGTTTTTTTGTGTGTTTTTTTTTTCTTTCTTTCGTGTTTTTTGTGTGACGCGCGTCTTGAGAAACTCAATGTTTCGAAACTTTGGAGAGCTTAAGGAGTTTAGGGAAAGATTGTTTGATTCTATAGGCTGGCTTGTCCCAAAGGTAAGTCACAGTCCATCGGTTTCACTTATCCTCGGGTATAGATGTATCTACCATACTTTGTGTTGTGTTGTGTTGTGTTCTGTCCTGTCGTTTTATGTTATGTCATGTCATGTCATGTCTTGTTCAATGATCTCATGTGATGTGTCACCGCGTTGTATTATAAACCAACGACAACTGTTGATGACATTGTTATGCTACTCACAATTCTCTGTCTTCCGTAAGTTAAACATCCAGTTGTTTCAAAACGTCTACATACCCCATCGTCCTAGATTAAAAATATCAAAACAGAGCATAATGACCACTGGCAAAATTTCAAAGAATACTCCTGTCAAAAAAAGACAGATATCTATCGAAGATTTCTTTGGCAAAGATAATAACAAAAAGGTGAAAACCGTTCACATTGTCAAAACCCCTATCAGCTCTCCCCTTTCTTCCACTGCTACCATATCTTCAACTACATCAGCGGAAAAACCATCCTCAAACGACTCGCACCTGCCATCAGACAAGATTAAGGAAGATAATCAACCGCAAGATAATGAAACAGTGGTCAAAGATCCAAAAAAGAATGTCCTTTGTCAACATTTGGATCCTCACAAATTATCGTTGTTGAATCTAGAATTGTTAACAATGGATCATTCATGGTTCATGAAACTTCAAAGTGAATTCACAAAAAACTATTTCCTTGAACTGAAATCTTTCCTACAGAATGAACAGGCTTCTCACACCGTCTTCCCGCCTCCAAGAGACATCTACTCATGGACTAGGCTCACCCCCTTCGACAAAGTCAAAGTGGTCATCATCGGACAAGACCCATACCACAATTTTAATCAAGCCCATGGTCTGGCCTTCAGTGTCAAAGAACCAACACCGGCACCACCTTCTCTGAAAAATATCTACAGAGAATTGAAAAACAACTATCCAGATTTCAAAATCGATAACAACAGAGGCGATTTGTCCTGCTGGGCATCCCAGGGTGTTTTGCTTTTGAACACATCGTTGACCGTTCGGGCACATAATGCAAATTCCCATGCCAACCATGGCTGGGAGGTTTTCACATCCAAGGTCGTGGAGCTATTGATCAAAGATAGAGAAAACAATGGGCGCAATTTGGTTTTCTTACTCTGGGGTAAGAATGCAATAAACTTGGTGGAAAATCTGCTAAAGAAAGTCAGTAAAGAAAATAAAAGGGATTGGAGGTCATTCAACAACCTATTGGTATTGAAATCAGTTCATCCATCACCCTTAAGTGCAAATAGAGGATTTTTCGGTAACAACCATTTTAAAAAGATTAATAATTGGTTATACCACGAAAAGAAAGAGAAAATGATAGATTGGAGTGTAGTCCCCGGTTGTAAAATAAAAGAAATAGAAGAAAAATAATAATAACAATAACAATAAATAATAAAACATATACATGTATTTATACATATACAAACTAGTATCTATATCTATATATCATTAATATCATCTAATGATACGGTAATAAAAAAAAAACCATTGTAAATAAATATACATATAATGTGAATAAAATTTAAATTTACCAACAACAACAACAGCAATAACAACAAAAAAGAAAGAAGACAAGAAGACTTAAATCGAACTTAACCCTTCCCTCTTAATTTTGCAATTTTTCTTCTTGACCACTCAATAAAGTGAACACAGGAGCACATAACTTGTCTCTACCCTTTAAGAAATCTAATTCCATAACAAAATCATACTCTAAAACAGTAGCACCAACTTTTTGAACCAATTCACCAGCAGCCTTGGCAGAACCACCAGTTGCAATAATATCATCAACTATCACAACATTAGAACCCTCCCTAACAGAATTCTTCTGCATTTCAAAAGTATCACTGCCGTATTCCTTTTCATAAGTAGCTTGCACACAGTCACCTGGTAATTTACCAACTTTTCTAACTGGAACAAAACCAACATTCATAGCCAACGCCAAGGCTGGACCGAAAAGGAAGCCTCTAGATTCTAGACCAACAATGTAATCGATTTTACCTACACCATAAGTAGTCTCTAAATGGGTCTTAAAAGAATCGATAAGCTTTTGAAATAACTGTGGTTGTGAAAAAATTGGTAGGAAATCTTCAAATAAAATACCTTCAGATGGGAAATTTGGGTATTGCTTTAAGGCAGCTTTTAACTCAGAGGCATTAGATTCAATAGACATCTTTTATTCTATTTTATTTTAGTTCTTTTCTTTTTTCTTTTTTCTTTTTTTTTTTTTCCTTTGATAGAGAAATTATATGCTAATATTGGAATAAAAGTAACAGTATATGCCAGTGTTATATTGTATACAAAAGTTTTCCCTGGAATTAGATCTGTATATTTTACTATATATTTTTCTAACTACTATTACTATCTATATTAATCCGTAGTGTTTAATCCAATATAAGTGATTAAGAAATTGACCTCCTTTGAATAGATTTCAAACTAAATGGAAAGTGCAGTGTTTGGTAAAGAATGCATATTACCTTTTCCTCTCTTTCAATTTCTTCATCACATCATTAGAAAATTATAAAATTATTTTTTTGAGAAATTTTGTAAGCTCATCGCAAAAAAAAAAACAACAATAACAACAAAAAAACAGACTAAAAAAATAAAAATGAAGAAAAAGGACAAGAGACGAGTAAATGTGATATAGATTCAACATAGAGTATGTATTTACATGGCTACAATTTAGACTTGTGCGGTTGGAGAGGTTAGCTTACTGGTACTTCTATATATATGTTCTTTATTTCTTTTCCATCAGTTTTTTGTGATATTCACTGAATAAAAGAGTGAAGTGTGAAAGTGTGAAAATTAAATCAACAGAATTCACCTGTGAAAGAGAATACGGATCGACAATCATCTTTCACAGTAATAAGCAAAAAATCATGGTATCATGCCATAAATCTACTGAATATGTCATAGGTAAAAATATAGATGGGCTCCCCCATTATTTTGTAAAGTTAACCAAAAAGCGATTATCACATTTTGATGTACAAAATTCTATGGTTTTATTAAATTCCTATGATAATCTATTACTTTTTCTAGAATCTCAATTGTATGAGAGTACTATTGTGAATAGCACAGATTCTGAAGGGGATACGCTTACCAAATCTCAAGGATTACCTATTCCACCGTTTGATGTCATAATGGTCCTTTTCACTTTAGTCTCTATTTCCAGTCATTACCTTGAACCTCAGCTAAACCAAAATAACCCATACAATATAACAAAAATAGATTTAAATAAAAGGGCCACCAAAATTCTCAATATGTTTATTCATATTTTAAAAGATTTTAACACCGATTTATATAGTCAGTATGATTTAGAATTGTTGCGTTGCCAATTTTTTTTGGCCCTAGATTTACTTACATGTAGAAGTAGAGTATTAAGCCATAATAGATTCATTTTCCACCTAAACCAAGACAATAATTCAAGTGCTATGGAAGAATTTCTAAAAAATCCATATAAATCATATGTAAGTTTTCTAGATAAAAAGGGTAAAGTATTTAATAATCCACTTATTTACTTGATTTTCAATAAACGTGATAAATTTCTTAACTTTTTTTTGTGGTCTTTAGCAAACTCTCTGAGTAGTGATGTGGTACTATACACTGATGCGAGGGAAATATGGATTCCCCTGATGAATATCTTATTAGATTTATATGACCTCCGACAAAAATATTTTTTAAAAAATGAGGTAATCAAAATGAGAAAACAACTTTTTGTTCAACAACTGATGCAAAGTCCCTTATCTCAATTCTTCTCCTTTGTTAATAGAATTGAAAATTTTAGCTTAACGTTAATTGAATATATCTTTGTAAACTGTGAAACCACAAATAATACAAATATTGATAGAGATTGGGTTAAACCTATTTTCTATAAAGAAAATGAATTCGTAAAAGGATATGTTAATCGATTCAAATATAATAAGCAATTTCAATTACAAGAAGCAATGAAATTAAGAAAAAAAATTCTTTCACATTGTTTTCAATTGTTATTAGCTTTGCCACCTAATCACGTCATGCCACTTATGAAAATGAAACCAGAAGAAATTTTAAGTCATATAGCTGTTTTTTTACAAAAATTTACAGATCTAGACCAATTCAAAGCATTCTTTCAAATATATGATTTACAGATGGAATTAGCTTTTATGCCCTTAGTAATCGAAAAAACTATTAACAAATTAACTGCAGATCTGTGTCCAGAGCCTTTCGATTTGGTAAATAGAATTATATCTTTTACAGGTTTTATTGATGAATGGATTAATGTTGTTGAAATGTATCTTATGGTTTCTATCGGTCTAGTAGTGGAAAACTCTCAATATATAAGCTTACGAAAAGTTGAAATCTGCCTATACTTTTTATTTGAATATTTCGAATTAATAATACATGAAGATAGTATAAAAAAATCTAGCTATATGAATAAGATAATTAATATACTAACCGAATATCAAACCAAAGTTTATTTTTTAAAACGAAAATTTACCAATGATAACCTAAAGGAACCTACTGGTTTTGATTTAATTATAGAAAAATATGTTTAAATAAAATTATAGATATGTGTATATATTCTCTGATAAAGTAGCAAAAACTTATTACTGTACTATCACAGACAGGTATATCTTACCTTCTTCCTCCAAATAACCTCTTATCATCACATAAGAGATATGATTTATATAAACACATAAAAAAATAGATAATTTGTTTTTAACACTAATGAACTAAAATATAAATCATGCAATTCAAACTCACTTATTTGTGTGTTGCTATTCATTCTCTTTGATATATCTTTGCAGTTGGTAAAGGATCTAATTTTAAAATATAAGTTTACAAATTGTGGTGAAATTTTGAGATTGCAATATAACAAAAGATTAAACTCAATAATAGACAAACGAGCAAATAATATATTTAATTTTTTATGTATTGGTCAATCATTCTAGCAACTATTATTATTTGCGCATCACCACATTTATCCATTTTTTTTAAAATATTCAAATTTATGTCTACAACTAAAAATTAGGATTAATGCATTTAATATACTTCGCCATGATTGTTGTTTATTTTTTTCTTTATTTAAAAGATACAGATTTTAGCAATATCAAACATCAAAAAGAATGTTTTCATTGTATAGTATAGTAATGGTGTTAACGCTAAAAATAAGTAAAACATCGATAGAGTTACAATCACTTAAGAATGTGTAAGAGACAATGTTTCTATACAAGTATAATCAAAAATATTAACTTTACAGAACAAAGAAATTTGACCGACATAGGAAAAAGTTATTAAGAATATTATGATTGGTTTCACTGGTAATAATAAGTTAAAATCCACTGAATTGGCTACATATGCCTCTTAATACAAAAGAAAATACATTTTTAAATTTAGATTACAAGCTATAGTATAATCTGTTTCCCTATTATAATACATCATGATATTCCTAAATATTAATAAGCCTCATACTTTATTCTTGAAAATTAACAATTTCTAATTGAAGAAAGCACTATTCTTGTAATTTTATTTGATAATTATTATAGAGTCCTCTCCTCCCCATTTTCAATTCTAATAAATATTTTGTGAAATCTGGAAATAATAATGAAATAAGATAAATAATACACAATGTATAGTAAAAAAAACCCTTAACCACATGTATATTATGCTATTGTAATACTTAAACTAACTCGAAGGGAGTCATCATATTTTACCAGCCCTTATTTCACAGTATATATATAATACTAGTTCCTATACTTCTACACTTTGTTGTTAATGATAAAACCTGTTTGCAAATAGCAAAAAAAAAGCCCTGTAGGGGGCTCGAACCCCTAACCTTATGATTAAGAGTCATACGCGCTACCGATTGCGCCAACAAGGCTCTTCCTGTTGTTATATGTTATAGTTTGGACTTAGGACCAATGTTTTTTTAACAGTACTATTGAACGAATAGTAAGGGCAATAACAAATATATAAGAACGTTATATATATCTAGGAGAATTAAACGATTATTGCTTGTTCTTTTTTGTATTATACAATGTGCTACATATTTATAAATCAACCAAACATATAAATTTAGATACCAAGATACTGGTCCTTTATATATGAACTATGGGTTGATAGTTTCTTATTTGAGGTTCTGTAACGACTGTCACCGTAGATACATTTCTCCTTAATTAGCTATTTAATGTTTCATGAATGTTTCATTTTGTTACATAGTATTCAACAATCATATGGGATTTATCAACAAACCCTAAGTCCTATAAATCCAAACTAGAACTTTTCTTGACAACCATCACAAAACCCTAACAATATTTTTCAACCCTAATCATTTTTTATAATCATAATATCAAGGTTGATCTGCAACATATAATGTTATGATTATAAAAAATGATTAGAGTTGAAAAATATTGTTAGGGTTTTGTGATGGTTGTCAAGAAAAGTTCTAGTTTGGATTTATAGGACTTAGGGTTTGTTGATAAATCCCATGTGATTGTTGAATAATATGTAACAAAATGAAACATTCATGAAACATTAAATAGCTAATTAATGAGAAATGTATCTACAGTGACAATCGTTACAGAAACCCTAACAATATTTTTCAACCCTAATCCGTTTTTTCTATATAATCATAATATCAATGTTGATCTACAACACTGTACGCTGTATAATAGAGGAATCATCACCAACAAAATTACATAAGGTTCTGAATGAATCTAGAACTATTTATTGTTTTAATAAGCCATACATGTGCTACAACATTAGATGCTGCATAATAAAAAGATTAGTTCCAGTAAGATTACATAAGATTCTGACAAATCTAGAATTTACCTATTGTTTTAATAAGTCACATGTGTATTACTAATGACCATAATAATTGTACCGTTTATCAATAGTGCACCCAATTACCATAACTAGTAAATTGGGGTGCAGTTATTAATTCACTAATGTGCCTGAATTAGTATAATAAATTTTAGGGTTCTGATCACTAAGCTCGTTAATATACAAATCTGAATAGTTGATCGAGCTCCAGAAAACATACAAAAGGACAACGTTTTCTGGAGAAAAGAGATCATCTTCCATAACCGTTTCTTGTAAATAATTTATATATTATATGTAAACGTAAATAGAACAACAAGCAATTAACAAGGAGTAACCTCGAATAAATATATTAGCTCAATAAAAGCCGCTCAGTATATAAGACCGTTTTAGTAATTATATTATCGCCTATAGTTGATTACTGTCTCGATTATTTGAATAACTGTTAATATTATTTGCGCTTCCCTGAAATACACAAAAGAATCTAATTATTTCATATTACAACATTTCGATGAGAAAATAAGAAAATATATGTTGAAATAATGAGCAGGAAGAAGTATAATAACATCACAAAAAGAAAATACTGTCTTATGTCAGTTTTACACTGTAATTGACAATGCTCAACATTATCTCAGGCATGTGAAATTATTTCTCAAATTTGTGTGAGTTATTCTAACTCTACCAGTCATAATCTCATAGGGTGTCTGTAAAAGTTTTTCTAATACCTTATAAAAGAATTAGCAAAAACATAAAACTTCATCACTTAAAAAAAACAATCATATATAGACAGGAAAATGATATAAATATAAAAAAAAACTTATTTAGTAAATATCTATTCTTAAATCACCACTGTAAAGCTTTAAATCACAGCTTATATATAGCAGAGATTGAAACTTTAATGAATTAATTGTTTTCTTTTATTGTTATTGACTTATTTTTTCTCAGTATTCTTCTTATCTCCACAGAAGTATTGACAACTGATACTAATTTTTGTTAATTAGGATTATAACTTTAAAATCCAAGAATCCAGTTTACCATTATACAAAATCATACCAATAAACAGAAACATTTGTAGCTTCAAAGAATAGATAATGTCTATTTAATCAATTAAGAAAAAAAAACCCGAAAACTATAGACTTTTTGAGACAATATAAACAATAGCTCTTCATTAATCAACGTAAATAAGAGAAGATAAATATATATTATCGTTGCAGGTATTCTACTATAACTAGCCAGTTCTCCAATCTAAAATTAATTAACAAATAATTAAAATTTTGTATTTCTTAAATCAATCGAATATTATGCAGCGAACCCTAACTGAAAATCCTGAAATACGTAGTCTACAGGTGACGCCTAATGTCGAGGCGAAGGACTTGGAACAACCGAAACTCTGGGCCTAAGATCATGAGTTTATTCGAACGAACATATGATTATCGGATGGACATTAGTAGTAAATTCCTAAGAAGCTTACTTGAGAGATCCTTGATTACTGAGAGATAGTGCCAGAAGTAATTATCAGCATTTAGATTCGTATTCTATCTAATAGGTTAATAAAAAGAATAACAAGACGAATATTCAATACTAATCTATTTAATAGTCAGAATCAACCAGTTATATAATTTGCAAGTGTTTATATATATATATATATAATTAATATCCATATTTTAGTATATTACTTGAGATAACCCTTACATATTATTGTACCTCTTAAAGTAAAAACATTTTATAATTTAAATTGTTAAAAAGTGTTAATGACTCCCCTCCAAAATTTCTTTTTTCAAGTTAGTAAGATATCGATACAGTAGCTTTATATTATTAAAGATAGATATAAAAGCCATAATATTTACAACTAAAAAATCGAGAATACACTTCATGAAAATAATTTTGTAACTAATATAACTGATAAATATATCTAAATTAACACTATAAAATTACAAATATTATTACACCGTACATTACAAAAGCTCTTATGTTCACGAAATTTGTAACAATAAAATTTAGATTATTAACATACGTATACATAAGAGATTATGTAGAATATTTTATTAAAGTTAATTTTTATTCAAGGATGTAAAAATAAGTCTTAATACTGATGAAGAAGAATTCAGTAAAAAAAAAAAAAAGAGATTTTATGCTAATATTTTGTTGAGCGATCGTTTTTATGACAACATTCAATATGTTTTTGAAGATATGTCATATCTCATTAATCATAGACTTTAGATTTTTCCATGATATTTTTCTATTGAGACTATTCATAGAATGCAAACAAACAAACAAAAAAATCCATTCCAAGTTCCCTCAGAGGGTGTACTGATGGAATCACCAACATCAGATTTCGGCTTCTTGCTTTTACTTTTATTTTTTTTTGTTATCAATAAAAATTCGTTATATGCTACTAGAAAGGGTGATTTCTGTAAAAAATAGGAAAATGAAATTAAGTGACTAGTCTAAAAACAAACACTATAATAAAGAAATGGATATAATTTACGAACAATTAAAAATATAGAACGCAGCTCTTGAAATAATCATACATTATTCTTTGTAGAGTATCCCAAAAAAGAAAGAAGAAAATATCCTTATATATGTATTACGATGCAACGTACAAAAATATTGAACTTTATTCAAAATAAAATCTCACTAAAAGCTATTCCAAGGGATGTAAAAATAACTGATAACGTTGCTTCCACATTACCAAATGTTCAAACACCACCTAAATATACACTTGTTTCTCTGAAATCATTCCCATCATTGGAACCTACGACATGTATTCCTGTATCAACTTCTATATTGGGTGTTCCATTGAGACGTGACATACTTTGGAGAGCCGTTGTGTACGAGAATGACAATAGACGTGTCGGTGCATCCAATCCACCAGGTCGTAGTGACAATGGTTATTCCAGAAGAAAACTTAGACCACAGAAAGGTACAGGTCATGCCAGAGTCGGAGACGCAAATTCACCAACTAGACATAAAGGTGGTAGAGCTTTAGCAAGAAATGCACCAAATGATTATTCGACTGAACTACCTAAGAAAATATATTCACTAGCTATAAATACTGCATTATCATATCAATATAAAAAAGGACATTTAAATGTTATTGGTGGAGACACCATTACTGAGCAACCAACCAACTCAAGTGACTTAAGCATTTTGGACATTATTAAGCAAGAAGATAAATCATTCGAATATCACACACATATTATAAAAAAATTCATTGCCCAACATAACTATCAAGACAAACGGCTACTATTCATTACTCATGATATAAGAAATAATTTACTTAGGTTCACTGAACAGTATCAAGACAAGATTGATATTATTGACTGGGAAGGCATTGAGGTCAATGACATTCTAAAGGCCTCACGTATATTCATAGAACTAGGTGCTCTAAAATCTTTAGCTCTTAAGCAAGCTGAAAATTTACATTTGAAGGAATAACCATGAAACAATTTGAGCCAAGATACCTCTATCTAGTTTAAATAGATTTCCTGTATATAGATAGAAACAATCTCATTAGAAGTGTTTTTTTATTTAAATAACACTTTTCTTGTAAAAAAAAAAAAGACAAACAAAAAAGCAGTCACAGAAAAATAAACCTTTAGCACACCATCCTTACACCACACATAGCGTTCTATTCTTTTTTTTTTTGGAAAAAACTTGAGAAGGATTTACAATATCCTCATTAGGAAAATATTTTTGCGACATTTCAGGTATAAGTGCTTAAAATGTAGAAAATTATAGTTAATAGTTTAGAATTTAACGCAAAACTGTAAGTTCTAGTGAGCAAAGAGTATATTATTATAGAAACACTCTATATGACTACTTTCAGCTGTCTGCCGTTCCATTAAAGAAATTGTCGAAACAATACGAGAGAAAAGTGGTGTATAATGTCTTTAGTCGTTCAAGAACAAGGCTCTTTCCAACACATTTTACGGTATGTCAAGATCAGACTATAAGTCTACACAAAATCTGACACTGGAGTAAATATATATTGCACAGTAGAGTGTGGAGAAAAAAAAAGGATATAATAATCAGGATAGTATAACAATCTAAATTCACTAAGAATTTTAGTAAATTCCAATAAATTTTCACAAATAAGTTAAAAAAAAAGAAAAAGAAATGAAATAAAATTCTACTGATACTGTTATATAGGAGAAAGATCACTATACATCATTTTTTTAAGCATAAGATAGATATGAAAGTACTTTTAACATTTCTCGGTTGTTACTTCGATCTCAGGCTAGATATATTACATTCGCAAATAAAATTGCGTAATGAAAAGTATATACTCTATTCTTGTGTTCAATTTTTTTTCAATACCGGTACAATAATCTTAATACTAACGAGTGATGTATATTTTTAAAAAATTTCTTCCTTTTTAATTGTAAATAGTTTGTTAAACACTAACGTTGATGGTAACATTAAGATTGTTTACGCCTTAACCACCATTAAGGGTGTTGGTCGTCGTTACTCTAACTTGGTCTGTAAGAAGGCTGATGTTGATTTATCCAAGAGAGCTGGTGAATTGACCCAAGAAGAATTAGAAAGAATTGTTCAAATTATGCAAAATCCAACTCACTACAAAATCCCAACCTGGTTCTTGAACCGCCAAAAGGATATTGCTGATGGTAAAGATTACCACTCTTTGGCTAATAATGTCGAATCTAAACTAAGAGATGACCTAGAAAGACTAAAGAAAATCAGATCTCACCGTGGTATTAGACATTTCTGGGGTTTACGTGTTAGAGGTCAACATACCAAGACCACTGGTAGAAGAAGAAGTTAAATTAATTGACTCAAATTGAATTTTCAAAAATTCCATATTTATATATATTATTTTGTAACATCTATTAAATATCCTATATAAGTTATTCTGATTGACTATTCGTTTGTTTCTTTTACTTGTTTTCTTAAATGTATATATTTGTAAAGTTTTCATAGTACGGTTAAGGGTTGCCAACATATATAGATACACAAATTGGAATATTAAGAGGGAATATATTAAAAATATTGTCCGACTAGAAGGAACAGAAAACATCAGACGTATGTTACTTTAAAAACGTACATACTATTAAGGTTCGAGTCTAAGGATTAAATATGTTTATGTTTAATTCTTTTAACGGCAACTTCAGATCTACTGGCTTGAACTGCAATTTCTTAGTTTTTTTCTTCGGTGTCAGATTAAATGTATGACATTGTTGATTATCTTTTGGACTTTGTTGAAATGGTGACGTTTTTGTTTCACCAGCATGCATATATTTGTTTTTATTTTGATTACTATTGAAATTATTGATTAATTTAGTAACTTTATTACTAGACACATTTTTCACAGGGGTTAGAGATTTCATTTCATTCCTAATATGGAACGTTAAACTTTGTCCCAGTCTCACACTGTTACTCGATATCATTGGTGAATTTTCTTTTTTAATTGGAAACTTTTTTGGCGATTTTTTTGTAGGTGTAACATCCAATTTCACATCAGCTGGAAATTCTAATTGTACAACAGAAATCCCCTTTGGTGAAGGAATTTGCAAAACAGGTTTACTTTCTTCACTTGGTATATCAATTGCTAGACTTGAAGTAGCTTTCTGATTCATTTTTTGTTTTTTCAAATATTGTCTCTTATTTTGAAACCAAATTCGCACCGCTTTCTCTGACATATTGCATTTTTGTGCAAGCATAATTTTTTCCTCTTTTGAAGGTGTAGAACATCTATTAAATGAATCTTGTAAAATATGTAATTCTTGGGCAGATGTTCTACGTCTTTTACGACGTGCTAAAGGTACATTATCTATTTTGGGTTCTTTTACACCAAAGGTATCCTGAGAATGAGTAATAAATGCAAATGCTTGTTTCTTTTCACTACTCGAAGGTGTCAGTATTGTTTTGACAGCATTGAAAGAGGATCTTTTATTACTGTGTATTTCATTGTGAACATCATTATTATCATCGTCATTATCATCATCATCACCATTATAATTATTATTACTATTACTAGTACTTTTGGATTTAAATTTCAATTCTTTGACTTTATTTTCTGTCATAGGAGTTATTGGAGTCGAGAGTAGTTTTTTTTCTTTATTTATAGATATATGAGTATATCCATTTTCTGAATTCAAAATATTAGATAAACTAGCTGTGTGTCTTAAAGCACTTTCTAAAGATTGAGGTCGAGATGGATAAAGGGGAGGCAATCTAATAACACCATGTCTATCACTAGAAAAGCTAGTTTTCACAGTTCCAAGAAATGGAGAAGAGGACTCCAGGTGTATCCTATGTGAACTGTTTTCATGCAATAGAGAAGTCACTGAAGGTAGCATAGGTTTTGAATGAAGAATATCAGCAGAAGTTATATTTAAAAGATCAACAATCCTAAGACTGACTTTTTCACTTGTGCTCAAAGAAAAATATAAGGGAACATATTATATGAAGAGCTATCAAGAGGGAATATTACTAATACGACATTACATATAATTGTACACTTGGGTAGCTAAAACCAGTTTATATTATATATATATATATATATTTATTTATAAAAGGTATACATGAAATATGTATACGTATAGTTCTCACATGTTGATTAATGGTTTGCTGCTGTGTTGTTTATTTACCAAGAAATCACGGTGTATACATACAGCCTAATAATACCAATTACATGTCTGTTTTAGGAAATAATTAGTTATAAATTGAACTTCGAGGCAAATAGTAGACTGAACTCGGAAAAATCAACAATTAATCACCAATTTTCCCTAATGTATGGATTCTTTAGAGCATTACACTTCCTAATTAGGAAAAGGAATTCAAATGCCACGAAATCAAGATCTCTGACATAAATATGTTTATATTTCTGTTTCAGGAAATCATGAACCGCGGACACGAAAGCTAGCGTAAATAAACAGGACACGAAAATAAACAAAGCCATTTTCTCTTTTTGTTTTATTTTTTTTCCTATTCCCTCTTTATTTCTTTTAAAGGCAGTATTTGTTTGGAAAAAAAAATGAAAGAGTAAATAAAAATTGTACATCGTCAATATCATTATCCACGGTTCCATATTTGCTCCATTCTAGTCGGAATTTATGAAAAATTAAATTCCGCCATTATTTAGCAAATCTGAATTTTTCCGCCAAGCAATCCAGAAAATGAAGATTTAAATTGCTTCAAATTTAATGTATTGAAAAATTAACAATGAAGTGGCTTTAAAACGCAACACAAAAATTGACACAATAACCTTCCTTGATAAATCCTTTTCCAAGGTTACTATTCTCCAAGCAAAGATAAAAACTAATAAAACTTAAAAACTACACGATAATTTTTTTTAATTAAATGAAAATGCAACTTATATACTGTATATATTCCTTAATAATATTATTAAAACGAAAATAAAAAAAAGAAGATGTATACATATTTACATTATAATCCTCCGCACAAATTTGACAGACAATCTATTTCTTTTCAGCAGCTTCCTTGAAGTATTCCTTAGATTCTTCAACGGTTGGCTTGATAGTAGCGGAACCTGGAGTCCAATTACATGGTAAGACAGTACCATTCTTGTCGACCCATTGAAAACCTTCAACAATTCTTAAAGCTTCTTCAACGTTTCTACCAACTGGCAAATCATTGATTGTAATGTGTCTGACAATACCATTGCCATCAATAACGAAAAGACCTCTTAAGGCAATACCTTGGTCTTCAATTAAGACACCGTAGTCTCTAGATAAAGAGTGGTTGGTATCAGCAATTAATGGAATGTCGACTGGACCTAAACCACCTTCGGAACGAGCAACATTGGTCCAAGCTAACAAACTGTATTCAGAATCAGTAGAAGCAAACAAAACTTCAGCACCGATGTCCTTGAATTTTTTGACAGCTTCAGAGAAAGCAATGATTTCAGTTGGACAAACAAAAGTGAAAGCTAATGGAATGAAAGCTAAAACAACATACTTACCCTTGTATTGTTCTAAAGAAACTTCCTCAAAAACACCATCAACGACAGCGGTTTTCTTAAAAGCTGGAGCAGGTTTTTGAACTTGAGCGACCATTTTTACTTATCGTATATATGTAAATAGACAGATATGACTGGATATAATAAAGGAATATAAACAACTATGTTATCGTTGGTTTTTTCGGTTTTCACAAAAGAGTAAGTATGAATTCGAAGGACAAATAGAGGTAGCACAAATGACACTGCATCAACCAGTGATGTCTCAAACTCGTTTTACTTTTTCCCTTTTTATATACAATTATTTTCCAACGAGAGCAGAGAGAGGGCACAACCCACAATTATGTTAATACCATCCCCCCTAAAATAACCCCGATATATCAGAAGGAATCAAAAAGAACAGGAAAGAAGGAAAAGAAAAACAAATAATAAAGATAAAAAAAAAAGAGAACAAAGATTACGCAAAAATTAACGTTCTCCTCTTTATGTTGCGTCGCTATGGAAACTATTCAAGAGGAAATTTTGTCGGTCAGTGTTCGTATATTCTTTTCTTTTTCTTTTGTCTTTTTAAGTTTCTATTAGATGTTGAGAAATTTTGTAATAGAAAGAGCCTCGTATTTTTAAAACAATAACATTTTGGCAAATTTGTGAAAATTTAAAAATTCAGTAAAAAAGTGTGAAGCTAGGGCTTTTCTAAAATAAGGTTTTTATTAAGTCCTAAAAAATTATTATCTTTGGGGTTAGGAAATAAATAAGAAAAATGGACTATTGTTTAGTTAGAAAAGAGTGCTATATATTCAAATAAATTATGAATTACTTACAATAAAAATTACTCACATATTAGACTGTTCATTTTTAAATGTTCTTTTTTTTATACAATCCAAAAAGTATTATAAACACATAAATACTAATAAAAAAATTTATTATCTATATTAACCATTTGTTTATTTCTGATGTTATATTAGTATAGGTTTTCAAACATAAAGTATTTTCTATATTATCTTACTCTCCAAAAAAAATAAGGGTTTTAAAACTTCAATAAAATTTTTAAAAAACATTTCTACTGTTATTTTATTGTATAAGATTTCCTATATAGGAAATGATTTCCACCTTTTTCTCCTTTTTTTTTTTACCTTTGTTTTTTCGAACTCAACAGTAAAATCTTGATGAATAATTTTCTCAAGGTTAGCCAGTTTTGGATGTTTTCTGGTTACGTAAAAGATTAAGCTTAGTCAGCTGTAATCTCAAAAAAACTTGAGTCTAGATCAGCTTGAAAAAAAAACATAAAAAAAAAGAAAAGACAAGAAAAAAATCTTCCAAAAACAAACAATAACAAAATCGATAAAAATTACTAAACTACAAATTAATATAACGTAATCTTTCCCTTAATTTCAAATATTTTCTTTTTACTTAAAAACGTTCTAAAAATGTAAAGTTATTATCAAATAGAACCACTATCACATATGCCAACTGATTCAATGGTTCGTAAAGAAACACTATCTCATCTAGATTTGTTCATTACACACTTTTTTTTGTTTTCATACTCGGTTTCTTAACGAAAAAAATTCAATTAAATTTATAAGGCTTATTCGCTAACTTTTCCTTTCACTTTCTTTTAAAATATGATGATGGTCAATGTAGAGAGCAAACATAACTATATACATACGTGAAAAAAAGTCATTACAGTAGTTTTCATAATACCACCAGATACCCTTATCAAATTTATGTCATTCATTTTTTATATTTTTTTTTTATGAACTAATAATAATACATTTATTATTACAGGTAAGAGAACTTTAGCAGAGAGGAGACTAGTATATATATAGATACCTCGTAATAAAAAAACGTAATGTGTACATATTTTTGACGTAATGTAGAATATAAGGTTTTTTCTTATCTTAGATAATTACAGTATACCTTCAATAAAAAACACAAAGAAAAAAATATGAATTGATCCCAATTATTCTTTTTTACTTTTTTTGATATTTTTCTTTGATTTCTACCCTATATAAAAGACTTGTGTTATTAATTATGATTTTCTTTCGGCGGTATTGAATTCTGCAATACTCTACTTTTTTCTAATAACTTTGATGCTTGATATTCGTTTAAGTTAGAATGCAGGGTTTCATCTTTTGCATCTTTTAAATGATGTCTCGCAAAATGCTTATTAAGTGCATCGTTTCTCCTTCTAAAAGGTCTTTTAAATTCTGTACTCTTATATTTATAAGCACAACATTTCCCTCCCTTCTCTACAACTTGACAATAATAATATGATTGATCGTTCGGTAAACATGCAAATGCGTTCAAATAACTATTTGGTTTATATTTTTTTATAGATGGAAATATTTCAAAAATCGAAATACCATCTCTTACATATAATTCTTTATAAATATTTATGTCAATGAAATGCATTTCATTTCTTTTATTCGAGCCAACGGAAGTCTTGATAATGAAATTTTCAGCAAATGAATCAACGATGGGTATTGGTAGCTTATTGAACGTATTATTCTCTGTGATTTTATTTATATGTATTCCATTTTCATTAGATAGTATACTAGAAGGTGATCTATCAAATCTATGAACCATAGACACACATTCACAAAGATCTTTTTTTCTTGCCAATGGTTTTGAAGTAGTTGTTTCTGCATCCAATGTAATATCTACAGCAAATACGTTTGCTGAGTTTGTATCATTTTCAATTAACTTTATCGGAGAGGATATTTTTTTTGTTGGCATGTTATTATTATAGCTACTCTTATTATTACTATTATTCTTTATAATAAATAAATAACAACCTCGCTACTTGATACATTTAACGTTTACAATTGTATAATTCTATATAAATGATTATTTGATATAATTGGAAAGACGATTCCATTATTATTTATTTAAATCATGGACATCTTCTAGATTACAAATAGGGGTAAGTATATGCTTTTTTTCGCATTAGAGATTTTTCAAAGTAGATTTCCTGAATCTTAAATTCACATATTTTCTTTTTTTTTTCGGTTAGAAAAACAGAAAGAAAAACATATAAATTCTTTTGTAATTCTTTTTTTTTTTTTTAACAGACCCAACTTTGATAGCGAACCGTCTCTATATTATAATACAAATGCACAAGAGTTCTAAATTTGAACATTTTAAGGAAACTTACAATGATTTTTACAAGATATTTTTTAGTTTTAATACTAGCTGGATTTCAAAAATGTATGTAAAAAAAAAGCATAGTCATATCTTTTTTTTTTTTTTTTTTTTTTGATACTTGGAGAATCCTAACTTGAAATATTATATATAGAAAAATTTATAACAATATCCTACTCATAGATTACTACACTAATTATGGTCGACAAAGTAACATTTTGGATATTAAAATAAAAATTTTTTTATGAAATAATCACAAATTACAGATTATTAAATCACTTATCTGACATCTATATCAGAAACTATCTCTTGTTTTCCTTCCATCATTTTTTTTTCTTTTTATTATCTTTATAGATATTGAAACATATATATATATATATATATATATACCATTTAAAAAAGATCAAGTTCTTGTATATCTTTCATTTTATTCTATTTGGTATTTTATATGTAATACTAAATCTAATGAACATTACTCAATTGAAAAAATCCTAATTACTTTTGCTTATATGTCTATATTTTTACCGGATTAGGAAATGGTATCATATAACAATAAACAGAGTTTCGAGAGATATAAGCACTTCAAAACAACTCCCAAAAAAAGTTATAAAAAAACTAGTACGTCTACACTTACATATATGTATTTATTGCACAGTTGAAAACTAATGAAGACATTTGTATTACACTTTGAAATACAAAACCAAAATTTACTTTTTTAAATTTTTATCTAAATTGAAAATTAGTTCAATGAAAAAAAAAAGGACCAACAACATTAATAGCATTAACGATTATATAAATTTTGACAGAGAATGGATCAGTACATAAGACATTGAACATAAATTCTAGGCAAAATTCTCATTAAGAATGGTATGATTGAATTTCACCCTCATATTCTGATTCCTCCTCCTCTTCGAATTCGAATGAGTCAAATGACTTCTTGAATTGGTCAAAGTCGGGCATAATATATTTATCACCAGGATGCCAATTACAAGGCAATAGCCTACCATCTTTTTCATTTGATTGAAATGCTTGAATAATACGTAATGTTTCTTCTACATTTCTTCCAACAGGAGTATCATTTATTGTAATATGTTTAATTATACCCCGTGGGTCAATAATGAATAATGCACGCAAAGCAATCCCTTCCTCTTCGTATAATACACCATATTCACGCGACATTTTATGATTACTATCTGATATCAAGGGGACGTTAATCTTTCCTAACCCTCCAGATTCCTTAGGCACATCAGTCCAAGCAGAAAGACAGAAATGGGAATCTGTGGATACAAACAAAACCTGGCAATTTAATTCTTTAAATAATTTTATTGATTTAGAATATGCAATAATTTCTGTTGGACAAACATATGTGAAAGCATTAGGTATGAATGCAAGTACGACATACTGACCTGAGAATTGTGATAATGTAATTTCTTCAAAAATGCCATCCACAACAGCAATTTTTTTAAAATCTGGAGCTTTACTTTTAACATGCACAACCATCTTCGAAATATGTTGAAAGGAGGCAAGTAATTGAAATGACCAAATGAATCGTATATCTAAACCTCACACTTAAAGAATACAAAACCTATTTACATTTATATCAATAAGAAAAAAGCTATTTTTAATATTTTCCTGAAATAATCAAATCTTTGAAAATATCTGATAAGTTTTATTTTTAAATCATTATCATATCGATAAGTATCTTCTTTCTTTTCATTCCTTGCTCCGCCGTACCTTCAAAATCTTCAATGAATAAACGACACACGCATACATTAATATATTTTTAGAAATCCTAAACGAGCTGGGATACTTTTTCCACACCTTTTATCAAAAGTGAAAAATTAAGCAGGCAGATCGAAACACAAATCAAAAACATCAATGACCCTCCCTTAAAAGGAAAATATTTCATAAAACAAACTAAGGAGAACGGAAAATAAAAAAGGAGAAGGATTCGGGAGTATGACGATGAATTAAAGAATGAAAAAAAAGGGGAGGAATATGGAAAAAGAGAGGAATTTCTTGAATATTTGTAATTTCCGTACAAATTCAAAAGGATGGATGAAACTTCTTTGAACATGTTACTTCAAGTATTCTCAATACACACGTTAATTAGACTAGTCATAATTAAAAATCACTGAATAATATTAAAAAAAATGTTAGTCCCAAGATTATATAGTTATTTATGAAGTATATTATATTATATGATATTATATAGATATATGTAATATATTAATGATAATAAACCTTAATAGATCATTACTAAAATGATTTAAGTGTTTAGACTAATAGCTAATCTTCTTCAATATGATGTATCTCTATTCCAGTAGCTTCAACATTATCATATATTTCTGAATCAACATGTTCATGCTCATGTTCTTGTTTTAATCTTTTCTGCTCATGTTCTCTTTCTATTAAACGTTTTCTTTCATCAATAATTTCGTCCACCACAGTATTGATCATAGGAATTAATAAAATCACAAATAACACAATGTTTTTGCAAACACAAGTAAATATATTGTCTCTTAATGGATTTGGCACAATATATTCTAACAATTGTCTCCCCCAATCGGCATGTCTTAATCTCTCAATTAAATTATTCATTAAGAACCTCAACCTTCTTCTGCTACCTCTATATTCTTCATCAACATTTACGTTCTCCTCTTCCTTTATATTCATTTCTTTCTCAACTAAATATAACAATTCATTCATATCTTTGATAAATTGTCTCTTATTTTCCACAATACTTTCATCATTATCAATTTGAGCTAATTCTTTGATATATAACAACATGAAATCTCTTAATGCACCCTTTAAATCATTCCGATTATTACAACCTTTTAGTAAATCTATCGAAATATTATCTTCAATTCCAAGAATATTATATTTTGTCCAAATTTCATTTGTTAATAAGTTAAATTCTTTATAATCAAACAATTTTTGTAGTATTAATTTTGCATTATCATTATCACCATTATCATTATCATGATTACTTTGATTCTGTTCATTTTTTGACAACAACTTTGAATAAAATTCATCACTCAACTGAGTAAATCTGATAAATTGTTGAAACTTGTGTAAGGTTGTCTTATCATATCTATCAAGTCTAAAATATTCTAACCATGAATCTCTAACAATCTCATTGAAAAATATAGTCCTTAAAATAATTGTAGTTATAATCATACTAATCCATTTCTTGGAGATAAAAAATACAAGTTCAAACAATAATATAAACACCATAAGATTCGTTACTAACACATAATATAATGTTTTACAAATTAGAAACACAAATAACAACAGATTCTTTAACCATCCAATGATTTTATTCCCATTCGAAATACTAGATAAGGGTGTATTGTTTGAATTATTTATGGTGAAATTTATTGATTCTTCCGGAACGATACACATATTTAACTTTGATTCCAGTTCACTTATGATATAATCATCCAATTCAATTCTGTTAATTGAAGGATGTAGCTTATATTGATTCATAGACGACAAAGGAATCTCATCCATTTCAAATGTATCAACAGTTCCATCACTAGGAAATCTCAATTTTGCTTGAAATCTATCCAAATATCTTGTTTCAATGAATGCTTCTTCTGTACCATCAATAATACATTTCCTGTACAAGCCATTCAGTAATTTAATTTCATGACCAGATTCAGTTCTATATTGAAAATGTTCGCCAGCTAAATCCTTATTATTATCTTCAGAGGAATCAACATCGCGTTCCTCATAATCAGAAATTAAACTAGACTCTGAAGGAACATAACTTGCATCGTCATCTTCATCATCCTCTAACTGTAAAAACTCTTCGTGTAAAATATCATTATTATTGTTTTGGTTATCATAGATATCATTCCTTATTTCATTTGTCTGAAAATTGGAGTCACAATCACGATCAGTTGATGAATCTCGACACTCCTCATACCAAAATGAGTCAATACCATCAGAAAGTTGTTTTAAGTCAATAGATGGGATCTTTATATGTATAAATGGATTTGATGTTGCATTGACATATTGTTTAATAGTCGTTTCATTACCATCCAGATCAATATCAACAAGTTTTTTGCCATGATAAAACAAAAGAATATCACTAATAGGGATATCAATATTGAAACGAATCAAAAATGTTTGAATAACATAGCTTTTAATTGCAATAACACTTGTGTCATCATTGACTATCATTTTATTATAGCATAACAATGGTATATCTGAGACAAAGTTGACTACAGTTTCATTTGAGGATATATTGTAATTATGTTTAATATAAAACATTAAAGTGAATTTCGAAAAGTTGCTTGGTATAAAATCAATACCCAAGATTTCTAATAAAGTAGAATTTAAAAATTTAGCATTATTAACTTCATTATCATTATCATTGTCATTGTTTGCAAACGAATCAACACTTTTAATCTTATAATATATTATATCATTGACTGTATGCTTATCATTTAAAGAACATAATGTATTTTTCAAATTCTCTGATTCTCTTAGATCATTTAAAATCATTTTTCTCAATGTTTCACCTTTAATGTCTAAAGACATTTTAGGCCTATCTAATTCTACAATTGGATTGGTACAATAATCATTACTTGTGGACAATAGGTTAAATTCAATATCTAAATTGATGTAATTGAACTCAGTATTGAAATTATAATCAAGATTTATTATACCAGAGTTACTGTTATCATCATCCTTATCAGGGTTTGTTTTTACTTCCAAATCCAGTATAAGTTCTCTATTTTCTAATTCTACATTAGGGTAATAATAATTTAGAATATTATCTAATGATATATCTAAAGGTAAAACATTTGTAGAATCAACACTCTTAAAGCAAAACTGATATATTGTCAACGGATTTAAATTTAAAGAAATGATATTCTGGGATAAATACTTCTCATATAAATATTGCAGTAATCTGCACAATTTAGTATCTGGATGTAATTTCAATATAACCTCCGAATCCAACAATTGCTTGTTATTAGAAAATATCAAACATTGTATAATAGGTTTCATTAAAGTAATATCTCTTCCCTCTGCAGTTGAATGATCCATCTCTAAAGAAATACTATTTGGTTTTTTATTTTTCTAAGTCAGATTTACTCTATGTTATTTGTATATAATATGTAACTAATCTTGGCATATGACTCTGTATCCAAAATATAAAAAAAGAAAAAAAAGATACTATGGTGATCTACGGATAATGTGTATTCCTTTAATTATATTTGACTTGTAAGCTTTTAGTCAACATCTATTGATAAGTTTTTATATCTCTCTATAATTTTTCGTATTTTTTTGTCTTTGTCAATTTTTAAAGGACACAAAAACAAGAAAAATTAAAGAAGAAATAACACAATTAAACCAATAGAAATACAAACAATCCACATAAAATAAAATGAAAATAAATAAAATCAAATACAATAAATAAAATAGAATACTTATCATTAAAAAAAAGCTTAATTGCAGTTTATACAGATTAAAATATTATCAGACAACAGACAAAAAATATAAATATAAGTTAAGTAATCAATAGTAGAAAAAAGAAAAGTAGAAAAAAGAAAAGTAGAAAAAAGAAAAGTAGAAAAAAGAGCTCTTATCGTTAAATTGATATGGAATATTAAACATTCTTTTTATTTTTATTTTTATTTTTTTTTGTATTTATAAAATTCTTTCATACTCTTATTTTAATCCCTTACCTCGATTTATTCATCTTTGGTTTTAATTTTATTTTCTAAATCTTTTAGTTCTTTCTTTAATAATCTCGCCGATTCTTCATCCTCTAACGCCCTTTTTTTCGACTCTTCAGCCCTTCTCTTTCTTTCTTTAACAGCCTCATCTCTTCTTTCCAACTCTTTAATCCATAGTTCCTCTCTTAATTTTGCCTTTTCTCTTAATTGTTCTTGTTTTGTCTTTTCACTGATAGTTGCGCTACCATAAATAAAAGACCCAGCAACAAGTGCAATCAACGTAGCACCTTGTAAGCCAACACGCCAACGGAAATAATACTGCGCTTTCCTCTGATTTCCAATTCTGATATTTTGTGCAGCCAAAACAACAGCAGCACTTGTTAAAATCGCACCTATTGGAACTAATGGCTGTTCTGCACAGTGAAACTTAATTCTTTCCCAGAAAGTTTTCTCTTCTAATTCTTTCTTCGTTAAGTCAAAACTAGATGGAATTTGTGACATATTTATTTATTTTTATTTATTATCAATGATCAAAGTCTAGTATGCATATGTGAAGGCCCTTAAGATTCTTCTATGACAATGTTAGTGTTAACATATGTTAAACGGTAAGAGCTTTTTTAGTCCCTTCTTTCTTGTAGATCATAAACAGCAAACACTCACATATTGCACATTCCCAACATTTCTTCCCTTATCCCTTCTTCTACTTTTCTCCTTTTGACAGATTTCTTCTCACAATTACCCCTGGCATCTTTCTCTTTACTAAAAAAAAAATAACAACAAAAAAACACAAACAAGTACAAACGGATTTCCGTGTCCGGGATTCCTTTGTTTCTGCACCTGATAATCATCGCCATTCAGTAGATCATAAATGGTAATGTTTCTATAGAGAGAATTTATATAATACTATTATTTTAATAGCATGCTAGTATCTTTGTACAACTACAATATCGCAATAACATCGTTTATCTTTTTAATATATACATATACATGTGTGTGTGTGTGTATGTGTATCTGTAGTTTTAATATAGTTTGTTTCAATTTTTTTCTATTGGGTAGATTCACACATATTCAATACCCATTTACTTAACTTCACAACATCTTCATCTAGTTCAACATCATTCAGTAACACATTATACTTTAACACTATTTCTAAGAAGGCACTAATAGAAAATTCGTATAATATGCTGATGACGTTAATGTTTTGTTCATCTAATGTGCTCTCTGTATCTTCTTTGAATACACCTATGTTTTCCCTCTCTATACTTTTACTTGTATTATTATTATTATTATTATTATTATTATTTGTAATCTTAGATAATCCATTTGGTCTCCAATCTGTATATTTCCCGAGAATTCCAACAGATCTCTCCAAAATCTTCAACACATCCCCAACAGATGCAACAACATTACCTCTTGGTGATTCATTGATACCATTAATTAAGAATCCCATAATAGATATAATACTTTCCGCATGGTATATTGGAATAGGTATTAGTTTGTCTGCACGTCTTTCCTTTGACAAATACCATACTTCAAACAATGACAATGATACGGAAGATTTTTCCCCACTACCATTATTTTTGGTTATTGGAAAAAAAAATGTAACAAAATAATTTGACAGTTTGACCCAAAATAATTTGATAATTCTTGTCAACTTTGTATCATGAGTTAATATAGATTCATTATATTTATCATAGGAGTTAGTAAATTTGAAATTATTGTGTCCATTAGAATACCGAGATCTTCTATTATTTTGACTTTCATATCTGTCCTTTATATCAAAATCTTTATTACCATTATTATTTTTACTATTTCTCCCAGGGTTATTAATTGGATCATTACCAAATAATATTTCCGTATCCTCTTTGATGCGTTCTAAACGAGATTTATCAATGTCGCCACGGCTATCCCCATGCCCAGATAACCTGTAATCCTTGTAATCAAATGATATTCTTTGATTAAATATATTAACTTGTTCCAAAGCCAATAAATAATCGGCAACTTTTGTATTAGAGTCATTAATTACTTTAAAACATTCACTTAAAATCACTGACCAAACGTTATATTTAGCACCATCGTTTAATCCTAATGAAAAATCATTAAAACTATTACCATTGTAACTATAACCATCGCGATTGTTGTTAATGTTGATATTATTAGTAATGTTGACATTATTGTATATTGGTAACCTTAAATTAACATCGTTTGAGGTTGCTCTATATGCCAATTCTTGAAATGCTGTTAATTTTGTGAATGGCTTTTTAGATTGTAACCCAGTAATTAAAGTCTCCATTGGTGTTGAAGATAATGAAGATATTGGCTTACCCTTATGTAAGCAACCCATTGTCATATGTGCATTAAATGATAAATTGATTAATTCAAAATGATATAAGATGATAAATGTGAAAACAAACAACTTAATAGATAATACGAATCCAATCAACCAACTACCTAAAGTAATGAATGATAAGAAATGGGATGTTATCATAATAACGGTACTCATTACAAAGGTTCTTGAGAATATAAAGGATATATTGTTCGATATAATCAATTGTGGTAATTGAAATTGTCTATCAAATATAAAAATTAGTTTATCCATATCAAAAACATTATGTTGCAAATTATAAATTAATGGAATAAGTAACCATACAAATTGTTTAAAATAAACCAATTCTAACTTTGTAAAATTATTCGAACCAATAAAATTTAAATCACTCATTACTAAAGCCAAAGTAAGTGTTCCTATTGTAAACAAAACTTGATATAAAAGAAATTTAAATTGAAATATCTGACCTAACAATTGGGTACTAAAACTTGAATAGCCTAAAGAATCAACATGCAAATAATTTTTTCTAGTAATAACAATAAATATAGAGATAAAATATAATGCAATAGATTTTGCAATAAAAAATAAAATATTTTCAACTATTGAAAATGCATATTGTTGATTATTTTTCCTTTCGGATAAAATAGATATTAGTATACCTTCAAAAACGGATATAATAAATAACAATCTCGTAACTAAATGATTAAATCTGGTCTTGCAAACATCACTAAATATTATATTATAACTATATCGAAATTTATGAACTCCCATTTTCAATAATTAAAGAAACCAATCAAAAATCTATGGATCGTTGTATATTCAATAGATTAACCACTGTCTGTTTAATATATATGATCAAAACTGAGACAATAAATAAAATGCGTCCAAAAGAAGAAAAAAATAAAACAGTGGAGCACTGTGAAAGGTTTGTTTAACTAAATATATCTATATACCCCTTTTATTTTTCTTTTCCTTTGTGATACCTGTAATATCTTAATATCTATCAGTATATTTCTCTCACTCCGTTTTACTCATGTATGTTGAATAATTCATCACAATCTTCAAGAGATCTTGCAATTTTTTTTTATTTTTTTATTTTTTTCAGCTTGCTATTTTCGTTATGTGAAGAAAAAAATAGAATGAAAAAGATGAGCAGGAACACCCACACACTTTTATCAATTCTAAACAAATAATGCAAGAAAAACTGGGGAGTAAAAACATATTTTATTAATAAACCCTATAATATATTACAGGTTTTTCTTTTGAAGTTTTACATTTAATACTTTAACCCTAACAGCCTTTAAATACTTCTAATAGTAGATATAATATATCCGCTTTAGGTAATATTATTGATTTATTGTAATAATAACAATGAATGAAGATAAACCTCATTCTATTAACACATCGGATAAATGGTCGTCAATAAATATTCCAATAATCTTGATAGAAATGGACTACTCATCAACTATACACATATATCTATAGACAGTAGTGTTCATATTCAAGACTATTTCTACCTAGATTGCAACCATAGTCTTTCCTAAGTAAAGAAGTTTTTATTACGTAAGTAAATAAAGAGCAAACAACAACAATAACATAAATAAAAACAATTATGAATATTAAAGAGGAAAAAAAGACTGATTTTAGTAATTCCTCCTTCAATGATATTCAAGCAAAATTGGACAAAAAGTTAGGTCCCGAATACATCTCTAAAAGAATTGGCTTTGGGTCTAATAGGGTGGCTTATATTGAAGGTTGGAGGGCAATCAATTTAGCTAATCAAATATTTGGCTATAATGGTTGGTCAACAGAAGTTAAACAAGTTATTATAGATTTCCTAGATGAAAGACAAGGTAAATTTTGTATTGGTTGCACAGCTATTGTAAGGGTGACATTAGCAAATGGTACATTCAGAGAAGATATTGGTTATGGTACTGTTGAAAATGAACGCCGTAAAGCAGCTGCTTTTGAAAGAGCTAAAAAATCTGCTGTTACTGATGCATTAAAAAGGTCATTGCGTTCCTTTGGTAATGCTTTAGGGAACTGTTTATATGATAAAGATTTTCTGGCTAAAATTGATAAAGTTAAATTTGACCCTCCTGATTTTGATGAAAATAATTTATTTAGACCTTCAGATGAAATAAGTGAAGTTTCTAGATCTGGCACTATAGATATGGATAACACATGTGCTAATATCAACAATTCCAGCAACAGCAGTACCAACACCGCCACTGCCACTTCTGTTGCCACTACCAGTAATCAATATATTCCCAACAAACGTCGACAACTTTTAAAAGTTGGAGAACCATCCACTAATACTACTATCAATGACAATAAATCTGCTGCTACATCAGTTTCTTCTAATATAACTTCAAATCCCTTTGATGAAAATGCTCAAAATAGATATAATAGAACAACCAAAAACACTATAACCAAACAAGAACAAGAAGATCTTTTAGATGATTCATTAATGTTTAGTGATGATTTTCAAGATGAAGATTTTGCTATTACATCCAATCAAAACCATCTCATTGCAAATACTAATAGTGAAACCAATGAAGGTAAAGAAAACTTAAATACAGATTTGAATTACCCCGTAACATTTGTGACGGGCAAAGGAGCGGTTTCTTTACAAAATAAGCAGATATCTAATGAGACAGTTTTTAATCCCAAATACCAAGCTCAGTCGATTAAACATATACTAGATCAAACCACCTCTAAACATGTTCCCGCTAATATCTTAAAGGAAAAACCTACATCCAAAGAGAAAATATACAATCAATATGCCCCTAAAGGAAAAGGTATTGGACAGCGTGAGGACAGTTCTGATCAGTATAACAAAAATGAATCATCGGACAAAATATCTATTAACTCAACAGATAATGATACAAATAATAAACCAATAACAACAGATTCTTTTAAAGAGCCTAAAAAAACACCTCAACAAACTGTTATAGCTAGCAATAAAAAATTTGCACCACCGTCATCTGTAGTTCATCCAAATTCATATTTAGCTGTGCAAAATAATCAACAAATAACTCCTGGTAGAAGAGAAGTAGGAAGACCTAAAGTAAATCCATTACAATTACGTAAGCCTAACCCATAATACATAATTATTATAAACATATGATAGAATAATCGAATTATTTTCTGCATACTAAATAATGGGTTGTTCTCTGAATATTGAAAATATTACTTTTTCTCTTATCGGCTGGTTGTACCCATATGTAAAAAGGTTAATACACATTTATATTTAGGGCATTTATCTTTTATCTTCTAATGGTCATATTTACCACTTGTTATCAAACTTTCTTTTGATATTTAGCGATATTAAATCCTAAAAATAAATTTAGCATCATATTCAATTTTACAACAGTTTACTTTATCATTTTATATATTATTTTTAAAAGAGTGATAAAACTAAACAATACAAATTTATGTAATCCTAAACTAATATATATATATATATATATATGTCTGAAATAATCGAAAATCCAGTCATTATTTATCCTTTACTTTTATACAATATGCAAAGTACTTCAATTGCTTTTAAGACATAAATATTGGCATGATTTATTTATTTTGCGTCGCCTTATTTTCTATAGGGCCAATCCATTCCCAACAACGCATCATATCACCATGAATTTCCAGTAGACTGGACTTAATATTCGCATTATTACTCTCTACATTTTTTGTAACCTCATTCCAAATACTATTGCGAAGTTTTATATTAGCTTCATCATTTATTAATATGTCTCTTAGTTGAACAGAACTTAGATAAGGAACATCAGGGGTCTCTATTTTATTCTTTTTCAATCTCTCAATAACAACATTTGTCAGATGTTTAATCTTTGATTTCCTCAAGAAATAATTTTGTATTTTAATCTGAATAACTTTCAACAACAAGACAGAAAGTAGCCCAAACCATATGAAATGTTTAAATCTTTGATATGTTCTAATGATCTCCAATTCAAAATGGCATTTCAAGGTTATGTACTTCTTGGATGTTGAGCGAAAATATCTGTTTTGAGAAGGTCTGTTCTCTTTTGAAAGATGTCCTTTTTTCCCTTGAACTCCATGTCTTCGTATTGACTCCTTGGTGTCTGTGCAAGATCTATATTTATGGATTGGTATCTGTAAAAGTTTGTTAGTAAAAAATTCTTTGTTTTCTATATCATCATTAAAAAAATCAATTGTACTCACTTGCCTGTATATAATGTCTGGTTGTTTTTTCAACAATTCAACCACTTGTTCCCAAATATCTTGAAATTCTTCATCTTCAAGTGAAGAAGTTTTTGATTCTTGGAAGATATTAAACAAGTCAGTCTCAGCTATTCCACTCTCCATGTCATCTTTGGATTCACCACATGCCATTTGCGCATTTCTGAATCTTAGAAAATCTAATGATTTAGATACTACCTCATTAATCAATTCTTTTTTCTTATCATCCCTCACACATCTGTTTCTAAATGGAAATAGTCCAAAAATATCTATAGGAGATCTTTCTACCTTGTACTCAGGTTTACATTTTAAATTCATATATGGAAAACAAATACCATTCTCAGGGCATGGTATACAAGATGGCTTATAATCGGTTAATATAGAATCAATTTTCTCAAAATATAAAAACTCTGGATATCTTTCTCTGAAAGTAGGAAAATGTTGTTCTTGACCACAATATCCTGTATATATATTATTTTGGTAAAACCATATTACCAAAGACAGGATCAATCCAAATGTTAAATATAAAAAACTTTTAAAAGAAAATTTTACAAATTGTTTAAAAATAAATGATGTTTTTGTTTTAATTAAAACGTTCGAACGATTAATGCTTAAGTCAGTATCATCTGTAGGATGATTTTCAGTCAAATCATTGTCAATATGATCATTGGATTCTATTTCATCTTCAATCTCTTCAAGATCTATAATGTCAGCTTTAGTTTCTTTCTTACTAGCTTTAAGATCAATAATATCAGTAGAAGTAGCTTTTTCTGTTGGATTTGTTAACCAGTTGACATTTTCAGGTTGTAAACAATCTCCATTTCCGTCATTTATATTATTCTTAACCATTTTTGTTAATTGCTCTGATGTAATGACATCTTGTGATGTTGGAAGATCTGGTGTTCTTATTAAGTGACTAGAACTTATTGGCATTTCAATTCCTACATCGGAAAGTTCTGTAACTTCATCGATACCATTCTTTGCTGTTGGAATACTGTAATCTTGAGTTTGTGACACTATAGATTCATCTAAAGGTTCTTTCTTTTCTTTGATATCTTCATCCTTAATTGATACTTGGGATTGATCATTGATAACTTCTAAAGATGTTTCAGTCTTGTGTAAATTATCTGTTGAATCAAAATTCGTTATATCAGATTCCTTTTTATCATTATTTTCAAGGACTATATTTTGTAATTGTTCACCAAATTCTGCAGATACTTTTAGATTATTTGAATTTTGTCCAAAATTTTGTCTTTTATATGAAAAATCAAAAGTTGGTTTCCTTTCTTTCGTATTTTGAGTTAATTGTTTTTCATACAATTGACTTTTTTTTATTTCACTCTGAAAACTTTCTTCTGACTCATGCTCTTCTTCTGAAATAGAAGAATTACTTATATCAAATTTTGAAATGGGCGTTATATTCTTACTAAAAGGTTCTGATACTTTTTTACTGGCTACTTTTTGCAATATCGGTGTTGTTTTTTTTTCCTTAATGTCATATTTAGGCTTCTTTCTCTTTGGTGTAGAGGGCGTATCAGCATTCTTTCTTAATTCTTTAATAATATCTTCTTCAATAGATGATACTGAGGAGATTGATGACGTTCTGGAATGAAATGCATTGCTAAAATCATCTTCTAATTTCCTCTTCTTTTCCTGAGTCTTTATTTTTGATTCAACTATTTCGATATCACCTTCATTATCATTGTTAGATCTAGAAATTCCATATTTTTCACGTAGTTCAGGTATCATCGGTACAATAAATTCATCATATAATTTCAATAGATCCTTTTTCTTTGACGATGAGGGATAAGCCACGGTATTTTCTGTCAAGATTCTTCTTAACTCAGATATCTTCAAGGATTGTGGATTAAAACCTTCTCGTAAATAATCATTTAAAGGCATCCTGCTATATGATATTTGTAGATAAAAGTAGTCTTATTATTATCTTTGCTATTATTTTGATGACTTTAGATGTTTTTGCTCATGAAAACAAAAAAGTACACAAAGAAAAAAAAGAAATAAAGATTATGTTTATGATTAAATTGACCAAGTAAAACCTATATATAATTGAAGAACTACATTTTACTATATCTGAATACTTCTTTTTTGTGGTTCTCGTATGACTATACCATTCTCTCATCTAAAGTCTTTTCTCAAACCATTTCTTTCATCTCTCTTTAATTTCAACAAAAATAAAATATTATGGAAATTTCTTATTTGGGAAAACAGGTAAACAAGTGAAAGTAAACGTCTCAAAAAGGAAAAAAAGGGTGAACAAAAATTGATGAATTTCCCAAACCCTAATAAACAGCATGTGTCGTTTGAGCTGTAATTTAGTACGCTACCAAGTGAATAAAACCCAAAAAAAAAAAAAAAATAAAAAATAAAAAAGAGAAAAAAGATATTATTATAGCTGAAATTCGAAGTAGTCCTAACTCTTATTAATTGACTGAGATAATGCTCATATATACTCCTACTTTCAACAACTAGAATAACAAATGACCCTCTGTTGAATCTTATGTTTTGTATGCTTTATATTATATTTCATTAAAACTAATTGGGAAGTTGTGGTACCGATTGTAGTTTAAAAGAAAAAAAATAAGTGAGATACCAATACCTCTATACATTACCAAGGGGTTAAAAAAAAAAAAGAAGAACGAACGAACGAATGAATAAACAATGAACATTGATAATATCAACCAAAGTTTATCTAATTTGGCCTTGGAAATGGTTTCATCTCATGATGATTTTCAGCCTAATACCGAGTCTTCTCAAATGGTCTTGACTAATGAAAATGATAATACACATATTAATACAGATGAAGATAAAATTATTAATTCTCTTGAATTATCTAAATCAAATTCAAATTCAAATTCAAATTCGACTTCAACTGAAAGAATCGATTCATCCAAGGCAAATTTTTCCTATTATGAAAATCAACAATTAATGGATCAAAACTCTAAAGAAATTGCTAATGATATCTCAATTGTTAGTGATGGTCTATTCAAACAACCTTATGTTAACACATCTACTACCTCATCTAACCGAAGCTCCAAATCAAGGGCATTATCAGCAGGTGCCCAGAACACTGTTCCAGAAGTCAGAAAATATAGCAATGATTCAACATCTAATGAGTTTGTTTCAAACAACTTGATTACAAAACCTAGTTACAAGATGGGTATGTTAGCTGAAGATGCAGAACAACAATTCTTAGAGGATCCATCCCCCGAATTAATTGATTTGTATTCCAAAGTGGAAGATTGTAGGCAACTCAGATATAAATACCAGTTTTTGTCTTGCCAGTATAACCATCAAAATCCAAAAAATAAGGAGTCATGGCAAATTTATCCACCACCGCCAAAACCATCATATAATGCCGAAACTAAGACCGTGGTTCCTGTAGTAAATTTACCAGATAGTGAGGTTTTCGATTTTGATCATTTTGAGATTCCAGGGGAAGACACTGAATGGGATTATTGTGTTAATAATGATGATACATTTATCGTTCATAAAAGTGGTTCAGAAGATGATGTTATTGCTCATGTTCCAACTTTACGTGATTATTATTTGGATCTAGACAGGTTGGTTTCAATATCATCTGACGGTCCTGCAAAGTCTTTTGCCTTTAGAAGATTGCAATATTTAGAAGCCAGGTGGAATTTATACTATTTGTTAAATGAATATCAAGAAACTAGTGTTTCTAAAAGAAATCCACATAGAGATTTCTATAATGTAAGAAAAGTGGATACCCACGTTCATCATTCTGCATGTATGAACCAGAAACATTTATTAAGATTTATTAAATATAAATTAAGACATAATAAGGACGAAAAAGTTATCTTCAGAGATGGAAAAGTATTGACCTTGGATGAGGTTTTCCGTTCCTTGAATCTAACTGGATATGATTTATCTATTGACACTTTGGATATGCATGCGCATAAGGATACTTTTCACAGGTTTGATAAATTTAATTTGAAATATAATCCAATCGGTGAATCACGTTTAAGAGAAATCTTTTTAAAGACTAATAATTATATTGATGGTTCATATTTAGCAGATATTACCAAACAAGTAATTTATGATTTGGAAAATTCTAAATATCAAAACTGTGAATATAGAATCTCTATATATGGTAGATCGATGGATGAATGGGACAAATTAGCTGCTTGGGTTATTGATAATAAGATTATCTCTCATAATGTCCGTTGGTTGATTCAAATTCCAAGATTATATGATGTTTATAAGAAAAGTAATCTAGTAGCAAACTTCAATGATGTTTGCAAAAATCTTTTCCAACCGTTATTTGAAGTTACCAAAAATCCGCAATCGCATCCAAAATTACATGTTTTCTTACAAAGAGTGATTGGTTTTGACTCTGTTGATGATGAATCTAAAGTGGATCGTCGTTTCCATAAGAAATATCCAAAACCTTCTCTATGGGATTCTGTACAAAATCCGCCATATTCATATTATATATATTACTTATATTCAAGTATGGCTTATTTAAATCATTGGAGAGCAAAGAGAGGATTTAACACTTTTGTCTTAAGGCCACACTGTGGGGAGGCTGGTGATCCTGAACATTTAGTGTCTGCTTACTTATTAGCTCAAGGTATATCACACGGTATATTATTAAGAAAAGTACCTTTTGTCCAATATTTATACTATCTGGATCAAGTTGGTATTGCCATGTCACCATTATCGAATAATGCATTATTCTTAACGTATGATAAAAACCCATTCCCAAGATATTTCAAGAGAGGTTTAAATGTCTCTTTATCAACTGATGATCCATTACAATTTTCTTATACTAGAGAACCTTTAATAGAAGAGTACTCTGTAGCAGCACAGATCTATAAATTATCAAATGTTGATATGTGTGAATTAGCAAGAAACTCTGTTTTACAAAGTGGATGGGAAGCCCAAATTAAGAAACATTGGATCGGCAAGAATTATGAAAAAGAAGGTATTAAAGGAAACGATGTTGTAAAAACAAATGTTCCGGATATTAGAATCAATTATAGATATGATACACTATCAACAGAACTAGAATTGGTTCGCCATTTTGCTCAATTCAAACATCAAGGATAATATTGTTATATTTAATAGTAATATATACGTATTTATGTATTTTTATATAGGTATAACGTCATATTCCATCATCGCTTTTCCCTAAGTTGTGTACAAACATACATTAATATTTATTGGTTTATTTAAATAAATTACAGGCCTCTCAATTGAATACTATTAACTACTGCCCTTGTTAGATCCGCCATTGAACTAAGTTGGAAAGAAGGATCAAACTTATAAATATCTCTTATCAAATCTTTATCACAAAATTGTTTTAAATGGTCATCAGTTACTTCTATCTCTGTCCCTTGAACAATTGATTCAATAGAAATATGATCTGTAGTGTTATTGTTTACCTTGATAATTTCGACACATACTATTTCCCTGGTATCGTCCTTTAACCCAAATCTTTTAAACACTTCCCCAATATTTGAAGTAGGTGCAAGACATAGTAAACATTCTGATGTTAGACTTTTGGTTCTAATCTTGTTATAGTGTTTTTCAATTAAAACTCTGTACAAAGCTGCCATTATCTGTTCAAGAGAACAAATTGTTCTACCATTTATAAATGCAAACGGATATTCAGCAACATTAGACCGTATTTCTTTACTGTTCTTGACATCTTTGAAAAGGTATATCTTTATTGTGAAATCTTGAAATTGCGGAATGGTTGTTTCAAGCATTGCTTTAAATAGAAGTTATCGTTCCCTATCTTTTTTTATAACTTATTATTTTCAGCTATGCAATATAATTAACTTTATACACTTGTTATGTCCTAATTGGTTAATGGTATAATATAATGGGACTTAACATAGTCAATCTTCATATATAAAAATAAAAGAAAAGACAATAGCTTTATATGATGAACAAATTAGAATGTAAGATTTTTGTCTTTCCTTCTTTTTTTTAAAAAAAAATTCTATAAAAACATCTTTTTGGAGATATCGCTCACAGATTTTACTTCGCTTAAAGGTAAATATAGTCTTCAAAAGAGAAACAAAATGTATTTATAAATGAATAGCAAAACTATCTTTTGATCATTAAGTGATAATCACTAATAGCAATTTCTTTTTTCATTTCTGTTTGTGTTTCTTTTTGAGTATACATCTGTATAAATCTAGGTAATCTAACGCACTTTTTGTTAAAATCAAATGAGATGAGTAACAAAGAATGGTTACAAATATGGATGATGTAGAGGAACAACTTGATATTATTTTCAAAGAGTTATTTAGTGCGGATCAAGTAAATTCAAAAATAACGGCAGAGAAATCGGATTGTTTAGAAAAGAGATCAGAAGTTAAGGAAGCGAATAACAGATCAATATATGATATATTGAATACAGTTCCAGAAAGTAGGAAAACTTTAAATATTCTACTTCAAAAATTTGATGATTTGCATGAACCAATTAAAGTCTCGCATAAGGGTGAATATAGCATTAACAAGTCGTTGTTGCAAGAATGTTTTTCTGTTTCAGAATTGTGGGAACAAGAAGAAAAAAAGAGTAGGTTTTCTACATCCTCTTCCAATATAACTTTACAAGTAGAGTTACCAATAACTTTTGCTTGGAGTAACAAAAGCAGCCAAGATATTGTGAAGGAAGTTATGCGAAACCAAGAAAAGAAAGATAAAATGGAGGAAATACAATCAAACATTCAATTACCAACCGTTCTACAAAATATTCAGAACTGTAAATTTATAAATGAAACGTTACTTAAAGAAGTAAACGAAAATTTGGTTGAGCTTACAAAGTACACAAGAAGTTGGCATTATATACTACAGAGGAATGAAGAGCAAGAGATCAGTGACCTACAGAAGTTAGATAATGGATCTCTTAATGGAGAAAGTGCTGCTGATCAGAAACCTGAAAATTTTAAACCCAACTTTCAGGTTGATCCACTGGAAAAGTTCGTTGTTACATCATTACCTAGAGTCAAAAAGGACTCTACCACAAAAAATGAGTCTAAAAAGGCTAAATCTAAAAGTAAATCATTTCGGTGGATATGGAATAGTTCTACTAAACAAAAGCACAAAAATAAGGAGAAGCATAATGATAAAAATAAACAATCAGATAAAGATAATGAATTGATGGACATTGTTAGAAATTCTGATTATAATAGCGAGTCGATAAATTGTACAATTCCAAGTGTTGAAAACGGAAGATACACTTCAGAAACACTGCCAATGGATGTAAATGAAACTCCAAAAGAAGAACTCGATTTTGATTTAGATATTCCCTCTTCTTTAGGATCGAATGAATTATCTAGTATGAAAACGGAAAAACAGATAGCTTTCGACTTGAATATTACCACTGGTGGGGTGAATAAAAATAACAATAAGTGCACTGATAGAAATAATATAGAACTAGTATCAGAAAATGTTGAAGATATTCAAACCAGTAGTATCAATTTACAAAATAGCAGTAATGATAGCGACGATGCTTTTGGTGAATTTGAAATTTCTGATACCGGAACTGTTGTATCTAAATATGATAATATCCTCATACCAAGCAACCCAAGAGATAAGAGCACGTCATTAATAGATGATGATAATATCAGTTTTAATATCACAAATACTTCCACAGATAAACCTATAATTCCAAATATGATGTCATTTATACCTTTACAACCTCAAAAAAGGTCATAATTTTAATTATATAAACTATGTATCATTATAAAATAGTATGAAATAAACCATAAACTGTAATTAATATTAATCTACTTATTGGAAAAAATATTATTTTAAAGATTATACCAAAGATAGAACAGGGATTTTTCAACTTGGCAAACTATATTTCAACTTTATTAATCAATAAACATGTGTATTTGCTAATATGTTTGTTTGTATTTTTCTATTTCCTTACCTCTCTGTTTGTATGTAATATTCAGAAATCATGAACAGTTCCATGTAAACACCTAAAGAATTATTTCTTCTAAAAAAGAATTTTAAACCAGTATGTATTTGTTGTAAAAAAAAAAGAGAGAAAGAGAAATAGAAGCCATCAACCTTTGAGAATAGTGTAGTTAAGTATTTTAATTCCCACTAGTGACACAGTTTAAAATTCCGATTTGTTACAAAATCAAGTTATTAGCTTTAATTCGTTATCTTTTTTTTGACTCTGATTATCACAAGAGCAAAGGAACTTATACGAGATATATTTCAAACAACTAATTGAGGCATAAATAAAATAGCATTTTGCATATATATCGATATATCATATTAATACCTTATAAAGTTTTAATACATTATAAAGATATTTATGGATTGTTTTATCATAGTATATTGAAAAGTTTTGTTCATATAAAAAGGAGCATTTAAATAGTTGAGATTTCAAAATAATAGGCATATTTGACTAGAGGGAAAAAAATAATACTAGGTACAGTCATGAATGTCAAAGTTTTTATGCTCTGCATTTTAGGCTGGTACTCTACATCAATTACTTTGTCAGTATATAATAAGTGGATGTTCAGTTCTAACAATGGTCTTGGAATAGAGTACCCGATATTATTAACTGCAGGCCACCAATTAACACTATGGATATTCTCCTTTATCTATGTTTTAATACGTGGACGTGATGAATACAATAAAGTGAAAACGGTAGATTGGGAATTTTACTGGAAATTTATTGTCCCAACTGCTATAGCTACCGCAGGTGATGTTGTGCTGAGTAACATATCATTTAAATATGTTCCTTTAACTGTTTATACAATTATAAAATCGTCAAGTATTGCGTTTGTGTTATTGTTTGGGTGTCTTTTCAACTTAGAACAATTTAGTTTTCAACTGGGTTTAATCGTAATAGTTATGTTTATTGGAGTTGTATTAATGGTGTATACACCTGTTACCCTTGAAAATAATAAAGTTACTGATCAAACAACGTTAATAATAGGTGCAATTATTGTATTGGGAAGTAGTTGTCTTTCAGGTTTAAGATGGGTATATACTCAATTAATAGTGAGAAAACGCATCCATACGACAACAACTAGTATTAAAAATGATAGTCGACTGAATATAAGATTAAATGAATTTGATATAGATGAAGATCTTGAAAATAATAGTAATAATAATACTAAAGTATCAAAACTAATCGAAAATAAAACTGATTTCAATGAAAATATGTTAAAGAAACATGATGAGGATTTAATTAAAAAACCCCACCCAATCTATACTGTATACCAAGTAGCTCCAATAATGTTCTTGGTCTTATTGGTAGCATCACTTATTGTAGAAAGACCATTTCCTAAATTTTTTGATTGTAATCTTTTTAAAAAGGGTTTAAATGCAGAAGGGCCAACGACAATTACGTCAATTTTTTATGGGATAATATTAATGTTGATACCTGGCATCTGTGTGGTGGTATTAACATTGAGTGAATTTAGAATATTACAAATCAGTAAAGTGTTGACAGTATCTATAGCTAGTATCATTAAAGAATTATTAACTATCTTGTTAGGTATATGGATATTATCAGAAAGAATCAGCGGCATATACAATATATTTGGGATGATCATTATTCTGCTGGATGTTTGTTACTATAACTATTATAAATACAAAGAAAAAGAGAAAAAAGATAAATATATTCCAGTACCCTTGGAAGATACGTTCGCTGGGAATGAAAATATTGAATCCCGTGAGGAATTGTATGATAGCATTGATAATAATAAGATGATGATGAATGGTAATAAAAATGACAATAATAATAACACAAAAAACAAAGAGACTGATAATATGAATTCAGTGAATAAGACAGAAGATCCTTTTCTCTTCGATGATTCTGATATTGATAATATACCATTTCCAACAGGAGGGTCTATAACAGTTCAAGAATATGAAATGGATTTTCTGAGAAAATAATTATTCAGAAATAATGATTATTATTAATATTCTATCATTATTAATGTATCGGATAATGTATCCCTAATGATTGATATAGTTTATAGATTCTCTAAATTGTCTTTGTCTCTATAGTAAGGACATAATACCTCTCAAAATAATTTATTATTATGCAATTTAACTTATATATATTTATATGTTTTGAAAGAACTTGATTCATACTATATCTCGGAGTTATCAGGAAAAAATGGTAAACGTTAGGCAGTCCATGTTATTCACTTTGAAGCTTCAGGATATGAATGTATATATATATATATATATATATATATTATTTTAGTGGATGTGGACAAGGGCTATATATTTATATACATTACGGTTAAGCAATTATTTTATTCTTATTTGCTCTATATTATTCGGGGGTAAACAAAACTGAAGTATCTTGTTAATGATAATAATAATAAAAATATCTAAATATCAATTATTAACAGTATCTATAGCATCTCTCCACTGTTCACTTTTACATCTGAGTTAGTCTATAGAGATAGAAATAATGAAATTTATATATACGTTTATGTATATATTCATTAACTATTTGTTGTTATTGTTTTTTGTTTGTATTTCAAGGTTGAGAAAGTATGATTTAGAATAATTTATTTACATGAGCAATTCCTTAAATTAAAGATTAGTAAGCCGGGCCATATGCTTTGTCAATTAGGGCTCATCTGGAAAGCATAAAAAATCTAAAATAGAGGGCCTGATTAAAGATAATCTCTCGATACTTTACAGTCTCTTATCTTATAGCTCCACAGCTTCGAATGTTTTGAGGATCTTATGGGAAGCAGAAGAGAAATTATCTGCAATTTTTTTTGTTTATCGTGCGTTTTTTTGGTTTTTTTTCGACATTCGACATTTGACATCAGAGAAAAAAGAAAAAAAGAAAAAAGAAAAAAACAAAGACAGAAGAACGAAAAAAAAACAAATAGCTGACAAATATTTTTTATATTTTTTTTATTTTCCCTCTTGACACTTTTGTATTATATACTCTCTAATGACTACTACTCAACTTTTCATTATTTCTTAAACTTTATTTTAATCATCAAATTATTTGGACTTTCTTTTAAAATCATCATTACTGATTTGATTGCATCTTTTCTCTCTTTTTTGTTTCTTTTACATATATTTCCATTTTCTTTTTTGATCTGAAGTATACAGCTAATCCATATTCAACAATCTAAGTATAAACAATTACATCAAGAAGTAACACAAACGTTCAACATTTCAGACTCTACCTACACTTATATAACTATTACTATAGTTTGTAAAGATCTATTCAACATAGACAACAAATAAGCATTCTAGTACTTTTAATATACAACTTAATAATATACTCATCATGCCTTTACTGTCTTTTTTTCCCAATGATGAGCACACACTAGTATCGAATAATACCAGTCATACTGCCATAAGCATCAAAAATAGAAGATTATCTTCTGTTAAAAGATTTGGTAATAGAAAAGTCGAATATACTACTGAAGAAGCACTATCCAATTGGACAAAGACATGGAATCTTTTAAAACAATTAGCAGATATTCTGGCCCCGTCTAAAAAGGTTGGCATGAATCGTTTGGGGGTTCCGACAAGTGATGATTCTTTTTATGGTGTCAGTACTGAATCGGATGCTGATACTGATGCGATAAGTTTTTTCACAACGAAAACTTCATTAAGCAATAGTAAAAATAAAAAAACAGTTGATAAATCCCCAATTTGTGAGCTTTTCCCTAAAAAATCAAATATTCAAAATTTTAATTTTACTTCAGTGACTCCATGTTCAATGAATATTCATTTAATGGAAAACCCAATCCAATTAGAAGCATTACCAAATGGAATGATCTCTTCTACTCTATCAAATAAGCAAGCATTTCAAACAGCTATTAATAACCAGAATAGTATTATTAATACTAATACTAACACCGCTACTAATAATAATAGTAATAATAATAATAACACTAACACGAATCTACCTTTACCTATCTCACCCCAAAGTAATAATTCTCCAACTGCTTTAGACCACAAGCTAACACCACAATCTACTATTTCATCAGGTACAGTAAATAGTTTCTTAAACTTTATTACTAAAACCAATGGCAATGTCAATTCTAACTCTAATTCCAGTTCCAATTATCAAACTTCAACATCAGAAAGGGATGAACCAGGTTTGCTTATATGTCATTATTGTGATGCGACATTTAGAATTAGAGGTTATTTAACTAGACACATTAAGAAACATGCTATCGAAAAGGCTTACCATTGTCCTTTCTATGACAAGAATCTACCATCAGAATTAAGGTGTCACAACTCAGGTGGGTTCTCTAGACGTGATACATATAAGACTCATTTAAAAGCAAGACATTTCACTTTCCCTGATGGTATCAAAGCACATAACAGGAATAAGTCTGATGGCCAATGTTCCCATTGTGGCCAACATTTCATCAACGCTGATGATTGGATTAATAACCACTTGGAGACGGGAAAATGTGTGAAATTGCCTGAAGAATATTTGATTAAATTGAAGGAAAAGTCTAACAATAAGAAAAGAACACATCATAAATTAAAAATGATTAAGACTTCTACAGGCCATTCAAGATTTGTATCCACTGCAGAGAGTGTTATTGAACAAAAAGTTTTCCAGAATAAAGAGGCTCTAGAAGCAATAGCTATTGTAGCAGGTGATTCAATGAACAACCATGTTTTATCAAAGAACGATGAGAATCAGTTCGTGTTAAATTCTGAAAACTTTGAGGGCCATAAAAAACCAAAGAAGAAGTATAAACCAAGAAGGAATAAGCAGATGATAAATAGCGATATAGGCAAGGCTACTACTAAGGATAACATTAGTAATACACCAAAGTCGAATCTAGATAGTATTAGTCCACACAGTCACATTTCTAATATTGATGAATTAGATCTGTCTTGTATCAATAATAATGGTAATAATGGTAATAATAATAATCAAACTATGAATGGAGTTCATTCATTCATTACTTCTCCGAATAATTCAATGTTTTCTAGTATCACTGCTACAAACAAAAATGATAACAATCCTGTTACTATATCTCTTCCGATGAATATAAATGATAGCAGTTATCTGGAACAGCAAGGTTCTTTGGTTAGTAGTTCAGTAATAAATACATTTGCCCCTATTACTGCTACATCTTCAATATCATCTATGTCTTCTGTATCGTCAATATTTTTGGAGCCGTTGGATATAGAACAGCAATCTATGTATGAACCATTTGAAGAAGCCACATTGCATGCCATTCCTAATACTCATACTAACGATATTTCGCATGTCAACATGAATAAGTTGAAAACTGTTCCAAATAATGATGCAGGTGATACATTTGGGAAGGGTATGGATTGTAATAAGTTGAATGAAATGCAAATGAAAGAGACAAGACAGTATTTAAATTTTTATAACTTTTTTTTTGGTTCTAATTTATGATTCTCAATAAATAAATATATAAGAAATAAAAGCTTTCTGTATTTAATGAGCTATTAATTTATGTTATAATTTTGTATGAAATATAAATTATCCTCTTGTGAGATGTGTAAATTAAAAGAAAAAAAAAATAAAAAATAAAAAAGAAGAAGAATTTCTACAAACAAAAGAAAGATGGAAAGAAGATATTATGGATTGGTTAATTATTTCTTTTTCACTTCTCGTTATATAAAATGTATGAAAATATATAAATACTCAGGGATAAACTAAAGGAAGGAAATTAGCTAACAATAAATAAATAAATAAATAAGTATATCAGTAAATAAATAAGTATATTAAATGAAAAAAATAAGAAAGAGGAAAGAGCAGAATAGATGAAATCGTAAAAATGGGAGTTCAAAAAAAAAAAAAGTAAAAATGTCATCGAGTTCATTTTTAATAAATCATGCTTGAACAGGTTCTCTCTTTTCCCAAACAATCTTAGCTGGACCAGTTGGTAGAGTAACCATAGAAGTGAAATCTGGGACTGGGACAGTTTGTTTTGGATCTGGGAATCTCCACTTAAACTTTCTGATGTAAACAGACATGATGGTGCCTAATTGAGCGTACGCATAGTGTTCACCGATACAACGGTGTCTACCACCACCGAATGGTAAGTATGGAGAAGAAACACCTTTAGAGATAGAACCAAAACCGTAGTCAATCTTTTCACCAACACTGTAGGAGGATTGGGAATCGTTATCCCAACGGTGCAAGTTAAATTCAGTTGGGTTTGGGAAGAACTTTGGATGCAAGTGGGTATAACCTGGTGAAACAAGAACGTAATGACCCTTTGGAACGACGTATGGAGTTTGTGGAATAGGCAAGTCTCTCATAACTTTACGGAATAAAGAGTGTAATGGATGGTGTAATCTTAGGACTTCCTTAATACATTGGTTCAACAATGGCATTTCTTCGTTTATGATATCGTAAGTCAATTCTCTCTTACCGTTGCCCAAGACAGTCATTTGTTCCCTGTATAACTCTTCTTGAACATCTGGTCTTTCAGCCAAGTGTAATAAGATCCAAGCAGAAGTAGCAGCAGAGGTATGCTGACCACCCATTAAGACACCGATTAACAAGTTAGCGATTTCTTGATCAGTCATTTTGACACCATCCTTGTAAGTAGAATTCTTCATTAAGCTATCGATCAAATCTCTGTCTTGAATATCGTTCTTAGCGCGTCTTTCCTTAATCAAGGACAAGTAAGTGTCACTAATGGTCTTTTGAGCATGATCTCTTCTCTTGTTGACAGGCAATGGCAAACCAGGCATAACGAAATTGATTGGAGTGAAACCTCTGTCTAAATCTGTGTATAAAGAAGCAAAACCGGTGTTTAGTTTATCTCTCATTTCCTTACCCAATAAAGTTCTGGAAGCAGTGAAGATGGTCATTTCTGGTTGAGTAACCATGACATCAATAGTACCAGTCTTGTCCTTTAAACCGTGGAAGTTTGGAGATTCGTTGAAATATTTGTTAATTTCTTCGACGAATAATGGAACGTAGGATCTAAAGGCATCCTTGGTTAGAGCACCTTTAACGAATTTCTTTTGGTCCATTAGTCTGTGGTTTGGAACGTCATAAATAACGCCTTTACCGAAGACAGGAGTAGTCAAATGAGCATAAGCAGCCTCAGCTGAAACGTCAGCCAATTTAGCGTTGAAAACAAATTCATGACCATTTGGACCTAGGTAGACAGTCATAACTTTACCTAACAACACAAAGGAGAAGACATCACCATAAGTTTCTTGACAACGTTTAAAGAACTTGTAAGGTTGGGTACCGTATGGAATAGCAGAACCGACCCATGGAATCCAGTAGTGTACTAAAGGAGGTCTGTCATTTCTCATGGAGTAGATAAATTGCCATAATAAAGAATGGATGAAAGGAATAAATACTATGATGGATATTTGTTGGAATAAAGATAAACCTAAGAATGAATCTAAAGCTAATTTACCATAAGATGCCAGTTGAATGGCAATAGAACCACTTTCTTCACTCATATCTATATATTTTGTATTTGAGGGAAGGGGAGAGAAAAAAGGAGAAGAAAAAAGGTGTTTTTGTTTTTAATTTTTGATTTTTATTCTACTGATTAGTTTGTTTGTCTGTTGAAGTATATAATCTATCAATCAGTCTATAATGGGAACACCTCTATAAGGTAGAATGAGATAAATTGAATATAGATGTTATGGATGTTTGAATGTGTGTGTGTGTGTTTGATTTGTATATAGTAAGTAGGGAAAATACAAGCAAGATTTAAGTGCTATTTCAATTGGAGGTAAGGCAAGGATACCTTTTACTACTAATCTCGATCACCAACGTTATATATATTAATCTAATCATAGAAAGAAAAAGGGAAATGAATCGCTGGAGATAAATCTATGACCGATAATATCACGTGCAATATTTCAATTATCGATATATTTCGCCAATCTGTTTTTTTTTTTTACACACACAAAAAAAGCAAAAAAGAGCAAAGAACAAAGAAAGATAATCGATTTTCGTATAAAAACCAAAAAGAAAAAAAAAGAATAGAAAATGAAAGAAACGAAAATTTCTTGTTATTTTTTTTTCGGCATTCAAGCGAAACCTCCAGAAAGATAAGATTTTTCCTTGTTGTTAAACAAGGAAAAATAAAACAAAAAAAAAAAGAAGTAGATTGAATTTTAAACGAAGTGAAATTGGTATTTTACCGAGATGTAAAAAAGAAAAAAAGGTTGTTGTTGTTTTTTTTTTTATCTATCTTCTCCTGCTTTATTTTTATTTCGAAGGGAAATCGGCTGAGAATACAGGGACTGGCAAGAGAAAGAGGCTATAACATTTATCTGCATTTAGATCTATTAGTATTAGTCTAAAAAAATACAGGGTCTTGATTCAAGTATGATGGGATCTTTAATCAGCCTTGTCTTATCCCTAGTCTTAGAGATCCTATTGTAAGTGTTCTCTAGTGGCCGACTGTCATAAGGGTAATAAATGTCTGTTTGTTATTCTTACTATCTTTATGAGAATTAAAAACAAACTACATGGGAACGCTTTCTTTTTTCAAGTAGTGAAAGCATATCTAGTTTGAGATCATTATGCAATTATTCTTTTTTGCAAGGGTTATGTCTTACTTGGTATCCTAATATCAAAAGAAAAATTAGGGCTATTGTAACATGATTAAGGATCGTTTCTATTGATAGAAAACTCCAGAAAAGAAAAAACTACTTTTGAATCCTTGAATATTTGATAGATCTTGGAAGTTCAGACTCTTTTCATTTAATTTTAATAGTTATAAATACTAACAGTAATACTAATGAAGCGATATTGTGTAGAAGAATTTCATTTTGTATTTGTCATCACGTTTATTACGGAGATAATATCAGGAAACGGAGATCAATTCGTTGTTTGTTTGTTTGTTTTTTTGACACTTGTATAATTACATCGTTTAATATTATCTTTTTTTTTTTTTTCAAGCTTAATATTAATAGAATGTTCTTAGCGCCAATAACGGATACTTTCAAGATGGAAGTGTTTTTCTTAAACATAGAAAAGATCCCGCAGAGGTTTTTTCGTTCTATTCATGATGACATATATACCTTACTATGTACTCATTCATAATAAGCTTTACTGTTGCGGAATGTCTATTCTAGATACACGGAATTTAAAAAAAAAAAAAATAAAAAAAAATGGAAAGTGGGAAAAAGATAAAAAGAAACGTAAGAAAAAAAGAAAGTGTATATTTGATATCGGACATTTCGGTCAGAATGGTAAAAAGAGAAATGTTAAAGAATTTGTATTTTTTTTTTTATTTTTTGATATATACGAGAGTAGGGGAATCACCGAAAAAGTTTCCTTTTTTAAATTAAACCTTTGAGAATCATAGAGGGAAGAGGAGGGAATTGGTGAAACAAAAAAAAAAATAGAGAAAGAAATAATGTAATATTTGTATCCCATATATATGTCTAAAAGGGAAACTGTGGCTTTAATGGTTTCTTTCTTCATCTATTTTCACAATTTTTAAACCTTCGAATCTAATTCAATTCCTATGAATGTTTTCTACACTTGTCTTGACTCACAGAAAAATAACAAAAAAAATTAAAAAAAAAAAAAAAGAAAAAACAAACCCTATTATATTAATGCCTGATTCAAGTAAGAAAAAATCTAATAGACTCTAAGAATTGATCTTTGAATAAGTGAAGGCATGTACAAAGATATGTACAATTAACCGAATGGAGCTGTACCATACACAATTTCTTTTTTACACATGTTTATAGACAAGAATTATACGTTTCTTTGGAGGATACAGATCTTAAGGATCGGGAATGACTGTAATGATAGTTGTGATGTAGTGATAAATTCATTTGAATACATAAAAAGCTGTATTGTATTATATATGTATATATAAATATGCATTGATATGAAACTAATTCGTGTTTTTTACATAATAATTTTTTCTTGTTCAAATCTCTTCGCAGCCTCTTTCCAGTTAATGACATTCCAAATAGCATTGAAATAGTCAACTTTACGGTTTTGATACTGTAAGTAGTATGCATGTTCCCAAGCATCAATAGCAACTAAAGGAATTAACGAGCCAGTGACAGTGTCCTGATTGTAAGTTTGTATAACATCCAATTTTCCACCGTTAGCTAAGTTCTTGACAATGAAAGCCCAGCCAGAACCTTGCACACCTGCTAATTTGGAGTTAGTTAATTTAATTAAAGAATCTAAACTTCCATATTGGTTTATAATGGCATCTTTCAATCTACCCTCTGGTAACTGACCACCGCCATGCTTTTCTGGAGTTAAATTTTTCCAAAATAAGCAATGGTTAGTGTAACCACCACCATGGAATTTGATATTTTGTTGCAACTCAATAATTTCACGTGCAATACTTGGGGATGGATCCTTTTTTAATTTTTCTTGTAATTCTGCCATTTGTTCCAAACCAGTGTTAAACCCATTAACATATGTTTGATGATGTTTTGTGTAGTGTATTTCATTAATTTGCCCACTGATATGTGGCTCTAAATCAGCAAAATCCCATTCTAGTTCTGGTAATGTAACTTTGTTTCTAGTAAACATGCTCAAAACACGAATGTTGGATGTCTTTTTTAAAATACCGGTGGATTGTCTGGATAACATTTTTGTTTTTGTTTTTATTCTTTTTTTGTGCTTTAGTTTTTTATACTTGGTTGACTGCTTTTTTCGTTAACTAGTCGGTTGTGTCAATGAAACAAATTAAATAGGATATTAATGAGAAAGTAAGAGGCATAGCAGAAGATAATCTCTTTTTGTACTTTATTTTACTACTCTACTACTTCGCTATTTTACTGTTTCATTATTTTATATATGAGAGCAACCTTATTTGTGTGCTATTTTCCTTAAATTCACAAATTCGGACATATACAAAAATACGGCGATTCCATAAAAGGGTGTGTACTCATTTTTGTTCCCTTTGCGGAATTTTACCACATCTCAACGCCGATTGGATTCTCCAAATTTCTGTGCTTCTTTTCCCTTGTAATTTGCCAATTTAAATCATTTTTTTGTATCATTATACGTCCATAGTGGGGAGAAAAACAAAGAAAAAACAAGGAAAAGAAAAGAGAAGATGTCGATATTAAAACAATTGGTTCTCCATTTCATATGACTAAGGTGATTAGTGATCATCCCTAAATGGGAGTTATAGGATATATGTATATGTATGTATGTATGAGTACACTTTACAACATGAAAAAAAAAAAAAGAATAGTTATTGATGTGGTTCGTCCAAATCAGATAAAAATTTGCTCTATTTGTAATTGTATTAGAAATTTATATAAATCTATTCAATACGCTATCCTTAATCGACACTAAAATACAATTTAGGATCCAATTTATCTACATTACAACTAATCGCTCTACCATCAAAAATGATTTCTGACATTACTTTGCCTGTTGCACAACTGTTATTGATTCCCCAGCAGGAATGTCCACTGGCCATGTACAATCTTTTAATGTCGGTTTCACCAATTAGAGGTCCACTACTTGTAGCTACATTTAGAACCGGTAAGTAACAGGCCTGTTTTTTCAGTATCTGGCCTTTACCGATAATATTTGGAGATAAAATTGACGCATATTTATATAGTTTATCACATTCTGTTTGTGACACATCTACATCAGTCGTTGGATCTGGTAATTGTATTTGATTGTCTCCTTCACCACATATATATATATCATGCTTACGTGCATATATTTCGGGGGTAAATACATCCACAGTATTCAATTTAATTTCATTGAAAAGCGCATATGGTTCTATCTTATAATCTAATGGGTCTACTGTAATTGAGTGGGCTCTTAATCCAAATATCGGACATTTATGTAATAGAGTCGATGTCCATGGACCTATGCATACAATTACTTTGTCTTGCGAGGATAGAATTATTGTCTTCTTTAGGGCCTTTGATAACAGTGAATCTTTATATTTTTCGTATTTTCTATCTTTGGCTATTGGTATGTAATCTAATGATCGTATAGTCCTAGTTTCTTTGGTTTTATCAGAGATATTAATTTTTTCTACTTTACCATAAACAATATCAACACATTGAGTTTCCATGGCCTTTTTTAACATAAATTTGGTAAACTTATAAGGGTGGACCTGTGCAGTAGAATCTTTATCGCTAAGTTGAGTCCAGTTTGTCACAAATTTAGGGTCAATCCAATTCAAATTTGTGGGTAGACTTATCGAATTCTTTGTGCTAGTCCCACTTTCACTTTTATTTTTATTTTTACTTTTTTTCTTATTTTCATTGTCATAATTGCTTAAATCAATATCCAAATTAACAGTATTTACATGTCTGTAATCCCAATTTATGTCACCTTGATATAATTGTACCAAATTTTGATGCAATTTAAAACTTAATTCGCTTAATTGTGTTGGAAATGCCCATGATGCCAACAAACCACCAGCTTTGCCTGATGCTGCACATGCGATGTCGTTACTTTCAATTATTATAATTCGATGTTTCTGTGGATCAAATTTTTTATGTTTTGTTAAGTAGAATGCTGTGGTACAGCCAATAATCCCGCCCCCTATTATATAGATTGTTTCCTTGTTATTCATCTGGTAAATATGTCTATTGATTGAATTTTCTTTATATTTATGTTCTGATACAAAGGATGGGTAGATATGGGAAGATTTATAGCTGTGAACAAAATGTTTCTTTTCAAAGATTACAATTCTAACGACCGAATTTGTTGTCTCAGTTGGTTGAATGATTTACTAATATTAACCCAAATATTGACTTTATTTATTTATATAGCCACCTCTATTTTTGTTTGTTTTAAAAAAAAAAAATTATTATTATTATTTACAATTAGCTAGTTTCTTGTAACCTTAAATTTATTTAGCAAATCGATTATATACAAGTTCTTGAAAAGATTGATCCGTAAATATACTAAATATACCTACTTAAAGATTCTAGATTTATTTCTGATAGGCAGATTGCTCAAGCACAAAGTTTGACTAGATAACATTTTACATGTTTTCAATTTTCACTACGCTTCTGCGTAGAGTCTCTCCAGCTGACCTAGTTGCTTCCCGCTTTTATTTAGGTGTTTATTTTCATCACCTGTTGGCTTCTAATTTTTACAAGACAGAGACAAATTAAAGCTTTATTGACGGAAAGATTTAAAAGGCATGTGGGGTCTATTATCATATCTTCAAATTGGCATAATTAGACAAAGGCTAAGGGGATAAGCAAACAAAAAAAAAAAACAAAAAAAAAAAAAAGAAACAGGTTTATTTTATTGGATTAAATAAATTGATTGCTATTTTTTACGTCTATTCTTTCAAAACAAAGTTTTTCTTTTTTGTTTTTGGTCTAGATATTGTTTTTTTTAATAGCTAGCAAGAAAACAAAAGAAGGCAACAGAAAAAGAATAGAAAAGGTAAAGATTTCGTCATTTTTATATATCATCATTCATCTTAATTTGTCCAATATTTGCAAAAGTCCAAAAATCCATTTTCAAGACTGTTTTAATACATCCGGACATCCAAGTGAGCACTCATTGTCTTTTTCGATTTATTTTCTTTTGGTAGACAAACATAATTTCGGAAAATCTAAAATAGAAAAGAATTGTGCGTTATTTGTCTTTTTTTGTAATATGCATTCTTGAAATCCAGCTTCGGGTTGGTAAAGATTCAAAAAAACAGGACCGGTAGTAAACTTTTCACTCGACTTTCCCGCGTCAAACTAGTCTCGCTTAGACATTCCTGCTTAAACCCCTACAAACTCTCCTCCTTCTACCTTCTTGATCCTCTTCTCTCTTTGTCTTTCTGTTTCTTTCTCTCTCTCACCCTGTTCCTCTCTTTCCTCTCTCCCCCCCCCCTTGCCGTTTCTTTCTAGTAGTCCTCAGTAGCCACTTCTTCACCTCTCTAAGGAGTATCTCATGTCACCCTCGCTTGTCTGTTCCCTTCCTCTTCTCCCTTCTCTTTCAGGTTTGCGAGGGTTGTGTGATTCTTCACTGTGTCATGACTAGTGGGCAGGGAGGAAGAAGTGGTTCTGTTTCCTAGGATACAGTGTGTATGGCTTGTTAGTTAATGGTGGTTGGTCGACACCGTCATTTGGCGAGAACCTGACTAGCCACGAAAGAATTATGCTGTTTATCGTAGTAGTAGGGGACGATTCTACACATTCTGGTAAATCCATTCACTCTAACTTCTCTATTTCTGTTAAAACTTAAAAAATTAACATATGAAAAGTTTGGTATAGGAAGAGCTAGTCCTTGTAGAGGTATAGCTTACCTATTGTTCCGAGTTAAATAATTTTCTAACAACCCTTGCTGGAATTCATCAGAAATAGATACACGAAGAATTAAAGATGGCTAAGTTCTTAAAAGCTGGTAAAGTTGGTATGTATCCAAAATACAGTAAATATAAGTGAAAAGAAAGTAATGTAGAGTAATCTGGGAAATGGAGATTATAAGAGATGAACAGATTATTTGAAAAGCATTTAGATAGGTGGATTTTGTAAACGTCATATGAAGAAAGTAATTAATTTAAAAAAAATTCGTTATAGGATATAAAAGTTATTTTAAAAAGTTATATATGGGGAAAGGGATACTCTGATAATACCCATCTGTAATTAATGTTATTTGGATATCTGAAATAGTTAGGATTATACAAGTATCAACAATTTATTAATACATTTTGAAGTATTTACGTAGAGTTTTTCTATCTCAAGTAAAAATTATATTCCATAAGTAATCCCGAATAACTCATGCTCAATTGTTGAAATAATAAATACTAACAGATATGTATATGAATTGAATCTGGAATATCTAATGATCCCGAAATTACGTTCTTTTATTTTCAATATATTCCATATTTGATGTACTCCCTCATATTTTACTTCTATTTGTAAAATTTGTTTTTTTTAATTAGCTGTTGTTGTTAGAGGTCGTTACGCCGGTAAGAAGGTCGTTATCGTCAAGCCACATGATGAAGGTTCTAAAGCCCACCCATTCGGTCATGCTTTAGTCGCTGGTATCGAAAGATACCCATTAAAGGTTACCAAGAAGTTAGGTGCTAAGAAGGTTGCCAAGAGAACTAAGATCAAGCCATTCATCAAGGCCATCAACTACAACCACTTGTTACCAACCAGATACACCTTAGACGTTGAATCCTTCAAGTCTGTTGTCTCCACTGAAACTTTCGAACAACCATCTCAAAGAGAAGAAGCTAAGAAAGTTATCAAGAAGGCTTTCGAAGAAAGACACAGGGCTGGTAAGAACCAATGGTTCTTCTCTAAGTTAAGATTCTAATTGAATATGTATCCTGATTTGTTATTTTATATATATATATAAATTGAAAACTTTTCTGTCGCATTATAATCTTAATTAGTTTCCAAATTCTTACCAATTCTATATTATATATTACTATTATTAAAGTGTGTTTTTTTTTGTTTTTAATAAAGAGTTCTATAAACATCTAAATAGTAATGAAAATGCACTAAAAAGTTGTACAATTTTGTGTGATTTTGTATAGATAGTTAGTATCGTTTCTTTTTTTTGTTGTCTCTTGAGTTTGTTTTCATGTTTTCATTAAACTGATGTGTTTGAGTCTAAGTATAATATTTACTAAGTTGACTGGATATAATTTAGTTTTATTATGATGTATTCCCGCAATGTTCCTGCACTGAATCTTTGTTAACAAATTGAATCTTCCACCTTTAAAGGAGAAAACTAATAAAAATAAAAAACAAAAAAATATATTGAGGGATCTGCAAAAAACTAGTACTTGATACGAAAGAGTTGATTAATATATATGTGGATAAGTGTAAGTGATTAGAACAATATATGCCGTTAATTACGTTCAAAAGGTTATACATGAAAAAAAATATGCAATGATTTTTGAGTATGTTATTCGTTAAGAGATATTTAAGGACTTCAAATTGTCTAAGACATTTTATTAGAAAACCTGCAATTGATATAAAATATGTGTTAAAGAATAGTGATTTATATAAAAATTCTGTTTTAAAAAGGGAGTTGGTTAACACAGATGTACTAATTAAGGATTTGAATGAATTACCCCAATGTTATCGAAATTTGAATGGCTTAGATAACCAAATTAATCAGGTTCAAAAGACAAGAAATCAACTAGAAAAGAAAGTCAAATCCAATAAGGATGAATTAAAATTTCTCTTGCCACAAATTCAAGAGTTAAAGAGTAAGTTTAAGGATCTACAGAAAAAAAGATCAGAGTTATATGCTCGTTTGGAATCTACTTACACGTCACTACCGAATCTACTGCATCCTTCTGTACCACCAAATGAGCCGGAAATTGTTCAATGGATTAATAAACCAATCAATATCAATCATTCTCTAAATCATGTAGATATTATGACAAAAAAGGGATTATTGGATTTAGAACAAGCATCAATAACTTCAGGTACGTCTTCATATTATTTAATTGGTGATGCTGCTTTATTAGAAAGGGCGCTGATAAATTATGCTGTTGATCTAGCCCAAAAAAAAGAATTCATATTTGTATTACCTCCAAGTTTAACTAGATTAGGAATAATCGAAGCTTGTGGGTTCAGACCTAGAGATATGAATGGCGAGGAACAAATATATAAGACAGGTAAAGACAAAGAGATGGGTCTTGTTGCTACTGCAGAAATAACATTGGCTGCCATGGGGTTCAATAAGATTATGAATCTCCCCCAAGGAAACGTACAAAAATTTGTTGGATTAAGTAGATCATATAGAGCGGAAGCTGGCGCAAGAGGTAAAGATACAAAGGGTTTGTATAGAGTACACGAATTTAGTAAAGTAGAATTATTTTGTTGGTGTGATCCAGCCAAAGGTGATCAGGTATTAGAGTCATTGAAGGAATTTCAGATAGATATTATTCAATCATTAGGTCTCTATGGTAAAGTTTTGAATATGCCAGCAAATGATTTAGGTAACCCAGCATATAAGAAATACGATATAGAAGTGTGGATGCCAGGCAGAGGATCATTTGGTGAAGTAAGCAGTGCATCTAACTGTAGGGATTTTCAAAGTAGAAGATTGAATAGTAAATTCAGAAAAGAAGATGGTTCTTTGGAGTATATATATACCTTGAATGGTACTGCAATGGCAGTTCCCAGAGTAATTGTAGCAATTGTTGAGAATTTTTATGATCAAAATACAAATACAATTAGGATTCCTGAACCATTAATTTCATACATGAATGGGAAAAAGTATATATAAAAAATCACCTATTTGATATTTTATTTATTAGTAAGAGTATCACACATTGCATTCTCGTAGTGGATATATCACCATAACATTTACTGTAAATATAATAGTTACACATGTAAAATATAGTTAACGATCTGTTGTTGTAGATAGCTTGTTTGTTTTATTTTTCTTCTCTTTACAATCATTTAAATCTTTTTTTCAAGTCGAGAAATCTCGATTGAGTGTTGGTTTATTTTAATTTTGTTTCTTCCTCGCATGTTTTAGCTAAGGATCCTTTTAATGAAATTTTAGAAAAAGTTTAAAAGGGTAACAATTATTATGATACTATTTTGATCCTTCAAAGGGCAAAAAAATTCCAAATAATGAACGATACAGGGGAAGTTAAGAGTAACACATAAAGTGCATAAAGAATAAATATGTTACTGTTAGCCCTTGCAGATGCTTATATTCCAGATAGAGCAATTGTATGTTAATGTTATTGTTTTTTCAAATTTATAAACTTATGATTAGATATAATTGAGGGGTAAAAAGTTACTAACAAAATTGAAGTAGGATATACCATTGAAATTCAAAAATCTACTAAGTATACCTGATAAGATATCCCATATTGCATTATTAGGTAACAGTACTGGATCAAGTGAATTTTTAGAATTTTTGGCTCAAGTCTCTCCTAATATCAGTATAGTCCGTGGTGAATTTGATAGTCCAAGAATTAAAATACCTAAATCTGGAAGTGCAAATATTAGAAGTGATGATATCGATAGTACTAACGATAAAAATAATGGAATAAATGAAAACAGGTTGAAGGAGTTGCCTTTAACCTCAATAATAAAAGTTGGGAATTTCAAGATTGGTTGTTGCAGTGGATACACAGTGGTCCCTAAAAATGATCCAGTTTCGTTATTAATATTAGCTAGACAATTAAATGTGGATATTTTGTTGTGGGGTGGTACACATAATGTTGAAGCATATACTTTACATGGTAAATTTTTTGTAAATCCAGGAAGTTGTAGTGGTGCTTTTAATTCAGATTGGCCTGTTGATAGCGGTATACCTGACCAAGTCGATACAACACAAGAAGTTACAGACAATAAAATTAAGCAAGTAGAAGACGATAAACTAGATGAAATAAAAAAAGAAGAAGAAACAATAACAAATTCCATAATGGCAACTTATAAGAATGAGGCAAGCATGAAAGAAGAAGATATAGATGTCCCGGATAGTGTCATAACAGGTTCTAATGCACCTAGTTTTTGCTTGTTGGATATCCAGGATTCAATCTGTACATTATATATTTACCTTTATATAGACGGTGATGTGAGAGTGGATAAAGTAGTCTTCCAAAAGGACATGGAATCCGAAGAGTGCAACGACTAATAGATACCTTAAGTGATAGTTTGTTAACAAAATCACATATGCATATGTGTATATATCCATGTACAGATATATATATAAATATATAGACAAGTATGTATGTTCTTCAGGAGCTTTATATATAAAGTCTGTCAATATAGGAATGCTGGATATGGTGGGTCTGGTATGGTTGTGAACCCTAATATATTTCTGGCTATAGCGTAGATAGTGATAATACATATTTGTTCTATTTTGCTTTGTTTTGTTTTTATTTTTTTTTTTTTGCAAGATATTTCAAAACAGTTTTTTTATTAAATTTCCAGATTTTGACATTATATAAAGGGAACGAATATCAAACGCAATGTGTTTTCGACCTTTCTGACGATCTTCTTCTACACCATAGGCAGTTTTCCTTCGCTACTTTGTTTCATGGTAGAAAGAACCAGGAAGTTTTTTCCTTCGTTAGTGATGATTGTGAGTGCATTTGGCTCTAGGCATTAACAAACTTTTTGTTAAATGTCGATGTGGAAAAACTCAAGCTACCTACTTTTTTTTTGACTGATTATGTTTCAAACGAAAGTGACTTCCCTTTACAATAATATTTTGTATTGTTAACTTATATTCTTGAGTATGTGTATTTTGAGTTCTTAAATGGTAAGTATGTAGTTGTCGTGTGGTACAAGTGTGGGTTAGTGTAGTGGCATCTAATAAATGTTTTATTGGTTCTGTCCAGTGTTGGATGAAATTGCATTGGACTGAGTTATACTTTTGCAAAAATCTTGGACTCAAGAGTATTGTACATGTATTATCACACATATTGTGTAGTTATATATTTGTTTGACATTAAGATTGATTTATTCAATTTGATATTTATAATTGTAGTTACAAATTTGAACCTATGGAAACACTCAGACAACAACATTATCGATGCCATGTTGAACAAGATCTTCAAGTAAATCAGAAGTTAAATCATCCTCTAATTGTTCTTCATTTTGATCATTATTCTTGTCCTTACGATGATTGAAATTCACAACTGCCAATTCTTTTAAATCTAATACTTTTTTCATAGCGTAAGCATCTTCACCGTCTTGATAGTAACCTTTTTCAATCTTTAGCACCTCAAATTCCAAAGTATCTCTATATAAGTGTAATGCAGCTCTATTTGATTGTCTAACGTGTAGAGAAACATATTCAGCATCATGAACTTCTCTTAATGCAAATAACGCCTGTCTCATCAATTTTTCAGCCAAACCCATTCTTCTATATGTTCTCATAACACTCAATGATGTGATATGACCATTGGGAGGTTCATTTTGTTGATCTGGATCATCGTTCATTTTAGCTAAAACATAACCAACCAATTTTTCCCCTGGTCTTACATAAGTTGGATCCAGTTTAATTTGATTTCCTGTTATCAGGTCATCTACCATTAATTTATCATCATCATTATCATCATCCTTTAGATCTTCTTCATCAAATACATTAGATGTTGTTGTAGCTACAAAGGAGATTTCAGGCCATGATAAAATATGGTACATATAATATTTCATCATATAATTTTCTGGTAAGTTATGTAGATTAGCATTTTGCATACAAATTATATCATCAATGGTGGCCTTTCTAATATTAACCGGCATTTTTTAAACAAAAAAATATTTTTTTTTTCAGCAGAGTACTACTTCCACAATTCTTGTCTTGTGAATTGTATTTGGTTAGTGTATATGGCAATGATGATGAATATAGAATTTAGGTGCTTGAGAAATGCAATGCGTATGTGTATAAAAAGTTAAATCATATATTTGATGTAATTTCATCTCAAACTTGATCTTATTTTAAATTTATTTTTTTCTTTATTTTCTTTATTTTTTTTTATTTTTCGTTCTGATATTTTTCCATAATAATATGTAGTAAAGTTTTCTTTTTTCTTTGACCGTTCCCTTTATGGTAAGTGTTTAATTTATGAAATCTGGAAGATATTATGTACGATTAGTATTATCTAGAGGGTTAGAGCATCAATATTCGTATTCCTCGAACATATTTGAGAAGTTTTCTCGAATGATCATAGGAAATGCTTTTTTTTTTACAATGACATGGTATGTTTGTTGGAATAGCATTTGTTGAATAGATCAAGGATGCCATGATTTTACAAAAAAAAAAACGCAAAATGTTAATTTAAGACAGATAAATACAAAAGAGGAACTTTAATAGGACATATATTTATTAATAAAGGGAGTAGCATCAAGGTTAGTAGATTACAATGCAATAATTTACTTGAGTTTTTTGTTGTTGTTTTTTTCTGTAAAATATTATCCTAATCTATTCATTACCCTTTGTCTTTGTAAAAGAAAAGAAAATAAAAAATAAAAGGCAATAGATTTTTGTAAATACATCTGATAATAATCAAAATATTTTTTGGAATAAGGTTTGTATGCAAAAATTTGTATTTTTTTTTCTTGAAAATAAAAAAGAACTTTGTCTTTTTATACATATTTTAGTAGCTTTTCTTGGGTTATTCCTTACTAAATAATTGCTTAATGTGATAAATTAAAGGAGTTGATGAAATGATTCTGTGAACCTGTGTGTTTTTTTTTTTTTTATTGTATTTTTTTCTTTTAATTTTGGAAATTCTATTTTAAATGCCAATAAAGGGTTTCTCTAGTAAAGTGGTTACAATCAAAAATTGTATGAAAAAATGAAAAAAAAAAAACTATATGATGTTAGAAAAGAGAATATAACTGTATTTGTATCATGATTGAATTAAAATTTTTCATTTTAACTACGTGTTCATATATGCCTATGAGTATGAATATATATATGTGTGTGTGTTTTAGTATATGTAGAAGATATTAGTATTGGATTTAAAGTTTTATACTATATATTATATATTGATATAAATACTGGCATTAGTGTTCATACCATTTGATTATAGTTTAATAAACAATGGGTATTAAGTCCAAAAGTAAACCTTTACAATTTAAAAATGTCAATATATCATTTTCAAATAAAGAATCGCTACAAAAAAATTCTAAGGCAATAAAAATTTTAGCGAAAAATAAAGTAAAGTCTATTACTTCACAAGGTAAATATGATATTAATAATAGTAAAGCGGTTGATTTTGGATATGAGGATCAAATGATCATCGATGAAGACTATTATATTTCTCCAAGTATGCTGATTGATGATGATAATGAGGATGATGAGGATGATGATGGTAGATTATCAGTAAATTCCATATCTTTATTAGATGAGGGAAATGAGAAAGAGAAAAGAAATATGGATATAAATATATTGGGTTTACAATGTAATTTACTAGATTTAGAAAAAAAGTATGTCACAAAAATTCCGCAATATATTATTAAAAAATCGATAGATTACTTTAGTTTATCTATACTACAAGAGACTACAGTTGAAACAGAAAATAACAATAAATCATCAAGATTTATTTCTACACCTATACAAAATGGCAGTAGGTACAGAAATAGGAGTGGGTATGCAATTAACAAAAACTCATTGGATACGTTTTCTTTAGATGATATTGATAAATCAATGTTTTGGGACATATTTAATTCATCTCAAATAGATAATTATCCACGGATATTGCCTCCGCCTTTAACAACTTCGAATAAATATGGTAATCCTGATGATGCTAATATGATGATAACCGAATGTGATTCTAGTCTTAATGAGTTTTATCATTCATATGAACATATTCCCAAAAAGCACTTCAATATTCACTCACCTTTAAAGATACTGTATCCAGTGTCACCACCGCCGCTACCACTTTCCTCCTCTTCCTGGTCGTCGTCGTTTCCACCTGCGTCTTCTTAATACGCAGCAATCCGTGTGGCGTGATCAAATAGCGAATTTGTTTATATTGTGTTTTTTTTGAACAATAGAAAACAATAGAGGATCTCGTTTTTATTTGCATTGTTTTGTTTAACTTTGAAGACAAAGAAAAAAAAAAATAAAGAAAAAAAACAAAGAGTAGAAATTTTTTTCCTCAAAGGTTAAATAAACGTTGAATTTTCTTTATGGCATAATCCTATAATAATAACTACGAGTAGATGAAGAAAAAGAAAAAAAAAAGAGCAAGAAAAACCAGATGTATTAACTAATAAATAAATGGGTAAAGAGGTAAACTGTTCTTATGAAGAAACCAAGGTGATTTTTTGTTGGTTCATTTTTAGTTAATTGTCTGTCTGTTTGTTTGTTTGTTTTTACATTATTGGAAGTTCATTTTCCCCTAATATTTTGATATAAATATATTATTAATAAAACATCTACTAACTTTGCTAATATAACTAATACTGTTGCTAGTAGTAATACAATTATGATCAATAGCAGTAACATTGACGATAGCAAGGATAAGAAAATTGTTACGCAAGCATATCAAGTGGTAACACCTAAGTCTCCTAATGAAGTAACTTGTACTAATCTAACAGATGTTACTATGTCATCTTATTCAACTGAATCAAAGAAAGATAAATTAGATATTACTTCTGTTGATCATTTGTCCACTTCTTCTTCTTCTTCTTCCACTTTTACAACTACTATTGATACTAACCATATTGATAATACTAATAATATACATAGGTCTTCAATACTATCATCTAGAGATAGTGAGGATATCGAACGTCTAAAATATGAAACCGTTAAAAATGAATTACTAGATAAATTAAATTTACATATTTTGTTAAGTTTTAAGAAAAGGGATACATTGAAAAGGGAATTAGACAGAATCCATGCTCAAGCTGTCCTGTTGAAGAAGCTGCACGAGGATAAACAACTTTTATGTAAAATTGAAAAAGTCAAAGAAATTGAAGTTAAGAATAGAAAGGATTTAATTAAATCATCTATTACATTTTTAGATACTTCGAAGAGCAATCGTTCTCATTCACATTCTTGTACTTCACTTCAATCTACACCAGGACATTATTACCACACTAGAAGTAAAAGCCAAGGAAATTTATTGAATGATTCTTTTTGGAAAGATTGTATTGATAACCCAATATTAACTTCAAAATCGACTAGACGTGGGCAACAAAATTCAAATAAAAATGATCAGTATCATAATAATAAAAATAATACCAGTAATAAAAATAATAATCATGATATATTTGATTCAATACAAACAAATGGGGAAAAAAATCAAATCAATAAAACATATTTTAAAGAATATAATAATAACCCAGTATTCAGGAGGCATGATGGAATCCTAGTTCTACTTACTTGTTCTATATGTGGAAGACAAGGGTTTATAGCGCCTCAAGGTATTGCTATACATGTTAGAACTAAGCATCATAAGACATATACAAATCAAAAAATGGCAGTATTAATGAATCAATGGCTGCTTCCTGATGATTTGCAAGATAAAAGAATATTATCAAAATTTAAAGGTTTGAATATTGATCCCAATGTAACATACTTGCCCATGGAAAGTAATTCTATTGATAAAAATGGTTATAATAAAAATAAACCTAAACAGAAAAGTTTAACTCATTTGTCTAAAATTGTTTCAATATCATCTTCAGAAGATAATATAAGTATAAATTCACAAAATGATACATTTACTGTTGAAAGACAGAAATATAAGATAAATTATCTAGAAAAATTTTGTAATAAGGATGAACTTAAAAATTTAGTTGAAATAATGGAAACTAGTAAACAAGATCTTGAAGTGATTTTACAAAATCAAAAAGATAATGAAGTTGACGAAGTAACTGAATATAATAGGGATGAGGAGGATAAAGATTACGATATTGCAGAAGATGTTTTAATTGATGATAAGAAATTAGATAGTATTGATGATACGGACTATGAAGTTCAAGAGAGTCCTCTTTCAAACATATCTAGTTCTCCTATAAAAGGTGCAACTACAGATAATTTATCCATAGAACTAGATTCTAGTTCTTCTATGACTACACTTGCTTTTAGAAGACATTTAAGGAAAAGAAGATATAATAGTCGTGGTTCATCAGAGGAAGATAAGGACTCTATTGTTTTTTCATGGAAAGAAAGATTAAGACCAGCTGAGAAGAAGCCAAGACCTGATATGATTGCATTAACAGAATTGCCAGAATATGAAAGAAGGTCAAAGCATTATAATCTTCGTGCTCGATCAAAACTAAGGAGTTCTAGTATTGATGATGATTTTTGATCTATCAAATAGTTTTTTTTACTAAAGGTCAAATAGATGAAAGTATATATATCTGCATTTACAGATGTACAAATATTTTTTTTTATTTGGTTATGAAATTCTGTGTATATGATGAAGTTATTGTATAAAAATGAAATTATATATTCAATAAGTATGCAAAATTTACGGTTTAGGTGTTTATTTTTATATAAAAAGCTAAGTTTTCATTAGTTAAAGCTGTATACAAAAAAAAATATCCATTTTCATTATTAGGATCTAATGATGTTTGGTGTGAATTTTTTTTATCTACACTGAAGATTACAACTAAAAAAAATGAAATGTAACTTAATGTTATTATTAAATAATATTGTTAACATAACATACTCCATTCAAGATATTATTATTTATGATATCTATTCTGTTTGTTTGTTTGTTTTTTAAATATGACTAGAAAACGTTAACTTGGATTATATATAATTTTCCAGTGTATAAATGAGATTTAGTTAAAATAATTACGCTTCTTTTACATAATAATTTTATAATTCGTAAGGAACTTGTTTACTATATTAAATGAGTTAAGATTCAAGAAAATCCTTATTTAACGTAATGAAAAGAGGATGTTTTGTGATGAAATTAATCAATCACAGGTAATTTTGAAATTGCCATATATAATTAGTTGATTTGCTAGACCCTTTAATATATCAATAGTACACAAAACTGAAAATCATATCTAGTGTTTGGCCAAGGAGTTTTTCTATGTTGAATTCTGTGTTATTTCAAACACAAATATTAGTCTAAAAAAATTACTAATTTCCTTTGGTTTAATGTGGTATCTTTTAAGTTGAGCACGCTAATGCTACTTGTCTGGTAAGATATGTTTACAATGAAGGATGTTGTGTCCCTTTTTTTTTTAGGCACTCTAACCATATAAAGAAGTTTTGACTAAATGTTCAAATATCTTTCTCGAATTCATTATTGTAAATAAAAATAACTTACATAGTACAAAGTTTATATATACCAGTTTTTTGTTTTAGTCAACATTCTGAGTTTTGTTCAATAATACAACTTTTACATATATTTTAAAAATTCTCAGAAATAATATTAAGAAACCGTTATATACTTGAACAAAAAGGGAAAATGTCATAAGAACATTAAGTACTGATTTGTCCTTTTGTGTTGATTTTTTTTTATTAGAATAGGTAGTAATGAATGTGAATTATGTATATTTTAATACAGAGGAATCGTAAAAATATTTTGGGTTTTGTTTGTTTATTTGAGAGTTGGACAGAGCCCTCTAAGCTTTTTTTTTTTCAACAAAATATTAAAATGTTGAAATATAATTATTAGAGCTATGTTTGATAATCTAAATTCATCGTACTAAGTGATTAAAAGTTATGAAAATTTATAGTAAAGAAGATTCAAAGATAAAATGAGTATACTGTATAATATTGTATCTTGTATATTACTTATATAGAAAGAAAAGGACTAAGCAATACAATAACAATTTATAGTACCACTAACTTCCTACTATAAATAATAATAAAACTTATAATACCACCAATATCCTATTGTAAGTTACATTATCTTATTATATTAGTTTAAAATGAACTCGACTAGAATTTTTGATTCTAAAGCCTTGCGTCAACATAAAATATTTTTTCCGGAAAATTTGTACAACAAACATAGATAAACAGAATCCATCATTTTACACATATTAATATCCACACCCTTTATCCTCTTAAGAAACTAAGAGTTTATTTTTTGTTTGTGATTCTTTCACTTATGATAGTACAAATTGTTTTTTTAGCAAAAATCTACAGCTATTTCCCTTTAAATATAAATATAAATACACCTCTAAGATATAAAACTATTAGGGAAGATATTTTTAAAACAAAAATATGAAAAGCAAATGAAAGAGAAAATATTAAATAACAAAGTTCAAAACATCTATTCTTCTATAAAAATATACAAATACACATACATAAACGTGAAAACGTCCATACTGAAAGTGTGTTGCTTAGATCAACAAAGCAGCAGCAGCTAAGACACCAGCACCAATCTTAACAAAGTTGGTAGCAGCACTGTTTTCAGATTGTTGTTGAATAGTAGCACTAGATTCAGTAGAAACTGGTTGGCTGCTTACAACTTGTGCAAGAGTAGATGGCTTATTATTTTGAGTGGAAGTGACTTCGGAACTGTGACCGTTGTTTAATGAACCAGCAGTGCTTGTTAAAGTAGCAGCAGCCTTTCTAGATTGACAAATTTCATCACAGACAGTAGAGGTGACAGTAGAGGTTTCTTCTTTGGTGACTTCAGTGGTGGCAGAACTTTCAGGTGGGCAGCTTGTAATAGTGGTAGTGTTAGAGTAAACATTAGTTGCTGTTACAAAGGCAGTTTCAACGGATGCATTAGCAGCACTTGTAATTGGGTATAAAATACTAGAATTAGCTGGGAAACTGTTAGTAGAGATTATGGAAGAAGTAGCTAAAGTAGAAGCGTTAGTATTTTCAAAAGTTGAAGCAATTATGCTAGATGTTGGTTTAACAGAGCTTGAAATAACAGAAGAAGAATTCGTAGAAGTAGAGGAAATTACAATACCAGTGGAAGAAGATAAAACTGAGGAAGAATCAACTGATGAAGAAAAAGCACTGGTAACTGAACTTAATGTACTAGATGTATAAGCAGGACTGACAGAGAAAGAAGAAGAAGAAGAAGAGACATCAACGACTGGACTTAATGTACTAGATGTATAAGCAGTACTGACAGAGAAAGAAGAAGAAGAAGAGACATCTGCAACTGAACTTAATGTACTAGATGTGTAGGTAGAACTAGCGGAGGAAGAAGAAGAAGAAGTACTAGTGACCGAAGTCAATGGGCTAGATGCATGAATGGAACTAGCAGAGGAAAAAGAAGAAGAAGAAGTAACTGGAACCATTGGAACACCAGCAGCCTCTAATTGTGGTTCAATTTTATTAAGGAACCATGGAAGCTTAGTAATAAATGTTGAGACGGCATTAATATCAACTTCTGAATAATTTGGTACATAATTTGGATTACCAGCTAAATTAGCACCAATATCCATCAAACCTGCAGGCAAGTTATCTAATGTAATACCAGATTTTGGATCTGATACCAAAGCAATGTAACTGTTTAAATTGGCGGTAACATCTTTGAAAATAATATCTAACTGTTTAGCTTGTGCAGGAGAAATTGTGTAGGCATTAGCTGAAGCAGCAATTGCAGCTAAAAATAAAAGAGACTTGGTATTCATTTCTATTAACCTGACTGATTGATAATTATCGGCTTACTCCTCTTTTTTAATGGAACCTTCAAGGACATTCTTAAAATAACAAAACAAATGTCGATTGAAATACTAGTAAAAATTTCAGAAACAACCAAAGAAAAAGTCCACCTTTTATAGCTAATTTATATAAAATAATTGGTAGGCATATCCATCTTAAAATAAAAGTAAAAAGTAAATGAAAATTTTTGTGTTATTATTCTGTGTATTATGCATCGTATAAAACAAAATATTTAATAATTTCAATCTAACAATGAACATATGGATACCAATACCACATATTTACCTTTATGTCAAACCTTTGAACCGCAGCCAGCTTATTCTTTAAGGAAAGCAAAACAAAGAACAGGAGTTAAATTGGTGTCACTAATTGAACGAAACTAAATAAAGATTGTCATAGCAGTAGTCAACACAATACACACACCTCTATTTACTCTTTCATTCTCTTTTTCGAGTAGTTTCTGCTTTTTCCTCTCCAGGAAATAAAAACAAATTTTAAACAATTATAGAAGAAAAGAAAAAAACCTAAATAGGAAAAAAGGACTATTTCGGCATCTTCGTTCTAATTATAACAAACGTTTTTCGAAAAAAAAAACAAAAAATTAAATGCCTTTGTTTTTTCACCTAAACGAATATCTTCTTTATGCAGTCGTTTCAAATGATTTTATTCTTTAATATTTATGGATATGAGATATACTTTGTTTCCTGTATGTAATAATCGTTCAGATCACAACAAACAATCACTAATATTCAAAAAGAATCAAAATTTTACAGGATGATCTTTTCTTTTTTCTCCAGTTCTACTACTAGTTCATTTCGTTGCCTGCGTAAACATCCATTAGTAGACACGAGCCGTGGTTTGAAGAGAATGTTTGTATTTCCTCTGTCAATTATTCATACATGTCTGAACGATCTATAGATATTCACTTCTTATGCTTTCCTCATTACTGTGAGCCGTTTAAAACATAAAAAGAAAAAGATACCTTTAACATATAATTAATTACAGGTTGTACAAGAGATCTAATACACTCATATAACCACGAGTAATTACACCACCATAGCGACTGATTCTCAATAAATGTTAGTAATGTGATATCCACTGTTTACACTTTGTATTAATTTACTTAAAATAAGCATATCTCTTGGGTTCTTATGACCATTTTACTCTTTTCGATTAGTTCAGTTAGTTCAAGCAACCTTTCTTTTGATTCATATCTCAGATACTCTATACATTCTTCTTTTTTTTTTATTATTACTATAAACACTATACTATCATCCTACTCAAAAACAAGATCTTTCATTTTTCTTTTTTTAAAAAATGTACATCTCACAGATATAAGCTAATCTAACCGAATTAAACAGCTGCAACTTTTGTTTAAAATATATATTTTACCGGAATTTATTATCCTATAATGTTTCTTATTAATTGAACAGGTTTAAGTAGAATATTGAAATAATGAATAGTAGCCAATGTTGTCTACAGCTTTTAAAAATATTATTAGAAGGGTTCAAGTAAATATAATAAGATCATTATCTATTAATTGGTATTATGCAGTTGATGTTCCTGTTAACGAATCATTCCAATCAAAGCAATCAAAAGTTAACCAACCTAAAGAGTTCAAGCAATTTACCGAACATGATACAGATAAATTAAGACAAGCATATAGGAAATATGTATCATCTGCCAAAAAATCCAATCAGGTCGTAAAAGTTAGTGAGGATAACTTATTCTGTGTTGATTTTGATAAAATGGAATTGAAACCAATATATTGGGATGGTCCTTCATATGAAGTAAGAAGAGGTATTTGGTTTAATAACAGTGACATACCAATCCCTGAAACTTTGGCATCTGAGATAGATGAGCTATCCAATAGATTCAAGAAGGATGACCGTGATACTTGTGTTTATAAACTTAAAACAAACAAATATGAAGGAATACAATATATATTATTTATCAGTGATGTAGAAGCCTTTTTATTACCTGATTTAAATGGTGGCAGTATTCATATCAAATTTTTAAAATCTGGGATAGGACAATATTTACCAATCATTGGCACAAAAATAACTAAATATACGAACCTCCAAAAATTAGAAAACCCGGCAGATCATAATACAAATATCAGTCAATCCTCTGAAAGTAAATCTATACCCTCCACAAGTCAACAAGGAATTTCATCAAACACAACAAGTCCTTGGTTAGATTGGGGATTTTATAATCAATTACCAAATTTTTGGACTAGTGAATGGAACCAAATAAATCTTCTTAACACCAATGAATCAAATATCATTGAATCGGCATATGATGATCAAGACAAGTCATCAAAAAATTCACATTATAGAAAGATAAGACATCTAGTATTATGTGTCCATGGAATAGGTCAAACTCTGGGGAAAAAGTATGAACACGTCAATTTTTCACATACTGTTAATCTTTTACGAACGAATATGAAACAATTATATGATGCCTCCTCTGATTTAAAGAAATTAAATAAAATAAAAGGGAATTCAGATTGGGAGACAAACTGTGGTGTTCAAGTTTTACCAATTACATGGCGCCATTCAATTGGATTTGAGACGGAACCGTTACAAAAGATCAAAAGAAACTCAGACTTCCCTACATTATTTGACATCACAATAAATGGGATCTTACCATTAAGAAAACTTGTAGGTGATATTGCAATTGATGTGGTTTTATATGAAGAGCCTTACTACAGAGAGATTATATTAAAAGAAGTATGTAAACAGTTAAACAAAACCTACAAATTATTCAAAATAATGAATAAAGATTTTCCTGAGGAAATACATCTAATTGGACATTCTCTTGGAAGTGTAATTTTGTTTGATATATCAAAAGATCCGCAGAGGTATCCTCTAAATTTTGATGTCAAGAAATTTTTCTGTATAGGATCCCCTGTTGGTTTATTAAAACTAGTTCAAAGAACCAAAATTGCTCCCTTTGGTATTACATTTTCATCTGATGCCAACATCAACCAACCAAAATGTGAAGACTTGTACAATATATATCATAATTGTGACCCAGTTGCCTACAGAATGGAACCACTAATTCATCCAAGTTTAAGTAACATTAATCATTGTATTTTACCGCATTTTTCAGAGTTTGATGGAATAACTTCGAAATTTTTACAAGTTGGTGGAGAATTTTTGGATAAATTTCCATCAGCGGAGACCAAACCTATTGAAAAGGGAAATGAAAGGAATGGGATGGAAATTGAATTAAACAATAGAGATCAGATTCCAGATGATGCTAGGAAGTTATTATCTCAATTAAATCACTTAGAAAGAGTCGATTATGCGATGCCATCTGATATGTTGGAAGTCAATGCAATTGCAGCCATAAGATCTCATGTGTCATATTTCAAAGACCCAGATATTGCTGGATTTATTTTGAAAGAGATCCTCACTACAAAAAAGAGAAATATAAAGACTTGAATTAAAGAAATCATTCTTCTACAGAACGTGTAAAACAGAATTGTCCTGCTTTGTTGATGTACATTTTCATAATATCATATTCACCATTTGTGCACACTAATAAAATATTTGCACATACATACATACATACATATATATGTATTAATTTATTTAATATTCATATAATTATATTTTTATTTTTTGTCCTCCTTATGGTCATGTTCTTTTAAAAAATTATCAATAAGTTGTTCAATATCCATATAATCCTTATCATTTGCTGTTCCAGATGAGAGTTCATTTGAACCTATTTTTTTATTACTTTTTGATCTTATTCTTAGTATAGAAACACCTCCAATACAACCCAGTAGAGTGGAAATAACCAATATATGTGGTTGGATTGATCTACCGAAAAGTTTATAACCATTCATTCTTATCTCTTGAATACAAAACCGTAAAACCTAAATTATCAATTTTTTTCAACAACCAACATTATTACATACGATTTTAATATAAATGCTTGTTATTTACAGCATTACTAATCATATACTTAAATACATATATCTAATGATCTTACAATTTCTTACAAGGATATGAAAAATAGCGAAGAAGGAAGTGGGAAGGGAATAAAATTAAAATGTGAAAATCAGACCTGAATATTTAAAATTCATAAAATATTATTTTTCAACTTTCAAAAAAGGAAACATATATAATTTTTACAGCAAAAAGGTTCAAGATTTATTTGAAATATATTTTCTAGGCTTTATTATCACATTAAAAAATAGTAAAATTATTATAGAAATTAATGTATAATAAAAAACATAAAAAAAAATGCATAATCACACTGTGTACATGACTCTATTTAAATCCAAAAATTTTTGATATCAAATTTCTCTTCCAACTAGACGATGGATAGGATGAAGAAGATAAAGATGTCAATGTACTTTGTGATTTTCCGCTCGAGTCACTATTTCTTCTACTAGATGGTGTGCTAATACTCTTCTTCTTTGAATTAAAAAGAGAAGTTTTCTTCATATATAAACCATTATCTGATTTAATCGATCGGGAACTTTTACCTGAATCATTACTATAAACTTTTCTAAGTGTATTATTATTTTCATTTATAAAGACTCTTTCTGGGGGTGTCACACTTATTATTGGTTTGCCACTAATTGAAGAAGATCCCTCTGTCTTTAAATTACCCAATGCTTTCTTCCCATCTCGAACTTTGACATCTGATGCAAATATAATTTGTGATGCACCTCTTTTATTTACACATGACTCGTTATTATTAGAAACTTTCTTTCTATTATTTAATTTATTTGATTTGTATGCTGACACATCAGTCATTGGTCTTGGAGACAGATAACAAATAGGTTCACCGCCAGTTATAACTCTTTTCAATCTTGCAAAACCTTTCAAATCTACATCATCTGAAATTTCGTAGTCTTTGAGATTATTAATCATTAGGGATCCTCCAATTGAATTATTTACTACAGAGTCCAATTTTCGAATAAGATAGTCAGACCGAGTTAAACAATTTTTATTGGTATCCAACTTTGCAATTTCTTTATGCATATTTTTTCTATATCTTTTAGCTACTAAATACAACTGTGATGTTATGGGTAGTTCTTGAATATTTGACAAGAATTGTTTTTGATCTGCTTTTTTCCAATCGTTATTATCACATTCATAATCATAGTTATTATTATTATTATTGGCATCATTTTTATCAAACAATGGAGAGATACTATTTGATAGGTTAGTCACTTCACTATAACAATGATTAGCTGCAAAAGAATCAACAGAGCTCATACTCTCATTGCTAGTAACAATGGAGGATTGCGGAGATAAAGACAGATCAGTGGTATGCATACTTGATTCTTCCTTGATTGTTTGAAACGGTAAATTATTTATATTTAATCTTTGTTGTAAATTCAATTCAAATTGAAACAGTCTTTTGACAGGGACAATAATGGTTGGAATAGGGAAATTTACACATAAGTTGTCTTTCAAATAGTTAGACTTAATGTCAATCAATTTTGAGTTTCTTTCCCATTTCAAAGTCGGTACAATTATGATGTCTGGTGTATAGAGGTTGATTGAATCAATAAGAATTTTTTTAGTCTTACCTAAGACTATATCGATAGTGATTTTTATCCTAATAGTATCTTTACGATTAGATAATAGAAAATAGATATAAGTTAAAATATTGTAACAAGTTTCAAGGATACGGGTTTTCTCATAAACTAATGAATCACCCCAAAAGTTTCTGCTGGCATTATTATTATTATTATTATTATCATTAATACTATTAATATTACGGCTATTACTATTATTATTATAATTAGTTGTATAGAATGTTTTAAAATTTTTGATAGATGAGTCAATTTTGTGTAGCATCCTTGGAATATTAGTCAAAACTACTAGATGATCCAATTCATGTAGCCCGGAATCCAATAACCAATCCAATGGGACCCAAGTATGTTTCCTACCATTTAGATGGCAGATAATAGTTCTTGGCGAATTAATAGAAGGAATCCTGGAGTTAAGTATTGTCATTTTTTTCCTTTGACTTTTAGTTAAAGGGATATAGTCATCCTTCATGATAATGGGCTTGGGAGTGAAGGAGGGTATGACGATATCTGGATATTTGAAGATGCACGATTTCTTGTACGATAACCTATCCTCGATCCGCAACCTACGTGACCTCCAAGACTGTAGCCAGTCCAAATAATATTGGTTGATTACCATTGAATCGTTTGTTATAGTTGGCCTACTTGGATAATCCTTTCTGACCAGTTTCCCATCTGGGGTCAAGTAGAATAATTTATCTATGTTGTTGTAACTTTGGAAAATGAGTGGATTCAAATTACCGAACGTTTTCTTTAACGGTTTAAAATCTTTTTTTAGGGATAGCAAAGGTGCAGATACTGGTGTGGGTATGGATAGAGGATTTATTTGTACACCATCAAAATCAGCTTCGTATGAAGACGTACCAAGGATTAAAGGGACTGTATTAAATGACACTGTTGGTGTGATATCTTGATGGATATCACATTTATAAGGTGGTCCATTTTGATTATAATTAAAAACGATATTCTTATAAGAATTTCTCAACTTTTCATCATTATCCAGTTTTAGAACTTTCATAACAGGTAGTTTTTTAATAGAATTTGTAAGGGAAGATAAATCGTGATTGTTAGGGTATGCTGATGTATACAAACAAACAGAAAAAGAATGAAAAGGAAAAGAAAAAAGAGTTATGAGATTGATTGATAAATTAGATCAAGAAACCAAAATAAGGAACTTTCTCATCCCATTATAACCATCTACCTAAGTAAGACAATCTACTATGAATATATTCACATTTGTATATGCTATCTATTGATAACAACACACAAACACACACACGTGTATATATATGCATGTGCAGATATGCATGTGCAGATATATGCAAATGTATAAATATATATATATATACAGATATACATATAGATATACACATAGATATGTATACGTGTATAGATGTTAAAATATGGGTAAGTAAGTGGGTGAGTTTGTGTATGCTATATGCTATATGTGTGAATGTATATATTCATCCATCTTTTGATAGCCTGCCCATTGAAACAAAACACAAAGAACAAACAAACCTTATTATACTTTTATGCCACTTTTATTGTGATATATCTTATTGTTGATTCTATTGACAAAAGAAAAGCGGAGAAGGAGATATAAACAATAAAAAAAAGGGGAGGGGGAGGTTAACGTTTGTTAGTGCCAAAATTACAAACAAAGCCACACGCCCCTAAATAAATAATACGTGCGACACTGCCAGTCGAGTCGAGTGACAAACAACAATATGATAACGCCCTGAGGGTTTTGTGCCACTGTGTGCTGTGTGCTGTGCTCCCGTATTGGCGGCCACAACAGAGAGAGAAAACAAAAAAAAGTATCAATGGACGATAGAAAAGGATTTTTTTTTACTTTTTTTTTAAAAACACATTCTACAAATACAAGTAACACATTCATGTGTTGTGTGTTGTCCATCTCTAAGTTGCATTAGAGAATAACATTTTGGTTTCAGTATTAAATATAGTATAAATGGGACTTTTAACATTAGGTAATCCCACAAAGGTGGTAATAATACGAAGAAAAAGGAAAGTATAATCTTGTAATCGCACCAGTATTAAAGGTTCTTAATACCAGTAATAAATGTAGAGATAGAGACAGAGAGAGAGACAGAATTGATCCAAACAAAAAATATAATCAACAAAACACAAAACCGTATAACACGATATCATGTGCATTTTTTTGTCCTTTTACACGAACATAAGAATTTCCAGACAATCAGGAAAATCTGGGGAAATGAAAAAAACAAAACAAAACAAAACACACACCAGAAAATAAATAAAAAAAAGGAGTGAATACTTTTTCCTACAAAATAGCTTAAACCTTTTAGTTATATACCAGTCCTTTCCTCCATATCCTCCAATTGTTAGTACTCTCATAGTTCTTATTAACACTACCCAAAATTCGAAACAAAATAAAACAAAAAACAAAGATCCCTTCCTTTACATCACAAATAAGAAACTTAACCAACTAGCTAATTCGTCAATTACCTAATTATATATATATACAAATAAAACTAAAACTAAAAAAAAAAAGAAGAAGAAAAAAAAAACAAAAATTATAAATAAATGAGTACAGAACAACAACGTCATCATCACCATCATCACCATCACCATCACCACCATCGTCATAATCAGTATGGCACTGGAAATGATTCCTCAAACACTAATATGAGCACCAACAATATTCAAGATAACAATGGTATTCCACGTCCAAGACTGTCAGATGGATCAAGGATTGGGAACTACCAAATCGTGAAAACACTGGGGGAAGGTTCCTTTGGTAAAGTTAAATTGGCTTACCATATCACCACTGGCCAGAAAGTTGCATTGAAAATCATTAACAAAAAGGTTCTTGCTAAGAGTGATATGCAAGGTAGAATTGAAAGAGAAATATCCTATTTAAGGTTGCTAAGACACCCCCATATCATTAAATTATACGACGTTATCAAGTCTAAAGATGAAATCATCATTGTTTTCGAATTCGCACAGAACGAACTCTTTGACTACATCATCCAAAGAGACAAGATGTCAGAACAGGAAGCACGTAGATTCTTTCAACAAATTATTAGTGCTGTGGAATATTGTCATAGACATAAAATCGTTCATCGTGATTTAAAACCTGAAAATCTATTATTGGATGAACAACTCAATGTTAAGATTGCAGATTTTGGTTTGTCTAATATCATGACTGATGGAAACTTCTTAAAGACCTCCTGTGGTTCTCCAAACTATGCCGCTCCAGAGGTTATTAGTGGGAAACTTTATGCTGGTCCGGAAGTCGATGTCTGGTCCTGTGGTGTCATTCTTTATGTCATGCTATGTCGAAGACTGCCCTTTGATGATGAAAGTATTCCTGTCTTGTTCAAAAATATCAGCAATGGTGTCTATATCTTACCAAAATTCTTATCACCTGGTGCCGCTAATCTAATCAAGAGGATGTTGATTGTAAATCCATTAAATAGAATCAGCATCAACGAAATCTTTCAGGACGAGTGGTTCAAAGTCGATCTACCAGAGAGCTTGATCCCTGATTATTTGAAAAATAGTAAAAATTCTAACTCCAATTCCAATGATACCTCAAGTAATAACGATGATGACCAATCTGTAGAAGTCATTGACGATGATTTAGTCAATGCTTTAGCAAATACTATGGGTTATGATAGAGAAGAAATCTACGAGTCCTTGGAATCAAACGAAGATAATTCTAATTTGAATGAAATTAGAGATGCTTACATGCTAATGAAAGAAAATAAATCACTATTGCAGAATTTAAACACCAAAAATAACAACATTAATAATAGTAACAGTAGTAATGCAGATCCACTAGACACTTTCTTGGCACAAGCACCTCCATCATACCAAAAGAAAGTGGACAATTCTAGCAGTATCATCTCTCCAGATCAAAACATTGCCAATCAACCTTCAGGCTCAAGGAAAAGAATTGCAAGTTCTACTACAAAACACAGAACATATCATCAAATACCGTTCATGGATCAATCCAAAGAAGAAAATTCAACAATCTCAATCTTACCAACATCACTACCACAGATCCATAGAGCCAATATGTTAGCACAGGGATTTCCTGCTGCATCCAAAATCTCTCCATTAGTTAACAAGAAATCAAAAACAAGATGGCATTTTGGTATACGGTCACATTCCTATCCATTGGATGTCATGGGCGAGATTTACATCGCTTTAAAGAATCTAGGTGCCGAATGGGCTAAACCATCAGAAGAAGATCTTTGGACCATCAGGGTCAGATGGAAATATGACGTTGCCCAAAATAGAACAAATAATGAAAAGATTCCAGATTTGATGAAAATGGTGATCCAATTATTCCAAATTGAGACTAATAATTATTTGGTTGACTTTAAATTTGACGGTTGGGAGAGCAGTTATGGTGATGTAACAAGAAATTCTTCAATCACTGAAGATGAAATGAGTACTTTTTCAGCATACCCATTTTTACATCTAACCACCAGGTTAATTATGGAATTAGCAGTTAACAGTCAAAGTGCCTAATAATATACTTTTGTCCACCTTAACTTTCATGTTTACTATATGTTATTTTATTTTATACACACACACATATATATATATATAGTATTTCATTTCTGCTTATTTTTTTTCTTGACTGCATAATTACCATAATGAACAAGAAATTATTAATAGTCAAATCGTTTGTGTATTGGGTAAAACAAGTAAATATTTATTATATTCTGCCATTTCTGTCTAATATTACATGCATTATTGTGTTTCAATAGCCATCAAAAATTTTATTTTACTGTCAAAGTGGTTTTATTTCTTCCATTTGTTATAATTTTGGTACAGTTAGTTTCCTTTATAGGCCCCTGATTCCTAACATTACATCCCATGGTAAACAAATCTATATATGGGAGTATTTATCATCGATCATGATCCTTATTACCATTTTAAGTAAAATCATAACATTAAATTTTTTTTTTCTGAATAAAGCAATGTCAATTGTAAAATAAAGTTACAATTTAAGGCAGAATAAGAGAAAGAAAAAAAGATGTATATATAAAAACAAAACTAAAAAGACAATTTTAAAAGAAAAACAAAGACAAACATGTAAGGTTTGTAGAAGTTCATAAAAAAGAATAACAACGTCATATCAATTTGAACAAGAACTGTCGTCTACATTTATTATATGCCTGTCTGAATATAAATTAGTAGAAGCAGAGCTGAATTAAATAAATATATATATATATATTTATTTATTTATCAAGGAAAAGTAATAACTGATTATAATAATAACTGATCCTACTAGATAAATTATTCCAAGCGTCCCCAAGCATTTACATATACATTATTATTATAAACCACACTCATAATAGATATAATGTCAAAGAAAATTGAACTGAAAGGCTCAGTATCTAAATTGTTGTTGAATTCTGAACAAAGGTCTATATCCTTTGACGAAACGGAACTAACAATTAATAAAAAACGTCAATTAAATATAGATGATACAAAGGTCACCAGGTCACAATCTCTGAATGGTATACCTAAATTAAGAAAGAAAATAAATCTTCAAACCGAAAAATTAGTCCATATTACAGAATTGGATAGAAATAATCAATGCCTCAATGATATGAACAAAATTATTACAAAAGCTAAGAGAATTATTGTCTTAACAGGTGCAGGCATTTCATGTAATGCTGGAATCCCTGATTTTAGATCTGCTGATGGATTATATAATTTAGTAAGAGAGGAATACCCAGATCTTAATATTACTTCTGGGAAGGAGATGTTTGACATTTCGCTATTTAGAGACGAACTGAAGATCTCGGTATGGGCTACATTCATGGAGAAACTTTATAGCAGCATACGATCAGCTAAACCAACAACAACCCATAGATTTATAGCTCATTTGAAAAATAGACAGAAATTACTACGTTGCTACACACAGAATATTGACGGGTTGGAAGAATCCTTGGGTTTAGAGACATCTTGTAAACAAGAGCATTTACATTTAGATTTAGACAAAGTTATGAAACTTTCTCAGCTAAATAATAATAACAATACTGACAATAACATGAAAAATTTTTCTTCTGGTAATTCTTTTAGCTCTACATGGAAATCATATGACGTGATCCAGTTACATGGTGATTTGAATTCACTATCATGTACAAAGTGTTTTCATGTTTTTGAATGGAGTAGATCATGGGCTAGAACTTTTAAAAGAGGGGAGTTACCAGGTTGTCCTAGGTGTGAATCTGTCCAATTAAGAAGAACACAACAAGGGAAAAGACTTATTGCAAATACTGGAATTCTAAGACCTAATATAGTTTTGTATGGAGAAAATCACCCTGCTGGCGAGTTGATTGGTAAAGGTATAAATTTTGATATGTCTAAAGGGAAGCCAGATTTATTTATTATTATGGGTACAAGTTTGAAAGTAGATGGTGTAAAAAAAATGGTTAAACAGATTAGCAGCAATGTTCATGAAAGAGGTGGACTGGTTTTATTGATTAATAAAACAAAAATAGGTGATTCTAACTGGCACGGTATCATTGATTATCAGATACAAGATGATTGTGATAATTGGGTTGAGTATTTGGAAAATTCTATTCCTGATTTTTTCAAAAGTCAGAGACAAATAGATAGAGAAAAAGCTCTTAAGAGGGAAGCTAGCGAGTTAAAGAAAAGGAAAGTTTCCATGTTGAAAAAGGCAAAAGAAGCTAAAACAATAAATACACCACCTACGACACCAGTCAGAGATATTATCAAGATATCAGAAGAGAACAATATAAATGAGAATGAAATTCTTAATTTAAAGATTGCAAAGAGACAGTTAATGCCGACAGACGACACAATCGATAATAATAATGCCAAGAAAGTTATAAACGTATGATAATATTTCAAGGTTTTTACTTTATCCCAGTTTGGATAGATTCCATATTGATACGCACAACATATGAACAGCACTAGTATAGGAGTTATATATGCAGTCAATTGATTAGCATATACTCATTACCAATTGTAGCATAGGAGTTAAATAATAGGACTGAACTTTTGTGATAAATTAATTATTACTTAAAACTCAGCTCAATAATAGAGTGTAAATACCACTGATAATGCCCCAAGATAAATTATTTGAAAAAGTAAAAGAGCTGCATACAACATGAAGAGTTTAAATTACATGGCATTTATAGGACTTAGGATATCTTCTCGGTTAATCATAAACAAGAAATACTCATTTATTTGTTATTCTTACTGCTCTCAGTATTAATACACTATTTTTTACTCATTTAATTAAGCAAACTCACTGATACTCATTTACTTAAATAAGGTTTTATAATATAAGTTATGCGCCATTTATAACATATTCCATGCCGCTTACTATATTTGTAGAACAGAAATACAATAATTTTTTTCCAAATCTGTTTAAAGTTTGACCCTTATATATATAATTTAATAAACCTGATTTTCAGAAATAGATCAATGTTATCATGTAAGCAGTTATGCGAGTGAAAAAAATTAAATAATAAACAAAGTGCCAAGAAATTGCAAATAATATTTTTTCACAAGAAAGACATACAAAGAAGGAGGGCTATGCATTATTATAATATAGACAACCATTTGAAAACATCATGTGAATATAAGTCATGAATTTATTAATATCTTTTATTAGTAACTGTAGAGCACAGACATGATTAGTCATATCGTATTATTAAGTTTCTCGACGTAAGATCAATAAGGTTTATCTGCTTGTTTGTGTCATATATTGTCAAAAATATTAAATTGATTTAAAAAGATATATTTATCTTATTGATGAAATAGAAGTATTCTATCATTGGAAAGAAGGTGATTTACAAAATTTTAGCATTTTTGAAAGACAAAAAATTTCCTTGACGTTTTTCCATAATGTTTATGTCTAAAATTTTCTAATTTTTAAATCTGGCTTTTCAAAGATTAGAAACGTGAGATTTGTCTGAAAAAAAAAAGTGAACAAAAAAAAGGGTACCTGTATGAAACCAACACAAAAAAAAAAACTCGGGCTGGAAACAGCTATTTTGGGGTTTCCCAATAACTATAGTTATTTAGGGCTAGAATTTAAAGAAGCTATTTGAATACCTTTCAGTTTACTTCTATTTCATTTGTATAACTCAAATAATTACCCAAATTTTAGTGCTTTTATCGATCTATACGGAATTCTTTTAAAAAATCTGCTTATATCTAAGAATTTTATACCATTTCCTTTACTTTCAATTGATATTAGACATTTAGCAAGTGGGTGAATGAATAAAACCTTCTTAATATAATGATTATATATATTTATGTCTTATCACAAAAGAAGAGTTGCTAATCAATTTACCTAAACATTGCCTATTTTTAGATATTTACGTACTTTTTTTACAATTGTGCATAGTTAGGGTTCAATCAAAAAATCATGGAAATGTTAATTTTCAAGTAGGGTTAGTATTAATTTTTTTAGAGACTTTTTTCAGGGATACTCTTTTTTTTTTTTTTATTATTACGACTCATTAAATAATATTGAGAATTTCACTTCAAAAATATTACTGTAATAGGAAAATCATAAGGTTTTATGACCCAGCCACACCTTGTAAAAGATATATAATTAATTTTAATTACATAATTTGTCCATAATTTTCCTGCATGATTATTAAAACATGATACAATAGTAGATTTCTACTTAAAATATGATAAATATTTTAATTTTCAACAAAACTAAGGATGAATATTTTTATATTACGCAATTAGATTTAAAAAATAAAACTTACTACTGGAGAAATGAATTCATTTAAAATTATTACTTTCTTGCTGAAAATATTGAATTTGTACACATTACTAATTAAGATAATAGGTAGGGACAAATCAACCTACATTATTATTTATAACAATAGTAAAGCTGAAAAAATAATTTCTTTTCTACATTTTCTCCCCAAACATTTTTTGTAATTATATTTTATATTTATTTATAATTATTTTAATCATTTATGCAATGCATATTAAGAAATTTTAATAATTAGTAAACACACTAATAACATTATCATTTGGCTCTGGCTACCGATTTCAGCAACATCTCTGACAGGATTTTTTTATGAATTTTTTTATCAGAATATATCTATACTTCAATTACAATATTAGAGAGGTTTTTAAAAGTATTAGTTGTAAGTTGAAGTTCTAAAAAAAAAAGAACAGAAAAGGTGGGATAACACCATCATAGACTATTCAAAAGGCATAGCTGACAGTCTATATGTTAATAAGTTATTCCATACTTAGTCAAGAAAAAATAACAAAGGAAAGAAAAAAAAAACTTATTTCAAAGAAGATTAGCTCAAATACCTTTGTCTTTCTAGATTTCATCCACCTCCCTATAATTAAACTTGATAAATTAAACAAATTGAGATGTAACTCTTATATTTTATCCCATAAGAATATAAATAAGATATAACGTATTTGTTCTTGTATACTCATCTTAATCAGATTAAGATAATTCTCATATAAAACCAGGTAGTAGTTGGTTTTAAACTCACTTTCCTCTAGTTAGGCATACTTAGTTATGCTTGTCAATTATTAATATCTTAGTTTACCTGAATAAATAATTAATTTATCAGAACTTTTGGTTTTATTACTAATATTTTTTTTATTCCAATAAATTATTGTTTAAGTGTTGAGATTGTTTTGCAATAAACACAACTCTTGTACAATGCTGAACATTATTTATACACAACAATAATAAATTACCACATATACACAATGACAAAAGAACAAGCGAGATATTAGAATGAATTTACTGGGATTGTAATAACAGGAAGGAGGAACGTACTTAATCAGAAAAATACATTATCATTAACAAAAGTACTGACTGATGAGTAAAAACTAAAATAACATAGGAAGAATTCTAATTGGTGTAGATGTTCCATAGAACAAGCTTTAAAAAAATCATAAATAGAAAATTTTTTTATTCTACTTAATCTAGCCACTAAATTTTTTGTTGTATCACCAATTACAAGCTCTAAATGTGTTTTAACGAAAGTTACTTATAATAAAAAACTTATCACTCTCCTACACGAAAATAAATTTAAGTTGGATAACAAGTTTATTTCTCTGTATTATCTTTATTATTTATTTTCATATATTTTTTTCTTTTTCAAAATAATAAAGAGATTTTCTCACAAGTAGTGACTGAAGAATTACAATGATGAAAACAACAACATATAAGGATCACAGATCTGTTTTAAAATACATTAACGGTCGACATAGTGTTCAAATGAATGCAAGTTGAATTTATAGCAATCAAATGAGTAAATACGTTATTGAAGAATTTCCTAATGTCACTAAAGATTTTATTAGCGATTTAAAATATATCCCTGAAAATAATATAGTTCTAGTAAGTTCATGGGATGGCACATTATCTGTATATGAAATCATAATAAAAGATGATTCTTACAAGATAACATTAAATAAAAAAATCGATACTGGATTTTCCATATTGAGTTGTTGTTATGGTAATAATGGTGTATACCTTGGTGGAGTTCATGGTGAGTTATATTTTCTCAATTTAAAAACACAGGATCTTGCTGAGATTAAGAATAACAGGGCGAAATCAGGAATAGTTAGAATTATCCCATATTATGACGATTATATAGCAGGATCCTGGGATGGATACTTACAAATTATTGACCATCATCTACAAGATATTAAATTATTTAAAACTATTGAAAATGGTAAAATACTAACTATGGATTGTACCAATGAACATTTAGTAGTATGCTTGACAGGTAACAAAATAAAGTTATTCAAAGCACCAATAACTCAAATGAATGAAGGGATATTAGTAGATTCTGTCCTTAAATATCAAACGAGAGATATTAAGTTAATACCTGATGGATCTGGCTATGTCATTGGGTCAATCGATGGCCGTGTTGCAGTAGAGTATTTTGATAACCCCTCTGACCAATTTGCATTTCGTTGTCATAGAATGAAATTAAGTGATGTACAATTTGTATTTCCTGTTAACACTTTATTATTTAAACCAAATACTGATATTTTGTTCACTGGTGGATCAGACGGGTGTGTATCATGTTGGTCATTAAGAGATAGAAGAAAGCTAAAACAATACAACAAGTTAGATGAAAATAGCGTAGTCAAAATGGCAGGTGGCGAATCTTTTTTACTTGTGGCCACATCTGATGATTCATTTAAAACAAATGCTATAATTAGTAGTGATTTTGAGCCGCAACCAAGTAATGTTTATTTAATTGTGTTAAACCAGTAAATAATATACATAGATACCTGTACGTACACTCGTATGTAATAATATTTGTAATGCGTTATTAAATCGCCATTTCACATATTTCTTCGTATATAATGATATATTGGCGAAATATGCGGAATCTGTTATTCCGCCGTTATATTTTTTAGGGGAGTTACCGATTTCCTTTTTCATTTTTTTTCCTTTTTCATTCTTTTTTTTTTTTTTTATTTGGACTACAATAGAATTTTCTAGAAAAATAATGGATAAAAATATTTATTTCTATCCTTAGAGTTTATTGAAAGACAAGCAAACTAAAGGAAAAATAAAAATTCAAAACTTTCACGTAAATTATATAAAAATACTACTTTGTGATGGAGTTACAGGTCTAATCACCAGCATCTGAATACCTAAGGAACTAATAAATCTACGAGAAATTATTTGAAGTGTTCGGGGAAACATTTAATTTTCTTTACTTTAAAGTACTTTTCCTTCTAGTTTTTTATTTTTTTTGATTTCCTTAATTGAATTTTTTTCAAATACATTGAACTTAGTCTATATAAATCTATACTCAATAAAATAAAAAAAAATGTCTTTAACTGCTGACGAGTATAAGCAACAAGGTAACGCCGCGTTTGCTGCAAAAAAATATGAAGAAGCCATCGAATTATTTACCAAGGCTATTGAAGTTTCTGAAACCCCAAACCATGTTTTTTATTCCAATAGATCCGCCTGCTATGCGTCTTTGAAAAAATTTAAAGAAGCTTTAGCTGACGCCAGTGAATGTGTTAAGATCAATCCATCTTGGCCGAAGGGTTATACAAGAATAGGTGCTGCCCATTTGGGTTTGGGTGATCTTGATGACGCTGAGAGTAATTATAAGAAGGCTTTAGAATTAGATCCTTCCAATAAAATCGCCCAAGACGGATTAGACCAAGTTAAACGTGTTCAAGATGCAAGAATGCAACAACCGGATATGGGATTAACTCAAATATTCAACGATCCCAATTTGATTGAAAAGTTAAAGCAAAATCCAAAAACCTCTGAAATGATGAATGATCCTGCTTTAGTTGCCAAATTAATTCAATTCAGGAGTAACCCACAAGCTTTAGCCGCTGATCTAATGAAAGACCCAAGACTTATGACCATTATGGCCACTTTAATGGGTATTGATTTGAATATGCCAGATTTATCTCAATCTAATTCAATGCCAAAACAAGAATCTAGTGAACCTAAGAGTGCTCCGGAAAACACTACTACTGCTACAACTTCAACAGAAGGGTCCAGCACTAAGAAGGATGAAGAATCTAAACCATCTGAGGAACAAGAACAGGAACCAGAACCAATGGAAGTTGATGAAGAGGAAAAGAACAAAGTTGCTGCAGATGAAGCAAAATTGGAAGGTAATAAAGCATACAAGGCACACAAATTTGATGAAGCCATTGAATTTTACAACAAAGCATGGGATCTTCACAATGATATAACCTATTTGAATAATCGTTCTGCAGCTGAATATGAAAAAGGTGACTATGAAACAGCTATCAAGACATTAGAGGATGCAATTGAGAAAGGTAGGGAAATGAGAGCTGATTATAAAGTTATTGCTAAATCTTTTGCTCGTATAGGTAACTCTTATGTTAAATTAGGCGATTTAAAAAGTGCAATCACTTATTATCAAAAGTCGTTAACCGAGCATAGAACTGCTGATATTTTAACCAAATTGAGAAACACTGAGAAGGAATTGAAAAAGAAAGAGGCTTTAGAATATATTGATCCAGAAAAGGCTGAGGAAGCTCGTCTACAAGGTAAAGAATACTTCACAAAGGGTGACTGGCCAAATGCAGTCAAAGCTTACACTGAAATGATTGCTAGAGCACCTGAGGATGCTAGAGGTTATTCTAACAGGGCTGCTGCTTTGTCTAAGTTAATGTCATTCCCAGATGCCATTGCTGACTGTGACAAGGCTATTGAAAAGGATCCAAATTTTATTAGAGCTTATATTAGAAAAGCTACTGCCCAAATTGCTGTCAAAGAGTATGCTTATGCTTTAGAGACTTTGGATCTTGCAAGAAGTAAAGATGCTGAAGTGACTAAGGGTGCCAACAGTAGAGAAATTGACCAACTATATATGAAGGCAGCTAGCCAAAGATTCCAACCTGCCAGTCAAGATGAAACCCCAGAACAAACATATGAAAGAGCTATGAAAGATCCAGAAGTTGCCAAAATCTTGGCAGATCCTGTTTTGCAAAGTATTTTACAACAAGCCCAAAATAACCCAGCTGCTTTACAAGAGCATATGAAGAATCCAGAAATTTTCAAAAAGATTCAAACCCTTATTGCTGCCGGTATTATCAAGACTGGTTACAAATAAGTTTTTTATTTACTCAAAGCATTTAATTTCATAATATGTAAGCAACATCATATAATTCATATCTATCAATCTAACGTGCAAAAAAAAAAATCTTTTCTTGCTTGGAATAAAGCAATAATATAATTTCTTAATTGTAGTCAATACAGATCGTGGTCTTTCAGATACTTTAATAATACAATAAGTGTCATGTTTAAATAATACTTTATTAGATCCTTTTTTATAATCAACGTTATATCAGTTTTAAATGGACTTCTTTTCATTGTCTTCACTGTTACTACATAAAAAGGATTTAATAACTTGTTACTAGTAGAGGATTAGTCAATGAAGAAACATTCTAGTTGAATAAAATCTTATGTTATCTATTCACCTACATAATACATATATATATCAATTGTTATCAAATTCCGTAACATTCTTTGGATCATTAGCATCCTTACCAAGTATTATGGTTGCTTTATATATGAATTTTAATTCATTTTACTTTATTGCAAGTAACACCAAAACATTTCATATACAAGGTCAATATTACGCAGTAATATTAGCAACAGTATGTCAAAATTTGATGAAACTATTTACAAATAATTTAAATCACAAATAGTATTAATAAATAATGTAAGTTTTGTTTAACTACTATAATAAATTTAGTATACATACGGTCAAATACTTTTTAATGAGGTATCTCAACTCTTGTAGCTATCAATATACAATATATATTTACAAATATTTTTAAAAAATACATTATCCTTATCAAAAACTTGTTATATTATCATTTGAAGTAAAAAAAGTTATATTCGAAAATATACATAATTTTGCAAGTGGATGTATCTATTCTCAGAGAGATGTTATATCATATCACCAGTAATTGGAGAAGAAATCATATATTCTATATTGGTATATGTATACTTATGAGAACGATATATATCCAATTTCTTATAGATACATACGCAAAAAAGTGTCCTACGTATACATTATTAGGTGTGTTTTTGTAGAACAAATAATGCCATAATATTATTGATTTCATACTACTTACCTAAAATAAGTGGCAAAAATAATCACATGCCTGCTCTATTCATATAAAAAATGTCACGATAATATCGATAATTAGTTATTTATTCAGTCTATAAAAGTATGTTCAAAATAGAAAAAAAAAGTTCACAAAAGCATTAAAACTGTTGAGATAATAAGTAATAAAGTAGCTAGACCAAATTTCCATCCACTGTGCAAATTATTTGGTTGGGTATTGATGTTTCCAAAAATATTCTTTTTCATGGATGAACCAATATTTTTGGCTTTAGTTGTGGAATGCGAACGACTTGTACTGGATTGGTATGCACTCTTTGATAAAGAACTACTGAATTTCTGGTCGATTGTACCATTTGAGTTAAAGTATGTATAATTATTGAACGGTGATGGGAACAATCCAGCCTCCTTTAATTTAAGGAAATCCCATTCTGGTGCATTTTCAGTCTTCCAATTCCAAAATATCCAACCTTGAGTCAACGATTCATACGTAGCCAATTGGGCTTCTATGAATTGTCTAACTGAGATACGATAATCCTTACTCCATTGGCTGATCTCCTTCTGAGATTGACATACACCATGCATATCATCTGTAGTGGTAAATAAGCTATTTTTATAATATGAACCATCGTACCTAGCACCAATACCAAGGCCATTTAACCATTTTGCGCAATCAGTAATGGCACCAGACCATTCACCTACAACAGCAGGATGGTATTCTAGTTCCTTGTTAATAGATTGGCCATAATTGATAATATTCATGATACGTTCGTATTGGTTTTCTAGTAACTGGTAGTCAGTGAAGACTTCATAATGATGATGATCTACCAGTACATCCTGAGATGAATAAGAAACACCAGTCAAATTATAATACTGATTTGAAACATTTTTATATTGTGGATTCAATTCCAAGTTCCAATGGCCTACTCCTTGAAAAGCATCATGAATTACAAAAGTGGTATTATCATCTTTTGGTTGAATACCTTTAAACATATCGAAAGCTTCATAATAAGATTGTGTAATATCCCACAAATTAATTTTAGGTGCCAATGGTTCATTAACAATTTCTATCCCTACAACAGTATCACTTCCATTCAAGTATTTTTTAAACATTTCATTCCAAATCTTGATTGTCAAGGCTTTACTCTTTGTATCTGCCAACCAGCCTAATTCGCCAAATAAAATTCTTTCACCTGAATTATCAAACCCATTTTGGGAACCTGGTAAACCATGTAAATCAACCCAAACTTTTAACCCATATTCAGTAGCCCAATCAATAGCCTTTTCCAAGTATGATAATTGTAGAGCTTCACCAACATAAGGGTCTTTGTAAGTAATGTTTCCTGGATAGGTTGATAATGAATTATTTAGTTTCCATGCCCAATAGCCGATAGGTATTCTAACCAAATTGAATCCACTTTCTGCAATTTGTTTGAAATCATCTTTAGTAATCCAAGTTTCATAATGTGGGGCCAAAATTGTCTTTGCGTTTTCATAACCCAACTTTTCACATAGAGTATATTCGTCTACTATAGAAACATTTTTATGAGTATCATCAATTGTCAATGATACCTCAGTGTTGTTTAAATTGAGGTGTACTGTGCTTGCGTTTTTCCCACTTATAGCTATGGCGGTTTTGAATAAGGAAGGGGTGATGTATGGTTCTAAGACTAACCATCCACCAATGGATACCCCATTAATTTTTGATGAATTAAAATCACTGTTTCGATAACTTAATGAAGAATCCTTCAAGATGTTTAATTTTTTGCTTATTATTTTAAGCTGATTAGAACTCAATGGTTTATGGGCACAGACAAAGAGAGATGGTGAAACTAATATATATATTAGCCAGAAAAAAAAATTTCTTGATATCATTGTTGATTTTTGTATCAATATCCGCTGTGCAGATGAGTATTACAGCATATATGGAATACTCAGTATTTTATATATAAATTCTAGACTTTATTAATTACAGACAGAAGTTTTTTATAGCATCTTTTTTTTAGAACAATTATTAGATAGAAATGTACAACATGTTACACATATGATATATAAATAACAAGATACATACTTTGTTAGCTGTACAAGAATGTAGTAACTAAATATAGAAATGTATGTATCTCGAGAGATTTGACAATAAAAAATTACTTACAAATAGGAAAAAAAAGTAAACGCTTCAAAAACAAAAGAAAAATAATACAAAAAAACAAAAAAACAAACAAAGAGACACGAATAAAGGCAAAAACAAACATACACAAACACAAAATAAAAAGAAAGGAAAAGAAAGGAAAAAAAAAGAAAAGAACAGAGAAAAAAAATGTCACAATTAGATTACGTTTCTTATTGAGATGTATTTTAGTTTTAACTAGGTTTTATTTTACTTTTTCTTATTTTATTTTCTTCTATGAACAAGAAGTAAGCACGTTTTTACATATATGAATTAGACATAGATTGAGATTTTAAGTGAATTGCTGAAGCTGATAGATAAAAAGAGAGTTTTGGACATTGCAATCTCTCCAACTTCAGGTAACTGGTTCGGAAAAGAAAGTTTCCGCCACTCTTAAAAGCGAAACCGACAGAACAGTCCAATATTCCGCAATGAGATTTTTTTTTTATTTTTATTTTCCCCATTCTTTTTACTTAAACGAAAAAAAACAATATCGACACGAAAAGATATCAAATCCTCAGCAGCCGCCATCATTATTTCCCATTTACAAAGTCTCGTTTCATAGTTTTTTGCAGCCAGCAATCTCTTTTAAAGAAAGAGTTACAGGATCATCTATGTGCTACACACCACATGTTCATATGATATTGGTATGTTTGTTCAAGACAGAATTTGACATTATTAGAATACAGTGCCTTTAAGAATCACAAAGAAAACAAAAAAAATAACATCAACAACGACAAGAAAATCAAAACAAACGGAACAAAAAATTAAACCAAGACATCGAGAATATACAGCTGTTATTAACTAATAAAACTTCTTGTATCTTGTCAATACTAGCTTTTCTTTTTTCTTTTTTCTTTTTTTATTTTTCATAACCTCTTTTAACTAAGTAGAGTAAGATCTGTAATGATAAAGAAAAAAAAAAGAATATAATATTCGAAAAGCCAAGAAAAATTTAGAAAAGGACTTTTAAGAAATTTTTCTTTGATTCTGAGAAAAAAACTTTGTGAAAAAAAAAAAAAAAATAAAAAAGAAAAAAGAAGGATTTTCCTGTTTGGAATGATCTTCGAAAGGATGTATGAACATGAAATAAGGAGAAAACAAAGATCATGCTTACCTTTTCCTTTCTCTCTTCTTTCCTTTTTTTCCTTTTTTTTTTTTATTTTTTCTTAGTTATCTATCACTAATATAATAAATATTGCATTCACTATTCCTTACACAGTAACCAAGTTAAACTTCTTTAAAACTGTCTTATTTGATAGTCTATTTTTACTTCAGTCTTAATTTATTGAATAATTATACATTAACTTCTATCAAAAACGCTAAATCAACAAAAGTAATAAATTTTTAGATCAAACATTTAAAAAAGAAAAGGAACATAAAACAATACTTCCATCTCTCCAAATATATACATATATATGTTTTTATGCCGAAATGTATTATTAATATTAATATACTGACGTATTTTTTATCATATTTAATAACATTCATATTTCCCCCTATTGCATCCGCATTAAATATCGGTAACTACAATTACCATAATAATATTTGTCCAAGTATTTTTAATGATCAGATCCAATCTAACAATAATTCTAATGACAAACCTTTAATAGATTCCTCCACTGTTAAAATATCTTTTTCTACTCCCAATTTATTTAATGTTTTACCACCACTATCGGCATCTCCACCTATTAAACCACATATACTTCAACTAAAACTATTACATCTACCACAAGGTCCACCACCAGGGATATCACAACCAGAGGCGCCACCCGATGTACTATCTCTATCAATTTTTTATCCACCTACTACTTTATTTCAAACACTCAATCCAAATCCTACTTTTGATTCAACCTCTTTTAAATCTCCACCTTTCCCTCTTCCTACCAAATTTCATTCACCATCTCTCGAAAACCATTGTAGACCTCATAAAAGAAATTCAACAAAGTATAAACCGGATTATAAATCTAATCATCATAAGCATGACCACAATTTTAATGGTCCAAATCCTTATGTACATTATCCAAACTGTAATGACTACATAACTAAATTTAAACCGTTTTTATCTGATTTATTGGTACAGAATATCCTGAAAGCACATGAAGATATGTGTAATGCTACAATTTTAACTAGTGGATTCATATCTTTCTCTAATAATTATGCTGATATTACCACTTCATCCAACAACACAGATTATAATCAACAGTTTACTTATCAAAAAAGACTCATGTTAACTTCTCCATCTTTATTAATTCAATGTTCAAATGATACATATAGTGATAGACCCTACCATGCTACAAATAATAATTTTACTAAATTTTTACTAGAAGTTGCACAAAATTATACCACTGAGTATCTGATCGATGATTCTCCTTCAATGGTTCGTAAAGATGATTTCAACAAATCCGTGTTGGTCATTATCTTCAGTCAAACCGCATTTTGTATAGCTGCATGGATGATGTATTTAATTCTTTTATTATTACCTGCAAGTAACTATAATAATAGAAATATTTTAGTCCATATTTATGTTCTGTTCTATGCAATTGCACAATCTGTGTTTTTAGCAAAGGCTTATAATGGTGTGTTTAAATGGCAATATGAACAATGTATCCAAGATGCATCTAAATATGAAAAAAATATAGTCGACCTGACTGGTTTTAAAGTTTGTGAATTATTTTTGAATGTGCTAAGTAACATTAATTGGGCATATATCGTTATATTCATGCATAATGTAGATTCCTTGAAAAATGGAATAGACAAACATAGATCTTTATCAGAATCTTCATATGGAATCAATTCTTTTTTGGAAAAGGAAAGTCTAGAAATTTTACCGGAACTTAAAAACATAATTCGTAATAAATTCAAAAAGCATATGCATGATCCAAAGAATAGAACACTATTATATATTATTATTACTAGCATAATATTGGCATCTATTAATAATACTTTTTTTGCCATTATATTATGGAAGAAAACTAGGATTGATTTTAGGATAATCTACAAATTATCAGAATTATTAATGTATACATTATTGTTATGGCGAATTGGTTTATTTATTCTAAGAAATTTCGGAATGACTATTACATCTACAAGAGCCATCGATTCACTAAATTTTGATAATAGTTCCATGGTAAACAATTCTATAAATCATGATACCACTAGGTCTACTAATAATGATACATTCTTAAAAAAATACTTACTACTGGAAAATTTAGATAATAAATTAAAATATTTTCAAAAATGGGTTTCTAATATATGGAAAAATTATTTTAATACTGTTCCTTTACTAATTTATAATATTGTTATCTATATTCTTTCCTATGTTATGATCATATATTTTACTTCAATATCTGCATATAGATATAGATGGAAATATAATTTGGTATATTTCACTAAACTACTTATAACAGTAAACTTTTGGGGGTTAATCGGTGTACTTAACCGAAGAGAGTTATATTTAAATAAAAAGACAATACTTGGCAGAAGAATCAATAACGATGACGATTTTTTTGTTGAAGCATCATCATCACCATCATCTTTCTCTAGTTCAGATAGTTTACCAGAACAGTTAAGCAGTGGTTTTAATTATTATGAAAATAATGAAATCACTACAACCACCAACATCGCTACTATTAATACGGGTAAAAACAGCACTATTCAACAAACCATCAACAAAAATAGAAAAAAGAAATCAAAGGGTAACTTCCGTAATGCCATACATAAATATACCATCTCAAAACCGATAAAATCATTAAAACCAAATTTCAATAGAATAAAGACGAGAAGAATTCATTTTGCAAAAGAAACAAGAAGGAAGAGAAAACTTAATTATAACAACAATGTTACAATTGCCCTAAATGAATGTCCTTCTACTATAGAGACGAGTAATACTTATATTGACATATCTAACACTAAAAATAAACATCATTGCATTAATATCACCAAAATTGAGGATAATAATAACAGTTATGATTCAGAGAAAGTATAAAAAAAAGAGAAGAAGATAAAAAAAAAACACAATATTACATTGTGTATTTATTATAAATAAAACTTTTTCATTACAATAGTAATCTTATAGTTATTATTTTAGAAAAACATTTGTTTTTGAACAATGCATAATATTATATTATGATATATAATTAAAATCCTCAGAAACGTCAAAAAAATATTTTTTTACCAAACGGTAATATTCAACTTTGTTCAATTATAAGTATGATGTACATCCCTTCCAAAGAATATTAGTTACAAAATCCTAAATAATGTAAATAATAGATACAGATTATTATTAGAGCCTAATCATTAAAATAATCACTATTACAAAGAATAATTAAAGTATATTTATCTGCATTTATGTTATATAGATAGAATTATCATATCATGGCATTAGTTTCGTCTCGTATATCCGGACATCTCTGCTACGTGAAACTTTCAAATTTAAACAAATTGTTACCACCGTTTCCTGCATCATTCTCTATGAAGACTTTAGTCGATGGTGAAAATGATTTTTCTTGTTTAATATTAATATCAATATCATTATTATTATTGTCACTATGACTAATATTATTACTACTATTACTATTATTATTATTCATCATTAATTGACTACCATTCGTATTAGAATTTTGTGAAGTATTTATGTTAAATTCTGATTGCATTGGAATAGCTGGAAGATGATTTTCTGTTTTAACTGAGAATGTTGGCACGGTTGATGATAAACCTGATAAGGATGCTGAAGAAGACATAGATGCAGGTAGTACAGATGCAAGATGATTATTATTTGCTAATTTATTAGTCAATTCCGAATTTAAAATTTTATATTGTTCACATTTAGCTTCAAGATGTTTAATGTATTCAATTGTTTTATTTAAGATTGTCCCTTTATTTAATTTTTTGGTAGGTTCTAATCCATCTAAGGCATCAATATCACTCTGATCCAATGGAATATTTGAAAATTCTTTAAAACCGTATCGTATGGTAGGAACCAAATCTCTTAATTGAACAATCTTGTCATTAATACTTAATCTATATTTCCTTTCAATATCATTATGCGAAGCTTTCACTTTCTTCACACAACGCCTTCTCTCCTTAACAACTCTCTTTATTTTGGCTACTTCTTCAACACTTTCATTTAAACTACTAGAACTTATAGAAGAAGGTCTTGATAAAAATGTTCTAGGGCTGAAAAGAGTGCTATCTGAATTACTATCTTCGTCGCCAACTGAAGTGGTAAAATCATCTAGTATAGCCCTTACAGGTTCAAAGTCAGTATTACTATTGTCAAGTTGCTCAGACGACAATATATTCATACAAGGGAGATCATGCTGTGTAAAAGTTGGATTAAAAACGACTGTTTGTGGTAAGAAGCTTGTATTATTAATGTTATGAAAAGATGATAAATTTGATAAATCTAAGGAAAAACTTCTTGTTCGTGGAAGAAAATTTTGAGAACTTTCCCTTTTCAAATCACCCTCAATTCCTATACATCCATTATTTATGTTCAATTGTTGTTCATTTAAATTAGTTATTCTTTGATTTTTAAGTTGAGGTACAAAATGCTTATCATCACGATGTTTTGAATCATCAGGAAAAACAGATAATCCTGTATTAACAGATGGAATAAAATTATTCATCCCACCACCTTGTTTAATATTAGCTGTATTTGCACAGGACATAATATAAGTAGAAAAAATCTATTTCTATTGTTATTTTTATGACTTTTACTATTTTCCTGCTTTTTTCTATATTGTTCTCAATTTCTTGACCTTAAGAACCAATCACCCAACAGAACAATTTAACTACAAAAAGGGTTATGTACACTTTTTCCTTCGAGTATTAAAAATTAATAGTTCAATAAATTAATGCGGTTATTTAGAAAAATAACTTTGACACTTCAGACACCTCGACAAAGTCCATCAGAGTGTCACATATTCTCTAAACTGCGGAAAAATAATTTTTGTGAAAAAAGCGAGGAAGTATAATAGTTTTAAAGAAAAATAATTATACCATATCAATATATGTATATATGTATATATATATATCTTGAAGAAAAACATTCAAAAAACAAAGGAAAAGGAACCAAAAGAGAAATCAGTTCCAGGTTCGAGGATACAATCACTATAATTGAAACTTTCCTTTTTTATTTTTTTGTTTTAATTTTTTCGGTGTCAACTTTCCTTGACTTCTTTTCCTTTTTTTTGTTTTATTTTATTTTTTTTTTTGCCTCCCCCCGTTTTTTTGATCTTCCAGTTTGAATTGCATAAAATTATTTTATTTTTTGGTTTTGTTTAAATTTTTTCGGGGAGTGCCTTTTCAGTGGGTGTTTTCTTTGTTTTCTTTGTTTTTTTCCGTTTAAATGAAAAAGAAAGAACAAAAAAAGAAAACAAAAAAAATTACAATCTACCCCACGTTATATTTTCATTTTCTTTTGTTTGCTTATCAAAAATAAACAGAAAAATAAAAAAAAACAAAAATACAAAACAATAGGATGAGATTCTTTGTGGAGTGAAACAATAGGAAATACAAAGAAAATCTATTATTAAACATGTCAATAATAGCTATTTTTGTCTTGTGTATACTTATCAAAAATTATTTGTCTATCTTTTGAGTTATTTGAAAACTCTGTGAGAAATTCCTAACAATAACAATAACAACAATAATAAAAATATACATGTACAATATTCAAAATTTAAATAGGGGTAATGCTGAATAGCACCCAACAAAGATTTCCTTTTTTGTACATAAAATGTGCCAGTAAGTTTCCTTTTTAGTACATCATAACGCTGTTGATAGAAATCTAACCTGGCTTGCCTAACATTAATGTGCTATGTTTGTTACCATAGAAACATTAATTAATGTCACTAAAGTCATCCTGATGAAATGCATTCTTTTATACCAACCCTATTTTACTTCCTGCAACTGCAGCAAAATCCTTTTTTATAAAGAAAAGGATATTTCTCAAAAGGTATATCATTTGATTTTTAACGTTACACTATAATTGTTCAAGAAGTATATATATTTAATCTTATTAACAATCAAAACATCTAAACCTTCTACAAGTAAGGTTTTTCTCTTATTCTTTAGTTAATCGATCTTAACTTTTATTTGCATCTAAGTTTACATTTTACAGTATATGTTTCTATCCGTAATAGGAAATAATACCATGAACTGCATAATCTTTTAAAGTAAAGATTAGTATAAAACATCTTGAAACCATTCATTTCTTTTTATAGAACTCATGTATAGTTCAGATAAAATATGTGATACTAAGTATAAATATATATATATAGTATTTTTACACCCAGTAACCTTTTAAATTCTATAGTTCCATAAGAACATTATTTAAAACACTTGCTTAAATCTTTGAAGAGGACAATACAACTTTATTGAAATGCTAATTCATTATATTAGTAAAACTTGGACTTTTTTCCTTACCGTTTGATGATATCACTTCTTTAGATGTGCATGTGGGAGAGAAAGATTATTCGTTATAAAATTTGATATAGAGCTAAGAATTTTATAGTATTTCAAAAAAAAAAAAAATAAAAAGACAACAATAAGTTACAATACTTTACCAATATATTATATATTATCTTTTTTTAATTTTATTTTACTGTACTGATTTATGCGAAGTAATAATGCTATTCTCTTTAAATTATAGATATATATATACTTTTAATATACTAACTCAAATAAATGATTCTAAGACTCTTTATAAGAAAAGCATGAGAGAGAAGTTATAGTTCTTTTGTTTGATTTCATAACATTTTCTTTTCTCATCGTTTTTTCTACCCCGCTTTTCACAATCTTCTGCACCATGTTATCATCTGTAATATCACCACAATCATCTTGCATAGACAGTTGAGAGCTGGAACGTGATATTTTTAATTTAATTCCACGAGAAGAACGAATTCTTTTGACACAATTTTGATTCCTTGTTTGATCTAAAATACGCTTGTCCTCGTTAGAACCAACATCGTTGCTTGAACTTCTTTTAATAGTACAGACTAAAGAACTAATTGCTTTCTTCTGTTTTGTAAGGCTTCTTCTTGTATTATTTTTAAGATTGTTGTTTTTGTTATTGATATCATTTATAGAAAGTAGATCCTTTTTATTTGGATGTACATCAGAAAAAGGGACCCTAACTATTTGTCTCTCTTCCATCAGTGTGGAACTATCACTTCTGTATCTAAATTCTTCCAACATATTTTTAGAACCAACAAGCCTTCTTGCTTTAAGTTCATCTTGTTTCTTTTTATTCAATGAATCCTCTTGATCACTCGTATTGTTGCAATCATTATTTGAGATACATTCATTTTCTGAATATTCTGAGATATCCGATGGTAACTCATCCTCATCTGTTGATATAATAGAGGATGATCTTGTCGAAACTTGCGTAGATAACAAGGATTCAGGTACTTCGGTTTCTGCTTCACTATCTCCATTAGTAGTAGAACATCGAAAACGCTGCGGTGTTTTTTCAATCAACATAGAAGATTTATTAATCTCTTGTGATTTATTAAAAAATTTACTTACCACAGTTTTAGGATTTGAAGATACGTTATTAATAACAGACGTAACTGATTGTTTATTTGGAACATCTCCATTTTCATCAGAGGTCTGACAGTACTCAAACGATCTTTTTGCGCGAACCACTAACAATCTATTATTTATTATTCTATTAGTCTTTTGCTCTTTTCTTTGCATTGATGATTGAATGTTTTCAGAAAGAGAAGATATAGTAGAATAAAGTCTACTTTCCTGATTCATAGACTTTTGAAGAGAAGACTGTGTCATTCCATGAAATAGTGCTGATCCAATAGTTCCGATTGTGCTGTTTGCTCTAATAGGTTTGACTAAATTATGTGAATGATTTATATCAAAGTAATTTTCAATATTCTTTATTCTTGTCTTCAAATGGGAATTAGATGGACTTAAAATTTCTGATTTCGTACTTAATTGCAACCTAAATTCTCTATTAACCAACGGTCTATTAAAGTCATGTGGATTAAGGTCACCAAGCGCTATCTTCTCATGTAACTCATGATCAATTTCATCAGAATTTAAACCATAAAACCTCTCTTTTGTAGCACAATGAATAGCTTGACCAATTGATTTGGCTATTTTTTCAGCTATACTTGGAATGCTTTGAAGTTTTTCAGATATAGCATTTAAAGTGACAATTCTTCTTCTCTGGGGACAGAAAACCCTTTGAAATTGGAACGAATAATTCGCCCTCTCATATTCTTCATAAAAATGGGAAGGCACTGTTAACTTACCTTCCAATTTAATATGATTTATAATTTTTTCCATCTTATTAAACCGTTGAACTAGTTTAATCGCTCTTAATAAACCAATCTTAGGTATACCATCAGTATAATCACATCCTGATAATGCAACCATTGTTCTAACACCATCAACTGAAATATCACCTATTGGGAATTTATCTTTCAATTGTTGGAAATCATCAGAACAAATTTCAATACATTCACCATAATCATTCAACTTTGTAATTAATGTTCGACATCCAAAAACAAGCAGATCAGAATCTTCAGACAATATACCATCAATGATACCATTTTTCTCTAAATACACAAGCTGAGAATCTGCTTCAAATGGTGCTACAACATATTTAATATGATTTGTTTTACAATAATCAATAATACATTTTGCCATCTCTGGTGTAATATCTACACATTTTTGAAAATATTCCATAGCACGAGCTTTATCTCCAGAATTCCAAAGCTTTTCTGCAATAACTCTATTTTCTTCTCTTTTTTTTCTTCTTTTCAATTCTGTATCTTTTTTGACACCAATAGAACTCCCATCAAATACTATATATGGTTCAACTTTATAGCTCCTAAGCATACTGATCTTTTTAATAAAAAACTGTAAGTATTTTTCAGTAGGTTTTCCCAAAACCAATTCGTGAGCGCACGGATAAGCAGCTCTATGTAACCAAGCATATCCATCAACCCCCAATATTTGACCTTCATACCTTCTTAAACTAACCGGATTCTGAATAGGTTTTAGCTGTGGAAGAAGACCTTGAATACCCATGATTTAAATATAATAAAAAATCAATATCTTTATCTAATTATACAAATGTCTTCAACTGCTGTTCAAAACTCCAATAGCGACAAGACAAATATTAATCAACAGCAAAATACTATCAGCAGCAGTTTTACAATTTCTTAGTTGATTGATTGAACAATGTTTGCGAAATGAATTGTAATAGCTTTTTTCTACGATGAAAAAAATATTAAAAAAAAAAAGAATCCTAACCTTTAGTAATACAATCACTCCCGATTAGTATACTGCTATAAGTATACCAGAAGGCATTTCATTCTTAATTCCATCAACAGTTAATTCTCTTTTGTATATATCTCGAGGTTTAATTATTCAGATCTACATGTAAATAGTAATAGAAAAAAGATCCTTTAGTCTTCTCATTTTTACGCGTTACAAAGAATGAAAAAAAGAAAAGAAATAACGCGAAAAGGGGGTGTGTATACGAAATTTGCATTTATAAAAAAAGAAATATTTGTTTATACATCACCCTTTTAGGTAAAACATTATAAAATAAAAGAATAAAAAGAAAAGATGCCATCACTGTTCTATAGTTGGTTATAATACACCAATAACAATAATATGTCAACCTGTGTTATTAATAATGGCCCTAATTTACGTATATGTTAGCAAAAAGAAGATATTTTTACTAAAAAAAACTAATATATATTATTATTGTACCTGTCAGTATATCACTACAACTTTTCCTTGTATTTTTTTCAAGTATTTAATGATTAAAAATAAAATAATTAATTCTCCTATTTTCCTTATTTGGGTAATTCAGCTCCGCGTCTTCTTTTGATAACCATGCCAATGTCTTTTACACCTTACATATGAGAATGAAAAAAAAAAACTGTATCGAAATAACCTATAACTGTCTAAATATATTATTTATTAATTTTTTGCAGTATAGTTTTAATTATTTCAATATCTTCTGTGGTTGGATTGGATGCTTCCCCATCATCCATTAACACTGCTGCATTATCATTGCTTCTGATTTGTTGTTGGTATTGACTTAATAATAAAGATAAGTCTTGATTCAATTGATTTATTTCAGGTAATTTAATTATCTTATTGAAATCATTAAATGATTGAGAATTTTGTTCTGGAGCTAATTCAAACAAGGCATAAAATAACATTATTAATCTTCTAACCAATTCAATATCATTAGCTTGTTCCTTTAATGCTGTTATTGCATTTTTTATTAAAGATTCCTGTTTTAGTAGTTCTTGAGTAACGAATGGAACCATGTTAGCAATAGTTGCAAAAATAGCAGCTACTGCTCTTTGTGATTTAATATCATCTAATAGTAATAATTTCACTAATATATCAAAATTTCTTTTGCTTTGTTTATTTTCAAAATTGAAAAATTTAACTGCAATTGATAAGGGATGTGTCATTAGATTAGAAATTAATTCTAAATCTGCCCTTTGTAAGATCGGATTTTCATCTAACATCATAGTTTCCAGTACATTCCAATATTTACTATTACCTCCTATGACTTTACACATATCTTCACCATCTGTATATGGTGAAGATGCCAGATTAGTCAATGCCAAGAGTGCTTCGTATTGATCTGTTGTAGTTAAATAGTCCTCATTTAATAAATGTGTTTCATTTTGAATTGAAAAATCTGAAGAAGGTAACATTTCAAACAAATATGGGAGTGTATTCAAAGAAGAAAATTTGTTAAATATTAACTTAGGATCGGTATGAATTAATATTTTAGTTAATGATCTTAATGCAAGAACCCTTATCATCAGATTTGCCATCTTCTTAGTTTTATTAGCACTAATTAAAAACTCTAATATTAATATAGTGTAACCTTGTTGAACACTTTTAGGAATATTTTCTGTGTCTCGAGTAATATTATAAATAATTCGAATAACTTGTTCTTGTGAGCCTTGGCTTAATTCTGATAGATTATTTTTCAAATTACACAGTAATTCGGATTTTAATATATATAGCTGATTAAATTTTTTAATTGAGGATAAATCATCTTTGATATCTTCGTCATTCATAGAGTTTGGATTTTGTAAGTTGGCATATGATTCTAAAGCCCTTAAAGAATTTTTTCCCATCTGATTTGGATCATTGGGAGGAGAACCTAAATTAGCTAAAATAATTAAGATACCATATAAATTTTGGTCTTGAAATTTTTTTTCTTTTACAAACTCGATTACTTTTGGAATAAAAAAATTATGGTGCCGTAAAATTAACTTTACAGAAGTCCTTAGACTTAAATATGCCAAACCTTCAATAGCATATGAAAATTCATCAGATTCTAGTTCGCTACTATTATTTATGAAAGTATCGACGAGAATAGTAGTCAGATCATGGATAGTTACATTTTTCAATTTGGAAAATGACCAAGTCTTAATTAATATCAAGGCACAATAAACTTCAAAAGAGGGACTTTGCATTGCGTCTTCAATAATGTTTAAATAATTTGTTGCAATATTGTTTCTCACAGTTTCATCAATACATGATACAATCAGTAGTTTAAACAGACTTTTTAAAAATGGAGTGTCATTTCCCCTATTCATTGCTCTTTGTTGTAACATTCTATCCAGATCATTTCCTAAAATAATACTAGAACAAAATGTTGTAAACGCAGGATATAGTTCAGTAAGGATATTTATGATTAATGCAAGTGGGTCATCTCCGATTTCAGCATCCGCTTCTATTATTAAACCATCGATAAATGATAAAAGTGTAGCTTCAAATTCACTATGAAACTTTGTCTCTAATTGATAGAATATAACCAATCCCATTGATCTAATTTCATTATTATTAAATCTTAAACAAAGGGTTCTTATAAGCCATTTAAGATCTGTAAATCTGTATTCAAATGAATTTAACAATTGTAATATACAACTTAATAAAAAATGAGACTTTTCATCATTATCAGAATGCTGGATTTCATATTCTATTTCTTTTAAAAGTGGAACTGTGTCATTTTTGTCATTGAATATACCAATTAAAACTTGAATAGAACTAGTACTTAGTTTTTCAAACAGAGAAAGTGAAAAAGAAATATCATTCTTAATCAATTCTGCTAAATATTTTCTTGATGCTTGATGATCTTGATACGCTCTTGTGATGACAGTCTCTTCTTTCTCCAAAATATCACTTGCAACAAATTCCTCTCTCCCATTAAAGATCTCGTCCAATGCTTCATGATATTTTTCTGGTTCTATGGGCACCCTTAATGTTTTATTAAATTGGTTACAAAGGTCTGAAACTGACATGTTAAAAAAGGACAACAGATGTTAATCACAAAAAAGTAAAGTTAATTTAAACGTTAATTAATTAATTAATAATAATTATAAAACTTACTCTATTTTATTATTGATTTTCTTTTACTTGTTTGCATTTATTAAATTCTATTCTTTTAAAAAATGGTTTTGCATTTCTTTGTACCATTCGGTTTAACCTTTTTTCTTATATTCGTTCCTATTTTTTTCTTGCGGAATTGGGTTCCACTAAAAATGTTTCAACAAGAAAATAAATTATATATGTTGAAATAAAAACAATGCTGTCGATAATATCTTTCTGTAAAGAATGAGATAACTGCTGGAGCTACGGAATGGAGTCTATAAGTGTTACATACAACTATATGAAATTTTAGTATGGATTAAAGTTACATGCACACCAGTTTATTCAACCATAAAGACCATTATTTAGTCTATGCTAATATATATGATTATTCATAAGAGTAATAAACAAGATGATTAACTATTTAGTTTATTAAACTCCTGATGATGTAGATAAAATATTTCAACTATCTTTAGTAAATTTTGTATCATGTAGTATGCATTTTTATCTTTTTTTTGCTATGCTTAAATTTTTTTATTAAACACCAATGTGGAACAATAATTGCTTTTGTTTCCCCTTCCCTTTCTTATCCTTCCCATCACTTTGGATATTTAATAAAGAAAAGCCATCTTCTAATTGATTCTCCTTTGAAGTTTCACTATCTTTACCCCAATTTTTAGGATCTGGTAAAACAACCTTGTTGACAGGTGGATATGTTTTCCTTTTAGGAGTTGGTAATGAGGGTAAATCTAAATCTGCTAATTTATTTTTAGAATTGTTATTAGTACCACTATTAGTTATTGATTTTTGCAATAGTGGAGCTGGAGACTCAGACTTTTTAGATTGTAAATATGCTGTTGAAAACATAACGGTGTTATTTGTTGCAATATTAACACCTACATTTTTATTAGATGAAATTATATTCGAGTTTTGAATTGTGGTTCTAGCTAATGGTTTTACAACAGGTTTACTTGATACTTTTAATGTTTTTGTTTGATATGGGGATCTGAATGGATCATGGTTAGGAGATGGAGCTTTCAAAGTTGGTAAATTCTTTAGATCTGTTCTACTAGCATTTCTACTTGAGCTTGAAGAATGTGAACCAACATTAATATTACCCCATGAACCTCTTGCTGTAGCAATAAATGGATCACTGGTTAAAGATGGCAACTCTTGACTTCTTTGCTTCATTTGCTCGTGATTTGTGTAGATAGTATCTAATTCTTTAAATTTTTTAGACCCCTTTGGATAAATCTCCGAAAGGTTATGAATTAGCAAATATATATTTGCTTCAGGGGATGTAAATATAGTCTTGTAAGCATTTAATAAATCTGTGACACTGATTCTACCCTTGTCATAATCTTGAGTAAATGATTGGAATGTAGAGAATTGATCCAAGGATTGATTCAAATAGTGCTTAGCTCTTTCCTCCAACCTAATTTTTTTCAACTCCGGTGTTTCATTATTTGAAGAATCATTTTGTAATAAGGAATCATTCCTAAAATTATTGCTAACGTTATTCTCTCTAACAACTCTTGAAGGACCTGACATAAACGTAGATAATTCTGATTGAAAGAATTTAGGTTTCCCTCTAATGATATCACCATGTTCTTTTAAGATATGAGCTTGTAATTCCAACTCATCACCAAATACAACAAATTTAGCATCTAAACATGCTGGAACAGTGCAAATATAATGTGATGTCTGAAAGTGACTAAATAGCTGATTGTAATCTTTGAAATATTGTGGAGATTTAGGATCTATTTTGTCACAGATATGGCATTTCTCATGTTTTTCTCTCATATGTAAATATAGTTCATCATCAGAATAGAATCTTTGACCTGAACAAAATGCACACATTGGATGCCCTTTAAACCCGTCATTTGAATCGCCTCTTGACATATGGTTTTTCAGCTGGTTTGGTGTGAAAATCTTCAATTCATTTGGAAACTGATAATTATGTGTTGCGCAAATCATACATATTGTTTTATTATGGCTTGACTTCAAATGGTCTCTATATTTATTATATGATTTATAATCTGTTTTATTATTATTATCATCATTACCACTATCGTTATTCTCACATAATGGACATATGTACTTTAATAATAATAAAGTTGCTTTTTCAACATCAGTTGAAGTGAAATCTATTCCATATTGTTTATTTTCAATAAATTTAATAGTAGTGTCTTTGGATAGATCATTAAATTTGGAATGGACGTTTTCAGAAAATATCATTCTGTCGGTCTCTGTTCTACAAATTAAACATGCTCTCTTATTGAAAAGAGCCAATTGTCTAAAAGAACATTTATGACAAGTTTTATGGCTACATGGTGTTAATGCTACATAATATAATTTCTCGGTACAAATAACACATACGTGATCATCGTCATCGTCATCGTCATCATCACCATTATTGGCATTTTTGTCATCCTGAGTTCTAGAAATTGGCTTATTTTGATGATTCCCATGAACATTCTTCTTCTTACTTGCTGATTTATCAGTCTTGATAGGATTGGTCTGTGGACCCTGAGTTCTACGAAAATTTCTTTTTTTAATATCTTGTTTTTTGATATTCACTTCAGTTTCTTCAGTCATTGACTCCTCTTAATATTCCTATTTATTTATTTATTTATTAACGTTTGTAACTTTCTATTTTTTCACTAATAAGCCATAAAATTTTACGAACGAGGAAACGTCACAACAAATGGAGTACACTATATATTAATTGAAGCTAAATAGTCAATGTTTCCGTTAGTGATTCGATGTTAGTTCTTATTGAATTCTTGTTTATTTGTTCTTTTTTTCTTTTATTTCTTTTTCAACACCTTGCGTCTTTTCCAAAAAAATCTGTCTAAGGGGATAGAAAGTGACGAGAACGAAAGTGAAAAAAAAAAAAAAAGAAAGAAAATGAAAAAAAAGAAAACACTACGGCTTTTTAAAAGGCGGGTTTCCAGATGGTTTTATTCCGCAATTGATAGGAAAACGGCTTTTTACTTTCCCGAAAACACTCAATAAACAGCAAAAAGTAAACCCTAAGTTCCACGTGACTGTAAAAGAAAGAGAAATAGGGTTGAAAAACAACTGGCACTATCTTTTTTTTATTCTTTATTTTTTTTATTTTATTTCCTTTTTTTTATTTTTGGTTTAGAGGAGGGAGTCAATTTATAAGATTGTCAACTAGTGGTTACTAACAACTATAATGAGAATACGTGATTCATTATAGGAAACGTAAGAGAATAACCAGTATTGGCATTACAATAAAGAACAAGTACCATACTAAGACAATAAAGTAAAAGATAAGGAAAAAAAGAAAAAAAATGAATCCCTATTCAGACAATATTCAAAAACAAGAACCTACTGATAACGATAGTAATGCTATTCATGATCACTTCTCTGACTCGCCACTATATGATGCTTTAAAAGATGTTATAGCGGAATAACTCTTTGAGATTAATGGACAAATCAGCACAGTAACACAGTTTATCGTGTCGTTAAGGAAATTTGAAAATCAAAATAATGTCAACACTAAATATGTGGAAAGGATAGATAAAAAATCTATTGACATAATACACAAAATAAGAAAACTGCTGGATACAATGAATCAATCTGTAAATGAAATGAATAATATTGATGATAATGAATTAAATAAAAGTAAATTGATGTCAAGAGAAAAATTGAATAAAGATATTAAATTGTCCATACAGGAATTTCAAAACATTCAAATTGAATATACTAAAATAATGAAATCAATTAATCTGAAAGCACAGGAACAACTAAATCAAAACGTGGCTGCTTTAAGACAAGAAGAAGAGGCAGTTAAAGAGGGACAACAAAAATTAGATTTTAATATGGTTAAAGATAATACTAATGATAGTATATTCGATGCTGATCATAGATCAAAAAATAATCAAATGATTATCGAAATGGATCCAATAAATAATGAAGAATTCTTATACCAACAAAATTTAATACGTGAAAGAGATGCTGAGATACAAAATATTGAACAAGGTATTAATGAGTTACACGAAATTTTTAGAGATCTTGGTACGGTAATTCAACAACAAGGAGTCTTAGTGGACAACATCGAAGCTAATATATACTCTGCTGTGGATAATACTCAAAAAGGCTCAAAAGAATTACATAAAGCCATGCTGTCTCAAAAGAAACAAAGTAAATTTTGCTTATACCTCTTAGTTTCTCTTTCATTATTTCTTCTTTTTATGATTTTAGTTATTCTTTCATAAAAAGAAAAATACAACGAAAAAAAAAAAAAAAAAAGACAAACAAAAAGATAATTGCTGTTTATCTGATATTCATGACTTTCTTTATAGTTTTGTTTAACCTCTTTTTTTTGCATTACTAGATCACATTTATAAATAAAAACAGCTCTCACAGTTGTATGTTTGCATATATTTTCAGATATAAATATGTAATTATGTTCTTCCTGCAGACTTTTAATAGTTTATGCATATATATATATATAGATATGTATATAGATATTCTTAATCTCAAAGATTATTCCAATAAATAAGCAGGAAAAATGGAAAAAAATGGGAAAACATTTAAAATTAAAGTTATTAAAAAAAAAAAAGAAAACAGCACAGAAGCACAAGAGGAAGAAGCCAGCAGAAACATTATATTCATATAATGTCCTTTTCTTTTCCTTTCTTTTCGTTTTTGGTTGTTGTTCCAATACTCGTATTTTTAATTTTTAATTCTTTACAATTAGCTAAATGTTAGAAAAGAATAATGATAAAACCGAAATTTCAATTATTAACTATTCGTGCTTTTACTGCTCCATCTAAATTTAAACAAGGTAGATGGTTTAAGCCATCATTTGTGTTTTTATCAATTGCTGCTACATCTACCATAGTGAGTATCTCATATTTGATCAATTCAAATGTAATAACAAAGAAACCAACTGAATTACAAAACGAATATTTCATACCGTATCTTATTTCACGGCGAGTGGTAAATGATCCTAATCATTTCATATTAGAATTGACTCCACAAACACCGCAAAAGGTTAATATATGGTCTCAGTTGACCAATCGGTCTCTTTGGTCTGTCGAAATTAAACAACCAGAAATTATGGTAGCAAGAAATTATACCCCATTACCTCTAAAATTTGTCAATGATGAAACTGACAAATTAACGGTAATTTCCTCTAAAAATGAAACTGATAATGTAAATGATGGGAAGTTGATTATTTTTGTTAAGAACTATGATACAGGTGAAGTTTCTAAATGGTTGGCACAATTACCTTTAAATCACACTGTTGAAATCAGAGGTCCATTTGTGGAATATCAAATTCAAGACCAAATCGACCACATTAACTTCTTTGTTGCAGGAACAGGAATTGTAAGTCCGTTGCAACTTTTATTGAATCCATATACAAGTGGTATTCAAAGACCACATGTAAATTTATTTTACTCGTCAAATGATTTACAAAATGAATTAGGTCCACTGAAAAATGTTTTATATAATAGATTATATGACCTGGCTGTTAAGAAACACGGACTTTTTCAATTATGGACTTTTGAAGATTCAAAAAAACAAAATATTTCTGATATGAAGAATTTAAAAAATTTTATAAAAGCTGTACCTCCTGCTTCTAAATTATCAGACAATAATACACTCTCTTTAGTGTGTGGTCCAGAAAGATATATTGAGACAATTGCAGGTAAAAAATACGATTTTTCTCAAGGACCCGTGGAGGGGATCTTAGGTCAAAAGGGATGGTCGAATAAAAATGTTTTTAAACTATCATAATAAGCAGTAGAAATAATCCTAATCACACCGTAAATAGTAATTGCATCTATCATACTTGTATAAATGTATTTATCTTCCTATATATATACATATAACATATTTATTTTAATTATTCAATTTTAACTGTTGGTTGAGTTGTTTTTTCTCATATCACATCTTTTATTATTCCTAGGATATTAGCATAGTTTGTTGTCACTCTTTGGACTTGTCTAATATTTGCACATGCCATTAGAATGTCTTTTAAGATAGTCTTCCTTGAAAGCGTGCCTAACAGTGTCGACTCAAGATCTCCATCGTTATATAACCATTGCAATACATCATCTAATCTATCGACATAACCCATTTCAGCAAGACGAACACAATAAACAATCATTAAATTGGAATATTCTCTGGTTTCTTGTAATCTAAAAGAAACTAACAACCTGTTCTCCAAATGAGCCAACGTTACAATTTCTTCCATATTTTCAAAACCCTCTTTCATCAAAAGGGCTCTTGCAAATTGTTGTAAATTCTTTATACAATTCTTTCTGTTTAGTTCATCGTTTGTCTTACGTTCAATATAATTTATGATATTTGATGTATCATCCTTCACACTCTCTACTAATTCTTGCACATTATCTAAATTCCAATAGTGATCCTTTGATTGGTTTCCAACTTCCGATAATTTAATTTTTCCATTAATCCTTGATGTATTATTCATATCCCAATATTGGGAACCATAGGCCCACCAACTATCACTAATTAATAACCATGTTTCCATGTTTTTATCAAACATAAAACCATCTCCATTGCTTAATGTAACCAAAGGAACGCCATTGTTGGACAATGCAAACATGGTAATATTTTCTGCTCTAGTTAAGATATCATCAGAATATCTCAATGATGGATTTAAGATTGGGAACACCGAATTAGTAGGGAAATTCAATTTTTCCTCTCTAACATTCCAACAATACATTTCACCTAAACTTGTCACACATGATAGATAATCGTTTGCAGCTTCTAAAAAACTTATTGATACACCTAAGATTAAAGGTGGTAATAATCGTTTTCCTGAATCATTATACACGTATATCACACCATCTTCTGTACAACACGCCCAAAAGAATGAACCGGCCGTGCACATAGTAACAAATTTGGGAATCAAATCTTGAAACAATTGATTATTATCATCTGATAATCTAGATCTTAATATAATTTTCGTGGGAACTTGTTCATTACCACTGCCATTCTTGATAGATAGTTCAAGTTTATCATTTGCTGGAGGTGAATATGTGAAGGAAAGTCGTATCTTGGGTGTAGCTAATCTTATTCTTGAAAATGATACATTAGGTAATAATAGTCCTGTGTCTAAAAAGTCTATTGGTTCTAATTCTTTTTTCTTCTGTTTCTTATTTGATAATACTGTTTGGTCTAAACCAGTAGTAACTTGAGGTTTAGGTTTGCGTTTTAAATCCTTAGGAACTCCATATGAGGGTGGATTAAATTCCATTGAAGTGCTTTGAATACGCTTGATTGTCGGTGGTAATGGTGGATCCTTTACGGATTGATCATCCAAAACGGAAGCATCATTCAGAGAAATTCCATTTCCTTTAATATTCGATTTAACAGTGACAGTAGTTTCAGAAGGTATCTTTATTTTAGTTTTATTTTTATCCGATGTTATTCCAGAATCGGTCTTTTGTTCAATTGTAACCGAAGATTTCTCATTAACCGACGATGGTTTTTTGGTCGGTAAGGGTGGTAATTGTTTATTCAATTTTTGTAATTCAAGAACTTCATCTGTTGGTAAAACATGGCCTAGATCAGTTGGAAGAAATGCAAATGTAAATAGAATATTATCATTAGAAATAGCAAAGAGTGTTAATCCGTGGTCGGACCATAACATATCATTTATTGGGGATTCTGACACCTGAATAGCATTAAATAATGGCTTCATACGCTTACTATTCCACACAAGAATCGAACCAACAGCGGAACCTGAAGTAGCCAACAAATTATACTTAGTTTTTGTTCCCTTTTTGATATTACTCTTTTCATATAAAACTGGAGAATATTGTAAAACTTTACATGAACTCGATGCTGGGGACACAATAGTAGCGGTCACTTTATAACTATCATTTCTATTTAATAAGACTGTTGTTGTGGTACCTGTGGCAGATATATTTTTCACAGAATTTATAACTGGAATTAAATCAGCTTGTGGTGGCATGGAAATTTTGTAATGTAAAGGTTTCATTTGAACAACTTGTTTCAGTTCGTTCAATAATTTATATTCACCTTGTTCATTGTATTGGTATATTAAAATGGTTCTGTTATAGGCAAAAATTGTCAAAATCTGACTAGAAGGATCTATAATGCACGTGATTGGTTTAACAGTATCATCCAATGAAATCATTGAGATTTTTATTGAAGTACAACTATCGAATAATAATACCCTATTAGGATTACTACATAAAACAAAGATAATAGATTTTCGAGGATCTAATTTAATATCAGTTATTATAGAAGGCCGAGAACAAGAATAAATAGTGGCCTGTTTTTTCGAATTCGGTTGCTCCCAATTTGAAATCTCTATCAATTTTTGTTCTGACCCAACGAAAAGTTTATCGTTTTGGCTTATTATAAAACAAGCTTCATCATTCTGACCGATGTTTGGATTTAAATGAAATGCTGTGTTGATATGTAATTCTTTAATTGACATTTTGTCGAACGTTGCATCTACTAAATGTTGTTGCAACCATACAATTATTCTACCTAGATTGGTTAAAATGATTAATTTATCTTTAATAGAGGTCATGGAAGTTAAACATTCTCCCTCATACAATTCGATTGGGTATTTTAATAACCTCATACTGTCTAATCCTTTGTATATATATGTATATGTATATGTAATACAGATTTTAAAGAAATCTTGATTTTATTGATGCCAAAATATTACAATTGAACGTTTGAATTGAAAGGGAGAGAAATTGATATGATAAGATGGTTATTAATGTTCTGCTTTTGATATTAAATAATGTTTTAAATCAGAAAGGCCTAGAATATCATTTATAATCGAAATAGTTTTATTAATATTGTGTTGCAGAGTTCAAATAGACTCATCCCATACACGTATTGCATTCAATTGACCAACCTAAATAAAATTGTTTTTACTCTGTCTTTTTTTCTTATCTATATTCCTCGAGCAAAAAAAAAAGGAAGATGGCCAAGAAATTTGTACAACCCACACACCACACAGTTTCCCATCAATTTTTTAAACATTCAACCAAAAAAATAAAAAAAAAACTCAGAAGAGAAAATAAAATTAATATTAATTCATGGGTTGAATTTTCAAAAATTGAGGAAACAGAGTAAAATGAAGATCAATAGGTAGATGAAAAAATATTGGAGATCAAACTATTGAATTTATCGAGGAGAGTATTCTTTTCGTAATATCAAGATATTAAAAGAAAACTCAGTTGGAACTAGTAATAATAAGTGTCATTATTATAATAGGAGAAATCAAATATATATATATATATATATATCAATTAAAAGAAAATGGATAGAAAATCTAATGACATTGTTTCTAGTCAATCCCAACCACATGAAATGGTTGTAGACGATGTGGAAATGGATGAAACAGATTCTTCTGAATATGTTGATCTTTGGGTTGATGTGTTTTTGGGTAAGAAAGGTAATGAGTATTTTTGCGAAATTGAACCAGAGTACATTACAGATAGATTCAATCTGATTAATTTACAAAAGACAGTATCAAAATTCACACAGGTAATACAATATATTGTGGATAATTTAGATGACCAAACTTTGGCCAATATGTCCCCAAGTCGCGTTAAACAATTGGAAGCAGATGCAGCAAAATTCTACGGATTGGTTCATGCACGTTATATTATCACGGTTAAAGGTTTGCAAAAAATGTTGGCCAAATATAAAGATGCAGATTTTGGTAGATGTCCAAGAGTGTATTGTAATTTCCAACCTTTATTACCCGTAGGATTACATGATGTGCCCGGTGTTGATTGTGTTAAATTGTATTGTCCCTCCTGTGAAGATTTATATATTCCAAAATCTGCCAGACACAGTTCAATTGATGGAGCATTTTTTGGCACAAGTTTTCCTGGTATGTTTTTACAAACTTTTCCTGAAGTGGTTCCAAGACATCCAACCAAGAGATATGTACCTAAAATATTTGGTTTTGAGTTGCATAAACAAGCACAATTAGCACGTTGGCAACAATTACAAAGACTAAAGTTGGAAAAAAGGTTAAAGGAACTCAATGTAAACTTAACCAAGCAAGGTGGATATAAGTAGTAAGAAACATATATAGGTGTATATATGCATGTGTGTATATGTGTGTAAAAAAAAAAAAAGAAAAGAAAAGAAAAACAAATGAAGGATAAGGATAGAAAAGAGTGATGTGTTACTTAAAAGGGAAATAGTCGAAAAATTTCTTAGACAAAGGGAGTAAGGATTATCTGTACACATTATGTCAAGTATACACGTGTTAACACATAACATATATACAGATAGACACTATTTTATTACAGAATAATAGTAGAAAGAAGGTATCTCTCTTAATTACTTATGAAATTATTCTATTCTTATAGATCATCTTTGTCAAATATCAAAACAATAACAAGAAAAATGCATGTGAAACCAATTAAAATGAGATGGGCCTCTGGCGGGGTAAACTACGCTTATTTATTAAGTAATCAAGAACAAACTAAATCATGGTTAATTGATCCTGCAGAGTCTGATGAGGTAAAAAATGCATTAACATCAGAAGAATTGGAGACTGTAGAGATCATTGCTAATACACATCATCATCATGATCATTCTGATGGGAATTTGAGCATGGTTAAATTATTATCATCAGCTTCTTCAAAAGGAATCAAGAAAATTGATGTGGTAGCAGGGTCGATAGTTAGTCCTGGAGCTACTGTTATTCCAAAACATTTAGAGAAGATTCCATTGGGTTCTGATATCAAGATTCTATGTATTAGAACACCATGCCATACTCAAGACTCTGTGTGTTATTATGTTGTAGATAAACAAAACGGTGATCAAGCGGTTTTCACAGGTGATACACTATTTACTGCAGGATGTGGTAGATTCTTTGAAGGTGATGGTAATGAAATGAATGTCGCTTTAAATCACACTCTATTGAGTAATGCAGGAAGTAAATGTAATTGGGATAGAGTAAAGGTTTATCCGGGTCATGAATATACAAAGGATAATGTCAAGTTTGTACGTAAATATATTTATACCAAGATTGGACAAAATGAAGCTTTAGATAAATTAGAAGATTTCTGTAACCAAAATGAAGTCACTACAGGACATTTTACTTTATCTAATGAGACCGAATTTAATCCATTTATGAGATTGGATGACCCAGCTGTTAGAAAAGCCGTTAATGACCCTTATAAAACCAAAACACATGGAGAGGTGATGTCTATTCTTAGAGAAATGAAGAACAGAGGTTAAGACACTTCACCTTTGTATTGCTTTACGTCTATGTACGTACTTGCTAATCATGCAAGGCAGTAAATAACTCCGTTTTTACTAGAATTAAAAAGGTATACACAGTATTACAATTGAAGATAAAAAGAAAAAAGGGAAAAAGAAACTGTTTGAATAGATTATGTAATAAAAGAATATATTATTGTGTACAAATACATTCCTCTCATCGCATGAACGATGATAAAAAAAGCCATAACCAAAGACAACATCCATAACGAAATGAATTTTACTCTTACTCCGCTGTCCACGCTCCAAATGCTCTATTGACACATATGAAGCTCTAGTTAAAAACAAAGTGTAATAAATAAGATTCCAAGGATCTGAGACAAGCTGGGTAAAAACAGGTAAGTAGAAAAAGAGAAAGATATTAGAGGAAGAGGAGCGCAGCTCGAAGGTCTTCAAACACCTCAAGTTTGTTCCTTCTTTATATATACGATAGAAATAGAAGAAGAATGGTCTTTGTTTATTTTTTTTTATTTTTTTTATAGGGGGGGGATGGAAAAAAGAAAAAATAAATTTCTAATGAAAAGAAATTTTGTTTAGGGTTCAACAATTATCAACAAGAGAAGCTGCGTAATACAGGCAGAGGGTAAAAAGTACCACTGTTATCCTTCTTTGCAATATCTCTACATTAGTTGATATGAAAGCATGGTTGTATGAATATCCATTTAAATAAACAAAAAATAACTCTCTTCTTATATAATATATTCTGGATCAGGCAGCTATCAATATATTAATGAATCAATTATTACAGATTTCAATTAAAATCCTAATTCAATCTAATTATACACATTTATGGAATATTCTGTCTTCAGCATATCTTGTATGACAAACACTTTTCAAGTGGCATACAATTATTTGCTCGATTTTATTTTATTTTGTTTTTTTTTTTCTTTTATTTTTTCAAACTTCTACATTTGATATGTCACTGTTACCTCTTGATGTAGACATTTTGGAATTTAGATGATAGAACCCATACACCCACTGCCTTTTCCATTTTTGAAAATAAAAAATTCAAATAAGATACTTGAGTTATTTGATTGACGAGGCAAAGCAAAAGGGGGGGCGGAGGGACCTAAAGAAGGACATATAATAGAACGTGCAGCAAATGCAAAGTGGATTATACACCAATACTGTGGGATTTTGTTAGTAAGTTTATCAAGTTGCTTGCATATGTACATGTATATAGTGACTTAGAATCAACTATAGAGTTGTTGTAGCACAAAGAAAGACCCAAAACAAGAAGCTATAATGAGCGCACTTGAGAAAAAGGAGGAATCATCATCAATTGCATCTAATACAGTTGATAAGAATAATACCGATGATATGGATTCAAAGGAGGTTCTTGATGATGTCAACTTTAATGAAGAGTCTCCGATAGAAACTATTAAAATAGTTGAACCAAAGCCAGCTACAATTACTGCCGAAGATATGCAAATGAAGTCGATCAAAATCGACGACGATGATGATGGCGAAATTGAAGAAAAGAATGCTAACGGTAAAAAACCTTTGTTAGATGAAAAACGTCCATCATTACCAAAGAGAACTTCTATTACAAATTCTTTAAAGAAAAAGACAAATATCACTGTCGCTTCTTCCGATGTAGATAATATTAGTCATAATCCTATATTAATTCAGTTAAAGGAAGCATTCCCAAATATTGAGGAAAAATATATTATTTCTGTAATTATTGCTTCTCAAGGTGTGGTTGATTCTGCATTCCATGCTCTATTATATCTATCTGATCCAGACTCGAATAAAGACATTGAATTACCAAAAGTTAATAGTTTGAATAGTAGAGTAAAGAATACATCTCAACTGAAACAAGATGAAATGTTAGCTCGTCAACTAGATCAACAATTTAATTCTCGTCGTCAACATTATTCTAACAGAAGTAAATCTAGAAATGGGGTGAGCAGCAGTAGTAGTAGCAATAATATTAATAATACTGGCTTTGGTAGGACTCCAGAAGAAGATATCAGATTAGCCGAAGCAAGACGTCAAGATCGCGAAAGAAGACGTCGCAGTCCGATGACACCTGAAGAGAGAAGAGAGATTTATGGCGATGAAGATGAGGATAGTTGGTCTCATTTTGTAGAAAAGGATATCCCTGAAGTGGCCAATGCTGTCAGTAACACATTCCAAGAGACTGCAACTAAGGTAAGTAATTGGTTTAGTGGTGTTAAGAATAGTTGGAATAACCCACAACAGGACCAGTACCAAACTCAAAGAGTTCGTGGTCCAAATAGAAATGTGGGATTTGAGTATGATCAAGAGCAGATTAGACAACAAGAAGAGGCTTTTAGATTTTATGAAAGACAAAAGAGAAACCAAGAACAACAGCAGCAACAGGAAGAAGAAAAAGATTTACCAAAACTACCAGAAAGACGCAGATTTAATTCATTTGGGGAACGCGTTGGTGAAGACGATGTTTTACAAACACATGGTATAATGTTAAAAAATGATGAATTTTCTGATAACGAAGACGTTCCTCCACAGCTACCAAAGAGAGAAAGAAAACAAGGTTCCGAAGACATTGATAGTAAAAAACATACTGTTACCGATGATCTATATAATGAAGAGGCTGACTTATCCATCATTACAAATGAAAATAAAGTCATTCCACAAACTACTTTTATTGATACACCAAAGGATAAGGCTACTACAAAGCCTTGGAAACTCGACGAACTAGACTCTACACCGACAAAGGGAGACAAAACAATTGAATTAAATGAGAATATTGTAATTAACTCTGATGATGAAGAATTATAATAGAATTATATTATAAACTTCAAGAAGTAATACAAGAAAGTAAAAAAAGATCTTTTTTTATTTTGTTTTATTTTCCCAAAAATAATACTGCTATATATATATATATATATATTCAGAATATAAACATTGCGTCTTCAGAAAATGACAAACTGAATCCCAAATAAAATAGCTATTGTTAGCTATGTTATTGTGAGACCAATTTATACATTTTATATGCAGATAATGTAGATAAGTAAAGTTTTGAAGAAAATCATCATTTAGTATCATTTTTTAGGAAATAGTTTTTGGTTATAGACTCTATAGTTGTTGTTATTGCTTCTTGTAGCATAACGCAGAAGAGGTTAGAAACCCACTTCTTATGGGTTTAGGAGACGGTACATTCCATTTTTTATACACGATTTTGATTAGTTGAAAAGAAAGGAAGTTTTTGTTTTTTTTTTTCTCTCTTTTATTTTCTTTATATTATGTTGTTGTTATATTGAAATTCTAGCTAGAGAGAAAAAAGTAAAAAAAAAAAAGGAAAATTAAAAAAAAAATTGTTAGGGTTTTTAATAAAACAAGAAAAAACAAGTATGGGTGAAATATGAGGTGTAATGGAATAGGACAAGATGATAGAAATAGACAAACTGCAACAGAGTGAGTACATCGCAAAGTTGAAAAGAACTATTTTGTTTGTAATTTTACTTATCAGAATGAAAATCACAAAGCATTGATTTCTTTTTGCTAATTTATTATGCTAATAAACATTCTTTAGTAACAGGGAAATTATGGAACTTTTGTGTACAGTCTAAGTGTTAGGTATGAGAAATATTCTATTAAATGGTATCTACTTCTTCTAACATTCATTTGGTTAGGTCTGCCGATGTGACCTGAGAATGAAATTCAGGTATTACATATAAATAATAACCTAGGGTTGGGTAAATAAAAAAAAAAAAGCATGATTCATGAAACTCTTTTCCTTTTTTCTTTTTCCTTTTTAAAGAACTGTCGTCTCGTTTAACAGCCTCAAAAAATAAATTCAGAAACAGTTTTCCTGGTCTCTCTTTCTCTCTCTCTCTTTTTCCTGCACATTCACTCTCAAGCTGTAATATAAAGCGGATTTGTGATCGTTCTGAAGTGACAAATTGCGGATTTTTTTCTCTAGAAAAGAGGGTTTTACATAAACTGAAAATCCCGAAACTTCTATCAAAAGAAAAAAGAACAGAAAACAATAAGAATGCAAAGTAATTTTTTCTCTTTATTTTTTCTTTTTATAGAAATTTTCCTTAAAAACCTATTACAATTACTGAATTGAGAAATTTATTTGTATTTGGGTAGAGCAAAAAAAAAAAAAAGAAAAATACAAATCACAAAATTTTCCTTTTTTCCTTCCTGCTTTTTACTCTTTTTTTTTTTCCTTTTCCCCTCCCTCCCCCCACGACAAAGTCAATTTTTGTTTGTTTGTTGATCAGCATTGTCAGAAAGACAAAGAGTTCAAATGAAAGAAATGAAGGATTTTGCAACTTTTTCTTATTTGTATTAAAATAACTAAAATAAAATAAAACAATAGATTCAGGATAAACATTTAAAAATTTTGCGTTCGGCTGGTAAACTTTTTTGCTCCAATATTTGCTATAAACTGGTTCGTTTGCAGTAGATTCTAACTTTTTTCTTGTCCTATTTTCTTCCTACATTTTCTTCTTGTTCATTTAGTCAGAAGGATTAAATTGGCATAGAGAACAAATTGTAATTAATATAAAGTTTACGCATAAGGAATATAAAGATATTTTATTAAGAGCTAACCTAATAATACCAAGCAATAGTTTATTTTTTTTTTTTGAATACACTTTTTTTTTACTTAATTGTTCGAGGTTGCTTAGAAGAGGGACATAAATTATATACATAGAAAAAAATATAGATAAAGATAAAAAGGCAACGGGATAGGTAAAAGGAAAGATTGAAATAAACAATATTGCCTGCCCATAAATAATATAGACCCCACTAAGATATAATAGTATATTTGCTTTACTACATAAAAAGGGGATACAATAATTACAAAAAGCACAGGAAGGGGAAGAAAGAAAAAATAAAAAATAAAAAATAAAAATAGTTGAGTTTTCTGTAACTCTTTACTGTAACATTATATTACACTAATATTAATTATTAATACACATACTATAGACATCTAAATAAACAACACATTTCTTTGCATTTTTTTTATTTTAGTATCTTCCTATTGTATTAATATAAACTGAATTTTTCTCATAGTTTTCCATTCAACATTTGTTAAAAAAAAATTAAAAGAAAAATGCAGAACATAATAACACAAGTATCCCAAACTAATGAATCATTTTATAACCCATTATTACAACACCAACAACATAATTATAACCAAGATTATTATAGCAATGAAGATAATATCCAGGATGAAATATATGGCAATTCTTTAATACATTTAAATATCCAAGAACATCACTATTATATAACTAGAGATCAGTTAATGTCCCTGCCTGAATCTTTACTTCTTTGTTTGTTTCCATCTGGGGTTTTCCTGGATAGAGATGGTCAAGTCATAACCAATTTAACCTCTGAGGATGAAGTCTATATAATTAATTTTGATCCTAAGTGCTTTGAGTATATTATGGAAGTTTTCATTAAAGCTCATGAAGATTTGGTCAATTATCCAGTTGAAACATTGTTTGAAAGACCTGCAAACAATAGTTTTGTCAATACTGCAAAGGAGTTCTTTAGATTTAATAACAATAGTAATAGTTCAAACTTGACTTCAACTACAAGCAATAATAACAGCACAGCATCACAAAGCAAAACAAATGGTTCTGATGCACAAGATTTATTGCATCAAAAACCTGTCATAATCGTATTGAGAGAAGATTTAGACTATTATTGCGTTCCATTGGTAGAGTATATATTTGAACAGATACCGGACTTATATCTAACGAAAGCACAACAAGATGATAATAATGATGACCTATTACAACATTTTATGGCACAGATTAAAATAGCTGCAGGCAGTTATTTAAGCGGTGAAAAATCAATATTTCAAGGTTTATTTTCTTCTAATAGGTTAAAATATCAAAATAATAATAGAAGTAAAAAATCATCAACAAACAATATCCAAGATGATAGTAATACTAGTAATACTAGTAGTAATAATAATAAAATTAGTAATGAACCGAAATTAGGACCTGCAGAACAACATCTAATGGATATGCTCTGCTCGTCTGGGTTTAGTAGAGAATCACAATGGGGCAATAGAACACAAGAACCTGGGAAAACAGTAATAAGTTCATTATCTTTATGTAGATTGGAAAATGAAACAACAGAAGGATTTCGAAGCAGATTAAATGATGCTATATGTGAATGGGAAAACCAGCAAAGAATTAAAATGAAACATAAGAATGGAAATAATAAAGATTATGATACAACATTGACACCTACTAGATCTTTAATGAGTATGAAATCAATTACTAGTAATAATAATAATAATAATAATAATAATAATTTGAAGACATCACTAACTACTACAGGGGCTACAAATAACCCAAATAAAGTGGTTTTAAATGAACAATACGGTAAAAATAACAATAATAATGATAATAATGATAATGATAATAGTAATAGTAATAATAAGGAAAAACGTAAGTCTTCAAAGTTTTTTATGTTGACAGGATCTGTACTTTCGTCAAATTCAAAAAGTAGTTATCAAGCAAGAGCTGGAAATGATAATGACTCGATATCAAAATCTTTGGGTCCATTACCACAAGTCTATGATTTAATAGACAAACCGGATATTAATGCCAAGTTATTATTATTTTGGAGAAAACCAGCAAGAAAATGTTGGTGGGGTGATGAAGAGATCGAATTGGAAGTTGAAGTTTATGGACATTGGGTAACAGATCCTAAGAAGGGTAAAGTAATAAGTTTGAAACTCCCTACAAGTGTTAACATCGAAGATGAATTGAATAAAATTAAGATACCTATAAGATTGCATATACGTAGAGTTTGGACACTAGAATTAAGTGTAATCGGGGTACAATGAAAAATAATCATTATTACGGCATGAGAAGTAACAAAAGAGAAGTTATAAGTTTTTACGCTCTTATTATAGTATCTAATGTTGGACTCTTTTTTTTTAAGAAAGAAGAGATTAAATGAAGGGGATATGATATAGTTTTTTTTCCTTTTTTGGATTAATATATATAAAGGACATGGAGAGCTTATATATTAAAATGTCCAATCTAGAATAGTATCAATAGAAGTATGACTTAAATGTGTGTTTATCGAGTCATACTGCTACTAACATTTTGTAGTGTTATATATATTTAGATACGTCCTTTCTCTCAAAATTTATTACTTATAGACTGAGTGCGTCTTAAGTTTGTTTTTTTCTTCTTTTGTATATCTTTTATGATCCGGAGGGAAGGTAATTAAACCCGAATAGGAAAAAAATAGTTGTATCATACTTTTTGCTTTTTGCTTTTTGCTTTTTGCTTTTTGTTTTTTTTTTTTTGGACTGAGCACGGAGAAGCAAAAAAAAAGAGAGAAATAAAGGCTTACAGGCAATTTTGCTGATCAAAGAATAAAGAAAATTACTGTGAAGAGGTCAATTGGGAAATGATGAAGTTACAACAAATGACGTGACATCTTTTTTATTTGCATTCCATTTTCAAAATTATTCTTTCTGTTAGTATTTTTAGTCAATTCGGACTTTTGTTCTAAGTAAACGTGTTCATTTTGAATCTCATTTTTACGACTTTTGCATTGTTATGTATATATATATGGGTATTATTAAGTAATTATATTTATTTAAATAAAAAAACATCAATATTCAAACACATCGATAATAAGATTTAATAACAAGACGAATAATAATAGTAATAGTAATAATAGAAGAAGAAAAAATACAACAGGAAAAATACGTATAAAAAAAAAGATAATTATTAATGATGACTTTAATACTCTGGGATATATTATATTTTTTAAGCAGGTTTGTTAGATTATCTAGTTTATGTGGATTTATAATATTGGGATCACTAGTTGCAATGTTCTATATTATTGATTTAGTATTATATATATTTAGATTAGGTCGATATTATTATGAATATCTATTATATTATTACTCATCAAGAAATAAAACAACAATATGTATAGATCGCCGGAGGGAAAGAAAAGTAATCACACGTAAACATCAATATTATGTACAAAACAACAATAGTCAAAACCAAGTACTTTTAACAAGAAGTATGGATATGGCTACAAACGTTACAGGTGCAGACCAAAATGATAATATGAATCCAAATTTGAAGTTACTTAGATACAGATTTAAAAAATATTATACTAAATTCTTCAATCATTAACAAGAGAAAGAAAGAAGGAAAAAATTGTTTTGTAATATAATTAGATTAAACCTCACTAGCTAACTAATTAATCTTCTGATTCATTATCAACGTTTTTGTAATATTTGACACATCAATAATATACCATTGTTTATTTGGAATTATTAACAACAATGAAGAGATAAAATAACTATGGGAATGACTAGAAAACCTTGATTTGTTCTGTATATTTATAATAGTTATATCAAAACTACTTACTATTATTTTCTTCCTCATATAAATTTTCAAGAACGATTTCGATTATAGATCTTTGTTGTTTATGTTATTTGATTTGACTTTTTCTTTTTTTTTTCATTGCCACTCTTAAATAAATAGATATATATATCTACTATAATACAAATATATAAGCTATTCAACAAAAACAACTATAATATACTCTACTGTTCATATTCAACAATATTTGACTATATATTGCTGTCTTTTAAGGATTGTTGTTTTCATTAATATAGCTCCCATGATTAGTTGATTAGTGGTATAGTTGATTTACTATTAATTGCACTAGCTTTCTTTTTCTGATTATCATTTATTACGAGAGAAGACTAAAAAAAATGAAGAAAAAAAAAATCATATTCAAATGTTTGCGTTGTATTGAAATCGTAAAAGGAAAAAAGGATAGAAATGAGGTTGTTGTTATATAAACGTTACAAGTCAATGGTAACAGGTTCATAACGCCTATAAAGTCACTTACACTGATGGTTAAACGGAAGTTATAGAACAATAATAGACAGATATAAGTGTAAATATAATAAAAAAAAAAAATAGTTAAATAATGTCAGCTCCATTGTTTGGTATGCCAGGTATGGGTTTAGAAGGTGCTGCTCCTTCATCTAATAAACCAAAATCGAGATTTCAATTATTCAAAGAATCTCCAGCTTATACAATTTTACTTAATGGTGGTTTGTTTGTTGCTGGTGTAGCATTTATCCAATCTCCATTAATGGAAATGTTGGCTCCACAATTATAATGATTAGTTTGTACTGTATTGTATTGTACTGTATTGATTTGGTTTATTTATTATTACTTCTTCGTTTTTTAGTTGACTAATGACTTTTCTTATTATATTAAACCCTCTCCCTTGTATATAGTATTACATATGAAGAGTATACTATGCTTTACATACTATAAATATATATAAATTAGAAAATACAATTGTTGCGGTAAAAAGATTGACTGTTGTTGTTATTTTTGACCTATTTATTATTTTATATATAGGAAATATCTATAGCTTCAGTAATATTGATTAGTACATACATACTCTATGCAAGACAACACGTTAAGATAAAGATAACAAGAGAATACAATGGCTATATAAAAACCCTTGAAATATTTTGCATATTAATTATATATTTTTTTTTATATTATTAAATCTAATAAAGGTATAATATGTAGATATACAGAAGTAAATGTGAAAAAGTTATTAAGAATGAAAATTAGTAAAATAAATTAGAATTGGCTATTAGATGATTAGAATAAAAATATTGTATTAAAGGGGAAAAAAAAGATATTGTGTCTTATGATTAATATTATTAACTAAGTTTAGTCTTTTAAAACAATGTATAGGGCATATAACATACCTGGGAACCAAACACAAATAGTTAAGATAATGTCCACGATACATTCAGTACCCCAACCACGGGAAGAAAAGACAGCAACAGGTGGTAAAAATAAAGCTATTTTAAAATTTTAATATCTCAGTTTTAATATCAGAATATTGATAAATATAGAAATGAGTAGACATTGTTAGTAAAAATTTTCAATTAAGTATATGTGTTAAAAATAAGATAGAGAGATAGAAAGGAAAAAAACAATTTTTTTTTTCTTCCAATAAAGACCAGGTTAATTGTATCTTTCTCTATTTGTTTTGGAAAGTAGGAAGAAAAAGAAGTACATACCTAGTACAATGTTAACAATCTTAGCAGAATCCATTTTTATGATATTATTATTTTCTTAATAGTATAATTTATATGTATTAGTTGTTTATGGTTTTATCTTATTTTGAAGTTGCCAAAAATTAAAGCAAATTAGATATAACTTGTGTTTATTTTCTTATTGACAGTGTGTCTACTGAATCGAAAACTGCCTTACTGAAACAAGGTTTATAAATAATACTAAGGTTACAGTGGTGACACTAAAGGGTATAAGAGTGCTAATCTAGGAGGCGGTCTAGTTGAGGTAAAAACGAACTAAACGGGAAAAGAAAAAGGCACATCTCAGAGGAATTCAAATTTACACCCGGCGGATTCATTCTTTGCGTTTGAATTTATGACTTTATGCAAGGTTTTTATTTTCTCACACTAACAAAAAAAAAAATAAACAAACAAAAAAAATATTCGTTGGCAATGGAAATCGCCCCCTGGAATAGCAGAGGAAAATAAAAAATAGTAAGAGAAAAAAAAATTGTATAACGGAAGAGAAAACGGCACGGCGAGGGAGGGGGAAGAGAAAAGGGATAAGCACGAGGGAAAGGGCGATGACTATCAAAGGTCCATTACTCAGCAAAATTGGTCATATAGAAAATATGTGATTCTAAGAAGTAAATATTAAAGTACATATATACATAAAATTTATTTAATATTTGATAAATAAACATAGATATATATGCATACGTATGTATGTGTGTATGTATGTATGTGTGTGTATGTATATCTTTTCAGTCTTTTAGCACTTTTTTAACAATTTCTTCGACTTCATCCCAGTCATCTGTTGGAACACGAGTCATTTCAAGATCACCAAAATATTTCTGAATGCTTGATAAAATGTTGAAAGACTTTTTATCGGAGATAAATGAGATGGCAACACCTTTTCTACCAAACCTACCAGTTCTACCAATTCTATGCACATAAGTTGCAGGATCTGCCTGACCATTAGCAGTGACAGGTAAATCATAATTAACCACCATAGAGACAGTTGGAATATCAATACCACGAGCTAATACGTTTGTAGTAATAAGGACTTTGGATCTGCCTTCTCTGAAATCATCAATCAATTTGTCTCTGTCAGAGCTTTGTAGATCACCATGTAGGATAGATACTTGATGGCCTTCTTCTTTTAATCTACCGTACAATCTATTAGCAGTATTCTTTGTTTGGACAAAAATAATCGAAGAACCAATTGTTAACAGCCCATATAATTGACAAAGAACTTCGTATTTGTGTTCTTCATTGTTACAATCCATATATAACTGCTTAATAGCTTTGACATTGACTTCATTCCTTTGTAATTCTAATGTGTTGGCATTTGGAACAATCTTCTTTGCATATTCACGAACTTTATCAGCAAAAGTGGCACTGAAAAGTACCAACTGTGTGTTTTTGGGTAAAAATCTCTTAACACGAATACATTGGTCACCTAACCCTTGTTTATCTAACATGTTATCGGCTTCGTCAAGCACAAATATTTTGATTCTATCCATTTTCAATAATTTTCGTCTAATTAAATCAGTTACAGTCCCAGGTGTACCAACTACAATATGTGCACTAATATTCTGGTTCTTTTCAAAGGAATCTGGGACAATTAATTGAGTTTTAATATCTGTAAATTTGCCCATCTCTTGGATTACTTCTACTGTTTGTCTAGCCAGTTCTCTAGATGGTGCTAAACAAATGGCTTGACAGCAATTACCCAATGATGTGTCAACACGAGAAAGCATAGTTAAAGAAAATGCAGCAGTCTTACCTGTACCAGATTGAGATTGTGCAATCATATTCTTAGGTGGGTTGGCTAATAGTAATGGTAAAGCCCTCTCTTGAATCTTTGACGGTTTCTGAAACTTCATAGCGTATACACCTTTTAATAATTCTGGAGATAAACCCAGCTCATCAAATGACTTAATACTGTACAATGGTGAATTTGGATCCGCTTGTATATCCGCTAGTTTCACTTTAACTTCATATTCAGAATTAATTAAATTGGTGTTTTCATTTGGTTTGTTCACATTATCTAAATCTTTTTTCTCATCAGAAGTAGTAGATGTTTTCTTGCTTTCTTCTAATGCTTTTTTAGCAGCATCAAGTTTTTCTTGTAAAGGATTTGGTTTCTTTTCTGATTTTTCTTCAATCTTTAATTTGGCCAATAAATCGGCAGCATCTTTCTTGTCTGGTTCAGCCATTTATACTAGTCTACCTATGATACTTATACACTTTGCTAAATTGAGGTTGCAGATTCATGATGGAGAATACAGAAATGAAAATATTTTTTTCGATGCCTAACAGTGTAAAGATCCTAAAAATAACATTTAATCCTTCCTTTTTTTTTGTTAGTGTAAGATTTGTAAATTTTTCTTTTGCTTTTTTTCTTTTTGATTATTTTTCTAGAAAAACACAGATCATTTTTGTAACCTTTTTGAGGGTAACACTTTTAAGTTTACATGCAAGAAATTGAAATATGTGGATGTGTTAGATATCCTACTAGAAACTCAGGAATATCCTCTTAGAGTCAATAGATTTTGTAAATCTATATATAACATATCGATACTATTAATAAGGAAAAAGAAAAAGAAAAGAAATAAGAAATTTAGGTATGCGGATATTTATATATTAATTATTAAGGAATATTCTATAAAATACTATGCAAAAAAAAAGAAGAGAAATACAATTTCTCAGACTTGTTTCTTCCTGATGGCCGTTTGACAAACGGGGATAAAATGATAACATGACACTACACTATTATATTTGAAAATAATCATCAAAAAAAAAAAATGTTAAAATAGAGAGGAATCTATCTTATTCTATCAGGTTTCCAATCTAGACCTAATCTTTGGTACACCTGTGCCTGACATTGAGACCAAATATTAGCTTTTTCATCCGATGATAAAGAAATTTTTACCACTTGATTGTGATCTAAGTTAGATAAGAGGGAATGTGTGTTCGTTGGATGAGTTGTTGGATGATTGATTTTTACGTTTTTATTGAAGTTTTTTATTAAAGACATTTTAAGTAAACTAGAGTTCTTATTGGGTATGATTTTTGGTGGAGGCATATGTGGTTTTGTAAGATTGTGTCCCTTTATCTTCTCATGCTCTTTTTGTAGTTGGATTTGAATTTGTTGCTGTTTCCATTTTTTGTATTCAGCACAACGTTGTTTAAAATCGAATCTGCATTGGGCTTCTACTGCAATATTTAATAAATAATTTTCAATGATATTTCTCCACTCAGGTTTAGATAAGTTCATAACAACCTCATGGCGGCCAATCATTTGTTCATGTCTTAGTCTTGCAGTAGCTACAGTATACCGAGCACTTGTTAATTTAAATTCAAAATCTAAGCTTGCCTCCATATAAAGATCTGAGTTGACGAGGGTAGATATAATAAAATTATCAGACGAGTTTAATGGTAATAATTGAAACTTAAATTGAGGAAATTTGGGGCCAGCATTGACAATTTCCGGTAATTGATTGCCCCATTCAGGTCGTAATTTCTCTATTATCAGTAAAGAACGGATATCGTTCAAGTCCCAGTCCAGCAATTCTCTTTTGGTGAAACTGGGTCTTCCATTTGGTAGAATATTAGATAGATCCGATAATAACACATCTGGGGTGTACATATCGTAGAAATTCTTTGGTAACGCATCCTCCAGGGATATTTGCGTGACATAATGCGGTATTGGTAATTTTTTATCAAAATTGTTGACACATATAGAACTGTTATCTGTCAATGTAGTAGAGTGTGTGTTTATTGTGTAAGGGCTTGAGAATATACTAGAAGCTTTATCAGATATAAGACTTGAATCATCTAGACTAGCTCTTGTGGTTGGAGCTCTGTATAGATTGGTATTTTCTGCTTCTACATGTGCCTTATTAGTTTGGTGGTTTTGTGTGAAAGTAGAGATGCGTGCATTATTCGAGTTTGTATAGGAAGTAGTTAAAAGTCTTTTTCTAATCTCGTCTCTAGCTCTATTAGAATATTCAGGCGGTGCGTTGATGAAATCAGTTTCCTTCCTTGACTCTTGACTACTATTACTGTGGTTACTGATTTGCGAATTTTGGGAACTGCCAGATTCGTTCGATTTTACTTTGTATACAGAGGATAATGTGGTATCTGTATTAAGACTTTTATCATAATATTTAGATTGTTGGTTATGGTTATGGTTTCCATACTTTTTGGACCGTCTTCTTTGCAATAGTGTTTGAGGCGTCAGACTAACTGGAGGAGGTGAAACAAACATTATTATTAGGGTGCTGATTTTATTCAGTTTTATTTTGCGATGGGGATAAATATGATATTGTATTTATCAACAACAAACAGAATATTTGAATGAATCTCAGAATAAAATAAAATATAATAAAAAAAAGTTGGAATTCGTTTTGAAGTCTACCGAGGTTCACAATTTAGTCATATAACTCGATTTATTAGTTTATTAGAACTAAAATTAAAAATAGTAGTAAAGAATGGACAAAAGACAGAATTATTTATAAATTATACAGGCTTCTCTTTATTATTTTTATTATTTTTATTACTATTATTACTGTTGTTGTTGTTATTTTTAATTGTGGAGAATTATTGAATATTAGTGTTTAAAGAGTTTTTCACTTTGTCTTACCTTATCTTTCTTTAACAGTTGTGTTTTCTTAAGCAACGAACCCCCCGTTTTCTTCTTTTTTTTCCCGGCAGGCAGGGAGGAAAAACTGTAATGTATATATACAGAGTCCCGCTAGCTTTTGTTAGTTAGCACGGAGAAATTTGTCTTGGAAAAAAAATTTTTTTCTTTTTCTTTTTTTCTTGTTGCAGTTTTGTCCTTTTGGATTTTTCTGGCTAAAAAAAAACTAAAATGAAAAGAAAATAGAAGAAAAATAAAAAAGCGCCTGACTTATTTGCAGATACCTATTGTTTTTTCTCCAAGAAATGGTACGAAAGGGGAAACATCTTCCCCTCTTTGTCAATAAATTAAACAAGACAAAACAAAAGAAGAACAAAGAGATGTGGGTAGATTTTCCGTTAATAATAGCTTCGAGCGGATAATTTATTATTTTTCCACTAAATATATTGTTTTATATAGTGGGGATGTTCCACATGAAATTGTTCTCGAGAAATTTTAAGGGATCTGTCTCCATTACGGAAAAAATAACATTTAGACAAAGACAGACTAAACCATAAAAATAATTATTCCGTTGTTAATAATGTGATATACGGGAGAATGAATTGTTTTCAGATTAACTTCTCTGTTTAGGGTATGCAATTATGTTTACAGCACATGAGTGGGATATAATTAGTTAGTTCTCATTCGGTGATAGAAACATATCTGTTCCCTATCTTTGCTTAACTGAATCTCTTCTTGGAACTTCTAATTAGTTTAAAGTATATATATAAAGAGAGGGGGAGAGATAAATAGATAGACTTTTTTTTTACAATTGTATTAATAATACCTGTTTATATTAATAATTATAATACATAATACATGCAAAATTGTTTTTTCCGTTTTTTTTTTTATTGTGTGGGTGTTTCTTTTATTTACGAAAATCTACTTAATGCTTCGTCTACGATATCTTTATGATCGGCACTAATTTCACCTGACTTAATCATATTGTTTCTTCTACGTTGTTCTTTTTCTTTAGCTAATTGCTTTTGTACTCTTAATTTTCTTTCATCAATGACATTTTGTGTTCTCTTACGCAAATATGTACGTAAACCAGAATTTTTTCCTTTAACGTTAGGCTTGACACTTGGAATATCTGCATTCTTCTTTATAGCTTCTTCCTTCTCCAGCGTAACTTGATGTAATTGTTTTGCACTTAACCTGATTGATGAAGATTGCTGACTTACTGTACCAAGAGTATTTGGATCTAAAGTGATAGAATCGGCCGGTAATTTATTCAATAATGTTCTGACTTCTTGTTCTTGTCTTTGTTTGGCAGTCTCGTATGGATTGATTTCCATTGCATCATAATTGGCTTCACCAGCACCCGGTATTATCAAATGAGTAATACCTGTTTCATGACCAACACTTAGGATATCTTCAAATGGAACAAATTTCATATTATTTATTCTATTTCCTCCAAACAGCTGTGTCATATATGGTGTGTTCCTATCTTTTTGACCTCCCATAGAACCAAAACATGGTTTGGCTTCCCTACTTGTCTTCAACGCATCCTTCCACAATATCAACTGAGGTCCTCTTCCCATGGCAATTACACCTGTATCAGAAATTGTCACATTCATACCCGGTGTAGGTAAATTTTCTAAAACATGTAATTCTTTGAAATTTCTGATATCCCATATTTTCATTGTTTTTCCTGTATCCACAGTAACCATGTATCTACCACTTCTATCAACAGCCAAATCGTTAATTGGCCCACGACCTGATAATAATTTAACTAAAGGTTGCGGCATAGAAGGAGACCATAATGTCACTGTACCATTGCTGTGCCCTAAATGCATAACTGCATTCCAAGGATTTTGTTTCATAGATACAGTTGGTCCTAGCTTGGTTCTTAATTCTGATACTAATACACCAGTGGATACATCGTGATATTTAAGCCATCCAGTCTCACCAGCAGTCGCTAATAAATAATGGTACGGTAAAAATTCAAGATGTCGAGCTTCAATGTGTTGTTTCATTCTATGTAATTCCACACCTTCGTGATCATAGATAAATGTATACTTTTTTTGGGCGATTGCAAAATATTGTTCATTTTGCAAATAGGTGGCTGCATAGCATGATTCGTTTAGATGTAACTCTGCACGTAATTCACCTTTTCTCCAATCCATAGATGCAACATGGCCCTTTCTCCCACTAATCAACAAATGAGTACCATTTCTCGAATAATTTGTATAGTAAGGACCAAATTCTTTTAAAGATAAATCCAATGCTTTATTGGCTGTACTCACATCGACATTAGATTTTATTTCCTCTTGTTTAACACGAAAAGTCTTCTCCATTTCAGTTTCAGCCTCCATATAACCACTTGTCTCTGGTAATAAATACTCTGTTGCGGCAGCTGATCTTACAGCATCTCTGTATTTATTATCCAGTTTTTTCAATGTGGCCTTTAATTTCTTATCTTTAGTTTTGTGGCTACCTCTTTTATGGGATGTTACTGGTCTTACAAAGGGCTCTTGACGTTCTTTTTGACGTTGTTTTCTACCACTGGCCACAGGTTTAGCATTTTTCTCCTTTCCTGACTTTTTTGTTGCCATTTCTCAAAGTTGTGTTAGTTTAAATATATGTGTGTACAGACAAAAGGTGGTTTGTTGAACAAATCGATCCTTAGTTAGAAAGGGGTGGAACTACGTATTTGTGTATAGAGTCTCTACTAATAGTAACATTCTTTGCGATGCCCAAAATTACCTTAATATATCCAAAATTATTTGAAAATTTTTCATTCACTTTTTTAAGTTTTTTTTTTTTGTTTTGTATTTCTTAATTTTTTTTTTTCCGAAGATATTGTAAGGTTCAATTTTGGAGGTATTTTTATATCTGTACCTCCAAAGAAATATTAATGAATTAACAAGTAAAGATAGCAATTAATCATACAATTACATATAATATAAAACTAACATATTAATTTTTTATTGTCAATAATAAATTTATATAAAATATAGTAGAACTAAGCCACTAAACTAGAGGAAAAGAAAAAAGGAATAAAGTTCAATAGTATGCAACAATACCCATCATTATTAATACAAAACAGATATCGGTTAAAAATAAAGATAACACATCCCAATATTGAAGAAGTAAAATGATTTTTCCTTTTAAATTGGGAATTGGAACTACACCTTCTGGTATCATTGCTACTAGTTTAACAATCTTGTTGGAGTGGTCTAAAGTATTGATATTGTGAATTTTTTCAATAGCCTGCAACTTTTGATAATAAATAGATGTTGCAACCATTTCAAAACTTGTGAAAATCATAAAAAAGTAAGAAGGATCTAATAAGACATTAAACATTTTTGGTAGAAGCACAATGGATGGTCTGCCATTTCTTGTAACTAAGTATAAATATGGTAAAATGAAAAAGAGCCATTTAATCAAAATAGTCTTAGCTTTTAATGTATTGACTAAATAGTTGTGATACTTCAATAATGCTGTATCTACAGGAGTCGTTTTTTCATCAGTTCTTGTTGCCTTTAAAAGATTTTTAGATAAAGAATTATCATCAGTCTCATTATTCAAAGATTTGAACAAAGAAAATAAATCTGAGTTAGAACCATTATTTTGCATATCGGCAAGTTGCTTAAATAAATTTATTTCAACGTTGTCGACTTTGCTAGTGTCAATGTGTTTTTTATTGTTGTTATTAATGGATGGAATAGCAGGATTAGGAGCTGTTAAAATAGATTCTTTCTTTTCAGATTTTCTTAGATTATTGGGACGGGAATCTAATGGAGATTCTGTACTTAATTTGCTATCAATTTGACCTGTAATTTTATTTAACCTAGAAGAACCACCACCATTGCTAAATTTCTTCTGTCTTCTTTCTCTTAAGATTCTACGCTTTTCAGCTTCGCTAAGTTCATTCATTTTGTTTCGCACGACTTAAAATTTTTCTATTATTTTACAATGTTGTTATTATTGTATGTATCCACCTGCTAATACAATACGTTTCGAACGGAGTGTGTTCAGTGGTGCGTGTCTTTCTATCAAAGTCTTCTTCTACTTTTATATATAATGTATGATTTTTTTTTTTTTCATTTTCCTCTTTTTCTCATATATTTCTTCTCTTTTTTTTGTTTGACATTTTAATATTTTTTTAATGGTTAATGAAGCATAATGTGTTTTTACAAAAGATAATGCGCATAAGAGTGGAAGAAATTTACTTAACCATTAAATATATGTTTTCATTTGTCTCTAATAGTTAGGGTTACATTAATAGGCAAAAGAAAAAAATGAATAAATTGAATGTATAAGGAAGATAATTATCTATTAAACATCTAAAGTTTGTTTATTAAAATATCTAATAAAATTGAGTATTTTGAGGTAAAAGAAAAAAGTTTCAAGAGGGGATGGGCAGTAATAAGCAAATTAAGAAAAAAAAATCGCATCTTAAAGTATCCAAATCAAAGAAGAAATCAAGTAAGCATACTAAAAAGAAAATAAAAAAGTTAGAAAGTGAGAATCAGAAGCAAATGCTCAGTCATAATACTGAAACCTGTTTGGAATGCAATAGTAATTTTCATACATCTTTGAAATGTCCTAGAATCTGGAGAAAATATATCTTGAAAGAAAAGAATATAGGTACAAATAAAATGGTTCTTCCGATACATACCATATATTGTTATAGATGTGGTGGAAAGGGTCATTATGGAGACGATTGTCATGTGTATGCTGACCTAAAAGATTTGGTTATCCAAGAAAGTGCATTTTCTGGAAAAAACCTTGAAAGACCGTTATCCAATATGTATTATAATATAATTCTGAAGCAAAGGGAAGAAGATGAAAATGTTGGAAGTAACAGTACATTCTATAAGAAGTTAAACGTTTTTCCATTTTATAGACCTCCATATGCCAATAAAAGAAGAACATAATAGTTATTATTTTTCATATAAAAGTAACTTAAGTACTTTCTTGCAATAACAGGCTTTGGGTTTTTATCACTGATCATAATGATGACGTTGTATCTATGTTAAAAACAAATCTATATTATTATCATTTTAGATAAGAAAATGAAAGTAATATGATGATCTTAGCAGATTTATTTTAAATCGACTTATGAATTTAGATGATTTAATGAAACTGAGAAGGGATAGGGCTCTATCTGTTTTTTTTTTAAAAAGAAAAAGAAAGTTTTATAATGAGATGCATCATCGTTAATAATTTAATAATTGATTTTTTCACCAATTATCTGAATTCATCAGGCGAGAGCTACAGTTGTTTTTTGTAGGCATATAATTCAATAAGCTGTAAACCGAAATTTCAAAAGATAATAATATTTTGATGATATTTTCACACATGGTAAAAATTTACATGATGGTGTATATTATTAATTAGATTAGTTATTTTAAAAATAAACTTTAGCTATAGAGATATTACAAAAACTGAAAACATGTATTGAATTGCTGTTATAATATTCTGGATCAGCATGGTCTACCCACGTTCGCATATGTATTACTGTATTTGTAGGGTTTCTTTCGTTATGTGCTGGAGCGTGATAGCATTTATGATTATGTTATTTTGATATTAATCTATTTGTAATAAGGAATGAATTAGATGAGAAGAAGATATAGGGTAGCCCTACATCTTAAAAGTATATGTTACCATATACATGGTTTTAAGGATTACTTGATATGTTGTCTTATTGTTGAGGGATTACTATGACGCCATTTGTGTTATAATGCTTCTATGCGATACTTAAATATCATACTCTGTATATTTGCGATACCAAATGTGATAACTAAAATAACTTAATTGTCCGCTCATAAAATTCATCAAAATTTTCAACAATATAGATGAATACTAATATTTTCATTTTTTTTATTAAAAAAAATTGATGATCACAATGGTACGGTAGAATTGGTTTTCAATGCATCTGTACATGTCAAAAAATTTTATGTAGTGCATTTTACGTTAAAAACAGTTCATTTGAAACCTTACTTAAATCAAAATAAAATAACAATTTAACGTATTAAATTGTATTTTTGTTGATTTAAATAATTTTTTTTGAATAGCAGCTTATATAGTTGGTTTAATTTCACGTTAAATTTTATATTTAGTTTGAGTTATTTTAGTTTCTTTTGTATAACATAAACTTGGACTTGAAAAAAATTTTGTCCTGAAGACATAAATATTAATTTAAAGTCAATGGTAAAAATCTTATTGAAGTTACTTTTTTTTTTTACCGAAGAACTGTAAAGTATACTTATAGAATACTACTTTACATTTATATACACAATAATATATAAATGTTGTCACCCTTTCTACTAAAATAATAGGAAGTTTAAATCATACAATTTCTTCTTCCTTTCCACCCAAAAAAGTATATAAGATAAAAGGTAAAAATAAACATATTTGGAATTATTACAGTTAATCAACAAATAGAAAATATTAACTTCAGAGATGCAAAAACTACGCATAACAGGACCAAAACCTTTAACACAAACAATATATATCAATTGACTTTAAATATTCTACTATCAGTATAAATTAAAAGGGTAAATCACAATAAACCTAGACAAACTCATGTTCACTCTTTGTAAGGCTTGCTTGCTTCCTTAGTGGCTTAGAAAAAATAAAATAATAATTTATCATACGATATTATCGCTACTATTCCTTACAGTGAATTTTACTCTCTCTATATGCATGTCGAATTCCAAATTAAAAAAAAAACTGTAAAACGGATTATAAATAAGATTCGAAAAGTTACACAACAGTGTGTCTTTTAGCCAAAATTTACTTCTATAAGAAACAAAATAGATCATATAATTTTTATCTTTCTAAAATAATTGAAAATCTGCAAACTATGGTAAAGATAAAAAGTTTAAAAGAATATCATGTTTGAGTTATGCATGATTACACGTAGATAATGATAGTATACCGGTAACATATATCGTTCTTGAAGGTTTAGATAGGATAAGAGATTGTGTAATGACAAAAGAGCCAGTTTAATGTATTACTTCTACAAATCACACAAGTTAAAACCGTACTGTTCTCTTGAATACGGCGTGACTGTATCCTTAGAAAAATACCTAAAGACATTTCAAATAAACTCAAATAATATCGGATATCTACATTGAATAATACCATTGATTATAAGTATATATCAGTTAATTTTGATTTTTTTTTGTTTAGTTTTGTTGAAATTAAATTAGAAATGTATCTGATAATCTAAATTTTTCGCATTAAATGATTGAAGATTTTATAATACCTTACAAAAGAAAAGTTAAAATAATATGTAATATAGTGTGTAAATAATTATATATGAATATTCAGTATATAGAATAAAAGAAGATAAGCAATCCAATAACAAGTTATAGTACCCCTAATATCCTATTGTTAATTATATTATCTTATTATATTAATCTAAAATGAACGCTAGTGGAATTTTTGGTTCCGAAACCTTATCTCAACAAGTTCTCTATATGGTGTTGTTATCGTAATGAAAATATATAATTTATTTGTTTCTTTTTATTTTTCTTTTATGTTTCTATTTTTATCATTTGAAAAAAAAAAGATTTCGTGCAAAATTATCAAGTTTCTTTTTTTAGAAGTATCAAGGATACTTTTTAAAAAAAATCAATTTACTTCTTTTTTCTAATGATTTTTTTGAACACCTATAAAAGGCCACATGTTTTATGACTTTCCTCCTTACTTCTTTTCATTTCTCTTCCATCTCTCTTACCCTTCCCTCCTCTGGCTCGCTCGCTTTCATAGTACACATAATTCAGCTTTTTCAAGAGAGACCCCAACAACTCACCAATAAACCAGTAACGTTTCAATAGGAGTAGCATAGTACAATATCCCTTCTACAGTGTTGTTGTCTTTCTATTGATTTTTTTGTTCATTCTTTTGATTTGTGTTGGTAACGTAACAGTCGATTGCAATAATTACGTCTACAAGCGTACATATACATTATTTATATATAGTTATTTAGTTATATATTTAGTAGCCGTACATTCCATTCTTTTCTTTTGTCTTTCATCATTTATCAACTTATCTTTTTACATAATTCTTTGTAAAAGTAAAAAAAAGAAAGAGATTTCACAGCAGTGTCCGAGAGTTAAAAAACAAGTGAACCATTAATTATGCCAAGTACAAGTTATTTAGACAAGGATTTTGGAGCTTCTTATTACGACAGGTTCCGTCCTTCTTATCCTAACACTTTAGTCCACAAAATCCTTTCTTATCATAATGAAAAAACCGAAAATGAATTAAACACCTTAGTCGAGGTTGGTTGTGGAACCGGGATTGCTACTAAATTGTTCATGAATCATTTTAAAAAATGTATTGCTACTGATGCATCGTCTAGTATGTTAGAATGTGCCAAAAATACACTCCCAAAAGACTCAAATGTCACATACAAGCTCGCAAAAGGGGAATGTTTAGTAGAAGATGGAAAAATTGGTTTGAATTCAGTGGATATGGTCATTGGTGCTCAGAGTATTCATTGGTGCGATTTTTATACCTTATTTGAACAAGTTCACAAAATATTGAAACCTAATGGTACTTTTGCATTTTGGTTCTATACACAACCTGAGTTTATTGAATTAAATGGATTTAATGAAATTTATTACAAGTATGGTTGGTCTGATGAATTCATGGGCAAATATTTAACGCCATTTCAGCGTCATTTTTTCACTAAATTTACTGAGAATGACCAATTAATGGATCAATTGAAAAACCATTTTGATGACATTAAATTCGAAGTATCCTGCTATTCTAAGGGTCACTCAGATCCAAATGCACCATATTACCAAACCACCGAAATGTCTATGTCTGATTTAAGAGATTTGGTCAAATCATGGAGTCTTTATACATCTTGGGTCAAACACCATCCAAATGACACTATTGATATTGCTGACAGATTTATTAATGAAGTAATTGAAAAATTTAATATAACAGATGAAAATAAATTATTTAAAGTCCAATGGACCACCTTTTATTATATGTGCCGTAATAAATAACTAGTTAATTTTTTATTTTCTATATATATATATATTATTGAATCTATTTGAACTCTCTATCTATCTTAATACATGCTTTTAAAAGAATACAAAGCTTCTGCTGAAATTTCCTTTCATTTAAAAAAATCCTTTTTTTATGTTTCTAAATAGGGTTGCATCACAATATTTATAAAATTAAATGATAATTTTGATACTTCGTTGTTAACTTGTAGTTGTTTATATATGATATCAAAAACTAGATCGTTAACATCAGTACTATGTTATCTTTAATATATCTCTTAATTATTAACAATCTCTTGGACACGATCGAATATGACAATTGTTTCCTAGAGATCATCCAAGAAGATTCCACCTTTCATCACTAATAATTGCTTATGTGACAATACCGATTCCCCAACTGGATATTCAGACGTTACCTACAGAATTGTATGTCTGTTGTTTTCCAATTCGGTTTCTTAAATAAATATATTTTGATAAAAAATGAAATAAAAACTTAACTCTTTATTTTTAATCTACCTTTTGATTATAAATATACTAATCACTTCATCGAAAAATTTACTGAGGATCAATAAGATCAGAAGTTTAAAATTTCTTCTATTTTTTTCTATACAACCTTGAAAGGTATTCCTCTAAAAATAGACTTAATTTACGTGTTATAAAAGACTAACAAGAAAATATAAAGAATCGTATTAGACCCTTAAAAATCACCTTAGATGGAAAATACAACTCAAGTTATAAATATACATAAGTAATTCTTCAAAAAATAAAACCTAAACTGTTGAAAATTATTTCAGCTCCTTGCATATTTCTTGTTAATTAAATTGTTTTATAATATAATGATAGTAAGAATTCTTAAAAATCTTTTTGTTTCATTAATATTATGTGTTGTTACATATCCTACTAAGAAATGCCCTAATCCGAGCACATCAATCTTTTAAATATCAAAACACAAATTACTTATACTGACATGTACCTATATACATGTATTTTAATTACTTTATGGCGATTATTTTTTCCTGTTTTTTACATGCCTTACTATAAACGATTTCTCTAAATATAATAAGGAAAATAAAGACATTTAAGTGCCTACATACGTAAAGTTAAAGAGATTTGCTATGCTTCTGCTATCAAAAAAAAACTATTAAGCAATTGTGTTTGATAATCACTATTATTATGCATTTAATTTAATCAAACTATCTTTTTGGTATCTTAGGCACTCTAATGTTTCTAATATAGGCCTAGCACAATCACATAAGTAGAAAAAGAAAGTTTTTACATACAACAACATATAACATACAAATAATAGACATAAACCTATTGCGGACTAGTATAACTTCTGATAAAGTTTTCATTTAAGTGAGACAAAAAATTATAATCTATTATGTCTATTCCATTAGTGGAAAATAAATTATCCTTTTCTGTTGTACCACCAGTTTCTTTACATGTAAGAGATTTATCTATTATTGCATCGAAAACAGGGAGTACTTTAGTCAACTCAGTTTCTTTTGATTTATCAAACGGTTCTATCATGGCTGTCATGGGTGGTTCAGGTTCAGGTAAAACTACTTTATTGAATGTTCTAGCTTCTAAGATTAGTGGTGGTTTATCCACAAAGGGAACCATTGATTATGTTTTAGAACCGGTGCAAGATAAAGAGTTGACACAAGAACATACTACCATGTCTTATGTTCCACAACAAGATATTTTATTGTCAAGATTAACTTGCAGAGAGACATTAATGTTTGCCGCAGATCTAAAATTAGATAAACCTAACGAAGAAAAAACAATGATTGTTAATCAACTGATAGACGAATTAGGATTAAAGGAATGTGCAGATACACTAGTTGGTGATAGTTCTCATAGGGGTTTATCGGGTGGTGAAAAGAGAAGATTAAGTATCGGAACACAAATGATTGCAAACCCTTCAATAATGTTCTTGGATGAACCTACTACTGGATTAGATGCTAATTCTGCATTTTTATTAATAAAAACAATTAAAAAATTAGCTAAGGAAGGTGGTAGAATATTTATTATGTCAATTCATCAACCAAGATCTGATATTTTGTTTCTATTTGATAAGATATGCGTTTTGTCTAAGGGAAATGTAGTATATTGTGATAAATTACAACAAATGATTCCTTATTTTGAATCACTTGGTTATAAAATGCCAGAATTAATCAATCCTGCAGACCATATCGTTGATCTATCTAGTATTGATGGAAGATCAACGGAATCTGAAAAAATTACAAGGGAGAGACTGTACAATTTGTTAGATCAATGGAGAGATTATGAAATGAAGCATATACAATACACTAAATTAAATAATCTTTCAAATCGTATCGAAGTTTCTGAAATGACTACGGCTTTACCCTTTTGGAAACAGGTATTTGTACTTACTAGGAGAAATCTTAAATTAAATACAACTGATTACATCACATTGTCAGCAACAATAATAGAACCAATCATAATGGGAACAATTGTTGGTTGGATCTTTTACAAGCCGGACGGTTCTACGGATTCAGGATTGAGAACATTGACCGCATGCTTATATGCTTGTATTATGTTACAATCTTATCTATATCTTTTATTTGATACATATAGACTTTGTGAACAAGATATTGCTATATTTGATAGAGAAAGAGCTGAAGGCTCGGTGTCTCCCTTTGCATTTATCACTGCTCGAAAGATTTCTCTATTATTTACTGATGATTTCTATATGACACTGGCATTTACTACAATCACATATTTCATGTTTGGTTTAGAACCTAATGCTGTTAAATTTTTTACACAGTTCTCTGTCATGTTTTTAATTCAATTGGCATGTTCTGGTTTAGCAATGCTTTCAGTTGCTATCTCCAGAGATTTTTCAAAGGCATCATTAGTTGGTAATATGACATTTACTGTACTCTCAATGGGGTGTGGTTTTTTTGTTAATGCCAAAAAAATGCCGGTATATGTACGTTGGACCAAATATATTGCATTTTCATGGTATGGTTTTGGTGCACTCCTATCAAATACGTTTACTGATAACTATTGTTCCAGTATATCTGATAAGACTACCTGCTTAGGAAATCAATTATTAGAGACATTTGGTTTCGAAAAAAATTGGAAAACGGTTCCAATTGTTATTATTTTTTGTTTTGCAGTGGGATATTTTGTTGCATCGATGGTTGTTCTATATTTTAACAAAGTCGATATCACGTTACAGAATGAAATAAAATCAAAGAAAAAAAAAGAAAAGGACAAACAGTATTGTCCAGAGGATATATATAAAAACATTGATGCACCTTTAACTCATACATCCAAAACTTCAGATAAAGATATTGAATCAAACTCTGAAAAAAATTACCAAATAGAAATAACCTTAGAAGACATTCATTTGTCTGTCAACTATTTGCGGTTGGCAAATTTTTTAAATTTGAAAGAAGGCATTATTTATTATACTCAACGGAAAATTCTAAATTCTATTAATGCAGTTTTCAAACCAGGGATGATAAATGCTATCATGGGTCCTTCAGGTTCAGGAAAATCCACATTATTAAACTTAATATCTGGTAGAGTAAAATCTTCTTTATTTACAAAATTTACAAGCAATGGGGCAATATACTTCAATGGGTATAAAGTATCACAGGATATGTTTAAAAATATTTGTTCTTATGTCTCTCAAGATGATGATCATTTGTTAGCTAAACTTACTGTAAAAGAAACATTTGACTATGCAGCAAAGTTAAGATTACATAATCTGACACCTCTTCAACGTGAACTAAAAGTAAATGACTTAATAAGATTACTTGGCTTGAAACATTGTGAAAATACAATTATTGGTAATGAATTTGTTAAAGGTATTAGTGGTGGAGAGAAAAGAAGAGTGACAATGGGCATACAACTTTTGAATGATCCACCAATACTTTTATTGGATGAGCCAACTTCAGGGCTAGATAGTTTTACATCAGCAACTATATTACAAATTCTTGAAAATCTTTGCACAAAGTATAAAAGAACCGTTATATTAACAATTCATCAGCCAAGATCAGAACTATTTACAAAATTTGGTAATGTCCTACTTTTAGCAAAAGGTGGTCAAATTGCATTCAATGGATCACCTCAAGAAATGATCCAATATTTTTCAAACTTAGGGTATCACTGTCCACCTTTAACAAATATTGCCGATTACTTTTTAGACTTGATATCTTTTAATACCCAAAATAAAGAAAATGAATATGTATCAAAACAATGTGTTGAAAGAATATTAGATAATTGGAAAAAAATTACTAATCAAAAAAATACCCAAATCCAAACTAATTCACATGATGAAAAACAGTCGGAAATTATATATGAAAATTTTAAATTCGAATATCAGAATTGTATTAAAAAACAATGTAGTCCATTATTGGCTTATTATGTTAATGTCAGTAGACAAATAACCACAATAGGGAGAAATTTTGATTCATTAATGGCTAGAATTGCTCAAGTACCGGGGCTAGGTGCTATTTTTGCACTATACTTTGCGCCTATAAAGCATAATTATACAAGTATTAGTAATCGTCTAGGTTTAGCCCAAGAATCTACATCATTATATTTTGTTGGTATGTTGGCAAATTTAGCCTGTTATCCTGGGGAAAGAGATTATTTTTATAAAGAATTTGAGGATAATGTATATGGTATTGGTCCGTTCTTCCTATCATATATGACACTAGAATTACCATTGACATTTATTTCATCAGTGTTGTATTCTGTTTTTACTGTATTAGCATGTGGATTACCAAGAACAGCTGGAAATTTTTTTGCTACAGTATACTGTTCTTTTATTGTTATAGCATGTGGGGAAGCATTAGGTATTATGACTAATACCTTATTTGAAAGACCTGGATTTGTTGTTAATTGTATATCTGTTATTTTATCTATCGGTTGTCAATTATCTGGTATAATGTCACTTACGATGTCTAGAGTCTTGAAAGGTTTCAGCTATCTGAATCCAGTTCATTATACTTCAATGGTTATTATTAATTTAGCCTTCCCTAATACATTAAATTTAACTTGTAATGATGGAGGTAAAAAGGAGGATGGAACTTGTGAATTTGCAACTGGAAAAGATGTTCTGGAATCGTATGGATTGGTGATAAATGTGCCAAAATACTTAGGTATTGCCATATGTGTTGGCATCATTTACAGATTATTGGCCTACTTTGTAATAAAAGCTAAATTAGAATGGCTAAAATGGTGACATGAACCATTATTAATAGCACAAAAGTTGTTTTGTTTTCATATTTTTGTAATTCTTTGTGTTTTCTTGGTTCATTATAAAATAGCTTATAATTATATATTACGTGATATAGAAAAATAATTCTTGTAATGAATAAATTTTTTGTGACACAAACACTTTTCTAAATTAATCAAGAATGACACAAAACTAAAATAAACGATTATTTCACGATCACTAGGCGTATTTCAGAGATTTGAAAGACATTTATATAATAAAAAGAATAAAGGTTAACTAAGAAATAAAATCCAGACAAAAAACATTATTAGCTACAACAAAGTTATTAGCAATTTTAAATTATTTTAAATTTTGGCAATATCAAAATGTCACATAAAAAGTCAGAAGAACAAATTAAACCAACAACTACCAAAAAACCTCCACTTGCAGACTATCGTAGCAGAAGCACTAATGGTTTATCTGAACCAAAAGAAGATATTAATAGCTCTTATCCAACCGCGCTAGAGAAGGACAGAAATAATTGTAAAAAAAAGAATAAGCTTCCGAGAGCTTTTTAAGATAAAACCAAGCCGTAATTCTTCATGTCCTGAAAATAAACAATTAACCCAATGCCAACCAACATCATTGAACAGTGGAAATAGAGTTGTGATAGATAAAGATCCAAGTACTTATGTAAATCAAATGCCCCAAAGTAACCAGGAAAATTCAAGAAATAGTTCCTTACCCCAAAATCTGGATGAAGGTACAACAGGCATGCTATCGTCAGATCTTAAAACACTCTGTGTCGATGACAGTTCTTCTAATTCAAATGTTATTTCTGAAATTGAGAATAGCTTAGAATTAACCAATAGTAGGAATTTCAATAATATTGATACAAACAGAGATGTTTCCTATTACAAACAGTTAGGACAGCAATTTGAACATATTATGTTTCAACTATACACAAAGGAGCAAATCAATGATGTAAATAGAGATCAAGCTATGCTAGATTTCATGCGTAATGTTTGTTCTCTTCAAACCCAAAATAAAGAGTTAATGAATCAAAATGAGGGGTATAAAGTTACATTATTAGATCTTAAACAACAATTGTTTGATAACAATATGAAAAAGAAAAGTGAATTAAAACAATTTCAGAAACTACATGAAAACAAAATGAATATAATCAAACAACATGAACAAACAAATAAAACCCTTCAAGAGAAAATACAGAACTTAGAAAGGATAATTAAGACAAGAACAAATGTTCAAATGTTTTACTTTGACAAATCAGTTAAAATTTATAGTACTGTCAAAGAAATTTTTGCACAAACTATAGATAACGAGTCAGCAAAAACATTTAATCTGTGCTTAAATGATTTAATTGAACATATGAAGGATTTCAATGATATCAAAATAATTGACTTTGAATCGATCAAAACAACCATAACCAAATTTTTTAATAATGAATTTATCAAAATCTTTTTGGTTGATTATAGTAAAAATAAACAATTTGATCATTTGATAGACAAACTAGCCTTATTAGAATCAGAGAATGCCATTTTAGAAGCCAAGATTCAAAAACAGAAAAAAATATTAAAATTGATTGAAAGCAATATAGGTCTTCCAAGTTTACAAAATAACTTGTAACAAACTTTAAGAAGTCAGCAGTGACCAGTGCTTGACCAAAGTTGATTTCTACATTTTCTTTTTATTATTAGATATATATAAATTCAGTGTATAGTCATATATCATAGTTTATTAAAAGTTAAAATTCAACAAAATTAATCTTGAACAGCGTGTAATTTACATTATTCTCACAGTTACTGACTCATTCTACACGAATGTGAATTTTTCCTTCTAATAACCTTTAATAAATTTTTTTTGCAAGAAAGAAGCGATGAAAAAAAATTTTTTTTGCGATGAGCTTTATTTTATAAAGAAATTAACAATACGTATTGAAAAACAGTACCCGTTAGGCCAGAGGAGAAAATTGTTCATTCGTTAATCACCATCTCAACAGTACTATTCTGTTTCAATAATTCATCAGCATATATATAGCCAAGAATTTACAATTGCAATAACATGTCCTCCATTTTCAAAGCCTTGGCTGGAAGTAACAATACCTCACAAAAAAGTAAACAACAAAATGAAAAACAATTTATGAATAGACAACGTACTTTACTTATTTCCAGTAGAGGAGTTAATTTCAGACATCGTCATTTAATTCAAGATTTAGATTCCCTCTTACCACATGCCAGAAAGGAACCAAAACTTGATACCAAGAAAGATTTACAGCAATTAAACGAGATTGCAGAGTTATATAACTGTAATAATATATTGTTCTTCGAGGCTAGAAAACATCAAGATTTATATTTATGGTTATCCAAGCCACCTAATGGTCCAACTATCAAATTTTATATACAAAATCTACACACTATGGATGAACTTAATTTTACAGGTAATTGTTTAAAGGGATCTCGTCCAATTTTATCATTCGATCATAGATTTGAAACTACTCCCCATTATCAGTTAATTAAAGAATTACTAATCCATAACTTTGGTGTTCCACCACATGCGAGAAAAAGCAAACCATTTATTGACCATGTTATGTCTTTCAGTATTGTCGATGATAAAATATGGGTCAGAACATACGAGATTAAAAATGCTGCAAGAAATAAAACTGAATATGAGGAAGGTCAAGAAGATTTTTCCTTAGTAGAAATTGGCCCAAGATTCGTCATGACTACTATCTTAATTTTGGAAGGTTCATTTGGTGGTCCTAAGATTTATGAAAACAAACAATATGTATCTCCAAATGTTGTAAGAGCTCAACTAAGACATCAAGCTGCAGAAGAAGCTAAGAATAGGGCCGAAGCTGCCATCCAAAGAAAACTTAAGAAGAGAGAAAGTATATTAGCAGCAGACCCATTATCTAACGATGCTATTTTTAAATGAGACCTCGATAGACCGTGTAAAATAACCATAAGGACCAAAGATAAAATAAAATAGTTTAAAAAAAAAATAGAGGCAAAAAAAATTATGACAACAGAATAATCATAGATATACATGGAATTATAATTAACATTTGGCACAATGCCATTTTTTGTATAATTATATCTCTGTACCATACAAACATATACATATGTACGTTTAACCAGGTTACATATAAAATACAAAAAATAATAAAAAGAGAAATATTGCATTTGGAATATGATCTATTTAAATCATATTATAGGAATATAAAGAACTTACAAGTATGCTTATACATAAATATATAATCTAAAAAAACATTTAATTTAACTATGTATGCAATCACTTTAAGTGAAAAAAGTGATAAACTTAAAAAGACATTTATGTCTGATATTTTTCTAAATATTCTTTAATGAATTGTTCTTCTTCTTTAGAAGCAGCCTTAATATCCACAGTCTTTGGTTGTTTCTTTGCAAAAGGATTTGGCATAGCTACAAGAGTCAATAAACCTATAGTGGCTAAAGCTAATTGATGTGGTTGGTATGTTCTTCCTAATATTTGATATGTAGACCCCATTTCTGTTTAATTGTTTATGAACAATCTTATTGTTTCTTTTTGTACAAATACACGTGCTTCGGGACAACTTCAAAACTTATAACGTACAAATATATGTCACCTAAGATGTAATTAACTGATGCATCAACATATCATAATGATTATTAATTAAAGGCTATCAAAAACCTGTTATTTGAAACAGGACTACAACTAATAAACTCTGCATGTTGTTCGAAGGAAATTTCTAAAATCTCTCGAACATTTCTCCAGTACTTGGTTAAACTGGACATGTAAAAAAAATAAAAATCAAGGTAAACAAGGAAAAAAGAAAATCTCCGATATGACCAATCAAACAAAAGTGAAATAGAATACCTTTCAAGCATATAAAAAAAGTGTTTATTTGTGATTCATTCTGTATGCTGTTAGTAAGTTATGGATTCGGGAGACTATTTCAGCACACTCTTGCGGAGATACTGCCTCGAAGTAGTATCGTTTGATATCATCCTCGCCTCTTTGAACGTACAGTTTGAAATTAACTGGGACCTTTTTGGACCTTTTTACCAAAACCACTTGGTTGATATGGAACGACTTAGTCTTTACATTTTCGTGCCAATGCATTTTACCTTCGGGTGGAACTACATATATATAATCACCATCAAGTGCCAATGTCCTTTCATGCTTATTAATGAGGGACATCTGCTGTCTGCGCCATACTTTATATTTATGATATGCACCAGAGAAGATATCTTGATAGTTGTTCCCCACAGAACTATCAGGTGTGTATTCTGATATACCGTGAGATCTGTTTGAATGATGGAAAAAATCTGTTGTACCTTGCAAAGAACTTTTTGACGTGTTTTTATTCTTAAAGAAACTATTCCCCATAGTGCTGCTAAACCCAGTTGATCCTCCTCCATACATATTAGTTTTCATTGAAACCAATTTATGCTTTGAACTATTCTTGCCTTTAGTAATCTTGGCTGTTTTGATTTCTTCTTCTGGCTTTGGGACATCTGTACCCTTATTCATATAAGAAACAGATTCTAAAGTCAACGGAGTCAAATCATTACTTTGGATGGTTGGTAACTTAGGCTTCTTCAGGTCTGGTTTTATTTTCTCTAATTGTAACATTCGAACTTCTTTCTTAGATATTATTTCAATCTCATAATTACCATCTAAACGTAACACAGTATCATTTAGATCTAAAATATAATTTTTCCCAATTATTTTTAAAGCATACCCATTAGGATCCATATTTTTTAACCGACAATACTTAACAAGGATGTTATTGATACTTGCAGTAACAGGTACTTTAATATTTGTGTAGTTATATTTGGGATTCACATTAGGATATTTGTACACTGTAATTTCAATAATATTTGTTTTATCCGTTGAATTATTGATATCTTCAGGTTTGGAAATAATAGATTTGTAAAAACTTAACTGATTCAATGTATTCTCGTTTTTATTAGAACTTGCTGAAGAAGCAATTGAATAACCTCTTTCTCTTGTCTCACCATTTTTCATGTCTATTTTATAAGGTAAAGGTGTTTCTTTCTCATTTATTAATACTTCCTCACTGCTAGCTTTACATAATACTACTTCATTATCAGATACTGAGCATATTTGATTTAATCGATTCAATTTACCAAAATTATCTTCGAATGGTTCACCATCTTCATCTACAATCTTTAAATTAAAATTATTGGGATCAATTATCTCTTTCATATCCAATTCATTTTCTGACATATCTTCAGGAAGGTATTTTGTACTGTACAAATAAAGAATATATCCAATAACTTCAAATATTGTGGCTGAACGTCTTACTGTTGTTGTAAAATTATTTTTTTTATATTTTTTAGAATCTTGAATATATATATATAATTTCATAGATTCACTTGGTGGAACTGTATCACCAGATACAAATGTAAAATAATCTAACATTTCAGTTTTACTTCCCTCTGAAACATGATCTTTCTTAAATAATGATGTCAAATGCGACTCAAGTTTATGTGGTTTCAAATTAATCTTTTTCTCAATAAAAAAAAGTTGATCCTCTTTATTATCATTTGCAAGTTTATCGTCCTTTTTCACAATTTTGTGCGTTTCGAATCTACTGTTATTAGACTTACATTTAAAAATACTATGTATAATACCATCTTCAGAGGACACTGGAAGAACTGGATTTTCAACAGTATTCGACGAAGTTAATCTCATTGAAGTTTTTAAAGCAGATCCATTTCTATTTAAGTGCGAAGATACTAACGATAACCTTCTGTTAGAAACACTTCTAGGCATAGACTCACGTAATGATATTACTGAGTCTTTTCTTCCTCTATTTTTAATTGATTTTCCATATCTACCACCAATAATACTTTGTTCAGGCACTTGACTTGCAGAAAGGTTATCTTTTATTCGGTATGTACCATAGCCTTCTAAAGATAATGGTATCGAATGGGATGAAATTGTATTATGCGGAATTGAAGAATTTATAGATAGAGAATCACTTAAAAAAGTAGATGAATCCTTCTTATCTGAAAATTCCCTTGAAAGGTCCGATTCTAACAATGACTTACCATAAGAAGACTCATCACTAATGTAGTCTGTTTCAGTAGCAGACATTAAATTTCCAGGAATATTTGACATATCATTTTCATATTTATTGGTTAGTAATTCACTTTCCATGAAACTATTATGGTGCAAACCGTCTTTAACATCATTTAGTTCCATTAAATGTAAATCATCGAGATCCTTCCCATTAATAAAAGAATCAATGTCTGTAATTTCATATTGATCAGACACATTCTCTTCAGGGACTCCATCTGATTTTACTTTCAAAGCTTCATTAGAATCATTTTTCAATACACTTGTTGTATCAGATCTAGAAGTGATATTTCTTTGAGAATCTAAAATCATACCTTTAGACAGCTGAGGAAAATGTGCTTTAAATCTTGATACATTTCCTGCAATTGTTGTATTACTACTATTATTATTGTTATTTATATTATCTGTATTTGTAGCAATTATCTTTTTGTCTTCTTGATTTCCAATACTATTACTAACACTAGAATAACTCTGATATCCACTATTATGATTCATATTGGTAGTATTATTTGATACATTAATGTTACCATTACTTACAGCATTTCCACTGTTTTTATTTGTTGATTCATCTAGTGATGGTTTCCCATCTTGCATACCAGTAGAAATTATTTTATCTGCTATTGTATTTATACCTTCGATATTGAAAAAGTTATTTTTCTTTTTAGTTTCATCCTCATCCTCATCCTCATCCTCGTCATCATCTTCTATATTCTCATCATAATCAAAATTCATAGAGTACATACTTCTTCTTCTTATATTACCTAGCTTTGGTTTTGATAAATTCTTAGAAATAACATTTCTAGATGGACCTGGTGGTTGTCGACTTACATGTGAATTGGTGTTCTTGTGATTCACTAATGGTTCATTGTTCATGGAGTTATAAAAAGAAAATTTTATTGACTCATCTTCGTCTCCTTCAATGTAACTATCTTTATCTGAACTTCTCTTAGTTCTGTTAAACATATTTTTAAAGCGAAATGCTGCTTTTTTATTTAGTTTCTTCTTAGAACCACTTGATTGGACAGTATCTTCGTAATTATATATCGAGTCTTCATTATTATAAAAATTGTCAAACTCTGAATTATTATATAAGGAATCATGCTGCATGGTATTTCCAAATTTTTCATTGTTTCTATCATATTTCTCATCGTTCTTATGCATTTCTCCTGTTCCGTTATTGATCAGTGGTATTGTTGTACTATTATCTTTAAGTTTTGTATTTGTAAATTCACCAAAACGACTTTTGTAGGATTCCATATGTATAGAATCAGTTCCATGGTCGTTAAAATGATGTAAAGCTTTATCATATACTAAGTTATTAGATCTATGATAATTTCTGTGAACAACATTTTTTGACATAAAAGTGTCCATCGAATTACTTGTAATCGGTGGTGATTCTAAAAATTCTAACATGTTATTTCCTAGATTATCTTGATAGAACACATCAATTCCACTTATTCCTGTAACATTAGCATTATTTACGATGCTTGAATAAGTTGAACTACTATCTAATCTACCATAGTAAGGCCTAATAACTCTATAAACCTGATCCTTTTCCCCAAATGTATCCAAAAATCGAGCCCGCAGTCTATTTATAATTGAAAACTCATCCATTATTGTTTAAATAAACATTAAATAAAGAAAAAAAAAGTTTAAAAATCTTAATAACTGTATTTACAATATTATATTTAGAACCCTTCAATCTTAGACACAACTATTCAATACTCTAACTTGATGCATTAACAAGGTTCTAATTAGGCAAACAAAGTAATAATCTATCAATATATATATATGCAAGAAAGCTCTATATTATCCTAAAACTGAAATTATTCTCATGGATAAATCTTTTCACCTTTTATTTTTTTCAAATTAAAGATATGTAAAAGTTGCCTTTAAGATGAATTTCTTGTTTTCCCAAAATGGTAAAATCTTTAAAAATTACTTCATCATCTATTCTCTCAAAAATTTTCAATGTTTAATAAGTTCATTTGATAAAAAGATATTCATATTCTCCACTTATTATATAACATATACCAAAATCATATCTTAATCAACTCATAGATTAAAAGTATGGGTGTATAATAACTTGGACTAATTCAGTTTTTCTTTTTAAAGATACCAACACAATCAAAGTGAAGTAAATAAAAGTACTAGGATATATATACGACAATTCAAAATGACATTATCTTCGAATTGGAAAATATTACAGAAAGAGAAGAAAGTTAAAGTTTCTAAAAAATCTAAAAAGGTGAAAACTGCAAATTATACAGATAAGAGAACTTCTAACGGACCTCAGCCTACAAAAATTATGAGTATAATATATACCATGAATAAGGCTATAGAACAACATGAAAAGGATAAAAAGGAAGGTAAAAGTTTCCAGTTCAATTCAACAAAGGACGATAATAAAGACAACCAACTGGAAAATGTTGTTGAAAAAAATGCATCTTCCGTTAATAATAAGAAAGCAACAGATATTGGTAAATATGTTGCAATGGATTGTGAATTTGTTGGTGTTGGACCTGAAGGGAAAGAGCATGCCTTAGCCAGAATCTCTATTACAAATTACTATGGTCATATTATTTTAGATGAATTTGTTAGGCCCAAAGAAAAAGTTGTTGATTGGAGAACTCATATAAGTGGTATTAAACCTGAACATATGAAACAAGCTATTTCTTTTAAAGATGCCCAAAAAAAATGCGCAGAAATCATAAAGGGAAGAATCCTTATTGGTCATGCTTTAAAGCATGACCTGGATGCACTTTTATTATCGCATCCCAAGTCAATGATTCGAGACACTGCAAGGCATTTACCATTTAGAAAGAAGTATGCAAAAGGCAAATCTCCAAGTTTAAAGAAATTAACCAAAGAAGTTTTAAAGGTTCAAATTCAAAGTGGTGAACATTCTTCAGTAGAAGATGCAAGAGCAACTATGCTTCTGTATAAATCTGATAAATCTGAATTTGAAAAATTACATAGAACAGCTTTTGGATCAGGAAAAATGTAGTTTAATAAAAAAATAAAAATTTTGAAATAATTCACTGTAAATTTTTATACCATATTGTCAGAAAAAAGCATTAAAATGTATAAATGGTTACATAAATCATAAAAAAAAACTATCAGTTACATTATTCATTTACAATTAAATAATTTTCTTCAGAATAAATAAAGCCCAAACATCATACTTATTGCATTTTTAATTTAACTAAAATTTGCAATAGTATACAAATCATCAAAGCTTAAAAGCACACATCCATAAAAAATGATAAAACTATCGTATCTATTTAAGAAGTTGAAAAAAAATGGCATACAAACATACTTAATATATTACAAATTCATAAGAACCATCTGATTTAAATAATTATAAGTCTATTCAAGAGCAATAATTTTAAAAAGTATTTGTAGTTTAATTTAGAAGCATTTAAGTATATATTAGTTACTCTCTAAACTTACCTACCTTAAGTAGTATTTCTCCATATTTTTCCATATTTATATAGCTTAATAAAACTACCATATAAAAGTTTCTAAAGTACTAAATCCATAAAATTTTATATAAGTATTAATTTACCCAATAGCTCACCTATAATTCATATATTCAGAGTTTCTTCTAAGATATTTTCATGTAATTTGATAGCATAAAATATACCATAAGTAAAGTGTTTATGTTTAACGTACACACGAAATCTTTTAAATGAAAAAGAATATTTCATTACAAACGCAAATATGAAAAAAAATTCCTATCTCAATTAACTTACTTATCTCATAACTATCCTTTTTTTCTATAGACATATTAGACATTCCAGAATTCTTACAACCAATACTCTTCTTATGATGAGTTTATCTATATCTCCACTTTCTTTATTATGCAAATGTTCATTACACAAATCGATGATAATTCTTAAACCTTGTCTCTCTATCCTCTCTAACGATTCTGTTTTATACTGTGCTATGTTATCAAAATCATTGAACCTAACAGCCTGTCCTACAATATCCAATAATAATGGGATAGATTCACTTACACCATCTATAACAATTATCTTTTTGATTCTTTCTTCCACATTACCATAAATTCTGAACAAACAAACTGAATTTGTAACTAATAAATATTTCATAATTAGTGAAAATTTAAATCGAGTTTGTTCATCGGTTGTCTTATTGTTAAAAATCAAGGACCCTTGGTATAGTGATGTATTTGACGAGGCAGAATCTGAAGCTAACCAACAAAGCAAATCCGCTGGAATTCTACAATCTTTTGATAAAACAACAATCTCTTTATTATACCCCACTTTTTGTAATATGTTTATAAATTTCTCATTATCAATAAGCAAAAACAAAATAAACATAAAGCACCTATAATTTGTAGAAATATTGCGTTGGCCTTCTTCCAAAAAAAGATTCATAAAAATTGTTTGCAAACAATCCACAGATATATGTCGAATTGATAAAACTGAATATCCACTGCTAATAATACTTGCTAATATATGAGCAAAATTTTCTTGATTCCAAACAGTATTATCGATTTCATCTATTTGTTTAAATATGTTTGAAGCGAATTTTCTTGATTCTAATAAAATATCTACGGAAGTAGTATATTTTTTATTATCATTTTGACAATATGCGCTAACCTTATTAAATGTTTTTGACAATAGTAATAGAGCTCCTTCATATACCGCTGCATCATAAATATTAATCAAAATAACTGAAAGCCAGAATAATCTTTTAATCAAATAAGATGATGGATCAAGACCATCAATAGTAATATTAAAGGTAAAACAATGGCCCATAATAATAAACATGTTTTCGTCAGTAGTAATTGGAGACGATACGACTTTAATAGTTTCTACAATTAAATCTCTACAAAATGTCTCTGATGGCTGCTTTCTTAAAATTATACCTGTAATCATTGTTGCTCTTGAAGAAAAAAAAGATGAACTAGAAAATATTATATCATTTAACAATTTCCGATAACGTACTATCCACTCAATATGATCTTCACCAGGAAATATCTGCATTATACCAAAAATATCTTCTATAAAGTCTTTTAAAATGTTAAATTTACTGGAAAATGATGACACGTTTAATGTTAACTGCAATTTGTCCTTGTGTTGACTAAAACCTGAAATATACTTGATTTTATTATTAGAAAATTTTAATGTAAGCAGCTCTAATTTTTCTTTCTGTATACTTGCAAGCGAAGTATCAATAACTAAGGAACTGCACACATTCATTAATAGCTTGCAAATTAATAATCTCATATCTGTTGGACCAACATCTATCAACAACGATATACTAAATAAAAGCTCAGGTAAAAACATTTTTGTAACAAATGATGTTTCAAAAAAACTATAGGTCGCAATACTTACTAAAATTTTTAGCTCAGCCCAACTTTGGTTCGATCCCTTCATCTGAAACGAAGATAGGACAGTTCTAATAGACATTAATAATCTCTTCACAATCTCTCTTGAAATTTCAACAGTAGGAAAACTACAAATAATTGGAATAATCTTGCTCCAAGGACGATTTTCTGAATCTCTCTCCAAAGCATGATTTATTACTTCATCTACCAGAATATCAGAAAGTCTTCCATCGGCACATATCGGAAACCAAATTTCTCGTAAATAAATCGTTGCAAAATCATTATCCTCTACACTTAATTTGATAAGATCTCTAAATATTTGAGCTATAATATTTGGTCCTTCTTGCCTATCTACTAAATAAACATAATCCATCAAATTTTGTACCCATTTTGAAAGCGCATATAATGCAGTTGGAATATAATCTTTAGATATATCATGATTTTTTATTGCTTTCAAACTATATTTCCATATATTCACAGTTAATGAAGGATACTTACGAGCTTGAGCTTTTGCTAACATATTTAAGAATGATGTAATATTAGAAGGAATATAAAGCTCTGGTGTATTATGAAATGCTGTATTAAATCCTAAATTAAATATTTTGTTAGCTTCCCCAAAAAAATTGTATGATAAACTTTTTACAGTGTTATCAGGGTGAAATAAACTCACAACCATTGCCAGAATTAGGTTACAAATAATATCATTGTATTCAGTATTTAAGTTCAGTTCACTGTTAAGTTCATCAAGCTGAGATTTGATTATAGTGGATGGTCCTTTTAACATGCTAGTTTCTTCTCTGGCAATGGCATACTGAAATATTTTAACAATTTCCAAATACTTTGAACTAATAAATACGAACGTCTCACAGTTATTCATCTTTATTGTGAATTCCATTTTAGAATTGACAACAGCAGATACACTAACAGATGAAATATTAACTAGTTCGCGTACTTCGTTCACTTTTACAGAAATAAATTCATCAAATTGTTTGATAACCATATCTCTTGTATCTTCAAACAATATTTGAAAATATTTATTACCAATTTTAAGGGATACTGGTATTGAAATGTTTTTTGTTAAGTCCTGTAACTCAATGTCATGCAAGGAGACTCTAATATCTTGCAAAACATCCACAGAATTACCTTCAATATTTAATGATTCAAGGACATATCCATCTAATGCAGAATTTATAAAATGAACAGGAACTGCCTTTTTTAAGTATATATTCTCATGATTAAAAAACATATCCCAGCAGTGTATGAAATTTTCATTAATATTCAATAGGTAGAAACCTTGACAATTACTGACAGTAAAACTTGGCAAAAGATTACTTAGCAACTTAACCATTTTTTTAATATCAAAATATGAGTTATCAAAATCAGTAAAGTCTATGGCAAAAAAGTGAGGGGCATTCCAAATTCGAACATACACTTTCAACAATTGATAAATAAGCATTTCACGATCAATGTCTTGCATTACACTACGATTAATATTTAGAGATATGATTGGCATACCATTAGATGTGATTGATTCAGAAATTGCAGCTAAAGCTTTATTTACGTTTCCATGACTCCTAAATGTTTGCCTATTCATATACTCATATAGCATTGGGTATTTTTCACTATTATTTGTAAAAAACTCTGGAATTTCTTGTGATAATATGACTTTTGGTTCACCCAATTTACCTAAAAGATCATCTATAAGAAGAAAAGTCTTTCTAAAGAAGGAAAGTTCATCTACATAATTCAATCCCTCTAAAAGCTTCTTTCTTATCTCAAGACTTCTAGTAATTAGAAGATGATGTAAAAAACTATATTCGAATGGTTTCGAAGGACAATCGTTTTTAATTTTGATAGTAGGAACTCTTTCAGGTGCACATATTTCTTTTAAAAAATTAAATATTTTAACAGAGCATTCTGATAAAAACTCAGACTGAGAAATCAGTGAAGGCCATTTGATAACATTATCTGAACCATTTGCAATATTTTGAATTACTTTCGCTAAGGTGATCAATGGACGACTTTCAGAAATGGAACTTAGTTCAATAATATTTTCTGCTTCTGGATTAACAAGAGCAGGACAAATAAATCTTAGAAACACAAAAGAACCCACAGCAATATAGGCGTAATCTGGAAATTTTTTATCAACTTCCGTATATATTGTATGACAAATATAAAACAATTCTGGAGGAAATCGTACAACTGATTGTGTAACTGCATCAATAATCATCTTCATATATTTGACAAATAAACTAATTTGTTTTTCATAATTAGGTTCCGAGGGTTTCAATCTTTCAACTTCAAAATATTCCTTAGAGTCTACATATTCTTTTAAGATGGGTTGCAATATATCAATTAAATATTTTGACCCTTTATCTTTTGCAAAAAGTGATAAGGCTCGCGTAGCACAACTATTTCTTCTTAATATATCCATTGGTCGTAAAGCATGTGCAATCTCCTCTGTTATCAGTTGACAAACAACGATATGTGCAGCATTTCTTATTTTCAAACCGTTAATAAGAACAGTAGTATATGCATCTAAATCCTTTGATGGACATGTATGAGCAACTGCATAACCTAATTGTGGATTCTTAATAATAAACTGTAAAAAATTGTCAACTGCTTCTAATTTTTCATTCTCAATTTCCTTTTGTTGAGTTTGCATTGATGATACGATGTTTGTGAAAAGTTTTAAAAATGCAATCCGTATACTCTTATCACTTGAATAACCCATTGGTAAAGTAAATTTCCAGCTGCTCTCAATATTTGCACGGGACAAATTGGTCAAAGCCCAAATAACATTTTCATTTACAATATCTATTTTATGACGCAAAGATAAAGGATATTTTTCATGATCCATAGTTTTTCTCAGACCTTTGAGTAATATATTAAAATAATTACCAAACTTCACAAAAATTGATCTCTTCATCTCATCTTCAGTAGAAGCAGAAACTACTTCTAGGGGTAAATTCTTTGTCAAATACGCAATAGCTTTTGAAGACTCAATTACAGTATCAATATATAAATAATCCAGATCACGTCTAACCAGATCCATATCTCTGTGTGACTTGGAAAGATTCTCGATATCATAGTCCTTTGAAATTGCTAATTTAAACCATTCTATTAAGTGCTTTAACCATTTGTTTTTAAGACGAAAATGATTTTTTATTGCCATACTTGTCTCTGAGCTTTCTAGTGCCTTAAACATTTTTGATAATTGAATAATAGCTTTATAATATTGTGGTAAATCATAAGGTATCATTGACACAACTATAAGCAATTTGTCAACAATTCCCATTATATCCATTGAGAAAAGAATCATGACTTCTTCTTCATCTTCTTTTCGCATGATTGTTCTAAGAGTAACGATAATTTGTTCCAATAATATAAATGCATCTTTATTGTTTGATAATACCATTTGACTAGTAAATAATTCTTCAATTCTAGCATTTAAATGCGCAAAAAGAATATTATAGGACAATGGATGCAATTCGATACTTATAACATCCTTAGCATTCTCTCTCATAATTAAATCAGAATCATTCAACCATTGACACTGTTTATAGATAAAAAAATTAAAATCTTTACGTAAATTAACAACTAAATTTTCATACTGCGAATCGTCAACAACTTCTATTTTTTTATAACCCAAAAATAATAGGCCTGAGAGTGATGCTAAAATACCTGACAAATTCCTAAATTCTGTCCACTCACCGGTATCTAATTTTCTCCCTATTCTAGAATACTTTTTCCATTTTTTAAATAAAACATACATGCTATCAAGTAATACTAAATCTAAGGACTTTACATGTTTCAAAAGACCTTTACGAATCTTCCGTTGAAAGAAAACAGAGCCTGTATTGGCAGTTAAATCATCACACTGTCCTAGAATTTCTTGGAAAGATGAATTGCTAAATATGTTAGGACTTATATTATCAACAGATTTATTGTGGAAACTTATTGCTGTATCCAATTCTTGACATATTATTCTTAGACCATTGTAAACACCAGAATTAGACGAACTTAACGATAACAATAACCCACGACCTAATGAACCAACTAACAATGGAAATATAGCCTTTTCACTATTACTTACCTGATCAAATATATCACGTTCTTTTGCAACATTTAACAACTGTTTTCTTAACTTCAGATTTTTGATAATTATCCTTATAAGGACATTTCTTTTTGCATCATTAATATCAAAATCAAACAAACTCATAGAAATCAAGCATATAGTACAGTTGCAAATTAAAATATATCCTTTAATAGCAATAGAAGAAACTTCATCCATCACAGATTCCACATTGAATATTAAAGAATTCAAAACACTCTCAGAAATTGACTGAATTTGTTGATTAAACAATATAATGGAAATAAAAATAGGTTGAATAACATTTTTAAAATCATTCAACACCCAAACAGAATTAGTTGAATCTTGGTACGGTAAAACAAATAATGATAAATATTTATCAAATATCGTTAATATATTAAATAGGATATTTTTAGCATAATTCCTATCTCCTTTACTGCTACTTATAGACTTTATACTTGAATCAATAGATATTTTAGAAATAGCCCTTCTAATTAAACTATTGTTTGGTTCAGCAGTATTTTTCATTAGTAGAGAATCATATAATTCAAATTGCTTTGACAATGGTGTTGTAGAAGATGCATGCAATGTGGAGTGAGATGTTATTGAAGGTGAAGTCGAATTCTCATCCTCCTGAGAAATGAACAACGAACTATGGTTTTTATTAGAAGATGATGCTGATGCTTGGGGAGCAATAAGAGAAGAAGTCTCACAATTACCATTATTATGGCCTACTAATATTTCCAAATTATTATTAGATCTCGACTGATCCCTAGCTAATGAGGACATGAGCGATAGGTTAGAAGAGGATGAGGTGGATGAAAAACTCATTTGTGACATTAAATCTACATTGCTATCTGTATGAACAGAATGCTGTTTCAAATGAGATGCTAGACTACCAGTAGAGCTACCAATATCTCCAAGCGGAGAGTTTTCTTTAACTGAAGAAACAATCGATAGTGTGTCACTACTACTAAATGAATTCATGTTGTCGACCTGTTCACGAATAATTCCATCAATAATAAAATCCACAAAAGATGTTACCTTTTCAGCTAAAGTTGGATGATCTGTCAATATAATACTAGTTATCGAACATAATGAATCCTTTAAAAATGAAGATGTTTGATTAACGACTGTTTCCATAATATCTTGTTTTGTAGGAAGGATAAAGAATAATTTTATGCTTTCAATATATAAATCTAACTTTTCTAGTTCAGCATCTGAATTTAACGTTAACAGACCTAAGTTTTTCATGAAATGGGTTGATTCGAATCTAAGAACTGATATTATGTACGTGATCTTAAATTGATTAAGTTTTGGTTGATTTTTAGATAACCATCTTATTAATATCTTGTTAGAAACCAAATTCTTCCCCCAATTCTCACCAACACCTAAATTGACACCTAGAATAGGTATCATTCTCCTAGCTAAAGTAACAATTTCAAAACCTTTATTAACCATAGAAATAGAAGATGCTAGTAGTAAATACATCAAGGTGACTCTTATAGCGTCAAGTGCTACAGTGGATGAAGTTACTAATGATTCGTTTAAATTTTTAATTAGTAAACTGAGAAATTTAAAAGATCTTTTCTTTGTGAAAGAAAGTAATGACAATTTCTTGAAACTATGATTTAAGCCTTTTTTTTGTTTATCACCCTGCTTACCATTTTGTTCTAATGATTGATTTGGTGATCTATTATCTAAATGGAACAAAGTATTATCAAAAAACCCCTCTTGCTTGCTATTGACCGTATCTGTATTCAATAAATTTCTAAAAGATTGTGTATTCATAAGTTGGTACACTTCCACATCAAATAAAGTCAAAATCATTAAAAATCTTAAAGGTGCAATATGAGTTAATGGATCATTATCATCGAAATAACTGAAGAGTATTAAAATACCACTCAAGTGACTAGTGTTTTGGGATGAAGATATCTTATGGGTCCTCGAAGTTAGGTTACCCACTTTTAACTTAAGGTATAGGTCATCTACATTTTCAAAATTTGCTTCTCTTCTTTTACTATTTTTGAGGGTATAAGGACTATTGGAATTATTAAAAAAATCATCAGCATTCCTAAGTTGATCATATAGTGGTGATAATGATGCTTGGTTCATATATTCTATGTTATCGCTTATATTAATGTTTGATGATGCATTTACGAACGGAAAAGAAAGATTAGACAGGTTGCTTGAATTGCCTTGATCGTTTTTAAAATCATGAGAAATATTTGATGCGTGTAAATTTGAATGAATTGTAGATGAGTTAAAAATGCTAGTTGTGGGATAAGGAAAGTAATAGATTGTATCATTATCATTATCATTATCATTATCATTATCATTATCATTATCATTATCATTATCATTATCATTATCATTATCATTATCGTTATCATTATCATTATCGTTATTATTATTATTATTATTATTATCGTTGTCATTTGTCATAGTTTCTGGATTGATTCTATTGAAATCCTTTGAAGTAACATTTTGCGTGTTAGTTAAAACACTTGATACACTGTATTTTGAATAAATTTCATCAAAAAAATTCGTAATAAAAGCATGTAATGAATTATTTTTAGATTGATGTTTCTTTAAAAAAACTTTATACTCTTTAATTAGTGATACATATTCTTCTGGTCTAGACATAATCCAGAAGATATAAACTTTAGAGACATAGAACATTATAATATGTTGGAATAACGGCTTGTTCAACAATCCTAAGATATACTTTGAGAATTCTAAATATTGGAATACGATGGATTTAACCAAAAATACTTGACTAAGAAAGTGCAAATATGGTACCACACAAAGTTCATTTTGTGATATAAAAATTTTTTTCTGGATATTATCATAAATATATCTAAAGAAACCGTTTGGATTTGATGCTGATAAAAACCGAGAAATTTGACACACATTATAATCCATAATTTCTGCTAATTTGTAAATTTCTTTATCCTTCAAAGCTTTTTGATAATCAGGTAAAATTGTATTGAATGGAATTGAATTAGATGTATGTGTCAAATAGTTTGATATATTAGCCAAAATATGCAATGTCCGTATATGAAATTTTATTTTAATACATGTGTCTAATAATTTCATGACTAATGAGTCTTTTATTAAGCTAGGATACTGTTTCAGTCTAATAGGTTTCATAGGTTTTGTAGAACCAGTATTTGAATCCATTAACACTGAATAATCGGAATCATATTTATTGTTTTTGGCAAAATTATCAATCTCATTCCAATAATACTCTAAAATTCCATTCAAAAGCCTAATCAATACTAAGATAGATTGGATCATTTCATTTGTAATATTATCAGAAACAATATTTGGCTCACCATTCAGAATTTTATCAATGGCGTCTAAAGTCTGTTCAATAATAGCATTAAGGCCTCTAGACATTGCTACATTTACAATAATAGTTCGAAACGCAAGGTAATATTTATCATTTTCAACATCTTTATATGTTTTATGGGACGAATTAATAGGTAATAAACTGTATAATCTTTCTTTATACAATCGACTGATTAATGACGGAATCATGGTGTAATAATGTTATAATAATGTTATAATATATTATTCTATATTGGACGATAAAATTGGAGAATATATATATGCATGAATTTACTACCTTGGATATAGTTGGATATATATATATATAAAAGGAAGATATATAACGAGAAGAATATTGCTGCCAACTCTAAGTATTGTAGTAAGCGTTATATATTTTTACGAGATCTTGCCTAAATATTTACTCAAAGATCTGACTAATTGAGTAGTTTTCTTTTCTTACTTTTCAAATTTTGTTTTCTTTTTTTTTTCCCCAGATTCATTTGTCAACAATACTAGAAAAAATTGGCGATCTCTCGGAAACAATATAAGAAAAAGATGGAGACATATATAATATTGACAAGAAAAAGATAGGACAGGAAATAATTATTTTGTTTTTCCTTAACGGTCATAATCCTATGAAATTAGGGTTTATACAAGAATTCTTAAAACCTAACTATTTGCATAAGTTTCATATGTATTGTTTAGACAGAATGAATAGTATTAAGGTGAAATGACAATGTATTTTCTTTCTTAAATAGACTTATTTTCTATCTTGAATATTTAATAAAATTAAATGTTTAACAAATGAGTGCAAACACTAGATCTTTGGAACTTTTAATGAAATGATATTAAAAATATTTACAAAAATTAGAAATGGTAAATTTTGACGATGCGCTTATATTTATCCGTTTTTGCATATTCAGTACTGTTTATTCAATTATTGATAAAATTGCAACATTGTTTTGTTCAAACCAACATTATTAGGTTTCAGTTAAAACAAAATTATAAATATGGTAATTTATAGTAGGTTAAGAAATTTTTTTCTAACTAAAACAGTTCCTTGTGCTAAAAACTTGAAGAAGATAACGGCAAATGATGATGTAATTTCGCAAGTCCCTTAAATACCATTTTAAGCCTTTTTTTTGTATTTGTATAATGATTTTTCTCCTGCTTTGCCTTTTAAATAAAGTCCAAAAGTTCGAACAAAGAATGTAAATATTTCCGAAAAACAATTATGATTGTGAAACATAATAGGAGATGATGGATCTCTATCTTTCAACCTAAAATATAAAGTAAAAGGAAAAAAAAATAACACAAATTTGAACGAAATTATTGTGCAATTAGATCAGTAAAATAAAAAACAGAGAAACTGTTGGAAATAATTTATATCGTTTTGTACGAAAACAATAGATGAGCTGTTGCGTAATTATATACTTTTTATAACTTTCTTCACCTAAAAAAGAAAAACTACAACACATAACGAGAAGACAATAAAAAATAAGCAAGAATGTGAAAGAATGAGTAAAGTAAAAAATATAATAGTAAATAAATAAAACAAACAATACCACGAAGGTGTGAAGTATACAGAGGGGGACCATATCTCTGCAGGTAAAGGAAACTATAATTGAATTCGAAATCAACAGTTAATACTCTATGATGTATAAAAAAATATCTAGTACATGAAATGTAAACTTATATATATGTAAATGTGCTTAAGCATAAATAATACAATTCATGGTCACCTCATTTCTACAACCAAAAAAGAAAAAAAAAGGAAAAGAAGAGAGAAAGTAACATATATCCTTAAAAATTGGAATCTGTTTCAGTTAATAGATCATATTCATCGATATTTAACAATACACTATCTGTGTCCCCAATGCTAGTAGAAATAATATCATTTGCATTACTTGAATTTGCTGTTACATATTTATTCTTGTTAGTCTCAAAAGTAAATATTCTTACTGGTTTATCATCATGCTCTTCTTTAAAATAATCTCTAACACCAATATACAATACCTTTTATTATTATTATTATTATTATTGTCACTGTTTTTATTGTCACTATTATCATTAGTATACGTATCCTTCTTAACAATTCTTGCATTTTCAATATCTTGAATGTGGAACTTTGTACCTAATTCATGTTTAAATCTAGTAAATGTCCTTGTAACATTAACACCAAATCCATGAATTAAATCTATACAATATGTTTTTTGAATCAAGTCATTACCAATTTTATTTCCATTTTCATCTCGTTGTTCAAGTCTATAATCAAATTCTAAAGATAATCCAGATGGTAATGAAATGTCTTGTTCATTAGTAAATTTAAAACAAACATTTAAATCTAATACGAATATTTTTAAATTGATGAAACCCTTTACGACATTTGGGATATTATATGGTGATGAAAGTAGTTTGCTACTATTAATATTTATATTATTATTATTATTATATATATCAGAAGTTGCAATAGCAGTTTCTCTAGTTAATGTATTTTTTAAAATATTATTAGAACTTTGTATTAATGAATTATACTTCTCATTGTGACTAATTAAATATGATTCAATCCTATCCTCATCATTACCATATAATGTTAACCATTGTTGATATTTTTCATAAGAATGTTTTAGATCAATTAATTGTTTTTCTGTCTTAATTTTATCATAAAATTCAAACAATTCCTCATTCTTTAACGGGATGTCTATAAAAACATCATCTGTTGTAATATGTGCAATACTTTCCTCTAACCTTTCTAGTCCTTTCATTATATTATTTAAATTACTCCCAATAATATGTTGATTTTGAGGGATTATATTCTTGATTTCTCTATCTGTTTTCTTATTATTTTTGCTAACTGTTTCTACATATATGGTCGTTTGTCCGTATTCTCGCAATTCATTAGTTAAAAAACGAATACAATCATCATTATCAATACAACCTTTTTTCTTTTTCCAATTATTACATATTGATAAATCATCAAAATTCAAAATAATCGAATTATTGGATAGTTTTTCATATATCTGTTTTTTTATATATACCCATGTAATTGGAAAGGATATACAATCTAAATCTATTTGAATTGAACCATTTATCATAACAATGAGCTTGTCATCACAATACTGCTGTTTAAAAGGTTTCCCAAGAGATATTTCTTCAGAACTAATAAAAACTGTTACTGGCTTTGTACTGTAACAGCTCTTAAGTTTTTGGAATACTGTGACCAAATTAGTTGACTGGACACTCCCATCTTCTGTAATAGCTAAATAATAAAGATCATTTTTGAAATCTTCATCTGTCATTTGTCTTGTTAAATGGTGGATCTGTAGCGCCCTTATTTCTTCAAATTGAAGTTGATAATGTACATTTTTAACAAAGTTATGTATTGTCACAGGAAAACGTGTCATTCCTAAGCTACTGTAATATCACAAATTGTTTTTAAATGATTTTCTTATACGCAATTAAGTTCCAAGAATTGCTTTGCATTTTACTATCTCATTATTACTCTATATCTTATCTAGTAGTAACGTGGGATATATATTTGACATGGATTTCTTTTTTTTCTCACTTTTTCCCCCTTACGATTTTTTTATCAGTATAATCCATATTACAGCTTCGCACTATAACAGAAATATATATTTTCTAAAAGGTATAAACATTTGTTATTCATTTGTATTTTAATAATACTTTTCCATCTTTTCTGATGAGGTATTTTAAAGTTTAGCACACGGTGATACACTCAAATATGAAATTATAATATATCACAAGTAGAAAGTGAGTATTATCAGAAAAATGTGCTTCATCAATATATGTGATCAATCTAGACAAGCACATATATATATCACATGCTGATTTCATTACATAATGTACACTTGACTAGAATGAAAGATAATCTGTGTCTGTCTGATACTCTCTCCCTGTTCTATTTATAGTATATAAATAAACTAAAAAGCTATAATTTTAAATATTTGCACTACTTTTATAAAAAAATTAATAAGTATTAATATATTAAGAAGTTATTTATGATACGAATGAATATTGTATAAATTAGAAAGTATATGGTTCATTATCCTCATCAAATATATATAATAATATTAAATCCCATATAATATATATAGTGTTTGTAACGATAGGCAGTAATACAATCATATTAAATATTACAACACAGTGTGGTTTAATGGAAGGTAGATTAAGGAATGAAAGAAACAAGAATGATAAATGTAATTGTTATTTTTACCTTTTTATATTGGTTTAACTCATATACTTTTCTTAACGTTTAACTTTTGTTTCAAAATCTGGTGGGTTAAACGTGAACATTGGTTTACCTCTTTCATTATATTTAGTAAAATCATCTCTTATATCTACACCAACTTCTTTGGCAATATCAATCTGTTGTTGTGATACACCCATTGGATCTTTACATATCCAAACAATAGGATCCTTTTCCCTTATACATGGATTGGTATATGCAATATCAATATAATTATCTTCATACTCAACAGTCGTATTAAACACATGTGGTAATCTTGATCTAACTAGTGTAAAGGGATACATTTTTGTAGGTTGAAAGAACTTGACAATCCTACGCCGCCAAGATTCACCAGCAGTGATATTTAATGGGAACGCAGCAGGATCATCCATCATGGCCTTTGGATCATTGTATTGTCTTCCAACATCACATTCGTTAACCACATGCTCGCCTAATGGTTCTTCCATATTTTCATGGTGATGACTATCCTTAGGGTCTTCATCTATTTTTATACCATATCTTTGATTTTGAACGTCCTTGTAAGTATATTTTCTAAAAGTTTCATCTTCTGGAGCAAAAGTAGAATCGTAATTTTCAAGTTTTCTTGAATTTAATTTACAATTTTTTTCTTCCACTGGGTCAGCTGGTGTCCAAGCTCCAAATTTGTCACTCAATTTCGATGGATCTATAGATTTTGCAATTGAATCAGTACTTGACAGAGACAAGGAAGCTAAGTCTTGTTTGGATGATAACATATTGGCATGTTCTAACTCCCATTTTGTAGCATCTCTAATTACACCACCTGTAATATTTGCTTTATAGTTATGAACTTCATTTTTAATCAGTTGATTAATTTCAGCACGACCTAAATCATGAGTTGGATATAAAGATGGATCTAAATCACCTCTTGCAATCCTAATCACGGATACAGGAACACAATCCATAATCGGTAAAAACTTATATTTATAATAAACATGAACTAGGGCTGTAGCAGCTAATGCAATGACTTCTAACACTAGAGGACCCCATGATTTTGACATAATGAAAAGACCAAGCAAGCATACTTGGCAAAGATAAATAGGACATAAAGCCTGAAATAATGCCATTGGGTAGTTTTTACCTCTGGCATCACTAGCTGGAAAACCTTGAACATATGTTGTATTATAAAGGTACGATATTAAAGTGAACAAAATAGCAAAAGTGGAAAACACTAAGATAATTGGGGATATGATAATATAACTGATGAAGATACAAGTCAAAATTTGAACTGTTGGATAAAGGACAGAATAATCTGGTTGCGACAACGTATTAAATCTAGTCCATTTATCTCTTGGTGTTGAATCTAAAAATGGTAAAAGTCTAGATAAGATAAAATTAACAATTTGTAAAAGGTTACTACTTGGAGTGGATAAACCTAATAAAAGGAAATAAACAATATAGAAATTAGATGCCTTTGGCAAATTTTGCGCTAAAAGAGTCATTGCATTTTCTGGATTTGTAATAATCGATTCCACAGTAGCAGATGCAGAGGAAGTTAACGTAGTAACCAAGAAAACCTGAATCACTTGGAACGCATAATACCACTTCTGGGTGAAAGTATTTAATTCTTCTATGGTCAAAGCACCCGATAAACCACCTGCACATTTGATGATTGGTGTAACTAATGACATCAAAATAGCAAGAGCAATGGTTGGTAAAAGACCAGTGATTAAACCTAATAAGAAATCCGGCAAATTATTAATGAATCTTAAAAATGGGACCTTTGTGGTTAAGAAATTAATATTTGAAATACAACCCACTACAGCAACTGGAATGGTCCAAAAGATGATCATTGCCACAAGGAAAGTGTTAGCCCCAATGTATCTTATATATCTTTGCCACGACGTTAAATTTAAATTCGACCAACTAATGTCTTCTGGCGTTATACCAATAAATTTCTTACCAAATGAAAAAATACCCAGGATATCTGTGACAGATTGATAGCATTTCTGTGCGTCAATTTGGTTACTAAAAATAAGAAACACAGCAGGTAATCTTTTAGTATCCACATCCCAATCAGCTTGCAAATCATGGATTTCCTTATTTAATTCGACTAAATGTTCTTCACAGTAGTCAATAGTGTCTACTTTAACGCGGGATGGAAAAATTTTGGAGATACTTGGAATGTACCAGGATCCTAATCTATGAGTAGGGCGTTTTTTCTTTGAAATGTAAGTATTCAGATCATTTTTTGGTTTAGAACCGTTTGAATATAGTTTATTCAATTTTTCTGGAGATTTCATATGTTGTTTTTTCACAGCTTTATTAATAACTGAATTCAGGGTAGACTCCAATTTATTGAAGCACTTATTACGTTCTTGACATTTGTTAATTAAGGCTTTTAAGTCGTGTGGATATATGACTTTCTCCACGTTAGGAAAGATTTTTTCAAACTCTCCTTCTGCAACTAAGTTAGCCCTTAACTCAGTTAATAAGACTGTCCTTGAAGAGATGAGTCCATCATAGAGAGGTGTAGTTTGAATAGCATGTCTGAAGACGACATAGTAATATAATTCTTTATATAGAATGAATAAGAATAAAATATAGATGATCCATGATAAAAAGACATGAGCATAAGCTCTTTTGCCGTTTTTAATATTAGCATAAGACAAAATTTCAAAGCCACTTAATCCGTGACCATTGGTTGCATTAACAGGTAATAAAATTGGGAATAAGATGCAACCAGAGATGAAGGAAAATGAGACGAAAATAGCCATATACCGTAAAAAGAAATAACCATCTATGCCACAATGTTGTAGCAGATAAGAATGTGATTTAGATAATAAAAAGGGTAACCATGATAGATAACCTTTTGGAGGTTCATTGATTCTTTCTTCTTCGGTGATTGTTTGCACATCAGGCAGAGTTCTTGGCTGATAAACTCTTTTGAATTTAGTTCGAAGAATAGTAAATGCAGTAAAAAAGCATACAGCAGTAATTGAATTAACTATTAAAGTGATAACGAAAGCAGATGTTGAGGATGAGGTATCTGCTGAACCAATAGTACTTGAAGAGGAATAATTTGACATATTAAAACCAAATAGATTAAAACCTAATCCACTGGATCTTTCGTAAAATTCTAGTAAATCTTGTTGTGTAATTGTACTTCGAGGCTGTAACATAATTTATAATAAAAAAAAGAAAAGAAAAGAAAACACAAATAAAATAAAATAAAATAAATAAATAAATAAATAAATAAATAAATAAAATTTCCAAACAACAAATCAATAGTTTATTTCTCGAGAACACGAGGTTTTAGGTGTCTAGATGCCCTTTTATATATATATAGTCAAAATGATCGAAGTTGAAACAAAAAAAAACCAACAAACCAATTAGCCAATAAACAGATAAAACATAAGGGTACGTATAGTTAGTCTGTAATAATAGCTGAGTCACCTTCTCCCCTGTTGCTATGGACTTAAAGTACAGGCAAAATAAAAATAGCAATGAACTTTGTGAGGTGTTTGGATTTGGTTTTTCTATCTTCATTTTCTGTCGCTTTACTGCAACTTTTTTGTTGCTGCTTTTTTTCTCTTGTTTTTTTTTTAAAAAACAAACAAATAACGAAACACAATAACAAAACAAAAGAAAACATATATATCTTTGTTTTTTGTTTTTCCTGAAACAATCAAGGGAACAATAGTTGTCAAGAAAATAAAAAACAAAAGAAGGCAAGAAATTATAAAATGAAGATACAATAAGAAGCAAAACAAATAGTTATAATTCTTATCTGTATTTTAATGTATCTACATACACGACTAACCTAATTTCAAATTGAATGAAAGTAGATAAGCAAAATAGGCATTTTTATAAGATCGAAATACGTGACAGAGTATTATACTACACATAGGGTGTATGATAAATACATATATATCGTTGGATAGGCTTTCTGTTATGAAACTTGAATACTGATATAATATTTTCTTTATTGTTACTTAAAATCTTGTAGACCACCCCTTCCTTCCCCCGTGGAAGTTGTGATGAACGAAATATATAGAGCAAAACAACAAAATTAAGAAATGCATATTCGTAAATCAAAATCAAAAGAAAAATAAAAATAAAAAGAAAAGAGGAACAAACTTCACGTGAGGCTTTACAATTGAAACTAAAAAAAATCGGTCCGGTGTTTTTGCGAAAAGAAAAGAGACCGAAAATTCTTCGTTCAAAATTATCTTGCACATATTATTTGAAACAAAACAAAAGAAACATAAAAACTTAACATAGCTCAAATCAGAGAGTAGCAATGGAGAAAAATTACATTTGTTCAAATATGTTATTGTTTTTTCAACAGGAATAGTGTGTCTAAATCTTTTGGCTTCATATCATTCGAATCACGATGATGACATAATATCTCTAATTGTTTACCAATGTCTTCTATTTGTTGCCAAACACATTCGACTAAACAATTTTGAAATTCATCACTGTAAGTTATTTGTCTTTTTAATAATTCATTATCAATACTGCCAGTAAATGCATTAGAGTTCATCAATTGTCTTGAAACATTCCCCCAAAGATGGGCTCTAAGCAAAGGATCTGGCATGTTATGATCCATACCACCTATTATTATTGTTTATCACTGGGTCGTATAGAAATCTATTTCTCTTGAACAAAAATGATAAATATATTTTACTATAGGCTTCTACTTTAACAGAGCAAAATGGAAGAGAAAAAGATAGAGAGTATTCACTAATATTATTACCTTCCTTGTTATTTATGACTATAATCTATCTTAACTACTCAAATTTTTGAAAAAGAAAAAAAAAGAATAAAATAAAATAAAATAAAATGGGGCGTTTCGACTTTTCTTCTCTGCACTTTTTATCTTTTTTTTTTTTTTTTTTTTTTTTCATGCTTTTATTTGTTTACTTAAGGGGAGAGGTGAGAAAGAAGAAAATGAGAAGACAGAGGTAAAATCGGTTTTTTTTATCTCAGTATTATAACTATTACATATTTAATAGCAATTTCTTTCAATTATCATAACTAGTCTGCTTATTATTCTTGATAATAGATGATGGTTTGTCTTTAGGTGTACATATATATGCATATATGTATATATACATATACTTGCACATATAAATACATTTTTTCATATCCTTTTTACCACTATCCATATATATATATACATGTATATATATATATATATATACCCTGCTATTTAATACCCCATAATTATTCTATGTACTTAATTATTGAACTTTATCTTTAAGAAAAAAACAAAAATACTAAAATGCCTCAATTATCTATCAGTTATGGTATTTTAATAGACAATTCTTGGCCGTCCACTACTAATACTACTGCTACTACAACAACTCCTAATAATAATGACAATGTTAACTCTATAATACATCACATTTTACCAGTTACAAAGATTTTGACTTTACCCAGTACAAATGATTATTTTTTAACAAGCTCAAGAGATGGTTCTTTGATTTGGCATGAATTATCAAATTCTTTAAAGAATATTAAATTGCAGATACACTCAGATTGGATATCTGATGTTTTGTATTGGGATAGCGATCCAACTTCAAAGTCTTTCAAATTTATATCTGTTTCACATGATTTTTCAATAAATTTTATTCATATTTATCCAACTATCGATGAGCATAACAATAATAATAATAATAATAATAATAATAGTAATAGTAATAGTAATAGTAATAGTAATAATGCTTATTACTGGACATATGATTGGAAAATTATTGGCTATCATCAAGATTATATCAAGTGTATACAAAAATTAAATCATAATACTTTTGTCACAGTGGGTTTAGACAATTTCATCAATATTTGGTCAATGGATAGTAATGACTCAACTTTATTATTAAAGTCCTTTCACAATAAAAATGGTTCCTTATACGCTTTACAATGCTTACCAACTTTATCTATGTCTAATACACCACTAAATTTATCATTTGATATCATTGTTGGTGACTGTAATGGGAACCTACTATTTTATCATTCTTTGAAAGATGATTTGATTTTAAAAATCACTGCTCACAATACTAATATCAAATGTATTAAACTGTTTTTTGACCGCAGTATGACAAATTTGCTACTTTTGTCAACTTGCTCAAATGGCATTTGTAAAATCTGGGATCTGAATAATTTAAAACAACCATTGCATAATTTTAAATGGAATAATAATGCAGTAATTTGGTCTATTGAAAAACAGTCAAACAATACAAATAACACAAATAATACTATACATTTTTTGGTTACTGATTCAAAAGGTTGCATATCAAGACTATCTTTCAATTTTGACACTTTACAATATTCAATAAACTTGGTTTATCATGACCCAAATTATGATCAAAGACATCCAGGTATATTAGCCTCAGTAAATTTAAATTCTAAATTGTATTTTTCATACTGTTCAAATTCAAATTTAAATATCTATGATCAATTATCTCGAAATTTATACATCGAAAAAGGTGGTACTGCATTGACTCGTAGTTCTTTATTAACCAATAGAAGACATGTGATAACTGAAAATACTGATGGTATTGTACAGAGGTGGGATATTATATCCTGTGAGTTAGTAGATACCTTTGATCCCAAGGAAGGTACATTTGATGACATTGTAATGAAATATACAACAAATGAAATTTTGTCACATTGGTGTACAGTCTCAATTAAAGTAGGGCTTTTGTTTGTTAAAGTCGGACCTAAGTTCACCAATACAGAAATATATGGTAGTGCATTTAAAGGTTATGAATTGTTAAAGTTAAATAATAAGAACACTTTAGACAAGAAGAGTAAGGAGAAAAAAAGACATAAACATTATTACTCATATCTTCAGAGTAACAAAAACTCTGATAATGAAAATTCAGATAATGAAGACGTTAATAACACCAACAATAATAATAGCAATAATGAAACTGAATGTATTATTAATGAAGAAGATAGGTATAACTTAGGAAAAGTCGTTTTGATATCTTTATTCCATGAATTTATTCAATGGGAAATTAATAACGATATAAGTTATAGGGAAAAATTATTAGCTTATAGTGATAGTCGAAACATTATAGTAGATAGTCTGGCCACAAATGACTCTAATATTGATGGTAACTATAATAGTTGTAATAACAGTAATATAATGTCTATGTCTAATAAACAGAAGAAAAAAAATGCATTTACCAGTTTATCTATTGCAACATCTCATTTTAAATCAAAAGATAGCAGTGCCAATCATACACCATTTGTATCTGCTCCTTCAACACCATTAAATGAAATGACTATGGATATACGTGATTATCCGAATGGGGGTAATAATCATAGTTCCAATCATCATAAATCTCATGAAAATCTTGTGAGTAATACACTATTAGAAAGTTCTGAATTATCAATGTCATCCACTGATTCTAAATCCAATAATAGAGCATTAAGTTCTGGATCACTATTTTCCAGAAAATTTAAATCATTTAGAAATAACAGTAATAACAGCAGCAGTAATATTGCCACTGATCTTTCTGTCGGTAATAGCAACAGAAATGATAACGCAAAGGCTTCTATATTCACAAGTTCTGTTGGTTTAGAAAGATCACAAAGCATGTCAGTTAGTAAGACAGGTTCACAAATTAATTTTAATCATAACATTTTCCAAAAAAATGAAACATCACATGATCCATTAATGGAATCTTCGACTTTAAATCCATCACTGTCAAAAAATGAAACTAAAAAGTCACATAAAGTTATGTATGATTTAATCTCAGAAATTCGTGAATCCTATAAGGAGAGTTTACAATCGCAATCATTGACATTGACTAAACTGGGTCTTTCCAAAAGGAAATTAGATTCACAACTTAAAAGAAATGAGGAATTACCCATCATCAAAGTTAAGTCCAACACATTGTTATTGGTTCAATCCTGGAATGAAGATTCTTGTGGTGGGAAAGTTTTATTTTCTACTGTGCTGCCTCTATCAACATCTCAATCTCCGCTTCATTTACAATCCTTTTCTTCACCTGCATTATCCAAAAACCAATCTACAAATTCACTATTATCTACTAATTCTTCAATCTCATCATTAAATAGTTCTTTTGATAAATGTACTATTTCATCTCAAACCTCTAATCATTTCTCAGTTTCTTCATCAGGCTCGCTTTTGTTATCGGGTGATGATAAAGTTCTAACGGTAAAGCAAGAGAAATTATTAAATAGAAAACAACAATATGAAAATAAAAAGCTTTTTACCAAGATTGAACGTAATTTGCCTTACTGGGTAGGTGTACTTCTTTTGAAAGATGATACTGTGGTACAGGAAAAACAGCCAAAACTGAATTTTGTCATAGTTCCTTGGGTTCCTGAGTACCAACAAGATGAGGATTCACAAGCTAAAACTATGTCTGGAAGTAGCAATACGCAACATCATCATTACTCAGGATTTAGATTAGGTAGGTCGAAGTCAAATGATGCAATTAAGAATTCTATGACAGATTTACCTAAAATTGCAGAATCAAATATCAACTTAATTGCTCCAGGCATGATTAAAGTTAAAAAAATCAAGAACTATGTGGTAGACAGGTTTGACAGTAAGACTCCTGAAATGAAGGATAAGATTGACCCATCGATATGGATGGAATTGTTATGTAGAGGAAACGTGTTAGATAATGATATGACTTTGTCTACTGTAAGAACGTTATATTGGAAATCTCCAGGTGAGATAACGATTCAATATAGAAGAAAAGTGTCACGTTGATTTTGTAGTGAAATAATTAACTCAATATTTATGGAACGCATGCATACACGCACACAATAACAAAAAGAGAGACAGAGAGGGAAAAGAAAAGGAAAGGAAATTTAATTAAGAAATTTAAGTTAGTATTATGTAAATCATATGAATATGTAGGGATAACAGGAACATACTAAAAATATATAAGTTAATATATACAAACATACATACATACATACATATATATATATATATATTTAAACAAAAAATCAAGAAAAAGAAATAAGCAAATAATGCTTATTACAAATCAAAAGATATAAAAAAAGACAAATTGAAAAAAATCCACCAAACGACCAAAAAAAAAAAAAATAAAAATAAAAAAATAGAGAGTTTGACAGAGATGTAGAAATAAAATCGTTAACTAGTTAACAATAAGGAGTAAATGAAAAATTTTTAATAGTAATTAAACCAAACTTTTAATATTTCGAAAAAGGTTCGAGAAATTGGGACTTCAATGACATCACCAATATCAGGATCATCATGATCGTCTTCATCGTCATCATGGTGAGGTTTCTTGTCTTTTTGATTTTCATCAAAATCATCAAAGAGCTCATGATCAATATCATTCTTATTATTGTGATGTTTCATGGAAGATGATGATGATTCTTTTCTGTCTTCTTTTTTATTGCCATGATGTTTTATTGGATGTTCTTCATATTCTTCATCCTTCTTCTTATCATGATGTCTCATGTGAGAGGATGATTCTTCATGATCACAAGGCTTACCATGTTTTTTCTTATCCTTATTATGATGTTTCTTATCCTTACCATGATGCTTCTTTTTAGCAGAGGAAGTTTTTTTACTTGGTGATTCTTTGGCCTCATCTAGATCTTCTTCTTCATCATGAGGTGGTAAATGCCATGGACATGGTGGGATTTCATGTGGTGGGGTAGTATTGTGATAAGTTTCACCATCGATAATCTCATTGAAATCACCATAGCCAAAATTACCGACAAATCTAACACTTTTGACGTCGAATTCAGCAAAGAAAAAAATCTTGTTCTGTGTTGTCACCGGAGTCGTCAATCTTGTTCAACCATTCGTCACTTGCTCTATGTAATCTTGCAAAACAATGTTTTAAGTTTGACAAGTCATCTGCGGATAAATCAGTCATTTCTTGTAGAGTTCCGAAAAGATTGACACTAGGTCTAGCAAAGATATCTTGACCATGGAAAGGCGGGTGTTCTATAGTGATAGAGACGTCGTTTGGATGGTCAGCCCAGTTAGCGAAGGTGTCATTCAATTTGGATAGAAGAAGGATAGGGTTACCGTTTCTCTCGATGAATTTTAAGAGATCCGGACAGGAATCAGAGGAGATGTGACGTTCGACGTGGGAGATTGGGACTTTACCGACCTTGTCGATTGTATTCACTTCAATGGCAGGGGATTTATCTACTATTTCTCTAGCAATATGAGGGGCCAACGATTCTGGAGTGAACTCCTCATCATATGCTGATTGGGTTGGGGCTGCGACTACCAGATTTAATAGTAGAGTGCTTAATATAGTTTGACTTAGTTGCATAGTAGGTCAGAAAAATTTACTTAAAATAGTTTTTTGTTCTCTTTTTCTATTTCTTCTTTTTTACTTGCTTAATTATAAGTCATACATATATATATATATATATATACTTGTGAGTGAGTGTGTATGTATGCTAGGGGGTAGGCGTAAGAGAAGGATTAAAGCAAGCACTGGAAAAACTAAGAGTGAAGAATAAAGAACAAGTTAAAGGTGTAAGTATACGATATACGCATACACACGCATACATAAATATAGAAGTATATATATATTTGTATGGGTAATTAAGGATCTGGAGTAAATACATATGTTATTTTGTATCCATTTATAGATTACTAAACAGCGACACCGATTATATTGTGTAGCACAATAGAAAAAAAGAAAACTAACACCCTCGAGAAAATTGCTATTGTAATGAGAAAGATGTGAGCACCCTTAAAAAATACATTGTTGGAAATATTTTTCTTTTTCCTTTTTTTTTATCACACCCCACAAATTTTCTGTCTACGCCTCTTTTTCCTCTTTTTCTCTTTTCCTATTTAGATAAGATAAGACAAGACAAGACATAGATTAGATTAGATAAAAAAAAAAAGGGTTTGACTCACTAATCTATTGGTAAAACTATCTACGATACATTATTTTTTGTTTACATTTTGGGTTAGTGAAATTTTATCACTATTGGCGATGCTCCCTTTAGGAAATTTTTTTAGAAAAAAAAAAACTTTATTAATATCTTACCTACTACGAGTTGATATATTTCTAATTTGCTTTTTATTCATTCATTTATTCATTTATTCATTTATCTCTTATTTTTTTCAACTGTATCCTAATGATCCTAGATTTGAACAACAACAACAAAAAAAATAAACAAATTAATTATTTTTTACTCAATCTTTTTCATAGCAATATTGTACACGCTTTCATTTTTTTTTATTTCTTAATTTTCCAATGTTTGTTTCTCAAAAAGTTTTTCAAGGAGATCCCTAAGTTTTTTCTAAGTCCACAGTAAAACAGATTTCCAAAAAGTGGCTTTAATGTATTGGTCTGTGCTTATGTTTCAGTATTCTGCAAACAAGAATTTATTTATTAGCTTACCACAGATTTTAACAAAATACCAAGTATTATTAAATTAATATCCTATTATATTGTTGGATAACATGTATAATGCCTTTCTTTTCTTTTCTATTTTTTTTGTTTTTCTAAGATTCTTGGCTTTTCTTGGCAAATTCGGAAAAATAAAAATAAAAAAAAACAGATGCTGGGATATTCCATACAAAAAATAGGATTGTATGGGTGTGTGGGTTTTGTATTTTTTCTGTTTTTCCTCTCCAAGATAAAAAAAAATGGGGAAACTACAAAAATAGACAGATATCTTTGAATTCAAATGACCTTCGTATATCCTAATTAGACATTAATTAACTTCTATAAGTATTGCTAACCAGATAATAAACAAGAACTACATTTTACAGAGAATAGAAAAAAAGAAATTTAGACGAGCAAAAAAAAAAAAAGAAATAAAAGTGAAATAAAAAAAAAGAATATTGTGATCATTATTATTATGATAGTTATACCAACCATCCTTTTATTTACTTTGACTTTATTCAATTTCATAAACATAATCAACTGCAAACATATCGAAATATTATCCATTAGAGATTTTAACCAAATTGTTAATACAATACCAAATTCAATAGATTATTATACCGCTAATACTGAAAACAATTTTATTTCTTCTTCGTCTTTTTCTTCTCCCCTCTCATATGACGACGTATCAATCAATGTAATTAAATATTATACAACCTGGTGTAGTCATTGCAAAAAACTGTCTCCAATTTGGTCCAGACTAATTAAAGCATTTCCTAACATAAATTTTTTATCCATCGATTGTGATGTCTTTGGTAAAAGTTTATGTAGAGACTTGCCTGGCTATCCAATAATCAAAATCATAACGACCCAAGGATCCGATATCAAAAATATAGATACGGACCTACAAAATACTGACATTTCTAAAACCCTATCTTGGTTTGGCTATCTGAAATCATGGTTTATGAATGATCCATATAACACTGAAATAATTGATATTGACCCCAAAAGGGTTATGGAATATAAAGGAAGAAGAGATTATGAAACTATGTACAATTTTATTGATTCCTTGGTTCAGTTATATCAAATAGAATCTCAATTCAGTAGAATTGTGTATGGAACTGACTCGATATTAGATTCAGACTTATTGAACTCTTATTTTAGTCAGAACTTACTAGTAAATGGTATTATTTCAGTTGCTACACAAACCACTAATAATAAAAACAACTCAAGGAAATTACAAGTATCGGATACAGGTTTATTAAATAAAGAAAGACGCAAATTAGAGAATATTATCAGGAATAATCCAGGTACCCCTGAACTGAACGATATAAAAACTAAATTGCAGTTTTTGAATTGGTTGGAAGATCAAGTTGAAATAATAAATGAAGAAAGCAGCAGTGCACACCGTTTGTCCAATATTAAAGATGAATTATAGACGTATCTAGATTATACATGCATTTCACATACATATACACGTTAAATATTACCTTTGTAGTATTTCGTTATTAATTATGGATGCCTCTCCCACACAACAAAGATGAACAGGTGTTTCTGGATCATCGGAGAAAGCCGTTCATTGAGGATTTCCCCCGGACAGCTATATGGTCGGGATTTTTCTTGCCATATAAAAGAATGCAAAGGTGTATAATACTTTCGGCCCCACGAAAGAACAGACGGAAGTAGGGAGAAAGACACAAAAGAAAGAGGAAAAGAGAGAAGTTCAAGGTATAAAAAAAGTACCAGTCTTTTTGTAAGATCCAATTCATCTATTTACCTATCTATCTATCTATACATACATACATACATGCATGCGTATATTTATATATATAGAGAAAGAGAGAGAAGGAAAATAGAGAAAAAAATTTACATATAATTATTAAGTGTTATGAATAAAAATAACAATAAGGATAATAGTCATTTAATACCTAATCATATAGTAGATCTAAATCTATATACTACCAACCAGAACCAATTCCAAAAACTTACTCATCAACATAATTCTCTGTTTAATTCTAATTCATATTTGGATAACCCTATGCTTCCAGAAAATTATAACACTGACAATAGTATCAATAAGCCTGCCATTAACTCTGACAAGTATATTTTTATAGCAAATAGAAGAGTGTCCATGGCATGCGATTATTGTAGAAAAAGAAAAATCAAGTGTGGTCCTACTGATTTAGTCATGGATAAATGTAACAATTGTATTAAATATAATGTTAATTGTAAATTTCCAAATAGACATAATATATCGTCTAAGAATAAAACAACAAGTACAAATACAGATACAAAGAACTATACCAACACTGTAACTAATAATAATAATAATAATAATAATAATAATAATAATAATAATAATAATAATAATAATAATAATAATAATAATAATAATAATAATAATAATAATAATAATAATAATAATAATGAAAGTAACAATATCCAAACAAAATATTTTAATAATTCAAAGAATACAATTAAATCGAATTCCGGAATAATCAAAAAGGTTCAAAAATTTTTCCCTGCTCCAGATTATCGAAATTCTTCAATTAATTCAAAGTTCAAAATATTAGATGGAAAGATATCAGATATGATAGACAATATGGCAAGAATCGAATGGTTGTTAAGTAAAGTTATTCAAAGTCAGTCAATAACTAACCATAGAAATACTGTTAATTTGGATTGCGGTCCGGATGCTTACAAATGTATTGATAAAAGACTTTTAGCTAAATACAAACAGTATAACACATCTATTTTAACAGCTAAAAGCTTACAATGGGTTAAAGATAAAACTACACCTGACCTAAGTACTGAAAAATTCGTCTCACCATTGACCAAAATCCTTTCTGAATCTTTGAAATGGTATATTATACAAAATAAAAATTTAATAGACTTCTCATCTCAAAATATGCTGTCATCAAATACAAAAGTCTTTCCTTTACCATCAAAAGAGCAATCTAAAAGATTATTGGAAAATTTTTATAGTACAATAATTTCATCTTCCACAGGATTGATTACATTGGAACAATGTTTCGATTTAATTGAAAGATATTATGATAACACGAAAGCTCCATTATCTTACCCTGAATCCCTTCTATTGAATGTATGTCTTTGTGCAGGTGCTAATGCAACTGAAGCATTACTCATAAACGAAATAGATTTTATTAGAAAAGATAGACATAATCCATCTAGTTCAGAATTAATTATCATTGAAAATAATATGTTGCTAAATGCCATGCATTATTATCATAGATTATCTATGGTTTGCTCTGGTCTTCCTACGATTCAAGCTTTGCTTTTATTGACCAGATATTTAGCAGACAACTTCACTATTGAAATAGCTGATGATGTTTTAACAACAGCAATTCGGTTTGCTGTGGATCTAAGGTTGGGATTTCAATCATATTATGAGGATATATCGAACGAGGAATATATAGAAAGGGGGAAATTATGGTGGCATTGTTTTTGTATCGATAAGAAATATTCTTTAATTCTTTCCAGACCTCCTTTATTAAAAATAACAGAAATGGACTTTTTAACAGATGAAAAATATTATGAATTTATTAAAAATGAGATCTTACCTAAATTTGCTGATATGGACACTGAAAAAATTGGACAAATAAACGATTTGCAAAAGGCATTAGATGTAATTGTTACAAAGTGTGATTATATGTCATTCTTTATATCATATTACTTTTACAAAGTGGTCAAAATTGAAATGAATCTATTTGAAACATGTTTCTCTTCTAACATGACAACTCATTGCACCTTTAATGATACCATTAATAAAATTGTGGAAATACAGAAGTCTCTCGTAGATTGGAAGGAAAATTTGCATGTGTGCATAAAATTAAACACTTATAGACAATATTTATGCTCTATATTTACACAGTCGAAGACAGAGAATCCTGCATTTGCATTTGAACTTGCATGTTCCAGAATAATTAATTGCCATTTTAGACATCTTTATCTTGTCATTATACTGAATCTATTTGCTGTTTCCTTCTTAGAAGATAATAAAGAACAATTTGCTGGAGAATTGGAAAGCCTCCCAATTACAATATCATTGTGTTCTGATAATTATAGAAATGCTTGTATAGAAATGCTACAGATATTTTTGACCACAAACTATCATCCTCATAGGTTCAATGAGTCAATGTATCATTTATTTACAGGATTTTATCTTTTGATACTGGACATTATAAAAAGTATTGACGAATCCAATATATCGGATGTTTCAAATAATATTTCCTTGTTAGAAACATGTCATAAACATATATTAGGGGAAAATTATGAATATTTAACAATCAGGAATGTTAAATGGCAAGTGTCAATCTTTTTTTTCACGTTTTTGATGAAATACGTAAATATCAAATATAACAGTATTAACTGTAGTTATAAAGATAAACTTCGTAGTGATGATTCTTATTATGACGACATTTTATCACGTATTTCGAAGAAAATAAGTCAATTGAAAAAGAATTGTTGTGAAAGATTATATGAAAATGTCCAGAATGATATTAAACCTGATAATCATCAGCAAAATGCCACATGGACAAAGTTACAAAGTAGCAATGAAACTGGTGGAACAAATCATACGCAAATTGATGAATATAATATTAGTATCTTTGGTGAATTGACACCTAAAATGTTAAAAGTGTTAGACTCTGATATGCTCTTTAACTCAAGGCAATTCACGGATAGAGCAAATTTTAATAAAGAATCTTTGTTTCCAATAAATGACAATTCTTGTTTCGCTGAATTCTCTGAAAGTTTTGATAATTCTTCTATAAACCCCTCCTTAATATCAAAGGCTGGTGCTAGTAACTGTGAAATTATACAATACTTGCCATTTGGCGATCTTTATTTTGATAGAGAATTCTATTTCATGGAAATTTTCAAAATTTACAATTCTCGGTAAATTATTGTAACTAATTAAATTTCACACATATACTTGTATATATATGTATATATTCATACCCGTGTTCTCTATATACAAACGATTCTACTCTATCTATATTCAGTTATAACTAAATTGGAAATTTTAATATTAGGTCTAAATAGAATATTATTGCTCTTTGAATATGCATAATAGCATTATAACAACAAAGATTTTATATATTCCAAGTATTTATTGCCTTCTTCCTTTTCTACTTTTAATGCAATCTGTTTTAATAATTCCTGAATTCTTAATTGAGCCTCTTCTTCTTTCATGTTATCAACGGGATCAAGACCTTCAGCTTTAACTTCTGCAACCCATGACTTCAACAATTGTTTCAACATTTCATTTCCTTCAACCATTTCTTTTTCTGATAACTTCACTTTCTTTAATTCCTCATTACCTTTTTTAAGGTCTTCTAATTCGGCCGCTTTCCTCTTTGCCATTTTAACAATTTTCTGAGGAAATTGTACCACTTCTGCCACATGGATCCCAAATGATTGATCTGATACACCTGGTTCAACTTTGTATAATAGGGTAATGTCATCGCTGTCATGTTGGCTTTCAGCTCCTTGCTCAATATGCGCTATAACATTTAAGTTCTGAACATTTTGTAATTTATCAGCCAAACGTGTCAATTCATGAAAATGGGTAGCGAATAGTGTAAAGCATTCAATTTTAGTGGCTATATGTTCTGCAATAGCCCAAGCAAGACCAAACCCATCGTAAGTGCTAGTACCACGACCTAGCTCATCAATAATAATTAATGAGTTTTTGGTTGCATTTTTTAAAATAGAGGCAGTTTCCAACATCTCTACCATAAAAGTAGATACACCTTTTAATTGTGAATCTCCAGCACCTACTCTGCATAAAATTGCATCCACAATTGCAATTTCTGCTTCTTCACAAGGAACGAAACAGCCAATCTGTGCTAATAAGGTAATCACTCCAACCTGTCTGATATATGTAGACTTACCACCCATATTTGGACCAGTTATGATAAGAAATTCATTAGTTTTTGCTTCCATATTTACGTCATTGGCAATAAAGATAACTTCATCTTGCATTTCTACAACTGGATGACGAGAACCAATAAGTCTTGTCTTTCTGTTTTCTTCATCAAAACCATACATTTGTGGTCTTACATATTGAATTGGTGCATATGAAGATACATGAGCAAAAGAATTTAAGACATCTAAGTTTGCAAAGGTTAAAGACAGTTTTTCCATTACTGGAGTATATGTTAAGGTAATTTCAGCAATCTCTTTCACTAACGTTGCTTGTTGTCTTTCGTAATCCTTTTCTAACTTGGCAGTTTCATTGGCCACTTCCTTCAATCGTTTTGTACTGAAGTAAATACCAGCTTTCACAGTTGATAATTCAATAAATTCTTTATAATTTCTCAATTTTTTGGCATCATTACGCGTCAGTCTCATACACCAACCATGTATATGATGATTCTCCAACTTCAATTTCCTTTCTGGATCAAAATCTAAAGTATCAGCAGACTCTAAATGGATAATTTTAATCTGTTCCCTCAATTCATCTAATTTAGATTTAATCTCTGCTAATTCTTCATTGAATTCTACTCTGATCATATAATCATTATTTGTCTCATATGATTCTAAATCAATCGTGGTTTGAACCATTTCCTGTAATTTTGATAATGGCTCCATATGTTGCTTTAGGGGATTAATCCATGTGCCTTTAATTAAGTTGTTTACCAATCCATCTGCATCTGTTGATGTTTCTTCTTGAATATATGATTCCAGTAGTTCAATATAGTCTGGCATTTTCATAGAAAAATCGTATAACGTCAAAACATCTTGAAGACAACTACTACTTTGACTCGATATATTTTTATTTTTATTCAATCTTTTTGTGATACGACGAACATCAGGAACTTGTGGTAAATACTCTGTTTGTAACATTTGTCTTAGTTCAAACTTGTCCATAAGGAATTCAACCAAATTGTGTCTTTCTATTATTTTTGCTTTGTCAGTCAATGGTTGTTTTAACCATTCATTTAATAATCTTGTTCCTGCGTTAGTTTTACAATGATTTAATAACTGAAACAAAGAATTAATTTTATTAGTATTGGTGTTCCCATGAAAATGTGAAGAGGACCCAAATGAAGTAGACGATGAAAACAGATTCAACGCTCTTATCGAAGAAGAATCTAATTTAATAAATTCTTTTAAAGAATGGTTAACCAATTCATATTTACCCAGATTTGTTGCATCTGAAAGGATCTGTAAATATGATAATAATGCATTGCATGAGGACAAGGAGTCCTTTGAATACTTTTGTGGCAATGACATGACCAATTTATTATCAGTTAATTTAATCAAATCTGATTCGATACTTTTATCGTTAAAATCAGAATTTTTACAAAAAGTCACAGAACAATTACAACGATCAATGACATTGACGAATCTTTTCCATTGTGCCTGTTCATTATTCATACTCTCTGGTAAAATACATTCTTTTACACCTAATTGGATCAAAAAACTTTCTAAATTAGAAAACACTTCATTATCTAATAAATCTAGCAATCCAATTTTAAAATTTGTGGTGTCTATAAAAGTTATACCAATATTAAAATTATCATTATTACCATGGGATGATGTACCTACTTTCAAAGATGCAATTACAATAGATGATTCGATGTTATAATTGTTTAATAGATGATTAACTTGTTCAATATTCCCAGGTGAAGCCAAATTTAATAGTTTCCAATTCTTATCGTATATCTCAATTTTATAGCCCAGATCAAAGAGACAGATTTTTAATAAATTAGACAATATCTGCGGAGACATTGTCACATAGACAGTTGGTTCTTGAAAGTTTTTCCTTGTCATTGAATCCAACTGACAATCTTTTAGAACATTCTGAGTATGATATATTGTATCTGCAACAAATACAGCATCTGATCCAATGACTAAGTAGTACTCACCTTTATCTACAATTCTGATTGTGTTTAGTGGTTTTGAAGGCAATAGTTTCAAATAGTTTCTATAAAACCCTCTTTCTTCACCTGAATCAGCAAATTTTAAATCAGGTCTAATAGCCGACATTCTCCTTGATCTGAATTGAAAAAAAAAAAAGACAAAACTAAAAGAGACAGAGAATAAAGGAAGTTTTTATCGTAGTACTGAGGATATAATATAAACCGTGTTTATTTTGGTACAAGTGTTTTAAACGTGTGAGGTTAGACAAGTATAATGGAGGCATCATTAATAGAGTACCTGTAATGATTATTTCACTTTTAAAGGATATTTGATATCTTTTTTATGATTTTCTAGATTTAGTGTTTCCAAAAAAGAAAGACGCGTGAAAACAGAAAAGTTAAAAAAATAAAATAAAATAAAATAAAATAAAATAATAAAAAAGAAAAGAAAAGAAAAGGCGAAAAAAAAAAAAGACGCGTAAAAGTAAGTTAACACACCCATACACCAACACGAATTCGGAATTAATCGGGTATTTTGCGGATTTGAGAAATTCCGTACATTTTTCAATTTCTTCTTAAGAATTGAAAGCAAATACAAAAAAATATACCTATGTGTTTATATTCAATATATATTAGAAGTATTGGTGAAGAGATGTTTAGTAGTAAATTATTAGTTGTATAATATATATACGTGTGTGTGTGTGTGTGTTTGTATATATGATTGCAATTATGAATGAATGAATAAATAATGGGGAAAGTAATAAGGGAGCAGGAGCAGCACAAACTAAATATAAAGATTATTATTATTAGTAGTAGTAATATTAGTATTAGTATTAGTATGATTATAATTAGTTATTTATGCATCTTCAATACCTGATATAGTTTCTAGGGTTTTTTCTGTCTTACCTCTGCCATAAAGGAAAAATTGACCAAAGATAATGAAGTCCATGATTAAAGTACCAGAACTACCAATCAGCCAAGATGCGTTAATTAGTAAATATTTTGGGTCCAATGAAATCGCAATGACAGAGGTAATAAAAGTTGTATTACCTAGACATGCAAATAAAAAGAACAAAAATGAGATTCCCTCACACGATTTTCTTTTAAAATTTAATAAAATCTGTGGTATCCTTGAACCCAGATATAGTAATGCACTTAAATAACCAAAAACTTGTGCTAATATGTTAACTTCTATATCATTTGCATTATTTATATGAAGCAAGGTATCAGTGTCACTATTCGTATTATTTTGAGATAATGAAAAAATCGAAAATTTAGATTTAATAATATAGTTAGAATATGTGATGGTTGCATTATAAATATTCTTCTTGTTATAATAATTATTGCAGTATGGAATATACCAAGATATAAAACCTGCAAATATAACTAGCGATACGATGATGATATCATTTAAATAGTTACCCTTATCCAAACTTTGTTCTAGTTCAATTCCATTATCATTAGTGTTGAAGTTATTATTATTGTAAATGTTACTGTTACCTTGATTATTTATAGATTCATTGTTGTGTAGTTGATTATCTAAGGATTGATAACTATTTGAATGGGAAGCACGTCTTGAAGGGATCAGTAGAGGTTGATCCTCGTGAAAGACGTCATGTAAAACATTTTCGTTAATAGGAGTAGCAGGAGAGAAATGGATTGGATCGATATTATTAGATGAATGAGCGTGATTATATTCTGTGCTATTGTTAACATTAGTTGTGGTATTAGTAATATTTAATATTGGATCCATTGAAGAGCTTCTATTATACCAAAGACATTGAATCAAAAGTATAATGTCAGCTAAAGTATAATATGCAGCTAAGATGATCATAGTAACCAATAAATGTTGCATCATTGCACCAACTAGATTGAAGACATCACCCGCCAACCAAAGTACAATAAATAATAACGACAACCCCTCTGCAGAACTCCTGTAAAAATTCTCATATATCTGTGGTACAAAAACTATAACCCAACATGCAATGGATATAGATCCCATTAAACCTGAAAAATTTTCATTATTGAATACAATAGGTGCCAGTTTCATTTCTTTCTTCTTTTTTTTTTTTATCTACTCTATCTTATCCTCGAATAAGAATATACTCACGATTTCGTTCGTCGATTAACCCTTTATCAACACGATTTAGCTAATTGTTAAGCTTCAAACTTGTATACATACTTGCCCACATACATACATACAAATATATAGATAGATAGATAGATAGATAGATTTATGGATATATTTATGAGTGTATAGAAGCTTGTTAGTTTGATCACTCTTATCTCTTCCATTTCAAAGAAAAAAAAAGTTAGTCATTAAAGCCTGCTTATTGTTTTTTGTTGTTAATTCCAGTGAAAATTTTCTATTTGTGCACATGAAGAATAAATGAAAATAAAAAAAAAAAAAACAGAAATTCCGTGGGGAAACGAAAAAAAAAAAAAAATTCAAAATGAAAATGAAGAAAATAAAAGAAAACACCCATACATCTAAAACTCTTCATTTGCCATTGAATCTTTTTATTTATGTATTTTATTTACTGTTGCTACAAAGTTAGAAGGAATTGGCAAACATAAACACAGCAGTAACATTACAGTAGCTTATACACACGACTACTCCATTTAGCTGGCGGTCTTCTTTTTATTCTCCAGCCGTACCTTCCATCTCTTGTTTATTTAATGTCCCTACTAGATCAATTTTTCTTTGTGGCAACACTGTCTCCATGGATTTAGCCCAGTCTCTTGTGTCTGCATACGATAACATCAATTGTACTACGTGTGCCGTGGTCAATACCTGTCTACCATTTAACTTAATATATTTATCAATTGGCAATTTTTTGGTTGGAATACCAAATTGTTTAGCTCTATTCAGACACAAATCTTTATATCTATTCTTATCCACAATACCACCTATAATATATGTCATGTCTGCTTCTAAAGTCTCTAATTCTTCCTCTGTATCTGCTGTCAAGTAAACAGTCCTCTTTAGGTCTAACTGCCTCAAGTATTCATCACTAGTCATCAAACCCTCATTCTTATTCTCATTTTCATTCTCATTCCCTTTCTCTTGTTCTTGCCCTTCTACGGGTTCTTCAATAAATTTGAAATGATTCCAATTCTTATGGTTACTATTGGATAATCCATTTTCAAATCGTTCTTTTAGTCTTTTGTTGAACCCAATGATTTTAATCTCCGAATATTTATTAGCACGTTTATTTGCTGCATACGCTCTTGTTAATTGAGTAGATAACGATACAATTTCTCTATCGTTCATCAGCTCATCAAAAGAACAATCGATAATCAACTTCATGCCGCTGTCTACCTGGTTCACATTCACCTTAGGTTCTCTGATATATTCACTTGGTATTTCTTCACCACGTTCAACATACGATTGAATCAATCTTTGACGGTTCTCCTTGACTCTTTGTCTCTTCACTTTACGTTTCTGACGGTATTCTTCCTTATTTAATTCCCATTGTTTTCTTTTCCATATCTTTTTCCATTGATTCTTTGACATACCTTCCGGTACCGGTGGTAATTCAATCCTTTTAATGGTTGAATCTTTTTGATCATTATTTTTAGTTTCACTTGTTGCATTCTCCATTTCTCTTTTCCTCTCCCTCCTTATTTTTATTTTTTGTTTTCGTTTTTGTTTTTGTTTCTTTTTATTTCCTTATTGATTTATTTCCTTATTTCCAGAAAGTTACCTTTATATTATCTCTTTCTATTCAACATATGTACAGCTATGTTTGTTTTCTCTGCTTGCCTTCATTTCTCATTCTTCTATAGTTCTCAAGATGATTAAAATAATAATAATAACAACAAAAAAAAAGAAAAAGAAAAAGAAAAATTTTTATTTTCTTTCTTTCTCTTCCCCTTTTTATTTTCTCGCTTTTTAGATGTGTAAATTTTTTATTTGCTTTTTTTTATTCGAGCCTCGGCAGAATCTCTTCACTTAAATTAATAATACTTAATTAGCTAACGAGTTAGTCAAATCAGTTAATCAGTATATATATATATATCAAAGAGTTGAATTGACAGAAATACTGAAAGGTTGGTATTGCATGTAGAAATTGACCATCAAAATATAAAAGAAAGAATAACGAAAAATATATATATCACTATATTATACACACACACAAGAAGAGAGAAAGATGAAGTTGGAGTTGCCATGGGTTGAAAAGTACAGACCACATACTTTAGATGATATTGTCGGTAACGAAGATACAATTGCTAGATTGAAACAGATCGCCATACATGGTAATATGCCAAACATGATAATTAGCGGGTTACCAGGGATAGGGAAAACTACCTCCATCCATTGTTTGGCCAGAGAATTACTGGGTCCAGATTTGATCAGTCAAGGGTCTGCAGTGTTGGAATTGAATGCGTCTGATGATCGTGGGATTGATATTGTTAGAAATCAAATTAAACAATTTGCCCAAAAGAAAATTCATTTACCGCAGGGGAGACACAAGATTATCATTCTTGATGAAGCAGACTCGATGACCGCAGGTGCACAACAAGCTTTGAGACGTACCATGGAATTATATTCTAATTCTACTAGATTCGCATTTGCTTGCAATCAATCAAATAAAATTATTGAACCTTTACAGAGTAGATGTGCAATCCTACGTTACAATAAATTGAATGATGAGCAAGTCTTGAAGCGATTGATGCAAATCATTGAATTGGAGAACGTCAAGTATACAAACGATGGGTTAGAAGCATTGATCTTCACTGCAGAAGGTGATATGAGACAAGCTATAAATAATCTACAAAGTACTGTAGCTGGGTATGGTCTTGTCAATGGTGAAAATGTTTTTAAAATTGTGGATTCACCACATCCGTTGATAGTTAAAAGAATGCTAACTTCAAATTCCTTAGACGAATCTATCACTATCTTAAAACATGAACTTTGGGATAAAGGCTATTCTGCTGTGGATATTGTAACAACATGTTTCAGAGTCACTAAAACTCTGTATGAAATTAAAGAATCATTACGTCTTGAAATGATCAGGGAGATTGGGATAACTCATATGAGGATCCTGGAAGGTGTTGGGACCTATTTGCAACTGAATAGTATGTTAGCTAAATTATATAATTTACAGAAAAATATATAAAATGAAAAAAAAAAATAAAAAGCTCTTCTCTTATGTTTATTTTTTATTTTTGTTTTTACTTTTATTCATAGATTGAATATATTCTTTATCCAAAAAAGAAAAAAAAAAAAAAAAAAAAGAAAGAATTTAAATATCAATCAGGTTTATAGCATTATATATATATATATATATATATATTTCAAGTGACTTGTTCTTTTAAATACAAACCACTTTTTTTTATTTTTTTATTTTTTATTTTTTTAAGATAAGAATTTCTTATTTTGGATTGGAATAGACATCAAAATATAAATGGATCTCTTTAATCCGTCAAAAAAAGATATGAAAATATAAAAGCAAACAGCATAGCTTGGTTACTAAAGAAGGAACCATGACTATAAACTTAACAGCACAACAAAAAGATATTATTAACGTAAAATTGGAACCTAGAACAATTATAAATGTTGTTGGTGGTCCACAATGCGGTAAGAGTGTTGCTTTGGTCAATAAAGTAATCCACCATGTGATCAATAATAACTTGAGTCCAAATGATATATTGATATTATCCTTGACAAATAAAAATGTTGAAAATATAGTTCAAATCGGCAAGTTAACTGCAAACAATAATTACGATGTTACAATAAATTGGGATCAATTTAATGTGATGACCTTCCATGGATTAGCAAACCGAATACTGCTTTATGATAAAGGATATCCAACAAATAATATTTGTAACAATATTGTATCAGGTGAACATGAATGGAACCTACTGTACTCCTTGGCAGAAGCAGATTGGAATTATGCAAGTATTACAGAAAGTACACATAAGAAGAATCTTCCGAAACAGAATAAGAATAAAGGAAAATATTTGGAAAATATTATTAGAATGTATCAGAATAATTCCAAAAAATATCCCTTCACTTCTAATGAAGAATTATTGGCTCAAAACACTATTAATATTATGAATGATTGTAAAATTATGACCAATGAGGACTTGGTAAAAAATGCAACTGAAATTTTGAAAACACAACAAGTGGATTCTACTAGTAATTTAGGGAATATTCTAAAATATAAGCTTATCATTATAGACGACTCTCAAGATTTATATCCATTATTATTACCATTTCTTGAGCAAATGCTTAGATTAAATCATGCACAATTACTTTTATTTAGTGATCCAAACCAAAGATTGTATCAATTCATGGGGGATAACCTAGCCGTGATGAGACACTTATTGGGTATGTATGGTAATGATAAAAGCATTACTTTGAAGTTAGATCAAAATTTCAGTAACTGTCCGGAAGTCCTTGCTCTCGCAAAAAACATTTCATTAGCAGATCCAACCCATTATCTTAGTAATTGTCTATTCACCTTGAATACTGCTTCTAACATTAATCCACAAATATATAATTTCAATGACTCGTTAGATCAATTTGAGTTTATTGTTCAGGAAATTTCGAAAATAATGACTTCTGGTGTAACAAAATTCAGTGATATTTTAATTTTGTCTCAAACCAACACATATGTTAACGAATTAATAAACCACCTAAAGTTATATGGGTTACCATGCGAAAAAGTGTCAAATAAACCAGAATGGATAGATGATTTCAGAATCCAATTCATACTTAATCTATTAAAAATTATAGAATATGAAAAAAAGCCATCCATGAATTGTAATTTTCCTGTTTTAATTATACTCAGTCAATTAAAGGGTATTGGGAATAAAAGTTTGCAGACGTTATATCATTATTGTCAACAAAATAGGAATATTGATATATGGAACTATTTTTTAACAACCAAATTATCGGATTGGGATCCTTTCATATTTAAAAAGTCTAGAATATACAATTACTTATTGTGTATAAAGAAACATATTCCTGAAAGAATAGCTGAACTCAATACAACTGAAATTATTCAGATGATTAACGATATAATAATAGAGTTGGATTGCCCTTTATTCAAATATACTTCTGAAGAAGATCTAGAAGATTTTAAATCAAAATTTAAGAAAATGGTAAATACTTTACACTACTATGAATATGTTAAACCAGGTGATTTATCTTTAATTACATTTTTCTTGACACATTACCTATCAAGTAATATGGAAAATAAATCAAAACATCTAAACAAAATAAATATATCTACAATGCATTCAGCAAAGAGTCTAAATTTTCCTATTGTAATTCTAGCTAATCCCCCACCTAATAATTCGAGTAAATATTTCTCTATAAACACAAATATCCTTTACAGGAGCATAACTAGAGCAAAGCATTTATTATATCTAATAAATATAAATCATCCAAGGATTAGTCTAGAAAAATTCAAAAAAGTCCCAAATATAGGATTATATGAGCCCTTTTGGAGGTATTATTTGAATACCAAGAAGAATGAACCTCTGATAACAGCAAATAATCAAAGTTACCAATATAGTCTAAATAAAGCCCAGTCAAATCAAAATTTTATTCAAAACAAATTTGGTATACGATTTTTAACAACAACAGTTAATCCACTAAAATGTTCTAGTTTTTACAAAAGATTATTACACTAGAAAAGGCATATATGTTGGCTATTCTTTTTTTGTTTATATTCCCCTTCTATTATAATATACAAATATTAGTAATATCTTGTAGATTCTTATAGTGTTGTCGTATGTGCAATTAGGGTTGGGATTTCATGTTTATCATTATTCCAAACGAAAATCGTAACCCCTAAGAATTATATGTAGATGTGTAAGGAAAAATAAGTAACGACCTAATTTTTAAATAAATACATAGTGGTGAAAACAATAAGATGCAATAAATTTTTTTGTCTATTTTGTCTGAAATCAACGATAATGAATTTCATTACTACTCAATGGGCATTAGCAACAATCTTATAAGGAAGTTGTTCGAAAATTAAATACTGTACTTCAGAATTATATTATATATTAAAGTATTGTGAAATTTATTTAAGATTGTAAAAAAGAATAACAAGAACGGGAAGAAAGAAGAGACATTATGATTACTTCACAATTATTAAGGGGGACTAATAGTATAAAGCAATTAAGGGGATTTCCAATTATCAGGAGATTTTATTCTAATATGAACAGTTTCAGTAAAACTGGATCCTCTCAAGAAGAATTGTCACATTTTAAGGTACTATCAACAGATTGGTGGAATACAAATGGGTCACAAAGAATACTACATTTAATGAATTTAGCGAGACTTGATTTTATTCGAGACAATTTAAATAAAACGTTAAAGATTGAACATCAACAAGAGAAGGATATATTTATTCCAGGCTACGATTATAACCAATTTTTACCAAAGAATATATCGGAAATAATTAAGGAAGATTTAAACAACGAGCTACAAAAAATGTTAAATGAGAAACAATACTCAGTTTTGGATATTGGATGTGGTGGTGGTATTTTATCAGAATCATTAGCCAGATTACCATTTATTAAGAATGTTATAGGGATTGATTTGACACCAGATTGTGTGGATGTTGCAAAGGAACATGCGTCAAAAGACCCATTACTAAAGGATAAACTTACTTACAAATTATGTGATTTAACTAAAGTTAAAGAAACCTATGATATCATCACTTGCTTTGAAATGTTAGAGCATGTGAATGATCCATATGAAATTTTAAAGCATGCATGGAAGAAGTTGAATTCAAAAGGTATCTTATTTTTGAGTACAATCAATAGAGATCTGGTATCGTGGTTTACTACAATATTTGTGGCTGAATACATGACTGGATTAGTTCCAGTAGGCACTCATACGTGGAGTAAATTTGTGAAATCTTCTGAAGTTATTAATTGGTTTGATAAACATCAATTTAGGAAATATAAAGTCCTCGATTTGAAAGGAACTATGTATGTTCCTTCAAAGGGTTGGGTAAATCATGACTGTTCAACTGTCGGGAACTATTTCATGGCAATACAGAAATTATAATAACTGATAATGAATTATTCAATGGAATTTTATTTTTTTACCCTTTTAATTATATTTTTTTTAAATTATGCTTTGCCCATCGTGGTTATTTTATTATAAATGCGTGTATATCGGGTTTACTAATCTGTCATATGTCTTTTTTTTTTTTTCACCAAATTTACACAACCGTGTACTTATACACACAAGTTAATCATGTGAATATCTCAGCGGTATTATTTTATTGACTATTAAGTTTTTTCTGCATGTGTATATGATACGATCTTCATATTCTTATCATTTTCGTCAATATTATTACTCTTTTGAATGGTTTGCGCTCAACTCTCGAGAAAGTGTTAATAAAAAAGTATATTGAGAAAACACAAAAAAAAAATACGAAAATGGAAAAAATCCAAAAAGATGAAAAAAAAATTTTTTGATTTCTTTTCGAGATAAGCAGAATGACATTTGACAAGTAAAATAAAGAGATTAAATTATAATAAAGAATGCATATTATCGTCGAAATAATTACTATTTGTTATTGTAAGATGAGTTTTATTAATAGATATATGAAATAAATATATATATTTTTTTAGTTAACAAATTTACCATTAAGATACACAACAGACATTTATCATTGTATACTTACAAAAATCTGTAAAAATCTATAAACACCATGTCTGTCGAACAGGTTACCGAACAAGTATCTAAGTTAGAAACTTCTGTAAAGAAGGAACAAGTTGTGACACCTTGGGATGTTGAAGGTGCTGTAGATGAATCTGGGGTTGCACAGGAAATTGATTACGATAAATTAATTAAACAATTTGGTACTAAGCCAGTTACTGAAGAAACATTAAATAGGTTTGAAAAAGTTACTGGCCACAAGCCACATCATTTCTTGCGTAAAGGTTATTTCTTCTCGGAACGTGATTTTAATAAAATTTTAGATCTTTATGAACAAGGAAAACCATTTTTCTTATATACTGGTAGAGGTCCTTCAAGTGATTCTATGCATATGGGTCATATGGTTCCATTTATTTTTACCAAATGGTTACAAGATGTGTTCGATGTCCCATTAGTCGTTGAATTAACAGACGATGAAAAGTTCTTATTCAAACACAAATTAACAATTGATGATGTTAAGAAATTTGCTAAGGAAAATGCAAAGGACATTGCTGCCGTAGGTTTCAATCCAGAAAACACATTTATATTTTCAGATTTACAATATATGGGTAGTGGGTTTTATGAAACTGTTGTTCGTGTTTCAAGACAAATCACTGGTTCTACAGCAAAAGCGGTCTTTGGTTTTAATGATTCTGATTGTATTGGTAAATTCCATTTTGCATCTATCCAAATTGCATCAGCATTTCCAAGTTCCTTCCCAGATGTTCTAGGATTACCACCAAAGACTCAATGTTTAATTCCATGTGCTATCGATCAAGATCCGTATTTTAGAGTCTGTAGAGATGTAGCAGAAAAGTTGAAATTCACTAAGCCTGCCTTGTTACACTCTAAATTTTTCCCAGCTTTACAAGGTTCAACTACAAAAATGTCTGCATCAGATGAAAACTCTGCAATTTTCTTAACTGATACACCAAAACAAATTCAAAAGAAAATTAATAAATATGCATTCAGTGGTGGTCAAGTGTCTGTTGAGTTACATAGACAGTTGGGAGGTAATCCCGATGTTGATGTTGCATACCAATACATGAAGTTCTTTAAGGATGATGATACATTTTTAGATGAATGTTACGAAAAGTACAAGAAAGGTGAGATTTTGTCTGGTGAAATGAAAAAGTTATGTATTGAAGTTTTGCAAGAATTTGTTAAAGGATTCCAAGAACGTCGAGCCAAGATTACTGATGAAGATTTAGAAAAATTCATGAAACCACACAAGTTAGTTTGGGGTCAAAAGGAAAGATTAGTTCCAGTTAAACCAAAAACATCAGCAAATCCAGGAAACAAATAAGATGTTAAAGCATTAAGGTTAAACAGAATTGACAGAGCAAAAGAATAAAGAATATAGTAGTAATTTGTTGTATTTTTTTGCTTGTATAGTGTTCTAATTTGTTTTTTGTTTTTATATTTTTTGTACTTTATTTTTGATTGTTGCAGATATAAACACATCTTTATATATATATGCTTATACAGACTTCTTTGGTATAGTAAGTCAAGAATTTAATGAGTTCTTAAATGTTGAGCCAAATCTTCAATTGTTATAATTGGTATATTATATTTCTTGCTAAACTCGAGACAGTCATTCAATCGCATCATTCCCCCCTGATCATCATCATTAATTAATTCCCCAATAACGCCTACGGGAGGTAAACTGCTCAATTTACATAAGTCTACAGCTGCTTCAGTGTGACCTTTTCTTTGTAACACACCATTATCATTTGCTCTTAGGGGACAAATGTGGCCTGGTTTTAAGAAATCAGTTGGTTTAGAATTTGGATCAGCTAAAGCTCTACATGTTATACCTCTATCATGAGCAGATATCCCAGTTGTAGTACCTTCTGCAACATCTACAGTGATAGTATATGCTGTACCATGTCTATCATCTGCATGTGATATGCACTTAACATTGTTTCTTATTAAAGGCAAGTCTAATCTATCAGCATATTCATTTGACATAGGCGCGCAAATGTAACCACTTGAATGACGGATCAGGAAAGCCATCTGTTCAGTAGTTATATTAGCAGCAGCAATAATCAAATCACCTTCATTTTCTCGTTCTACATCGTCCATCACTATGACAAATCCATTCTTTTGAAAATGTGGGATAACTTTTTCAATTGATGTAATGTGTTCAGACATTTTGTAGTAATATAGTAGCTGAAAATGTTTATAATTTCTTTTTGCTTGTGATATTTCTTAGTGTGATTATCTTACTTGATTTTTTTCTAGAAAATACCTTTCACTAGAACATAACTTCACATTTTTTACAGTTACAAGTATAAATAACATATATTGCACTTGACATGGATGACATGTTCTTATGGAATGAGTCATATGATAGTCATTAACACACTAAAAGGAAAAAAAAAGGACAGGTATGCTTTTTTTAAGATAATAGTGACACTATCATAGTGGCAATTACGAAACAATATCAAACTACTGTGGCTCGTTTGCATCAACAGCAGGTTACTTTTAATATGTCTTTTGTTCTATTATTCTATTAGTTTGTAATACCATAACACTTCTGTACAGTTAACTCCGTGTATTAAATGTTATATCCATCTAATCTCCGTTCGAGGGAATTCAAGATCTTGCAAAAAAAAAAAAAAAAATAAGGACAACAATACATAAAAAAAATAAAAAAGAGAGAGAAAATTGTGCCATTCAACTGAAGGAAAGTCCTCCAAAACCCTAACTAATATTTTTTTTCTATCTTTTCTTTTTTTTTGGTATTTACCAAAGAAGAAGGGAAAGTTCAAACAATTGAGGCCTTGTGTACTTACAGAACTTGTCACTGCAAGTTGTCTCGTATTTGTATATAAAGGCTGAATGTGTAGGGAGGGTTTGATGACACGATTCGATGCATCTGAGCTCTTCCCCAGTTAAGCCTAGTTGTTTTGCAATATATTTTTCCAATTTAAGTATGATGTACACTCCAGTGTTTGTCGCGATGTGCTAGATAATGTCTAGCGAGGGATCAGGATAGAGGGTTTTTTTCTTTTATCTTTATCTCTTTGTATCACACTAGTTGTTTGTTATTTCCTAGACTCTTAGAATTTATCAAATGATGATATAAAATACGAATTTTTTTTAGACGTTAGACTTCTGAATATAGAGAAATATTCTATTTAAAGAAGACAATCGTATAAATATCTGATTTAGATTCGTTATATCTGTTTATTCTTCTATTAAACTCTTGTTTTGATATCTAGGTGTTACTCATCGTTTTAATATTTTTGTTTCTTACCAGCAGACTTGATATATAGCGTAAATGAATATATAGTCTCCCCCTTTTATGACACTTTTGCTAGAAATCTTATTTAAAAAAATGTTTGAGAATGTTTTTGTTTTTTGTTTGTATTTTTGTGCACTATCAACATAAAGCTTTCTTGTTCAATACGATAAGCAATGTTAAAATTTTGAAATAAATGCAGAAAATTAAGAGTAAATATATATAAAATAGTGATACACTCAGGCATTAATTAGATATAAGAATTTGTTCTCATGTAAATCTTATTCCAACTAAGGAGATCCAATAAGCATTACCAATCATTAATAAATAAAGAACTAAAAATCCAGAAGGTTTGCTTGAGAAAGTTTGAAGATAAATAAAGAAAGAAAGATGACTTTCTCGAAGATTGTTTCCTTTGGTGTGGAATATGTCCCTGAATGTAGTATCACAAAATGGATATCAAAGAGAACTGGTTTACAATTAATCCATATTGATCATAAATCTTCTCCACTGATTCAAGGTTTTTTTGCTTTGGCTACAGAATGTCCAAATGATTCAGGAGCTCCACATACTTTAGAACATTTGATTTTTATGGGATCTGAAAAATATCCATACAAAGGATTTTTAGATACAGCTGGTAATCTTTGTATGTCCTCTACTAATGCATGGACAGCTACCGATCATACCGCTTATACTTTGACTACTGCTGGTTGGAAAGGGTTCTCCAAATTGCTTCCTGTATACTTAGATCATGTTTTGAATCCAACATTGGCAGATGCTGCATGTACAACTGAAGTCTATCACATTGATCCAGATGATTTAACTGATAAAGGTGTAGTGTACAGCGAAATGGATGCTATTGAATCTCAAAGTTGGTTTGTAACTAATTTAGCAATGCAAAGATTACTATATCCTCAAGGTAGCGGGTATAGATCGGAGACTGGTGGACTTACAGAGCAGTTGAGAAACCTTACAAATAAACAAATCCAACAATTTCATAGGGATTTATATTCAAGTGACAATCTATGTCTTATCATTATTGGTAATTTACCTCAGAATGAATTGCTAAGTACTGTTACTGAATGGGATAGTACATTACCTGAAAGAAGTCGAAAGGATAGAATTAGACCATTTATTGACAATAAATATTCACAGATCCCGGAATCAAATTCTCATGTTAAAGAAGTTAAAATTGAATTTCCTGAATTAGATGAAACTCAGGGTGAAATCTTGATGACATGGATAGGTGAATCTTATCTAAATGTAACAAATGATTTGGCTATTACGATTTTAATGGAATACTTCACAGAGACTGAATTGGCACCATTTGTAAAGGAAATTGTAGAGATTGATGATCCATTAGCCACTTCCATTGACTTTTGGACTGATGATTATATAAGAACCATGGTTAACCTTTCCATTCATGGTGTCCCGACTAAAAGGCTAGAAGAAACACGTGACAAAATTTTAAACATTTTATCTAGTCATACCATTGATATTAATAGAATGAAACAGGTTATTGATAATTCTAAGTGGGATTATATTATCAGAAATGAGAAAACACCGGAAAATACTTTGGTGACAACCTGTATTACTGATTTTTTATATGGTGATGACACTGGGAAATCACTAACTGCTAGTCTTGCCAATTTGAATGATTTTACTAAATTAAATCAATGGACTCAAGAAAAATGGCAATCATTGTTGACACACGTATTTGTAAATAATAAACCAGGGATAGTTCTAGGTATCCCAAGTGCAAAATTATATGAAAAAATTGACAACGACAATGAAATGTTAGTAACTACTAGAAAGAATGAATTTTCGCAAGAAATGAAAGCTATATTATTAGAAAATTTGACAAATGCCAAAAAACAAAATAGCCAACCAATTCCTAAGGAACTATTAGAAACTTTTGAAATGTCAAATCCAGCAGAAACAGTCTCCTTCACAAAGACACATAGTATTACACCTATCAAAAATTTTGAATTAAATAAGGATAATACTGATGGATTAACCAGAGAACTAATTTCTTTGAAACCAAATGATTTTCCATTCTTCATTCACTTGGAACACTTTCCTGCTCAATTCATTGAATTTCATTGTTTATTGAACTCAACTGTTATTAAAGATACAGTACTCTCACCATATTATCATGTATTTGATAGACTTTTTTCTATGCCAATGAAGTTGGAGAATGGCACTGTCATTCCTTATGAAACTGTTGTATCCAAGTTGAAAGATGAAACAATAGACTCTCAGATTTCCTTGGGTATCAAGGGAGTTTTCCCAGATTTAATCGATATTAGAATTAGATGTAAAACAGATCATTATGTGAAGGCAGTCAATTGGGTAAAATATGTTCTTTATGATATGGTCTTTGATGAAACTCGTGTTAGCATCCTATTGGAAAACTATTTAAATTCTATTGTTGAGTTAAAGAGAGAGGGTGATGTTATGTTAGCATCTTTAACAAATAGATCATTATACAAAGAAAGAAGTGTAAAGAAATCTGTGGACCCATTATATGTTGAGGATATTATAGTCAATATCCTGGAAGATATTAAAAATGGTAAATTTGATTCTGTAGTGTCTCCAAAACTTGAAATTATGAGAAATGAATTGAGACAACACTTTGACAGATTTCATTTGTTAATTCTGGGTGATATGGAAAAAATAAAGTCGGATTTGTACACTGCATGGATGCCACTTGTTAATTCCAATAAGGATTTTAAGACTCATAATTGTTCAAGTGTACCACCAGTCCCTAAGCCATTATCAATGGTTTCTGATTTATGTAAAAGCCTAAAAGGTAAAGCATACATTATAACTACACCTGCTTCTGAATCATCTTATATGAATACGTTTACAAATGTTAAGTTTGATATGAATTATAATCATCCAGACTATGTTGCAGTTTCCTTAGCTTCAGAGTATTTACAATGTGTCGAAGGTCCATTTTGGAGTGGTATTAGAGGTGCGGGTCTAGCATATGGGGCTAATATGATAAAGCAAGTGGAAATAAACGCATGGGGGTTTAATATTTACCGTGGTTCTGATATAGTCAAATGTTATCAAGTTGCTAAGGATATAGTAGAAAATTACGCCAATGGTACTGAACCTATTGATAGTCAAATGATTAAAGCCAGTATTAGCTCTATTATTAATTCAGTAGCATCTCTGAAAAATGGTTATTTTGCTACTGGTGTGTCTAATTTCACTGATAAATTCATCTTAAAAAGAGGGGCTGATTTCACTCAAGACTATCTAAAGAGACTTGAACAAGTAACAATTGAAGATTTACAAAAAGCCATTAAAAAATATTTAGTTAATCTGTTTGATAGTGATAAAAGTGCAGTGTTCATAAGTTGTAACCCCTCAAAACTAGATGTTATTCAAGAATTCTTTGAAAGTCAAGGTTTTGATATTGAGGTTGAAGAGTTGGAAGATGACGAAGAAAGTGAGGAGGAGGAGGAAGAACAAGACGAAGAAACAAAGTTTTAATAGATTAGTTGATATGCCTTTATATGTATATATTTTAAACATAATAACTATTTATATGGTTATATCTTTTAGAAGAATATTGAAACTTTTTATTCATCTTAATGCCTAGTATCAGGTCAATTGTTTTGGTTTAAGTTGGAATTTGCGGTTGAGGCGGAAGTTGTATTTGAGTGTGTTGATTGCCTTTCTTGATGTACATTTGAACTCAAACCCAATCCTAATCCTAATAATGCAGAAGCAGATGTGCTAGGTAATCCACTAACAAGTTTAGATGATGTAGGAATTGGTGATATAATGTGTTTTCTATGTTGTTTCTCTCTTGAATTAACGAAAGATTCAAACATTCTTGTACCTTTATCGGTATTAGCCGCTTTTAATGAACTGGAAAATGAGTGTTTATTCTCACCACTCTGCTCAGAAAACACTTTTTTTTCATGTGTAACAATTTTAGGGCTTGTTATTTTTCGTGTCTTCGATTTATGCACTAAGTTGGGACTTTTAACTATATTTTTTATTTTTCCATTAGATTCATCATTGATGCTATGTTGAGGAGAGTGTTTAGAATGAGTTCTTATCCTTTTTTCATTTGCTAAAGTTATACTTTTTTTAATCATCTTGAACCAGTTATCCACCTGTAAGCTTGCTACAGTGTTTTTAGATTCTAGGGTATTATTAAGGTTGCACAGTATAAAAGATTTGTATGGTGTTTGGATCACAAACATATTATTTTGTTGGTTCTTCATAATAATATCTTTGAATTCCACACCAATTTGGCATAAATCAATATCATATACCAATTCAAAATTATTTGAAATATTCTTTAGTTGTTGCTGATTTTTCACACAAATCAATAGTCTGCCAAAACTTGTTACTATAACAGTACGCTTATGAAATCTTTCGTGGAAAATATTAGCTTCTAAAAGAGTAGCATTTTTAGCTTGTTGAAAGAACTTTTTAAATTTTCCTGAAAAGGCACTGTTATGTGGTTCTTCTGATGATGTCAAATTAGATGAACTTGTAGGGGTTAGCGAATTTTCTAAATGTATATTATCAGTGTTTTCATCTGACATTACTAGAGCTAAGAATTCAAATGGCTGTCGATAATCATCTATTAATGTACTAACATCGATGTTACTGATTGAATAGTATTGTGATTCTGATAGTAGGGAGTCCGTGTATCTAAAACCAGTTATATTGCCCCCATTTCTGACAACCTGTGATAGTAGTGTTGGGCGACCATGATTAACCTCAGATGGTTCTGATAATTTTCTATTATATTTGCTTAATTTTCTATCAAGTGTTGTTGTGTCAACAATATTCAAATATACTTCTTGAACTTGTAGTATATGTTCTTCTATACTCCTTAAGAAAATAGACCACTGAATATCATGTTTATTCATGGAATGGTGAGAAAAAACTTTTGGTGAAGCTTTTGGTGAAACTTTTACAGAAGTTATCTTTTCAGTAATATTTACTTCTTTAATTGCATATGATTTTGAATCATTATTATGATTAGGCAATGATACTGTGGATGAGTTATCCTTAGTCTTTTTTTGATGCTGAGATAGAGAATTTATAGTATTAGTATGTTTCTTGCAAGATACTTGTTTGACAGAACCTGGTTTTAAGTTCTTAGTCAACTCACATTTTTTCATAGTATCTTCTACTTTTAGAAGAGGAGATGGAGAAACTAATACTGGATTATTCACTGATTGTTTTTTGGTAGACGGTATCGGTATAGTCGTTGACGATGACTCCTCTTGAGAAGATAAGTTATCATCATTTAAGTTTTTATTAGATGAAGATACAACACTACGGTATGATGAACTACTAATAATTCTTTTACTACTATGCACAGGCTTCCCCCCAGCATTTTTCATACCATTCTTTGATATGGCAGGGGATTTCTCATAAGATTTTTTTCGAATAAACTCACTTGAGTTCCTATGGGAAGAAGAAGGAGTCGTATTACCCATAGATGGTAGTGTATTAGTATCTTGAGGGTTTGCTACAGAGCAACCTGCTGTGCTAGTAAGATGTATATTTGATGCTGATGCAAACCTGTTTTTAGAATTTTCTTGTGAAGAATAAGTAGATGGAAGTGCACTTGTAGATTTTCTCATAGCAGTCGAGCCTTGTGGTCGTTTATACATTATTGGACCCTTTAACTCAGGGATTCGTTGCATTGATTTAGCTGTTACTTTATAGGCTGATAATTTTGGAACTGGGTTACTCCAGACAGAACCATCTTTAAAATTAACACTTTTATAAAAATGATGCTTCTCAATCTGAGGAATAGTGAGTCTTTGATCAATATGTTTTATTAAAATCCTTTTCACCAAATCTCTGATCACTGTTGGAAATCCAGCAGTAAAAGCATATTGTACTTTCATAACTTTTTGAAATGTGAGATATTCATTTGTTGCCTTGAAAGGTGGCTTACCTGCAATCATTTGAAACAAAATACAGCCAAATGCCCATATATCACATCTATAATCCACATAACTATCATTTAATAATTCAGGTGAAACATATTCTGCAGTACCAACAAAGGATTTGGACCTTGTTAATAAGTCATATCTCTTTGATGATCCTATACGTTCTAATAACTTTGCAGTACCAAAATCTGTCAATTTTATTCTCCATTCGCTATCTAATAGGATATTTTCTGGTTTAATATCTCTATGGATAATACCTTTTGAATGAAGAAAATTGATGGCGTCAATTATTTGTGCACTATAATAGCGAACTGCATCTTCATTCAATGAGCCATATTTTTTCAGTAATGATAATAAATCACCATTGGGTGCATACTCTAACAAGAAATATAGACTTGATTCATCCTGAAATGTAAAATATAACTTGATCACGGCATGTGAATTATTGACTCTTTGTAATGCATTTTTTTCTATGTTAACATATTTCACTTTCTTTTGTTTGATTAAATAGGCTTTATCTAAGACTTTTACAGCATACTTTTTGCCAGAGTCAATAGCAGTAGCCAATTTGACAGTAGAATATGCGCCATCACCTATTATATCACCAAATTTGAAATCTTTAATACCCTTTTTGATTATTTTTTTAGATTTCTCTCCTGTCTTTGGATTAATTATATCTTTAACAATTTTAGCTGCGCCTCTATCAGCCCATTCATCGCGTCTTTTCTTTAAATCAGGGCTTATTGTCATCCCATCTTCTGTGGTGTCTTGAGAAGAATTATCTTCATCTATTTCTGTTTGGTTATTGTTTGGTATCTCTGTAATTATATCGTTTAATTGAGTAGGAACAGTTTTATGTGCATCAATCTGAGATATATTTTGTTCATATTTTTCCATTCTTTGCTCTTCTAAACTGACTTTATTGTCTTGATTAAAAATTTCTATAAAATTATCTGTGTCAGTCAATGCTTTTTGAATATCATATATTCTGTACGATGACATCAATAAACTATTCATATTTCTATTAGATACACTTCTTTTATTGATTAACAAATCTGGATTTTCTTTATCGAGATTATTTCCCTCATTTTTTTCGTTAAGGGTTAAATTAGATAAGTCAAATCGTGTCTGTTCAGTCGAGTTGTTATGTTCTTTGACTTTGCTCTTTGAAATTTTAGACGTTAAGGTTTCTTCATCTGTAGGTAATAGAGGTCTTGAGGGATAATCATTATTAATTTGATTTTCGTAATGCATTATTGTAATCAATATGTTAAGATTTTCGATATACTGTTGTGGTAAATAATTAATATTAGTGAAACAAATACAAAAAAGAAAAAAGAAAAAATAATGCTAGAATTGTAGATCCAATAAGAATATTGTTATTTGACAACAGGTTAGATGGAGAATTTGAATTCCATCTAAATGTGACTAGTGGTATCCTTTAAAATATCGAATAAAAAAAGTAAAAGTTATAGGTAAAAAGAACTAAAAAAAACAAAAGAATTTGCTAATAATGGGTGAATATTAGTATTATTAAACAAGATAAATCTTTAAACTTGGAGATATTTTTTTTAACTTATGAAAAAAGAAGTTATCCGTTTAATTGAATTTTGTCGAGTGTTTGTGTAATGATGTATTGAGCTGTTGCGATAAGGGTTTGTTTGATAAAATATAACTTTAATAATTCTTTATAATGATAGGAATGTTTATATTGGTAAAAGTATTTGATTAAATAATGATTTCCTAATGAAAAAATTTAACTTGAAGATTTCAAACAAGCTGGCAAAATGAAAAATAATACAAACTGTTAGCTCTATTTTGTTTTCTAACTTAATTAATTAGTTACATTTGTATTCTTTGCCCAATTTTGTGATCCCCCCCTTTCCACAACATATCGTCTACAATGATACGTCATTTTTGAGCCGATTGCTTAATGAGGATGTATGGATTTATGTGTCAGTAAATTGTTATTAAATATAATTTATTCTTAGAGACAATGGAAATATATATAGATGCATCGATAACTGAAAATAAAGAGTCTTTGAGTAGATTGGTTTTATTTTGCTATATTTTGCAATAAATGTAGGTTGTAGTTGGTGTTTATCAAGCGTTTGTTTTCTTTTGTTTTTGTTTTTGTGCTAAGGTTGTGTACTTTTTATTTAGTCCCGTCTATTTCATGTATTATCATAAAAGAGCAAAGCTGAAATAATTTATAGAAAATTAAATAGTGAAAAAGACAGTTGGGTAGGTGAATGAAGATGTAAGATTATTATTAGAAAAAAAAATATGTCTTATTCAGATAGCTTTGTATATTTGTATAAATGCGTGTTATATTGTTATCCCTTAATGTTATATATTTGTGTAGAATGTAATATTCTGTAAAGGTTACCTCTTAAATTGGAAATTAATAAGACGGATAGAAAGGAAAATGTTAAGTTACTATAATCACATTAATGGGAATATTAAAAAAGCAAGAAATAATCCGCAGAGTCCGACAAATATAACTTTGTTAGGTTCTGAAATAAGACAAATATTACAAAGAACACCATATGAAGTAACGAAAAAATTCAGCAATAATATTTATAACAATAATAGTGATAATAGTGATAATATATATTCAAAATTGGTGAGAACTAAGTACGATTACCATCATCATTCTTCCTGTTATGATCAATTTAACATACAGATTAAATGGATTACTTTTCGTAATGAAATGATAGATGAATTGTTGAAGTTAAATGGCGTTTTGTATCTTGAAGGAAACACAAATATATGCGAATTCAGAAAAAACACAGTAAATATTGATGATATTCAAAATATAAATTCACCGAATTCGTTATTTTACAACCCTTTAAGGTCCTTACATTCACCCGGGATAACAAGTAATACTAGTGGTTTGAATATATCATATAATAATAAAAAAGTAGGTTCTCTAAAAAAAAATAAGTTTAGAAATAATATTAGGAATATAATAAAGACCTTGAGAATAAAAGTCAAACATGCATTTACATTGAAATCAAAAAACCCATATGAAAATTATATTGATGCTAAAAATGGTACAACTCCTAGTACAATAACAACGCCCAATATAAATTTATTACCCACCGAACAATCATCACCTATTAGATTCTGTGTATCATCTCTAGGTGAAAATTTATATAACGAAACTATGTATGGTGGAAGCGAAGATGACACCATTGAGTCCTTTGGGTATCCAATTCATCATACTAGTTTGGTTGATAATAGTTCTCATAGTGTGTCCCTGTATCATACGAATATGCTCAATTATTTTTAAACATACATATATACGTATATGTATATATATATATAAGTATGTGTGTATATGTATGTACTATTTTATTTTATACATTTTATATTTTTTGTTCGAGCAAGCTCTTCTATTATTGTCAAAGAATGGAAGGCACACAATCAAAATTAACTGGCTTTGTCTTTACTATTGTTCTGTCAATTATTTTTACGAAATCTCAACAAAATGTTTTGTTTTCTATTGTTTTCTTGTTTTTTTCTATAGTCTCTTCCTTTTTTTCTTTTTGGCGGAGGTACAATTGTTTAGTCAATTAATATTACTTTAATATTGAGATCCTTGTACCGCTTTGTGAATTTTCTTTTTTTTTTTCAATTTTCTTTCGGCTTTGGGCCTTCGTTGGATTTTATTTTCTGTTTTTTTTTTTTTTTTATTTAGATCTTCCTATGTGAGAGATAGTTAATATTAAGCCAAAAATAATCAGTACTAGTTAATAACAATACTAATCTTGGCAGTAATGGGGATTCGGTGGGTTTCTCTATAAGAGAAATCAACCTATTACCTAAATATTGTTGTATTTAGTTATCTTAAATAATAATGCATAATGAATAAGAAAAATAATATATATATATATATATATACTATTTCAAATAGTTGACATGTGATAATATGTGACGTAGTGTCGTTTTTATAGACTATACACACACACATATATATATATATATATATATATACTATCTTAAATGTAACCATTTCCTTCCATATCCTTGTATAATTCGCCTTATCAGCAACAATTTTAGCAAGAGAAGCATCTACCTCTTTAACATAATAGTCTCCAGGTGACTGTATTAAATAAATACATAAAATGAGTTTATCCCTCTTATATTCAATAATTACAATAAAACAAGATTATACTGAAAATAAGCAAATTGGAAAACCTCTTTCTACTAAGGATAAAGCTAAAGATATTAATTCGATACAACTTTTTTATTTGCATGAGTTACCTGAATGGCAAAAAAATAATAATAATCCATATATTACTTATGGCTATTTAAAGGAAACAAATTCTTACAGGGGGTGTTTTAAAGCATTGACAATATGGAATAATCAATCATTTAATATAGTTTTTAGTGTTGCTACCTCTATTCTTTTTTTCCTACTTTTAGTGCTATTTGCAGATATCTATTTAGTACCTAACTATCCATCTACTACGATGACAGACTATATTGTGATAAATTTGTATTTAGCCACAGCATTTCAATCATCATTTTTTAATGCAACTGCAAGTTGTTTTAGAATCCACTCATTGGTACAATCAAGATTATGGAGTAAAATCTCAAATTTAGGATTGATTTATCATTTGACTACATGTACTATTTCAATTCTATACTATTGTTATTACGATAATGTATTTTATTTTAAATTATTGACAATTTTCACGTTTATGTCTGCTATTGTTATGACTTTGATAATATTAACCGATTTTTTTGATCGGCCTAAATACCTCGATCATAAAGGGTTGTTATTTGTTACATTTGGTGCATTTTTAACCCTGGTACCGCTATCTTTAGGTGTGATGAAGTTTGGCAAAGATAAAGTTGTTAAAAGAATAGATCTTAATATTTTATCGATTGAAATTGGATTATATCTTCTCTCTGCATTATTCTACATTATGAAGTTGCCTGAGAGATTTATTGTTATATCACATAGATATCAACTGACATCACAAAATTTCTTTTATATATGTTTCTTTTTGGCTACGTTGTGCCATTTGAATCTATTGATTAATTCCTTTGTCTTGATGAGATCTGGAGATCATAAACCCACTTTTGTTAGTTTTACATAAACGATTATGTAGATTCTTATAGAAAACTTGTGAGTGTTTTATGAAATAAAATAAACTTTGCATTCATCCCATTCACTTACATATGTTTTCACATATATATGTATATATATATGTATGTGTGTATGTATGTATATATGTATATTATTTTAAGGGTTTTTATTTTTTATGCTTTGGGATCTTTTTTCAATGTTTTATTTTCTCGAAGTATTCACATTTTTTAGTGCAAGATCAACGTTTTTTCTTAAGAAAGGATGACGAATTTAATGATTTCATCACGTGAGATATTAGAGTTAGAATTAGGAAAGTATATAATTAAAAAATAAAGTATAATATTGGCAATAGCAAGTGATATTTTCACTTATTATTATTATTATTCCAGAAGCATTGACTGCACATAAAAAATTCAAAAAATATAATGGAGAAAAGAGATATTCATATTTCAAAATCACTTTCGTACTTACTTCGTCATGGTGCAATAAAAGAAAATTTACCTATTGATTCAAATGGTTATGTTCAACTATCATTATTACTAGCACATAATAGGTTGAAAACACATAAATGTACACATGAAGACATCATTAGGGTAATAGAAAATAATGATAAAAAACGGTTTGATCATAGGATTATTGATGGAATAGAATATATCGCCGCTACTCAAGGGCATTCAATGCAAAATATCCAACCTGATGAAAATATTTTAATCAAGATTTCACAAAATACAAAATTATTACACCCTTTGATCCATGGGACTAATATGAAAGGATTAGAAATGATCTTACAGAGTGGATATATATCTAAGATGAAAAGAAATCATATTCACTTATCTCCTGGTATCGTGGATGAAGATTCCAATGTTATCAGTGGAATGCGAAAAAACTCTCCTGTACTTATATATATAAATCCAGATAGATTGGTTGAAAGAGGTAACCTGTTTAAATCCTTAAATGAAGTATTTCTTACACCAGACGACATTCCCTTGTCTCTGTTTGATAAGGTAGTCTTTAGAAGCAATAAACTAGTCAGTGAGGAAATATTACAAATATTAGACGTTGATAATATAGAATATATATTTAGAAAAAATTAAGTAACGTACTTGTAATTTGATTGTTTTTTTAAAGAAAAAAACATATTTATATGTTGAATGGTGGTACAAAATGTGCTTTAAGAATATACATATGCGCACGCATATATGTATTTCTATTTATTCTTGAATTATTAATTTTTTTTTTTCGATTATCAAACATCAATCTTCAATAATTTCTTGTGTAGGTTCTAACTTAACATCATGAAGATCAGTGGCCTCTGCAATTTGTTGTTTTCTCTTCTTAGCCAATTGCTTAGATGCTTTAATATTAAATCCATCCTTCAAAATGGTCTGAACTTCTTCTAATTCAAGACCAGAAAGTTCAGGATAACAGAAATAACAAAATACAAAAGATAGAGCAGAAAGACCTGCGAAAAATGAGAATGTACCAGTTGGAGTAATGTTTTGTAACATAGTTAAGAAAGTTGACGCAATGACTAAAGAACCAGCCCAATTTGTTGCTGTAGCATAAGAAGTACCCATACCTCTGACGCTGGTAGGGAATAATTCCGATTGTTGCCATGGAACAGTACCAATACCTAAGGCATAGAATGCAGCAAATAGAATAATAAATACAATAATTACAATCCCCCATGCAGAAAACCCTTCATGAATAACTGTGGCATCATTTCCCTCAAATTTAATACCCATAAAATGGAATGCAATAGCACATACAACTAAGGAAGCTGTCATACCAGGTAAACCAATCAATAAGATGTACCTACGACCAATCTTATCAATGACAAAGAATGCTACCAATGTAAAAATAAAGTTAGTACCAGAGACAATAATAGAAACTGCAGTAGAATTTTTGAAACCAACAGTTTCAAAAATGGTACCAGAGAAGTACATCAAAGAATTCCAACCAGTAAATTGTTGGATTGCTTGTAGTCCACATGCAATAATTAAAGCTCTGAAATTTGATGGGACTGCATGTAATTCTTTGATTGTGTTCCAAATTCTTACGGCACGATTCTTACCTGGAATAGCTTTGTTCAACGCAGCTAACTCGTGAACTTTTTGTTCGATAATTTCTTCAGATGCGTTTCTATAACTTTTTCTTAGCACATTCTTGGCTTTTTCATATTCGCCTTTCATGACATAGTATCTTGGAGTATCTGGTAAAAAGAAAAACAGAGAAAATTGCAAAACAGTAGGGATTAAAGACAAACCAACCAGTATTCTCCAACCCTCCTTAACATGGATTAAGCCTGCACCACAACCATAGGCAATCAATTGACCACCAGTTAACCATAAAGAATTGATGACAGTCAGTCTACCACGAATCATCTTGGGAGCAATTTCACTAATGAATAAAGGTGCAATAAGAGATCCAATACCGACACCGAACCCCATGACTAATCTACCTGCTGCCATTTGCCAAAATCTGTTTGCTGTAATCTGTAATATTGCACCAATAAGAAACAAAATGTTGGAAAACATAATACATGATTTTCTACCAAAAATATCAGCAGCGGTACCAGCAAAAATAGATGTAATCAATGCACCTAATGATGTTGCAGCCGTGATAATTTCTTTTTCACCATATGACAAGATTTTATTGCTTAAGTCTTTGTTAATAGAAACCAAAGCACTTGAAATATAACCAGTATCATAACCAAACATGAAACCAGATATAGAAGCAACAAAAGTTAGTATAATAATGAATGGCGAAATACCTTGATTAAAAGTAATGATCACAGAGATATCGTCTTCATCATTAACTGGTTTAATTAGGATTTTATTATCTAGATTTTTGTTCTTTTCATTAATGACAGAGGAAGTAGTTTTATTATTACTATTTTTGTGGGTAGAGGTATTTTTAATTGTATTAAAAGTGGAGGACATATTTGTGTTATTTGAGGAAAACGATCCTCTTTTAGCTATAGGTTTACGTTTTTTATTGTTTAAAGTTGTAGAGTTAATTTCTATTTCATCATCTGTTGAATTATTTCTATTTATTGGATTATCTGTACGGTTTGATATTATAGAAAGCTCATCGTCATCTTGAAACTCTGGTATAATAGGATCATTATTAACCAGAGTATTGATATTATCACCGTTGTTTGTATCCGGTAGGTTATCGGAGGTGTCACTTGTATACATTTAGTCTTTATATAAAGATAGATATATAACCAGAGGAAATGTTATTTTTTTTTATTACTTAAAACAATACTGTTGTATTTTATTTGTTGCTTTAATTGTTATAGACCGTCTTTTTCTATCCTTTTTTTTATTTCAATTTTTTTTTGCTTTTGCCATTAAAGGGTTTTATTCTTGAAGATCATATAAGCTTGTGATTAAGGATGTTGCATAGATATATATCTATATATATATATATATATCCTATACTTATGTGTGTGTGTATTAATTGCAAATGAAGTTAGTCAACAATTAGAATGTGAAATTTTTATACACTATTCTTTTTGATCCACTTGATTTTTCGAACTAATTAAGTTAGAATGTGAATTTTTTTAGGCTTCACAAAAAAAAAAAAAAAAAAAAACAAATGATAAGAAATGAGAACAATCCTTGTAACGAAATATCACTTGCTTATCCGATTTTGTCTTCGTTTTCAGTTGTTTAGTCTTTGATGATAAACAAATGTATACGCCCATACATTCACCTTCTCTCATTATGTGACGATTTTTCGTAAGATAGAATGCGCGCAAGGGAGGAATTCCATTCTATGCTTCAAGCCTTCACATGTTTATTTGGTCATTACTCACGACATGAGGAAATTATCTTTTATGCTTTGTTTTGTATCTCTTAAAAATAAAAGAAAAAAAAAGGAATTATTAAAGTGGAGGTAGCAAAAAAATAAAATAAAATAAAAAGTGAGAAGCAACATTCGTAGTTGTTCGGGTTTAATTCATTCACTTCCGAACCGAAGGTAGTAACTATACTAAAAAGCTGACTGACTAGAGACTGTCATCATCCCTTGGAATTGTTCGCAAGCTCATCAAATTCAACAGCCTTTTTTCCTCTTTGTCGTAGAGGGAATTATCTTTCTTTTTTTCCCGATCAAGAAAAGTTGTTTTATTTTGGACGCAATATATTTATGGTATTTGTTTTAAGGATCCTTCTTTAGGGCTCATTTACATTATACATGAGTGTATAGAAATATAAAACGATGAATAGTATCTGTATTTTGTTAACAACTGGTGATCAATGAGTATTGAATTTAAAGTAAAATCAAAAAGGAAAAATGTTCTACTGGGCATTTCTTAAAAAAAGAAAATGAGTTATAATTATTAAAGGAAACTACAATCTCCATAAAGAAATAATAATAACAATAAGATAAAGAAAAAAGCATGTGAAAAAAGTTTAGTTGGAAAATGTTTTCATAAGTTATTTCTTCTTCAGTATTGAAAATGCCTGGACATCTTAGCATTAAGTTGATAATTTTTATTTTTTTTTTTCTTTTTTCAAATAATATCATTACACCAATGAGCTTTTTATAAATTGTAGACACAGCTACATTAAGGTATATATGGTTTGTTACAGTTTCTACTGCATCATATTTATCTTCCCCACTTAAGTTCAATAGTGTATAAGTACTTCACATAGACTCAAGTAACCCTGTGTTTATGATAGATTGCCTGTTAATATAGTTGTACCCAAATAGCTTATGGTTTAATGGTGTAAAGAAAGTGATTAATGAAGAGCTGCATATTAATATTGTAATCACTTCAGCTTGTTTTGTTAAAAACAGAATGTACCTAAATAAGTAATGTACTTTCAATGATTTCTGTTTATCCTCATTACACTTAATAATTATGAATTTCTTTTGTAAAGTTAAAATGATATCAAAATAAAAAAGAAAATAAGGACTATAATTTTATGAAGAGAAGTTTTTAATTCTTGAATACGGGATTTTCTACCCGGGGTGGTATATATTAATTGTGTGTGTAATACTTATTATCGATGAAGTTATTGTAAAAAATTATTCTATAAAATATGGTACTCTTTGAAAGAGGAATACGGATGGATGACTTTATTTTTCTGTGTCTTATATAGAAACCATGATAAGCTTCTTTTTTAGAAAGTATAATTAACATTAGTAAATTAAAGATTATACAGATCTGTCATGTTTTCATTTTTACATTGGTCAAGTATTTTATTAGATAATATTGACTCGTAGAAAGTATTAAAAATATGTATTAATAAGTTATAAACCTTAAAAAATCTATGACTAATTAATTTTTATATAAGATACATAAAGAAACGTAATATGAAGTTATGATAAAGTCTAAACAGCTACAATAGTAACATAACTTTTTTTTAAAAAAAATAGGATTATATGACACTAGAAATTTACACAGGTTATCAGCAATATTGATCATTACCTCTGTCATATGAAATTTTCTTCTAAAAGCTTATCTTTTTCATTTCTCTGTCGTGTTACATATATATTTTTCTTGGGTTCTTTTATAATACGTCTTCTGAACATATTTTCATCTTGGCGGTTAAATATACTTTAAAAAAATAAAAGTTAATGGAATATTGAATTTCATTTTTAAACAACAAACTATTAATATAATATTTTCCTAAGATATTCAAGTTCTTTCTTTATTTTACATAACGAAAACAATCAATTTAAGCATGAGTACAAGAATTCCGCTCTTCTCAAATAAATTGTCTATGCAGAATGGTTATTCAAAGGAAACCACGCAAAATATGATTTCAGTTATAATGGAATATGACAGACTTACTTTTCAGGCACCACCTGGCAAGCTATTTCAACTATTCGAAGATCATTTGGGAAATTTAAAAGATTTAAATTATACTTGCACCTATAATAGTTTTTACGTATATTTAAATTGGGATTATAACCTTGAAATCTGTCAATTGCAAGATTCAACTTTATTTGAGACTAAATCGTTTTTAAATGAGTCCTCTAGTTTATCAAATATTAAAAAAGAAGAACATCCTCCTTTTTTAATGAAACATCCGAAACAACCTGCACTTTTAAGTTTGTTTAAATACGATAAATGTCTAAAAGAAAAATTGGTTCCTTTAGAGAAATTTTTTAAATTATTTAATAATTGTTCTTATTTAACATCATTTCTGAGATTTAAAAGCATAATTCAAACAATCAGTTTTACTCTTTGGAGAAATATAATTCAGCAATGGCAGTGCTGGTTTAATAAACAAAGTAATTTAGAAATAAAGTTGAAAAAGAATACATTTCAATCGTTAATTGACATTTTTAAAAAATCTTTTTTTCAAAATTATTTTATAATTAGAGATTCAAAAGAGTCTTCGTTAGATGATTTTTGTTCCTCAATCGAAAATAATATGTACAATAAAAATAAGCGCAAAACAAAAAATAAAATATTGTCAATGAACCAAATATTTCCATATTTCAACATATTAGGGATATGGATCGATATGGGGAATGGAATAATAATTATTGCAAATTCAGTTTTTAAGAAAGATGCAATGGCCTATGGTGAGCCTACAACGCTTGTAGCAGGCTATTGTATAAATACAATCAGACCTGAACTTTTAACTAAAAAAATCATTTTATTTTTAAATATTTCACTAATTGAGTTTTTCAAAACGCAGGTGAATTAATTTTTATCGTAAAATAAAAATAAGGAAAAACATTACAATCAGATAAATTTTTTATAAGGGGAATGCTTTAAATATACAATTTTATATATACATGTTATTTAATAGACTTGCTTGGCGTTTAGATAAAATTTTTGACAAATAAAAATTAAAAAGACATATAATTGGGTGTTCAATAATTTGTCAATGAGTTTACTATGTTTTAACAAACTTTCACCTGAAATATTGAGGGAAATTATGTGATGTAAGATTATTATATCCTATTTCTCCTTTTAAATGATTTGAATGATTAGAATTGCAATGTTGAAATGGGAGATCAGTTTAATATTCTTTTTAACCAAGAAGGAAAGAAAAAATAGCGACGAAAAATTGTTTAAAAATTAAAATACTTGGTATATTTGTAAAAAGAGAAAATTCTTAGCTTCTTATTCAATCACCTTTTATAACCTCTAAATAAATGTTTTTTTTTTTTTCAAAATTCGCTACGATACTATACAAATAATTACATATTAATCGTTAAGATCATTTTATCAAATATGGGAACAATGTAATGCTTACACTCATTTATTGTTGGACTGTATTTTTTTTTTTGCTCTTTACTCACTCACTAAATATTTAATCTCACTTATCATTCATGAAACAAGAAAATAAACCACTTAAAGCATAACCATTATTTCTTTATCTTGTTGATACTAGTTATTCTATCTGAGCTAAATATATAATGTTCACGTAAAGGAATGACTCTAAGATTTTTTGACAAACCCTAACTTTATATGGCTATAGTCACTAGGAAAACACAGAATAATTATTTCTTGCCCGATCCTTTTCTATCTCGGTGTAACATACATCAGATCCTTTTTTTAAAAAAAAAAAACAAAACTTTTTTATTGTTTATTTCCTGAATATTTCCAAAAACTGTCATTTTTCCAACTTCACCTCTTTGTTCATTCTATTGTTTATATTACTATTATTTCCCTTTGTATTATTCAAGAAGAAATTTATAAATTTTGCAAAAATTCACTATTGTACTTTTAAAAAAATAATAGATACATAAATAAGCGATGAACAATTAAAAAATTAAAACAATATGGAATAAATAGAAAAAACAAACAAACAAACAAACAAAATAAATAACCTACAAAGGAAACAAATAAACAAAAATAAAAAGAAAGGAAAGAGAAAAAGTTTGTCTGGTTGCTGCAACAACACAGCTTTTCGATTGAGTGCTAAATTATTTTAGAGTTAAAAAAAGAAAACTACAATTTAATTACTATTTCCAACATGGCTAAATAATTATAGAACTTTAGAACTATCCGAAGTTGGCTGTAAGTTCTATATCTTCTTCTTTTTTGTAATACTTCCTTGCTTTCCCTCTTTCTTCTGGTTTCACTTATCCTGACCTTTTCTAAGGGGAGGAACGATTAAGTCGAGAACATCTCTTAAGATAACCTACCTAGCTATTCTCATTAAGGTAAAATTTTGCATTTTTATTTACTTTTGAATAGAATTAGACAGACTAATATAATTTATTATCTGAAGATCTATGTTCGAAGAGTCTATTTTTGTTTTGCTTTGAAATCAATTATAATAGCTTATCTGATTCGTTAATTCTAATTGATTATCTCGAAGTTATAACTGTAATAAATACCGTCATTGTTAATTTTCTACTTTATGTTTTTATACACATATACATATTTATACACATATATTTATTAATATGCATTTAATGACATTATTTTTATTTCATCTGATCTGCCTGTGTTCTTTAGTTGTGGCTGACTATAAATATATTGGTTGTTACAATCAAGATGTCATTCAAGCTTTAGGACTAACGTCAAAAGGTTGGTATATGTACCAATCGGTAAGTTATTGTCAACAACAATGTGATAATTCTAATATCGTAGCTCTACTAAATGGTGGAGATTGTTATTGTGGTAACTCAGTGGAGCAAATCAATTCAATATTATCTACTTCCTCTAATGCAGAGTGTGATATTTCATGTAATGGATGGCCCTACCAGAATTGTGGTGGGGTATCAGCTATTGATCTCTATATCAATACTGCTGTGAATATAGAAACAAATAGTGTTACTGCCACCAAAAGAACCTCCACGTTATCCTCAACTTCATCAAGTAGTATTATCACACCTACTACTTCTTCTACTTCTACTTCCACATCTTCTACATTTTCCTCATCAACAACCCTTATAATATCTACTATTAATAGCCAAACTAAAAAATCCACGACAAGCCCATCAACTAGCCTTATAGCTTCTAGTTCAGTAAGCATCTTTTCACCATCAATAACTTCAAATAATAATAAAATACAGTCAACCACACAGAGTTTGGAAAATTCATTATCAACTAGTACATCTAAATTTACTTCCACGCTAACACCAAGTACAACACAAACAACATCCTCCGCACAAGTATCAACACCAGTACTCACAGTTACTAAAACTCTAAGTAATAGTAATATAATAACCACACAAAAAATTTCATACATAACATCTATCCAATACTCGACAGATATAATCACTCAATCTGTCATTTCTCAAATGGGGAACGTTCAAACAACAATTTATGTGACAGCTACTTCTATCCAACAAATTACTACATCTACTAGCACATTAGGATTATCTTCTATTAATAAGGGAACTACCCCTTCTCATCATAAGCTAAGTGGTGGATCAATTGCAGGTATTGTAGTTGGTGTAGTGTGTGGTGTATTACTTTTAGTTGGTGTATTATTCTTCTTTTTCTGGAGAAGAAGAAAACCAGTTTCTGATGAATACACAGAATATAAAGAAACTATTCAACACCAACCATACTCATTTGGTGAGACTGAACAGAACGCTACCGTAATACCTGTAATTCCAAATGATCTAAGTTGGATGAGCCCTAAGAATAAACATAATTCTGATTCATTTAGTGACTCTTCACAAACTGAATTTATTACTTCCCCAACATCTCCACATTTAGCCAACACTGTAACTAACACAACTTATAACTTTGAACAACCACATTACTATGATAGAGATATATTTAGTGCCTCTTCACTTCATAATGTAAATGAGGGAATGTTACATATTGTCAATCCTGACACAGTGAGTCAATATAATGATTTAAATAAAAATCAAACGAATATTTCAACACTTGATCCTGATTCCACTAATACATCAAATGAACTTGACAATTTTGAAGAAAAATCTTAATGAGACAAATAAAATACATTTTTACACATTTAAACCATTAACGACATTGTTCTTTTTATGATACGCTATCTGCAATTATGTCATGAAATAATTGCCTTCTTTTAATTACTAATATATAGAAAACATATATTCCATTTTTTAATCTTTAGTAAGAATACTACTTTATATTCTTCAGGCATTAGGCAGTCAGGTATTAAACAGATCAATCACTCATTTATGTTTATTTTTTTTTTGTAAATGTTCAATATTTTGCATTTCATTAATATGAACAAAAGTGGGAAAAAAATATTAAGTTAAGTAATAATCTTCAAGTATCTTTTTTTAAGTTTGATAACAGACTTTTCAACTACTCAGCAAGCATGGGCACATATGTTTAACATAGTTTAAGAGTTTTTCAAAGTTTTACCATAGATATAGATCTTTACTGTATGGTATATATATTTTTTACTTTATGTTGTTTTGACACATTTGTTGATATCTTTGCTGTACAATCTATCGATATTTCCTTAATCTACAGTGGAATGATAAGTAATTTTAAATTACCATATACCATTTTCAATGTTGTCGATTTTTTAGAAGTAATAACTTTTCAACCTAAAGAAAGGATCCTGTTGATGTTTAGATCAGGAACTTCCACCCTAATTTATGATAATTTTTTAATAAATAAATTCAAAAAAAACATTATGCATGAATGTACTGAAGTGAATAGCACAAAACTATATACTATTAGATTAACTCATAGTTAATAAAAGAGTACAATAGTCTGTTAAAAAAGATTAAATTTAACCTGCTCTACCATATCATTTGCTCGAGAATCATCTGCAGAAGTAAAGATGGGTGTTATTACGTTTATCTTTGAACAATTTAGTAATTTGGTTATTTATCAATGAATGACCTTGATTTATTTGGAAAGATAAATTTTAAACACTAGGCTGGGTACAGATTAAGTTTATAAATTTGAAAAATGTATGACTAACATTTGGGGCATTTTTGGAATGTGCCGGAAATACCCAATGAAAACAAGTAGATACGGTGATAAAACTGATGATGTAATATTCAATATTAATGAAACAGATAAATTATTCATTTTTGTGAATTAGATTAGATGCTGATACTAATTTGGAAGATCTTTTAAAATTTGTGAGGGATGCTGGGATGCCTTACTATAAGTTTAGGTGATGAGTTATTTCTTTAATTAGAAATATGTATAATGTAGAATCTATAATCCACAATTAGTAATATATTTGATGAAATATATACACCTATGAAAAATAAAACGGCAATAATTATGAACTTTTTATTAAGAGTAAAGAGTATAGTAATGAATAAGGCTATCTATTTATTTCCAATGTGATGGAAGAAATTGTAAGATATCATTCTTGTACAATTTTAATGGCGTTTTTTTAATGTGTTTATTCTCTAAAGGGAAGGTTAAGGAATATTGCTCTTACATATATAAAATATATGATTATTTATAATATATGGCCCTGAGTATCAAAGAGGTACATATAAATACTTTTCATTTAGAGACAGTTCATGATATTGGATTTTCAAAATAGGCAGTTATTTTTGTTGTATTCCATACGTTTATTTGCGTCCTCTGTTGGCATGTCTATATTTGTTTCTAGTTCTCTATTAATGTTTCAATTTCAGCAGAATAATTGACGTTTAGCTTACAAGCATTATAACTAAAAATCTTTTCAAGAATTCGTTAAAAACCACTATGAAGTAATTCAAAGAAATAAAAAACAGGGAACATTTCGTATATTCTTCACAAAATAAAAAAATAATAATCAAAATAACTAACTTAGCATATCGTTACATTGAAAATTGGTATCAAAATATATTTATATATATCTGTACATATCAAAATAAAAGAATAGATTAAAAATAAGAACCCAAACACATGACATGCATCGATAGCGTTTACAATAGACTGTAAATGACTCTTATCAAAGCCATGGTACCTAATACATTTTTGGCGTTCAACATGTTACCAGCTCCATGTGCTTCGGAGATGGATTTAGTTGAAGATGAAGCAGAAGATATGGAGTTGGTCTTACCGGTCGCAGTGGCGCTCATTGAGCCTAATAATGTAGTGTTGTGATAACCACCAGTTAAAGCCATAGTAACTGTACTTTTGCTTGAGCTAGTAGTTAAGTCTGAAGAATTACCAGGCTCATGTGCTTCGGAGATAGATTTAGTTGAAGATGAAGCAGAAGATATGGAGTTGGTCTTACCGGTCGCAGTGGCGCTCATTGAGCCTAATAATGTAGTGTTGTGATAACCACCAGTTAAAGCCATAGTAACTGTACTGTTGCTTGAGCTAGTAGTTAAGTCTGAAGAATTACCAGGCTCATGTGCTTCGGAGATAGATTTAGTTGAAGATGAAGCAGAAGATATGGAGTTGGTCTTACCGGTCGCAGTGGCGCTCATTGAGCCTAATAACGTAGTGTTGTGATAACCACCAGTTAAAGTCATAGTAGCTGTACTGTTGCTTGAGCTAGTAGTTAAATTTGAAGAAATGGAAGTGGATTTATCATTCCAACAGTATGTGGAAAAACATTTTGCACATTCATCTGGTAAAGTAATATTTAGACTTTCTTGTTTACGTCTCATAATGGCACAACTAACACATCCTACGAAATCAGGATCTTTGGTTAAATTACCCATTGTCATGGCTTCAAACCCATTTTGAATCATAGCAATACGTTCTTCAAGATCATAACTTAATTTGAAAGTACTTGTATTTGAGGCGTACGAATATTCAGTGTTTGGAATGTAGACAATCAATGGTGGGACATAGGCTAATTCAGTTAAGTTTGAGGCATCACAACCAAAAAAAGTAGGTCTTTTGTTCAAGCCTTCTTTGACAAAAACTTCTGTTGTTGGAACATATGGGAAAGCAAAGTGTCTACCTTGGGAAGTGAATTGACGTTGATAAGTTTGAACTAAAGAATTACCATTTGGCCATTGTTCATCTGTATCATCACTATTGTCAAAGGCAAAAATGACATCTAGATCACGTTTCTTTTGCAATAATGGTTCAAATGGGATAACTTCACCATCTTCACCACCATCTACTAAATATAAAGTATCAGATTTAGATAAAGCAATAGAATAGTCAGCATCCATGGTACTGATGCCCTTAAATGGGTTTGGAGCATAAATACCAATATCGGTGTCATCGCCGGTAGCATTAGGTAAAAATTTTGCTGCAAAAGCTGAAATAATAGCAGTAAAGGAAGATCCAGACACCAAATTGAAAATATCAGCAGAGGTACCAGTGATGAACCCAACATTGTCAAATCCAGCAATACATTGATCACTTTCAATTGGTAAACCATTGTCTACTTTAGAACCTAAATATTGAACATCTGTAAAAGCGTTCAAGGTTGGATCCCAAGAGCCCATTTCAAATGGATTAAATTCAAAGACGGTAGAGTTGGTACTCGAGATGGTGGAACCTGGATACTTTCCATCGGCAACACTGATGGGGAATGGCATCCCAGCATTCTTGAAGACATCAAAGTCCCTAATACTAGACCATGTTAAAGCAGAACCAGCTTCTGGCAAGTTAGGGAAGAAATAACGGGAAAGAGCACGACCCCAAACATCAACCAAAGAGACTTTAAATCCGGCAGCCACTTTTAAGTCAATTTCTTGTCTAATTGCTTCAAAAATTTGAGCTGTTAATGTTTGATTGACACCACCTGGCGACAATACACTATTTTCAAGGTCCCATATGGAGGAAGTGTTGGTGGCACTTAAATTATTTAAGATATCTTGAACAGAAGTCCAGTTGTTCCAAGCTAGTGTAGTAGTTAACCAATTACCACCAGAAAGACCTGCAAAATAAGTGGCACCCTGTAGAAGACCACCCAAACCATGTTCATCGGCACCGTAAGTTCTGTCATCCATGGCAGCAACCATACCTGCAGCCGATAACATAGCACGGTAACCACCACCGGAAGCAGCAATACCGACCTTTGGAACATTCTTATCGTCACTAAACAGTTTCTCCACTAAATCAGTATTTGAAAAGTTGGTAGTACCACGAGTCAAGAAATCATGTAGGGCACTTTTAGCGATTGGATTTCTCTTTTTCAACCATTCAATTTCATTTTGAGATAAACCGGTTGCACTTCTTATAAGTGTACCACCTGGGCACGAAACATTACCAGGAGCATAGCCATTGGTTGGAGACCACGCATTTACTTGGGTAGTAGTGACATAGGAGAGCACAGAAAGTGCCAATAACACATCATTCAGCTGCATTTTTTATTGATGCTATTATCTAATTTGATTCGTTTATCTGATTCTTCAGCGCTTGTACTTTGCGTAGATTCAAGCTAGAAGAAGATGATTAGGTATATACGTAAAAATGTCTGATGAGTTTCACGATTGTACTATGCTTATGTATTTATATATTACCCATCGACCTAATAATACAATATTTTGTTGCCAAATGTCGCTGGGGCCATTCATCTTAGCATTAAGAAACCAAATCGGCCCAACTTTCTGAAATCCTAAAATGTTTCTTTTTTTTTTGTTTCTTTGTTATTTTTTATTGTTGATGATATGCTTTGTTCTGTTTTGTTTATTTACTCGGCTGCTCGTTTCCTGCACTAGAAATGATCTCATAACAACGTTCTTGCCTCTTTGGTGTTGTTTTCGTCAACAAAAAGTTTGTAAACAAAGGAGTTGCAAACCAAAAATAAAAAGACAAAAGAAAATTCAAACATTTTCTTCAAAAAAAAATCCCCGAACAATAAAAAAAATCACAGATTTTTGTCCCGCCTTTTTTTCTCGAGAAATTGAAAAACTTTCCGTTGTCTTTGATTTCATGTTGCTTTGTTCCGTTTTTTTTTACTTTATCTTTTATTTCTCCGATTTGTATTTCTTTCCTTGGCTTTTTTATAGCTATGATAAGGATAAAGTTAAGAATTTAGACCTGGTAATACCGGGTTTAGCTACATGTACATACATACATATATATAGATATATATAAATGTAATTGTATTTATAGATGATTAGTTAATTATTCAGCCACAAATTGTACTAGGTGGCTTCCAAGTGGGAGAGACTTTAAAAATACACACAAAATCATATGCACATATATATGTATACATTTGTCTAGAGTTTGAGAATCTTTTATTAGTTATTTTTTGTGCTTGTGTTGTTTTTATGGAAAAGACATTCTTTCCTGTAAGACCTGTAAAGCCAACTGTCTGCGTCTGTCTTCTGTAGAACTTGTAATTTTCTTGGCACCACGTTTGATTGCAATATCATTACCTTTATCTATTTCTTCCATATCAAATGGAGTGATGATATCTAATCTGATTACCACTAAATCATATATCCAGTTAAAAACAGGTCTTAGGAAAGGTTTGATCACGTCTGGGAAAAAGTAGATTAGTTCAAATGTATCTGATGCATCACCCTTGACGTAACCTTCCTCATCTCCATTATTCATTGGTAATTGTTGGAAAAACCTTAAATAAACCCAACAACACATAAAACTGATCCAAATTGATAAAAGATCAGCAAAATGGTGGAACCAAAACAATTGAGTGATCGTCATAAAACAAGTAATGAAAATTGGTAATAATTTAAACCTGAAATTTTTTTCAAATGGATACTTGAAATCGATTATCGTAGTCTCCGGCAACAATTGTTTATAAATTATTGCAAACCCAATTATTATGCTATAATTCCCATCTAATGGCGTGTCTAAACTAATATTTGGTAAAATCAACGAAAAGAAATTAGTTGCTACTAAATTAATAAAATTGGTAATAGATCCAACAACTAGCACAAATTTAAACATCTCCGCAGCACTGTTCCAATTATTCTCGATAAACGTACCACCTATCAAGAGGTTGATTAGAGTAACAATAAATTTCCATAATTTTGTATCAATTAAATTCGAGGTAACGATAGCGTATGGGTATTTCAAAACTTGGCTAGGGATCAATTGGACCATCGGATTGAACACATTTCCTCCAGGCTCACCATCATACATGGCATGTATTGAAATATATAGGATAATAGAGAAATATACATAGGTTCCAGTTATGTATTTGGTTGCAGTGGGAATATTTTTAAAATCTAAGATAGAATCGGGAATATCGATCCCTAAATATTTTGTATCGATTTTCATTGTTTGTATGATCCTATCAATTCCTTTTTGTTTTTTTTTTCTTTTATTGTATTTTCGATTTTTTGTAAAGGATATCAGTTACTTTAATGACAATGATAAAATGTTTTTATAAATAGCTAATGCTCTAATCTTTACAAGGCGTTGTGCACCAAAAACAAGGATAGTATATTAAAAGTTCTTATTTGTTAAATTAATCTTCTATTTCTTTTTAAAAAAAAATTTTTTTATTCGTTGATTGTTTTTGGCAACATATCATATTGAACGAGAAAGAAAATAAATAAATTAATCTGAATTTATGGAGGAAGAAGATGATGTGATTTACTCTTAGTAATACATGTAAATATATATATGCATATATATTTATATATCTATTGCTGGTTCAAAAAGAACATTTTTTAAATAGAAAGGAAAGAAAAAAATTTAGGAAATGATAATCAGCTAGGTAAATGTTCATTGAATAAATTGTTTATCCATAATTTCTTATTTTTGTTTTTTCGACCTTGCTTTTTTTTTATTAAAGGCTTAGACATGTATTTAGATTTATTTTAAAATAATAATATATAAGAATTGGAATTGTTTCCGACATTTTATTTTCTATGACACAAACTTGATTATTTTTTTTCTTATTTCACACTTTATTACTGTCATGTCAAAGATAAAAAACAAACTTCAGAAAAATTGAAAAATGAAAAGCTAATATACAATGACCATTTAAAAGAAAAAGAAAAGGTGAAATCTGTTACCTTTAAAAATCACATGCAAGAAGGCGATACGAACAAGTTTTATGTAGTTTAAGATATTTTGCTAAATCTAAAGTCTGTTATTTATACTAGCTTCATCAGTACCAAATTAAGAAGTTAATTTACCGCAAAATTTTTAAATATTCTTATTTATATTTTTTTATTAGTATTTAGATATTGTTAATTTGGATTAATGGCGACGATGGAAAGTAGCACATCCAAAAATAAGGGTCATTTATTTTCACATAATATTGCTATAGATACTAATAGTCAGAATGCTTTAAGTGGTGATAGAGGTATTACTAGCGCTATTCCTGCTACAACACCCGACAATACCAATTTAGTGAGTCAAGTGGTATATATGACAGAAGAGACAACAAAGAAAGTCAGAAAGCAACGCAATAAAAAATCAAAGAGATTAACAGACCACCAAGTTCGCATAAATCATGTCACATCTGAAAAAAAAAGACGAGAAATGATTCGTTCGATATACGATGACCTGGTTGGGTTGGTTCCTGGGTTAAAAACTACCGAAAATAGATCAGAATTAATTATTTACTTAAAGACAATGGCATATCTTAAATGGTTATATTTAAAAAACAAAAGGCTTCGAGAACAAATCAAGGCATATGGAAATATTTCGGAACAAGAATTAATCGATAGAAATCTTGTGTGGGAACTAGAAGATGGCCTTGACTTATTGTCATCTCCTTGAGAATGAACGGACATAATTAAAACAAAAGAATTTTTTTGTTTTTGATGAAGATAGAATTGTCACATAAAGTTGTGTTTGGCAATTAATCTGTAATGTGTATTATTTTACAAAAAATATTTATACTGTCATGATATGTATTTTTTTAAAAAAAATATTACATGTATATATGATATTATAGTTAAATATGTTTTTTTTTAATTTTTTTTTTGTTATTGCACTTTCACTATGTGATTAGTCTTGCATCACTTGACTTTCAAGAATTAACTTTTCACAAAATTTACGAATTCATCATTTAAAAAAAAATTGTTCAATATATATCTGAATGTATATGTACTTTTTACAATAATATAAATATATCTTATTTAATGGTTCCATTAACTTTTTCCTTTAATTGCTCAATTTCATCTTGTAGAGCTTTATTTTTCTTCCGATATTTTTCTAATTCCTCTTGTGCTAATTGGAGGGTTTTTACTTCATCAAGAGTAATAGTATTATGGTTATCTGTTTCTTCCTCTTCTATTTCATCAAAAGATTTTTGTGATAGTAAATCTTGACTTAAAGATCTATGTCTTCTCTCTAATCTATGATACTCTGCATCTAATTTACCTCTGGAGTGACTTAAATCTTTGCTTTTAACCAAGAGATCGTCTAGTTGTTTTGATAGCTTACCCACTACTGCTTTGTGACGCGGAGATTCAAGGGACATTTCCTCGTATGAGATTTTTATATCATCTTCTAGCATATGACTTGTGGTTGAGAAGTCACTAAAATAACTTTTCCATCCTTCTAATAATGATTCGATATTATTCGAATATACTTTGATATTTTCAATAAAATCATTCTCATATTGTTCTAATCTATTTTTCAACTCTTCATTTTCTGCACTAACTAATTGATATTTTTTCTCTAATGAGACATATTTATCTCTGAAGTTTTCATCAGACATAAGTTTGTCAATTGTCGAATTTTGTTTTCTGATAATCACATTTAACACGTCTAAATCCAAAAATTTTTCATTCAATAATCCTTTTAAAGTATTAATATAATTACACAACTTTTTATTTTCCTCCACTATGTCACTTTTTTGGTTATTTTTTGCCAAATGTTCCCTCAACGATTCTTTTAATTTCTTATTTTCTTCCTCCAATCCCAATATATGATTACTTGCCTCGTTGGCCTTATCTGTTGTTAGTTGTTTTAGATTTTTTAATTCAAACTGTAAGTCTTCTAATATCTTATAATCTACCTGAATCATTGTTGATTGAGGTGTGGTATTATTTTTGGGAGAAAAATTAGCTAATGATTCTGTATCTCCTTTAATGTGGGGTGAAGATCCATGAGGTGATGTCTGTTTAGGGCTTGTCTTAGTGGTAGTACTACTGAAGTTGGTTAATGTAGAATGTTTCATCATGTTTGTGTTGTTTTGCAACTGATCTACGGAACTGAGGTGGCCTTGTTTATCAGAAATTGGAGTAAATTGCTTATCTAATTCTGATGTTACATTATCAATATTAACAGAATCATTATTAGTAATATTTTTGATAGGGGATTCTTTGACCTGGAATAAGTGCTCACTCTTAATAGGCGTTCGAATAGCTACTTCGATTTCAGGAGTTGCTTCCTCATGTAAATCGGAGTCCTCAAAGGTATGCTCTTCATTATCTTTCGAGCTTGGAGTTACTACCTTTTCTAATAATTCCTTTTGATTTTCATCTTTAAAATAAGAGTTTTCTTCAAAAGTTGGTGTCACGGCCATGTTATTTTCGGGAGTACTATCAAAAGTTTCTTCATCTTCAACTTTGGGTGTTTTTTGATTCTCTGATATTGTATGTGGTGTTAAAATATTATGAGCTGCAAGCTCAGGTAACTTATTAATATCCTTTTGGATGACACTGTTAGTTGTTTTTTGTTCATTGTTAAACTCTTTGTTGGAAGCTTGTGGGGTTGAAGGGTAATTTTCTTTATTAGATAACTTTGCGACATTGTTTCCAGGAATTTTGGCACTTGGAACTCGATCCATAATGCCGGGACATAAATCTTTTAATTTTGATAAGTCTAATGTATATAATATGGTTCCATTGCCCATGTCGGTTTCCGAAGTATGAAGGTCAAATTCTTCAGGTCGAGAATAATCAAACTTATCACCACCCATAATTAATAATTTGTTATTTTTTAGCAGTGTTACTGAATGTCCAGACCTACCTTGTGGAATACCCACAGTTAAGAAGGGTAATTTGTACCATGTAAAAGTATTTAAGTTCAAGAAGTATACTGTGTTCAAATAATTATCTGATTCATCTTTACCACCGGTAATACACATCAAATGGCCATACATAACAGCAGCGTGTTCTTGCATTGGTGGAGGAATATTGCCATCATCATCTCCTGCCCCACATGTGTCGATAATGCACCAATCATTAATATCAGGATCGTACATAAAAACTTTATTTATTAGACCTTGTAAAGTATCTCCACCAAATACCCATAATTTATTGTCATATGATACCATTGTATGATTTGTTAAAGGCGGTGGAATAAAAGTCTTTGGTTTCAAAAACTCCCAGTGAGAATCAGGTCTTCTAAAGGACGATAAATCAAATACAGCTAGATTATTAAAGTACGTGTCGTCAAATTGACCACCAAATAGATACAATTTGGTCTTCATTGGTGTCGGAGCAATAATGGATATTTTGTGGCCATATCTACCCAATGGTCTAGGACCAACTGGGTTTGGAATGGTCCATTTATAGGAATTAATATTGAACAAATATAAGTCATCATCCATCAATCCATCTTTGTTGACCTTATGTGTATCACCTCCAAACACTACAAATGCATTTCCACATAAAGTAGCAGCATGACCAACTCTAGGTGGTGGAGTAGTTTCACTGATATCTACTGTGCTGGATTCGAATCGGGTACCATTCTCTAAAGATTTAATGATCCATACATCACCGTATACGGACTGATCGTGTAGTCCACCAATGACAAATACTCGATCATCATCTGTGCCATAAGCGGAGGCAACATGTCGATAACGAGGAAATGGTGAGTTTTTTAATTTGATTCTGTTCCAAACTATAGGTTCTTGAGTCACTGGGGGAGTATTTAATAAGTTATTTTTAGGTACAGATACTTGAGTTTGCGAATAAGGATTATATAAAGGAGAAGAATGTTGTGACTGTTGAGAATTATCATGGGTAGAAGTATTTGATTCATTGGATCCTTGCACTGTTAGTCTGCTTTGTGACTGTTGTTGTCTTTGTTGTTCTTGTTGTTTCACTTGCATCAATTGAGTAGCTCCTGATACACTTCTTTGACCAAAAGGTTGTGGAGTGGGATATACCCTTGCTTGTGATGAATTATATAGTTGTTGTCTTTGATAGGAAATATTATTTAACGAACGACTTTCATTTAATGGTGTTTTCTGTGGTACAGGTGGTAGAGCTTGATTCGGTTTCGGTAGTGGATTGGAAGAATTATGCAGCTGTTTATTATCATGATTTATATTAAAATGAAGAAATTTAGAGGGACTTATTCCATTTTGGTCTTTCTGTTCATCAGTGTTGGACTTGGAAGACTTGTGCTTATCCTTGGTTAACTTCTTAAAATTAAAACCGGCCATTAAAAATTTCCAACTGTATTTGCCTTTTTATAAATAATTCACTAGATCAACGATCTAGTTTTGAAAAAGAAATATCTAGTGGAACCAGAAGTTTAAACAAATTTTTGCACAGTTCTTTTAAAATATTAGAATGGTTTAGTTATTATTAGCTGTTTAGAAGGATGGCTTTGTTTATATCATTTTTTTTTGAAATTTCAAAAAAAGTCTTTGGATTTTTGCTGAACATAGATAAACGGATAAACAGACAAAAAAATGTGACAGAAAGGCTTATGACAGGTAGATCAAAATGAAATAAATTACTTCAAATAAGCTAAAGCTTGATATATGAACAGCCATAGAAATAGATAATGAAGTGTTTTAATTAGTACATGCAAAAATTTATTTGAATATATAATTGTAAGTGTAAAGTTAACTCAAGAATAGATAGTACGCGGATGAATAAGAAAAACACTAAGATATAATAAAATATAATAATAGAGAATAGAAATCGAATGCGTTCTTACAATTCTTCCTGTCCCTCATCCAAGATTGGAAAATATTCATTTCCAACAACTTCACCAGTTTTTGGGGTGTATAATTCCTTTTTAGTATCTTTTAGAGTCACAACACCATCACTAACTTTTCTCATTAACCCAATAAATTTGGATGAGGCGAACTTAGATTGTAATTGAGATCTACTTGTTTCATTTGGTGAAGATACAATTTCAAGAGAACATGTTTTAACAATATCAGTGGCAGCCTTTTGAAATTCGATTTGTTCAAAATTTGTAGATATCTCAGTGTTAGAATCGTTTTTGATTTGTTGATTGTGTAACTCATTTTCTAAATTGGTAAACTCTAAGTCAAAGTATGAATCAATAGATTGTTCTGCTGTTGCTGGTGCTGATAGTGGAGTTGTCATTGTTCTTTGAAACATCGCAGTTTGTGCTCTTTTAACAGGTATATAGCCAGACTGGTAGTTTCTTGTTAATAAAGGTCTTTGATTTCCAATGTTAGCAAATCGATTCATTTGAGAATTCTGCATTCTGGTCCCAGCAGAAGTTGTTTTACCTGACACATATTTGTCATACCAAGTTTTGTAGTCATTAGTAAATTCTAAAGGATCATAAACTTTCATTGAAGAAAACTGTGTTAACCATTCGTCTGAAAGAGAATCTTCATCAGTTATTGTATGTGTTCTAGATAGTGTTGGTAGTATTGGACTTTGCATTGGAAAAGATTCATGTTGAGCAAATGATTTCTGTTGTCCTTGGTTGAAAAAAATTGATTCTTTAGATTCATGTTGAAATACAGGATTATTATTTGTTGACTGATTTAATATGTTTGCACAATTTTGATTATTAAATGGGGGTCGACTCTTGGACCCTAATTGTTCTAGTGGATTCACACGACATGTATTAGACATATTGGTATATTCTAATCAGTAAAGTAACCTTATGTCGCACTACTATACCTCTTTCTTTCCTTAAATAAAACAGTGTACAAAGTAACTTTATACTATAAAAAAGTTATGTAATCTGCATAGAAGGTAGGAAACCTGCACACTTTCTGTGATATAATACATTAATACATGTTAGCCATCATAGCAGATAAAAGCAGGAAAATTTTTCTTTTTTGGCATATATTAACTTTTTCTTTTTTTTTTATCGCAGAAAAGAAACTTTTTAGGAATGAATAATAAAGGGCAGAAAAAGAAACAATTACACAAAATAAAGAAGATGATGACGTGTGATAATCAATAGCAAAGAGTACGCTTCTATAAACAGGTGGATATTCAAGTTCTAATATGCCATGCCCGCCAGGAAACTTTTTTGTTAGAATGAAATAATATATCAAGAAAACACCATAGATATTTAATGAGGACTCAATTTATGTATATGCATATGCATCCCTACAGTATATTAAATGGCTTTATGCTGTATTATATTATATTATGTAGAAAATAGATTATATAAAGTTTGAAAAATACAGGTGCTCTTTGTATATTCAAAACAGCACAATATTCATATATAGAAGAATAATTTTGTATCATAAGTTATTATTATATAAAATAAAAAAAAAACTAAAATAAACAATTTTTGGATTTATCATTAAAAAGTAAAAGATATTAATACGTTACATAGTCGTTCTCATAATGTTATTAAGTAGTGTAAATGAGCTATTAAGAACAAATGTGCACACATCATGTAAAACAACTTAATTTTAAAAAAAGAATTAACAATGAATATTTCTAGAACGGGTAATAAAAAGGTGTTCTTGGAAAATCATTGCTTAGAAGCGGCGTTGGTTTTCAGCAGCAGCCACTTCGGCTCTTAATTTTAATCTACCGGAAAGAATGTCGCTGATCTTGTTGAATTCATTCCAATGGACTTCTTGACCCTTTCTTAATTCCACGTCAGTTTCGTTTTCCCATAGGTGGGCAATTGGTTTGAAGGAGATCTTAGAACCGTTAACACAAATAACCGCAGCAGAGTCATCTTCGTTTTCGACTGTAGAAATCTTTTCACCTTGAGCATTGAAGGTGAATCTCAATATGTGAACATCAGAGTCGGGAGATTTAGCTTGGTTTTTCTTGTTCCAGTTTTCAATGAATTTACAACATTTGACAGCATATCTAGAAGCAGTGACTCTGTCCTTAGAAGATGGTACACCACCTTGTTGAGCGTGACCTGGGATGGCAGTTCTGACACCGAATACACCCTTGCTTTGTTCAGAGATAATATTGGCAATCAATTCAGTGCTGTAGACACTAGAAGCCTCTTCATTTCTGATAACAATCTTACCATTTCTGTTTTCACCCTTATCGTGTCTGAAGTTCTCTTTTAATAAGGTTAAATCTTCCCTGATAGAAGCCAAATTGATCTTATCTTCTGGAGTGTAGACAGAGACAGCACCAGTAACTAAACCAGTGAAGGAGGCGATGTAACCTGAGTGACCACCTTGAACTTCCACAACAAAGACTCTTCTTCTGGTAGCAGAAGCACTTTGCTTGATGTCATCAGTGTAGTTAACCAAGTAGTTCAAACAGGTGTCAACACCCAAGGAGTATTCAGTACCTGGAACATTGTTGGAGATGGTACATGGAATCAAAGTCATTGGGATGTTGAAAATTGGGTGTTCTTTTCTACCATCTCTCAATTGTTTCAAGGATTTGAAACCTTCGAAACCACCAAGGATAATTAAACCGTCAAATTTGAACTTTTGGAAGTAGTAAGCAATGGTACCCATATCTTCAGCAGCAACGGATCTGTTAGTACCAATTTCAGAACCACCCATGTTGTGCCAGTTTTCAACGTCGATCCAAGATAACTCTTTAACGTTACCAGTTTGGATTAAACCACTGAAACCGTTCATGATAGCGTATGGTTTGTGACCATGGGATAAACAGTAAAGAGTGGCAGCTCTTGTAGCAGCATTTAAAGCAGCAGATGGGGCACCGACATGGACAATACCAATGTTCAATCTTTCATTGTCTGGTAATAATTGGGAACCATCATCCTTAACAGTAGTAGATAAGAAATTTTCATAAAGTTCGATGAATTCGGTGTCTCTTAAACTGATAGCCTTGTCAAAGTCCTTGTTTTCGATGGCTTCAGCAACAGACTTAGTTAATTTGACTGATTCGACCAATGGCATTCTGATAATTTTGTTTTCCAAGATACCAATCAATGGAGATGGGGTTTCTGGGGTGTTTTCCAAGACGGCCTTGACAGCATCAACACCTTGTAAAGTAGCTAACCATCTGTCGTGGGCTACAGCAGTACCACCTCTTTGAACATGACCCAAGATGGTGACCTTAGTATCTAAACCTAAGTCGATTAAAGCATCCTTGACTTGTTCAGCGGTGACTGGGTTTAATTGATCATCTAAAGCACCTTCAGCGACAATAATGGTGTTGTTTCTTCTACCCTTCTCTCTGTGTCTTTGACAAACTTGTTTCAATTCTTCTTGCCATTTACCGTGTGGTACAGCTCTTTCTGGGATGAAGATGTAGTCAGCACCAGTAGCAATACCGGCCATTAAGGCTAACCAACCACAGTGTCTACCCATGACTTCGATAACGAAGGCTCTAGAGTGGGATTTAGCAGTAGCATCGATGTAGTCGACCATTTCACAGATTCTTTCCAAGGCAGAGTAAGCACCAATGGTAGAATCAGTACCAGACATATCGTTATCGATGGAACCAACAAGACCGACAATGGTTAGGTTTCTGTATGGAGCGACTTGTTGTTCAGTGAAAGCACCATCAGCAACCAATTCTTCAACCAGAGATGGCCATTCAGATCTGAATAAATCGGCACCAGTTAGAGAACCATCACCACCACAGACAACAAGAGCATCAATACCTTCTCTAATCAAATTACCAGCAGCTCTCTTACGACCCTCTCTCTTTCTGAATTCCATAGAACGAGCAGTACCGATTAAAGTACCACCTTCAGACAACCAACCTCTGACGTCTTCCCATTTCATCTTCTTTAAAAGTTCACCACCTCTTAACAAACCTTCGTAACCTTCGTATACAGCGTAAACGTCACAACCGAAATGGATACCAGTACGAACGACGGCACGAACAGCAGCACACATACCTGGAGAGTCACCACCAGAGGTCATGACTGCAATCTTCTTCTTAGGTTTCAAAGAGCCCAAAGAGGTCTTTAATTTAGTCAAGGCATCTTCGCTAGTAGAGGAGGTGGAGGTAGCGTTGGAAGATGCAGAATTGGTCTTAGAATCGATGGGGTTCAAGAAGAATTCTTTAGAAGTTGGTTGGTTATCTAATGGAGAAGCGAAATTGGTGAAGAAGATTTTATTATCTAATGGATCGACTAAAGAGAATAAGTTGTCATTAATCTTAGCTGGTTGGAAGTTAGATAATAAAGTCTGTAATTCAGTAGAGAAATAGGTGATTTCCAAAGAATCTTGAGTGAATGGAATTTCGTCCTTTTTAATAGCAAGACGAATCTTTAACAAAGCACCTTGAGATTGTTCTTTATTGGAAGCTTCTTGTTGTGGAACACGGAAGCCAGCAGCATCGATTTCACTTAATTTAAAGGATTCTAACCAAACTTCTCTTAAAGAATCTTCAGAAGTACCGGAAGCTAGAAGAGAGTTTTCGCCGTGTTTAAACTTGTTGAAATCCTTGATAGTGGCGAAACCTAAGGAATGATAAAACTGGACAGTTTTTTTGAAAAGATCTTCGTCACTGGTCACTAAAGATCTGAAAGCGACACCATAGCAAGGTTCTTTGCCAGACATCTTATTATTATTAATTTTTTGTTTTGTTTTTGATATATCTTATCTAATGCTGATTTTTCTATCAAAAACAGAAGATATTACCTTGTACCTTCTCAAATTAAAACAGAAAGGAAGAAAGGTCCAGCGAAAGTAAGCAAAAACAGTTGAAATAAAAAAAAAGAAGCTTCAAGAGTTGGGAAGAATAAGAAAGTAAGATAAGTTGTAACTTGAAAAGAAAAGAACTATTAACAAAGTTTACTGAAGGAAAACATATAAAAAAAAGAAAAAATGGGAAACAAGAGTGAAAAAAAAAAAATCCTGTAGTGAGTCAACTGTGGTAACTAAGAGGTGAGGGCGATCTAGGAAAGGTCATATAACGTTACTAGAAGGAAGGAAAACCAAAGGAAAATGAGATGCCCATGCATAATGAACCTCTGAGTATATATTACAAATTAATATCAAGTGAAATTTGTGTATTTGCTGAGTCTAAAACTAAAGAAAAAAATAAATAAATAAATAAAGAAAAAAAGAGAACATTTCAAAAGATAAAAAAAAAAAATGGAAAAAGAAAGGAAAAGAAAAGAAATGGAAAAAAAAAATTGAAGAGAAAATGAAGAAACACAGAGTGAAAGCAAGATCGTTCGAACAAGGAAAAAAGATCAATACTTGGTGTCAATTGCGGGAAAGTAGTGGAATGAATAAATGTGATATATGATTATAAGAAGATATTAATCATTTTCTACAATAGTTTACCTTTTATTTTTCTTTCTCACTAATAAATACTAACAGTAGTAATAGTCGTAGTTAATCATCATCATCATCATCATCATTATCAGTAACATCGTCATTACCATTGACATCGTTGTCTTCTTATAAATAGAAGATGGGTCTTTTGTTTTCTTCCCTGTTTGAAGAACACCTTGACTAGGTAGAAGAGAAAGGGAGAAATGAGGATATTGGGAAATTTATCTTTCTGGAGAGAATGGAAAATATAAAAAAGAAACTTCACACTGGTAACTTGATGTGCCCTGTAATTGTTCACGAAATAGGGTTTTTCGTGATGATTTCAATTCCGCGCAGTTTTTTCCTGTGGTCATTTCTTGTACGTTACCAAATTCTCAAAAGTGAGAGGGTCAGTATGATAAAAATTGACGTCTACTTGTTTTTGTTTTTTCTTTTATTTTTTTCTGTTGAACTTCCGGTATTTCTTAATCTTTTTTTTTCTTTTTCGTAATTGTTTTATTTTTTGTTTTATTTACTATATAAACAAAACACTACATGCTAAAATAGGCAATTTCTAATTTGACATTATTACATACGAACCGTCAACAATATCTTTTTTTAGATATAAAATTTGCTTATAGGATGCTAAAGATGTGTGGGTTTTGAAAAATTTCATTTTTTTTGTTTATTGGTGCTTTCTTATTTTTTTTTTTTTCTGTTAATTCCTTGAGCAGTCGCTTATAGTTAACCTTCCATCTTTTGGGCGGCAATCCTTTCTTGTTTAAGTAAATAGAAATCACTATCTCGACGATTTTGTCTTGATATAGTAATCAATCACAAAATAATGTCATATATATGTATTTTTTGTACGTATCTATGTATATATTGCTATAAATGTATTGGATGTTTGTAACGCAGAAATTGAGAGTTTTGTTGATAATGTTGTGGTCTTCACTAAATTTAGAGGACATGCATTTGCACTAGTCACTAGATGTCGATCAAGTTGCTATTACGTTGTTGTTGCTGTTGCTGTTGCTGTTGCTGTTGCTGTTGGTGTGGATGTTGTTCTTGTTCTTGAGTCTGTTCGAAGGGGTTTGTATTTACTACAGCATATTGGGTGACTTGAACAGGTAAGTATGTAATTCCTGCAGTCGCAATTTGTTGTTGTGGATCTAATGTGGGTACCACTGAAGGTTCCTCGACAATACTATTTAAAATAAAAGGGTTGGTATTGCCAGTCGTGGTGTTATTCAGATGAACTGGTTGTTGTGAGTATCCACCAAACCCAGCTCCTGTATATGCTGGCACAACATTTTGGTTTGTTGCATAGAATCCTGTAGAGGCGGAAATAACAGGGGTTTGAACTAAAAATGGATTACTTGTGTTGTTAGCAGTGATTATAGGTTGTTGTTGTTGTTGTTCGAATGTAAATGAGTTTATATTGTTGTTTATTATTGGTGAGGGTGAAAATGGATTAGTACCAGTGAAGTTTGTTGGTAGAGTTGGTGTGATTAATACTTGCTGCTCTTGTTGTAATTGTCTTTCCAATATCTTTTTTTGTTCTCGTATACGTTCTAATTGTTCCTTTGTATTCTTTACTGTACTTTCATTGTTTCTTATTAATGGAGATGATACATTATCATCATTATCGTTTCTGTTGTTGCTTGTTGTAGTTGTTAAAGTATTGGTTGGAACATTGGTTTTCGCATCATTATTACTTCTTATCGTATCGTCTAATTTCTTTTTATCCCTCTTTTGGTTATCAAGATAATCTTCTAAAGACTGAATTAATTTTGTGGTGATGTGTTTTATAACAGGAATGTCTAGACCCATGGCTTTGCCGATCTTCAAATATTTGACTACGTAATCTGTCAATTTAACAAACGACTTATAAGTGTTCAATGTTCTTTCCGCATTTGCGTATGACAGATCAAAAAATGATTCCAATAGAGTGATTACACCTTCATTTAATTTATTATAGGATTCCAATAAATCCTGGATTAACAGTTTAAAAGCGTAAAATAACAAATCATTCTGTAAATCCTGTGGGGATAAAGTATTCTTGATCAATAACTTAATTTCTCTTTCAAGTGACTCGACCTCCAATAATTTCTTCAGTTGTTTTAGATCTTTATCATGGCGATATTCAGAATCCAGGATCTCTATTTGCTCATTCAAATCCCCATATTCGAAACATTTGCCCTTCAAATAATCATCGTATCTCTTCAACACAATAATATCATTATTTGACCACTTACTTGAATTCATAATTTTAGTTAACTGAAATATTTGCAAATTATTGCTAAAATATTCCAAACACATCTTATCGGTATCTATCATTAGATGTATAACAATCAAAGATTTATAGACTATAGTCCAAACGTTCATATTTAATCTCTCCGATAAACAATGAACGATTTCGTTGAAATTATTCTGATTTTTCAATCCATGTAAAATAGGTTCTACATATTTCGCCTTTGGTGGTGCCATTTTTATTTTGGTGGCACCTTTTACCATTTTATTGTAGGACATAGTGATAATGATTAGTATATACGATAATTTTTGCTTGTGTTTTTGCTTGTCTGTTTGTATATACAAATGTTGGTGTATGTGTATGTGTTTCTAAGTTTATTCTTTGATGATTTGATATATATTGTTCCAAAGAAATCAATTCAAGAAAAAGGAAAGGGGTTAAAAATCCAACTAACCTAAATAAGATCTGGAAAGGTAGATGGGGCCAGTTGTTCCTGTTTTTGTTTTTATTTTTTTTCTGCTTTTTCACACGTTATAGAATTAAAGGTACAAAAGAAAAGCCAAGAGTATTGCCATTTGGTTAGATCATTTAACCCTTTTGGAGTAGTGCATAGCCTATATAACCTTTTTCATACATTTCTTCAAGTATTTTAGAGGTTCAAAAAAAAAAGCCTACAGAGAGCAAAGAGAACAACAACAGAGACGATCTGCTTTATTTTGCATTTTCAAATGTGTCGTCGAGTTTATTTTGTTTTGTTTTGTTTTTTTAAAGAAAAGCAAAAAAGAAAAAAAAATGTATTAAAAAAATGCTTGAAAATTAGTAAATTATCCGGGGTTCGAACCTGATTAGACTCTATTATTTTTACAGTAAACATATCAAAATTCAAACCTGGATTATTTTTTTTGATCTTATGTGATTTCCCCTGCCTTCCTCCTTTATTTTTGCTTCTTTCTGCCCAATAAAATATTTCCAGTTTGTTTCTTTTCAAATGATGGGAATGAACACAGAAAGAAGAAGTTTAAATTTATATTTATATTGTAATTTTCTTTTTTTCTTCACTATTGTTTTGTTTTGTTCTTTTTTGATCTGAATTATATAGAATATATCTAATGGAATAAAATTAGTCACTGCTAAATGTTGAAATAATAGTTGAACAGCTATTTTTTTTCCAAGTGGATAATGAGTAAAAAAGAGGGTTTTAAAACATGAATTTAGAGTATTTTCTTCTCCACTTCGTAAAAAAAAAAAAAGAAAGAAAGAAAGAAATAGTGGTCACTTGTACTTGTATCGGGGTAAGATTGGAAAACAATTTTGAGGGTGTCACTGCAAATCTTCCTGAATGTAACTTCAATCACTCATTTATTTTCAGGGTCCAATGTCTTTTTTTGTTTTTTTTCCTATTATTTGGAAAACTCTACCTATGTAATGACTAATTTGTATCATTAACTTCTCCCCGGGGTAAAACAATAGGGGATTTTTGGCGGCGGTGTTAAAAAAAACAAAAGGAAGGGGAAATATAAAAAAATATGATAGAGCCATGCGTGACGTTAGTTACGTAATTGCAAATTTCAACGAAGAAAAAGAGAAAAGAATAACAAAAATTGAATAGAGACAAAACTCAAAGAAGGAGGGAAGATGGCAAAGACAAAATTCTTCTACGTTCTATTTTGTGACTTTCTTTGACTATCAGGGTCTATCATTTTAAAGAATGTATTCAACATTTTATTCGTTTATATATATGTATATGTATGTGTCTGTGCGTATGCTTTCATGGCTTTTGATGGAACTGTTGCTATTAGCTCATGCTGTTTGAATTCTTATTTTGTTCTTGACACTGGAATCTCTTCTTCACATCGTTTTCTTTTTTTTTTCTTTTTTTTCTTTTCACGTTACTGACTTAGATATAAGGTAAACTAAATAACAAATATTTTAAATATATTTCATTCAAGGAATATTCCTAGCAGTAGAAGAACTATTCACATATCAATTGTCGTTTATACAAAAAAAAGTATATTATCATTGTTATTGTTGTTAAAAATCTTTATACATTCAAATCAGTATTTATAAAATATAATGTCAGCTATAAGTTTTGTGTTTAGAAGATTTTGGAACAGTGAGACTGGTCCTAGAACAGTTCACTTCTGGGCTCCTACATTAAAATGGGGTTTGGTTATAGCAGGGTTAAGTGATTTAAAAAGACCAGTTGAAAAACTATCGGGTACTCAATCACTATCGCTGTTTGCCACTGGTTCAATTTGGACTCGTTGGTCTTTTGTTATTAAACCAAGAAATTATTTATTGGCCTCAGTCAATTTCTTCTTAGCATGTACTGCTAGTGCCCAAATTATGAGAATGCTTAATTATAGAATCGAGAATGGTGACACTTGGAAGCAAGCATGTCAATATTTAATTACTTCAAAGCCTGCTAGTGATAATAAAAAACCGGTCGTAGAGAAGCATGCAGCTTTGACTTAGATGTACAGCTAGCCTAAAGATTTATATCCTTTTTCCTTTTCTTTTTTTTTTCTTTGGCTGTATGTTTGATTATTTATTCCGTTACAGTTTATTTGCATTTTAATGATTCATGTCAATTGCATTTCCATTCTACTATATTTGTACTCCAACTTTTTCTATCTATCTGAATCTTTTTATATATATATCTATATTTGTATGTATATATTCTTTTATCTATGGATTATTTATACCAGAATAATATTCTTCCTAGTTGTTATTTTCTTTCTTCTTAAATTTTACAGTTTAGTTTTTTTTTAATGGACTTGTCTGTATGGAGGACTTATAATATAATATATTCATACCATCCTTATTATGAATTTGTTAAGTATATATAATATTTATTTTTTTTCTTTTTCTATTTGAATTTAATAATTTATATATACATATGTGTGTGTTCACGTATTATGGAGGTATATTATTTATTTACATATTTGATAGCACGCAGAATATAATTGAATGAGTAGGAATATATATATATATATATGAGTATATGAATATATACGTTTTTCTTTTGTTTGTTTGTTAGTTAGTTTGTTCAATTTTTTTTTCTTGGTACAGATTGTACATGAAAATCAATTTAATTTAAGTAGCAGTTTGAGGATTTTGGTGTGCTAACTCTACAGCTTTTTTAGCAGCAGGATCCAATTCATCGAATGAATATATTTGTACCCCAGATTGTTTTATCAATTCTCTGCCCCTCTCTAAATTAGTACCTTGTAATCTAGCAATAATAGGGATCTTAATATTTAATTCTTTAGCAGCAGATATTAAACCTTCAGCAACATGGTCACATCTCACAATGCCACCAAAAATATTAACAAAGATAGCACTTACTTTGTCATTAGATAAAATTAATTCAAATCCTTTCTTGATGGTCTCAGGGGTAGCGCCACCACCACAATCCAAAAAGTTGGCTGGATCACCGCCATACAATTTAATGACGTCCATTGTTGCCATGGCTAATCCAGCCCCATTGACAAGACAACCGATGTTACCATTTAGTTTAACAAAATTTAATTCATATTTCTTGGCCTCCACTTCATGTGGATCCTCTTGAGTCAAATCTTTCCAGGAAAATATTTCTTCCTGTCTAAAGCTTGCATTATCATCAAACCCAAACTTAGCATCCATACACATCACCTCATTTTCACCATTAGGTCTTGCCACCTCACTTATAGGATTGATCTCTATTTGGGTGGCGTCTCTCTCATTAAAAATCTTATACAATTGTTGTATAGTTTTTGCAGTTTGTTTTTCTAGTTTTTCGTCGAAACCAAGTGCTTTAGCTATATTGATAGCCAATTCATCATCTACACCTTGGGTACTATGCTTAATATAAAATTTCTTAACAGCTTCTGGATTCTTTGCAGCAACTTCTTCAATATTAACACCACCCTCTTTAGAAGCAATAATCAATGGCATTTGAGTACCCCTGTCCATCATGATACAAAGATAAGCTTCTTTCAAAGCGTTTACTTTTTCTACTACGAAGACACTGGAGACGAATTTACCCTTTGGACCACTCTGTTTTGTAATCAATGTATGACCTAGCATTTGCCCACTGATTTTAGCAACTTCATTAAAATCATTGTTTAAGATTTGAATACCACTTTTTAATCCATCTGGGCCACTAAAATGTCCTTTACCACGACCACCAGTCAATGCTTGTGCTTTTAAGACAACCTGTCTGCTTGGAATGTCTAGAGCGATTTGGCCAGCTTCCTGTGGAGTGAAAGCAATTTTACCCTTAGGAGTACCGACACCATATTGATTTAATAATTGAGCCGATCTGAATTCATGGATAGAAAGATATCTTTTACCTAATTTTTGCAATATTTGGTTTCTCAACATATTAGACGAATAATTTATATAAATATATATATATATATATACTTGTGTGTGTTTGTGTTTGTGTTTGTGTTTGTGTCCACAATTATTTTTTTTTATATATAGTGTAAGGAGATGATCTCGAGTAATTTCTTTCGAGGAAGTTTTATCTGTGGAAATTTTTTTGTTTATATTTTCAAAGATATATATATCTGATAATATATGCAATTCAATTGCAGAAGAGCTGGATCAATTGGTTTTGTTTATTTTTTTTTTTGGTGCAATGTTAAAAATGTAAAATAGGTTCGTTTATATGGATCCTTGGATATTAAAGAAGGACGAGGTTTTCAGTATTTTTAGTATAGACCCATTTGATAGGAAAAAAATATATAGAATTGAGATGGTGCCTCTCATTCCCACCTTCCCCCTCCCCCCTTCTTACTCCTCGAGTTTGTCCTCATCTTGTCTATTTCTTTTTCTTTTTTTCTTTGCTCTCCCCACGTATTTTCTTCAAGCAATACTCCGAGGAAGAGGCAATAGTAGACGACTTTTTGTTTTTTGTTATTGTTGCTTTTTACCTTTTAACCTCTCAGAAAAAAATGGAGCCTAGAAAAAAAGCCAGTTAGATAAGATTCAAGACCTACATTTTCAAATGATTGGTGCGTTTTAAAAATTCAAAAAAAAGAGGGAATTTTGCAAAAAACCTGGATGTATTGGCTGCACTTCAGTAAGATGGAGCAGAAACGTACTCATATAACCCTAATGCTGTTATATATGCTTTCTTGTACTATATGCTATTTTTTTTCCTGCTTTTCTCCTTTCCTCTTAATTTCTCCGGCCGATTCGCGGGCTTCAATTCTTTAAGTTGAAAAAGTAACGGCCTCTTGAAATTATTTAAGGATAAAAAATTAAAAATTTAAGAAAAAGGACACCTGTATAATATGAATACGGAAAAGATCGGGTAGGAAATAATACTCTGTGTTTTTCAAGGGGCCATCGTTACTTGAAGTTAGGGTTTTTTAGAAAATATTTTGGAACTATCCCTTTACAAAAATCTTATATATTAGTTCAGATGGAATAAATAGGATCAAGGTAGAGTGAAAAGAAAAAGAATATATATTTTAATAATAACTGAATGTGAACATTACATTTCTCACAATAACATAACTGTAAAGATTGGTATATAATTATAAAAGGGCAACTTAACGGTAAATTTTGTTTATATAACTATTTTTACATTACATTGGTTTTGATCAAATTAATGAAGTTAGGGTTTAAATTAAAAAAAGAAAATAAAGTTTGACATGTATTAACATATAGTAGGGTTGTAATAAATTTGTAAAAAATATCTTTTAGAAGTAGATTTTTTTTATAAAACTTTCTATATGAAAAAATTTAAAAGGATGCCACCTATAGTAATGTAATTTTCCAAAAACTCTTAGTTTTAATTCAACAATTACTGAAATTCTCGGAATAATAATATGTTGTTTTTTATTTTGTCTTCAACATATTTTCACACAGTACAAGAAAAACAAGACAAGTAGTTGGAATTTTTTCGCTAAGAGGATTTATGTCGGAGATAACTTTTTTTAAAAAAAAAAAATACAAATAAAAAAGTATTTTTGGAGAAATTGTCTCCTGTAATATGTGGACAATTGGATCTTTCAAAAAAACTTTTTATCAATTGTCAAAGAAGACAGGCATATATACACTTATATACTGGAGTTTTTGCAATGCATTCTACCAGAAATATTAAATGTTTTGATCGAAATTGACACATAAGATTACAAATTTGTTTTTTTTTTTTCAATCTAAGGTAATCTGGTCCAGTTTTTCTAAGTTATTAGTAACTGTTAAGGTGATTTATATAACAATCGTAAAAAGTAGAATTTTGTTTATGTATAGATAGTTTGCCGTCTTTTCCCGTAATTTTTTTTGCAGTTTATTTATAAGAAAAGCTTGATAAATATATTGTACAAAGTTGTATCACTACATAATACATACGTATATGTATATGTATAATACATGTGGGTTATTATAAAACTTTAATATATCAAATAAAGTGTATGTGTATGCATAAGGTTTCTAATACCCCTATATACTGGACAGTGTTTAGAAACCTTTCTTTTTTTGTTTGGTAATATGTGCTTTAAGAACTTTTTGTCTATCTCTTAAGGACATCTTTTGTTTTCCCTTAACAGACTTCTTATGAATCATCATCACGAAATTCTTCTTTCTTTGTTTTTCTCTGTTTGTAGTTGAACGTTGGTATTCACGCTTACCACGCCTACTACCAAATTTACCACGATCTTCACGACCTTCAAGGACTTGTTGTAATCTTTCTTCACGTGTTTGTTTATATTTAACCGGTCCTACTAATGAACTTGCATCAACAAGTTCTTCATTCTTCCTAATACCCATTAATTTAGCAACACCTTCCTCAGTACGTAATTGTTGTAATTTGGCAAAATCTGCTGGCGTTAAAATACGTGTAGAAGCAATTTCACGAAATATAGCTTCAGGATCTTTTTCTTCTTCGTTAGCTTCCTTTGTGGAATCGTCCTCATCGTCACTGCTTAAACTTAGATCCGAATCTTCATCATTTGCTATATCATGTTTCTTGTCTTTTGTGTCTTGCCCCTTATCATCTTTCTCATCACCACTACTATCCATATTAATGTCATATTCTTTATCACTTTCCACTGTCACCCACTCGCCCTCTATATCACTAGCATCTGAAAGCTCTTCATCAACTTCCCAATTAGCATCATCTTCTTCATTATTTGCATTGGAACCTTCATTTTCACGTTTCCATTTAGCTAATAATTCAATACCTTCAATACCTTGAACAGTATTTTCAACACCGAATTGTGGTTTCTTGGTTTTGCCACCTGTTCTTTTCGCTTCTTGTAATTCCATAGAGACAGTCTTACCACGGTCTTTCTTCTTCAACATCTCTGGTGCTACTTCTCTATAGAGTGAAATTAGAGATTTAGCTGCCATATTAACACCTTTGGCTTTAGAACCTCTATACTCAGTTAAATCTTGTAAAAGAGTTTCATCTATTGCCAAAGGCGCACGTGAGCAGATCTCTCTGATAGTATTTAACCCTGCTGCAGCCACTTCAGAGGCAACACCATCTGAAACAAATTCATCTGCAATCTTACGGACCATAACATTTAATGTTTCAGGTGGTACTAATTCATGACATGCTTGGGCTGCTGCTGCCATGATTTTAGTTACATCTCTCTGTTTGGGGGTCAAGTATTTTAAGAAGAATGTGTATAAACCTAAAATTATTAATTTATGTGTACCAATCATTCTTGAAATTAATTGCATAATATGAATTTTTTGATCCATGTCAAATTTATTACTTCTTTTACCTGAAAGATGTTCCTTAAACAATTTTTCGGCAAAGCCTTGTGGATCTCTTAATAAATGAATAGCACTGAAATTTAAAAGAACGTTACTATTATTTCCACCATTTTTATTCTTCTTTTGAATCGTTTTTAATGCAACATTTAATTTTTTTCCACGTTTACCGGTCTTTTTATTGATTTGCAATTTATGTCTTAATTTTTCGATATCAATATCATCTTCATCATCACTCTGTTCTTCAAAATTTTCTTCACGTTCTCTATCAGCATCTAGGAAAAACATAATACCAGATATAGCAATCTTAACATCTTCATGTAACGCAGCTTGAGTCATGATCTCCACGGCTCTTGAATCATCCCAAACGTTACGTCTCCATAATTCTCTTGTCAATTTTGCTGCCCATATACCTTGAGAATCAGGTTGATCTAAAAGATTGAAACATAAAGCTTGTGTACTTCTATTCAATTTTTGATTCTTACTAGAAGTGTTACATGATTTTAATAATGATACGAGATTATTGTACGCTAACTTTCTTATTTCTTTCGCATGAGAATTTAACCCTAGCGAGTTACCTTGGCTAGAATATGCAATTAATAATGGGAATAAAGTTTGGATTAATTCTTCTGCAGTGATAACATTTTTGTTTCTTAACATAGTAAGTGAAGTGATTATCTTTTCCTTTAGTTCGAAGGGTAAAGTCTTATGATGTTCCAGTAATAATTGTTTGAGTTCATTGGTAAAATTTGCAGTTTCCTTTGGGAAACAGGAACACACTTGCGACACAAAGCCGATTAGTTCAATGAGTTGAGCAGTGGATGAGGAGGAAGAAGCAGAATTAGAGGTGCTTATGTCATCACCACTGATAGCATCACCTAATTCACTAGACATACCATTTAACATAAAAATATCACGAAGGGATTCATAATGTGAATATTGTTGAAGAAATTCTTCATAGTATGACTCAGGGTCTCTTTTAACTAAGTTTTGTAATAAGATGATATTGTTTGGTAGAATACCAGCTCTTCCTCTTTTCCCCATATTTCTCTAACTTTGTTTGTTTTACTTGGCTATTCTATTAACTTGAACAAACCTAAATTAGCATTATAAATTGATATAAAATGATTTATTAGCTGAAGTTAGGACTAGAGATGAGTGAGATGAGATGAGCTTTCAGAGCATCATTGCTTTTGCTTTTACTTTTTTTTTTTTCTTTGGAATTCTATTTTTCCAATTTTTTAGTTTCTGTCTATGATAATTAGTTTGAGTAAAGAAAAAATAGAAAAAATTTTTCTCTAGAATAAATAAAAATTATATTCATAAAATTATTTCATAAGTGTAAAGAGGAAATGATGTTGGAAAACATTATGTCCAGAATATAAGATAAAGAGCAGAGGAAGCTACGGAAGAAGAATATTTGTTACTCTAAAAAATATTAACGAAAATTATTATGTACCAATTTTTCTTTGTATTTGAATTTTGAGAATTATTAATAAAACATCTGATAGGGGTATATGATATTTATTAACTATTTCTTTAATAAATAATTTTAATAAAACAACTATTATATTTTTATTATATACTTAGAATGTAAATAGTTATAGCCTTTTGAAAGGAAAAATATGCTTTTTTAAAAAATGTGATAATTTGAATTACATTAATAAAATGGTAGATATTGATATTTGTTCCTATCACTTTTTATCAAGAATAGGAAATAAGTTCTTATGTGATTTATAGAACATATTAGAGAAAATATAGATATATATAAATAAAGGGATGATCGAAATGATCAGAAAAAAATTTTTCATTGGATACATGTGTGAGCATCATATTACAAGTCTAATCAGCCAGTTTTTTTATTAACTATGAACTGTGAAGAAGTTGTCTAACAGAATGAAAAAATTTATAGAGGAAAACTGCTAGCTTTCCACGCTTAATATTTATGGAAAGAATATTATTGAATATGCTGCCCCAAAAAAATAAATTATGATTGGATATGACCAGTGGTTCTGGTTTAAAAGACATATCAATATTATTTAGTTGTATGAATAAGTTATTTTATTTATAGGTATTTATGTACAACTTGTACCATGATTTCGTTCATACCACATTTTTTTTTATTCATTTTTATCAGAAATAATCTTTTTCTTAATATTAATAATGCTTCATTATACATCTTAATAACTGGCAAAATAAACAAAACTTTAAAAAAAATCAAAGTAGAAGAAAAAATCCAACAATACTAATAACAACAAAACCATATTCCTTTTGAACCTACTATACAGTAGTATATTTAAATGTTGAAATAGAATGTTCTATAATGAAATGGATAGAACAATAAGATTTTAGCAGACACTAAACGACAAATCGTTAAGTAATAATCGTTGAGAGGTCACCAAAAATTGTTGAGTTTGTTTATTGAATATCTTACTGTTCGTAGAGGAAAATGGCTGAATGTTAACATATATAAAGCCAAGGATTTCATCATACATTATTTTTATCTTATTTGCAATCTTTGTATATTATTATTTCTATGTTGTATATAGAGAAAGAAAGTGAAGAACTTTATTATAATTTTGTATACTAAATCTGTTTAATATAATATTGAGAATGTTTACTATATATCCAATGACTACAGGCGCTCATTCTCAACATTAAAAATGTTAAAAGAAAATATATTCTTTACACAACTTAAAATGTTACTACTGAGCTACTTAATATTTGGCTATTCAATAAAAGAAAAACCACACCCACACACCACAGTGTTTCGCATATCGCTTGATGCTATGCAAGATTTTCAAGACTTCTTGACTTTCTTGCTTTTTCCTTAATTTATCTAAACCTACAAAGAGAACCGGAAGTGGGATAACACTAACATTACATTTGTTCCATCGATGATTATAATCTATTATTTTACTGGACACATGTATCTAAGATCTACATTATATGATCTATAAATGCAAATATCCAGTTATTTGTTACAATTGCTTTAATAAACCATGTCTATAGCACTTTGGTATTGTCCACCTCAAGGGTCTGTTTTATATGAGATTTTAGCTCAGCTAATTTCATCTTTACAAACATTATTTCCCAACTCACCTCTCTTTGAACCTCATATCACAATTGCTACACAGTTACTATGTATAGATAAAGATGCAAGGAACCAGATCTTAACTTCTTGTATGGCCGCTATTCAATCCATCAAAAAGGATTTGATTAAAACTGAACAATATAACAATGATCATTTGATCTCATTTAAAAGTTGTAGTATAGGTAAAAAATATTTTAAAAAAATTACTTTAGATTGTGTCGAAAACAAGTATTTAATTAGCATTTCTAAAATTATGAAAGAAATGTATTCGGATCCTCAAATGATAGATTCAATGAATGTATTTCATCCACATCTATCGTTACTATATTCCGATGTAGAACCAATTAGCAAAGCCTATGTTAGAATTATTAAACAAAGAGTACAAGATACATTAGATATAAAATTAGAAGAAATGAAAGAGGATTTAAGTGAAATGCAAAATGATACACAGATTACTTGGAATATCAATACTAAGAGTAAGATAGGTTGGAATATTCCCGGTACTTTTAAAATTGTCAAATGTGAAGGCCCTGTAAATCAATGGGAGGTATTAGGTTCAGTTGATGTATGATACTTATCTAAACAAACACACATCCATATAAATATTCATCAATGTTTTCTTTCTTTTTCATTTTATACTGTTTTCATCACACTTTTTGTTATCGTCTTCTATCATATTTTCTTTTTACTAGTATTTTTATATTTGATATATCAGTTACAATTAATTACCACAAACCTAGCCCCATCTAATTACCCTTGTTCTTAAAGTGTTTTGCCCCCCCTCTCCCTCTCCTTTACCACCCGTATATCTTTCTTTTCTCTCTCTCTCTTTTCTTTTATGAAATTGTTACATTAAATCATAAATCAAAATGCATATTTTTAGGGTTATAGAAAACTAGAGTTTTATTAAGTTTAATACCCTTTCATACTTTTGAACATTCTCTTTTTTCATAGTAATAACAGTAATCATAGAAAAAAAAACATATGAAAATGATAAATATATTACTTCTAAGTTTCTTCTTTCCAAAATTCGAGGATCTTCTTTATTGTTTAGAGATACATGAAAAAAATTATTATGCAATATGTATAAATCTCAAGACTCGTCAAAGAATAATGAAAATTCAATAGTTATTTTTAACTAGTTAATCATTTAATAACAAAATATAGCGGTGAAGACTCATAAAATCTTTTCAATTCTATTGGATATCCAACGCTATGATGAGTCTATATTTAAACAGATTCAATATCCTGAATGAAAAAAGCTATTTTGTTTTCATACATTTCATCCTGATAAAGTACTCAAAAAGCCATTATAATCAATTTTAAAACTGTACTTTAAATTCAATGATACATAAGTATAATATTTTAAACCTTAGAACACCTATAGTTACAGTTAATGAAAAAAATTTTTTGACTATTTAAGATAAATAAAACCATGGGAATATAAACCATTCAATTAGAGAGTTCATGTAACTATTAACATATTCTATTAATTCGATGAAAACTTATTCATTCATAAAATTGTATATTATTGAATGTTAATGATGCATGCTAGAATTTAAAATGGAAAAACGAATTTACTATCTATTTCAAAAAAAGAAGAACTGAAATAACAAAAATGCGATAGTAAACTTAGCATAATCTGCTTTTGAATAATTGCATACTTTAGGTAAATGCACTAATTTTCTTTACTGAAACGATTGAGTATACATACCCGGTCATTATTCTTTATTGAGACCACTTTAAATCTATCTACTATATTTGCTGCTAGTATATTATGTTTTTGTTGTTCCAAACAGAGTCTCCAGAATTTTTTGAAAACCAGTTTTAATGATTCTTTTAACAAGAAATTACAACTTTATGTTATAGTAAAAAAACGTTATATCTACTTTTTTTTGTTCTACTTCAGTTGATTTACATGAGGCAAATTTTGAAACCTGTTTTGTTGAAATAGGTGAATGGATAAATAAAACCTACCACAAAAATGCAACAAAAATATACATTACACTAGTGAAGAGAGACACATAGTAATAGACTATCTGAAAAATAAAACACCTAGTCCAGCAGTAAAAAAATAATGAACAAGTTATTTTGTTTTCTATTTAATTATCTTTTTACAATACAGATAAGCATGTTACATATTGCTTATTTTTTTTAAATACAATAAAAAACAAGTTTTCGAACTGTAAAATATATTTGTCTCTGAAACATTTGAAGATTTACAAAAGAAAGGCTTTTTTCGAGAAAGAGGGAATTAGATAAAACAAAAAACACTTAGGTCTAACTTTTAAAATAGTTCACAATTCCCCCCCTTCATAAATAGAAAAGGGGTCAAAAAAGGCACAATTTTTTTCTAAAACAATAGTAAAAAAAATCCCATAATCATTAATAATATTACTTTTTTTTTTTGCTTATCTCCATTAAAAAGAAGTGGAAAAAAAATTGAAAAGTATAATACCACACAATTTCTGGTTAATTTATTGTTCTGATATGCAATGTCTTAAAAAAATATAGAATACTCTTTTTCTATTTACAATTCTTTCTTTGTATTAAAGAAAATTTAAACCTTGAGGACAGTGTGTTAACGTACGAACAAAACAAACACACCATTGTTTCAAGATTTTGAAAAACAAAAGAAGTAGGTTTCAAAATTTCTCTAAATGCAATTCTTTGAATGACCTTTGAAACACGAGGGCTGAACTTTCTTCAATCTTATTTTTCTGCTGAAAAAAAGATAAAAAGTGGGAAAAGCTATGATAATCTTATTGGTTGTGAGTCTTTGGTAGTTGACCTAGAAATTTCTAAGATATAATAAACATGCTGATTGTTTGGTGGATATAAAAAATAAGATGGAATGCTATTTTACAAGACTGAATATGAGCTATCTTTGTAATTACAACATATAATTTTATAAATTAAATGTTGATAATAGAGTCTCTTTTGTTGAGGCACTTTTCTTCACGAGACTTTTTGTTTGAAAAAAAATGAAACCCTAAAGAAATGTTTTTAAAAATATATTAATACCTTACCGTAAATTAACGCGTATTTAATTTTTTTTGACAAAAACACAACAATACAACTGAAACAGATCTACCGTGATTGTTTTCAAATAAAACTTTTCTTATGTACTAAAAATATTGTATGACAGTGACTTAACAACTGTTTCCTAAAAAAAATTATCTTTTTATTTTATCAAATATATTAAAAGTTTCATAAACCTAAATGGTCTCTATTAGATCACTTTTAACTAAAAAATAGTAAAAATCTTTTCTTTATTCTACTTTTACCATTCTTCACAACAAAAAAGACATTTATTTCTTTATTATTTTTTGTAAAAAAAATTTAACTGATAAAACATAAAGTTTCATCATATATCCACGTACTTAGAAAAAATTTTACCAACTACTCCTCTAAATCTGTTGGACTTTTCACAGTGCAACTCAAACAAAAACTCATGTCAAATTTTTAGCTACACAATCTAAATTTGTACGTATGTGTTTTCCACTTTGGCATATATCAACAGAAATATTCAAAAATTAAATAGATCCTATGACATATACAGTGGACTTAGCTACATAGAACTATTAAAACAATAGAAGAATCTTTCATGATTGCTGTAATTATAGAGATTACTACTTGCATTATTCCATTACAGGACCTGTTGAAATAATATAAATTATACTACAAAATTCTATAAATAACATATGTAGACCATTGTAGTTAATTTCAATATAAGTTTTTTCCCCATTTTCCACTCTCATATATAAGTTCTGAAAGATATTAATATCTGCTATTAAAAGAAAACAGAAAGCAGAATTACCTATACAATGATAATAAGAGGATAAAATTTTCCATTTCTAGTTATTGAAAACATGAAGAAATAAAAAAGAGAAATGAAGTGATATACTAACAGGTGCAATAATAATATATAACATGGCTTGCTGATGAAATATGCTCTTTTCATTAAATATATACATGTAAAACAGAGCTGTTTTCAACTAAATCTCAGGGTGGCACTTTTTACATATTCAATATTGACAACCAATGTAGATTCACAACATTCAAAAAATATCAAGAATTGATTTTTCATAACACCCAAAAAAACTAAGGATGCTTATAAATTTTGCTTCAATGGATTTTTCCAGTAGTTTTTCCTACTATCAAAGGAAAATGATATAAAATAATAAACTAAGAAATGTGTTTTTAAACTCAAAAGAATATGTTAATCATTTGTCAAAATCGTTATAAAGTTGCTAAATATAAATATTATAAAGAAAGTGATTTCTGTAATTATTATAAAAGAAATGTCCATTTATTCTATCATTTAAACATCCAGTTATTTTAGTCCAGTGAAGAATTTTATGTTATGTAAGATAAATCTTCTACATTTATTCTTGTGTGTAAAAAGTTTAATACACCGATAAGAAAAAAAAAATACTAAGTGATAAGAGAGATATATTGACTGCATCTATACTTTTAGTTCTATGCTTTATTGAGAGTTTAAAAAAGAAAATTTGCTGTCCTTTCACCTTTGCTCGTTCTGATATCACTTAGTTTGTCAATAAACACTTAAATAAAAAATAACAATTATATAATTAAAAATTCTGTAAAAAGATCTCTTTAATTGCTGATTTCTTCTTTTTGTTATGAGATTTTAGAATCACAAAATCATTATTATTCATCAGGAATTTGACAATAATAATAGTCAGAAAAATTTGATAAACAAATGAAAATGTTTAAGTTGCCATCTGGTGTATATATATTTTGGTAAATAACTGAAAAATAAAACAGCATTATTTAGAAGATCCTTTTTTTATGGTCTATTTTAAAAATACTTCTCTTTAGTAAATTTATAAATCAGTTTAAGATATCCCTCATGCTTTTCAAACAAAACATCATAAAATAATATATCTTCAAAAATGCTCAACTTTCTTCTCTTCTTTTTTCTTTTATGAAAATTTCTAGTAATAATATTATTTACTAAATTTGATATAAACAAGTATATTAGATGTATCTCTCATATATTTATAGATTTATATAGAAATGAATACCTAAAAAAAAGAACAAGTTATTATCAATCTATTTTAATGTAATTTCTTCTCTCTGCATAGTATCCATGAAATCCTTGTAGGTGAATGGTTCTCAGATGTCTTGTGCTAACCCTAACTCCGCTTTACTGTGATCACTAGGAAAACACAAAGAATTTTATCCCACCCAAATTTGATATCGGTATTATACGTGCGTCCTTTTTTGGAATTTTTATTTTTTTGTCCCTTGATTTCTTCAAAAGACCGCCATTTTGTCAACCTCACAATCAAATGCATCTGAAAAACAAAGAAAACAAAAAACCAAAAAAAACCAAAAAAAACCAAAAAAAACCAAAAAAAAAATTCTTGAAAAAAACTTTTCGAACAAAAGAGATCTGGAAACAATTGTTTCCTACATCTGCATACGCTATTGTTTTTCTCCGAGATTGAAGATGAGTTCCCTCATGATTAATTTCCAAAATTGTCGAAGAACCGTAATAATTGACTATTGTATTGTGATGATTGATCCATAATCTTTCCTAAAATTAAACAACTTTTGCATGAAAACCGGAAAATCAAAAAACAAAAAATAACTACCAATTTGGGAATATAATATTGTCAACAAATATTTAACATTAACATACATTTCTTATATATTAACAATGATTTTCCTTTATAGGATACATCAAACTCTAATATTAGCTGTCAAGAAGAATTAACGAACCTTGCTTAATAATTATAGTTATAATTCCACTTTTCTTTTCTTTTTTCTTTTTTTTTCAAACTTCGGATTCTATACCTTTTCTTCTATTCATTCTTTGAATATTTATATATGATAACTTTACCTCCTTACTTCCTGTTCTACAGAAATAGCATATGCTGGCCATATATAATCTCTGATTTATTACGAAGTATGGGGAATCTGCTTTCTGTCATATATTTTTTTTTCCAAAAAAATATTGTTGGTTGATTAATTCACAAAACTCGGTTTTTTAAGGTTTTAACGCAACATAAATATATATCCACTTATACCCAACACGAGGATCCTCTCCTGCTTAACATAAGATTATCCACCTTTCCTCTACTATTTGAAATATATTCTTTATCGATTCTTACCATATCTTATAATTTAATTACTTTTACATTTATTTATTTACTTCTCTCTTTTTTTATTCTTAATCTATATTAACTAAGTAGGTTAAAGTTTATTGAAAAAAAGTATTTCCATATGTAATGGTGATAACCAAAACTTTTGTTCATCAGTTACATTATATTATTTCAGAACCAAGTACAAATGATCTTATTGGCTGGGCAGATCCTGAATATGATAATAATTCATTCTTTTTAAAACCACATGACAAAAGATTTGCTGAACTTGTATTGAAAAGGCATTTCAAACATGGGAATGTTAGCAGTTTTGTTAGACAATTACATATGTATGGATTTCACAAACTTCCCAATACCGAGAATAATACTAAGAATCAAACAGCTAATACCAATCACAACGCTCCAAAAACAAAACTCCATAAGTCTGAAATGGTATGGTATTTTACTCATCCATCGGGTTATTTCACTAGAGATTCTAATAGAGAACTTCTAAGTAAAATTCATAGAAAGACTACTGGAATGGGAAAGGATGGGAAAAGAAAAAATATCCTATCGCCTGTTTGTGTCAGTTATTTTGATCATAATGGTAACCCAATTCATTCTCAACATGTAAATATGTTCCAAAATAATCTGCCGTTAACTGATCGTTTCGGTAACCAAACTGAAATTAACATGGGAAACCAACTTAATATGATGAATGAAGTTCCAAGAGGAAGTGTTAGCTATAATAATACCCCAGGTAGTCAAGTTAGAGTCCCTGAGGCAAGAACATATTCGCAACCGTTATTACAAACAAGTCCGAGACTCCAAACTGTAGTAGGAGCTTCAAATCAAAACAATAACATTCGAATATCACAATCTACATCAGAAAATAACGGGATATATTATGGAAGTGATAACAACAGTAGTTTTACAACCACCTCCTCACTATTACTTCCTTATAACAGAAATAATTTACAATTTCATATTCAATCTCAAAATAATTTACCTTTACAAACCACATATAATATTACTTCATCTTCATCTATGATGTCACTTCCATATATGACCTCCAGTATTCCAATATCTCCTTCCGTGGGATATATTCCCCAAGCAGCTCCATCATCAAATCACCAATCTGTATTAAAACCAACCCCTTTAAATGGAACTGATCCTATTCCAATCAGTACATATGATGGGGTCAATAAGCCAACTACAAGACCTTATTTCATTAACGGGGAGAATACTCAATCTATACCGAATCTACCAATTACCCAAAAAATATATGTCGAAAAGACAAACTCAAATATACTAATTCCAGTTACTTATTCATTAGTTGGGCCTGTTCCACAACATTCTTCGCAACCTGCACTAACAAAATTGAAAAATAGTGAACCATCGACTCAAGATTATACACAACCTAAAGTACTGCCACTTTCTTCTGATAGCAAAATCACGGAGGTTAACAATACTTCTGCTATTTCAACGTCCAGCGTTCCAAAGAAAAATTCAGAAGAACCCTTGCTATCTCCTGTCCATCCAACACAAAAGGTTCTAAGTGATAATAATGACAATAATAGAAGTGAAAAAGAAAGCCAACTTGATAAAAACATACAAGCATGCTTGAGCAACAACCTTCAGGATTTAGTAAAGTCACTAGTATCGATCACTGATACCTTAAATAGAATACGTTCACCAGATTGCTTAATCAGTTCCAGGTTAAATATTACAACCGACGATTCAGGAAAAGTTAATATTGAGTTAGATGGAAAGCAAATTAAACTAGACCAGTTAATAAATATGTTATCTGAAGTAAAAACAAAATTAATTGATAATGATGATATTATTTCAAAGACCTTAATTTCAGCAGATTAAGAAAAGTTTATAGAAAAAGTTAAAAATTAATTCACTTTCTGTAGCATTATGTATATCACACAAAGATAAGATTATACTAAATTTGAAAACTATAAGTGGAAATAAAAATAATTTTTGACTTTTAATTACACGATGTAAAATTATTTATGTACATTTGCTCCTCCTGTTCGATGAAAAATCAAGGTAAATTTATTGGTTTACTGTTAGTTTATCTTTGAAAATTCACGCATCAGCTACAGGCTATGAAATATAATCTCTCTTTTTTTATGTAACTTCTATTTAAGAAAAAAGACATATTCATATAATTGCTTATATACGAATCATCATGATATTGATCGTTAATTATTATTAATATTCAAATAATTTCCTATCTATATTTATCTTATTTTTTAAATAAATGTACGTATAATAATCAACAGTAGTGTTGATTAGGAGGTGGGACATTAACTGGTCCATAAGCAGATAAGGGAACAAAAGTTGGTATGGGAGAAGTTACACTTGCTGGATAATTATAGTTGATTGGAGGAAAACTATATTGTTGTGGTTGCATCATCATGCTTGGAATTGGACTGGTTCCTACAGGAGAACATGGCTGAATTTGAGGTTTATAAAACATTTTTGAATTTTGTTCTTCCATCAATGCATTGAGAAATTTACGATTATATCTTAACTTGTTTTTAGCAGGATACCTGCTATTATCGACATTATGCGTATCGTCATAATTATTTCTACGAAAATCAATGTTTTTTTTATTGGCAAAAGACGCTTCTAACACCTGATCCTCATCAAGAGATGTGCCATTTGTGGCCAAAATAGCTCTAGATGCATCTAGAGGATTTTGAAAACACACAAAACCATATCCTTTTGAAGCACCAAAATTATTTGATTCGTCATCTGATTTATTTTGCTTTGTACTACCTCCTACAGTAATTATCTTTGCACTTATAATTTTACCAAATTTTTCATAATAAGCATATAAATCATCATCTGTCCAAGTTAATGGAAGATGCTTAACATATAGATTAGATTCCTGTTGAGACTCCAAAGGAATTGGTAAATGACTTGGAAGATTGGGAGGATAAGAAGAGCTTAAGGGTAGTGACATTGGTGTAATTGTCATAGGTGAAGGATAAAAATTTGATACAGGAACTGGTTGTGCAGGGAAGGAAGGATATTGTAACAAGGGTGATATAACAGCCGGCGATTGAATTATTTTTTCCACATCAGTTAGATCTTCCCTTTCATTATTATCATCTCCTGATATTTTTTGTGGTTGAAAAGAGGATAGTGTTGACAAAGAAGAAGCTGAATTAGTCATCACCATATTTTGACTATATGGTGGTACGTTCATGTACTGATGTGGCATAAATTCCAAGAAACTAGATGATCTGGAAAATGAATTTTCCATATAATTTATTTTATTCGTATATTTATTATTATTACTACTGCAATTTCTACAATTATCAACATTATCAGCATTATGGTGAGTTTTACTATGATTTAGATGATTGATTCTATTTTGAATAGCTCTGTTTACAATCAATTGATTACCATACCATTCATACAAATTTAATAACTCAATGCATTTCAAAGCCAAAAGATGTGTTCTAACCTTAATAAAACCATAGCCTTTCAATAAAGATTGATCTTCTTCCTTTGATTGATCAATATTGTTTTCTAATGGGAAGTAGTAAGATAAAATTTCAAAGTCAGGATATTCTTTCTTCAAAATTTCATTTACAAAATCCAGCACATGGTTCTCTGTAACGATTATATGATAACTATCTTTCTCCTTATTATTACAATTATCGATTGCTTTATCATTGTCATTATCATTGTCATTATCATTGTCATTATCATTGTCATTATCATTGTCATTATCATTGTCATTATCATTGTCGTTATCATTATCGTTATCATTATCATTATTATTTATTTCATGAATATATCTAGGTAAATTTCCGATGAAAACACATTTGAAATTATTTTCACCTTCCAATTCATTCTCATTATTGTCTTCATTCTCATAATCTATTTCATTGAATCTACTCATAATAATACTTTTATTTTTGCTACTTTTATTCCTTTTATTAACCTTACCTTCATCATCTTCATTTTTCATATTCAAACTAGTAGTATTATTATAATTATCTGGATTATTTGTTAAATCATTTGTTTTAAATTGTTTCCAAAATAATCTTTCTCTTTCCTTCCTTTCAACATGATAATTAACCAATAAGGCTGATCCTTTAATAACTTTCCCATTTAGTTGATTGATACAATCCGAAGCTTGTGAACCTAATTGGAAAGAAACGAATCCATAATTTTTAAATACTCTCTCGTTATTATTTGAATTATCGTCATTCTTATTAGGAGATTCGTTTTTATTTTGTTTATTCTCAATCAATTTTATTGAAAGGATCGGACCAAACTGTTTACATAGCTGATTCAGTTCTTCCAATGTAACATTAGGGTGTATATTACCAATAAAAATATTATTTGGATTCTTCAAGGCATGATGATTTGTTGATATTGACCATTTATCTATAATTGTTTTCCCTGCCCCATTCAATAGTTGCTCAATTTCAACTAATAATGAGTCTAATAAAGATTTATTTTTGAATTGACATTTAATTACTGTATCGTACTTCCATTTTGCAAAACCATCATCATCATCATTATCACAATTCTGTCTACCACTATAAGATTTTTTATAATCTATATTTGAGGTTTCGAAAGTATAGTTATTTGAATTAATTAAAGCATGTCTCATTTCATCATTTAAATATTCATAATTTTCTATAAAATTTGGATCATTCAAAATCCCATAATGCTCATAAAAAATATTATTCAAATTATTAATTATTAACTTTTCATCATCATCATCATCACCATCATCATTAGTATTATTATTGTTGTTGTTGGCAATGTTCTTTGAGTCATGATTCCACCTTATCCTTATTGTGAGTTCGTGTATGTTAGCTAAGAGTTCTAATTGCAAGCTTATTCCATTCATTTTATCTTTATTATGAATTTGTGACATTATTTTTATTTTTCCTATTATTTTGATAATATAAAAAAGAATACACCTGATTACAATTGCATCAAGTATCAATATTATTATTAAACAGATAAGTACTACGTCAAGTTAAAGCAATTAAAAGGTTGAGCAGAGGAAGCAAGGAAATAAATAAACAAAATATAAAAGTAACTCAACAAATGGAGTTAAAGTAACAAAGAAGCTAATTACTTTAGGAACTTTCAATTTTAAGAGTTATTTATTTAAAAGATAACCTGCTTGATAATGAATTTACATTTTCCAATAATAATCTGTTTTTTTCCTTTTTTTTTCCTTGCTTTTTTTTTTTTTTTTTTTTTCCTTCCTTCCCTTCTTCCCAAGTCACAATTACAAATAATAATTGCACTAGTACTACAATGTAAGTACTACATAGTAGTAGTAAACTGCAACAGTAAATAGAATATTACTTTCTAATTTCTAATTTTTTTTTATTGTTTTCTCTTTCTTTCTCTCCCTTTACGTTATTTTTGTTCTTTTTCTATTTTTCCCTTTATGTTTGCCTGCGAGATCCGGTTGTGCTCGAGGAAAAAAAAAGTTAATTAACCAAATCGGGTAAAAAAGCGTCAAAATACGACAATTAGGAAATAAATGGTCCCTTTTGTCATCAAATCTCGTTCCTGTGTTTGTCTCCCTTTTCTTGTTTTTATTATTTTTTCTTTTGAATTCTGTATGAGTTAAATAACGCACTCAAGGTACAAACACTTTAATAATGAATGATACCATATACATAATTGATTTGTAGTGATCACTACCAACGTCAATTTGGTTAGATGCCAATATTTCTTGGACTTGAAGACAAAGACAGATTAGGAGTATGGTATATCCGAATAATATCGGTTATAGAAGGAAGTTGATAATATGAACTCAAACTATATGTTTTTCAATATGTATTATTTTTAATGATACAAAGAGCTTTTATTCTATTCTATTTTATTTTTGTATCAGGTGAAAGAAAAGTAAAAAGAAAGAGATATAGAAGAGACAAACTTTTGTTTCTGAACAGTCTTTTACTATGCACACTCTCTTTCTCTTATTAGTCTCAGTAAAGATATATACACAGGGAAATAAAAAAAAGAATTACAGCAGTAGTAATAATTAACAGTAATTTACAACCAGCACTCAACTCTCATTGCAATTGCTTCTGTCAGGACACTAAGAAAGATGTGTCTCTGATTCATATGGTACGGTGTCAGTCAAAAACCCAACAACTAAACCAAAAATTCAAGAATTGACGTAACTGTAACACTCTCGGAGAAATTACCGAAAGAGGAAACTTGTCCCATGTGCGACTTCTTTTTTTTTTTTCGTTTCTTTTCTTTTTTTTCTTTACAAAATGCGGGATTTGTTTAATTTTCTCTATTTTCCTATTTTTTATTTTTTATTTTTTTTTGTTTGCAAATTTATGGAGAATAAACCACCAAAATGTGATGGAAGTGTATATTAAATATAAGAACAGATATGATTGTTATTAACAATAAACTAATACCAATAGTTATAGCAGAACCACAGTGCAGTATGACATTGCGTATAATGCTCCAATAGACAGTGCAACCTCATAGTCATTTTTACTAATAAAAGTAGCCCCTCTATAAAAAAAAATGTTGGTAGGTGATGAAGAACACCTCCTGCCGTCTTTATAGATCGCTGTGCAGTGAGTAATATTTGGTATTACTGACAACAAAACAGTGAGTTCAGTAAGTGTTTCCCACCTTTCAACATTATTTTTTTTTCATTCATATAATTTTATATATTAACACTTGTTATGTCTGTATAATCACCCCTTCGATCATTTAAGCATAAGATTCAACTATGTCTCTAACCATCTCTCCCTACCTTTAAAATACAATCCAATGGTACAACAGGGCAGAATATGGGTGTTTTCCACCTTGATAATGCAAAAAAATAAAGCCAAAATAAAGTTACTCTTTGCATTTCACCTCTTAAGTATATCAAATCATTATGTTTGCAACATGGATACTCTTCTCTTCAAAGTATAAAGTAGTCTGTATATATGATGTATATTTCTGTTACGATTCTATTTAGATAACCTATCTCGTATAATGTGATCTTTGTACATGATATAATTTTGTACCCAGGGATCACATAACTTAGTGGCAAATAAAAAAAAAAAAGATGGAGTGAAAGTAAAAGATACAAATAAGTTAAAACTGCTAAATTGTGTAGGTGGTAAAGCTATCATATCAACAAATAGCCTGTAAAACTTTAATAAATCCACCTTATTATATATCCTTACAGCAGTTCACTACATTGTTATTAATTTATTCATATCTTAATAGTCTTAATCTATTTTAACCTTTGAACTTTTCCACTTTTTATCTTTTTGTTGTTTTATTGCAAAAGTTTAAAGAATACAATCATTGTTGGTTCCATATTCATTTGATCTATTTAATTGGTATCTTTCTTCTTACTGTTTTTTTATTTTTTTTTATTTTTTATTGAGATGTTTTTAACTAGAAGTGAATACGATCGTGGTGTCAGTACATTTTCTCCAGAGGGTCGTTTATTTCAAGTCGAATACTCTTTAGAAGCAATCAAATTAGGGTCTACAGCTATAGGGATAGCCACAAGTGAAGGTGTGGTTCTTGGTGTAGAAAAAAAGAGCCACGTCACCCTTGTTAGAAGCTGATTCTATCGAAAAGATCGTAGAAATCGACAAGCATATTGGTTGTGCCATGAGTGGGTTGACTGCAGATGCAAGATCCATGATCGAACATGCAAGAGCTACTGCTGTGACGCATGACTTATATTACGACGAACAGATTAAAGTAGAGACTTTGACGCAATCTGTCTGTGATTTAGCTCTAAGATTTGGAGAAGGTGCGTCTGGTGAAGAAAGATTAATGTCTAGACCTTTTGGTGTTGCTTTATTGATTGCAGGTCATGACGACGATGATGGATATCAATTATATCATGCCGAGCCATCTGGTACATTCTATAGGTATAATGCTAAAGCGATTGGATCAGGTTCAGAAGGTGCACAAACAGAATTACAGAACGAATGGCACTCGTCCTTAACTCTGAAAGATGCCGAATTATTAGTATTAAAGATTCTAAAACAAGTTATGGAAGAAAAATTAGATGAAAATAATGCCCAATTAAGTTGCATTACTAAAGAAAATGGGTTTGAAATATATAGCAATGAAAAAACTGCAGGAATAATTCAAAACTTAAAGGAAAAGGAGGCACAAGAAAATTCTGAAGATAATGCTAACATCGATAGTGAAAAACAGGATATTGAAATGTCTACATAGATATATAATATAAATCATCTGTATAAATGCCATTACAATATAAATACACTCAACATTAATATTATCTATCTAAAAATTCAATTAAATAATATCTATGTGTCTCTTGCTCACTCTACTAGATGAGAATATTCAGGTACCTCTTTCAATTTATTATTGAAAAATTTCTCTAATCTATTGGCATATTTAAAATATGATGTATTTTCACCATTATAAAGTCGACAATTATTACAAATTAATTTTACATCATAAACAAATTCTTCCATTTTTTCATATTTGTTACTGTCCAATTTCACTTCCATAGTACTCAAATCCATTGGCTCTTTAATAAAATCATAATAATCAGGTACTTCATCTTTGTTAACTGGTTGTAAAAATGGCCATGCTGCTGCATGATTTTGTAATTCAGTCAAAATATTTTGCATCACAGCATGATGTGGTCCACGCTTTGGCCTTTGAGCCAGTTCATCCATCTCAGGTGTCCACCCCGCCTCTTTTAAACCAGGAATCGTCATTGGGTCAACAGGTTTAATGTTATCCAAGTCCCTAAACTGTTCTAAACCAGGTCTAATGATATGAGACCTCGATATAGTTCGTATCTTTCTTCTTAATGCTGCCTCTTGTAGTAAAAGAATTTTGGGAGCATCCAAGTACCGTATTTTTGGCAACATTGTACATTGCATCAAAGTACCACCTTCATAATCTTTAATATAACCCATCCATATCGTCTTATCTAAAGTAACCTCTTTTGTAAAACCTTGTTTTTTGAAATATCCAATTGCATAATTATCTGCATACGTCAAAAAGTGTTTGATAGGACTCGTGTTTCGTACATAATCTTTTAGATGATTCATTAAATGAGCACCATAACCACGTACTTGTTCAGTTGAAGAAATGGCGCAAAACACAATTTCTGCAAATCCCCTCGAATCAAACGGCTTATAAGTGATTCCACCTACTACTGTCAAAGGTTTCCTTATTACGGCCATAGACAAATGACTTCTATCATAAACAAGCCTTGCAATATATTCCTTTGGCATCTTAGGTAACTGTTTTTGAAAAATATTCTTTAATCCAGTAAGAACCATCAAATTTTCCTTCGTATTATCATTATTTACAACTCTGAATTCAATTTTACCCTCTTTCTCCTCCACAACACTTGGTCTTTCAATGAGCTTATATTCAACACCATCAAATTCAAATTTTACTGTTCCCTTTGGCTCCTCTTCTGTTGTAACAATATTGTCTTCCAATGACTTATTATTGTTAATTACCTCATGATCATTTTCTTTTTTCTTTGAATCTTCTCCGATTTCTCCTATTTTTACATCACCCACCCCCTTTGATTTACTCTCTTGCTTCATAGAATCATGATTATCTTTTTTATTATTATTATTAGTTTCTTGATCATCCTCAACTTTTAATTTTTTGGTGTCTGGCTGATCAGCTTGAGAAATTATCTCATTTTCCCTTTTATAGCCCATCGTTCTTATAGATAAAAATAAAACAAAATACTAGAAAGATACACAATGATTACAATATCATGTATATCCAATTCAGCTCAATCGTTCTTAACACAACAGTAATGACGATTAATATACTTTAATAGTCAGATTGTATATTCTTTTTTGTTTTTTTGTTTTTTTTTTTCAACTTACATGTATGTTTATTTACCATTTCTGAAATATATTTTATTTTAAAGTTTATTTTTTAAAATCCTGAAACTTTCGAAGCCTTCGAAAATAAAAGAGACTCATCAAATCAAAAAATGAAAACTATGAATTTCCAAAACAGATACAATCTATACAATATATAGAATATCTATATAGTTTCAGTTGTCGATCCTGTTTTATTTTTGTTTAGCTCATTATTGATGACAAATTCGTCCTCCCCTTCTTCTCTTTGAGATTTAGCCCTAGTTTGATCATCTAAAGTTAAATCATCTAATTCATCTAACAATTCATCAACATCAATTTCCGGAGCATCAGACTCCTCGAATTCACCAGACTTATAATCATCATCAGCATCATCATCATCTCCACTTTCCAATGAATTAGATTTTTGGATTTCTGCAACTTTGTACATATTGACATTTTTTCTTAATTCCTCATCTTCTTCTAGTTCTTGTAAAAATAATTCGTAATCTTTTTCTGAACGTTCTAATTCTTGTCTTTGAAACCTTGAAGAGCTATGTGTTCCAACATGTAAATCTGTCTCATTATATTCTTTAGCCATTCTTTTCAACTTCCAATTTCTGTTCTTCTTATTCTTTTTCTTCTTATACAGTTTCTTAACTAATATAACATCTGGAATTTGATCATATTCCAATTCATCAAATAGTTCTGAATTATAATTAGAATTAGCAATAAAATAACCTACGACTGAATCACCCGCATGAACTATACCACCTAAATGTGATCTCACATAATATTCTTGATCGTTGTTACCTAAATCAGATGTACGGGCTACAGTAATATCAGCAAGAACTTTATTACCCTCAGTGAACCCTGTAGGTTCAACATCCAAAACAATGAATTCGACTAATTGAGAAGAATCAGCTAGTGAGGAGAATGGATTTCTCCAATATGTTTGTGATGACATTTCAGAAGCTTGTAAGGTTACCGGATCCATGAATTGTACTGTATTCGAAATCTTGGAACATAGCACAAATCTAGAGATATTACCTAAGGATTTTGCTATCTCTTTAGGTAATACTACCAAATCATCTTTACAAATTGGAACAATTTCTACAGAATATGTAAATTTATAAGTGGAAATATCAGAATGGGTATCTTTGGAAATCAGTTCTTTGGAATTTTTATATTTGACTGGAATATTTGATTGTAAGAAATCAACCATCTTTATGGCGTGATTCTTTTGACCATAGAAAAAATCTAACCCATCTTTAACTTCTTCGATTGATATGGTATCCATGTGGGCCTTATGTTTTAAAATCATTTGTTCCAAATATAAAAAAGTCCTTTTATGTGGTACTTTTTGTCTAATTTGCACCTTTGCAGTCCATGTATTAGCAGTAAAGGAACGTGCACAGTCTGGACATTGCACAGCATTGACATAATATTCAATTTGACAAGTTTGCTGAATCATAACATTCATCATGGCCTCACCTTGGACTGTGACTTTAATTTTAATTCTTCTTGAATGTGGTTCTGTCCATATAAAGGACGCATCGACTAATCTGACTTTGTTTAAACCTTTCAATCTTTTAAGACAAAGTGCCAACAGTTCACGAGATTCCAGTTCGGCTCTTATCCATTGTCCTGGTGGTTGCAAAAACCTTTCGCAATCTCTACAGAACTGAACTGTTGCTTCTTTTGGTATATCCTTTGTGATGTCTACTTTGATTTTGATACAGTCTGTACACATGACCAGTCCAGTGGAACCATCAATTGGTGTCCCACACTCGCAGCATAATAATGTGGCAACTCTTGACATTATATATACTTAGCTTTTTTTTTACCTCTTCTTTCTTGTTTTTTGGTTTTTTTTAATTACTCTCTAATATCACACAATATTATTTTATTCTTATGTCTAACAAGAATGAATTTCTCTCTCTCTATATATGCTTATATATAGCTACACTCTCTTGTATATATGTATTACGTAAGATTGCGAAAAGAAACCCTTTTTGGTTTCAACTTTTAGAACAACCTCGAACTGAAAAGAAAAGTAAGATGCACACCCACACACCACACCAAAGTGCCATGATTATCATTAAATTACGGCTTTACATTATGAAGAACAATAATAAGTAACATATAATGATGATAATAACGATAGATGTTTAATGTTATGATCACTGTTGCAAAGTATTTTGTATGATTTATGAAAAGCCTTGAGAACCTAAGCAGAGCCGTACTATCAAATGACTTGAAAAAAAAAAAGAAAAACAAAACTTTACACAAATACACATGCATATGTTACAGATGAAGTCTGTATATGTGAACAAGTTCGGTTGAACAATTTTAAAAAGAATCTTTCCACAATTTCAAGTTCTTTATTCATTTTTTCTTATTCTTCTTTGATTGAAATAATAATCCAATGGTCTTCTTCTTTGTTTGGCTATATTTTGAACGTATATCTTCGTCGTCACTGTCATCCTCTACGTCACCTAGTTTATTGTGCCTGTCGCTAGAACTATTTGTAACACCGTGCTTGTTCCCATTTTCTTTTGAATTTCTTTGTTTTATTATAATATCCTTTCGCATCTTTCTTTTCAACGCTATCATAGCCTTTGTATCATCTTTTACAATCCTGTGAATATTGTTTCTAATATAGTTTTGTTTGGGATCATTAGATTGTTTATATTGTCTTTTCTTTGCTAAACTAGATACTTTTTTATCTGAATTAATAAACTCACCAATCGTATGAATATCATTCTTACTATTATCATCTGTTTTCCAATTAGAATCAAATTCTTCCATATTTAATCCTGCACCTATTTGAATTACTGGTAAATGGAAAAAATCCATTTGACTATGTTTTAACTCATTAGTAACATGACTTTCCACTGAGTTGCTACCACTTAACTCCTTGTTTGATGGGTTCAACCAATCTGCTACTTTCAAGGATTGTTTGGATAAAGATAATTGAATTTTTGCTTGTAAGTCTAATTTTTCTTGAATTTCTTTAGCTCTACTCATCTTATCACTGCAAAAACAAAAAAAAAAAGTACAAATATATATATATATATATATATATATTTATTAACTGCTACTGTATTATTCGTAGTAATTACTATTGTATCTAACATATGTAAATATATGTATATCTGTATTAAAAAATCTTTCCTCTACAAATGCTATTAAGCTCATCACTTTTCTTACCTATAGATTTTTTTTTTTTAGTTTCTCAATTTTTGATTTTTCTTTGGAAATTAAGAATTAAGAGTTGGATACATTTTATAATCTAGTTCTCTATCAAGCTAACATCTATAACAATGGATGCGCATATATACAAACATACAGGTACATACATATAATAGGGAAACAAAATATGGTTTCTGTGATATAATTTTTTTTCTTGTTTTATCAATTCTATCAACGTCTTCTTTTAGCTCTTTCTCTTTGTTTTGATCTTCTTTCACCAAAACCTTCCTTTTCCATTAACATCAGTGATTCTCTTTTAGCTCTTGTGACTTTATTCAACGATTTCTTGATCACTGCCGTATCAAATACTTCGTCATATTCCTTCATCTTTTCATTAATTCTGTTTTCGATAGCCAAAATTCTGTTAACGTCCTTTGGTGTTATGAACGACAATGCATCACCATGTTTCCCGGCACGTGCAGTTCTACCGGATCTATGAATAAAAACGTCAGGGTCCATGGGGATATCATAATTGATGACCAATTCCACCTGAGGGATATCAAGACCTCTTGAAGCCACGTCAGTAGCCACAAGCACTCTGGCCACATTGGCACGGAACCTATGCAAAGAGTTGGTTCTTTCCTGTTGTGGCATCTGAGAATGTAAAGAGGTGACACGGACATCCAGTTTGTATAGGATCCGTCTTAAAAGCTCTACCACGTGGGTTCTATTTGAAAATATTATAGTTGTGGATTCCTTGTATCTTGGAGATGTTATTATATGGTAAAGGTATGCTTCTTTAACATGTTCTGGGATCATCACATAGTATAATGATAGGGTGGAGGGTATAACTTTGATTGTATTATTTTGATCCACCAAGTCACTGGAAACCGAGGACGAGTCGCTATTCTCCATTTCGTAGAGGAAGAAATTATTTTTTTGATCATTGTTGTTTCCAATCAAAGACTTAACTTGATCTGTTATGGTAGCGGTGAAAAGTAAAGTTTGTCTATTTTCCTTCTGTGGCAAATTCGAGATGATTGTTTTCAGGTCGTCAGCAAAGGTTTCAGTAAGTAAGAAATCGGCTTCGTCTAGGACCAAAAACTTCAATCTTTTCAGAGATTGCGCAAGTTTATTACTTTGATTATCTGTGCTACTACTACTACTACTATTATTATTATTATTATTATTACTACTACTACTATTACTATTACTACTGCTACCGTTGTTGTTGTTATTGTTATCATTCATTAGATGGTGTGCCAGTCTACCTGGGGTAGCAATAATGAAGTGTGGCATGGAGGAGAGTTCAATGGTTTGTTTGATGTAGTCTTCCCCACCGACAATCAGGGATACTCTGATGTTCATGTTTGCACCCAACGCATTGAACTGTTCTGCGATTTGTTGTGCCAGTTCTCTTGTGGGAGTCAAGACCATTCCATAGAGACCAATGGGGTCCTTAGACCATTGAGCCAACATTGGTGCAGCAAAGGCAATAGTCTTACCAGAACCGGTCCTTGCACCACCAATGCAGTTCATTCCTTTCAATAGGATTGGAGGTATACAGTTTTTTTGGATCTCTGTTGGCGTGAAGATCTTCATGGCTTGCAGCGAGTCTACTAGCCAGTTGGGTAATCCTAGTTGTTTGAAACCTGACATGTTTAGTGTGGATGATATTCGTTGATTGCCTATTTTATTTTATTTTGTTTTTTTTTGTCCCATAGACCTTCATAAACTAATACAAAAAAAAATAATTAAGTAACAGTTATGTTTTTCTATAATTTTTATCGTCTTTTTTTACTTTTTTTTTTTTTTTTTCGATGAAATGAGGATGATCTTTAAAAGATACTTTTAACCAAATTCTTTTCAAGAAGAAAGAAAATAATATGAAAAGGAAAAAAGGAAAAAGAAAAAAGAAAAAAAATTTTTTTTTCTTCTTTTTTATTTTTGTTTGGTCACGTGTAATTTTTTTATTTGAAGAAAAAGTAGAAGATAAAAAGGAAACCGTTCCAACCCTAAAGGTATTTTTAAAGCCCTAAGAATATTTGGTATTGACATTTCAAAGACCTATAAAATAGAAAAGGGGGGGGAGAGGAAGAGCAGACAAAAAAAAAATTAACACATAAACGGAGTTTAGAGAATAGAAAATTGATTGTAAGATTAAGTATCGTATAATATTATGTTATGATCTAATATTATTTATGGGTATACTATATGGTATATGTGTGTTTGATTTATGATTTAACACAGTTTCATCGATACATAAACCAACACACACATACACTCAATACCTCCGTTCTTCTTTTTTCTTCAGCCGGCGTTAAAAAAAAAAGGAAAAAAAAAAGACCAAGATATTCTTTAAGCTTATTTTTATTCCCGTTGACTCTTCTCCGTCTTTAAGTACTAAAACATTTATCTTTTTAAAAGAAGAGAAGCGGTCTTTTATTTTTTTTTATTTTTTTTTTATTTTAAAAGACTCAAAAGACAAACCCTACAGGGGGAAAGGGTGTCTGGATGTAGGGCTTGCAAAGCCACGTGAGCGAGAAACACAGGCACAACAAGCAAAACAACTGTTGTCCACTTTTTTTTTCCTGTGTGTCTGTGCATGTGAGCGATGGAAAAGTGCAGTAAGTAAAAATAACGGGAGGGGAGGAAGAAGGGAAAAGAAGACCCGGGGAGGAAAGCACGCCCACACACCACACTGTCCAACTATTGTCACAATGGGCGGTGCTATACTATTCCACCCACCCACCGAACTGCCAGCCACTCTCTTTTTGCTCTTTTTTGCTCTTTTTTTTTTCTAGTGCTATTTTCTCCCTGTTGCCCTCCCCGCAACAACCAAACGACACTCACATACACATACAAACACACATGAAACACATAAACTGCACTGATTTGTTCCGTTTGTGTGTGTGTATGTGTGTGTGCTAGTGCAAGATAAAGAAATCTCTTTAACGTGGTTTGAATCAGTGTGTTGTGAGGGCAAGATGTATAATGTATAGTGTTATTATGTAGTATAATGATGGCTTCACTTAGCAATTAGTAAGGATGTAAGTACTCTTCTTCTTCTTCTTCTTCTCTCTCTTTCTCTTTCTTTCTTTCTTTCTTTGCTTCAAAATATTACTAATGCCAAACCCCACTACCACCGCTCATTATAACTCATAACTTACAATTCACAAATTACATAATACAAAATGAAAAAAAAAAAAAAAAATAAACCGTTCCGTTTTATAGAGTTCTTTTTTTTTTCCCCTTCAAATTCCTTGAAGGAAAAAGAAAAAACAAAGGAAAAGAATAGAAAAGAAAAACACAAAAGACTAGACTATATATATATATATACACACAATCTACACAAATATAACTATCTTTATCTCATATATATATACATGTAAAACAACCTTTTCTCCTTTCCAATCTTCCTCTCTTGGTAAAGTCTTGTTTCTTTTAATCATACTTGAAATCGTCTTATTACATAATTAAAGCCAACCAAACAAAAAAACAAAAAAACAAAAATATAAAGAGAAGTATTTATTAGAGTGATAGAAATTTTCTACTATTCATCCAGTTTCGTCCCTATTTATTTCTTAATTAGAGAGAGCTTAAGTATAAACATATATTCCATTATCTAAACGTAGTAATAACAACAACAAAATCCAAACAAAAATGTCTCAAGGAGCTGTTGCTGATTTCGGTTTAATTGGTCTTGCCGTCATGGGTCAAAACTTGATCTTAAACGCTGCTGACCACGGTTTCACTGTCTGTGCCTACAACAGAACTGTCTCCAAAGTCGAACATTTCTTAAACAACGAAGCTAAGGGCAAGTCCATCGTTGGTGCCACCTCCATCGAGGATTTCATCAAGAAGTTGAAAAGACCAAGAAAGATCATGTTGCTGGTCAAAGCTGGTAAACCAGTCGACTACATTATCAACGACCTGCTACCACACTTGGAAAAGGGCGATATCATTATCGATGGTGGTAACTCCCACTTCCCAGACACCAACAGACGTTACGAAGAATTGTCCGCCAAGGGTATCCTATTCGTGGGCTCCGGTGTCTCCGGTGGTGAAGACGGTGCTCGTTACGGTCCCTCTTTGATGCCAGGTGGTGCCGAAGAAGCTTGGCCACACATCAAAGAAATCTTCCAATCCATTGCTGCTAAATCTGACGGCGAACCATGCTGTGACTGGGTCGGTCCAGCTGGGGCCGGTCACTACGTCAAGATGGTCCACAACGGTATCGAATACGGTGACATGCAATTGATCTGTGAAGCCTACGACATCATGAAACGTATTGGCCGTTTCACAGACAAAGAAATCTCAGAAGTCTTCGCCACTTGGAACAAAGGTGTTCTTGACTCCTTCTTAATCGAAATCACAAGAGACATTCTAGCTTATGACGATGTCGACGGCAAGCCTTTGGTCGAAAAGATTCTTGACACCGCTGGTCAAAAGGGTACTGGTAAGTGGACCGCCATCAACGCTTTGGATCTAGGTATGCCTGTCACTTTGATTGGTGAAGCTGTCTTTGCTCGTTGTCTATCTGCTCTAAAGAAAGAAAGAGTCTTGGCCTCCAAGCATTTGACTGGTCCAGAAATCCCAGAAGATGCTGTCAAGGACAAGAAACAATTCGTTGACGATTTGGAACAAGCATTATACGCCTCTAAGATCATCTCCTACGCCCAAGGTTTCATGTTGATTGGAGAAGCCGCTAAGACTTACGGCTGGAAATTGAACAACCCCGCCATCGCCTTAATGTGGAGAGGTGGTTGTATCATCAGATCCGTCTTCCTGGGTGAAATCACTAAAGCCTACAGAGAAAATCCAGATCTAGAAAACTTGTTATTGCACAGATTCTTCGCTGACGCAGTCATCAAAGCTCAACAAGGTTGGAGAAAGACTGTCGGTTTGGCTACCACCTACGGTGTTCCAACTCCAACTTTCTCCACTGCCTTAGCCTTCTACGACGGTTACAGATCTGCTAGATTACCAGCTAACCTATTACAAGCCCAAAGAGACTACTTCGGTGCCCACACTTTCAGAGTCTTACCAGAAGAAGCTTCTGAAACTTTACCAATAGACAAGGATATCCACATCAACTGGACCGGTCATGGTGGTAATGTTTCCTCCACTACTTACGACGCCTGAACGCTAAAGATAAAACAAACAAATGAATTTATAGTTTTTATTTGTAGTATTTTTCCTGTGTCTTTTTGAGGTTTATTTATCCCGTTTTTTATATGTAATGTTTATAAACACACTCACATACATACATACATACATATATATATATATATATTTACTTTATAATGTATTTTTTTACGATTTTTGATGTTTGATTTAATGTATTGACTTTAGGGAAAGGAATACTAACATCTTAATTAGTGATACTAATCTTTCTTTTCCCTTTTTTTAACAAAACAGTTTTGAATATTTATATAATATTTTCTTAAATAATGAAAATTTAACTTTTTCTAAGTGGAACTTATATAAATATAAATATATATATATTTAACATGTGTTGAAGTTATTTCCCACATCTAAAAAAATTTCTTTGATATTTCGTAGGTTGAAATCATTATGGCACAACTTGGTGCAATCTTCACAATCCTTGGCCCTAATCCAGCATATAATGCTTGTATTCCCTCATTCCGGCATATACCACTTAGATATTTAAACATATTCCGACGACGCGCAAAGTTTCCTGATTGTATAAATCTACCTCCTCTATTATTTTTACTCATATCTTCTTTAAACATCGATATTTGTAATCTGGTCTTCCCCACATCAAATGGATGTGTTATAAATGCCGCAATTGCACCACTTATTGACCCACTAAGAAAACTGTTTACAAAATGAATCACGTTGGATTGATTATCTGAATGAACCCATAGTCTTTTTTTACAATATTCATAGGATCCCCAATATATTGCACTAAACGGAACGTCTCTCCATAGAGTGATAGTTAGACCTTTAAATAAAGTCTCCATCAATCCATGTCTTGATATCTCCATCTTAGTGTCCAACAGTAATTCTTGAAATATCCTCGTAGATCCAATGTTCCTAGTCGATCTTGGAATACTTTGAAATTTAGTCTTAATTAATTCAATAGGCGCCACTATAGTAGCTGCAATAATTCTAGCAAATCCACCACAAAATAATGGATTGATTGTCGACCATTCATGTCTTAACGGCGATATATCTCTAATATATTCATAACTTGTAAAATATACAATGTTTGCAGGGATTGACATAAAGAGTGTTAATGATATGCCTCTCCAAAGTGTGCTAATACCCTCATGTTGAGCAATTTTACTGAACGCATCCCACGTACCATTAAATCGAAACACATTCCTATTACATTTTAAGTCTTCAAAACAAGAGCCCTCCCAAAATAATTCTTTACCCCTTAATTTAACTGAACTAGCTGTTGTCAATTTAGATACTAAAACTTTACTTAACCTCGATTCACTTTTTAATTTAGACTTGGTTGCACTATTAAGAACAGGTTCACAGACACACTCCGATAACATACTTTGTTGTTGTAATCGGATTCGCACAACGTCCATGGGAGTTAACATTATAGAAGTTAATAAAGACCCGAATATAGCACTTATCATGCGTTCAGTGACTGTTAATTGTCTTTCATTCTTGGTCATGGTAACATGAAATATGGAGAACTATGGTACTTAAAATATCAAGTCTCAATCACTTCACTTAATTTTTCTATTATTTATATTTACAGGCTGGAATGATTACGGTTTAAGTTATATAATTGCTACAATTGGCTTAAAGAGCAACACAGTAAACGATATACAACTCATATAAATATAAGGTTTTTTTCTTTTATATTAGTTAAGTGTTCCTTTTTCATATGGGTTCAAATCACTATCATGTTTTGTATACCATTTCTGTAACCAAAAATATCAAAAAAAATAATAGACATTACTAAAAAAAAATTAAAAAAAAAAGTGTGACCGGACTTACCAATCCTTTATTATTAGTAAAAGGGTGCATATATTCATTTGAATAATGTGCAAGCATACTTGCTCAATAACTTAAGAAGAACAGTGAAAATTTCACTTCAAAAAAGTTATGGAAGATAAGATACGTCGAAAGATATCATTGAAAAAACAACAGTATGTATATGAGGCAATTCTGTGAAACATCCAATACTAGAATATTTTCCTCAGATCTACGGAAGAAAAATAAATAAAAATAAGAAAACCTATAATTATTCCTTCTCATATTATACTATATAATCTATTTTTGTTTCTGCCTCTTCAACTTATTAGTTGCATTGGTTATACGCTTTCCAACATTTATTTTTGTTCTAGTGTTATTAGCATTTGTTGCAAAATCACCAGGAAAGAAATCTGTCAAAGTCATTTGTTTGGAATGTTTTTGTTGTTTCCTTTTATTAATATCTCTTATTAACGGAATTAACACTTCGTCTGTTTTTTCCCAAGACCAACCTATATGATTTTGCAAAAATTTCCTTAACATATCCAAGTCAGGTACTGACCATTGAAATGGTGTTTTATCATGGTCCACTTCTGGATTCATGTAAGCATTGACGACCGTTTTATTTGGAAATTCAGAATCCAATACAACCTCATTACGAACAAGTCTTTTTCTCAAATCTTTTTTAAATTTGTCCTCATTCTGTAATTTCGCTTTATCAAACTGTCCATCTTCGTACCATTTTTTAAAAGCCTTCAAATTTTTAAACTCTGCCAATACTTCCATACTTGATACTGGACCCATGCTTTTGATCCCTGTAGTATAATCACTCCCTAATAATAACGCTAATTCAATCATATTATCTCTATTTAGACCCAGCTTCTCTTCAATCGTGTTATAATCATAAAATTCTACATATTTCCTATCTTGAAAAATGTTTTTATATATTTTTGTACCACCAAATAAAAATACATCACTATCATCAGTAATGATACCATCTACTAAGCTTAATTTTAACAATTCAGCACACTGAGCTTCAGCCTCCATAGGTGCTGTAATAAAAGGAATACCAAATCTAGATAGTAACTCCTGTACATCGGATATCATATCAGTTGTAACTTCGTCCGAATCCCTCTTATCTCTACTCTGCTGTTCAAATAGTTCATCTTCAACGAATGCATTAGAAATGATTTTTTCATTATTGTTTAATGCTGTGTTGTCATTATTTAGTAATTCTTCATTTTTAAAAGTTTTAAAATCGTTTGCTTCCTTTTCAAGATCAACAATCAATTTAGCCTCCTCATCAGGCATAAAATCATAATTAAACACAAGGGGCTGATTATTTTCAATAGTTTTTTGCTCTTTTTCATAATCAACATAAGATCCGCTGCTTGAGATATCAGATGAATATGAGGGGACATTACCAATAACAGATTTGTTTTTTTGACTAGAAATATCTTTATTAGAAACAGTATACCCGAGATGATCAGTCACTAAAGGCTGTTCGTAACCTTCCTCAATTTCAATAATCTCATTTGTATTTTTATCATTACTTTCTTCTTTTTCACTACTTACACCTCTAATCTGATTATTTCGTTGATAATTTTCTTTTATTGCTTCTTCTGTATTTAAAAATCCAGTTATCAATTGATAATTGTTTTTGCTGTTTTCCGCCGTATCCGGTCTATCATCAACAAATTTTGATTGATTATATGTGGTATTTATACTTTGATTGTCAGAGAGAAACCATTGAGGCGTTTCTGGAATGTTTTTTTTTTCATTTAGATTATTTTTTTTTGTTTTCATTAGGTCGATTGTTTTATCACCATCTTTATCATCTAACTTGATGTTATCCTTAGGACCAAAAAGTAGTGATTGTGAATTTATCGCAGGTAATTTTTTTAAAATAAAATCAAGGTCAGGGGACCCTTGTGTCGAAATATTAGAACTATCTTTAATAGTTAAATTTTTATCCATATTAGTACTAACTAAATTGGTAGAGTTATTCATTTGCGATTTTTTATCTTGATCCCCTAATTTTGACGCTTCTTTTAACTTTTTCAAATTACCATAATGCTCCATCTTTGACACATACATTGCTTCCATCAATTCAATCTCTTCTAATTGACGTAGATATTCATTATCATCATTTTCATCTTCTTCGATATATTTTCTTTTATTCATTGATAAGTCTCTTCTATTATCAGAGTTATTCCTATACGACTTGCTAGAATTGCTTAATACATTGGCATTATTACGTATATTATCCCGACTCATTTTCTTCAGAGATGCTTCTAAATATGGACGTTTGTCTAAAAATGCTTGTGAACCTACTACTTGTTTGCTCTCCTCATATTGAGAAAGACGACCTGCTTTTAAAGAATAATCGAAGTTGTCCTTGGGTTTGTGCTGACATTCTAGATCAACGTCTTCCCATTCAATTTCATCATCTTCCTCATCACTATATACGCCATGACTTTTGTCTATTTTGTTTGTTCTTCCATTTACCAGATTTTTATTGTCTTCATCAACTAAAATTGGTTGATTAATATCATTTCCACTCTCAATATCCATCCCCAATGACCATCCATTTTCTGTTTTAGCCAACTTATATTCCCTATTCTTTTGTCCTGATATTCGATTTCTAACATCTACATCATCGAGTTTTGATGCCCCACCATCGTGCATGCCCGTTACATTGATTATCTTTTGAGTATAAAAATTCCTTCTTCTTACCATGTCAATTTGAAATTTAGAAAAATCTAACCCATTTGGAAAAACATTTTGCAGTTGTTCTTTTGTATAACCCATTCTTAATCTTGATTTTAATCGAAGTTTAGATAAAATTTGATATTGAACAGCTTTGGGTAATTCCTCAAATTCTAGACTTGCAGGATTAATAGAATCTAAATCCATATCATCAATAATATCATCAATAGTAACGGCCATATTCAATCTCTCCCTTTTCTCTTTGTCATAATTTGGATTAATTCTTTGATCATCTGTATCATATAAAAATCCTTCAATTTCTGGTAGATCCCAGTCATCATTTGGCTTAAATATGGGGACTGGACTATTGGTGTCTATATGATTGGATGGAGACTTAGAACCTTTACTCTCTTGTTTCTGTATCTGCAAAGCCAACAACTTTCTAGCAGTCTTCTTAGCATTGTCTCGTTTCCCTTGCCGTATTTCATGTCTAGCTTGAATAGTTTTCCTTTTTAAAACAGGAACACCACCATCAAAGACAAATACTGGTTTAATACCAAAGTATAATAATTTACAAATTCTTCTAAAAAACCCAGTTATGTGTGAATTTTTGACAGCATTGCCTTCGTTATCCCTAACAGCTTTTAAAAATTGATATATCCAAATGGAGGCGTCGATTGCCATTTTTTTCCCTTCCAATGATTCTAAACGGACTGGACTTGCTGTGGGTCCAATTATTTCCCAAAAAGAATGAACACCCATGATATTTATGTAGCTGTTGTGGTGTACTTTGCCACTCTATCCTATACTAATAAGAGATTTGTAGTTTTAGGATATTAAAGGGTCATGTTAATTCACATATTCTTATATTAGATCATCTTTCCCCACACAAAATTAAAAAAGTACATCGCACTGTTGAAGTAAAAATGATTCAACCGAGGTTCGAACTCGAGACCTTTGCCGTGTAAAGGCAACGTGATAACCACTACACTATTGAACCATCACAACTTAGTTTTGTGGTAGTATGGTATGGTGAAGTTCTTTGTGTATTCCAGGGAAGCGCAAATAATATTAATAGTAATTCAAATAATCGAGACAGTAATCAACTATAGTCGATAGTATAATTACTAAAACGGTCTTATATATTAAGCGGCTTATATCGAGCTAATGTACTTATTCGAAGTTACTTGACTTGTTACTTGCTTGTTCTATTTTGTTTATACATAATATATAAATTATTTACAAGAAACGATTATGGAAGATGATCTTTTATCTCCTGAAAACGTTGTCCTTTTATATGTTTTCTGGAGCTCGATCGATTATTCAGATTAGTACATTAATGATCTGACTGATTCAAACCCTAAAATTTATTACATTAATCTAGGTGCACTAGTGGATTAGAACTGCACCTCAATTCTCTAATCATGGTAATTATTATTCTATTCTACAACAAGTTCCCATCTTTTGATAAAATAATATCAATATTTGTTGAGAATGAGCGCCTTTATTCATTGGATATATAGTAAACATTCTCAATATTATATTAAACAGATTTAGTATACAAAATTATAATAAAGTTCTTCACTTTCTTTCTTTATATACAACATAGAAATAATTATATACAAAGATTGTAAATAAGATAAAAATAATGTATGATGAAATCCTTGGCTTTATATATGCTAACATTAAGCCATTTTTCTCTACGAACAGTAAGATATTTAATAAACAAACTCAACAATTTTTGGTGACCTCTCAACAATTATTACTCAACAATTTATCGTTTAGGGTCTGCTAAAATCTTATTGTTCTATCTATTTCATTATAGAACATTTTATTTCAACAATATTGATATAACCTGTCCGCATATATGAAAAATTATGTTTGTTGCTAGAAGTTTTATTATTATTATAACTCTTTTTGTCAATCTATTTTTTTTATATAATAAGTAGTGTGCAGATACACCATAATATCTAGAAAATATTCTGAATTTCCCATTGAACTTGTTTTTATGGGAATTTGAAAAAATAATAAATTTTAAAAGGAAAATTAAGATAAATAAAAGATGTTGACACTAAATAAAATATATATCATAAAAAAAGAGTTAGAATCTGTAACATATCACTGTCTACCATTATTGCAAATGTTAAAAACTTTACATTTCAACATAGATGATAAATGTAATATAATAATATAACGTCTTGTTGTTGTTCCTGTACATGTAAGAGTTGTTGTATACAAATGGATGAATCGTATCAATTAGTATAAGTATAAACACCCTTACGTAAGCTCTATATAGTACTAATTAATAACCCTGATGTTGTATTACTTCTTCTTCTTCTTCTTGTATGATATTAAGAGTTGCCTCTTAATATCATTACTAAAATGTATTTAAATAAGATGATTACCCCTGGCATATCTCTCAATAATCAAAGGCCTCTTGACAAGACCTGATATAATTCTCACTCCCTGAAAATCCTTCAATCAGATTCAATACCTTCTACAAGCCACTGCGTACATGGCCGTACCAATCCTCCACCCAGGCACTCAGGTGTTACCCTTAGAATTGCGTATCTACTGGATTTCCAGTTGGGTTCCTTACAGTACAATATTAAGAGTTACTTCTTAATGCTAATATAAAAAGATATTTTGATTAGATGATTACTTTTAGTATTTTCTCAAGCATCAAAGACTTGTTAAACAAAATCTAATATAATTCTCATTTTCTGGAACACTGCCAAGTAAATTCAAAATCTTGCACTAACTGTTGTTCATGTGGTTACATCAATTCCCTATTCAGACACTCGGGCAGTATTTACAGAGTTGTGTTTCTATCGAACTTTAGTTAGATTCTTCATAATATTTATATTTAGAAAAAAAACACGAAGAATTAATAATAAATACTGACAATAAAAAATACACTAAAACAATACTCTACATGTCAAAGGTGTTTTACTATCTCTCTATTAATGAACACTTACTTGTTAGGTAGCAAGCTTATCATTGGTATATTGGCTTCCAATTTTATTTACGATATTTTTTGTTTTCACATGAAACACCTCCATACATTTATAAAATATTATTTTATTTTACTTAGAATTCACCATCAAGAAGTGAGTATACAAAATTTAACAAATACTTAAAATATGAAACCACGCTTAACAATTTGCAAATATTACTAACATATAAATATCTTTTATTGGAAAGAAACTTTTTAATAGATTATATGAAACATTCGAGTCAAAATCATTATCTAAATAGTGTAAAATCTAATCAATTATTTACTTTGTTTCATCTATGTGGGAAAACCTATAAAAGAAGAGTAAGTGATATAATTGACTTCTAATTGTGCAAATTAAAATTTGATTCCAGATTTATTAGCTAAGTATTATTAATTAATATATTAATATAATTAAATAGAGGATACTAACATGAGTAACATTAAAAAAGTATAAACTTTTTCATTGTATTCCTAATGATCTTGTAGAGACACTTTTTTATATTGTCCTTTTTCAATGTAATATTAAAAATAATAGAATTGACAATATTGATATTTTTTTTTTCGAGAAATTTTTAAAAGTTTTTGACACAACAACAAAAAAAAACCATACTAAGTAATGTTTTATCATCTTACTAATAAAAAGTATAATTTCTATACACTATGCCTCAGTAAACTTTGAAAGAAGCTATTCCATGTCCTACAACTTTAGGTTTTTCAAAAAATATCACCATTCGTCTATAAACCTCAACTATAATGACAAGGAAATTTTTACTTGGTCAAATAAAAATATGAAAAGTTGATAAACAAGAAAGGCAAAATAGAAAAATATTGTTAATAGGTGAATACATACCAATTTCATAGTTATAACGTATACAATATATCTTAAACGTTGTGAATAGATTTTTTAATTTGATCTTGTGTTAACTTTCTTCGAAAATTGCGAACAATAGCAATTATATATGTTTCTTTTTTTTTTTTTAAGCATAACTGGGAAATATTTTAAGCTAATCTTCACCTACAAGTTTTATAATATCAGGATCTTTCTTAGAATGTATATATTTATACACATGTATATCTATATACTATATTGAGAAAAAATTAAATTAATCGAAAGTAAACAAGAGTAAGTTTAACAAATATTCCACGAGACATAAACCAAAGCATATCCGGTATTATCCACATGGACACTAATTTTCGTATTCTGTCACGTAAATTGATATAGATAATTTATGTATTTATTGCAAAAAAAATAATTTTCTTTTTTTCTTTTTTTTTCTTTTCTTTTTTTTTATCAAAAATGTGCCGCTCCACACATGACTCTTCCTCGAGAAATATTTTTAAAACCAAGACTCTGGAACAAGAGAAATACAATAAAACACAATAGGCAAAATTACATCAACTATTTTTTTCTGTTTTTTTTTCCACAATATTTTTGTTCTAGAAACAGCCACTCGCAGACAATAAAAAAACACACACACAGAATATTTGTCTACCCGTCCCATGATTATTATATATATGTATATTGGGGTTTCGATTTAAAACAAGAAAAAAGATTGATACAAAATTAACATTTCTATAAAAGCCATTTATTACATCAAATCTTACCATTTTTTCCTGATCAAACATTGGTCCTGCTCATTTAACTTAGCTCTACACAGTCAACTCATTGCCTTGATCACTGGACTGCTATAAAAAAAATTAGAAAAAAGAACAATTTTTTTTGGTTGTAGGCTATACATTTATATTTATTCAATCTTTTTGGATATTATTCTTTATATACCCTTGTATATCTGTGAAGAGTTAGCTATGCCACTTTCTTTTAAACAATATGCAAATAATATAGTCTCTCCATCTGCTAAGCATGATGAAGAGATTAATGATAAGAATAATATAAGCAGTGAAATAAGTGTCTTCGACAATGATAATGATAGTAATAACTCATTACATTTTCGAAATAACCATCATGATTTTGATCAATCTGTTGTCATGGATATAAATGATCCCTCAATTAAGGAGAAAGAGAATGCTATAGTATCAACAGAAAAGGAAATTTTATCAACAGCTACTGATGAGGATTCTTTACCATCTTTAACACATCCAATGGAGAAAAAAATTCTACGTAAAATGGATATTTTTATAATTCCTTTAATGTGTCTATTATATTTTTTATCTAACTTAGATAAATCTAATATCGGCAATGCTGAAGTTGCTGGGTTATCTAAAGACATTGGTTTGAAAGGTACAGAATATAATGTTGCTGTCACTGTATTCTTTGCCACATATATTTTATTCGACCCATTAGGTAGTAATTTGTTAAAAATACTGGGTCCACCTGTCATGTTCAGTTCTTGTTTGTTTGCATTTGGTATTATTTCATTGTTAACTGCCTGGATCAAGAACTATAATCATCTAGTAGCTGTCAGAATCTTACTAGGTGCATTTGAAGGCATGATATACCCTGCAATCAACATGTATCTTTCTGTTTGTTATAGAAGAGAACAATATGCAATGAGGTTTGCGTTTGTCTTCAGTGCCGCCTGTTTATCATCTTCCTTTGGCGGATTGATTGCTTATGGATGTTCCAAGATTACCGGCTCATTGTATGCTTGGCAATACATTTATATAGTGGAAGGTGCTATATCTGTTGGTTTTGTTCCATTATATATATTTGGGCTAAGTAGAAAGCTAGAAGATTCATGGTTTTTCACAAAGGAAGAAAGTGAATACATTGTGGAGAGATACAGAACAATGAGAACTTTTAATCCAAATGAAAAATTTGAATGGTATCAGGTTAAGTTAGCTGTTATGGATATAAAAACATGGGTCTCGGCGATAGCATTATTTGGTATAGACTTAACAACTTTTGGATTAACCGTTTTTTTGCCAATTATCATCACATCATTAGGTTTCACTAATGTGAAAGCTCAACTAATGACTGTCCCTGTCTATTTCTTAACTGCTATCGTGTTTTTCATTTATGCTGTTTGGTCTGATTATTTAAGATTAAGATCGCCATTTATCATGGGTGCATGCTTATCTACTTCTGTTGGGATAGCAATTGTGCTAGGTTCTACAGTTAATGGGGTCAGATATTTTGGTGTTTTTATACTTTGTATGGGAATATATGTCAACGCTGCATGTAATTGTCTGTGGTTAAGTGGCAATAATGGTAATTATTACAAAAGAGCCACGGCTCTAGGAATAAACTTATTCTTCGGTTCTGGTTCTGGTTTAGTGTCAGGGCAAATATTCACAAGTAAAGATAAACCAAGATATGTTAAAGGTTTATCTCTATGCTTAGGGTTTCAAGTTTTATCATTAATTTTAACTTTTATTCAATTTTTACTTTATAGAGGAGAAAATATTAAAAAACAAAAGATAATCAAACATTACCGCTCTATTGGAGAACCCATCCCGTATAATGAAAGATTAAGTGATAAGAATCCTGAATTTACATATATGTATTGATGTAAAGGTTTTCCATTCAATCTCCTGTTGGGAATACCTATCTTTTTGTCTTTAATATATATATTTATATTCATGTATTAATAATTTCAGTTTGTAGTGTCGAGAAAATGGCAACTCATCTTGTTCTATAAATACTATCTATACTAAAAAATCAAGTGATATTATTTCTGTTTTTTACCTGTTGTCATATCTATATTACGTGTGCAATCTTTTCATTTTATTAGCTTGAAAACAATCATTAATAATAATAATAATAATACGTCTCGGAAAAAGTTTGACTCTATATATTTTTTATCCAATCAACTTCACATAACATTATCACTAGAATCAGTATCATCTGACGATGTCTCCGAAGTCGTATCATCTACTTCATTATTATCTCCTTCATCTTCAGAAGTAGTCTCCTCTTCTGAAGAACTATCTTCTTCAATAATAACAGTCCTTTTAGATTTAGACTTTCTTGTATTTACTTGTTCTGGAATATCCGAAAAGAATTCATCTAAACTTTGTAATTTGTACTTAGGTGTAATCGAACCTATTCTCATATTTCCACCATTACCTGAAGTAAATTGATTATTCATATCAACACCATCACCAACTGTAATACTGTTGCTATTAACTGATCTTGACATATTATCTTTACTAATGAAGGAAGCAGAAGAAATACTCTTTTCAAATCTATTGTATTCTTTTAATGGCAGTGGTTCTCTAATATCAACCCCCTCTTCAACTTTCAAATCTTCATTCCAAGGAATATAATCAAAATACTCTCTAACACTAGATTCTATTAAATAACCACATTCTCCCATATTAGGATCATTTTTAACAATATTAAAATCTGCTATTAGTTTAGGAGTTTGAAATAATAATGTAGCAATTTCATATTTACCAGAATCAAAAAGAGATGCAATAAACCGGGCACGGTCTCTAATATCGTAATCATCATCAAATTTGGCTAAATAGATAATTTCATCGTACATCTTTGCAATCAAAGATTCATTACTATTAAAGCTACTTTCAAGCTGAATCTGCCTATCGATCTCACAAGATAATAGCTTAGCAGCAAATAATAAAATTGCATTTCTGCTTTCTACTTCCTCATTAGAAAATGTTGGTACTAATTTTCTTAAAATATCTGGACATATTCTAAATTCAACCGTAGTCATTTCACCAAATAACCATATTAAGCCTGCTCTTGCATTATCTGCTAAATCAGGATGTGTCTCTAATAAATCAGCCAATTTTAGAAGTATCTTCATGTGTTTCAATGGGTTAACAATAATTAATTTTCGAATAACAATAATAAAATGATCTAATATGTTTGGTAATAGTGTTGTTGATTCCATAACTCGAATCAACCATTTCAAGATATGATTTTCTAATTCAAGTGAGATTTGAGCCAAAGAGATTAACATATCCACAGATGTCACTACTATTGATTCCACAAATGAATGAAGGATATAATACTTTAATTCATGAAGAACACGTTTAACATTATGTTTATTAACTAATTCACTTATAATTTCCAGTTTATATGAAGCAACTTGCCCTTTATCATCCGGTAAAAGAAAAAAATTATATATATGTTTTTCAAATATTGTTTTATCAATATGAGAAAATAACAAGATTGATTGCAAAATTGTAGTTTTTATGCCCTCTGTCTCTGTAACAACATATGCTCTATATAAGGCCTCAAGAAATTGAGATTCTTTCAACTTAGAAATAGTGGACAATTGATAAAAGGCATTGCAACATGAAATGATAACTAAAGGATTTGGAGAATATCGAAGAGGTAACAAACTTTGTAAAAAGAGAGACAGGTCTGCATCCATTTCAATATCTTGTATTACAGCTAAAGAGGCTAATTCCCTTGACAATGATTGATTTGTGTTAGTTGATGGATCAAATATAACTGGGCTTAGAACAAACTTTTTGCAATATCTGGTCAATAGTTGAATTAAACTTGGATGTGACCATTCATCTAAGTGTCTTAATATTTTACAATAGTATCTAAAATGTCCATGCAACAATTCTAATCTAGAAGCAAATGCGTTTTGAAATAAAATAATAGCTGCAGAAATTACTCTAGATTCTGAATCTGCCAATAAATCTGTCAATAATATTTCAATTGTTCCAGAATAATCTTCAATATCATTGTTTGTCGAAGTTTGCCATCTATATAATTTCAACAATCCATAGGCAACCTCAGCACGTACCAATGGAGAAGGATCTGAAACTGCCTTTGTTAGACTAAGCATAATGATGGGTGTCAATGATTGAATCTTAATATCAGTTAAGGCCTTAATAGCAAAACATCTTAATTCTGGATCACTATTATTTAACAATTTTTGAATAGAATTTACTGATAATAATGCTAATTCTGGATTCCTTTCCGCGTATCTTAAAAGATAGATGTACACCAGTCTCTTTACTTTCAAGTCACTAGATGTAACATTTTTCAACACATCCGCAAAAAAATATTCTACATCTAATGATGTTTCACCTGAGGCAATAACAGATATGATCCTTTTCATAGCATCCTTAACTTCCCTATTATTTCTTGAATTTAAAAATGTGGATAACTGGTCACTGCTTAAGCCTTGAGAGTATTGCGTATAAGAAGATTCTCCTAATTTAGAGGAAACTATAGCTGCCGCCTCCTTTGTAATTGATTTTGCAGATTCTAATGCTGAGGCTAAATGACTTAATGAATCAACCATGATGCCTAAATTGAATGTGTATATATATATTTAATTGCTTATTGATAACAAAAAACAAATACAGGCTGATGGAAAAGTTAAAAAGTTGTTAAAATATCTTATTTTCTTACAACATATATATATATATATATCCTCTGTATGTTTCTTCGTTGTTTGCTTTATTAAAATAGTGTATGAGGTAAAGTATATTATTGTGTCTAACATCTAGCTTTTATTTGTAGAATCAACTGAATCTTGATTTAATGAAGAAGAAAATATTCAACAATGAAATAAGAAAAGAAGTTTACACTAAAAAAAAAGTGTATTTGGATTCAAACCCTTTGTATCTAAAAAATAAAAAGAGAAAAAATTACAAAATACTGGCTAACCCTAATTTTTTATTTTAAAAATGTAGTAAAAGTAAATTAATCCAACATAAAATATTAATACATACGACATGTGAAGCAACTATTATACAATTAACTGAGATCTACATGAAAAAGAATGTTTGTTATTTTGCTATATATATATATATGTAAATATAAATGTTAACCTATCAATTTACTTAATTAACCTATCATGGATCTTTTTCTACCACGCATTCTAACTTGATGGAATCTTTTAATTAATTCCTTTAGCTTCTTTTGTCCAGTAGTACCGTGTTGTTCATATACTTGGCTAAAACCTTGCATAATCCATTCCATATATTTATCTGAGTAAGATGAATGGGTGCTTATAATGGCCCTTTCTAGGACATATAGATCCACACCCTTATCTTCTACCATATTAGACATTGACCCAAGACCAAAATCAATTAAATGTGGTATCCAACTATTTGTATCCTTAAGATCCCTTACAAGCACAATATTTGAACTAGTCAAATCACCGTGAACATAATCATTCCAATGTAAAAGGCCAATTTGTTGCCCAACCTTTAAAAGTAATTCTTTAACAACGTTATTGTATGGATTTTTATTGTTCCACCAAAGAAAATGTTTTAAATTACTAAAACCATATCCATCCGGCAAATCAGATCCTAGGAATTCTAACCACAAACAGCCATTATAGGGATCGCACGCAATTAATCTTGGTACTTTCAACCCATCGATCTGATATAGTTTTGACAAAAGACGTGCCTCACCCAAAGTACGTTTTTTTGTTAACTGCTGATCTATTATAGGATGTCTGTATTTCTTTGAAGGTCTGTATTTAATGATGTATTTAGTGGTGTCATCAGCAGGCAAAGTTGAATTTTTAGGTAAATATGGGTGTACATTTGTAGAAAATACCACAGCTTCTGCACCTTGTGAAACTAAAGTAATCGGTACATTTAGTGTCAAATATTGTTGTACTGTTTCAATAATCTCTTGAGACATCGCGTGAAATCAATAATATCTTTATGGTATATATTATTTTCTTTTTTTACAATAGTTTTATTTAGTTCTTGCGTTTTCACAAATGTGCAGATATTGTTAATATATACAAGCTCAATATAGCTAAGAGCTAGTTATTATGTTTTATTTTCAATAAATTTACCTTATCTAAGTGATTACAGACTGATATATCTGAATACTTACATATATACACATTTATACACATACATATAAGTTTGTCTTTTGTTATCATTTTTTTTTGTTTTCTTTTTCGTCATACTATCGAAAATTAAACAAAAATTTCCATCTTAACATGTGAAATGGAGAAGCATAAAAGAAAACAAAAATATATACATGAACATGTGTAAGCTAAAAAACAACTAAAATGTGTTTATTTCAGATTTGTAAAAACTTAATCATAGGTTCCACGTTTGACTTGTGGCTCCATTTAATAGTATCTTTAGCTCCTATATGCAGTAATGGTTCAATATGGGATCCTTCGTGGTCTTCAAAAACGATAACATTCCCGTTTGAATTAGATACTTTTATCAATTTATCACACAGTCGTTTAATTTCACCTTGAAGAACTTCATGAGTACCATAGGATATATAAATAGATACTTGTTTAACAATTTTTGCCCAATATTCTTCATGGAAATCTATTTCTAGATCCATTGAGATGCAACTACCATTATCTAATGCTTTTTGTGTTGCCACCATACTTTCTTCTTCACTTTGACCTGTTTGCTTCAACAACAACGAACTAAATAACATCAAATGTTCTTTTGTTAAAGAATCAAACGTTTTATAATTATCGTTTTCATAAGGGTTATCTTTGTCAATCGACAAAACTTGAAATGGGTTACACCAGGGACTTATACATATGGCTTTTTTTGGCAAATTTAAATTAAGCTCTTGTAATTGTAAAAGTATATTTAAGATAATATGACCACCTGCAGATTCACCTAATAAGATAATGTTATTACTGCCTACTACTGTTGTTAAATATATATATAATTCTTTTAATTCATGACACTGTTTAGGTAGTTCTCCGCCATTTTCCGTAGATACAGTATAGTTATGAATTATAATTGCCATTTGAGGGAATAAAGAAATTAAATGATTCAGGAATAAAAATTCTAAAGGAATCATCTTTATCGCAAATCCTCCACCATGAACAAAAATCAATGTATCGTCTCTCTTTGGATCATAATTAGACGGCTGGTAATACCAATTACAATCAATCTGAAGATTTGGATACTCTGAAGATGATAATAATGAATAGCTATATTTCATAGGAACAGACGAGATACATAATATAGCTTTACACATACAATCAAATAATGGATTGAGGACATATTTTAATATATCACCATCACATATCGAAGTTGCCTCTCTCATAAATAATCGTAACCATATTTTACCTTTTTCGATATGGTTGAAACTAGAATTTCTTGACTGATGTCTTCTATATCCTATTATTACCTTATAAGGTACTATGGTAAATAATTTAGTGAAAAATAACACCCATGACACTATCTGACTGACCATTTTACGTATTTCCCTCTTAATTCATGCTGCAAAAGAGATTTTTTAAAGACAAAAGAATCGTTATAGCCTTCAAGTGGGAATTGCAATGGTAGTAAACCAATGAACACAAGAACTAGACTTTAAGTAGTATGTGAATTTCTCTCGATCCTCTCTTAAAAGCTCGCAATAAAGCTGTAATAGGAAAATAAGTTCTTGCATGAATTATTAAATACTTAATTTCATTTTTTTATGGATTTATTTAAATCTAAATATTGCCATAATTTCATTAATCGAATTTGTAAAAAAAAAAAGAATAAGAATAATATATTTAGGGTTTTATTTTTACTGGGTTTAGTTTTCTCGAATAAAAGAATAGCAAATATAGGGTTTGAATTATATTTAGAGACCGATATTATTCAACGAAGATCCTTAGTCCAGTATTTTGGAAGAAGGAGATGATCTAGCAAGCATTAATAAGGAGAGAGAGTAGAGGAACTGTTGCATACTCGTATCCTTATTTATGTTGATACCTCTGCAGACACTATCTAGTGAATAGTATCCTCATAAAAAAGCATTATATCTAAATCTTCCATTATTAGAGATTATAGGGATTTTTAGAAAATCGATAACTGTAGGATCTACATATGAACATTGGTAGTTCAATCGTAAGATATAATACTCTGTTGAATTAAAACCATTAATAATTATTTTGTCTATATTTGCAAAGACATATATAAGTTTTATTTGTTTCTTTGTTAGGCAAGTAATATAATGGTATTCAATTTTAATAAAAAAAAGTGGTTTGAATCATGGGATCCTAAAACATTATATTATGAAAAGCTTCGAGGTACTGATCAATGTTGTAAGGAGTCTCCAATTAATAGTATATCTGAAGGAATTATTTGTGGTCCAGTACTAAGATTGTTATATGTTGATTATGGTAAAAATCAGTATCTGGGGTCCATTCTGATTGTTACTAAAAATTTATCTGATCTAATGAAACAGCCAGTTATAAAATATGTATGTGGCCCCTTAGATTTTCAGGTTAATACTATAATGGAGCCAACTAAAGCTACAGATAAGTTTACTGATGAAATAGATAACAATAATAACAATTTTGACTGTGAATTAACTGAAGGGGTATTTACTCCAACACTATTTCATGAAGATCAATTAGGTGAGAATACATTCCAATTTTATCGATATATGATCGATTTGCCCTTAGTAGAACATGATCAAATGGTTAGATATTCAGTTGATAGTAACTGGGAATCACATTATAGGTTTTATGTTCCGTCAAGGACTAAGAACTTCAATGTGATGGCTTATTCATGCAGCGGATTCTCATTAGCTGTAGATACTTCAAGATTCAAAGGTTCCTTATGGTATGACGTGCTACAAAAACATTCAAAAGTGCATTATAATGTTATGTTAGGAGGTGGTGACCAAATTTATAGTGACTCAATCAAGTTATATTCTCCTAAAGTGGCACATTGGATAAATACAAAGAATCAAATAACTAAATATACAATGAAAGTAGATCTTTCATTCCGGAAAGACATGGAAAATTTTTATTTAAAAGAGTATCTAGAATGGTATGGATTTGGCTATTGGCATGGTTCTACTGAAAAATCAATGACAACACAAAGATTACTTCCATTAGCCTTAGCTACTATTCCATCAATTAATATTTGGGATGATCATGATATTATTGATGGGTTTGGTTCATATAATGATTCATTTATGCAGACTGAAGTGTTTAGTAATATTGGACAAGCTGCATATAAATATTATATGTTATTTCAACATCACGTCAGTATTGATGAGAAAGAACCTTATTTGAGTACCAAAAATTGGATCTTGGGTTCTAATCCTGGCGCATACATAAAAGAAAAGTCCCATTCTATTTGGACTAAGTTAGGTCCAAATATGGCATTACTAGGATTAGATTGTAGAACTGAAAGAAAATTGAAGCAGGTTATTTCATGGGACACTTACAAATTATTATTTCAACGTGTCTCTGCTGAAATTGAATTGTCACAGAAACAAAAAGAGCAAAGAATTGATCATTTGTTGATTATGTTAGGTATACCTATTGCATATACAAGATTAGTTTGGTTGGAATGGTTATTTTCATCTAAATTGCTTGCTCCATTAAAATATCTTTCAAAGAAAAACATTGTTGGACATGGACTACTGAATGATTTTAACGGTGATGTTGAATTATTAGATGATTTGAATGATCATTGGTGTGCAAGGTATCATAAAGCGGAGAGAAACTTCTTGGTTTCAAAATTACAAGATTTGAGTGCTAAATATGGAATCAGAGTGACAATCTTATCAGGTGATGTCCATTTAGCGTCTATTGGTAGATTTAGAAGTAAGTTGCATAGTAGCTTAAAAAGAAACGAGGATGTCAATATGAAGGCGGATGTTTTTGAAAATCCAGAATACGATAGTAGATTGATATTCAATGTAATATCTAGTGCTATTGTTAATACACCACCGCCCGATGGAATGGCAAGATTATTGCAAGAAAAAAATAAATTGCATCATTTTGATGATGAAACAGAAGAAAATAATATTGAAATTTTTAAAGTAGAGACTAACGGTAAAAAAAGAAGACGTAATAATGCCTTTTTGAACAAAAGAAACTGGTCAGATATCATCCCAGTAAAGAATGTGATTGAAAATGAATATTTACAAGGGATTTTAAATATTAAAGTTGGTGATAAACATGTGCCTGGTATTGTTAAAGGTCCACAATGTGATTCCATATTGCTGAAACAGATTGAAAAGAGTAATCTTAAAAATCAATCATATCCAGTCACTAAAAATGGTATTATTTGTTCGATACATGCCGAGATCGATGAAAGTAGTATGAATTCTGAAACAAGTTGGTATTTTTTACCTATCCCGGACTTACAAACAGGAGGAGGAAAGAAATTGTCTCACACAGGTATGAAACATTCTATCATATAAAATACATTATATTTGCATCATTACATGTTTGCTATTATATACAAATATATATATATATATATTAACGATTTCTATTAAGTAGAGTTAAAAATTCTTCTCTTGTTTTATGAGCTCTAAACGCACCCAACATGGATGATGTCTGTGTCAAAGAACCTGTCTTTTGGATACCTCTAGACACCATACACATATGAGTGGCTTCAATAACGACAGCCACACCTAGGGGTTTTAAGATAGCTTGCAACGCCATAGCTATCTGTTTAGATAATCTTTCTTGAACTTGTAACCTTCTTGTGTACATTTCGGCCAATCTAGCCAATTTACTTAACCCAATAACTTTTTTATTTGGAATATAACCTATGTGAACTTTCCCGTAGAAGGGGACTAAATGATGCTCACATAGGGAATATATTTCAATATCACGGACAATGACCATTTCATCATGATCTTCTTCAAAGACAGCATTTTTCAATACATCATCTCTAATATTAGTATGGTATCCCTTTGTGAAATATAGCATAGCCTTAGCGTACCTCTGTGGTGTGTCTAATAGGCCTTCTCTCGCGATATCTTCACCTAATTCAGTCAAGATAGTTTTGACAGCAGACGCAATTCTGTCGATCCTTTGTTGTTCCTCTTCTGGAGTCTCTTGGGCTCTTTTATAAGTCCCTATGCTTGGCCACGAGAAACCATCTGCCTCTACTGGGGCCTTTAATGTATATGTTTTGGCAGGTTTAATGTTTAATGGAGTGGCATTACGAACGATAGGTTGTGAGTCCTGCTCGCTGTCTGATGAATCAGAGTTGCCATGCTTTGCGATTATTTCATTAGATAAATGAGAATGGATCATTTTATTTTTATCTTGCCGTTAAGAGTTTTTTATGTTAAAATTTAGCTGCTAGATTATGAATTGAATATAAAGGAGAACCAAAAGGATAGAGAACAGGAAATGCAATATATATATATATATATATATATATATATATATGCGTGTATGTATAAGTGATTAGTTAGTTGTGTTTGATGGGGTACCAAAAAGAAAAAGAGAAAAAAAAATAAAGTAATAATAAGCTCCAGAATAAATCACTCTACACTCTTTATTTTTTTGGTTTGTATTTATTTTAAATGCATTAAAATGACTATTTTTTCTAAAAAAAAAGAAGTGAAATGGCGTGAGGAAGGAACAAGTAATTGATGGTGACAGAACACGAGGGAATAAGAGATTCTACACTTCAAGATCAAACGATTTCTACAAGGGAAAAAAATAGAATAAGAAGCTCATATATAAACATAGTTATGTAACAAGGGAGGTAATAGCAAGAAAAAGAAAAAAGAAAAGAAAAGAAAAACAAAGTATAGTAAACAAGCTGATGACTATTTCGTTAAGATCATATCCATTAACCTTGCATAACTAAGGGAGAATATCTTTAAAGAAGCCAAATAAGAAGGAAAAACCGCAATGTTAACAGAGGAGAATAGGAACAGAACATGACGGAATTAGCAGCAGCAAACAACACAACATATAACAGAGTCAACATGTCATCTAGATTATGACTAAAACACCTTTTCTTCTGTTGGTTCAAAATTCTCACAGTATGATGCTCGAATAATTCCTTCTTCTCTTCCTTTCCTCGAGGCCTTCAAGATCTTTGTGTTTTTAAAAAATACAAAAAACAAAAAAGACCAAAGAAAAACAAACACCGACTTCAGATGTGTAGGTGTTTCACACAGTTTCATTTGTGTATGAAAGTGTGGAATATGCGGGAGGTATTAGCGAATACAAAATGCTAATTCTATTCCGTGCGGAATCTTGTCCTTCCCACCACTTGTTCAATGAATTTACAACATATGGATATATATATATACATGTTTACAATTTGGTGACAGATTCTAATTTAATATTAATTGTTAAGTCGACAATCATATACAGAAATTACTCAACGCAACGCTACATGTTATATATGACTATTTTTCTCCAGTAGATCAAATGATAATAACCGGAAACAATGACATCTTTTCCTTTCTCTTTGCATACATAGTCTGTTCGCAATTATATGATATGGTATGTACTCATTTAACAATCGATGATTGACTCATAGAAAGTAGCATATCTTGCTGTTATTTTGCTCTTAGTTATATAAGTTATACTCAAATAGTTTCTTATTTGGTGTATTTTTAAATCTAATGATAATATACTTTCTGCACGGTCATACCACTCTCTTTATTCTCCTATTGTTCATCATTGTTTCTATATATATATATATATATATATATATGTGTGTGTGTGTGTGTGTGTGTATGTGTGTAATAATATTGTTTATTTGTTGTTGTTTAATCTCTATCGTTGTGAAACAATTCTTCCTAATCCATTACATAAGGGACAAAGATCATCATCTAGAAGAAAACTAATGCGCCCAGTACCACGACATTCACCACAAAGAACACCCCCAAGACGTGGATCTCCGGGTCTAACCACCAATGGGTGTTGTTGTGGTGGTGGTGGGGGTGGTATTGGCATTGCAGGCGCTGGGGGATACCCATATCCATATCCATAACTGTTCATTGGTGGGGGATACGGTGACGATAGTCCCATAGATGGAGAGACGTAAAATGATGAACTTGTTGGTCCCATATTATAATTGATTGGGTTTTTCGGACAGAATCTTCTCCAACATGATCTGCACGATTTGCCGTTCTTCAGTTTATAACCTGTATTATTACATTTAGGGCAATGGAAGTTGCTTGGATAGACCCATGGTATCCTCGGTCTTGCATTATTACTGGAGGGTTTTGCAATACTTTGTGATAATGTTGATGAGGATGATGCTACTGATGGTCGAGGAACTGGTGGTCTTAAATTTGACGTTAAAGAAGAGGTGGATGACGCGTGAGATGATGAGTTTGGACGTGGTGGTTTTTGAGGCGGTCTTTTTGGTGGCGGTGGTACATTCAAATAGCCATTACTAGAACCACTATTATTACTACCATATGATGATATCCTTCCTTGTGTCTGCGTTTGTGCTTGTATTCGTGCTTGCTCTTCTCTTAGTACATCGTCGTAACTTGGTAATCCATCATCATTGTTACTATCATCATTTATAGAATTCACAATAGATTCACTCTTTGACATTCTTGATTATGATATTTTATCTCCGTTTGTTCGTGTTTCCTTCTATCTCTTTCTCTTTTTCTTTGTATATATCTTTATATATTTCCTTTCTTAGAGACTTAATTTAATATGTATATAGAACAACAAAAAGATTATATTATGAAAGATATACTCACATAATAGACATATATTTAGTCATTTAAGCATACATATATTTTATGCTATAGCTGTATTATTTGCGTATATATTATATATTCGTTTCTTTCTCTTGGCATTCCCTGCAAAAGCAGCCCTTTTTTCTTTGTCTTTATTTCATCTTTTTAAGCCTCTTAGGCAAAATCTGCAAATAAAAAAAAAAAATAAAATAAAATAAAAGCGTAAATGTTTTCTTAACCTAAATTATAATTTTTGAATAAAAGGAAATATTTATTATAACTTTAAAATACCCTAATTATCTATAAACGAAATTTTTTATTTTTTTTTTTGTCATTTTCAGATTTCTGTTTATTGTTTGTTTGTAGATTGAAGAAAATAAATTAAAGAAAAAGAGGTAGAACGAAAGAAAACTTTAAATAGAAGATCTGTAAAGCATATAGAGATATAGAAGTGTACCACGACTTCTTTTTTGCTAGAACACCCTTAAAGTATCTATACATCAGCTAGAATTTAATCCAATTGACTTGCAATCTTTGTCTATCTCTCTGATTCTCTTTTGATACAGTTTTTTTTGGGTTTGTTTTTTTTTTTTTTGGTTCTAGGTTCCCAGTAATAGCAAATGGCCAGGCATTTAAGAAACAGAGACATTGGAGGTCCGGACTCAAACAGTGATGAAGATCATGATGAAGGATTTAAGGATGATAATGGTGTACTTCATACAACTGTCAGATCGTTAAGAAAAATTAATTATGCTGAGGTTGAACATGGATTGGATTATTTAGATGAATATGAAGAAGAAAAAAGTAATGATAATAATGATGAGGAAGAAGACAAAAATAAAAATCATTCTCCTAATACTAATACTTCCTCTGATGTGAAACAATCAAATCCACATAATTTTAATATAGATCAGCAGCGAGAAGAAGAAGAAGAAGAACAACAACAACAACAACAACAAGAATCTCAGACTGATATAGGAATGCAAAACAATGACCATGAAAATGGCAATACTCCACACAATTTGAGGAAAAGGAAGAGACGTCATTTAGACGAAGATGATGATGAAAGTTTTCATGAAGAAGATGTTCTTGATGAGGATGAGGATGACGAGGATGACGAGAACGAAGAATACGAAATGAAGTATAATTATTGTGATGGTTCTAATAGAAAGTACAGTTATAAAAGAGGTTCTAGAAATTTACATAGGTATAGAGATATCGAACGTCAGCGAGATAAGAATTTCGTAGTTCCAGATGACAGTGAGAATCAGGATAGTGACGATGAGGAAGAATCCTATGTATATTCCACTAGATCTAAAACTTCTAGAAATACGAGAAATGGTCGTAATAAAAGAGATATGCAGTCAACTAGATCAACTAGATCAACAAGGGCTGGTAAAAGGACAAGGAGAACAACAACGAGAACTCCTTCTCCACCTTCATCAACAACAAGACTATTAAGATCTACTAGAAGACGTACTCGACAAAGTAATCATGATTCAGACGATGATACTGAGGATCATCTGACCTTGGCTGATGAAATTAAAGAATTAGAAGAAGATAGCCCTATTAGAGAAATGAAAAGACCCTTAAGAGAAAGAACGAAACGTATAAATTATGCAATCCCACCCCCTCTGACAGCAACAAGTGCAGAAGAATATCTAAAACAACAATCAAATATCAGTAGTACTGTTGGTCGTGGAGATAATATATCACCGTCTAGAAGGGGAAAATCTAACTCAAATATAAACCCAACAAGGAGATTATTTCCTACTGGTGGACCCTTCGGTGGCAATGACGTTATAACAGTGTTTGGAGAAAACTCAGATTTTTACGGCATTAACAATTTTTTGTCATCAAATAATAATAATATTACTAGTAATGCAAACAATAATAAATTGATATTAGATTCCGATTCTTCCGAAGATGAAATACTTCCACTAGGTGCCAAGCCAAAATCAAAGAAAATGGATGATAAAAAGAAAAAGAAAAAACCTGAAATCGCGGATTTAGATCCACTTGGTGTTGATATGAATATTGGATTTGAAGATATTGGTGGTCTTGATAATTATATAGATCAATTGAAGGAAATGGTGGTATTACCATTATTGTATCCCGAACTTTATCAAAACTTTAACATTACTCCTCCTCGTGGTGTTCTGTTTCATGGTCCTCCAGGTACAGGTAAGACTTTAATGGCAAGAGCATTGGCAGCAAGCTGCTCTACAGAAGATAGAAAGATCACTTTTTTCATGCGTAAAGGTGCTGATATTTTATCTAAATGGGTTGGTGAAGCTGAACGTCAATTGAGACTCTTATTTGAAGAAGCCAAAAAGCAGCAACCTTCAATTATTTTCTTTGATGAAATCGATGGTTTGGCTCCAGTAAGGAGTTCAAAACAAGAGCAAATTCATGCCAGTATTGTTTCTACAATGTTAGCATTAATGGATGGGATGGACAACAGAGGTCAGGTTATTGTTATTGGTGCTACTAATAGGCCCGATGCAGTAGATCCTGCATTGAGAAGACCTGGGAGATTTGATAGAGAATTTTTCTTTCCATTACCTGACGAGAAGGCACGTGCAAAAATAATATCAATTCATACCAAGAAATGGACACCATCATTATCAGAGGAGTTTATTAATAACTTAGCAAGATTAACTAAAGGTTACGGTGGTGCAGATTTGAGAGCATTGTGTACTGAAGCTGCATTGTTCAGTATACAAAGAAAATTTCCACAAATTTATAGAAGTAATGAAAAATTGCAGGTAGATAGAACCCAATTGAGAGTCACAACGAATGATTTTATGTTAGCTCTGCAAAAAATGGTTCCGTCATCTGCAAGGTCAACCGGCTCTGTACCAGAACCTTTGCCAGAAATGATAAAGCCTTTATTAGATGATCAATTTAGAAATGTTCAGGCTGTTTTGTCCAATATACTTCCTCAGAATCCATTAAGTTTTCGACAAGATACTTCACTAATTCAACATTATTTAGATTACCAAACAGTAGAGGAAGATTATGATGGCATGAATAGAAAAGGAACATTGACTAATTTATTTGGTAAACATGAATTACTTAATCAAATCTCGAATGCAAGGATATGTAAGCCTAGATTATTAATTACTGGACCAATGGGCAATGGTCAGCAATACCTAGGTGCCGCAATTTTAAGTTACTTAGAGGGTTATAATGTTCAAACGTTAGACGTTGCAAGTATTTTGTCAGAAAGTTCACGTTCTATTGAAGCAGCTATTATTCAAGGCTTTGTTGAAGCTAGGAAGAGACAACCTTCTATACTTTTTATTCCAAATCTTGATATTTGGTCACGTACTGTTCCACCATCAGCAGTTTTTACATTAGCAAGTCTATTAAGGTCTTTACAGAGTAATGAAAAGGTTTTGTTATTAGGTATTGCTGAAATGCTTTCTAAAGAGGATTTGATGGAAGAGCCGCTTTCTCATATATCCTTCTTTAACAATATCTTTTACATTGATAAACCATCGAAAGAGCAACGTAAAAGATATTTCAAGAGATTGGAGGAAATTTTGCACATGAAACCCACAGAATTTGAATTAGAAAGAAGACGTAAGAAACCACTGCCTAATCTACCATTAGCTGGAAGAGAGACAATTGCTTCAAATCTTGATGAAAATGGCGATCTGTTATCCCCAGAAGAAGTATTAAGACGAAAATTAAAATCCTTTCAATATCAAGATATGAAATTAAAAAATGTTATTAAAATTAAACTGTCTGGATTAATGGATCTTTTTAAGAATAGATATAGAAAGTTTAGAAAACCGCCAATTGAAGATTCATTATTGGTCCATTTATTTGATACTCAACCAATTGATTCAAACTGGCAGCCAGCTTATGTAAAGGATAATAATATGATATTGGAAGTAGCCACAGGTAGACGTTATTACAATATGGACTTGGATATTGTGGAAGAGAGATTGTGGAATGGTTACTATTCCGAGCCAAAACAGTTTTTAAGAGACATTGAATTAATATATCTGGATGCTTATACTACAGGCGATCGGGAACGTATTATAAAAGCTTCTGAAATGTTTGCTAATGCCCAAATGGGTATTGAAGATATATCTCAACCAGATTTGATAAGGGCATGTAAAGAGTTGAGAAAAAGAGATTCACAGAGAGAAGCACTTGCCATTAAAGATGCCGCACTTAGTCAGGTTGAAGGTGTCTCTGCAGAAACACAATCACAAACTGAGTTTTTACAGACGTCATCTAATGATATACAGTCTACTAATGAAGTTGGCATAGGAGCTGGTACACAATTGCAGGCACAATTGCAATTAAATCCCTCTAAAAATGATGATATTAATACTATCTTACCTGTAGATATCAAGCTTTCTGATACTATCAGTACATCTGTAAATGATAATAATCAAGAATTGATCTTACAAAATGACTTAATCAATGATTTGGATAATGCAAAGGCAAATATTATAGATTCTACTGTGACTGATAAGGATGAGGCAAAAATTAAACAGACTGGCCTATTATTGCAAAATGATGATGATTTGAATGTATCCAAGGTATCCGAAAATCAGTCAGAGCTAATTGACAATACTATTGAAAACAAGAAATCAGATTCAAGGTCTATAGCTGAACAAACAGGGACTGACATTGAACAAAATGGAGTGGAAGAAGATAACTTAAGTGAGGAGAATAACTATGAGAAAGAAATAATAGTACAGCAATCAAAAGTCGATGAATTGTTAAACTCATTAGAAAGGATAACTCAAGAAGCGACAATATCCAACTTAGAAGAAATATATTCTCATATGATGAATATCGTCTGGCAGGGCAGATTTAATTGGGACAAAACAGAAACCCTTAACAAGCTGCTTGAATTTGCTGAGAAGTAAATTGGTGGATATTTTCTATTTATTTTTTACTATTACCTATTTTTATTGTGTTACCTTATAAAATATTCTCTATTATTTTATTAAAATGTCACCCTATTAATAATTATGTACTTATTTAAAGCTAGTCTATTATATATAATAATATATTACTTGTAATTATGATAGAGAATTGCGAAGATCTTTCATATAAGTTGCGGAATACATACGTTTTTGTTAGTTACTGTATACAGTGACAAAGGCTATGCGTGCAATTTCAAGAATTTCATATATGGGAAATTTCTGAAGTATTGGTAAGAATAACGAAAAAAATATCATATATATGAAAAACATTGATGCTTTGTAAGTAAAAAGAAAATAAGTTTGGTAGATATTTACCAGCTGAACTATTACCATTTAGTATTGTCTATTAAATTACCTTATTCCATAATATCGCTCAGCTCAACAAGAACCCAAAGCTATACGATAGAAATCAAGATGTCAACATCATATTCTATAACTTCCTCTAAATCATACATGATAGCCATGCAGACAATGATGGATGCAGTAGACAAATATAATATGAATAAAATTGGTGTTGATTCTCCAATTATTGATAATGAAGTTAATAGTGATAAGGATCTGGAATATGATAAGGTTCAATTAACTGTTTTAGCACAAGATAGAAACGAATGGGATGATATATATGATCAGTTTAAGGATATATCTTTCGAAAGGTTGGATAAAGCCATGAACCGATTGAAGAAAGATCAGTCCAAGAATATTTATAAAAAAATATCACAATTGATCAATACTGCTAATAGTTATTTGGAAAGGGATGAGCTTTTACATTCAGTTCTTACTATTGTTTATAATTATTCTTTGATAGATCTTCAAAAAGAGCTTTTAGATTTTTTAGGTGAAGAAAACATTGAATTAATATCTTTTTTAGTGGAGCATCGAGATCAACTAGTGGCAGCTCCATTGGATCATACAATGCTAATGATTAATGATTCATCAAACCGTTTGATGACTGATGATGAAATTAAACAGCAAGTCCATGAGAACGCAAGGAAAGCTAAAAACATCAAGTTAGCCAAGGCTAATAAGATTATAAAGTACCCGCATGTGTTTAGAAAATATGAATCCAATACTACTTCAACATTATCGTTTTCAGGTCAAAAATTTACTCTTCCCATTGGAACTACACGAACCTCATTACAAACACATGAAGAAATTACTATTCCAGCAGCTGATCCTGAAAAGAGCAAGAGCTTTTTGTATACAAAACTAAAGAAAATATCAGAATTGGATAGGTTTTGTCAGTCTGTATTTAAATATAAAACACTAAATCAAATCCAAACTTTAGTTTATCCCGTTGCTTATACTACAAATGAAAATATGTTAATTTGTGCACCAACAGGTGCTGGTAAAACTGATATTGCTCTCTTAACTATTTTGAACACAATCAAGCAATATTCTATGATTAATGAAGAGGATGAGGTTGATATTCAGTATGATAGCTTTAAAATTATTTATGTAGCACCATTAAAGGCTTTAGCATCAGAAATTGTAGATAAATTTAGTAAGAAGCTAAGTATTTTTGATATTAAAGTTAGAGAACTTACAGGGGATATGCAGCTAACAAAGGGTGAGATCTTAGAGACCCAAGTTATTGTTACTACTCCAGAAAAATGGGATGTTGTGACTCGTAAGGCTAACGGTGACAATGATCTTGTTTCTAAGGTTAAGCTACTGATTATTGATGAAGTTCATTTATTACATGAAGATAGGGGTTCTGTTATTGAGACTCTAGTGGCTCGTACATTAAGACAAGTAGAGAGTTCTCAATCTATGATCCGTATTGTGGGGTTGTCTGCTACTTTACCGAATTTCATGGATGTTGCTGATTTCTTAGGAGTTAATAGACAGGTAGGTATGTTTTATTTTGATCAATGTTTTCGACCAAAACCACTGGAACAACAGTTACTAGGTTGTAGGGGGAAAGCCGGTAGTAAACAAAGTAAAAAAAATATTGATACTATAGCCTATGAAAAGTTAGTATCAATGGTGCAGAAAGGGTACCAGGTAATGGTTTTTGTACATGCTAGAAAAGAAACTATCAAAAGTTCGAGGACTTTTGTACGAATGGCACAGGAAAACCATGAGGTGGATATATTTGCACCAGAGTCTTCACAGAGAGAAAAGTACGCAAAGCAGTTAGCTAAAAATAGAGATAAAGATTTAAAAGAATTGTTCCAATTCGGGTTCGGGATTCACCACGCAGGTATGTCTAGATCTGATAGAAATTTGACTGAAAAACTTTTTAAGGATGGTGCTATCAAAGTTTTATGCTGTACTGCAACATTGGCATGGGGTGTAAATTTACCTGCTGATTGTGTAATTATTAAAGGAACTCAAGTGTATGATTCAAAGAAGGGTGGTTTTGTTGATCTTGGAATATCTGATGTTATTCAAATTTTTGGGAGAGCAGGTAGACCAGGCTTTGGTTCTGCGAATGGTACGGGTATATTATGCACAACAAGTGATAGATTAGATCATTACGTGTCCTTAATCACACAGCAGCATCCAATTGAATCAAGACTGGGTGCTAAATTAGTTGATAACTTGAATGCAGAAATATCACTTGGCACAGTCACTAATGTGGAGGAAGCAGTTGAATGGCTTGGTTATACATATATGTTTGTGCGTATGAAAAAGAATCCATTTACTTACGGTATTGACTGGGAAGAAATTGCCAATGACCCTCAATTATATGAAAGGCGTAGACAAATGATCATATCAGCAGCTAGAAGATTACATTCACTTCAGATGATTGTTTTTGATGAGACATCAATGCACTTCATTGCCAAAGATTTGGGTAGAATATCATCAGATTTTTATTTATTAAATGAGTCGGTTGAAATTTTTAACCAAATGTGTAATCCGAGAGCAACTAATGCAGATATCTTGTCAATAATTAGTATGAGCAGTGAGTTTGACGGTATTAAGTTCAGAGAGGAGGAATCAAATGAGTTAAAAAAGCTGTTAGACAATGTAGTCCAATGTCAAGTTGCAGGAGACGTTGATACACCACAAGGTAAAACTAATATTCTTTTGCAAGCATATATTGCGCAAAGTAAGATTTTAGATTCAGCTTTATCATCAGATGCTAATTATATTGCACAAAATGCTATTAGAATATGTCGTGCTTTGTTTTTAGTAGGTGTTAATAGAAGATGGGGTAATTTTGCCAAAATCATGCTAGACACATGTAAGTCTATTGAAAAAAGGTTATGGGCATTTGATCATCCAATGTGTCAATTTGATTTACCATCCGATATTTTACGTCAGATTAGGGTTAAGAATCCAACCATGGAACACTTATTAGACCTAGAACCAGATGAATTAGGTGATTTAGTTCACAATAAAAGAATTGGCAAAGAATTATATGCTCTCCTAAGTAGATTTCCAAAAGTTAATATTAAATCTGAAATATTTCCTATTACTGTTAACGTTATGAGAATACATGTTAGTTTGTATCCAGATTTTTTGTGGGATAAACGTATTCATGGAGATGCACAATTTTTCTGGGTGTTCGTGGAAGAATCAGACAAATCTGAAATATTGCATGTTGAAAAATTTATATTGAATAGAAGACAACTGAAGAATCCTCATGAGATGGACTTTATGATTCCTTTGTCAGATCCATTGCCACCTCAAGTTGTAGTTAAAGTGGTTTCAGATACTTGGATAGGATGTGAATCAACCAATGCTATATCCTTCCAACATTTAATCAGACCTCACAATGAAACACTTCAAACTAAATTATTGCGGTTAAGACCATTGCCAGTAACCGCTCTTCATAATCCTTTAATCGAATCAATTTATCAATTCAAATATTTTAATCCTATGCAGACTATGATCTTTCATACATTGTATAATACCAATGAAAATGTATTTGTTGGTTCGCCAACAGGGTCAGGGAAGACCGTTGTTGCTGAACTAGCCATGTGGCATGCTTTCCGTGATTTTCCAGGGTCAAAAATTGTTTATATTGCACCAATGAAGGCTTTGGTCAGAGAAAGAGTTGACGATTGGAAAAGAAAAGTTACTCCGGTTACCGGTGACAGAGTTGTGGAATTAACGGGTGATTCATTGCCTGACCCTCAAGAGATTCGTGACGCAACTATTGTTATCACAACACCAGAAAAATTTGATGGTATATCACGGAATTGGCAAACACGTAAGTTTGTTCAAGATGTGTCATTACTTATTATGGATGAAATTCATTTGTTAGCAAGTGACCGTGGTCCAATTTTGGAAATGATTGTTAGCCGTATGAATTATATTGCATCCCAAACTAAACAGCCAGTTCGTTTGCTTGGTATGTCGACAGCTGTCTCTAATGCTTATGATATGGCTAGTTGGCTAGGTATTAAAAAGAATGGATTGTATAACTTCCCATCAAGTGTTCGTCCCGTCCCATTAAAAATGTACATTGACGGTTTCCAGGATAATTTAGCATTTTGTCCACTAATGAAGACTATGAATAAGCCTGCATTTATGGCAATCAAACAGCATTCTCCAGATAAACCAGCCCTTATTTTTGTGGCATCACGTAGACAAACTAGATTAACTGCGTTAGATTTAATACATTTATGTGGTATGGAAGATAATCCAAGAAGATTTTTGAATATTGATGATGAAAATGAATTACAATACTATTTGTCTCAAGTTACTGATGACACCTTGAAACTGTCGTTACAATTTGGTATCGGTTTGCATCACGCTGGTTTGGTCGAAAAGGATAGAACAATATCTCATGAATTATTCCAAAAAAATAAAATTCAGATTTTGGTGGCTACTTCTACGTTAGCATGGGGTGTTAACTTACCTGCTCACTTAGTAATCATTAAAGGTACGCAGTTTTTTGATGCCAAAATTGAAGGTTACAGAGATATGGATTTAACAGATATCCTTCAAATGATGGGAAGAGCAGGTAGACCAGCTTTTGACACTTCTGGTACTGCTATTGTTTATACTAAAAATTCTAAGAAAATGTTTTATAAACATTTTCTAAACATTGGGTTCCCAGTGGAATCTTCTTTACATAAGGTATTGGATGACCATTTAGGAGCAGAAATTACTTCAGGTACAATAAAGTCTAAGCAAGATGCACTAGATTTCTTGAATTGGACTTTTTTATTTAGAAGAGCACACCATAATCCAACCTATTATGGTATTGAAGGTGATCAATCTTCTGTTGCAATCAGTAAATATTTGAGTGGTTTGATTGATAAAACTATTGAAAACTTGAAGGAGTCACAGTGTGTAGAAATTTATGGTAAGGAATTAGAACCTACGCCATTTTTGAGTATATCTTCCTATTATTATATCAGTCATTTAACCATTAGACAATTATTGAAACAAATTAACAATGAAGCCACCTTTCAGGATGTGTTAAAGTGGTTATCATTGGCAGTTGAATATAATGAATTACCTGTTAGAGGTGGTGAGGTGATTATGAATGTTGAAATGTCCGCTCAATCTAGATATTCTGTTGAGAGTACTTTTACTGGAGAATATGAATTACCTATGTGGGATCCTCATGTTAAAACGTTTTTATTATTACAAGCACATTTAAGTCGTGTAGACTTACCAATTGCCGATTATATTCAAGATACAGTTTCAGTTCTTGATCAATCATTGCGTATTTTGCAAGCTTACATTGATGTTGCAAGTGAGTTGGGTTACTTCAATACAGTCCGTACGATGATCAAAATGATGCAATGTATAAAGCAGGGGTACTGGTATGAAGATGATCCACTTGGCATTTTACCAGGCGTTAACCTGGTTAGAATTGAAGATTCTAAATTTGCTGAAAACGGTTTATTATTGAATGAAATAGACAGAAACAATAGACTAACTTTAGATAAACTGGGTCGTTATGGTGCTAAGAAACTTCAATCAGTTATGAATAAGTTACATGTAGAAGATGATGAGGATTTACGTAAACAATTTATTCATGTATGTCAACGACTTCCTGTTTTAGACAACCTAAACTTTGTGAGAGATCCTGATATGCCAGAAAGATTGATTTTACAGGGTAAACATGCATTTAATAAAATTAACAGAGGTTATGAAGTGTTCTGTGATAAAATTCCCTAAAATCCAAAGAGAATTATGGTTTTGTATTGGATATCAAGGTACTGAACTGTTAATTCTTAAGAGATGTCAACCTAGGCAGGTTGGCAAAGAAACACATATCAATTGTGAAATTATCATTCCAGAAGAAATTAGTCAAGAAAAGATTGATTTTGTATTAATTAATGATGCTATGGACTTACAATATTCTATAGATTACAACCCTATGATGTAGGTTGCAATCCATCATAAGTTTTCAAATTGTGTATTTGTTTCGTACATAATGTACATGTATATACTATTTAAATGGTAGTACAATATTCTTCAGGGTAATGTCAAAATATGATGCAAGGAAGAAATGGGTAGAAAAATTTATTCAAAGAAATCATCCTCTTCCTCTTCCTCACTCCTATTAGATTCGTTCGCATTATTGATATTAGTATCTGTTTCTTTATGGTTTTCAGCAGATTTTTTAGGTTGTTTATGTGTATCAGATTTTTCAAAAGAGACACCTGTATGGTCTTTACCTAATTTCTTACCCTTTAATATATCTTCAAAAGATATAGGTAAGGTTTCATTTTTAGCCTGTTCCATTATCAATTGTCTAAAAGTCTCCCTTCTAATAGAAGTCTTGTCTTGTTCTTCTGTAGTATTATCTGAAGATGAAGAAAAAGTTGGGTATAAAGCAATATATTTTTCAGTTTTAGGAAAATTCACAACGTAGCATACATCGATTTTACATTTCTCTAATTTTTCTTTTAACTCGTCATTATTAGGATCTTCTTTAAGTTGCTTAGTCACTTGCTTATATTTCCTTAATGATTTTTTTCTTTCAAAAAATCTAATCATACGGTACTTGGACACATTTTTTTTTGCTTTACTACGCAATTCAGCAGTCTCTAATTCCATTCGAAGTGCTTCTAAAGTTCTTTCCTTTTCAACAATGACTGTATCAGGTAAAATATCTTTTTTCTTTTTCAATAACCTTTCTATGTCTCTTATTCTTTTTTTTAATTTATTGACACCAGCATCTAGGAATTGAGCCATTTCTAACGGTGAGCCCATTCCTTTACGTCTCTTGTTCAACTTTGCATGTTGAGCCATTTTTTTTATTCCTGGTCAATTTCACAAGATCAAATAACTCTATGAATATAACAAATGCTTGTTTGACTGTTTAGTCTATTAGATATTGTTACAAAATGCTAAATACTCACAAAATTCAGTGTGTTTCTCCATATAATGTAGGTGCATTCTTGTTAGAAGTTCGAGATGCCCTCTTTATAAAACGGTTATAATAAGAAAAATTTTTCAATATTCTGAATATGTACTTTTTTTCTGGTTCTATTCATTATTAATTATTTTTTTTTCTAATTATTATTGATTGAAAATAAGAATACAAAGGCAAGAATGAAATAAAAAATAAGAGAGCTCTTATGAGATGTTTGAACTCTTTGAGGTGCCTGTCACTCATTTGTTTTCTCTTATTCCAAAACATATCAAATAATATGTAATAGTAAATAAAATAAGATAAACATTGAAAGAAAGAATGTTCATGTAAAGTTATAATATATCCTTACTTTAGATATAGAAAAGTATATACAAAAACAAACGAAAATTAATAAATATATACATATATATATATATATATATATAACTACATGTTCATTTTGTATATTTCTAATGTTTTATGTTCAAGATATATGGGTAGATCTATATTATAATGATGAACAAAGTCTTAAGATTGTCTCTTTTATCTGTTTTACTGCATGACTTAATTCTTCTTCACTAATTTCTGAAGTACAAGATATTTTTAGACTAGGAACAATTGGTAAAGTTTCATGTTTCACCAAGAAAGTGTTTCTGGTTATTAAGATATTATATTTGGTCAATACTTCATCCACAATGGCTTGTAAGAATTTTTCCTCATTTTCATACGGATCAAATATGATATGTGAGGAGCATTTCTTCTGTAAATTAGAAACAGTATCGTATAGTTCATCTTTTGTGTAATGGAATTTATTGTACCTGAATTGGGCAGTCAATTCTAAATGTAAAACAGGTGAATCCTTGTGGGATTTGATAACGACATATTTATTTAAATCATTATTTTCATTGTCACTAGTCATTGTATTGTGAAGGATTTCAGATAATCTATGTAATTTAGTGACTTCAGAGTTATCATTTTCCATAATATCAATAATCTCACTAGCCGAAGCTACAGTGTATGCAGGTAAGGAGGCAGAGAAACAATATGCATTAGAACCTATTCTTTGATGGTAAGCCATAACATGGTCACCGAGGGTAAACCCACCAGAGGAACCAAAAGCTGTAGCCATACTACCAATAGTGACATCAATAGAATCTGCTCTTTTTAAACCGAAGTATTCTGGCAAACCACGACCATGAGAACCAAGTACACCAATGGAGAAAGTCTCATCAACAAATAGTCTGAATTTATGTTTCAATTTCAATTTGACCAAATCAGGTAATGGCGCAATATCACCACTGTTGTGGAAAATACCCTCTGTGACAATAAACTTACGTGGAATAGCAGGTAAATTTTCACGAGCTTCAGCTGCATTCAATTCAGATAATAACTTATCTAAAGACTCCATATTATTATGTTCAAAATAGTAGACAGTGGATCTACTTAACTGCAAAGCATTTTGTATAGACAAAGAGATTTGATCATCAGCTACAATGACATCACCACGTTTTGTAAAAGCAGATAAGACAGAAGGTGCCACACAGAAATCTTGACCGTATAAAACAGCAGATTCAGTGCCAAAGAATCTAGATAATGTGTATTCTAAATTATAATGCACATCTTGATTCCCATAAAACCCTGCAGGACCACATGCACCAACACCGTAATTTTTAATAGTCTCCTTGACTTTATTGATAACTCTTTCTGAATTACAAATGTTTAAAAAATTGTTTGAAGATAAATTTAAAACGTTGTCATAGATTTCATTATCATTGTTACGAGACACTTTAATATGGCTGCGAATACCACCATCTAGTACGATCGGAATCTTCTCGAGTCTCCAACCTTGTTTTTTCATATCCAATGGACTATCATTGACTAAAGGTTCTGGAACCCATTCTTCAATCAATAGCTCAATTTCCTGTTCACTTAAATCGGGTTTATTAGATCTTAGACTTTTCTTTTTTTGTGGTTTTGATAGATAATAGTAAATACCATATAAGATCAAACTGATTTCAATCATGGTTCTGTATGGATCATCGTTAATGGATTTTTTAACATAGTCAACTACATAGTGACCACCAGGAACTTTTATTAAAAGAACATTAAAACAGTACCATATATAAGAGTAAGTAGTGACGATAAAAGATGGGATTGGTATTGAGGTGGGGAGAACAGATGCACCAGTTATGGTATCATTTGTAGCTGTGTTCATCTTTTTGTTTTTTTTTTTTTTACAAGTAGTGAGAAAATAGTAATCCTGAAATCTTCAATGTTTCAATACCTATTGACAATGAAAAGGTATGAAAAAACTAAAGAAGAAATGAGCGAGAGATAGGAGGAGAAAAAGACTTGGTATATGTGTGTATGTGTGTGTGTTGTGATGAATAAGTAAGCAAATGAATGATGGAATGATTGGATAGATGAAAAATAAAAATAGAGTATTGTTAGAATGTGTCTTTGGGTACTCAATTAAAGTGTTGTGGATTATATAGGTTATTAAGAGGAATAGTAAAGGTAGAGTTAAAGTATCGAAGGCGGACAGAGACGGAAAGGTGGAGAGATGGTTCTGAGTTACGAACTCAAAATGAATGAGAGATTCCTAGACAAGCTCTGTTTCAAAACTTTTTTAATCCACTCATTTTCTCTCATTCATTTTGATTGTGTCTCTTTCTTCGTCGTTAATACAAAAAGAAAAGAAAAGAAAAGAAAAAAGAAAAAAAAAGAAACGAAAACAGAAAAATTGGAAAAAAGAAAAAAAAATTATTTTCCTTTAATGGTGCATTGTAATTAGGGTTTACATGAAACTTTGCCATTTTTTTCCAAATTTCCAAAGAGCAAGTAACTAGCTAATTGGGGCAAATACATATTTTCCTCAAGAAAGAAATTATTGGTCACGTGGACACTGTAACTAACTAGGTGCCATTAAATAAATGTGAGAATCCCTCAATTTAGTGGTAAAGCTAATTTTTTCTTTCTTTCTATTTACTATATAGAAGTACACGATAACTTCAATGGTTTATTATCTATTATCTTCGCTACTAATATGTATATACAATGCCATTACACACTTACATTTACCATGGGTTGGTTCTTCTTTCTGAGAGAAGGCAAAGAGGCAGAAACAAAAGCAGAGACAGAGGGAAAGAACTCTATAACGATTTCTCCATAGTGTGGTATTCTGGGTGTATGGATGTACAGCGTTAAAGGTCTGGTTGGATGAACCTCTGTTTTGAAAGCTGTGGGTATCTTTTCAATTCTTTAAGATAAAGTAACTCTTGCTCCTAAAATATCAGTACAAGTGAGTTGTTCGAGGTGCTGGTACTACCAAAGTATTCAGTGGTATATATGTAAACAGTACAATCGAAAGTGAAAGTGGAAATAGCAGTGGAAAAGCTCTCCTTGGTCACAGATTTTAAGCATTAAAATATTATGAATACATTAATTAATGAAATCAATCAATCAGGTAAGTTTGGTGTTCCTCTTGATAATGAGATACACTGGACTTTTGATTGGTATCAACCAATAAAACCAACTAATAATAATAGCAGCAATAATAACACCAATAATAATGATAATAATATTCAATCTGCAAGTGACTTGTTCTTTGGAGTCAAAGACCATGATGGGTCAAGAACAAATTTAAATAAATCAAATTCAAATCTGTCGTTAGCCGATAGTATCGTCCAGCAAAAGCAGCAGCATCATAGTACTGGGAATATGGAAGATGGTTCAGTCGACAAATATCCATTTGGTTTGAAGACTTGGTTGAAATCAGCAAATAGTGACTTCGAAATATTTAACTTTGAAGAAAATAATACTTTGAAAGCATTGGATTTAAATAAGTATGATAGAGCACAAAGACTAATCGATGGTAAAGATCAAAGAATGATTGCTTTAGAGAAAAACAAAAGAGTCAAGGAAGATGGCTTAACTGAAAAGGATATTAGAGGTGCTGTTACAAATGCAGGTTCTATCCCAGGATTATCAAGTAGTACAGATAGTAATAAAATAATCACTACTAACACTACTGACACTAACACTAACACTAACACTAATAAATCTGATGAAAACAGTGAGATTACAGATGATAATGACAATAAAGCAGATAAACAAAATGATTCAAATAAACAATTAGCAGACAACATTATTCCAAGTGACCGTGAGACATCAAATGATGTAAAGGAAACATCACCAGTGCAAGCTTCTAATGCAATGACAAATGAAACACAGTCTGCAGAATCATCAGATAATGTAAAAACAACAATTGATAATTCTGTAAAGACAGATAAAGAAGGTGATATTGAAATGAAATAGAATGTATATATATATAAGAAAAAGATACAAAGATACATCAGAATACATATGCTATTGGTTACAATATAACTAATTCTTGACTATAAAAGTAGCCACACCATCTCTTGCCTTAACAACAGATTTTTCAATGTCATTCTCTAAAGATTCTCTTTTTTTCATCTTTTCCTCTTTTGTATCACATTTATTTAATTCATTCATTAACCTTGTCCAATTCTTAGTATCTCCACTGCCACTTAATAAAACTATTAAAGAATTCGATGGTAAATTGTTGTATAGTGAATCTAATTCCTTTAAAAAATTATCTATTATCACATCTTCAATATTTGTTTCTCCATTGTCTTCAATAGAAGGTACTTGTCTCATTGAGAGTAATGACGGCGTGGAATATTGTCTGACAAATTCTAAGTCTCTTAATCTACCGACAAATAAATCATATTTTTCTGATTGCGATATAATATTTTCCATGATTTCTTTGTCTGATTGACAGCGCACACATGATATATAATTGGAATCAGCAGATGATACATTTGTGACAACAGAATCATTTAATAAAATTGCTCTTTTATATGATTTTTTGGCTAATCTTTCAAACAAATTCTCTGTATCAACGGATTTACCAAATGCCATCCCATGTAAAATTTTAGATTTTAATAAATTGATGCATGCCTTCGCATCTTCAATAGAATTATGACCATTATTTACATCTTCTTGAATACTGTAGTTTAGATATTCAGAGACTAAAAATTTTAAAGATGGTTTGAACGGTGGACCTGCTTTATGATCATAGATTATTGCAGTGTCTATTATCTTTGGGTGTCTCAATTTTAGAACATTTAAATCACTTTGTAGTGAATGACCTACAAGGATATCATTGCTACTTATGAGGTTTATAATATCCTGTTGGACATCTTTTAAAGATCTGGTCACTGGATCCAATTTTTCTTTGGTGATACCACTATATTTAGTCAAATAATCAGTTATAGGAACGTCAGGTTTCACTAATTCATCATAGATTGTCTCATTTTGGAAATTTACTAAACTGACACGAGTTACTACAAATCCAGTTTCTGACATACACATTTCACAATCTAGCCCATAGATATGTGATTCACTATCATCGAGACTTGGTTTTGTATCAACCCATATGCTTGATGACTCTTCATTCCTTTGGATTTCAATTAGTTTTGTTTTATAGTCGTCACTAATATTAGGGGTATCAACATGAATCGGATAATTATTTTCCAATAACTTAGATAATGGCAACAAAAGATCATAAACAGTGACTTTCTTCTTAGACAATTCATTTTTTAAGGCAATCTTTTCATTCTTCGTTAAGCCAACATTAACAAAAGTATTATATGCAGAAAATAATGATAATCTTGAGCCAGGTGCACAGACTGCAGTATTTTCAAAATGTGTAAAAGTTTGTGATTTTGCAATATCAGTTGTTAACCTTGAATATTGTAACTTCTGTTTTCTTAATTTACCACTATTTAGAAAAAATGAAGAGCCAACAGGTAAATTATAATCTTGTGGTTCTAGTCCCGGGATAAATAAAACTACAAGTTTCGTTAGAGAGCTTCTGTTTGATATATTTACCCATTGCGGGGAGTTATTGGTACCATACATTAAAAATAAAATTAGGTCTCTTATATCTTTAATTGAAATACGATATTTTTTCTTAATATTTTGTTTTAAGTTATTTACATTGTCATGGTCTGTTTTTTTATTAGTATGATTCTTGTTAGGTTCCTCATAATAGAAAAATTTATCTAGAATTTTAATGTCAAATGGCCTATCGGAAGAATTTCTTTTCTTCTTTTTTGCAATTTTACCTAAGGTAACACTGTTTTGTTCTAATTGATCCTCATTAGATTGATTTGTTGAATTTAAATTTAGTAATTGGTTACTACTTAAAGTGGCACTGGATCTTCTTCTTTTCACATGATTACTACTACTGGTGGTGGTAGGATATGGAATAGTTTGAAGGCTGGAATTCAAAGAATTCACTATATCCGTTTTAACATTATCAGTCTCATTAATATTTAATCTGGCAACTTCATTTCTTACAGATTGCGGTTTATTAATATTAAGGTTTAAATCTTGTGAAGGTAATGATAACTCTGAGGATTTTTTAGGCGAAACATTTGGGGAGGTTGGATCGATCATATTCTTTTGTGCTTTATTGTTTTCTTCTTTCTTGACTTAATTTTATCTATTTGGTTTGCGTTGCCTTAAATAATCTTAGTTATTAACAAATGGAAGATGCTATGATAACGGGAGGTGGAGGGTTTTTGTACAATACTTTTATAATGCAAATATCATCCTCAGTTCAGTAGATAGACAATAGGCATACATTGATGTTTTAATGCCCTAAAATATTCTATGATGATATACACATAAATAAATATATATATAAATAAATAGATTCTGCGTATATTTTATAAATTTGCAACTTTTTCAATTTTTTTCAGTTTGTTCAATTCACAAATAGAAGATGCCAAGAAAAAAAACTCTCTGTGCTCTATGTTCTGAGAAAAGTTAAGTTAATACAGTTCGTTGGTTTGGTATGGTGTGGATGTCACTAGTGAAAGGTGTTAATTGAACTATCTGTTGCATAGTATGTATGTGTATTGTTGATAAGCATCTAAAAGTTGATGCTCACCAATAAATGTATATAGAAACTTTGCGGTCATACGATTTTTCATTGCTGATTAATACATATATATATACATATATATATATATACGGGCATAAAACAAATGATAATGATGATAAAGTGTATGGAGGATCATAGCACAATGCTAAGTTTTTATTTAGTCGAAGCCTGTGTTGATAGAATTTTTCTAATCTCCGTACTACTCAATTTCTCTTTCCAACCATCTCTCTCATCACCACCTAAGACATTGACTACTATAATTTTTAACTCATTAAATCCACGTTCCCGACGAGTCCTATTAACAATCTCCCCACCCTTTACGGTCTCTCTACTGACTATTAGACATTCAATCTCCGGTACAGTTCCGGTGGGTCCGCACACGTCATGTAGTGGGATAATGTCAACTAATAATTGTGGTTTTAAAATGTGTAAAAACTCGAGTACATTATCTTCTCGTTTACTAAAAGATTCCATGCACTCTTTGAATTTTTTATTGACTAACAATTCTTCATCTGTCAATCCAATAATCAGTCTCTTTGAAGTCAAGAATGCAGCCATAGTCAACAGAATCTTATGTCCATCATGTATGTGATCAAATGTACCACCAACAGCTGTCATTTTATATCTATCTTGATCTACTGACTGGTTTGGATTCTTTGAATATTGATCTATAGTACTTGCCTGGGTGTTATTGTTGTTAATGCTATTACTATCATCCATCTTTAAAGAGGAATGTATTATTTTCTCAAGTGTACCAAACTGGATATCGTAGTTATTTAGTATTGATGGATCTAACAGAAATATGTGGTCCCAATATAAATCTTGTTTGTTGAAATTGCCTAATAGCACATTTAAAGGTAATAAAGTCAGGTCTCTCTGCATAAGAATATCTCTAACGTTACTATATATTTTACCTAATAGATCATCTAAATGGTAAGTGTTTTTAATATTAATTAATAGTAGGATATCAATAGCATGATTTGGGTTTTCTGTCCGATAATCTTGTCTTAATAATTCTTCTAAACTGTGATTGTCTCTTGATAACACCTCATCAATTGTTTCAAACAGCCAATTGATATCTGATCCACTGATATGATCCAATACAAAACCAATACGTACCATAGAAATTTTATAATATAGTGTGATGCTGACGTTTGTTCCCTTTATCCCGTGCCAGAAACCTCTTTTATTATTGTTATTATTATTTTAGTAATGAATACACTTATAATCAGAGTAAACCACTAATAAGTCTACCTGCAATCTGATAAAATTGTCTATAAGATGATCCGATTACAAATAATGAGTTCAACTATTTTCCTTTACCGGTACCCTCATCTATTTACGGTGTATATGTCACTCTATTCTTCCTCTATTCTTATCCTACATTTGGGTTTTGAGTGAAAAATTTCAAGACTTTGGAAGGGCGAAGTTGTTGGTGATGAGGGGAGGGAGATGAGATTATTTTTTTTTTTTTGACTAATTGGTTAACCTCTACAAGATGGGATGAGAGGAGAGAAGAGGAGATGAGGTGGAAGGTATTGTGACTCGTGTAGTATATCTATAATTTGTAGTTGGAATGTGAAGTAGAAACTAGAATAAAATAGTTGTTTTGATAAAGTTTGTGGTGTGAGTTTGTGTTCATATTCCAATCCTTCTCAGTTATTTTTATAAGATAATAGTTGGACACATAAACAGTTAGACAGGGAGATAGGTAAATAGGTAGATAGACATTTATAAGAATGAGTAAAGAAGTAGAAGTGAAGGTAGAGGTAAACACAGAACTAGAAGAGAAACAACATCAAAAATGGATGCAGTGTGAAACTTTATTAGAAGAGACGATTGAACAATTGAATGATGCAAATATCGATGAACTGTTTCAAACGATGGTTGATCAAGTAAATGTTATATGGACGCAGAATTTGTTGATTAGATTTATACTTTGTTATAAAAGTCAATTTGGGTTATCATCAAATTTAATATGTGGGTTGGCTAAGAGATTAGGGTACTTTTTAGAGGATTTTAATCTTAATCTAACGAAACAAATAATATTTACTTTTATTGAATGTTTCCAAAATAATCATTTGATAGAGACTTTGGAAATTCTACCCTTGATTGCAGATTTATACAATTATGATATATGTTCAGAATTACTCATTTTACAAGTCTTACAGGTATTGACTAAGAAAAATATAAAAGAAAATATGCAAAATGATGATGGTAATAATAATAATAATAATAAATTGAGTATAATGGGTATAATTCGAGTTATAGGATTATGTGGTAAAAAATTGAATGAAAAGAATCAAAGGATTCATGATACTATCTTTGAGAAATTGGTACAATCCTCTAGTATTATAAATCAAGATACTAAAATTTCAAAGGAGTTTAAATATTTATTGAAATTGAAAAATGATGGCTATATTGATGTTTGTGATCCTTTATTACCTAAATATAATCTTGGAATGTTGCCTTGTTTGCCTGAACCTATTAATTTCATTATAAGTAAAGAGTTAAGAGAACCAGATGACACTTTTGGTGAGTTTGTATATAATGATAACTTGGAAGAAGTCGATCAGCAATGGGGTGTTATAAAAAATATAATAAATGATCCAAAGTTCAGTCAAATTGAAGAAGTGGTTGAAGAGGAAGTTCAAGATAGTCATACTGACTTAGCTTCAAATGAAAATGCACAGACTGATCACAATGAGAAGAAAGTAGTAGATATGACTAACTCGGTTGATATACAGTTTAAGAAGGAGATATATCTTATTTTAAAGAGTTCATTGTCAGGTGATGAAGCAGCACACAAAATATTGAAACGTAGAACACCAGATGATTTAAAATTTAATATTGTAGATATTATTATTAAAACAAGTATTCAAGAAGCTACATACTCTAAATTTTATGGTATTATAGCAGAAAGATTGTTGAACAGTCACAAGGCTTGGAAACCTGCATTTTATAGGATCTTTAAAGAAAATTTTCAGCAATTAGATACATTTCAACCTGAACAATTAAGGATTATTGGTAAATTTTGGGGTCATTTATTTGCTACTGATTATATTGGATTTGAGTTGTTTGAAATAGTCAAAATTAATTCTATTGAAAGTACTGCACCAAGCAGAATCTTTATTAAATTTGTGTTCCAAGAATTGGTGGCTGATTTAGCTATTGATGAATTGAAAGAGAGACTAAATGAGGATTATATTCAGCCTTTTATTACTGGGATGTTTCCCAATGATGACATGGACAACATACGGTATTCGATAAATTATTTCACTGCTATTGGATTGGGTATATTAACTGACAAGATGCGTACTAGATTAGAAGAATTGGAAAATGAGGAAATGGAAAGGCAGCACCAGCAGCAAGAAAATGAGGAGGAAGGGTACAAAGAAGTACATGAAGAAGAAAAAGAAGACAGGAGAAGTAGATTCAATAGATTTTCTTCAAGAGCAAGAAATCAAAGAAGATCGGTAACTCCGCCAAGACATAGAAGAAATAATCTTAGAGAAAGGTCGGTAACACCACCTAGAGAAAGGCAATGGCAACGATCATTGTCACCTTCGCCAAGGAGAAGAAGATATACCGAGATTCCTGCAACGAATAAAAGAAATTCTAGATTTCAGCGTAAATATCGAGACAACTCTTTAAATAATGGCTATAGAAATTCACCTCAAGGTAGACAAAGAGGACCAATCAATAGACAAAGTCGATATAATAATTAGTTTAAGTAATATACTTGTTTAGAGATAGATGGAAATGATGATTTTCTCAGATATTCCTATGTATTAAATGTCTTAACTAATATATATATATATAATTGAAAAGCAGAAAACATAAAGAGATAGTAACTAGACTATTATATATCTAAATGTGCATTATAGATGAGACAATCAGGTATTAGTATCAAAACAGAAGAACTTCAAAAATCAAAAAAAAAAAAGGAAAAAAAAAAAGAAGTTAATATGTTATATATAAAATGGAGAATGATAAAATTGGATGTAACTACTAACAAATATGTCTGTATTTTATCATTTTGGGTATCAGTTAAAAAGAACTAAAAAAAAGGAATCGAAGAATCGAAGAAAGAACGTAAAAGGTGAAAATAAAAGAGGTGAGAATAAAAATAATCAAGGGTATCTAAAACAAAATAACATCTTACGGTATTTATTCATCAGATAAAATACCCCAGTATTTTTCAACACCTAAGTTACCATCGGCTTTCCAGTAATCGTTGTAGGCATTGTATAAGAAAGTGTCAGAACCACAAACAGAGATGATAGAGTCGACAGCAAGTTTTTGGTTAGCTTTAGATGGGACAGCAATACCGTAAGTTTGACCCTTAGATGGCCAACCAGATTCAGCAATAAGAACGTCTTTTTTACCGTCACAAGCACCCCAGACTCTTTGAATTTGTTGTAATAACCACTTACCAGAATCTTCAGCAGCTGTATGTTGATCAAAGTAAGCATGAGCATTAACAGCCATGTAATCAGAGTATTGACATAGTTCTGGGTTGTTAATGACGGCAATGAAAGTATCAACGAAGACAACTGGACCAGTGTAACCGGCAGCTTGTAAAGCAGCTCTACCAGTAGCAACATATTGGCCAATTTGTGCTGGAGTAGCTTGGTTACTGTTGACTAATTCGTTACCAATAGAAACAGTGATAACATCGTCCCAAGAACCGAATTGTTCGACAGCGTTCTTGATGGTTTGAACACCTTGCTCAATTTGATCCATGAAGTAAATACCTAAGAACAATTTTTGGTTCTTTTGTTTGGCTTTCAAAACGTTTTCGACTTGAGAACAATCGACACCATACAATCTAATATTTGGATAATCCTTCATATTGGCTAAGTCAGAGGCAACTTGTTCTGCAGTCTTACAGGTACCATCGGCGTTGTAAGGAGAATAAGTAATACCCTTAATGACATTTTCATTTAAAGTTTGGACATCGACGTCACGTCTGTACTTATGTTCATGACCTAATGGAGCAGCGAAAGCTGAGGTTAAGATGGAAGAGGTGATGAGCAAGTTAGAGAATTTCATTATTTAAAAGTATAGAAAGATGGGGTTGAAATGAATGAATCTAATGATGTTTTATTTGTTTGTTCTATTTGGGAAATGTTATAATATATAAGTGAAAAGGAATGAACTTTTTTTTAAATAGATCTGATTTATTAATATTAGAAAACTGATAGTTATTTCTTTTTTTTAATATAATAAATTAGTTGGATCTTATAAATATTCAAGTTTATCAAACGAGTGACCTGATAGTTGGATTTTTTTTGAGTCCCGAATAGTGTTTATTGACTTAGGTGGGGGATGCATAAAGAAAATTCAGGAATAAACAAAGATCAAAACAACAAAGAAAGAGGGAGGAGGAAATGAGAATTGATGAATAAGTCTTAAGACTATTGCAATAACAGGCTATAAAATCTAGTAGAAGTATATATATATATATGTGTGTGTGTGTGTGTGTATAAACAGAATTAGGAAGGGATGTTTGAACAATAATGGCAGAAACAAAGAAAGACTCGATTAGTTGAGTCGACTTGCATTTAGTTTTATTCAACTTCAATTAAATTTAACGACAGATAGGACTCTTCCAGAAAATCTACATAATAAACAAAGAAAAAAAAATTGTGACGGTCTTAAGCAAAACAATAAGTTAAACAAACGATATTACCCAAACAAGAATTTAGTAAAGAGGAGATAACAATAGACAGCAGAGAAAAACAAAAAGAATCTGTTCATCTACTTTTTTTCTCTTTATTGTGTTTGCTTTATTTGTTTTTTTGTTTTTTCTCGAACTTCGTATTATCTCCATTTTAGGAAAATGGATCTGTTTTTAATTAGAGGCGGTCTATTGTTCACTCTTAAAATTTCATGTTTATGTTGTTATCAAATATTCCATTTCAGGTAAATGATGTCTAAAAAGGGAGAAGTGGGGCACTAGTCGAGAAAGGTAGGTACTAGATCTAGCCCAAAGCGGTGAGATTTGTATCACAGCTTTAGGATTATGAAGTCTTTGTATAGGGTTGGTACCTTTGTGTTTTGCATATTCTGTTTCAAATTGGTTGTACGGATTAGGGTCCAGGGAAAAATAAAATAATATTAAAATATAAAATAAAAAAAGAAAATGTGAAGACAAGAAAAAAGTGAGGGGGAAGGTTTGCGTGTGTATAGATATATCTTCAATGAGGTGATATGTAAAGATAACAAACCCAGATATGATCAATGGATAATTCAGGTTGTTATATTTTACTACATGTTATCAAGTAACCAATGATTATATATCAATACAGTTTGTGATTAGCTCCTACACATCATACAAATCGTATATAAATCTTTCACAGGGGTTCTCTGAAGACCCCTAGTATCACTTTCCTTTTCTTTTTCGCTTCATTACTTGACAGGATTTGTTTCAGTGGATTCTATTTGACATATTGTTTTTTATTATTCTAATTTTTTTTATTTTGTTGTTGTTGCTGTTATGTTATATAACCATCTTGAAAAATACTGCTTGAAGATAAGATGATATCTTTTTTTCCTTTTTTTTGGCTAAAAAAGAGACATATCTATGTTACAATCCTATTGCAATGGTTTCTGGATCATCATTTTAATGTTATAATCTACCGTATAGACGTATATTACCCACATATCTCTCTTATTACTTAAAAATCGGTGATTATTCTCTAAAGGGCCCTCCTCCTTGTATTTATTTTTTTTCTACTAATATCTAATTCAATTACATATAACATGTAGAGGAAAGAAGGAAAAAAAAAATTTTTCTCTCTTTTGCGATGAGGTAAAATTACATAGTGACAAAAAGATGGTACTAATAAGCAGTGAAGGTGATGTTCTCCATAAAAGATAAACAAAAAAGGGACTAGTTTATCAATCAATAGGAGTTAACAGTCAAGGACTCAGTAATAATACACAAATTAGTAAGTGATAAATAAAAATTTATACTATAGGTTTATATAGATATAATGGGTTTGGCTGCCACAAGGACAAAACAAAGGTTTGGATTAGATCCAAGAAATACAGCATGGAGTAATGATACCTCAAGGTTTGGTCATCAACAATTAGAAAAATTCGGCTGGAAGCCAGGGATGGGTCTTGGTATGAGACCCCATCATTCTCATACGTCTCATATTAAAGTCCATATTAAAGATGATAATCTGGGACTTGGTGCAAAAATTAAACGACAACAAAGGAAAGATGAATTCGATAATGGTGAGTGTGCTGGATTAGATGTTTTCCAAAGAATTTTAGGTAGATTGAACGGCAAAGAAGAGGAAATTAGCAATGAATTGGAAATTCAAAGGAAAGAAAAAATACTTAATGGGAAGTGGGGGATACATTTCGTTAAAGGTGAAGTTCTTTCTAGTACATGGGATCCAAAGACAAGGAAATTGAAGAGTTATGCTAATATGGAAAAGAAAAGAGATAGAAGTAGTGACGATGATGATGAAAGTGAGAGTGAGAGTGAGAGTGAACCTAAGAAGAAAAAAGTAAAGAGATCAAAGAAGGAGAAACATAGTAAAGATAAGAAAAAAGAAAAGAAAGAGAAGAAAAGTAAAAAAGATAGGAAGGAAAAGAAGGAAAAGGATACGAAAGATAAGAAAGACAAGAAGGATAAGAAGGACAAGAAGGACAAGAAGAAGGCAATTAGGTTGGAATCTACTGAAACTGCATCTAATGTTCCTCATGCTGTTACGACAAGGTTATCTGTGCGTTCTAAATGGATTAGACAAAAAAGGGCAGCTACAATGGATTCTAAAGCTTTAAATGAGATATTCATGGTGACGGATAATTAATCTGTTGATTTGTGACTTGCTTATAGAATTACTGGGGAAATAAATCAATATTAAACAAATTGATCAATTTATAATAAGTGGAATATATATACATCTATATACATCTATATATTGTCTTGGTCTCGATATGTGATGTAATTAGTTTAAAAGCATATCCAAATTATCTCTTATGTATAATAATATCATATTTATTGGATTATAACATCAAAGTAGAACAATAAAAGATTCTTTGAAGCTAAATAGTAGTAAACAGTTATACAATAGGATGGATCAAGTAAATAGCATCTCAAACAAACGGTACAATAGATGTTACATTTTGGATAAAAGATATGCGCCAATGATAAACAAACTAGGCATTCCTAGTTGTTCCTCTTTCGTTTATGCGCTTTTGAATATAATCCTGTAATTGTTAAATCACCAATAATAAAGTGGCCTACCCAAATAAATATATATATATACATTAATACTAACTAAAAAAAAAAAAATAAGAAAGACGTTATACAAAATTGTCTTAAGAACAGAATATTAATATTTCATTCTAATAATTACTAGTTGTTGAAATATCTTATAACATAAACTTTATTTGTTTTGTAAAGAATTGTTTTTTTTTTTTTTGTTAGATTTATAAAACAAATAAAAAGAAAATATCGATTACACTAAAGCGATACCAACACCTGCAATGAAAGAAACAGTAGCTAAAGAGGTTAGAATGACATGGATTGGGTTAACTCTGCCAGTAGATCTAGAGGCAGCACCACGGCTAGCACTGCTGGTACCTGAGGATGAAGAGGAATTAGATTTGGAAGAGGACTTACCCTTGGTAGTGGAGCCAGACTTGGAAGAACCGGTTGTAGTAACAGAGCCACTAGAACCAGCAGCGTAAGTAACAGAAGCAGAAGCAGAACCAGTACCTAAAGAGCCAATTTCATCCAAAACGGTCTTACAAGAACCTTGGGTAGTGGCCTTCATCAAAGTGGCTGAACCAGAGAAATCACAGTCAGAGCTGGCAGCACCATTCTTCTGGTAGTACAAGTTTAAGACAAAGTCTAATTGTTGCTTTGAAGAACAGAATGAGTAAGCACCGTACTTACCAGTGGTACCGTTAGCAGAGATACCTGAACAGTCAATTATACCACAAACATAGTTGAACAATTCTTCATAGTCTTTTTTATCGACATCATCAGAGACACGGCAGGCAGTAGCGTCATTCATACAAGAACAGATGCTTTCATTTGGAGTTGGTGGCAAGTTTGTAGCAGCCTTCCAGTATGAATTAGTAGGTGGACAAGCCAAGGAAGTTGATGTTGGGGTGTAAGAGGCGGTGTTCAAAGAAGTTGGGGAGATTTTGTGAATTTCTTTGGAGTAATTGTTGAAATCGGCTAAAGTTTTGACGGCACCATCATCGATACTAACTAGACCGTAGTTGTTAGTTTCTTCGAAATACATATAAACAATACCACCAGACCAGACACTAGTCATGTTAGGACCATATAGAGCTTGAACAGAAGTGAATAGTCTTGGAGTAACTCTATTACAACCGTATTCAGAGAAGAAAACTGGCACAGTCAAGTTTCTGAATTCAGCAGTTCTGTCGGCATACCCAGAAGAGACGTAGTTGGATTTACCACACCATTCGTACATGTTGATACCATAGAAATCGGCTTTTACTTCAGAATCACCACAGGCGAAATAATCAGCCATAGCGACTCTAGTGTATTCATCATCATTGGAGGAGTAACCAACTGGAATTTTTCTGTAACCTTTATCTTTGATGTATTGTTTAGTATCTCTGATGGCAGCCTTGACGAAAGCAGATGCATCTGTGTTAGTTTGATCATTAGAGACTTCATTACCAGCGAAGAAACCAAGAACGTTTGTATAGTTGGAAAACATGTCGACGACAGACTTGTAACGATCGAACAATTCGACAGTCCAGGATGGATCGTCTCTGTTGATGGATTCATCTGGAGAGGATAAGTCAGCAATGACATAGATACCTGCATCGTTCAATGCAGTCATACATGGTGTGTGATCTAAAGAAGTGTTAACAGCGTAAACACGGATGACGTTGGTGTCTAGTTGTTGTAAGTATGGGATATCTCTTTTACAAGCTTCGTAGTCGGCTAATGGATCGTTAATGGTAGCCCCACCAGTGACGTTAGCTGTATCAGCTTGATAGGCGATACCTCTCATATAGAATTGGGAACCATTATTGGAAAAGAAGAACTTCGAACCAACAATCTCGATTGCAGGTAATTCATCGGCAGCAACAGTTACTGAGTTAGCAGCTAAAGTAGCAGCGGCAGCTGTTAAGAAGGACTTAAATAGCATCTTCTTCTTAATTATTATTTTTGTTATTGTGTGTAGGTGTTTAAAATCGACCTTAGCTCTTGATCAATCTCGACAAGGTTTTCTTTTTATTTTTTTTCTTTCTGTAGTCCTTTCTAGTAGGAGGAACAAGAGGAAGAAGAAGACGAGAAATAGATCAAAAGGCAAGGGGTGGATAGAGTAGGTGAAGAGAAGCGAGGGAAAACTACCTGTTGAGAATCAAGAAAAAAGAAAAAGGAGAAAAGGTGTAAAAGCTTATATACAGGAGTGTTGGAGGAGAAAATGGCAACGGATCTGTCCTTCCCTGCGAAAAGGAGGAAAGCACAAGGATTAATCATATTCTTTTTTTTTTTTTTTACTTATATACCGAGTCATTCTTTGAAGTGTTTATGGATTTATCTCGAAATCAAAAACCAAGCTCGACTAACGTGTTGTAGATTTTTTTTTAGAAAACTATGAATGAAAAAAAATAAAAAAAAAAAGAAAACATGTTGTTATTACCATTGTTGTTATTGTTACCGCGTCAAGAAAAGTAAAAATAGAAAAGAAAAAAAAAAAAAAAAAAAGAAAATAAGTGGGACATAGCAGAATTCAAGATGACGATTTCTTTCTTCGTCAAGGAAAACCAAAATGGAGAAAGCCCAGCCATTGTTTTGTTTTCGTGTCTTTTCCCCCTTTGGGTCAGGCGTGTCGACTCATCCAGAAAAACTTTTTGAAGAAAAAGAAACTTCTCCATTGGATGTCTTTTTCTTTTCTATTTTTATTTTCTTTTCTATTTTTTCGTGGGAAAATATCAGTGAGAGTCCCTTGCTGGCGATGAGAGAAAGAGCGAGGGCTCGGAAAGCGGGTGGCTGAGTCGTTAGGGTTAGTGGGATTTGTTTTTGGAGGAAGATATTTTTCAAGAACTGCATAGTAGGGCCAACAACGATTATTACGTGATATGCAAGATTTTTTTCTGTCGAAGATCATCAGTCTACTTATTGATTTTCTTCACACGACGATAGGGTTGAAACAGTAAATTTGCAGCGCGCTGGATGGATTATTCTATATCCAAGTAGGTCTAGTAGTTGTATACCACAGTTACGTAGGAAATGATAGGCTTGGTGTTGGTTTTTGTTTTTTGTTTTCTGTTTTTTGTTTTGTCTTTTCTTGTTCTTTGTGGAAGAAAAAAAAAAAAAAAACCGCCTAAAAATATTCTTATGACCTCAAAAATACGCCAAACATTTTTCCTGCTTATCTGGGAGGGGGCGAGAAGAAATGTCTTATTATTGAGTCCACAACACTATTAGATAATATTTTCTTTTGCACGACGTGGTCCTCCTCCTTCTATTACAGCTTCGCGTGAATTTTTTTTTATTATAGAAAGATTTTCACAGGACCCTCCGCTTTTGATCCACCATGATTATTTTTTAAATGTATTCTATGTAATAAAATGAAAAACTATCATTTTTATTTTTAGTAAGAATCAGTTTTAAAAATAAAGCTTGGTATGAGATCATTTTGCTTGCCCTTCTTTTTCTTTTTTTTCTTTTTTTTTTTTTATTATGGTTATTTTTTCACGATAAAGTTAAATGACGTGATACGAGGAATATATACAACTCTCGAAGGCTTAGATTATCCTTTAGTGATTCGGACTTTCATTATCTAGCCATCTTCTATTTTAATATACCAGTTACAAAACCCCGATTTTTCCATATGTTTTCTAGATAAAAAAAAAAATAAGAAAAAGAAAAAAGAGAGGAATAAAGAAAGTAGCAGAAGAGCAGACTAGGTTTTTAAAGTGTTTGAAACATGTATATATATATATATATACGCATAGCTTTTCTCAAGCTCAAATTTATTATAAAAGGTAATTAAATGATGACGTGTAGTATTAGAATTAAAAGGAAAAAACTGCCTTGTGAGCGAGGTATTATTAAGTTGGGATGTGCCTTGTATTTTATTTTTCACTATGTTACCACCAGTTATCGACGATAAATCTGGATATGGAATGTTTTTAGAAAATATGTGGGTCTTATATGATGCTTGTGTTTATTTTTCAAATAACTTGAATTATATATATTGTTATTTATTAATTATATAATATTGTATTATTTTTTTTCGCACCAGATCATGTAATTAAATAAAATAAAATAAAAACAAACGAATATATCATCTTTTATGTTATTGATGTAGTTTTCCTTTTTCTTTTTTTTTTTGTTTTTTTCTGTTGAAAAGTAACAATGAGTATTGTTTCTTCTCTCATAATTAAAGTTTAGTTTTAATATTAAGCTTTCTGCTTAGGTGGAAAAAAATAAACAAAATGATATCTTAAAGAAATAAATAGTAATGATAACAATAAATTAAACACAGCTATACACAAAGTTTATTATTGTTTGTTGAAATATGATTAGAGTTATGCTTGATAATCTAAATTCATCGTACTAAGTGATTAAAAGTCATAAAAATTTATATTAAAGAAGATTCGAAGATAAAATGAGTATACTGTACAATATTGTATCTTGTATATTAGTTATGTAGAAAGAAAAAGACCAAGCAATACAATAACAATTTATAGTACCACTAATTTCCTACTATAAATAACAATAAAACTTATAATACTACCAATATCTTATTGTAAGTTACATTATCTTATTATATTAGTTTAAAATGAACTCTACTAGAATTTTTGATTCCGAAGCCCTGCGTAAACAGTCTAATCTCTTTTCAACAACAAACTAAGAAGTTAGAAGGCACCAAGGTTTTCTTCCTTACTTCCTTGCTCCCTCCCCCATTCTCCTCCTACTCCTACTTGCTTTTATATATTCTTATCTTCTTCAGTGAAACATCAAAAAGTCTCCAGCAAGAAATTTTGATTATTCAATTTTTTTCGTTTGTCTTTTTTTTTGTTTTTTTTTTTCATTTTTGTGTCTCTTTCATTTTCAAAAAATTCCAGTGTTTCATATCCACGGACCCGCGGAGATTTTCTATGCTTTCCACGGAACCGCATGATTTTGATGTTGTTCCACGGACATCGCTTGTTTTATTTTTATTTTTATTTTTGTTTTTGTTTTTATTTTTATTTTTGTTTTTTTTTTTGTTGCGTCTTCACAAGATGTCACATACTGTTTGTTTGTTTGTTTGTGTGTGTACGTATTATATTTGAATTTGACTGCTACTGTGTGGAATGCTTAGACATTGAATAACTCCGTTTCCTTCATCGACAATAACTGCCATTTCCAATGCCCTAAAAACTATTGTGACAATCTATAACAAGTATCGTAAACTGATCAATGTTCCCATACATACATACATATATATATATAAATTCAACAGGTATACATTTATGAGAAGGCCTCTTTTCATTTCTTTATTTTTTTTCCCTTTTATTTCTGGATAGTAGAATAATATAAATGTAAAGATATTTTCTGTTATTTGGTGAACAAAGGTCCTATTACAATATCCCCAACTAGTATATGGTCTTAGTTTTCTCATCATATACAACTGTCATATAGTATTCAACAGAATAATTATTTACTAAAGTGTAACAACTCCCATATTCTATAATAATTTTGTCACTAGTGAATTTTTTCTTTTCTTTTTGTTTTAACCATACCATCCTAATCCATAGCAAATATACTGCAAATAGAACGGACAGAAAAAAAAAACTATACTAATTCCTTCCATTTATTCCTTTATTGTTTATAAATATTACATTACATGTCCGTTGATAGTTATAGTGAAAATAGTTCAAAACTAAATACTCATATAGAAACCTCTATAGCTAACACAATGAGTATATCCCTTTCAAATGGCAAAGTGCCGAATGAATCATTATCATCATCATCATCTTCTTCTTCATTCACTCCGTCCTCTATATCTAGTGCTTCTTCTACAAACACTCATGTATTGCCATCTGGGGAGTATATTTTAAACAGAAATGAACCAAAAACATTTTTAAATAGTTATGATTTGGAAAAAGTGACAGATTCAGAGATTTATCCTCAGAAAAGACTGTTCTCCTTTCTACATTCTAAAAAAATCAAAGAAGTCCCACAAAACGACGATGAAAGAACCACATACCCTTTACTCCATACAAACATCCTATCTTCCATCTATTTTTGGTGGGTTACACCAATCATTAAAACAGGTTATAAAAGAACTATCCAACCAAACGATTTGTTCAAAATGGATCAAACACTCTCTGTGGAAAAATTATATGCCACCTTCCAGAAAAACCTCAACTGGTATATCCAAAGGGCTAGAAATGATTATTTAAAACAACATCCAAATGCAACTGATGATGAAGTCAACGAAAACATTGTTTTACCCGATTTCACGCTCCTAAAAGCCTTGTTCTTCACATTCAAATACCAGTACCTTTTGGCCTGTTTGTTTGCTTTGTTATCGAATTGTGCATCCGGGTTCACTCCAATGGTAACTAAAAGATTAATCGAATTCGTCGAAAAGAAAGCTATTTTTCATGACACTAAAGTCAATGCTGGTATAGGGTATGCTATCGGTGCATGTATTATGATGCTTTTAAACGGTATATTTCTTAATCACTTTTTTCATATGTCGCAAATGTGTGGTTCTGAGGTGAAAGCTGTGTTAACTAAAGCTGTCCTAGCCAAAATGATGAAGGCTTCAAATTATACCAAACATAAATTTCCTAATGGTAAAGTAACGTCCTTTGTTACTACAGATGCCGCAAGAATCGAATTTGCCATTTCATTCCAACCTTTCCTGGTTGGATTCCCCCCTGTTTTAGCTATTTGCATTGTACTTTTAATCGTTAATGTTGGTGCAATTGCCTTAGCTGGGTTAGGTGTATTTTTTATGGGTACACTTCTCACACTGGCTGTCTTCAAGACTATTCTAGATATCAGAACTAAAGCTACAAAATTTACTGATTCCAGAGTTAATATCATGAGAGAGGTTCTAAACAATATGAAAATGGTCAAATATTATGCATGGGAAGATGCTTATGAAAACAATATCATTGAAACAAGAACAAATGAAGTTATTAATGTTAAAAGAATGCAATATATTAGAAATTTTATTGTTGCATTGGGTGTCTCTTTACCTAACATCTCTTCATTAGTCACTTTCCTAGCAATGTACAAAGTTAATAATGGTGGTAGAAATCCAGCTAATTTATTCTCTTCTTTATCTATTTTCCAAGTTTTGTCATTACAAATGTTCTTCTTCCCCATCGCTGTTGGTACTGGTGTGGATATGGTTGTTGGGTTCCGTCGTATGCAAGAATTTTTCCAATCTCCTGATGAAGTAAGTATTGATGTTACACCTGATGCTAATCTTGACCCATCAATTGCTTTGAAAATAGAAAACGGTGGTTTTGAGTGGGAAGATTTCTCTGCTCTAGATAATGCTGAAGAAGAAAAAAATAAAACCGATAATAATGCTGAAAAATCTAAAGATACCATTATCTCACAACCAAAGACAGACAGTTTGACTAAAACAGGTGACAAGTCAGATGATTCTGAAAAACCCTTTACCCATTTTGAAAATCTTAATTTTGAAATTAAAAAAGGTGAACTTATTATAGTTACAGGCCCTATTGGTTGTGGTAAAACTTCCCTTTTGAATGCTGTAGCTGGTTTCATGAAAATAACAAGTGGTAGGCTACAAGTAAATGGTGACTTATTATTGTGTGGTTATCCTTGGATCTTAAATGCAACTATAAAAGATAATATACTTTTTGGTTCTCCATATCACAAACATAAATATAAAGAAGTTTTACGAGTTTGTTCCTTAGAAGATGATTTGAAGATTCTTCCTGCTGGTGATATGACAGAGATTGGTGAACGTGGTATTACATTATCAGGTGGTCAAAAGGCACGTATTAATTTAGCAAGAGCTGTCTACAAGACAAAAGATATTTTCTTGTTTGATGATGTCTTAAGCGCTGTTGATAGTCGTGTTGGTAAACATATTATGGACGAATGTATGTTAGGTTTACTTAAATCAAAGACTATAATTTTAGCTACACATCAATTATCTTTAATTGAAAAGGCAGATCGTGTAATTGTTCTTTCATCAGAAGGTCAATTAGATATTGGCACCTTTGCTGAATTGAAAAAATCTAATTCAACTTTAGTCAATTTGTTAAAATATTCCCATCAAAAGACAGATAGTGAAGACCCCAATAACAACGAAGATAATCTAGTGGAAAATGAAGAAGAAGTATTAAAGGAAGAGGGACACATGAAAGAATTAAACATGTTAGAAAAAGATATAACCAACAATTCAAACAAAGATGGTCATTTAGTTTCAAAAGAAGAAAGAGCTGTGAATAGTATCAAGATGAGAGTTTATATGGAATACATTAAAGCTGGTGTAGGCAAGTGGGGCCCGTTGGTTATCCCATTATACATATTTTTTATTATAGGTGCCACGTTCTTTAATCTTTTTTCTTCTGTTTGGTTATCATATTGGACTGAGGAAAAGTGGCCTGCCAGAACTACTAGTTTCTATATGGGAATGTATTCATTTTTTGTATTCGGTGCTTATCTATTCTTAAACTTCGAATACACCTTACTTTGTAGTTTAGGTATTAATGCCTCAAAACAATTAAACTTAGCGGCAGTTAAAAGAATTTTGCATACCCCAATGTCATTTATGGATACAACTCCATTAGGTCGTATATTGAATAGATTCACAAAGGATACTGACAGTTTAGATAATGAATTAACAGATAATTTGCGTTTGGTATTATCTCAAATAGGAAGTATTATTGGGGTTATCATTATGTGTATTGTCTACCTACCATGGTTTGCAATTGCTGTACCATTTTTAATATTTTTTTTCATCCTTATCACAGATCATTATCAATCATCTGGAAGAGAAATTAAGAGACTAGAAGCTGTTCAACGTTCTTTTGTTTACAATAATTTCAACGAGGTGTTAACAGGCATGGAAACTATTAAAGCTTATCGTTCTGGAGAAAGATTTTTGGCCAAAACTGATTTCTTAATTAATAAAATGAACGAGGCAGGTTATTTAAGTATTGCTGTCCAAAGATGGGTTGCTTTATTATTAGATTGTGTTGCTGTTGCCTTTGCCTTAATTATAACGTTATTATGTGTTACCAGAGCTTTTCCAATTTCTGCAGGCTCAGTTGGTGTCTTGTTAACTTATGTGTTGCAACTTCCAGGACTATTAAATACTATTTTAAGATCTTCGACACAAGTTGAAAATGACATGAATAGTGCTGAAAGACTCGTTTCATATGCCGCTGAACTACCACTAGAAGCTAGTTATAGGAAACCAGAAATGTCCCCACCAGAATCGTGGCCAGAAAAGGGTGAAATTACTTTTAATAATGTCGATTTTGCATACAGACCTGGTCTACCTATTGTATTAAAAAACATGAACATAAGTATCAATAGTGGCGAAAAAATTGGTATATGTGGTCGTACTGGTGCTGGTAAGTCTACTATTATGAGTGCTTTGTACAGATTAAATGAATTATCTGGCGGTAAAATTTTAATTGACGGTATTGATATTAGTAATTTAGGGTTATACGATTTACGTCGTAAATTAACCATCATTCCACAAGATCCAGTATTATTTAGAGGTACAGTAAGAAAGAATTTGGACCCATTTAGCGAATATCCCGAAGACTTGTTATGGGATGCTTTAGTTAGAAGTGGCGCTATTGACAAAGATGAAGTAGAATCTGTAAAGAAAGAAACACCAGACAGTAATAATTCCTACTCAAATATGCACAAATTTCATCTAGATCAAATTGTTGAGGAAGAGGGTTCTAATTATTCCCTAGGTGAAAGACAGATCTTGGCATTAACAAGGGCTTTAGTACGTCAATCCAAGATTTTAATTTTGGATGAAGCTACTTCTTCTGTAGATTATGAGACTGATGGTAAGATCCAATCACGTATTGTTGAAGAATTCGGTGATTGCACAATTTTGTGCATTGCTCATAGATTAAAGACAATTTTAGATTATGATAGAATTCTAGTATTAGATAAAGGTGTTGTTAAAGAATTTGATACACCATGGAAATTATTTATGAAAGAAGATGGTATTTTTAGAGGAATGTGTTCTAAAGCAAACATTACAGAATCTGATTTTGTAAGAAAGGACTAGATGAAAACAAATTGAAGCTATTTATGAAGTAAAGTTTACAATTAGCCTTCAAGTCTTTATTTTAATTTAAAAATAAGTAATCTTTATAAAGCTTATTGTTTATCTTGATTTATTTAATTATAATAATTATTTATTTATTGATATTTAAATTTACAGAATATTTTGATTATAAAGAAACCAGTAAATGCTATACAGGTTATCTGGATATATCTATGCTAAAATAACGACACACACACACACATATATATATTAATAAAACACTAGTATTCATTTTGATACATTATACAATCTACTATTTTCAAAAGAAAAAAAACAAGACAACTAAACCTTATATAGTATATATATATATTAAAGAACTTAAATTCGAGAAACTTTGATATCAAATAAACAAAATTACCATATATTTTATGTGATAAACCATATATTACTAAATGTGAATAAATAAAACTTATATCAAAAAGAAAACAGTAAATATATTTTCTTTATTCTTTTCACTTCAGATTTTATAAAACCAAACCACAAACATAAAAAAAAAACATTCTTTTAATACACTATTTAGTGGGCCTCTCAAAAGTCACAAGCCAAAGAGTATTTTAAGTGATCACTAGAGGTCCAAACACCCCAGTGTTTTTCAACATCAGAGGTACCAGAAGTGTTTGGTTTCCAGTCTTCATCGAAGGCTTCAAAAACAATAACATTAACACCCCAAGCTCTCATAGCACAAATACCTTGTTGCCAGAATAATTTAGCGTTTTCAACAGATGGATAAGCATTTTCGAAGTTGGTACCTTCAGTTGGCCAGCCAGTTTCACCGACCCAGAAAGTAATGTCAGTAGAACCTTTGGCAGTTTGAATGGTTTGTAAAGCTTGCATAATATCATCGAAGAAGGAATAAGAGGCATTTTGCATAGTCTGACCTTGCCAGTAAGAGAAAGCATTAGCCATGACAAAATCAGCAGCTTTAATAGCAGGAGCATTGTAGCCAGCGACTAAAACATTCCAGGAATCAACAGTACCGACTGCCTTGTTTGAGTAGGAGTTACCTTCAGAATCTTTTATGTTGGCAATAAAGGAACGAACATTGTTGATCTTATCAGCTAATTGATCAGCAGTTAAATCTTTACGATATAAAGCTTCGGAACCAACTAAGAAACCAGCAACAGTGGATTCCTTGATAGATGGCAAGTAAGTTTGTAAAGCATTCTTTTCTGCTTGGAAGTGGGCTTCATCGTTTGGCCAAATACCAAAGAAAACTTGGAAACCTTCAGCTTCAGCAGCTGGACCTAAGTTTTGCAAAGTATTACAATCAGAAACGGCATATACTTTAACAATGTTGGTATAGCCTTTTAAGATCTTCAAATCGTTTTCGTAGTCAGAAGTGGTCTTACAACTACCGTCGTTGTTCTTGACACCCAAGTTAAAGGCAAGATCACCAATAGCAGATACCTGCTTAGCAGCTAACAATAATCCTGTAACAGTAGTAGCGAGAGTAGAGAAACGCATTATTTCCTATATAGTTAAGTTCCGTTCTGTGTGGTTTTATTTCTATTCTGTTTGTTTATTAGTTAGTTAACTTAACATAAATATGCTACTTTATGTGTATGTCAAAGAAAGCTTCTAATCAAAAGCCTTTTTTTTGTTTGCTTTAGAAAAGTAGTTAATTGTAAACATCGGGTAGCAATCTCTAGAAACAAACTAATTTTTTTTATTAAATACTCTCGAGACACTTTGTTTTGTTGCTTTGTTTGTTTGTTTGTTTACGGATTTGCAGATATTCCATTATTCACTGTTTTGGGTTCTCGAGAAAATTTCAGAGAATACCGAAAACAGAAACGAGGAAAAAAAAACAAAAAACAAAAAAAAGAAAAAAGAAATAAACAAAAAAAAAAAAAATTCTTGGTTACCCGCATAATCATTCTATTTTTAGAACAAAAAAATGAACAGAAAATTTCCTTTTTCTAAAACTGTAGGTTGGGTGTATGGATGCTACAAACCCAGACGTCAGAAATAATCGTTCAACTCTTTTTTCCATTTTTGTGTTTGTTTCTTTTTCCCTCCCCCCCTTTCTTCAATAACGTCAAGACAGCCAAATCTTAAACAGCAAGAAAAAAAGGAGATAAAAGAAGATTGTATTTTTTGGAAAGATTTATGAGCTGAAGTAATTAAAGAAAACTTTCCTTCGAACCAGGTCCGTTATATACATATTTTCAAGGATGTAGAAAGAGTAATGAAGGGACTGCTACGTGGCTACAGTACTTTATTAACACGTACACTATTTGATTGCTTTATTTTCTTTCCTTCTTTTTTTTCTTTTCTTTCACTTTCTAACTCTCCTTTCTCTACCCTCAAACCATGTTATACTATAATACATGTAGTTGCTTAAAAGCTTGATTTGCATTTATAATAATTGCACACTTAATTTACAAAAAATGTTAATTAGGTACGTTTTCACATATACCACTATTTGAATAAAATACAAGGAAGTACACTTAAGAAGAAGGATATTCGCTAAACTCTCGTTTTTGCTTATATATATATATATATATATGTAAGTATATACATACATCTACCTATGCTCTTCTTGTTCTTCTTGTTCCTCCTCCTCTTATTTTAATAAACTTTTTTCTTATTATCTATAGACATTTCACCAGCACCTGTATTTGTAATTAACAACAACCCACCAATAATACTTAAATTCTGATAAAATTCGTATTTTAAGAAATCTCTCTTTGTTTGACTATGCAACCAATAATTGTTGACTGTGATGTTATAAAATGTCAATACCAAACCTAAAACTAAAGAGGCCATCTTTGTCTTGTAACCGATAGCAAAACATACAGTACCAATTAAAATAATTAATACAGTTAACCACGATTTGCTGAAAGTAAACCCAATAAACATTAAAACGATTAGTATTCTACCTGCTAGTAACAAGTAACCTTTGAATTGTTTATTCTTGTCATGCAATTCAGGCAGCATACCAAATGTGGTCTTGTTTTGTACAATTGAATCACTAAATGCAATCAATAGCCCTCCAATGACAGAAAAATTTCTTAAAACAAATGAAGAACCAGCAAACAACCCATAAATAATGCCTTGTAAGATAATACAAGAGCATAAGGCCCCAGTAGCATAAACCGTTTGTTTTCTTAGGATTAACAATGTAGCACCAAGAAACATAACAACACTAACCAAAAACAGAAACAAAACAACAAAATAGTATGGATAACGTTTCCATTCATAAAGATAAAAAACTTGATCCGACCATTGTGTTAAAATTCTGATTGAGTCTTCATAAAATGTGGCCACAATAAAAAACCTTGCTATCGATGGAATGTATGGTTGTAATCTCTTTACAAGAGGATAATCTGTCAAGTTTTCCACTTTATCATTCAATTTTTCGAATGTATTCTTGAATTGAGAAACAAAATTAGATGAAGAATTAGAACCGAATCTTGTTGAACTTTGATTTGGATATGATCTATATTGCGGAGTACCAGCCATTGGAACACTCCCAAAACTGTTATTACCACCTCTAAAAGACATTGTGACCTATGCTGAATCCTTTGTTGTAAAAGTTACAGCTTCACTCAGATACATTCTTAGAAAAGTGTCCTTCCAAAATAACATCTAAAAAGTTGTACCCGATTTAATATAATATTTCGTTTAATCGAACTTAACTTTTTTTCTTATTTTTTTTTTTATATTTTCCTTATTCTGAACACTTTGGGTTTTTCTTTGAAACAAGCAATGAAAAACCGTTGAAAATGAAAATGAAAATAAAAATGAAAAAAAAACAAAAAGGTCAATGAAAAGAGTCGAACACGCACGAAATGACCAGAATGAAATAAAATATAAAATTGTCTTTTTTATGTGGCTTCGAAATAATTAACGATATTTTAGGTTCTATGAAATTTTTAGTCGAGGATCAAAATAGAATCCAAGAACCATTTTATTCAAGATCGAACGTTTTATTAAAAAACGGTGTCAAAAGGATATAAAAGATATAATATTGTGCCGTGTCTCCTTCTTAAATATATATAGTAATTTTATTTAAGTCATGCTATCTTTTCAAAAGATATGATTATTTATGCATTTGATAATATATACATTTACAAAGAAAAAGAGGGAAATCATAAACAATTTCTGGGGAAGTGTAGCTATATTCTCTGAACCACTAAAAAATCATGAAAATATAAAACACAATTATTGACAGAAAAAAATTGCAAATTTAAAATTTATAACCACGACATTAGTATTTTCTTGAAATGTATGAGTAGACACCGTATAGACTGAGTTTAAACCAGTCATTTTTCGTGAAATCGAATCTGTAATTATTTCAGTAACATTAATGATCTTGCCAGTTAAAGATATGACCTTCCTTCCATTAACATCTATTATTGCATCTGATGTAACTGTAAATTGTATCTTTACAATAGATGCACCCTCAAAGGAAATATTAGAAGAAGAAACAAGTGGTAAAGTGGTATTTATAGTATTCAATTCAGATTCTGACCGACTAGAAACATGCGAGGCAATTGATAACGAAAATGTAACAAAAGACCCGAATCATTTTATTGTTGATGAATATAAAGTTATTAACCAACAAAATACCGGTGTCTTCAGTGTAAAGATAATCAATTATTGAAGTACCATATGTCAAATAGTTACCGCTACCAAAATATCTAACAAAACGATTTCCTATGAACGCATACGAGTCAATATAAAGTATTAGAGAAGGAGAAATCATATAGATCGTTCGTGAGCCACGTCTACCAAATCTTAAGATTGACTGCATAGCATATATGGAATTCTCATATATTGCAGTACAATCATTACCTGATACAGAACTCCCCAAAAATGCCTTAATATTATTTAAACAGAGAGTACACTCATTAATAAAATATCTTGATATAGGTTGTACAATACTACCATACTTTAAAGAAAAATCTCAACTAAAAGACGTTAAACCATTCTTTGTTAAGGATGAATTTGAATATATCCTGAAACTATTATATATGCTATCTTAACCTACGAAATACATCTTCCCATTATTGGTAATTGAAGAACCACTTCACAATAGAGTCATTAAATCAGATAAAAAATTCCTATTATTAACCACAACCAAACTATCATTTGTAGGAGTCCAGCTATTGAACTTGAAGGCAAATCCTTCACCATACCAATTTACATAACCGATGAAAAGTGAACCTTTCACAATTAAATCATTGCTGAAACTATAAAAGTTCCTGCTAACTAATGCTAAAAAAATAGCTTTATTGATGGTAATAGAACCAAAAAAACGGGCCCTCGTTCAAGCAAGTCTTATTAGAAACAATCATATCACCCATAGATACAAGTTAAAACCTTAAAGATACTAATATACATTTAAAAGAATCTATTACTTTCATTAGACGTAGTCAATTATTGCCTGTGCTTCTACGGAGAACTGGTAGAAAACTTCATTTCCTTCATAACTCTAAGGAAAAAATAAAGCTAACGAGAAGCAAATCCTCAAAGATATTGATCATATTTAAATATGCAGTTTATGTTCAATCAATCTCTTTTAGCATGGAGGTTTAGCTAGTTGTTTATAAGCTAACATTCATAATTATGTAGTATCTATTTGTCCTTTTGTCCTCATCAGATCTTTGGAAAACATGAACAGACCCTCAAATGACAATATCTTCATTAATATTGCTATTGTCATTATTATTGAAAAGGATACGAAACACTGCCTACCACAGGAAATAGTTGGATCCATTTACTACCTTTCTTATATAATATATGACAATGAAATGACATTACAGCTTAAAGGAACCATCAGCATTAATTATTTTTCAATAATTAGACATTGGATTATTCGAAGTACCTAGTATCTCCTACAAAAAGATAAATGTCGTAGTTACTAGACAAAATCGAATATTAGCCATCGATCTTATAAGCGTGTTTTGTCTATGTAAACAAGTAAATAATTCTATTGATTTTTCTGGGGAAAACTTAACAGCAATACACCTAACAATAGTGTTAACGAGAAAAAAAAAAATAGATCAATCTTTTTTTTTCTTTAAGATCTCGAACAAAAACACCTTTTTTTTTCTTTTTTTTTTTTTGTTTTGGAAGAAATTAAAAACAACAAATTTCGACATATATAATTAAAAGAAGAGGAAAAGAAAAAAATGTCAGAGGAAATTGTTGAAAGATATCATTTTCCTTTATGTACCACGGTGTTGTCATCATTGTGCCCAATATTAATATATTTGTAGTTTTAATTTACTTTTAAGACTAGAATGATATTATTGGCGAGAGAGCATTTTATTTCTTATCGTTGGTATGCAACTCTCAAATAAGAGACGACATGTCCAAAAAGTGAGAGATGACATATTCTAAAAATAAGTAATATGCAGACAACTACAAGGAAAACAAAACAACGCCATACCTTGAAAAATAATAATGATTTTCTGATGGTGATTTTTTTTTGTTACTTTTTTTTTTCTTTTCTCTCTAAACCCCCTCTTAATTCTCTTCTGAAAGGGGGTCAAGAACTTCTATGCCGACAAATTTTTTCTAGACTTATCATGTAATAAGTGATATTATTACTTTCCAATTGTCCATCTACTATGAGAAAGATATTTTAATAGGTAGAGAACTCGAAACAATGTCTCTCTAAATTTAACAACTGGAACACACCAATAAAACATGACATTTGTTAGAAAATGGTAATTTTCCATTTTTCAATTCTGAAAGCTCTTTCAAATTTGAATATTGTAGGAAAACTATTTATGAATATTTCTAATAAAAGCACCACATATTTTTTATGATCTTTTCGCTAATTTGTACTAAGGTGAATGTATCAAGAGGGTGCGATTTTTGAAGTTTTCTTGAATTTATATCTTGAACAATAAAAAACTTATTGACTTAAAAATTATACGTTTACCATAGTATTTTCTCTAGATGGAATCAGTGCGTATATGACCTCTTATTATTTTCAAATAATACGAGATCAAACGCGCAAGACTATACAACTATACAGGTTCTTATGTGGGGAGAGATGGCAATAAATACCAATAACCAAATAGAAAAATTGAAATTTCATCTTTTTACTGAACTAATTCCCTACTTGCTTAGAAGGTGAATTATTTCTTATTAAATCTTCAATCTGGATGAAAAATATATATCCACTGTGTTTTTATCTCTTATTTATAATTGTATCAACATTTATTCCCTGGAAAAGAAAGCAAGGGAGAATACTCCATAAAATCGCTTAATAATAATGTAAAATATTATTCTCAAAACATGATCACTGATGCTAAAAGAAATCTATACTAATGCTCTTCCTCCAGAGGAAGAACCTTTTCACTTACAATGAATAAAAATAATAATTTTTTCGAATTCTTAAATTCAGGTTATAGTTTATTGCTAGGATGATTGATTTTTCGATATCAAAATAGAGTATATGCTTATCATGAAGCAGAACCTTATGTTTTGGGTAACATGAATAAATTTTTAATTAGAACACTCTATTTCGGTAAAATTGCTAGATAAGAATACCGTTTCTTATATATAATACAGACAACTAGTCCTTGATGAACAATTTAATAATGAGGTATATAAGTAGAAGTAATGTACACAGCATATCTATTCACTATTACCGGTAATAGCAACTAGGATTTCCAAATAAGATACACTTATGCTTGCATATTTTATCACGCTTTACAACAAAAAAAAAAGAAAGACACTCAAGACGACTTTTGTAAACCCCATTCTATATTACTCCAAATTACGACTTGTTTATCATAATTTTTATCTAGCAATCTTGGGATCATCTACTCTTTCACATAAACAAAGTGCTGGAATCACCATCATAAGCTTTGTGTATTGAAGAGATATTTTTTTTGTTAATTATAGACTTTATTGCGACAAAAATGTTATATGTGGTGTTCGGATGTATAAGGGAAAAAGGAAGTTTTTCAAGAGAGAAAAGAACAAGATATAAAGAGATAATTTATTTACTTCTATACAGCACATACGTATGCATTTAGATATTATGTAGAAATAAAAAAAAAAGAAATACATAAACGAAATGATCTAATAGGTTCAATGGTTAAGGCTACAAGCATCCATTAATTTCAAAAAAACTCAATATCTAATTATTGACAAATAATTAATGCCGATAGTTCCTTCTAGTTATGACATTATTTCGCTGTAAATATACTAAGTATATAAAGTAACAAGTGGATCCAACTATTTCCTGTAGCAGGCAATATTTCTTTTCCTTCTCAATAATAATGATTCTAGCAATATTAATGAGGATATCTTTGTTTGATACATCATTCAAGTTCTCAAAGGTAAGCTAAGGACAAAAAGACAAAAGGACAAAAGGACAAATATATACTATGGAATCATAGATGCTACCTTATAGACAACTAACCAAATCTCCTTAATAAAGAAAAGAAAAATAATATAAATATATGTATAATCAGCATTTTGGTGATTAACTCCTCGTTGATCTGCTTTCCCCACCAGATTATAATAGTTGTGCACAATATCACATTTTTGGAAGAGTAACAGTAACGATCGACCAAGCCCAATAAAAATGATAAGTTCTTCTAAGGGTATTTTAGTATCTTTGATATTTTTGCTCATCTTTGCAAATGCTGTAACATTTTCTGCAAACACTTATTTAGGTGATATTTCTTTTTCTGTTCCTCTCACCATCAATGAAGGCTATTTTTTGGCGTTGGTAAACGGGAACTCTTACAGTTTCACCAAGGACTTGCACGTGAAAGGTTCACTTTTCGTCGGTGATATAAATCCATATGGTGATGGATTTAGCACTACATTTGATGGCTCGACTATTACAAATGACGGTTTGATTGTGGTTGATAGTAGGAATCTTACGTCTGGTTTAATGTCTGTATCATGGGGTGGTTCTTTCCTCACTAATAACGGAAAAATGTACTTCGAAGGTCTAAATAGCAAATCTAATAGTTTCACATTAAATCCAAGTATATCTTTGGCCAATGCTGGTTTAATGTCTTTTGGTCAAGATGTATCTTCAAATTTTACTAGTATTGTACACCTTCAATCAAAATCTTTTGTTAACATTGGTACTATTTGTTTGAAGAATGTTAAGGCATCTTTGGAAAGTTCTATAGCAGGTAACGGTTGTATTACAATAGGTGAAAATTCTGTATATGCTATACCAATACAGTCAAGCTCTGGCACAATCGGTCCGCAAACTATGTATTTGAGCTCTCCTTCCTCAATGCTTTACATAGGCTCATACGGGTCGGCAGAACATGTCTATGTCAGAGGTTTTGGTAATGGTAATTATTTAACATTCCGTACTGCAATAGCAGGTTATAGTTATAATCCAAGTACTGGTATCTTAACGATCAGTGCTGCTGTTGTTCATAAAATTGATATTGGTACTGGATATAACAAGCGTGGATTTTCAGTGAAAACCGTAGATAACCATGTTGGGTTTAATTTTATTAATAACGCAATAGTCTATAATGCAACCGCTCCAAATGGTTTTCCTAGTGCTTGTATGCCATGTAATCCAGCTCCTTGGATACCTATTATTAGTTCTGCTTCGTCTAGTTCTTCTAGTTTTATTACTTCATCATCATCACCAAAACCAAGTGCTGTTATTTCGTACATCCCGGGTATAGTAGCCTCTGATGCTACCAAATTCACCTCTACTTCCTACACTACCGACTCCAATGGTAGCAGCAGCCCAGTTGACATTGTTGTTGTTGCCACTCCAGTTCAAAGCACTGTCACTGCATACACTACAGGTTCAGCAGGTTCAGTTTCTGCTCTATCATCCTACATCTCCTACACCACCGACTCTAATGGTAGTACCAAGGCCATTGGTGTTATTGTTGTTGAAACTCCAGCTGTTAGTCAAATCACCTCCTATATCCCAGGTATAGTTGCTTCTGATGCTACTCAATCCACAATTACATCCTACACCACCAACTCCAATGGTAGCAGTAGTCCAGTTGGCATTGTTGTTGTTGCCACTCCAGTTCAAAGCACTGTCACTGCATACAGTGCTGGCATGGTAGGTTCAGTTTCTGCTCTATCATCCTACATCTCCTACACCACCGACTCTAATGGTAGTACCAAGGCCATTGGTGTTATTGTTGTTGAAACTCCAGCTGTTAGTCAAATCACCTCCTACATCCCAGGTATAGTTGCTTCTGCTGCTACTCAATCCACAATTACATCCTACACCACCAACTCCAATGGTAGCAGTAGTCCAGTTGGCATTATTGTTGTTGCCACTCCAGTTCAAAGCACTGTCACTGCATACACTACAGGTTCAGCAGGTTCAGCTTCTGCTCTATCATCCTACATCTCCTACACCACCGACTCTAATGGTAGTACCAAGGCCATTGGTGTTATTGTTGTTGAAACTCCAGCTGTTAGTCAAATCACCTCCTACATCCCAGGTATAGTTGCTTCTGCTGCTGCCCAATTTACCTCTACCTCCTACACCACCAACTCCAATGGTAGCAGTAGTCCAGTTGGCATTGTTGTTGTTGCCACTCCAGTTCAAAGCACTGTCACTGCATACAGTGCTGGCATCGGTAGGTTCAGTTTCTGCTCTATCATCCTACATCTCCTACACCACCGACTCTAATGGTAGTACCAAGGCCATTGGTGTTATTGTCGTTGAGACTCCAATATATGGAAACTCCACTAATCAAGGTGGAAAGGCTGCATCTACTTTGAGTAGTACTTTGGTTGCTTTGACTACAGTTATTAATGGTGTCACTCTTACTACAACTTATTGTCCAGAACCATCTGCAACTTCTAAAACAAGTATGACTGCTCTCATTGGACATAGTTCTCTTGAATCTGTTTATACTAATTCAAAGAACCAACAAAAAGAGACTGACTCATTTTCTGCTGTATCCTATGCAACTCCAGTTACTTCTATTGTTTCCACCACCACCGGTCCAGCCTTTACAAGCAATGAAAACCAACCAATGTCTAGAAATTCTAGAGCATCTATTACTGCTGTTATTGGATCCATAAAGAATAGCGTAGACATTACTTCAGAAGCTGGTACTGTTGTAGATACTGTCAAATCTGGAAGATCAAAAACATCACCAACCTCAATGGTCCCACAAGTTTCCCAATATGTTTCTGAACAAATATCCTCATCGCCAATTGCTATCACGGCACCTCATGAAGGGGCACCTTCTCTTGTATCATATGAAGGTAAAGGTAGCACCATGTATATGATGAAGTGGAGTGTTGCCCATTGCATTGGTTTATTATTATTCATGGTAATTTAAATTGATTAAAGGCAAAAAATTTTAAAATAAAGAATTCTAAATAATTTAATAATTAAATATTTCTATATAAGTATATAGTATTCTAATATTTTTTATATTGTGTATTTTTATTATTTATTTGATTTTCAAATATCTTATACAGCACAAATAGATTTACTCATTCCTAATAAACCAATAATATCTTCTCCTAATTTTAAGTAGTTTAGATTATTTAATATAATTATACAATCTAATAGTTGCTATATAGACATTTTAATACATTTATATTTTTGCTACATGTTTTGGCAAACTTTAATAAAGAGATTGTGATTAGGAAATTTACTTCTGTATATATCGATTGATCATGGTTTAAAGGATATAAGGTCTTTAAATCTTTTCTAATTAAGAAAAATTGTAATTGTGAAGATTTGATGCTGGTTTAATTCAAAGATCATAATAAAAGGTTTGACACATATCTTAAAAACAGTTACAATCTTTCTTTGCCTGCATTTACTGAAAAGTTAACTAGACAAATGTGTTTATTCCCACATTCCTTAATTATTTTCTTTCTGTCCGCTGTATATACAAATACATCCATAGGGAACGCATAATACATACATATATACATGGATGTACACTAATTAAATACCACTGTATCTTGCTAAGTCAAATAACTATATATATGTGTATATTTGTGTTAATATGGCCACTGTCATTAACTCGCTTAAACTTACTGTTATACTTCTATTTCTTTCTTTTTTGTAATATAATATCCAATTGTACGTAAGCTAACATATCCAATAACTATTGTATTCACATGAACAGTAGAGACATACTATAGAATTACTCTAACAATATTTAAAGAAATGGAAACTTCTTTTAAGTAGCAAAGGAAAAAAGGGAAAGAAAGAGAAATAACATGCTATTTCCCAAATGCAGAGAATTGCACACTGATGATATATTATACTTACTCTACATGTTAAGAATATTATACACAAAAATGTAGATACACAGAATTTCATAATGTACCTTATTTTAAAAACATATGATATCTCTTCATGTCTTTCACTGGGTGTAGAACTTTCAAGATTTACAAGATACAGGAGAATGTCCCCTCTATATGTGAAAGATATTGTAATAATAATAATAATAATAATTATCCAAGGATTCCGATAATGTGAAAATTTTCTTTTTAAATAAGGAACATGTAACAATATTATAACATATCCATATTTTTGCAAATGTTAATTCATAGATATATTATGTCTTGTTATTTTAATGTTATAATGGAATTAAACTCTTATTATTTTTTTTATTGAATTTCAATAACTTCTCATCATTCTTTGTTGCAGTTAGAGATCCATATACAGTATTAGACATCCAGTCATAATAATGTCAGACTAATTCTTAAAGAAAGTAGATTTCCTGAATAGTAAATTGATAGATTAACATGTTAATACTCCACCATAGTATATTCTTAAATGTTGTTCAATGTTCAAAGATCGAGATAAAATCTCTTTTTATTACGTTATTTTTCAAACATTAAAATAAGATCATCTGAATAAAAGACACAACAGAAATTATTGAACAGGGAAAGTAATACAGTAGAATGAAATAATGGTGTAATCAAACTATTATTCATTATATCAAATCAATATGTCCTTTTTCATCATTACAATAACCACTAGAAATCAAACATAAATCAAATCCATGTATAATAGATTGGAATTAGTAAGGATAAATATCCTGTAAGATATGAGTAAAAAGATGATATAGTAAATTTGTTTATGGATATAGCATAATTGTATTTATGTTTATAACAGTTATCATTATGTGTTAATTTCAAAAGAGTATTGCATATGATCATAAATTATTATAACAGTATCATTCGATGGATAATGAAGTGATATAGAAGATATAATTATATTTTTCATATTGAAAATATTAGTAAGGGATGGTGTTCATGTGTTATTGGAGTATACTTTAATAGTTATATTCATAATAAAAGTGGTAGTGACACAAAAAATGGTCATAGTTTGTCAATAAATATCTTCCATAGTCACAGTCTATGCATGGAGTAAGTCATTATGAGGTTATTTCTGATAGTCAAATATAAATGATTATTAGGTATACAGTGGTGTAACTATGCCATGTTAAATAACTGTTTGATAATATTCAATATTATATCATATGAATATGTAAAGAAGGTAGATAATAACTGGCTATTTATAAGTAAAGTTGGTTACTTATATGCTTGGTTGTCGATGAGAGTGGCTATTATTGTAATTGATTTTTTTTCGAACTATTTTTTCAGATTTTGAAAAAAGGAAGATTGACAATTGAAATTTGAATGAAATGAGATTGGTGGATAATTAAAAGAAAATGATGGCTGATGCTAAGAGTAATTAAGTGTGATATGTTTGTACAGTATCGTTCTTGTCTAAGACATAATATCAAGAGAAGTTGTATATTAATGAGGAGTTCATAGTTTAAGAGTGATACCATACAATCTACCAGTTATTAATGTCTAAATGAAGTAAGCAGTTTAAGAATAAAAACATAATTGAAAGTAATAGTGGTTGATATGAACTTAGTCTACTATGTATAAATCCATAGTAAAGATACATGTTAATATCATGATAGCAGATACTGTGAATAACATTGAATGTTATAGATTTAAAAGAGCAATAAAATTTCCTAGATGATATTACCATAATAAACCTAGAAATGTAAGTGTAAATATAAGATGCGACAGAGTGACCATTAATGGATCACACTAATCCAGTGTATTATGTTTATGTTGTTTACATTGTTTCTATATCTTACATATGAAAAGAAAATGGTCTAAATTTATTGATCTATTTATCATAAAACAAATGACTCTATCGTTGTTATTACATTCTTGGTTTTTAGTATGGCTAAGTGTGTATTTGACATAGGTTACAGTTTATCTATTACACATTCATATTGGAAAATATGTATTTATAACTAAATAACAATGTGATTTTAAGAATTATAACCTGATTATTGCATTACTTTGCAACTCAGCTACTGTTAATAAGCTTAAGTGTTTGAACTGTTGCAACATATACAATTTTCATATTATTTCCTTACGTTTAATAGGTAGAGAGTACTTGATGATGTAATTTGTGATGGTATTATCAGTTAATAAAGAAAACGGTACAAGGTAAAATCCAAAGAAATAATGAATATATCTTATATTTCTAGTAATTTGTATAATTTATTAAGTTACACATTATATTCTCTTCTCTCTATCATACATTTAATATTTTGAAGTGCTATGTGCATTAATACATCTACTTCTACTGATATCCTAGTAATAGCTCTTATTAAATTACACTACCCACTACAACTATCACTTTACAGCTACTATCTTTTATTGTGTATTATGCCATACCATAGCAAACAATATAGAATAGCCACTTATTCATTCTTACACGACTTTCTTGATCTAGACCTACTAGTTAGTTAATATAACACTGCTTGCAGAACTGTAACTGCCAACATATGCTAAAATTGTCTTCTTATCTTTTCATTCTTTTTCTTTTCTGAAATCCAATTTTTCTTAAATTCCAAAAACTTTTTTCAATCAAATAAAAACAACTCAAACAGATATCAACCACTACACCATGCAAACAACATTAAAAAGACTTGCTTACAGATGACAACACATCCTCAGTTGTGATCTATGCACTTCACAAATTCACATTATATAACATTGAGATACTCCCATTCAACATGATATAATTATTCCATAAATATATTTGATACAGCCAACCAAGATATCCTTAACTATAGAGAGTATATTCACGACAATCCACTTTGTACATGGGTTATTACTAAGGAAGATATTTATAAACAAAATAAATCTATCTTTATGGTATGGTTACTCTATTGCTATGAGTATTTACAAATACATAAACACAAACACTTACAGTATCTTCCCCCTAAATGATATAATCTGATAACATATCAATTTCACATAGTGATCACTTCAATACTACTACCATGAAACCTATCCATATAGATGAACCTCACAGTATAATTATCAACACTATGCCAACTACCATCGTACTACTACCCAACTACATCACAAGTATTACATCCAAATCACTCACAAAAATACACCCTACCAATAACTAAGATTATATTTCTTTATAAAAAACTATTCATTATTGCCGAATGTCAATTGGTAAAATTCCATAACACTGTCGTCAGTTCTTATAACACCAACATAATATTAAACTATTAACAATATTAAATCAAATAATACACATGGATGAACTTGTAAATATATTGTAATTAAAAACAAAAATGGTTTAAGTGTGGGATACACAAC